CAACAAAGAAACAAGGTCAAAAAGAGCTCCGCCACCGCTTGGTCCAGATATCAAACCAATCCTAATCCTTAATCCTGTGTCGATTCCCTTTTGCCAACTATGTAAGCAGGGTCAATTTTAATATAGTTTTGTTTTACCTTCCAGCCCTTTCCCAAGCAAGGCATGTGTGGAGACTCTTCCACGTGGGAAAGACCAGCCCCCTAACCAACTTTGGTGAAGATCAAACACATCCTAATCCTTCAGACTTTCCTCCCGTATTGATGCCATGTGGCTTGCGCATGGCTTCCATCTGAGTCAGTGATCAGTCATCCGCAACCGGTTTTTCTGTCCAACCGAAAATAGGATTAGGCTTCTGGAATGGTGCCCAGGTGGATAAGACAAGAAAAGGGGTCGGCTAGAAGGCCGGGAACAACTTACAGTACTTCGTATACTTATCGCTTATAAATTACTCTCTTTACTGTAGCTGCACTATATTACAAGCTGAATGATACGCAGCCACCATCTCACTACCCCTGAAGCAAATCACTAAACCCTACACAACTGCCGACCAGATATAGGGCTAACCAGTCGGTCTCCCCGAACCCCGAGAGGGTTTAATATACGTAGCTCAGCTCCAAGTCAAGCTAACCCCCAAAGAGGGCCAAATCTTGGCACTCGGAGTTTCCAGGCGACGAAAAAGCAAGTAAAAATTACACGCAGATCAGTCGGGACGATCCGAATAAAAAACCCGAAAGAAAACGGTAATAAATCCCAACGAAAAATACATGTCGGCCGACTGGGCCCCACTCCCCATATTTACTCAAAACGGTCAAGAGCTGCGAGGTGGATCACGTCATAGACTTTCAAAACCGTAGACACCCTCCGCAGAAACGTAGACACCCTGCAAAGACTGCAACGGAGCGTAATACTATATTCGGTAAGTAAGGATAAATCCATATAAGACTTCGCCAAGGTTTCATCGCGAACTGATTTAGTCACGGCCACTCCGACCGGGATGGCTGGCTGGGGCTGATACACGCGTGGCGACATTTTGGCGCTAGAAGGCTTCTAGAAGGCTTCTGGAAGACGCTAAGAATTCGCATTATTCCCCCAACTTCCATGGTATCCACTTAAGGGATGTGATCTGTACCGGCGCTCGTGTTCGGATCAGATGAAACAATCGTATTGCAGATGTTTATTTTGGGTAAAGTAAACTAGTAATTATTTTGATTTTCACTTAATTATTACGTAGTATCTTTTTTTGTGTCGGTTCCTGAGACCCAATTTTCAGCATAAGAAAAAGGCTTAAAGTGGAGTCGTTAGAGTCCGCATGTTTATCGGAAAATTTTCATATGCTCCACGGGGCTAACACTATATGTCTTAAACTAAAAGCGACGTAAAAGAAATCTCTTTCGGGCTTCACCGATACCTGGCCCGATGTAAACCGCCCTTTAAGCGAAGATATCCGCGTTATTGTTTCTCTTGAACTCCACTCCGCGCAAGAAGAATCCGCACGGGAAGAGAGCCACTGTTTCTCGTTCCACGTGGCTGATCGACACCGAAATTTCAGTTGTGACATGTGGAGGAGTTTTCTTGGTTTCTTTTAGTTTCGGTCGGAAGTTTGGCTGCAGCTAGTGGTGTTGACCGACGATCGTGATTTCATCAATGACTTGCATGGAAGGATCGTCATCCATGTGGCTTCAAGACCAATGGCACATGAAGTTGATGTACTTTGTTATCAAACGTATAGGAGAGGGGATAGAAACTCCGGTCAATCTTATGTTCTTTAGTGTAATTCCTTGTCTACTGTACATCCATTTTGTTCCAATTGAGATTAGAGATTAGGAATCATTGGCCCCCACGGCGTAGGGCGCAGGCCGGAGTTAATGCTGACACGCTTAATTAAGATTAGTCCGACCTGGGGGCCAGAATGATTAGCATTACATGTACTCCCCAACCTATGACCATGGCGCATGCTCAATTTCTAAACTTTTGGGGCGTTCCTAGGGTGTCATCGCTCAGGGCAACATTCATATCCCTGTCTCCTATTCCTTTTACAGCTTGCAAGTCAGAAGCGAGATTACAGTAGCTTTCAACAGCGGGCGCGTCACAGCAAATTGTCTGCAGCCAGTTCTCTATGCTATGCCCTGTGGATAATCTCCCGAGGTTAGCTTCCGCAGCTCCTGGCATGCATCAATATCGTCATACTGTCTCTCACCATATAGTACATCTGCGTCACCTGCACTCTAATCGACTGTGACTCGCTACTGACTCGCGACTCGCTACTCTATGGTGGCGGGGAAGACGGGATCAACTGAAGATCGTGCAGCGGAAGTGATGTTACCCGAATCTTCAAACCCCTCCTCGTCGATCCATAGGAAGGTGTACTCCGTTCTGGAAATACGATTGTTGCTGATTCCCTCGGTTATTCTCCAAGTGACATATACTTCAGTGATACCTTGATCTCTTCACATTTACATTTTCCCTACAGGACCTGCTGGTGAACAACTGGTGACGTGTGATTCCAATAAGATCGTCAGGGTAAAAGGGAAAAGCATAAGCGAGAATTCGCGCCTGCAACATCGAAAGCGGGGTTAACCAACACTAAGTTAGCAGCTCACATTACGATTCCCACATATGCATGTAACTCCACATGGTCCTGAAAACAAATTTCATTTAGGCCTTTGCAGAATACCATCTAACCGTGGATTGGACCATCATACGGGGAGGCGCCGGCACCGCTGATCATCAACATGTGGTCCAAATCCCGGGATTTTGGCGGTCACTGTTGCACCGGACTTTTCTTCCAGTGTACTCCGTACGGAGCAGGTCATTATTCCGACATCTCCGAATACAAATCCCGACCAACTCCTAGTCCAGTCTTTTCCAAGGGCTAGACTGAGCTATAGCTAGAAGCACGCGGGCTGCCGCGCCCGGACTATACAGTCTTACCTTTTAGCTGCCTTTCACCGACTAGCTAGCTAAGCAAAATCGAAAGAAAAGGAAAGAATACACCGGAGGAGTCGAATCTGCAATTCCTAGACGAATTTCCAACGGGCCCCATCTCTTCTTCCCCACCTGCTACACAACATGCAACTCGGGAGAATCCCATAACCACTAAATTCCCGGCTTTCGGTGGATCATGCGATGGTGCAGAATTGTGGAGTCCTGCACCTCGACCAAAACTGCTTTCTGCATAGACCTAGCATTAGTTTCTTCCCAACATAACATCGCAGAAACGTGTCCAGTCTCCATCCCCATCTTGCTAGCTGCGCGTACATGCAAAGGAGCGTAAGTACGGCGAATGGATCGAGATCCATTCGGACGGGACATAGTGTTCTTAGCGCAGCAGCTATGGAGACAGAGCCGACTAGCTTGAATTGCTTGATCCTGCAGACTAACGTATTGTTTTTGCATGCTCGGTGAATTGGGTGCTGTATGCGGATTAATATACTATCCACTTTGGGCGCAAGAGTTTCCTTATTTAGCTACGTCTTTTTAAAGGCTGCCATTTGTTGCTTATATTTCAGGTACAGATTTACTTTCAACGTACATTTAGTGTATATTTCACCCCCAGGCAGGTAAATACACCAAATTTGAAATGATCGTCCTACCAGATCCCCTTGCCGCTACTCTTCCCGTTGGGTCTGCGACATGTCACTTTTGACACATGGCGAGCACACATGCATGCCGCGTGCTTCCAGGGTTCACATTTGGGCCAATGGTGTGTCGCCTTTATTGTGGCAAACTATAGCGGGATTTCCTAACAGGGGCAATAGTTGGAGGAGGCTGGGCTTACCCTAAGAGTAGTGATTTGCATGCGTCACCTTGTTGTTCCCGCAATATATACATACCCGGTGGGATGATGAATCTTGTTTTTACTTTTGCTTCATATCACATCATTTTGGAAGTATTTTTGGATACAAGGTAAAAATGTGACATGGGGTTTTACTAAAAAAAAAAAAAAAAAAATTTTTAAAAAAAAAAAGGATGTTGTAAAGAATGAAGATCTTCGGGGTCTAGGTTTCAGCAAGATGCCTAGCATTCGAATGTTTGCTATATCCCTGTCCCATGTGGCCAAATCTAGCATACACAGACTTCTATACCTGCCCATGTGTTTATCCCCCAGATGACAAACCCATGCATAGGAACATGTGGATAGCTACTCCCGAAGTAAAGCTGGAATACTAGTTTATGCTGCCACTTGAGCAGCCAAAATGTCAGAATCTAAGATTCAATAGTTCCAGGCAATCATAATCCAAACCAAATAGCCCTAATCCGCTCACCAGTCCCAGCCCTTGGCGCTCTGTACTCCGTCGCAAGACGGCAAGGTGCAGACTCAGGCAAGGATGGTGCTTGGTGATCGACCCCCTTCTCTCCTCCCCGGGTAAATTATCAATACAAAGCCACACAGCACTACAACCAAACGTTCCTTGCAAGTATCCAGCTACTCCTAGGCAGACACCAATTCGCCTCACCTGAGTACACTTATTCCACCGGGGCAAGATCCCGGGAAAACCAGAAAAGAAGATCATCACCGCCACAACTCGGTTAACACTAACGTCCTAGCGCGGAAGCCCATAGCTTAACAAGGGGCGGGGTGGTGAGAACTTGCCCCGCTTATAGGTCCGTGGGCAGTGTGATATGTCATAATGGAATCTTCGATCAGATCGCATCGAATGAGGAAACCTGTCAAAATGCATACGCTAACGAAGGACTACGCGACTTACCATGTGTTTGGCTTTTCGCGTGGGCTAGTTTTGTTTGTGACGAATGTTAAATTTCGGTGGCGTGGTCACAAGGACTTGTACCTACAGTAGGTTAGATCAATATTTTAGTTGATTGTCAATGGTGGATTGGTAGCCGATGTGATTAAGCGTGAAGGATCAATAGGGGATGGAGGGTGGGTTCGTGTGGTCTAAGGCCTTAGAATGCGCGCAATGACTGGTAGACAGATTACCCAGGTGGGTACATGTAATTTTGTAGAATGTAATAATATATTTCTGATACGTTTGGAAGTATCAACCATCTCTCCACCATTGGCCAAGAGAACTGTCCGAACCGGCCATCTCGACTACTTCCTCAAAGCTGATCTCAACACGGAACATCTGTCCATCAGCTGTGCCGTTTCCGCCACCGACTGGCGTGACCAGTGCCCAATTAACTAACTTTTCCCAGGACTCGCGGGCCACGTCCCGGCCCCAAACTCGACCGGGTGTGGCGGCGGCACCAGATACCGAGGCGGATGTTTTGGCAGATGTGAGCAGCCGCACGTATTCGGCGTAGGCAGCTGGGAATGATAGTGCGAGTGGTGCCACGCTCTGCGATTGGGGACCGTCGAGTCCTGGGTCGAAAAGTGCTGCTAGGCGGGTCGCGGCGAGGAGCAAGGCCAGTGGTAATGATGAAGGACTCGATGAAGAGGTGATAGATGCGGAAAATGGAAGAGGTGCTGGGTCAGAGCAGGAAAGAGATTGTGAGGCGAAGCTCTTTGGAATGGGAATTTGCATTGCGAGCTTATCGGCAGCTTGGGTGCTGAGATTCAGTTCACTGATTGGCAACAGTGCGCTTGTCAGGAAGTCCTTTACGGACTTGGTCTGGTGGTAGATTCGCTTGAGGTGGAACTGGAACTCCTTGTCCTCCCACATGTGCTGAAACGAATGTTAGCTCAAATATACGGTGGGTTTCTTTTTTTTGGTGGCTCGTTACCTTTAGATATAACTTCCAGCCCTCCAGTAGTGTCTTCCAGCCTGTTGTTTCCAGGACAGCACGCTCAGAACCGAGTGTATCTGCAATCTGTAGAGTTTCGTTCTCATTGAGATCCAAACTTGCCATGCAAATTTCCGAGAAAATTTCATATGTTCTCGGGAGTGGAACATATACATATCGGTGGCTGAATCGACTCTTAACACGTTTCTCCAACATCTCAGTCACGTCGACTTTGGTGGTAAGCCCAAGCACCGCAATCGGCGCTTTTCGGGCTTGCGCAATATCGAAAAGGTTGTAAAGCAAAGTCTGCCGAGGATGAGTGACGAACAGGTCAAATTCATCGAGAATTATAATGATAGACTTGGCAGCAGTCACCCCATTTTTGTTTGTAGAAGTTCCGAATAGCTCCTCGGGATGAGAGAGCAGAGCCAAGAGAGTTGCCATTGTATCTGCATAAGAGTTGATCTTGATAGTGTCGTCCTCGGTGTTGGTCTCACGACCAAGCTGACGCCACATCTCCCGAAGAGCTAGACGGTCGTCAGTGTGGAGAAAGCCGTTCAGACGAACGACATGGAAGTCCTCCCCGTGATCTTTCGCAAGAGATGAAATGATCGTTTCGACCATTGCTGTCTTTCCAGAACCTCGGGACCCAAGAAGGAGCATTGAGTTACCTTCACCCACGCTGACTGTTTGCTCAAGCAGATGGTTGACCTTGTTGTATTCGCTGTCCAGTCCTTTGAGGGGAATCTGTCGCTTCCCAGCAAGCTTCTCCACAAGGTAACTTGTGAGAATGCGAACCTCTTTATCAATTCCCTGGTGGCAGAGATTTTGTAGAGCTTCCACATACTCAGGAAGGGGCTCTGCCATCTCCACGCTGTCCTCCACCTCAGGCTGTTCATGATGCAGATCTTGTTGGAGCTGCAGCGCGACGAGATCATCAAGACCATCATTATAAGTCTCCAGTGAGTCCGATTGATCCTCGTTCACCACTGCAGCATTTGTTCCATTCGATTTCGGTTTGGCGGCAGCTCGTCTCGATCTGGTCCTTGCCAGTGGTTTGGGCGATTTCTCGTCGATATCCATGTCCTCGTCATCTACAGAATCCTGTCTCGCCTTCTGAGCACTTCTTGCTCCGCGAGTACTGCGAGGTGTAGCAGCTGCCCTCCGCGTCGAAGTAGGTGTCTGGCCATCCCCTTCGTATCGCTGGGGCGCTTTGCGCTGCCGTCCGCTAGCCCGTGTGCTCCTCGGTGTCTCTGTGACCGGCGCATCATCTGCATCATCTAATCCAAGCCCTTCAGGTACTTGTACACTTTTTCTTCGTGTCGATTGTCGTCGGGATGGTCTTGATCGGGGGCCGCGGTATTCCTGGTCCTCTTCGGAATCCGGGTCGGCATCAGGAGACGAGGGCGCGGAGTAGACATCATCACCTTCATTTCCCATGGCGATATCGCCGTCTTCATCGTGGGCTGCATCCTCGGAGACTCTTCTCCGCTTGGCTGCGCGGGGATCTCTCATGGCTGCGTAGTAATTTGGGGTCGAAGATGTATAGTTGAGTCGAAAGATAGGATTGTTGGGACTGCCGAAAAAGGAGGAACACGACAGTAATTTCCACTAGGGATTGAGTTGAGTGAGCCTTTGCGACTGCTGATCTGATCAAGCTCAATTGAAACACTTTACTTGCGTCTCAAGAATCATGCCGTGCCGGATACGTTATAATTGGGAGCTCATTGGCCTTTCTCTGGTAGAGGAAATGGCTTGTGTAAAAGCGCAGGGATTGCAGGGAGTACTGGTATACCCAGGTGCGCTTCCCGAACAGTGATTGCAGGTGCAAGGGGAAGCTGTTGACGCTTGTTCGGCAACAGATCGCAATCTCCGTGTTTTACGCGCCTCAGGCGCGAGACGGTTCTCCCTTTTAGTGCATATCCCTTGCCGCTTTTTGATCACCTGATCTATTAGATCTATATCAACATGCTCCAGAGCTGAAGCTAGCGTTCCACGACAGAAAGACAAATGAGACAATTTTCTAGAGTCTGCGCCCATTTCTAAGGTCCACTCAAGCCTCGATTTTCGTATCGGGACCTGTACGGAGACTTGTCCAATTTACAAAACCATAGGCGCTAACCTAGTAGGATTCAGTCACTAATCACCTTCACACTCTAGACTAGTCTAGTGTAAGTGATTAGGTACCTCCAAGGGCGATTACTCAATTGTATGACTTCTCTTAATTTTGGATACTATGCTTTATTGCCCAATGCCATTATTGTGGTGTCCACCAAAGTTGCGATCGCCGCTAAAAGCTCGGAATATAAATAATTTACCTAGTGCCGATAATCTAGTCCTGTTTTCGAATTCTATGTGGACATAAAGTAGTGGCACGTGCCTTGAACAAAATTACCTTGAGTGCTGAGAATTCATCTAGTGCTTAAATATGGAAGATGAGGCAGATAAGTTCAATTCCAATCCCGGTGAAACAAGCCGCATCCGCGTCCAGTCGTCTCCCATCCGAGCCGAGGTCCATCCCCGACCGAGCTCCATGGGGTAATCTTAAGCTTCGCAGCGGATCTTCCCTGCTACCTCTACCCTATACCCTATACCAAATTGCGCCGTTTTTCCCCCCCCCCGTTATATTCTGTCCTTTCACCTCTCCCATATATACCAACCTCACACAACATGTCCACTCACCAAGTACTCCCGCCACAGCGGGAAATGACCGACTTCGAGCAACACGTCTACGAATGCACATACATGATAGGCAAGGAAGCCGCCGACGTAGTGCGTATACCTGCCCAATCCTCAAGCTTTAGCAACAGCTTGATCACCATGGATGCTTACTGACAAGCTCAACAGCGCTGGGACGTCGACGCCCAAGAATGCAACCTCCGCTTTGAATCTGCAACCCGCGGTCCACCCACTAAAGTCGCATTCACTCTCACCATAACTCCTTCTCTCAGCAATAGACTCGGAAGCCTGCACGGGGGATGCGCTGCGACTCTGATTGATATCCTCTCGACCACAATCTTGTTAGGAGTCTCCACACCTGGGAAATTCGGGTTCGGTGGCGTGAGCCGGAACTTGAGGACGACTTATCTCCGGCCCGTGCCCATTGGGACAGAGGCGAGGATTGTGTGTGAGGTTATGCATGTTGGAAAAAGATTGGCGCTTTTACGGGCGGAGATCCAGAAGGCGGATACTGGTGATGTTTGTGTTGTTGGGGAGCATGAGAAGGCGAATACGGACCCGGAGGTTGATCAGAGGATTTGAGATTTAGGCTCATGGATATTTATTATGGGACGTATATACTTGATACCCACCTGCTTTGGTGTGATTGAAGAATGGCAATTATCATATAAGAAGGAATGAATGATGATGATGAGAGACAGGTATATTTGCGCTTGCTACAACCTCCTGTTTAATCTGACCGGGCAACCTGAGGCCCGTGGAGGAAAACGAAGAATCAACGAACGACAGAGCATCAAAAATGTCCAAGAGAATATAGTCATCCTAGCATCTAAGCCATAGATCATATCGCGGAAAGATATCTGAATCTACTCCTGAGCAAGCTGCTGGTCCTCACGGAGACCCTCAACAACCAACTCCTCACCAACAGCACGGCGGTAGATATCCCGCACGTCGACTGGAGAGAAACCGTTAGCCAAGCGATTCAAGTGTACGTGATTGGGTAGTTTAGATTCTTACCATTTGTGGTCTCGAAGTGAGATGTGGCATCGTAGCTCTTGGAAATGAAGATGTTGTCGCTGGTACCATCCTCCAGAGGCTCGTAGAGAGGAATGGGAGGAGCCTGGAACTTCTCCTCAATGGCGCCAAGGCGCTCAAAACCTGGCTCGAGCTCCATGTGGGGGTTAGCATCGTTCTCGGCAATGGTCGAGACAATGGCGATGTAGTAGCCCTTGGGGCAAACGTTGTGTGCAGAGGAGACCATGGCAATGTAAATATCTACAAAAATCAGCGAGAGATCTCAACAGTATGAAAGGGTAGTACTGACCGTGCTTGCGTCCGACCTGGGATTGAGGAATAATGAGCTGCAGCGAATCGCTGCCATCAGTCTTGTCAATGGGGTGCTTCAAGATGCAGATCGCCTTGAGCAAGTATCCGGTAACGCGGACCTTGCCAGGGAAGTAGGATGGATCAGCAATAATCTTCTTTGTCTTGGTTTCAAACTTCATAACCTCGGCGTTCTCATCGCGATCCTTCATGGTGGCCTTGATACCGGAGACCTTGCCGCCCTCGTACAACACCTCATCGATATCGGTGTTCAGCATGTAGGTACCGCCGTAGATAGCGGAAAGACGAGCAAAGCCCTGGGGAAGCTCACCCAGACCGTAGAGAGGGTAGATGTATGGGGACTTTCCGTAGCGGGCCATGGAGTTGACGTAGAGACGAATGCGGTTGATAGCGTCGACAGCCACACCGGGCTGGTTGATGTACTCGTCCGATGGGTACAACGCCATGGAGTGGCCAACGAAGTCACGGGTGTTCTCCTCAAGACTGAACTTATCGTAGACATCCTTCATGGTCACGGCGGTGATGTTCAGACCTAAGACAGTTAGCTACTATACCCCTCAGGCAACATTTGCATCACATACCCTGATGAGTAGCAGGATCCTCCTCCTTGAATTCGCCAACCCACTCAAGGAACTTCTTGGCTCGGCGCTTCTCAAAGAGACCCATGAGAGAAGAGCGCAGAGCTTCACCGGCATCGGAGGGCACCTTGGCCACGGTCGCCTTGGGACCCTTGCCCTGCTGAACATAGCTGCCGGCAATCTGCTTGAACTCGAGGTATCGGGTGACATCGGTGGAAACCAAAATGTTTGTCAACTCTCCGTTGGCCATCAGCAGCTTGGGAACCAAGTCAATGTTCCAGTCGTTGACTCGGCCGTACTTCTTCCAGGGCTCCTCCCCGGCGGGAACATTGCCGTACTTCTTGAACAACTGCAGAGGCGGTCAGTAGGGACTCTTTCTCGCTCCATTAAGCTAGCGTACTGTTTCAATGTTCACAGAGGCTGCCTCTCTAGAACCATTGTTAGCTATCTTCCATTGGTGGCGTTGTACAAAGCTCCATTTACTTACCCTCCGTAGTGGTCATTGCGGTCGATGTGGAGGACCTTGTTACCCTTGACACTCAAAACACTAAGACGAAGAAGCAAAGGTCAGCAGTAGTCACAAGGCATGGTTGATATTAGGTTACTTACCCAGACAGAACGCACTCGGTCAAACCTGCGCGAGAAGTTGGTCAGCGTTTGGGAGGTGTGGAATGGCGGGGTAGCGTACCAGTGCCGAGCACCACGACATCATATTCGGGCGCGATATCATCCATAGTGGATATAGTGAGAGGATATTGGGGGTAAGATGGATACAGAAGGGAAGGGAGTATGCCGGAGGCGAAAAGGGAAAAAGAAAGGTTTCTCCTGGTATCTTGTCCCCGCGGATCAACAGAAGCGGTAAGAAGGGGAGACTATTTGACGGGCCCGCCACTAGTGACTTAGTTTACCTCATTCACGGAGCAGATTCCTACAAGGCCCCCTTTCCCAACCTATAGGCATCTAGATATATAGATTAAGCCCCTGGGTCTATAATTATCTCCTCTTCCCTTTCTCAAGACCCCCCTGAATGGGTTTGTCAATACCCGCATTGCAATGTCTTAAAGTCAAGACCAGACAAGCTTCCAAGATAGGCATCGCGTTGTTGATATTTTACATGAAAAAAAGTATATAGAAAACACAATGAAAGATCAACCAAAATATTGCTACACATTCCACATGGTTCTCGACCATATCTCACAGCTGTGATTGGAACGACTTCGCCTTAAGGCTTGGAGGCTTTGATCTCATCCTCAACCTCAGGGGCCTCCATGACATCCTCATACTCCGGGCGAGCTCCCTGCTCATACAGACGCTGTGCCTCCTCCCAAGCGTACCAGCGCTCACGCAACACATGTTTGATGCTCTTCATGGTAATCAGGATCTAAGGAAAGAGATTTATTAGCGAACCAAGCTCCGAAGACACACAGAGGGAAATAATCCAGATTGGCAATTTGAATCATAGATTCATGTCTTGTTGTGGCATTGGAAGATTGGTAAAGGCTGCCAAAACAGAAGGGAACTTACAGTCTTGTCCCGGCCTTCAGCCTCGTGTTCTCCGTATCCAGCCTTCAGACGATCTCTCTCCATGTTGGAGGTAGCGATACGGTTGCGTTCCTTAATGCAGACCCACCAAAGTCTGTGAAGATCGTCCCAGCTCTTGTCGCGGAGTTCGGTAATAGCCCATGAGCGACCTAAGAGTTGGAAGTAAGCAATTGTTTGTATAAAAAATTAAGAAGGTACCGAAGAGTAATTTCACTCACCATGAGCCATATCGAAGTCCGGGACACTGATGGCCTCACGCGATGGAGGGAAGAATCCCCAAAGTCCATGGTCGGGGTTCTTGGGCCGCGGAGGCAGGTTCTCGGAGGACACAGGTTTCGGCAATGGGTACTTGGAAACGCCAAGTTTGAATCGTGGGCCAGTGCGATGAATGGCTGATACGGCCCGGACTCGGTTCAAGTCGCGTCCTCGCTCACGGCCAGCGGCAACGGGAGTCGTGGAGAAGCTCGAGGATTGGGATCGAGGCGTGAAATGGAGGGAGGGTGCTAGGTATGGCGGAGGCAATTCAGCCAGGGGGAGACCCCCGTACTTGGCCAAACGAGCGACAGCTGGCCGATGCATGGTGTTGAAATTGACGACTGCAGGGGAAATGCAAGATGAACGGAGATGCTTTTTTTCGGGCTCAACGGACGGTCACGTGCACACCATCCCAGTGACGCTTTGCTACAATGCAAGATACAGCGACGTTTTATTTATCCCCGCCACTATAACGCTTCAAAAATATCACTTGTTTTGTCTGAAGGATAGATTCTTGTGTCCTTCCCTATCCGACAAGAACATCTGATTCGCGATACCTTGAGGCTGCTTGTGTTCCCCATAACATCCGCGCGCCTAATTACCCAATCGATTTGCTCCACCTCCAGGCGGAGCAGTGCCGCATAAGTTGGAGAGGGCTTTCATGGTGGACTACCATCACTCAACGGATACTGCGTCGGTTTGATATTCTACCGTGTCTAATCTCCGGACGAGTCTCGGAAAAGTTCTGGGGTCGTCTCTCTCAACCTTGTCCCCGTTATCTCAGCTATGAATCGACCAGGTTCGTCAGTTTCTTCGTTACCCTCCGAGCCCTCGTCCCCGGTCTGCCCCCGCTATAGAGAAAAATGCCATGGCACCCCGGCAGAGCCTCCTTCATGGATTCGGATGGAAAATGGGTGTTTGCCCGTCCAGTACGGAACCATAAAGGACGTTCATACTTCAATGGCAGTTTGTGTTCAAGAGAGTTTCACCATATGCGACCGAGACATTTTCGCAGGGATCTCTGGACACATTCCTGAGCTGAGCCGAAGCATGAGCACGATTTGAGACCGCGTAGATCTTGCTAACTCCTTGTTCTCCCGTGCTAGGATCTGGTCCACAGCCGCTACGAGGCATGTCCGGATTCCCCGCGCCGCAGCAAGCACAAGCCCGAAACGCAACATTGGCCTCCGCACGATTGCCAAACGGAAAATTGGGTACGTCGTCTTCGGGCTCGTGATGGATTGCGTTGTTAGGACCGGAGCTATGGGTGGATGCTAATACGTGGGGTGCTGATCTAGGTGGCGCAGCGAATTGGAACTTCAATCTGCCTGTGAGCGGAACTCCCACTCTACAAACCAACCAGCAACGAAATATGGGAACTATGGGCAGCTTTGCGCAGAGCTTGAGTGGTTCTCAACCAGCAACACCGCTAGATCTCTCGTGAGTGAAATCTTGGTCGATTAAACAAATGACTTTATCCCGGAGTGGTCTCCAATGCATTATTCTCGAGAAACTGACATTGATTGTGCCTTCCAGCGAATTCCCTTCACTTTCAGGCGCGCCCCAGCAGTCACAATCTCAGAACCCCGGGCAACTCGTATGGGCCAACGCAAGTCAACGAGCCGCACAACATACCCCCGTTCAGAGACAGCAGCACCTTCCTACGTCGCAACCCCCTTCTCGAACCTCCCAAACTCAACCGCATCCCGTACAGCAGCCGTCGCAAGCCCCTCATGATGACATGTTTCCTTCTGCCGCCCAATTCACCAATCGACTGGATGATTTCAGGAACGGTGGGCAAGGGATTAGTAGCCAGCTAGGAGCCGGAAGTCAGCCTCAGACAGGCAACATCGAGGAATTCCCTCCGTTGGGTCGAAACGTTGCTGCTGAGATCGGCCAAGATCGTCGGAGCTCATTGCTGCAGAATACTGCGTTTGGAAGCTACAATACCAGTATGTACCGGCGTTACCCGTTGTTGTGCGGAAAAATGTATAGGCGAAAATGATTAGCTGATTTCAATATGCAGGTATTGGAACATCGCGGTCGCCCGTTAATCAAGGGCCCAATGGGATTTTGGGGCAGGAGAAGGAGGTAGGTAGATCGGCGATCGTCTTTCCCAGGCCCCGCACTCACCGACACCACAGGACTTGAACAACACCCTCATGTCGGGTCAACGCAACTTCAGCGACCCGCAACAATTGCAGCAAAGGCAACAACAGGCCGACGGCCAGGATGTTTCGGTAGTCGCAGGTGCTCAAAGTGCAGAACAACCACCTCTCGCACAAATGAGTGAGCTCGACCGATTCGGCCTGGCCGGCCTGTTGCGCATGATCCACAGCGAGAGCCCCGACGTGGCCAGTCTGGCTGTTGGTCAAGATTTGATGACCCTTGGCCTGGACTTGAATCAGCCTGAGTATGCGCTCCCGTTCAGAACCCACTGGCGACTCTAGCTAATGAATTCCCACGTGCCTTAGACCTCTCCACACCTCCTTCGCATCTCCGTTTGTGTCATCCATGTCTGCGGTACCGCTGGAACAGGATTTCTCCCTGCCCTCTTGCTACAATGTTGCAAACATTCAAGCCCTTCAGTCCCGAATCCCTGGGTTTAGCGACGAGACCCTCTTTTACATCTTCTACAGCATGCCCCGAGACATCATGCAAGAGCTGGTCGCAGAAGAATTGATGACACGCAAATGGCGGTATCATAAGCTGGAGCGGTGTTGGCTGACTCGTGATGAGACATACCCTGGCCCTGTTGATGTGGAACGGGGTGTAAGCGAACGTGGCGTGTATCTCCTTTGGGATCCTGCCACCTGGAAGAAAGTTCGGGTATGCCATTCCTCAATCATATCGAGAAGTTGAAATTATATTTGCTAACTGTTCGTTCATAGCGCGATTTTATCCTTCGGTATGAGGATCTGGACAACCGGCTAGAATCCAACCGAATCGTCCCCCGTGGCATTAGTCAGGCACATCATGCTTCATAAATGGTATTGAGTTGAATATGGCTCGGGTCAGTCCTTTGTTCGATCAATGGTGTCAGGCTGTCTGTTTTCTGTAATGTTGCTCTACGGGTGGCCTATAGTACAGTGTCGTTTGGGATATGGGCGTGTTGATTTACCGGGAAAGCTAAATGGGCTAAATGGGAAACCAAGTCATGATCTTACTCGAATGGCTATTATGACCTTGTCAGATTTGTATTAAAAGTTCTGGATTCGGACTTTCTGCTCGGTGTGCCTGGGTATCTCTGGCACGTTACGTTAACAAAGTAGCTATATCCTTCCAAGACTTAGCATGCTGCAGGCTTCTGCGCCGTTGAAAGTATTGCCACCCATTCCCCAGGCACCTCACCATCTTCTCCGTAGGCACCAGCCAGATGCTTCTCCAAAGCCGGTTTAACCTTGTCCTTGTTCTCATTTTGCATATCTTCCGACCAGCAGCACTTCATCAACAGAGGCAACATGAACATGGTCATCTCCACAAATTCAGCTACTGGAAGGGAGTTGTATTTAGTGACAGCGTTGACTTTGATATTACGGTAGCCTCGGTCTCTGAGCTGGGATTCAATCCATGTCACGGAGTTCCATTGACCCTTGCCTATCATGCCCAGGAATTCCTCGGCTGTCGGCCATGGTAGTTCGTTGGATATCTTTGAGATCGCCTTTCCGGCCTCCAATAGCCAGCCCGCTGGATGATTATCATTAGTTTATATGCGCTGATATCCTCGTATAACAGCGGCTGCACTTACGCTCGATCCAAGTAGCGAAAGCAATTATCCCCTCTGGTTGCAAGATCCGGGTAGATTCTATAGCGGGGATCGTCAGATCACATTGTATTAGAGAGAGGGTGAGCGATCTTACCATCCAAGGCCTCCAAGCCTCGTGGAAGGGCCATAAAGGCTAATTAACACAAAAGTATGTGAGTCAAGGACCAGTCAACTGTGAAAAATATGACGATGGAGTATATGCATACCAAAAGCCGTGTAGACGTGTGAAAATTGCTCCGATGGCAGCTTTGTATCTTGCGCATCAATACTCTTGACCTCTGCATTTAGCCATTTCTCGCTGTCTATCCGGCGTCTAGTATACTCTAGCATTCCGTCCGAGAAGTCGCCACATGTCAGCTTCCATCTGGCTTTGACTTGCTCGTCCAAGTCGTGATGAAGGACACTGGAAATGACTCCAGTACCGCAAGCATTGTCAAGAACCACCAACGGACGATCTTGGTGCGACTTCGAGTCAGCTACTACGCCACTCTGGTCGACGAGAAGTTGGGCGAATTGTCCGGTAACCTTTTCACCGAGTCTGTAGGCTTTGATAAACTTGTCATCATTGAAGAGGATGTTCCAGTCTGGGGTATTTTCCGGAGGCATGATTGGCTTTTATAAAGCAGTTGGTATTGATGTATATAGTTGGTTTATAGCCCTGGACTGTCTGTTGAAAAGTGAAGGTAATATGGAATCAAATTCATTCTGGACTTCGAAGGTCTAAGTGGTGCTTTTATATGTTTGAAATGGGCCATGGAGGCTTTAGATTCCATCTTACTAGGCACAGGAGTGAAAAGTGTCCGAGAATGTCTCCGCGAAGTATGTCAATTGGGCTGAAATTATGCATAAGCTTCCAATAACAAAGAGAAATCGCCAAAAATGATATCATTGAATAGAAAAGGCTGAAATCATTGGCCAGCCTGTCTACCTTGGTAGCAAGGTTTGGATTGAGTGCATTAGTGCTGATATACTGAATGAGGCAACTAGACGGAGACATTTACGAGGAAAGTGTCCGGGGTATACACTTTGCGTTCACGTGACCTGTGCTGATTATGCTTACATCACCCCGACGCTAGTGCAAAACGGGCAAACCATAAACACCTGATTTGCGGGCAAAACAACAATCGCGCCCCTCTTCATCTCCTCCGACCTTAGATGCACTCCGCATAGCGAGCCGACTTGCTGTCGCAACCATGAGGATCACAGAGATTGTGATTGACGTACGTCACCGTACTCCATTCTTTCCGCACTTTGCTAATTGATCTGTTCCAGGGCTTCAAATCGTACGCTGTGCGTACGGTTATCTCGGGATGGTGCGCAAACGATTCCGCTCTTCGGACGACAAGAGCGAAGGCATGATCGCAATGAGGATGAGCTAACAACATACTGCAGGGATGAATCATTCAACTCTATTACCGGTCTGAACGGTAGTGGTAAATCCAACATCCTCGATGCCATTTGTTTCGTCCTCGGTATCACCAACATGAGCACTGTCCGAGCGCAAAACCTCCAAGATCTTATTTACAAGCGCGGTCAAGCCGGTGTAACCAAAGCGAGCGTGACCATTGTTTTCGACAACCGCGACACCTCCAAATCCCCTATCGGTTTCGAAGAGTATGCGAACATCTCCGTCACTCGCCAGATTGTGCTGGGCGGCACCAGCAAATACCTGATCAACGGTCATCGCGCACAACAGCAAACCGTCCAGAACCTGTTCCAGAGTGTCCAGCTAAACATCAACAACCCCAATTTTTTGATTATGCAAGGTCGTATCACCAAGGTGTTGAATATGAAGGCAGTTGAGATCCTGTCCATGATTGAGGAAGCGGCTGGCACACGGATGTTCGAGGATCGTCGAGAGAAGGCGATCAAGACAATGAGCAAGAAGGAGTTGAAGCTACGCGAGATCGAGGAGCTTCTCAAGGAAGAGATTGAGCCCAAGCTGGAGAAGCTCCGGTCCGAAAAGCGTGCATTCCTTGACTTTCAACAAACACAAAATGACTTGGAACGTTTGACTCGACTTGTTGTGGCACACGACTATGTGCGGGGCGGGGAGAGGCTGCGCGTTGCAGGTGAGGACTGTGACAGCAAGAGGGACACTGTCCAGGCATTGGAGGAGAATGCAACCAAGCTGAAGAGCGAGATTGCACACTTGGAGGAGGACGTCAAGCGAGTCCGGTCTGCGCGCGACAAGGAGCTCCGGAAAGGCGGAAAGTTCCAAGGTCTCGAAGACGAAGTCAAGAACCACTCACATGAGTTAGTCCGTTTGACGACTGTATTTGATTTGAAAAACTCTAGCATGGATGAGGAGAAGGAAAAGCGCAAGGCCATGCAAAAATCCGCCAGTGAGCTCGAGAAGGCACTGAAGGAAAAGCGGAAGATCTACGACAAGCTGCAGGCGAGGTATGATTCCGCTAAAGCTGAGCTCGATGCGCAGAATGTTGAAGTGGAACAGAAGGAGGAATTGCTTCAAACCTTGCAGACAGGAGTTGCTTCGAAGGAGGGACAAGAGAGCGGCTACCAGGGACAATTACAAGATGCACGAAACCGGGCCAGTAATGCATCCACAGAGCAAGAACAAGCGAAACTTAAGATTGCTCATTTTGAGAAGAGAATCAAAGAGGAGGAGCCGCGTGCGAAGAAGGCCAAGGAGCAAAATCAAGGCCTTTTGAAAGACCTGGAGGGTCTCAAGGCCCAAGCTAAGAAGCTTGAATCAGAACTCACTCGTCTTGGCTTTGAGCCCGGTAAAGAGGAGCAGATCTACCAGGAACAGTCCCAGCTGCAGCGCGATATCCGAGATCTTCGCCAGCGGGCCGATGGCCTCCGACGAAAAGTGGCAAACGTTGATTTTAACTACACCGATCCCCATCCTAACTTTGACCGTTCAAAGGTTAAAGGTCTGGTTGCTCAGCTGTTTACGTTGAACAAGGATCAAGTCCCAGCTGCTACTGCTCTCGAGATTTGTGCCGGTGGTCGCCTCTACAACGTTGTGGTCGACTCTGCTGAGACCGGTACTCAGCTGCTCCAGAAGGGAAAGCTGCGCAAACGAGTGACGATCATTCCTTTGAACAAAATTGCGGCATTCAAGGCCTCCGTAGAGAAGATTGGAGCGGCTCATAATCTTGCTCCCGGCAAGGTGGATCTTGCTTTGTCCTTGATCGGATACGATGAGGACGTGCTTGCTGCGATGAACTATGTATTCGGTAACACACTCATCTGCAATGATGCCGATACAGCCAAGAAGGTGACATTCGATCCTTCTGTGCGAATAAAGAGTGTCACCCTTGAAGGCGATGTCTACGACCCCTCTGGTACCCTCTCTGGTGGAAGTGCTCCCAACTCTAGTGGCGTGCTTGTAACCCTACAGAAGCTCAATGAGATCACCAAGGAACTGAGGAGCAAGGAGCGCCAGCTTGCCACTCTGGAAGAAAACATGAACAAAGAACGCAAGAAGCTCGATGCGGTTCGATCGATTAAGCAAGACCTGGATCTCAAGACTCACGAGATCAAGCTCACAGAGGAGCAAATCAACAGCAACTCCTCCTCTTCTATTATTCAGGCCGTCGAAGAGATGAAAGTAAATATCGAGCAGTTGAAGAACGATATTGCCAATGCCAAAACTCGTCAAGCCGAAGCATCCAAAGATATCAAGCGCATTGAAAAGGATATGAGCGAGTTTAGCAACAACAAGGATAGTAAGCTGGAAGAGCTTCAAAATTCACTCAATGCTCTCAAGAAGGGCCTCACCAAGAATTCCGCTTCCGTGAAAGAGCTCCAGAAGGAGCTCCAGTCCTCTCGTCTGGACTCTGAACAGGCTGGAAGTGACCTTTCAGCGGCTGAGGAGCAGTTGGCCGAGTCAGAAAACACATTAAAGGCCCAGGCCGAAGAGATCGATTCTTTGCAGCGAGAACAGACACGGCTCAAGGACGCCCATGATATTGCGCAAGCACATCTTGAGGATGAGAGGGCTAAACTGACTGGGTTTGACGAAGAACTCGCTGAGCTTGATGCTACAATCAAGAGCAAATCGTCGCAGATCACTGAGGAGGGCTTGGAGATGCAGAAGCTTGGTCACCAGCTCGAGAAACTCCAGAAAGACCAACATGGTGCCTCTCAGGCTGTCGCTCATATGGAGCAAGAGCATGAGTGGATTGCGGATGAGAAGGAGCAATTTGGTCGCGCCAATACGCCATACCACTTCCAGAGCCAGAACATCGCCGAGTGCAAGTCAACACTGCGCAACTTGACCGAGCGTTCACAGGGCATGAAGAAGAAGATCAACCCGAAGGTCATGAACATGATCGACAGCGTCGAGAAGAAGGAGGCCGCTCTCAAGAACATGATGAGAACTGTCATTCGCGACAAGAGCAAGATCGAGGAAACCATTCTCAACCTTAATGAGTACAAGAAGGAGGCTCTGCATAAGACCTGGGTCAAGGTCAATGGTGACTTTGGAAAAATCTTCGAGGAGCTCCTGCCCGGTAGCTTTGCCAAGCTGGACCCGCCTGAGGGCAAGGATATCACAGACGGTCTGGAGGTCAAGGTGTCTTTGGGTAAGGTCTGGAAGCAGAGTTTGACAGAGCTGAGTGGTGGACAACGGTACGTCTCACACAATATCCCAATCCCCTAACTTCTCAATGACTAATTTTGATAAAGATCCCTTGTCGCCTTATCCCTGATCATGGCACTCTTGCAATTCAAGCCCGCTCCGATGTACATTCTCGACGAGGTCGATGCCGCGTTGGATCTGTCTCACACACAAAACATCGGACGACTAATCAAGACTCGTTTCAAGGGATCCCAATTCATTGTTGTCTCCCTCAAGGACGGCATGTTCCAGAATGCCAACCGTATCTTCCGCACCCGGTTCAGCGAGGGTACTAGTATCGTCCAGTCACTGACCGCTGCTGACTTGAAATAAACAAGATTTGTTCATTAAGGATCCATTTGTCTTTTTTTGTATTGGTCTAGCCTGGCGCGAAGCATTTACTATTTCACGGCTCATTGGTCTGTGGCAGCTGGTGTTATGTGGTTTCGAGTGTTTGGTCTGGCTTATTGGTTGGGAAGGAATATTGGTTCATGATCTATGCATGATGAAGGCTTTGTTATTTTTTTCTTGCACAAGACTTTAGTTTCTCCTTAAAGGTGAATTGAGATTCATGTGACTCTGTAAACATCCTTCCTTATCTTTTTACTTGAATATATGTGCATCTGAAATCAGCTGCATTTGGTATATAGTGAGTCACAACAGCATGTCCAATCGATCCGTACGTACATGTGCTTGAATTGGCCCAGACAAATGGCTGGATATGACGTATTGGTCAGAAATGTGGTGTTTACTCAACTTTGACAACAGGCAGTCAAATGTACTTCAAGCTTTAGACTGTTAGTTCATCCAGTCTCCAGGCCAACGTCATGTTCAATCCCTAGAGTGGATATTATATAGTGATCACCTAGGTAGGTCTATTTCTATATATATATGGAAACAACAAGGAACAAAGCGGGCTTCAATATTGTAATCTCGGAGCCTAGGCACGTGCACTAGAATTGCTCCGAATCCTTCCATCATCATCACCATCGCTATTGGAAGTCAAGTCAAAAGCACCTTGTACCTGCTCTCGCCCCCGGCCCGGACTTGATTGTTCCAACGCTTCCCGAGGTCGGCCAAATCCACATGACCTCCTGCCCAACCCGGAATTACTCCGCCTTCGCCCGCACTGCTTCGACTCTACCAGACAACCTTCAGGGCGCCACCCAACACAATGCACGACGATGAGCCTTCGCTCAACATTCCCTCGCTCTTGACATTAGCAGTCGTTTCCTACTTCGTGCTTCGATGGTTCTTTAACCGCGATGAGGGTTCCAGCGGAGGCCGCCCCCGCGGCCGTGGCAACGTTGTTGATCCGGCCCAAGTGGAACAGATCGCCCAGATGTTCCCTCAGCTAAGCACTCGCGATATCATGTGGGACCTGCAGCGCAATGGTGGCAGTGTTGCGGCGACAACAGAACGAATCCTAGCCGGGCGGGGGTTGGAAACGGTACGTGTTGCGACGTCGATGCTGTCATTTATGATCCCCTATTCCAGTCCAGTCCACCATAACATTTGTCGGAAATTGTCGCTGTATTCTTGTGGTTTAAACTGACTGTTTTATTTTTAGCCTCCCCCGTCATTCCAACCCCAGGTCGTAATGCCCCGCGGGCATGCCCCAGTCCCGGCTACGTCAACAGCCGCATCATCTAAGGCGGATGGACAGGACTTGATCTCCCGATATAATCTCAGCGCGAGAATCACCGCTGAAAATGAAGAGTCTCAGTCGCCTGCCTCCACAAGCGCTTGGGCGCAGAACAAAGAAGAGCGACAGCGTCTGCTTCAAAAGCGCCGAGATGAGATGATCCTAGCCGCGCGAAGGAAGATGATGGAGAAAGGCAAGGGTCCAGCCCAATGAGTTGGATCTCCATCTTATTAAATAAATGCACCATCTCGATCTTGAATCCTGTTGACAAAAACCCCCCCCCCCCCAGACTATGTTTCTGTTGGACATCTCCCACTCATTCACGGCGTGCGGGATGTTCTCCCCACACTTTCGTTTTGTATTAGAGCGTTCGCATGCTGTATGGTGTTAGGAAAATTGGAATAGCTTTGATTTGAATCACTGGTTTTTCATGAGACCAGGAAAGTCGGGTATATGAGTCTATATACATTGAATATTCGTCCGGGGGCATTGATCCACGTCGCATATGCACCTTAAACGCCAAAGAGAAAATCGTAAGATTGCCCAATATAAATCCCTCCAGGCAACGTTCAAAACTCCATGTAATCCTCCTCTTCGTCTTGGGTACCGTTGTACCCGCCATTTGCTCGCTGCTCGGCCAGTTGTTCTCGCCGAGCTTGCTCTTTTGATGCTCCGATTTTCCTAATCGTTCAATCAGTATCAATGATTCCCTGGAGTCCTTTGTATCATGTATGTCATACCGGAGATTATCAACTACACCCGTTAGGAATCCACGTTCCTCACCCAACTCCATCGCACCAACACCTGTAAGCGCCACTCCGCCACCGCCAGTCGCAGCAGCATCCAGAACATCCACACCAGCTCTCATCTTTGACATGCGCACCTCGCGCAAATCCTTCAACAACCGTCGGATTTGATCGGGGTCCATAAGGTCATCACTCGCGGCATCAAGTAGCATATTCCCGACCTCAATCCAATGATACGGCAACGCAGGCACCTCCCCCGAAGAAGTTCTCGCCTGCGCAGTATTATGTGGCAAGAATGGCGGCGCAGCGAAATATTTCTCCCCATCCGGTGTGTATTGTGGTCGAGCTGTAGGTTCCGGTCCAGGCTCATGCATACTAGGCTGGCCTGGTAGCGGGGGCGGAGGCGAGAAAGCATGCTTATAGTCCTGATGTTGAGACTCGACTTCAAGAATCAGACTGAGAGGTTCTGGGTGTAGCCATGTGGGTGGTATAATGTTTGCACGACGTTGGCGTTTAAGAAGCAGCGCGAGCCAGAGAGGAAGGGAGGCACGACGGGGTGGAGCGAGAGGTTCGACAGGTCCCTGAACGAGTCAATTAGTATTCCTAGGCTGCAAAAGCTCGGAACTGGTATTTACTACTTACTCCTAGTAATTCAAGGCCCTCGAGACGCTGTCGGGGTACAATGGTCACCATCTCCATTTCTGCGAGAAAGGCGATTTCCGAGGGCGCAATGCCCTGTGGGAAAGGGAAGGCCATTACAGCGTCACGGTAATGAAATGGATGCCGTGCGCGTAATAACAGTGAATTGACAAATATCCAGGCGTTTACGCCGTCAATGCGGCATGTTGGTCTCGTTGCGGATCAAATCGCGTCTTGATGATTGAAATGTGTTTGGCGTGTTTGCAACTCAAATGGAGTAAGTAGCTTCTCGTTTACGTAGTTCTTTTCCACCCCCCAATTCTAGATTTTAGCTACTCGAGCTCCGTACCTGCTCTGAAGCTTCGATTCGAAGCTTGGAACAAGATGGTTACTGCTCTCGAGTCAAACCTGAGCCGCGCCGCGCGCTATGCAATCCCATTCGCGCTGGTGTTCATCCCGCTCTGGAGGACAAAAGTCCAGGCCAAAGTCCCCGAACCATACCTGGATGAGGTATTCCATGTCCCCCAGGCACAAGCTTACTGGGCACACCAATGGACACACTGGGATCCTAAGATTACTACTCCACCTGGCTTGTACCTGTGGTCATATCTACTATGCGCCGCGTTGCTCACCCTCCGCGGGTCTCCGACGAAGCTCACCACGGAAGCTCTCCGCACGACCAATGTCGCCACTACGGCTATTTTCCTACCCTGGAGACTGCAGACGCTTTCCGACGCTGTGCACAATGTGAGGAATAACCGGACTATGGGTGCGTGGCTTAGCCATTCCGTCTTGAACATATGCTTGTTCCCACCGCTGTTCTTTTTCTCCGGTCTTTACTATACCGACATTCTTGCTCTGTTGGTTGTGATCGAGGCGTATAATTGGGACTTGAAGAGGACTGCTGGAACAGGCTTTACTGCTTTCTTCTCCACGTTGGGATTCCTTGTTTTTGGTCTTGCTGCCCTTGCTTGCCGACAGACGAACATCTTTTGGGTCTCGGTCTTTTTGGGTGGACTGCAGGTTGTTCGCAAGATTCGCGGTTCTTCTGAGGCATGCAGATCGTCTGCGATCTCAGATATTGTGAAGGGGGGTCTGCAGAATGAGATCTACGATCCTCTTATCACGGAGGCTTGCTTAGAAGGTACGTGTGATCGGACTTGGTTTCTCTTGACTGTGCTAATTGAATGGTTAGATTATTTCAAAACTGCCATCTCCCTTGCTACTGCTGGTCTCAGGAACCCGCTCGCTACCGTGGCTTCAGTCATGCCATACATGATTATTCTTGGAGCTTTTGGCGCATTCGTTTTTTGGAATGACGGTGTGGTGCTTGGTGCGTTATACTGCTCTTATTTGGATATCCAATTTGAAAATCTCAAGCTAACAGCTTTGCAGGTCACAAGGAGTTCCACACGGCCGGTATTCACTTGGCCCAGATGCTCTACATTTGGCCCTATTTTGCCTTTTTCTCTTGGCCACTGATTATCATCCCCGTGGCTAATATCATTCTTCCCGCGACCTTTTTGCCCAAATATCTCAACTATGGGTTCCCTGAGAAGCAGAGACGGCTTCCAAAGCTCCTCGCTGTCCTGCTTGTCCTTCCAATCATGCTTGCCATCGTCCATTTCAATACGATCGTGCACCCTTTCACCTTGGCCGATAACCGACACTATGTCTTCTATGTGTTCCGTCTTCTCCTAGCCATCCACCCCGCTGTGAAGTATGCAGCCGTTCTGGTTTACTTCCTCTGCGGATGGGCCGTTATCTCCGCCTTTGGTTTCACTATTGTTCAGGCACCACCTCGGTTGCTGCGAATTCCCCAGGCTCCAGCTCCAGCCCCAACACCCACACCAGCTGCTCCAGCCCCAGCCACAGAGCTGGCCCAAGGAAACAGAAAAACACGCCGAGCCAACGAGAAGTCAGCCGCCAAGAAGGACCAGCAGCCGAAATCAAAGCCGAAGTCCAATTCAAAACCGAAATCGAACCAGCCCGAGCCTATGTCCCCGGAGGCATATGCCAGGGTTCAGGAAGGTCTCATCAAGCGTCGCAAGGAACAGCATGGCGCCCCGCGTGTCAGCTTCGTCCTCGTGTGGCTCGCAGCGACCACCCTGTCCCTTGTGACAGCTCCCCTAGTTGAACCTCGTTACTTCATCATCCCTTGGGTAATGTGGCGCCTGCATCTCCCAGCCATGCCGAGCCTTGCGGTATTCCGGAAGCAGCGTCCTCAAACCGAACAGGAGAGGGAAATTAATGACCTGGCTACCAATGCTCCCAAATTTGTTGAGACAGTTTGGTTCATGGTCATTAACGCAGTGACCGGATATTTGTTCTTATACAAGGGCTTTGAGTGGCCCCAGGAGCCTGGCAAGATCCAGCGGTTCATGTGGTAAGTTTCCATGGCTGAAATCGCTACCAATCTTATTGAAAACCTGTACAATAGTTCAAATATGTAAGTATACACTACCTGTAATCCTTAAAACCATTCTAGCTGTACGATACTCAGATTAAATGGTACGTAGATGTTGTCTCGCTTCTATGGTTTGGGGGGGGGGGGATGTTTGCAAAGGGGAGGTTGCTGATGATGCTGTTTACGGTTCATGATTTGAGCTCTAGGTGAGTGTTGAAGGACTACAGATATTAGACAAGGGTTGCTCTGAGCTCGCTGTTCATGCTTAGCACCGAGGTCGGCTGACTTTGCATCCCAGATGCTGCCTAGACTCTCGGTGGCATCTCAGTGTTTGTAGGGCAACTTGGTCGTTAGTTCAAGCTTTGACTGTACTATGATAGCATGTGTTCCTAGGGCTCACATGGAGACCAGCATGATATGGCTATTTCTGTGGTACACAGGAACGCCTGTATGCTGTGCGTCCTGTCTTTGTGTTGGCGCACACCGCGGCCGCTCTAATTTGGTTCGCTACAGGATGAACGTGATTTGGGAGAAATTGAAAGGAGAAGTGAGGAAGAACTGAACTGTATATTCGTCATTTCCATACATCTGAGCTGCTCATCTTAGCTTCGCCCAAAGGCTGGTTGTCGCCGCTGCTGCTCTGAATTGATCCGATCCACTACAACTAACTCATGAATATGGTTCTAACACAATTTGAAAGCAGAAGTGAGGGAGAACTGAACTGAATATTCTTTGTTTAGATACATCTGAGCTCATCTTAGCTTCACCCGAAGGCTACTAATCACCGGCCCTGCGCAGAAGGGTGAGCTCATCGCCGATGTCCACCTGGGCCCTCGTCCCCTCCTCCGCCGACCCCGCCGCGCTACAGAGAAACCAAATTAGTTAACAAGAGAGACGGAAACTCGCCAATGCCTGCATGATCCACGTCGCAGTCGTCCGTCGGATCAAACCTCCAGTATATCAAGCCAAATGTCGACCTCCCCATGCGACATGTTGATCCTCCTGGGCCAGTTGAACGAGCGGAATGTCGGCCCTATTGACACCTCGTTCCTCCTGGTTGGTTCGATCTCCCGGCGAGGGAGTTTTTGTCGACAAGGTGTTGTTAGCCGCTTGGCTCAAGACGGCAGCAAGAAGACGTCGCGAACGAAGTCTTCGAGCTGCTGGGTCAATGCGCTTCCGCAACCATACAACAACCTTATATATGCCCCCGATGACTGCGCTGGCTCCGCCGAGTATCCCGAAGATAGTCCCGACGAGCCAGAGTGGTCAGTGGTAGGCATGGTGATAGCTGTAACTCTTGAAAAAAAAAAAAAAAAAAAAAGTTCTGGGGAATACAAAGGAGAAGAAGAACCAAACGGTGCGAAAGAACGGGGCCTACCCAGAGTAAACATTGGTTACAGGAAGGAGCAAGATGCATCTACGGTACACGGGGTTGCCATTGGAAACTAGCTGAACAACAAGGGAAGGAGGTCAACGTGGAAAGTACAACAGTGATCAAAACAGAGCATAGTGGGTAAGAGCAATGATCCTCTCATAGCACCAATAATTGCGGGAGAGAGCCCATAGAAGGGCTTGACTCAGAGTTCCTGGACATGAAGGAAAGGCTAGCCTAGACAGATTACCACAAATAACCCACATTGACGGTGATAAGTAAGGCGCACTGTTCCAGATCAGGGTAATACAATCGACCACATACCCAGGTACCTACAGTCAGCCTTCTCCTCAGATTACTATAGAATAGTGAAGGTGATTGAGCGGGGACAGTTGTGTCGAATCTCAGGGCTTTGTTGGACGGGACAGGCTGCAAATTCGAGATCCTGGATTCCTCGACTGGACAAACACCTTTACGAACGGCCAGGACAATCAGAGGGTCTGGGCTTTTAGAAAAATACCGTTCGGTTGACGGAATAGGTGCAACGTGAGCTGCGAAAACTCAATTCTCCAGCACTGCCGTTCCAGTAATCCGCCAAGTTACTTTCTTTCCGAGGCCACCAACCTTGTCCAGGATGGAGTGTCCAGGTGTGGGGCCGGGCGAGGAGTGATCGGGATATTGTTAGCCATGTACTTGATATCATTTGACTCGGCAAGTCCATCGAGAGGAAGTGGGGATACTGAGCCAGCGCTTTTCTTATTTATATACCGGCTCAAATGGGGCGTTATCTTGCATGTTTAAATCAAGCAAATTGATACGCAGTATGCTCCTTTTAAAACTTGAGATAGCATTTGTTTGTTTTGAGTTTACTAAGCTACTTTAAATGCCGGCTAGTGAGGGGTTAAGTGGTTTTGTGGTGTCAACTAAAGGCCTCCACCATGTAATATGGAACCTCTTGAAATAGTAATAGCACGTATTGCAACAAATTGAAGGACTTTGGCTCGGACTTCAGAAATACAGAGCAAAATTAATGACGACAATTGTTAGTCCAATCTCGATCGGGCCATTTTCTTTTCCCAAGATTGCGCATGGACCTAATTGCGAAGCACTCTGGGTCTTCCATAGGCTTCACAATCTCGAAGTGCTGAGGACCATGTTCGTGATTGAAAAAACTCGAGCCAGCTTCGGCCAAAAAGCTTGTCAGCCATTTCCCAACTTCTTTTCCAGTCTGCGGGAATGGAATGACGGTCGCCCCTGTGTGGCTGTGTTCCAATCTCTCAAAGAAATAAGTATTCGACACACAGAGCCCCTGAGTGTCTTCATCCACCCAAAGCGATGTGTCAATATTCAATCTTATGAGCGGATGACTGAGAATGACACGCTCGTGACGAACAGGATTTCGCCTTCTTCCAGAAATTGGATGGTGGAGTGCTTTGTTGTAATAATACTGCTGCGTACTGGGGTCGCGTTGTCGAGCGAGATTGATAGTTTCCAACAGGCGAATCTTGTCGAGCAATGTAATTGTAAGGCAGGGGCAGATATCCACCTCCCCAGCAAAGGGCACGCAACAACCTCTTCGAACACCAAAAGGTGGATAATTATATCTCTTTGGGAATAACATTAACGATCGCGGGATGCGCCATTCACAACGTGGGTGAAGGCTCCAGCATTCGCTACAGTATCTCCAACGTTTGTTCTCGAGCTGAAGAAGTAGTTGTATTCGGGGCTTTCTTTCAAGTTTCCATTTAGGGCAAAGCATTTCCCGCTCTTCGGGTGGAATAAGCTGAGCAAGCCGCTTTCCTCGAATTTTAGGTCCGAAGAAAGATTTGCAGGTGAGTAAGACACAAATAAAATCCGGAGTCGACAGGTACAGAAGAATGCTTTTGATGATTTGGAGAGGAAGTTTCCAAAGACTAGCAGGCCTTGACTGGAATCGGGAGGGAATGAATCGCTTCATGGCGGGAATTTCAATAGCTTTGGGTATAGTGTGTTCCGTAGAGTACAATGTTACTGATCTTTCATGAATTTGAAAGAACTCATTAATAATAGATCTACTAAACCTTTTTCGGTATGTTTTTCGTCATCATCCATTCCAAGTTGCGGATATGGCCAGAATAAGAGTCGGGGGAACTTTACCTCATGCTTTTACATTGAATCGATATAGTTCATAAGGAAGAACCAAAAGAAAGCCAAAATACAAGAGGCATACCAGGGATCGGACCCAAGATCTTTGGAAGCTATATGTCACCGCGCGAAATTTGAAAATGCTCAATTATTTACATTGTCACATAAATGGCAAGAATCCCAGTTACAAACCTGGCCACAGCCTTTTCAACCCCAAAATGAAGCATGTCTCATCAAATCAAAGCTTAGATAAACAGAGGAAATCACCTCTTATCTCTAGATTGAATATAAAAGCGAAACATCCACAGGAAGTGGGCCAAAATCCCTAAAAACCCTCAATTTGTTAGCTTGGTTCCTTTATTTATTTTCTTTTTAGAGGAAAGTAAGCAGGCCCCTCCAGATCACCTAGTGGTAATGAGTGCCCAGGTGTCAAATCAGATGATTCTGGCGCGATCCATGACCCTAACCGCCTGGTGTATCAACATGGTAGTGACTGACGAAGGATCCCCTGGCTCATACGTTGCCCACATGAGTGGTCTAGGTGAAGTTGGAGGTCACCTGGCTCATGTGCCCAACGCGGGTATTTGCTTTTTGCTTCTTTGATTTTTTTTGACACTATCAAACTTTGCCTTACTGGTCTTCCCTTCCATACAGTACGTGCCTCTACCAACGCTTACCTTTTCCTTTGCTTGATAATTCCCTTCCATGTGCGCTCCTTTCCCAGTAGCACATAACTTCTCCGTGTGCCTTTCTTTCCCCCCCTTACAAATCTTCGAGTTTTGAGATTCTGCTTGATATCATTTAGATTATACGAGTCGTTCATCACGTGATTTATTTGATTGTGACAACAAAGGTAGTGTACCGGACTTTCCTAATCCTTCTGAGTAGCATCGTTGGAGATAACCTTGCGAGACCACAATTAACGATCAGCGAGAATAAGGCGGAAGTCCGTGCTGACGAAGAAAGCGCCTTTAGAAGGAGATGTTGAGGACAAGGGTGAACCAAGGCCTCAATTTGGACCAATTTGGTCAGCAGCCAAGTGATATTCCGGGTCTCGACACCTCTGGAAACCCCTTACTGTCTCATTTTGAGTCCAACTACGAGAAGAACTTACTACTCGCCTTACCCATCACCAATACGGACGTGGATTGGCGCGAGAACAATCGGAAGTCTATCAAGGGGGCAGCCGCGCGTCAGGGGTCAACTCCCCGTCGCGCCGCGTATGTACAGCAGGTTGGAATTCCTGCCCCTACAGACTACGCTTGTAGCTTTTGTCGCGGCGGCGGTGGTCCTTTCGAATCCTGCAAGATTGCTATTGCCGACGGGCAGCTTCTGTTCAATGGAGCCTGTGGTAATTGTTCCTGGGGCGCTCAATCATACAAATGTTCTCTTCGTTCGGGCCCCCTTCCTCCCCATATCTTCAATGCACTCAGGGCCGCGAACCCTGACGCTCCCGCCCTGGGCCGTGGCTGCATGGGTGTGGATGAAGAGTACAATGAGTCCGACGAGCCCGACGAGCCCTTGACACCTGACGCATCTAGACGGTCACTTAGGAGCTCGGCCACCAAGCGTCGGCGTGACGAGGAAATTGAAGATGCGTCCGACAAACTCGATGAGCCCTGTGCACCAAAGCCTTTTGGCCGGACCCTTAGGAGTTCAACCACTAAGCGTCGGCGTGTCGAGGAGATCGAAGAGTCTGACCCACACTGTTCACCAAAGGCTTCTGGCCAGACGCTAAGGAATTTAGCCACTGAGCGTCGAGGTGCCGAGGAGAGTACAGAGTCTGACGAGTTTGATGACTCTGATGATTCCGATTCCGACGAGTCTGACGAGTCATCGTTACCTAAAGCTTCTAGCCGAATTCCTAGCCATCCAACCACTAAGTGTCGACATGCTGTGGAGATTAAAGAAGAATTCGACGATGATATAGATATCCCTGAAATGCAGCGTCCTCGTCGCAAGTTTACGGATATAGCGGATATGGCTACAGGCAATGAGAATAGCTCATCATCGGAGGATGGTACATCATCAGCGGACTCAGATAGCTCAACGAACTCAGATAGCTCAACGAACTCAGATAGCTCATCGGGCTCGGATATTTTAGCGGATGAAGACAATCCAGTGAACAGAGATAACGCAACTGATAAGGGCAAAATAGCGGAGAAGGGCAAGTCAGCGGAGAAAAGTGCTACAAAGGGTTTGAAATACAAGGTCCCCAACGGGCCCGAATATCCTGAGGACCTATACAACACCGTGCTGCTGGACCCGAGCTTGCGCGGTCGTCAATGGCCTGCGATCCGATCCCTTCGCCGAAACCTCGCTCAGCTCGTCGAGCGTCTGCAATGGGAGGAAAAGGTAGTGAAAGCGGTTCTCGAAAAGAATGGCGAGTTAGAAGGCCCTTATGAGTCCTCTGAGGAGGAGGATGACCTCTTTGCGGGTTTGAATTTTTGATGATCTATTCTTTCGGATTCGTACGGATTATTGAGTTGTTTCTCATTCTGAGGTGGGATATGGGACGCAACAATACCACTACTGTTCCATAATTGCTGTTCAATAAATCTGATAATTCCAACCTACTATACATAGCATCTCTCGACAACCCCTTTAGTGAGCAAGCTTCGTCCCAGCCCACTCGAGCTTTACCTCTTCTTGAAAGGGTAATATAATGTCACTTGCGGTTGATGTAAAATGCATCGTGATATCATTCCTTGTGATTATTGAGTATTTCTCAACGTTGAAGGTGAATGAATCGGCTTACCATTAGAGCACCTATGAATACGAAGTATGGAACAGCTTTGTTTCTCCATCTCGGTGTTCCATCTCCAAAGCATCCAGACAATACGAAAAGTCTTTGTGAAGAAATTGTAACTATACACTTGACTGGAATTTCCAGATTTCGTAAAATAGAAACTTAGTTGTTTGTTTCGGAGACTGGTATTTACTAGACACCAGACCTTTCGTTCATGGGGCCACTTCCGCTTCAATCTTAAGCAGTTCATCGTGGGTAAAGGCTTGGACTATACTTCAAAAGGCTTTTATTCAAACAGAATCATACACAGGTTGATTGAAGTATGCGAAAACAGATTATATTGATCACCGCCGGTAAACGGTAAACTCTAGGCACAGGAACACGAGGTAGGAAACCAAGAGCACTAAACCTGCACTCCTTCCCAGTCCCAAGAAGATTACAGCGCAAAATAACAGAGAGGACAACCATACTGCTACCAGCTCAAAAGAGACAAAGTTATCCGCCTCTTGTATCTGGTCCCCCGCCACTGCGATGACACCAACGCAGAGCGTTAGCAGGAAAATGTTGCTTCCTGCCGTTGTCGCAGCCATAATGCCGCCATGACCACGAGAACCACTGAGGATAGCAACCAGTTTCTCTGGGAGAGTAGTCGCAAAGGAGACAACAGTCAGCCCGAAGACGGTTCCCGAGAGATGCACGGAGTCGGCGATGGTGACGGCGCTGTGAGAGAGGATGTATCCTGACAGAGAAAGCGATACAAATCCGAGAAAGAGTTGGAATATGTGGTAAGTGAGACTCCTGCTTCGTCTGCTCCCTTTGTCTGGCAATGACGGCGCATGCTCACTCTCGATGAGAGGAGAGGTCTCGGAGACAGGGCCATGATTGACTTCACCGTCATCGCTGTCACTAGACTCCCCGTCGCTGTCACTGTCCGATAGCTCCGGTGGTGAGACCACCCCCTTGTAGATAGTGTAGATGATAGACACAATGTAAAAAGCGAACATGGCAATCAGGACCCCACCAACAATCTGGTTCAATTGGTTGAAGAATGCTAGCACCACGAAGAACGTCGTAAGCACGAACGACAGGGCCGAGTATATCTTTGCGCTGCGGTCAAACTCCAGGCCCTGCGGATGGAAGAGTAACCCTAAAGAAAAGGCGCCGAGAGTGTTGGAGATAGTCGAGCCCGTGACGTTCCCAAGGGCCAGGGGGCTACGATGCTGCAGGATGGCGGCAACCACCACAGCGAGCTAGTAAAAAGGTTAGCTAGGAAAGACGCTGGGTTGGCCTCCATGGAATTGCAGACCTCTTCCCATTCAGCCCCAGCTGTCAGGAGGGCAATGACAGTTTGCGAGATGCCCAGGCGCCGTCCGGCAATGACGGTGTGGTCGATGAATTTGTCTGCCCCATAGTCAAGTACAAACACGCCTGCAATGAAAGTGGCAACACCGAAACATAAAGCATCCCAATTCATTTTTGGCTTTGAGCTTATTTCGTGTACTGTATGTCGAGGGTGATGGGCTCGTTCAAGATTAAGGATTGATAAAGCTCATGCAACGTCATTGTACTTGCGGGGTGATTGCTCTCAAGCACGCTCATAAATGACCCAAGTACAACACGTACAATCTTTTATCCTATGAGCTTTCAAGTGATCAAACATGCCTCGCACGGGCCAGCGCCTTTTCTATTGGCAATTCAAGCCCGCAGTAACTAAGTCGTTAGCAGAAGATTATGTAATCAATCCGGGGCATGTCAAAATCAACGTACAACATTCTCGTCTACAATGTAGGTGGCATTTGATCAAATTACAACTACCGCCTGTGCGGTTAGTGACGTGTTCAGTAAAAGACTGACAGCCTCCACTATCAAGTACCCGACTAAATCAAGTTTGGTTCCGCATATGATAAGGGTCTGAAAGAGCTTCTCTATCTTGTCAGACAGGCGATAGCGGCACTGTATCACTATACTAAATCAAGTATAGTTAGCGCCGCGAAGGCTACCATATATTACAAAGATCCCCTCTTTGTCCCCGAATCTCCAACTTCCGCCCTTCTGTTGACGTCCATGTAAGGACCAGTAACCATCCACCTTGTACTTAGACTCCACCTATCGCATATCCTCTTCTTCTTCCTTGCCGCTCCAAGCATTACTAGATACTACATATTCTGCCTTTCTGCTGTTCTTGCTTTCCGCTCGTATACAGCCCTTGATCCCTGCTCACAGCAAAGCATTACAGAGTTAAAGATGAATGATACTGAGCTGTCGTCGCCAAAACTATACCAAGGAAACTGCCATTGCGGTCAAATTAGATTTGATCTGGATTTACACCAACCCTTGCGGCATGTTTTTACCTGCGGTTGCTTAATGTGCAGCAAGAAGGGCTACCTCTGGATATTCCCTGAGGAGTCTCAGTTCCGGATTATAAGTGGACAGCAAGTTATGGCTAGCTTTGCTGAGAATGGTCGCAGTGGGGAACATTTTGTGAGTTACTATCTATCGCCCTTCGACCATTCATCACTGAGTTCATCACTTTTAGTTCTGCCCTTCGTGTGGTACAGGAATCATGGCGAAGAATCATATGATACAGGAGGGAGAATCAAACATTGCTGTGAATGTGGGTGGTGATTTTCTCAGCCAACCAAGTCTACGGTATTCGAATCTGACCCTTTTACAGGCGAGAGCATTGTTTGGTGTGAATCCCTTTACTCTTGAAGTTCAGGTGTAAGCCACCTCAAGCTCCTTCATCGAAGATTTCCTTTAACATACGAAAGTAGCCTAGACAGCCCTAGAGACAGTGAATCAGTCTCCACGTTCCACGGACAGCTACCAAAGGCATCAGGTAACAAGCTAAAGCTTTACACCGGAGGTTGTTACTGTGGTGCCGTTACTATAGCCGTGAAGCTCAACCCTTTATCAGAGGTGGAGATTAAGGAAGATAACTGCAGTATTTGCCAGAGAGTAAGCATGCTCCCAGAAAGCGGAAGGTGCTGTCAAGGCTAACCAGTATAGAATGCTAATATTTGCGTTTACCCTCACCGAGACAATGTCTCCATTCATGGAGCCGAAAACATTTCAGAATACCTCTTTCAGCGCAAATTTAATGGCCATTGTTTTTGTCGAGTATGTGGTGTACATGTATACATGAAACTACATGGACCACCCAAGACCATTGTGGACAATTTGCCAGCAGAAAAACAGAAAATGGTGCAAGAGAAGCTTGCGATTGTACCCGTCAGACTCTCTGTCCTGGACGGTGTCGAGTGGTCTGATTGTAGTATCAAGCAGTCGGATGAAGGGACAGCAGGATATGCGATATAATAATCCAGGGCAGAAATCATTGGCTTTTTTTAGACTCTTTCAGAGCTTGTTCCTTGGAGCTGGTCCTGACCTACCATAATCTTGAAAGTCTAGTGACTTCTGATTTACGACCCCTTAAATTACTCCCGGCAGTCCCTCTTCAGTTGATGTTTTTCGTTCAGTTTTTCCCAATGTTGACATTGGATGGCCTTTCAGCTTGGCGTGCCCGATGTGGAGGCACTATTGATTCTGTTCAAAGGAGTTTTGACGCCCGCCCATACACTCGTCCACCTCGTCGGCAATTCTTCCTAGAGCTCAGTGGGATGCCCCACCCTAACGTCCAAGCATGGGAAAAATGGAAAAGATGGTAAAGATAAAAATATGGGGAAAAAGGGTCCTAGCAGCCTGTATGAAAATATATAAATCTTTCAAGCCGCCTTGAGTTCACATTCTAAAATTGTGCTCGATTTGGCTCTACTTTCGTTGGACTATATATTGCTTTGAATATCAACCAACCTTGGAACATGGGCCGATTGCTTCTGCCAGCCCTGGCAGCCCTAAGCCCTTGGGTGACAGTCTTCGCCACAGAAATCACCAGCACGTTCACGACGCTCGTACCGACCACCGCCATTGTCACTTCCTCGTCCGCTATCGCGGGCTGCACAGTTGCGTCTTCTATGCAGATCGCCTGTAGCGATGGCTACTACAATGTCTACGGACTCATGTGGCAGGAGACCTGCGCGGCCTCGACCAGCGGTGGTAGTCTCCTCCTGAGCAGCGAGGGTCTGTCGTTGCGGGCGTGTGCTGGGGGATGTGCGGTCCGTTCATCCTGTACGGCGGTCACCTGGGACAGCACGAATAACATGTGTTATCTTTGGGAGGGCGACGTGACTGTCACGTCGGGCGGATCGTACCAAGCCGCCATCCGGTCTGCATCCACGGTCAATCCTTGCACCTCGACGTGGCTGGTCACCGAGACTGAGACAGTCACATCGACGGGCGAGGTGGTCTATACTATTTCCACCCCGAGTTCGACCCCCGCGGCAGTGACTCCTTCTTCCACCCCGGGTATTCAGTCCTCGGTCTCCCGACCACCATCTTCGCCATCTTCGTCCTCTGTGGTTCCGTCCTCAGCACGCACGACTCTGTCGAGTCTCTCTCGATCGATTCCCGCTTCTTCCAGTCCATCTTCTCGTCCTCCTTCTAGCCCATCTAATTCTCGCTCTTCTCCTGTACGGTCGTCGACTCCATTGACTAGACCCTCGACCATTTCTTCTGTCCTGATCGGTCCTTCTTCGCTCATTTCGTCTGGCTCCTCTTCTACTCCCTTCTCTCCCTCTTGGCCGACTTCATCTTCTACTGTGGTACGGTCGTCGACTCCATTGATCAGACCTTCGACCACTTCTTCTGTCTCAATCAGTTCTTCTTCGCTCGTTCCGTCTGGCTCCTCTTTTATCCCCTTCTCTCCTTCTTCTTCTTCTTCTTCTTCTTCCGGCCAGTCCGCCTCTTCTGGTCAGTCTGCTTCAGCTCCGAGCCCGGCGGACACTTCGGCCACAACGAGTGGATCATCACTTTCGACCCAGTCTTCAGAGGAATTGGGCGGAAGCACACCAAGTCCTTCAACCTATACTGTCACTACAACTCAAGTCCAGACAGTCACTTCTTGCGCTGCCGCCATCACTGATTGCCCCGCAAACCAGCAGACGACATACTTGACAACCGAAACAATCACCTATGTCACGACGCTCTGCCCCGAAGCTGATCGACCCACTGCCCAGCCAGCTGCAGCTACGGGCTCGACGACACTTCCTCCTACGGCCGTGATCCAAACTTCCGACGCCCAACAAGCCTCGACGCTAATTGACAGTGCTTCGGGGGCCCAATCACAGAGACTGGAATATCTTCTTCGCACTTTATAACCTCGACCGCCTATGTCACGGAAATTGAGGTAGTCACAGCCTGCCCGCCTTCCGTTGACGACTGTTCTGTTGGGCAGAAGAGCACATACACCATGACCAAGACCGTCGCGGCTTATATGACGACGAACCTGGTGGCAATCGCAGATTCTGCACAAGCCTCACAATCCACCGGCCCCGTGATGCATCCTGTTGCAGTCCCCGACCTCTCCCTTGCCCATTCGCATGCTCCCAACCCCACACCCAGTAGCGACAACGCTAAATACACTCTACCACATGCTCAATTGTCAAGCCTCTGGAAGGCCAGTCCAACATCCTCTGGCATGACCCAGACTATGCACGCCACAACAATGAACACAGTCGCTGGGAAATCGACATCATCAGTGACGACGAGTGCCCCTGGTAGCCTCTTCACTGGAGACGCTCCCAAGATGGGGCAGTTCACTATACTGTTTACAGTAGTTGCTATGCTATCCAGTCTTCTTTTCGCTTATTAGAAGGACTCTGTCATGTTGATAGCAAGGTGGGAGTTTTGTCTATTGTATTATATAGCAGTGTACATATAGATTTCGAAAGTGATGTCCCGCTGAAAGGCATAGTTCAAAATTTGATCGCTTTATGCTAAGATGCTCCGAGTTAAGTCTGGGCATAGTTAATAGATAGGCTGAAGTGATTAGTGCGCAGCCGATCATGCTCACTGATTATAAGACACGAGCAACTAATATAGCACTGAGCTGCTCAGCCTGTGCTTATCCTGATACTTACTCAATGAGCCTGACAAACATCAACACAGGAATAGTACAAGCTCAAGGGAGATATGTTATCATACGCGCTTGTAATCGTAGCAAGTCTCGTCTAAAGTCCTGGTATGAATAGTGTCTGGCGATACTTGACTCACCGATCGGTTTGTGCAGTAATCACGTGCCCAGTCGAGCAAAAAGCGGCAAGGTCGGAGCACTGAAAGGGGACCGCCAAGAGATGGCATATACTTGCCCGATAAATTGAAACTCTGTCTTCAACTCCGAATACTAGAAGACTCCTCAACTGATTTCATGCTTCAATATCTCGGTCCTAAACTTCACTTGCGGTTTTCATTCGGGCCTCTTCTTCACAGTATCAGTCTGCAATCATTGGAACGTGAACCTTCTTTCGCCTCATCTCGGCATCTAATCAACACAAAAATAACTCCACCCATGATGGAGCGCCCCTCCAAGCGGACAAAAATATCCACAGATCCACTTCAAGAGGATGAAAGTCTGAAAAGTGGCATCTCGACACCACTCGCATCCCTGCAAAGGTCCATCTCACCGCCGGCTCGGACACGCTCCGGGCAAACCTTGGCATCGATCTCGACATGTCCTGAGATTCCTGGTGATCAGGATAATGGATCCCCAGCAGATAGTACCAACTCCCCTTGTCTCATTACCTCACCTTTCCAGCTTACTCATATCCAAGACCTCCCGGACAAAGGAGGCTTCAATGATGGTACAGTCAAATTACGCGACATTCTTGGGGATCCCATGATCAAGGAGTGCTGGCAATTCAATTACTGCTTTGATGTGGATTTCGTGATGTCCAAGTTTGATCAAGATGTCCGAGGCCTCGTTCAAGTCAAAATTGTTCATGGATCTTGGGAGAGGGAATCCATGAATAAGGTTAGGATAGATGTAAGTATGGTCAATGCCTTAAGTTGTATACTCTTATCAACTTGGAAGAAGCTCAGAGCTTACCGTAATTAGGAAGCATGTACTCGGTATCCGAATGTCGAGGCTATTACAGCCTATATGCCAGAGCGTTTCGGGACCCATCATTCCAAAATGATGGTCCTTCTCCGCCATGATGATCTTGCCCAGTAGGTCGGCTATTTCGTCTTGGTATGCGACCCTCTTTCTAATAGTTCTAGGGTCATTATCCATACTGCCAATATGATTCCACAAGATTGGGCAAATATGACTCAAGCAGTTTGGCAATCACCGTTGCTGCCTTTGCTAAGCCCAGGGGCCTTATCCTCTTCCCCAGAGAGTAAATCTCCAGGTACCGGTTCACGGTTCAAGAGAGACTTGCTTACATACCTGAGGGCATACGGCCCCAAGAAAACAGGCCCGCTAGTGCAGCAGCTAAGTCTGTATGACTTTAGTGCGATACGTGCTGCTCTTATTGCAAGTGTACCTTCAAAACAAAATCTTATTGACCTTGAACCCGACAATACAACATTATGGGGCTGGCCGGCCCTGAAGGATCTCATGGGCCAAGTTCCTGTGCGGCGATCCGAAGAAAAGGACCGCCAAAAGTGTCATATTGCTATACAGGTATGCACCCTTCTCTTGAACCAGGCGAAAATCTAACTTTTGCCAGGTATCGTCGATAGCTTCTCTCGGCCAGTCAGACAAATGGATAAAAGAGTTCTTCAAAGCTCTTGCACCATCATTCGATCCCCCACCAAAATACTCCATCATATGGCCCACAGCAGAAGAAGTTTGTCATTCTCTAGGCGGATTTGCATCCGGCGGCTCAATCCACATGAAGACTCAAAGCGCAGCTCACCAGAAACAACTACAATATTTACGCCCGCATCTATGTCAATGGACCGGTGATTCAAAGGTCATCGACCTTTCCGAAGACAAACCCCAACGCGAGGCTGGTCGCGGCAGAGCCGCACCTCATATAAAAACATACATTCGATTTTCCGACGAGAAGATGGAAACTATCGACTGGGCTATGGTGACGTCTGCAAACTTGTCCACGCAGGCCTGGGGTGCAGTCCCAAACGCAAGTGGCGAAGTAAGAATATCCAGCTTTGAGATTGGTGTGGTTGTTTGGCCTGAGATATACAATGATTCTGCCTCACTGGACTCGGCACAAAGTAAGGAACCTTCGGATACATTAATGGTACCTTGTTTCAAGCAGAACCAGCCTGAACCGTCTCACCTGTCTCCGGGTGCTGCTACTGTGGTTGGACTGCGCATGCCTTATGATCTTCCACTTACTGCATATCGGCCTTCAGATGAGCCATGGTCCTCGACGGTTCTTCAGCGCATGGCAGCAGAATGGGGCGTAGGATTGTGATCATATGAGGAAGTCATGTTATCTGGCATTTTCCATATCTTTATTTTGATATATATTAGATTAATATTAACTAGGCACTGCCTTTGACTATCATAGGTTTATGTAGACAGCAAGTTTGTATGGTAGTGTCTATACATCAATGTCAATTCTCATAAACTAAAAGACGCCTACCGATGCAAGTCGATGTCGACGCTAGTGAAATCACTCGCTATGCACCCAATAGAGCAGAAATAATATGTACAAGTAGCAAAACAGAGTGTGAATGCTCGAAAAATGGTTCACCAGTCCACTGCCCACCCATTCTTGGTCAGGAACTCTTCACAAGCAGCCTTGAGAGCATAGTTTGGCCGCAAATCTTTAACAGTCATGGCGACTCTGGTGACTGGGTCCACACCAGCTTTCTCGACATACTTGACGATGCCGATGCGATCATAGCTAATGCCAGATGGGGTGATAACAGGATCATGCATAATCTCAAATGTGATGCCATCGACCAAGTGGTCCGGAACAACCTAATCAGATTAGCACAATTCAAAAATCCATAGGCAGCTGGTATCAGACGGAACAAGATACTTACCCGCTCTTGTACCTCCCCCTTAGAAGCAATCCTGAACGCCTCCCGCACATCTTGAATCATCTTCGCCGCATCCTCCCTCAACGCCTTACAATCCTCCCCAAACCCAATCTCCCCAATCTTCCCCGCCTCAAGCTGCGCCTTAGACTCGGCAATCGAGCGCTCCAAATCCCGCTCAACAAGCTCCTCCACACCCCGCAATGTCTCGTTCATCTCCCGCAACCTCGCCGTCTCCTTCGCCGCCCAAATCTGCTGCTTAGCCCGCAAAACAGTCCGCGACAAGTTCTCCGTCTGCGCATTCTTCTCCGTCAGACTAAGCTGGTATGCACTCACGGCAACATCATATGCCTCCTGCGGGCGCTGGAGACCCAGAAGCGCTTGGGCAAGGTAATAGGAGCTCTTGAGTGTCGCCGTATTCTTCAGGCCGTATATATCGATAGCGGCACGGGCATCATGTTCAACGTCGGCCCATTTCTCGAGCTTGATCCGGGTAACGGCGCGGTTGGTGAAGAAGGTCGCGTCGTGCGGGTCTTTGAGAATACTAGATCCGAGACCGAGTTAGTTATGTCCACATGTATGTTACGTTTTTGCACGGGATCAAACGTGGGGTTTAGGTGCGCGGGCGTTGCGCTGGGAAGATAAGGTTGTTCTTACGCTTGGGAGTAGAGTTCCTCGGCACCGACATAGTCGCCTTGTTTGAAGAGCTCGTTGGCTTTTGACTTCAGGGCTTGAGCCATGGTGCCGATGTAGTGTTTGCTTTCACTGGGTAGGTCGGTGAAAGTGGTTTCAACTTTCAGACGTCTTTTGGAGTCGCTGATCAATCAGTTCGGAACCCCCAGGTGGGGCGGCCCACCTTACAATATGCAGGGAGATTTAAAGGTCAGGGTGAAGCTATTCAGTGGCGCTTAGAATGCGGAGAAATATAATACGGAGTGATATAGAACTAGGATGAAACACAGGTTCCTGAGGCCAGGATGTTACTTTTCTATCTCGGAAGTCGGGAGTCATGCTTGCCCGTTATAGAAGTTTATCGATCCCCGCAGAACCTCAGATGAGTCAGCAGTTCATAGTTCACAGTTCACATCTGGATTTACGATAAGAAAATTTTGGTAAAAAGATCAAGACTGCAGGTTTCGCATTGTGTAAAGGGGACCAGTATGTAAGTTCCTCTATCATCTAATTCTCAACCTGACTCGACATTGGATTCGTGGTATCATAATGCGCTTAGTATATCGACAGAAGAAATTCGAACCAAGTTGCGCACGCGCAACAAGTTATACCGGTCTAGCACGGATCAACCGGCACGAAGAAAGTCACGACAAAGACGTAGGGGCGCATAGTCTCAGGTCGCAAGAAGAGAAATCACCCCTTGAGCCAGCGCGCATTTAAGCCTGGCCGGCGAACTGGGTCTCGTAGTCAGAGATGGCCTGCACCTTAGCAGCAGAGCCGCTCTTGGGGTCGAAGCGGTACTGCAACCAGTCGACAGCGAGCTTCTTGGCCAGCTCGACACCGATAACACGCTGACCCATGCAGAGGACCTGGGCGTCGTTGCTCAGGATGGAGCGCTCGACGGAGAAGGGGTCGTGGGCAGTGACGGCGCGAATACCGGGCACCTTGTTGGCAGCGATGGCGACACCGAGACCGGTACCGCAGATGAAGAGGCCGCGGTCAGCCTTGCCCTCCTTGATGAGCTTGGCACCCTCGACGGCGGGGTGGGGGTAGGCGGTCTTATCGTCGGAGGTGTTGACACCGACATCGGTGATGGAGGCAACACCTTCGTGCTTCTCCAGGACGGCCTTGATGGCGTCCTTGTAGGGGACACCGGCCTCGTCACAGGCCATAACAATGCGGAGGGGCTGAGCAGACATGATGGATATAGATTGAGGAAGCTGAGAGGCTTTTGAGTTTGAATGAAAAGGAGCTTGTGTATGAGTGAGGTAGATCTGGAGAACTAAAATATACCCCTTGCTGTTCTTTTCGGCCCTCTTTATACCTTTGCGCAGGACGGTTCATCCGTGCAACCCAATACCCCAAGGTGGAGCACGGGCTGATGGAACCAATCCTCTTGAGATGCATCGGGACGAACAATTAGGCTCCACTCAGCCAATGCAAATGAAGTCAGATTGCAGCTAACCTGTTGATATTTTACGCTGCGTAATGCTCAGGTCGGGGAGAAATGGGGCGCCATAGCGTCATGGAAACGGTTATCATGCAATGTGAGTGGTCAAACGCGGGTTGTACTTTCTGGCCGGAACCAGGTTTCAACCCCATACAGTTTCCATACACTCATCTTACCCCGTATTTACACAGATATTCCCGCAAACGGTCTTCATAGCTATAGACCTTCATCTCTTAGTATCTAGATCTTCATTATCTAGGCTTTAAAACTAAGCCATCGATGTCACTGAGCAGGGTGTGGCTTGTGCACATGTCAATTGCAGACTCCCAGGGTCAATGGGCTGATCCCTGTTCCGCATTGGAGCGCCCGTGCGAGGCTTTGCAGATTGCCTAACGAGAGGGGTTACCAAGACACGGGTAAAACTAATATCCCGAGTTTGTGATGATTTCCCCTGAAGCCGAAAGCAAGAAAGCGACTAAAAAACCGGGCAGACTACATCATTGCGGGAGCCGCAACTCTACAAATAGATCTATACCGAAATCAAGGTGGACTTAAATTTGAGGTCCATATATATGCGTGGAATCCACATGCTATTCTCCTGGAATGCAGCCTATTCGCATAGAATTCAAAAGGATCCTGTTAGACCATAGAATGTCCGCCGATACGCATAGACCTGTTGGCTTAGACCAGGCATTGTCCCCACTTCCCCATCTCCACTGGTTACCGGTCCAGAGCTAGCTTGACTGGAGTCTACTCCGGATTTGCACGATCGGTCGTGTGTACTCCGGGGAAATGAGCAAACATACGGTCCAGACTGAAATATGCAGCTCAAGTGTCATGAGTTGAAAGAACTGGGTGTTGTAATTAGATGTTACTGCTACACGATCAAGGTCGAAACGATTTCCGCATTAGTATTTACCTCACGCCGCTTTTCAAGGTTAAAAGCGGCAGTACCCACCCCCATCTGTACAGTAGATATACGTACATAGATGTAGAGTGGGGAATCCACCAACAGGTTTTGTGCTTTTCAACCCCGTTCCCCTCTCCTTGGTACCTGAACTTGGTGTCGGCCTTTACCCTTCAGCATCTAGACCCGTTCTTCGGCTTAGTTCCCTCATCAAAACAGTGACATCATCCATCAATTGTCCGTGCTCAATCCCGGAGTAAGTAGGAAGCATTCCTGAGAGGTTTAGTGCAGCCACGTCGGCCGCTAATGCGTCGGTGGAATTAGGCTGACGCCTTCTAGACACCAGGGAGGAAAAATAATCTCAACTTTTCTCCTACCTACTCAGATACCCAGTCCATACGGGAGATCCAACCAAACAGACTAATTGGCATCATGGCACAAACCTACCCCATTCTCCCGGAGAAGCTTCTCCTCATCTCATTAAAGATGTACTTCACCCCAGGCCGTACCCTAGAATACATGCGCGGCCTCCTAGACCCAGCCAACGAGATCGTCAACCCCGCCAACAGCTCCAAGCTCCTCCTAGCTCTGATCCCCGATTTCCTTACCATCTGGCCTTGCGCTGAGATCCTTAAAGAATATCAGACCCAGCTTTTAGCAGCTGGCAAAACCACCCCCGGCCAACCTCCATTCCTCCTCGGCGCCCAGGACTGCATGTGGGAACAGAGCGGCGCATACACAGGCGAAGTCTCACCGGCCTCCATCCGTGCCTTGGGCTGCTCTATCGTCGAACTAGGCCACGCAGAGCGCCGCGCGATCTTCGGCGAGACGGACGAGCAGACGGCCCGGAAAGCTGCGGCTACCTGTGCACAGGGGATGGTTCCGCTCGTTTGTGTTGGCGAGATAACTGCGCCCGGCGCTGTTGCGTCCGCGGCGGTCGGACAAGCTGTTTCTGAGTGTTCGGTGCTTATTCGTGCTGTGCTTGATGCTATACCTGCCGAAGCACCGGTCATCTTTGCCTATGAGCCTGTCTGGGCGATTGGGCAGCCGAAGCCTGCTGGTGTGGATCATGTGGCTGCCGTCGTGGAGGGGATCAGGGGTGTGATCGGGTCGCGGCCTGCGCGTGTGTTGTACGGTGGTAGTGCTGGACCCGGTCTTTGGGGTGCGGGTGGATTGGGTAAGGCCGTTGATGGAATGTTTCTTGGACGATTCGCGCACGAAATTGAGGGTGTGCAAAAGGTTGTCCGTGAGGTTGAGGAGAGTCTTGCAGCTTGATTCAATTCATCAATCTGGTCTACGATTATGATTACGATATATACGAAAAGTCGAGGGTTATATTGACTGGTGTTTACATTTCATCTTCAATTTCCATCTCCAACTCCATTACATCGGCGCAGTGGTATTGTCGTTCCGCATCTTACATCATACCGTCACTGTTATACAAACAAATACCAGGTGGACATTTCATCAAAACAAAAGCAAAGGGAACAAAAACGGTCTAGACAGCTTGCATTTCATCCAATCTTCATGCGAACCAGAAGCAAACCGCACCACTTTTGTCCACTTTAGTGGGTCGTGACAAGTAGGAGATTCCCCGACTTTTCTCGGGAAAGCCTATCTGGGGGATCCCGAGCTGGCGAACCCTCTGCTCCACTACAGCTTTTATGGGGCTCATGGAGCCCCAGGGGTCTTGGCTCATACTGGGGCCGATTCACCTGTCACGAGGATGATCAGAGATTTGCGACTTACTCTGCATATTTAAAGTTTCAGCTTTTTTGAGAACTGCATGATTTCTCAGCGACAGTCAATTAGCCGGTGGTACCTTGCGACTTGGTTATTTTGTTGGTGTTTGGGTCTCCGTTCGCTCTTTTGCCGTGGCTGCGGAACTAGAACGTGGGGGTCCAGCTGTCTTCTAGTCCACTTTATAGTGGATTCTAGAACTGATGCAGTAACCCGAGCTTTGCCCCTCTTTCGCATGGACTTATGGAGTGGATTGTGGCACTTATTTCCATATTTTGTCTTAACGGCACTGCCTAAGTAGGCAAGGTGTGTACGCCTCCTACTGACTATACACACAGCGTTAATTGACTCGAGACGAAGCATCTCGGACGAGAAGAGAATTAAAGGCGAAGAACCAATTCGCACATATAGAAAAGAAGCCATGAAAAGAAATTTTAGATGCAATTCCCGGTCCTATGCTATGTACAAAATGTAAAATCATCTAGTGGCTTTTCTACTCTACACCGCTTATTTCTTCAGCAGCTCACGCATCTCCTCCTTGACGCGGGTCACCGTACCAATACCGCCATATGTGATACCAGTGTACATCATTGCAACAGAGGCACCGGCATCAAGGGCAGCACGTGCCTGCTGTCCATTGGTGATACCACCAGAAGCAAAGATCACCTTGCGTGGCTGCTGAGCGGCATCAGCAGACTCGGATGGCGGACCCTGGTCAAGCAAGGCGCGGTAACGAGCGACCAGAGGAACGGAGCGGTCAAAGAGCTGCGGGCCGGAATAACCGCCCGTCTCCTTAAGAGTCTGTTGCTCCTTCTCAGGGAGAGCGAAACCCTTAGGAATAGCGTCAGGTCGGCGGTTGGTAGTGTTACCGACGATCACACCATCGACACCGGAGTTCCAAACTGCCTCACAGATACCAGAGATCTGCTCGTCTGAGTCCTCATCGGGACTGACCTTGACCATGACGAAGGGCTTAGTCTTACGGTCGATGCTCTTAGCTGAGCCGACGACGGCTGTCAAGATAGCTGTGAGGGGTGCAGCGGCTTGCAGATCGCGGAGACCGGGGGTGTTAGGGCTGGAGACATTCACGACGAGGATATCAGCGTAGGGAGCAACACGGTCCACGCAGTAGGTGTAGTCGCGCGCGATGGCGTCGATGTCACCGTCCGGTGTGAGCTTGTTCTTAGCTACCTGCACGGCGAGCAGCTTGCCCGGGACCAGACTGCCAGGAGGAACATTAGCGTCTCCGTTCAGGACATGCTGCTCAGACCCCTCGTGGTCACCGAAGCCAGCGGCGTAGGCAAAGTCGCGAACACGCTGCTTTAGGACGGCGGCCATGTGGTCGGCACCCTTGGAGTTGAGGCCGTATCGGTTGATCATTCCGTGTTGGGAGGGCAGGCGGAAGACTCGGGGCTTGGGGTTTCCGTCTTGAGGCAGCGGGGTGGTACCGCCGACCTCGACGATGGCGGGACCGAGGTCGAGCAGGGCATCGGGGATATCGGCGTGCTTATCCAGACCGGCGGAGATACCGATGGGGTTGGAGAGGGTGTAGCCGAAGACCTAAACATAGTCCCCGTCAGTCACTGTACCAGCATTGTAAGCTCAGTCGGAAGCAGAGCACAAACCTCAGTAGCCAGAGCACCGTCGGCATCGGGGTTACCACGTTCCCGGGGGTGCATTCCGTATTCGTAGAGCGACTTCAAGATTTCCACACCAAAGTGATGCGCCTCCTCCGCATCGGGATACAGCATTCGGATCAAAGGCACCATAGCATAGCGGTGGATGCTAGCCCGGGTATCAGTTCCATAGATGTAGCCCACCAAAAGTGCCAGAGCGAACGAGGTGCCATAAAGACCCTTCCGGGATTTACGAGCTGCGCGCTTAGGCAGCTCCTTGGCAGCCTCCTTCACGGGCTCGGTAGCTGTACCAGGAGCCGAGTCCGAAGCATAGCGCACAGCACCAGGCAAGCGCTCGGCTCGCTTCGGTAGCAATGCCGATGGGCGTTGCGACCATCGGGCTGCGGGGAGCGAACGAGCCCGGAGACCGGCTCTCCAGGCCATTGTGGCAGATGCAGACGTCATTGCGGATGTATTTATATGACTTTTGCGCTTAATTGGCCTTCCCCGGCGTAAGAGCGCCGAATTGGACCTATATAATTGGTGAGCTTGGTTCCTTGATCCGATGATTTGGATGCGTGTGGCTGGGAGATTGGGACAATTGGCTTGGGCTATGGAGCTTTATGCGTGGGGCGGATTCCCTTAACGCCCAATAATATGATAAAGAGGAGCTTGACAGCCTGGAAGGAGAATACTTACTGCAATTGCTTGATCCGAGGTTCTGCAACGCCCTTGCAGATCAAGTTATCTTAGGGCGAAATCGGGTTCTCAGCGGGCGGTGAGTGTGTGAAGGCGGTGAATATGCCAAAGCCCAAACCCTACATTCCTTTTTGGGAAGGGACTCGAACTATATTCCAAGTCCGCGTGTATCGTACACCAACACAGTGAGCTTGTTACTTGATACGTTACTTCAGACCAAAGGGAAGTTCCGATTCAAAGGGTACAAACGGATTCATTCATAATGATAAGTCATACGTGGATGATCTAATCCGCCCCCGCAAAATCATCATACATTAACGCCTTTTGACTGCCCACGTGCGCCAGGCTCCATAAGTACTCCGGATCACATTATTCAAACACTGTTCAAACACGATGTGACAAAGGAATGTGGCCATTTCTTGGTCACCCACTTCTGCCACGGCCCGACTTACTCATCGCTCATCCGCGTATCCTCATCATCCTCGGCCTTCTCGGCCACCTCTTCTTCGCCCTCAGCAACCGGGGGCTCGGGGGGTGGGCCCAGAGTCTTGGCGAACTCCGGGTCGATATTGGCGCGGTGGAGAGCCCGCTTATAGACTTCGGACTCGTCAGGGTCCCGGACAGCGACCTGCATCTGGTCGATTTGGTCCTCCTTGACCTGGGAGGCCGTTGGAGCCAAGCCGGCCTGGGCAATGGTACGGGCCCGCTCAGGCTTGAGGCGCGTCTTGCCAAGGATGGGGTAATAGTAAGCAGCTCGCTGTTTAGTCTCGCCTTCAGTTGGCTGAAACAGTGTCAGAGCAATATCTCTCTGTTTCTGATCGGTATTGAGAGTTTGAGCACTCGTAGCGTAGGTGCGAACCCGGTCGTATCGGTGGAATTTGTGGCCTTCGGCGCCTTCGTGAGCAAAAAGCTCTTCATTATCCCGATTCGGGTTCTTTGGGTCCATGCTGATACCGATCTTCTTTACTGACTCTGATTTCTCAGACAAGAAAAGGTCGTAATCCCAGGGAATGGGACCCGGGTCCGGGTAGACCTCCGGGTTGGCCTTGTGAAGTGCCACCTTCTGCGCATGCTCCTCGCAGATACGGTCCTCTGGAGCTGATGGGCGCAACAGAGCCACATCCATGCGCTTATCTCGCTTTCCGCCAACGGCCGACACGGGTGCTTTGTCAAATTTGAATTGGACCAGGCCTCCAGGATCCGTGAAGCCCTCAAGGTCTGGTAATACGGCGAATAAGCCAACAGCCTTGAGCTTCGGATTATCAGGATGCACTGGGTTAGCCCAGGCATCAATCTCGGCCTTAGTGGCAGGAAGGCCTCGGATGTGGCTCTCTGTATCCTCCCCAGTGTACTTGCTCTCAGGATAGGCGACATCGAAGCCCTTCTGCACCAACTTCTTGACGTGCTTGGGGTCATCGACTGAAACCTTTGGTTTCTTGAGAGGGCGACTCTGGGTGGTCACAGAAGTAGTACCGGATCCCGAAGGAGCATTGCGCTCTACAGAAATATGTTGGGTGCGGCGAAGGAAGCTAACATTGGTGTTCTTCGGAGCAGGGTTGCGCAATTGATCAAGGGGCATGAGTAGAGGAAGATCAGCAGGGTCGATCGGCTGCGGATTCTCAGGTGCCATAATCGCTTTAAGATAGTGTCAATTCTTGGTTCCATTGCTGAGCAGATAGATAAAAGGGTGTTCACTTACCACTCTCATCTCCGAGGTGTAGCCCGGGAATACCGACCATATCAATAGGCATACCACCCTCAGCATCAACATCAATATTAGGCTCTTCGCGACGTGCAAGGTTGGAAGCAAACCCCGGGGTAAGGAAGCGACTGAGGCCTTCGTGTGGAATATCAAGAAACTTTGGGGGCATGTCAGGAGGGGGCAGATCATTGCGGTAGCGCAAGGACGCGATGTAGTCCTGGTGGAAGCTCCCAGAGGGCTGTTCCTCTTTCATTTTGGAAGACATCTCGTGATTATCAGGGCTATCGCCGCGGTGCCTTTTACCAAGTATCTGCGTGTTATGGGAGGGGCCAGGGTTTGAGCAGCCTGGGTTCTGGAAAGCAGGAGAGCTTGGTCCGTATCCACTGTCAGGAGTGGTGTGATCGGTGTGATTTTCGGTGCTGTCGTCGTCGTCTTCGTCGTCGTCAGATTCGGAATTGTCAAAGCTAGAGGCAGAGTCGACAGAACTAGCGTCAGAGTTGTGAGAGCTGCCAGAACTTGAGGTAGCCTCGGAGCTGTTGGAGCTGCTGGCGCTTGAAGATGTTTCAGCGCTAGAGAAAACCCGGTCTTCTCCGTTTGTGCTTGAAGTGGCTGAGCTTCGAGTGGATTGGGTGAAAGCGTCTTCCTCGCTTCCGAATTCGGGGGTCTCGTTCGGGATGGGTACCAAGATAGAAACAACGATGACTATAGAGAGATTATCCTCTTCTGCGTCGTCTTCCTCGTATGCGGTTGGACTCGCAGGGATTTCGGTATTCAACAAAACGTTAAATTCGTTGATTTGAGCGTTCACACTGTTCCAGTACAGTTCAAGCTCCTTAAGCTCGTTGGTCTGTGTGGACGCGTCAGTGCGTAGAGCAAGTGTCTCGTCTTCCTCAAGGCGGCAATCAGCCCTCTCTGCCCCTGTGGCTTGACGGGGAGGAGTGACGTCGAGGTGAGTAGGAATCCGGCCGTCTGCGTCTGGGATTTGATTGGACGCGGCGTGAAAAGCCCAGAGCTCGTCAATGTCAACAGCTAACGCACGATCGTAGTCAAAAGGATAGCCGCTGTCAGAGGAAGCTGTAGTATCTCCAGCGGGACTTTCTTCTTCCTTGCGAGGCGTTTCAGTGTCTTCGTCTTGGATTACGGGAGGGTTTTGAGAGGAGCTTGGGCCTGGAAGCGCTAGGTTCGGAGCTATGCGAAAATTCAATAAGTGCCGGATCGAAGCGGGGCCAATTCTAGAAACTAACTGTTAGAGGGAGTGGTAGATCGAACGTCAGGATTGCGCCACTGAAAATGACCTGTAATTCATTTAGCATCAATGGCCAGCTTTCTCCAATTGACAGGTGGGGGACAAACCGGTGCTAGCAGGAGAGTCGGATAGCAAGCTGGGACTGCTCGAGGGGGGAGACGTAGGAGAGTACCCTGTGTTATTTGTTTATTCAGCCCAAGCTTCACGGACAATTCCCCTGGATATTGATTGGGATTGAAGAAGCGCGACATCTTCCACTTACCATCCGCCATAATGCCTCCAGGCACCGCCTACCAGACTTGGGATGTTGATTTGGGGTCACGTGCGCTGATGAAGGTCACGTGTGGACTGAGGATGCCTGCTCGGAAGAAGTATTTCCCGAAGGTGAGGAGAGGCAGAAAGCCAACCAATGAGGAATACAATGGTTTTAGTGACCTTGCAGTGGAAGTTAACTAGTCTTTCAAAACCTGGTTGAATAAGATTGAACACATTATTTCCATAAACTCCTATCGCATAAGTAATAGACTTTCATATTCAGTACGCCCACATGCACTTGTACGCCATCAGTCTGTGGCCCAGTCGATCATACTCTAACTGACCGATCCAACTATCATTCGTTCCACTGAGCTTTCCAAAGATACTTGCACCCTTCCATACGACCACCTGTGGATCTAAATCTCTGGGTGGGACGCCAATCATGATCTCTTTAGCAAATCCAGGACGTAAGGTTTGAAGACGTTCTTCAAGGAACAGGTGAAACCCGCTAGTCAAAGTGCCTCCACCAACAACCATGATACCTCCAATAAAGTCCCGCATCTTCTTCTCATCCGAACGAGCAGCATGCGCGATAGAAGTCAAAATGGCATTATCCAAAGCATAGACAGGTAACACATCGTCGTGATATTCAATTGCGGCACGAGATGACTGGGCAGTAACAGGATTGCTATTAGCCTGGGGAGTACCAGCCGCCTCCGGTGCTGGTGAGCCCGGGGCGGAAGAATGGGGCGTAGCTTCTTGTTCTTGGACTCGGCCCAATGCACTGGGATGCTGAGGCTTGCTGGGCGTTGCTTGTACATCGGCCGGGATCGATTGTGAGTCGCCATTTGCCTTAGGACGTTGGGGAGCGAGGGCAGTCAGGATTTCAGTTTGCGCGGCAGAAACAGGGTCATTTGATTGCCCATCATAGATATCAACAGAACGGCCGATCAGCCTGCGCCGGCCTACGAGCTTCTGTGAATTGTCAAAAATGCTTGGCTCAAAGAAACCCATTGGTGCCAGATGCACCTCGTCAAAGGCTTTGAAGGTGTGCTTCTGTGTGTCTTGCCCAGCTACCCGGAGGTGGAAGTCAAAGACCTGGGGGGAAACACTGGCTTCGTTCATTGTGCACATGTTCTTTTTAAGCTCTTCTGCTAATAAGAAGTCATATCTCCGCCATAGGTCAATATCTGCGTAGGGGAAATGGTCATGGAGCATCATTCTAATGAACGTTTCGGTGACATCTCGACCACCCATTTTCAAATTGACTCGAGAGTTCTCCACACACATGCCTTCTTCCACACAGCAAATGGATGTTTTCTGTGCTCCAATATCAACCACGCAAGCTGAGGTAAACCCAGCACCGAAGGTTGCAGCAAGACTCTCCTGGATGAAACATACTCGGGCAAATGCGAACTCCCGCATCAACATCTCCAGTACCTGGGTGACGTACGACTTTTCGTAGAGATCGGGGATGACAAAGACGCAGGAATACTGGGGCCAATCTTTCTTGCTAGTCAGGCCAAGTTGGGTCTTGATAGCGTCTTCAAGAATCAAAGAGATATCCAAGAACAACATTCGCTTGCTTGCGTAATCCCTCTCGTTACAGCATCCATTCTGGAACGGCCAGTAGAGTTTGTAACGAGGGGTTGATGAGTCTGGGACCCTCAAAGCGGGCTGCCCGACAATGTACTCTGGTGGTGGATTTGATAATTCGGTCCATTCAATGCGCATTGGATCATTATGCTCAGAAATTGTCTCGGGAACGGTCCTTCTGTTGAAATTCACCACCATTTCCTTGGAGTTGGGCAGCATCCTTCGCTTGTTCTGGCGCATATGCACTTTCAGTTCGGCCGACATCTTGTTAAAGTGAGCAGACCACTATTCGGTTATTAGCAACTGGTCTCAGTATCCGCCACGTAGTACAAGTGACAAGCTCACATCTGGTCCAAACAACTGCTCCGGCTCTTCAAATGTTCCATCATCTCGCTTTTGCCGTTTCGGGTTGGGCTCCTCTTGGTCTTCGCTCTCGCTTGTTTTCGCTTTCCTCGCGATCACCATCGGTACTGTTTTCGGCAAGGCATCGCTCGACAGTCCTATGCGCAGATTTTGGCTACCAATATGAATGACAATGACTTTCGACCCCACTGTCTCGGCAGGTGTCTCCTCCTCCGCATCCTCCATATTGGCATCGCCGTCTGCTTCGGCCTCCGCCTCCGTCTCATTGGTCTTTGCCATTGCAAGGGCGCGATCTCGATCCTTCGCGGACTTGGTCATTTTCGTCCTCGCTTCTTCGTTTTGCAATCTGAATGCCAGGTACTGATCGTCACGCTTAAGATAGTCGCTGAGCAGAAGAAAGTAATCAGCATTGAAACTTGTGGTTCATGGAACAAATAAGACTAATACGGGAACGTACGTATAGTAGTTCTTCTGGTTGATTGCCGGGACTTGCGGCCAGCTGGAGAGGTCCATGTTGTTGTCCGTCCGCTCCAGACCTGGTAATTTATCGTCAGTCTCTCTAGTCTTTACCAATTTGGCTCATTTAGATCATATATCCATGGTCACTCACCTTCGTCCCGAAGGGCCTTGCCCGATTTCTTTCCCACCATGATGGGCGCTGTTTGCGACTGTCTGGTTCTTTGAATCGGGGGTCTGGTTGAATCTAGGGAGCGCGCAAATAGGTGGGCTCACTATCTCCGAGATATGAGCACTCAATAGAGGGCTGGTCGCTAGGACTGATCGCCTAATTGAACGTAGTTCCAAGGGCTGTATTGGAAGAAATAGAAGTAGAGGGCGGTTTGAAAGACAATGGAGGAGTTTAGCACGGAGTCCCGGGAAAGTGGGAAGCTTGTTCGGGACAGTCTAGAAGCGCCATTCAGCTTGACGATTGACCGCCCACACGCACAGGCCGATTGCTCAAACAACTCCGATGCGGTTACCACCACCACTCTCCTGTCCACTTAACCAAACACTTCTTTGTCACTGATTGGACTTCGTTTGAGTTGGGTAATCAAAGCTCATTCACTTCTGTCTTCGCACTCGAACTTCCCTTTCCTCCACCAGCCCGCGCAATAACCTCAAACCTCCGGCTCCGCCCTCGTTGGAATCGCGATCAAAGACACCAATTCAACCACTTCGTAGCTACTACATATCACCATGGGAGGCACATTATCTCGTCTAGCATCTCTTATTTGGGCCAAAAAGGAGATCCGAATCCTCATCCTTGGTCTCGTACGTGCATTCCATCTGTCGCGGGGAAGGGCGCACCTGCGGCGCCTATTGCGCCCAATGATCGAAACTCATGACTGATTGACTTCTTTCAATCCAGGATAATGCCGGCAAGACCACTCTTCTCTACAGACTTAAGGTACGCACACATGATCTGGATAAAGCCCCGCGCATCGGGCTAGACGCGTTCGGGAGTGCTAACAATTTGCGTTTCTCTAGATCGGTGAAGTCGTCACCACCATTCCTACCATCGGCTTTAACGTCGAGTCCGTGACATATAAAAATCTAAACTTCAATGTTTGGGTATGTGCTTCGGTCTGGTTACCATGACTTTGAACCCCACTGACCACTGGGAACTATAGGATCTCGGTGGCCAAACATCCATTCGTCCATACTGGCGGTGTTACTACGCCAACACAGCAGCTGTCATTTTTGTCATCGATTCCACAGATATCGAGCGTCTGGGAACCGCAGCAGATGAGTTGGCAGCTATGTTGAACGAAGAGGAACTTCGTGACGCATCTCTGCTAGTGTTTGCCAACAAGCAGGATCAACCCGGTGCTAAGGGTGCCGGTGAGATCTCAGAGGCCTTGAAATTGGGGGAATTGCGTGATCGGAACTGGAGCATTGTCGCCTGCTCTGCCATTGATGGCAAGGGTATTGACGAGGGCATGGACTGGCTGGTGGTTGGTATTCCTGATTCATAGGGCTGTCCGAACACTAACGATATATCTTCTTTTTTAGCAAACTATCCAGGCCGAGCAACAGTCATGAAACACTATTTTTGATGTCGGGCGATAGATTTTGATCTGTGATATACCTTAGACCTCGGCTTGCTTACGCGACTGGCCGGCCGTTCTGCTGCATTCGGGGGTTGTGATGTTTCTTTTTTCTTCGGCTCTGCTCAGACCGGCAGAGTCCATGTCTTATATTGCTACATGATTTGGGGTATCAGCGTCTTACGGTTGTTTAAAGATAATAGTTTAATGAAACTGCCGTGGGATCGGTTCTGAACATATTTTATTGTTGAGAAAACCCCCTTGTAAACAGGCCAGGGCATGACCAGGTGTGAATCGACATTATCAATAAGATTTGCACATCGGCCAAAGCATCAAACGGCATATCGGTTCCTATCTTCCGAGATAAGGCATGCACTCCCCCGCATCTAAGATACGACCACCCCAACTAACACATGTGGTAGTTGCAACGGTTGGACATATTCCTTTGTCATTCATCTTGAAGTTGCCCCTGCATTCGAAAGCATAACAGCGCAAACACCCAGCTGTCAACTTGCATCCGCCAGAACTAACAGATCAACATGTCTATTCCAGCTACCCAGATTGCAGCTGTGATCCCCGCATCTGGAGGGAAAGATGTTTCAGATGTGCAAATCAGCGACACATATTCAGTGCCAACGCCGGGGGCTGGAGAGGTCCTGGTAAAATTGGACTTCTCGGGGGTCTGTCATTCTGATGTTCACAGCATTCGAGGCGATACACCTATGAAGACTGATGTGGCGGGTCACGAAGGAGTGGGAAGAGTGGTCGCAGGTGAGAAATCACGATTCATTGACCTGTTCGGTTATAGTTAAGAAGCTAGTACTAATTCCTGTTTTTAGTTGGGGATGGCCTCGTTGACACTCAATGGATGGGTCAAGTAGTGGGGATCAGGTATGTTTAGGAGAGTCCCTTGGACGTATATACCTCCAGAACCTAGTTGTGGATTAACGCAATTCTCCAGATGGCTGTACAGCTCTTGTCTCGAGTGCGAGATCTGTGAGGTCAATCATACAGCATGCCCTAAGCAAAGGAATGCCGGTGCGGTTAGTTATTGCTTATTGTTACTGCACCTGTGTGCCAAGTTTTTACGCTAATTTACCTTTCACAGAATGTTCCGGGTACATTTCAACGTGCGTATATACATATCCCTGGAACGGCCTGAAGCACCGTCATTGAAGTCAAATACTGAATGGTTTATGAAGAATACATCGTTAGTCCAGCTATTCACGCCACGATAATTCCACCGGGACTCTCTCCGGATTTGGCGGCCCCTCTTCTCTGTGGTATGCTTATCAAGGCATTCAATCTGTGACTGTTTTCGTTGACATAGTCTAGCTGGCATTGCGATGTACTCTTCAATCAAGAAAGCCAGGGCCCGGCCTGGCAACTGGCTTGCTATTATTGGTGCCGGTGGAGGCTTGGGTCATATGTATGCAGCTCCAGCATGTTCTATTAAACCTGTTGTCAGCACTGACAAAAATGGGCAGGGGCATCCAGATTGCGGCCAAACAGGGACTGAAAGTTCTTGCAATAGATACGTGAGTGCTTATAAATGTGATTTCCGCAAATGCTTAGGCGGATACTGACCAATAGCAGGGGTGTTAAAAAGAAAGACCTTTGTTTGTCCCTCGGGGCCACTGAATTCTTGGACTTCCGCGAGGTGAATATAGTTGAAGGTGCCAAGTCGGTCACATCCGGCTTGGGTGTCCACGCTGTGATTTGTACTGCCAATGCGGAGGCAGCTTACCAGCAAAGCTTGCAAATGCTTCGGCCACTGGGTACTCTAGTTTGCGTGGGAATACCCCATGTTCCATTCCGCCTCCCTGCCACCCCTTTCGAAATGATAGTCAAAGGTGATTATCGAATAATGCTTAGTTCGTACTGTATAAACGAAGTTGCTAACATGCTTTTGGCGAACATTACAGGCCTTACAATTGTCGGGAACTCCGCGGGGACCGCTCAGGAAATGGATGAACTATTGGCTATGGCAGTTAAAGGCGATGTGAAGGCACATATCGAGATTTTTCATCTGCAGGATATCGTCAATGTTTTGCAGCGACTTGAACGGTCTGAGATTGAAGGAAGAGCTGTTTTGAGGATCCCTTGATAGAGTCATCCGAGGTGTCAAAAACAAATTCTATTATGTTATCGATCTTGCTGCTTTATTGCTGGAAATCTGTGAACTATGTCATGGAAGTAGAGTTGGAAGAGAGTTCGGTGTCGAGGGGCAGCAATAGAGAAGGGGTTCAGTATGATGACAGCAACAACTTGACACTAATAATGTTTCTTTCAAGATTGGGCAAGTTCAGGCCCAATATAATGATAACGTATGAAAGATGTTCTTTCTCTGAATTCAATGGCTGCTGCCATATGGACATGGAGTGTTATCAGGTGCCCTACGTATTCTGTGACATGTTCTGACTCACAAGCTCATTAAAAAGGGAAGAGGAGATAGGGCAAGATAACACAGGAAGAGACACGGAGGGGTAGGTTGATGAGTCAGATTATCGGTGGAGCGGGCATAGATCCAAGCATGAGGAGAACTTACTCCTGTAAACTCCCCAGCTCTGCAGTCTGGTTCATTTCAAAATCGTCATCTTTCAAAGAAGATGAATATTGACCAGGAGTCCATCTACCCCTTAGAGGGAGGTTGCGCCTGCGGTCTAATCCGTTACCGCGTCGAAACCCGCCCCTTCATAGTTCATTGCTGCCACTGCACAGCCTGTCAACGCGAAAGCGGCTCTGCATTCGCCATAAACCTCCAAGTCGAATCAAACATGGTAACAGGGCTTCCGTCAACCATCGGCAAGATCCCAGCATCAATCAATTCACCCGCTAAACCAGCCGGTCCAACGCTCGTCCCTGCAATAGGCCATATCGTCGACCCGGAGCTAGTCACCGTCCCTTCTGAGTCTGGCAAATGACAAGATCTGGCTAGGTGCCCTACTTGTGGTGTGGCTGTTTGGTCGCTCTATGGTGGTGCGGGATCTCTTGTTAAGTGTGTCAAGGTGGGTACACTTGATCAGGCGTGGAAGGTGCAGCCGGATGTGCACATCTATACGAGAAGTAAACGAAGCTTTTTTGTGCTCGATGGGAGTGTGCCGGAGTTCGAAGAGTATTATAAGAGGGAAGTGGTCTGGAGGGAGGATAGTTTGAAGAGGTGGGAAAACATTCTACAGGGTATTGAGAGACGATAGATAAGGTTTTTTTTCATAAGTTAAGGCCTTTAAGGGAATACTGTACATGTAAGAGGTACCAGTTATTTGGGTGTTAGAGGGTAACAAAAAGAGTGGGGAAGAATGTGAGGATGATTAGGAAAGAAAAAGAAATGGTTCACCCCGTCTGGAACCATCAGGATTGATTTCGTCCAATTTCTTTTTTTATTTAACGAGTCATATCCTGATCCATATTTTTTGCTCTCTATACGATTCGACTGCCTATCCCAAAAAGAAATTGATTCGTGCTGTATGTGGGTTGCGAAAAGCGCCTACCATGCTCGCGCAGACCTATAATCAGGCTGCAGTATCTATTTTATGCATCCATATGATTCACTCAAATCTTCCATCCTGCACCTTCTCTCCACTTCATCAGACGCAATACCATGAAAAAGGCCGATCCCGTTACTACCATGACAGCCGTAAAAATCTGAGCTTTCCAGAACATCGCGCTCTCTAAGTCCAGCAAAGCACCTGCAATAGGATTGCCAATAAGCAGACCGGTGCCGGCAAAGGTGAAGCACATCCCCATGCGGGTCCCCACAGTAGCCATGTTAGGGCTTAGTCTTGCAATTATGGTAGGTGGCAAGGAGACGATTGCTCCAGATGCATAACCATAAAGACACGCAAAAACAATCGCACCAGCTTCATTGTGAATGGCGATCCACGAGAATGACAAGACCGAAGCAATCAGACTGATAGGAATGATTGTGTTCAAAGAACCGATACGATCAGCGAGTAAGCCAGGCGTGATCCGTCCGAACACGGAGGAAGCATTCAAAATGGCGATTATATAGAAGGATATGTTGGAGCTCGCATGGAGAGAAGAGGAGAAGAAGCTCGGTAGATAGAAGAAAGGGAAGTATAGCCCCACAAAGGAGAAAAATAGTGCAAAACAAAAGACGAGGAATTGTGGTTCTCGGAATGCGCCGAGGTCAAGAAGTGACCGCGCCTGTTTCGGAGGCGGTAGAAGACGTTTCATTACGGCCCAGGCGAAAACCTGGCCTGCCAGTGCGATAAATGCAATTATGCGAGTGGTCCAGCCAAAGCCAAGGGGACCGATGAGTTTGTGAAATACTATAGGGTAAATCACAGAGCCTAAAACGAGTATTAGCACCACTGTTCAGCGGGATCTTTTAAAGATCACTTACCAATACTACCACCAGAAGCAGTGATTCCCATTGCCAATGCGCGCCGCGAAGTAAAATAGGTAGCGACGACAGCTATGCTTGGCAGGAAGAGGAATGCACATCCAATGCCAACGGAGATACCGTGAGCAAGAAAGACCTGATAGTATTCAGTCGACAACGAGGTCATCATCAAACCAAACACAACGAAGAACGATCCAATGATAATGAGGCTTTTGAGATAGCCCCTGTCGAACACTGGGCCTACAATCACGCCGACGAGGAAGAGAAGGAACCCCTGGACAGTACCGATCCAAGAGATGGAAGAGGCAGAATAATTGGAAAGAAGAACATCTTCATAGTAGCTTTGGAACACACCAAATGTGTTAACGACGCCCCTAGGAGTAATTTGTTAGATGGGTTCCATGACACCCGAAAGAAAGTTTTTGTAACAAACTTACCAAGAGTTGAAAAACATAAAAAAAGCACCAGCAACCTGAAGCCAGGCGATAGCTCCTCCGTTAGGTGGAGGAGGAGGGGCCTCGGGCTTTTTAGGTGTTTGTTTCTCAGCATCAGATATTTCGGTCTCACCCACCGGCTCTGCTAGAGGATTTGCCATTATGGCGCTTCTTTTCTCCGAACGAATAGACATTATAATTTTATATGATCAGAAGCTCGGAAACCGCGATAGCTAGGAGAACATATACTTATATTAAGATGAATAATCCAATAATACACCGAGGCTCGCGCTATCGCCTTCGGCGTTTCGGCCTTGGACTTCAGGCGATATAATAAGCAAGATATTCCCCCAATGATCTGAATCCATGGATATACAGCAATTGGCTGAAAATTGATTTTTGGTTTGTAAGCTGGAGCTAAACCCGCCACACGGAGCCAATGAAGCCGAGTCCTGCGTTCTGGCGTTGGAGACTAGCGTCGAACATGCGCGGCAACCAATTGGCTAAGCTTTTTGATGAAATATCAAAATCACGCCTTAATTGGAGTAGACATTTTCAATCACTCAACAGAATATAGTCGTTTATTTATCTTTGTACTACCGGATAGATAGTTTATCGATATTAATCCATACTGTACCCCGTTAGTTATTCTCTGACTTCCTGGAGCCACTCGTCAGCATACATGTTTTGTTGACTGATAACAAATGCATGTAAGCTGCAAGATAAAGAGATAAAACTAGCAAGCCAGAGTAGCAACTTCAATTTTGCCATAGATGCTACGTCACCTCTGCTCTTCGCTTACATCACAATGCACATGATGCTCATGGCCTGGGAGTTTTACAGTAAAGGCTAGAGAGTTGGGCGCAGAGTCGGACAACAAGCTGGGACTCGACGGAGGCGAGGTAGGCGAGTACCCTGGCTTACTTGATTAGCTCTATACAGTAGGTCAACGTTTCCCGATAGTCGTAGACTTACCATTGGCCATAATAAACAGTATCTCAACCCAGCCCAATCGATGGCGATGAGAAAGATGGTTGCCCCGATATGTGCGATAATGCCTCAGGTGTGTGGTATCTCTCTCGAGGCCCGTGGTCTCTCTGCTAGACGCTCGATAATTGCTTCTCAGCCCGTGCATTTCTGCGCCAGGTTTGCGTTCGATTCCTTTAAGCGCTCATACCTCTCTCAGAGTCGCGGTCTCCTCCTCTAGGCTCATATCTCCAGCCACGAGAGCTTCGAGACTCTGTGTCCACCCCGCTTGCTGGCCCTCCAAAGTTGTGGAGTTCTGTAGCTGGCCCATTTCCGGGTCGCCGATGTGGGCTGGCCTGACTTCAAGCTTCGAATTGCCGCTCCATACTCGGCCATCTTCTGAGCAACTGTTATTTCCAACAGCAAGTATGACGCACACACCTTTTGGATGTCCGCTTCGGTGGTGGTGCGAGCTTGCTCAGCGGCCACCCTGAAACTTGGCGACTCCGCTAGGGTTGGGCTCATGTCGATATCGTTCCGACATCTAAGTCAATGGAGGTGATAGTATTGGCGACCTCAGGATGGAGGAGAATCGGAAAATGGGATCCGTACTCTGATTGTTTGCAGCTGATTGGTAGTGCTCGTGAATCTCTTGGGTTATTTGGCTGTGTTTCTGACCATGGCATTAGAGTAGGATTGAAGAGGATGAGTGATCTGCGGAGGGTTCTGGTACCCCTAGTTATCACCTCCGTCATCTTTGTAGGAATAGAAACTGAGCAAGCGAATGATTTGTATAAACCATCCGTGAATGACCGATGAAAGGAAAAGTCATACGCCACGGCGTCCATAAAGAGCTGAGAACGATGTGACCTAGGGATATATATATGATGAATTAGAGATATGAAAAGTGGGAGATGCATCCATGGATGATGAATATGTAATATGGTAAATGAGATGTATAAAATGAACCCAGGAAATAGCTGTCATAACAAGAATCCAATCTACCTCACTTGTCGCTTATTCTGCACCTCACTTCGATTGTCAAAGCTAAATCACATTTCTTTTAACTCTGCTTCAAAACAGAAGATCGCATGAGCATAACTCAAAGCAGCAGAAGCCCTGAGCAAGCCTTCTCACCGACGTGCGAGGTAGTCGAGGTTGAAGAAGTTAATACGGGTTGCGGAATATCTAGTGGGTATGTTGTTTAAAACTCACTATATCCTGGAGATACATAGAGTATATAGCATGATTTCCATAGAAAGATCATGTCAAATTCTGAAAGAGATGTTCTTCATACCCTCTTCGCCAATTGAACTTCGCCAATTGAAGGCCATAATTCACTTGAAGAGTCGGGCTTCCCTCTGAGGGAGAGGCATATTGCTCAATACAAGATGATCTGGAGCCGTCAAGCTTACTCAGTCTGAAGTTTGGCTTAATTAAATAGCCATTACTTCATAGCGATTGGCTAAATGCTCAGGACGCAATGGATAGCTGCAATGAGCGGAAATCTCCGCAATACGCTTGCATGACATATCATGTAACGCCTTGAGTGCCTTCTCCGTATCCGCACCGTATGTTTGCATGACCTTGACGTGTTCACCTCTATGTCGCAATAACATATATGCCAATGCGATTACGCAGCCATCGTCTCCGTCACAGGTTAGGATATCAATCTCACCTCCGAGTAGGAAACGAAGGTTTGCTAAAATCATTGTTTAGTACTTGGTTGCCCTGAAGAGAAATTAAGATCCATACATAGAGTTTGCTCACGATGGGACGAGGGCTTAGGGTCGAAGTGACTCATCTTTGAGGCTGGTTGGAAGTGGTGGATCGTATGGTCTAGGTGATAGTAGAGAGCAAAGGATCATATGATGACTATGAGGTGTGATATGAGGGAAAGAGATAACAGCCAGATACAGGAGAGCTCTTTTGTAGATGGTACGAAGCTGTAGGGTGGCCTAGGGGACCAATTTCTTTGACAGGTCAGCCAATCAAGTAAACAGATTACACCAAGAAAAAGCAGCGACGCAAGTGACAAAGGTCTTTGGAAATGAACAAGTCTAAGAGAAAGGAAAAGGGAAGATTAATCAATTTTATGACTCACGGCCAGTGGAGATTACGATCGATGTTTAAGCATTTACTCTTCTAACTTAAAAGTCAAAATGTCGCTTTACTGGAGATAAAAAACATGACTAGATACTGTACCATCTCACTGCTTTGTATTTATTTCAATCGTGGGAAGTCTAGAGGAAATTCCATAAATGCGCCTAATTCAAAACAAAAAACTCACGTACCCAAGTAACAAAGGTCTTTTAGTCTTAATTTAGATTCCTCATACCTGAGCATCTGCATCAGGAGACATATTCCCAGCTGAAATTAGGAGGTCATCTATGTAAGCCCTGAAGCTGGTAGCCTCATGACTGAATTTACTCACCTGGTAGTTGATCCTTAGGAAAAGCCAGGTGATCGTTTATAATCATCGCACCTGCGGAGTGACTCGGGAGCCTACTTTACCCTACGCTAAAGTCTACTTGAATGAACTAAGAGGTCCTATAAGATATGGGCATCTACACTACTGATTATGTACGCGTACGTTATTGATGGGGTTCCTGCCACAATATATCTATCTAAAGACTACATGGGACTAATGCAAAGTAATTTTATGAAAGAAGAGATCAGCGGATGGAGCGGATGTTAGGCGACTATTTATAGGGAGACAGACGACGACCTCGGGGACGCAAAGTGGCGCGTTGAAAGTGGGTAAGCGGCATCCATGGATAAAGGTCCCCCTCTTACTTCTCGCCTTGACATTACTGGAGGAATTTGACGCCAGTATCGTGTCACCATACCCTTGATTTTAGATTTCCTTGATCTGAGAGGTCATATAAGCGAAGGACTTGAAGAACTCGTCTTCCATCTCCAGATTTAATATGAGAGAAAGGAACTCCGACGGGGCCAGGGACATGAAGTTAGGCAAGAATCTCGGTACCTGCAACCGTGCCTTAGTATATCGTGCTGCCGCCCAAAGCCATATTCGGGTTGATAAGGGAGGTACCAATAGGCGAGTGACCAATGGGCATTAATCATGAATCATTACGTGCTCTCAGAGTGAATCTAAATTAGAGCCGAAAACAACCACCATTTTTAACGCGTGGTTTAGAAGATCCCATTCAAACCCGGGGAAGCCCCAATGTGCCGACGATCGGGACGCTGATTGGTGATGCCGGGCGGGCCTATGGGGTCTCATCGATGGCCCCACGGGCCGGCGTGAAGGGCTCCGGTATCCCCAGTGGAGCCCTGGTCCAACGACACATGCGGGCACTGTGAGCTCTAAGTGGCCCCGATTATCGGAACTACTGCAGGGAGGTTAAAGCCAATTCCTCTTAAAGTTGTATTACCTTCTCCAATAAATGTCCCAAACATATGCACTTCGCCTGCAATCAGGTGCCCCGCTTTGATAACGCATTAATCAAATGGATGAACTCGGGTGTCGATCCGTTTGGGGTGATCCATAGTACCCTCAAGCGGATCCTTCTTCAATAGTGGAAACTACAGAGGTAGTGGTGACTTCCCCAGACTATAGTACTTTGCCGTCGATTGTATGTTCCGAGTACTTGCCACTTGCCCTCCGTAGCTGCTTCGTCTAAACCCCGCCAATTTCGGTCTCATGGCCTCCCCACCCATGTGTTATGGTGATAGGATGTGGTCGATGCGCTTCCCCTCGTGATGGGGCGCATGCTATCGGCGTTTTCGGACAGGCGTTGTATATGAATCTTTCCCTCGTGCTCCCCCGCTGCTTTCTTCACACAACTATTTCGTGTGCCTCACTTCAATATGGACTGGTTACATCTCTACATCGGCGGAGCTGCGCTCCTGGTATTTGCCCTCGTTGCATTGGTCCTCCTCATTTCGTTCCAGCAAGTCAAGGTAAACATGGACCAGGGTCCATTGACTTACGTGAAATTTATCTACGCGAACTTCCTGAAGCCTCACGACAAGTCCGGATCGGGTCAACAGGATGCGCTGGAGAGCTTCTACAGAACACAGGTGCGCCCCCCTCCAAGCAACAATGAAACTGGAACAGAAAGCTCACCTGGTACAGGCCACTGTCTACGATGCGACTCGTCGCCGTCTTCTCCAAGGTCGCGAGGATATGCTGGGTCTCGTGGCGGCGCAGTTAAAGCATAAGGTTGAGAGCAAAGAGATCAAGGCTGGAAAGGCAGTCTGGGTGGATGTGAGTTTTGGGACTTCAAAATCCGCCGCGTCAAAAGCTAACCGAATCTTAGGTCGGCGGCGGCACTGGGTAGGAACAGTGAAGAGACATTTCTTGAAGATCAAGACTAACCAGGTGGCGTTCGCAGATACAATGTCGAGGCCATGTCAGCTTTCGTTCCCGTGGAAAAGTTCTTCGATCAAGTCTACATTGTGGATCTCTCGCCCTCGCTCTGTGATGTTGCTCGCAAACGCTTTGAGCGCCTTGGATGGAAGAACGTCACTGTCCTTTGCCAGGATGCCCGATCTTTCCAGCTGCCCGAGCGACAAGCCGAACCGCGGAAGAGTGCTGCTACAACCGATCGCGCCGACGTGATCACCATGAGCTACAGTCTTTCCATGATTCCAGGTATGAGAAGGTACTCAAAATTCATGGAAATCTGATCTGATCTTAACATCTTCTAGACTACTACAGTGTTGTGGACTCTTTGACCTCGCGCCTCACTCCTACTGGTGTTCTCGGTGTTTGCGACTTCTATGGTACGTAATTGCAGAAGGTGCTAGGTGTTTGTCAATTAACAGCCAGGATAGTTCAAAGCATCGTGGATGTGTCCTCCCGCAACTACACTGGTGGTGCCTTCAACCGTCACGTTAACTGGCTCGGCCGTGTCTTCTGGCGCGCATGGTTCGATTTTGACCGTGTTAGTCTGGAAGCTGCTCGTCGTGACTACCTTGAGTACAAGTTCGGAACCGTGATCTCGGCCAGCGACCGCAATTATCTTCTAGGTGGTATTCCCTACTACATCTTTGTTGGTTGCCCTAAAGAGATCGCTGCCACCCCGTCCAGCCAAGCTGCCATCGAGAAGCTCGATGCCTCGTTCACCGAGTCTCCTTACCTGTCCCCTGCAAACCACCAGTCGGAAATCAGCCAGGCCGTCGAGCAGAGCACTAGCGAGATTCGCTCAAAGGCCTACGAGTCTGCTGTTATCAACCTCAGTGCGAACCTGCCTCTCCCATCTTCTTTCTACCAGAACCACCACTACCGAATCCACTACAACGACATGCTCCCAAAGCACACCCAGTTCCAAAATGAGTACATCTATGCCTTCACCTGGGAAGACCCGCGTGTCGACCACCGCCTTTTGAACATTGGTCCCGACGATGTGATCCTGGCTATCACTAGTGCTGGTGACAACATCCTCGACTACCTCCAGAAGAATCCCCGACGTGTGCATGCGGTTGACTTGAACCCTAACCAGAATCATCTCCTGGAGCTGAAGGTAGCCAGCTACCTTGCCCTGGGCCACCGCGACACATGGAAGATATTCGGCGAGGGCAAGCACCCCCAGTTCCGCGAGCTGCTTATCTCCAAAATGAGTCCTCACCTGTCTAGCCAGGCATTCCAGTACTGGCTCGAGCACAGCCATGTTTTCACATCCAAGTCTGGAGCCGGTCTCTATGAGACCGGTGGCTCACGCCACGCCATTCGCATGGTTCGTTACCTTGCTAAGATGTTTGGACTGGAAGGCGAGATCCGCAAGATGTGCGAGGCACAGACCCTGGCAGAGCAGCGTGAAATTTGGCCGCGTGTCCGCAAGATTCTCCTCAGCAAGCCGTTGAATTGGGCCGTCGTGAGCACCGAGTGGTTCGCGTGGAAGGCTGCCGGTGTGCCCCGTAACCAGCGCAATATGATTGTGGATGACTTCTTCAAGCGTAACGGATTGAACTCCGACATGAAGCAGAGCAAGGATGTCAGCGGCCAGTCGATCTGGGAATATGTCGTGGACACTCTTGATCCCGTGGTCAAGGACACCCTTCTCAGCAACGACAACTACTTCTACTACCTTTGCCTCCAGGGGAAGTTCTCGCGCAGGTCAGTAACACCTAAAACGCATACATGGAATTGAAAACTAACCTACCTCAGATGCCACCCGACTTACCTGTCTCCTCAAGCCCACGTCAAGCTTTCAACACCCGGTGCCTTCGATGGTCTTCGCATTCACACCGACGAAATCAATGAAGTGATCAACCGCATCAAGCCTGGTACATTGACTATCGCTGTGGTTATGGACTCCATGGACTGGTTCGACCCCACCGAAGACGCAGCAGCCGCTCAGGCCCGTCGTCTCAACCACGCTCTCAAGGTCGGCGGCCGTATCCTCCTTCGTTCCGCCAGCATCGATCCCTGGTACATCAAACACTTCGAGCAGAACGGTTTTACAGCTCGCCGTGTTGGCGCCCGCTTCCCCGGCACATGCATTGACCGGTAAGTACTAAGTTCGACCTCTTTATCTTTTTCAGATCCAAACTAATATATGACCAGTGTCAACATGTATGCCTCCACCTGGATCTGCACAAAGCAGGAGGACGCCGTCCGTCCCAAGAACGGTCGTACAATTTCCGCGCTCTCCCTCAGTGACATCGCTGCCGCGACAGTGAAGCGCTCAACTAGCGTTGAGGACCTACAGATCTAAACTTACGCCTGACTTCCATGACCTCTTTCTTATTTTTTAATGACTACCCCTTCTGTTTTGAGCTTGATTTTATTGTTACCGCACATACGGGTTTATGGCGAGTGTGGCGCCGAGGCTGATATCCCAAAATTTGATCTTTACGAATGGTTCCTGTGAATAGAAGCGTCTCAAAAAGAGAATAGATAGCTCTTTTATGTATTAGCCAGTATCAGATCATTCGTTCAAATATACGAATAGAATGCAGTTGAGTACTTAGCAACGAAAACAAAGCAATATCATCAAAAATTCAAATCCAACATTGTAAGCCAGTATTTACTAGGCTCAAGTCTAATAATCATATTTCACAGATGAAAGCTAAGAAGAACACGCACAGATAATAACAGATGAAAAACAGAACAGCGCCTCTCGTAGAGAATATGGATTACAGGATTTCATCAAGACAAGGCCGACACCCAAACGTCCTTTTCGTACCCACGCTCAATCGCTCATGATATCCATCACGTCTCATCCGTAAGAAAGCAGTAGCTTTCAGGACACATACACACATAACCAATGACAACACCTCTTTTGGCCCAATAGGTTTTAGGTTTCCCATGTGTAATTGAACCGCAGAGGCGCGTAAAGAGGAGTCAATTAAGGAGATTTAGCAGAACATTAAACCGGAGTCATGCAATAAGAAAAGTTCGCTTCGTTTCTGCTTTATGACCGTCCGTAACGAGTCTTGCCAAAAGAGAAAGGCACGTAACGGTACTTGATCATGTGCTGAATCTGGCGACGCATCGTCAAGACGAAGAGGATGATCCAGTATACAACCAGGACGGGCCAGAAGACTGGGATATCGAACATGGAGAACCAGCTGCATACGAAGCCGATGGTGATGGCGCGGGTGGCCGAGTGCCAGAACTTGAATTCGGGGAGACGGCGGATGAAGGGCCGGAACTCGTCGTCTGACTTGCTGGGAAGGCTGGGACCAGCATCGCCGTCTTCGAGTCCTTCATCTTGGGTGAGGGAGGGGTCGAATTTAGGAGTCAGGAAGGCGAGGAACAGGTTCAGGAGGTAGATGCCGAGTGTGTAGGCGACTGTTGATATGCAATTCGTTATTAGCTTTTGGTTCTTGGTTGTGTGTAATTTTCGTGTTTGCCATTGCCATATAGAAGCAATCCCTCTTATCGCAAGCGGAGAGTCGTCGCAATGGTTTCCTTCCATCAATGGCAAACGAGGAGAAACGTACCGATATACCATCCTTGCGCGAAGACGATACGCAGGAAGAACATCAACAGCAGAACTGCGGATCCGACCCAGCGGTAGGTGGCATAGGGAGTCGAGGCATCGAGATAAGCTTGGTAGTGCTGTTACAGTCTCGCGTTAGTACTCAGGTGTTTCGTCTGCGGGATACTGGGACCTCCGGGGTCCGGGGAGGCAAGCCCCTCATGAACACTCACTCTGGTCAGTTTAGATGTGTGGGCGGTCACCGCAGTGAAGGGCGACTGGTCTGGCTCAGGAACATCCATTTTTGCGGGGAGGTGTGTAGGGGAGAAAAGTAGAAGCCCGATGGAAGTCGCAGATCGCAATGCTGAATGCGTTGTTTCTGGAAAACAGACGCAAAGTGTCCCCTGGATGTGCACCAATCAGCGTTGCGATGACCCCAGGCGGCAGCCACTGACATCTCATGTGACTTGTGGCTATGCTATGTTTGATTATGTAATGTGTTGAATGCAGACAGTAGCTTAGTCACCAAGACACATGAATTGGAGTGCTGACCGCCTTCCTGTTTAAGCACGCGAAGCTGGTAGTTATGATGTTGATATAGATCTCGTTGAAAGAGTTTTAGTATGAGATTGATATTACTGGTGTGGATAATAAGTTTAAATTTTACCTATCAAACCTATAAGTTCTTTAGGAAGACAAAACTGGACTTAAGTTGAGGATTGGTCCCTTAATCACGGCCTTTGCCTCGGGACGGTTAACTTCGGTCCCCAATTCGGGGTTGCGGGGACATCTACATCATAATAAGTCACCTCCCTTTCACAGCTCTCCGAACCCCAAGTTATACTCCCACTTCTATTCTAAAACATACCTAATAAGAAAACAAGCATCATGTTTGCGCGTCGCTGTGCCCGCCTAGCTACCTCCCGGACAGCCGTCCCATTGACCTCCTTCCTAGCTCGAGCACGTTACTCCACCGGGCCGAGCTATGAGCACATTCTCGTCTCGACCCCCAAGCCCGGTGTTGGCATGAGTGAGCAACCCCTAAACAACAATTTCAACTAGGGAAAAGTACCTAACAGCTCAATTAGTTACCCTCAACCGCCCCAAGGCCCTGAATGCGCTCTGCAGCCCTCTCCTCGTAGAACTGAATGATGCATTGAGCAAGTACGACACAGACAATGATGTCGGCGCAATCATTATTACAGGAAGCGAGAAGGCTTTTGCTGGTATGCATGAGCGCCCTGATTGAATCGTTTTACCTGATCATACGCACATATCTAACGAATAACCCACAGCTGGAGCCGACATCAAAGAAATGGCCCCCCTCACATTCGCATCGGCATACACCAACAACTTCATCGCTCCCTGGTCGCACCTAGCAAACAGCATCCGGAAACCCGTCATCGCCGCCGTATCAGGCTACGCCCTCGGCGGCGGCTGCGAGCTTGCATTGATGTGCGATATTATCTACTGCAGCAGCAACGCTACATTCGGACAACCGGAGATCAAGCTGGGTGTTATTCCCGGCGCGGGTGGATCGCAGCGTCTGACTGCGGCTGTGGGCAAGAGTAAGGCTATGGAGCTGATCCTGACAGGCAAGAACTTCAGTGGAAAGGAGGCTGGCGCATGGGGAGTTGCGGCTGAGGTTGTTGAAGGTGGACATCAGGAGTTGCTTGATGTTGCATTCAAGACCGCCGAGAAGATCGCGGGCAATAGTCGGGTTGCTACGCTTGCGGCTAAGGAGGTTGTTAATAAGAGCCAGGAACTTTCTTTGAGGGAGGGTGTTGAGTATGAGCGGAGACTTTTCCATGGGTTGTTTGGGAGCAAGGATCAGAAAATCGGTGAGTGGATTTGAATATATCTGGTTGAGTATGGATATGGATTTGGCTAACATTCAATACAGGTATGACTGCTTTCGCTGAGAAGAAGAAGCCTGAGTGGTCGCATGAGTAAATATGCCCGGTGCATATCATGAAACCACTGGTTCCTATGCTATGCTTGGAATGTTGATGGTGTGTCGAACTACTAGAAATATATGCTTGCACTTTCCCATAATACCCCCTGGAGATTTCCTGCTAGCCGCGGCCTGCCGCAGCATTTTTACCTCAGTTATCACCGAAAGCTGCATTTGCCGGCTGAGCATTGCCTGCTGGTGTTCCGACCTTGTACTGCTCGAGCGACCGGTTGATTCCAACAATACCCCAAGCGAAGACAGCCACCTCTCGGATCGTGTCCATGAGGTTCTGCGTCGGAGGACCACCAGAGCTACCGGCCTTAGCCTCTGGTTGGGGAGGAGTCACTGCAGAGCTGGGAGCAGAAGAGCTCGAAGTAAAGTCGGACCCGGAAGAGTGGTCGTCTTTGCAAAGCGTAGTTTTCACCTCGGGATACCCCACATTCGGATCGATGTTTTCCTGGGCACGTGGCGCTTCCTCATAAGAGTAGACTGGCTCAGGAGCCCACGGCGCCGCAAAAAGACCATTTGAGTAAACAGGGACCGGCTGAGGTGGCATAGTAGTGCTGGTAGGTATGGGAGCCCGAGCACGACGGAGAATAACAACTAGTCCATCCGATGTGCACGACACAACGGCTTCCAGCTCAAGAGGAGGGATTGGGTCCGAAAATGCGACGAGTCCACGTTGAGCCATTTCTGGATTTTCATCCTGCATGGGATTCCGAAACCAAAATCGCAGATAGGCAATTGAGTCGTTCGCCTTCGCGCTCTCCAAGCATCTTACTGCATCCCGCAGGCAATGCTCTTGGATACAGTAGAAGAAGCTCTTCGAGATAAGCTGGCTCGGACTCAAGCCTAGAATCTCGCTCACGCCGCTCGTAGCGTACATTATAGTCGCAGTGCGAGTAAATCTATTCACGAACATCGCCGCGCGAGGCTCATGAAGTGGCTCATCAAGACGTTGCGAGAACTTGTTGGATAGCCACGTGAGCATGTGATAGCGCGAGTCATTGGGTGAGGAGTCGAAGAGATGGCGGACAATAGGCGCATCAATGGCACGATCTAGAGATCAAACATAAATCAGTAATGCCCACCTGTTTGCAGCGACAGAGGAGCTTACTCTGGGCGCCCTTCCCACGTCCATAGACGGTGGTACTTGCGATCAACACGTCGTACACAACCGTAAAAACACACTCGCATCCGACCCACGATCCATCCTTGTGTCGGATCGAACAGTAGTTCAGCACAGCGGCCTTATCCAGGCGCACGCCCCGACCATGGACACTGCGTGCGAAAGGCAATTCCTGTGGATGGAAGTACTCCCAGCACGAGCGATTCAGCACCTCGTATGGTTGGTATCCAAGCACCACCTGAATACTCTCCGAGGCATATCGGATTGAGGCATCTCTCGAGAGATCTATTCCTTGCGTTAGTTATGACGTTATCCCCTCAGATGGGCTTGCAGAGTGCAGGTCGGGAATGGCTTGCCATGAATTGTGATGAAGGTGGTGTCCATCCTGCAGAAGAGTGGGACCCCCACTAACCCCGCGCGACGGAAGCTTGAAGAGTCTGGGCGACTCGAAAAAATGAACAAAGTTTTCTATCAACGTGGAACAAAAGCAAAATGAAGTCACTGCTCTGAAACCGGTGAGGAGTAAAAGCGGGAAACTTGGCGGAAGGTGTGGTTCTAAACGGCTGTCAACCGTGGATCCGGCACTAGTGGGACAGGGACGATTACGCCTTGAAAGTGGAGATAAAGTAAAGTAATTGAATCATTCTTATTAGGTAGATTAAAGCTAGTAGAGGGCAATGCAGTATGTACATCTCAATAATCATATCTCCCGGTCATGCAAGTGGTGTATGGTGTATGTGGGCGCGCAGTATGTAAAATAAATCTCAAATCATAAACATGAGACACGTCGCATCATTGCAAGCCAGCGTTCTTCTCCGTCTGACTCGGTTCCGTGTGGGCATGGGCATGTCTTTCAGCCCGGTAGTCATCAATGACTTGTCCTTCGATAGTTTCATCGAACACATCGACATGTGTGGTCGCAAACTTGCGAGCGCTAACCTTACGCTCGAAAAGCAAATCCAGTTCGGCAAATGAGCGGCCGCGAGGCTCAGGAATGCGGAAGTAGGCATAAATAACGCACAAGAAGCAGCTTCCACCCCAGAAGAAGCCAGCGTAATTGCCCCAGTCCCAGGCACTAGGGTTCAGCATATACGGTGTTAGGACACCACAGATGATGGCCACAACATTGTACAGGCAACGACCAAGAACGACCGTCTTGATTTGCAGACGGCGGGTCGATATTTCGGCGACTAGGGAGTAACAGACAGTGCCGACTGTCAGCTGGTAGAAGAGAGCCCATACGAGCATCATCGAGCCAGTAGCCAAGGAGGCTGCGTTTTTGTGAGCCTCCGGGACGAGCCCGAGGAATCCCATAATCATCAGCATCGTGCAGAGACCGCACAATCCGTACAGAATGAGTGACCGACGGCCAACTCCCCAGGCCATCAGTGCCCAAGCACCGAATGTGCCAACCATATTAATGCCATACTGGCCCATAGCGAAAGAGTAGGAGTTATCCGAGGACAATCCTGCCTGTTCCAAGAAGTAGGTCGAGTAGTTGGAGAAGGTGTTACCGCTGAGATTCTGTAGCGCCCAGGCCATGCAGACAATCTCGGTCCGGCGTCGATCGATACCCTTGAAGCAGTCCAGGTAGCTGGCACCTTGTGTAATCTTAGCCTCCAAAGCGGTTGTATGAACCATCATCGAAATCGTCTCGTCGGGATCAAAGTCGGTTGTGCGATCCTTGCTCGTCAATCGCTCAAGGGCATGCTTTGCATCCTCCGTCCGTCCTCTCCGAACCAGCCACCAAGGAGACTCGGGCGCCAGCCAGATACCAATAAATAATGGGACGGGCCACATCCACTGCAGTCCGTAGGGAATTCGGTAGGCCCACTGGTCATCCCGATTCAGCATTGCCTTGATAACGCCAATTCCAATCAATTGGCCAACACCCCAGCAGAAATTAACATAGGTTGTCAGGTATCCACGTAGCGCGACGGGGCACACCTCGGAGGCGTACGTGACGGTCAACGTCTGGAACACGCCCCAGGGAATACCACACAAAATCTCGGCAGCCAAGAGTGACTGAATATTCGGGGCCGTGAAAAAGATCGCCGTCCATGCGCTCACTAGGATCAAACACGCCATGATGGTGTACCGATATCCAAACCGTTCCGAAGCCCATCCGTTGATGAACAAGCCAATGATTTCGCCGACAGAAGCACCGTTACTAAGACCCGATTGCCACTAAAGACCCCTCAATGTCAGTTCCCAACAGAGAAGTACCTGCCCAGAGACATGGCCATTGGATGGAAGCAGGGAGAGACGATCTTGACTTACCGAAGCCGACACTTCATATTTCCCATTCGATTGCAATGTACCATATTTCTTATTAAATTGCGGGAATGCATAGAAATTGTTCACAAGACTGATGTCGTATCCTTCCATGACAATGCAAGTCGAGATGAGGACACTCCACGCGACGGCCTTGGGATACAATTTGATTCCCTGCATCAGGGTCATGTTCTGCTCCTTCTCCGTCGCCGCTTTGGCATTCTGAATGACCTTAGTCATAGACGAGTCCGAACCTGGTCCGTCCGTAGAGTGGTAGTGCCGTAAAGCCTCATCAACAGGATCAATGGCATCCTGAGCCTTGTATTCAACCTTGCCCGCACCAGAATAAGGAGGCACGGGACCTCCCGCCGAAGCGGCGGCCTCGTGCACTTTGTCCTCGGCCATTCTGCAACGGTCGTAGAGTGCAGAGGCACAGAAGGCGGGTGGGGTGGAAGTATTGAGGGGGTAGAGGGGGGTTGTTCGGGGGGAAGTCGAAAAGGGTGTGCTTCAAGAATCGGAGCCGCGGAGGCCTGCGGAGTTTCAAGAAAAAAACTGTAACGTACCCACCCGTGGAAACATCACACACCAGCACTCAGGGGTTGCGACAATGGACTTCCCCGGGTAACTTCAACCATAGAATTGGCTAGAATTTACAATTGAGGCTAGACAGAAAAAGACTAGAGACAGACTTTTGCGGGGGAACACGGGCTCAGGCCTATAGATTCGAATTTTCGCGGGATTGGACGCTTGGCGGAGGCAAAAGAAGGGAACCGTGTATGATTGGATCTTTTGTTGTTTTTCCCCCTTTGCCACAGAAAGTATCTACAAATGTCGGTCGGTTGTACCTGTATAGAGATACGAAAAGCTTAACACTGAATCGGAAGATAAAATAGAAGCTTGTATCTCGCTCTGCCATGTGTGCTCACATATCACGGGCCCTTGCATACTTGCCGCTTTCGGAGATGGTCCGTGCATATGGTAGAGTTGCAACATCTGCACTGCTACACTTTAACTTTCCTAGATCCGGTGACCGTCTTTAGACTTCGTAAAATAGACCTCTTCCAAGGGTTCATGCATATCTGTTCTCGCCGTAATCCACACGCAACAATTACCCGAACTTTATCATAACAATTGTAACAACATCCAATTATTCGCTAAATGCTTTCGCTTTTGATAGATAAGGTTCTCACTATTTTCATTTCGGAAGAAGTAATGGATCCTTGATTAACCGCTCCATATCTTGCGCCCGGATATGCACCGACACATCAACCCCATTATGTGTCCAACTCCCGCCCAAGCCATCAACATCCTGCGGAGGTGGCGCCTCCTTGATGAGAACACATCCATCTAAGTCCGGTATAACGCCCTCGGCATACCTAATATTGGGCGACTCACTCAGCCCAAAATCAACATCATAAATACCCGCTCGAGCCCAGCTCGTAACAAGAAGATGTCGGGAACCAAGAAAAGCCTGCCAGATCCGCTGCGGACACGTCTCATAAGCCAAGCTATGTAGGTGTGCAGCAATAGCAGCTGGCTGGGTCATCTGGTTAACAGTCTTGCGAATGCTCTGGGAAACCTCCCGCATCCGCTCATCTGCAGTAGTCTTGGATGATGCGAGTTGCGTCCCAGTCATTTCGATATTCACCATCATGCTCGGTGATCCAACGAATCGCTCTTCGAGATGAAGGGCGGGTCGTAATCCGAGAGTGAGGTCACAATGGATGGGCCCCGAGTCTTCGTGTTGGTTACGGGCCCGAGCGATGCAGGACCATATATGTGCTAGAACTGTATCGTGGCGGCTGATCCGAAGGGCCCCACTCTCTTGAGGACTCCCTTTGATTGCGGAATTCCATATTATTTCCACCTGCTCGTAAGTAAGGTGGATAACGTAATGGGAGACGGGTGATTCAGAGTCCCATTCAGACCAAGGCATGGAGGTGCCGATCGGGTGGATCTCTTGCGATCTATATGCCTCGGGGATGACTGCTTCCCAGGGACAGCCGACTGTGGAGATCCACCAGTCGTAGCGGTGCAAGGGGAGAGTTGCGGCTTGTTTGAGAATATTCGGGTCCGGGGTATCTGCATTGATATCTGCGGCAGCAATAGAGTCGAGTTGATCTGGTTCGAAGATAGGCTCTAACAGTGGAGCAGGCGGGATTGAACCCGACAGAATCCAGCGGCTAATGGTCGCCCAGTCCTTTACAAAATGGACAAGTGATGAGATGTCGCCCAGGGGGTGTCCCAGTTTCGCTGACAATGCAAATGCCCCGCAGGCTAAATGAGTGATTTGAACAGCCATCAAGGGTGGGAGAACGCCGGCTACATCGGGAAGCCTAGGTTGAACAGCATTGGCGACTGCAACTGAGGGCACCAGGTCATCTAGTGAAACTTCTTGTCGATTATATATTGGGTGTTCTAACGGCCTTGAAGCCGGACATAATGTATCCAGGGTGGCCGTACTCTGGGCAGTAACGAATTCAACACCCGAATCCGAAGATGTGCCATAATGAACATAGACTCGGCCATATCGGCGCGCATGTCGAGCGAATTTTGCGGTCTCCGCCGGCAATTGAGACGGATCAAGAGACATGATGCTCCTCAGATGACCCGTCCACTGGGGATATGCGTCGAGAGCGGCTCTGAGCGATTGACGAAAGTGGCCTGTTAAGTCAAACCCATCTCGTTGTGTATCAGGCTTTTCCCAGAGCCAAATGGCACACGACGTTGAGAAGTTCACTGTTGTTGCATCTATCAATGACAACGCCACACTATCTTCCATCGGCTTGGTTTTCGGGAAGATCCTCTCCGACATGACTCGGTGAACTTGAGTGGAACTCATGTTTCAATGGATTCTCAGTAAAGAACTTTTCCCCTTTGATGTCTTCGAAACAGAGCAAAGGGCAAGAAAGCCTAATAAGTAGGCCAGCTTTAAAGCTTGGGTCTTCCCTTACAGAGTAACCTTAAGTGCCACCGATAACCTCGGAGGAAAAACACAGATGTTATACATACGATATTCCATTACACTGTTCACTCTGACTCTATCTCAGTAAAGCAGTTACAATCACGCTCATTGATGAGCAATTGAATGAATGTTATAAGGCGATAAGAGTGGATCTATTATTTTCTCGCATCACTATTGGTCAAGGCTGAATGACCACGTCTGACTCACCATGAGCAAAGCTGCCAATTTATCCACTCGTGTAGATATGCGTCCATGTTCCGAATAGAAAGTCATACACCTATATTTGATGCAAAATGAAACCGTGTATGTAGTACTCCCCGGGGCCTTTTGTATAGCTAATGATCACATGGCATTCATTGTCTGTAGATAAGGACCAACGAACCAGCCACGCTAACTTTCCAAATCACGTTGGACTGAAATCTTGAGAATTGTCATCTCAAAGTGTCTTTATTGCTAAATTTATTGTAGGAAGTATCAGAGGCTGTTAGGAAGCATTACTCATGTTATCTCATGATACAACGGTTTATCTGATGGACTCAGAAATGCGTCGAACAATGTAGGATGATCTACAAATCTTGCGATAGAACGGACAAGACAGAAACTTCATGTCAATATGCGGTATTTATCTTGCGCGATCTCAGAGGATACAGATTCTATTGAACGAAGGCATACCTGCAGATGCTCGGGGACAGAAGTCTTTTGAATAAAAATTAAATCCCACCCGGTGTTGTGGTAGCTATGAGCCTCTTCCGTCCCGCCTTTCGATCAATCAAGAGCAGAATGATCTTCTCTGCATCTACTTAGCCAGCCGAAGCGACCTCTTTGCTTTTCTTTTTCCATCACAGACGTCATCCTGCCTGTGTCGATAATTTTTTCTCTGTTCATCGTTGATGATGGATTTCTAAGACGGCAACGGTTGAGTAGGTCCCATTGATCCTCATCTGGCCTGACAGCTGCATCGTGAATCTTAGAAATGAATATGTGATATCGTCTCATCGTTCTGCCACATTGCGGCCACAAAATCGTCAAGGAGAGTGGCGCTATAACCATCCTGCTCTGAATGGAGGCATCTTGCCATTACCCGGCCGAGCTGGTAATATCCGACTCATCTTGAATCGCATATAAAGCATCCGACATTCGACTTGACCTATTGGGGAGACTTTGTTCGTGTCGGCCATTACATTCATTTTTCTGCCGTCACTAACACGGAGACTGTCTGGATGGAGGTTCCTGAAGAGACTGGACCCAGTGCAATTTTCATTTCTGATCACCGTTCTACGATTAATACCAATCTACATATGACAAAACTAAACTTGAGTTGATGGTCGATATCAAAGGCGCTGGGCCACAAGAATCAAGCATTTACGCCAATCGGGGAGCATCCCACCGGCTATCTTTGATCCAATCATACCCCGGTCGTGCCATAGACCCATGCTTGTTCCCGACGGGGCTCCGCATAAGATACTCATTTGTGATCAACACGCGTACCCTCGCGATAAACATAAGTACTTCCCCCGCCCTCAACTTCTCACCTTACTTCGCCTTCTCTCTTGGAAAATCTGCAGGGGCTTGCTGGTCATGTATTCCGACGACGACGGTACTGCTTCAAGAGAGTCAGAGGCAGCTTACTGGGCCCGCATACGTAACCTTATCGCATTGACATCTCTATTGTCATGGATGGGGTTTGGGGCTGCTCTTCTGAGCAGCGATTTTACGATCGCGGATTTTACCATGTATCGACCAACATTCTGGGCTAAGTTTCTGTGGGCAAGTTCACTTTGAAGAAGATTCTATAATCAAGCTAACTCGACATCTAGCCTCTGCTTTCAATGCACAGCCTTCGTTCACACTGGATTGAGAATCCAATCAGTCTCTATGCTGCTGGGCTAAGGGGATCGCTAATTTCCGTTGCTATTCTTGCTACGCAAATCCGCATCAGAGCCTCGGACAACGACGCGCCAGTCTGCGATTTATCAGTATCATCATGTCAAATATATATCGCGATTCTCTTGGCAATTTTACAGCTGCTGTATCCTCGCCGACCGAACCTTTTCACATCAGAAGGGGATTCCGTGGATTATGAGAATAGCTGCTCGGCCACTCAAAGATACTCAATGCAGTGGTGCTCAGGTGCCCTTCGCATCGCTGGAGATAGCCTTGGACTCGACAAAATGCCGAAACTGGATTATCGAAGCAAGTCCAAAACCCAGCCATTGATCAAAGATTTCAAAACCTCACTGTGGAATCATATCCTCGCTGAACGGTACCTTGGATTTGTCAAACAATGGACTCTCATGCTTGTGCGGTCTGTAATTACTTTTGGCTCTCCTTACTGCATCATGCAATTGATCAGATGCTTGGAAACAAAGGGCCCAACAAATGCTGCTTGGATTTGGCTGATAGGCATTACAGCCTCCTCTATATGCGAAACTGTGATCCATTACCATATGGCTTGGATTCAGTGGTCTGAGATGGGAATTCCGATTCGCGCACAATTAATCATGGCAATCTACTCGAAAGCACTGAGAGTCCAAGACAAGGATACTGGCGACAAACCCGCAGCAATAAATCTCATATCTTCTGACTCCGTTTCCTTTAGCAAGTTTACGGCGGTGAACTACATGCTACCCTTTTCGTTTGTCAAGTTCTTCTTCGCGCTAGCATTTCTGATGAAACTGCTTGGATGGAAGAGCACCTTGGTGGCCATGGTGGCAACAGCGGGGACTGTACCTATTCATACATGGGTCGTTAAGAACGTGGGAGCTTCGAAAAAACGACTGACAGTGGCAAGAGATAGAAAGACAAAGGTAGTTTCTGAAGGTCTTCATACACTACGCCAGATCAAATTCTCGGCCACGGAGACGCAATGGGAAGACCGTATTGACGCGTGTCGTCGCGAGGAGCTAGAAAAGTTGCGTGAGACCTTCATCGCCATCAATATTAGATCTGTATGGAAGGTCGCGTCCCCTTTCATAGTGGCTGCTGCGGCAATTTGCAGCTATGCATATACGGAATCCAGTGTCTCTTCATCCATCATATTCACGGTAATCGAACTATTGCCTCACCTTCAGGGCACTTTGGGTCTACTTCCCGTGGTATTCCAGGACTACTTTGGTGCTCGGGTCAATGCGCAGCGTATGGATGTTTACTTAAAAGAGCCTGAATTGGAGAAGAACCTGGATCCTAGCCCAACGGGATCTGTCGTTTTCCGAGATGCATGCATTGCCTGGCCCTCTGAGAAACAACCAAAGAATCAAGAGAAGTTCGTGAACTCACCTGATCATTTCGTTCTTCGTGATGTTCACATTGACTTTCCCACCGGTGAGCTGAGCATCATCCACGGAGAAACCGGCTCAGGCAAAAGTCTATTACTCTCAGCGATTCTTGGAGAAGCGGACCTTCTTCGTGGTCGCATCGAATCACCAGCGCAGGAACACCCCGTTGCATTTGTTTCCCAGACTCCATGGCTACAAAATGCTACAGTGAAACAGAACATCCTGTTTGGGAGCACTCTTGACGAAGACAGATATCAGAAGGTCCTAAGAGCCTGTGCACTTGAAACCGATCTTGCTGCTTTGACCCTTGGGGATGAAACTTATATTGGTCTTCGAGGCGTGAAACTCAGTGGAGGTCAAAGGGCTAGAGTAGCACTTGCCAGGGCTATTTATTCACGGGCCAAAGTAATGGTCCTAGATGATATTTTCGCCGCTCTTGATTCTCATGTTTCTCGTGAGATATTCGCAGCGCTGACCGGCGAGCTCTGTCGCGGTCGCACAAGAATACTCGCAACCCATCATGTGTCTCTCTGCCTGACGAAGGCAAAGTATGCTGTTGAGATTCAGGAGAAGACTATACGCCATGCCCGCGCCATTGAATCAATTGAGCAGACAGCGTATGAATTGGAGTCAAACAGTACTTTGCTAGACTCATCAGCTGTGGAGAAACCAAAGAAGTCAGTCAACCGCACACCAAAAGCTAAAGGTGTTGTGCAACAGACGGAATTCGAAGCCTCGAAGACTTACCTCATGAACGCCGGGGGCCTGTTTTTTGTTACTATCTATGTGCTAGGTCTTGTCGGTAAGCAACTTGTGATGGCATCGACAACCTGGGCTCTTTGCCGAATCAATTCGGCACGTCTAAACATCAAAGCCGACGACTTAGTTGATGGTAAGGGAGTGGCTGTACAAAGCCACCTATATCTCTACCTGCTAGGATCTCTAGCCGCTGTCGTGATGGAATTCCTCTTCAATCTCCACATGTACTCTGGATCCCTACGTGCCTCGAAGGCTCTGTTTCGCAAAATGACCGCAAAGGTCATCCGCATGCCCCTTCTATGGCTCGATACTACCCCCGTGGGAGAACTGCTCAAAAGATTCAATCCGGATATGAGAATGGTTGATGACTTTCTGCTAGAATCTGTGTCTGAAACTAGTGATAGTTTGGTGAAACTGATGATTGTTTTATGCGTTGGGTAAGATTGATATATACCCCATAACGACAGTCAAGACAAATGACTGACTCACCCTTCGTATCTAGAATATACAGTTCTCTCTACACAAGCTGTTTGACGCTTGGTCTTCTATACTGGTGCTTTCAAGTTGCCAAGAGATATAGCAGAGCCCGAAAGCCGTGCAAGCTCGGTGAAGCGGAGAGCAACGCTGAGATACTAGAATATTTCACTACTTCTGCGTCCGGTGTTTCGACCATAAGAGCATTTGGGGTAACAGGCCAATTCATGGATCAAATGCATTGTCGAATTGACAAGTTGTCGACCGTTCGTCGGCACTTCTGGATCTTCAACCGTTGGCTTGGTCTTCAAATGTCACTCGCGGGCATTCTGTTTACTACAGGGACTGGCATTATCCTACTGTCAAACAGATTCACTTCCATGATGGACGCGTCTCTCGTGGGGTTTACCCTTACATTTTCGATGGGATTCTCAAAGGCTACATTCAATGCTGCCAACAGTTTTGGAATGCTGGAAAGATACATGGGGTCCGCTAGCAACATTGTTTCGTATTCGGAATTAATAACCGAGCGCCAAGGTGGCAGCGAAGTCGCAGCAGACTGGCCACCTCATGGGCAAGTCAAAGTCGAGGGCTTGAGCGTTGCCTATTCGTCCAGTCTTCCTCTAGTCCTGAAAGACATATCCTTTTCCGTGGATGCTGGCCAAAGAATCGGAGTTGTCGGTCGCACTGGAGCTGGCAAATCTTCCTTAACTCTCGCGCTTCTCCGATTTATGGATCCTCAATCTGGTTCAATATACATTGACGGAATGGATATTTCGACAATAAAATTGCAGTCGCTTCGATCCAAGGTTGGGTTTATTCCCCAGGATCCGGTCCTTTTTTCAGGCACCATTCGATCGAATCTTGATTACTTTAATCAATTTCCGAAAGAGAAATTGAACGAGGCTTTGCGGCGTGTGAAGCTTCTTTCTGAGGAAGGTCAAAAGGAGTCTGGCTCATTCCCTCTGGACTCACAAGTCACTACAGGTGGGACGAACATGTCGCAAGGTCAACGACAACTCCTCTGCCTTGCCAGAATCTTGGTCCGGGATCCAAAGATCGTGATTCTTGATGAGGCTACATCATCGGTTGATGACCAGACGGACGCATTGATTCAAGATGCCATTCGAAACCAGCTTAGTCGGACATTGATCGTGGTCGCGCATCGTTTGCGCACCATCGCGTCATTCGACAAAGTTATTGTGATTAATGAGGGAAAAGTTGGAGAAATTGGAACACCAGCGGAGCTTTTGAGTATGAAAGGGTTGTTCTATGATCTAGTTCAAGAGAGTGAGGATAAAGAGTTTGTGACTAGGGCTGCATTTGAATAGATAATACAAGACTGAGTGAATAGATCGGAAACAGTGATCTGGAACCACTAGATCTTATGAAATTAACTAAATTTTATTTTTTGGCTGACCCGTACTCATAATCGATATGAACCAATGATGTAGGCCCGTCGTTCCTCATTGCCTAAAGCGACTAGCGCGGTATCGGCATCATTATCTGCAAAGTGTAGCAGTATAGACGATGTGGGGCAGGCGGCCTCGTATTATCTTGGAAATGAAGAATTAGGGGCTGAGATCGCTCGAATCTTGGAACGATGGACAAGGGATAAAACCTAGAATGCTAGTTGCCTTTTACACCCTACAGCTCACTATATGCAATGGCAGTTCTTGACCCCAAGACCAGCAAAGTGTCTCCACTCAACGAAGAATTTGCAAAATTAGTTCAATCAACTTTGAAAAAATGGCATATTCAAGGAGTGGCCATTGCTGTGATTGATGGGGATGAAACATGGACTGAGGTATGATCTAAAACAACTTTCAAAGATCACGTATACTAAAAATCCCAGGGATATGGAGTTGCTGCGTTTCCTGATACTCCAGTTACCCCCGACACTTTGTTCTATACAGGCAGCACGTCAAAGTCTTTCACTGCATCCGCGGCTTCATTGCTGGTCGATGATAAGGAGAAACACCCCAACATCAAGTGGACAACCCCACTAAGCGAACTCATCCGCGACGACTTCGTTGTGCAAGATGAGTATGCAACATCCCATATCACACTGGAGGATGCACTCTCCCACAGAACCGGATTACCCGGACACATGATCTCACTAGGTCGCGAAGGCACAGTCCGCGACGTAGTCCGAAGCCTCCGTCATTTCCCAATGGACAAAGAAATCCGAACAACCTGGCAATATTCCAATGCCATGTTCATCACCGTAGCACACGCAATTGAAACCGTCACCGGCGAATGGCTAGGTGACTTCCTCCGCAAGAACATCTGGACACCCCTGGGAATGAACTCGACTTTCTTCTCCCTTGAAGACGCTAAGGCCTACGCCGCCTCGCACAAAGAAGTGACGCTAGCAAAAGCGTACGGCTCGACTGCGGCTTCGTCCGAGCCAACCGAGATTCCATATTGCGAGGGAACTCTTAGTGGCGCTGGTGCTGTGATTTCATCCGTCCGTGATTACGCCACGTACATTCGGTCGATGATTCGACAGGCGGGTCCGCTTTCTAAATCCGGATACGAAGAGCTTATGAAGCCTCGCGCGTTTGTGCCTCAGATGCTGCCACAGATTACGCAGCAGAGCTTTTACTCGCTTGGGTTGATAATGTCCACTTATCGAGGTGAAAGTATCGTTTTTCATCCCGGTGGCTTGGACGGTATGACGGCTACCATGATATTCTTCCCGAAAAGAGATTGGGGCGTTGCTGTCTTCTCCAATGCGACTGGCCCGGGCCGTGAAGTCCTTGCGTGGCATTTAATTGATGATCTACTAAGTGTCCCGAAGGAAGAACGTATCGATATCTATGACCTGTAAGTCTTCGCGCCGGACTACCTTCAGCACTCTGTTACATTCCTAACAAAGTCCAGAAAACAAAAGAAGATTGCCAAAATCGAAGAAATGCGCTTGACGGCTCGCGAGCGTCTATACCCCTCTGCACCTTCGCCTGGTTTATCACACGCGCTGCCATTGCAAGAATATGCGGGAAAATACACGCACCCCGCCTATCCGGACTTCATAATCAGTCTACGAGGTGACGAAGATTCGGGACTGCACGTTGCTCTATCAGGAAGTTTGAATGTCACCATGAACCTGAAACACGTATCTGGTGAATATTTTGTGGCAGAGATTTTCGAGTACATGTGTGTTCCCGAGCCATCGGCTATCGTGAAGGCTGAGTTTCATATCAGTGTTGCGGGGCAAGTAGATAGATTTGGCGTCATTGCTGATTTCTCGGATATGCCTGATACTACGATCTGGTTTGATAGGGTTCTGTGAAAGACTTTTAGCTATACATGCCATTAATTACGAAATCGAATAAATTAGAATAACGAAACCCAGTCCAAAGTATCCAAAACAACTCAGCTCCATTTCGGGGCAGTGGATTGTCTCTGAGAAGTTCATATAGAAGAAAAAATCTAGTAAGCTATGCTTGTTCATACACATCGGGAAATCCGTAGACGACAGCCAATCAAAAGTTAGCGCGATATTATCCACTCACGTGCTGACATGCACAAAGCCTCTTATTGTCAGATGCGAGGTGTTTTCGGCTCCGAGTCACTTGAAATTATACAAAAATGCAAAAAGAAGAGGCTTGCATCATCCGTGAATCGAACACGGGCCTCGTCGATGGCAACGACGAATTCTACCACTAGACCAATGATGCTAGTTCATGTAGTGGGTCTCACATAATCCACTCTTGTCCCAGACCCAAGGACAGGAATTGACGGTAGTCTTGCATGAGCAGGAATGCAAGGAAAAACCAGCGCACAAAAGTACGCATTCAACACCGTGGAGTACGGCAAGGAAGAAACATAGGATCTACGACAGATGAAGAAGAAATAATGCAAGACGGAAAGGTAGTCCTAATAAGGACGTCAATATTATTAAACTAGCTACATTTCCCGTGTAACTTGCTCGGCAGGAACAACTCCGTTACCAGTATCTTCATCCCGCTTAACATGAATCTTTCCCTTCAGCGTATCAATAGCGCCCGTCTTTCCAATCACGATGCCCTTGTACTCCCGCGAATCGTCCACAGTCTTAACATTAAGGTCCTGAATCAGGAGTGCACTGCCCAACGCAAAGACTTCAAGAATGAGTGCGATCAGTAGCATCAGCCGGAATGTGCTAGTGTATGAGTGGTTGATGGCATTTCGGGTGGGTGAGCCCCAAGGATACCCTGCAGCGACTTCAATGGAACCTTCAATCTCTGCGAGGTCGGCTAGGGCATCGCTGGGGAGATATTCGCGAAGTCTTCGAGGGAGAATAGCTGGGAAACCGTTAATTTGGAACAAGAAGGATAATAAATTTGAATCACATACCAGTCCATACTCCTCCCGCTACCGCTCCGCCAATGGCACTGCCTACTCCAAGTGACGCGGTGAACAAAGCAGTGACTGCGGCCATGTCTGGATATATGTAAGCAGTGAAACTGTGTATCCAAATTAAAGGGTAGGAGTCTTACCATCCTGGTTGACGGCTGCTTGCATGCCAAGCTGCATAGTATTGATGATACCTTGCCCAAAACCAAGGATTAATTGGGAGACAACCAGTGCACCCAAGTGATCGTGTCCATTAATATACTTATAGGACAACCCGAGTCCAAGAAGATTGAGAGCATATCCGGAGACTGTGACCCACTTATACCGCTTTGTATACTTAACCAAGAAAGCCGATGCAAATTGTCCGGGAACAGCGGCAAAGGGAACAAGAATCGCGATGTTTGTAGCGGCTTTAGTGGAAAGTTGAGCGGCAACTAACTCGTATGTGACAATATAGTCCTGGAGAAGGTAGAGTGCCGTGTAATCAATCAATGAGGCTGGCATCGTTAGTATAGTCCACTTCAGTGCGAATTCAAACATACCTGCTATGCCGAAGATTACGGTGCGGCTCTTGAGCAGCCTCATGGACATCATAGGCCAGGGAGCCCACATGATCTCCCACACGACAAATGCAATAAGGCAGACGCAGCCAATCACGATCATAGCGATAATATGGCCGGCTTTCCATGTATTCGCTGTCCTCGCCGCTAGCGTGATAGGCACAAGTAAGAGGGACAGTCCGGCTGCAAACAAGATTAGACCTATAAGATCTAGTTTCTTGATGTTCGCGAGGTGATTGCGAGGCTTGTATGTTCCTTGGGACTTTTGTTGTTTCGTCGCCTTTCGTTTGCTATGGAAAAGAGCCAACGAAAGTGGAATCCCAATGATGGGAATGAGAATCGCGAAAATTCCAAAGCCCCATCTCCACGAGATTTTGAGGACAGATGCCGCGAAGGGACCAGCGATCTACCAAGATTAGCTGAAATCTCACATTGTGATATCTTGGTTTCTATTGCCTACCCAAGCGGTAATGAATGATGGCGCATACGGGATAGCATTCATAATCGCACGATTATGAAGATCGCTCGAATCACCGGCAAAGATCTGAAGCATTAATGTGATTCCTTAACAGTCAGCTTAGAGTCTTGCGCGGGAAAAATAGATCATACCCTCAAGACCGAATACCCAAAACACCTGAGCACCAGCGTAAACGCCTAGACTCGCCGAAGAGGCAAGCATGATCAATCCAATTGTCGTCAGCACTATGCAAAACAGGAACATTTCCAGGCGCCTGTCATTCCGGTCAGTCTCCACTTCATACATAGAAATGCAAACATAGCTGCGTACCCGTATAGATCGGCAAATCTCGCAAGAGGTTGCAGACATGCTAGTATTATGTAAGTATATTACATCTCCAATAGAGCGAGAGAGTAATGAACGAACCTGATGCAATGACAGCTTGTACAACAGCAATTGTGCCCACCAATGGGGCGGAGGTAAAGCCACTCGCCGCATAAGCCGTAAAAGTAGATGATGACTGGTTATTCAAGGTGATGACAAAAGCCATAAGCCCAGCGGAGATCCAGATGACGATCAGACTGCGCAGAGTCCAGTTGCGCTTGATACCGTCCAGATCCGCCAGCCCGGTTCTATCCTCAGTGGGGCTCTGCACGCCAGCCAATCCATCGCGAGCGACCGTGCCCAATTCGGGCGATTTTTCATCCCTATGGGGTTGAGTTTCGGTACTCATGGTACTCATAATCAGCCACTCCTTAACAACCGTGAGTGTTTGAGAACGGACGAACTGACTCCCCAAGAAAGTTCTGTAGAAGTTTATATGCAAACCTTAGCAGAGTCCCGGCATCCCGAAATTCTGGCTTAGTGTGTAGACCTGCAGACTTAGTGCGAAGGCTAACTCGATTTCCAGGGATGTTGTCAGGGATGAAGTTTTGCACGGACGGTCGCTCCGAAATTGCCTTTTTCGGCTCGCTTTGCACTGCTCGTTTGGAAGGTCGGCTTACCCCGCGAGCTGAGACAAGGCTTTGTTCTCCTTTTATTCAGGCTTTTCAGCTCCTTTTGCAGTCTCTTGCGTGGGTTGATTCGTTTTGACCTTTTCTACCAGCACTCTGTTACACTTTTCTGTTCCTTGTTTCTCTTTCCTCTCCGAATTTATTTAAATTCCATGTGAGACATGTGACAGTTAACATTGCATGCTATAGTAGATCTACTACTTTGGCAATGCGACCACATTATTATACATTATCCCTTTGACTCGATCCTTCCCGCAGACCGCCACAAAGAGATCGATATTGCTGCGATAGAATTCCTCCTTTTCTTTGATATCACTGTCCAGCACGGAGATCCGAAAAGCATCATGACCATCTTTTTTCATCGCTATGATTAGACGCATAACGCGTATGACCATTGCCACAGGCATTCCATCTTCAACGGCCCCACCATACTTTCCAAGCTTTCCAATCCAGTCGTATATCCAATTTGACACTCCAATATGGGGGCAGGAAGATGCACAACAGATCAACAAGGAGAGAATGCCAATCTTGAAGGTATGTTTGTATAGGCAGTCTTCCAAATCAAGACCACAAGCAATGCGAAGCAGCAGGCTTTCCCAAGGATAATTCTCTCGGGTGAAGCTGGAGTCGATATGAGGTTGGGCGAACGTCGTCAATCGATCGACCATTTGCTGGGAGCTGGCATGCTGTGCTGTGGCATAGTACGCGTAGTTCATAGCTGCCTCATACGATCGAAACCTTAAAGGCTGGACGTGCAACTCCCCGTCTCTCTCCCCGACCGGCTCAGTGGATGCAGAAGTGAAGGACTCGACTGGAAGCTCTGAGAAATCGAGATGCGCGTGCCAGTCATCCAGGTTTCTCCGGTTTTGCTCAAATTCCTTCAAATATCTCTCTTCAGCGGTGGTGGACTGACCCGGTGAGTCATTTTGTCCACTGACAGAGTCAATGTGCTCGACCAGGGCCCCAAAGGCAATGTGAGATTGTTCCTCCGAAGCTAGCTTGGTTCCGCGACGTACGAAAAACTCCACAATTATGTTTCTAGCGCTGGAAAATGTTTCACAAAGCAACTGTGCAATAGTGTCGGATGATGAACCGCCTTGTTCTAATGTATCTGTCGGATCCCGAGGTTGGATTGAGGCAAGAGGTCGCGATCGGTTGGACCCAATGGTGAGTCTTTTGTTGATTGCCAAGGATCGTGAACTTTTCCAAGTACTGAGCAGTTTGGGGTTGAGTTTAATCGACCCTTCCTTAACGTGGGATTGTGCAGAGCAATGTAATTTGTTGATCAATTCCATCTGCTCAACAGCACTATTAATCGACCCTACATCGATCTCAATATAATAAAAAAGAAGTGAAGTGGCGACAAGGTGGTCGAGGTTGTCGTCTGGGAAACCGTTCACATATTCAGCCAGCTCCCGGATTCCTTTCCCGTAGTACTGGAGGCTTCGATATCGGTGTGTTCGCTCTGGGATGTACAATTCATTATCGCCGGAGCTGATTGAAGATCCAGTATGGGCGAGATGAGCTGCCGATACGGCAAGAACGGCATATTTGAACGGCAGGAATGTAGGGATTGACAGGGTGAGGTCAGCGAAGACTGGGGGTAGAATAGGAGTGACGCAAGTCCTCCACTGCGTAAAATAGTATTCTTCCAATGTGCGAGCATCGGAAGTATCGAAACTGAGATTCTCATCACTATTTTTCATATCATTATTCGGTAAATCTCTTGGCGATACTTCTTGACTGGATGAGTCCACGTGATAATTTGCTGTGTCTTTTATCGATGACTCGGGGGTTTGCGTGTAAGATGTGCTCTCTTCTTCATGCACGGACCCGCCGTCGGAGAGTTCCATGTCATCTATGTTGATACAAGAAATGGCGACTGGTGCCCATTCGATATTGTCGAAAGAGCTAGCTGGACCCTGCTCCAGCACGGTCGGCCTAGTAAATCGGTACCTCACGATATACCCATAGCCGTCGCACTCTAGGCCAAGCCGGACACATGTCTTGCATGACGGCTTGTCCTCATCGCACTGTTATATAACAAGAGTATCAGTTCCTGGTATCTCAAAAAGGAGAAGTTCAGTCTGTACCTTGACGCGCCGGCGCCGACAGGTATGGCATCCCGTTCTGCTACGGGTAATGTTGGTCTTCCTCTCTTTTTCTCTCCCTTCCGGCGTGCCATAGTGGAGGGTCAGCGCTGGCAACTTCTGAGGGATCTTCTAAGTTTTAGCTTGATAAGAGTGGAGCCAGGGGTCATCCATCTGGAAGGATGTTTGAGCGTAAGTTTGAAGGGTCAGCCAGACCCCTAATCGCATATTCTTACCCCCGCGCCCGGTGTGTGGCTTATCACATGACTAGGTAAGCACGAGTCATGATCTTCAGTACTTTTCTCAGCATCACATGCATGGAGGTACTTTAGCATTGCAATGAATATATTTCTGTTGATCAAACTACGTTTAGCTCAATCCATATTTCGGCTGCCCTCACGACCTCTGGTTCGGCTCCTTACCGATGATATTTTCTCGTATTCAAGCGACAACCTTGGAATATATTTTCCATGGTTAGCGCCACCCGTTTTGGTTACCCACTCGCTTAGATAACCTTGAACGTGAATTTCTTTAATCAGATTGAACGTAAAGAATCTTCAATATGTATCTTCAACTCTGGGACTTGCCTCCTATTGGACGCATTGAAGCCTTTGCCGATGGACTAGGCTATACTTGTTATGGAATCTATAGCCCGGGATAGATCTTCTTCCTGCCCTCTTGCCAGCTTTATCCTTAAGTTCGACACATGGATGGCGAGCATATGGCGTGCCATGCGACTATCATTAATTAGCGGGCACTTCCTTCATGTGTCCACGGGTGTAGGTCATGTGCAGATCATTGAAACTAGGCTATGCTATAAGATTCTAAGGTCCTTCAAAAGTGCATGAAATTCTTTGCTCCCAACTCAAAGAATCAACATTGTTAAGATCATATCCTTGTCTATCACTAGATCCCACGCTACACCACAGTGCAAGCTGACTCCTTATGGCGAAAATAACACAATCTACAGTGACGAGGGGAAAAAAGAGTTACCTAGGAGTTGGCTCAGAAGAGGGGTAGTTCGACTTAAAGAATTTATCCCCAGGTAGCCTTTAGCTAAGAGAGAGATCCACACGTCAATGCTGCCATTGATGCTGGCCATTACTTATCATTAATTTGGGGAAGCCCAAACCCCCTCATCTCTACTGTACTTGCTCTCTGATTTCTCATTGTGAACATTGATGGCGTGTACCAAGCTAAGCCGCGATGGTGCAACAGTGGATAGCAATGGCGTGAAGGAGATTCTGGTCGCAGGAATGTAAAGTAATTCCCACTGCCCGTTTTAATGTCACAATAAAACAAAACTATTTTAATCCTGACACTTTTGGTCCATAGATTCTAGACACCGTAATAGCGTGGCCATTCAAAGTTTCACACTTTTGCCTCTATCAAAACCCATAGTCAAGTACTTATTCCGATGGCACCATCATTAGCTTAGATTGTGCTTTGCGGAACAAAATTATGCAAAATAGACATACCTTTTGCGAATAGTCAGTGGAAAGCCACCGACATGCTCTACTCAATAGACTTGGCATTAAATTACACATGCGCCCTTCGCAGAAAATGAGAAAGAAAGATATTAGCTGTTTTATCGTGGGGCTGTAGGAGTCAAAAACACTGATAGTTTACTCAATAGCTACATGCATACGTTATTGTTAGAAATATGAGTGGAGAAGACTACTGATGATGAAGATGATGGCGTTTGACTTCCCCTCACTGCAAATATGGCATCAGGTACTTCTCTCGGTACTAATTTATACTCCATCTGTCGCAATACCAATTGCCAGTGAGCACGGTGCATTGGACGCATGTGCTATATAATAGCAGTCTCCACGCTTTCCAACGGACCTCTTTCAGTGAATTGTACTCGACAATTGCTCTCACTTACTAAAACCAAAAATATGGGCTTTCTACGCAGCAAAGAAGATGCGGACGAGATTGTCACATCCGACGTGAGCAGCAATGAGATCGACCAAGGAAGTCTTCATTACACAGCAGAGGGAGGAGAAAACTCCAACAGGCTCACAATTCAAGAAGCCAGCGGTGCCCCCGTCGAGCAACACAGTCCCCTTGGGTATTCCGTGGGCCCGGTAACTGTGGTATTTCTCAACCTCAGTATGATGATTGGAACCGGCGTGTTCTCGACTCGTATGCACCTCCTAGCTTCATCCAAGCCCCACTCTATACTGACCAATGGAATTCTCAGCATCTGCCATTCTTGAGGGGACCGGGTCATTTGGCCTCAGCTTGATTTACTGGGCCATAGGCTTCTTCATGGCATACAGTACCCTGTCGGTGTATCTTGAGTTTGCTGCCTACTTCCCATCTCGCTCTGGGTCCGAGGTGGTGTATTTGGAACAGTCTTTCCCTCGTCCTCGGTACCTCTTTCCAACCGTCTTTGCGGTTCAATCGGTGCTATTTTCTTTCAGTAGTAGCAATGCGATCGGTTGGTCCACATCGAAAGCAAGAAATGGGGTTAATAATAGTCACTGATAAGTAGTAGTTCTCGCGGAGTATTTGTTTGCTCTTGGTGGTTCAACACCTACATCAATGCAAGAGAAGGGCGTGGCTGTTGCAGCATACACAGTCGCTGTCTTAGGTCTGTTTACCCAAAGTATTGTGAATACTTCAGCACACTAAAGTGTTACTTTAGTCGTGATTTTCCACACCAAGGGGTCGCTCATGCTTTCGAACATTATTGGAGCCATCAAACTCGTGACTCTCATCTTGTTAGTATTTCGAGTATGCGACATGAGTCAAACTCTGATTAACACATCCACTGCTTGTCAGCATCGGAATCACAGGTCTCGTTGTCCTCGGGGGTAATACGTCAGTCAAAAATCCAACTCTCAATTTCAAAAATGCATTTTCCGGCAGCTCTGAGGCAACAGTGTACGGCGCAACTAATGCACTAATTGACATTGTGTTCTCATATTCTGGATACACAAATGCATTCAACGTCGTTAACGAAGTCAAGGTTGGTCTATGTGGTGATTCATTATTCTAACCCGGTGGCTGAGAAATTATCAGAATCCTATCAAGACTCTTCGCTGGAGCGCTCCTCTCTCTCTGGCTGTCACGGCAACCCTATATATTCTGGCCAACATAGCCTACTTCTCCGTTGCGACAAAAGAAGAAATTATAGCGTCGGATCAAGTGGTTGCAAGTATCTTCTTCGAAAAGGTATTTGGAACAGGAGGGGCAGCGTCTGCACTAAACTTTTTGATCTGTCTCAGTGCATTCGGAAATTTAATCTCTGTCCTGATCGGCCAGTCACGAGTACTTCGGGAGTGTGGGAGGTATATCTACCCCAATGTATTGTGATTATGATCTTGGACCTTGGCTGACATCTCTTTCAGACAAGGAGTTCTTCCATGGACTAATTTTTGGACTTCTACAAAACCGTTCGGAACTCCTTTGGGCCCATATGCCTTGAAATGGGCATTGACGATCGTGATGATCCTGGCGCCACCCGCAGGTGACGCTTTCAACTTCAGTACGAACTCTACATGCTCCGTTAGAAAATTTTATGGAACTAACATGTTAAACTCATCTAGTCGTGGATCTTAGCATTTATCCATCCAATCTTTTCCTGTTCATCCTCACTATTGGTCTACTCATCACCCGCCAACGTCGCAAGCGCCTCAACCTAGAGCCAGCAGAATTTCGCAGCTGGAATGTGGCAGTGGGGTTTTCTCTCCTGTCTAACATATTTATGATTGCCATGCCGTGGTATCCACCAAGTACCGGGGCAGATGGTGGTGATGTATCATTTTGGTATGCCACGTACTGTGTTACTGGACTGGCTATGTAATTCCTCAACCTTATTTCCCCTTTTAGCGCATATGCTGACCTGAATTAACAGTATTGGCGTTTGTGTCGTATACTACTACATTTGGGTGTGGCTTCTTCCAAAATGGCGCAAATACGAGCTGCGACAGACAATCATTCATGGAGAGAATGGGATTACAGCACATCGCCTGGTCAAGGTTCCACTTGATAATATCGAAAATTGGGATGCAGAGCACGATGCAAGTGGGCGGTTCAGACAAACTACACAGATAGAGGAGGGCGAAGTGGAACTGAAGCGTGATTAGGTTGGGTGAACTCGACAGCTAGAGGTAGGGGGTCACACATTTGGAAAGAATCAACGACAGGGGACTATGGACCAGGGCGTGGACTGTGCCATTTCACGAGTAAGTGGGCTCTTGGAGTTGAGGCCAGAAAGAGATGTCAATACTTTATAAATGCCTGCTAGAGAATGGGGGGCCGGAACCTATGCGATAGCACTTTGCCTGTCTTCTGCTTAAATTTGCGGTTTTGAGCTTCTGTGCCAGGAATTCTAGTCATGCTTAACATGAGATATCAAGAGTTTAACTTAGCCAATTATACCGTTACAAAAATACAAGGATTGGAGGCATTTAAGGGCACAACCAGTCAAGCGGGCGGTGCAGATATGGCCCCGCACCACCTGCTTTTTCTCCACCTGCGGGGCTGATCCTACTACTTCAATGAATATTCGTTTGAAGCTGCGAATTTCTGCTTCCAGATACTACCTTGGAGGCTAATCTCCATATAGTTAGGAAGGGTGGTGTTATTGTGGGGAGACAAAGTGGTAGTGTGAAACCGGGCGAGGTGCCTGCTATCGAGCCTGGAAGCACTAGTTTTAGACATGATGTGGAGACTTTGACTACTATGTGGAATCGGGTGGGAGAGGAGACTGGGACAAAATGGACAGTTGAAAGTTTCCTTGATGAAGTTGGAATTCAGACTGCAAAGCGGACTGTGGTGGAGGATGAGAACTCTAGGCGATTGGTGTTTGCTATCACTAGGGAGGAGTAGTAGGCTACTACTTCATGATATGGGCTCATCAAGATTTATTTCGACGTGATAAGTCGCGCGAATGATGGCCTGAATTTACATTTCAATGAGTAGGTACTTTCCTGCGTTCCTCAATTTCCTCGGGATTTATAGATCATCAACAGCCTAGATTTGCACGTATGGTTCCTGCGTAAGGTTTTTTAGGCCGATCGACCCTCGCTAAATTATCACGAATGATGATCCATTGGGCTGCATAACTCGCGTGGCGAGTTGCAGAGCCCCCTGAGGTAGACTCGAGCTAATGCGGTTGGAGCTTTGTAGTTTTGCGTCTGCAAAGGTACTGCATAATGTTACACAGGGACTTGAATAGGGAACTGATGTCAGAATTTTTACCAAGGGAGGATTATACCAAACTAACGCTTGGAGGTCCAGGAAGGGGGCTCTCTTTGGCTGATCATTCTGTATATCCTTTCTTATGTATTTGCCGTCTTTCTGTACTAGCGGTAAACACGGCTGTACGAAGACAACATCAAGGTCAGGCGAGCCGAGAACAACAAGGATTACGCAAAGACGAGCAATCAGCGCACTGTGGGAAAATTTAATTTTCCTACCCCCTAGCATGATCACAAAAGCCCCGTGACGCAACCTGCACGCGAGCTTTTCGGCAATAGCAAGATTTTCCGAATCTTCCTGGACAACAAAACTCAAAAACCGGGAAATCAGGAGGCATTTAACGTGGCTTAATTTCCCCCAAGCTCCGCCCCGCAGCCCCAACCCTAAAGGCCAAGCTCGGGCTCGAAGAAAAAGCCACGGCCCACAAACAGTCAAGCCTGGTGTCGATCTAAATGAAGCGTCCAAACACTAATACGCATGTGGCGCAATTGATTCATAAAAGGCGGTCCGTTGTTAAGCGGTAAAATACAGAGCCGCTTTGACTGCTGACGTTGGCTCCTCATGTTACATTTGCTATGATTCTTCTCGTTGTTTCTGTGGTGCTCTCTGGGGAAGTGGGTACGGGGCGTGGAGTGGTGAAATGCGGGATGAGACCCACTCGGAGTACCCGATGGCATCCCAAGACTATTATCCACGTCTATGAAACCTCAAACCAACATGCAAGTAGACCACGGTATCCTTGGAAGGTACTCCGCTTATCTATAGCAGACCTGAGACACTTGAACAGACCGCGAGTTGGGTCCACGATGCCGGGACTGGAACCGAAGAAACGCGTTGAAACAGCGGTAACAGGCTCACGTAACTCGGCCCCCATGAGCAATCAGACCAATCCCGGGAGTAAAGGCTTGGCGTAAGTCTATCTGAATGCGCGGGGAGACTTGCTCTCAAGCCACTCAAACCCCATGGGCAGATGGGGCCCCGCGCGCTTTGACCCTGAACAGGCAAAAATGCATCCAAATCAGGAAACGACCATGCAGATGCTGGAGCAGGATTCAATGTGGCTCTAGAGCTAACATGTCTGAGGTTTAGCGGTGGCTTTCTTACTTTGCTGATTTACAGAATCCCATGACCCGCACGGGCAAGCCGACCCGGGCTTAGAGGGGAATGGGACAAAGGTCTGGACATCTTGGTTGAGTATTAAAGTGACGCATCCCGCACCCAAGCTTCTGTTAAGACTTGGTTTACTTGGCAAGGCATTCTGATCAAAGCTGGGTACGGATTGTCAATTGACAAAGTTTTTGCTTTTCCTTTATGGTCAACGCCTCTCATAGGCTCGAAACTATTGGAATTCTGCGTCACTTTCATATTGCGCCACCTTGCATTCCCCACACCATTATTGCATTGAATCAAGATGGAGAAAGTGGGCGAGATACAGGCGGAAGGAGTGAAAGGGTATACATATTCGTCAACCCCGCATTTTTCTCCCATTGGCTCATTCGATTACTAGTGTCCCCGAAGATCACGGCAGTGCGGAGAAGGCTCATGTTGAGAAAGTCAGCCTGCAAAACAATGTGTCGGCGAGGTATGTTTCTCTTTGACCATTTGATTGGTTCTTTGCTTATGAGTTCAGGATCAAAAACCCATTGGCCGATCTCACAACGGAACAAGTTCTTCGCGACGTGGAAGAGTTTGCCCAAGAACATCAGTTGAACGATATTCTACCGGAACTCCGAAAGGGGGCTTTGGTCGCCCGTGACCCAACTGAATTCGAGTCAGTCCCCGGTCTAACTCAAGATGAGCTTGAAGCACTGCGCAATGAAGTTCTTCACAGATGGCGTCAACCATGGGCCCTCTATTTCACGATCATCCTTTGCTCCGTCGGTGCAGCTGTGCAGTACGTTAAACCTATACTCCATGAACACCTAGATCTGGCTCGAAACCAGTTTGGCTAATATACCGAAATATTTAGGGGCTGGGATCAAACCGGATCCAACGGTGCCAACTTATCCTTCCCAATTGCTTTCGGCATCCCAGAAACGGATAGCCCTAACGCTGTCCGTAACGAATGGCTAGTCGGTGTCATCAACGCGGGTCCATACCTTTCGAGCGCATTCTTCAGTTGTTGGCTGTCGGACCCTTGCAACCGATATTTCGGTCGTCGCGGAACTATCTTCCTGGCCGCCGTCTTTTGTTTCCTCTCGCCAATCGGCTCCGCAGTCACACAAAACTGGCACCAGCTCTTCGTTACTCGTCTTCTCCTCGGAATCGGCATGGGCTTGAAAGCCTCTACAATCCCGATCTTCTGCGCAGAAAATGTGCCGGCCAATATCCGTGGTGGTTTGGTGATGTGCTGGCAGCTGTGGACTGCATTTGGTATTTTCTTGGGATATAGCGCCAACCTGGCAGTCATGAAAGTGGGAAAAATCGCATGGCGTCTGCAGTTTGGCTCTGCGTTCATTCCCGCTATTCCTCTTCTTGTCGGTGTTTACTTCTGTCCCGAGTCTCCTCGTTGGTATATCAAGAGGGGCTCGGCTTACAAAGCCTATCGATCTCTGCTCCGTTTACGCAACACGCCCTTACAGGCGGCAAGAGATCTATACTACATTTCGGCACAGATCAAAATCGAACAGGAGATCATCGGCCCTAGTAACTATATTACTCGCTTTGGGGAGCTTTTCACTATTCCACGCGTTCGACGAGCGACACTGGCGTCTTTCACTGTCATGATTGCCCAGCAGATGTGCGGTATCAACATCGTATCTTTCTATTCCTCAACAATCTTCGCAAACGCCGGCGCCAACAATGAACAAGCCTTGTTTGCATCTTGGGGAACTGGTCTGGTGAATTTTGTCTTCGCATTCCCTGCTGTATGGACTATCGATACCTGGGGTCGTCGCTCCTTGCTTCTATTTACGTTCCCCCAAATGGCCTGGACCCTCCTCGCAGCCGGATTTTGCTTTAAAATTCCTGAAAGCTCCAATGCTCATTTGGGTCTAATCGCCTTCTTCGTTTATTTGTTCGAAGCCTTTTATTCTCCTGGCGAGGGTCCCGTGCCCTTCACTTACTCTGCAGAGGTCTTCCCGCTTTCCCACCGTGGTACGTTTAAGCATCTTCCAATACATCAATTGAAGCTAATATAAGTATAGAGGTTGGTATGGCCTGGGCTGTTTCCGTCTGCTTAGGCTTTGCTGCTGTTCTTTCCATCACATTCCCCCGCATGCTATTCGTGATGGGTGCTACAGGAGCGTTCGGCTTCTACGCGTAAGTAGCCTACCATGTCTTCGTTTTCAGTCATTTCTAACAGATGAATAGCGCATTGAACGTCACCGCATTTGTTATGATCTTCTTATGGGTTCCCGAGACCAAACAGCGCACACTGGAGGAATTGGACTACATCTTCGCTGTGCCCACCAGGGTTCACATGCGGTACCAGGTTTTCCAGGTCCTTCCGTGGTGGTTCAGGACTTACATCCTTCGCCAAAACGTGACGCTGGAGCCTTTGTACCACTTCGATCACATTGCTACCGATGAGACGACTGCGGATGTTCGTAAACGGAGTGTCATCTCTGGTCCTCCGAAGTACGAGGAATAAAGCCGACCCGTTCGGACTTGGAGGCGGGTAAGATGTTGGTGAGACCACGATGTTTGTGATGGGTGGGGATGATACCTACGGATATAGTTTTACGAGATCTATAATGATTCTTTTGATTCCCTTATCAAATGACAGTTGATGTTCAACAGTTTTGTCACTAGTGATCGAGAGTCGTGTGCTTGAATATCTTCAGTGAAACTTAAAAATCCTAAAAGTGGAGTCAGTCTATTTAGCTCGGGGTTGCTTAATTTATTGAAACTCGGGCGAAGGATTCGATCAGCTTATTGGCCGAGGCTTCTCTTTGGTTCTGCGCCGGCAGTTGTAAAGTAATTCGGGCTTACTCCGCTTGCACGGCCAAGCTGCTTGACCGAGGATACCCTCGGCGTATCCGCACGTGTGCCAATTCCTTGTGCATATTGAAACTGCAACTTTTTGATTCTCACTCAAGTGGATAACCATCTGTGCAAATTATGCTCAGACCTACCGCATTATACCGAGCTATAGCTGAAGATCGCCATCGTACATCCGGGGTACAGGCGATAGCGGTAAGCATTCTGCCACGTCCATCACCGGACTATCCATTGATCCGCCCCACCAGCGGATAAACGAATTAGAGGAAAACGCTTAGCCGGTCAGAAGCTGCGGATTACGCGCCTCTTCAACGTTCTGGCAAAAGGCAGACCCCAGATCAACGGATATGGGCGGGGATAATGTTTTGTCGCCCCCTCTCTGTGCACAAGTGTTAAAAAAATTATAATAGTAACAATACCCCAGTCACCTCCACATTTTCGACACTCCCTTCTCACTAGACGCAGAGTCAATCTAAAACTTTGCCCCTGCAGCGTTGAATATACCGCCAGGGAACTGTAACTCCCCATACACCACCCAATCTCCCCACACTCAATAAACACCGCAACAATGGTCATCAACCGCCCCGGTATTGCGTCCATGTCCCTGGGCCGACCATGGATTCACGACCTCCCCGGAAAGCTGATGCAAGCCGCCGCACACGGGTTCGAGGGTATCGAGCTCTTCTTTGACGATCTGGACTGCTACGCCCAAAGAACATTCAACGGCGACCACCTCGAAGCTTCCCACCAGGTCCGCCGTCTCTGTGAGCGCCTCGGCATGTCCATTATCTGCTTGCAGCCATTCTCCATGTACGAAGGTCTGATTGACCGCGCCGAGTCCGACAGACTCGTTAACGAGAAGCTTCCCCAGTGGTTCATCCTAGCGCGGGCGCTGGGCACAGATATGATCCAGGTCCCATCTAACTTCCTCGGACCAGACCCCGAGACCAAGGCTCCCCGCACAACGGGTGACCGCTCCGTGATCGTGAAGGACCTGCAACGCATCGCTGATATCGGTGCCGGCGAGGGATTCCGATTCGTCTACGAGGCTCTGTGCTGGGGTGATCACGTTGATACCTGGGAGGCTTCTTGGGAGGTTGTCCGTGATGTTGACCGTGCCAACTTCGGTTTGTGTCTGGATTCTTTCAATATCGCCGGTCGTGTCTATGCCGATCCTGCTGCGCCTTCTGGAAAGACACCCAATGCTGCGGCGGATCTTGCTGCTTCTCTCGAACGTCTTCGTACCGCCAATATCGATCCCGCCAAGATCTTCTACGTCCAGCTTGTTGATGGTGAGCGTCTCGATGCTCCCCTAGATGAAAACCACCCCTTCCACGTCGAGGGCCAGCCCATCCGCATGTCCTGGTCTCGCAACTCTCGCCTTTTCCCCTTCGAGGAGTCGCGTGGTGGTTACCTGCCGATTTTGGATGTTGCTAAGGTCTTCTTCAATGACCTTGGTTTCCGTGGCTGGGTGTCTCTTGAGCTGTTTAGCCGTACCCTTGCCAACCCTGATCCGTTTACTCCCGCTGACCATGCGCGTCGCGGTATCGACTCTTATTACAAGATGGGCCGTGTCCTGAACTGGGAGGGTCAAGAGGAGAAGGCCCCTACATCCATTGCGCCCCCTCCTGTGCAGCACCGCCTGTGAAATGAATATATGGTTGCGAAACGAGGGAATATCTAGGAGGGATGTCTTCTCTGTTTATATTTTATTTGTACATATTGCATACTCCACGACTATAGATGATAAAAATTACGATTCTACATACTCAGCAGTCTGTTTATGTCCCGTCATCTAGAGCCCTGGGGAAGTCCTTCTTGGATTGATGAATCGAGATACCTAGATGAAGAATGAGGAATGCTGGCTGTGAAAGTGGTATGTACTGGATATATATATGCTGGACGCTCGACATCATAGACGACCTTAAGAATCATCTGACGTCCAATGGGTTTTATCTAGGTCCAGTCGAATAAACCTTGTCCATTGATGATGCACAAAAGCGATCACATCCCCTTGGACATCAACTCTTGCCCGACGATAAGCCGGAGGCAGCCAAAGAAGGTTTTTAGACCCTTGTTTTATCCACTCTCTGGTGACAAATATATCGCTAGAAGAATGTGTCGCCAGTGAGGGAATGGGCAATTTGCCTCGGCTATGACGAATATACCGATCATCATCTGAAAATGTTATCTGATTGTTGAAGGGATCTTCGAGACTCAGCCGCAAGTCGTATTCAATCAGGCCCACCTGCTTTGCGGTGGCAACCTCCCATATTCCAATCTTGAAAGCCCTCACGTCCATAAACGCGGCACACAACCCACTGCGAGAGACCTCAACACTGAGCTGAAAATCCAAAAAAATGACGAATCCCCAATAGTGTGCATTTCCTTCCATTCTTGAGTGTTCCAAATTCGAATGTTGTCTTTGGAGAGAGGCAAACCGGGTCCAGATGGGATCAGAAGATACTTCCCATCTGGAGTGAGTTTGGGCATTGCGTTCATTTTCTCAACAAGGAATATTGAACTGACCTCTCTTCCTTGAGTGTCTCGGATCACCAAGTACTCGGAGGTTCTAGTGGACGGACCATGGCCTATTTCGATTAGGAGGGAACGCTCAGAAATGGAGAGAAGCCCGCGGCCATCACCAAACGGAAAAAGCCGATGTCCCGTCAGTGCAAAGGAAAGAGGAAAAACATAATTGGATGCGTGCTCCAAGTCCCATGACAAGGGATTGTGAGGCTGCTGCCTTGCCGCCACCTCATTTCTTGGAAAAAATACAAAATGCGAGACATCCCCAGCTTCAGAGGATATGACCTCCACCCCAGTATAGATGTCAAACATTTGTACAGTACTTCCTTCAAGAATGAACAGGTATTGTCCATTCTTTGAGAGGGCAATCTCCTCTACATCCCTAGATGCTTCAAGCTGTACGATGGGAGATGATTTCTCTTTACCCCACACCCGAACAGTTCGTTTGTCTGAGAATAGTAATGCTGCCATTTGAGAACCTTCAGAAAAGGAACAGCCGATGACTGAAATGTAGTCACGATGACTGTCGCTCGTGGCTGTGTCAACAACCCGATATTGTTTCTCTTCATTCAAAGATTGGTGGAAAATGACAAGGGCTTTATCGGGATTGGGTAAGAGATGAACATCAGAGCTCTGCCCTCCTTTCTTCCATAGTCTTTCGTCACCGTGCTGATCTCTTATCCTGAGATCCAAAAGCTCGGTATTTCTGAATGCCGATAACAAGTACTTCCCATCGGGACTGAATGCAATGTGACCAGATACGAGCAACAACTCATTGACCTGAGTCCCAGTTGCAATATCGATCAGAACGAGAGTTGAAGCCTTCTTCCGGAAAGCCACGGTATCCGCACAGGGCGAAAGGAATAGGCTACTAGCCTTGAAAGGCTTGTCGATAGGGATTTGGTGGCGGACCGCTCGGGTCTCCAGATCCCAGATGATGATTTTTGTATCTACTAAGGCCGCAAACACGGTGCCGTCAGGCGAGAACTGAGTTTTTAAGCTTGGCACGAAATCCAGCTGGGATCCCAAGTCGATCTGCAGCTCAGTCTGTCCAGATTCCATATTGAGGCGCGTGACAGCTGCCCCACTCTCACTTCTCACCAATATCGTGACAACCTGGGGATTTATCACGACCATGTTCATGCAAGTGGATTTGACGGTGATTTCGCCGATTCTGTCCATAGACTTTGTATCCCAAGAATACACAGTGCTAAGGGTTGCACATACGAGGAGCTTTGAATCTGGTGAGAAGGAGATTCTGCTCATTTTCAAATTGTCATCCACTTCTAGTATATGGGTCTCGCCCGTCAGCAGGATCCTCAGGGCCAGGGTGCTTGCTGAGTACGTTAAAGCAAGCATCGTGCTATCTGGGGAAAAAACTGGGCCGTTGGCGCTAATCTCGTCTGTCTCATCGTTGAACCTGTATCTTTCTACGCCGGTAATTGTATCCCAGACGAGAATTGGACCCCCCCGTGAGTGACATGCAATCAGGTCACCTTTTGGCGAGAAGGCAACATTTCCGTGCTTGTGCCCTTCGATAGAGAGTAATATAGGGTCCCAATATTCTGGCACCTCTGGCAGCGTTTTGATCCAGCGGGGAATGCAAGAAGAATGCTTTTGTCGTACTAGGGATTTCCTTGGCGCGAAAATCAAGGCCGATGAATATATCTGTAGTGGAGCCTCTTCAATGATCCTGCGGTGGCTCAGACAGATTAGGGTTCGCTTTAGCCCACATTGTTTATAAAGGCAATCCTGCTTCGAAAACGCCCCAGGGTCTACTCTGGGATATCCCAGGGATCAAAGGATGGAAACTTTCAGAGATAAGAGACATAATGAGAAAAATCAGATGTCGCTACATCTTGTGGGACTGGATATGCGTTCCCCAACGAGGCCAAGGAATCAGACCATTGAGCCGGGAACTGCGAGAAGTCCAAGGCCTGGAAATCGGGAAGCAGATGTAAGTTAGGCACGATTGCCGGAATTAAGAAAATGCTCATCATCGGTGTTCGCTACAGGCACATTTACCGCGGAGCTCGAAAAAGCATGGTCTGGCTACACTCCACATTATGGGCGAAGGAGTCAGTTCTAAAAGGATTACTCACTCTACCATAGTCAGACGCTATGATTTAACCCCCAGGAATGCAGAAACACGTCGACCGAGTAGCGGGCGACCTTGACATTGCCCGCTCACAAGAGCGTTGGCTAGGTTCAGGCTGAACATTGCAAGGTATCCTGTTGGGCGAAACTGACCTCATTGATGGAAGCGGCAACGCGCTCCAAGGGCCTAATTTCGAAATGAGTGATCAGGCGTGTCCGAGTCGTGTGTTAAAGATGCCAATCGCACCGTCACGTGCTGGCCAACCCAGATAATACGTAACTAATAACTAACTTTGGACCGCCCTAGTCAGCAGTAAGTGATGGTTATAATCCAAACACTGACGTCAACTCGATCATTTTAGCACCTCTAGGGTATGCGATCACGAGGCAGATTCCTGATAATATCATCTTCAGCCGACCAGGATCTAACATACTGGCTCGTTACAACCGATATACATATCTCTAGGTCTGGCCTTGACTCTCCATCATGACCAGTCTTCACTCGCTCTTTAATCGACAGCGACCAGGGCCATGGCAAAAGTTTCAGGCCCAGCCATGCGTCTTTCTCGCACAAGTGCTTTACAATTGGCGTAAACATATCCCAGCTACACCATTCACAAAGCCCATTGCAATCGTCTGTATCTCCGACACCCACAACACCCAACCCGACATTCCAGATGGAGATATCCTCATCCATGCAGGTGATCTCACACAGTCCGGATCATTTCAGGAATTGCAGGCCGCACTCGACTGGCTAAACACACTGTCCCATCGCACAAAAATCGTGATCGCTGGCAATCACGAGCTACTACTCGATTCAGCATGCGATGATTCATCCGGCCTCCCAGCCTCTGAACGAGCACAACTCAACTGGGGCGATATTATCTACCTAGAGAACTCAGAAGTAACAGTTGCCCACTCGAACGATCGTCAAATTCGAGTCTACGGAAGTCCTTACTCCCCTCGCCATGGTAACTGGGCTTTTCAATATCCCCGCAATGAAGATGTATGGGCTAGCGCAATTCCAGATGGAATTGATGTGCTTATTACTCATGGTCCACCACTTGGGCATCTTGATTTATACAAATTTGGCTGCCCTCATCTACTAAAAATGTTGTGGAGAGTTCGGCCAAGGTTACATGTTTTTGGACATATACACGAGGGCTCGGGAACTGGATGGATGTTGTTTGATGGGCTTCACGAGGCGTTTGAGTCTACTGTTGCTGCTGGAGGGGGGCTCATGAATCTTCTGCTTACGGGCGTGGAATTTGTCAAGACTTTTCTTCGCCCTGCTGTGGAAGCGAGGTGTTTGCTTGTGAATGCATCTGTTGTTGGGGGTTTAAGGGATGAGGAACGTAGGGAGCCAGTCAAGGTCTTTATTTAATGTCAGACTTTTTGGCCTAAATCCGGCTGTAACGCGGAACAAGAATAGCAGAATGCGCTGTCCTGGTAGTCGTCTTCTGGATCGGATTTTTGAAGTGGTCAGTAGATGCCCTGCCATATGATGAGAAGAGAGTATGCCCCTGGACATTCGTAGTATGCCAAAGAAATTGTTTAGAGTTTATCACCACAGAATCTGAGATACCACATGGCTGATGACAGCTGGCTTTTGAGCTTTGACGTAATGACACTAATGGACATGGACTAGTCTGAATGGTCATTGGTGGCTATGTAATCCCAGGTTTCAGTCCCGATGCCTTGATTTAAGCGAAGAGGTCCAACCACTCGTATATTCAAACCCCGGATTGTTTGAAATGCGGGGTTGAGGTGCTAGTCTGGTATTAAAAAGCCGTGGCAGCACTTCACAGGAGACTTGTAGCAATTCTGAAGTTACCATGCGACATACCTGGAAGGCATGATGACAATGCTATCCATGCTTGACTCACTGCTACGAACATGTTTACATTGCACTCTTTCAAGTCACTCATACTGGCACATATATGAACAATGTCTTATAGGAACGATCTAAATCTATATGATCGGCCAAAGATCTCGGATATCAAAGAAAAGCAAAAAGAAAGTGTATCGACATCTAAACCCCGGGGTTCACGACGCATAGGCCAATTCCTGTGCCCGTTTACTCGGAGGTCTTGAAAACAAAGCGGTCCTCGGGCTTGCTCTTGAAAGGAACGCCCAACTCAAGAAGCTTGACATAAACATCAGCAAACTCCTGGAAGAAGACATCGCTATCCTTAGCATAACGCTCAACGTGCTGCTTGAAAGCTTTATCCTTAACAAGAGCAAGATCAGTAGGCAACATCATCAAAGTTGAGGTACCCTTATCAGTGAACTGAGCGGGACCATTCCACTTGCGCTGGTTCCACTTCTCATCAACGAGCAAACGGAAGAACTCATTGGTGAAGACGGTAGGGCTGAAGTCCCAGGGACCATCGAAGCCAGAGCGGTCAGCGTGAGCACGACCGAGGGAGTGGGCACCGCAAAGGGCGACCATCTCACGGTCATCGAAGCCCATACGACCGAAGACAGCACGGATGTGACGGTGGTCCTTGGAGGCATCGGGGAGACGGCCATCGGGTGTGCAGGCGGCGATATCACCGTCCTCACGGCCAGGTCTCCAGGGGATCTTGGGACCGCCCAGCTCCTGGACGGCAGCGGAACCAGCCAGGGTCCAGAGATCAGAGTAGGTGATCCAGGGGAACTGGGCCTTGATAGGCTCGAGGAAGTCGCGGGCGTGCTTGAGACCAGCGTTTGCGCCGTGGTCTGACTCCGGGGCGAATCTCATGGTGGCACCGTTGCTGCCACCGGTACCGGTCTCCTTATCGTAGGTACCGCTGGCGTGCCAGGCAAGACGAACAAGAACCTAAGATACGAAACCTTGTCAGCGCCTGTGACACGAGTCAATGCTTTGGGGATAAAGGAACTTACAGGACCATAGCTGCCATCATCATAGTCGGTCTCGTTGGCGAGGCGATCAGCAATGGCATCGTACACCTTCTGGTAGTCGGCCTGGGTGGGAACGAAAGGTCCCTTGGGGGTAGCCTCTCCGTTCAGGTAGAAGTAGGCACCAGCACCACCGGCAACAGCCAGACCGATGCCCCAGATACCGAAGGAGGAGGACTTGCCGGCGGGAGCCTCAGAGGCATATCCGCGGCGAGTAGAGGCGCGGACCTGAGCCGGGAGAGCGAAACGAGCCGAGCGCGCGGCAGGGCGGGCTCCGGAGGAGCGCAAGAAAGCGCGGGACGCAGATCGAGCAGCTGAAGCCATTGTGATAAACTGTGGGGTGGAATGAAAAGAAAGAATGAAACAAAGGAGGGAAAGATTATGCAAAAGAATGGAAGACGGGGTGGAGATCAGAAGGGGTCGAGGGAGAACTCGGAGAGAAACAATTGGAATCCCTGGGCCTCGGTGTTTTCGTGTCCCTCCCTCCTCTCCGCATTATACTTCTGCATTCCGCTGCTTGTTCATCTTACTGCAGGACCGTCATCTTCGACTCTTATCTTCTCTTCCTCCCTCGACGAATGCGAGTCCATCAATCCTTGGGCTTCATCTTCGATACCCCTGATGTTGTGTCTTTTCCGTTGCATGTTCCTCATCTTGACTTTCCCCATTTTCCGCTCCATCGCTCGGCTCCACATATGTCGGTGCGGGTCCGCAATTATTAACAGGAAGCCTCTGCTTGGTTGCGACCGACCGAAGGCTCCACTACTCCTGCGCACGCCCGAAGCGCTTACCTCATCTAAACGGTCTGGACACCAAAGATTAGTGATTCGATGAGGGCTGGACAGTGAGAAGTATAGAGGTCGGATGTGAAGATTTGATAGCAAAATTTGTAAAATTCTGCCATGAACACATATGGTGCGACCCTTGGTTAAGTCATTCGGAACCTTTCGATCTATTCTCCGGAATATATATCTCCGCTCTACCAAAGGACCATGGATAGGTCACATGGTTTTTCTTAGGCATGATGCCATCTATTGCAGGTCTTTAATTAAATAGTCTATTGATAAACAGGGTATCTTTTTTTAAATCGCCGGTAAACTTCCAAAGAAATCGTTATCCCATAATTCTGAACCACCAGGGTCAAGTCCCTCAACCCAAGCTCCTAGATCCATAGGCTATTGAAGTCAGCGTACAGCCCATGCAAAACCCGTGAGAAGTATCTTACCGCAAAGTCACCGAAATCGGTGGAAAGAAAAGAAATAGGATCAAAGTCCACTGAGGACCCGGACAACGGCGTGGGGTTTCCCATTGCAACCGGAGTCTGATCAGTCTGTAAAAAGAGATTAGTAGGTGCGAAGAAATCCAGTCCAAGGCCAGTAAAGCATACCGACTCAGGTGGGCGTTGGGCACTGGCCAAAGCATCAGAATAGGCCAGCCCATTCAACACACCACGGCACACGCGAACGCACTTTTTAGAGCAGGTCTCCACGTTCACCATGGGATCTTCGCCCTTGATCCGCGACTGGACGGATGCCAGGATGATGGTCAAGAAGAAGTAAGGCTTGCATCCATTGCCACCAGGGCCGATGCGACGACCAAAATCATCTAAGGTCCGTTCAACTGCCTGCAGCATTACATTCTGTTGTGACTGAACCATGCTCATCAACACGCTCGAGTTCACCCCGTCCATAGTTGGACCGGCTGAATTGACCATCTCTTGAGCCTGGAGGGATAGCTCCACGCAGACTGTAATAGCGGCATGGAATGTCTCGTCCCGGAACACACCACTGCCAAGCTGGGTGATATGGGGGTATAGGACCGAGTCCGCTGGGTTCGGGAGTTCCATCTGAGAGAGGATCTCAAGCGAGGCTTCTAAGCACACTTTTCGCGAATACGAACATTTGGGTAGCCGTACCACGCTGAGCGAGAAGGGTCGGTGGAGCGCGAGAAGAAACTTGCGCATGATGAAGAGGTGTAAGGACTGAGCGAATCTATGCTTGGCAACGTCCACCGGGTTGACGCCGGATGCATTATCGTCGAATAAAGACGAAGCTTGTTGCATGGCTCGGAGAAGTTCTTCACCCATTCGTAACGCTTCATCGTAGGATAGGTCGAACCGAAGGGTGTTGATTTTCTTCGCGATTCGGTAGCGTAGCGGCAGCGTTTTAGAGAGCAAGTACTGGTAAAACCCACGGGTATATGTTGCTGTGCTGAGAGGCGCTGGGTCGGTTTCCATCCTTTCGGATAAATCGTTATCATCCCAGTTGCAGGGTGCATCGCAATCAGATTCGTCAAGATCCACGGAAGGTGGGACACCACGGTCCAGCGAGATTTTGAGATCCAGTTCCACAATCGTCGTCCATAGTCGACGGCGCTGCTCGCACCAGAATGGGCGGGCCTTCTTGCGAAATCGGGTCGGGTCCCGGTGCAATCCCATTGTGATGGCGGATCGAATTAGGGACCCTGCCGAGGCCCACGCCACATCTCCATCGTTGGCGTTCGCGAGACGAGCGATCAAAAGAAGGGTCTGCGTCTGAATCATGCTAAAATTGAGTTGCGGACTCACAAAGGTACACGAGATGTATGACTGCACCGCCATGATCCACTTCATTGCGGGTTTTTGATACACATCACGTTGATCGCCCTCCATATTCGATGTTGGTAGGTAGAAGCAACTTCCGGCTGCTAGGACGGCTAAGAGTTGGGCTACGAATGCCAAATCTGGCTCTTGTTGACGATTCCAGTACGCTGTGTACTGCTCCAGAAAGGTTGGGATGTGCAGAACTCGGAAGGTAGTCTCGAATGTGTCGAGATAAAACTGAACCAATTGATCGGCCACTTTGCGTGATGGGACCATTTCTTCGAGTTGGAAGGCCTGGTCTCGAAATGCTCGTTGATGGTCCTGGCTTTCGCGAGACCAAAGCTCGCACTTGAAATGTTTCATGTCGGAATATTCTTTATCCTTGGTAGCATGTCGACCTCGTCGGAGGAAGGAACCAATATCTTGGAACTAGACTCTCTGTTAGCGAGGACTTGGGGTTGTTGCTCTTAGGAGGCGTTCACTCACAAATGATACGGTGGTGGTATAATGACTGCGACCGAAGTACCTTGTCTTGCCTTTCTTCCCTCGGAAGCTGCAGTCCGGAAGAAATCGAACGCGATCGTCTACTCCTGCAGCATCCATGGTAGACGTTTCCGCATCCGAGAAAACATCGCCGATGGATGTTTCGGGAGTTTGGAGGACATTTCCATTGGGCTTGTTCAACGCATGTTCCAATACACGCAGTCGGTGTCGAAGTTCATGCAGCTCATCCGGGCGACTGCGTTTCGAAACCCGATTTGAATCGGACCGGGAGCCCATTTTAGAATCAAAAACAAACATGCTGCCCGTGCCTGCAGCTGGGTCTTCAGAGCCACTGGGAATCCGCATCCGTGATACTGGTGGTGACATGCGCCGTGAAGACGATTCTGTTGGCCCTGGTTGAGGACCGACGAAGACACACGAGTCTGCAGTTTTTGAGCGGACGCATTGTCCGCAAGGCAGCGAACGGTCACACTTCAATTTGCGTCGTCGGCATTCTGTACAAGAGAGCGGGGGTCGTCTCCGCCGCTGTACCACTCTTGATTGATCGGCGTCCTCGCCCTGTGAGAGCGAGTCTTGATAGTCGACCATGATCACTTTTTTGTCTGTGGTTGAGGGGGCTTATTTCCTGACCCCTCGTCTGCAAGGCTCCAGTCAAAATACGTAAGTCAGTGATGATGGGGTAATCCTAAATGCCTGCAGCACAAAGGACAGGTCACACAATCGCGTGGGAGTCGATGTTCCATTAAACACTCCACGATTGAATTTGATTGAGCAAAGCGCAAAGCTTGACTGTTTAATTTTCAAAGATTAATGATTCAGCAAAGATCAAATTCAGCGACAGCGTTGAATACATATGCGAGGCTACCATGGAGTTAAAACTTCTCGGGGTTCGGAGTTACCGCCTTGGGAAATAATGCCAAGCCCCCGGTCAAGTGCTGATTGATAATAATCCGGCCCCCATAATTCCTACGTTAATAAAAACTGAGTCATTTTTGAGTTCATTTAATATATCTCAGATGAGTTGAGTATTTTCCTGCCACCATATATATCACCTAGAGCTCACGGGTATGGAGGACATGTGAACGTATAACTTGGGCCTGATGAGGTGCCTTGACTTTTGGGCATGAAAATGAACCACTACAAATGAGCCAGTTTGGAAAGTGTGAAAAATGATTACTGTCCTCAAGAAATAAAAGCGCGCCGATGTGTAAATATTCGGGGCAGCCCCTCAGTTTATACACAGTTCCAGGGAATCTCCACCCAGGTGCCTGTGGGGATTTATCGGCATTGTTTGGTGTAATGTGGCCGGGGATGGAAACTAGTATATCGTACTGGGTAGCCTAAAAAGGCAGCGATGTCGGCTAAAGCAATTTAAAGTATAACCTACAAACCTTGAAACATGCCCAAACACGAGCATACCCGTGCACAGTTATTTCGTCATCGGTAGATCGTATACTAGAAAGAATTTCACCAAGCCTTGGAGGGGATCATGTGCAAACCCCGCTGCTGCGATCATCTTCAAATATTTACTGGAGCCGCGTCTTCCCGCCGTTGAGACCCAATAGATCCGCATGACGACAATAGGAGCCCGAGCGATTGGCCTCACTTATATTTTTAACCTTTGAAGGCGTTTTCTCCCCACGGGAGGCTGCACGATGACGGCAAACCACACAGAATCCGAGTCAGCTGGGAGATTCGCAATAACCTGAGTAGACCGAAGTCTCAGACAGGGAAGGGTCATGTAAACAAAAGCTCTTTGATGCATGAATATAGCGGTCAAAGCTGTACATAGAGTAAGATAAGCGGGTCTTGATTGCCGCATGCATTTGGTGTGGTAAGTGTTTTTATGTATGAAGTAGTACAGAGTCCTTGGCGGGCGCCTGCATGGTTGTGCATTTCCTCGTGTCCGGAGTATTTTGATTTTCCTCCCATTTTCCCTCTTGCGCACCTTATCTTGATGATCGTCAAGTGGATCCGATCATCATGCCGCGACCAGTAGGTATGTTCGCTGACACCATCTGCGCTACGCTCGGTCCTGAAAACGTACATAGTCATATCCCGATATGCACTATTGCATCGGTTTGACATGTTAAACTTCTCAAGAACAACACATTCGAGGTCCTTGCGAGAGCACTTCATTGCGAGTTTGTAGGAGTCATCTCCCGGATTGATTGTCATTTCCTCTTTGGGTTTAGTGCCAGAGCTACTCACCGCCTGATTGGGCCCCGCATCCCAGTCATTAGCCACATGGGAATAAACGGCCGATCATTCGTGATTTCTCTCCCCGTGACATCCTAGCTTGCGCCCTATTTCTTGGAACAATTTGGATACCGCTCTTTCTATTCCTCTTGCTTATCTTGTGCTCATCTCCCCACCAAGCTATGGGTTGTGCTTCTCCGGAGCCGCTGCTTGGACTCTATCACAAGTAGTGATCCCTCCCTCAGCGCGCTGGTGCAGAGATAACGTGCTTGCTTGGTCAAATCATCCCTTTATTTTCATAAGCTCGGCCTACTGAACCCCGTGTCTCCATTCTTATTCTTACCCCCTTCAAAGGTGGCCGCATTCTTTGGCGCTTGTCCAGAGTTCCCTCAGATCTTTATAAGCGACGCAGACCCCTGAAGCAGAGATGTCTTCTGACGAATCCCCCACCTCGATGGGCGATACAGAAAAAGCTCGGCCCAATAACATGCCACGCTGGAGGCGTATCTTTAGAAACAAGCCAAGTCGCGACCGGGAGGCAAACGAAGAATCTACCTATCGCCCAAGAAGAACTCTGGGCATCCTTAGTGACAAGGAGACGGACGAAGTACCTGGTAAGTGACCTGGCTTGATATAGCTTGATGTGACTCTTTTTTTGACCATGTGTTTATTTTTTTTGGTATAGGAACGGTCCTTCTGCTCGCCTCTGATCGAAACGAACCTCTGGGAATGCGGCACCAGCCGCAACGGATGTCAGCCTCATCACTTCCCACGAGCATTCAACCCTCCTCACGCTCGTCTTCGCGGAATCCAGTTCCACAGCAAAAGCGAACAGCGGACGGGCAAATTGTCCTAGACCCTCAGCCTGATGACTCCGTCAATGACCCTCTCAACTGGCCAGTGTGGCAACGAGACACTGCGTTGATATCACTGGGCTTTTACTGCTTAATCGGAGGAGGCATGACCACTATTCTGGCCGCTGGATTCAGTGAAGTTGCAGCTACCTACGAAGTGACTCAGCAGAAAGTAGCATTCACAACGGGTCTCTACATGATGGGACTCGGCATCGGGTCGGTGATCATGTCCCCAACCGCAATCTTGTTCGGAAAGCGCCCTGTGTATCTCCTTAGTGCGACTCTCTTCATTCTATCAGGCATTTGGTGTGCCCTTTCCCCGAACTATCCCAGCTTGGTGATAGCCCGGATCTTCCAAGGCATTGCGGTGAGCCCGGTCGAATGTCTCCCATCAGCTACGATTGCGGAGATCTACTTCTTACACGAGCGAGCCTATCGAATTGGCATTTACACGCTGCTGTTACTTGGTGGAAAGAACTTAGTTCCCCTCGCCAGTGCTGCTGTAATCGGTAGTCTCGGATGGCGCTGGGTATTTTGGATCGTGTCGATCATCGTTGGTGGCTTTTTGGTCCTGTTATTTTTCTTTGTCCCTGAAACCTTTTGGGATCGAACTCCACGTCCTCGAAAGTCACACAAGCGTCCACATGCTCACCGAACGGTCTCCGACTTGATGTCACATGGATTCAGAGGACGTCGTCCTCATTTGCAGATTCCTGACGAACCACTCTCACCAAATGTCGATGATGCAACATCGCCAATTGAGAGGAAGCATAAAAATGCTCATGTTGGATTTGCAAATGATTTGCCAACGAACGAGAAACACACGCCAGAAGGTGGCGATTACTTTTCTGCTCACGCTGGAAGCCCTACCACCGATGCTCAGACTCACGCCGAGCCATCTCAACCGAGTGTTGAACTAAGTGGTGGCCTCCAGCCGGTCCAACCTGCTCACATCGACGCCTCCCACCGGAGCCCCGGTGAGGCCGAAGAAGGACGGCCCGCGGCCATTTCGCCTGCACGCAGCGAGTCCCGTGAAACCAGTGCTCATCTCTCGTCTACTTTACAGTACACAAATCGACTACGTGAACGCCCAAGAATCCCCTACGTCCAGCGACTTAGGGTATGGAATGGAAGAATTGCCCGCGACAAGTGGTTGAAAATTGCTGTGCGGCCCTTTATCTTATATGCCTACCCGTCTGTTCTTTGGTCGGCTGTGATTTACGCTTTATCCGTTGGATGGCTCATTGTGATCTCTGAGTCCGTCTCCAAGATTTTTGAGAGCGATGAGGGCTATGGCTTTACTGCCCTCCAGACGGGTTTGGTCTATATCTCGCCCTTTGTTGGCGGTCTACTCGGAACTGCAGTAGCGGGCAAAGTGTCAGATATGGTCGTGCGTTTCCTCACACGGCGCAACGGAGGTATCTATGAGCCCGAGTTTCGCTTGGTAATGGCAATCCCTATCGCCTTGTCGACTACGATTGGGTTGATGGGATTTGGCTGGAGTGCACAGCTAATGGATGCCTGGATTGTGCCAACAATATTCTTTGGTGTGATTTCGTTCGGTTGCTGCTTGGGAAGCACGACTGCCATCACTTTCTGTGTGGACAGTTACCGCCAATATGCAGGGGAAGCATTGGTGACGTTGAATTTTACCAAAAGTATGCCCCCCACTTCTTGTTGTCGGAATTAAACTAATCTTATTTCTCGTGGTCTAGACATCGTTCACGGACTCGTCTTCTCTCTCTTCATTGTCGACTGGCTTGAAGCCGATGGCTTCCGCACCGTCTATCTTGCCATCGGTGGGATCCAGCTATTCTGTCTACTCATGTCCATTCCGATGTACATTTACGGCAAGCGTGCCCGTATGTGGACCGTCCGTAAGCGTTTGATGGAACGATTCTGATTTATGACCATATTGGACCGATGCGTGATGATCATGATTTATTTGGATATGGATAGAATATATGGATTGCCTCACGGCTACATGTTACGTTTTGCATTTATGTGGGACATATTGAATTGAACTGAATGAGACTGCTCCGATTGGTAATACCGAATATCGACCTTCGAATCTGAGCTCCGAAATGGTCAAATGGCCAGCCCGGTCTAGAGTGCCTTTGCGGAGATGTGGCGCTACATTTGCATTAGACGAAACATACTATCAAGTTATTTTGAGCCTACTGAAACAACCTTGGAAGTGTATACTCGCCTCGGAGGAACAGTCTATCTGAGGCAGCGATAAGAAAACCAAGAGTACAGAAGTTTATACCGGCGCATGATTTGCATCGATGCCTACATGCTATGAGGGGATCAGTCGAGACTCGGATGGATGCAACTGTCAGACCCGGAGAATTAAGCAGTTGGTCGTTTCATACTGGTCGCGTGTCTCGCATAATAAGCTCACCTTTTAGGTTCGCTTCCGGGGTGTTCCAGCAATTTTGACCAGTGGGTATCAGGAGAAGAACAGGGGGTTGGACTAGCCTCCCCGAGGCTAGTTTGTTATAGATATATGGAGTATGGGTCCACATGACCGAGTGTCTCCGTGCTTTATAGTGTGCCTCATTATGCACATGTGGGCGTCAGGATTAAGCGAAATCGAGCTAAGCTCGGTTAATATGAAATTCAAACCCCTAGACCTGAATCTCGCGATAGTGTTATGGTGACTACCTTGGGAAAAGGCCGGAAGTCTTCTCCACCCGACCGAAGAAACTCGCAAGATAAACATATAGTGGAGCAACCCGATTAGCACGGAAGACCGACAAGCCACAAGTCAGTAATTAATAACCATGCAGAAACTGAAACCACCCAGTATACATGCAACACCATGGGCATCCAATCTAGGATAACACCCGACGTCATTCAAATCTTTCTCTCCTGGCATCCACTCACATCCCTAGATCTCCATGGTCGCACGGCATTGGTCCGCAAGGACCAAATCTCAAACCGCCAGCCGCCCGCCAAGACACCAGACAAGGATCGGCGCTAGGTGCCAGCTGCCTCAAGTTTGGTTTCATCATTCATTCGCACTGGCCGCACCCGCCACATTCTTCTGCCAAGTTCTGCCCGGGCCTCTCGCTGTCGCCAGATCCAACGCAGATGTGGGCGGGGCGGTTCTAGGTGTTGGATTGGTGGATCGAGGTTGGGCGGGATTGACAGAAGGGATCACAATTGTCGCATGAAGGTTTGACCTGGCGCCAACAGGAACTTTTCTAGGTTGATGTCCGGCGATCGGATCGATAAATTGTACTCCAGGGTTCCTGAACCCTTCGAGTCGGCTGGTCTTACTTGTTTTTGTAAAGGTATTAATTTGCTTCGTCCTAGTGTGGACTTGGCTTGTCTCATCTATCCCCACCCAGATTGGCAGGTGGAGGACCATTGTGTCTGTGTCTGTGTCTTGTAACAATATATTCTTTTTTTCTTCTTTTTCTTGTTTCTTTGACTCTTTGTTCGCATTCTTTTCATCACAATCGTTTTGAAGGTGGACTGGTTCCATCGTTATACTTCTTTTCTTCGGGCCTGACGCCAGCATTCCTTGCGTTGCCAACGGAACAGCTCAGCAAAAATCTGACACTGCTATCCCTGGGTAGATCTGAGGGGAACAGGATTTCGGTTTTGATTCTCTTCAGCCGATACAGTCGCTTTCCTTTAGGCAGGCCCTGATCCTCGACGCCGCCATTCGCTATATCGGTATCGACACGATCGTTTCAATCATTCGTTCTTTTTTCTTTTTCAAACAACAGCCTGGTGCTGCTGTTGTCAATTGTCAATCGTTTCATCTTGCCAGCAGAAAATTAACCAGCAACTCTGGACCAGTATTCAATCAAGCCGGTCTTGTGAGAAGATACGCAGCTAGAATTTGGCCTGATTCATTCGGAATACTGCTTGATATCTATCGGAATACACACTCGCTCGCAGTTACAGAACAGTAGAACAATGGAGTTCGAAAAGCGCCACGGCTCCTCCAGCTCCATGGATCTCTTTTACGAAGCCCTCAACGATGACCTAGCCCGCTACTCCCTGCTAGCCCTTGGCTGCGCCGCCGCCGCATACTATATCTGGCAGCTAACCGTTCGATTCTCCGACCACCTACGAAGACTGTCCACATTCAACGATGACAATCAACGGTATTTCGTTCCAGCTCATGAAAAGTTCTCCTGGATCAAGAACCACCTGATCTATGCCCCGATGTTCCGGAACCGCCACAACCGCGAATTGCAACTTTCGCAGGCTATCAACATGGGCACCCTGCCCAGTCGTTTCCACGGACTGCTGGTTACCGGTGTTGTTGCTATGAATGTCATTCTTTGCGTGGTCACTGTTCCCTACGCATCCGATGAAAGTACCACTGCTGGCATCGTTCGCAATCGGACTGGTACTATGGCGACTGTGAACTTGATCCCGCTTGTCTTGATGGCGGGGCGAAACAACCCGTTGATTGCTATGCTTCATGTTCCTTTTGATACGTGGAACCTTCTTCACAGATGGCTAGGACGTATTGTGGTTTGTGAGGCTTTGGCTCATACATTTGCTTGGGCGATTCCCAAGGCTCAGGATGGTGAGGATTCTAGCTGTTTAATGTTAAAGTCTGTGCTAACATAAATTGTAGGAAGCTGGAGTGCTGTGGGCGAGTATATCTCTGGGAGTAGCTTCCTGACTGCTGGACTGGTTGTAAGTACTGAAGCTCACTCCAGAAAACTTCATTCATTGACATGGAATTCCAGACTACTTGTACTTCAGTCGCACTTTTGGTTCACTCACCATCACCAATTCGCCATGCCTTCTACGAGACATTTCTCCACCTGCACATCGCCCTCGCCGCTATCTGCATGGGCTTCCTTTGGGTTCATTTGAATGGATATGCCGCGCAGAAGTACTTGCTTGGTGCTATCATCCTGTGGGCACTGGAGGTAAGTTCTTTAATCCATAGATACTCACAGCACATACTGACTGGTTTGAAGCGTGCAACCCGCCTATTCATCATCATATACCGCAACCTCGGTCGCGCATCCACGACAGCCACCATCGAGGCAATGCCAGGTGACGCCATGCGGATTACCCTCCGCCTCGCCCGCCCATGGAAGTTCCGTCCCGGTCAACACATCTACCTCTACATCCCAGCCATCGGATTGTGGACCTCACACCCATTCTCCGTAGGCTGGAGCGAAGATGAAGACAAAATGTCTGACGAGAAGTCTCTACCCATGGCCCACCAAGACCTAATTGGAGCACCCCAGCAAACAACTCTCTCGCTACTAGTCCGCCGCCGAACAGGAATGACCGACAAGCTATACCAACGCGCAGCCGACGCCATGGGTGGCCGGATCACCCTCCGTGCCTTCGCCGAAGGACCATATGGTAACATCCATACCATGGATTCATACGGCACAGTCATGCTCTTCGCTGGCGGTGTCGGTATAACACACCACGTCCCCTTTGTCCGCCACCTCGTAGCCGGTTTCGCAGATGGCACGGTAGCCGCCCGCCGGGTTACGCTTGTGTGGATCATTCAATCGCCCGAACACCTGGAATGGATCCGTCCCTGGATGACAAGTATCCTAGCCATGGACCGTCGACGTGAGGTGCTGCGCATTATGCTGTTTGTTACACGTCCTCGCAATACCAAGGAGATCCAAAGCCCGTCTGCGACTGTGCAGATGTTCCCTGGCCGACCGAACATCGATACCCTCGTTGGTATGGAAGTTGAGAACCAGATCGGTGCGATGGGTGTCCTTGTTTGTGGCAATGGTAGCTTGAGTGATGATGTTCGTCGGGTTTGTCGCAAGAGGCAGTCGAAGTCTAATCTGGATTATGTCGAGGAGAGCTTCTCGTGGTAGTGGGTTTTGGTCTTTGTATACACGATGTGAATGTTGCACTTTGCCTAAGTTGTTCTTGTATCTTGGTTACTTCCCCGATTCGCCCGCACGGCAACTTCCGCTTGACTGGTTTGGACTTGATTTTCTTGTCTTTTGAAGATTTTTGATTTTCTCCGACTGCGATGGGATGGTGTGGGTAGATGTATATACTTTTTGGTTCGCATCTGGGAAGCGTGAGGGGTTTATCTTTGTGCTGGGTCATAGCCCCTGCAGGGTGCAGAAAAAGTCCCTTGCAGCACACTCATGCAAGCCCAGGATCGCCCTCACTATGAACACCTGTGAACGCCTTAGTTAGGTCTCGCAATTCAGCCAACGATTAAGAACGCATCGCAGCATATGTATGGAGCTCGTATTAAAATGTTTAAGCTCAGCTGTTCAGCTTCAGCTGTTATCAGTACGGGGCCGATGGTCGGATGTTGATGCCCAAGTGGATCGTTTTACATAAGAACTGCAGGCCGATTTGCCTCCTGACATCGGACTTAACCCCGACACGGCAGTCCAGGTCTCCGTAACATCCCACATCTTATCTGATTAAGAAGATCGGCCTTTCCGTCCCCATTTTCCCCATTTCCTTTCCCTGCCAAGTCCGCTCGTGAACCTTGTTCCTGTTGACATCCTCTCCACCGGACTCCCATGCTGCCTTCTCGTTGAAATGGCGACCGTGGGAAAACCCTCGGAACACGACGACAGATATCCAAACTCTAGATCTGGCCCGTCGCACCATGATTCCACCGGAGAGGTACAACCGCTCCTCGGTCCCTCGACCGTGGCCGTCAAATCACCCGGTGTCGCTCGCATCGAAATCATTAATGCCTCACTTACGCGAAATGACCGGATAATGATGTTCCTGGGCGTGTTCCTGGTCGGATACGCATATGGCCTGGACAGCCAAGTGCGCTCTACTTACCAATCATACGCTACATCCAGTTTTGGTGAGCATTCACTACTAGCGACCGTCAACGTGGTCCGCAGTGTTATTGCCGCAGCCGCCCAACCAGCTGCCGCTCGCATCGCAGACGTATTCGGTCGATTTGAACTCGTGGCCGTGTCGATGGTTTTCTACTTGATCGGTACGACGGTGGAAAGCTGTGCAACTTCGATCGAGATGTTCTCGACTGGCACGGTTCTATATCAGCTGGGCTATACCGGAATCGTTCTGCTGGTGGAGATTATCATTGCAGATATTACGTCGATGCGGTCGCGGGTGTTCTTCAGCTATCTTCCCGCTACGCCGTTCATTATCAATACTTGGATTAGTGGGAATATCACTTCCACAGTTCTGAGCAAGACTGGGTGGCGATGGGGAATCGGCATGTGGTGTATCATTTACACCGTGTGTTCGCTGCCTCTGCTTTGCACTTTGTTTTACACTAGCCGACGGGCACAGAAGACTGGGGCTTTGGAAAATCATCCGAGCCCGCTGCGGTTTTTTGGCACACATCGGTTGGCGGTAGATATGTTCCATCAGCTTGATGTTGTTGGTATCTTTCTAATGATCGCCATCTTCGGTCTTATTCTTGCGCCACTCACGATCGCCGGTGGGACTGAATCACAGTGGCGATCTCCCGTTATAATCACACCTCTTGTTGTCGGTGTCTTGTGTATACCAGTATTTATTTTTTGGGAGACGAAAGGCGCAAAACATCCCCTTGCGCCTTTTCATCTTCTCAAGGATCGAGGTATATGGAGTGCACTCGCCATCCGGTGCCTCCTCAATTTCTCATGGTATCTCCAGGCCGATTATCTCTATACAGTTCTGATTGTTGCATTTGACTTTTCTGTCGCGACCGCAACTCGCATTCAATCCTTCTACTCTTTCTTCGGGTTGATCAGCGGTCTCATAACGGGGATCATTATTTACCGAACCCGCAGATTGAAGTACCTGATTATCTGCGGAACATGCCTTTTCATGATGGCATACGGCCTAGTCCTCTATTTCCGAGGCGGCGCAGATGGGGGCTCCAAAGCCGGAGTGATCACCGCCCAAATATTATTGGGCCTTGCGGGCGGATTCTTCGCATACCCAACCCAAGCTTCCGTGCAAGCAGCCACGACACACGAGCACATGGCCGTTCTCACTGGTATCTACCTGGGTTCATACAACATCGGAAGTGCCCTTGGAACATGTGTATCGGGAGCCATCTGGACACAGACCCTGTATAAATCACTTGTCGAGAATTTGGCATTCCAGTCCAATACCACCTTGGCGCATGCTGTCTACGATTCGCCCTTCGAGGTAGTTCCTTCCTATCCAATTGGTACACCCGAGAGAACTGCTATCATCCTCAGCTACCGGCATGTACAGAGACTTCTCTGTGTTACTGGAATATGTCTTGCCGCGCCGATGATTGCGTTGGCATTTGTTTTGCGGAATCCTAAGCTCTCAAAGGAACAGAGCCAGCCTGAGGCTGAGAGAGAGGATTAGACACATCGCCTTTTGGCGATTCTCACGATTTAATGAAAGCGATCTTTATTAGATTTGACTCATGAATTTTACATTTCGGATGCAGCATGACAATATCCCTGCACATTTCAGCGTTCCAATTTTCATCTCGGGTTTCATATGTTTATACAAGAAAATACATATACATTGACATATACATTTATATATAAATTGGCTTTTAGCCGTATGAGATGACTTCCTCTGCCCTTTTAACCGTCATGCTGACCAAGTGGCTTACCTAGCAAATTGCGTCACTGCCTGGAACACCGTCGTGACGTTCGTGATTCCATCTTTTAACCGAGAATACGAGACAGTGAATCATTGTGGCTTATCGCTACTAACAGCTCGTAATAGACAGCTCTACCTGCGTAGGATCTAAAGACTTCTCTTGGTCAACCCGCACTGGACCGGAATAAGTAGTTGATGTTTCGTCGCCCAGCTGTCCTCAACTCGCTAAAGCACTATCGCAACATGGCGACAAATTACGAAAACATTATCATCGGCTCCGGCCAATCCGGTACGCCCCTAGCCGTCGCATTCGCAAAGGCAGGACAAAAAACAGCACTGATCGAACGCGAGCACGTCGGCGGATGCTGTATCAACGAAGGCTGTACACCGACAAAAACGTTAATCGCATCAGGTCGAGTCGCTTATCTAGTTCGTAAGGGACCAGATTATGGTATACATACGCACACTCCTGAACACAAGACTCACGTGAATATGGCGGTGGTCGACATGCTCAAAGTCCGCCAACGGAAACGCGACATTGTCACCTCATTCCGCGGTGGTAGTGAGACTAAGCTTAAAGATGCTGGTGTGGATACCCTAGTAGGTGAAGCGACTTTCGTGGACGAGAAAACAATTCAGTACAAGGATAGTGGTGGCAACGTGAAGACCGTGCAAGGCCAAAATATATACATCAATTCCGGGGCAAGACCTGCACCGCCATTTCTCGAAGGAGTTGCCTTTCTTGATCAAAAGATAGTCTTGGATTCCACGTCAATCCAAGAGCTAGATCAGGTTCCTGGACACCTCGTCGTTATTGGAGGTGGATACATAGGGGTGGAATTTGCACAATTGTTTAGCAGATTAGGCGCAAAAGTCACCATAATCCAGCACGGGAAACAATTGTTGCCACGCGAAGACGAAGAGATAGCACGCATACTACAAGACATCTTTGAAGAGGATGGACTTACGGTCCTTTTGAACTCTGACCCAGTCAGAATTGCGCCATCATCTACCGGATTCACTCTTCATTACCAAGCCAATAACAGCGACCACGCCATCGAAGGAACACACATCCTATTTGCTACTGGTCGCATCCCAAATACAGATATGTTGAAACCCGAAGCTGCAGGTGTAAAGACCGACAGAAAAGGATATATTGCAACAAACGAATATCTCGAAACATCATCTCCTTCTATCTTCGCAATGGGCGACGTAAAAGGACCACCATCATTCACACATATCTCATACGACGACTTTCGTATTCTCCGATCCAACATAGTTCCATCATCATCGTCGCAAATGTCTACGAAACTATCAGTTAAAGACCGTATAGTGCCATACGTGGTCTTCACAGATCCCCAGTTAGCACACGTCGGTTTGCACGAGGGCGAAGCTCGAACAAAGTTCCCGGACAAGAAGATCCAAATTGCAAAAATGCCAATGGCGTATGTTGCCCGCGCACTGGAAATGGGTGAGTCGAGGGGAATGATGAAAGCTGTTGTGGATGGCGATAGCGGGTTGATTCTGGGCTTTACATGTTTGGGTGTTGAAGGTGGTGAGATTATGAGTACCGTGGAGGTGGCGATGATTGGGGATGTTCCTTATCAAAAGTTGAGGGATGCGATTTTGGCTCATCCTACTCTTGCGGAAAGTTTGAATAATATCTGGGGGTTCTTGGAGTGAGGGTGATATTCTGTACGGCAAAATGGTAATGGGTGGGAGTAAAACAAGAATGAAAGGATGCAGAGGTACAGACACCAAATAAGATTGATGATATGAGGGCCCTGGCACGCAGGATCTTTGGAAAGAGAATACTACCGAAGTCAAAGGGCTCGACAGCGTCGGGTGTTTTGTACATTCATATATCCATGATATTCTCAAAACAATATTGAAAAGTACAAGATGATCATTCAATCAATTGCATTTTAAATCGACTAAACAAATACACATGCGCTCTTGATAGATCTTTCCTGGCCCCTGGTGATCGAATTCACTGCAAAAAACACGAACTTGTTCTTCTGGATCGTTGATCTACAAGACTGCTACACCACACAGACAAGTCCCACATAGCTTTTTACTATAGATGCTTCAACTCATGCTGTGTCGTCTGTCACAGATCCAAATGAATCGGATCGACTAGCTGGGCTTGAGTAATTGTCAAGTACCTTCAAATCTCTCGGATCCAGAAGGTGGAGCGCTTGGATCTTCGTCACCACGGACATGAGCAACACCAGGGAGGATAGGGTGACTGGGTTGAAGAGCGCCCATGATCTGCTCAAGAATCAGATTCTGAGCTCGTATCATATCGTATTGTTGACTGATCATTGAATTCTGCGTATCGATCTCCTCGATAACAAGCCTGAATACCTCGAATAATGAGCGGACTAGAAGCATGATGATAGTTCGAAAGACAATATCAACCAACCTATTAAAAGCACTGCTATAAATTCCCTCAATCTCCAATCTTTTCTCAATAGCAGTTCCGAGAGCGCTGTCCAGTTTTCGTTTGTTCCTAAGAAAGGTATTCCTTCTGAGCAGACGTCGTATTGACCATGGTACCCATTTATATCCATAAGCCTCAGGTAATAGTATGATGAATTTATGATGTGTAATGATACTGGCAGCATGTGTTGTAACGAAGTCGACCTTGCTTGCAATCGCCTCGGGAATTCTGTCTTTGAATTCCTGAAACATCTCAGATGTTCGTTTCAGAGATTCATATTCTGCCTCCAGGCGCAGACCCAACTCTTTGATCTCCTTGTCTACATTAGCTAGTGCATTCGCTTGGAAGACGACCGTAACGAAGACTGCGTATGCGAGTGTGAGGATTCCGATGATATTCCCGGTCGTTGACAGGGGACTATCGGCACAGGAAAATTCAGTCACGCAGGTATTGTTACCTGACATAGCTTGGGGAACTCATCAATTGGGATTCGAAGAAAATTATTGCTTGAAGAGGATGAGAATAAAACGAAAGATGGAGGAGGGTATAAGCACTAAATAAATGCTGCAGGTAGCTCTCCTTTCAGCCTCACCATATTAGCGCGCGATACCTAAGCTGCAGCCCTCTATCCTTGTATTTATTCTTTCATCATGGTTGCCGGTGTCCTCGATTTACCGGGGTCCTTTAATCGGGCGATAGGCTGTGGCTTTATATTCGTAGCTGCTACACTTCTCATGGACCGCGGTGAGCAATTGATCGAATAATATAGCAACTATAAATACGAATACGGATACAAGTCTGCGGGATTCATTCAGCAGCCTCACAATCATGTTTAAGCACCTGGACCAAAGAGGCACATCGCCTTGGTGCCAGCCTAGTGCGTTCTGGAAGCTATCAGCCAACCAGGCAGGAACACGCGTCACAATAATATGCGAGGATGACCAACTGCAGATATCGCGTTGCACAATTAGCAAATGACCTGTATTATTAGCAACGCAGGAGGAACCGTATTGGTAATTCAAGCGGGGCCATTTGGCTCTTGCCATACCCCTCACCCAGAGCTTGGAATAGCAAGATCTCCTTTTTCTACGGACATCAATTGCTTCATCGCTTATAACACTTCTTTAAACACCTTTACCGGAGTCCTGTCCTCGGTAGACCCAGAATGTCCAACACATGGGTTCTTGTGATTTCCCTTAGCGAAGGATCATTCTTCGAAGAAATATCCCACCGAATCTTGGCTACACTGAGATCGAAGACGACAGTTCAGCTCGCAAGGGACCCGAATTCAACTGTCCAGCTGCTTGCGCAGCAGCCATCATCCATCCTCATCGCAGACGAAGCATTGACTCAAAACAAGTACTCCCAAATTTGGGGTGCAGTCCTCCAGTGCATACGCCAGGGCTCCACAGCTGTCGTTATGGGGCAGTTTTCCTCCTTCGTCCGACCAGACAATATGAAACCCTTCTTTTCCCAGGCGGGATTATCCTGGGATCGAGGCTCATACACTCGGACGACATTGGTGCTTAATCAAGCAGCAACTGGGGATGAATTAGCTACAAAGTTGCCAAAATCGTACAGTCAGAAGGCTTTGTTCGTGAATAACGTCGTTTCTTCGGACATGTGGTATACGACGGATGAGAGTTCTGTTGTTGAATCACGCGTCTTCGGGCCGACCTCTGTGAATACTCCAGGTGAAACACCGGTCGCGATGGCTCGTGTTGGTGAGGGAAAACTTGGTTATGTGGGAGATGTCAACGCCGAAGTGGAGACAGATGCTGTTATCCTTGCTATGTGCAATCTACTTTAATCATTATAACTTCTATCAAGTTTGGGGCTAGCGTCCTTGCGAGGCGATGCCACCAAAATGAAGGTCCAAGTCAAGATACTAAGTATCAATGTGGCGTGTGATTAAGAAACAAGGCTTTTGACTGAGTTGCTGGCAGATGCCGTTGAAGCTATCAGCATATACCTCATGGCTGGTAGGCAATCGATAGGTTCCGGGTTTGGATCCCATTGAAGTCGACTTCTTTTTTTTAATCATGACGGTTATCAGAATCAATCGATGCTTCCCCTTGATTGTACTCCATTTTAGTTTGCGGTCACACATTTCACTTTCATGTTTGCTCGCAAGAAGCACTCCAGTCCTCAATTCGCAGCATAAGTGGCCACTTTCGCTCGCTTCAACTCTCATTCCTCTTCATATTCTTCGACCCATCAGTCAAAACTTCACCTCAACACGGGTATTTCGATAATCGGTTTGTTCTTCCCGTCGCCTCTAGCAAGATCTCATTCCTCTACTAACGTCAGGCAACTTAGCTCGAATTTCAAACCCCAACTCGCCATTCCCGTGATACTCTCTTCGTCAAACCAAGATGGCGACCGATAACTCAGCCCCAAGAATCCTTATCATTTGCTCTTGCCACGAATCATATTTTGAACGGCGATGGGACCGACTTTTGCCTAGTCTGAGGTCGAAGGCGACAGTTGAGTTCCTGAACAACCCGAACCCGGACGTAATCGTTCAACTGCTTGCAGATGAGCCAATGCCATCGGCCATCCTCATCACAGACGAGGGACTGTATCTAAACAATCACGCGCATCTCTGGGACGCGGTCCTCAATTGCGTACGTCAAGGCTGTACGGCTATCGTCATGAAGTACTTGGGGCAGTTCCCCTCTCGTGGAGAGAACCTAAAGCCCTTCTTTTCACAGGCGGGATTACCATGGGAAGAGGGATCATATCTTCGGAGGACATCGGTAATCAATGATGCAGCAACCGGGCATGATTTGGCTACAAAGCTGCCGCAATCTTACAGCCAGAGGGCATTGTTTGTCAAAAATGTCGCCTATTCGGACGCGTGGTATATGCCAGATGATGATCTCGAAACACGTGTCGCTGGACTGTCTGTTGACGATGTTCAAGGTGAATCACCGGTTGCATTGGCGCGTGTTGGGGAGGGAAGACTTGGTTATGTGGGTGATTTCAATGCCGAAGAGGAAACAGATGTTGTCATTCTTGCGATGTGCGGGCTGCTTGAGTGATTGATATGGCACTGGGACTTATCGCACATTTTGATGAATCCATTCTTCTCAGCACAAGAACAAATCCAAGATCCTCACATAGTGGAACGCAAAGTATGCAATCAAAATGATTCTCTTGATTTAGCGTGAATGTCACACGCTTTGAGATTAGCGTTCTAGCGAGGTGATGCAAACAAAAAGAACAATCAGTAGATCCCAGCCTGCACGCTTCAAGCCCGAATGGCTATGTGCGTATGTTGACCTACGTATATATTGCTTTCAAAGCCATGAAAGGGTAAGTTCTGGTATTCAGGGCGGTTGAGAAAATGATCTAGAGTGCCGGAGTAAGCCCAGCTGTACCGGCCCATCACCAGTACAAGTGGGATTTTCCAGGACCAAAGACCTAGAAGACCTGACTGACGATGTTCGAAATTTAGAAACAAATCAAAGAGACGCATAAACCGGAATTGTCTATCAGAAGACCGATTGTGCTTTGTGCATGTATCCTGCCAATTCTACACAAAGCTTTTGCCTACTGAGGTAGCATATAGATCATGCGTCTGTAGATACCCAGGCATACCCAAGAAGCTTTGAGTAGACCTCTTGAAGGATGCGAATATCAGCGCGCAGGGTTGGCGAGTTGTTCTCGGTGCGCAGGAGAAAGCGGATCGTGCGTTTGAACAGGCGGTCAAGGGTGGAACGATGGACAAGCTCGCGGATACTTGAATTATAAGTCGCAGAAAGGACGAGCATGTAGCCGAATTGCCTATGAAGAAAATCGATTAGAATGGGTATGAGCAGGTTTGGAAAATACATCCATCGAGAAGCAAGGCTTACTCTTGAGCTGTCCCAAAAATGTTTGGTATCACGAGGCAGTCCTCAATGCCATCATACACTGTGAGGCCCTGAATTGCACACTCCACGCAGGTCCTGCATGCAAGCCGCATCATTAGTGGTAAGTCCTTCCAGTCGAAGGTGGGTGGGCTCCAATTTTGAGGGGAAGTCGAGGTCTTTTTGCTGGTATCAGACACCATGGCACTGAGCATGTGCTTCAAACGAGCATGGTCACGGCAAGACTGCCCCTCAGAAGTGGCTGCATCATATTCATCCCATGCACTAGGCTGTCCGTAGTGTATGGCGTAGTACAGCAAAGGCAGATGGAGTATATATTTTGTACGGTAGTAGATAGCGCGCATACAAACGATGTTGATATCCTTAGCAGGCTCGTCAGTATCTTTCCATTGCAGTGGTATAGGAAGCATATGGCGCCAGAATTCAAGGTTGAGGCTCTGGGCATTTTGCACGGAGGGTGAGCAGCTTGGTTGACCTCCCCTTTTGATCTTGTACAGTTCTGTATGCATACAATTACGGATCTTTTGGAGGTGGATGTCGGAGTCACCGTACGCCATCCATGTCGTCTTTCGCAAGAGGTCAAAATGAGCATCCGTGAATATTCTTCCCGGTGATGGTACCCCATGCTCATATAGAGCCATACCACTTGTGGGGACGTCTAGCTCCGCCAGCAGATCACTTTCCAGGTGTAGGCAATTCCAGTACGCAAGGATGACGGACTCTTCCGTGTGGTCCTTCATATCCGCAAATGGTGATCTTGGAACAAGCAGCTGGCACGCTCGGGTTGCCTCACTAATCCACGCATGACTCTGGAAAGGATCTGCCAGTTGACCGGCATAAAGGCCAGCCAGCAAGCACGCATGGACATATTCTATACTGGAAGCGCCCCCAAAAAAGTCAATCGTTGCGATAGCGAAGCGATACAGAGCCAGGCCGGGAACAACTGGCTGGTTCACAACATTTCCACATTCATCGCGACCGGTATGGGTCGGTCCTCTATACTCGATTCCCCCAATATTAGGATTACTGGCTAAGAATGAGAATGGCTTGCTGGGAGTGTGCTGCGGTTTGTTGGAAAATGCAGCCATCTGATGTACACAGTGCAAGGGAGCAGGAGTGAAGACGACATTGACAGCCTGCGTGCTGCCTCCTAGCGTGGCCGAGCGTACGGCGCCAGACAAGCGTGGAAGGGAACAGTCTACCCTCTGCTTCAAGACCGGACTGGGAGTTGAAGAATTGTTCTCGCAAATAGCTCCAACTGCAAATATGAGCAGAATGATTGCATTGTCGATGTCTACCTCAACAAGGTGCCCAGGTGACGAAGGTACGTCGAGGGGACCTCCAGGAGATCGCTCACTGGCATGGCAACAGTTGGCCTCAGTCGTCAACGTCGACTTTTGTGGAGAATAACATTTGATAAAGGCCTCTACCGTTCTGTCCAGCTGTTCGCCTAGGAAAGGATGGAGTCCGTGCATGTGATCGAGATAACTCTGATAGTACCGCCAAGAGGCCTTCTCACCCAATCTAAGCGCACCAGATTGATCGATTTCCGCACATGAATCTGTGATTGAAGCCTCCACATGGAATTTTGTAGATTTGCTCCCGCCGTCGGCGCCATCATGAGCTGAGCTTGCCAATGATAGTATGGTGCTATCTGCCGGAGAGATGATATCTCTGAGATCACTTGCGTAGGTGGTATTCCGCTGTCTTTCCAATCTCATCAGGTAATGGTGGTCGTATTCATGTGGGTGGAGTAGTAGTTTGACCGACGGCCACATCACTAGCTTCTGTACCGCTGCGGTATGTCCTAAATACACACACAATCATCAGCTCAAGTGCATTTCTTCGATATATATGAAGCTCCTCTCATACTCCAGTCCACGTTTATCGACGCATTATTGTCTGGCATGAGCGCTGCCTCCTGGGACATGTTGGGTTGCCATGATGGTTCGTCTGGACTCTCACTGATATTCGAAGTACTCGCAACGTCTGACAACGCCATCGCAGCACTGCGCTCTGAGATTGTGGATTGAGGTGATGACAGGGTCGGATCTTGTATCTGCGTGACTATTTCCCGTTCAACACCAGTCGGGTCTTCTGCGGCCGAGGTATTTGAAGTTGGTTTGATGCAGCGTTGGCCAATTTTACTCTGATGGTGGCGGTTGAGGTTTGACTTGCGATCGTAACGCCTACCACACCCCCATTGCTCTCCATTTTTGAGTAAGCCTCCACAACCCCATTTCTTTTCGCGGTTGTGAAGCTGTTCATGGGTTCTGCGGTCATGCTGTCTTGTGAAAGCTCTCCCACACACCCCGCAAATGAATGGCCGCTCGTCTGTATGAGTACGAATGTGACTTCTCAAGTTAAAAGCTCTGGTAAACTTTCGCGGACAAAGATGACACTCAAACCTGCCATTTTGAGTGCTGGATTTTGATTCCATTGTTGGTTGAGTGTTTTTGCGGCTTACGGGAAGGTTGTCGGTCTCGTCTCCGGTGCCGTTCATGGGTGTAACTTAGTTTTCCCAGAGCAATACACATCAGATTTGTGATATAATTTAGGGCGGGATAACAATCACACAGATATACGTCCGAGTAGCCTTGTACATTATGGATTTTCGAGGCTCTGCACAGGCTCACACCCCTGATCAAAACGCCCCCACTTCAGCGACTTGCTGGCTCCAATTATACGACTTGATGACCAGGCGCTCGCAGCCATGCATTTTTCACAGGCTCAGTGAAGGATCGACCCACATCAAGGCCCGGAAGAAGCTTCTTCATCTTATTGGCCTATATTCTACACCAACTCCTTGCCACATGCGCACAGGCCCAGCGGCTTGATCGGCGGCTTGCAACAAACCACCTTCCTGTTCTGGCAGACTCCACAGGCTCAATGATGCTAAAAATTGGGTCTTTTTCTCTGAACGGACCAAATTTGATATTGACCAGCAAATGTTTCCGGTGCGAGAGCAGGCTAACGAGCACTGGCTCCTCTTCCCATAAGCCACAAAATAACATATTGAGCCGGTGCATCATGAATTGACCTGTCAGGCCTTCCACTGAGTATATCTAATGCTCGCCTACTACGTTCTGGCCCAGTCAGTATTCTCAGATGGAAACACAGGCCCAATCACTCGCCTAGTGATTCCAGGCTCAGCAGGCACTGCCTTAAAGACCCATCTTGAAAGCTCTTGTCCTAGCTCCTCGGAAACATTCATTCATTCATTCTTTTTCCATCCCAAGTCATACTTCTGAAGACCAAACTTGAGTACCAAAAACCGCTACACATCAACCAAGGCTCCTCCAAAAAAAAAGCAGTCATATCCGATTGGCACATCAATTGACCCACAGCCCATTTTCATGAAGAGCTATGACACCAGAAATAATCTGCTCGATTGTCTTTGGAATTGCGGCGACTATTCTCGCCTTGTTGGGAATCATTCAAAGCTTCCTTCCACGGCCAACTAGAGGTCAGCTTCCCCGACCTTCCTTGTCTACATGTGAACCATGGAAGCTTAGTCTTGGATTTAGAGATAGATATTGAAAACCAGCGTTACTGGTACGGCCAAGCGCTTCCACTCCTCCATATGAGACACGTCGGACAGATCGGCATTCACGGTTGGCATGTTCGATAGATGCTGCTCAAATAACACCAAAGTAGAGCCCAGTTGTCTATCTTGTACTGGTCCTGCGTGTATCAACGGAAAATGAAGTCAGCCAGGGGTCGGGCGTTGTCTACGGGGCTTTGCCATCCCATCATCAATGCCACCATTACCCATACGGTCATCTCTACCTCCCGCTTCTGGAGGTACGATTGAAGGATACTAGCTTACCACACGGCCCGACCGTAACTCAGGGAGGGAGTGGCAGTGAGCCGCGATGAACAATGTATCTCTTGTTGCACGGAATCCTTTGTTTCAGTAACCCTTTGATCAAGATATAGGTCGATAATATGCTAGTCTATTAGATCCTTGAAACAAATAATCACCATACAGATCCCTCAAATATCTTCCAGCCAACCCTTCACCATAACCTCAAAGTCCGGACTATAAAGCCATCTCAAATCAAACGGCTTACTCTCCAACTCAGAATCCACATTCCCATCCTTCGGCATTCGCCTCGCGTCAATTTGCCCATTAAGCTCCAACACCCGATCAACCCTCTCCTGCCTCCCAACCTGCCACCTCTTCAACCCACCCTTAAGATCCCCACCACCACACTTAGCCAGCACAAGCGAGTATGAAAACACATCCTCAAATGCCTGATTGATACCTTGACCAGCCGTCGGTGGAATAGCATGAGCGGCATCCCCCAAAATCACAACCCGGCACTTATCAGAAGCCCACGTATCAAGCTTAGGCACAACATAAAACGGCCAAAGATTGATTTTGTTAACGGGTATATCCGAAACAGCAGATTGTATGATCTCGGGAAAATCTTCGGCTCCTTCACGGAGGAAATTAACACACCACTGTTTGTCACTGAGGAGCTCGTTCCAGCCCTGACGACCCATCTCCGCTACGCGCTTCTGCTTGCCGATGAGGAGCTCCGAACCATCGGGAAGTTGCGGCGCCATAATGAAAGCTCCGTGCTTTGGATTCATGATCGTCAACGGGAGTTCGTAGTCACCCTTTTTGAGCTGTGATGTAGGTATCGCAGCCGTAACACCGATGGCATTAGTGAAAATTGGCTCGAGATCTGGGTAGAGATATTTTCGGACACGGGAATGGATCCCATCAGCACCGACAAGACAAGTAGCGGTGCCCGTCGTCCCATCTTCGAAGGCCCATGTAACATCTCGCTCAGTCTCGGAGATTACGTGAGTAAACTTCTTCCCGTATTCGATGGTTATGCCACGTTCTTGCACGGCTTTGACGAGTGCATCTATTATTTCATAGCGGTAGATACGGAGGGCGTCGTAGTCGTATTTGTCGGCGTTTCCGAATTCGTAGGTATCCAGTGGTGTTCCGGTGTAAAAGTGGAGGTATTTGAATGAGTAGCCAAGGGGTTTAATGATTTTGTAGATGCCTATTGCGTCGAGGATGCGAAGTGCGTTGGGTGAGAGCATGATTGCACCGCCTATGTCTAGGGAGGCGGGACGGGATTCGTAAATGGTGCAGAAGATTCCCTGTTTGTGAAGGGACAGTGCTAGCGCTAGGCCTGAAAGTCCTGCACCGATGATTGCGATGTTGTTGGAGGCCATTTCAACGCTGATGCAATATGGCGGATGTAGTAAAATTTTTGAGGACTTGTGGATGTTGATGTTGATTGTTCTTAGCTAAACTGATTCTAGTGCATATAAATCTGAGGAAGAACTGTATTTATATACATGAGTTGATGGGACTCGAGGCTGATAATCTGGTCTTACAGTCAGCAAGTCGATGTAACGGATATCCAGTTCGGATCCGACTGCCCGGATCCGAGAACCCGGCGATCGGACGAAGCAATGAACAAGTCCATCAACTCCAGGATAAAATACTCAATCACTCCTCTCGAATCCAATGCCCACTTTTACCACCTTGTTTCTCTATTAACCGTACAGCCCCAATAATCATCCCCTTATCCACAGCCTTAAGCATATCATAAACAGTCAACGCAGCACCCATAGTAGCCGTCATAGCCTCCATCTCCACTCCAGTACGACCAAAACAGCTGACCGTAGCGACGATCTGCATGGCACCATGATCCTGCGTATCATGTGCTTCAGGTGCAACAAGCTCCACACTAACCTCCACGCCCGTAATACCAATTCCGGGATGGCACAACGGGACGATATCTGGTGTTCGTTTCGCCGCCATGATACCTGCAATGCGGGCGACGCTATACACGTCGCCTTTGTGTGTGCCTTCGCCTTTTCGTAGGATTTGCCATGGCTTTTGGTTCGAGAAGGAGACTGTGCATGCGGCGGTGGCTAGTCGTTTCGTTTCTGGTTTCTCAGTGATTTGTGTCATGTGCACGGTTTGAGAAGGGGTGAGATGTGGGAGTTCAGAGTCTGAAATATTGGGTAGAGATCGAGGGGTGGGTTTGGTTTCTTTTTGTGGCTTGGCTTCTTCGGTTTGTGTGCTAGGTCGTCCGGTGTGGTAAAGGCGAGCCTGGGACAGCCCTGATGAAGAAAGAAGATGCAAAGGAACTCTTGATGTTGCTCGTGAACTGGAGAACGGCCATGGGTATTTTTTACTATCTAATACAACTATCAGCATAGGATTCCGCAAATCCAAGCTCTCAATATGAGACCGTAAGTACATGCAAGGAACTCAGGTCCTGTGCCTCAAGCTCCAACAAATATGCAAATCGTAAATCATTCAAATTCATAAAGGACGCTACCCACCAATAAGAATCATGGGCCTGTTCTTCATATTCTCAAGTTCGCCCATCCCGGCGTGCTTTTCCTTCTTGCGCTTCACAGCCAAACCAATGATATCCAAAAGCTCGCGTTCCCGCTCAGGAATCAAGCCTCCCTCGTCACTGAGACGAGCCGCTTCCTGCACTGTTTCGAGCAGACGGAGCTCTTTTAATGCGTCTTCGTCGATGGGCTGTCCGTCATTTTCCTTGCGAATGATATCCCGCAGAGAGACCTCGGTGTTCCCGAAGAGACAAACTTTCAAATTACCGTCGCCAGTGATGCGCAGCCTGTTACAGGTCCCACAAAAGTTGTGCGTCATGCTGGTGATGAAGCCGACGCGACCTTCAAAGCCAGGGACCTTATAGGTCTTACTGGTATCATTTTTGTGGCCGACAACTTTCTCCAACGATGGATACTTTTCACGGATGACTGCCAGCATCTCTTCATAAGAGAACATCTTCCCTTTATTCCACTTATTTCCATCAAACGGCATATACTCGATGAACCGCACCTCGATAGGCAACTCGCGGCCGAGCTCGACGAACGGTAGAATCTCGCGATCGTTCATGCCGCGCATAACCACGCAATTGATCTTCAATTTGATTCCAGCACCGAGTTTATTCATTTCCAGAATCCGATCGATGCTTTTCATCACAGCATCGAATCCCTTCCGTCGTGTCATGATCTGGAACTGGAAAGGATCGAGCGTGTCAAGACTCAAATTCACGCCTGTGAGACCTGCTTCCACCATAGGATCAAGCTTTCGATGTAAGGAAATCCCGTTGGTAGTCAAACACAGTTCTCGGAGCCCGTTCTCTCGCAGCTGGCCAATCCTCTGCATTAGAGGAACGATGTCCTTCCGTACGGTAGGTTCGCCACCAGTCAACCGAATTTTTGTAACGCCTTGGGAGACGAATAATGATGACAGGTAGACAATTTCCGGCGACGTCAACAATCGTGCTGGAGGAGAGAGCTCGACGCCCTCTTCAGGCATGCAATATAAGCATCGGAGGTTACACCGTTCGGTGACACTGATTCGGAGGTAGTCATGCTGGCGGTTGAAGGTATCGGTGAGGAAATCGGAGAAAGGCTTCGCGGTTTTCAGAGCTGTGAGTCTGGGGGTATTATGTGGGGGGATCTCGGTCGTGGTCGCCCTTGAGGGAATGGAGCTGGTGCTTTGCCACCGAGCCCGCGCAAAAACCCCGCGAGGGGCATGGGTTAAAACTCGCCTATACAGCATACCCACTATGTGCAAATTTCAACGAACCATTAGAGGCATCTTGGGAGGAGAGAAAATAATATAATCCCTGTCAAGCGAGGGGGGAGTTCTAGAGTTGGCTTATCGCGTGGACATGCTGTTATCGGGTGGGGCACCCTTAGTAATCCCATGAATGTCGGTGGACTCCGCGTCATTTAGTCACACTTTCCACACTCGAATCCACTATCAAACCTAACAGGTGCGGGCGAGTGGCGGACCGTAAAGTGTCAGGTTCTCTGTCTCAAATTGATTGTTTCGCTAAGGCTTTTGACCAAGTCTCAACATTCGCTGGTGATAATCTGGCAAGACTCTTGACGCTGTTCTCCAGGTAAAACATTTGAGATTGATTTTGTTATTGTTTAATCTGTTGGAAGTGCACCCAACCTGAAGGTATAATATGACTGCCCGATAATGCATTTATCTTCGTTCCACACTTCATACCCCTCGAGGTCATGCCCAGCCCCCAGAGTCATATATAATGGCAAGACATGCTCCGGAGTCGGATGGGCATCAATCCAGTCAGCATTCTTCTGGAAATCCAAGAACCTAGCGGTTCTCTCCTCTGGTGTGGGCGCATCAAGCGCATCTTTAGCAGCAGCTTCAAGAGCCAAAGCAATGCTCGTATCACTAGTTCCCTGTCGAGTGGCCGGGAGGTTATGACAGAGCATACCGGAGCCAATCAGGAGGATACGACCAGGACTGCAAGTGTTGTTAGCAAATTTTCTATATGCCAAAAAGACATTATGAGTTCATACAGAGTAGAAAGTGCTTTTCCAAGTTCGACATGAGCCTTAAGGTCATCGCCGACATAAGTTGACATTTGTAAGATTGGAACGTCCAATTCGTCTCCCTCTGGGAACATCAACTTGAAGGGAACCCATCTGCGTCAGAGTCAGTATATGTATCCCACTGGCTATAAGATGGTATACTTACACTCCATGATCCAGATCCCGCTCGGTACTTTCAACTTTCACGCCCTGGCTTTGCAGATGTTGAAAAACCTTCTCGGCCAAGGCACGGGAGGATTTATGCTCATATTCATATTCAAATACATGCGGGAAGGTCTTTCTCCACGAAGGGCCAAGATCATGCCACACCTTAGTTGGCTCTTTGAAGTTGACTAGAAACCGATTAGTCTGGACTTGCTTCAATAATTCCGGCTGGATCCATGGATATGATTTACCTTGGATGGCATCACTTTCACCTTCAAACTCGCCACACGTAAGAACAACTGCGTCTGGTTTCAGGGTTTTAATTTGTTTGCCAAGCTCACGCAGGCCTTGTCGAACGGCCTCGTGCTCGGGTTTAAACATGATACTAACACCGCCTGAGGAAAACTATCAGCACTTTATATGAACATGCTGGGCTCAATCCATGTCTCACCATGACCAATAAAATAGGTCGGCAGCCGCGTGTTTTCGGCATCAGTCATTATGATGGTTTGAATGTTGTCGTGTTGTAGCCTTAAGAGGTAATTGTTCGATCCCAACCGCGTTACACGCGGACGCGGGGTCCAGTATAATTTTATAATGGGTGCCGCTTAAAAGCAACTCCGGCCCGCGCGGAGTCCGAGGTTTGGTTCAATAAACCCGAGATCGCATACTCGACCTTAGCTATACTTCTTGGAGAAGCTACCTATAGTCGAGGGTTTATTTCGAGAACATAAAAGTAGATAAACTGTGAAATTTCTAGGTTCTCATCCAAAGTAGACGACTGTTGGGTTCACAAAGAGCAATAACTTGAACCAAGTTAAAGCATTCGAATGGTTTTAGAAGAGGGTAGAAGCTGAATTTGAGGCCTAAGATTATCACGCCACAATGTCTACATATTTGCACCTATCAATATTAGGTGATGTATATACAAAAGTAAACTTTGATGGCTTTAGTAGTGTTGGCCTACTTTAAGATCGACAACATTACTTTTTCAACCTTGAATCGAAGCATGATAAATAAACAATACATTATCGAATTGATCGGTGAGAAACATGGATTTGGAACTCATTTGCACAGGGACCCGAGGTCTGGTCATGAGGGACCCTTCGTGCATGTCGCTGACATATATTTTCATTGGGGACTCCCAATTTCGAGGTTTGACTCACTCCCAAGCCTACGAAGTGGTATGAATGCCGTACTAGGGTACGTGTATACTTTTAAACATCAACAGCCAGAGCTTCTATTTTTATTGTTTCAATTTCAGTTTTAAGCAACCTCTAATAGTAAACTTTGATTGTTGCCTTCACATAGGAAAAGCTGGCGTATCCATTCGTATTCCATATGATTGAGGTAGCTTACTCAGCTCAATCAGTTGCATAACTCATCGAGAGGTGGACATTTTTGATGCTTATAATAGATGTGGAGATCGATCTAATTGGATTGCGCATCAAATGCTTGATAGTTTGATGGGTCCTATGTTTGAAATCTAAAAGTGTTTGGTAAAATACTCAGGGGAAGTTTCCATCCCGACCGTGGAGTCTCCACCCCAGAATGAAAAACAAACATTCATGTAGCACACCCATGACCCTTAGAAATTAGACTTGCATATTAAATGCTGATCACCGTTATAATAAGATTCATAATATAATTTATGTTCATGTATATGTAAGAAATCAAGGTCGCGAATTGGCTCATTCCAGTAATCAGCTCATCAGACCCACATTAAACAAAGGGAAAACTCTTCCCACCCCTGAGACCACGCGTTGCCCAATGCAGTATACTGCTAGGGGGTTGACGTCTATCCACCTGTGCATTTCTATTTCCATCGCCCTTAAAATCAACACCTAATCCCATCCGGTACCACTAGGCGACGAGAGTTCAAAAACCCTCTCGATCAACTGTGAGTGCCTATGTTTATCCGTGTGCTTCCGTAAACCAATACTAAACGCTAAAGCCACGGCACAGCTGCCTATCATGGATCCCATGGATCCGACAACCTACACAGATCCCCAGTTGACCCTACAGGATCGACTGGTGATCGATGCCCTGATCAACGAGCCAGCCTCAATAAGTGAGTTTGCTCACCACCCGTAAATTGGGCAATCCGCTTACAGTAAAAAGGCGAAGCCAAAACATCGCATGAGAAACTATCACAAAAGCTCTATGACATGAACAATGTTTCCCATTCGACATTCGATCCAACAGTCTTCCAGCTATGGGATAACTCATTATTACATGATAAACTGCCCGCTCCGGTGCACCGCTATGTACTACAGCCTTACATGAAATGGGCTCAAGGCGTCGTCCGCTTCCCAACAGATGTGGTCATGCTAACACATCTTATCCTGTACTTCACGACGCTGGTGCCCAGCGGCATCTATCTTTTTTACAATTTCTCCTGGTGGCGTGGTGTGCTCCACTGGGCTATGCAGTTGTTCTACTGTGGTGCCTTTACGCTGATGAAGCATCAGCATATCCATATGGGCGGTGTCCTTGCGCCTCAGTATTGGATCTTCGATACGCTTTTCCCTTATGTGCTTGATCCTTTGCTTGGCCATACGTGGAACTCATATTTCTACCACCATATCAAGCATCACCATGTCGAAGGCAATGGTGCTCAAGATCTGAGTACAACGATGTTCTATGACAGAGATAGTGTCGCTGACTTTGCGTGCTATGTCGGTCGATTCTTCTTCTTTATTTGGGCTGAGTTGCCGCGTTACTTCTGGAGCAAGGGACAGAAAAAGTATGCGTGCAAGGTTGCTTTCTGGGAACTGAGCAACTATCTTTTCATCTACCTGCTCTATAACTACGTGAACGCCCGCGCCACTCTTTTCGTGTACATCCTTCCGCTTACCGTCATGCGAATTGGTTTGATGGTGGGAAACTGGGGACAACATGCATTTGTGGATCCAGCTGATCCAGACTCGGATTATCTTTCAAGTATCACTTTGATCGACGTGCCGGTGAGTTCGACTCGACTCTGTCTCCATATTTTCGAGCAATACTAACAATGTCCAGAGTAACCGCTTTTCTTTCAACGATGGGTACCACACTTCGCATCATCTTAACCCTCGTCGTCACTGGAGAGATCATCCTGCGGCATTCATCAAGCAGAAGGATCGCTATGCTGAGGAGCGCGCTCTTGTGTTCCGGAATGTGGATTACATCTTCATTACGGTGAACCTGCTGCGCAAGAACTATATCCATTTGGCGAAATGCCTTATCCCGATTGGAGATCAGGTCAATATGACCCTTGAGGAGCGAGCGGAGATGCTGCGGACTCGGACGCGCCGTTTCCGTCATGCGGATATCAAGAAGAGCTCTTGAGTGTCTTAAAAGGCTGAGATGGAGTAAATAGACTTGGAATTTGAGATCATAGCGGAAGCAAGGAAGTCCATCTTGCTTGAATGGTACATCTAGGTCATTCATATTGCTTCCCGATGGGGTTGTTGTTTAGCGTTGCATTTGTTGAAAAGTTACCAGATAGAAGAGTCGACTGTTGCTCATAGTAGTTACAATTTGAATTATTTTCCTATACTTAGATGGCAGGTGTATAAAATTGGAAGCTGTTGGGTATAAATAGTAATTGAGTATACAAAACAGATGTCAAATGCTATGTCAAATAAATGTTCCTAGATCTGGCCAAATGCAGGACAATCTCAAAGAGGCAAAAAAAGAGCAATAAATGTGATGCGAGTCAGCGTGATTAGCTGTGGTAAGCCAAGATGCTAATTTAGTTGGTAGGCTCTGCCTCTAGAACCTCTGAAACAGGCTCCTCTTCCTGATATGGCGGGGGTGCAATTTCGCCATCATTTGCCGTCCAAACTTTACACAACTCCTTCTCAATATCCTCGCGACGCTGTTTCCATTCGTCAACCTTGTCGAGACGCTTGCGCAGCTCCTGTAGCTCCTTCTCAACACCAAGCTTCTCCTTCTCAGTGCCAATTCTCTCAAATTCCCAGCGCTCACCTTCGTCTCCAAGACCAAGGCTCAGGTTAAAGGTGTGGTATTTCTTCAGAGATGCACGAGTGGAGATGGTGATGAGAGTGATACCGCGCTCCTTGGCACGTTCATACAGCAGGCCCTCTACATCAGAAGAGACGGCGGAAGTACCTTCATCGAGGAAGGCGTATCGTGGCTCATGGTAGAAAAGCCGAGCCATGCCCATACGCTGCTTCTCTCCACCACTCAACACATCTTTCCACTCCTTGCGAGCATCCCATCCACCCTCACGGGCTGGCAGGTAGCCTAGGTGCGCAGCATCGAGAATCTTCTGCAAGTTTGCATCGGTCCCTCCGGCCTCGTGCATGTCGATCTCAGTGTGAGGGTAAATGACCTGGTCTCGCAGAGTACCAACACTTAGGTATGGTCGCTGTGGGAGGAACATAATACCATCTAGGCCGAATTTACGTGGGCGGCTTACCAGTCCACGATAAATAGGCCAAAGGCCCGCGACGATACGAGGAATTGCGGACTTGCCCACGCCATTAGGTCCCGAAATGAGAAGATGATCACCAGAATGAACAATGAACGACAGTGAGTCGATTAGCTCATCACCACCCATGGGGTAAAGCGATGGTGCCACGATAGGAACCTGCTCCAGACGAACCCCATCGAAGCCGTTGTGTGTGGTGCCTTGTGCATCGGCGAGAGAATAGAGCTCGGAGTATGATCCTCGAGGCGGATAGTATGCGCTGGCGTGGACGCGGTGCAAAGTTGAGATGAGGGTGTACACACGTGAAGTGTAGCCTGCAAGTTCGGAAATATCTTTGATACTGTACATCATGCGACCGCCTGCATCCGCCAATGATAACATAAGGCGCTTGTTGGTGATAAATTCCTTCATACGACCTCGTTCACGGCCCATGCTCTCGGGTGCGTCGATCATTTCCATGGCACCGCCTGACCCACCCCAGGCGGGAAGGAAGATTGGCAAAGAAGTGATTAAATAACCAAAGGCAGACCAGGAGTATTTCAAGATAATGTCCTCCAACATATTATACCGGATCTTCAGGCTGTAGATACCTTCCATCCAGCGCTGCAGATCCTTGAAGCTCTTGACCAAGAAGACTCTCTCAATATCGGCACCGCCATAGAATGAGATCTCTTCCGCATTAGCCAGAAGTCGGGAGTGCAGGCCACGGAAGTCGCCCTCTTTTTTACCCTCGACAGCCTTGAGCTTGCCGAACGGCGGGGATAGCTTGCGAAGCACTACAGCCGTGCTGAAGTAGCCAGCGAGAATCCCACTCAGAGCCAGTGGGCCAAGCGACCGGTACAATTGATAATTGAACACAAAGAGATCCACCATAGGCTTGCCCATGGAGGAGTACAATGAAGCAGCGGCGGAGCAGAAAAGGGTAAGATCTTGTGTGATGAACTGATCAGGGCCTTGCCCGATACCTCCGTCCAGATTCATCAGCTTGTAATAGTTGTCATTGTCAGTCAGATAGAGGTCGTGAATGTATCTTGTGAGACGGGTCCGGAAGGCGATCGACACCTTGGACTGGAGGAATTTGATCATTGCATTGGTGTAGGAGGCAAGGGTGCCGATGCCACACCACTTGACAATGCCCCACATAAAAGGTCGGCCTTTGCCAGCGACCAAATCTCTGACAAGTTCACCGTCTAACCGTGCAATCAGTAGGGAGAGATATGTTCGTAGTAGAAGAAACAGGCCATGGCCCAATAACAATCCTGTCTCTTTGCTTCCCCACCTGGGAACCATGATACTCCCCAAGCTGAGGAACTGGTGCAGAAATGCCAGATTCAAGCCTGGCTTTGTTGTAGGCGGCGGGATTTGGCTCGCCGAGCCTTCCTCAATACTCCGCGCTGATGCCGGCGGGTTTAAAAAGAGTCGTCGATGGGCGTCAAACGTGGTCATCTTGGTGGGATGGATCATGACTTTGGAAGTACGTGAGCCCTTGTAGGGCACATAGATCGTTCGAGAGCCATCCTTGCCACGTATTCCTGAGTTCCGACGCAACAGTCGGCGGCCTTGGGCTCGGTCCCTTGCGCGTTCGCGCAGCCACTTGAATCCTCCATATCCTGAGCCGATGATAGACAAAAGTAGGGCGACCGTAGCTATCAGACGGGTGGTTTTCGTGGTACGACGCACACGAGAGCGAAACAGTTCGGAATAGTGTAAATAAAGGGCGAGGAGGGGGTCCTCCGGGCGGCGGAGAGTTGACTGGTTGGCCATTTTGAAGCCCGATTGGCTTAAAGTGCGCTGGGGTTGTAGGCCATGGGTCAAGCTCAAAACGCCCAGTCCATGCAGATGTTGTGCTGGTAAGGATATAGAGGAAGAGCGAAGATCAAAGGGAGGTTCAAGATGCAAGTTGACAGTTGCATCATTTGCATGTGAACCTCGGGCGGAGATGCGGCACGTGCCTGGGGAAGCTCCTGTGGGGTGGAGTTACATGTGGGGTACTTAGTTATGTGTGAGTTATTGCATCATAATCTATGTATCGTTTAAGTACACCATATTTCCTGCTGTTATTTTGTTCCCAAAAAGACAAATTTACGGAATATCATGTTTTGGGGCATCTTCCACAAAGGATGCGACGAAACGCCCAGGTGACTAGCTATACTGTTTCTTCAAAGTATGTAGTGGGAATACATGGAATTCTCATAAGTATCTCCTCATTGAATTATTGTAACCGCCATTCTCTACTAATCAACGTAGACTGGGTTCATATTGGTAGGTCACTATATGTGCCTGTGCTTGTCTCCTCTACAGGTGGGGCTTTCCTATTTAAGATGCCACCGCTTTGATGGGTTCAGAGTCAGACCCACTGAGTAAATTCTAGGTCCGGGCCTCGCAGAAGAGAGTCCTGCTGGTTCTTCAAGGCTTTCAAGCTCAAGTTACGATCTTCAACCTATGACCGCAAGATTGGGGCATGGTGTGGATTTTCAAAAAGTTGTAGTGACTGGCTATTACGAACCTAGTTGCCAGTAGATATGCTTGGTGGGGATAGCAGCCAATAAAAATCCAGTCAATTTGGATTACCGAGGACATGCCAGGGCAACTGCGGATGAGAAGCGGGATAACCCAGAGGTTGGGATACAGATAAGAAGTCCCCTATCCTGGAACTTGTGGTAGCTTGCGTACCATTTTCACATAAAATACAATGCCTCGTGCGTTTGTACAGTCAACCCTTCCCGTACACCTTAAGCACGTGGCTGGGGGCGATGCTTCGAGCTCTGCTCGAAAACGCATACGAGAATCGAACCTACTCAGAGGTGGGTCTATTCGATGACTCGCCGGTCAGCCCTATGACTTCGGGTACTATGCCGGTGGCCCGGCGGTGGGGCGGTCCTTGAGATGCCCATGAAAAACTGCTGCCTAGCATGAGCTTTCTTATTGTCTGCCCACAGTCTGTTGCAATAACACTGTTCATTCACGCGGTCCATGACTAAGGCTTTGAATGGTAACGGACCTCGGTTACTACCTGGCAATGCCATTCTTTTCTTATTTCCCTATCCTAGGTCTTGAAGACCTGCGAGCTTCACATAGAAACCCAGAGTAGAACAGATAATATAATAGCCTTTCTGGATGTCCCCTAGTGTGGGGCTCAAGGCTTGAATACTCAAGCTAGACGCCTTGTAAGCCACGCGCCAATCGTTATGAACCCTTACCCACGGCCACTAGAGGGCCCCGCTCGGGATCAAAATCCTTGTAAAAGAGTAATACACGTGTGTTCCATCCAGTATGATGACTGGCTGCTGTCTCTACTTATAAGATCCGCTCTAACGCATGGAACCATCTCGGTTACATCGACTACATGGACAATACAGATCATGCCGATCCACGTGCCTGGTCCAACACTGCTATAAAAGCGCACAAGTCGGAGATACTTTTTTGATCTAGCCAGCGACTTCTTTTTTAAATTTTACCACAACCACGGTGACCAACATCGCTATGGCTTTCGTTGCTGCTCTTCTCGCGATCGCCACTTTGGGTAATGCGGCAACCATCACCACCACAGAGCCTGCTTTGGCTGCAATTGAGCAGGCTCGGGCCACCACCGTGCCACAAACATGGACGTCAAATGTGACGGGAAAAGTTTTCGATCGCTTTTACCAGATCTGGCTGGAGAACGTGGTATGTACCGGTGATTAGTTATCAGCATTAGTCGAAGATACTGATATCGTTCCAGGACTATGGTGCCGCAGCTGAGAATGATGATCAAGAGTGGCTTGCAAGCAAAGGTATCACTTTGCTCAACTACTACGGCGTGGGTCATACTTCTCAGCCTAATTATGTGGGCGCTGCGAGTGGTGACAACTACGGAATGGATAATGGTGAATACCACTCTCTCGGGGGCACGCCCCCGCATTTCCCCGCGCGTGTCTGATGAAACCTGCCTGTTTCTAACATTGACATGAAGATCTTTTCCATGACATTCCGTCAAACGTCTCAACAATTGCCGATCTTTTGAATCCGAAGGGAATATCCTGGGGAGAGTACCAGGAACATATGCCCTACGCAGGCTACCAGGGTTACAATTACTCGAACCAGGAAACCTACGCCAATGACTATATGCGCAAGCACAATCCATTGGTATCATTCGACCAAATCTCTAGCAACGACACAGCTCTACGCTTGATTAAGAACTTCACCTCATTCTATGATGACCTAGAAAAGAAGCAGCTGCCTCAATGGGCCTTTATCACCCCAAATATGACAAACGACGCCCACGATACCAATGTGACGTTTGGCTCGCACTGGCTTCGTGGCTTCGTGACCAACCTCATGAACAATACCTACTTCTGGGATAACACACTCCTGCTGTTGACATTTGACGAAACCGAGACTTACTATGTCCCCGAGGCCGACATCTATGATAAACGCAACCGTGTGTTCAGCATTCTAATGGGCGGTGCCGTGCCTAAAGACAAGGTTGGCACAAAAGACTCTACCGTCTATACCCACTATTCAACCCTTGCCACGGTTCAAGCCAATTGGGGCTTGCCCTCTCTAGGACGCTGGGACTGTGGCGCCAACCTTTTCCAGCTGGTCGCTGATAAGGTAAACTACACGAACTGGGAAGTGGATGCTAATATGCTATGGCTGAACGAGTCTCTTCCCGGTCCCCTTGAGGATTGGGGATATTCAAAATACCGTTCTAGCTGGCCTGTGCCGACCACCAATGACACATGTTCATCTGGCAACGGTATCCTGCAGTCTGTCATTGACACATACAAAGGCCGTACACCAACCTATAACTATTCTTCTCCCTTCCCATATGATACCGCTTATGGTCTGGATACTGGCGTCCCATATACCCGAAATGGCGAAGTCTATGTTTCCGGTGTGAACACTACTGGTACCGTGGGCTATGACTACAACACAAACAAAACCTCCAGCTCTAGTTCCGCTTCAGCGTCAGCAAGCACTGCAGCGGCCTCTGGTCCAATCGTTCCAGCCACCAGCTTCCTGAGCGTTCTATTTGGCGCTCTTCTGGTACTTTAGTACGATTAGAAGTCGGTAAAATACAGAATTGATTGAATGGCATGGCCTTTCGCTGTCTCGTCGATTATAAGCAGGGGAACCTGCATATGTGACGAGGAAGCTGATGTAATTTTGTGGCTATGTTTTTCTGCTAAGAAGGAACTCTTGGTCACGCTCCATGACCTGCTATCACTTCCTGATATTCCTCACTTAGAATCATATTCAAGTGAGCTTTCGCTCGCTTTTTCGAGCCTTTTTTCGCTTCTCTTTCTCGTTAGCAGCACTTAAATCATAGTTTTCTTGTTATGCTAGAATTATCGCGTTTTAAATCGTGAGTTCGTAACCATTTTTTAGCTGATTCAAACATTTAATCGGCTTTGTAGGCTTACAGAACGCTATAACCAGAGCTTGGCAAATTAACGAAGAGAAATGAATGATTATGATATGAGATGACTATAAATATGGGAATGTATTAAAGTTGCCAATTGAAGCAATCCTTCCGAATGGTCTAGGGCTATTGACATGGATTGCTAACTCTAATCCTCAGTTCCATGGTGGTTTAATGTCTACAATACCATAGCAGTCTTTGCGAACCTAGAGTGAAAAGCAGTGTAAGTATGTCTGGACAAAAATCTAACTCCTTCATTCAACGGGGATGACGTACGTTGTCATGGAAAAACATAGTCTGCAGAGCTTGTTGCTGCTCATTGAGTTTGCCGTCGACGATAGGTCCGAGTAAGGCATCAACGGTATCGTCGTCTTGGTGAAGCTTCTCGTCCATGCATTTGCGAAAATCATCTCTCTCTTGCTTACTCCATGGATTCTGGGAGTCCGGTATGTCTCGAGGGATGGAACTGGCAAGTGCGATCGATGTGAAGAAAGCGGCGTAGAGAATATAAAAATGCATGCTGTTGAATTTTGGTGTTGTGTATTGAGGAAGAGCGTGATTTGTGAGGGATTAGAATTTGATTATATTCTCTCATGAGGTCAAGGGTGTTCCTGGGGATTATATAGGACTTTATGCCAAAGAAAACTTGGTTCTTCAGATCTGCGGCATCTAGCAATCGAGGGAGATGTGGCTGATCAGGGTGGATGCTCATATGCAGCTAAGGCAATAGTAAGTGGACCCCTGACTACATACCTCAGTTAGAGTTTTAATGCCTCCATTCTTTAGTACTATTAATTCAACTTAGGGTATTTGGAATCCATCGGCAGTGAGATGACCAAAGCCCTCCTACATGCAGCTAGAATCTCACTATGAACATACAGACCAGTCGGTATCAAATGAGAAAAAAGGAACTAATTAGGTACTAAGTCCCACTAGAATGTTATGTACGGCCAAGATAATGACTGACGTCACTTCGAATGCAGGGATGATCCTGTCGATCACCGAGATCAGCCGAGATAAACTATCGATTGCCAAGAATGCAGATCATGAGGCACTGCTGCATCGTATGAGTGAGCTTTACGTTCAAATAATAGTATAACTACGTGTGAATGGACATAATGTTGTACCTCTCTAGGACCACATTACGTAAGACGGATATAGCTCCGTGTGAATGCCAATCTCCTTCGTATCCTAAGGCAAGATCATATTTGGCATCAGAGTACAACAGTTGATTTTTGTTCACGAGATGTTGAATTTCAATTACAACACAAAAACAACCTCCAGCCCTAGCTCCGCTTCAGCGTCAGCAAGCACCGGAACGGCCTCTAGCCCAACCATGCCAGCTACCAGCTTCCTGAGCGTTCTATTTGGCACTTTTCTGGTGCTTTAGTGATACTATAAGTTGGTAAAATGCATAATGATAGAATGGCATGGTCTTTCTTTGTCTCCTTGATTGAACGCAGGGAAATGCATTTGCGATGAGAAAGTTTATCTGATGTTGTGGCTATGTAGTTCTGCTAAGCAGGGACTCCCAGTCGCATTGTATGCCCAACTCTTTCCGAGTTTCCTAATCCGGAATGTTATTCAAGTGAGCATTCACTCGCTGGTATGCCCCTCACGACTCATGATGTTCTGGGAAGACAGAATATCTATTCATGTGCTTCTCTGTCTTGTCCAGAACTTTGCTTGCACGTAGCGACCTGTGTGATGGTGTAAATGATTCAAAGGTGATGGCGGCCCAATTTGTAGCATCGTAGAGGGCTCCAAATTTATATTGGTAATTCAGCTGCTCCTCTCCTGTACTTCCTCCGCTCCTCCCTGGCGAGGTCGTTTCTTGGTGCTTCTTGACGCAGGTGCAGACGTCGTTGAATTGCACTGAATGTTTCGGAGTCAAATGAATCAGCGGTGAGGTTGAAATAGGAGTTGGCCTCCTTGGCTTATCTCAAAAAAAGGCTTGACTTGGTTTGGACGTTTGAGTCCGTTGAAGATTAGCTTCGGGTTCTTTGCGATGGTTGCACCTTTGGAGGTCATCTCCTAACAAGTCGGACGGCAACGTACAACCCGAAAGATTACCCACGGAGCTTTCATCGATAGTCCAGGTTCTCGCCTGATGTCTTCATTTTTTGGTTTTGAACGGCCACCTGTGGGGCTCTCGGTCCCCTGAACCACCATAAACTGTCGTAGAAGGTCCCAGCTGCACCGAGGATCGGCTCAGTCGACATTCTGGGCACACTACTCTAAGGCCGAACGCTCTTTGCAGCCTTATCGTGGTTGTTCTTCCTGCCCCTGCCTTGGCCTCAATCAAGGAGAATTAGTCAAGGAATGAAAGTAGAGATATGGGAATATTCAACAGACAATGGTGAGTGATGTTAGACCTGACTCCCTTGAAAACGGCTTCAAAGGAGGATCACCAAGTAGCCTAAGAGCTATTCAATTAAGTCAGCAATGCTCAAAATGGGACTTAGTAACAGATGCTTAACAGATAGTTTTGAAATGAAGAGATGTTATATATGTGAATAATAAGAGAGGCGGCAAGAAAGAAAGTGCAAGCCTTTAGATTGACTGTGCTTAAGACTTGGAAGCGTAATTTGAGCCCAGTTGTTTTGTCTGGGAATTGGGAGGTGACTGAAGAGCCCCGATTCTCAGGAGACGAGCCTCCATGTCGTCTTTGAACCTGCAACGGACTTTGAATTTTCACTTTCCTTGTCATCCGACATACTAGCGCTGCTTTTTAGGTATCAATCTGACAGAATACTTTGACGGCATGTGAAAAAAGCCTTATTCGGAAGTTTTCAGAGTGAGGAACACACTGGTGGTGGTAGTTCAAAAGAAAGGTCGCGATAGAAGTGAAGGGGAGGAAGGTCTGTGGAGGGAGAAGAAGAGAAAAAAGAGGAAGAAGTGTGGGAAGAGGCAGGTAATGAGAATAAAGGTGAAGACGCGTCCAGATGCTACCCCAAGAAAGCGCAGAGTTGGACCAGGGTTGGATAAGGCTTTGGTATAGGGTGTAATTTGATTTGTTCGCTGGAGCACTATCAATGATATATTCTTGAATAACCTTGTTAAGAGCCTCATATATTTTCTTCTCTCCTTCCTCAAAAGTGCTCATTTCCTGTTTGTTCTTGTTTCGGATACACTGCAATTGGTCAAGAATACCCTCAAAGTCGGCCTATTCAATCCTGGCCTCATCGAGTGACTACAGGGTTCCTATAATCAATTCCCCTATTGTCCTTATTCTTGAGCGCGGGAGTGGTACGTCTGCTTTTGAAACCTTCCTAATACTGATATGATGAGATTGGCTACCGATATGGTAGTTGTCGCAACTGTCGCGCCTAGACCCGCACGCAGCCATCGGAAATTCCCATTCCATGTCGGCAGTGGTCGCATTGTTTGATCCTTTCTAGCCGCATCAATGGCTAGATGGCATAATTTGTTATTCTGATCTCCAGCATGTTCCTGCCCACCAAGGTTGTTCAGTCTAGCGAGAGCCGAAGCGACAACCGCTACGGGACCCACGCCCGGCTAGCCAGCCGATATCCGTTATTGAAACCAACACGACGTGTATATAACGTAACAACTGCTACCAGAAGGCTGAAAAGAAACAACCTCTTCACTGGTATTCCAATATGCCTCAACGAAATATTCTGTTAATGATTGCCGACGATCTTGGCAAACAACTGGGCTGCTACGGGAACAAGAAGATCCAGACGCCCCACCTTGACGAGTTAGCTGCAGAGGGGACTAGGTTTGACCAGGCCTTCACAAGCACAGCATCATGCAGTGCGAGCCGGTCGGTTATCTACACTGGCCTTCACACCCACCAAAATGGGCAATATGGACTCCATAATGGACGCCATCATTTCACCACCTTTAACCATGTCGAGACTGCTCCTGCATTGTTTTCTAATCATGGATACACCACTGGCCTGATTGGCAAGGTACATGTTGGGCCAGATTCCGTGTATCCTTGGGACATGCGAGCCGAGAGTGACAGTCGTGACGTTGCCTTAGTCGCCGACCAGGCTACTGACTTCTTTGAAAGCTCCAAGTCAAGCAACAAGCCATTCTTTCTGACCATTGGTTTCATCGATCCACACCGCGATCTGACCCGCTCAGGATTCGGTAACAATGACCAATATGATCCGCGAGTGAAGGACATTGATTATAAGCCTGAGGACGTCGAGATCCCACCTTTTGTTAACGACCTACCTAAAGTGCGATACGAATTTGCAGAGTATTACAAATCTATTTCTCGTCTTGACCAAGGTGTCGGTATGGTCTTGAATGGACTGAGAAAGAGCGGCCTGGGTGATGATACGCTCGTCCTCTTCGTCAGCGACAACGGTCCTCCATTCATAAATTCAAAGACAACTCTGTACGACGCCGGAGTCTGTTTACCCATGATCATGAAATGCCCCGGATCACCCGCTGGCATAACCAACCAAAACATGATATCTTATGTTGACATTCTGCCAACACTCCTCGATTGGGCGCAGCACCCGAGTCCCACGCATCCAGCCCGTCTCGGTCGCTCATTCCTCCCCGTTCTGTCCGAGAAAACCCAACTTGACGCATGGAGCGAAGTGTTCGGCTCCCACACATTCCACGAAATTACCAACTACTGGCCGACTCGATTCATGCGAAACCGTCAATTCAAATATCACCGCAATATCGCTTGGAGACTTGACTTTCCTTTCGCGGCTGATATCTACGGCTCGTTAACGTGGGAGGAGATCCGGAATTCAGATACAAGTCCGAAGATGATCGGTCCGCGCCCGTTCAAGAATTACTTTTTCCGCCCTGCGGAGGAGTTGTATGATATTCAAGCTGATCCGGATGAAGTACGCAATCTTGCTAAACACCCGGAGTATGTACATGTCTTGGAGGAAATGCGGACTGCTATGGAGAAGTGGCAAGGTCGTAGTGAAGATGCTTGGCTTTATCGTGATGGCGTCTCTATGCTTCTGGTTCGACACCATATCGATGCGGGCTTAGAGGTACCGGATCGGTGGGACTTTGATGTCGCTGTTCCGGAGAGCAAGGGTCAACCTAAATTTGCAGCTAATTTTGCTTGGGGAGCTTAGTTAGTTCGCATTCTATGACTGCCCATATTCTTACCGCTTATGAAACGTCAAAAGCTAGTGGAACCAAGTGCTGCTTTATTCTAAATCTATGTGTTGGGCGCAATGGAAGACTGAAGATAGAAATTGAATATTGGGAGTCGTAAGTTGGAATGAGATTATTAGTATTCTTTGACTAGCTATCTGAACGCTCTACATACCCAGCACCAATCGTGCTTGATTCATTTCATCCTCAGTAGGGAGATTGACAATCGCTAAATATAATGCTTTCTGTGACATGGATTAGTATACCGAAAGAATGGAACAAACGGAGGGACTTACCGATTCAAACATCTCGGAACCTGTCTTTATCACAGTGCGGATGAGACTGTCATCACCCACCTTCGCCTCCCCAGGGCCATTCCTGCTCATATAGCCACCAGTCAAGAGAGCGAGTAAGTCACCGCTACTAGCGGGATGATTGGGATCGGCAAAGCGCGAAGCAAACGTAGGCTTCGGCCGTTGATTCAAATGACTGTTAGGATTTTCAGCTTCCTAAGAGATGTTAGAACAATCATGATGCGAGGAAATCGAAGACCACTCACAAAAGTCGCCTGAGCTCTCTTATCCAAGTACCCATGGATAAAGTCTCTCTTCTTCTTAATCTTATGGAATTTCTCCTGGGGGTCTAGTTGGTCGCCCACCGTTTCCGTCTCAGGGAAGACCAGTGGCGCAACCTCTGGAAACATGTTCCCATATGTCTTCCCGTCAGATCTCTTGAATTTGCGCTCTAGACGACCTAGTGAATCAGTCCTAAAAGTGGCTTTTGCGATGGTGGACTGGAGATCCATTGACATGGCTGGAGTATCCGGGTCCTCAGGATACCAAGTCATGACAAGACAATATAGACCACGAGGCTTGAAGAATTCTTCGTTCGCCTGGTCAAAGAAGTTGTTGGTTCTGTTGCGTGTTAGTATGATTTGCGGGATTGACACAGCAGAGTACTGACCTTCGGCGGCCATCAGCCGCGATCGACAAGTTCGCAAGCTGGTGTATGGCAATTCCCACTGCGACGGCGATTGCGGAAGGGATAGCATGTCCTGCAAGGGCTGCCAGGTTGATAGCCTGCAACCACCTATGTGCCCGACAACCTTTCTCAGCAGTGTTCAGAAAATCGATGAACATTTCCTGGTCAATTCCGCATGGCGCTAGATCAGGGGCATAACCTCGAAGGAAACCACGGTCGCGGTTCTTTGGTCTGCGCTGTGGGAGGAGAACCGGGGCTGGTAATCGGTAGACCACCTCTGGTAGATTGGGTTCGACTGGAATCGGATAATGGCTTGCGAACTGTGTCGCAAGGGTAGTTTCGTCGATTGCCTCGGCATTAATCGGTGGTGGGTCTTTTGGGCTATCATCTTGGTGATATCTCGAAGCGGGGAGCTCGTGGAGTTGTTGGTGGTAGGTCGAAGTTGGAAGCTCATGAACATCATCATAGATTTTTATTTGATGCGAATCGAGCTCTGAAATCCCACGCAAATCCGGGTCAATGTTTGTCGTGATTGTTTTTTCATTGGGTCCATATGATTCCGCTTCTTCAAGAGCTTTTTGGGCTTTCTTTGCCTTGCGGGCAGCTAATCCCTCCGAGGCTAGGCCAATGCCTGCAGCGACGCCTTTGATTAGATGTGTGGTAACGAGTCCCATTTCAAGATTGATGTGGTGCACAAGATAATATCGAATGAATTGGCCTGCTATGATTTGAGGGGAATATTGTCCCTATTTATGTTTTAGAAAATACAGCTTGGACCAGCATCTCCATCACCGAACTTTCTCAATGCAGGGTTGAACAAGCATAATTAGGACTTTGATCTTCACTTGTTCTACTATCTTTAGTCGTTTTGGCCCCAAAGGTTCTTGGCTACACACTGACCGCAGTGGGTCACGGGAAATAAGCCCCTGGGAGAGGAGATGCTGCGGTCTTTCACGACCAATGAGACTGTATCATCGCATTTCTATCCCCATTTGGAATAGCTTAATCACCAAGAGAGTTGTTATGTTCAATGGAACCAGAGCATTAGAATGGTAATTGAAGGAACGGGGGCCAAAATCGGTTGTTCTGCAACTCTCTGGTACGAATAGGACCTCGAAAAGGAGGTTAGATTGGCAAATGCATCGGTATAACGGATGTCCACTAGAAAGTGTTCAACTTCAGACTTTGTACCAGAAAGAAAAAGGGAACGGCAGTGGGCTCAATATGATAAGTCGTCAGAACCATGCATTGTCTATATGATATCTTTATTAATACTATAGCTCTATGCCACCGGTACATCACTTTTTACTACTGCCATAAGGTTGGCTCTGGTCTTCGCTGCGTTGAAACTTCCCCTGCATCGCGGTGTCAAACACCTGCTCCAGGCGCGAGATAGCCTCATCTGACACCTCTGTGACAATTTAGTATAGTCGAACGGAATCTTCAAGACTATGGATGTGACTTACGGTAGTGGATCACCACCCGTCCTCCCATTAGCTTCAAACCTTTCTCCTCGCCGATCACAGCAAGATCATTGGGCCCCAGCCCAGAGGCTTCTAGATCAAGCCATACCATATTAGTGTGCACAGGGTTCTCCAGCTTGCCCCCACGGCTGGTCCACATCTCTGCGACTTGCTTGGCCTTGGCGTGGGTGGCCAGAAGATGACCGGTCTTGCCATGGGGATCTGTTCCGAACGTTTCGTCCAAGGCTATCCTGGCGGCGGCGGCAAACACACCCGTCTGACGAGCACCACCACCAATAGACTTGCGGAACCAACGAGCCTTCTTGATAAAAGCTGACGAGCCAACAATAATGCTGCCGATTGGCGCACCCAATCCCTTAGAGAAGCACAGGCTAACACTGTCGAACAGACTGGTGTAGTCGGATAAACTACCAGCGCCAGACACAACAGCCTCCCATAGTCTTGCGCCATCCAAGTGAACCTTGATATCATTAGCATGCGCCCACTCGACAATGCGACGAGCCTCGGTCAAGGGCATAATCATGCCATCGAGCGTATTCTCCAAGCTGATCAACTTGGTGGGACAGTGGTGGATGTCATCATCAAGCACAGCATGCTTCTGGATATCCTCCAAAGTCAGGTGTATGCCATTCTTCGGCACAACGGTTTGGACCGTGGCTCCAGTCCAAGCGCTCACACCACCCGCCTCGTAGCAAATGATGTGAGCTCGATGGTCGCACAGGACGGAATGCGGGGGTTGAGCCAAGTGAGAGCGGATCGCGACCTGATTTCCCATGGTTCCTGATAGTACCAGGAGAGCGGCCTCGTGTCCTGTTCTTTCGGCAACATAGCTGTGGAGGTCGTTGGTCGTAGGATCTTCGGCAAAAACATCGTCCAGGAGGGTTGTTTGGCAAATCGCATTGAGCATGGATGGAGTGGGCTTTGTCATTGTATCACCTGGATGTGAAATTGTCAGCTCCAGAAAGTCATATCTGGGTTGAGGGTAAAAGTACTCCTCAGGTCAAATTCGGCGGCTCCCGCGCCGTGCCAGCTGGTTTGACCGCTGGCTGGGGTAGAAAAATGAGCCATGGCGAATTTGTGTCCAAAAGAGGCAGATTGGATCGAAAGGGAGAGTCTGTAGATCCCGACAGGGCGAGTGAAGGTGCGGAGGAGTCGACTCATGTCCTTATCTGCGCGAGAGTTGACTCTGGTCCAAGAAACGCGGGGAAATGCAGCTGTCACATGATTTCTGCGCGGGGAAGAAATAATTTCGGTTCCACCAGGCCTGTTCGTGATGAAACTAAATTAATAGAGAAGAATAGCATATCTACTTATTGCGCTGGAGTGGATTACTATTGTAAGTTCACGTGTTATGCAAGTCGCGAAAATACGTAACTAGAACTGCGTTGTAGAGCGCACACCATATCGAGACAGCCTTAATCCGCAGACTTGGCAGCCAATAAGAGCCATAGCTCTGTTTTTTCTTTTTCGCAACAATTACTCGTCCAATGGTGCTCAATGATGCAGCCATATTTAGCAGATATCTCGGTTCTTTATGGTGATAATGATTCTGATCTCATTTTCAGTGTTACCCGCTATGCTGCGTAATAAGGTTCATGTATACTTCCAAGGTCCTCAACTCCATATCCACCTCCATTTAAAACGATGACCCAAATAGCAATAAACTAGTTTCAATTTATACAGTCGTCCAGTCAAGCACTGGTTTGATGATCCTACCCGAATGCAAGTCGCTCAATGCTTGCTCGATCGCGTCGGCCTTATAAACTTTGGCTAACTTGTCAACGGGGAATTTACCCTGTTTGTATAGATCAATCAATTGAGGGAGAATCTGCGTCAAGGTGTATGCGGTTAGTCTTGTTTGATGATGAAGTTGACCATAATGCAACATACCTGTGCAGGATTTGCAGACCCTTCGATGGATCCGACAATTCGCTTGCAGTTGAGCATGATGTCGAGCGGGTCGATGGTCAACGAGGAACCACCAGGAGCGACACCCACAATCGCCAGCATACCTTCATGACCCAGCGCCTTGATTGACGACTGAAGCAGAGGGACAACACCCGTGGTGTCAATAATGTGATCCACGCCATCGGGGAACATTTCACGCAACCCCTCAGCAAGGTCTGAAACGCTCTTCGTGTTCAATATGTGAGAAGCACCAAGAGACTTGGCTAGTTCGAGCTTCGCATCGACAATATCTACAGCTACAACGTTCTCAACACCGAGAGCCCGTGCAGCCATCATCGCAGATAATCCGACAGCCCCCATTCCAAGCACAACAAAACGGGATGATGGCTTTGGCTTAAGAACATTCAAGACTGTGCCCGCTCCAGTGAGATACCCACATCCCAGAGGGGACAGCGCAGCCAAGTCAGTCTCACTGATACCAGATGAGACCTTCACAATTGAAGTCTCTGCGACGATGGCCAGCTTACTCAGAGATGACTGCCCGAAGAATTGACCTCGGATGGGCTGACCACTCGTAGACTTTATGGGTGAATCTGCTGCGGACATACCCCTGACACCAGCGAAGTTGATTGGCATGAATTGACGACAAAATCCATGACGCCCTTCGTCACATGGGGTGCACTTGTTGCATGTGGTAAAACTCAAGAAGACTTGGTCGCCCTCCGCTAGGGTTTTGTCTTTCACTGCGGTACCAACTCGCCGGACGATGCCGGCGCCTTCATGTCCTAGCACAGCCGGGAATTCACCAATGGGGATCGCACCCTTCTGGACAACAATATCCTATTCCCGCCAAGTCAGTCATACTCTTGGATTCGGGCGGGACAAAGAGTGTTGACTTACTGTGTGGCACAAGCCAGTATACTTCATCTCGATCAACACCTCGTGGGGCCGAACTTCGTCCAGAATTACATCTTGCATAACAAATGGGGACCCTGGGGCATCAATGACGAACGCCTTGGTCGGGATTTGCTTCTCAGGTATCATCGTGAAATGCTGAAAGGAGGTCCGATGTATTGATGTCTATAAAGACCCTTTGGTTTCGTAAAACTTTCGAGTCAAAAAAATTTGGAAGATCAATTATCATGAACTGTTGGTTCTGGAGAAAGTCTGGGGACGAGACATAGCCCTTAAAAACACAAGTTGAAAGCCATGATCTAACAGTTACCCCGAAGTAAACCCCGAATCTAGGATTGGTTTCATGGATCCTTCCCCGCAGAATCGATCGAATCGGCATGTTTCCCCACAGTCGCGGGGGTGTCGGCCACGAAAATCGGCACATTGAGAATGCAAACACGCCAATGCCGCCGCCGCGGAATCGCGGGATTTTTGATCCGCTCGCCGAGCGTCATACAAAGTTCAATTAAACCTTGACTTAATTTTGAGACACCAATTTGAATTTGAAGAATCAGGGATTCGACTGCCGATGTTAGTACCGACCTGTCAAAAATATATGATCTCAGAGTTGCACTGCCTTTTGATACTGCCGAACCTCAGAAGTTGAAATTGTTCGAAGGCGGGCATAAGGATTCTTAACAGCAGCAAATTAAATGCAGCAAAGAGCTGGTCACAGTGGATACCAAGCTGTCGATCTATGCGGGGTAAGAGCCTGGGAACTGAACTCGCTACCGTGATATTACCCGCGAAGGTCGGGGTCTCAACTGTTTACCTGAGATAACTGACTCTACTAATGGTCATGATATAATCACATTTGACAAGGATCTACATGAATTATATACACGCAGTATGATCCAAGACGGACAAATGTCAACGATGAAAACACTTTTCGATACATTTCAATAATTCTAATTTACAATGGATATCATTCTAAACAACTTTTGGCTCTTCAAGGTTCAGGAGCGTACGGCACATCTCGCCATAACACCCAACCCACCCAGAAAAGCAGAAACACCAGTAAAGACGATCAAAGGCCCATAGCCCGTACCATAAGCCTTGCCAGCAATCCCGTCCCAAGCATGCTGATCAAGCAGAGCTCCACTAAGGGGTCCACTAACAATATTTCCAATACCTCTTCCAGTAGAAAGAAGTCCAAAGATGAGACTGGGATCGGTATAAATGCTCCTCTTCGTGACCTCGTTAACAACAGCCGGCCAAGTGGAAGTGAACGACCCAGCGAACAATCCGTAAAAGATACAGAAGATGTACAAGGGTGCCAAACTGTCAGCCAAACCCCAGATCAAAAACACAGCAACAGTACTACCAACCGTCGAGGCCAGAATGCAGGTCGTGGCATGGTAGCGGTCAACCAAGGAGCCCATGATCACGCATCCAAAGACAGATGCAAGGTTAAAGACCATGACAGTGAGAGTAGACTCAATACCACTGGCACCAAGACTCTTGGCATAAGTAGGCAGATAAATTGTCGGGAGGAAATAGCCCATAGCTTCCATGATATTTCCAGATTCATAGATCAGGAAAGTCGTATCCCAAAGAAATCTGAAGTCCAATGGCCGGGGTTGCGAAGCACGTGAAATAGGAAGGCGAGGTCGAAGGAAAGCGAGTAGTGGACCACCCAAAAGTAGGAGAATGATGGACCAAGCACGCAGAGCAGTTTTGTGACCGAATGTATCCAGCATCCACTGGAGAACAATGGGAAGAATAACACCCGAAAGGCCGGTTCCAGCCCACATAATTCCGAAGGCTAGTCCCTTTCGACGCACGAACCATTCATCCATGAAGATGATTGTCGGTGCGTATGCCAGGCTTGCACCGATACCGTACGCAACACCCTGGGAAGCGATAAGGTGGGTGGTGTTTGTTGCAAAGGAGCTCAAAGACAGAGCTAGACACATAATGATGAACCCAATTGGGGCAGCCCATAGCTTTAGGCGGGGCATTACTTGTAGCAGGATAAATGCCACTGGGAGTAACATGTAAGAAATACCCTAATTGAAAGTCAGTGAAAGAGTTCAATATGCATAATCTTTAGTGATAACCGACCATCGCACAGGTGCCAACAATGGCAATATCACCAGAACTCTTGAATGGCTCATGGGTGCTGTAATAATCTTGGAAAATTCCAAAAGAAAAAGTGAAACCTATAGATATGTTAGAACGTGTTTACACCATTTATAAGATGAAGCAAAATCCGTACCCCAAATTAAAGCTTCAATCACAAAGCATGCCGCGAGGAAAAGCCATGCACGTTTGCCTCCATCTACCGGTGGCAGGTTGGCCTCATGGTGCTCCGAAAGAGCTTCCTGGGAGGAAGTCTCGAAGGTCTCCATTGTGAGTCTGATGAGCCTTGTACTTCTGATCAATTGATCAGAGGAATCAAAAGTACAATCAATTGATGCTCGACACAATCGAGAGAAAAAAACCTTAAGAGCCGAAAAACCCTATCCACATTTACACGCCCTGTCTTGACATTGGTGGGGCTCAGTGGAACCCGTTTGCGGCGGGATCTGGCGCCCATGCAAGAATGAAAATATTCTATCGGCAGAAACCTTATTACATGTACTGCATGGGTATTAAACCTTAATCATTCAAACATGATGTTCGAGCACTGGGGCCGTGCTTTAGTAAAATACGTATTATGAACAGGTATGATACTGGGCGGTGGGAATGACGGTGAGATGAAGTAAAGAAAAATGGATTTTGCTGAGCGGTTAGCTGCGGGAAGTGGAAACCGAACCAATTACATTGATTCATTACTTGATAATAATGCAGGTGAGCTTGGACTATTCATGCTGCACCGCACATCAACTTTATAAGAAACCTTGGAAAGACATGGAAAACGAATCTATGTACTCATTCAATGGGGTATCTGATCTTCTATATACATGATCCTCATGACTCCGTTCGATATGCAAATATGTCCAATCATCACTTCTCTGCCTCATTCAGGGCAACAGTCACGGCATCAACCTCTCCAGTCAGTCCATCCAGACCACTGAAGCCCTCTTCGATAGCCCATTTCTGCCCATTCGGGCTATGCAAAACATGACAACTAGCACCAACAACCAACAGGCCGGGTGGTCGTGAACCAGCTGCTTCAAATGCCTGGCAGATATGTTCCAAAGTAGATCGAACAACCCGTTGATCAGGACACGATGCTCGCTCAACAATAGCACAAGGCGTCTCCTTAGGCCAAAGTGCCCGTGATTGTGTCGAGTCCTCGACAGGGTATGTAGTCAAAGACTCGATGAGGGCAGATAGTCGGTGGAGGGACATCAAGAAAACGACTGTCTGAGTAGGCACATAAGCCGGAGGGTTAGGGGCAGCACCCTTCCGACCAGTTCCCGTGCAGACCAAGACCTGGTCGGAAACGCCTCGGTGGGTTGCCGGGATATCGGCGAATAGGGCAGCGCTCATGGCGCTGGTGATACCAGGAAGAACGGCGGGGATATAGCCTTCGGCGCGGAAAAATTCGAATTCCTCTGCTCCGCGACCGTATAGGTATGGGTCTCCTTGCTTGAGTCGGAGAACGGTTTGGCCCTTCCGCAGGGAGGCGAGACCCATTTGTTGAAACTCTTCTTGCGCCTGATCAGCGTTTCCGGGGAACTTGCGGGCAATGTGGACTTCTGTTCGACGAGGAATCAAGTCTAACACTGGAGCGGGGACGAGCTTGTCGGCGAGGATGATGTCGGCGTTTTGAATAGCGTTGTATGTGGCGCGTGTAAGCAGATCTGGGTGACCTGGACCAGAGCCAGCAAGGATGATCTTGCCCTTCCTTGTAACTCCATTGGCTTCATCTGTCTCTTGTGTTGTTGTGTTACCAGACGAATAGGCTTGTAGAATTTTCTCAATATCGGCGTCGTTGATAGACACAAGTTTCTTTAGAGGCCAGTATTCGCAGATTTGTGATAACCAACGCGTCCTCCGTGTCTTTGCTGCAGCAACATCATCTTCTGTGACCAATGTGTTGAAGGTATGTTTCTGGCCAGCGGCATCATCGTCGTCGCCTTCAAGGGCAGCATCAGTCAGGCCAGCGGCATGGTCTTCTTCCCAAAGTCTGCACCGCATGGCACCAAGTCGGTCAATGGCGGTTCCGAGATCTGCAGGGAGAAAAGCGGCGATTTCTCTCCGCAGGCGGGACGCAAGCTTACACCCGCGACCAGATGTTGTAATGCCAATGTGAAGTGGCCCGTCTGAGTAAGTGGAGAGTAAGGTGAACGAGCACAGAGTCGGAGCATCAGCAACGTTCACTGGGATTCGAAGCCTTCGACACAGCTTTGAAATATGCGTATCTGTGAAATTATCAGTGGGTCTATTCTCTTATTACCGCACAATATGACTTACTCAGTTCATTGTTGCCACCCGATGTGACAAAGACCGCATCCACGACCCGGTCAACTTCCTCTCTTCCCAAGGCAGTCAAATCGTCGTCTTGAAAATCACGACGCAACAGCTGCACAGAACCATTGGCAATATGTTCATTTAGGGTGAAATGAATGTCCGCGGTCTCTGGCGCAAGAACGACAGGCTTGGCACCAGCCTCAAGACTCTTCGTACACCGAGCAGCAGCCAAAGAACTTGCTCCAATAATGAGATGCGTCTGAGACTCAACATTCCATGCGGTCATAAAAGGTGCCGCTCCCGCAGATGCATTGGAAGGACCCTTCATGGTGTCGTGTGCTATAATGTGGGTTGCCCCTCCAAACTTGGTGAGTCACTATAGGGTCCTCTGGACCATGAGTTTGTTGCACAACCGGCAGGGATAATATATGGCCAGAGGATCTTTATCAGACCGCTCGTATTGTCATGCGTTGTCCTGCAATTTTTCCGCGGAGATCCAAAAAAAGTGTATTCCGGAATGAGTAACAGGTCTGTTGCGATTGGTGATAACCACTGATAAGATAATTCCGGGGATTGAATCGACGCCACTCAACAGAACAGAATGGACCTCGAGTCAATGAGCACAAGTCCGAAGGACAGACTGGAAAATGTCTGTTGGTGTTCCGGATAGTACGAAGGCGGTTTTCAGTGAAGCAGTAGACCTTTGGTGGGAAAATAGTATTAATATCTTTTTTTTGCCATACTTCTTTTTTCCCAAAGCAGTTTAACGCGGGATTGCGTGATTGACCTGCATGTGGGGTTAGGTAAGCAGGGGTAATTTGACATCGCGCCCCGGAAAATTTATGCCTTAAGGCTCTCAAGGTTCAACCGAAGATTGATCGATGGAAGATACTCTATTCTATTCGTAGCTATTTCTATTGGCACACCTTTTAAGGTCCAAATTGATAAAAGCTCTATCATCATGATAAAGCTTCATCGCGAAGACCCTTAGATCTTCAAGCAAGACAGCAGGCCTCTGTACAAAATATAGGCTGTTGTATGGTTAGTGGGGACGAAATGCATGGCCATCAATGATTGAAGCAGTCTCTGATAGCCAAAAGCCATGCATTTCAGAGACCGCACAGCTGATCCAAGGCTTCCAAAGCTCACAGAGACGTGATTCAAGCCCCGCGTGCATCTGGATATTCATCCTCGTCATCCTCGACGTCCTCCCATTCCGCATCGATGGGATGCCCTGCCTGCAAATCTGACAATAAAAGTTCCGGCGGATCTTCCTCTTCCTCGAATTCATCCTGAAGCATGCTGATCAAGTCTAACAAACCAGCTTGTGAGCGCCAAAGGTCATCGGGATGGGGGTGGTTGGGATCCGGTTCGTCACCAGCGCCTGCTAATCGTTCGGGCGTGGTGTTGGACGGGGAAGTGGGATTGCTAGCAAGATTGGGGCTTAAGCTGACAATTCGGACGGCTTTGGTTGGGAAAATGCGGGCGGGGTTCTCATGTTGTTGCTGGGCATCGCCAGGGACGTCGGAGAGAGTTTGTCGCCAACCGAGAGTCTGCGATTCTTCATCAGCCATATCGTTTCTGGGTGTCAGTATTCAGGGTTCATGAGATATACGCACCGTGTAAGTAGTCATGATAGCATCCTCGCATAGAGTCATGAAGCTGACTGGCACAGCAAGCTGTGGTGCAGAGCTGGTGGCTAGCGCGTACGAAGCGCGAGAAGGAGGATCCCCTGTGGGGATTCTGTTACGATCGTCAAGGGCAACAACGTACACCCGGTCTTGGATTTCGAACATTACGCGGTGGTTGCGCACCGACAACCAACCGCCTAAGTCAAAGCTGGAGCCATCCGACTCGCATTCAATGATGGAAGTGTTGGCTGCGAACCCATTTTCATCCTGGATAGCCTTGCGCCAGTCGGAGCAGACAAAGACGCGACCAGCACGAGAAAAGCCAACAAATAAATCACCATCCAGCATACCTGCTCCCCATTCATCTTCTCCATGCCAGACATGCTCCGGGTCGCTAGGTGGTGGGGACAGTGGCCCCTTGACGAGCTTGAGCGGAGTTAAACAATCTTTGCGAGGTGGCCCAGAAGGGAAGATACGGTGATTTGGACCATGCCGGACCGTCCCGGCGAGCGCTGCGCTTGCAGAACGGGAACTTGCGGGGGGCGGGCGGATGTGATATCTGTCTGTACATCGTGAGGGATGTAGAGCACCCAAATAGTTACCGGATGCCTTATCATAAATAACATAGCCCCGTGCCCCTATGGAGTAAATCACCGCATCTTTGCTCTGATCTAGGTGACCGACGGCGTCGGGTTCAATAGTCAAGTGTGTGATCAACCGGGGAGGTCGCTGCTTCATGTCATATACAAAGCCTTGTGCCTTGTTGGATACCACACACAGTGTGTCATAAGATAGTTGAAAGCCCCTGGTCTGGCAATCATGATTCAAGACCGCGATGCGCCGAAACTCTCCACGTGGTGCACCGTCCACATCGGCCTGCCAAACCTCCACGGCATCACCTTCACGATCGAAAACAGCCATTCCGTCCTGATATTCCAGATGAGCATATGGACGAACAGCGTCTTCATCCCGATCTAGTGACGAAGGAAGGCGCCAAAGAATACAGCCAGTGTCCATATCTGTAACATTCAACCCGCCCGCATGGGACGTAGAAACAAAAAACCGACGTTTGAAATCGGGCCGAAACCGCCAAATAGGATCATTTCCGACCTGAAGCACCGACTCCTGGGTGATTGGACAGGAATCAGCCCAGTTGCAGGCAAGAAGTGTTTGGCGTCTACATAAGTCCTTCCATGACGTGGTACCCTCGAACGATTTGGCAAAAGTTCCCGCATTTGACAAGAACGAGAGATCACGACTTGTGCCGGGCGGGTGCGAAGTCTTGGATTCGGAGCTGTAGATTGCTTCTTGATGGGTGACATCAATAAATTCGTGCCAGGCAGTGGACGTGGCAGTAAGGGATGCAAGTGTCGAAACGGGGGCAAAATCCAGGATGCGCAGGACGATCTCGGGGGGTAAGATGGCAAGGGGATCTTCCGCTGCCGAGGTGACCGTCATATTTAGAACATAGAGGGGTTCAAAGTTGTGCAGGGAATTGAAATGGTCGCAGTTCGCTGCGAGTGACGACATTAGGGACGCACCTTCACCGCCTAGATAAGGGTTATCTTATCCACGATAAGCAATAGGCTCACGTTTTAGGTGCGTGAGCTCGTGCTACTAGGTTGGTGCTTGGATTGGTCAGTAATCAGGTCCTTTAAAGAGATCAATTGCCTATTGTGAGTTGGATCCACTCAAGTAGCTATCCCTGGGGCCTTCAGGACAATCCATAGACCCAGGCACCTTTTCATCCACGTCAAAACACATACTACCACCTGCAATGATATATTCCGGCAAATTGAGATCAAAAAGGTAAACCCTCGCCACCTTCAAATTGCTCTAAGAATCATACTATTTCCTAATCATGAATATGCATCTTAAAGTAATTGAAACAAAAAATCGGGTATACACGAGCTTAAACAACCTGTATCCCTGTTAGTATAAGGGTCCACGGGTGTCCTGACAGGGTAATGAGGGGAAAAAAAAAAATTAGACTGATGGGCCAGGTAGATAGCTTAGTGATGGGTCCTCCTTGAGCATAAGTCCGGCTGAATCGTGATATTATCCTTAAACAAATTAAGCTTAGGAGGATAAATACACACTTTTCCCCCATATCGACCTTGGAAGATGTATTTGTGCCGAGGCGGCCACAAATGGCCGCTTTGTGGCCGCCAAGGAGGCCATTTCTGGCCTCTGCTCCTCGGCAATATCTCCGTTCCATTCCAAGGTTATTGTATCATTCATCATTCTTCTCGGGAGGCGGGCCGCTGTTGTACCCTGCAGAAATACGTCGGCCAGTCAGCGTGATGCCCGCATTATGTGCGCCTTGCCGATTTTATATGTGAAAGTGACTTTCTATGTGAAACCATTTATTAATTGTTTTTTTATTACTTTAGTTTTCAGGGACAACCAATAATCTTGCACGAATATCATAGTTACAACATCTCCATTATTGAAGGCCTTGCCTCGCACCACTAACACCCGGATTATTAGGCTATGTAGCCCCCCGATCCCGTGCATCCTGCAGAGAACTTTGCCCTGCATCCGGGTAAAGAAATGCAGGGTCCTCGTGTCTGCCCTATACGCTTACCGCTTTCAATCTCCCCGTGATGTACAGAGGAGGTGCCGTTCAGGATCATGTATATTGCGATTTTATTTGTCTTCCTTCCGTGATTATATTGCAAGTTATTTGTCTTCACTAGAACTTTGGGTAGGTTGCATTTGATCGGGTCACCTTAAGTCAAGTCTGACTTTAACCTTTCAGTCTTTGACGTAGCAATGCATCTTATTCAAGCAAAACTCCTGATCTGAAATAAGTTAGCCTGGAAACTCTCGACGCTCCGCGTTGTTTTGAGATATTCGCTTCCGTGGCTATTGCGGTATTGATGTTCAGCATCATGGGTAAAGCTGATTTCAATTCGTTCCATTCTAGCGACAAACGTGTATATAAAATTGCCAATTACCCCCTGAATTTCCTGCTCCTGGATTTCAGAATTATTGAGGACATCCAGAACTACGAGAAAATTCAGTAACAATGCGTCTCACATCAGGTTTAGTGTTGGCTCTATTTTCTCCTGTCGCTTATGCCCAGCAATCACTCTATGGTCAATGTAAGGATTACTACTCTTTAATCTCCCAGAATTGATGAGTTAACTGTTCCTTTAGGCGGCGGCAGTGGATGGTCAGGGTCAACAGTGTGCACAGCACAGGCGACTTGCAGCACCTTGAATCCCTGTATGTTTTTGATTTCCCCTCTTTCTCAGGCTCCTGTCAAAACCGTAGGACTAATTGCTTGAAAAGACTATGCGCAGTGTGTTTCTGCAACTGCGACAACAAGCGCAACAAGCACAACAAGCACGACCACGGCAACCAAGACTACCATGTTGACTTCAACTTCGACCACCACTACTAAAACATCAACTGGAACTACTACTACTAAAGTATCGACTGGAACTACCACTACAGCCGCTGCTACTACAAACAGTGGCAATCCATTTAGCGGTTACCAGCTCTATGCCAACCCTTACTACTCCGCAGAGGTTTTCACGTCAGCGATTCCGTCACTGACTAGTTCTCTCGCGGCAAAAGCTAGCTCGGTCGCCAAAGTTCCATCCTTTGTTTGGCTGTAAGTGTGATTGCTGGTTCTAAAACGCGCCTCTACTCACTTCTCCAATAGTGACACGGCCGCTAAGGTTCCAACCATGGGAACTTATCTCGCCGACATCCAGTCACAGAATGCGGCCGGTGCTAGCCCTCCCATTGCGGGTATTTTTGTGGTGTATGACTTGCCAGACCGCGACTGCGCCGCTTTAGCCAGCAATGGAGAGTACTCAATTGCCGATAACGGTGTCGCCAATTACAAAGCGTACATTGACTCAATCAGAGCTCAAATTATCAAATATTCTGATGTGCAGACTATACTGGTCATTGGTTAGACCTCTAAGGCTTTACAAATAAACGTTATCACTATGCTAACTTTCAATAGAGCCCGATAGCCTCGCCAATCTTGTTACCAATCTGAATGTGGCCAAGTGTGCCAATGCTGAGAGTGCTTATCTGGAGTGCGTCAACTATGCGTTGATTCAGCTCAACCTGGCAAACGTAGCCATGTATCTTGATGCCGGTAGGGATACTCCCCTGGACTCTCTTTATTCATTTCGATTTTCCAAGAGAAATGAGCTGACATGATGTGCCTAGGACATGCCGGCTGGCTGGGCTGGTCAGCTAACCTCCAACCGGCCGCTACGCTCTTTGCCAATGTATACAAGAACGCGTCGTCACCAGCTGCTGTGCGCGGATTAGCCACTAACGTTGCTAACTATAATGCCTGGACAATCGGCACTTGTCCATCATATACATCCGGAGATTCCAACTGCGACGAAAAGCTTTATGTCAATGCCATTGCCCCTCTGCTTGAAGCTGCAGGCTTTTCTGCCCACTTCATCACCGACACTTGTAAGTAGAATTTTCAATTCTCCAGTCCTTTCTGATCCCTTTGTGGATATTACTTGGATTTTTTAACCTCTTATTAGCACGAAATGGTGTCCAGCCGACCAAGCAAAATGCCTGGGGTGACTGGTGCAATGTCATTGGTACCGGCTTTGGTGTTCGCCCCACGACAGATACTGGCGATGCGCTTGAAGATGCGTTTGTTTGGGTCAAGCCCGGCGGAGAATGTGATGGTACATCGGATACCACATCGTCACGATATGATGCACACTGCGGATATAGTGATGCCTTACAGCCAGCTCCAGAAGCCGGAACTTGGTTCGAAGTGAGTGTTAGCCCGTGTTTTGGAAGCTTGGTGATAATCATGAATGTTCCCCCGCTAATACTTCAAAGGCCTATTTTGAGCAGTTGCTTGTGAATGCCAATCCGTCTTTCTAACGAAGTTGATGGAAATGAACACTGTTGTTGGGGATATGAAGTCTCAGTATACAGTTTTGGGTAGTCATTCATCAGGGTGACATGGGATTTTTTCAGTGCGAATCAAGTCTAACTATTCCTTTGATACATATACTCAAGATTGAAAATTGGAAACTAGATATTTCCAGACTCGCTTTCTGTGTTTATCTGGCATAATGAGACGCTATTCTCAGAAAAACAGGCCAGGGAAGGGCAGGTGTCCGCTTGTACCTCTTCTCCTGTCATTTAGATACCTCAAACATGGCATTTGGTGCCATGCAGTAATTATACCTCAGACAAAATGCTGCCTGAGTTCTGAGATCGTCAATTACTAAAAAGTCCTGGTCACATGACCTCCTTCAGCGATACAGTTTCGCTAGCTTGCTGCCTGGCTGCCTGGTTGCCTGGCGGCTAAATCTCACAGGAGATCTGCACGACACGTCCTGCAATACGCTCTGGATACTTTGATGAGACGTGTGCGTGCGTGCGAGGGAAGCCATTGTACTTGCTGGGCGTAAACTCCGACGGGTCAGGCTTGATAACCTAAATTCGAGGGACAATCGAAGAGTCATCTTGCATATTGACGTGGAACAAGAGTCATATATATTACCTCAGAACAAGCTGCCCGGTTTCTATATATTAAAGAGTGTGGGTAGTGACACAGAAGTCCTGTAAACAGGATTGTTCACGCCACGTGCGGGGCCATCGGAGGTCACCGATCTTGATAAGCTCCGCATCACCCAAGCTTTCTGTTTCCTCCCCCACATCTACTGTACAGAGTCCATCTCCCAAATCCACGATCCATCATGACAGCGCAGTCATTACGGGAGATAACCGCCCATAATATCCGTACCTTCAAAACTCACTATGTCTCCGAAATATCTGGATCCCTAGGCGATCTGGGGACCTTTCTCCCCATCGCCATCGCGCTAGCAGTGAACGGCACCGTTTCCCTAGCTAGCACTCTCATTTTCTCCGGTATATACAATATTTTGACCGGGATGTATTTCGGCATCCCACTACCTGTCCAACCAATGAAAGCGATCGCTGCCGTGGCTATAGCCCGCAACTTTTCCAACGGCTCAATCTCCGCCGCCGGGATCTTCGTTGGCGCTTGTGTTCTCGTTTTCAGTGTTACCGGTCTGCTGCGCTGGTTCGCAAATGTCATTCCTATCCCTGTGATCAAAGGAATCCAGGTCGGTGCGGGCTTGTCGTTGGTTATCTCGGCTTGCGGAAGCATGCTAGCGCCCTTGGGATGGGTCGGCCCTTCTTGGGCCGATAATCGGATTTGGGCGCTTGCTGCTTTTGTTGCCCTTGTAACTACCAATATCTATCGACGTGTTCCGTATGCTTTGGCGTTATTCGCGCTTGGGCTCTTGTTCGCGATTATCCGGACTGCGCTCGCTGGCCATCTTCCTGCATTTGAAATTTGGCATCCGTTTATCGTCGTGCCGACTCCTTCACAGTGGAGGGTTGGTGCTATTGATGCTGGTATCGGCCAGATCCCACTCACCACTTTGAACTCTATCGTCGCTGTCGTTCATCTTGCACATGACCTAGTGCCGAATGTCCGCACGCCTTCGATCACGCACATCGGTTTAAGTGTCGCTGGTATGAACCTGTTGGGCTGCTGGTTTGGCGCGATGCCCGTCTGTCATGGATCTGGTGGTCTGGCAGCCCAGTATCGATTTGGTGCCCGGTCGGGTGCCAGTGTCATCTTCCTTGGCGTCCTGAAGCTCATCATTGGACTTTTGTTTGGCGAAACTCTTGTCGACTTGCTGAAACGCTTCCCGGCGGCATTCTTGGGTGTGATGGTTATCGCCGCTGGTCTTGAGCTTGTTGGTGTCGGTGAGAGCCTGAACACCTCTGCTGCCCGGGACATCGGCCAGGCTGGAAGTCACATGTTGGGAATTCCAGACCAGCACATTGGCCCTGTGCTCACCGATGAAGAGCGCAAACGACGATGGACAGTGATGATGGTGACTGTTGGCTTGTTGGTGGGATTCAAGAACGATGCCATTGGGTTCATTGCCGGCATGTTGTGTCATGCGGCTTATGAACTTCCAACATGGTGGGAGAAAGCCCGGGCCCGGTGGTCAGAGGGGCGTGTCCAACTTAGTTGAGCATTTCAGCCCATGCGAGTGACTGACATTGTTCCAATCGTCATAACCATGCGTTGAGTATCAATCTCTGTCAACATTTTATTACAGAGTATCTTATCTTTTCGGGTATATAATTTCAGCAAAACTATATAAGTGTTCTCCAATATAAATGATCATCCTTCCTGCATATACTGACGAAGAACGCTTTGTGTATGATCCCAAATCTTCCCCTGCGTCTTCTCTCGAAGCGTAGACACAACCCCCACGTTGGGCGTACAGTCACACTTGTAGTTCACAAGAAAGAGTCCATCCTCCTGCTTCCCCAGTGCATTAACACCTACCTTGCCCTTCCACGGTACACCGCGAGCCCCAAAAGCAGCGCTTGTACATTGGAATAAATGTCTTTGACCCGACTCCTCATCACTAAAAGAAAATAAACCAATAAGAGGCACAAGGAACAACCAAATAATCCAACCCATCATCGAATTCGGATCCGTTCCCCTCCACACATTCCCCGTATTCACCCACCCAGGCCAGGAATGTATAAACGTCACATCAGGATTCTCACTAGCCAGTTTCTCCATAATCATGGTATTCATACCAATATATTGCATTTGAGCCTTCATAGGTCCGAAATTCCCAGGTTTCTTCAGGTCAATATCCTCCAAGTTGATGTTCCCCCTTTCCATCCCGCCACCGAGGACACTAACAACCCTGGGAGCTTCCGCTTTCCGCAGGAGTGGAAGGAGACACAACATGAACATGATTCGTGAGTAGTACGCCAGACTCTGGGTAATTTCCAAGCCCTCGATAGTCTCCATTCGTGCGCCGAATGGTGCGTAACCCGTCGTAATGAATAATAAGTCGAGGCGCGACTCTTTCTTTGCGATAACCTCGCATACTCGCTTTGTTTCTGCCAGGAGTGAGACTTCGCCTTCGGTCCAGATAATTTCTGCACGGGGGTTTATAGCCTGTAATTCCTGGATGAAGGCATGCGTGCGCTCCGATGAACACTTGCGCCCGATAAAGTAGATTCTTATGCTCGTGCCCGTAGCGACTAAGGCTTTGATTGTGATTTTTCCGATGCCTGATGTACCGCCGACGAATATGGCGATACGGGGAGCAGTGGATTCGCTGATGAGTGCGTTGGAAGCTTGAATTTCCTTGTAGGTAACCATTATCGCGATGGATGAGGTCAAGTACGGAATTATTCCGGGGTGGGCATGTGGCAGCGTGAGTCAAGCAGCTATCTCAATCAGTGCCTGTAATGATCATGGAAAATACAGAGGTCCTTGAGTCATTTATTGCACTGCCTTGAAGGGGAGAAGCACTCGATAGTACGGGAAAGCTCCGGAGGGGTATTCTCAGCCTTGTCAGGTCATCCGGAATTCGTCCGCAATTCGTCCGCTTACAGAGACTCATTGCGAAGTTGATAAATGAAATTTGAACTATTCCAGATAATTCCGTGATATATTGAAGAGTCCCATATTTCGTAATTATAGTAAGCCCGCCATGACGCGTGTTAATGCCTCATCCTCCGCCTGGAATGCGTCCAAGGCATTCGGTGATCGGCCAGTACCACAGTTTGACATCCCAATATTTACACCGGTCGTAAAGTCTGCGCCAGCCCTCGGATCAAAGTATAGTCCACCCGCAATCTCAAAGAAGCTACTGAGATCTTCACACTCATTGGAGTCTGCCTCCGCTGCTGTACCAGGCGAGAGAGGCCAAAACGTGGCGGAGGATTGTTGTGGAGTCGACATGCCAGGCGTTTGATAGAGACTTGGTGGGTTATGAAGCGATGGAGAATCAACGTTGGAAGAGACCGGGGTAGATTCCCATGGTATGCGAGATTCGACTTGCCTTGACCGAGGGACACCGGAGTTCGAATCGGCGACCATAGAAGGGCCCGAAATTGAACGAGAACCTCGGGATCGTCTATCCGATGGCTGGCGACCGGCGTTCTTTTGCCAGTTTACGTTGAGCTGAATTCGCTTCAGACTGCGGATGATTTTTTGCAGACGCCGAGATGTACGAGCCCGCGTGGCTGAGCGGCGCACCATGTCAACTGCTGTGTAGAATTCTGGTCGACAGGCCTGACTGAAACGGGCCGGGGCATGTAGCACAGCCAGAAACAGGGCTGCAAGAGCCGATATCAAGAAGTAGTTGAAGGGCTCCGGCCACTGGAAATAGACGTTGGAGACACGGCTGAAGTAATCCAGCATATGAACCGTACTTTTAGCCGTCTCCACTGCAGTTGAGGCTCCAGGCAGGTCTTCTGCAATCCGTTCACTACTCATGAGATTTTGCCGATATACCAGAATTCGAAGCTGATTGGCTTGTAGGGCAAGAAGCACCTGCAGCATCATAGCTCGATCGGTGTGTTCTGGTCCTGCAGAAGAGCGCCAGGTTGGGTCGAATCGCAACTCCTTTGGAATCGAGTGAACCCACTGCTGGACCTGTGCATCTAGAAATGCGCATCTCTCTGCTGTGGCCTCTCGCGACCTGTTGGGCCAGCCAACGACCAATCCCCAAACCTTCGTGCTAAGTCGGGAATACGAAATCATACATGTCAAGTAAGGGGTGGAATGACCCGGCTCCGGTAGGTTGGTATCCATGTCTGACTCTTGAATGGCAAAAGGGAGACCGGTTCCAAAACACCATTTCCGATCTAGTACATAGATGCACCAGAATAATCGACTTGCCCACATCCACTCCAACGCACCTGGGAATACACCTCCTGTCTTGTGCCAAGTATCCTGACGGTGTAGACCAAGCTCCATACTACCTCGGGCCGCCATGCCGGTTAAGCGCCAGGCAATGACTTCGTCGTCGCGATACGAATGAAATATAGACTGTGTCCATTAGATGGAAGTTCATCATCTGCAAGTAGAATGAAAACTTACCAGCAAACACAAGATAAGAATCTCCTTCATATCAACCTCCGCTACCTTGAGCCGACTGGCAAAGCGGTCCTCGACACTATTTGCCAGCTGCGCCGCACGCTCACTTCGACCATGGGATTCGACAAGCAGGGCGGTGGCCAACAAAATCTTCAGCACCTGAATGTCTCGAGCATGAAACCAATCTTGGTCCGAATCTGGCAGTACCCGACCCGACCCACGGTCGATAGCTGGATTATACTGATGGTGAAACTCCACAACATATGTACGCAGACTAGCCAAATCGACACAAGGGTACATGATACCAACGGTATCCTCGTAGACTTGCACCAGCCGTAAGATCTCCTCCAGACCCAGGCCCATCAGTGGATCTCCAGAACCCACATCAAATTTTTCACCCGATGCCGCAGGACTAGGAGCAGTTGTTGAAAGGTCAAAGTCCTCTTCCTCGTCATCGTTGCCGTTGTCTCCAAGGTTGGTGTCCGCGGAACCGAGCCGACGCTGGCGACCGAGCCCAAACTCAGCACTTGTCGGACCAACATATGTAGGTGATTTAGGAGCAGTAAGAATGCGGTGTAACCCAACTGCTGCAGCAGTCCCTCGTGCCGATAGGTTTGGGGAATCAGCTGGACTGTTTCCTTCGAGTTCACGGAGCCGAGCGGAAATAGTGCGCATCTCCCGCTGTAAGGACTCCAATTGCTGATTAACAGCGTCGAACCTGGTGTTTACCCTGTGTCAAGTTAGTTCTCTGAGTCATGATGAGCGTCCAGCCGCAGGCTGACAGTGAAGAACTTTACGAGTCCTTGTAGGGGTCGCACAGATCATCCTTAAAATCGCCCTCCGGCGTAGCTGCGACCGGCCGGTGCGCCGCATAAACGCAAGGAATATCGTCTCGAGCACACCGAGTGCAGGTAATTCCTCCGCTGCATTTCAACTTGCGTCTTTTGCATTCGTTGCTGGGGCGGTTAGCATCTCGGCAACTCGGAACTGAAGCGCCACTGACTCAAAGACATACCATGCGACTTGTGTATATTTGGCCCTCTTTCTTGGTCTCTGTTGATTTAGTTCATCATCGCGCCTTGATGAGTCAGGTGTCATGATGTTTTATCCTCTCTGCTTGATGCAGTTTTACTGGTGGGTGAGGCAAAGGAGAAAGTGTGAACGGAACAGCGGAATTGGCGAGGCTTATCATCACTGATAACGCTTCCCACAGTCAAAAAGTGGAGCTCTCGATACCTTTGATCTTGCATTCAACTCTGCTGTAGACTGCAGGCAGACGCATTTTGGTCGCTGTGGTTCGCCAGAGGATACTTTTAAACAGAGGTACCGATGAACTAGACAGAAAATCGTAGAAATTATCAACGAAACCTCGGGGCTTAAAACAAAGATCAAGAACCATGCCTAGGGCCAACCTAACTGTCAACATGTAACCATCTTTTTACCGGTGTTTCTAAGCGTCAAGCTCAAGCTAAAACGAAATTCAAGATTTGAAGGTCCCAATATCTTTCTGTTTACATAAGGCTTCGAAATTTCTAGATTGAATGCTTCATTGACGGTAAGCGCATAGAGAAGACTGGCGAAGTACATGGTTTCCAGGACTTTAGTATCGAGGCAAAGCCCTCCAACGATATGCGATCGTCAAATGCACCCATGTTTTCGGACTTTCAAGTAATCATAACATCTTACATGTCCATGAGCAGGGTCCCCTTTTGTTCATGCATTCGGCTTTTTCTCATAGCGTCGTCGGAACATTTCGTCCACGTGGGTAAGGTAATAGGTACCTGGAGCTAGGCTATCGACGCTTCCAATAGGGTTATAACAGTTCTTCTGGTAGGCATTTTCCCGAATTTTACACATCTATCATTGTCAGAAACTTCAAATAAGCCATACAAGGTAGAAAGGACAAGCTTACCTCGTTATAGAACTCCGGTGAGACCGCAGTGCGAGCCTCCAAACGCTCATTTAGCCGGACCCGCTCTGAAATCTCGGAAGTATTCCCCTTGACCCGCAGGCTAAAGAGAGTGCTGGCCAGACCACTGCCATAACTGAAAACCCCAATACGCTTGCCCTGCAGTTCCTCGCTAGAAACATTGCTCAACAAGCTCAGCAGCCCAGAGTAGACACTAGCAGTGTACATGTTTCCGCAGTTGGTGGGCGCCGTAAGAGATGGCTGGACACGCTTGAAAAAATGTTCCTTGGTCAACCCGATACAGGACTTCTCAATCTCTTTATCCGTCAGAGATGCGGTGTACTCAACATCGCGGACCGCCACCGGAATCTCATCAAATTGTTCAGGCTCCGCCCGGAAATCATTGAACAACAAACGGCCATAGGCCTTGGAGACGAGCTTGCAGTTAGGCGCATGGAAAGCGAAATAGTCAAAGGTATTCAAAAAGCTGCCTCTGTCAGTCGCAAATCCATTTGCGAGTTCAGCGCTTTTCGCCGATTTCGCCCGGTAACGTTCATAGCAATTATCCAATGCCTGCAGGTAGCATGTGTTGGAGAAGTGTCCATCAACAATGGGGTACTCGGATTTGAAATCTCCTTTATAGAAGTCGTAGACGTGCTTCATGTATGTTCCACGAAAGGGTTCCAGCACAATGGGCGCATCGGCACCGATCAGCATGGCTACACAGCCTGCACCGCCTGTCGGGCGGGCGGCAGGTTTATCGTACAAAGCGATGTCGCCCGCTACGACGATTGCATCGCGACCGTCCCAGGCAGAAGATTCGACCCAGTTGACTGCGTTCAAAAAGGCATTGGTTCCACCGTAGCAAGCGTTATAGGTGTCGACTCCCTCAATGTCTGTGTTTTCGCCGAACAGTTGCATGAGCACCGACTTGCATGACTTTGATTTGTCGAGGAGGGTTTCGGTTCCCACTTCTAAGCGACCAACTGTGGTTGGGTCAATCTTGTACTTTTCAAGTAGAGAGGAGGCTGCTGTGAGTGCCATGGAATAGAGATCTATGAATGTGACCACATATGTTAGCATGGTGTATGGTCTTGAGTTCTCTTAAGATGATGTGGTAGCTTACCCTCACGGTCATCACAGAAGCTCATCTTCTGCTGACCCAGTCCAATAGTGAACTTCCCGGTACTAGCACCCAGATAGGTCTCAAGCTCAGTTTGTGACACATACTGAAGAAATATATGTCAGTGGCTTGAAGAATTTGGCGGCAGAGTGAAGGTAGAGGAGTACAGACGCGACTAGGAAAATAAATCTCCATGGCCTTGATGCCCACATTCTGCGCGTTGGAGGTCATGATGTTCGAAAATGGAGTGAATTATGTAAAGAACAAAATATTCGGTGGTGAAAGAGACTGATGGAGATGAAAAGACATATGTCTAAGTTTACGAGACACCTTATATGCTTCCAAGATCTATTCAACTGTTTGACTGATAGTTTCCAGTCACAGGACTGTACTAATAGATACGGCGTAGCCATATCAATGACTGCGCCTCACGATGGGGCTTCTTGGAATCCTGTGAGATTATTGGTTCCTGTGACAAATGCTACGGTGTATATTCAAGCATCACTTCGTTCTACTTGAACCACAAGATGATTCTATACAAATCAATAAACTGATTCCAGTAATATTATAAATTATCTGATAGCCCATAGTCGAGCCGAGCCGATCTATCTCGGGCACGCAATCAATGGCTGATAAAACTGATGCCAATCCCGAACTCCTCATGGTCAACTAAAGAAGGACCGAGTGATTGGCAATCTACTTTAGGCAGCGCCATTATTGTCTCATAAAGATTAGTACCCACGTGCTGGCTGATCCTGACACGTATCCCTTCGTCCGGATAATGTTTGTTTGATAGCGGCCTTCCACCTGGCGGCGTGTTTGGATTGAAGAAGAGATTAGAAGGAGTCTTATCGTGAGCCTAAGCAACGAATTCGAACATTCAGTGGAAAAGGCTGAATATGGACACCATTGAACAGTCCGTTGCTCCCCGAATCCTTATTCCCGCAGACTACCACGCTCTAAACGGAGAGAGGTATTTCTTCATATCCCTAGCCTGCAACGCGTGATACTTCAATCCAGGATGATAATCATTCCACCAGATACAGCTTGTTCCATCATCATCAATGCATGTATTATTCGGGTATCCGTATTTATGTGGATCATCCAAAACGCCAGTCATAAAATTCCAAGAATTGTAAATGACGGTTTGGATCTGCAAAAGTCAGCCATTACACTATTCTTTTCCGAGGTTAAATCAGTGTGCTTACCTCTGGATGATCATCTTGAAATCCCAACACCATCAGCTTGAGATGCTCATTAAAAACCGAGAGCCACGCCGCGTGCTCTTGTGACGCCTCTAACCCTTGATCCAAAATATACGGACTGCGGCTAGTCGGCGGGACATTCAAAAAGAGGAATTTCCGCCCTCCCTTCGCATAAATTTGCTCCACAAGCAATTTGTACTCGGCCATGAGCTCTGGTACGAGAACACTGGCGTTCTCACTAGCATATGCCCAGCCGACGCTGTAGAGATTGTCAGTGTCAGCAATAAGACTCTAGAGCTGATACTTGGGATGACTAATTACTCGTTGATTCCAATCCAAAAACCGAAGACGGTGTTTTCAGAGCCCCATGGCGCTATCGCAGGTTTATCACCGTATACTGATAGAAATGTCTGAACTTGTGTCGCCATGTCTTCCACTCCAGCATCGATAATGTCATTGTCAATTGTTGCTCCTCCTACTGCGAGGTTGTAACTCAAGACGAGTGAGTCGTTATCTGCTGTCGTTAGGTCGCCTATCCAGTTGATACCCCCTCCTGTTGTACCCGTGCCTGAGCGATGTTAATATCATGAGCTAAAAGTGGTGTGGATTCCACTCACCCAGTGCCGGATTCCCCATCGGGTCTTGAGGCGTTGCTTGTTCGCCGTACACATCGAAGCTAGTCATGCTGTACGAATCGCCACTAAATATCTGAACTTAGACCCTGTTCGATAAACCAAACTTGAACTTAATTGTGAGTGGTTGTGGCATCCTACAAGGTAAAGAAGTAGGTAGGCAATGCCTTAATTCCTAAATGTGACGCTGCAGCCATGGTGAGACCAGTGGCCCAGCAAAGCAATCTGCTTATCATCTCAAATGGGGTCTTATTTAGCACTTGGGACAGATTGTTGGAGCCAAACAAATGTTTTGTTGACAATATTTGCCCAGGGGGAATTTAGCCCGCCCTTCAACCTTATCTACTCATCAACTGTGAATGGTCTGGCGGCGAGTTATTGTATCACACACTATTTCCTGATTGTCGGATTTTTGCCACGGACATCATTCCGCAATTATCAGTCGATCTCCTTGTTTATCCGAAACTCTCCCCAGGTCGAACGGCAAAGCCTCCGTTTACTGCGGGGTCGGCCAGTTCTATGTCGCCCACCACATCATGCAAGTTATTATTCCATCAATGCGACCTCAATATAGTCCCTGCATGTATGTATGACCCCTCTTGGGCTAAGCTCTTTCTGCAACGGGCTCGGTGCTCAATCCGACCCGCAGGCCCGGAATATTTAAAAATCTTGTGAAAGAAGACAAAGACTTTTAGATATTCATCAATATGTACATTAATACATCGCTCCGTCATATATATCATCATGGTTTTATCTTCAGAAGCTCAATACCAACGCCACCGACCAGTAGCGTGGCATAGCTTTCTTCAGATGAAGGTACGCTGGAGTCTGACCTACGGACCAGACCCATAGAAGAGATATCAGCCACGGCACTGTACCTGTCTTGGACAAAGTGGGCTTCAATGTTTCTGGAACTTTGAGAGAGAGGAGCAGTAATCGACCAAATCTTGACGCGGTGATCGTTTCCTGCCGAGGCCAAAATAATATTCGCAGTTTCAATCCCGACATCGTTCGCCTTAGAATGTGTCTGGCTCAGAACCTTGATAGCCGTGATTGAGGCTGCATGTGCATCTGGGATGGAGATGGTCGAAACGTGTGTATCGGCGTCCGCCGTTTGGTTCGGGTCAGTTCCCAAAAGTGATATTGACAACGAATTATCATCACCACCAGACACAATCATAGTTCTTGTGTCAGACAACAAAACTAATTCCATGGCCTTAATGCTGTTAGAATGGGCAACATGCCTGTTCTCACAAGTAATATCCTCAGGGGATGTTTCCGGGTCAAATTGCCCGATGGCTTTCAAAGAGGAGGAGCCGATTGTGTAAAATCGCTTCAGGGTATCGGTAAGATCCCACAACGTGAAGTATCCGTCTGTAGCGGCCGTCACGAGCGTGACAGAAGACCCTTGGATGATGAAGCGTCCTTGTGTCAAACAATTCGTCATGTATTTTCCTCGGGCCAGAAGCGTGAAAGTATCGTTATTTTGCGGCGAGTAGTGGAAGATCTACTGATATTAGCATGTTTATCGTCGATGTCATATAGGGAAATAATAACCTTAATGGTAGAGTTCGAAAGAGTGAGGCATAAGAGGAAGCCAGATCCTTCTCCTTCGTCTACCTCCACCACATCAAAGCTTGTGATACGAAGCTCAGAACTTGGGTCATCTTTCGGACAAACTGCTGCTAGGATTGTAGCAATTCCAAACGAAGGGATCCATCGGACTCTCCATATGAAAAATTCTTCACAGGCAGCACTCGTGAATAGATACTTTCCACATTTCGACCATGAAGCTTCTTGAACACCAGAGTCGTGTGTGCTCAGAACACGAAGAGTCTGCACAGATCCCCAAGGGCCTGTAGTGGGAGTATCTAGAATGGTGGAAATTCGGATCGTGGTATCTTCGGCCCCGGTGACAATAAGAGGTGGGGCATCGTTGGTCCCATTCAAGCCATCCATGGCCTTAATTTCTCTACCATGGCCTCCTGCTCGAACCAAGCAATTGACATCATGCCGAATGCGTTGACTGGCAAGAGAAGGCCCCTCTCTCCAAACGAGGAGATCGCCATTTCCCCCCTTGATGCGTCGTTGGAAGCCCCATGGCCTGCGAGTGCCTCCAGATCCAATTGAAGTGATGTCTGTCCCTTTCGACTCGTTTCGTAAAACAAAATCCTGAGATTTGAACCCATACATCATCAAATCACCAGTCAGCTCGTCAAAGTATGCCCCTTCAATGTTTCCACCGAGTGCCGACTCTGTCCTATGCACAGTGGTGAGAGTGACCGCATCACCTCTCTCCTTGCCAATCTTCACTTCATGGACACAGTATTTTCCATCACGTCCACATGTCAATACGTATTCCAGATCTGAACTATCCGAGGCTTTCACGGAGGAAAGTGTTTGGATGTGGTTTGTACCGTTGTGACCATGGACACGTCGGTCAACAAGGAGAGGACCAGTGGAAACTTCAGGATTTCCGACCGGGTGTACTGATAAGCCACCAAGCCTGGACCCTAGCAGCAAGTACTCGCCATTCCCGATGAGAGAAGCAGAGGCCACATCATACGGTACCTGAGGCAAAACGATTGAGGTGGCTTCCACCTTAGGGCGATCACTGCTCCACTCCGAGATCGTCACCAATGTTGCAAAATCATCCTTAGCATAAGAAGCGACAAAAAATATTTTCTCGGTTGGAGCTCCGAGATCAATATCGCGCTGCTGAAGCACTAAAAGTTCCATTGGTCGCCCGGCTAGATCAATGAGTTCAGAGACCGATTTGAGACTGTGATTGTACAACCAAACCTTTCCTCGAGGATCACTTATCAATGCAAGGCCTTTATCGGGGATTCCGGTTATCAGTGAAATCAAGCCAATATCTTCTCTGGTATGCAAAGGTTCCCATGTGATGTTGGCATCAAGTCCTTGGCTGACGTTTCCAATCTGAAGCTGGCTTGCTTTGTTGCACATAATGAGGCAATCCTCAGCAACGAAGGCGAAATGTTGAACGCAGCTGGTTTTGGCACTCTTTTCTTTCACTATAGACTTTTTGGGTGTCGGTGAGGGTCGAACTTCGTCAATCTTGAAATTTCTCAGTGCTCCATCGGCACCTCCTGTGTAAACCACAGTCTCATCGCCGCGACGGCAAAGATCCATCGACCAGATATGCTTCCCTAAGTGTGCATCTGACGAGAAGTCCTTGCGTAATTCGTATTTTGTAGTCCCTTGGGATGATGACTCCCAGGTCAAATCCCACACAATACATGTAGCATCCTCACCCCGAGTCACGAGACCGATCTTAGAGGAGTCTTGAGATATGTTCGATCGAAAGCCGATACTCCATATACGAGCAGCATGTCCAAATGCCTGCGCGATGCAAGACTCAGTCCCAGTCCCTGAATCAGCGCCATCTGTGGCACCAAAGCCCGTGCTTCGGAGGTCAAACCCGTCTGTAGAGTACGCCGAAGGATCATGGGCAGACTTGTGTTCACAGTCAGAAATGTCCCAGATTCGCACTGTTCGGTCATCACTGCAACTGGCCAGAACACGACCTGGCTTTCCCCCGGTCATTGATGAGATCATAGGCGATATTTGCACACCAAAGACAGTTCCGTCGTGTCCGGTGAAGAAGTGGTGAATTGATCCAAACGCTTTGTTTTGGGTTATTTCGCTGGCATCCATGAAGCAGGACCAAACAATGATCTCTCCAAAGATGGTTCCCGCTGCAATGAGCACATGGGTCGGTGACAGTGCAACCAGGTCAGCCGCACACAAAATAGACTTGACACTCGTTGAAAGTTGGTAGATATTGATCACTGACTGGCCCGGAGATTCGGAGCTAGGCGTGAGCTTTAAACACAAAATTGAGTTATTGGCAGTGATCAAGTACGCCGCGTCTGGCTGATCCTTCACTGCCGCACAGCCGCTCATGACCCAATCTGGAGCAAGGAACTCTGAAGACGAAACGGATACTTTGATTCCACCATTCGAGTCTGATCTCAGATCAACCACCCGCAATGACTGGCCACCCCAAATGATGAATCGAACATGCTTTGGGTCACTATCATCTTGCTCTTCCGACAATGAAATGAATCCATGTAGGTTGTTGCGTTTGAAGACCCGCACTTGGGTCACTACATCCCCAGATTCATCGTCAACGACGCGTAAGAATGGGCCTTGGCCTTGAAGAATGAGATTCCGGCTACCCCAAGAGAGTGCTTTCAATGCTGTAGTTGGCACACAAGCATCGATGTGCTGTGATATGGAGTCAGTGGAACCAAGTTTAATTGCAGGCAATCCTTCTTCCTTTCTAGTATGCACAAACCTCAAGAGATAAAGACATTTTCCCCGGTATCCCTCGGATCATCAACGCCGTAGCACGTCTCAATTCGTCTGTTCTTCTTTCTATCTTTCTCGTTCAAAATCCCACTTTCCTCTCATTATCTAATTCTTGCCCGCACTAGTCCCGAAATGGACGTCTTATCACACGTGATCATATGCCACTTTCTGACTTTTACCTTGTTGCCTTGCTGCCTTGCCGCCTGAATTACATGGCGTCAATATATGCTGCTTGAGCTCAGTTTGTTTTCTCCTTTATTTTCGATTTATTTTTCTTGAAATATTTGGAACATTCGGTACTAATCCATTTTGATTACTAGTTGGTTTCCAAGGCGCGACCATCGGCTTCTCCGCCCCTTGGTCTAGCCTTTCTTCACCATGATGCTAAATATATTATGGGGAAACAGATCATTGACGAACACCTGCGAAGATGAAACAAATCTTGCCCCCATCCTCTTTATAAATGTGTTAACATCTTCAAGTCCGCATGGAATTTATCTTTTAGGGGGCATTCAGGTACCCGTGCGAATTACCAGGGTGCGTGCCGTGCCGCGCAGCACCTACCTTGGATAACAACTCCGTTAAATGGGCCACGAACATGGTTCCATCCAAAAAATGACAGCGACCTCGGGCCACTTGAACCGGGGCCCCCTATCCCCCACGAATCCACTATCAATATATTTTATCCCGATGAGTGTATAGCCAAGTCACTATCCACGAGTCCAGCGGAGTATTGTTAGAACCCGCCACGTTTGCAGGTCTTGGAAGCATGGCGCTAAGATGAAACACCGGAATCATACGGGATAAGGGCTAGATTCCGCAGAGTTCGAATGTTTGCGCTGTGGCGGATCCACTTTTCACTAGAGCAATTTCGACATTCCACAATGGCCTGGCCACATGTTTTAGGAGATGGCAGGTGCATGGTATAAGATGTTTTAGTCTCCCAATATTTAGGGACGATCGATGGTTCTATTGACTCCATGGATAGTTACTAATAGTGATGGCGTGTATATTTGGGCGATCTGCTACCGATGCGTACAGGCCAAGCTTTCCACGAGGTGTTTAAGAGTCTACGTAAGCTAAATCTCTTGGAAATACGGCCCCACTCTCTCAGCCCATATTTGTGGCTCATGTCGAGGGAAAAAGAAAGGCAGCGAAAACACCCAGGCAGAAATATGGCTGCGAATTTGAATTTTCATAGTGGATCGTACCACCAAGTGCTTCACAGTGGTAAGCTCAAGCCCCCCTGGACAGCCATGAAAAGCTTCATGAAAGTTCTAGCTTCTGATGCATCGGGACGCAAATTTCAGCCCTAAACGCAGGACAAGCAACACCGCTCATTCCCGGGAGATAATGACCGACCGTAGACTAGATCAAGCACTAATTGGCCCCTCTACGCTCGAGCCCGATACACGTACGCCTAGATTTTCACGTTTCGTGGCGGCGCCCAATGGCTACTCGGCAGTGGCTTCCTGCCATTTCCACCTCGAAATTGACTACTGACGATCCGCCAATCACCCGTTTGGACGAGTCTTCGGACAATTCCACTTGATAGCTCACGATTGGCAGCCCACCTCGTTTTGGGGCGAAAGGGGAATGGTCGCCCGAGCACTTTCGCTTGGAGTATAGTCTAATGGGCGGCGTACGCAACGGCTTTAGCCCAATATGCCTATCTAGCGAGGCCTTCCCCTTGTTTCAACTTTTGTATCTTCGTTCGATATCCTTTCTTCCAACCTTCCGTGCTGTGCGCAGAAGTATCCATTCCTTTTCGACAGGAGCCCTTTGGCACCAAGTCATTCATTTCTACGTTCTAGTAGACTCTATCGCTCATTTAAATTCGCCTTAGCCAAATCGAACCGATAACCAATACTGCAACCAAGAGCCTGGACAATGGCTTCGTTTTCCAAGTTTTTGACTGCCGGCCTTTTGGTCGCCGGCGCTGCTGCCCATCCCCATGGCCACTCGCATGCGCACAAATCGACCGTGCAGAAGCGATCCGGCACCTCGACCAAGCGCGGTGCTGCTTACAACGATGCGACTCTCGTCTCCGCTTTGACCGACAGCTCTAGCGTTATCTCCTGGGCCTACAACTGGGGAAGTACCATTAATGGTGATATCCCCTCCGGTGTTGAGTACGTGCCCATGCTGTGGGGTTCGAGCTCCACCTATACGGACTACTGGACTGCCGCCGTTAAGACTGCCCTTGCCGACGGCAGCACCCATCTGATGGGTTTCAACGAGCCCGATTCGTCCTCCCAAGCCGATATCAGCTACTCCGATGCTGCTACATACTATAAGGAGTACCTCACCATCTACTCCAGCGAGGCCACATTGGTTAGTCCCGCTGTTACTTCGTCCACCACCGATGGTGAAGGTCTGTCTTGGATGTCTTCTTTCTTGAGCGAGTGCACAGACTGCGAGATCTCCGCTCTTGCTGTTCATTGGTATGGCGGTGACATCGCTGAGCTCAAGACCTTCGTCAACGAGGCTATCACAGTTGCCGAGGAGTACTCCATCTCCGAGGTCTGGGTCACCGAGTTTGGTCTGGATACTGATGAGTCCGGTATCACCGATCTCACCACCGCTGCTACTTTCGTGAAGGAGGCTAGCGAGTGGCTCGAGACCAAGTCCGCTGTTGCTCGCTACTCGTTCTTCTACTGTGCCAACGACTTCATGCTTACCGACAGCGTCGCCAACTCTGTCGGTAGCGCCTACATCTCCGTCTCCGGATCTTCTTCCAGCTCTTCCTCATCCTCTTCTTCATCGGAGTCTTCCTCGTCCGAGTCTTCCACCTCCACGACCGAGGCTGCCTCCACCTCGACCACTACGTTTGTCGTTGCCGCCTCTACCTCGACCTCTGTCTCCGAGTCGACCTCGACCATTTCCTCCTCCGAGACTGAGGTCTCTGCATCTGTATCCATCTCGATCGATGTTGGTGCTGATGCAGACTCCGAAGTCGAGTCCTCCAGCTCTTCTTCCTCGAGCTCTTCCGTGGTCGTTGAAGTCGCCGAGGCTACCTCGACCGCCGTTCCGACTACCTCCGCGACTCCGACTTCGATCGAGACTACCTCTCACTCGACCTCTACCACCACCCTCACCGCGTTCACCACAGTTGAGACCACTTCGTCTACTCCCACTCCCACTCCCACTCCTGTGACCTCGTCCACACCCACCCCAACTCCAGTCACATCATCCACCCCCAAGGTCACTCCTTCGACCCCTGCCGTAGTTGTCACCGTCACCCCCACCGTCACCGTGACCGAGTGGGAGACTGTGATGCCTACTCCAGGTGACTTTGGTGCTTGTGGCGCTCCTAAGCCACTCCACAGCTCGCACTAGCTCTAGAGTGAACATCAGCCAAGCAGTCAATTGGGCCTACTCAACAATTTAGCCAACGCTTTTCCCATCTTCCGCGCTCCCTGAACATAGTGCTTTCTTTCTTTCGTTGATACTCCTTTCACTTCTAGACTATACTCTATCCTGTTTTCCGATTCTTTTCTAGCTATATTTTGCCAATTGTTGAACAAGTCTATGCTGCTTGGAAAGCTGGACAGTACTAAAATTTTGCATTCTGGCTTCACCTAGTGTAGATACTGTCCAATTTCATAGGTCCCTATTTGGGCAGCGTTGAGCCTGCATCCAATTGTGCGTCGGTTGGCGAACCGCGTCTCAATGAGGTGCTTTCGTATGTGCATCCTCTCATCACCTGATTCAATGGTCGGATAGGTTGCAGCACGGATACCCCGGAAATAGCGCTGTTCATACCTCCGAATAACGAACTGATAGTATAAGCCCGCCAATCTCTGAAATCGATCGTGGGATGTCCATGGGGGCGCTTCGTTCTAAGGTAGACAGATTGGAATACAAGGTCGTATGCGTGGCTGTAACATTTCCGTTCTGTGCCTTCCGAAGGGTGAAGAGTCCTCTATTGGAACATTCCTCGGCAATCCTGCGTAGCTTTTAGTCGGTCCACCATGGCCCCATACCACAGAGGGTAGTCGGAATTCCTTCGAAGACTCTGATTAACGCCTTCGGGCCTCACCATGTTCGTTGAAGGACGGTCGGGCCTCCAATGGCTTATGGAAACCTTTTTACAGAGACCCTGCGGGAGCAGGGTTGGGCAGTAAACGCCGACAGAAGCTTCCTGGCGTTTCTTTTCTATCTCCCCTTCCAGAATAGAATAGTCAGTTGGTATGAAGCGTAAGAGAAGTATGAGGAAGTAAACCTACTTGTTTTTTTATGCTGTTGACCTTCGCCTGTCTTGCGCAGGTGCTTCCGGATGATTCATGCCAGTAAACAGGTCCTAAATGTCGCAACCCCTGGAACCTTCAATTCACCGATTGTCCACGCGAGTATCGCAAGATACGGTCGATAAAGAACCATAGGGGGGCTGTCAATTCTAAGCAGCTCCTGAGAAATTCGTAGTAAACGATTCACCAGGCATGTAAACGGATCAAGACCATTTCCCCAGCGGAGCTTTCCTGAAAGGAGCAACATGGCTTCAATGCAGATGAAAAAATGCTCTCATGTCGCCATAGCCTTCACTTCAGGAACCTTTCATGGAGTTGAATTTTTCTTCCTAGAAGGCTTTTTTGGAAGCGAACCTTTGAGGTTCACTTGTATCATATTTGTGAGGGATGATAAAGATAGAAAGAAGAAAAGGGCGAGAAGGAGGCTTTTATAGTCACGACATTAGATGCTGAGATCGGGGAAGTGAGGTGAACTTACCTGAATTAGAGTAGACATCAGTAGGATTTCAATCAGGAAAGAATTTGAGAGTTGAAAGGCTGAGGGCAAAGGAGACAATTCCTGTTGCCTGTTAGGACTAACACTTGACTCGGCAGCCATTGTCCTCCCTGATCGGAAGTTTCTTGCAGCTATCACTGTACAACTATATTTTTAATGGTGTTGCCGTTCCGTTCATAATGCGTCAGTGCTCTAGATGTCATCTAATTGAACGTTTCATGTTCAAAACGAATTTCAACCCATGGGCCTGATAATGTAGTGATCGAGTAAATTCAAGAACCTCACACCAGAATATATATCGTGGACCACCCCACTCCCGACATTAGCGACCACACTGGAACCCAAAAATGCCACGAAGATATAATACATCGATCTGAGATTAAGTAATGTGACTGCAAGCAAAAGGACATCGGGAAAAAGATGATTCAGTAACTTGCTATTGAACTAGAAAGTGGGTAAGAGATCATCTCATCCGCACCGTCCCGCAGAAACACAATTATTTGAAAGCATTGCAACCCTTCTACTAACTGTCCTCATCAATCAAATTGAGACTCTATCGAACAGACATGGAAACACAATTACTTAATCTTAAAGCCGTGAAAAGACAAGGACGCCGGGCAAAGTCATCTAGCCGCCAGAGACGATTTGCAAGCGGAGGCTTGGTGCTTCTTCGAGATGTCTTGTCAGAAGCAGGGAGAAAGCTTAGCTCATTGCCATTAAGAGCGTTTCTGATGTTATATCAAGTCTAAGACTTCGAGCCTGCTCAGGTATAATCGAAAAGTCTGGCCGCGATCGGGACGTAGTCCTACGAAGTTCCCGGACTTGGGAGAAGCGCCGTAAGGGGTGCGAAGGGAGCAATGACTGGATGTAAACATATCGTAGCATCAGGCGTTAGTGATGTCAATCTGACTCAATCAAAGCAATGGCACAGTGGAGATTTGTGTGGACGGATTGAATACCGAAATTTAAGTAGATGCCAATGGCTTCGCGGTGGGAATGACGGCATGCCGACGTCTGGCCGATTTGCCCATTCAGGGTCAAATTTTGGGGAGGGACATTCAAAATGTCTGCCCTCTATCTTCTCAATTGCTAAAAATCAAAACACTTCCGACTTTAAGCTCATTCACCTTTGAAACTATCCGTCATGGTGGCCGCAGTTGTTCAACTGCGATGTGGTGTCAAGGCATGTATCTTCGCTTCTATGCCCCCACCAGTCGCTAACAAACAAGGATAAAACAGAATGATCCTTGGGGAAAGAAAGGCAAAGACTCCATGGTGGCCCATTTGTGGTCCAAAACACCCGGAAGTGCGCCCATTGACGAGAACCAAACCTACTCCGAGGTAGATGCCCTATATCATGCCTTTGCCTTTCAATCAATCTAACCTATTTGTGTCTAGATGTGGATGGGTACTTATCCATCCAACCCGTCACACCTCCTTTCGACCGGAGAGCCACTGGGGGAATATCTGAAGAAGAACCCACAGCTAGTGGGCAAGTCAGTTCTGGATCGATGGGGAGCAGAGATTCCATTCCTGCCAAAGGTAGAGTACATCAATCATTATACTCGATGCGACAGCTGATGAAAACCAAAGATTTTATCTTTCTCGAAAGCACTGCCGCTCCAGATTCATCCAGACATGTCACTGGCAAAAAAACTCCACCAAAAGAATCCTGAGAAATTCGGTGACACCATGCACAAGCCCGAGATAGCCGTTGCACTCTCGAAATTTGAGCTCTTCGCGGGCTGGAAGCCCTTGGAAGATATTCAAGCACTGTGCAAACTGGAACCATTGAGGCAATTCGTACCAGCATCCACAGGCTTCAACGATGAGACGTTGCGGAAGATTTGTATGTCGATGTTGAAGGCATCGCCAGAGACGGTAACTTCAACAATCAAAAACTTGCAAAGCATCCCCGAGTCCCACTTCGGATGCGATCCGTATATCCCAGGTCTTCTAGTTCGACTGAGCAAGCAGTACGCACCAAGCGATAACGGAAACCTTGTTGCAGCCATCCTGATGAATTATATGACCCTCGGACCAGGGGATTCGGTCTTCGTTCCAGCAGACAGTATCCACGCGTATCTGGAAGGCGATATTGTGGAGTGTATGGCGCGATCAGACAATGTCATCAATTCGGGATTTTGTCCGAAGACGGAACGGGATAGCGTTGATCTTTTCGGGCAGGCGTTGACGTTTGTGCCTCATAATGCGAGAGATGCACTTTTGCCGAGGCAGAAGAGTGACAAGGGGATGCATGGTAAGACGGATGTGATTGCGCCTCCGATTGAGGAGTTCAATATGCTTTGTACTTGTCTTGGTGCTGGCGAGAAGGAGACGCATAAGGCGATTCTTGGGCCCAGTTTGATGATTGTGACGAAGGGTTGTGGGTCTATGAAGATTCCGGGCAATCAGACGATTGAGATGAAGGAGGGGTATGTTTATTTTGTTGGACAAGGAATTGCGATGGACTTCTGTACGGAGAAGGGGGTTGCCTTTTATCGTGCGTATACGGAGTAAGCAGATTGAAGGGTTGGGGAGTCAATAGCTCGTTGGAGAAAGAGGGGAAGGGAAAGAATTAGTAAAAGGGTGTTGGGGGGCTGGGAATGGTTTCATGGAGAAAAAGGGAAATAGGAAGTGAAAGGGACCTTGGGGATTAGGGGATTGGGAATGCCTTCGTGAGGAACACGGAAGGGAAAGTAGAAGCGGGTTGGAGAATTGGGAATAGCTTCATGGAAGACGGAATTAGAAAGTGGAAGGGGAAGGAAACTAGAGACTAGGGAAATCGTTAAGAGGAAGTGAAGACTAGGAAGCAACGGAGGTACTTATAGCACTTGTCCCCTCCAAATCATTAACAGACTCTCGTGGTCAAGCGGGATAAGCACGTCCACTCAACTGGGCCAGGATCTCTGGTGTGCTTATCTGGGTTTCGATCTATATCTGGCCATCTGCAGTGGTTGGGTACAAGCTTGACATTCGTCCGCGATGGCGCCTCCCTGGTCCTGGCACATATGCTACGATTCCGTGGGTTCGCTATCGGTCGGTACGAGAGAATTTGCGAAAATCTTTGAAACATCCCTGTATCATAGCAGATACTTCTTTTTTTGATGGTCGATAAAAAAAGAAGCAAATGTTTGGTCGAAGCTTGGGGAATATTGCGGCTATTGAGCCGCATCGTGAAGATATTCAGAGGAAGTACTTCGACATTTGGGATGGCTATAAAGAGACTGCCATCGTAATCGAAAGATCCCGGGTTCAATCCTCACTGTCGTCAATTGCATTGTTTCTTTTTCTTTTTCCTTTCCTTTTTGTTACGAAGCTATGGATCACTAGTGAACTCCATATGCCCTCCGGTGAGATCGGTCAAGGTCTAGGGCAAGGATAAAAGAGATAGATGCCGTGTGGTAGATGAGAGTTGTGGAAATTGTATAAAGCCAAAGTATGAAAACAAGAATGATCCTAAAAGTACAAGACTATTCCACAAGTTAAACGACTCTCTGCGTGACGGTTCCGACAGGCCGCTCAACAACAGTCATGAGCCCATCGACGATGCTCTTCCGTGCACCCTCACTGGAAACCTTCTTTCCAGCCAGGTAGTTGAGCCACACGAATCGGCTAATCCGCTCATCGTTGACACGACCCATCCAGTGGGTCGCCTTAGGATCAGGCTGGAAGAGCGCATCAAGGGCACCATGGGCATTGCGCAGAAGAACCACAGCCTGGCCCTTGTTGACATTCTTAGCTTGGCCACCACCAACGATGGCTTTGAATTCATTGATCGCGGACCCAAAGGCCATATCCTGTGATTCCGATCCGGAAGCAGACTTGTTCATCTGCGCGCGGGCGGTGATACCACGGACCCAGGCATCACGAAGGTGCAAAAAGTCAGTGTTGCGCGTAGGCACAATTCGGAAGGCAGTTCGGATGCCATTCTCCTTGATCAGAGCTGTCCAGGCCGCATCACCGTGCTCGGGATCCATAAGCAGCTCTCTAAGCTGCTGGCGCTCCGGGGATACCAGTGACGTAGCGGCTTCAGCACCAACCCCGGAGACAGCCGCGACATCGTCTGAGACAGGTGGATGAACTGCTGTGTGCACGAGACGTTGCTGCAGCTCTGTGATATCCGACTTGGCAACATATAGTCCAACAACATACACCTGAATCGACAAGAATGATACAGTGCGAATGCCTAATCCCAATAGCTGGTATTCGTCTCCATCAGACGTTGACAGCTCATCTCCAGGTTTCTTGTTCTCCGTTCCAGTAATCGACGGTAAGCGAATGGTGGTAGGGAAATGAGGAACAGAGCTGGTGCCGGTCTCGATTTGGTCGACATTATCCTGGCCGTGAAGAGGAATCACAGAAGGGCCACCGTCAGCCGGGAATCCAGGAGGTCCGTCCATCTTCATAGCGCGGCTTTCTGATGTTGCGACTGTAGCTTCGTGAGGCTTCGACGCGGTGTCGTTCTTTCCGGCCTCGAGTTGTTCCAGGCCAAACAGATCCAGCTTGACCACTCCATACATAGCCGCTGCGCTGGCCACAATTCCAGCTGCAGACCAGACAACAGACCTTCGGTACTTGGCATCTTCAACCTTGGGGCTTTCGGCGGCGCGGGAACGGAGAGGGTTGGTGGCACCATTTTTGATTGATCGGAGGCAGTTCGTCGTGGAGATGTGGCGGGTATTGGATGGAGCGCGGAGAGTTTGGCGGGTTAAGGACTGGCATGTGCGCCAGGGCGCTGTGCGAATTGAAGACGTCATTGTTGTCGCTATTCGGAGAATTGCAGTTTGGAGATGTGTTGCTTGATCCGGAGACGGGCCTCGGGTGTGGGGATACACGTGACCGGTCTCGATCTATATGAACCCACCTATGAGGATCGACATTATCATAAACATCAAATATTGCCAAGCTTTCAGACTTGGAATTACACAAAAATATACCGTTTTATGGTGTTGGTGAGAGATCTTTCATTTATATCAGACTATATCCTAATTCGGAAGATCATTTCACAACGATCTTGTGAGAACCACCTCCAACGACAAATGTCGCCGTGCTATCCGCATACACCACATTTTTCTTCACTGAGGCACCATTGAGGGTAATCGAAGGCTTCTTAGACGAAGTGACATACGGAAGAGTAACATTTCCAGTGGTCCCCTTCGGAACCGAGAAATCCAATGTGTACCCAGCAGATGACTTAGTCCACGATGCTTGGAACTTTCCAAGATCAGTGACAAAGCCAGCCTCCGCGAACTCAAGGTCTCCAAATTGGGGGGAAAGATCCCAGGTCAGCCCTAACTGCGATGTAACCGAAAGACCAACAATGTAGTTCGTCAACGCGGATGTCGGACCAGACGACCAGCCGTGAGCGTGAGAGACGTATGAAGTATCATAATAGTATCCACGACTACCACGGTATCCGAATGTACCATTGACCAGATATCCCTCAATGACAGTCGACTCGGTTCCATTAGGATTGTTGATGTACCAGCCCCAGGTGCGACGAATGAGGTCCAAGGCCCTAGATGGCTTTTGAACGAGGAAGTGACTCTGAATCTCGAAGGAAGTTATGAAGGGACAGATATTGTCTGGTAGCTCGGGAGAATTGGGTCCGATTGGTGTCCAATTCTTCAGCAGGTTGTTGGAGATCTTTCCCGCACGGTCCGAGTCAACAACTCCAAATAGCACGGCCATACTATTGGCGTCTTGGGGGTGAAGGTCAGTGTCAGTCGCGTTGTCTTTGAATGCCCCGTAAGATTCATCCCAGCAGTAGGTGTTGATGGCTTCTTTCAGTTTCTCCGCGCGAGAGTCCCAGGTGCTGGAAAGACCTGTCGTATCTCCGGCCCAGGTGGCAAGGGATGATCCGGTTTTCAAGGTGTGGTAGAGACTATGAAGCAATCAGTCAGCGATATTCAGGAGAATGAGGGATAGACGAGCAAAGACAGATCGAGCGGTACGACTTACATCATCTGTGCTTCTGTGTTGTTATACCCCTGCTGCCAGCGAGCCCAGTCACGAATGCCAGTGACATCCAGGAGTCCACTGGCATAGGTCACCTTGCCATAAATGTAGTCCATAGCAAGCTGGTAGCCAGCCCAGTTCTCCAGCAAGAATTCCGTGTTGTTTGTGTACAAAACATAGTTGTAAGTACCGATCATAGACCACATATGATAAGTATCCGACCCAGTCTGGCTGAGCGGTGGTCCGGACTCATCAAAAGCACCTGTTGTTTTGTCCTACTCAAAATCGTTAGAAAAATTCAAATATCAGAGCAAAGCGTATTCACCTGAGTGTTGTACATGATCTGCAGTGCATTCATGACACTATCCAAATCGCCGAGACTAACCATTGTCGACGGAACAGCGATGCCCATATCACCAGGCCACACGGCACGATCGCGCTTAGCACCATCAACAATGATCGTGTCTCCGGGACCCAGAGTCCCGTTATTCAGCCATCCAGAAGTGACACCAGAGGTAATACGTCCAGTATCCACAGGAACCTGATTCGTTTGCAGAGTATATGCACCACTATACCAAATCCGATTCAGAAGCTCATCACTGCAGTGAAAGTAGCCCTGGTATGCCTGCAAATTTGACCACGTCGGGTGGAAAGCCAATTCAAGATCCATATCCTCAATCTTGACTGTTGACGCATCGTCCGTGATCAAGAAGAGGGTCAAATACCGGAATCCACCACGCAGCTTTGGGAGCGGCATCACATAAGAATGTGAGCCAGCGGACGTAAAATTGTCGTACAAACAACCATCATGCCACAGACTGTTTGAATCATCTGAGTTCTCTCCGATCCAGTTTAATGCTTCTGTGAAAGCGATTCCCAAAGCACCGCTGCCGGTGGAGGTGTATTCGATGTGCATGATGCCACCTACTTCTTTTCCGAAGTCGAACACGACAAGGGAGCCATTGCCATGGAGTGTTGCCGTCGCAGGTTTGGCGGAATTGGTAGTAGCGTCATTCTTCAGATCGGAGAGCGTTGACACAGGTTTAACTGTTCGAGAAGATGGCGCGTATATATTTTTATCCCAAACACCACTGAAGGCAGCTTTCGTGGGGCCGGAGCAGGTTGTATTTCGCCAGCATGTTTCTGCTTGGGCTGGGGAAGCAAGGGAGCAGACTCCCAGGAGGAGGTTAAGCCAAAATGCGTGACGCATATTGGATTTAATCAATGGGTGGTACACTTGATTCGTAACCTGCAGGGGAAAGACCTACTTCCAGTGCCTGCTACATATAGGTTTCCATTAGTTAGAAATAAAGGACGTGCGCAAATGCACGATAAAATTGCTCGGCATTTTCTAGCACGAAAGCTCAATCTCCGCACTTGTTTGTTTGTAGGTAATTGAGAAAAACATTCCGGCTTTGAGTCATTGGTGGGAAATTCGCCGTTTAAAAGAATCTAAGATCGGCGCACGAAGCACTCCGGTGGCTTTGGAAGCCCCGCGATTCCGGCAAGCGATATTAGTCCCTTGAAATCAATGTATCATTTCCCCGCAAATCTGCTTCTCCGCAAATTCCTCCGTCACTGCTCGGCACAAACATTACCGAGGGGGTAAGGGTCTGGAGGGCCCCATTGATAGTATGTGCATTTGACATGCCCTTATACGTCCCCCCCCCCCCCGATTGCTAGGTTGATTTATGGTAAGAAATATCTTGCAACTCTAGGTTTGCTTTGATTATATCCTCGAGAATATCATTCCAGAAGCTCTCAATGTGATTCTTTCCATTCAACCCAGTCAAGAATAGTGCAATGCTGCCAGTAGCTAGAAAAAGAACATACAGGTTGACTGCAAATTGTGAGGTACAAGTATATAAGCGACAGAGCATTTGGAAATCCAGTAGGTATAGATCATACCTCGCATGATTCGTCCGTGGCCACGTTTGCTAAATTTATAAAGAAACGAATTAGTACCGCCATTGCAGAGAAGCATAGGAAGTTCCGACACCTCTTCCGACACCCTTTGGATAAAACGAAGCCCAGATTGGTAGTCGTCAAGAACCAAGTCAGAAAAATCCAATTCGCCAATAGGGCTATTAATTTGGACTGTAGTGTCTGCTCTCAAGGCTACGATCGCCGCAACCCCTTCATCCTCGGGGCGGGTGCTGATGATCACACGCATCGTATTCAAGATCAAGCATTGCCGAGCAAACCCCCATCCATGCCCGGAGTCACCTCCCGTGCCGATCACTGATGTGCCAGCGAAGCTTGTCTCCTGCTTTTGTGGGGCTATTGACTTCATAATAATGGACGATTGGGCGCCTCGAGCGGCGGTCTGGCGTGGCAATGGAACGAGGGATGCTTACACAATGAGATGTTATATGCTCGGAGAAATTTTCTGTCTCGATCGTTCGTTGCGTGGGGGTTAGGGCAAAATATGACTCGGTGGTTGAGAACGCAATGTGGGGGAGGCAGCTAGGCCTAACAAGTCTAGACTTGCGCTCCACAACGTTCAAGGTTGTTGATGGCGAACCACATTTATAAATGTTTCAAGTTACCAGGCATGTTTCTTTAATGTGTCTCATTTAATAAAAGAGTAATACTAACCCTGATCAATTATATCAAATTTATCTTTTGTCCCGTTTGCCTGGATCAAGAGTGTTTCTTCTCCATAAGCCACCATCCACTCCCCCTCGCACCATTGCATCTCCTTTCTTTCCCAACACAACTTCGAGAGCTTGAATCAACGCATTCGAGTCGTATTGCATGCCAACAACAACTTCTTCATCTTTGTGCTTGGTAGTAACCTTCCGTCCGTATAGACGCAGTGTCTCAATCCCCATCTGAGCCAGCCTCTCCCTGTCAACTTGGGGGTTCCTGGTCCATCCAGGTGAAGAATATGCGTGACATAAGAAGTGTACGGGATCGCACTATATGGTCGAATAGTGGCCGGGGATGAAGCCGAGTCATGGACGCCTTGCAGTGGTGGAAACCTTTCAGGACGTCTCCCACGACTTTCTTCGCCGGCACGTGCAATAGCCTCGACGAAATCAGATGCCAAAAATGATTGAGATGGGGGACCGGTCTCTCGGTCTAATGAGCCGTTAAGGATAAGGATCTTGTGACGTGCCGGGCTGTTCACAATACTCTTTCCTACGCCGCGAAGGATAATAGCAGGAATGATAGAGGTATAAAGAGAGCCGATGCTGTATACAATAGCTTGTGCGTCATTCAGTGCTTCCAGAACGCGTGGGTTTGCCGGTGGTCGGATCTCTTGACCGTAGGGATTAATGTACCAAATACGGCTGATGCGACATGGTAATTCTTCGTTCTTGGTTTTGCTGAACGCGATGTTCTTATTTCGCAACGTGGCAAGGGAGCCAGGAAGATGATCTTCCTCGTATGAGACCGGGTCCGAAGTATCGGAGAGATCAGTGTCTTCGAGGTCATCCCCGTCAGCGAGGAGAAGACTGGGACGTCTAGCACTTTGGACATTCCCGAGTGCGGTTGCTTCACTCGGATGCGAAATGCTGTTCTGTCCAACAATCACAGTTCCGTCGATGAGGGTAGCAGATATATGGTGAGAAAAATTCGAGTTGATCGCCGGAATGACCCGTACAATATCTGACTGCACACCACATATACTCCCGAGAAGATAAATGGCGCTCTCAAAGCTCCCACTGAATATCCGCGCTCCGGTTAAAAACAGGTTGCCCACGCTAGCCGAGGTGAAGTCAAAAGTCGACGATGGTGGTCTGGCTCGTTTGAGAATCTCCAAATTCAACATGTTGAAGAAAGATCGAATTAACTCCTTCTTTGCCGGCGTGATAGAGATCCACAGGCCAGATGTGCCGTCCACGATGGAGAGCCATTCAAGGGATGCCGCAGCTGCTTCCGCGGGCAGACGATGATTAAACAGGGTCTTGATGGCCATCCGTTCTGGATTAACTGGTAAGTCCGGAATCAAGCGAACCAATCTACCTAATCAGCATTAGCAAAACTTGGTCGAATAGTGTCGCGTGCCAGTCGCTTACTTCGAACATCGCCAATGCCCGGCCCTCCAAATATCCTAATCAACTCGGAAGAGGAGCCTCCATTATCGCTGATGGGAATGATATAGCTTAGTGGGCAGTTTTTGCTGGCGCGGATTGCGTCGAACACGTCGACCAGATTGTTTGCCGCGCTTCCCCCAGAGATCACGGCGATTCCCCGGTTGAGCGTTGCAGCCATCGCGCCTTGGACACGCGACTGGTGTTTACTTGCAAGAATAGATTTTTCTGCGCTCCAGAGAGGCCGATTATGCAGTGATTGTAAGGTTGAAACTTGTTTTATTGCTGATGTTGTTGTTCCAGAATGTTTTGGTCGGCTTGTCGGACCCGAATGCGAGAATGACACATGTAAGTCTGGAACCGCCACCAATGCCACTCGGGATTGGACGCCTTTGCAGGCAACAACACCAAATTTTGGAAATGCATATCACCGAATGATCTTAGACAAGTATCCTTCGATTTCTGCTTTGATACTCAACGCCCCTCTTGGCTCTGAGCTCTCTTAGCAGAATTAAGCTTGGGTTGCTTACTGGTTACATAATCAAACCGGCTCACCGAGCCTCGCAATATATGAACCGCCTACATCAAGTAGGCTTCCAAGGTGATATACCCTTATATACCGTAGAACGCTAAATATATTCAAAGCCAATCCAATTGGACGTGATAAATAGCTAGGGTAGCTCCGATACCTAGTAAAAAGCGACCTAGGTCTTCCAAGGTATGCTTTGATATACATCCAAACATTCACGCATAAATCGAAGCCCAACCCAAGGCAGGTGGCGCACCCAGAGTATATAGGATTCAAAATGTGGAGGTTTCATCTTCACTAAAGTGAATATATCTGTTTGTGATTTGCAGTAAGAATTGGGGATAGATGATGGCTCATTGAGCATTGGCCTAGTTGCAAGAGGACACGAGCCGAGGCGACGGCCCGCAATGGAAACATGCAAACCATTCGTTTCCCGAAGATACGGTAGTTTCATATCATATAACTTTATAGAACGCTGTGCATGCATGATTTGTTCGCAGGCAAGGCTAGTGCTAGGATGATGCTTCCGCTTCGACTTCTTGACTCATCACGACTCATTTCATTGGCCACAGCGTCATTCTATGTATGTAAGCCAAACTATTTGATTTTTTGCTTATAATTCACCTCAGACAATTCTTGATACAGTACACATATTTCTCACCTCGCGTCCCCCAGCGACCATCCATGAGAATGACAAGTCAAAAGTCGATCCGCATTCGACCTGAAACAAAAAAGGATGAATCAGCAATCGAAGAAGTCACCTTAGCTGCTTTCATGAATGCCGAGCACTCAGACCACAACGAGCAAAACATCATTCGTGACTTAAGGGAAGCGAAACAGCTATCAGTCTCGCTAGTCGCAGAAGATGAACTTACACAAAGCATTGTGGGTCATGTCGCCATCTCACCCGTCAAAATTTCGGACGGCAGTGAGAATTGGTACGGGCTGGGACCAATCTCGGTTCTACCTCAGCATCAAGGAAATGGTATCGGGACATTGTTAGTCGAACACGTGATGGCAGATCTTAAAGCCGTCATGCAGCCGGGTGTATTGTGTTAGGAAGCCCGAAATACTATACGCGGTTTGGCAGAATCTTCTCTCCAACTACCTGGAGTGCCACAGGAATGTTTCATGGCTCTCAGTTTGCGCAAGCCAGTTCCTAATGGAACTGCATCGCATCACAAGGCGTTTGAGACACCGGCAACAGCACTTTGAATGAGGGTAAACTAAATAGATTACTATACTATAAGTACTGAGCTGTACACCAAATAAAATTGGCAATGTTATAGCGAAATAGAGGACGGTCTGTGATTATTAGTCTCCGTATGTCCCTATCGAAGTGCCTTGGTCCAATCTCACTCAATTACGTCCATATATTCATTTCAAATAACCACCTACGCATGATCAATTCAAATCTGAATCAGCAAAGAACTCTGATAATACTAACACTTAAACAGGTACTAATACATTAATATTACGGACATATAGAGCAGACAGCAGAGGTTCAATATGACCGAAAATTCATATTATGATCCTCCGAAATTCAAAACGCACCCCGTCTATATCTTCCACACCTCTAACTGTCCATCAAGTCATATTATTGATGACACCGCTGCTCTGGAGGAGCCTCAATTCTCATCTGTAGCCCGAGTATCCGGGTCTGATTCTGCAGTATTTTCTCCCATTGCTCAATGCGGGTCTCGCAGTCAAGAAGCCGGCCACGTATCTCCTCCTCATTCATTCGCTCAATGCGGATTTTCTTTTCCCACACTCTGGCCTCTAGAAACTCTGAAGCAGATGATCGAGGCCGCTTGGTAGGTATGTTACTGGAGCCATACCATGGCTCAGTTCTCATATGCCTCCCCAGATTGCTACTAGCTGCCAGTGGTTTCCGCTGGAAGTGAGACCTGAAGCCAAATTCGTACTGGCTAGGACTATGCTGTCTCGCATCAAAAGGAACTTTCTGCGTAACCGCGGAGTCCTGACAAGAACAGCTCACACTACCTGGGCTTCCAATAGTGGAAGTTTCACTAGATGCCGTGCGATGAAGCGGAGATGTATCTACTTCATCGCCGTTCTCTGAGACATATTCTTCTTCCTCTTCATCGAAGTCTTGAGCAGTTTGTATATTGCGTGGTCTGTGAATAAGTCAGAATTACAAAAAGTTGTAAATTGCACAGGAGGAATCCTACTCTCCAGAGCTTTCTTCGTCATCTTCAAAGCCCCTCCAAACTTGGTTATGGTCTATTTCAGCCTTTCGTCGGACAGTTGTAGCCGTAGCAGGGCGAGGCATCGGCTCCTGCCCCCGGCGAACCTGGCAAACAGTCTCATTACCTGAGAATGTCTGACTCCGTTGAGCCCCTGTGAAAGCAGGCACAGATTGATTCCTAAAATGACTGCGAGTGAGTAAATCCTGATCCCTAATCTCATGACCGTCCTCTTCACGACTTAATTTCGCCCTATTTGGGTGCGATCCAAAATGAACGCCTAGGTCCACAAGGTCGCCCATAGGAGTTCTAAAGTGCGTCTTTGTGTTCACAGGCCGCTTCATCAGAATTATCTGCATGGAAACAACTTCATAATCATCGCGACGAGCATTGCGAGGTTTAGAGGCCTTCTGTCGCTCCTTAGCATAGACGCAACTCCATTCAGCATCAGGATTGAGTGGTCGCTTCTCAGCAATCAGTTGATTGACGTGCGCCTGTCGAATCTCAGACAGAGACTGGTATTGCTGCGCTGCAGATATCTTATTTGCCCGCTTCTGTACCTTCTTGCAGAAATCTCTCTGTGACATGATCATTTTCGTGCGCTCAACTTTCGTCCAAGAAGCTTCTTGGCCTGGGATAGGGTCTGCTTTGAAAAACTTGTAGCCTTCGTATACGACTGTAATTGGTTCCGAAGCAGAGGTAAACCCTATATTTCACATGAACCAACATTTCTTTAGGGGAAGAGGCTGGGATTTGAAGTTGAGCGTATGCTTACCATCCGACGCATTGCGAGAGGATTGAGCTGAAGAATTCAAACCTTCCCCAATCGTATTGTCCATAAGACCTTCATTTTCCCAGAATGTCATTGTCTCGAGAGAAGATAAAGAGTGATAGTTACGCGCTTGTGCGATATTTTAGTTGGTATGAATTCTTAACAATAGTGAAGTTGTTGGGTGAAAAAAGAAGTCGAGACAGTCAAACCTTTTATATCTACACTGGAAGGCGGAGAACAAGGATTCGTTCAAAGACTTGAGGCTCCCTTGCACCCGGGTGCAACATGCACGGGTGGTGCACTCTGCGCTCTTATTGGTCATGATCACTGCAGCTGACTTATATAGTTTTGAGCCTCACCAACTCGATGGAATTTCCATGCATGCACCTGGGTAAAACATGCAAGGCTCCCGTCCCCTCAAGGGAGACCTGAAGTGGGGGCTAGAATGATTTAAAATAAATTCCTTCTAAATACAGGGTAGTCATCAGCCCTAGTCAGCCTTCGCACTACATTGGGCCTCCAGCGCAAAGCCTCGCGCACGGACCTCTGACTAGACGAGACAATCTAGAATGGGTGGTATCCAACCGGGTAATTATTGTGTAGATCCGTTGGTATCGTATAGCCTAGTCCTTCAGTGGCGCCATGGAGGCTCTGCAGATTTAGTTAAAATCAAAATCTGACATAGTTCGTTCAGTTGGCTTTCCTGTTGTAGATTCCTGCATTAATATAGGCCATCCTTTATATCATCATCTTGAGTCGCATACTTCATGAATGGATCTAAATCCTTGCTGGGGTGAGGCTTTGTTGTTAAATGGTCCATTATCACTTTCGTGGTAGATGAGTTGGACTTATTCATCTCGTTTATCTGCATTGGCCCCCAAATGCGGATCATCGGGTTTTGTATCCGGCATATTTTACCTAAACCATTGCCTCCTATACATGATGGCCGCGGCTAAGCGTACACGGATCACATTGTGGATATCCAGCAAAGCAAAATCAACCAAGCAAATTTCTAACGTGAAAGAAAAAGGCAAGGTATTGAAAGAAAATTGCTATTCGGCGATTGTGATCATGCCATTGAGTCGTACCTGTTCAAGACCATGAGGCTGTTGAACTCACAAATCCGCAAGAAAGCCCTGAAAATACTGGAAATATCCATATCCACCGCCTTTTTGTCACGGCTCAGGCTCGTCTCGCCATTAATTGTGAAATACGTGTTCCAGCAAGGAGGCGATGAATATGCCTTTAAATTTCACGATCTCTCTTCAAGAACCGAATGAGGTCTCCCCTTAAAATGCCTCCGCATATATGACTCAAAGAACCAGGTGATCAAAAGCGAATGCTGCCAGAATACATTTTGCACCCCGGTTGAACACGGCATACCCATACCGGCAACATCCGTTCTCGACGTGATACATGTACCGTGTTGAGTTAAGGGGTAATCCTTCTTCAACCTTCCTGGGAATACTTATAAGAATGCTAGTTGCTTCGCACTTGCGACTGTGAGGAAAATGTGGGATATGTGGGTTGGCGTAGAAGTGAGCCTCATTCTTGCTTGGCTCGGTTATGCATGTGCCAATCCAGAAGACATTCAAGTCTGTCCCGTACGGGGCTTTGGTAAATATAGCTCTGTCTCCTTGCATTGTGTGTAGAACGTGTGTGTATTTGGTAATATGGCTTTTGATGTTCACGTCCCAATCCGCATCATCTTCCAGCATTATTGCGTTTGAAGTGGAGCTTTCGACTACCCTCTGATTTCGATTGTAATTCGTACACATGCAAAATATAATGAGAGAATTGGGTAATGACTTTTGGAGTGCGTTCATATACGCACGCCATCTCTTGAAAATTGTAGGCTTTGTCGTTTACGGGTCTAGGCCCTAGGATGGGTCAGCAGGGTTCACCTGTTGGTTTACTTCATGTGTGTACTTTTGGTATCGCTTTCTCACTCAGGCTTTCTGGGTCCACGCCATCAAGCCACTCAACCTTGAACCATGACAAAGAGGCAGCCAAGGTGAGCAAGTCGTATTTGTCCGTGCGCTCTGGCTCTGGCAAGCCTATGGCATAGATGTGTTGGAACTAATCAGGTTGGATGTTGAGCACAACAAACAAGCTTCAATGTGGAGGAAATACGTACCCCCAGGTGCTTTATTGTGAATGTAATTGATTTCAATTCAAGAATAAGTACTACGAATGAAGAAAGGCAATTGCTTGGGCCATGAAATCTGTAAGTAGCCGCTGAGCAATATATAGAGGAAGATATATACGACTGAGCCTGCCAGCATTATTTGAAAAACTCTTTTGCCTTTAGGAACCATCAAATATTTAGTCATAGTATAATTGCCTTCACCTTAGTAGGAAGGTACTTCCAAGGTTTGATTCTATTACATTGTTCTAAAGTCACTTGGCTATATGAATGAATATGATCAGGCCGTTCCAATACATCTGTGAACCATTTACGATGAGATGGTATGCGAGCAATATGCATTTCCAAGGTTCTAGCAATCCCTAAATTATTCTTGCTTTTCTTGAAACTCATTTATATTTACCCCTCATCTCAAGTCTATATATGGATTATGATAAATATTAGAAAAAGAAGAAAAATGCATTGTCCAGTACGATACTAAACCAAATCTAATCTGATCCCACAGCCGGCCGTGCAGCACGCTCAGCCAAAGCCCGATTCTGCGCATTCCTCTTCGCAATGAACTCAGCAATATGCCCAGGAACCTCAGACACCCGATTTCCATCGCTAGGAACTGGCACCCCAAAGGTTTCATAAACAGGGATAACGCCTGTCCAAACACGGCCAGTAATATCATCTCTCTCGGTATCCTTACGCTCATCACCCGGTGGCCCACTCCTTATCTTTCCACTCCCATCAAAAACATTGACCCTCAAAATCACAGTCGACGACATTTCCGCCCGGTCGGGAGGAACTCGGGTGTTATCCCAGCGATCAGCGACCACTGAGTTAGTAATCAGCTTCATGGCCCAAAGCTTTTCCTCTTCATCCGTGACGAGCTTTGCATATCCATGCAAGACCACTGAGCGATAATTACAGCTGTGCGAGTTGGGGGTTAGAGACATGACTAACCCATCTACTTTGCTGCTTGCAATGCAGATGGGAAGTCCCTCGCCCTCGTTACTGCGTGCGAGATTCATGATCCTGGAGCTGACGTAGCCATGCAGGTAGCATTCCAGTGGCTCGTTGATGTCTGCGGATGGATATTGAAAGGAGCCCATTTGTCCGATCATGGGGAGTATCGTTGGGAATGGATCCTCAGGTCCTGGGTTGAAGGAGACATTGAGGACCTGGGATTCATTAATAATTGAATGGATTGCACCCAGATCGTATGTTGCTGTATTTAATTAGCCTTGTGTCTTGCTTTTGTTATTGGCGACTTACCTCGATTGTTGTATCGATTGACTGTGTTTGAGGAGCGCTTTGGGTATGCGAGTGTTCGTCCCATTGTGACTGGTGAAGTTGGTAATCAATGGCGATAAAAGATTGAAGCGACTTCTCACTGATGAGAATGTGAACAACACAGGAAGATCAACAGAGCTTTATAGTTTCGACTCCTGGTAAGGTTACTTTGCAAAAGGTAAGCCTTCACGTTGCTAGCGCCATCTTGGCAGTTCTTTTCAAGCCCATGTAGACATGAACGGGTTTCAGCGATGTAATTTTTATTGGGTTCAGATAGCAATACACATATTAAATGAATGAGTCAAGCGTTGCGTTCGATTCCCCGGTAATTCGGTGACCGTTCGGCGATACCCGTCTACTCAGGGCGCAGGAGAAGAGGAGAAAAGCAAATCGGCTCGCACTTATTGGTTCCCCGTGCCGACGCCCTATGACCGGTCCACGATAAAGTACACCGAATAATACAGGCCGTTTGAAGTCGTATGCTTCTACCCAAGCACTCGTCGAGGAAACATATCTCATTGTTTACTAGTCCATTACGTTTGCGCGGAATCATGTTCCTGATGGATTCCGAAAATGACTCAGAATCGAACCCGCAGTAAATTTAATTTTATTTACATTTAACATAGATATGACTACCAACAATTTTAGTAGCTTCGAGGCAAGTCCAACACCTTCTCACTGACGTAGTTCAAGATCATCTCCCGACTCACAGGCGCAATCCTGGGCACAAAGCATTCACGCATGTACCGCTCAACATCATACTCCATCGCATAACCCATACCACCATGAGCCAAGACCGCTCTTTCACAAGCCGTGAAAGCGGCTTCCGCTGCCAGATACTTAGCGCTGTTGCACGCGACACCAATAGAATGGAATGGGATCGAGCCATCGTTTGTATCATAGAGCCGAGCAGCATGGTATGTCGCAAGCTTCGCTGCCTCCAACTTCATATACGCATCAGCTAATGGATGTGATACACCCTGGTTCTGACCGATAGGACGGCCGAAGACCACACGCTCTTTAGCGTATTGCGCAGCTTTTTCTAGAGCAGCGTATCCGAGACCGAGGGCTTCGCCAGCCAGAAGACAACGCTCGGCATTCATACCGTGTAGAATGATCTTGAAGCCATCGTTCTCTTGACCGATGAGTGCGTTCGCGGGGATTTTGTAGTTATCGAAAAAGACTTCGTTTGCATCCACGGCGCGACCGCCCATTTTTTTGATTTTGCGAAGATCGAGTCCCGGTTGATCGCGGTTAAGGTCAATGCAAAACATTGATAGACCCTCTGTTGACTTTTTGACTTCCTCAAGCGGAGTTGTTCGAGCCAGGAGAATCATTTTCGACGCGACCTGCGCGCAGGTGATCCAGATCTTTTGACCTGTCACGGTGTATCCATCTGCTGTCTTTGTTGCTAGGGTCTTGAGCTTGAGGGTATCCAGTCCCGTATTTGGCTCTGTGACTCCGAAGCAAGTTCGCCATGTTCCATTAATAATGTTGGGAATTGTAGTCTCAAGTTGTTCTTGAGTACCGAATCTCGCTAGTGGCTGGGTGGCATATACGTTAGCGTGGATGGCCTGCGCTCCCGCCATGCCTGCGCCAGACTGTGTGATGGTCTGCATCATCATCGTAGCCTCAGATATACCTGATAGACATGGTCAGCCGTCGCAACTCATTTCAGCCTGGGTCGTACATACCTAAGCCCGCTCCACCCAGGGATTCCGGCAGGGCAATACCGAGCCAGCCGTCCTTTGCAAGCGCTGCATGGAATTCCTTGGGATCTTTCTCCTGTTGATCGCGTTCCTGCCAGTATGTATTTGGGAACTTGGAACAAACATTCTGAATAGCGTCTCGAACAGTGAGTTGTTCCTCAGTGAAACCGGACATCTCCATGAGCTCACATCGAGCCGAGGTGGAGAATGCTGCGCGTGTCAAGGGCAGACGAGTCATCGTCTGAACGGGCGGTACTACGCATCGCGACCGTAGGATATTTTGACAGCGTGATCGAAACATGATTGTTGTTATAGTGTTGTCTTTTGTGAGCTCGAAGCTTGGTATTTAAGGGCGCCATATCCGGGACCCACCATCCTCATACAGCCGACTCCAGGATCCTTACTCATCCCGATAGTATGTAGCCGAATTGCCGAGTTGCACACCATCAGACACTCGCCTTTTTGACCGCCCAGTATATGGCTGAAATCATTGTATCGGGCTCTTATTACCGCTTAGAGGATGAGGGCGAAATGTTTTTCCATTGCGGTTGCGATGATTGTCAAGCTGGAGGTCGGCTTGCCATTTGGCTATCCATTTCCCCTGTTTAGGCATAGCGCGCCCCAGATAAAGAAAGCCTAGCATGGAGATCGTTAGAACAGCTACACAATATGTTCTGCAGTATTCTTGATACATATCTTCAGGGATCAGGCAGCAGCTTTTTATGATTATGTATTATAATCCCTACAAGACGTTAAACCCGGTCGAATGTCAGACTCTCATTTCAGGATGACTTTCTAACAGTCTCCTATAGTATAGACCTCTAGTCCTGCCTATGTTCAATTGATTTTAGAGCGTACAATAGATTAATCGATGGACTAATGGGCTTTGGCGATAGGAAGAGGCTCGGATGCTGCCAGGCCATCAATTGCTTCGGTGACCGTGATCATTTAGGCCGTCATGTACATATTTCGTTAGGTTTTGCAAGGCAATATGGTTATATTTGTGATACTTATCCGCAGTAGTGCGAAACATCGGTATGCAATTGACAAATGTGAGAAGAAGAAAAGAACCCCAAATTAAAAAAAAAAAAAAAAAATCCGACTTGTCCAAGTATACGCTATGCATTTAGTCTGCTCACTCCACAAAGGTGGAGGGGTTCGCCCAATCCAGCGGTCTATATTCACTCCATGTCCATCATTGGTATCGTGTTCCATGGTGATGTCTCCTCAACGGGTTCTTCGGAGACACATCGATCGCATTTGCAGGTAAAACGGAACGAGTTTTTGAGATGTTGACGGCGTGTGGTAAGGTCGGTATGTTGCGTCAGGTCAAAATACGATATACAGCATTCCTCACCCTTATTGATGTCCCGGGATGCAGTAAAAACCATTCGGCCTTGGTCATCGGCCTTGTGAATGATCTAATAAGGACGATTAGTACGACTTCACTGACAATTATGACATCTTGAACGACTTACATTTGGCAAACATGAGTGGTTTGCGATTGCCGCCGTGGGATATACAGCCGCGGCAAACTGCTCTCCCCTATCGACGAAGGGGGTGGGAATGGGGAAAACACCGGTCTCTCTTGGGTAGAGACCAAAGGAATTTGCCTCTTCTTGGCATATAAGATGAAGGATGCGGTCTGTACTTAATCCATGCGGCAAGATTGTGCTGCTTTGGAGATACTTCTTCGCCAAAGTGGACCAATTCCGAACTCGATCGTGTGACCATGTCTCGACAGAACCGCATAGCATGTTGATACCGTCCCAGCCGTGTTTCGACACCGGAGGGAAAGGGTTGCTTCCATTGATGGCTGATGGATTTTGTATTTCGACTTGGCGAGTGGCAAGGAGACGGATGATCAACCACAACATACCAAATTCATATTCACCTCGTTTGGATCGAATTGGCTTCGAATACCTCTTCAACCATGTGCATTCGAATGCATGGCGAACTTGATCCAGATCTCTGCATGTAGTCCCACACCACGCGACATCATCTATGCAAGCACTCGGACACGAAAGCCGTTCCGTGCCAAGTACAACCCGACGATTACAAGCCGGATAGCTGCAAATAAGATTCTCGTTGGTTGCCGGTTCATCAACAACCGGAATAGCTGCGTAGGGACGGTCGACAAGAAGACAGGTGCCTTTGGGAATATGGTCCGAAACCCGGAACTGCCGACCCTTGACCGGATCGATAGAGTCAATTAAGTGTGGATGAATCCAGTAGGGTTGCGTTGGGGCTCCATGTAACTGGATTGATGGTTCAACAGTGATATATACAACTTCGGACATGGCGCATAAGGATTGGACCCACGAAGTATACGCTGGGGGCTTGTAGGTGGTGGTTTTACGGTTGGTTGGATTTTGAAATCAGCCGGCAAAATCTTTTTTTCTTCTGATTTTCTGCTTTTCGGAGAATCGTCAGGGTGATTTTGTTTGGTCTTGGTGGGTTAGTGGGGCGGATTCTTGCCATCGCGAACCGGATTCAACCAATACCGTGGGAGTATTTGCCCCCGAGGTGAGGTTATTCCAAGCGACTCCGGTTGATTGGCGGCAATGCATTTTGCATGACAATTGGGGTTTTTGATTGGTTTATCGGACTTTTTCGCCTCAAACCCATATGTATCGAGAAGCTTGAATCTTGATCATCTGGATCTCTAGCTGTACTATCTATGGGAAATCTCCTCAATTGCAGCAGGGAATGGGTGCGGCTGCCGATAGACGCCACAAAAAAAAAATTGGATCCCGAAACGCAAAAAAAAAATTAAAAATAAACAAGAACAATTGACAAGTTGCTAAAACACCTTATTCGGTCATATGTCTAATGCGTATAGCTGAGTGGCCAGTTACCTTTCCCCTAGACAAAAACCTGACTGGTAATAGCGTACAAGTTCCCACGATCATTTGAACGCGTGATGGCATGCGTACGCCTTATGAAAACAACGATGAGTCAAAGAAGCGAATCAGAAAGAGAAATGGACCAATGCATAGGTGGAGAAAAGAAGATCTGCATCGGAAGAGAAGCTTCTATGTTCGGCACTAGGCCCAAAAGGGGTTCATCAACAATGGTATTGGTCTTCTACCATATTGTACAGTCTGTAGAGGCTATAAGCCTATAAACCTGACAGGCCCCAACACATCTGTTGACTACCATATGTATCCTATACAGTTTCCCAGATGCTTAGCTCGTTATCCGGGCCATGACCGCAAGTTGCGATCGCCAAGTAATATAGAATTCTTAGTGTGTAGTACTTTGGACCGATACCTCCATGGATCCGACGGTAGAAGAGTAACACTCCCCTTGATAACGCAGGCCTTGTAGTATTTTCACATCCAGCTTATCAAGGCCTTGGAATATCTGCGAAGTTTCTTTTCCGACTCTCTGTGTTTCTTAATTTCATGCCCCACGTTTATCAGCTAGCAGCTATTCCTTCTTACCACATGCAGTGGCCACAACGTACGTTGCGCCGCCGTCCATTTTTCTACGTAGAATGCCTGAATACTTCGAGGCCTGAAAAATATTCTCCAGTATTTATCTAACACTGATCAGATAAGGGGGTTGGTTATACGTCAGCACTGACATAAATTCATGGCGTGATTCCGGGGAAATTGATGCCATGCACAAACCCCTCATCGCACCCTCCCATAACCCCTCAAAACGGCTAGAGTGCCATTTCATAGACCTCTCTTGATGATAAATACATACATGGATTGTACTTGTCTATTGTTCGTGATAAGACGCCATTGTGTACCAGGTTGCATCATCTGCATGTCGGATATTTAGAATCGGAAATCCTCCGGATAAGCAAATATAAGAACAAATTATCTCTCCGGGATAGAGGGGGATTTGGTATGTGAGAAAAGTGAGAAAGTTTCCAAACAAAGACAAAATGCCGACAGAATTCATCAGCCTTACTTTCCCCAATGCTTCAACGGAGCTAAATCCAATCCCGAATGCGGTGATTGAACCTGAGTACTTGAAACGGTACGCCCGCTCCTTGGATGACTATGACTTCAATTACACCTTGGTCCCATACGACTCCTCGTACTTCGACCCCTTCACAGTTGGAGCCACCATCGCATCCGTCACCAAAAACCTGAAGGTGATTATCGCCCTTCGCCCAAACACACTTTACCCCACCGTCGCAGCCAAAGCCCTGGCAACCCTGGATCAACTCAGCAACGGTCGGGCAGTCGTACACTTCATCGCGGGTGGAAGTGACGCCGAGCAAGCCAAAGAAGGAGACTTCCTCAACAAAGAACAGCGTTATGCGCGTCTGGAGGAGTATATCCTCATTCTGCGTCGCGCGTGGGAATCTGCCGACCCATTTGACTGGGATGGGGAATACTATCAATTCAAGCAGTTCAGCAATAAAGTGCGACCAGTCAACGGTACCATTCCCGTCTCCGTCGGTGGATCCTCCGATGAAGCCTACCGCATCGGTGGCTCTCTAGCAGACATCTTCGGGCTATGGGGCGAGCCACTGAAGGAGACCAAGGAACAAATTGACCGGATCTACGCCGAGGCAGATAAGGCAGGACGTGTCCCAAATGATCGTCCACGGATCTGGGTTACTTTCCGTCCTATCGTTGCGGAAACTGATGAACTTGCTTGGATTAAGGCGCACAAGACCTTGGATGCTTTGACTACACACCGCGCGAATGGGCAGGGTAAAGCGCCTGCCAATGCACCACCTCCTCAGAATGTGGGATCCCAGCGATTGCTGGATATTGCTAAGCGTGGTGAAGTCCAGGATCGTGCTCTCTGGTATCCAACTGTCACTGCCACTAATGCTCGTGGCGCTTCGACTGCGTTGGTCGGATCTTACCAGACTATTGTTGATTCTATTTTGGATTATGTTGATCTTGGTGCTGAGCTTATATCTATTCGCGGTTATGATAACCTCAACGACGCTATTGACTATGGACGCTATGTATTGCCTGGGGTCCGTGGAGAACTGGAGAAGCGGGGAAATGGTGCGGTTTGAAATATTGAATGATAATATAGGCAACTTCAAATGTTAGTATGAAAATATATATACCATACTTTTCAATGTCAGCTCTCTTGCTCTCTATATATGGATAAGGGTCAAACAGCAGATTGAATATTCATAGGTACCAGAGTCAGTTAAACATGGAGATAAACATATGAGGTAGAAGAAAACTGCAGAGTAAAAGCAAGAGAGAGTCGATTGTACCCAGAGGATCTCTCTCAATCGCAATCTCAATGAAGTCCGACAATTTGGAAATCCATGCGAATCCTCGTGTAGTTTCGCTAGTCTTATCACATTCTACATTTCAGATTTCGTTGGAAAATTATCCACCCCTTAGTTCGAAAGACACATCCATTTCACTCATTGTACACTTGATTCGAGCTAGATATTCTCCAGCTGCACATGCGAACCGGAAAAAAAGTAAATCACACCACGCCGTACCCCTATGGGCGTCTATATCGTGATTTTAAGGCACTACGTGGATGCGAAAGTATCTTCGTACAGGGCTGCACGTGCAGCTGTTGGGATATCATTCGGCACAGCAGTGGTTGCTCGGTATAAGGGCTCCCTAGAAAACCAAAAGGTCATGACTGCATAAAGCGCTACTTGTGCAATGGCAGGGATTTCTGTATTCAAGAAGCGGAGGAAGATGAGTTCAGGATGAACCTATTGGCTATAACGTTCGTTATTAAGGGTATTTCCTGTCATTGGTGGATGAAACGGTAGTAAGGCATCACGTATAACGGCAGAGAAGTATTGACCATTGACTCTTGAGTAGGTCAAGTAAGTTTGGTGCGACGTGACGTTGAGTCCAGAACACATTGATAGATAAAGAACAAGTACAATGATAAGATGAACAAGCCCCGACTAGAGCAGAGATCTTAGGGAATCAGTCAGACCTTTCCAAGTTGCCTCCTTTTGTATAGAATCGTTTGGGTCCCGAGCGCGCTCTTCTCGTGACTCCGCGTTAACGTGACAGAATCAGTGCCCCGCCAAACTTAGTCCCTTTTGATGACAAGGCTCCGGAAGCGGGTCCTTTTTCTATGAGTTACAGGATTGGTTATGATGAACAAGGGTCTACGTATGTTTGATACTTAGAAGGCTCAATTATGCATTGCAGATCTACGCTAGAAGATAAATCAATTGAGGGAAAGCGGGGAAATGGGCTACTGCATATAAGCAGGCCACCACTATAGAATCCATCTTTGACATCTTTCTATTCTCACCACCTTGCTGTCAAAATTCAAGAGCTAGCCAGCGAGCTGAGCGAATCGTGCCTACCGTACGCGTTCCATATCTTTCCGACTTCACGCGTGCGTTTATATTAGTGATTCCCTGGACCAATCGTGCACAATATCGACCGATGTCGACTATTTTCTCACTTACAGCTGGTTCTATAGGGCTAAGTGGCTTGAAGTTGGTGGTTGAAGACTGATTCTTCGTGATTTAAGGGGCAAATCACGAAGAGCGCCATTTGACTGAGACGAGAGTGACACTAACATGATTCGTTCGAGAAATATAAACAACATATTTTGTCTATAGTGTGTTGAGTAATGTCGACGGGTTGTCACTCAAGGTTGTCAAAAATAGTGAGACGTTCGCATTCGCGTGGATAAGCTTTTAAATTGGAGTAGACCCACGCCACCAGAATCCATAGTGAGTTAGATCGCGTACGAAGTGTAGATATGTTAGTCAAAATTTACTATACATCGTAGATGCACACCATCATACGCAATAAGATATGAATGGTGTTGGGGACTCTGACGGGGCAATAGGAGATAGCAGCTTCCAAGGTTTACAGTAAGGAGTACTCCTACACACTCACTCTTACTTGTTCTCACTTTTCAGTTTGCCCCACCCATCTTCTTAGCTCCTATTCTTCACCGATGCAAGGTTTAATTTCGATAAAGCACAATAAGTCATCTTAATTACTCTTTCACTCCCACTCCCCATGGTACAACGACAAATGGCCGCAAAAGAAATCCACGAGAGGACAAAGCTCTCCTTGGTGTGGCAGATCATAATAATTCGTGTTCAGGGGAGGATGGAGTAGGAAATGATCTTCCCGATTTGACAGGTACCGAGAGGAACGCGACACAACATGGGATCATCAAACGCCATGCGCCATCGCGACGCCTTTTTGTTTCACCATGACCAAGTAATTCTACTCGCCCTGCTCTATAATAAAGTCATGACCACGACGTAAGAACTCGCGTTCGTTGCTGGGGGCGCTCGATAAGTGGGTCGTAAAGCACCGATATGAGCTTAACCAATTATGAGAAACTGTGCCTCTCGGACCCACAACCCGGCAAATAATTATTGCAGCGTGCAGACCCATGGTTTACTGCAAAGTCAATGATCAAAAAAAGAATTGTCGCATAAGCCATTCTGTCAGTGCATGGCCGAGTCTTCCGAGACAGGGTGGTCAGCATGAAGGAACATGATATAGCAGTCACTGTGCTCTGTAAACCCGAAATAAAACACTAGTCCCACGATTCCATCAGTCCATAGTGGGCCACGATGCCGCTGACGTACGACCGTTGCGCAACTTTGCAAGCAAAACCATCATCCTTTTCGTCGTCCATGGGCCACACCTCGCGTATCTCCAATCAGATCATGCGATTGGAAGAAAAAAAATTCTAGACTACACACGCTAGATTCCCCCATCTGTCTTAACACCGAGGTGTCTTTTTTTATCTACCGCAATGGATCTTTAAGGCCTTGGCAGTTATTTTCTTAGCAGGGCTGGCGATCATCAAGTCCCTCGTAAATCGATCGCCGCATTAATTCGCACTTGTCAACGCTGCGCAGAACACGCGGCATTCCCCCCGTATGTGCTAGCGCATGTCATTTGTCCATTCGCTAAATTGATAACCCGTGTCAATCCTGAACTCTTCCTTTCAATTTCCCATTCTGACTCTTGACTTTCGACGAATTCGGGGAAGCTAAGCTACGCGCAATGGGTACTCCTGGCTCGGCATCCCCCGCTCCCTCTCACAAATCCGACTACTTCCATTCGCAGCATGGGAGGGACAACAGTCAGAGTACTAGCACGCTGTCATTTGATGTAGGTGCTTTTCAACCGGACAACGAGGAGTAGAAATGACCATCGCGACACAAAATAAGCTAACGCGGTGATTGCGCCACATGTAGCAGAAATTCAACCATGACATTAGAGAAGAGCAAATAGGAACTCCAGGGACTCCAGGAACCCGACAATCCTATTACGGCAATGAAGCAGGAACTCGGCAATCGTTTTACGGCAATGGGGGTCCCGTACAGCGCCGATCATTCGCGCAAACATTTGCGCAGGGAGTACGTCGCTATCCCACGCGAAAAATTAAGCTTGTGCAAGGTTATGTCTTGAGTGCGGATTACCCGGTGCCAAGCGCAATTCAAAATGCGATGGAAAAGAAATATCGAGACACAGAAGAATTTGCCGAGGAGTTCTCTCATATGCGATGTGAGTCTTCCACCCGCGACCTGGATTTCTTAGACTAATTGCCCAGACACTGCCGCGACTTGTGATCCCGATGAATTCGTTATGCGCAATGGTTACAACCTCCGTCCCGCTATGTACAGTCGGCATACCGAGTTGATGATTGGTATTACCTGCAAGAGTGAGAACAAGGTTCTTACAGCACGGACCTTGCATGGAGTTATGCAGAACATTCGCGACATTACTAGTCTCAGAAAGTCCGAGTTTTGGAATAAGGGTGGACCGGCTTGGCAAAAGATCGTTTGTTGTTTGGTTTTCGATGGAATCGACCCTTGCGACAAGAACACCTTGGATGTGTTAGCGACTATTGGTGTTTACCAGGAGGGTATTATGAAAAAATCCGTTGATGGCCGAGAGACTGTAGCACATATCGTGAGTGGATCTTCCTATATCAAACAACCCTGACTTACACGCGCAGTTTGAATACACCACACAGCTTTCGGTTACCCCGGATCAACAGTTGGTTCGACCACAGGGAGAAGAAGCGACAAATTTTCCGCCAGTGCAGATGATCCTGTGCTTAAAGCAGCAAACCAGCAATAAAATCAACTCTCACCGTTGGCTGTTTAACGGCTTTTGTCGGATGTTGAATCCGGAGGTGGTCGTCCTTCTCGATGCAGGTACAAAGCCCGACAAGAGAGCTTTGCTCAGCTTGTGGCAAGCATTCTACAACAACGAGAATCTCGGTGGATCCTGTGGTGAAACCCGTGCTTTGCGCGATAACCGAACTATGATCAACCCGTTCGTCGCGGCCCAGACCTTCGAATATATGAGATCCAATATCCTCGATAAACCATTGGAAAGTGTGTTTGGCCACGTTTCCCTAGGCGCATTCTCGGCATACCGATACCGAGCTATCATGGGCCGCCCATTGGAACAGTACTTCAACGGAGATATTGTTCTCACAAAGAAGCTTGGTAAAAAGGGTATTGAGGGGATGAGCATTTTCAAGAAGAATATGTTCCTTGCTGGAGATCGCATCTTGTCCTTTGAGTTGGTTGCCAAGGCTGGATCGAAGTGGCATTTGTCTTTTGTCAAGTCGGCGAAAAGCGAAGCTGAGGTTCCGAAGGACTTTACGGATATCATTAACCAGCGACGACAATGGTTGAACGGTTCCTTGGCTGCGAATATTTACGCTCTGATTCATTCTACTCGCATTTTGAGGAGTCGGCATAATCCCCTTAGATTGATGCTCTTCTATCTGCAAATTATTTATGATTTCGCGCACTTTGTCTTGGTCTGGTTCTCAATCGGTATGTGTTTTTGGCTCATAAGTCGCGTCTCATTACTAACTCTCTTAGCGTCATTCTGGATAATCTGTACGGCCCTTATGGACCTCGTGGGAACCTCAGGTTCATGGAATAATGGCTCAGCATGGCCCTTTGGCAATGAAGCGTCTCCGATCGTACATACGTTTTTTAAATACTTTTACGTCGTTTTCCTGCTCCTGCAATTCATTTTGTCTCTCGGAAATCGACCTAAAGGGTAAGTTTTGCATAAGCTTTGACCAGAGACACTTATACTAATACGTTTCAGTTCCCGTCTACTCTACCTCCTAACCTTCATGTACTTCGCCTTCATCCAGCTCTATGTGACAGTGCTGGCCTTCTACGTCGTCGGCAACAACACAAACGGTAACTTCAATCTCGAGCTGGACGAAAACGCCATCCAAGCAGAGACATGGAATGCCTCAGCATCAAACATGGTTCTGATCGGTATCGTCTGCACCTACGGTGTTCACATCGCCGCCAGTCTCCTCTACATGGACCCTTGGCACGTACTTACATCCTCCTGGGCTTACTACGCCGGAACCATTTGCACAACGAACATCATGATGGTATACGCCTTCTGCAACTGGCACGATGTTTCCCTCGGCACACCAGTGAAAGAAAAAGCACAGATCCTCCCCGAAGCGCAGATTAAGAAAGAAGGAAAATCCAGGGTCATTGAAGAAGTGGACCGTCCGCAGATCGACATCGACTCCTCGTTCGAGATAACGGTCAAGCGAGCCCTTGCTCCATTTGAGGCACCACCAGAGGAAAAAGACAAGAGTATGGATGATTCTTACAAGTTTTTCCGAACGAATCTCGTGGTGTTGTGGGCGTTCAGTAACATCATTTTGGTTCTTGTTATGGACGCCACGGGTATCAGCAGGTTCTGTCTTATGGATGGGCCTAGCACTCGTGCTTGGAGCTTCATTATGGCTGTTGTTTGGGGAACTGTTGGTCTATCACTTTTCCGATTTGCTGGGTCGCTTTGGTTCCTGGCGCAATCTGGTGTTCTCAGCTGCTTCAATAAGCGTTAAGAGTTTCTCTTTTTCGTTTTCGTTAGATTTTTCTTTTGTCATTTATTGAGGTAGATACCCTTCTTCATGTACATGTAACGATGATGAATTTCAAAAGTCCCACACTTCTAACATCTGTTGTTGCCCAGGTGCATGCACTGCGGCGGAGATATATTTCCGGAGAATGTGCTCGGTGCGTTCCGAAGAGATCGCCAAGACTGTCATGGATCGGTGACCATGGGTTTACCTCCGCAACAATCTCTCACTTGCTATCTAGAATTGTCCCAAGCCCAAATGGACTATGTACATGCCCCAAGGTCCCTCAATTTGAATCTATATTCTACAATTCGCAGTAAATACTACGAATTTCTGGGGAGATTCGATTCGAGCAACTCACATCCCGCTTACGTCACCGGGTCAACAACACGGTCGCGCTACGCAACACAAGAATGTGAGATGCCCCGATCATCTCGGTATGCCACGCAGAGCCCGAAGCAAGGAGCTCTTTAATCAGGCATGGCAGCCCCGATGCGAATTATTCAGCTTTGCCCTTTTGGGTCCCGCAGCGTGATGAGTTCTCTTGCCCAGGCGTTTCACCTTGTCTTGGGACCTGACCTTGCCGAGCCATGGCGTTTCATATTGACCATAGGCGCGAGCTAGCTGCTTCACCACACCATTCTCGCTATCGTGAAACACATCCTGACCAGTGAAGAATGAGAAATCGCTTCCACTTGTGTGCATTCGGGCCAGACCACCGAGGTCCCGAATATGCCACTTTCCAGGGGGCGCCAATAGGCTCTAGGGTCCAGGTCTTCACTTTCCCTAGTGGAGATAAGCAGGACAAATATGGGACACAGCAGTGGATTGCAAAATACCTAAATGCCATTCACGCGCCGCATCTTTGCCGTGGCGACTCCATACATTCTTTCTTCTCCCTTTCTGGACTTTTGTTGACAACTGGATTGTCACTCATTCCTTGTTTTAACCTTTTTGTCGGTCTTTCTATTCCAGTAGATGGCTTAAACCATTTGCATCCCTTCTTTTATCTTCATCGGCTGTTGTGACCACACTTTCGTTAGTTTCTCAGACAAAACGAGGATCTCATTGTGTTGCCGTTGTTTAATACTTCGAGCAAGATGAAGACCTCATCACTCTCGCTCAGCGCTGGTTCGCTGCTTCTTATGTCCCTTCTCTCGCCCGCAGTCGCCAGTCAATATGAACTGGTTGAGTCATGGCAGGGCGAGGAGTTCTTCGACTACTTCCATTTCTACACCGGAGCCGACCCGACAAATGGATGGGTCACCTATCTTGACCAGGCCAAGGCAGAAAGCTCAGGTCTGGTAAAGGTCACGGATTCGGGTAGCGTTTACATTGGTGTGGATCATACGACTACCCTCAGCACGAGTGGCAGCGGACGTGACTCAGTGCGGGTCGGCACCACGAAGTACTACGAACACTCCTTGGTCGTTGCTGATATTGCGCATATGCCTGGCAGTGTCTGTGGTTCCTGGCCTGCGTTCTGGACGGTCGGTAAGGAATGGCCACAAGATGGTGAGATTGATATCATCGAAGGTGTCAACCTCCAAGATCACAACGAGATTGTCATGCACACCGCTGGTACTTGTGCTTTGACTGATACGGGCATGTCCGGCACTGTCAATGCAACTGGATGCGGCGAGGAACTTGGAACTGTGGGGTGCGTTATCGAGGGACAAACGGGTAGCTACGGTACTTCGTTCAACAATAATGGGGGTGGTGTGTACGCCATGGAGTGGACCGAGGAGTTCGTTAAGATCTGGTTCTTCCCACGCAAATCCATTCCGGCTTCCATTACCAAGGGTGAGCCCGATGTCAGCGAGTTTGGCACCCCGATGGCGCTGGTCCAGGATGGCTGTGATGTTGCAACCAGTTTCAAGGCGCAATCGTTCGTTTTTGATGTGACTTTCTGTGGTGACTGGGCTGGTGGCGTGTTCGGGGAATCTGGTTGCCCCATGACTAGCTCCGACTCTTTCACAAGCTGCACCAACTTTGTCGCACAGAACCCTGCCAAGTTCAAGGAGACCTACTGGGAGATCAACTCGGTCAAGGTCTACCAGACTGGGGTGAAGAGCACAGCCTCGGCTGCTTCGCATAGCTCTGCTACTCACGAGGCAACTCAAGTGGCTGCTACGCATCATAAAGCGACTAATGCTGCCACCGAGAGCCGTATAGTTGAAGTTTCCCAGGCTTCGAATTCGGAGGCCAGCCACTCAGTCGAGAGCGCTACTCATGCGTCAGTCATTATCCAATCAACTCCTACCGCCGCTGCCTCTGAAGTCGCTACTGAAGCATCCGGGGAAGAATCGCAAGCCTCGACGCACGCGAAGCCCGCCGCCACCCGATACGTTACAGAGTATGTCACCGGTACTACGACCGTTTGCACTTCGACCGAAGGTTCGACCGATGCCGCCGCCAACGCTGTTGTTTCTTCCCACGCCTCGCATGTCGCTCAGGTACCGGCAACCACTCAATCAACTTCATCCTTCGAGATTGAACCCCCAGCTGGAGCTGGATGGAAAACCTCGACTGAGGCAGCATCTGGACAGCCTACCACCTCCAGTGCTCCCACCACTCCTGCCCGCCATGCCGCACCTTCCGGAACCCCGGCGGCCCAGTCGCCCCCTGCCCACACACCAAGTGGCGCTGATGCCGCTTCTATCAACGAGGCCAGCCCTCGCCCACCTCCTAGCAAGACAACGTCTACCGCCTCACACCAGAAGCCCACTGCTGGTCCTGGTGGCGACTCAGCCGTGAAGCCTTTGTCAACGCTTTCAAAGCCGGTCATTCCCAAGCCTTCGGGCGATTCTGCGGCGTCCACTAGCGGTTACCAGGTTTACCCTGGTGCTTCGAACTCTGCAAGCAGCCCTGTCTTTACCGGCGCCGCTGATAGATTTGCTGTTGGATATCCCATGATCGCCGCTGCGTTCGGCCTTGCTCTTGTCGCATAGAATTCTTTTTCTCGCTTGGGGGGCTGATATTGTGATATTCCAGGAGTTATTTGTTCTTCTTCGTTTCTGCATGTATTATATGCTATTTCAGCTCGTTCGAAAATTGCGAGTGCAATTCAGTTCCTTTAGATATTATATGGTGCTAGGAAGCCTAGTTTATTGTGTTTAGGATAGATAGAAGAAGAAATTACTTTTGTGTCTACTTGACATTATTGTTTCTCCAGTAATGTAAAAGTTGTTAGATCTCTTCACTTCCAAGGTTGGTATTACTTAAAGCTTACTTTCATCTCACGTGGACGTCGTCTTTGTTCTTTTCACACTTCAACTTTTCTCTCACTTAAACCTTACTCCTTATATACATCTTCAATGATGACCCCAGTCAGCAAAAAGATACTATAAATTAATATTTCCTCCATTTCTTTTCTTCTCCTTTCTATATTCCCCTGTACCACAAGCTATCTGCACTTCCCTTTTGGCAAAAGGAGAGGTTATCAATCACATTGGCTACCCCCACCATTTCAACTGGCTGGGCCAAGCTGTGATGCAGCACAGTAGCACGCTTCCAAAGGAGTCCCGGGCAACTATGCGACTCTTACTCTCACTTCGCTGGTTTTTACAAGTTGAAACCCCTGAGAATCCAAGATATGTCGTTCGGTCTTGGTAGGCCATGTTAAGGCAATTACGGGTTTCCTCTGAGTTGGGTTTCCTCAACGATTGTCTACCAGCAATCATCCATGATTGTGACCAGTCAAGAAATCGGCTCCCACTACTTCGAGATTATCCTTTTCCTCCGAGTTGAGCTTTCTCAAAGATTATCCACTAGCAATCGTGTCTGATTTCGACGAGTCTACGACTCCCACTTCTACTACTTCGCCATCATCTTTATCCTCCGAATGGGTTCTTCTTTCCACGATGAACAATCATCTATGCTTGGTCGCAATCGTCAAAGGGCGCCCACTCCCCCACCATCTTCATGATTCTTCTCCGAGCTGGATCCCCCTGTTGACATCTCAATCCTGACCGAAAAGGGTACAGCAAAGCATCTATTGAAGGACTCCAAGACACAATATACGGCGGCCAATGCCTATGGATATCCTGTATAGGAGACCAGAGAAATGGCATGCAGGTGCGCATGACTTTCATGACATCGTTTGCAGGCCTCTAGACTAACTCGCCTAGTCAACAACGATGCGCCGAGTCGAGACTCGAACCCAGAAGTCTTTTCAGCATTCCAGTGCCCTCTCAGATGCGGCGCAGAAAATGGTGAATCGCAATATCTCGCAGGTTGTCCATATTATGCAAATCAGCATATGCTTTTGAGGATTTCACGCAGGGGTCTTTGGCAGAATCTCCCGCTAGGCGTTAAACTAAACCAATCAAACTTCGCAGATTCTATGCATGCTGTATATCAAGTTTGCGACATGCAAGCTGATCTTGAGGTCAATCCGATTGCCCGGCATGGTCAGTGGTGGCTTTGCACCAAAAGAATGAACTATTAGATCTACAGAGCCTATTGCGGCGCTAAACCAGAGCAAGCTCTTCGGTTATATTCTCCCTAAATTTCTTCCATGACCATGTCATACTTTCCACCGGTCTACTGATTGTATTCACTGCGACCTTCTGTGTCATACCCGATTTTCAACGAAGGTCAGAGCTAGGGAATGATTCAAGTTTATTAAGCTTAAGGTTGCCACCGAACCATATGATTCGATCGCGGCGAAACGACTTTTCGCCGGGCCAAAATGATTCTTTACCGATTCCGTTGCCACCGCCCTCATAAATGCCGAGATGTATGTTTTTTGAAATATTCCACTAATTCTTCAATCACTCTCATTCATCTCAGACTCATGGAATAGAAAGCAACATGTCACTCACTTATGCGACGGTTCCAGTCAAAGTCCATGGCGTGAGCCTTAACCTGTCAACAATTCACTGTCTCAAATCTGAACCTCCTATTCTATTCCTGCACGGATTCGGCTCCTGTAAGGAGGATCTAGCTGATTTACAACTTCATCCAGACTTGGAGCAACATGGCTTTATCGCATTCGATGCGCCGGGCTGCGGGCAATCAGAAAGTGATCAGCCATCGGCAACAGACATTCCTTTTCTCGTTGCCACAGCAGAAGCACTCCTGGTGCACTTTAATATAACTCAATTTCACTTGATGGGTCACTCAATGGGCGGGCTCACTGCACTTCTTCTCGCACACCACCATCCAGACCGAGTCCTGAGCTTTGTTGATATCAAGGGCAATCTTGCACCTGAAGATTGTTTCCTTAGTCGCCAGATCTTCACCTTTCACTCGGATGACCCGGAAGAATTCTTCGACCTATTTATTGACCGGACTCGAAAGGCGCCATCTTTTGCTAGTCCTTTATACTCCAGTACCCTTCGCGCGCGAGTGCGTGTCGAGGCGGTACGACCGATCTTTGAGTCGATGGTCCGCTTGTCAGATGAGGAGGATCTGTTGGGAATGTTCCTTGGACTACCGTGCCCAAAGATGTTTATGTTTGGATGGGAGAACCGGGGACTGTCTTATCTGCCGCGGTTGAAGGAAGGGGGCGTTGAGTTGGCGGAGATCTCGAAGAGTGGGCACTTTCCAATGTACTCCAACCCTGTTGAGATGTACATGCGGATGTCGGTATTTCTGAACAAAATTCGCCCCAACTAAGCCAACAAAATGTTTGTATATACCTTGCCTTGGGATAGAAGATAGATATGATTCCAAAAACTTTTACTACAGAGCCCAATGCCCTAAGAAAAACACCTGGGCATCTTTGAGTATTCTGAGATACATCGTCAGCCAGTTTCTTTGCAGATTCGCCGTCTGACAATCACCTCAATCCTTCTTCGAGATAGTTAGTCAGTATTTAATCCAATAGAAAGAGGTAGGCGATATGGAGGAATGCATGCCATGAGTCATGGAAATCAAGAATCATCTACGTTAATATTGTGTTTCAACTCATACATATTTATTAGCAGCGCCGGGGAGTTTTCACCTCGCAGCCGATTTCGCTTAGTCACATATCGGTGACATTGTCGGTTCCCGACTCGAGACTCGAAGATCAAACGATTCCATAAGAAGCAAGTGTCCTGCAGTTTCGATTGCTTTGTATTGCCTGAAAGACTTTTTTTTCCTTTTGTTCTGTTTGGTTGCGTTGTGTAGGTCCCTCTCAACGGTTCAGGAGGCCATGGTTGGACTATATGACTATATGGCAAGGCCTACGCACCGCACGAAGAGAGAGGGTAAGGCTCTGCAAAGCACGTCCAAAGCTCCGATGGAAAGGTGGCCGGCCATCTTTGGTCTCGAGAAGGGTCATTGTCGGCTTCATTTACTCATACTCTAGGTGTCATCCAATTTCGTTAAGCTGCCTCCATGTTCAGTATTTAAACACCATCATTATAAACACGGTTCACTATCGTCGCCACTACGGAATCTAAGAATCCTTTCATTTCTCTCGATGCAATCATAGCTCATCCTTCCCACTCTCTTCACTCCTGCTGAAAGTTGGAGCCGTCTTCTTCACCATAGCCGCCAAGATATCGATAATCAAATCCGCAGCCGCAACAGATGTCGTCTCAGCAGTCGAATCATAAGGCGGACTAACCTCAACAACATCCGCTCCGACCAGGTTCAGTCCCTCCAAGCCACTGATATACCGCTTAAGCTCACGAGTGGTCCAGCCACCAGATTCGGGCGTGCCAGTAGCTGGCGCAATACTCGGATCCAAAACTGCCAAGCTGTCAGCACAACTTCAAAAATTTGGTCACGGAACCAACATACCATCAATATCAATTGAAAGATAAACCGGGTTATCACCCACAACATCCAACGTTCTCTTCACAATCCCCGCAACACCGATCTCATCGATCTCCCGCGCCTCAATCCGATGGAATCCAACATTATCATCAATCTCATAGTCTCTCACACCAAACAACTTCGTCCTCAATCCACCATGCACACTAGCACCTTTGTTGATACACCCCTCTCGACTAGCATGCCAAAAGAACGTCCCATGTGTAATAGCACTTTGCTCCGACGCAATACCTGTATACCCCTCATACGGATCCCAAGTATCCAGATGCGAATCCAGATGAATAACAGAAATAGGTCCGTAAACACTCTTCAATGATCGCAGAATGGGTAACACAATGGAATGGTCCCCGCCCAGACTGATGATTCGGGGATGTTCCCACCCACTGTTTGTATCGCTTGTAGGGTGGTAGAGGACTTGTCTATATCCTTGCTCCATCTGCTTGAACGCGTGAGCCGCGTCGAAGGGTGTTATGGGGACGTCACCGCAGTCTATGATGGACAGGCCTTCTTCGAAGGGATCGATACCCCATACTGGGTTGTAGCTTCGACCTTTCTTTTCGCGAGAGGAGCCGGCGCGGATTCCTCGAGGTCCGAAGCGGGCACCGGGGCGGTAGGATGTGGATGTATCGTAGGGGAAGCCTAGGATTGCGATGTCGAGGGGCTGTGGTTGTTAGTTTGGGCTTGTTTTGTGGAAGAGATGTTGCGAACGTTTGAGTGGTCTGCTGCTAGACAGCGTTGCCATTCGAGATGGGCGAATGTGACAGGCTGGGAGAATGGAAGGTCTTTGTCGAGATCTGTTGTTTGTTTCAGACAAATTTAGTACATGTTGGGTTTCAAAGTTCATTTTATGATGGCTAGGACTATAGATTGAGTATATACCTTCGATAGGATGCCCATAGTCGCCCACATTGAGGGCAGAGACAATTGGGAGGATGGGCAGTAGGGATTGAGAGATCTTCATGTTGGAAGAACAGCCTTGCAAATCAATTCATTGCAAGTTGTCTCTTGACTTGTCACTTTATAGTAGCTTGACTCCGTGCGGGGCCCTTATCGGCTTCGCTGGCTCTTGCCTTGATAACGCGATCCCCGCATTGTTATGTAATAGACAGTGGAGCTTATCGATAATTTAAGAGGAAGGAACCAGCGAGGTATCTATTATTAATATTCGCTTGTAGTATTCCGGACCTAGAACATGAGCCTTGGTGTTTGTTTTTGGGATAGGGAAAAGAGCTTCTTCATCCGCAGTACCTTGGCATTTACGGAAAGCATTTTCAAGGTTTCGACGATAGACAATAAAAATTCGCTCTGTATTGAGGTATAACTCAAATGGCTAGCATACAGAAGGAAATCAATCCCAGCTAAACCCACCCAACGCTTCACTCAGGTGGCGTCTCCTGAAACAACTTCAAAATATGCTCATTGCCACAAGCAGCAGCCACATCCAAACATGTCCGCTGTTGAGCATCTTCAAGCATAGGATCCAAGCCCAAGCCTGTCAAAAATTTGAACCAGCTCACAACTTTCTCAATCGGCACTGCCATCGCTTCCTCACTTCGCGTAATACCTCTGGGACGAATTATTCGGCCAGCCAAAACATGAAGCAGCGACGACCCCACATTATTAAGTACAAAGAAATCAGCTCCAGCTTCCTTGAAAAATCGCAAGTGGTGGATGTCGTCAAGTTTCTCGTTTGCTTCTTTGATAAAACCCATCCAAAACCCACCTCCCAGCGGGCCGTGTGCGATATACTCGAAGAGTGGGGAATCGCCCTTTTTGTTGCGTGCGTTAATGTCCACACCAAGACCTCGAAATTGTTCAATGCGTTTTTTGTAGGTAAGGGGGTCTTTAGCAAAGACGTGAAGGGCGGTGTTCCCATTCGAGTCCGGGATGAGCGGGTCGGCGCCGTGTTCGAGCAGTAGGTCGATGTGATCAAGGTATATCTCCTGTGCTTTCAGGACGTAATGGAGTGGAGTATCACCAGCTATGTCAGGCGTGTGGACTAACTTTGGTGTCTTACTGAAAACAGCCTTGAGGCACTTGTGATTTGTCTCGTTGGGCTTATGTCCCATGAGATTGTGGGCAATTGTTTTGCCTGTTTGATCCTGGGCGGTAACGTCTGCTCCGCGGGTGAGAAGTTCTTCAAGTTGGTTTATCCGGCCTCGAGAAGCCGCAAGAAGCAACGTTTGGCCACTGGCATCGCGTACTTCAAGCTGAAGGGATGGGAGGTCAAGTAGTGGCTTGGCGACCCGGCCATTCTGCAAAATTTCATGAATGACAGTGCATGTTACGGATTTCCACTCTGATTCTGGACCGCTTTCGCTTTCGGTGTCATGTTTGAATGATTTGTCATTGATCCGATGAAGCTTGATAAAGGTGGCATATGGATCTGCACCATTGCGCAGCAGCGCTGTCATCATGCGTATTCGGGAAGGGGTAAGATCGTTCTCGTTCAGGCGGTTATTACGAACTTTGCAAATTGCCGCATGAAACAAAGGGTAGATCTCACTATCTGGAATGTTGAATCCCTCTAAAAGTCTTTCGGGCTTTTCAGTAGCAGGTCGCCTCAAATTAGCGACTTTACCCTGTGCGAGGTAAAGTTCAAGTAATTCAACCTGCTGGAGCTCGATGGCGGAGAATATGGCTGCTGGGGAGACCTTAGCACCGTATGATAAGAGCAACTTGATCTGACTACTATCAGTACCAGCCTTTGACAAGCATGACTCCCCATGGTAGTTCACGGCGTTGACATCAGCACCTCCATCCAGGAGGTTTTGAACAGCCTGTTTGTAGAAGACGCCCTTGTACCTATCTTGCTCTACCGCAATATGCAATGGGGTGTCCCCACTTTCATTGCGCACCTCTAGATCAGCCCCCTTGCGGATCAGGTAAGGCAGTGCCTCATGTACATTCCACCAAGTCTTGCCCTCGGCAATCTTATGTAGAACGCTGTTACCTGATACGTGTTCGCTCCGCTTGCCATTGCTGACGAAGATCTTCTGCCTGCTCGTTGCACTAATATTGATGCCCATTTCCTCAACCAGAAAACGGACCACTGCCATGTTCGGGATTCTTTGATCACACGCGACCATAAGAAGCGGTTGTATGGTGTTTTCGTGCATATGAGTAGAAGTCTCTGCTTGGTTGCACCACTCATGGTCATCGAATTTTAATGCGTCCTCACGGGTACAAACACGCTTGAGGACATTTGACAAACCAGTTTGCGCAAGGACGTGTAGGATGGAAGCGCCGCAACGTGCACTGAGCCGGTTAAGTTCGAGAACGTTCATCTGCGATAATTCTTGTTCCACCATTTGATATTGACGGAGACTCAGTAGCTTAGCTACGTAGGAAGCTCGTGAAAAACGAGTAAACTCATCTTCTTTTCCTTTCTGACTGCTGTTTTTGATAACTTCCTGCCTCAAAGACGTCTTTTCATTTTCCAGACGAGACTTGGAGGCAGCGAAAAGCTCACCATCTGGCCCTTCCAGAAGATTGGCATTGGGAAGAAAACAGGACTGTAACTCCAAAAGACTTTCGGCGGTATAGTCACGTTGATTGAACACAGCGGCATGAAATGCATCACGGAGGGAGCTCTCATTCCCGGTGATCTTTGCCCCGTGAAGAACCAAAGAATGGAGAATTTCGTCCAGACGGGATGAGTCCGGGTTCAACCCCATACCATGCCCACGCCACTGCAATGCTTCACCAGGATCAGCAGTCGGTGGCAGATCATGGCCGCCGAGAAAGATACTGGCTGCTCTTTTAGCTTTAGTGCTTTCCTTTTTGGCATCTTTCGTTTCAACAATTCTTCTCCAGCGTGATTGCTCAACTTCAAACTCAACACATGCCCTGAGGGGCATGAAGCCATCTCGGCCCGGCAGATTAGGATCTGCGCCGGCATCTAGTAGCAAATCCACACTTTCAGGACGACCGACGCAGCAAGCATAGTGAAGCGCTGTATTTCCCTCTGCGCTTTTCTGATTGATAAACCCCTTGAACGCGGCATCTTCCAGGTTAGCAAGTCTTGAAAGAACCAGGCCAATAATACCAGGCTGCCGGGCCCGAGCTGCAACATGAAGTACCGTCATGCCTTCTTTTGTGGTGCCGAAAGGATCCGCCCCAGCATCAAGAAGTTTAAACACATAATCTTCAGAGATAGCGGCTGCAATATGCAATGGCTGAACTCCATCAATATCGCAAGGATTCAAATTCTTGCATTCATGGATGACATAGTCAAAAGCAGTCTTCTCCGAAGGCTTCCACCTAGATAGCCTGGGCTCCCTCGCGCACATCTTGTGTAATACCGTCTTGCCACGAGTATTGGGCTCGTCAATATCTACCCCCAACTCCTTGAGATAGATGTATATTGGCAGTTTGTCACAGTTTGATTTCTTCGATGCGGCCGCATGGAATAGTGTGTTTCCTTTATTGTCAGCAATAGAAGGATGGAAATCCATACGAGGTATCAGATAGTCCAAACAACTAGTACTTAGAACAGCTTGGTGTAACAAAGTCCTGCCCTTGTTGTCCCGTGTGTCAAGTCGCGCGCCTAAGTCAATCAAGGTACTAGAAAGTAGATCTTTGCCATCACTTGCGCTGTTGAGTGCGACGTTCTTAAAAAGAGCTGTCTGGCCTTCCAAATCTCGGATCTCAAGGTCTGCACCAGCTTTGACGAGCTTGGAGACCGCTTCGAACTTTGGAGATTGCCTCATTAAATGTAGCGGTGTCTCACCTCTCAAATTTTGCATATTCGGATCAGCACCTGCTAAAAGTAAAGCATCCACGACATTGTCCACAGAATTAATTCTCGGTTTCCCAAAAAGCACATGTAATGCGCGATTCCCATCTGGTCTCGCCTTATTGACATCTTGCTTGTACTTTAAGATCTCAAGGGCTCGCTCGGGATGATGGCTCTCAAGCCGAAGGTAGAGAGGATTTCCTTTTACTTTCATCATCATCTCGTTGACATCGACATACCCTGATTCTAACAGTAAAGGTATCAATTCCTTGTCCGTGGACCCATCACTGTGTAATATCGTGTGCCCGAGGTCAGTTTCTGCGCTTGGGTCTGCACCTGCATTCAATAGCAGTTTCACGACCTCTATGTTGTTTAGACAGGCAAGATGCAAGGCAGTTTCACCACCTGGGGCCTTCAAATGAAGATTCGCACCAGCTTCTAGAAGAAGCGAAACACAATTTTTCGATTTTGGACCGTGAAACATTCGCTTGTTGATTCCGCAAAGAGCATGCAGAGCAGTGTATCCCCTCGCTTCAAGAGTCTGCTTCGGCTCTCGAAATCGCATCATACTTTGCATGCCCCCGTAGTCATCCGAACGATAATCGCAGAGAATGTTGGGGTCAGCCCCTGCTTTTAGAAGTACCTTTATTGTTTTCATGTCACCGCGTTTGCAGCACGCTTTGAATAGCGGGGTCTCTCCGAAGTACTTGGAGTTCACGTCCACGCCTGGCCTTTGAAGAATCAGATTCACACAGGCCGCCTGCCCTGCTCCTGCCGACCATAAAAGGCCTCGGAGTAAAGTATCGGAATCGTTGATGTGAGACAAAAATTCAACCACCGTGTCGGTCTGTCCATTTGTGCAAGCATACATCCAAGGGGTATGACCCATGGATGTTGGTGCGTTGCCACACCAATTGCCTGGTTCACGTTTTGTTTTTGGCGTGAGTGGATCAACACCGGCCGCGAGCAAAACCCTGACAACATCAGCGCGGTTGTGGCTAGCAGCTTTATGAAGGGGTTTGTATCCTTCGTTTGCCTCTCCATCTGGATCTGCCCCATTCTCAATAAGAATCTGCACAACATCCGCATGGCCACTTAGAGCTGCCCAGTAGAGAGGAGGATCGCCGTGATGGCTCTTGGCGTTTGGGTCGGCACCACCTTCATGAATTAAATGGCTAGCGTATTGAGACAATCCAGTGCGAGCTGCGACGTGGAGCGGAGTGAGGCCTTGAATGAAGTTCTCTGGCCAGTCGATATCTAGCCAGGCAACAAATCTCTGATTGTCCGCGACGAAGCTGTCTATATTCTTATAGAATGATGACATGTCTACACCAGCGAGCGTTGCGCGGCGGGCATGGATGTACCAGTTAGCAGCCGCATATTCGAGGAACGGAAATTGAAGCCTGGTGCCACTTTGCTGAGCCTTTTTGGGGTGGTAAAACTCGTCCTCCTTGCTGCGTTTTTTGATTTCTAGTTTGTCTAGGCAGCCAGACGTAAGATAGTCCATGCATGCTTCGGCAAGACGCTTGTTGGTTGGACCGGCCTCTAGGATAGGGTAGCTCGAATCATACAGTGGCTTTTCGCGAGTGAATCCTTTGAGAAACTCAGTAAATGAATGATGGACAACAGAGACAGTCTCATCATGATGGATCTGCAGTAGCGGGCCACAAGTAGCTCGAACCAGGTTTTTGATCCCTTTCAAACTGCAATCTTCGAATTTAAATGGCTCATGGGTAGCTTTAGCCATCTCAGCGACTTCCAGTAGGCGAAGAGGTCGAGTTGCATGTGTGATCAATTGCAAGATAAGTAGCTGGAATTCATTTGGGACAGTTGATCTTGTCGCATGCTCACGCAATAGATTGTTGTACATCACGTTCAGGTCCGCAGGTAATGTTTCGAGTACTACCTGAGGATCAGCTCCAGGCCTGACGAAGGCATCCATTGACAGCCTTGCATATAAAAAGAGTCCATTTGCCCGACCAGGAACAGCTTCAGTGACCAGATGCCAGTAATCGTGCGGAACAGATGAATTTCGCAATCTGTACTGCACATAGGCAGCAATGTCCTTGTCCACGAGTCGTTCATCCAATTGAATATGAGGTATATGAAAGGGTCGTAGAGGAGATTCAATCGCAACGACTGGGCGTGAGGTGATGAGAACTTTAACACTTTCAAGGCGCCACTGTCCTAGTTCGGCCAAGGAGTGGAGAAACCCATCATTGCCTTGATCCATCTCGTCCAAGGCGTCGATGACACAGTAGACCTTAGGAAAGACGGATAGAGCAAACTTGAGGTCCTTCCAGAGGTCGCTCAGAGCCAAAGTATTAATAGGGCGCTTCTTTTGTAGGTATTCATCTCTCAGTCTGACCTGCAAGGGAGGACTGAAGGGGAGTAACTGGCATAGCCAGTCCCGTAGCACGGCTACCGGCTGATGATTTGCATCAATAATCTGTCGGAAGAAGAAATATAGGACTGGGACCTCTTCTTTGCACAGCTGATGAATTATCGAGGCGGCCATAACAGACTTTCCCGAGCCGGGTACGCCTTTGATCCAGATAAGGCCATTCTCGTTGCCTTGGTGCCACTGTTTGTATGTGCTTGTGGATATGAGCCACTGACCGGTCCCCTGGAGGTACGACGCTAGATGTCTTGAGAACTCAGACCTCTCTAGATCATAGGGGGTGGGCTGCAGCCAATTTCTGATATTTTGGAGTTCGTCTGCTGGTAGAGGAAGGATGTTTTCTTTGTTGAAATCACGGATATCGCCTGGTCCAACCAGGACTGCCGAGTCCTCGGAGTCTGATAGCGACATGCTGGACAAGATCTTGAGTAATCTGATGGTTGTCCTCCTTGTAATAAATTGAGAGGTGGAGATGGAGGTGGGGGCTGACTCTCCTGATCTTCGGAAGCCACGGGGTCTTAGGTGCCGATGCTTTGACCTTCGATGGCTCTAGGCAGCATTCGCGGAATATCGGGATCCCCAATTTTTGTAAACCAAAATCGAATACCTCTAGGCTCCAGAAATAGAACGATAAGGGGGAGTAAGCGGTGAGGTTTACTTTATCAAGGTTGTCCTGTTTATTTTTTTCTGAGTGCTTGGTCACAAGGTCTCAGAAGGTTATTTCACGTATCTGAAATTACAAATGAAGTGTCCATCAGGCATAACCAAAGTGTCAATCTATTGCTTCTTTGTGAGATCAACATAGACAATTGGCATATTCGACAATTGGGGATCAGAACTTTATTTGATTTTAATTATTTGCGGGGCAAGGGTCGGCCCTTTTCCCTTGAGGCTATTTCCGCCTAGTTCTTACTCACAACAAGCATTCTCTAAATAAACTTGCCTTGCCACGTATAGAGCTTAGGCATACCGAAAAGTGTGTACTTCTGACTCTACATTCGTGATCTGAAAGTTTATGGCGTTGATCTTCCCTCCACCTCACCCTCAAGGGTCCACGCGATTCCCTCCGGGAGAACAGTTATACCACTATAGATCATTGCCTTGCCTATTTTCCTATCCCTATTGTATCAATTTATCTATTTTGATTGTACTAATTCTGACATCCGACAGAACTTTGTAACGTATATTCATAAGCCAATAGGAGTTTAATTTAATTTGGGTTCCGGCCCTGCAGGCGCCTGCCGGGCACACGGATAAGATAAGATATGCCGCGGGGCTATCTCGTGTCAACAATATTGAATGGCGAATAGTATGAATATTCTACAGTGAAGTTTACTTGCATTTCTGTATTTAGCAGCTCATATCAGTGACTTGTATACGGCTATAATGCAAGTACAGCAGCTTATTGACACTGAGGGCCACCGTCTGATGATGTCAGCTCATGCGATTTCGCCATCGCGGGAAGCGGGAAAAGCGGCGCATCGAGAAACTTTTTTTTCTTCGTGAATGACTCAATCGCGGCGACATCAATTGGCATTTTTAAGGCCCTTGGCTTCGACGTTCTTCCACACTTGACCCCGGATACCGAATAGGTATCACTGGTATATATTAGAGTGTTATCCACTGCGATGTCAGACATCCTACCATCATCCCGGGCTGATGAGGTGCAAAGCGTAAGTGACTCGATCTAAGAGCAGAAGCTTTCATATTCTACCAGCCCTCGGCTTTGAAGAAGTGTCAGCGTTCAAGAAGCTAACTCAATCGAATACAGCTCCTCAAAGCCGTCGAAGACCTCCTCATTCCCTTCATTCGATCTGCAGACGAACCCGCATACCAACCCCAAAAGAACGGAATCAATGGACACAGCACACCGACTGGAACTACACTAGTGGATTATAAGAAGCCCGAGGATCTCCGCGAGATCCTGCAGCTGGAAATTCCGGAGCAAGGCAGACGTCAAGAGGGACTGATCGAGGTTCTGCAGAAGGTCCTCCAGTACTCGGTCAACACCTGGCACCAGGGCTTCCTGGACAAGCTATATGCTTCCACTAACGCCCCCGGTGTTGCAGCCGAGCTGATTCTCGCCACCTTGAATACCAATGTGCACGTTTACCAGGTCTCGCCTGCCTTGACGGTCATCGAGAAATACACCGGCCAGCGTTTAGCGAACCTCTTTGGCCTGAAAGGACCACGTGCAGGAGGTATCTCGGTTCAGGGTGGCTCGGCATCGAATACCACCTCGATCGTGATCGCACGTAACAACTTGTACCCCGATACAAAGAAGGAGGGTAATGGAGGCTACCGGTTCGTGCTTTTCACCAGCGCACATGGTCATTACAGCGTTGAGAAGGCCGCTCAGATGCTAGGATTCGGTAGCAGTGCTGTTTGGCAAGTTCCTATTGACAAGCAGGGACGAATGATTCCTTCGGAACTGGAAAGGTTGGTACAGAAAGCTCAAAGCGAGGGTCGGACACCGTTCTATGTGAATGCTACCGCAGGAACAACCGTTTTGGGTTCATTTGATCCTTTCAACGAGATTGCGGCCATCTGCCAGAAGTATAATTTGTGGTTCCACATTGATGGATCCTGGGGTGGATCTTTTGTTTTCTCCGAAAAGCAGATTCACAAGCTGTCTGGCTCCGAGAAGGCGGACAGCATTACGATCAATCCACACAAGATGCTTGGTGCACCAGTGACCTGCTCTTTCCTGTTGGCTTCGGATATGCGTCAGTTCCACCGTGCCAATACCCTTCCAGCGGGCTATCTGTTCCACAATGCGGATACAGAAGCCACGAATGGCGACTCTCACGAGTCTGAGATCGAAGTCGACTCGCCTGAAGTGTGGGACCTTGCTGATCTCACACTTCAATGTGGTCGCCGGGCCGACTCGTTGAAGCTGTTCTTGGGATGGACATACTATGGAAGTGAGGGATATGCGCAGCAAATTGACTCTGCATGCGAGGTCGCTGCGCACCTTGCCACGATCGTGGAGAAGAACCCGAACTTCATCTTGGTGAGCGAGAATGCTCCCCCTTGTCTGCAAGTCTGCTTCTACTATGCCCCTGGTAAGCAGTTTGTCTACCAGCGCGGAGTTGCGTCGGATGAAACACAACGGGGGAATAGTAACAGCAAGATTACCGAGGATATCACACATGCCATTGTTCGCAAGGGCTTCATGGTTGACTTTGCTCCACCCAGTGGAGATGAGGATGCGGTTGGAAATGGCAAGTTTTTCCGCTGTGTGGTGAATGTTTTGACCAGCAAAGAGACAGTTGAGTCTCTTGTCGCTGCTATCGAGGAAACTGGTCCGGGTATCATTGAGTCCTTGAAGGCCTAATGACCGCGATGTTACACGGAAGCAACGGTGAGCACAGTCCCGTGACTGGCCATGCATACTCCTGAACTTATGTATTAGCCGTATATAGATATAGACATCTCCTTGAACGATTTTGAATGACTATAGATTTCTCTTGTTGCAGCTTTTATTCCATTCTTTTAATGTGCCATTTAATTTACGAATCAACACAATATCTCCAACGAGTTTAGACCTAGGAACCCCGAGTCCATCATCAAAAAGACTCAATGGCATGATTCATCGTATTCGTATAATAAAGAGAATCAAAATATCAAAGCACAGACATGGTATCATAAAAATCACATAGAAGCCGAGAAATAGCCCTCAGCCTGCTCAATCTTCTGCACAGCCGTCTTGTAACCCTCAACCTCCTGCAACCGCTCAGCATAAGAAGCGAGCAGAGGATACTTCTCACGTGTCTTTGGATCCTTTAGCACACGTCCACTAGCAGCAATAGCCGGGAAACTCAGCAGGATATCAGCAGCGGTCAGGTCCTTTCCACAAATCCATGGACCACCTCCGGGTGCGGTCTTAAGCTGATCCTCAAGGAAAGCAAGGTTGCCCTCGATATTCCGGTTAAGGAATGAAGATTCAACCTGCGAAGCGACGAGACCGGTAATGGGGCGAATGAAGAACGGAGGGGAGTTGCGGATAGCTGCGAGCATGGGTTAGCTACACCCACGGATTTTTGCTGTTCAGGTTGGGAGGAGAGCTAAAATGCCCGTCTGCCCGTTGTACGACTTACTATCGTTCACAAGACTCATAACCAAGTAAGGCATCAAACTTCCTTCGACGTAGTGCATGAAATAGCGGTATCGCATGAACTCCTCAGTCTCACCACCGACTTGTCCCTCCTTGCCAGCAACGTAGCGCTCCGGGACCAGAGATGGGTTGGCCTTTCCGAAGTGGTCGCAGAGGTAATCGACGATTGCACCCGACTCGGCGAGGACCATGGGGGACGTGGATCCGGGGGCTTCGATTGTGATAACGGGCGACTTGCCGAGGGGGTGGACCTTCTTCAGCTCGGCTGGGGCGAGCTTGTCGGCGCGGCGTTTGAAAGTCTTCAGTTCATACTTGAGTTTGAGTTCCTCCAGCAGCCAGAGGATGCGGTGGCTTCGAGATTGTTCGAGCCTAGCTTGGGTTAGTGGCGGAGCTTGGGAAAATGCAGATCGCGACGTACCAGTATAGGGTAATCTTGCAGCCTTGGTTGTTATCTGTCATTTTGATGTACTAGAGCGAAATTTCTTCGGTGTAATTGTTCGGTATAGCGGGGAAGGCTGAGGGGATGGTGGTGTATTTAAATCCTTTTTGTAAGCTTGGACTTGAGTGGATGATGTCAATGGCCGAGGCACGATTGCACTGGACTGATAAGGTTAAAGGGCCGAGATCTGCAGATCGTTCATGTGAAGCGACACATTTGTTGGGGTTCGCAATTTCAACCCTTTTAGTCTGGTCTTTTGGGTCTAGAGGCAGCTCTAATTATTAATTAATTTCAGTTACCAGGGCACGGTTCCTGCATTGATCCCATTCTCTCTGCACTCCGCAATTTTCAGTGGGACCGAGTTCGCTGCCTTATGTTTCTGGCAACAATGTTGGAGCTGCCTTAGCTACGCTTCGCAACAAGATGCTTACAATGATCATACATAAATACGTTTGTGCAATATTTGAAAAGCTCGGATTGACTTTGACATAAGCAAAATGAATGATCCGTAATTATATACATATGTCCACCAGCGCCTAGACCCTAATTCAAACGCTCGGCTCATATAGCAATACAACAAAAGCGATTAGGAACCCAACTCAAGCCTGATAAACAGCAAAATTGTTAAACTCCCAGTAGGCCTCCTCAAAGCTAGACGGGTTGTTAGCCACAAAGTCCGGACACCTCCCCGGACAATTGTACATCTTCTCATAAAACTGCGTCTGATCCGCCAACTGCCCACAAAGATCAATATTCACAATGATACTCTGATTCCTAAAGTGTGACGCAATATCACACTCCGTACTGGGAAAATCGGCCAGCGCAGTGCCCCAAGTCGACGGATCAGGGATCTGAGATGGATCCGTAATATCGCCTGGGATGAAACCACGGGGAAAGAACCAGGCACGGACACCATCGTCCCGAAGTTCAAGTGCATAGACTCCGCCGCCCTCTGCGTTCATTGCTTGTCCGTATGTGGAGGGATCACCGACAACGCCGCAGCCTGAGTTGCTGTTCGTGATGTTTTCGCAGTTGGAGAAGACGGGGTTTCCTGTCTGCTTGCGCTTGACGTCCATTTTGCATCCTTTTGTTGAGTGGAGGGTGACTTCATTGCCGTGGGCGCCTTCGTTGGTTGTTTCTAGGATGTCGATTTCTCCGTTCATGGGCCAGTTGTAGCCATCTGTTAACCACAGCGCGGGCCATGTTCCGCAGCCGTAGGGGGTGTGGATGATGTCGAAGATGAAGAGACCGTTGTCGTATGTTGACTTGGATTCGATGCGCACGGAATTTCGGCCTGCAAGGGCCTTTGGTGTTAGAGAGTCGACTCGCAGGATTGCAGAGGTCTCCGTGGCGTATGTGAGGTTGAGACTTTGGGCTGTTCGCTCGTTTACGTATCTATAGTTATGTTAGTCAAGGTGTGACGGTGAGGGAAAGAATATGGAATCTTACACCACAAAGCCATCAGTGGGATCGTCGTCTGTGAAGTAGTGGAACTGATCAAAGAACGAGGTGCCTTGGTATCTATCGACTAGTCGATAGTTCAAGGGCAAGTACTTCGGGTATCGGTTTGCCCTAACGCCAAGGACAGAACCAACAATGACCACAATGATGACTACCAAGATGCTAATACCCGATAGTGATTGAGTAAGTGGTGACCATCCTCGTGGATCATACCACGGGAGTACAGGTGGTTTAGGCCTGTCTGATTTGACTGAGACTGGTACTGCGGGTGACAGCGGGGTCTTGGGAATATCCGTTGGCTCCAGCTTTGGGATTACCGAGGTGACACCGCTATAACGGTTCAAATACTCGGGCGGGAGGTTCCTACCGTCCATGGTGAAATGTAGCCCACGAAATGAAGGTGTAAAGCGTATGCAGACGTGTGATTTATGTTAGAGATGAATCTGGTGGTGAGCTTGGAAGAATGGTAGAAAGAGCATAGATGTTCATGAAACATGCGGCAAGCTTAAAAAGAAGCTGTCAGGTGCAGGCACGAGTGTTTATGCCGTCATTGCGGTGGAATGTCCCTGGATAAGTTTAGTTGTTATGCGCCGATCCCTAAAACGGACGGGTGCGGCGTACAACCGTGGATCGCCCAACTTTAATGTACTACTTATTGTGAACTGACTTCGTAGTTCTATTGGCCATTAGCTCATCAGTTTTAATTCTTGCACGGTTTAAGTAGTTCCAAGGTTGGCATATGTCATTTACCCCATAGCCTAGGAATGTGGAGAAATTTTGACGTCAATTGCACGTTTATATAGTGATGCCGAAAGCGGAATCGTAGTCTGAAAACAAGAGACACCAGCTCTCAAACGTTAGAATGTTATGACACAATAGATCTGGATAGCGTAAGACCTTTCAGATCTACAGCGATCAGCTTATGGCCATAGGTATCTCATGGTTATACCGAGTTCTAGCCAAGCCGGCGTAAGTCTTCTATCTCGCACGGTAATCTTCCAAGATGTTGGTTGCCATTGAAGCTATTAAATACTAATCATCAACCAAGTGCTTCCAAGTTTAGTTGCAACCCAAATCCAATTTACACCCATTTTCCTATGCCATCTACGAACAAACACCGTCCAACCGGGCCTGAATCGTCTTTTCATCAAATCGTCCACTTTCTCCCTCGTAGTTCCGGAGGACCTCCAGGGTCATCAGCCGGCGAGGGGCTTTGCGGCCGGTCATCAGCTCCCACTGCGCAATACCCTGCTCAATAACATTTTCTAGTCCGTCGGATAACACCCAGGACCGGCCGGTGTCAGTTCTGATCCGACGCATCTGTTTCAACAACGGTGTATCTAGCGGTTTATAGGCAAGCTAGAAAAGAAGAGTCAGTATAAGAAACAATGATTTAAGATAAGACGGAACTCACCTCTACTACAACACCCCCAGTGGGACTACCAAGCCACTGCAGGGGCATCTCAAAGTTGGCAGGGGCTTCATCCTGATCAGGATCGGCCGGCACACAAGAGACGATGATACTCGGGGGATTGGAGTCATCGGGCCAATCATCCTGTGTTGACTTTAATACTCGCACTACCTCGACCGAATCAACTTGGGACGATGCCCATGAGTTGAAGTGACGTGCCACCTCTTCGGCTCGGGATAGAGTTCGGTTAAAGATGAAGATTTTGCGGCAGCCCATGCGAAGCATGGCATAGATAGCCGATCGGGCCATACCACCAGCACCAATCACCAAGCCCGTTGTTTTCGCACTGATAGCGTTGCGAGGAGAAAGGTGACGGTTGATACAGGTCATAATGCCAACCCAGTCTGTATTCTCGCCATACCATCCTAGCACCGGACCTGCCTGGTTGCGTCGGCTGGCTTGCTCCTGAAGCGAGTACATTCCTCCTTCTGAGGGACCCCGCAAGGGCATGATAGTATTAATGGCGCCAATGGCTTCGGCGTGTCGGCTTTTCGCTGAAAGTTTATGATAAAGCTCCACACGCCATGGTTGAACAACACTTGAGCCGCCAAAATTTGGATCTCGACGCAATTCATCCAATATGTCGAGGGAAGGAGAATCAGGGATGCGATAGGTATGGCTCATACCGGAATGTTGGTGGGCGCCATTGTGCATGAAGGGGGATAGACTGTAGGCGACGCTGGAACCAAGGATGCAAAACTTCAGCGGATCAAGAACGTAGCTTTGGAAAAGGGCTTTAACGGCGTCGCGGGATGTAATTAAAGGATCGCGCTCATTTTCGGTTGGGCGAGTGATTGCTGGATGGGTGACATTGGTCAAAATCGAATTAAACACTTGAGATGTCCGTCCAAGACGTCCAATGTTGTAAGCGATTAAGGGCGCGTGATCTCCGGGCAAGGCGTGGATTTTGTTGGAGAACTCCAGAACAGCCGCATTCTCATCACGATTTGTTGCGACGCGGAGAAGACGCACTATCTGACAACCAAGCTTCTCTGCTTCATTGTATAGTGTCACGCAACCATCATCGGTCCATTTGACCCGGGAGGTTGCTTCAAAGACATGCTGACCAATGATTTTGGTATTGCCCCGAGCACGAACGACCTGCGCGAGCTGGGCGCGGTTTTTTCCAAGATCGACAACCAAATATTCCACTGCCAGACGCAACCCCTGTTCCAAAATATCGAAATAAAATGAATTTGATTGATCTCGTCGGCCAAGTCCAGACGTTGTCATATCCACCGAGAGAATAATGGGCGTGCGAGAATTCCGGCGCAAAACTGCGACTTGTTGACTGATTATAGCTGCCATATCTGAGTCCCAGCGGTCGACACATAATTCAATTGCATCTCCCCCGGATTCTAATTCCTGAAGATTCACATTGTCGTCAATCAGGTCCGAGGATCGAACAAGGACAGCATGGGTGAAGCGTCGAAGCTCGGGGGGTGTTTCTAGCAAGACAAAGGGCGAGTCGTGGCTCGAATGGTTCACATCGACCCCGGTAACAAATCGTACAAAGCGGGTCAAGTCTTCCTTGACCTCTTGCAGCTTGAAAGAATAAGCAGCCGATCGTGGGTCGGGGCTTCCATCTTCGGCAACAAAGCGTGTTCGGTCTTCCAGATTGTAGAACTCGAAATTGGAGCATGTACGGTGCAATGGGTCTCCTTCCCGCAGTAGTCGTATTGACTGATCTTCCAGTCCTAGAAGTTCTTGAATGCGGTCGATGTCGCGTAGGACATGCACCACCGGGCAGACCTGAGTGATGCGACGTAGATGGTCCTGGACAGGCCGAGTCAGACTTCCCAGTCCGCACTCGACGACACATCCTGTCTTGTGATTATCCAGCATCTGTTTCAACACGTCAATGTCGCGGCGCTGGAATTCTTGACTGCCATGGCTCTTCAAATATTCGTGTCGCGTGACTCCGGTCACCTCCTTGAAGTAGTGATCTTCGGTTATAAATCGTCGTTTGAGGGCCGTAGCTGCGACAAAGCCGAGCGAGCGCTTTCCACAGCCGCGAATGCCCACCAGCACCAACGAAGCATCGGGATCGAAGGTGCGGGGTGCGGTGGTGGCCTCTGGAGGATGCATAGGGTGGGCGGAGGATGCTCGGGTCGATTCCGACTGAGTAGAGGGGGAGTCAGGCTCGACAGGGTCACGAATGCGGGTTTGCCAGTCAAGCATGGTGGGCTAGCGGATAGATGCCGAGTGGAGCGGCAAATGTAAAGGTGGGAGAAACGAAAGCGGGTGGAGATGTGTTAGCTAGGCCGAGGGCGCGGGTGCCATGATCGAGAACGGCGTATACACAGTGGCAGTCGCATCAAGGCACAGCAATAATCCAGGTGAATTTCTCTCGAGCAGAAAGGGGAAAAAATCGAGCAAGTCTGGAGAAAGCAGGACGCTCTCTTTTTCCCCGGATGCCGGATGAGGCACCACTGCGAGCGATTGTGTGGGGCGGCAAATTATCTTATCGCGCAATATGATTTGCTGTACGGCAAAAGCCTTAACCCTTGGCTTCACCGGGGGTATAATTCTTGGAGAACTACAGCTCCAGTCAGAGATTTTGATTGGGAATCGGTTAAAAGGGATTTTGAGACTGTGGGGTGCTTGTGTGGGGTGTGATGTGCAATATTAGAAACGTATTGTGTGCGTATTGCTGAGGAAAGTGAAACCCGCACGTCTAACCTTGGACCATCGAGACCGTCCACGGGTTACATTGAAGTCTTTCAGTTATGTAAAGACTCGGCTACTTTCTCTGTGAATTTGCCTGGCCATCTACTCATGCACCGAGGCACGCATAAATATATAGGCGGAAATCCCGTGCCTGCAACTCTACAGGAGATACCGGCATCGTGTCCACCTTCCGACATTAATTTATCCTCAATGCCGGAAAACCCGAAGACTATTGCACAGGCGTTCTAGAGCGCAGATATGAGTCCAAATTGAAAGCTTGTGTTGTCATGACCAAGTGCAATTGCAACCTTCGATCGGATTAATATTTCTCTTGAAGATTATGTGGTATATTATACATGCAATCTGCCCAAAGGGCCCAGGGAGAAGTCGCCCATGAAAACCAGGTGGCTTACTTGCCAACACAGAATCTGCAGAATGTCAGAAGGTAGTTCTTTCACAAAATATAAAATGCATATCTCAAAACTTACTTCTCAAAAACCACACCGAGGACATCTTCTACGTCGCCGCTCTCGCCTTTCCCAGTTATCCTGGCGAGCATATCAGCTGCAAAGCGCAAGTGTTCAGCAGCCGTAACTATGTCGATCTCAACATCAACAGAGTCGGGGATAATTCCGAAGCAAGAATCAGGTTCATGGGTAGGAGTGGAAGATGTCTGCGAAAGAAAGTCGTCAAGGTGGTCTTGGCACTTCTGTAGATTGGAGCTCTGTCGATGAGTGACTCCTAGAGAATCCTCCCAATATGATGTATCATATTGAGTGCCTTCTTCAGCACCCAGTGGCGAGGCGATTTGCTCAAAAGTCGAAATTAATCCCTTCAAAAATCCTTGTAATTGGCCAGGATCGATTTGACCGGGGGAAGTGCATGCCTGCTGTGCCTCATAACAGGACATAGCGAAGATTCTATCTGTCGGCACGGCAGGGAGGAGGTCATGAATGGTAGAGGTCATATCCCGCACTAATGTATCATCTTCCTTCCAAGAGGGAAGCTTGTCGCACTTGTTGACAGCGACAACGAGGCATTTTCCAGCCTGTACACAGTCGTTGACTGCATCAAGGACCTCGGGCTCGATGGTTAGACAAGGACCGTCTGCAGTATCTTCAATGGAAAACACCACAATAACGACATCAGACTCTAAAGCTCTCGCTCTCGCACGTCGAATGCCTTCTTTTTCGACCGCACCAATAACAATAGAGCTACTAGATCCGGGGCCATTCGCCTCAGCACGAATGCCAGCCATATCTCCAAGTTTACAGTACCAGCCGCCCAGGTCAACACCAACATCGACAATATCACGAGTAGTGCCCTCTTCAGTACTGACAATCGCAGCCTCTTTACCAACAACGCGGTTCAAAAGCGAGCTCTTCCCAGCATTCGGAGCACCCAATAGCGCGACACGTATACCATTGCGAAGCAGTTCTCCCTTAGACGCATTCTGGATGTGAAAGCCAATTTGGATTTGTAGCGACTGGATCTGTGTAGCCACAGAGGATACCAATTCCTCCGTAGATTCATCAAAATGCTGGTCTTCCGAGAAGTCGATCAGAGCCTCTAGTTCGCCGCGCGCGTAGAGCAGTTGCTGACGCCATTCCTCGTACCGTTTCAACAACGCATCACTAGACCCTCGTACTGCCAGACGTCGCTGTTGTTCTGTATCCGCAGATAATGTATCACCTAGAGCCTCGATTTGCGGAAGGCCGAGCCGGTCATTCATGAATGCCCGGCGCGTGAACTCGCCCGGCTCGGCGTAGCGCACGACGGCATCAGTTTGGTTTGTGTGTGCGATGGCGGCAAGGACAGCTTTGACGATCGCGGGACCTCCATGAATATGGAATTCTAGGATTTCTTCGCCTGTAACCGTTTTCGGGGCAGGGAAGTACAAAACGAGGGCGCCAGCGTCCAGGACCGTGTTAACGGATGGCGGGTGTGATGGGTCGTAGAGGGTGCGCAGTGCGGCACGGCGTGGCTTTGGGAGGGATGTTTCTGGACATAATGAATTGTATATCTGTGTGGCGAGAGTCGCGGTTTAGTATATGCCTAACTCCTGAAGTTCTGGGGGTGGGGTGAATGGCTTCGTACCGAGACACATGCTGGACCGGAGACTCGCACCACTGCAATCGCAGCTCTTCCTGGGGCTGTTGATAGAGCATAAATCGTGGAGTCGGCATCTAGCATGAATCTCCTTGGTGAGCTAGAGGTAAAGTTCCGCTTGAGCCTAGAAACTCGCTGTGCAGCCGGCGATGGACGGATCTCGGTATGATAGCATAGCAAGTTATGCAACCCTGCCGCGGGCGTTCGGTTCCATGCTGGGCGAAAGGAAGCCCAACGCAAGACCCGACAACGAGATGCTTGCATGCGTAAAGCGGAAGATGAATGACGGGGCGTGCTTGCTCAATAGTCCAAGTTGCAGACACGCAGTTTGATCTGCGACCTCTGATAAGACCGATAAGAGCACCCAAGCCTCGGTGCCTTATTTAACAGGCACCAACCATGCACTAGCAATCACACTAAATTAGATTGACTCGCTAGCTCAGGCCTCCCAGCCGCGCAATTGGAAGGCTGTGTTCTCGATAAGCTATCCACGGTTACATCGAAGGATCAAATTTTGCGAGGGTTTCAGAACTTTAGCTTAAATAGAGATCCGTAGTCAGAAACATCCAGTACTTAAGCACTCCTGTCCGCGATCGTTTCCCTCTACACAGAACTAAAACCACTCCTTAAACATGTCAGCTTCTACCTCCCTTAAACTCGAGCCATTGACCCTGGAAGATAATGCCGCCCTCACGAACCTATGGTTCGCAGCGTTTACAACCCCGGAGCTTCAAATGGTCTTTCCAGATACGCCAGGCGTCCGTCAATGGCTACAAAATGCAAACAAGCATGACTTAATCAACAAGCCGTTCCAGAAATATATTAAAGTTGTCGACATGGAGAACAAAGATGAGAACGGTAGACCTCGGATCGCTGCCTACGCAAAGTGGGACTTGTCAACACCCGAAGAGCGAGGACGTCGCTACCCGCCGTGGCACGAAGAGATGCCCGGAGAAATGTGCGAGATGTTTTTCTTGAAAGAAGAGGGAAATAGAAGCCGTCTAATGGGCAATCGAAAGCATTACTGTATGTCTTACTGACTCTTGTCCGTCTCCTCATCATATGCGAAGGTACTAATCATGAGATGGACAGACTTGGATACCGTGGCTACGCACCCTGACTACCAGCGACGAGGATGTGGCTCCATGCTTGTTAAATGGGGCTGTGATCTGGCTGATGCTGAGGGGGTTAGTGCTTATGTCGATGCTAGCAAGGATGGTGCTCCTTTATATGCGAAGCATGGATTTGTGGACTACAGCAATCCCGGAGAGGAGATCGCCTCGATGGCCAGGTACTATAAAGGTGCTTGATTTAAATCAATGCGAATAGATTGACATGGACAAATCATTCCAATGCTGTATAAAGGCCATGGTCATCTGGGCATACCTAGCTCTATTATAGGCAAAATTTATATATATCCACAGCGGTGTCTTATGTGAAGATGTCCTTGGAAATACATAATGTTGGAATACGTGACTTGTCAAAAATTATCTGAATCGCCCTTCAAAGATTTTTAGCCCAAACTTTCGAAGGACGGAACTCCTTGCCCGTTTGAATTTTAAAGCTTTGATGATTTGCAGGCGCGTGGGGCTTCCCCAAGGAGCGGGGTGGAGCTCCCGGTGACGGAGTGGACTGTCCGAGTATGCAGAGTGACATATGGCGGGGAAGCATATACATAAGGAGATAGAAAACAGCTTTGACCTTGACAGTTCAATCCATTTTCTTCATCTTTGAACTATTCTCGCTATAAACACGCACTAATAATATCTTGCAGAAAAAGAAAAACATGGGCGTGAGTGCAACACGAGACGCTTGTCTTTCAACCAGTCTAACCATTCCTAGGACACGAATCGATCATTTGTTCTGCGCGCTGTGAAGGATGTGGCTCTCGAGGATCGACCTGTCCCAGAGTTAAAAGACCCTTGGGATGTCAGAGTCCAAGTCGCTCAGACAGGCATTTGTGGAAGCGATGTACATTATTGGCAGCGAGGACGGATTGGAGGTACATAGCGACCTGGTTATTCTGACAGAAATTTCAGGCTGACACCCCCTAGACTTCATCCTCAACTCCCCTATAATTCTTGGCCATGAAAGCTCCGGTACAGTCGTCGAGATCGGATCAGCAGTCAAGAATCTCAAAATCGGTGACCGGGTAGCTATCGAGCCAGGTGTACCATGTCGACAGTGAGTAAGACTCATTTAACTACGGTGAAGTCATAACTGAAAGCGTCAGCTGCAACTACTGCCGCAGTGGCTCCTACAATCTCTGCCCTGATACTGTCTTCGCAGCTACCCCTCCCCACGATGGCACCCTTTCGAAATACTACACAACTCAGGCGGATTACTGCTATACACTTCCGGCACATATGAACATGGAAGAAGGCGCACTTGTTGAGCCGGTCGCGGTGGCGGTACAGATTGCGAAGGTAGGCAAGGTGAAGCCTAACCAAACCGTCGTGGTCTTCGGGTGCGGGCCGATTGGCCTACTTTGTCAGGCTGTAAGCAAGGCTTATTCGGCGAAGAAAGTGATTGGAGTAGATATCAGTAAGTCTCGGGCAGAGTTTGCACGGACATTTGGTGCAGATGACGTCTTCATACCTCCCCCAAAGCCTGAGGGCAAGGATGATAGTTTGTGGAGTGAGGACGTAGCACGGATTATGAAGGAGAAGTTTGATCTTGGAGAGGGACCGGATGTTGTTCTGGAGGCCACTGGTGCGCAGGCCTGTATCCAGACGGGCATCCATTTGACTAAGAAGGGTGGAACATACGTACAAGCTGGTATGGGACGCGAGGTCAGTGATTTTCTACATGATGCCGCCAGGCACAAACTGACGAGGCTCAGAACGTAATTTTTCCAATCACCACAGCATGCATTCGTGACTTACACATACGAGGTTCTATCCCTTACACCGTCGGTTGTTACCCCACTGCTGTGGATTTGATTGCTAGTGGCCAGATCGATGTCAAACGTCTGATCACCGACCGGTTCAAGTTTGAGGAGGCAGAGGAGGCGTTTGATTTGGTGCGACAGGGCAAGGAAAGTGTGATTAAAGTTATTATTGAAGGTGTCTCTTCATAAGCAACTATATAGAATACAAATGATCGATCGAACAAACCTGATTACCCATCACCACTATAAATTTAGATGGTAAGACCAATCTCTGCTAGAGCCTTTGTGATATTCAGTTCGACGGTCAGATTGTTCGCGATCAATGCATTGGTGAAATAAGGCAGTTCCTGGTCATTGTAAACGCTGGAGTTGCCGGTGATAGTAAATGGCACGACACCAGTCGTATAGGGATTGCTATCCGAGGTGAGCATCCCAATAATTGCGGTTTCATTGACAGTCGCAGTCATTGGGACTGTGTTGTTGCCGGGCTTGAGGACGAGGTTGTCAAGGTAGGATAGACCCAAGGTTTCGCCTGCCACGACAAGGTTGAGAGTCACGTTTCCCTTGGGAGAACTATCAGTATACGCATTCATGACGAGCCAGACTCAAAACATAAATCATTGAACATACCATGCTCAATGTCATCACAGAAGGATTAGGGATATAGACTGTGCCGTTCATGTTTCGACCATTCACAACTGTAGTCATGATGTGAAATTCTGTCACGTCAAAGCCCTTGAGCTTGTTGAGGCCTGGATGAATCACAATCCAATCAGCATTGAACGAAAATTCTGGAGAGAGATGAAGAGGGAAACCTACCTTTCATCGTAACAGTCTTGTTATATGTCACTGTTGTCTTCGGCAATGATCCTTGCTGCAGCTTCGGCTTGCCATAAATATTCAACGAGACCTCTTCATTCATCATGACAGCGGTACAGTAGTCAGAGAAGGCGCTGGCATCACTCAAATCCAGCGACTGCGAAACAACAACTTCAGCCCCATCCTTGGACTTCACTGCAGGAACCTTGACCGTTGCAAACGCGGACGCAGCTCCTAGCAAGGATACGGCGGCATCGAATCCATATATCTCAGGATGATAGGAGCTTTTAGAACCGATGACTTGGGTCTGATTAAGGACGAAAGATTCCGGCTTCGGGTCGCTGATAACCATGCTTGTGATACTGAGAGTAGAACGATTGATGTCGCGCTGGGCAATATTGGGGTAGGCGACATAGATCCTATGTTTGTCAGATTACTGTTCAAGGTCTCGTATTTGTAAAAGCCTGGGAGGTCCATTAAACTTACACTGGCAGTGTCACGACAAGCACCACAATGATGAGCACGATCAAGTGTACCCACCACCATTTCTTGAAATGGGTGGCGGCTCGTGATCCAAACGATCGTTTTGCCGGCGGGACGGCAATGGTCTCCATGACTTCGGATTCGGGCTTATTAACGGACATGGTGCGAGAATCTAAGACTAGGATAATCCTAGTCAGCGTGGTACATTGGATTCAAGACACGCAGCCTGAAAAATCTTTGAAAAGAGGACTTACCAATAATCTTAGTCGTGTCTCGTCAGGGTCAAGGAAAGGAATAAAAAAAAGAAAAAAAAAGCAAGATCGGAGGACCGGAGCAAAAGCTGGAATAACGAATGACTAAAGTAGGGCAGCCTTTGTTCAGCCGGCTATTTGGGGCCCCGAGGATTACATAGTTTATATCACGGAATGCGCCGGCTTATTCCTAGTCTTTTTGTATGCTAAGACAAGCCTAGGGCAGAAGTAAGATTAATCTTCACATGCCGACCTAAAAACAGCCTCGTAGCGACAACAGAGTCAAGTGGTGGCGGAAGCTAGCGGGCTTGCTGTTCGAGTAGCGATTTGTGGAGATGAAACCTAGAGTTTTTATAGCTTGTTCAGTAGCCTTTCACTTTCCCCTGGGGACTCCGGATTTGCGATCTGCGGGGGATGTCCCTGAATCTAGTGGATCGAGTGATATCCCCACAACGCTGTCAGCAGCGGATGTTTCAGATTTAACCTGGTCTAAGATAAATCGACAGGTTCAAAAAGGGGGAAACCGAGGCTCCAGGTGGAAGATAGAGTCCGTGATTGCAATATCGGTCAGATGCAGGTGGATGGGCAACAATTTGCGCCATGGATGCGCACCATAGGCGTTCGGTTTACGTCTTGGCGCTGTGCAACCAGCATTTCAGAGAATTAATGGCTCTCCTTCCCTTGTATGGTTGCACTGGCGTCATGGAAAGCGCTGTTATGATTGGGCGGCGGTGAAACTAGCTGCACTGGGGGCGCTCGCCAAGACTGGCCGGGGAAGCAGCCAAGGGTTTCTGGGCCAAAGTCAAATATATTGGACGCCCAAGTCTGTGGCGTCTAGTTCGGATGTGTCGCCTTCTTAGGCTTTGTCCCCTATGACCACTTAGGGAGCTTCGACCGAAGACAATGCCAATGACTCACGTGCTGCAGATTACAAAGAATGGGGTTCTTTCAACTTACATAAGTGAGCCTAAATTAAATTAGTCATTGACAGCCTTGTTGCCTTGTTCACAAGGCAATGAAAGAACTGTATACTTCGACTACCAAGGGTCAGAATGGTGACAATGAAGCTCTTTGATCTTTGACATTGCTACTTTACAAAAGCATGATCTATGCACTTTGTGTAGTACCGCAATACTTGAGACCTACAAAGGATGTAAACAAGTCCATAAACTGGTTATAAAGCACGAGAATGCCCTGCGTTGTTTCCTCGAATTCACACCGGATTTATCCTGTATATAGCATAGCAATTAGCATAGAAATCATCTACAGGAGGTTTCCGGCAAATAAAGCTATAAGAACAAACGCATCGTTTACAACTTGATCCCAACCCAGTATCGCTGCATCATAACAACCAACAACAACTGCACTCCCACGCCTTTTCCTGTTGTTGACGTTTCCACACCTTGTTGACATTTCCACACCTTGTTGATTCTTCTCAACTTTGTCGATTCTTCTCAACCTTATTGAAACTTCCTTTCTTTCTGAATTTGCTTCGTCTTCTCAAAATACATTCATCGTCTTTACAACCTTCAATCTTGTTGACATTTATTCTGTTGACATTTGTCTTGTTGAGACTGTTAATATTTCTGCTTGTTTCCTCCTCCCATCGACATTTGAACCTAGATAGTTCAACATGCAGACCAACCGTGACCTTCCCGAGGATTTCTGGCAGCCCGAGAAGTTTGACTGGGCAGAGGAAAAGGAGGATGACATCCGCAAGAACGAGGCAGCCTCGGCTTCATTGACCCCAAGCAGTCATTTCGACTGGGCCGATGAGGCGGAAGAAGAAATACTCAAGAACGAGGCCGCCACCTCGTTGACCCCAGGCGTCCATTTCGACTGGGCTGAGGACGCAGAGGAAGAATTCCTCAAGAACGAGGCCTCATTGACCCCCAGCGTCAATTGCAATTGGGCCAAGGACAAGGAGGAAGAAATCTTCAAGAACGAGGCTGCTCTCTTGTCTTCCCTTTTTGCCTGTTTACCTGAGGAAACCCATTTCGCCGATGACACATCGGACACATCATTCGAGGAGATTCTCACATTCCCCTGCGAAAGGACCGCCCGATCTTGGGAGTACATGCAGGAGGAGGTGGACGATGAGTTTGGATCACGACATGAACACATCCACTATGTTGGCAACCCCCACCATTTCAACTGGCAGGGAAAACCTGTTATGGAGCGCAGCAGCACTCGTCCGGAGGAGTCCCTTGCAGTGATGCTCGCAGAGCCAAAGATCCCCAGACTTATGCCAGACAGCCCAGACGCCGATGACTGGGTAGACCGCATTCAGGCGATTGTTTGCAATGCGTTTAGATTCATCGACCCCGTTCTCCTTATCTTGGACGAAGTTGACGAGTCAATTCTGGACCTCCGGGGCTCTGCGCTTCAACAGGCATCAAAAGGCCATGTGCTGAAGTATTATACTGGTCATGGCTGGTGGATGGTAGATGGTAACGAAGTGATGGAGGACTATAACTTGGATATCGGGGACGTAGGCTCCTACCTGGAGCCTAGCGTCGTGGTTGGCAATGGGTTCGTCGATGCCGGTGGACTTCCTACTCGGGAAGAATGGCAGTATTTCCGTGATAGCAGGGTCGCCAAAGCGGGTTCTGAATGCAAGAACAAAGGCCATCGGAAGCGTGATTGGAGGCCGAAGCCTTCTGGGCTCCGGCAAATCACAACATGTGAGCCCTATGAGAGTGCGCCAACCATAATGCCGATTCTCCAGCCGCCTGTTTCGTGTGACTCGGATGCTCTGTTTGAATGTCAATCAACAAACGTGTCTGATTTCGATGAGTCCACGACACCCACTTCTGGTACTTCACTATCATTCAACTCATCCGAGTTGGGCTCTCTTAATGATAGTCTTCCAGCAATCCTCTATGATTGCGATGAGTCTAGAAAACCGACGTCCATTATCTCGCCATCATCGTCCTTCTCTGAGTTGAGCTTTCTTAAAGATTATCTACCAGCAATCGTCTATGATTGCGATGAGTCAAGGAAACCGACTCACACTACCTCACCATCGTCTTACTCCTCCAAGTCGGGTTATCTGAGTCACTGTCCGCCAATAACCGCGTGTGGTTGTGACGATTCCAAGAGGCGCACACCAGTTAGATCGCCTATTCCAGGGCTGCCACAGGCGCCCTCCTCCCTCTCGCATTCTCCGATGGGCCGACAACCAGCCATCGTGCATGGTTGCGACTACCAGAGGAAGTCCGTTCAATCCTCGCAGCCTGCAGTGAGAAGGAAATTCTCTCCCCCACCACAGCTACGCTCTCCACCGGGTTCATCGTCATCGACAGGAACATCAAAGTCGACCAGAAGCCCACCAATTGCCAAAAGGGTTGACCTTGTACACAACAACGCCCCGAGCCGAGACCCAGAGGTGTACTACAGCTTTCCTCCGGCTCAATCTCGAGGCTCGAAGATCAAAAAATTCCTCAAAAAGGCCGGGAAAATCCTTTTGTCTGGGCTGGGGATGCCAACCCAACCTCTGTACTCTCCGAATTGTTTCGATCGACCAATGGACTGACCGCAGAATTTCTTCGAGTCATATACAGATGGAAGATATTCCTCTGGGGTATACCATTTGCTTTTTCCTTATATATGATACGAAGAGCAACGTCCCGCAAAGCTAGGGTTAATCGGATGTCAATGTGGCGCGATGATCTGCGGGCGGAAGACATCCCGCTTTCTGTTCCTCTTCAAAGCTCCAGGGGTCACGCCAATTCCACCAATTTCTTCGGCATGGACTGCATCGTTTCTTACCTGCCGCAGTCTCTGCGTGAGATTGTCGAGCCCTACATTCCTCTCTGTGAAGAACACGCGCCATTGATTGGCATCGCGTTGGCCTCCCTCATCGCCGTCTACGTGGGGTACCTTTTTGTCCAATGCCAGAAAGAAGCTGCCGTCGCGTTCAACGTTCCTGTGCCACAGGAAGTACGCAAAAGCAATACAGGCAAGAAATGGGACGAAGTTTCCGGCCAGCAGAAACAGGTCTTGGAAGATCAAGTTCGCGGAGTGAGTGTTTATTGCCTTGCCTACTCCTGGATTCACGGAGGAGCTAACAGCGGTCGTGTCACCTAGAAATGGAACAATGATTTGATTATGAGCTACTGCCCCGCCGACGGTCGAGTACTTGGGAATGGAATTCGGCCTGCGACAGTCGAGGATGTTGATGAAGCGGTGCGCGCGGCCAAAACTGCCCAGCGCGAATGGGCCAAAACAACATTTGCGGAGCGCAGAAAGGTCCTCCGAACTCTTTTGAAATACGTGCTCGAACACCAAGACGATATCGTGACCGCATGCTGCCTCGACTCCGGAAAGACAAAAGTGGATGCTTCGTTCGGCGAGATTCTCGTGACGGCCGAGAAGCTGAAGTGGACGATTGACCACGGCGAGAAGGCCCTTCTCCCTTCACGCAGACCTACAAATTTCCTTATGATGTACAAGAAGAACATCGTTACCTACGAACCCCTCGGAGTGGTCTCGGCCTGTGTGTCATGGAATTACCCATTCCACAATTTCATCGGACCGGTGATCAGCGCATTGTTTACCGGCAACGGCGTCGTTGTTAAGCCATCTGAACAAACGGCCTGGTGCACTGCATACTTCCTAGATATAGTACGCGGCGCTCTGTCCAGCTGCGGATACTCTCGGGATCTGGTTCATACCATTGTGTGCCTTCCCGCTGTTGCGGACAAGTTGACCTCCCACCCGGACATCTCCCACCTCACATTCATCGGCTCCCGGCCTGTCGCATTCAAAGTCTGCGAGTCCGCAGCTAAGTCCTTGACACCCGTCTGCGTCGAACTGGGCGGCAAAGATCCCGCCGTCATTCTCGACGATCCCCGCACAATCCGCAACCTCCCCACAATCGCCTCGATCCTCATGCGCGGCGTATTCCAATCCGCCGGTCAAAACTGCATTGGTGTTGAGCGTATCGTCGCCTTACCAGGCACATACAACAAACTTATCGAGATGGTCACACCTCGAATTCAAGCCCTCCGCCTCGGATCTGTTCTCCTGGACACCCCCTCCAACGATCCTACCGCAATCACACCCGACATGGGAGCAATGATCTCCCCAGCCTGCTTCGATAAGGTCGAATCACTGATCTCCGAAGCTGTCAAGCAAGGCGCCCGTCTGCTCGCTGGTGGAAAACGCCACGAGCACCCGAAATACCCCCAAGGCCACTACTTCACCCCTACTCTTCTCGTCGACGTCACTCGCGACATGCGGATTGCCCAAGAAGAGCTATTCGCACCTATCTTCCTCGTTATGCGCGCTGAGTCTGTACCTGATGCTATCGCCATCGCAAACTCCACTGCCTATGCCCTTGGCGCTAGTGTTTTCGGTCACAACTCTGCTGATGTCCAAGCTTGCGTCTCAAACATTGATGCTGGCATGGTCTCTGTGAATGATTTCGGAGCATACTATGCTGTTCAGTTACCCTTTGGTGGTGTTAAGGGATCTGGATATGGCCGATTCGCCGGCAATGAAGGTCTACAAGGTCTTTGTAATACGAAGGCCGTTTGCGTGGATCGATCCCCTAAACTTATTGGAACTGCTATTCCTCCTCGTGTTGATTATCCTATTCAGAAGCGTGAGGGCAGTGCCGGTGTCAAGGATGGCAATGCCGCTTGGGAAATGTGCAAAGGTGTTGTTGAAACTGGATACCAGTTGACTATCGGTGGACGTGTTGCTGGCATCTTACGTTTGTTGGGCAACATGTAAGGTTGAAAACCTTGAAAACTGTACCATATTCAGTCATGTCTCGTGAGGCTCTATCATGGCCGCGGGTGTAATAATCTATCCTCTATCTTCAATGCATATTTACAAAATTTGAAGCAGTGTATGTACTCGTAACCCATTTTTAACGCTAGTTGATCAAGCAATAGTAGAGCTTGAAGATCTGCGGAACCCAGGTGGTAGCTCAGGACCAGCCCTCACTAACCAATGATCCTCACGACGGAAGGAGGATTCCTCATGCCAATTGCCCAACGCAGCCCGATGCGACGGTTCAAGCACCTCCTCCATGAACCGATCGCCTTCCAAATCATGTACTTTCAACTGTCCACAAGTAAACAGCTGATTGGTTGGATTCTCCATCGCATATTCAATCTGCTCAGGAAGATTCAACATGAAGTTCGACAACCATTTGGAAAACCGGGCAGTCAGCAAATTGTAAATGCCCCCCTTCTTTCGTGCACGTTCGTTATTATTAACATTCCACTGCGTGATAGCCGCAGATTTATGAGGCACAGATTCCGCACTTGCACGAAGAAGCGCCTCAAAGAATGCCTGTTGGAGATGAGGCTTATCCTGTCCCACTCGGACGACATGCTCAAAATGCTTGGAGGGGATAGTGTAGAAGACAGGTTTTCCCTGATTCGCCACCTTCCAGCGAAAGACGTACTCGTCCAGTTTGAGCAGGGAGATAAGCGCATTGTAATTTTGTGTCTCGATAGCATTTGTCACACCCTCATGCAAAGTGGTTCGGTCGACCATCGAAGTGGTACAGGGCGTGCTCGGGGCATTGACACGCTTGTAGTTGCTGGAAGTGATGCGCAGCATCTCTAGGAAGGCGACATCTTCCTGGGTAAAGCCTGATTTGCGACCGCGCAGCATTTTCTTCGGAGGGCAGCATAAGTTGAGCGCAGGCCAATTCATGACTATTTTACCCGTGATATGAGTGATCTGCACATCGGCCATTGGCGTGATGTCTAGCTTGTAACGGTGTGTGCCACGATCTGTGGCTTTGGACATTTCCGTGACTTCCTCCCACGAAAGACACATCAGTTCAGCGAATTGTGTGGTCAACGGTCCGCTACCGTTGAATGAGAGGTTGGTATCTTGCTTCCGCTTCATGAAACGTTCTAGCTCTCCCCGCTCGTCAGCTTCCATCTGTACGCCTTCGTCGAGCCATTGGCGTTGGATGGTCAGGTTCAGCATTGTGGGAACCTGCTTGAGGATACGGTCCATAGTACACCACCTGCATGAGAAGACAAGGGCTTGAAGCATTGAGCGGTCGCGCATGCAGAGCATGTTGTATTCCACCGGTTTGAAGACGTCTCTGATTGCGGCACTGCCATTCTTTGAGGAACCTGGGTGGTTCGCGGGATACTTTTGGTAAATGACGGGGTCTTCCCAGAAGGCGAGAAGAATAAGCAGCCGGTAGATCCGTTCACTTGAGAGAGCTGCGGCCACGACATGCGAAGCACGTGGGAGGTTCACGTTCAACGAGTGTAGGAAGATCTGTTCGATAACCTCGACCGGGAGGACTTCGAGCATGGACAGGCGGCGGGGTGCAGGGGAGAACGCCGCGTCGACCGGCTGGGCCTGTGCAGGGGTAGTCTGCGTCATCTTTAAAGTTCGTCCTGCATGACGCTTGCGTTTGGGTTTCGATTTGGACTTGGAGATGGAGGTAGATTTTGACTTGGGTCTCGACGTTAAGATCGTTTTGCGGAGGATATCTATGGGAATGTCTTGGATGCGGAATGTGTTCTGTCCTGTGTGGTTTATGTAGGGACTGTCGCTCCTCACTGGGCCCATGGCAGGTGGGATGAAGAATGTAAAGAACAAAGAGTACTATGAATCTCATGCACGTTCGATCACCTGACCTGCCACATCATATCTGCTGGTGGCAAATCTATCATTGGTTGAAGCCCCACTTTGCCCCTTGACTGTACAAAGTATGCAATCGCGAACCTTGGATCAGGATCTCACTGTACACACCGAAATGGGTAAATTGGCTTCGGTCATAGTATTAAATATGAATGCTTCAGATTTTTTTTTTTCTTTTCTCTTATTTAGAAACAGATAGAGCATTCCCCTCGATAACGTCATAATCAGATCATTGTTTAGGCTAGGATGGAACTAGAAGAGCCAAGGGCATAATAGCGTAAAGCAATAACCAAGTATGTATAAGAATCGGTCGAAGTACGGCAGATCCACAACCATCAATCATTAAGCAAGAAGTCATAGCCAAGAATTAAAGGAATCCAGCAACTCCAAGAGGATACTATTCAGAGTGATCTAGGGGCTTGCGCCAAGACCTAGGTGTTGTTAGTATACGTCGTAATCCTCTCAACTCAAGAGAAACAAACCTGCAGCGTAAGCTAGATACCAAGTCCGTGATGCACCTCCATCAATCCAACTGTAGTCAAAGTTGTCCTGCGCAAAGAAGTCCCACGCTGCACCCGGATCAATGAGAGCCAAGTTCGCATACAGAACACCTTTCCAGCCACCCTCCACTTTGGAGGCTGGTGTTGAAGCAGTAGCAGCGAACATGTCTTTCCACTCCTGTGTCACAAAGCTACGTTGACGGATGTAGCCAGAGTGTGGGAGGAGGGGCAGCATGTGAATCCTAGAGATTGATGTTAGTACCGGAATTTGGATAATTGCAAGCGGGCCATACCCTTGAATGAATTCGAGGTTGTTCCCAAAGTAGGTGGTGTGGTCGACCTTGTTCTCGAATAGCTGCCTGGGCGTTAGCATACCGTGTGGTTATTAGATAGAGCCCAAACGAGACTCACAATTCCAGTCACCCTGTTGGCAATAAAATTCGCTGGCTGGTTGGTGTTGTTGTCCTGCATCAGGAAGTAGTTGTCGAGGCTTCGTCGCATGATGCCCAGCATCATATTACCACGGGCCTCCATGCTAGCATCTCCAGTTGTACGTCCCCACATCTTCACAGCATAAGCAAACAGGGTATCTTCAGAGGTAGATTCCTGATCCTTGCCATCATATGACTCGAATAGACCCTTTGCCCAGGAGTGGCCATTGAACCAGTCAAAGCCACGCGAGAAAGGGAAATAGGCATCATTTTGCACGGAGTTACCCGCATCACGGACCAGCATATTAACCCAGTCCTTGTTTGCTGCAAGCCAGCTTGGGTCAAGGGCACCAATGATCGCAGCAGCATGGATGAAGTACCCGTAGTGGAAGTGGTGGTCATTGTAGGCAGTGTTGCCGAAATCAGCGTTCAGATCTCCAGCATAACCAGCAGTGGAGACGGCACCCTTCCAAACAGCGTCATAGGCTAGGGGGAATTGCTGCTCATTCTGCACAAAGCGGGCAAAGCTCTTCGTCAAATTTTGGAAAGCGCCGGTAGTCAGGTCAGCATTGTTGCCAAGCTGGTTCACGGTGTAAATCAAAGTTGCAAATTTGCTCAACGCCTTGCCACTGTAGTACATGCTGTTCAGATCAGTCTGGGCAAGGATGTCTTGTTGCAATTCGGTAGGCGCGACTTTCAGGATGGCCTGCCGAGCGGCTTCAGAAAGTGTGTTCACAGTTCCATCAGTAGTCGACCAGGGAGCAAAATCAATGTCGACAGGGAGATTTGCCTCGGTCATAGTCCAAGTCTCGCCAATAACTGCGGTCGCATTACCCTTGGTAGTGCTTCGCAAACGGATGTTCGTCACACGAGCCTGGGTATTGCTATCAAAGGACTGGATGTGGTGTGGCAAGGCGAACGTGATGAGTGGGCTCTTGTGCGCGTACTTTCCAGCCTTGGTCCACGAGAGGTTGTATGTTCCGACGTCACCAGTGACTGAGCCAGTGATGTGGCCATCCACAGCATACACACCAGCAGAGTTGTCGTAAAATTTCTCACCGGCCTTTCCAGCGGGGTTCTTGGCGATCTGAATGGTGCCAGAGTATCCCGTTGGGCCACGGATGCTAGACTGCGTGACCAGCTTAAATTGAGGATCTTGACCATCTTCTGGGGCGGCATAGAGAAGCCAATGGGTTTCATCCTCCAGGGTTACCTGGTATTTGAAAATCCCTGGCCTGGGGGATCCGGCATTTACCACCTTGCGGAAGAAGACACCACTCTCGATGAGCGGCTGGAGGTCATTGTATACACCGGTGATGTAACCCATACCCTGTGTGATTGGAAAAGTGATTGACTTAGCAGACCCAGCGGATTTTCTTAACACTGCATGGGCAGAGAACGCCTTAGGGTCTTCAACAGTGAGAACGCTTGATCCATCCAGCTCATAGGCAGAGAGGATCATATGCTGAAGTCCAACGGGATTGATGTAGTACTCGACAGGTGATCCGGGTATCTTGTCATTCTTGGGCCCGAATGCCATCACGTTGGTCTCGATGTGGGTTGCCGATATGCCCCAACTCTTCAAAGTGCCGGCTCCCTTGGACCATGTCACAGAGTAAGGCTGCGTGAAGCTAGCATTTGTCTGCGTTCCCAAAAACAATCCTGCGTAGAACTTGTTTGTTTCAATGGGCTCTGAAGTATTGGCCTAATGTGGACAATTAGCATATGTTGACTAACTCAGGTACTGTTTTCATTCTTACATGTTTGTTGGCCACAGGGTGATCATCACGGCTTTTGATGTTGGCCGGGGGTGCTCCAGTCGCGACCGGTTGAAAAATATCTTGGTTGTTCATGCCGGATGTTTGGCCAGTTGGGTCAGGCAAATCAGTCGGGTCAGGGAGATCAGTTGTACCAGTAGGATCGGCTGTATCAGGTAGATCGGCTGTACTAGTAGGATCAATTGTACCAGTAGGTTTAGTTGTTCCAGGTAGATCGGCTGTACTAGTAGGATCAATTGTACCAGTAGATTTAGTTGTTTCAGGTAGATCGGCTGTACTAGTAGGATTGGATGTACTAGTAGGATCGGCTGTACTAGTAGGATCGGCTGTACTAGTAGGATCGGTTGTACTAGTAGGATCCGTCGTATCGGGTAGATCAGTTGTACCAGTAGGATCAATTATATCAGATAGATCAGTTGGATCAGGAAGATCAGTTGTATCAGGGAAATCAGTTGTATCAGGAAAATCCGTTGCACCAGTGGGAACAAGGACTGTTCATTATTAGCTGCATCCTTTGTTTTTGTGATTTGATATGCCAAAGACGAACCGTTCTTTATCTCTCCAGTATGTGTTACCTTAGGTGCTTCTGTCACAGATTTAGCTGTTGTGGGAGCAGTCTTGTGTTTGTGTTTGAGAGTCGGTAACAATCCAGTGATATCGTCGAGTAAACGATGAATGTCAAGTCCCGGGAAGGGTAATTGCGATGAATGACCGTCTTTCTCCAAAGCCACGCGATAGACCTGGAAGTATTTTGTCAATACATATTTTATCAAATTTGATCTTTGCAATATTTCTCACTGGTGAAGCCTTCGGGATGAGAATTCTCTCCTCCGCGTTTGATGGAGGATACTGTGTTTCAAAAGCCGACACGGGCTGGGTAGCTGTTTGTTGGAGAATCTCTTCTGCCAAAGCCCCAACACGCAGGTTCGGCAAACAGTATACACTATCTGCAGCAAGAAGCCATGTCAGCAAGGCTGCTGCCTTCCATTTCGACTCGATTCCCATGCTGCAAGCCCAACACAAGTACTAAGACTGTGAAATGAATAGAACGTAGATGACTCCGTTCTATAGGCTCAACCTCTAGGCGCGGCCAATTCCAGCGAGTAGATGGTGGCGTTCGCTGGGCATCAAATATAGGAATGGGGAGAAAGGATCTATTACCGAGGATGGGCTACTTACATACAAAATAATTCCCCAGATATTTCCAACCAGCCCGCAAGGATTGTTGTTAGTGGTCTGCAGAAGGAATTCCGGGACTGCAGATCTTCTTGGAACTCAATCGCGCCCACAAGGCGTCAAGGGCACGTAGAAGGCTGTGCCACGGGGATTTGCGTGTGTAGGTGTTCGCCAGCAATGTAGGGCGTGCTGGATAACAACAGTGGCTTGTTGCGAGGCCAGCGGGCTCCACTACCAGGAATGCCACGCGGGGTGTAAACAACGTCAAACAATCAGTGCGGCCAGTTTGACAGGGGCTGGGTTCCCGATTAGACGACCTAAAATAATTGAAAAGGCGTGTCTAAGTCTGAAGATCGTTTTAAGTTTTGCGGAGTTTCGCAAAGGCTCGGAGCTGTGGATTGAAGCTGTAGGCAGCGACGTAGTGCCAAGGGATGTGGAGCTTCCAACCACCATCAACAACTTTCCCTTCATCATCTCCGGATAACTCGACAGCCATTATTCAGCAGCTGGCCTGTATAGCGTCTGCAAAATGCGATCTCACCGAAAGTCAGCTTCTTCTGACGTGACTCTCATTATGCCTTTAATTAATTCCGCGCAGCACAGGTCTTCCTGCACGCGCGTCACCGTATCTCCACCTTTTGACCGCAGCTAGTCTCGTTTTTCCCGAGTTAGAATAACCACCTACATAGTTTGCTCATTTCCAGCATAACAGCGGGCCAAAGCTTAACTTACATGTCTTTCCCCCTAGTAGTGTCTGAATATCAGCTGTCGAGTACTTCAAAGAGTTAGGACCACTAGGTATTCGAATTTTCCTGAGACTTTCACGAAACTTCAAGGCATATAAAATCAAGGCATTCGCATAGATATCGCATCCATAGTCACCTAGTGCCCAGTGGTTAACACTCCATGGTTTTGGTGGAATTACATGTATGAAGTCCTATACATGCGTATAAGCGGATCCCTTTCACAATATATATATCCGTGCATTTGAGGAAAAAATCATACGAATTAACTTCATTTTTTCCAGCACTTAATAGTTTGGCCAGGAATTTTGATACCATGAAGGCGGAGGCTGGAGAAGTGTAGGAGTTAACTTTAGTTGGCAGCCTTGTTGAGGTTGCGTGACGACATATTGGGCACTGAAATTCAGAAAGCAAAATTAACTAGAATATTACTAGGGGCTATTTAAACTATCTCTATTACAGTGATACTTGCTTTTCTTTGCCATGCTCCTCGACAACCTGTACCACCTCAAGGGCACCGTCTGAAAGATTCGACCCTATATACATCTTCGCTTGTTGCTCCCACGCCAAACCCTGTTCTCGAATGATTTTTTGATTCTCTGTTGGCCAGACCCAGCAGATGAGTGGATAAAGGATCAAGGAGGCGAAGAAAGACAAAAGCCAACCCAGGTCAAACATGTCTGTGGCTGATTGATTCAGTCCGCTCGCACCAAGGGACACTGCAAACCCAGGGAATGGCAAGGCAATACCAACTAGGTACGCAATGATAGCTTGAATATTGAAGCCGCCAGTGTATCGGTAATGCGGATTCGACTTTGTGGGGTTGTAAAGATGAGCAATAAACACGTTGCCCCTTGACAAAATGAAATCTGCAAATAGTCACGTTAGTATGGGTCGCATGAGACTTTCGATTTTTGAACGGTCGAGACTTACACTCTGCAATCATAATCGCCACAACGCTCGCCATGAAAAGACCATATCCCGACAAAAATGTCGTAAAAGTTGCTGCAGAGGCCATGATCTTCCAAGGTACGATGGCGTATGCAAGGAACTCGACAATGAAAAATCCGCGACGCATATCAATAAAGCGGGGAACAAGAAGAGCGGAGTCGGATCCAAATGGAATCATGTTACAAGCGATGTTTGTCCCGAGAATTCCTATCATCCAGCAGAATGCAGCAAGGAAGATCGCGAATCTAGCGCCCGGGTGATTATTGCGCGTTTGAATCTCGTCGAGCAGGTCCCAGGGGTTCCATAGTTCCAAACCCCACTGTCTATTAATACCAGCTGTAGCCAAGATACCGAATGTCGCCGAGAGGGTTACAGCGATTGGTTGGACAAATAGCTGAGATGTGATAGCCGCGTTCTTGCTTGTACTCCAACGTGCGATGTCAGGTTGGTTTGTGATCAGCGTGGCAGTATTACCCATTCCACTGTTGATCGCGTGCATGATAAACCACCCAAGTGATCCACCCGTAGAGCTGGGAAGAGCACCGCTGACATTACCGTGGCACGCGATCATGCAGTAGATGAAGACACCCACAATACCTGGAACCATGACGAAGCCTTTGAACCAGAAGAACTTTTTCAGCTGATAGGGTCGGAAGAAACAGAAAATGAAATGAATGAGCCAGAAAAGGAAGAAGCATAGCATGCCCTTGGTGGTGATGCCCATAGATTCAGGGATATGGTTTGGGATGTTCGCAAAGTGACTCCCAAAGATCGCTCGCATCATGTTGGAAAGGTATGATGCACCAGTGTATACTTGTGTATGTTAGTAATGGCAGACATAAATGTGAAGAGTGCTTACGTTGAACACCAAACCAGATGATCGCGAGGGCAGCTCTGGCGGCCACAAAATAGTAGCTACCGTACATCCCGAAGACGGCTCGGGCCACTGTGGGATAGCCGATATGGTACATGGTCGCAGCACGGGAGTTGAAGGCCATTGCAATTGACGAAATCATTTGCGAAGCAAATATTACAACGATCGCCTGCCACCAGTTGAGACCGATGCCAATCATTGTCTGCCTACATCGTTAGATACAGTCTTGCTGCCGATAAAATGAACGCTTACCGAACCAAGAGTCCAATTTCCGAATGAGATTCCGGTATATAGCAGGATGTATGTCCAAGTGTCCCATGCTGCGATCGACACGTCAGAACACCCAATTTATGCATCTCTCATGCACCTCCAAGGCGATGATTCGACTCACTTCTCTTCTCTGGTGGAGTAGGCTCCAAATCTGATAAATGTTTAGTAAAGACCGACATGAAACACAGGAACTTCAACACGAACCTTGATTTAGAAATTTTGGATCTGGGTCAACATACTTATCATCGCCGACGACTAGAGTGTCTTCGACACGAATAGCATTTAAGAACGCATCTTTACTTTGGAACGCTTCAGACGATGGTAGAATCCTCGAAAGGAACGACATATTGGAAACTACGATAGGAAGCGTAACCCTAGACCTTGATGCTGGCCTCTTTACTAACAAGGGATGAGATTCTTAAGAGAGAAACATGGAAGGTGGAGAAGAAAAACGTAAAATGCGAATGGCTTATCATGGCTTTTAATCCATGCTAGATTCCTAGATAGACCCATGTCTAGACATTTCAACCGACAAATAGACTAACCCTTTTTGCCCTAATCCTTCGATATCAGCTCGTGCCTCCGTTGGGTTGCATTTGCCGCTGATTGTCCGTGCGCCACATCTTAGTCGCTGGGATTGTAGAGATAGCAGTGAACGAAGATAAGGTGGACGAGATAAGAGCTGAATCGATGCTAGATATGCAAGAGTATTGCCTGATCACCCCAGCTCAATTAGTCTTCTTAATCGGAGCAATAACCATAATTTTATCTTGAGCGAGCCCTCTCGAGCCGCTGTAGACAAATCTTCCCCGCTTTCTGGAGTAAGCAAACAACACAGTTTATTTCTAGCGTCGCAGCGAAGTTTCCTCAAGAAACCCAATAGATAAGCCTTTCGTTTTCCCCTCTTTTGCCGCTGTAACACGTGAGCCACGGCAATACTATCTCGCCACCAAGCCCGCCCTGACTGGTAAATTTCAGATTCTTAACTTGTTTATGCACCATGACGGTCCACACTCAGCCCGACGTTAGAACGGTGACTCTTTCCGACGAGGAGCGCCTCAATGGGAAATATACCGATTGGTCCCTCCAACAGGCCCTTGAGGCGATGCACCAGGATGGCCTGGTTGTACTTAAGGGTGTTGTGGATTTAGATCACATCAAAGCCCTGAATGAGCGAATGAGCGCAGATGCCGAAAAGAAAAGAGATGACCCAAACCAAGTATATAACCACTCAGTGAAATGTAAGCTTCTAGATGCACCAAACACTACAGCCATTGACATAGTGTAAAAGCGAATTTTCTACAAAGACCACCCGTTACCGAACCAAGCCTTCTATACGATGATATTTACTACAACAAATTTGTACTCCAGTTAGCGAACGCGTAAATACCCCTAACAGATCTACTCTCACAGCTCCTAACTGTCGCAATCCAGATATCTCGGCCACAAACCAATCTGGAACTGGCTAACGGCCAACACCGCCCTCGCCAACACAGGAGGAATGCGCCAAGCAGTTCACAAAGATAATGCCTTCGTTCATCCGCAATATCCCTACTACTTCATCGCAAACATACCTCTATGCTCGACCAGCATCGAAAATGGAGCGACAGAATTCTGGCTTGGCTCCCACGCCCACACATCAAATAAGGATCAAACAATCGCCACCAAGCCAGAGCAGATTACCGCTCATTATATGCTCGGAGAACCTCTCCCAGCCGTTACTGAAGAAGCGATAAAGGCACGTAGATCGATTCGTCCTCCGATCCAGGCAACTTGCTGCGCAGGAGACATTATGATCCGTGATCTGAGACTTTGGCATGCGGGTATGCCGAATGCAACTGACTCTCACCGTATCATGCTTGGGCTTGGGTACCAGGTAAGTCAACTGGTAATTTTGATTGTTGTATTGTGGCTTGAGCTGACAGGTGCCAGAATCCCGTTTTCCCTAATACTAGCATGATGTGTCACCTCCCAGCCTCGCAGAAGGAATTCTTCGAAAAGGCCCCCGGGAATCTGGAGCTTCGTGCTGAGTTCTATGACGACGAGGAATTCAAAGAAACAAGCTTAGACTCTGTTTTTAATTTGCGGCCTGTATATGCTAAGTAATGTGATAGTTCTTATTCGTCAATCTGGACGAGTCCATTGGGTTATCCCTCACCTTGAACGCCCTACGCCACCTGCATGCAACAACATCACAGTGCAGAACATTGCCTTATGCCCAAATGCAGTAAATGGAATGATAAATCAATTCAATAAATAGTTCCAGCTTTGATACAAATAAGCATAAAGATAGACCTGAACTTATGGCATGATGAAAAAAGACTTCGACCACTTACCTTAACCAGATATTCAGCACATGGCCCAGCAGCCTGATATTCCAGGCAAAAATAACTCAACGCCTAAGCCCAGACTGCCGCTGCATCTGCAAAGACTGGCGCTGCTGAGCGGCAGACACACTTTGGCTCACCGTGTGAAACACGAGCCGACGCTAATCTGCAAGCGGCTAACGACAGCGCAGATCGATCGCAGATCGGGACTAGTGGAGATCACGTACCCAATCGCGAGCAATTTCCCTCCAACGGCAAAGCCGCGATGATGTCGATCTGGAATGCAGGGGGTGCATATATTGGAAACTAGGACTCGGCGGGCTGAGGCGAGCTGAGGAAATGCATTGAGTACGGATGTGCAATAGTGGCGGACCTGGCGGACCAGGCGGTACCCAAGTGGGTATATCTATGTGATGGCGAAGAGCTGGAACTTCCAATGCAATGAGTGGGGTTCACAAAGGTGTCAATGCAGTCGAGCTGTAATGCACAAGGGGGTCCGTCAAATAGTTTGACGTAATGTCGCGGAGGGCGGTAGCTGCGTGTCTAGGATAAATCTGGCCATTGGAATAGACACGGGTTACACTGTCCCGGAACACGATTGTAGTTTACTGTAATGCCGATATTCCGCTCTTCAAGCCTGACGACTAAGAGTTTAATCTACGGGAGCGAGACTTATAGGCAAAGATATTCTGTAGATCCTACCGTTTCAAACAGACTAAGACAGTGCTTCAATTACGACAGAGGACAAGTAGCACGAACAAGGGTATTGGAATATCTTTGCCTGGTCAAGGGCACTGATCTACCACCAGTCATACTGCAGCATTATTGCAGCGGATACAGCGCTGCAGATGATTTCTGCACTCTCATGCACTTTCACTTGTCCTTGCTTTGATCTTTGCTTTTTCTGAGATTTCGTCTCGTTCTGTCTGCCTTCTTTTTTGGGGGGTTTCTTTACAATTATGCATGCAAACTGCAATTCTCCAAAAACAACCTTGGAACACACAGCCACGCAGCACATGCTCTCCCACTAATCGTCAACCAGTGGATCCCAGAAGCTTGAAAAGCGGGTGATACAACGGCCCACAATTCAATTCTGGTCTGCGACAGGTATGGTCCACTTATTTGACGCATTTGCTCACCCCTGAGCCTTCCGATCGACACGGAAACAGCTGAAGCGAAATCAGGCGAATGGATTCCTAAGGTTATATACGGATAAGAGCGCGTGGCTATTCAGGGACAGATTATATTCAATCAGTTGGAAGTCCACACTTTTCCAAAATCCAGACCTAGACCCATCTCACGTCAAATTCTTAGCGCCGGAATGACTTCCTCCCAACCCCACCTAAATCCAACCCAGAACTACGCTGGAAACCAGCCATCGCAACAATCAGTCTAGGCGCCGCAAATCTCCACTCAATCACAGCCAAGATCAATGCCGCCGCTCAAAATAGCCAAGAAGGAATTGAGCTCTTCCATGATGATCTCGCACAACTAGCTCAGACGCTACGCGGAAAAACCTTAAGTGACGATGCTCAGACCCGCACCGATCGCGAATATGAGATCGACGCCGCGCACGCTATCCACGATCTGTGCGCCGAGAAAGGTCTCCGTATTCTCGCCCTCCAGCCATTTCGGCACTATGAGGGTTTGATCGATCGTGAGGAACATGCGAAGAGACTCGATGAGCTTCAGCACTGGGTATCCCTTTGCAAAATCCTAGGCGACTCCTTGTTCATTCTCATCCCTTCTTCATTCCTGGACGAATCGCAGACGACGGGCGATCGGGACGTGATCGTGTCTGATCTAGCCGAGGCTGCTGATCTGGCGTATCCCGTTCGTATTGCCTACGAGGCACTTGCGTGGGGAACGCATATCAATACGTGGGAAGACTGCTGGGATATGGTCGTCAAGGCTGATAGACCTAATTTGGGCATTTGTTTGGATACGTTTAATATTGCTGCGAGGATTTGGGCTGATCCGTTGAGTGCGACTGGTCGGTTACCCGCGCATGCGGATACAGATCTCCAGGTCTCTATGGAGAGGCTTGTTAAGGAGGTTGATCCGAGTCGCGTTATGATGGTCCAGCTTGCTGATGGGGAGAGGGTTGATCCATCAGAGCCGTTCCTGAGGGCTCCAGGTTTGCATCCTTTGCTTGCTTGGTCGAGGAATGCGCGCTTGTTTCCGTGTGAGGAGGAACGTGGTGGGTTCCTTCCTATCCGGGAGGTTACAGATGCATGTTTGAATGGTGTCGGTTATTCTGGGTGGGTTAGTATGGAGGTGTTCTCGAGGACGCTTGGGGATGAGCGTCCGGAGGTTCCGAGGGAGCATGCTGAGCGCGCTGGTCGGTCCTGGCAGCGGGTTTTGGGTATGTTGGAGGCGAAGGCTGGGGAGAAGGGTGAGAAGGTTACTGTTTGATAGATGATAGAGACATCTTGCCCATGGTGGGAACTGTTGGCTTGAACAACAAGGCGTCTTTTTCTTTGGACTGAAGAAATTCAACTATGTAGAAGATTTTACGGAATTGGTTTCCCCACAAAGCTTCCCTTCCGCTGCGTAAATTTAGAAAGGTCTGTGTGACTATTCAGTTGTTACACCAAAACTGCCCGGGTGCTCATGCTATTCATCTATTCTCTATGAAATTTCCTTCGCATCAGTCTACAAACAGCTCGAAAGCATCCATGTTGAAGTCATATGGTATTCCCATTTCACATCTTGTTCACAATGAAAACGCTATATCCCAAAATGAATACGCCAAATCTAACTAATTACAGAAAAAGAACTAAGCCCAGTCGTTACAAGGTCCATCATAAAATCTAGCGCAACATCGAACGCTCAATTTATCTTAGCACGAAGATGCACATTCGGCCCTTGGGTATACTCCATGCTATCATCCAGGCTACCCTTAGTCGCAAACTTAATGTCCTTCAAATAATGATCACGCGCTTGCCACGGACCCCGATCAGCCGCCAAAGGCAGGACCTGGTTGGCAACTGTGACATAAGTAGAGTTCAAGTTCAGCAACGGGCGCTGCTGGATCTTCTCGGCGTCCTGCGCCTTCAGACGGGGTGTAGCAGCAATGAGCTTACGGGTCTCCAGGGACTTGAGCAGGCGAGTCACGAACTGTGCGGTTGCGTCCGCACCGAGAGTCCATGAGGCGTTGGTGTATCCGATAATGAATGAGGCGTTGGGAAGATCCTGGAGCATGACTCCGTTCCACATGTACTTGGAGCCGATATTGATTTTCTCGCCGTCGACAGTTATGGTGGCGCCACCGGCGATTTGGAGCTTTAGACCCGTTGCAGTGATGATGATGTCTGCATCGAGAGTCTCTCCCGAATTGATCGTCAGGCCCTTCTTCGTGACTGTCTTGATGGTGTCGGTCCGCACATCGGCCTTGCCGCGGCGGAGACTGGTATAGAAGTCGCCGTCTGGCGAGACACAGAGTCGCTGATCCCAGGGGTTGTAGCGGGGCTGGAAGTGCGGGTTATGAGGAATGTGGCTAGGGAGTTGGCCGCTTGCTCTGCGCTTGAGGATCCAACGGGAGAAATTCGGGAATCCTTGACAGAAGAGGAAGAAGAGTCGTGATTGTAGAATCCAGATCATGCGCTGGAGTTTGTGGTAGGTTTTTGTCGGCAAGATCCAACGGAGTAGCCAATTTCCGCTGCGGTTCGGGAGAGAGAGGATGTAAGTTGGACTGCGCTGAACCATCGTCACCCGCTCGGCCTTCTGAGCCAAATTGGGTAAGAGGGTGATGGCGGTGGCACCGCTTCCAATGATCACGACTTTCTTGCCCGTGTAATCCAGATCCTCAGGCCAGAATTGAGGGTGGATGACCTGGCCCTGGAAGTTTTCCAGTCCGGGAATGGTGGCCTCCAATGGCTCGTGGTAGTTGTAGTAGCCGGAACCAAAGATGATGAACCGAGCATTGATGGTCTTGGCGGTGCCATCGTTGTCGATATTCAAGGACCAGTAGTTGTCCTCGCTAGACCAATTGGCATTCGTCAAACGATGGCGGTACTGGATATTCTTGTCGATACCGTATTTCTTGGCAGTGTCGCCGATGTAGCGTTTAATTAAGTGGCCGTCAGCGATGGGGTTGGATTGGTTCCAGGGGTTGAAGGAGAAGCCAAAGGTAAATAGATCAGAATCCGATCGGATCCCAGGGTACTTGAACAAGTCCCAGGTTCCGCCTAGGTCGTCGCGAGCTTCGATAATGGTATAGCTGTAGCCTGGGAGCTCATCTTGCAGGCGGTAGGCGGCGTTGATGCCGGAGATGCCGGCACCGACGATGACCACGTCAAATCGCGTTTCTGACTGTGCGTGACCGTTCATCGTGTGTGTAGTGAAAGATGCAACGATCTGGCGTGGGCAACCGGCAATTTTTAAAGGATACTCACATGCCTCGGTTTTCCCCCTGTGACGATCCTGAAGTGGGTCAACCGACTTTCACGCAGACTCGGTGGAGTCCGTGCGTTTGCCTCTTTTTTTTGGGGAACCTTTGCACTCTTTGCGGGGAACGCATGCTCTGCATGAACTGTATACTTTGGTCTTTGTTGATTATCAACCGAGGTCTGATATGTGAAGTTGTACGCTACACCGTTTTGTTCATATCCTAACAAAAATGGTTTTCTAATCCGATAATCTCACGTATCGACTGAAGCTATCCAGGTCAAATTCCTAAAACAGAACAAAGACTATTGAAACTTATGATACTCGAACTGCAGCCACATCATAGTCACACAATAGCTCTTTCTTTCCCGATCCCGTAATGCCCATGCGCCATCCGCACCTCGGCCCCAAACAGAAAATTGGGCGGATCTCGCAAGATGTGGATCAACCAATCTTTACCTAAACAGGATAGCATTGCGAAATGATCGTCCACACGTTCCTCCGAGGTCCAACGTGCGATCATCGTCAACCCCATGCTTATCAGGCACGACCTGCGCTAGTTTCCGCAATGGCATGATCTGAAAATGTCGCTAACCCAGGTAAAGTTGACCCTTCGCGAGAAGCTGGACATATTGCCAGCTGTCGCAAGCATCATTGTCGCAGCCGTCTATGCTCTCCTGACAGGTCTATGGCGCACGGAGCGCCAGGCCAAATCCCTCCTCCTCCATTTTGGCTATGCTATCATGCGCAAGTCTACACAGCGCTTGTCGCCGAGCCAGATGCAGTTTATTCTGCCAGGCTCCACCACAATCTACAATCGCTTTGTGAAGAAGGTGGGCTATAAGCCGGAGTCGGTGGAGTTGAGCCATGGGGCTACGGGCCACTGGATCGGTGACCCCAATGCGACAAACGTCGTGATCTGGTACCACGGTGAGTACTAGTAAAATAATATATTCGAGGACGCACAGCTCATGATGAATTAGGCGGTGGATTCGGTCTACCCTCCAATCGTGGCTACATCAATTTCTATGCGCAGCTCGTCCGCCATCTCGAGGCAGCCAGCAAGAGTGTCGCCGTGTTCTCACTCACATACACTCTCGCCCCCAACGCTACATACCCGACACAGCTGAAACAAGCCGTTTCCTGCGCCCGATACATCCTTGCCCAGCCAAATCGGGACCCAGCGACTGTTTTCCTAGGCGGCGACTCGGCTGGCGGAAATCTGGTCTGTGGCGTGTTATCGCATGCCGCACACCCCCACCCCCAAATCGAGCCTTTGCCCATCAATGGCAAATTCGGTGGCGCTGTCATGATTGCGCCATGGACTTTACTCGATACTGAGTTCCCTGATCAGGAAATATATTCGGGTGGTGATTTGATTACGCCACAGGTTGCGGCGCCTTGGGCTACGGCCTTTTTGGGTCGTGCGCCGCGCGATAATTACACGGATCTTTTCCATGCTCCTACAGAGTGGTTTGAAACCTTTCCTGTGCAGACTGTTCTGATTACTGGTGGTGGCAATGAGATTATGTTGCCGATTATTCTGGAATTCTCGAAGAAGTTTAAGGATGGGTTTGGGAATGTGGAGATGTTTGTTGGGCATCGCGAGTGTCATGTTGCACCGGTTTACAATTCTATGTTACACGATAACACGGAAACAGAGCAGGGGAAGAAGATTAAGTCGTGGCTGGTGGAGCTGGCTCACTAGATATTGTGTTACTTTCGGCTATTGTTCGGGTGATGTGATACATATTGAAGTGTCAAAGCCGTTGAATCTATAATAGTCGGTGTGAAGAGACATCTCACTCATGAATTTATGCAATTGCAATTGACAAACTTTCGGGGTCTCAGGCCCTATGACAGAACTCCCGAGGTCCCGTCCATCTGATCTCCTATTGTTATTCACCCATATATATCTCCGTATCTTATGAATTAGAACTTCTTCCTTCTCTCAAGTACTCAGTCCCTATCATCTCCACAGACATTTCATATGCCTTACACTTCAAATCCCAATCCCTCGTCCCGGGCACCGCTTTCTGATCCCACCCATGATCACACCTATCCATCCTCTCAGCAACAACATTCCGCCCAGGATCCACCCTAAGCTTCTCCGCAAGCCTCTCAGCTTCCTCAGCCAGGCTATCTTGCCCCGCCGTAATAATCAAAACATTCCTCGGAAATCTCTCCGCATCAGCAAGACCAGGCGAAATCCTCGGATCCCTCATATCAATACCATCCGGAATCCAACACCCATAGAACACCCGCAATATAAACGGAGGCATAGGCCTCCCACCCGGCTGTGGCGCAACCAATGTCCCGGGATCACGGTAGGACTCAACGCCAGGATAAACCGCAATCACAGAATGAAAGGTCTCAGGTGTGTATTTCGAGGACACGATCGAAAGAGCAAGATTTCCTCCAGAACTAAACCCGGACAATGATATCTGAGATGGATCAAACATGTCTGGGTGGGCTAGGACCCAATTAATAACATCTTCCGCGTCGTGCAGCTGGGCTGGGAATGGATTCTCTGGTGCCAGTCTGTATGATACGTCTAGGACAATGCAGCCCGTTTTCTGGCTAATCTCGCGGCAGAATTGGGAAGAGTTTCCGTGGACGGGGAGTGTATAGCCACATCCGAAGAAATTGATCAATACCGGACTGGGTTTGAACTTCCCGCTCTCGCTCCTTGGTTGATGATATGCATGGGCTGTTATGCTTCGACCTCCGTCTCGGGATGGGATGTGTTGAATGTAATCATAGGATGGGTTGATGTTTGCTCGGAGTTTGACTAAGCCTCGTAGGATAAGGATTGCGAGTCTGAGATAGATGTAGCTGAAGAAAGACATTTTGTCTGTACAATGCTCATTGCTTTTGCAGTTGGTGTTGCAGTTGACTTTATTTCATTTCGTGAACCGGTCCGTGCGGTCAGACTCGGCAGTGCAATAGCCTAATCGGGTCCCCGCCATTACTGCTATGGGCTATTTGAAGGAACCTTGGGACGCCTTAATTCACGGCTGACAGACCTTATGTTGTTTGAAGATCGATTCATGAAGATTAGTCAGGGTGTTGAAGATGCCAATTGAGTGGAAAAGCGCCACATGGCTCGTGGGGGCGCGGCTGATTGATTAGATCCACGAACAGATAAGAGACAACCCCTGCTTCACACCAGACCGTTCCAGGCACTTTTTCACAGTAGATCCGGGTCCTGTATCCGGCCCACAGTCGGAAGCCCGGCGAAACAACGGCTAACTCCACAAGCGACGCAGAGAAAAAGACTCGCCCGCACCACCCAATCCTGAATCGGATTAGATAGCTTAGATAGCCTCCCTGAGTCAGTGCTGCCTTCCGATTGGGTTCTGTGCCAGGCTATCCCTTGCAATAGTATGCGGTGTAAAGACGGGTACAAAAGCCAAGCAACTCAGGTCTTCCGGTCACGCTATTCCCGTCGGGCCCACATAGAGACGGGGCTTCTAGAAGTTGCGACGGAAGAACATCACCCGTAGCGTGACGTAGACGGTCAAGTTTACGTACTGTACTTGGCTGTGACTTTGTGTCATGTTAAGCGATTGCTCGTCATAATAGTTGCCACATTGCTCGTTTGTATCTGAACAATTTAGTAATTGAAGATGCAGAGCCCGCTTTTTGAACGGTCCACACCGTGAAAGCAAGGAATCTATCCAAGTTCCATGCAGGGACTCCCTAGTGAAAATGCTGCTGAACCCACCCGGATTGTATCGGTACGTGGGGCAGCGCTGCCACCCTTGGCCCCTTGGCTCATACAGACCCATACGCAAGAATACGTAAACAAATGAAGTGTGGGTGTGCATTACCCCACTTACATGTACCAGTACCGGAACCGGGCCCGGATCGGATCTGATAATTTTCACACCGATGTCGCGTCTTATCAGATCCTGTCATTTCCTTCCATTCCAAGACCGACTCCGAAATAACACAGTATATTATTAGCTAGGGTCATTTCCCTCAATCTCCACGTTTCTTTTCTTTTTCTCTCCACTCCTCTTTTCTTCCTTACGCTCCTCTCTTCGTCAAATTCCACCAGCTACGCAATCTACAATGCCTTCTAATGATGGTGTGCGGGCCGTCGCTCGATCCTTCCGGGTCCTGATCATCGGTGGCTCTTATGGTGGACTCGCTGCCGCTTTGAATTTGAGTGACCGGGCGCGGGGTCGTGTATGTCGCTTCAACTCTAACCCTGATGCGAAACCGCCCTCGTACAAAATTCCTCTCCAGATCACCGTTGTGGATGAGCGAGATGGCTACTGTAAGCGTTGAATTTGAAGAAATGATTTCGTGATGTGCTGACGAGTATGCTAGTCCATTTAATTGGATCTCCCAAGTCGCTGGCATGTGAGAAATTTGCCGCAGAGTCGTGGACGCGCTTTAAAGATATTCCTGCACTCAGGTCGCCAGATTTCAGCTTCATTCAAGGGACAGTCAGCAGAATAGATAGCGCATCGAAGATTGCTCATATTCTTGACTCTGAAACGCAACAAAATCGGACGGAAAAGTATGATTATATGATCGCGGCATCGGGTTTACGGAGAATCTTCCCTGTCGCGCCGCAGTCTGTACGACGGGAGGACTTCCTCGAAGAGGCGAAGAAGCACGTGGATAATGTGCGCAATGCCAGTCAAGGAATTGTGGTCGTTGGTGGAGGTTTGTATCAGAATGGAACCTCTAGGGAACAGTCACTGATCTGATGATAGGCGCGGTCGGAATTGAAATGGCAGCCGAGCTAAAGATCCTCTACCCGGAGCAGAAGATCACCCTTATTCATTCTCGAAGCCGATTGCTATCATCTGAGGAGCTGCCCGATGACTTTGCCGAGCGCGCGCTCGCGATCCTTCGCGAGGAGAATGTGGAGGTGATCTTAGGAAAGCGTGTCGTCGATACAACCGCCGTCGACTCAGGCAAGGAGCGCGTGTGGCGCTTGACGTTGGCTGACGGCCAGCAGCTCACGACTGGACTTGTGCTGAGTGCCATCTCACAACCAGTCCCTACATCGACATATTTGGAGCCAGAGGCACTGAATGAAGAAGGGTTGATCAAGATCCATCCGTCGTATGTGCCCATTATCCTATATCATTACAAATTAATCTGACATGCTCGCAGCCTTCAATTCTCCGGTAACATCCCCAATGCAGAGCATCATTTCGCGGTTGGCGATCTTGCAGCATGGTCAGGTATCAAGCGCTGTGGTGGCGCAATGCACATGGGTCAGTATGCAGCCAACAACGTTCACCAACACATGCTGGCCGAATGCACAGGCGAGAAACCTACTTACATGAACTTGACCCCCTTCCCGAACGTGATCGGGCTGGCTCTTGGCAAGAAGTGCGCGACTTATAACGCAGCTGAAGGCACCAAGGATGGAGAGGACCTGATGGATGTCATGTTCGGCAAAGACATGGCCAACAGCAGTAAGCATAAACTTCAACCCGAGATGTCGCATTGGCTAACAACTAAGTCTGTTGGAACTATATGCGCCTTAGCGACCCGCCTCAAGCTTGAAGCAGTATGCTTGATCATTTCCTCTATATCCAATTTCCATGTCAAGCATGAAGCCTTAGACCCTGGGACAGCGACTTAATTTGAGCCTTGTTTATTTCCGCTAGTAAATTGATCATTGATGCAATCGCACTTGTGTCTTGTCCAAGGAATGCAAATTGTACAATTGTTGCGGAGAATGCTCCCGCCAGCATGATGAACATTCCGACGTACACCGTCCATACCGATCATAAGCACCCACTCGAAAGCGCCGACAAGAAAGACAGATGACAAACACTCGTCCTTGAATTGCTACCTGCGCGCCGGGGCCATACCGGGCCGTACCCTCCCGCGGCTTCAGCCCACACTCAATACAGAATCGCTTGTCACTATCGGCGCCCGATCGACTTCTACGGCGTCGAAGCATTCGATCGGCGAACTCACGCGCCGGGCGCAGCCGTAAACAGTAGCGACAGGTGTAGATATCTTTGAGGCGGGCCCATTCTGTAGATTCGGCCTGTAGGAGCTGGATGTGGGAAGGGCGGGGGATCTGGTCGTAAAGGTACGCGCAGGTAAACCTTAGGTTGAGGACGTCATGGATAGGTAGGAATTCGGCGATTAGTATCAGGAGCTCGGGTGGGAGGTTAAGGAGGTGACGCATGAAGTGGGTAAGAGGAAGCTCGAGCTCGGATGCGGGGTGCGGGTGGAAATATGTATTTAGCCACTCATATTACTTCGCTCACTGTTCCATGGACCTTATAGAAACCAGATAGTAGTGTTTCAGGATACATAGAAATCTATTCCATCACACAGTCATGAAGGTCATCATTACCCTGAGAATCTTTGGATCAAGCTATGTCTCAGAATCCGCAAGGCTACGCATCCTGAATCCACTCGTTCCAAGGTTTCTTGCTGACTTCCGGTGGAGCCCTTCTCGTTGCCCCATGAGTCAACTGACCCTTTTGGCCCCGAATAAAGCATTATAAAGCTTAGAGGGAATCCGAAATAAATCTACATCTTAACTACCATTAAAATAATTCGGCAATCAAGAACCAAAATGGCTCCATTCGGTACAATCTGGTCCTACATGCCAAGTGCACGAGTCAGCAAGGTAAGAAACCAATTCAACCATACCAGCCTTTAAACTGACTGAAACCCAGATCGAAGCAGTAGCCAACCTAAACGGCCTAGAACTAGAGATACCCAAAGGCTTTGTCCTCTACAAAGACAATTTCACAGAGGAATACCTCTCCAAATTCCCCCTGGGCAAGGTGCCCGGCTTTGAAGGCGCAGACGGAACACGTCTAGTCGAATCCGACGCCATCGCGCAATACGTCGCAGAAAGCGGGCCACTATCCGACCAGCTCCTTGGCTCTACACCCCTAGAGCGCGCATCAATCCGATCATGGATCAGCTTCTCAGATCACGCATTCCTGCGCGTTATCCGGGAACTGGTTATGTGGCGATTTGGAAAATGGGATTATAATGAGGAGAGAGAGGCCACGCAGCTTGCATTGTTGGAAAGGGGTCTTGCCTATATGGAAGGCCATCTGGAGGGCAGGACGTGGTTGGGAGAGAATGGAAAGTTGAGTCTGGGGGATATTACTGTTGCGGCGCCTTTGCATATGGGGTTCATTTTGATTATTGATAAAGAGATGCGGGCGAAGTATCCGCTGGTTACAAGTTGGTTTGAGCGGGTTATGGCTGTTGAAGAGGTCGGGAGGGCGATGGGGGAGGTGAAGTTTATCGAGAAGAGGCAGGTATACCAGGGTAAGATTGAAGCGTGATGATTTTCGCAAATGGGTGGTGTAGATAGAGGATTTTAGGAGTCGAATAGGTATAGATGAAGTCGGGGGACAAGGTTGACTTATTCGCAAACGAAATTGCGATACTTGTCTGGAGTAGAATAGACTAGTAGAGCAAATTCCGAATAGCATCAAGATAACAGAGAAACAAAAGTATTATTGCTCGGGCGAATCTCAACCGTCCAACAACTTTCAGTCATTAGACCCCGGCCAATACTATCCTCGGTGGTATCACGTGATTAACACTCTGTGACGACTAGGCTATCGGTAAGACTTGCTTGCTTTTTCTCTAAAAAAAAAACTTGTGAAGCAACAGGGCCAACAAATTGAGAGTTGTGTTTGGGTTTTATGAATTCTGACCCACTTCCTGTGAACATGCTCTGATATAGAAAAATTGGAATATCTGTTTTCTTTTGGAAAGATTCGCTCTATACAAGGGTCGAGAGGCTGTGTCTAGGTTTGCAATCTGGGAATTCTTATTTGCATGTAAGTTTGTATAAAAATAAGAGATGTCAATTTTCTAACAACAATCAGTCTCTAAAGATCCCACACTCGATTCTTGGTATGGCCGTTCAGATTATGATTTGAAATGCTTAAGCAATATGTTTCATGTATATGTCTTTCTTACATTGCGCAGTTGGAGACTCCACATTGGACAGAATAACACTATCCTGCCCGCTATAATTCCTCTTCTAGGCATATCCGCAAACGAATGGTGACGAACCAAATACTAAAATATGACACTATGGATAGTGAAACTATGAAATAATCACCACCCACACAGTCACGCTTTGATTCTCGGCCCATACCCGAATTCACGCTGATCTTTACGAGGGTAGGCCGTGAATAGTCTTTTTTAAGAATGAAACGTCCCATGATTACAGAAAGACCGACTTACTGATGATACTATACTCAACGAGAGCTACCATGCATTTCAACCTACCTAGTGTAGTGGGTAACTAAGCGCATTCGTGCAGGGGTATGCGAATCAGACCATTTCTCCTCCTAAAAGCCACCTCTAGGCCTCCTTTGCTGTCTCCGACTACCTCCCGTGGCTGAAACAGCTTTGAAGAATAGGTTTGGCTCGCAGACAACTCTCCACTTCACTGGGTAGGTCTATGCGCCCCTGGCATCCATTTTTTTCAATACTACTATCTAAAGATCTGCCAACACCCCTGCGTGACATGGAACCTAAAGTTTCTCGCTCTAAGCTACCTCTCAACATTTTCAGGATGAAATGCAGTCGCTAATCTGCTTTTGCATAGCTGAGGTGCTCAAATGTAACTAACAGACGATCGAGCGTATCCTTGGGGACTAACGCCGATTTGAACGCGTCTACAATCCGCCCTCTTAACCTTCGCGTTGGGAGACTAAGTGTCATAGCACTTCTTCCAGAAGCACTCTGTAACTATTTGCCTGAAAGGTTAAGTCTATACCTCGAGAGGCTATTACTCTATAGGTATAGGTTGTGACGGCCAGTGTGTAAGTAACAGGAAACGGCGCTGGCGGTAAGTAGCCTAGCGGCCCCTGTAATGGCCATGGTGGTTCCCAAGAATCATTCACTCTCGGTGGCCCAGCAGCAATTTTTGAACAGTGTGGCCCCTTCGACAGTCAGCGACTGCAGGGATTGCAACATGAAAACTCTTTTTTTGCTTCTCTGTTATGCAGTGCCAAGGTTCCTTGAGGTTCATTTACAAAAAGACTCTTCAGTCCTATTATAGGCCACCGATGATCATACATTTCATTGCAGCGTTAGTCTAATTATTAAGATCTGTTGCTGTCTTTATTGCTAAAAGATACTGAAAAACAGGATGATGAAATGAATTATTGTGCATGGGAATAGATAAAACACGGGCTTCCAATGAAAGAAAGAGAAAAAGGCAGTAATATGCACCATCAATCATTCGACACAAAATTGAGATTTGAGCACAAAACCAATCGTCATACCTTGACCAAGACATCTTCATGTCCCAAGGATAGCATCCAGCAACTGCCACTCGAGACAATAACCAGCTAGTTTCAGATCAAGTATCCGAAATGATCTCTTAGGCCCGACACAACATAAGGAGATCCATGAATACGACAGAAGGTCTCAGGTCGATTTTAGAATCGATTGAATGACCGCGTGTAGAAGGCGGCCCGACTTAGAAGCACGAAGGCTTCTGTCAGATGAATGGCCGCAAACGTAGCTAAGCAAAACATGGAGGTAATGCACGTGGACGCCATACCGAGACACTTGATGCCAAGAAGAGATAAAATGGTAAGGAGGACGCTAACGCCGCATGACATGATGACGAAGCTGCGGTCTTATCATATTAGCAAGGGAAGAAAGTCTTTCGGGTGACCAGGTGTTACTTGCATCTGACCCAACCCATGCTTTTCTGTAATTAGCCACCACAGAGCTACTTCGAACGCCAAGTAAGAGGCTTGAGCACTGCGAAGGCAGTCAGTGACATAATATTTAAGCGTGGTTCAGAGTGGCGAGCTCACCAGGCGAGAGATAAATCACTGAAAGTTGCATCCTGAGATACTCCCAGTGCGCCCAATAAGGACCCTAGTGCCCAAAGTAGCAGCTTCTTTCGAGCTTTCTGCTTGTAAAGGGTCCTGCTACACAATATACTGAAAGCCACAATAAAAAGGGGCATGATTGATTGTAGCGCAGATGTAAGCAGGTCTTCAAGTATCTTTAAGAGTTTGAATTTCAGGTCGTTATCGAATTCCGAGGATGCTAGAGCGTTGTTACAGTTACTTTTACTGTTGCAGGGGATCGGACTGGCAGACACCCTTGAGGAATGAAGCAAAATCATCCAGGCTATCATGCCGGAAATCCCCACCTCTCTTCCACGGGCAAACCTTTGAGTTCTGTAATGTTATCAAAACGTCGTGAATTGAGAATTGGGAAGGTACATACCGTTTGCCAAGGAGAGGCTGGATGCGACTCAGACCTAGCTTGTTATATAGTGAGTGGTGGATATGAAAGGTGCGAGGGAGGCAATATCCGACGCAATCGCTCCACAACAAGCAGAGCTTTCCAAAAGTAAAGTCTAAAGTGTGCCTTTGTGGGGGCACCTCCTCTAGAAAGCGGGTAACGGAAGTGATCTGGCCGGGATTGAGCATTGTGGCCGCGCTAGACTTTTGGACCAGGGACTCCTTCGGGCCCTCCTCGCCTAGCGTATCGTGATCGGTGATGGCAGTGAGAAAGGAGGCAGCCCATTGCGACGACATTTCTGGTCGCCGGGCGACGGGCACGATGGTGTCATAGCTTGTCGCAATCCCTTTGGGAGCGCACGGCATGAGACTGGGTTGTTCAGACGGATGATGCCTAGGAATAGACTCTCCGGTGACAGGTTCGTGGTCGGACGCCTCGTCCGAGCAGAGGCCACGGAGGGCCTTGGACGGCTGATCCGAATGGCTGATAATTCGGAGTTTGGTCCTTCCCACCTCCTGCACCTCTGTTATGAACGAGTCATGACCCTCAGAGGCCTGTGTGACTACAGAGATTTCTGCCCATAGGTACGACTTGGCATCAGTGCGGGGTTCGACAAAGTCAAGACTGTGGCCTGGTGAATGTTGTCAGCAATTATGGTCCTCTCTCTCATAATACATCGCTCGATGAGCTATCCGGCATCACTGACACGCGTCAAGAAAGGTTCGAATAAACATGTTGCATCAAGCTCCACGTGTCGTGGTGGAGTGTACCTGGATGCTTGCGCGCGGGGAGCCGGGTGGGTCATAGCAGACGAACTACAAATGAAAGAGAGCGGGGTCATGCATCTAATCATCTTTGGCCAATTATATTAAAGCCCAAGAGCGCAGGTCAGCCCCGCTTTTATTTGCCAACGTCATCACTGTTTCTTCACGATCCACTCCGCAATGTCAACAGCCATCACTGCAAACACCGCTGGTATTAATATCTTGAGCAGCTTCTGCGTTATCTCCGCTTTCAATACTTATGATGCCTTCATCGCTTACAGGAAGACTGCTGATCCTTTTTCAGGCGCTCTCATGTCGCTCCTATCCAGATCATCAAGCACGTTTACATGCAGCTCTCGAACATCGAACCCCTTCAGTCGACGTAGTAGCAGTAATCTGCAATCCCGAGAGCATTTCAGCCAGGGAAAGATATAAACTTCTATCATGGAGGCCTTCGAAAGATGAGCAGGATCTTACCACCGCACGCATTCTGCGGTTTCCCCATCACTACGACACATGCATGCCTTGTCTTTCGGCTCAGCCCGACGAGACTTGGTTATGCCAAAGCTTTGATGGCCTCTTTAGAGAACTGGCTGTGAGACGGAGAGACTCAAGTTACGAAAAAAACGCACGGCCAATAATATTCATTATTCCGGACTGCGTTGACCGGCTTGTGAGGGGCGCACTTGAATTAGCAAGATGTCAGGCAGATAAAGATCCCGAACTTCTTCATACCGTGAACTCTACATATGGAGTTATCACTGTTGAAGAATCTCGCTGCGCACATGCCTTATCTAATGTGTGTCTTACCGCAGGCCAGTTGTTATGTTCCGCTCTTATGACCCTGTACCAATTTTCTCACGCTGAGAATTTGGCATTCCGCTTGTTTGCGAAGGATACTACTTCTGCTTCGGTGGAAGGTTTTTGGATAAGCATGCGATCAGAATTATTGATCCAATGCAATACAACTTGCGGAATTTTACCAAGTTCTGTTATAGGATTAGTAAGCTCATCATGACTCAAGATGAAAAAACAAGTCTCACATATATTAGGTCACACCATCGTTTGGCAGCCTTGGCATAGTAAGGACCTTTCTATGTCCGACTCCAACTACATTTCTGCTCGCAGCCATAGCGCATGGCATTTTGTGTATGGCACAATACCAAATAATTCTGGAGGACTGCCGTCAGCAAGCCATTATCGGGATCTGTCTAGTTTCGGGAATGCTCACAAGTCTGGCAACTTATGTGATCTATGGCGAAAACATTTCTATGATAATGTTTTCGCACAGTATCACAATTGCTTTGGCTATTGGCGCATGCCTTCAGTGGCTTGGCCAGCTTTTTATCAAGTTGTCACGGCCGACTTTTGGACAGACTATACACAAATGGACTTCTGATATCATGTCTACAAGTACTGGTAGTCATGGAATCATATTCCAGAAGACAAGTTGGGATGCCGATATACTTCACGTGGCCGATAATGAGAAGTAAGCCTGGGGCGCGGTTATATTGATGGACGTGGGACTGTCTTTACGTTCGCTTGTTATTACTTTGCTACCTTGTTCGGTTCTCGCGAGCCCGCGAAATTCAGTGAGCAATATCTCTATGCTCTTCTACAAGCCAGTAGACTACGAGGTGATACCAATCAGAGTCCACCAATTTTAACAATACGCTTCAAACTTTCTTCATGTAGAGACAAATAACAGTATCCACAAGCGAGTGATCACCCATTACATCGTTGTGAATACTGTAATGTGATTGACGAGTAAATATGACACGATCTGTCTTTCCTTACCGGCGGACAGCATGGCAAACGGCTGGAGCGAAGACGTGATTCTGGGGAAGAGCAAATAGTTCGCTTGCTTCTTTCTTCCTCCCTTCTTCTTCTTTTTCTCTTGCTTTATCTGTTTACCTCTGTTAGTCAGGTCCTTCAGTTCGTCTTCATCATCCTTCACAGAGTTCAAATGCGATTCATTCTTGACGGTATCTCTACCACCTATTAATTCCATTTCAATACGTGTAGATAGTTATTAGGTATCTTAGCAACTAAGCGACAAGTTATCCTTACAAACTCCTCAACCTGGAAAATGCAAATGCCTGAATACCGCCTAAAATGAAAAGAAAAGTCCCAATAGATACAGGACCATTCCTAGTTTGTTGATCGGGAAATCGATCATGGTGTTTTGGGCGCCAATCAACCTTGGAATCTTTGTGAGTTTCCTAACATGTCGAAAAGCTGGTATAAATTGGTATTGAAAAGAATATATCCAGACGCTGGATATCATTAAAAGACATGATGGATTCCCATATGGTTGATGCAATATACAGGGCTGACTAAAGACGTGCCATCCGAGTCTTTCCAAGTTGGTTCATCTCCTTCGCAAGCTTTGAGCTGGCCCAGTCGGCGATAGCCATATTGGTGACCATGGGGTTCACACCACTGGCACTGGGGAACACGGAAGCATCCACAACATACAAGCCATCAGTACCCCAGACCTGGCAATCCGAGTCCACAACACTTGTCTTGGGGGACTTGCCCATTCGACAGGTACCCATCTGATGAGCACTGGCAAACACGGCCTTCTCTGCCTCCAAGGGTGATTTCCGGCGCAGCTCGGCAATCCAGTTCTGCAGGGCAACGTCGTTTACTCCCTCAGGAGAATCTGGATCAGAGGAATCCGGTCGTACAAAAGGCTCAATATCACTGTAGGTGGTGATGAACTCCTTCGCTCCTGAGATATAAGCGATCTTGGCGGCCGCAATCAAGCCCTCCACAATATGCCTTCGGTCGAAGCTGGAGACCTGGTAGTCGATTCGGACACGTCCATCATTTGGATCTGGGTATACACGCCCGCCATCTCGATCTTTGGTCAGGGTGATGAAGCTTGTGCTCCGACGCGTCTTGGCCACAGACATCTTATAATCCAGTGCTTCTTTCCAGGGGAAGATGGGAACAAAGATGGATGGAACCATTGCGGCGGATTCAATCTTGACTCCATGGCCGTGCCCATCTAGATCTTCGAATTCATTAACCACCGTTGTCAAGGCTGAGCCTACCCAGGGATGGGTATCCTCATCAAAGGTAGCGATGGCACCCAACACCGGGTGCAAATGGAGGTTTCGACCAATCTGAGAGTTCTTAAGACCACTTCGAAGGAGCAGAAGAGGGCTATGCAATGTGCCAGATGAAACGATAACCTTCTTGGCCTTGATGATGACCTTTCTCTTGGTGGCGCCAACGCCACCGAGGCCAAGGTACTGATCTCGCGATGTCCAGGTTCCCTCCACACCAATGGCCACCTTTCCGCTCTTCTTATCAAACAGGACTTTTTCCGCGTGGAACCCCTCCATAAAGGTCGCGCCTGCCCTTGCGGCATCTGCAAGGAAGGTTTCAATGGGACCCTTCTTAATGGAAGATGCACAGCCCAAAGTGCAGGTTCCGCAGTAGTGCTCTGCATTGCCGGTGTTCTGAGGAACCGTCTTAGCAGCATAGCCCAGTTTGCGGGCGCCCTCCAGAATCACACTATTTTGACGATTATGGCGAACATGCTCGGTATTGACACCCATCCGGTCGCAAACACGATCAAGGCTTCTCTGGAAATCCCAAGACGTGAAGAGTGGTAGGCCTCCATTCGCCCATTCCTGACGAACATAGCCTTGAGTCTGCAGGGCGGCAGACCAATTTACGGTGCCACCGCCACCCCATGTCGAGCCCGCAAGAACGATTGTTGAGCCGTCCTCAGTCACAATAGCGCCTGAGGCCTCGAACATGTTCACATAGGCTTCATTTTGTGACATGGGGAAAGTGTTACTTTTGTACGAATAGGACTTTTCCACCACAAGCACTCGAAGCCCAGCCTCGGCGAGATTCTTCGCAGCAACTGCTCCACCACAACCGCTACCTACAATGACGACATCGGTTTCAATTGTCTCGGGACCGTCACCAGGCGGGATCTGCAAGAATTCATAAGGGAATCCATCGGCAGGTTTGCCATGGGTGGGCACACGCGGATAGCCGAGAACTTTCTCTACGGTTGGACTGGCCAACACCCATGACTTTTTCACGATTAGAGTCAACCCTCGGTGAACACCACGTAGAGGTGACAATCGAGAAGACTTCCAGCCTAGGAACACTTTCTCCCGGAAAGCAACAGGTTGCTGATGGATGGGAGTCGTGGAGCCAGTCATGATGAGTGATCCAGCTCGGGTACTACAGATTGTATCAGTGGCTGCTTCTGTTGGACGATATCAAAATTCTTACTTGAGCGCATTCAAAATAAACCCAAGGCCATTCCGGCCTTCATTGTGGGTGTTACCCACAGTGCGCTCCACAATAGCACGGAACACAGGGTTTGAAGACAGATCTTCCTCCAGGTATTGAATCGCGAGTTGCTTCGCATCTGGACCCGGAATCAGGGATGTGAGCTTGTTGACTGCCGCATCATATTCGGCATTCGAGATCACTTTGTCGTTTGGAGACTGAGGCGCTGTCCGAATGGATGGCACGAGCGCGTCACAAAGCGCAAATAGGGTCTTCCATTGTAGCTCGGACCAGAATGAGGTATCTGGAGCTTGGGGAATAGGTACCTCCAGCGGTACGTAGTTGGTGTAATCGGACATTGCTTGGTCAGACATGATGATGATAAGTCGCCACCTCTTGAATATGATATCAAGGAATCCCAGTGGCAGTCATCTAATTAAACGAAATTGAAATAAGTTGTGGAGAAAGCACAGATATACAGCCAGCTCAGCTCATTTCCCCACAGTAGTGTCTGTGCAGAATGCTGGAGAAAGCAAAGATCGGAGTGCGTTCAGAGCCATGGGGCGCGGTCGAAGAGGGGCCGAGGCTGCGGAGCATGGTTCGATGCGTACTTGTTGAAGTTGTAGTGGGTCTGGGGGTGTTCTGCCAGTCACCGTGACCGGATATAGTAGATCTTTGGGTGCGGTGCGGGGGCGGAATGCCCCTAAAAGCCGAGTTTCCACCCCATGTGACCGAGAACCAGGTTTCGAATATAACTGAAAGGGGTAAGAAGTCTCCGGCCGAAGAATCACGATGGGAGTGCTATCGTTGTTGGAGTACGGAGTACACAGGGTGCCAAGTCGTCGGGAAATGAATTTCCTGGGGTCAGTGCATTTTCACACGCAGCACAGAAATCATCCGATCGAAGTCACGGTGAACGTGGTGTCCATGGACATCAATGGACCATGAAGGAACATCGCATCATGTAACCATGGTATCGTAGGCTTTCAATGGTTCCCTGCAGCCAAATCCAAGGGGTCATATACCCTTCCGTACTCGGCTGAGGAAGGATATGCATATGTAGCCTGGGGAAGCACGCGGGAGCACGAGGGCGTCTGCAAAATGGATGAATATACTGACATAGTAGATCTGGAAGAACACTATTTTCACAGCAATATGATCTTCAGCCCTAACTGATTTAAGGAAAATAGTAGTTAGGAGAATCAATAGCGCAACTTTGATTTGCTGAAATTTGGGCATACAGTGCAAGACTTCAGCCATGCCTGGTACCAGCCAAACAAGCTCAGAATCGAGATGAAGCAGGTAGGATGTATGTAAAATTTTACCATGAGCTTTAGATTGAATCAAATAATGTCACGCAATATGCACGTTCTGCTCTCTCTCTCCATGACGATGTGACGTGTGTCTTAGCCGGCAGATCTCCGATCGGCAGAGTTCCCCAGGGTTGCACCTTTCAACCATGGCGGACGCGTCGGACCCCTCGTCCAAGCAGTGCACCCTCCCCAGGGAGAAGGTCTTCTCCATCCAGATCGGTTCGGATCTATTTCGTCTCTCAGGAGCTTCAATTGCCTCAGATGGTAGGTCAATTGTTTCTCAGTCATTCCCGGTCGCAAAGCTGACCCCTCACAGCTCCATCCTACTTCTCGCGATTCTTCGAGGAGCAGATACGCATCCCCGAATCACGCAGCTGCCGCACCCTATACATCGATCGCGACCCCGAAACCTTCAAAGAGATTGCAAGGCATCTGCAAGGTAGTCACGGAGGCCCGGCGTATGGGAACAAAGGCTGATATGAACCAGGATACCATGTTCGGCCACGAGATGGCGCACAGTTTGTCAAGCTGTTCGCCGATGCTCAGTTCTATAGCCGTGAGTCTATTCTTGCTAGGGATCAGAGCTAGCATAAGCTGATTGAACTACAGTTCCCCGATTGATGTCCCAACTTTTCGAATCCGAGATCTTCATCCAAATCGGTGACCGCCACTTCCAAATTCCGCGCGATATCTTCTCAAGTCCTGGCGACTCCCCCAATTTCTTCACACTGGGCTTTGGAGCCTTCTTCGCTTCCCCATCGGAAGTTTTCCCTGGTCTGGACCGGGTTGGACTCCTCCGTCCACCAGCTATCACACCCCCAAGCGTACCCAATCGCTCCGCGGAGGTCTTCGCAGAGCTCGTACACCTGCTACGTGGATACCCATTACATATTCGAAATGATGAGCACCGTGCCGAACTTCTGCGGGATTGCAGATACTTCCATCTCCGGGGCTTGGAACAGAAAATAATACCACACGACATCAGCGTCAATCCTTTCAACCAGCGTTCGGAGATCGCCCTACGACTAGAGGATATCCGGCCGTCAGGCGTTCAGGTTGCCACAAACTCTATAACATCATTGGCGATGGGCGGGTTGGTTATGTACGGCCGACCATATGTGGATGATAAGCCCTTTGATCTAATGCTGGAAATCGGAGGGGAGTCGACAATAATTAGTCGGGCGGGCCAGCGTGCCGACTTCATTGGTCAAACCAAGTCCCGAATGGCGAGCCTTGTACAAATCATAGGGAAAAAGATGAACATACCCGAGGCTCATGTTGCAGGGCTTCCGCTGAATATTCGTTGGGGACAGGAGACTGACCTCACTATTGATGGGGAAAGAGATCCTCAGCGTATTACGAAATTGCTTTCTAGTGGTGAGATTGATGATGAGGGACCTCCGCTTAAGCGCCAGCGATCTGAAGGGTCGGAAGAGGGACCTTGGGTTGTTCGGAAGGGACAGTGGAGGCTGTTGGTGCAGCAGGCTGACCCTAATGGTCCTTGTGAGGTTGTTCTAGTGGCTACAAAGCTGGATGTATACACCCATCCGCGCATTCGCAACCGAGCCAGGGATTTCTTATAAGAGACAATGCAGATACGAACCCAAGATTATGATACCAGATAAGAATTAATGTGAAGTTATATGGAGTCAAGTCCATTATTGATTGATTTGATTTAATCTAATCCGAGAAGCCATCCCAGTCATCGTCATCTTCTTCTTCGTCCTCCTTCTCTTGCACAACCTTTTGCGCATCCTTTTTTATTTGGACAGGCTCCTTCTTGGCCTTTTTAGACTTGGGGGCTTGTGCCTTAGACTCAGGGTTCTTAGCCTTCGACTCCGCTTTGGTCTTAGACCCCGGGGCTTTGGTAACTGCAGATGCAAGCTTGGGATCACGAACGAATCCAGCAACGAAAAAGCCTCCAAGACCTTCAGCATCACCAGACCAGCATCGAAGACAGGCTTCCAGGTCCTCGTCTGAAAGATCATCCACTGTAGCCGGAGTAGCGTCCGATTCAGCGTTCTCCCCTGTTTCCCGATCTCGTCGAACACCCCGATGCGTCCACTTACGCAATCCGCTCGGTTGCTCATCTCGTCGCAAAAGGCGCCAGCCGCCTTCCTTAGCGACATCTGAGGCTAAGACACGCTCCACAACAGCCTCATTCTCGATTAAATGGATTGAGCAGGTGCTGTAGGTAACATGTGTTGCAGTAGGGAAACTTAAAGCATGTTCCACAATTCTCGCTTGAAGATTGGACAACTTGGTGAGACGTTCTTGGTCAACACTGTCAGTGGCGATATCATTCTCATCCGAGGGAGAGGTGTTTAAAGCGCCGGATGCTGCTTTCGGTTTTGGCTCCTCGACTTCATCCTTGTCATCAACACGTTTGCGTTTCTTGCCGCCCTGGCCCTTGGGGTTGGGAGCCTTGGATGCCGCGGCTTTGGGCAGTGTAAGCTGGGGGACATCATCGCGACCGATGATTCCACTACCTGAACAACTTGGATCCAGCAAGAGACCCGTAACCTTTTCAAATCGTTCATCCGTTGGATCGAGGGCTAGGAAATCCTGGCCTTGTAGCACAGTGACAGTGGGATCCGCCCCAGCCATGGTGACCATTTTCTGTAGTGTTTTGGATCGCATTCTAGAGGCATCCATAGAAATAATTTGCTTTCGCTTATCCTTTTGTTGCTTTGCAAGAAGAGATGCAAGGTGGGTAGTTTTATTCCCTGGGGCAGCACATCCATCTACAAGATCACCCTGCCATGGATCGTTAGGCCCACGATCACCGAGCAGGAGATAAGCAGGAAAGCACGAAGCCTTATCCTGCAAGATGATCTCGCCATTCTTGTATGCGGCAGATGAAGTGAAATCCGCTCCATAAGGCACGGCCACCAGGTCTGGAATGTGGGGGTCGACATACAGCAAACGCTGAGATTTGCGGTCATCTCCTTCTGGTGCCAATTCTGCTAGAGAATCAACATGCCGGTAATCTGCGAAGGTTGTGCGCATCTGGTCCTCCAATGAGGAACGGATATTGTTCACGCGCACCCAGCGGGGGTATATAAAATCATTGGGTCCAGCAGCCTCTCTCTTCTCTTTTAAGATCGCAGCCTTGAATTGTTCAACCGAAGCACATCCCCGGCGCACCCGTGCCTTCGTAAACTCCGCCCTCAATCGGACCTTATGCCGCTCAACGGCCTGTCGAATAGTATGCGCTGCTGGGGCCGCAATGCCATTTTTGGAGATGAGGTGGTCGTGTACAAGGAGGAGTGCGAGGAGGGGAGATAGCTAAATAAACAATTAATCAGAGCTGGACAGTCAGTAGGCATATTTTGGAGAATGCCCAGGATATCTTACCTTGCGCTCGGCGTCTAGAAGACCAGCGCGGTCGATGACATCTGCCAGAACAATGTCCCATTTCGCTGCTTCAATGATAAGAGCATAGATCTGTGCCGGTTTTGCGCGCAGGTCCCGGGCACTGTAGATTCGGGATTTGAAGGAACCACCTGATGCTGGCTCGGTCAGAATATTGACCGCATCAAAATAGAGAGACATGGTGTTGTCGTCGTTGATTGTTTCGAGCGAGAAATTAATTTCGCCGCAGATATGATCGTGTTTGGTATGTTTGCATCCCTCCTAGCCAATCAGCAAGCTCCGTACATCCATCTACTAAACCGTTATCGAGTTGTAGTTCCAACGTTACGGAAATTGTCTCTCCTTATTGTTTTCTTTTCCAACTTGCTCTTCAATGTTATCAAACTTACCGTTGGGACATATTCTAAGCTTTATATTAGAAGCCAACTTGTAGCTGTTGGTTAAGCTTGGAAGTATTCCGGGCCGCACATGTTATATACCGGCGACGATAAGCAGGCCCCGGGGTTCCGTTCCCCGCGATTTCACCTTTGACTAGACACAGTCCCTCCTATTCATTCAGACTACGTCACAAAAACAAACGTACTCAATGACAGCAAGTCTGCCGCTTACGACGGTGATCCAATCACCCCCAGGCCCTAACGCGAGGCTTGTACTCCCAGGCCAAGGATCAACCAACCCAACAACCTTCAACGATGCAATGATCGTGCGCATGCGTGTATTTGTTGACGAGCAAAAATGCTCCGCCGAAGGCGAGATTGACAGTGATGATGCACGCAGCTGGCAATGGGTTATGTACGACCCAAATTCGGCAAATGCGAAGGCACCTGTCGCAGTCATCCGGCTGGTGCCACCTCCACAGCCACCACATGCTCTCCTCACACACCCAGAAGATGTGGCTACAAAAAGCCTACCTGAATTTGATTGGGTCCATGAGCCGTGCATAAAGTTAACCCGCGTGGCCGTTATGCCCGAATACCGGGGAAAGGGACTGGGGCGGCGTTTGGTGGACACGGCCTTGGATTGGGCGAGTGATCACCCGGCTGAGATTGATGAGGCTGTGGCACAGTTGGCATCCATGTCAGACGGTACTGCTAGTGTCAAGAATTGGGAGGGATTGGTTCTTGTGCATGCGCAAGTGGATGTGGAGCAGATGTATCGTGGTTTGGGATTCCAAACGGATGAGTCGCTTGGTCGGTGGGATGAGGAGGGTATTGAACATGTGGGAATGTTCCGAAGATTAGCATTGGTTCGATGAAGCAATACGAGATGTATGGGAAAGTCTAAATATAGGGCCTTTTGAAGAAGATCAGAAGATTGGTGTATAGAAATCTGTCAGCCAATTGAATCAGTTCTCTTTCCTCTTATCTTTTCCCCATAAATTAACAAATCATGTGGTAGCAGCCGCGCTTCGCTAGAGTTTAAATTGGTACAGATAATGGAACAGCAAATCGTAAATCTCAGCCATTGGGTGAACCTGAATGCAATGACGTGAATACCCCGGGGAGGCGCGCCAGTGGCGGCCCATTCTTTCGCCTCTCCACATTTTCCCCATCACAAAAGGAACGACCAAACTACGATGATGTCTATGCCCATGGTCATGGAACCTCTAGCTTCATTTGAAGCTTGGCAATTTCTTGTTTTAATTTCCCCTCCCCTGCTCCAACATAAGACAACACAGGCAGTCATCTTACTCCTCTTCTGAGCAAAGCATTAGTACAGGATCACTACTATGTCCTTGTATATCGAAACATCAGTCTCCCTAGAATCATGACGGTCGTTGAGCAGCCCGCCAGCCCGATCTTTCAATCTGGCAGCGGGGACGTGGCTCTCGGAATTGCCGTGGTTGCATTCATGGCCATCGCGCTATACAACGCCCTCGAGCTATCGGTGCTCATTCCGCTTAGCTTCAAACGATATCACAGTCTATACTTCTGGTCACTACTGATCTCCGCCGTCCTTGGTGTCATCCCGGCCACTCTAGGGCCTAGCTTTCAGTTCTTCAACCTGGCACCTCTCTGGCTGAGCTTGACTCTATCCAACATTGGTTTCGTGTGCATGGTGCCCAATCAATCCGTCGTGCTCTACTCACGGCTGCACCTGGTGTCTCAGAATCCCCTGGTGCTGAGCATGGTCAAATGGCTGGTTATCATCGGAGGATTCGTTGTCATTCCCGCCATCGTTTTGAACTTTGGATCTAGCTACCTTCCACACGAATCATCGTGGACAAAAGGATTCGATGTATTCGAGCGGTTACAGTTGACCTGGTTCGTAGCACAGGAGATGTTAATATCTTCTATCTATATCTGGGAAACTGTCCAACTCATTCGTCTCAGTCCAGAGGGAGACAAACGACGCCATAAGATCTTATATGAACTGGTTGCTATCAATGTTGCAGCTATCGTCATGGACATAGCGTTGGTGGTACTTGAGTACTTGGGATTTTACTTCACACAAGTGATTCTCAAGGCTACAGTTTACAGCATCAAGCTTAAATTGGAATTTGCAGTGCTGGGGATGTTAGTCTCGCTTGTACATCCGCATGCAGACTCGGGACCACCAACGTGGTCTGCAGACTGGACTTCGTCAACTTTCTCATAAACACATGTTGAATAGAACACAATATTACCGGAAACCTCCATTTTCAACTTTGAAGAAACCTGTTCACATATCTTCCAGTCTTCACATAATTAGAGCATGAGTAATCATGCATGTCTAGACCCTTCCTGATTAGGCAGGCCCCTAGATATTACATAACGCCGGCACGTGATGATACCGTGTCTTCCGATGTTTGTAGAATCGCCGGCTTCCAATCTACTCCTTTGATTCATAAGCTTCCAATTTCTTCTCGGAGAAATATTAGTTGGATCGTACTGTGAGCTTGAGGTGACCCATTGTTGAGTTATCTCTTTATTCAGCTCTCAGTGATACCATGTTGCGCTCATCCATGGGACTGGGCAAGGCCCGAGTTCCAGCTTTGCGCCAACCACTTTCGAACCGTTTCGTGAAGTCCAACTCAGCGATCAATGTTGCTCGTACAACAAGAGCGAACTCCACCGTCACAAACCTCGACAACTTCCCCGCGATCGGCGAGAAACTTCACGGATTCACTGTTCGCGAGAAGAAGCATGTCCCGGAGCTCCACCTCACAGCGGTCCGACTGACTCATGACAAGACCGACGCCGACTACTTGCATGTGGCTAGAGATGACAAGAACAACGTTTTTGGTATCGGTTTCAAGACCAACCCGCCCGATGCGACAGGCGTGCCCCATATTCTTGAACACACTACATTATGTGGAAGCGAAAAGTAAGCAAACTGGATCACGGAAAGCCCGTTCAACTACTAATATTGCCTTGCTCTAGATATCCTATTCGCGACCCTTTCTTCAAGATGCTCCCGAGATCGCTTTCGAATTTCATGAATGCCTTCACCTCCTCTGATCACACCACCTACCCTTTCGCTACAACCAACCCCCAGGATTTCCAAAACCTTTTATCTGTGTATCTCGACGCCACGTTGCACCCTCTTCTCAAAAAAGATGATTTCCGTCAGGAAGGATGGCGATTGGGCCCCGAGGATCCTCGCGCTCTGCTGGCCGATCCCGACCAGAAGGCTAAGTTGGAGGACATTGTATTCAAAGGCGTCGTCTACAACGAGATGAAGGGTCAGATGTCTGATGCCAACTACTTGTATTACATTCAGTTCAAGGAGAGCATCTTCCCGGCGATGAACAACTCAGGAGGTGACCCAGAGTACATCACGGATCTTACCCATGAACAGTTGACCGACTTCTCGAAGCGCAACTACCACCCAAGCAACTCCAAGATCTTGACTTATGGCGATATGCCTTTGGGAGGTCACTTGGAGCAGATTGGTGCCGTTTTGGACGGGTTTGAACGGGGCCGGCCGGATACTGATCTGAAGCTACCTTTGGATCTTAACAAGCCAGTGGATGTGACCGTCTCTGGACCGATCGATACATTTTCCAGTGAAGATAAGCAGCATAAGACATCCACTTCCTGGTACATGGGAGATTCGACCGATACTGTGGAGACATTCTCTGTTGGAATCATCTCCTCTCTTTTCCTCGATGGCTATGGTTCACCCATGTACCGGGCCCTCATTGAGAGCGGCCTGGGATCATCTTTTACCCCCAACACTGGCTTGGATGCATCTGGCAAAGTCCCAATTTTCTCAGTTGGTGTGACTGGCGTCGGTGCCGAGGAAGCAACCCAAGTCAAGCAGGTGATCCAGAATGTCTTCCAAGAAAGTGCTTCGGCTGGATTCAGTGACGAGAAGGTGCGTGGGTTCCTGCATCAGCTGGAACTTGCGCTGCGTCACAAGACCGCGAACTTCGGAATTGGAGTTATGCAGAAGACTATTGCCTCTTGGTTCAATGGTTCCAACCCAATGAAGGACCTCGCCTGGAATGATGTTATCGAGGAGTTCAAAAAGAGATACGAGCAGCCCCGCTACCTGGAATCTCTTGTGGAAAAGTATCTCCTGAATGATCGTTCCATGACCTTCACCATGGTCGGCTCCCCAACATTCAACAAGGAACTGGATGACAAGGAGGCCATTCGCAAGGAGTCGAAACTTGCTAAGCTCATTGAGCAGCATGGCTCAGTTGAGAATGCTGTAGCCAAGCTGAGCGAAGAAGAGCTGCAGCTTTTGAAGGTGCAGGAAGATGCCCAGAATGCGGACTTGAGTTGCCTCCCGTCGGTGCGGGTAAAGGATATTTCCCGCGAAAAGGAGCGCAAGCTTGTGCGCGAGTCCAAGGTCGATGATGTGGATGTTGTCTGGCGCGAGGCCCCTACGAACGGTCTGACCTACTTCCAGGCTGTCAATACCTTTGAGGGTCTTCCCGCTGACCTTCGTCTCTTGATGCCTTTGTTCAACGACTGTATTATGAGACTGGGTACTGCGAACAAGTCTATGGAGGAATGGGAGGATCTGATCAAATTGAAGACCGGCGGCATCTCGACCTCAGACTTCAACGTATCATCCGCAACCCATTTGAATCAATTCAAGGAAGGCCTGGACTTCTCTGGATATGCTATTGACAAGAACATTCCTGAAATGCTGGAAATGCTTACTACCTTGGTCACCGAAACCAACTTTTCGAGCCCCTCGGCACCAGCAATGATCCAAGAGCTATTGCGCTTGACCACAAACGGAGCTATCGATTCTGTTGCCGGAACTGGTCATCGCTATGCCGTTAATGCCGCAGCTGCTAGTATCTCGCCGAACCTCTGGGTGCAGGAGCAGCAGTCCGGTCTTGAGCAGCTGCAGGCCACTGCTAACCTTCTGCGCGACGCAGAATCCTCCCCTGAGCGCCTCCAGGAGTTGATTGAGAAGCTGCGTCTGATCCAGTCATTCGCGATCTCAAAGAGCTCCAATCTTCGCGTTCGTATGGTTTGCGAGGCTGAAAGTGCTGCGCAAAATGAGACCGTATTGCAAAAGTGGATGGCCGGTCTGCCCCGAGTCCGTTCGCCGCAGTCAACCGCCTCTACAGCTGGTTTCCAGCCATTCGAGAAGGCATTCTACGATCTTCCATACAAGGTCTATTACTCCGGCCAAGTATCCCAGACTGTGCCATTTGTCGACCCCGCTAGCGCCCCACTCACAGTGATGTCGCAGCTTCTCACCCACAACTACTTGCACCCTGAAATCCGAGAGAAGGGTGGCGCTTATGGCGCCGGAGCCAGCAACGGCCCTCTTAAGGGTATCTTCACCTTCATGAGTTACCGCGATCCGAACCCCTTGAACACCCTGAAGGTCTTCAAGAACAGTGGTGCCTTTGCCAGAGACCGTGCCTGGTCTGAGCGTGAGATCGAAGAGGCCAAGCTTGGTATCTTCCAAGGCCTCGACGCCCCAGTCAGTGTCGATAGCGAGGGATCCCGCTACTTCATGAGCGGCGTCACCCACGAGATGGACCAGCGCTGGCGAGAGCAAGTCCTTGACGTGACCGCCAAGGATGTGAACGAAGTCGCTGATCGATTCCTGGTTAACGGTTCTCGCAGCGCAACCTGCGTACTTGGCGAGAAGAAGGATTGGGCTGGCTCTGAATGGGATGTGCGCAAGCTATCCATGGGCCAACAAGAAGCCTCTCAATAGAGATTTCGCCAGTCCTACATTGCATCGCTCGGCTAGCTGACATATCGCGGCTTGTCGAGTTCCAAGGGAAGTCTTTTCCCGTGTACTTTTAAACGCCCATGTTCGAGTATTTATGCATCACCTTGTACATACATGTATACTAACCGGACTGATGAATCTCCGGTCTTGCTTTTCTTTTCTTTTCCTCATCCTTCCTTATCTCATATACACCGCGCTGCAAGATCTATACGTGCTTCGTGCACACGAGCTCCTCACGTCTCCAACCAGCTGTCTCTATTGGTTGATGGATGTGGCATCTTTTCATTGATTTATCGGTGGGATGCAAGCGCAAGAACAACTGGAATGTGAGCCCTTGAGGCACACTTCTTATTTCCGTTTCTCGGAACCGCTCTGGACTTTCAGCCTACGCAGAGCGGACTAAAAACGTGAGAACATAAATAGAACCCATGCATATTCGTAGAAATTCAGTGGACACCGTTTGTACTTTGTCTTATTTTGACTTTCAAATTCATTCAACTCTATGTAACAAAGTACATATGGAATTTTCAGAGATAGTGCTTCATTCATGGCGCGTAAGAGATTAGCATTCACAACATATTTGTTCAAGCGGCGCCTCATATATCATCGACTAGATTAACGCCGCAATAAGACTTAACTCTTCCCGAAATTCGCCCCCCTCTTTCTATACCCGACATATTTGGACGCGTGATGTTTGACGGAGCACGACAATCCGTTGGGCAATTCAGATGTACAAATCGACGGAGCCTCACTCTCCGCTGTGGGGCAGAACATGGCGGGGAGGTGGCGTCGTTGCATAAGTGCTCTGCAAGTGCCAACCTATAAAACGGCCACAGATGCCAATGTTGAAGGACGATGATAAGATAGAGTCATACGAAGTATAATTTCCCACATTTCACCCTACAATATCTGATTAATCGTGCACACATTATGGCGACTACAACATCTATAGCGACCAACAATGGAACACTGGAAGCAAAGGCACCAGAGAATTCACAGCAAGATTCATTCTTTGAAGATGTCCACTTTCTAGGTGATAAAGAAGGTCGCGTGGTCATCCGCTCACCCCCGAAATTCGAAGATAAAGAAGCAGAGTGCGCATACCAAAAGCAGCACTTGGCCGTCGCATTCCGGGTATTCGCAAAGCAGGGCTTCGACGAGGGTGTTGCTGGACATATCTCTCTTAGAGATCCTATTAATCCAGGTAAGCAATTATGTTGGCTTTGAGACTCACGAAAAAATTGGAAATCATCAAGTTATATTTCCTTAGATGAAAAACTATACTAACATGGATAAATATAGAACACTTCTGGATCAACCCACTTAGCATGCACTTCTCAATGATCAGCGTCTCAGACCTCGTCCTAGTAAACGAATCAGGACAAGTCCTCCCAGGAGGAGCCCAACACCCAATTAACGGCCCAGCCTTCGCAATCCACAGCGAAATCCACAAAGCCCGACCAGATCTCAACGCAGCCTGCCACGCACACTCCATCTACGGAAAGGCCTTCTCCTGCTACGGCCGACCAATCGAGATGCTATACCAAGACGCCCTACGTTTTTACAATGACCTAGCGGTGTACAACCGATACGGCGGCACAGTCGTTTCAACCGAAGAAGGAGCTCGTATCGCCAAAGCGCTCGGCCCAACATGTCGGAGTGTGATTTTGCAGAACCATGGTATGATCACTTGTGGTCGGACTGTGGATGAAGCCGCGTTCCTGTTTATAGCACTGGATCGATGCTGTCATTCGCAGTTGCTTGCTAATGCAGCCACCGGACCGGGTTGGGAGAAGATCCATATTGGTAAAGAGGAGGCGGAGATGACGCATAAGAAGAGTGGGAACTCGAGTAAGATGTGGTTGGCTTTCCAGCCATACTATGATCAGGTTGTCAAGGAGGATCCATCGGTTTTGGAGTAAGCATGCATGTTTTGAGATTGTGATAGGCGTTGCATTTGTGATTTAATGCAAGTCGAGTTGCTAGTCTAGATTGCTAAAAATATACTATACTGGTATTATTGGACCTTGAAGGATTGGAGATCCGTGCTTTTTTGTGTAAGTTGCATGATGCGCATGGCCCAGGTGATTTCTCTTACCGTCTATACGGAAATACGTATGTAATAATAGATATTTATTCTTTAGGCATGACTGATGTCTGCCAATTATCATTCATGCGCTATATGTTCCATCCATGCTAATCCAAGGGTATAAGCTAATCAAAGACTCTCCAAAATGCCCATCCATGCTGCCACAAAGTAAAATCGTAAAGTGAGAAGAAGTGGAATCAGATTACCCGTTCTTCGACCCATATCTAGAAAGTGTTAGCCAATGAATAGAGTCCTGTTCAAGTGGAAGATCAAACGTACCTCCATTTTCCCCATTTCGCTTCCTTCCCGTTGAGCAATCTCTCGGGCTGAGCCTAGGAGTAGGTCCAGATCCTCCTGGTCCACCATAGTAATCATATCGCCATCGTCTTGGACCTTGATTTTCAAGGGGTGTTGGAAGCCGAATTTCTCACGAATACGAGTCTCAAAATCGGCATATTCAATTGTAGGCCCGATTATAATATACCGGATATCATCTGGTGCATGGACCTTTGTGCGGAATTTTCTTACTTCTGGTCTTCGGGAGTTTGCACGCCGTGAGAACCGTGCTGGGGATCGTGTACGCCGTTGTCGAGAAGACGAGTCACCTTCAGGTGCGGCACCTACTAACTCAAAGCCTCCATCTTTCAAGGGCTCGCCATCGCATACTTCATCAACATATTCATCTTCTTCGTTGATGTATTGTGGGGGCTGGTGTCGACTTCTTCGTCCGTAGTTTGAGTTCGGAGGGGGCTTAGACCCTGAATATGGGTCGCGCGGGTCAGCCTGTGCGTATTCTTGACTGGGCGGAAAGTCATTGTCACTATGATTCCTGCGGTGTCCTTCTTGAGGCCGGGCACGGCTTGGGTCTTGAGAATATCCGCGGATGTTCTGTTGTCGAGAAGCCGGCCCACGGGGCTCCGATGCTGTCCGTGTTGTCCCAATCCGTGGCTTTTCTGTAGATGCTAGGGAAAGTGGTGCTGCAGCCTCTGGTACACTGGGCCGACGGTCCAAGGCAGCGCCTGTTCGTTCTAGGTCTAAACGTAGCGGTCGTGCATTGGTGCGAAGTGAGGAACTGCGATGGTGGCTACTCCCTGAAGGATATCCATTGCTGGTAGAGCGGTCGTCGGGTGGCGGTGTTGGTGGGAATACGTTGCGGTTCAATGGAGGCTCTGATTGTTGACGAGTGCGGCTACTCAGATTCTTATGGACCATATTTGTGGCTGCGTAAGACATTCCATCTCGGTCCTCGAATGCTGTCTTGTCGATGACAATGGGTCTCCAATTATGTTCTGCTCCCTGACGGCGATCGGATTGAGCAACCAAGCGGGACTTGCCCAGGTAATCTTTGGATTTGAGATTCTTGACTTTGGCGGCATTAGGACGATAGATAGTTCCTACAGGAATTGAGAAGACCGTGTACCCCTAGTTTTCAGTCAGCGCAGGCATTCCCATCAACTTCTGTCCAAGGAGGCATACTTCTGCATTCTCACGTATGGCGTCCTCGATAACGTCGTGGTCTTCCGTAACCTTCTCCCTGGCAGCAAACTGCATGTCTTTCATACCAGGTTCGACTTGTTGGAGATAGATATAGCACAGACCACGATTAAACAACACCTCACATGAATACAAACGAAACCTGAGACCCAGTTGTTCATAATCGATAGACGTGTTTCCTCGAAGGTACAGTAGTGTGTCGTTGAAATTCGCTAAGGCTTCCTCGAAGTCACCGAGCAAGAAGTTCGATACACCTTGTTGGAAGTAGGCGATAGCAAGGTACCGATCCAACCCAACTGATCGCTGATAACAATCAACCTGGAAAATGAAGTTAGTAAAAAGATACCAGCCTTCTCACTACATGGGTCGACGTACGGCTTTCTCATGCTCACCCAAAGTCGCATGAATCACACCAAGGTTAAATAGGATCTTAGATGTGTCTGCAATCTCATTAAAGAGCCTTATGGCTTCTTCAAACTCCTGATGATCATAGCAGTCCAGGGCGGTCACCCACGTTTCGATTTCCTGGTTATAATCAGTATGGGGTATCATGCAATGCACCCTTATTTTGCCTCACCTGTTTCAATGACATCCTGCCAATATCCCGAATCAAGGACAACAAACGATGGCGTCCTAAGGTCCTCAATTGACCACAATGCCAGACAAGATTGAACGCGATTTCCCACCAGACCAGGTCAAGCACACAAACAGATCCAATGTGTACACCGCTAATCGGCGGGGCGGGCAAACGTCACTTCGGCGGGGTCCTCAAGTGACATATAGGGAGAACCCCCCCCTTCAACTATTATTAAAATCTGTTGGTACCAATGTGGACACGATGCCGATACGAATGTGAGCAACCAAACTTTCGAAAGCGATGCCAAGGCCCGTCACCCAAGGTTTGTCGAACAGGGGATGAGCTGCGGGACGGCTTGGGAGCGGATCAGAACCCTGATTGGAATCTTCTGAGGGTCGTGATAGACCGGACGGTCCTTTGTGCGCAGAGAGGATTACTGGAGGTTGGATACGATGCACGCGATAGAAGCCGATGTGATCCCGCCCAAGGGGAATCGGGGAAATGATCAGTCAAGAAAATGTATTTATAGAATGCAATCCCGCGATACTTCCAAAAGACCCGGTGGCTGACCGAATCAAGGACCAAGAGCACCCACTTTGGGTTGAGAAGTGAAAATGGCGGGTTTCTCACCTCCGATCACGGTTGTTGGAGGGTCCGAGTTGCGAACGCCGCGAAGTGGATATCCCGGCAACCTGGAAGCGCCGCCCCATGAGGCGGATAAGAGGAAAACGTGGTCCAGCGGGGAGTGGAAACAAAAGGGGGGATGAGGGAAGATTTGTCGGAAGCAAAGCGAATAAAAAGCAAAAAGCAAAAAAAATCCAGAAAATCCCGGAACCTGCAGAGGGGCTGCACCGAGGGGCAGGGACACCTAACGCACAGCTACTGGAACGGTTAGTCAACCCGAAGAGAAGCGCCCAGTGAAAGGGCCAAAAATAACTTGCGTTGCACCTGCAGGAGATTTATGCACGCCTCGATCAATCAGATCATCGAAGCAGCAATTTACTAGTTGACGCCTGTGAGTGGACAGCTTTGTCTTTTTTTTTTGGTGCCCATGCATCCATATGGAATCTTCAATTCATCTATGATGGTATAGCAGTGGCCCAGTGGGAAGATCATATTGGAGACTCGTGGCCAATCCCTTGGGAATAGTTCTTCAGATTTGTGACATGGGTCATCCATGACCCCTGTTACACAAACGCGCTTGTGCATGAGCTCATTGGGAGCAGATTGATTGTTTTCTTTGCAACCGTTGTCCGATTGGACTGAGAGTCGCGAATCTTCATTTCCGATATGAAGAGGGGGCGGGGGAAATAAGCTGTGGGACCGGACCCATCACAAGGGAACGACGTTTGGACCAACAGGGTTGGTGGTTGGCTCGAGCGAACGGGCCGCGAGGGACCGGAATAAATCCCAACGATGATGTCCACAATCTGGGTTTCTGCAGCGAATGGCGCTATCATTGGTCCAGGCCCACTAAACTCATGCCACGGCGCTTCCAGTGCTTTATTTAGTTGTCCAATACCCCATCTGCGGGGAACGTGATTCCTTCTCGCTTCCTACATGCCATTTTGAGAGGGGAAAGAATCCACCGAGTGGTTGGGAAGCGAGCTAGGGTTAGCGTGATGCTTAAAATGCACGAATATCCAGATTGGACTAGTGAATCCAAGAAACCGGAAAAAGGAACTTTTGAAAGCTCCAGGGCTGATGCATCATCTTCAATCACCTGATCTCACCCAGAATGTCGGGACTTTCTTATCGTTATCGTTATCTTGATCGTTATCAACGATCAGCGCCACAAGAGCAAGTGCCGACAGTCGGGGCGACTTGAATGGACGTGAAGATTTACAATCTATGGTCATTAGCCGAAATGTCAATCTCTTTAAAGAATTTGAGGCTAGTGTTCGAGGTACAGTGTTGCTCCCAAGAGATTGATATCATGTCTTAGTAGTCTAATTTCAAATACTGTCGTCATGGTTTTCATCCCCAGCTTTGAAGATAGATCTAAGCAGCTACTCACTAGGTTGGTAGGTACAATGCATGCCATATCTACTAGTAGGGCTCTTACGTATGGAGCCTGCGCATATGTAGGTGGACGAACACTAAACCCTTTTAGGTACCCGCCTTCCTGTAAAGCGGCTCAAGGAGGCGGTGTGTCGTTTCTGCCGTCATTAAAATCGAAGGATGATCGAATCTCAAGGCTACAGTTCACGGTTCATGATTCATTCATAATTTCATTTACTATTCTGCAGCAGGGAGAGAAGTCAACATGCTGGCATTCACTTAAAATTTAGATTCAATCAAAAACTCCTTTATTCTGACCCGTTTCGTTCTCTTTGTTCCTTCCCAACCATCCCGACTTTTGCGCCATGGCCTCATCCCGTCCCACGCATGCTGCTGATGAGGCGGCCTTCCTACAGGCACTGAACGTTGATGTGCAGAACCAGGATGACCTGGAGCGAGATCTTGCTCAGAAGGTCAGGCCTCACCTGCATTCACTTGAAGTGCTGGCTAACATGCCTTAGGCCGACAAACTGCTGGCTGAGAAAGCCGAGGAAAACGAGACCAAACGCCTGGAAAAAGCTTTGACTGAGATAGAGTATGTAACCTCATAACCCCAATCTATCTGTTTCCCATCCTAAAATTCTGTCCAGCAAAGCCGATGCCCAGATTCGACGACTAGAGGATCGCCTGTCCCAGCCCTTGGGCACCGCCACCCAACAACTTCGTCGCGTCGAGCTTGACCGACTCAAGTCGCGCCGGGCTGAACTAGCCAAGGATGTGCGGGATATTCAAAAGCGAATAGATGGACAACGAGAAGTTCAACAGGCGGCTTCTTCTAGCCATGGGTCAGGTCGGCTGGCGAACGAGTCTCGACGCGACTACCTCCTGCGGACCGGTCAGATTACCCCATTCGACCTCATAAACACTGGTGGATCAGAGGGACCTGCTGCAGCTCTACATGATGCTCTTGCAGGCGCAGAAGACGAACAGAGGGTCAAGGAAGAGCGAGAACAAGCTCGCCACGATGCTTCCCACCGCAACCTTGTTCGCCCTGGCCACGACTTTGACGACAGCGAAAGTAGCGCTACGAGTAGTTCAAAGCGCCAGAAGGTGGAAGCCGGACCCTCGTCTCTTAGCTCCACCCCCGGATCAACCCCGGTTCGACTAAAGATCCGCATGCCCCGCCGTTCCCTCTCCCCTTCGTCGTCCGCGAGCTATGTTGCCTCTGAAGCTTCCAGCGTCAAGTCCGAAGATGAAGAGTACATGCCCGACACACTTCCTGAGACAACATCGACTGGAAAGCGCAAACGACACCTGGGTATTAAGGACAAGGGGGATGATCTGGAGGATCTCAGCGGCGTGGACGATGGCGACGAGTCTGTTTACCAGGACCGTTTGATGGTATGGACGAAAACTCGCAGTGAAGCCCGTCGACGTGAGCAACCCGATTATCAGGACGATCCCAATGAGGACGAATGGCATAAGCCGCATCCTAAATATCCTGATCTTGAACTCCCCAATGGACTCAGCGTGCCCGGAGACATTGCACATTACCTCTTTTCATACCAAAGGACAGGTGTCCAGTGGCTATGGGAGCTTCACCAGCAGTCGGTTGGTGGCATTGTCGGAGATGAAATGGGTCTGGGAAAGACAGTACAAGCTATCACCTACGTTGCTGCGCTACACCACAGCAAAATGTACTCCAAACCTACTATCGTAGTGTGCCCTGCAACTCTGATGGTCCAGTGGGTCACTGAATTTCATAATTGGTGGCCAGCGCTGCGTGTCTCGATTTTGCATTCTTCTGGGAGTGGAATGCTTAATCTCAAAAAGGAGAACAGACGAGAAAATGCGTTGACCTCGGAGATGATGGGTTCGGGTGGTTCTCACAGTCTTTCTTCTGGCCAAAAAGCGGCTAAGAAGATCCTCAAACGTGTCGTCGAGGATGGCCACGTTCTGGTCACAACATATTCCGGCCTGCAGTCCTACGCAGATGATCTAACGGGTATTGAATGGGGGGCTGCCATCCTCGATGAAGGCCACAAAATTCGGAATCCTGATGCCGGGATAACGTTCAGTTGCAAAGAGTTGCGCACACCTCATCGCATTATCTTGTCCGGGACCCCCATCCAGAACAGTCTTATTGACCTCTGGTCCCTCTTTGATTTCGTCTTCCCAATGCGCCTCGGCACACTTGTTACATTCAAGAACCAATTTGAAATTCCCATCCGTCAAGGCGGATACGCTTCCGCCTCCAATCTCCAGGTACAAACTGCTACCAGGTGTGCGGAGACGTTGAAAGAAGCCATTACCCCCTACCTTCTCCAGCGATTCAAGACCGATGTCGCATCTGATCTTCCGAAGAAAAGTGAGCAGGTTATTTTTTGCAAACTTACACAGTACCAGCGTTCTATGTACAAACGGTACCTCAGTTCGGAAGATATGCAGTCTATCTGCAAGGGAAAAAGGAAATCTTTCTCAGGCATTGATATTCTCCGCAAAATCTGCAACCACCCAGATCTAGTTGATCGGCAACTTAGCCATCTCGGGAGTGACTATGGCCGTGAAGATCGCTCGGGTAAAATGCAAGTTCTGAGGAGCCTGCTTGAGCTTTGGAGGGACACTGGACATAAGACTTTACTCTTTGCCCAGACTGTGCAAATGCTGGACATTTTGGAAAAGTTCATTTGTTCTCTCGGAGGGTTCGCATATCGTCGGATGGACGGTTCGACTCAGATCCCTAAGCGACATGCAATTGTGACTGAGTTCAATGTCGACCCGGACCTCCACGTGTTCCTCCTGACTACGAAGGTTGGAGGTATTGGCATTAACCTCACCGGTGCTGATCGCGTCATCATTTTTGATCCCGACTGGAACCCGTCCACTGATATGCAAGCCTGCGAGCGTGCATGGCGTCTTGGCCAGAAGCGTGATGTGACAATCTTCCGGCTTATGATGAAGGGCACCATTGAAGAAAAGATTTATCACCGTCAGATCTTCAAGCAGTTCATGACCAACAAAATCACCAAGGATCCACAACAGCGTGAAGGGTTCCAACTCAACGACCTCTATGATCTGTTCACGCTTACCGAAGAGGATGACCAGGAGTTAGAAACGACACAACTCTTCAAAGATGCAGAAGTCACCTACCAGGAAGAGCAGAAGGAGACTACGAAGTCCAACTTTCCATCCCGGAAGCGTCCCATTAACAGCAATTCCGCGCCGAAGGCCAAACCTTCCTCTCCAGTCCATGTTAAAGCCGAGGAACCTGACGACCTGGGCACTGTTCAGGGAATCGCCAACGTGGAGGATTTCAAAACTGCAGCAGGTGTCAAGGCAGAAAATAATACTGAAGACAATTTCAGTGACCAAAACGCCGAACAGAATGGTGATGGCAAACAAGCCGAGGACCGCCTCATGCATAGCATTTTCTCCCGTTCAGGTGTTCATGCTGCCCTCGAACACGACCAGATCATTAACGGCAAGCGAGTAGTCCAGGCAGACCCCAAGATGGTCGAAGCCGAAGCTCGCCGTTTCGCCAACGAGAGTGCCGCTGCACTTCGTAAAGCTGAAGAAGCCGCTCGCTCCGTCCCCATTGGACTGCCCACATGGACCGGTCAGTTTGGTGTCGCCGGCCGGGATGTTGGTGGAAGCTCAGCGCGCCCTGGTCGAGGAGGACCTTCCTCCGCTTCTCTCCTCACAAACCTGAACCCAGGTGCTGCGTTGAACACCCAGCGTCCTTCTACCCCGACTTTTATGCCACGCGGCGAAGAATTTTTACCCCTTATTCAAAACTTCTTCCGGTCGCACCGTGGCCCTATAACCTCACAAGTGATTATCAACAACTTTAATCACTATTGTGCCACCGAACAGCGGCAGCAGGAGTTCTATGCAGTTTTGAAGAGAGTTGCTGAGCTCGGTCCTCCCCAACGGGGTCGTAGGCTTTGGGCATTGAAAACAAGCAGACAAGCGGCTTCTCCTCGCCCACGACCTGGAGGCACTTCCTCCCCGCGTCCTCGACCCGGAGGAACTTCTTCCCCACGGCCCCGTACTTGAGGAACCTTTTATTGATAAGAAAGATTCTACGATAAAGAAGGAAATATTTGTAAGATAAGTGACATTTACGAGGCTATGACTGAGAAGACAAACACGACACCAAAATACCTATCAATGAATATATTGAAAAATACCCCCAGACATGGCCAATGCCCTAATGACTTGGTATCAAAATCGCTTGTCAAAACCCAAGTCGTCTGTCTACAAAACAAAAACAAAAAACATAGGTAGGGCTAAAACTCCGTTCGAATCCTGGAGTTCCATCAGGACTACCTAGAATCTAAATATTGAGTTGTCAAGATCAATCGAAGTCTGGCTTGGGCGGAGAGAGCACCGTCTGGACTTCATCTTCACAATCCCACTGATCCCGATATTCTTCCATCAGCACACGAGCAGACGGCGCCCTTGCAACAAACTCCACCACAGCAGGAACGGGAAACAAAATGTGAAGTGCAGAATATACACCAGCGCTAATGGCGAAACCTGAGAGGAAGCAAATATAATATATATGCATGAAGCCCACCGGGACAATGATGTTGGGGTTCACATATGCGATGAAGCCAGGCAGTGATGGGGCGGTTCCACAAACCCACTATAATCATATCAGTACATGCTATTCAATTCCCGATCTTCCAAGACCGAGCAGAATAGGGTGGAAAAGAGGATCACTTACCCCGATAACAGCTCGCCAATCCACTCCCCATGTGTACCAATAGATGCTAGAACTATCTCCAACAAATAGATCCTCAACCTTGATCTTGCCTTTATTGACAACGAAGTAAGAAGCAATCATCAGTCCAGTCATAGGACCCAGAAAAACGGAGTAACTGCTCAGAACTGTGAGGAAAGTCGTGGCAGTATTGACAAGCTTCCAAGGGTTACAAGCAATAGAGACGATAGCAGTGATATAAGCACCTCGGCGAATATTGATATACCGGGGGAAAGTTGCCGCCAAGTCAAAGCCTGCAAATAACGTTAGTAAAAAGAGTGAGAGGTAGAACTTGAATATACTTACCACCCGCCAAAGAATTTCCAGGGACGTTCACTCCAATCTGCGAAACAACTAAAGCAGCACCACCAAAGAAAGCCGCAGCCCTTGACCTCGACCCCCCATGCTCAATCACAGCACTAAGCAGCGTAGGCAAATTCCACTGCGCCCCACCATACCGATTCTGCGTTGCAGCCGTAACCAAAATGCCAATAATCGAGCAAGTAATACCGTAAAAGGGAAAACTGATAACCTGGCCCCAAATAGCATCGGTAGGCTTCCTAGCAAAACGTGCATAATCATTCTGATTAAGAATACCAGCTGCGATGGAGCCGATTGTACTAATGATTCCAAAAGCAATATTCCACCCTGTGGCATTGCCGGAGCCGGAGAGTGTCGAGCCAAACCCACTATCGCCCATGGTTGCCAGAGACCAGATTAGAAGCACAATTTCGAATATGAGGATCGTTGCTGCAGAGGCGTAGAAGAATGTGTTTAATTTGTGCGGGTGGATCCAGATGAACGGTAGTGAAATGAGCATAAAGATTATGTAGGATACGAAGGTTGCCGTTGTTGTACCTGTTGATGCGGACAGGGTGTTCGGGATGCGAGATTCAATGTCGGGCCATATCGCTTGTAGGCAGACATAGATGCACTCTCCTCCTATCCATGCTTGGAAGCCGTCTTATCAAGTTGGTCAGCGTGATAGGATGGAGGGGACGACGTTATGCTTACACCACACTGTGAAAAAAAGGGAAGTCAGTAACGCGGTTATCGGGTATTGAATGGAGGTGTAGGGTAACTCACCAATAGAAAGAAGAATACGATTCCAGATCACGAATGCACTTCCGTACATACCCCAGACATATCGGTTGACCACGGGAAATCCCACTGTACAGGTTAGATCTGAATCACTGACAGTGGTAGATCACGTACGATAATAAAATGCACCGGGGATAGAGTTCAAGATAACAAACAAGGTTGCCAGGAGCTGTCCAGCGACAATAGCAATAATAGCTTGCCACCATGTCAATCCCAGGGCAATTAATGAACTACCAGTCATATAGGTAGAGATATTAGAGTTGACAAGCACCCCTAACAGGCATTAGCATGGCATCTTTACCCATACAGCGAACCATCGTACAAAAATTATGAAACGTCCAGTGCCCCCAAGTCCGCCGCCCAGCTTCGATAGGTTTGATATCATTGTTGATCCATCGGTCCGGCACGACTCCGCCGTCCGCGTTGATCTCGATTCTCTTCAGGAAAGCCCTGACCGACATACCGAGGGACAAGACAGGAAAGCTGGCAAAGGTTCACGGGGGAAAAAAATGAAAACAGATCATATGAATTATGGTTGGGCGGCCGCTACTACATACTCGATTTACTCCGCACTTGGTTTTGGGGTTTGTATCTGCGAGACGGAAAGACGTCGGATTTCTCTAATATAATAGTGTTAGAGATGGAAATACAAGTACTGGCTATGTACTAGACTGTGATCAGTTGACCAATTACCTTGTTAGATAAGGAAGTAAACACCCCTGCTTATCAAGTTATCAAGCTATCAGCTTATCATTATCAAAGGTGTTGTCATGCATTGTAGCAGTGCATCGTGTAACAGGGATTAGAATAGCGAGGACAAATCAGATGGAGCTGAATAGGCGACAGTGCTACACCCTTATTGCCACCACTAGCCCGCGAAAACGGATATATTTTACCCGCATCTCAGATATTGTGGAAGATATTACGCGATAAAAGGAAATTAGACAAAGGCCCAAGCAAAGATCATTCTCGGGGGTTCTGACGTGTGATTGGGTGATTAGTGTGCATGGATCTCCCACCACACGGGGTTGCATCGGGGTTCGGAGTGGATCATGATATTTCTTTGTATGCCCTAGTGTTCTAGGATCCTATTCTTTCCGCTTTCCTGTTGTAGGTGTCAGACCCCGACCCCGACTCCGACCCCGGCATGATACGTGTGATAAGGCGTGGTGGGGAAGTAGATCATTCGTGTGGAAAGTAACCTATGGATTAGTTAGGCAAGTGCATCCGTGCGCTTTAGTAAAGAGGTCACGGTGCATACAGGAACCTTATCTAACTACCTTAAGCGGTGATGTACATACGAGATGACCCTCCATATCTAGAGTTCTTATTTCATTTTCAATCAAATCTCACCTCCCACATTTTTATTACTTCACTTCTTTTAAGATATTCAACCGGTATAAGGCGATATATACAATATGACTCGCGGCGGTCCATGCCGTATCGGCGTTGATGTAGGTGGAACTAACACCGACGCCGCTATCATTGAAATTTCGGCCTCGGAGACGGAATCAAGAGGTGTACGTGCTTCAAGTAAGACACCTACAACAGTCGATATCACATCTGGCATTCATACCGTGATTGAGGATGTCTTGTCAAAGTCGTCCGTTGATCGACGGGATATCCTTAGTGTGGCTATTGGCACAACACATTTCGTGAATGCCGTTGTGGAGGCAGATGCACGACGACTTAGTAGGGTTGCTGTTGTTCGGCTCTGTGGCCCTTTCACAAAGATGGTAAAACCTCAAATATTGAACAATCACATGGTATTCAAGCTGACAGGCACGCGAAGCTGCCGCCATTTTCCGACTTTCCACCAGAGTTGAAGGATATTATGAGCGGACCAGTTTTTTATCTAGATGGAGGTAGGTAAAGACATTTTTTGCTTATGGTTGATTTTTTCTAATAGTAGAAAGGTCTGGAAATCGACGGGCGTGAGATAAATCCACTAAATCATGCCCAGATCAAAGAGACCGTGCGATCCATCAAGGCCGCAGGGATCGACAAAGTAGCTCTAGTGGGCATATTTTCTCCTCTCGACGCACAAGGACTCCACGAAGAAACATGCAAGCGACTAATGCTAGAGCAAGATCCATCCTTATCAGTAGTATGTTCACATACAATTGGAGAGATCGGGCTCTTAGAGCGCGAAAATGCGACGATCCTGAATGCCTCTATCCTAAATTTGGCCCGAAAAACAGTTCGTGCGTTCTGTGAAGCCATGAAGAAGCTTCGTCTCGATTGTCCCTTGTTCCTCACGCAAAATGATGGAACGTTAACCGATGCTGCTACGGCGGCGGAGTTACCAATCAAAACATTCGCATCTGGTCCAACAAACAGCATGACAGGTGCAGCGTACTTAGCATCATTAGACCGTGGGGAGAGTAGGGCTCGCTCTGAGACTCAGGTGCTTGTGATTGATGTTGGTGGCACGACCAGTGATGTTTGTGCATTACTTCCGTCCGGATTCCCGCGACAGGCGCCGAATTTCGTTGAGGTTGGTGGTGTGCGTACTGCATTTTCAATGCCTGAAGTACTCTGTGTTGGGCTTGGGGGAGGTAGTCGGGTTATCTATGATCAAGCTTCGGATAGTGTTCAGGTTGGCCCGGAATCAGTTGGACATTATCTGACTAGCCAGGCTTTGGTCTTTGGTGGCGATGTCATGACTACCACCGATATCGTTGTGGCTTCAGGGAAAGCGGATATTGGGGATCTGAAGAGGGCGAGGGCTATCTCGCCTAATCTAGTTTCCAAAGCACGCATGCAGATCAAGAAGATCCTTGAGCGAGCAGTTGAAGACATGAAAGTCTCCGATTTGCCTGTGACACTCCTACTCGTTGGTGGCGGGTCAATCGTTCAGATGGATGATCTAGAAGGTGTTGCTGAATGTATAATCCCGCCACATCATGATTCCGCAAATGCCGTCGGAGCTGCGATTGCGAAGGTATCGGGTGAAGTTGACATCATTGAGATCCTCGATGGTCGAGATGAGAAGACCGTGCTAGAATATGCAAAGCAGAAGGCCATTGACACCGCTGTGGCTCATGGCGCAGACAGAAACGACACTAAGATTGTGTCCGTTGACAAGCTTCCTCTTCAGTACGTCACTAACAAGGCTACGCGGTTTGTTGTCAAAGCCGTTGGTAGACTGGCGATAACTGGTGATTATTCCCCATTAACAAATGGAGCATCTTCACGCGAAGAATCTGAGGTTCACACCAACGGCGAGAGCCATCCAGAGCCAGAAAAGCAATACAAGAACAGAACTTCGGAATCACTACAATCCAGGGTAAAGTTCTCCGCCTTCATGGACATCGAAACTTACCAGCCCGATGTTCGAAACGGTGTATGGTACATCTCTCCACTTGACCTAGAATTCATGGCAACGGGAACAGGCGTACTAGGCACTGGTGGTGGAGGCTCCTCATACCTTGAATATTTACGATGCCTGGAAAGCCTTCGAGATTCTGGAAACAAAATGCGTGTCGTGTCCCCCAGCTACATGAAGGATTCGGACATTTGTGTCTTCGGATCGTGGTATGGTGCACCGAGCGTAGGCAATGAGCGCTTAGCCTCCGGTACAGAGATCATGGACGCTATAGATGTTTCTGTCAGGATGGGGGGTCATAGCCATTTTGAAGCCGTGATAGCAGATGAAATCGGTGGTGGTAATGGACTTTCGACGTTCCCTACCAGTGTCTACTATGATATTCCTGTGGTGGATGGTGACTTGATGGGTCGTGCATACCCAACAATGGAGCATGGTCAGTCCTTGACTCCCAATTTTCACTTAAACAGCAGTGATCTAATTCTTTCTCAGGCACACCATACGTCTACGGTGAGCCTATCACCCCTTGTGCGATGGCAGATGCTAGAGGAAACACATCCGTGGTTATGGTAAGGACCCCTTATACCCAGAAAAGCAAACACCCACTAACGCCAATGACAGAAAGCCGAATCAAACTCACGAGTCGAGACCATGTTGCGTACGCAATGTGTAGATCTGGGACTCAGCATTGCCATTTCCGCTACACCCTTGGCTGGAAGGGTAATCAAGCAGTATGCCATTCCGAACACGGTCTCACAAGCATGGTACATTGGACGTGCCATCCACAGAGCCAGAAAATCGAAGAGTAACCTCGTCAACTCAATTGTGAGTAAATCCGCTTCAAGATCATTCACCATCTCCTAATGTGATCGGACAGTTCGAGACTACACCAGGTTACCTTCTCTACACCGGCAAGATCATCGACGTAAAAAGAGATGTCCAAGAGGGATATACAATGGGCCGGTGCACAATCGTACCCCTCAACAACGAAGAACAAGACCTCGATGGCCCAGCCAAGATTCCCTTTGATGACACCCGCTGCTTGATAGTTCCATTCCAGAACGAATTCCTCTACGCTGCGTACGCAGACATTGCTAACCCGGACGATTCCTCCAAACATGAGATTGTCTGCACTGTCCCAGATCTCATCTCCATTCTGGGACAAGATGGTGAAGCGATAGGATCCCAGGATCTGCGTTATGGTCTTCGTGTTAATGTGATTGGTATGGCTGCGCATCCACTCTGGACTGGAGATGAACGGGGACTAAGGGTTGGTGGACCGGCGGGATTTGGATTGGATATGGAGTGGAAGAGTATTGGACCTTATCAGGAGCCTCCAAGTGTGATTGATGAGTTTAATAGAGGTGTTTAGATCAGTACTAGGGACAATGAATAGATATCGAGTTTTCGAAGGTATAAAGTTGGGCTTGGAATTATTGAAGTCTTGCGTATATACAATGCTGCGCATGAAATGCGTATTTACTTATCGCGAATGTTACAGGCGAGCACCACCCTCTGTCAGACGTGCCCAATCCTTCTCTCCGAAGGGCTTGTATGCCTCCTCACCGGGGCCGAGCCACAAGAAATGATCTTCCTTGCCTTCAGGTACCTTAGTACCAATCAATGCCGGATCAACGCCTTCATCTCTGAGTGGCACTTTGTTCTGCTTATTGTTGTGGATGTGGCTAGAGTTTTCAACCACACGCAGGAACACAGGGACGGCATAACGAGGCAGCTTAGAGCGCGTAAAGCGAGCGAGTTCCGCGTAGTCAAGACTTTTCCGTGCCTCGGGAGCAATTTGAAGTGCTGCACAACCGGCGCGACCTTCGTGGTTGGGAATGAGGACACCGTAGACGTTGGCTTCTTGGATACCGGGGAATCGACCCAGAACCTCGGCAACTTCCGCAGTTGAACTACAGGAAACGTTGAGTTAGCGAAGAAGATTCCCGTCAATAGGGGTTCCCGTCAATAGGGGTTCCCGTCAATAGGGGTTCCCGTCAATAGGGGTTCCCGTCAATAGGGGTTCCCGTCAATAGGGGTTCCCGTCAATAGGGGTTCCCGTCAATAGGGGTTCCCGTCAATAGGGGTTCCCGTCAATAGGGGAATAGAAATACTTACACGTTCTCACTCTTCCAGCGGAATGTGTCACCAAGCCGATCGACAAAGTACCAACGGCCATCATCCTGACGACGAAGAGCATCACCAGTACGGTAATACAAATCACCCTTGACGAATACATCACGTAGGAATTTCTTCTGTGTGGCTGACCCATTTTTCCAGTACCCTTGGAAAACCTCCTCACTCGGAATATTGACAAGGATCTCACCACCTTCCTCCAAAGAAGGACGAATAGCGAATCCAGTCTTGCTGTCGCGAAGAACCTCGCCAGTCTCCGAGTCAATAGAAACAGGAACGTAGGTATTCCGGAAAATCCCACGCAGCAGTGCGCCATGATGACCAACACATCCAGCTGTAAATGGACCAGCATTGCCATTAATCAAGTTGAAAACACCCTCACTACTACTGAAGAACTCGAAGATCTCAGGGACACCGAATCGTTCTCGGAATTTCTCCCAGACATCGGGTCTAAGTCCGTTACCGTACATGCCTCTTACTTTGTGGTCCCGGTCCTGGGGAGAAGGTGGAGGCGCGAGTAGGTAGCGAGCGGTTTCTCCAACGTAAACGAAGAATGTAGAGTCGCTGTCACGGATATCAGTCCAGAAATTGCGGACGCTGAATTTCAGGGCTAATGCAACGCTGACTCCGAGTGATAGAGCTGTGCCGACACAGATAGCTGCGGTGCCATGATAAAGTGGCATGCAGCTGTACCAACGATCTCCATCTGGTCCTGGTTTATCGCCAACCGCGACAGAGCGCGTGGTGAATCCGCCGAACATTCGGCCCGTGGTGAATGCGGTGGCCTTAGGCATTCCGGTTGTTCCAGACGTATACAGTAGAATCGAAGGAAAATCTGCCTTCACATTGAGAGACAATTCGACCGGTGGGTCTGTTGTCGGAAAGGTGCTGATGTGGTCCCTGAACGAGTCGTTCAGCGTCACAGGCTTCATCCCAAGTTCGGTCGTGAGTGTCGCCTGGCAATCTTCCATACTTGCGAGGCAGGTCGGATCCTCATCTGCCAGTATGAGTTTTGCACCGCTAATCTTCAAGCAGTGGATCAGAGCTTCGCCTGAAAGGTTGTAGTTGATTGCGGCTGGTGCGCAGCCAATGCTCCACAGACCAATCCATGCGAACAGAAACTCTGCGCGATTCTGGAGGTAGAAAGCGACTAGGTCGCCCTTTTGCACTCCTTCAGATAGGAAATAATGGGCATATTGGCAAGCTTTTTCATGGAGATCACGGTAGGTGAAAGTCTGTTCTCGGGTCCAGATCGCAGTTGTGTTGGGGTATTTCTTTGCTGTCTCTAGAAAAACGAACCAAGCATTTACTCTACCGTCGGAAACTGTTCGGAAATATTAGTATACGGTATCGCATGGTTAATTGGATGAACATACCAGCACGCGCGAGAGCACGCTCTCCCCGTTTCACTGCTAGCAGGACCCCTGTATCTTTGCGGAGGTGGAATTTGGCATCAAGATAAGCTGCTAGAGCCGTTCCACCGGCCAGGGCAGCTATAGCGGTGCCTGCGAACTGTCAGATTTTGGGGGATACAGATAAGGATCAAATTGACAAACCGAATTCCATTTGAGATATGGTTGAGATGAGAAGTTCTCAACAAATGTACCTGATCCGCAGGACCGACACACGGGCGATGACGTAGATCTTAGGAAATAGTAAAACTTCGAAATAGAAAAAAAGACCAGAAACAAATCAATGACTTGATTGTGTAACACCCAACAACAACAAAAAGAAAGAGAAAGAGCGATGCGGTGGAATCAAGACCAGGTCATTGTAAGCCGAAGCTTGGAAAAGATCCTCGGCACAACCACGACTCGCCCCCACTTTTCCCAATCGCCATCTCAACCAGCCCCGTTGATTCGAGCAAGGAAGCGATTCCATCTGAGGGGCTAAATGGGGCTTGCGGGGAAAAAGAAACAAATCAGAAATTAAAGTAGCACCTCGGTTCAAACGGATCCACTGTTTGATTCTGTAAATCGCCCCAACATAATTTGCAGGTCAGACTTGGAAATCACGGAGTTCTGTCGACGGTATCAGACTATCATGGACTCCTCGGACTCTTCGATCCTGTTCATCCTTCCAGCCCCACGCCTTATCGCGGTCGGCCCCATTACTTATCCCATAGATCATATTCGTTACATAGCGTCCGATGATGGACAGGAATTTCCAGCTGTGGAACGAGCCTCCAACAGCCAGATAAAGGTTGGATAAATGAGGGTTTGGATGTCGTGTGATTAATGGGTCTTGTGAGGGCGTGATTGCGTCCCAACAGAGACGAAAATGGTCGACTTCGCGATGTTTTGCAAAAAGTTGAGGTAATCGGTTCTTTATTGAGTCGACTGTTTGCCGACGAAGACCATCTGGAATGGCTCGTTGGTGGACTGGGGGGATAGAAATGTTCTGCCCATTGTCTGTGTGGACGGTGTTCTTGAATGAGACCGTGCTAGTAAATTTGATTATACCCGACGCAGTCGGGGGCAATGTTTCACCTAAACGATAAGTCATCTAGTGTCTTCGATGAATCGCATCATGCTTACCCTGTTCACCATACACATAGACCGGAAGCTGGTCGTAGAGCGGTCGCTCTGCGGCTGTCAATTGGTAATGCACTACGCAAACGCCGGCCGCGGTGAGGTGACTCTCCATTCTAGACTTCTGAGGCATACCAAGTTCGTCCTCGGTCAGAGTCATCAATTCGCTGGTCCAAGCTCCTGTAGCTAGGATGATCTTCTTGGCTGTGTAGAGATTGCCACTGTTCGTTTGTACTCCTCTGACTCCGTGTTGATCGAGCACCAGGCGCTTGGCCTCATCAACCTTATATTGAACGCCCATACGAATGGCTTCGTCTGCCATGATTTTGAGGGCACTACCGGCATCCGCCCATCCAGCTGACGGGTTGAAATAGTAAGAATCGAACGGTGTCAAATCTGCATCTTTCAATATTCCGCCCCAGTTGCTTCGAACTTCCTCTTCTGTCATATCCTTAGTCAAATCTGGACGCCCACTAATTTTGAAATTGTTGCGAATTGTCGAAGTGAGATCGTTGCCCCGCTCACCCATCGAAATCCATCCCGTTTCATGGTAGACTCCAGCAGTGGCGAACAGTGGATTCTTTTTCCAGGCATCAATTGCTTCGAATGCCAGGTCCATGTATAGAGTGTCTGAATAGTCTGCCCGGATGATCTTGTTGCAGTCTGTGGATGCAGCAGCAGTCGATGGAGGATGATCCCGATCAAGAATTGTAATGCTTGATGGGTTAGAAGATTGCTTAGCCAGATAATAGGCTGTGCTGACTCCAAAAATCCCAGCGCCAACAATCAATACGTCAGACTCCATGACGGACATTTTGAGGTACACAGGTGCGGTTGGTTCTAAGGTTAGGTTCCAAGGACGTTGGAAGAGGGGAGAACGAGGTACATGAGGCTAATGCGAGGAAGTGAACAGGGATCATCGGTACTAATCATGATGAGAAATGTCATATGCAAGTGTTTAGTAGACCATTGAATATCACTTTTATTATAGCCTCACTTAGGTAGGTATAGCCTATATTAGCCTATATCAATCTAAAAACTAATGATCTCGAACATAAAATCCGACGTACTCTCATCATCTCCTACCAGATCTATATATCCATGGTCCTGGGTTGGGGTTCTTCGGGAGATTCGACCCATTCAAGTTTGATCTCGTGTACTTCAAGTCGTGCGGTTCGATCTTATTTAATCAATAACAAGCTTGTTCAAGTCTTCACAACCTCAAAGAAGATTTCCCTTAGATTTGGTTACCTCCCAAGGTTGATAGTAAACATGGGGTGATCGGGGCAGAATGAAGTCGGTGGGCAGATGAGCGGCAGAATCTCTCTTCCGAATCAAATCCGCAAATCCGCATAGCTTAATGATTGCTACTTCATAATCAATTAATACGCCATGAGTATGACCGGGAGGAGTTAACTCACAAAAACTACTCTTAATTGTCTCGTGTGTCGCAATTCGTCGTTCATCACCGAAATGCCACCTCCAAACTCCCAATCTCAACCGAAAGCCAAACCACGCATCTTGAGTCCTCGAGACGCCAAATCACTCGCCGGTGACCACAAGAAACCCGAGATCAAACCAGCTGCACCGAAATATGCATCTCTTGAACAGCAAAAATCATTAAATCGGGGCTCTCCCCTCGTCTCCAGGTGGCACCTTCCCTCAGCATTTTCCCGTCTCCGCGAGCGCTACGCTGCCCTCCCAACCCCCGTTCGACGCACTTTTCGCGTTCTCCGTGTCCTCGCCCCGATTATACCAATCAGTCTCTTCTTCTCAGAGCATGTCGCACAGATAATGTGGGTGCGCGGCCCATCAATGACTCCCTACCTGAACGAAGACTACGACCAAATGCAAACAAAAAGCGATATGGTACTCGTGAACATGTGGCCCTGGGGCCCCGTCTTCCCATGGGCAAGGTCAAAAAGAATTGAACGAGGGATGGTTGTGACATTCCGGTATGACCCTCTATTCTTTGCCAACTCCCACTCAGATCGGTGGAATCGGCGCGCCGAGGTGACAAGACTGGATACTAACATCGATTGCTTGCGCATAGATCACCGGCTAATTCCAATCATATCGCTATTAAACGTGTCGTCGGTCTTCCTGGCGACCGTATCACTACCCGCGAACCCTGCATGAAACGTACCCAGATCGTCCCATTCAACCACGTATGGCTGGAGGGTGATGCAGAGGATCCGCGGAAAACACTTGACAGTAATACATATGGACCGGTCAGCATCAGCTTGATTACAGGACGTGTGCTTGGTATCTTAGGGCCGCGAATGCGTTGGTTGAATTGGGAAGACTGGGAGGCTGGGAGGTCAGGTGAGCCGTCAACGGACTCACAGGAGAACTACCGCCAGAGTGTGCGAGATCGTGTTGTGAAGGAAGCTGTGAAGCTGGAGCGACCGGAGTTCTAGAGGGTGTCGTTATGTCCCGAATGCTTGATACTTCTAAGGGTTGTGATCAAGACTTGTAAATATACTGATCTATAGATGGCGCCAGGGTGCCTTTGTATTATATTTAAGATCATTACTTCATCATAATCGCCCTTGGACCATTCAAAGTCGGACCAAGAAACGTCGCAAAAGGCTCATGAGCTTGGTGCTATCAAAGTCTAGGTTACATGCTTAAGAGCCCGGGTTTCCTATTCCGCGGAGTATCTCCAGGTTAGGCTCTCCACTCTTCGGGGTAAAACCCACCGATGGGAACGACAACATCTGGTCTCGCAAATTTACCCCGAGATAGTTCCCTTCAGAATAATTCAAACAGCCTTCCGGTGAGAATTATCAGATATTATGTTCACTCCGTTCTACGTGAAAGCATAAGCCGCCAACCCCAAACAACCCCGCACTGCCCGCATCAACTCAACCACGAAGTCACAAAACATACGATATGCCCACACCAATTGTCGACTCCCACATTCACCTATTCCCAGCCTCGCATCTCCCAACATTAGCCTGGCATGGCCCAAACAACCCTCTTGGCTCGCAGCACTGCATAGACGAATACCGACACGCAACATCATCCGTCCCCACAAACCCATCTGCACAGAAATACCTACGCGGCTTCATTTTCCTAGAAACAGACCGCATATCCTCTATCGCGGAAGGAGACTCAGAGACTTCAGGATGGAAGCACGCCTTAGATGAAGTATCCCTTCTTACGCGCATCGCACTCGGCGAGCCCGTTCCAAGCGAAGGCCATAAACCCATTGATCAAGAGCTTTGCCTTGGAATTGTGCCTTGGGCACCAGTACCCGGTGGCGCAGATGTGCTACAGAAGTACATGAACCAAGTAAAAGAGCGCACAAAAACAGATGATGTGTGGCGCAAGGTATGCGGAGTGAGATATCTTGTCCAAGATAAAGCGGCTGGGGTAATGCTTGAGGCAAAGTTTGTGGATGCGTTACGATGGCTTGGGACGCGGGATCTTGCGTTTGACCTTGGAGTAGATGCGAGGGGTGGTGGGTTACATCAGCTGCGCGAGGCTGTTGGGATGATGGATATGGTATATCGAGGGTTGGATGAGATTGAACAAGTGACGATTGTGATTAGTGAGTTGTGGCATCTTGGACTCTTACGCGCTTTGTACTGACTGCATAGATCACCTTTGCAAGCCTAATTTGCGGTTGGATCCTGAGTCGGTCCCTACTCATCCTGAGTATCTTGAGTGGAAGGAGCTGATTATCTGTATGGCGAAGGCGAGCAATAAAACTTATATGAAGCTTTCTGGCGCTTTCTCTGAGCTCCCGCCACTAAGTGCGGATGCTGATGCAGATATCAATTCACTTGTTGAGCGTTTGCAACCTTGGACAGACGTTGTCTTTGATGCCTTTGGTGCGGAGCGCGTGATGTTTGGTTCGGATTGGCCGGTCTGCACTATTGGTGGTGGTGGAAAGAATGTTTCATGGGATAGGTGGAGAGATGTAGTTGAAGGGATCTTGGAAAAGCGAGGCCTGAAAGATGAGAAAAAAAGGGGTATCTGGGGACGTGTAGCTGCGAAAGCTTATGGGATTGCGATCTAGAAAGATCAACGTGAGGATGTTAGGGATGCGCTCCAGATCAGTGTCACTACTTCTCGCTCTTGTGAGTTATGGGTTTATGTTGTGAATAATAACATACCGACGAAGCACGGTTACACTAAAAGGTACATCGTTGCAACTGTCATGTTACATTAGTTGTTGACGTCCATTCATGGACTGGTAGTTCTATATCCTGCCTTACTTGTACACTTCAACTGTTAAAAATTCTCTTCTTCTCCCTTGGTGCTTAACAAACAAGCATCACGTACCTGCTCTCTTGGTACTTCACTTGTTGCCCTTCCTTTCGCCCTTTCGCCAGACTTCTATCTCGACCTCTTCATATCTTCTTCAAACATTAAACTTTTCAACTTTTCAACTCTGCGATTCTGCAACTCTTCACCTTCAAGTTGAAGGCACTGGGACCGAATTTCAGTCAAGATTCGCTAAGGATCTGTCAGTCACACGATGTCTGCTACGAACGTGAAAGGTGCAAGGGCAGAGGTGAATTATCGCCCTCTCGACATCTCCAAGAACGAAATTCATTTACTCTCTTTCGAGAACACTACCCCAAAGACCCCAATCCGGCTCAGTCTACATTACGTATCCTTGAACGACTACCACCTGAGCCACGCATGGGGAGATTGTGAAGAGGAGAAGGCCATAATCCTTTTAGACGACGTCGAAACAGCCGTGACGAAGAATCTAGAAGGAGCTCTACAAGACCTGCGATCTAGCGTCGAGTGCCAGCTCGACATGAAGATGTGGATCGACGCTCTGTCCATTGATCAGGCCGATATTGATGACCGAAACAAACATGTCTTACGGGTGAAAGATATTTTTGGCGGTTCATTCTGTGTCACTGCTTCTGTCAAGGACAAGGGCTCGCGGGATGATAGACGCCCAATGAGCCAACTGCTGACTTCCACAGGACAAGGTCTACGGCCTAGTAAGGATTTTCCCTTCGTCTGTAGCAAATGCCATGGCAATCGTTTACAGCCGAGAGACAGAGGAGATCCTTGCCGAGTTTTGTTCTCTGGTCCCAGAATGGCTATTTACTTAGAGTACCAATGGCACGTCGTTCACACTTCAATGCTTATCCCTCAGCCCCTAGTCAACTTCAATATCCGTTATCTAGGAATGTTTTTGAACTCGAGAGCTATGTAGACGGGTGAAAGAAAATTTGTAAGGCGTTCAGTTTCACTACTAGTAGTATGTATTATGGAAGCAAATCATCTGTCCCTCTCTGATAATCTCTGAATCTGCGCAAGCTCCTCTCATTGACATCCTGCACCATCTGAATAGTCGCAGCATCGTCATCAGGTCCCGGCTCATGGCGCTGACCACATTCGGCTTGCACCCGGGCACCTGTGTTCGCCATTAGGTAAGACGGCCAATGCATCGCAAAATAACCTTTGAGGTGAATCCTCTCAAGGCCCTGAATCTTTGCCAAAGCATGTATGAAGAGAACATTGTCACCCAAGCCCCTCTCTTTAGCTCCCCTCTCATGCATCAATGGGGATTCGCAATTGGAACCCCACGCAAGCTCAATATATCGAATACCAGTGGCATCGTTCGACAAGGTGTTGAGTAATTTTAACCACGGCGAGATTTCGGCCTTCCATGGTACCCACGTATCCAACGACCTTATAAACTTAGTATTTGTCGGACCAATCTGTGCCATGAATCGAAAAATCTGCTCCGGCTCACTGAAGTTGAACACGTTCCCTCCGTAGAGGACTGAAGCCGCTTCACAATGAATCTGCCTACATGTGTATAGTATTGCCGGTTCTAGTGTTCGATAGTGTGGAGCCTGAATCATGTGTAGGGAAATCATTTTTCGAGACGTGTTTCCAACCGCCCATGATGGGCTTTGGTCAGGATCGGCCTGGCTGACAAGAAGGAACTCGTATATTTGTAATCGAATTTCGACTGGCAGGGGCAGAAGCGAGAGCCTTGGATTGGTTTTTTTCCTGGGTGATCTAATGGTAGATCGAAAAGCTCGGAGGAACGCCGTTGGTCTGTTGCTGTGGGTTGATGATGACTTTGTGTCGGTGAGGTCAAGGTCAAAGAGCGCATTGGTAAAATCTGGTCTTCTGAAAGGCACCGTCATCCGAAAGACTTTAGGATGGACTGACTTGGCCTTCCGAGTATCTTGGAAACATAAAATCCTTCGCTATTCTTGACATACGAAGCATTGAAGGTTCGACAAGGAGACCTGCAGCAACACAAGAGGGGCGGGGCTACCACGTGATGGAAAGGTAAGGGTCTCGAGCGACTTGAAAAAGATGTATTGTGATTAAAGAGGCTTCCCTTAATGACTCCGCTGTATTTGAAAATTCTAAATCCGCTAAATGTTTACTGTAGATTAACAAATAGTCCACCGTCGACCAGAAGTTGCGCACCAGTCTGTCATGAAAAAGAATGGTTAGCATAACTCCATCAATACGAATAGCAGAGCCTCATCAGCCGCAAACTCACCACATAACTACTCAACTCCTCACAGGCCAAGAACACCGCGGGTCCAGCCAAATCCGGAGGCTGACCAAGTCTGCCAAGCGGAATGCGCCCTTCCATATACTTTTTCTTCACCGGATCAGCCATATCGGCATCATTAAGCTGTGTACGAATAGTTCCTGGTAGCAAAGCATTGCAACGAATGCCATATTTGCCCAATGCCACAGCGCATGATTGCATTAAACTCAAAATACCTGCCTTAGTTGGTGTATAGTGTGTCTGTTCACCACCACCAACAAGCGCAGAAATGGAGCTAATACCGATAATGGAACCACCGGGTGGAGATTGGACCAAAGCCATCTGTCGGGCTGCGGCTTGCGTGGCAAAGAAGGCACCGGAGAGGTTGGTGGAAACAGTGTGGTTAAGGAGGGATGGCTCAAGTCTGAGATTGCTGTTAATAGGAGGTCTTTGGGGCGAAAGGAAAGGATGAGAGAAACTGGTTTGGCTTACTCAAGGAAGTCCGCGAACTGGCATACGCCGGCATTGCTCACGAACACGTCTAGACGTCCGAATGCCTCCACGGTCTTCGCGACAAAATTTTTGCCTGTTTCGGGCTGGGAGATGTCGCCCGAAACTGTGATGAATCGGTTCTCAGCGGCGCCTGCTTCGATCTCGTTCACGTCTTTCTTCAAAGCTTCTAGCAGCTCGTCTTCCTTTGATCCGCCTAGGTGGCTGATTGCGACATTGGCGCCATGCCGAATGTAGTCGAGGGCGATTGCCTGAAGATAAAATGTCAGTCCGACAATTCCTCTCGATAGATTTGGCCTCGCATACCCGTCCAATGCCAGTTAGACCACCGGTGATGGCGGCCACCTTGCCAACAAGTAATTGGGGGAGAGGCATTGTGATTGATTATGGTGTTCGGGGTGTGATTAAAATTGAATCAATCAGTCTCCCTGCAATCTCTGGATGTTGTAAATGGGAGAAATCTGAAGATTCTCTTGCGAACTTTTCTCCCGTGTTGCGTTGGTCTACGTCGCGTCACCCCGCGGACATGACCTCGGGTCTCGCGGTGATGATAGCCCGAGTGTGGGGTTAATTCCCCCACGTTGGCAACGGAGGGGCAAATTCTTCCGTGTGGACATGGGTGAGGTCTATTCGGCCGAACTGAAGGCGGATTTTGATTATTAGGCTAAACAGACCGACGAAGCAGATTCTGTGCCCATGTGAGCCTTACAGCAAATCCTAACAAAATTCGATCTCGGTAGGATTTATTCTTCATTCGCGATGTGGTGTCTCATCCTGAACTTCAGTCTATTGGATAGAGTAATCATAAGGCTATTTATGTACATGAATTCATATTGCAGGAGCATTTCGTGAAAAACAAATGATATGGCCAAGGAAAACACAAATATATGTAACGCCGAAAAGTCCAGATGCTTAGGCGGTGCCATTCGCAAGCTCCTTGTTATCAGGAGCGGGAAGGCTCTTCTGAGGTGCTGGGTTCAGGAGAGCATGACCAGGAATCAAAGGAGCGTTGGGGTTAAGCTCAAGACCGAAGCCAGGCTTGTCTAGGATTGAGACATCGAGGTAGCCCTTGGTAGGAATAGGCTCGTTCAAGAAAAGGTTGCCAAACACGGGCAAGACGGAGTGACCATCGGCAGAATTGGCCAGGTATTCTTGGAAGGGGCAGTTGGTTTGAGAGACCACAAAGTGGTAGGAGTAAGGGCCAGAAGCGTGAGGAACAACGGGGATATCGTAAGCGGCAGCGAGAGCAGAGACCTTAAGAAGCTCGGTCAAGCCACCAAGCCACATCACATCAGGCTGGATGATGTCCAGGTTACGGCCCTCGACAAGCTTGCGGAATCCGTAACGGGAGAACTCGTGCTCACCAGTGGTGAATTTAACGGTGGGGTGGGCACGCTTCAGCAAAGCGTGGCCATCGAAGTCATCGGGAGACAGGCACTCCTCCCACCAGTCAATGTTCAATCCAAGAGCCTCACAGCGCTTGACCAGCTCAATGGTGTAGGAAACGGTAAGAGACATGTAGCAGTCAACACGGAGAGGGAAGTCCGGGCCAACGCTGGCCCGCATTTGACGGAGGTACTCGACGTTCTTCAGCATACCCTCGGTTCCCTCATCGGGTCCGTGAGGCAGCGCAACCTTGGCACCATTGAACCCGGCTGCCTTGGCAGAGCCAGGCTGAGGTCCAGTGCAGTAGAAGTCCAGACGAGAACGAGTCGCGCCACCAATCATCTTGTAGACGGGCTCCTTGCGAATCTTTCCAATCAAATCCCAGAGAGCAAGATCGACGACAGAGATGGCAGCCACTGGAAGACCCTTACGACCGTAGAACATGGAACCGCGGTACATCTTCTCGAATAGGTTGTTGGTATCGCGGGGATCTACAGTAGTCTCTACGTTAGTATGATACCAGCCATCGCGCATTCTATATAAGCTTACCTTCACCAATCAGGAAGCGCTCGAAGTGCTGGTGAACCAGCCAGCAAGCAGGGGGACCACCGAAACCTGTGGCGAAGCCCTTAGTTCCATCTGTAGCCTCGATCTCAACACAAAATGACCCCAGGACATTGATGCCCCAAGAAGTACGCGAACCGCGGTACTGTGCCCACTTGGTCATGGGAGTGGAAATGTTGCTGTCAATCAGCCAGTGGCCACCTTTGACCTATATCCAACGTATTAGCTCATCAAATGTTTCCAAATTTCCAATTGAAGCTGCTCTTACATTGTGGTAGTCACCACCGGAGCCGACACCATCAATGACGAAGGTGCGGATCTCCTTGATGCGGGGAAACTCTGTTACTGAACCCATGATTGCCAGGTAAAATGTGATCGAGACAAGGTATGAATGCAATGAAGATTCTCAGACTTCAGAAAGATGCAAGAAGAAACAGAAGAAAAGTAGAAAAACGTGGGGGCCCGACACTTTTTCAACGAGCGCGTGTCGAGGGGAAATCCAGGCCTCGGGCCAGCAATGCCCCGAGCTGCGGGACGTCGGAGTATCACCGCGAAAATCGTGGGGTATTGCGGCGAGACTGTCCACGACGAAACGATGACCCCAATTATTTCCAAATTTCATCCCTGCTGTGTCAATATGTTTATCCACAACTTGCATCATCGGTTTGCTCTACCAACAGGTTACTTCATGGGGTCCCGTATAGCTGTATAGGACATTCCCAATGCATTTCGGTCTATGAATAGTCGCATGCCAGATTTGTTATGCAAACCATTGAATCCGAACAACAAGCAAAATTCGCTTTTAGCAACACTTTATGAAGGGAATTCCCCTGTCAATAATTGTGTCGCATGTGATATGTGCAACAAGAGTATAAAAAGTGGGGACGCGGGGAGGTGTGCCTCAGGCTTTCGAACGAAAGTCGTTTGTCGTTTTGCATACAGATTCCGTCATGCAAATTTATGCCTATGTGAAAGATTGAGTATGTTAATGCACTTGATGCCTTCAAACTTTGAAACAGACTGTAATTTCCGGCAACTTTAAAAAGGCCTTGAAGCCAGGGGTCGCTTGCCGAACTAAACCTGTTCAGGCCAACACCAGGCCAAATTTGGCCGCGGCTCTTCAGGTACCGTAGAGCCAGATCAACAAGTGTCAATACTCAAGAGTTATTCAAGGTAAACGAGCGAGTATCTGTATCTTTTTGTCCAATATACCTATTCCACGCATCCTAGCCACCGTTGTCAAGCACCATCCCACCCGCTATTCATATAACGATCACTGCTCAAGCTGCACATGGTCAAGCCACTCACTCGTGATGTACAAACAACGACGGAGGTCCCTGGCTGTATCAGGTCCACGACCCGAGGACTTGATTTCCTCGCATTTGACAGGCATCACTCCTCCCGATCCCATTTACTCATCAGACTTTACGCAGCATGGTACGATCCCTCAGACCCTGCCTCTTTATCAGCAATATCCGCTTCTATGTGAGCCTTACGATCAGTCATACAACCCTTTCGAAGGTCAAACCAATACTTCCTTGAAAGTAAATGGCATGGGTGGTCAACCTGCTCCTAATTTTGTTCCCATAAACATCAACCTATTTCAAAGGGATTTCATAATGTACCCGGATCAGCAACCTATGGGTCAACCATCCTCTCCACTACCCAAACAAGACATGCTTTTCAATCAATACACCACACCAGCATCTCTCAGCCAGGGGAGTAAGTCAACGACATATTCCTATTCCCATGACCTGCCATCTGTACCCAAGCCAGTCGCAGAGCCCAGCAGCTCTAAGAGCTCTTTTCCCGCCTCATCCAATGAATACAGATATGTACCCAGTCACTATAGCAAAGCTGTTGCGAGTGCGCCCATGATCTCCCTACCATCAACAAAAAGGGAACGGCCCTCGCCTCATATGTCTACTCTCCAGTGGATCGCGGAAGATCCCACAAGCAAACAACGCCATCATGAAAAGAGATTGAGAACCCAGCTGGACGTTGAGAATCGAAAGGAAGACATTCAGAAGCTCAAAGAATTTGGCGGAGCGTGCTTGTGGTGCCACCGAAGCAAGAAAAAATGCGACCCTGCCCCAAATTGCCAGCCCTGTCGCGCCAATAAGCGCAAGTGCGTTCGGAGTTCTTCACAGCTGTGCTTGATAGGTCATTTCAACCCCGCCCATGAGAACTCGCTTATGTCTTTCGGTCCTCCCTCCCAAGAGGCGCTGAACATCATGTATCTGATGGCTGGCCAGGCTTTCTCAAATATGCCTTTTGTGAAAGCCCATCTCAACATTCAACATGAAAACAGATTGCCATGTCTAGCAGTCACCAAAGATGACATGGACCCATTCAAATCCGAAACAAGACGCCTCATGAACGACTTCATTTTTCGAGCGACTACTCGCATAACTTCTCCCGAGCTGGACAGGCTTACTGGAGTTTATTCAACTCACCCACTGGTTGTGACGGCAATCAAAATGACCAAGTCATTCATCACTATTCGGAACCTGGCTACTACCCGGGTTCATCTCTGCACATCTGACACTAAACTGGCTCAATCAACTCTGTTCTTGTTACTGATTGGTGGTATACAAAATCTTGCCGCCTGTTCTAATAGCTTCACACTTGTATTATGTGAAGCACTACGCCGAAGAAACTACGAGCGTACTAACCCCGCCACAAAGGACCAGCCTCCAAGCTCTTGTAGCCCAAGTCCAGTACCTTTAGCGACAGAACTGTACTTCCAAACTGTGGGAGGTTTACTCGAATTGACCAAAAGCCCGATCGTCGCACTAATCTTCAAAAATGTGGAGCGGCACCTCCAAGAAGTGCATGCCACTCTAAAGAGTATACTCGCATCAATCAACGCTAATCATCCAAAAAGTGCCAAACATACAGTCAAACGCATCCCGGGTGAACTAATTGCTGCCATTTCGTCCATCAGATACTTTGAACTAAATTTCTGGGTGGAATGGGTAGACACCAATGGAAATATTCGGTCAACAACAGCGGTTGAACAGGGTTATGTCCCTGAACTAACATCTTATGAAGTTGAGGCGCTTCTTCAAACTGGAATTGACAATCTAGGGTCTCTTGAGAAGTCCACAAATAAAGACCAGATAGGTCCTGTGTTGGCCAACGTGCCTGCTCAGTCTATCTCTACGGAGACTGAGACTGACCATGCCTCTAATACCGTGGGATTTGATAGTCCTTCTGCTGAATCTGGCATTTTTGATGATATTCTTAACTCGACTCCGTGGGATTGGGTTGCTGCGGATGATGAACTCTACTTTGGTTTTATGGATCAATAGGAGACATGTTGTTTTGCTACTTGTTTTTCTAGCTGTCTGGAATATGTCAAAAAATTGTAGTACGAGCCTTGTTTTGCGTACAAGAAATTATCATTTACTTACATTATTTACAGAATCGACAATTTCCGTACAGAACTCAAGCGGGATAGAGAGCAACTTAAACTTGGAACTTGGTCTACAAATAGGTTTTATGGGGTCTGTGTTCAGCTTGAGTTCCTCCAGATGTTGCTTGCTTCAAGACGGAGGAATGATTTAAAAAGAAGAAAAAGAAAAAAATTAGAGAGGGTCTCTCGCCGGCCATAGAATTATCCAGCTGGGGTTCTAGTAGTGACTCATGACTAGGCAGGGATCAATCTTCAAATCAAGTAATCATGGATTTTATTGATCTATTGAGCCTGAAAAATTTGAAACAAATTTCCTGAAACAAATTTCCTGAAACAAAAACATCTGCTTCCCAGATACCTTCCATAGTAAACCTGCAGCTCCTTCTAGGTCTTACATCACTGCGATAAACCTGCCAAGCTCAAGTACCTCTTTTTTCTATTCTGTGTCATGAATAGGTGTTGAAATTCAGATTTCACTGAAAGGAACATGCTGCATGAATTGCCGGTAGACCATTTCCATCGAGGAATGATCAAACTGCAGAGAGCGAAGGAAGTCTTCGACTCCATCATGATCCCGGATGCCCTTGAGGAACAAATCAAAAATTGTATCAAGTTCGATATCATGGTCGACTAGAAGGCCATCTAGGGCGGCTTTCCACACACGAATAAACTGACATGGATCGTCATAGTTCTGAAATTTAATTCTCATCCAATGGAACATGTCACTACAGCACTCATCATTGCAAATGCCATCGTATCTACCAAATTCGCGAGACAACGCTTGATAGGCCGCCTTCAGGTCAGTCGTTTCGGAGATGAGCTGGGCGGGAACCGGTCCGAGTGTCATTCTGAGCAGGACACTGCCCATAGCGCTCAGTTGGGCAAAGGCGCGAGTGTCCTCTAAGAGAGCAGCATGGGAGAATGCGGTTTCTTTTTCCGTGGTGTCGTAAGGCGACCCAGATTCATCGATAGATAAAAACCCGACACTCGAGCATTCATCGGGATGATTATGCGGGGCCGTAAGTTTCCCATCGATAATTTCTTTGAACCGAGGATCGATGGCTGTGATGCCCATGATAAACGCACAATTCCAGGCCACCCAGTCATCGACATCTTGGAGCTTGGGGACAAAGTCAGCCAGCTTCCAGTGGCCAGAGATATCCGGCATTGTGTCGCGAGAGGTGGAAATTTGTATGGTATGGTTGGATTGGAGTTGAAGGAGCTTAGAAAAAGTGTAGAACAGCGATGGAAGAGTATAATCAGTTTGCGAAGAAAAAAAAGGTTTCCTGAAAGAGATGTTGAGGGTGGGATGTGGATAGGCGGCGATAGAAGATAAAATATTGAAGTTTGTTACCTTTAAAAACATGAAGGGAATCACCGGAGAGTCAAAGAAGCTGTAGCATCGCTAGCATAATGGCTTTCGCTGATCCATGACTCCTCAGTTCTAGCACACCAATTTCTCACTTTCATCTCAGGGAGAAGGAAAGGTTTAGTGAAATAATATATATAGCAAAGTGAGGTAGAAGTGTCTAAATAGTGTATAGACTAAGTGATCAAATGAATGTCCATCAAAGTGAGACTGAAGACAAAGATCAAATCTATATACTTTAGGTGTTGACGGGCCTTACGAATCATAGAGTTTTCCACCCTAAAGCTAGCAGCCCATCTGCTACCGAGGACCTTCTTTACAAATTATTCTCACAAGGAGATTTTCACCAAGGCTTGTACTCACCACACATTTACACACATTAACAGGCATCACATCATCATCACGCCGTTCACCATCATCGACACCACGTGTTTTATTACCAGGAAGTTATGACCGCGGAGTGACAACTATACTCCGGAGATGGAAGTCAAGATCCCAGAAGAATCCCAAAATTCGAAGTCATTTACCGCACAAGAGTCTGAGGTCTCGGAAATAAATTCCGAAGTTCATCAATATTTGCCAAATTACGATCAGTTCAGTTGCACGATGTCGCTGGGCTTCAAACCCACGTTTTCACCCACTTTTTCGGGGAAAGGTGACGAGAGCGTGGACAATTTCCTGCTACAGTGCAAACACGCCTGGTCGGGAACGACGTTTCATTCCAGTCACGAGAGGAACGAAGCTCGGGCAGCGATACTGCATTTAGGAGTGACGGGAGAGGCGAAAGTCTTCATAAAATCCTTGCCAGAGTTGGAATACTACAACTTCGAGATCCTGTCTTCGAAGCTGAAAGAACATTTTTCGCAGAGACAGTCGATGGAGAATCGAGGATTAATCTTGGGCCGAATGATGGCCCTCAAACAAGGATCTAAGACTTTGGAAGAGTATGCAGACGCTGGCAGGGAGATCAGGAACGAAGCGCCAGCAAAAGACCAGGAAATACTTACTGACAGATGGATTGCCGGGTTGGCAGATAAGAACCTGAGAATGAATGTCAGACTTTCAAACTATACAGCCAAGCAAAATGATTCCGTGAACCCCATGCATTTAGAGCAATGCATTTCTGCGGCGATATACCTCAAAGGGGAAGAAAGGTATGAGGAACCCGAGCCGAGTGCGCGGTCTCAGGACAACAGGATGATGGAAATGATGGAAATGATACAGGGGTTGCAGAAAGAGATAAAGGATATGAAATTGCAAAGCATGGAATTCGGGGAAGCTCAGATGCAACAGAATCAGCAACTCAAAAACCCGCTGGGAATTCAAATACATCTTCATCGCTGGCTTGATCCAAAAGACGATGTCATTCCCGACAGCAAATGACCATAAAGTCCTCAACAAAGCTCTGATGTTACCTTTCAAAGACCTTGCTACTAGTATCTCTGTTATCATACGCCAATGGACGTCTCGCCGAAGGCATTTTCTCTGGGCCAAACTTGAACCCGGTGGGAGGAAAAAGATGCTCATTGAATATTTGTATTAGAAGTTTTCGGAATATCCAGATCACAAAGGGTAAACATTGAAACAATCCGCATTGCTTTTGAAATTGATATGTCCACATCTAAAGCCATTGGCATAAAATCATCGATTATATCCCAGGAAAAGCACGCCGCTCTCATATAAACCACACTCCAACGTACATCCAATCCAAGATTATGAACTTAGGTCTCCTTGAACTCGTACAGGCCCTCAGAGCGATCCTTAACCTCAACCTCAATGCGACCCTCCTCAATTTCCTTGCCATCAACCTCAATAGTAGCACGCATAACATCGCCAGCCTTGACCTCACCAACACCCTTGGGGGTACCAGTCAAGACAATATCACCCTTCTCAAGTGTCATAACGCGGGAGATCTGAGCAAGCTGTGTAGTAATGCGGTGCAGCATGAGGCTAGTCGAATCAGCCTGGCGGTCAACACCGTTAACCTGGAGGCGGAGGAAAGCATCGTGGGGGTTAGGAATGCGGGACTTGGCGATGATTTCGGAAATGGGCAGGAAAGTGTCGAAGCCCTTAGCGATGGACCAGGGGAGACCCTTCTTCTTAGCCTCGTCCTGGACGTTACGGGCGGTCATATCAATGGCGAGGATGTAGCCTTTTGCGATGGATTAGCGGGTTGGTATTATGCGGGTGAAAGAGCTCTAAACTCACTCTCAATAGCCTCGAAAGCGGACTTCTCGTCGTTGGGGTCAAGATCGCGAAGGGTCTTGCCAATCACGAGACCCAATTCGACTTCATAGTGCAGGCTGACGCCCTTGGGACGGAGAACGGGACCCTCGCGGGGGAGAAGGATGGAGGATGAGGGCTTCAGGAAGAAGAATGGCTGCTTGGGGGTCGCGCTGTTCAGCTCTGCAATGTGTTCGCTATACCACACTCAATGTCAGCTTCAATTCGTAGAGACGGGTCCGTTAGCGGGATGGTTGTGACGCGGAATTTATCCGTGCCGTGGGGAGACGCACGCGTAGTTACGGCCGATACACATGACCTTGCGGCAGTTGGCTCTGAGAGATGATGCCATTGTGAATGGTAATTATATCGTGCGACCGAGAATTCTAGTCTAGGTTGTACAGGAGAGGAAGGAAAAGTCTGGGGGAATTTCGAGATTATGACTCCGGTCAAGCTCCGGTGGTCGCAAGTCCGGCAATGCGGAGAAATCGGCGACGGCCCCGGCCGCTTGTATCTTTATCCCTAAACACATCTCCACAGAACCTGGATTGACATTCTATGTCCTCTGATTGGGGCAATTGTTGAATTTGCGAGAGAAAAAAATGCGTTATAAATTCGAAGCACAGCAATTGGATATACTGATGAATATACTGACAGGCAAGTCAGCATTTGATTGCAAGGCTGGACTAGGTAGACCCTTCGGGTGTTTGGCCCGATGATCGGATGCCATCCCCGACGTGCAATATGTCGCGACTTAGCACCTGCATAACCTGCAGAACATGCAGATATGCTGAATCAACCCTGAATCTTTAGTTGAAGCATAGGCGTAGCCTTTTTGCTAAAACACTCATATTTGCAGGGACATTTTGCGCGAACAAAATAACACTATCTTTGCTCAGCCATGGTGTTAGTCTACATGTATCCTGCCCTCATCACTCACCGTGGAAGTGTTGCTTCGAGGAACATAGCCCGAGGGGTTCAATGGAGATCTTCAATCTATTTGTATAGTAAATTTGCAGTGTATTTCGGTATGTCAAATGCAGGTACCTGGAAACACTTCGCATTCATCATCTCACTATGGGTGCCAGGTGACTGTCTTTGCCAAAGGACCACCTCTGTCATAAGTAACCAAAGCAGTATGCTGATCAATGGCCATTACACCAGGCCAAAAGCTCGAAGACGGCGAGATAACACTAGCTTCACTCCATCGGATCTGCCCATTCTGCGGAGGCCCAGCAAAAACAGCCTTAATCGAAGCATTTTTAACCCATTCGACCTTCGGCGAATCTTCATCAGTCATGAAAACAACAACCATAGAGCCGTCCGCAAAAGATGTAATCTGCGGCGATCCCGCATTATGTCCAGGCTTCGGCCGGAATACCTCATGACGATTGTGCCAAGAAGCTCCATCATCATACGACACCAGTGCCTCAATATTAAACGGACCGTGCCTCGTAGTCTCGAAGATCATAACGAGCGCCTCCCGGCCATTGTCGAAAGTGGTCGCGATACCATTCATGCCATCGCGCAAGGGATCGTTTTCACCGTGCAAGCAGACAGCGCGACTCCAGGTACTTCCCTGGTCGTTCGAGGTAACAAGCATTGTACACTGGTTGTTATGTGCGAACTCTTGCGAGTAAGTGAGCTGCACTTCTCCCCGTTTACCAAGTCGCATGAAGGGTTCCCATATACCAAGTGGGGCTCCTTTCTCGGCTGCCTGCGATGCGAATTGCCACGTTCGACCTCCATCCTGGGACCTGCATACTGTGATACGAAAGTGTGTAGGGCCGTGTGGTCCTACGTCATGATTGCGGAAAGCTGCCAATACAACGCCTGGAGCGACCTCGAGCAAGAACATGTTATCCACATCTCCTGCTGCGCGTGTCACCTCGGAGAGATTCTCGAAGGTGCGACCGTTATCAGTGCTGCGGGCGACGCAGAGAGCACGCTTGCCATCTGGGAACCGGGTGAATGAGGATAGAATTGATCCATCGGAGAGGCGGGCGAGGCGGGGGTAGGTGCCTCTATTTGGGTGGGAGGATAGTGGGCGCTCATCGTTGTTCACTGCCGCACGATGTTGGAAAGGCTGTCGTGGGCCGTCATTATGTGAGTGGCCTCCCAAGGCATTAATGATTTTCTGACCAAGATGTCCAGGCATTGTTATTTGGGTCTAATAGTGATAGTTGGAAATGCAAGAGTTGAATGCAACCCGGCAGCCTATTCTGGTCCATGTCCTACGTCATAACCGCAACCCTGGGGCTTGGCGGCGATCCTTTTGAGACTAGAGCTTGTTACAGGTAAAAAGACTTCACTGTTTCAAAGTTCTAAAGAATAACTTATCAGGAAGGGCCCGTGAAAGATCTGCAAACAAAAATCGGACATCGGATTTAGAGAGGAGTGGTGGAGATAGGCTTTTGACTCATGAGGATTGATTTTACACGGCGTTTACGCTATGGCTCGGAGTTAGTGCAACGCAATCTCCGTGAAGACGTTCGTCACGACATTGCTGCCTTTAGAAATTCAAGTTTTTTATATATGTCAAATGTAACCCCTCTGTTATTCTTTCGTGTCACATATCAAACTATCTTGAACGGCTTATATTCGAATCATGCCCTCATTCGTGTACTCCCAACTTTTCGTTCGCCCATCCTACCCCGAGGGATCCCTAGATGGCCAGACAATCCTCATCACCGGTGCCAACGTTGGTCTTGGATTTGAAGCTGCTCGCCATGTCGTCCGTCTCGGCGCCTCTCGCGTTCTCCTAGGAGTGCGCAATGTCCCAGCTGGAGAAGAAGCCAAGAAAGAGATTGAAGCCTCAACCAAGCGCCCCGGTGTTTGCGAAGTATGGGAGGTAGATCTCGCCTCATACGACTCTGTCCTGGCCTTCGGAGACCGAATTTCCCAGCTGCCTCGTCTTGATGCCGCTATTCTGAATGCAGCAATTGCTACCGAAAACTTCCAACTCGCCGAGAATTATGAGCGAACAATCACCGTCAACGTCATCAGCACCTTGCTCATGGGACTTCTCATTCTCCCAAAGCTCAAGGCTACCAAGAAGGAAGTACCTTCTAGCCACCCTCACATGGCATTCACCGTCAGTGAGGTGCACGCATGGGTGCAATTTGACGAATGGAAGGAGAAGAACACTCTTCAAGTCATCTCCGACCCAGCTAAAGCTAAGATGGGCGAGAGGTATCCCTTGTCGAAGCTTCTAGAGGTTCTGGTGGTACAAGAGCTTGCTGGGCGAGTGCGTGGCTCTGAAGTCATCATCAACATGGTGAACCCTGGTCTTTGCCATTCACAATTGGGTCGAGAGGCAGGCTGGGGACTTTGGTTGCTGAAGCAAGGTCTGGCTCGCTCGACTGAAGTTGGATCACGCACACTTGTTGCTGGTATCCTGTCCGGCCTTGAGTCCCATGGCGCGTACATGTCTGATGGAATTGTTCAAAACACAATGTTATCCGAATTTGTGCGCAGCACAGATGGAGCTAAGGCTCGTGAGAAGGTCTGGAATGATGTGACTACCGTTCTCGAAGGGCTGCGACCTAAGATCTTAGAGAACATCTAAGCTATCAGTGACGCGTATTATGTCTAGTGAATGTATCATTACCTCAATAATAATCACAATTTTGAATTTAAATTTCTTCTGTTGGCTATAACTTGTGGGTCCAGAGCTTCCTTGCTCAGACGCCCACGGGTGCATGATGAGAGTCATAATGCCATTGTTGATATTTGATTTGCGATCAAACTCACAGTCGGGCGGGAAGGATGTGGAATTTGACAGCTTTGACTTGGGTCCAACCCTCGAGGGCATCCTCGCCCATGTCACGTCCATACCCACTTTCCTTCACACCACCAAAGGGAACGTTGGGACTCAACATTGCCCATGCGTTAACGGTCACTTGTCCCGATTCCAAGGCCTTAGTAACGCGATGCGCACGGTTAACATCGTTCGTGAAGATGGCAGCGCTTAGCCCGTGAGCAGAATCATTGGCCTTGGAGATGACCTCCGCCTCACTGGAGAACTTGGCGATGCTCTAATTTATTCAGGGTCAGCATAAGCACATGCGCGAACTTAAGACAAGCGGCAACTTACAGCAACTGGGCCAAAGATCTCTTCTCGCATAATGGTCGCATCGTCGGCAACATCTGCAAACGCAGTGTTCTGCACAAAGTACCCCTTCTCGCCAATCCGCTCTCCACCAAACAGCAAACGAGCACCACACTCCTTGCCCTGACGAATATAGTCCAAAACTTTCTGATGTTGCGCATTGCTCACAATGGGGCCTTTTGTAGTAGCTGCGTCCAATGGGTCACCGGCAACAGTAGGAGCATCGGCAGCAGCCTTCTTGTACGCCTCGATGAAACGGTCATAGATGGATTCCTGAACATAGATACGCGATCCAGCCGCACAGATCTGGCCATTGTTCGCGGTGATACCAATCCGGGTCCAAAGAAGTGCGTTTTCAAAATCACAATCATCGAACACGATTGATGGACCCTTCCCACCGAGCTCGAGGCTCACCTTCTTCAGATTAGTCCGGGATGAAGCCTGGAGGATCTTGCGTCCGGCGAAGGCGCTTCCGGTGAAAGCAATCTTGCGAACTTCCATGTGCTCGGACAGAGATTGGCCTGCATTCGCACCATCGCCGGCCACAATGTTCACCAGACCTGCGGGGAATCCGGCCTCCTTGACTAGTTCAGCCAGTCGTAGGCCATATAGGGGCGAGTTCTCGGATGTCTTGATAATCAAAGCGTTACCAGTCACAAGGGCGGGAGCAAGTTTCCAGATAGTAATCATTCTGCGCATTCATACATTAGTTTATGTGAATTTCACCGGGAGAGCAGAAGGCCACTTACAGGGGTGCATTCCAGGGAACAATGGCACCACAGACGCCTAGAGGCTCTCGATGGGTGTATGCAAACCCACCATCAAGCTCGAGTGTCTTTCCATCAATCTTATCAGCCCATCCAGCATAGTATCGGAGACATCCAACCGCCTGCGGAATGTTCAGTCCCATAGAATCGGTGAAGAGAGTGCCGGAATCGACAGCCTCCAGAGATGCCAGATCCTGCGCATCGCGCTCAACTAAATCGGCTAGCTTGAGAAGAACTCGAGCTCGTGCAGCTCCGGAAACTGCTTTCCAAGCTTCGAAGCCGGCTTTGGCGGACTTCACTGCCTTGTTGATATCTTCCAGCCCGGCGGCGGAAATAGTTCCGAGCTGTTCGCCCGTCGATGGGTTCTCTACGGCCAATGTCTGACCAGTGACGGATGGAACAAACTCATTGTGAATGAAGAGTCCGGTCGGAACTTGAAAGCAAGGTGTGAGTTGAAAGTACATATGGAGCGGGTATATCAATCGTCACCTTACCGGTAACCTTCCGACCCTGCACTCCGGCGATTGTCAATGACGAATCCATTTTTGGTAAATTTTTGATGATCAAAAGGGTTACAGCAAATGCTGGAGATTTAAGTAAATGATTAGCTGGGTATATGTAGCTGCTTTTCAAGGCAACCCATAATGCGGGGGCTGACAGCCCCGTTCCGCGCTATCATTCCGCTTCCGAGGGCGTTCGGTAGTCTTCATTGCTGAGTAAGGGAAAGATAAATTGGTTCACCTAGCTAAGGGGCCAAATAACTATTGGACTAAGGAACAAGTGCATACTAAGTTGCTTGGATTCTTGGCTGGTGCGTGCTACCTTATCGGGGCCATTCCGAACGCTGCAGGGGTCCTGCAGGCGCTCCTGCAAATCGGACACATTGGCTCACTGATAGATATGTTATTTGGTGATTAAAGGCCAACAGCTGATAATCAAACTTATTTGTCATAATTGGGCTGTAAGTTTATTAAGTAAATATTGATGGTGTAGATTGTCTTGGCGCGCGGAACCAAGGCCGTTACCGAAGGGACAGGCCCATCATTGAGGCTCCTGATCAGCGGTCCGCCGCTTTCACACCGCACATCCATTGATCGCGGTTGTTACCTACTAACTACCAGCTACTATTGAGAAGTAAAAAAGTGTGTTAATTGATTGATGAATGGGTATTCAGAATTACAATACAGATTCCAGAATGAACCTCAAGCTCTGGAACGTAAGGTAACTTGAATTTGTATGTGATAAATCGATTGTGCAACTGCTCTGGCTAATTCAGATGGTGGTTACACCAGGCGGCCATTGTGGGCACTCATGAAGCTTTATAGTCCACTCGTGTCGTGGACAAGTTGCACATAAGGACATCAATAAGCAAAAGTGAAAGAAAAGATGTACGGGTAGTGCTGCCTGAAGTGTACCGTTTTCTTCGACCAGAATACCGTCTCTTTATAGTTACGGGAAATATCCAACCCTCCATTTTTGGCTCTACAATATCTAGGAATATTCCAAAAATAAATTTAAATGGTTTATAAATCCAATTTAGTGTAACGTTTAGAATTTTTGCTTAATTTTTAACGAACTATCGCTCTTGCTGCCTGCCACTTACTCCTAGGAATACGACTTTAGCTCTAGCGACCTGGACATCCGCAAAACCATTCTAGACCCATCGGCTATGTCTACCTGATGACTTACCCGCCAGTGACGAAATTTGCGACCCCTCACTTGCCCAAGGTATTCTAGATAGCACTCAGAAAATACCTCATCCTAACTAAATGAAGGCTGATAGTCTTCCTAGGAGCTTTCGGACTAGGCTTCCGCAGAACCCAACCCAGTCCGGGTTGGGTCCGGGCTGGGTCCGGGTTGAGCTGGGTTCTGCGGAAGCCTACCCTGAGGACTCTCCAGTGATTATACTACTAGTACCAATATACAGCAACAGGCGTATGGTTACACTATTGTAATGTTCGTGCTTATCACTCCTATCCACAACCCCAGTATAAGGCTTGGGCCTTAACAGGTATCCTCTGGGAGAGACTTTTGTAGACCTGGCACTCACCCTCGATTTAGACTCGCCAAGACGCTAAGGAGGGTACAAATTGTTACGGCCTAATCGGGAGATTAGGGCAGAATGGTGAAGTTGGACGATGAAATGTCTAAACCATCCCGATCCCCAACCGAAACTCAACTGTACGACTTGATCAAAGAGGGGTATGTCCCTCTTCTATTTAATCAGTGTCCTTAAGGATTAGCCTTTGTCTCATTCAAGCTATTACTTTACACTTTCATACCTCCCGACTACTATCCTCGCCTAGTCGACCTCTTTACCTTAACACAAATTATGACCTTGAACCCTCTTAGATAATATTTTGAGGCATTAATAGGCATAAACAGGTATTTCCCTGCTTATAAATGGTGTTTTATGCACCCTTATGAAAAGAGGGTCCCTCATTGAGGGTCCCTTGGTGGGTGGAGGGTCCGGACCTTGGACCCTCCGGCCAGGTCTAATGAAGATGAACCTCCTTTACCTAATACCCAGCAGCGATTCTCTGGGAGGAACAGGAAGCGATCCCGACGCGAGGATGATCTGTTCATATATTATTCTTACTTATTCTAAGCTATTTCGCATATAGAATCATTCTTTATAATTAATGTGGGCATCGTGGTAGGATGCCCACACCCCCATGGGATAGGCGCGCACCAAATCTTTCGCCGTCGCCAGTACTTCACCCCCCCCCCCCCCCCCCCCCCAAGCTCTCGCGTGATAAATCCGGTAGGGTCCTACAAAATTTCGCTTAATGCTCTCTTGGACCGCCCCAGAAACGATATTCCCCACAGGTTTCCAAAATCAGTCGTACTGTTCTTTACCCATAGCTTCGAGAACCATACCTTCCAACACGTGTACTGCACTAGCTTATTCACTATATAATCGATTGTTTCAATACTGACGCATCAACAAGTTGACCAACGGTTTGTGCAGGGGTGGGGCGTCTCCAGGACAGCCGGTATAAATCGCAGCCAATCAAGATCGCTACAACTGAACCGTGCTTCATCGTCGAGCATCGGGACTGCCGAGATATAATCTACGCTACCGAAAAATGCTCGTCCAGGTCTTCGGCTAAGACTCGTCTATCGGCTATCTCCGCATGCCTGTCTAAGCGATATACTCAATATGCAACCTGATACGACCTTGTCTTGTTTGCCCCCTATTTAAATAAGAGTCGGAGCGGCAGGAACTCACTCGTTGATACCAAGAGTGGTTATACTAGCCAAAAGCGCAACGGTATATCTGCATTAGATGCCATTTGCTGAAAGGTCAATTATATTGCGGCTATCAACCCACGCCAGCATGAAGACCGTGGCGGCTCTGTTGTCAATGGCCGCTATGGCCCACGCTCTAGTAGCGACCACCTCCGAGCCATCGCTCAGTCAGATCAAGAACGCGGCGGCAACAACCTTGCCTGAATCTCCCGTTTCAAACGTCAAAGGTGTTGCTTTTGATCGCTTCTACCAGATTTGGATGGAGAATGTGGTACGTGAAGTTCCCGATGAAAATCAGAAGGGAGACTATATTAACCACTAGGCGATAGGCGTATACCGATTCGGCGGCTGATCCCAACATGCAATGGCTTGCCTCCCAGGGAATTCTGCTGTAAGTTGAGGTACTGTGCAATGTTTGTAGAGCCAATGCTGACCCAAGAAGGACCAACTACCATGGCGTTACTCACCCGTCGGAGCCAAATTACTGTGCTGCAGGCGGTGGTGATACCTTTGGGATGGATTGGGACGACTGGACACAGATTCCTTCAAACATATCTGCTGTCCCAGATCTATTAGATACTAAGGGTATCTCTTGGGCTGCATATCAGGAGCATATGCCGTACCCTGGTTTCCAGGGCTTCAACTACTCCAATCAAGAGACATATGAGGACGACTATGTGCGTAGGCATAACCCTGTGGTCCTCTATGATACTGTGGTCGTGAATGAGACGCGTGCTCGTCAGATCAAGAACTTTACCGACTTCGAAGAAGATCTTGCAAACAACAAGCTTCCTCAGTGGGCTTTCTTCACGCCGAATATTACGAATGATGCCCACGATACAAACATTACCTTCGGGGCCAAGTGGGAGCGCCATTGGATGTCCGCTTTGCTGGCGAACGAGTACTTTATGAACAACACCCTTGTCCTTCTTACTTTTGACGAAGATATGTATGATCTCAGTGACAAAAATGCCACATTCGATCAGGGCAATCGGGTTTATAGCATTTTGCTTGGTGGTATTATCCCGGATGACTTGAAAGGCACTCAGGACGATACGTTCTACACACACTACTCGAGCATTGCATCCATATCTGCTAACTGGGGTCTTCCTTCCCTGGGTCGCTGGGATTGTGGTGCTAATATTTTCGAGATTGTGGCCAACAAGACTGGCTATATTAACTATGATGTTGATCTTACCAATTTGTACCTAAACCATACCTATAATGGCCCATTGACCACCGGGATGTTGGAAGAGTACTTTGGAGGTTCGTCTGACCTGAAGAAAGTGGCGGGCTCCGCATGGACCTGGCCTGTTCCCAACACTGACGCTAAGTGCTCGGCTGGAAACGGTGTGCTGGAAGCGGTGAAGGAGACCTATAGCGGCATGAGTGCGACCTACAACTACACATCTCCCTACCCTTGGGATGAAGCCAGCGGCTATAACGTCAATGTAACCGCTACCCGCAAAACATCCAACAGCACTTCCAACAGCAATAGCTCCTCTACCAACGCGACTTCTACCACCTCTGGTGCCGGTCGCAGCACTAGAATAAGCCTGGGTGCTACTTTTGGAAGTATGGTTGCTCTCCTTGTTTTATTGCAATAGAGGATCGGAAAGATCGCGCGGCGGTTGAATGTGAAGAGGGAAAATAATAGGCAGAAGAGAAGTAAAAACATTTTGTGAACTAGACAAGTGGTGATGGACAAACATGTTATATTACATGATATTAGTAAGCACATATATAAAGTGCGTGCACAGATATAGCAGAATGGACAGACAGTGGCATATACTCGATTGGACCCCTATTGGTTGATTTTTCCGCCCTGATTACGTGAACGGACATGAGCATGATCACTGAGTCTGAGCCCGTGCTAACGTTTACTCAATGATTCTGAGCCTAAGCGCCCTCATAAAAGCGGCGGCAGCCCAGATAGGAAGGCCCCACCCGGCAGACATTATCCTGTCTATATAGGCACATATACAGCGCGCCAAGCTGGAAAGCGCTCTGAATTAGGCAAATTTTTCCCGTTATCGCGGGAGCACCAGATAAGCGCGTTCCCCGCACGACCCCAATTGTGTGTCCCACAGTACCGTGCTTCGTCGCTTTTGACAGCTTCGGTTCCATATATCAATCATGCGGCGAGTCAAAAAGTCGCGCAACGGCTGTGCAAGGTGTAAAAGCAAAAGGGTCAGTGTGGGCGCGTGGGTCCATATTGACACATGCTAATCTACCCGAACAGGTCAAGTGCGGAGAGGAGAAGCCTCATTGTAGCCGCTGCACCCGACTTGGAGTTCGGTGCCCGGGATATGTGCAGTCACTTCGTTGGGTCACAAAATATGAACAACCCAGTCCTGGTGCATCATCAGAGGGCCAGCCGCCTAGCCCTGTGCCTTCTACCTCGGTGCCGGAGGAGGCTTCAGCTCCAGTGCAAGATACGCTGTCACTCTGTAGCCCAAATCCCGGATCGCGACTTGAACCAGATGCTTCTGTGTTTGAGCTAGATGATTCGAACGCTCTTTGTGACAGTCTATGGGACCTTCAGGGCAATCGATCACTCCCGGAGTTAACAGACCTCTGTCCGTCTTCCCCAGCACCGATGTCAGCATCGGGTTTCTCGCAGCCCCAAAATTCACCATATGACTTTGCTTCATCTGGAGATATGGCCGCCGATGTCACACATTTCTTGTCACTGATTGGTCCGTCTCAAGAAGAGACTACTAACGGTGGGAAGGTTGATCGAGACTTCTCGCCATCGACCATCGTACGCAGTTATCCACCCGCCTCGCACCGCTCTAATTCACGAGACGTTACGTCCATATCTCGCCCTTTGAACAATCCTTCTTGGACACTTATCGAGTACTATTTCAAAGAGGTTGCGGCGCTCTTCTCTAGCTATGATAGCCAGATGAACCCCTTCCGCACGACCGTCTCCAGGCTATGGGGCTCATCCCTGGCTATGTGCCGGACGATGCAAAGCATGGCCGCTGCAACTCTTGTCAATGATTTTCCACAGTTTGGACCGATTGGTCGGAAGATGAGGGATGAGGCTGTCAGTATCATCACACTTGAACCAGCGATGGACGACAAGTCTCTACTGGCACTCCTCATGCTCGGACAGACGGCCAGTTGGCATGATCCAAAAGACTTGGGTATTTCATTCTTTAACCTGCTTCGGAAACACCTGAACTCTATTTCCGATGGATCGAGTACGGAATCCTTGGGCTTCCCGGAGAGCCGCAGTAACAATTACCGATTTTTTGAGGAGGCTCTCATATACTGGGAGATGCTCTTATCATTCGTCGCAGACAATGACTCTGCAATGTTCTCTGATAAATCATGCGCATCATCTATGGAAGAATCGCTCGTTCTTCAACGCGTACCGCATCCATGGACTGGCATCGCACGAGATGCACAATTCACAGTGCATGAAGTTGGTCGACTTATTCGGAGAGAACGTAAACGTATTCGTGCTCGAACTTTCACATCTCAGGACGACATCAGACGAGCGCAGATGGCGATCGAAAAGGCACGCGAGTTGGAGGAGCGCTTATTGAACCTTGCTCATCTTACAGAGGCTGAGATCGTCAGTACCGGCGACGATGAAACTCCAGTTTGGCACCTTCTTACCGTTGCCGAGGTTTATCGATGCACAGGCCTAATACAGCTGTATCGTGTTTTCCCAGACCTACTTCGCAACCGTCTGCCAAATCCTGAGGCAGCTCAATTTCCAAATTTCGCGAGGGGAACACCTGGCGACTCTTTCTTTCCAGTAGATCTGGACTGCATGAATCTCTCTCCGGGCTTCGGTGGAACAAACGCTAGTCCTACAACCGATAAAGCTCAACCAGAAAATCAACAGAGCACCCACCAATCTCCATCATCGACCTCCTCCCCACACATCAACATTTTCCCTCCCTCCTCGCACCATCACCAACCTCAAGCCCCGAAATCCACGACTCAAGACACATCACCCGAGTCATTATACGACGCCTGGCTCACTGATTTTGCCGTCACACTAATCTCACGCCTAAAAACCATCCCCTTGGAGTCCCGAACCCGCTGCTTGCAACCGTTACTGTTGGTCGCTTCATGCAGTGAGCTACGTCTACCAAGACTACCCACCGAGCAACCGAATACCCATTTTGAAAATAATCCGGATGACAATCCCGCAAGTAATCAATCTCAAGGCGGCATTGAGACACCAAATATATCCATGGAAGCTATTGAAGTGTCCCAAACCCGAAAGTTCATTCTCGGTCGTCTGACATCTTTCCTACATGTGCTGCCGCCTAAACCAATCGATGTTTGTGTGAAACTCGTGAAAGAGGTATGGAGACGGATTGATGCTGGAGAGGCCAACACTTATTGGATTGATGTTATGATTGACAAGGGGTGGGAGACAACTATGGGGTAGACGTTAGCTCACCATACAACATCAAATGAAGCAGGGCTTTCTAATACCAGACAAATCGAAGCTCCACGGGATATAGCGAAGAAAACCTAGAAGCTTTCGCTTTATTCTTCTCTCCCTCCCCCATTTTGCACGCCTCGAATCATTCATTTCAAAGGAAATTTGTAGTTGAAGAGCTCCTTAGGTGCACCATCACGGAAGAATTGCTTTAAAAGGACGCAGAATCAATCACATGATCTTGGCTTAAGACGTCCCAATGACCTACGGGAGGCCATGGGACCTCAGCTTACACCAAAGTCCCCATGGACCTTAACGAGAAAAACCATGACAATACGCGCCGAAGCCATTGCGTTAAGGCTTAGGACACAAAGTATGTTAGATTTAGCCTATTCATTTCCAGTGCGTTACTTAACACCAATCGCTCCCCTCGCCGCCTACCTTCGTTTGTCTGCAATGATGCCATGGAATCAGAGCTGCTCGTTGTAGGGATTCTTCCAAACCTGAAATACTAGACATTTCAAGAATCATCGGTCTATAATCCTATAATGATTTCCTGGTTTTGTTTGGCCGTAGCATGTTGTTCGTCGAAACTGAAACTTTACACATGCCTTGGACCATGTCTCTTGAGTGGCTGTGGGATCTAATTCAGCCGGTGCATTCTAAGATCATCTGCTGGCTTTCTCTGGAGTTCAACATACTTCAAGCTATGAATAAAAGCTAATATGCTTCATCCAGGATTGCCATCCTGACATATGGTCTGTGAATTTGCCTGTCGTTAAGATGCTGTGCTACGTTTGTTAGTAGACTTTGATCATAGCAATTGAAGAACCAAGGCTCTAAGATTTATGGATTGAACAATGATTCGTCTCATTTACCTCATGAAAGAATGTCATCCGTCCCATTTTCTCTATGCCATCTCACACCGCACCGCGCTCACTGTATCATCGACAACCAACTGCGAGACATAAACATTCTATCTACTAACAATGTAGCAGGTTTTTTCATACCTACCGGCAGAATAACAGATATTCCCGCCTATCGTAGTTCCGGGTGTATTCACGGCTAGGCTGGCTGCTTGGTTGATGAGTTCCTATAGTATCTGGACCATTCGAATGATCCTAATGGCTCACTAACCTTGAACACTTGTTTCCCAGTCCCCCCTGTCTTCCTACTTCTTTCTCTTTTCTTTTTCGTCTCATTGCTGATCCTCTTCATATTTTTCATCTTGATCTTTCTCTTTACTCCTCCCCACCCACCGCATTTTTTTCAAACCTGTTAAGAGCACCCGCATTGCCCTTTCAACCAGTCATGTGGACGTGAGCAAGCTTTGTCAGTTGCGAGCTTCCCTCACATCAAACCTTGAGTAGAATCAATCTTCCCACCTGAAGTCAAGGCTTGTCACCTAACCTGAGGATACGGATCACAACGAGAAGTAAGTTCCCACCTCATTACACGTTTTCATTTGCAACTCACCTCATCGCTTGATTCTCCACCAAGAAATTTAGTTCTAGGAGTTTTCTATGAGTTTTCTGTTTGCTTCACACCTTTGAAAACATACCACCGAACACATTTTTCTCGCAATTCTTGGCAATCTCAGTACTCGCCATTCCCCACAATGTCGACAGAGGCCGCACCGATGACACCACCGGCTAAAAAGAGAATGACGGACTGGAACTCCTGGTTTCATCGGCGGGAATGGGATGCAGAGGATTATCTCGATCAGTCAGATGGTCTTCCAAATATTGACGATGTCATCTTACCCAAAGTATCACCAATCTTGACAGGCATGGGCAATTTTGAGGTCTGGTTGAGCGCCGTCACCAAAGTCCTGGACTCTAACAGGCTGATGGGTTTGATTACGAGACCACGGCCTCTATTCTTGAACGAGCAGAGCGAAAGATGGGCGAGCTTGTCTCTGGAGGTTGGCCAATGGATGGAAGACAGCATTGATGAGACCCTCTACTGCTATCTCGAATGGATGGGTGAGGATTGCATCTACGCAGATGCCGTTGTGAGATCTGCCAAGCTACTTTTGCAGGGGAAATCTCTAGCAGATGCAAGGAGGATGGAGAAGTTAGTCCAACTCAAGCCTAGCGACTTTGACAAGCCATTCAAATACGTCATGGCATACGCAGACCAATTCGAATCGGCTTGTAAGCATGGGATCAATATTGGTCCTTACGCGGCGCTCTTGACGATACTCTTGAACTTTCAAAATTCAAAGAGCGGTATCTACTACAAGATTCACCAAATGCTCAACGTCGACTCGGGTGGCAATGGGAGTCTTGCAGAGTGGGTTACTAAGGAAAGATTTCAATATTACATCACCCATATCATCAAGTTATTGATCGACGATGACCAAAGGTTCCTAAGCGCCTTTCATTTCCCATCCGAAAGATGAACACGTCCTACGAGAGAGGATCAAAGGCTGGATCAAGGTACAGTTTATCGATATCAGCAGACGCAAGGAAAGAAGATAAAGGTCTGCAGAAAGCCATAGAGACCAAGATGATCGAGTCACAAGACGATAACGACGATGAAAAGAGAAAGGTATCAATGCCGGTTTTATACTCATGGATTACTATTCATTGGAAGTTTCTGAATTTCCGTTTTTGCTGCTTTTGGTTTTCACCTGCTGTTCCCCCTCCTGGATTTTGGAATCTTCTTTCGGATTCGCAATGAGGACAGATAGACATTTATGGTTAGCCAGGGAGTTGACGTCCGACTGAATCTATTTTTAGCTGAGCAGAAGCAATTGCATTCTTGCTGTTATCATAAGCAATAAGATGGTCCATCAATCTCTACCATCAGTGACTAGCTTGAATGAGAAGACCAACAAGCATTGATCAACAATTTCGGACAATTTCGGCCTTATATTCGAAATCAAGTAAAACACACCACCTTGCTATATTGATAAATTCCTTTTGGCATCAAATTAAGGGTGGCCCATTTACCAAATCAGGAACAACCCTGGGAAGATTCATGTAGTATGTGGAGTATATCCACTCCGTTCAATGCGCGGCGGCTGCAAGCTATCAAGAAATAGGTGGGTCGATTTGAGGGTAGTCAGAGCCATACGGCCAATGAAGCAACACTTTCGAGGAACCTCTGGGGTTCTTTGAGACATGGCGCATGATACGATTTCGGGAAAACCGCAAGGCTCCGCGTTGATCGGTTATATGGGTCCCGGGCCAAAATAAATGATCTATTAGACTTTTGAAGGATTTGAAGCCGAGGTCAAGCCGGTATTTGGCCGATCCTTGTTTTCTGGAATTCGATGTGAGAACAATTCCGAGGAGCCTTTTCCTTGGCATGCTCATGTAGAGCATAGGCAATTTGAATCGTTGGTGTTCTATGAAATGAGGCAATATACTAGGTTCTACGTGAATCCAGTGGTGGCTAGCCAAAAAAAGAATAACGAGGGTACTAGTAGAGAAAAGGTTTATATATTAAAGTAGCAATTTTGAGGCGAACAAAGAGCGGAAACCAAGCTATGCAGCCAAATTGGAAAGAGGGTGGCACACTGTGAACCAAGAGTCATCGCCAAGATCAAAAAAGTCCCAAGCTTGGACTTTGTCAACAATCGCAGGCATATATGGGACAATTCTGTTTCAGTCGTACAGTCGTTGCTATCTTAGAAAACTACACCCTTTACCTGTGGCTTCTCCTTGACGTTGATGTCGCGGATCATAATAGTCCAAGGGATAGCGAGAACCATGATACCCGTACCGATAGCAAGCAAGCGCAGCTCGGCGTACCCATAAGCCTTCTGGATAGCAATTCTGGTCGCCGAACCCAGTGGGTATCCTCGCTGGGTGTAAAGACTGTTGTAGATGTTGTCAAAGTTCGACATAGCCGATTCAGGGAGATAACGCTTCAAGGCGACAGGATAGGTGTTCTCCCAAACAACAGTACTGATAGTAAGACCTGCACTGTCACCGATTGTACCAACGACGTTCAACAGAGCAAGAGCCGAAGCGAAATGCTGGTGATCAACAGCGGCGAGAATGGCAAGCTGCTCGACCATGATGAAGCACGCACCACCGATGGCGATGAAGATCTGACACATGATCTGGTAGCCGACGTTAAATCGGGCGTGACGGAAGTAGATCATGAGACCTTGAGCCAAGATGTAGAGTGGAACACAGATATATAGGAGCCACTTGTAATGCCCGGTCTTGGAAATGGAGAAACCGACGAACAGCAAGAGGACACCGGAGACGATGTCGAAGATATGGTTGATCCATCCGGCTTCTTTGGGGGTCAGTCCGTTTACGACTTGTAGGAACGACGTGAAGTAGTAGTTCCAGCAGTAGTAGGATAGCTGGTATGTGGCATCCAGGAGACAGGCACCGATGACGGTACGGTTCTTGATATAGGTGATGTCCAGCATAGGTACTTTGGCCAAAAACTTCTCCCAGAGAGCGAAGAAGAAAAGCATGGAGAATCCAACAACAAGCATCGCAATGATGTAATCCGTTGCCCAGCCGTCAGGGGCATAGTCCGCAATGTCGAAAGGAAGTTCAAAGAGCACGAGACCAACGGTGAAGATAAATACGCCAATTACTATTCAATGATCAGATGGTTCGCAATAAGGCTTGAGAATGGTGTTGCGGCAGAACTTACTGTCAAATTCTTGGATCCAGTGCCATGTGCTCTCAAGGAATGTGCGGCCGCTAGGAAGTCTGACCGCATGGCCCTCTCTCTGGGCCTTGTGAAGTGTATGCTTCAAGGTGAAGAACAGGGGGGCAGCAGTGATGGGGAAGATGATCGCCCAGGTACCGAATCCCCATCTCCAGCCATCACCAGGAAGAGCATAGAATTCCTGGCCAACGGTGGGACCAGCGAATGCTGTAATGATGTATGGAGAAGAGGTGAAAGCGTAAGCAAAAGCTCGGTTCTGCAACTTGGTCATATCGGCCGTGAGGACATCCACACAGTACTCCATTCCACCGAAGCCCATCATGTAGAACGTCTAGATTGTCATTTGTTAGTATCAACATAATCACAGATGGATTTTGTCAGAACCTACATATCCAGCGCAGTAGATGGAAAATCCATCACAAGCGGCCATGAGAATCAGGCCCAAGGTAGAAAAAATGGTCATGAGCAGAAATCCCTCAGCTCGACCCCACGTGTCGAGCATTTTGCCCATCGGAATGTAGACAGCGGCAGAACAAGCATCACCAATAGCGGTAGGGAGACCAGACAGCGAGTGATATTCATAGTAACTCGCGACATAAGGACTGATTGTGTCGTAAACGGATGCCTGGAATGCATTGACAAAGTACAACAACCAAATACTATCGATGGAAAAGGTCAGATTCCGGTACAATTTCCGGGAAATGGAGCAACAAAACATACTTCAAGAACACCAAGAACAGAACCTTTCTCGACCAAGTAAGGGTTATAGCTTCGGCATCAGCAACACCCTGCTGCAAGCCTTCCTGGGGCAATTCCGCTCCATTATCGTTAACAGGAACCACATTGTCAGTAGCCTCAGGATCCTTCTTTTCGGAAGTTCCCTCCACAGCGCCAGTGTCGACCGAAGAACTTCTTCCCTCTTCATCCTTTGTCCGACCAAAAACATGGCGAGCCCTGCGCAGCAAGGGGCGCATCTGTGTAACCGCCATGTTGGATGGTTAACACTGAAGTGACAATAAGTGGGGAAGGAAATCGAGATAGAAATGAGACAAGGAAGGTTGAGGGATATTGCCCAACTTAAAAAGCCAAAGAGTCCGGTGATAATCCCTGCCCTTATAGAACACAGACCCGAAGTCGGATGCTTGTCGGAGACTTAAAGCACGCGCAGATGCAAAGGACCAGCGGAATCTGCGCTATGGACGATGATTTGTTACATAAGTGGAACGATTTGCCCCCTACACGATATACCCCGACTCCACCGGGGGCTAATGGGAATTAAAAGAAAAATGAGATTCGCGTTCAGCTCTGAGACCAGGACTGATCGGCGCCAAGAAACTGGTGATGGGTGGGTCAGCACACGACTATTTGACCGTTCCATGATTCGAGACAGCTCATTCTGTTTCGTAAGGGAAATGGGGAACGTTTGAAACCTGTTTAAGCTAATGTAACCATCTCATGCTGAGCTATTTGACGTACTATGCCTCGATTTGAGCCTTGAATACCATGGTGTGGCCAAATTTGAAGTGGATAGGATAGCCGTAGTAGGTAAGTTATATGGTTCATTATTCAAGAGCTTAAGAGATAGATGAGTTCCAACAAGGCCAAGGTCCTTTTTCAAAGAAAAAACTGAAACCCCAAAATGACCTAGGCATAAAGATCTAATCAGATGCCCGATCTTATCTCGTGTGGCCGACTTGTAAGCAGGGTCGTTCGCGTAGTGCGGCGCAAAGAAAGGGATGTGGATCCCTATGGGTCCAACTCCAAAAGACCCTGAAACATGAATGGATAGTTCGGCCTTGTTGGCCCCAAGAATGACGATCCTTCCAGCACTTGAACTTACGGGTTCGCCGACGTTTTACGCACGGGAGATTAAGTGTGGAACAGCCTGATCATACTGTAAAGCAATGGAATTATCTCGGCACCCGCGCAACGGGCCGGAAAACCTCGTAACAAGCAACGAGTCCAAGACTCCAAGACTTCTTAACTTTCCGAGGTTCCAGAAAAGTTATCAGATCTGCGCCGTGGGGGCCATATTCGGCTTCGTCCCGCCGACTGATCAGCCCACTGTCAACGTAGAAGACTTTTTCTCCTCTTTATTTTTTGTCCTCGCGCGTCATCTACGACTGATCTTCTTGTAAGGCTAGTGGGGTCTTTTTACTCTCTTCACTCATGGGGGTATTGCGTACCTCTTTCGTAGCCAAATATTGACAGTGAAACGGCTTTACAACTGGGATTTACAACTAGGCTAGTGTTTGCAATTACCCAATTTCATCTGATCAAATCAGACACACCTTCAACGTGGACCGAGATTGATACAACATCGATCCGCTTTTCTTTCAAGCCAAGAATGCTACCACCGAACCAAGCGCGCCCGAAAGATCGGCTAGCTGTGATGTATCTTACTCCTTACCTGGCACTATTGATCATGGTGGTATAAACGGATAATGCATGCAAAACGTCGCAGTGTATGACTTGCTATAGTATTTCACTTATACAGAGGATAGTTACCAAACCCTCTGACGATTTGAAAAAAAAAAAAAAAAAAAAAAAAAAAAAAAAAAAAAGGATTTAGGCCATTCACACTACTCGCATTACTGAGAAAGACATCGAAAACCTTGATTACTGATCTGGTGCTAACATCGTAATAAGAGTGCCTTGAAATAATGATTGAACATATACATATTAGTCCCTGCAGTCTTGTCAATGGCATCTCGACAGGTCGGGATACTTGCCAAATACGCGTTGTCAGCTTACTGGTGACCTCAATTATGCCCAGCTCGTTTGCCATACCTAGTTCGCCGCTCAGCGTTGCAAGCAAAAATCGGCATGCTCTACGACCAAGCTAAGTAGGAACTGTTTGTTTGTGGTCATGTGTCCGCAGGGGCATATAAAGAGAGCAATCTGTATCTCATTGCTTCCTCCTCCTTACATATCACAGCTGTTATATACACCTATTATATATAAGCATCTATCATATATAGACGAGCCAGAAACTCGAATTTTGTTACCTAAATGATAATGTCTGATGCCTCCTCTCACAAGACCAGGCATAATTTGTTTGCTCATCTCTCCACGATGAAGTCGAAAAGTATCGAACACCAAAGCTACAACACTGGCTAATATCGCCCACACCGAAACAGGACCAAGAAGGCACTGTCCAACACGCGTGGTCAGAAGAAAATATGTACCGATATATAATACCTGGACGTGAATGGTTTCAAGCTCACTAAATTGATATAGGTCAACTCACAAGACACTTCCCAGGGCCGGAGATATAAGGCGTTACACCTAGGAATCCACGGAGACAGTGCGTCACAAGTGAACCTCCTTCTTTTACCTCTATGATGGAGGTTCAATATGACAACTTGGAGGTTTGGATACGGGATCCCTCAGCCTGGTGCCCACGAACTAGATGAAAGACACTCTTAGGGGGGCTGACCACGATGGTATCGATTAGCAGCCCAGCTACCCCGTGTTGATCCCTCCGTTTGCCTGAAAGATCTGGATCTGCTTGGCTGCAGGGATATTGATCTTGAGTATGATCGATACACGCTGGCTTAGGTCTCGGAGATCATGAGCTAGCACCTGATTGCTGGAAATGGGTGCTTGAGTAGCATGCTATTGATTTTGGCAATGAATCAACTGCCGCCTGAAGTTCGATGAGCTCCAAAGAACACGTTATTTCTCTGTTAGATGATCTCACGGCTCATTCTCCGTGTGTTCTAATGGGTTTTCTGGCTTGCAATGGTTTCCTGGTTTCTGGTTATGTCTCTGGATTTTGGTTGTTGATGCGGTCTTTTATGCTTTTCTGAGTTACTCGCGACGACACCAGCCTTCGTTGCTTAAGCTTAAGGCCTTCCAATTACACCATGCTTGCGTGCGGTGATTCAAAATTAGACATGAATGTAGCTTTCCCATCAACGATTGAGATTTAAAAATTGGTGGCCGTGTATGAAGTTAGAAGTAATGAGGTATCTGTGGTCATGATCAGGATGTCTGGCAATATATATTTGAGAAAATTGACATCATAACCACGTTAGAAAGCTTTTTCATCTCGCTCTTCCACCTGGGTCAGATTACGGGGTTCGTTTGAGCTTCAGGAGATCCATGGATGAATTAATCAAATTTGTAGGGATGTCCCTTCTCAACTGCAGCAGCAGTACATTACTTGGGGCTTATGCTATTTCAATATAATAATCAATATCATGGCGCCAGTGTTTAGCCTAGAGGTGCTAGATGACATGTACGAGGAGTGGAACTAGATGAGCAAGTAAGTAATCAGATATTGTGTTCACCTTCACTTGGCTCTGCGTGGGTTTTCGAGTGTTTGGTCCCGTGTGTCCTTCGGTCTGAAGTTTGACGTGCCCCAAGACTGGCATACGCCTAGGTATGATTGAGCTTATGAATAAGCTGGTAAGGACATAAATGTAAAATGACCACTTATTGGATTACCAATTCCACACCGGTACTGAAATGGGCGGACGTGGTGGATAGGAGCTCGTCGGAGCTTGCACTCAATGTCTGGCTTCAAGAGAAAGCTTAGAGCACATCGGATGTGACCGGTTATGCCAATTTCCTGCCACGGCTAGGATTTATCACAAGGGCAAGACAGAGTATTTCAGGAAAATACTAGTCGTGGAGTCAGAAGCTACTCTAGAGTATGGACGTACCATTAAGTATTGATAGACTATTGAGACAAGTCCATGGTACGGATGACGACAATCCGTCCCATGTCCCAGCACGCGAATTACCTGGCAATTAAGCAGCATGTGTACTATGAGTGACCCCTTTTCAGTCAAAATCTGCCCCCCTTTTCATAGATAGCTTCTCTAGCTCGAAATCTCTGCATGGATAAACCCTAACGCGTGCCGCGACCCAAAAAGCACCGTGACGATATTACATGCCCAAAGGGAAAGTCCTGACCAATCGTTAGAGCGCGGTCCCTCCACACTAGACCAAATCAGGTGACCCACTCCACCCCTGAGCTTTTTTTTTTTCTTCTTCTTCCGCCGCGTTATTATTTTTTCTTCTCTTCTCCCCCACCATTCCTTTCCTTTTTTTATTTCTTTTTTGTTTGTGATACCCCTCTCATATTGAGCTGTTTGTCTAGCGACAAGCTGCTCATCACTGTCCCGCTGCTTTCTCTCTGATAAAGCGGCAGCTTGGGACGAAAACTTGTGATTGAAAGGAAAAGTTTTTTTGTGATACGATACCCTCATATTCCATCAATATGGATCAGCAACGATTCCTGCAGCAATTGCAGATTGTTCTCGACCGTATGTACCTCCGAATGATAGGTCGTTCATGCAGCAGCATATAGGGCAAATCTTTTTCCTATTCAAGAATTTTCAGCTGACCCTTGCTTTCCAGCCTCCCAGGGCAACGTTAAGGAAGCGACCGGCGTCCTGCAGAAGGAATTCTACAGCCAGCCCGAGTCTCTTGTCCTCCTCATCCAGATCGCCACCGCTCACGATGACTCTAACCTCCGTCAGCTCGCCGCTGTCGAGTCCCGATCCCTCGTTGCGAAGCACTGGTTGAAGGTGGGCAATGAGCAGAAGCCTCAGGTCCGCGAGCAGCTGCTCCGCTCTACCATGGGCGAGAGCTCCTCGCTGGTCCGTCACTCCATTGCTCGCATCATCTCCGCTATCGCTAAGATTGATCTGAACGATGGTGAGTGGGGTGATCTCCCCAACATCCTCCTCCGGGCTGCCGACAGCGGTAACCAGGATGAGCGTGCCGTTGCCATCTACATTCTCTTCACCATCCTCGAGACTCTGGGCGAGACCTTCGAGGAGAAGTTCCAGGATCTTTTCACCCTATTTGGCAAGACCATCCGCGATCCCGAGAGCGCCGAGGTTCGGATCAACACCCTGCTCGCTCTGAGCAAGCTTGCCATGTACATTGAGCCCGAGCTTCACGCCGGCCCCGTCAAGGCATTCCAGGACATGGTCCCCTCTATGGTTGCTGTGCTCAAGGATGCCATTGACCAGGGTGAGGATGACCAGATCATGCAGGCCTTCGAGGTCTTCCAGACCCTTCTTGGCTGTGACTCCGCCTTGTTGAACGTCCACCTCAAGGACCTTGTCATGTTCATGAATGAGCTGTCCGCCAACACCGAGGCCGACGAGGATGTTCGCACCCAGGCTATCAGCTTCCTTATGCAGTGCATCCAGTACCGCAAGGTCAAGATCCAGGGTCTGCGCGTTGGTGAGCAGCTTACTCGCACTGCTCTGCACATTGTCACCGAGCTCGACGACGACTCGGCTGCCGATGATGAGATCACCGCCCCCCGCTCCGCTCTGGCCTTCCTTGATTTGCTCTCTCAGAGCCTTCCTCCCAGCCAGGTCGTTGTTCCCCTGCTCCAGGCTCTTGGCCAGTACTTCAACAACTCTGACCCCAACTACCGTCGTGCCGGTATCCTGGCTCTCGGCATGTGTGTTGAGGGTGCCCCTGACTTCATCAGCACCCAGATGAAGGACATCTTCCCCATGGTCTTGCAGCTCCTTGCCGATGGAGAGTACAAGGTCCGCATGGCTTCCTTGCACACCGTCGCTCGTCTGGCCGACGATCTTGCTGAGGACCTCTCTGCTGAGCACCAGGCCCTCATGCCCTTGCTCTTCCAGAACTTGGCCAGTGCCATGCAAGAGTACAAGGGTGAGGAGGAGGGCCCTATCGTTGATATCCTTAAGGCTGGTATCAGCGCTGTGGATGCTGTCGTTGATGGTCTCGATGAGAAGGATGTTGCTCCCTACCAGTCTGAGCTCGTCCCCATCCTCCACAACCTCTTCAAGCACCCCGACTTCAAGATCAAGTCCCTTGCTGCCGGTGCTCTTGGATCTCTCGCTTCCTCTGCCAGTGATTCTTTCCTCCCATTCTTCGATGAGTCCATGCACCTTCTGCAGGAGTTCGCCGCTGTCAAGGATAGCGAAGCTGAGCTCGACCTTCGCGCTAGTGTCACTGACGCCATGGGCGAGATGGCTGCTGCTGCTGGCCCCGAGCGCTACCAGCCTTACGTGGAGCCTTTGATGCGCGCCACTGAGGAGGCTCTGAACCTTGGCCACTCCCGCCTGAAGGAGAGCACCTACATCTTCTGGGGTGCCATGGCCAAGGTCTACGGCGAGCACTTCTCTCCCTTCCTTCAGGGTGCTGTCAACGGTCTCTTCGCCTGTATCGAGCAGGACGAGACTGAGCTTGATGTCGCCCTTGGCGAGGCTGCTAAGGACCTCGTTGGCCAGGAGGTGACCGTTGCCGGCCGCAAGGTCAAGGTTGCCAGCGCTGACGATGATGATGAGTTCGAGGGCGAGATCGAGGATATCGAGATCGGCGACGATGAGGATGATTGGGATGACATCACCGCCACCACTCCTCTCGCTCTTGAGAAGGAGATCGCCGTTGAGGTTATTGGTGACCTTGTTACCCACACCCGCAGCTCCTTCTTGCCCTACTTCGAGAAGACCATTGAGCAGGTCATGCCCTTGGCCGACCACCACTACGAGGGTGTTCGCAAGAGTACCATCAGCACCCTCCACCGCTCCTACGCCATGCTGTTCGCTATTGCCGAGGAGAACGGCCAGATGGCCAAGTGGCAGCCTGGTCTTCCCTTGCAGGTCCAGCCTGCCAAGGAGGTCCAGAAGTTCGGTGAGATCCTCATGACTGCCACTATCAAGATGTGGACTGAGGAAGAGGACCGGTACGTTTCATTATTTTCTTTATTATCCTGCCCTCGTAGTCCCACATCCCTGTTGGATGATTATATCTATCGCTTAACCCAGCTCACTTTGACGTGCCAAAGTGCACGCGTGATGTGAACCGCGTTTATCACGAATGACACCAACACATACCCTCATTGCTATCTTATTGGATGATATTTGGCGCGCATTTGCTAACATATCCATCTTAGTGCTACCGTCGCGGACATTAACCGCAACATGGCCGAGAACCTGCGCTTCTGCGGTCCCGCCCTCATCGCCGATGAGAGCGTTCTCACCAACGTTATCCACCAGATCACCGACATCATCAGCAAGAAGCACCCTTGCCAGATGGAGTTCGAGGATGAGGAGGAAACCGATGGTCCAGATGAGACCTCCGAGTTCGACTGGGTCGTCGTTGACACTGCCCTCGATGTCGTCTCTGGCATGGCTACTGCCCTTGGCGCCAGCTTCGTTGAGCTGTGGAAGGTGTTCGAGAAGACCATCCTCCGCTACGCCAGCTCCAGCGAGTCTCTTGAGCGTGCTACCGCTGTCGGTGTTCTCGCTGAGTGCATCAACGGAATGGGCGCTGCCGTCACCCCCCTGACCTCTACCCTCCTTAAGCTGCTGCTGCACCGTCTTGGTGACGAGGACCCCCAGACCCGCTCCAACGCTGCCTACGCTGTTGGTCGCCTGGTTGAGCACTCCGAGGCTGCTGACGAGATGGCCAAGGCCTACCCCACCATCCTCAGCCGTCTTGAGCAGTGCCTCCAGATGGACGTTTCCCGCCTCCAGGACAACGCCACTGGCTGTGTCTCCCGTATGATCCTCCGCAACCGCGAGGCTGTCCCCACCAAGGACGTTCTGCCCGTCCTGGTGAACATCCTTCCCCTCAAGAACGACTATGAGGAGAACGACCCCTTGTACCGCATGATCTGCCAGCTTTACAAGTGGGAGGATGCTACCATCCGCGAACTCACCCCTCGTCTTCTGCCCGTCTTCCAGGCTGTTCTTGCCGACGAGGACCAGCTTGAGGATGAGCGCCGCGCCGAGCTCATTGAGCTCGTCAAGTGGCTTAACCAGATGCAGCCTGGCTCTGCCCCCTGGGCTGAGCAGCTGTAAATCTGCACATGACGTATTTGATGACTTTCTGGAATGGTAATAGACGGATGATTTGATGTGGAATTCCCCGAGATGACTAGACGATACCCCGTCTCCGCGGCAATACCCGCGATGAATGATGAAACACAAAAAGTGCTTGCTGTATATAGTTCAATTGATTTACAATATTCTTGTACTTGTTCTCCCGTATTGATCTAGTAGTTACATCCCCTAAACGCTGCTTGGAAGCATGGTAATGGTCTACCTCCTTGCCAAACGCTGTTCAGGTATGGATCTTAGGATCTAGGCACTGCTGCTTGAAACTATCTCCCTGCGCAACAAGCAAGGCGACTCATGTGAATGCACGTAAGAACATTCAGTATACACTGTTATCTTCACTTGATAGATGCTTCTCCGATACGCAGACTAAGATTACTGAATTCCCTTCCACGCACTTGATGTTAACATATTCAGTTAATTCATTAGCTACCTCGCGATCACATTATCTAATAACAATGGTAAAGACTCCTATAACATGAACATGTGCATAAAACCAACTCCATGCAAAATACACAACAAAAACAAAAACCACCTTAAATCAAAGCAAAAACAGTAGGGATATAATATTCGTCAAGACCTCCCATCATCAAGGCCACAAGGTCTGCAAAAGTTCCAAATCCTGCGCAACGGCCGGACTATGTCTTGCACAGTCCTCCAAGAACCGCATCATCTCGTCGTTCCACCGTTCCCAGCCTGGTGGTAGTGTTTCACGCACACGGGGACTGGGTGAGTGTGCGATGCAATAGAACAGGAGGATTTGGCCGAAGAACCTATATTTGTTAACAAAAGTTGCCCTAGAGGAACGAAGGAGAAAGGAAAATGAGAGGGGAGGGCAAACTTACTGCGAACAAAAAGCGAATTTAATCGGGATACAACTCTTCATCTTCCGGAAGATTCCTTGCGTAACTGGCCAGTCCATTGCATGCCGAAGGCCACTTTTGATTTGTTCGATATCGTCGTCTGTGAGTTTATTCGGGATTCGTAATGCCTTGTAAAGGTATGGACGGCCGATATGGAACTGTGCGATCATGTATCGTCCACGAAGCATTGCATCTGTTACCGCTAGTGCAGGCGATAGCGGACGATTAGGATCAGCTGGTCTAGGCGATGATATCACGTGTGGAGAAGCAGGTGTTGAAGGCGATGGGTGATGTATTGAAGGAGATGGGTGGTGCATTGTGTGGTCTCCAGGTGTTGAATGTGAGGGTGGAAGACCTGTATCGGGAAATTGGATAGCGGGTGGGAGGTTGTTGCGCCATTGTTCGAGTTGGTGACGAAGTTCGGCGTTGACAGCGGGCAACGGGATGGATCCGGAATCAGCTGTAGGGTGTTAGATATACTATACGTTTTTGCGGAGGGTCTGGGCTGGGCACTTACAGTAGAAGTAGAGGGAGTGTCGGATGCGGGTTAGGATGATTCGGTGTGCGACTTGGGCGAGGAAGTGGTATTGGAAGTAGGAGTCGTCGACTACGTTGGATAATGGGTAGCGATTCGCTCCGTAGCCTGTTGCAGCGAAACCGATGAATTTTGGAATCGGGACTTTCTCTTCTAGTCGGGAGAGACCACTTGGTGGGAGGTGGAGTTCTTGCACGAGAATAGTTTCGTTCATTAAGCAGTTCCAGTAGACGCGAGATTTCATGTCGCCTTCCCATTCGTCGTAGTTAACGTCGTGGCTAGCAGGGTTAGATGGAAGTTCTGGTGGAAGTTCTCACGGGTGCGCTTACTTCGTTAACATTGACAAGCAACACGTGGCGGCACGGTGAATCATTGCCCAGGCGTCCATTGGACGAAGGATTTGACTATAATATACACTGTACCGAGTTAGTAACGGATTTGATGATTTGTAGGGAAAGGGTCCACCCACGAGGAAAGTAGATAGAATTGACAACTCTGGATATCATTGTCACACATCAAGAATCCAATACGCCGACGCGCCTCATTGAAGAAGCGCAGACCAGGCTGTTCTTCGAAGACAACATTCATCCACTCCGGTGCTTCAAAGCGATGACTCGTAGCTCCAGGAAGCGGGTAATTTCCTTCTTGGTGTGCGAGCACAGCCTGACAGCCCAGCGCCATCACGGTTAGAACGATACAGCTTTCCATCGAATATCCGAACCCACTTTCAAGGGCCGAGCCAACAGTGAAAGAGAAGAAGTAGCTTTTATCCATTATGGGAGTAAACGGATTGAACACGCTAAAGAACGCATCTGCAAGACCCTTAATCATGGATAAGGGCACCAATTCGAGCCATTGCTCTCCCGCATGCAGAGGATAAGGCGTGGTGAACATAGGCAACGGTCGGCGAGTGGATTCCAATTCGACCACATAATTCTTGCCTAGTGTTTCGTAGGCTGCGAGCAACTGCTTGGGAAGAATGCTTCGTGCACCGGGCCACACGATGACCCCGTGTTGACTGAATGAAATTGAGATACGACCCGATGGATCGGGGGCGGATTGATTGTCTTCCCAATCAAAGTCATCCTCCTCCCGTGCTGGTGTGAAGGAAGATGACATAGCTGCGATGCGGCGATTTTCGCCAACAGCAGGCGATGCATGCGTCTCCTGCGCGACATCTGAGACCCGGCGCATTTGACTCCGGAATGATTGAAGATCACTCATAATGGAAGTCGGAATATTCTCCAACTTAGTCTCCAGCCGATGCAGAGTACTCATGATCATCGTGAGAGACTGATCGCGTCTGTATAATATTAGTCAAAAGTGTTCCATTTATAGTCGTAAAAATGGAGCGTACTTTGATGATTTGCGCTCATTATAAACACAATCCAGACCCAGGGACTTGCACAGTCCACATTTGGGGCGCGACTCGTCGCATCTTGTCTTCTTCAACCGACAAGTCTCACAGGCCTATGAAAGTTAGTAGGCGGTTAATTTATGGTATCGCGATCCAATAAGATCGCGTTGAGGCCAATACATACCACTGTGGCAATGAAGTTCCGAGGCTTCTTAGACGAGGTCGTGCTGGGCTCCTGGTCATCGCCCGGCGAAAGCAGATCGTGGATGGCGAGCAGGCCATTGCTATCTGTTTCGGGTGCCTGGCTTTCCCTGGACTCCTCGAATGAGCGCTTGCTCATCGTGCATTATGGAGTCGCGTGCTGTGCGCGTCGTGACTCCCTCGATATTGAGAAAATACGCCAATGCCGACCTTTTTTTTGTCGCAAGTGGGGCGTTTCAGCGTATCCACCAATGGGAGGTGGTAGCGCGTGTGAATCATCTTTGTCTCGGCTTTCCTCGGTGGATCAGCCTGAACTATGGAAATAAGCATTAAATACGTCAATGATTTATCTATGGCGTTGATTGAAGCTTGTTGGAGGTCCTAGGTGGTTTCTATAGAACCTATCTATACTGAGATCTTCCATACTCAATGTATAGCGGGTATCTCCACGCCACATCTTTCAGCATATCATTATTCTTGAATTGTCCAGGTCATTTGTGTCAAAGCACTAGGGTATAGGGCTGAGAAAGACAGAAAGAGATAACTTTAGTCAAAGAAAAATCAAGGTCAGAAGGATATTGAGGCAACGTTGGTTCTTCAGTGTTGAAAACGTATCATATCACATACGAATGTCCTGATTTCGGGGACTTCGGATACCGTGGCTCAATATCGAAACCGAGATTAACAGAATGAATAATAAACTTAGACGGAACTTCTGGTCTCTACATTCAATAAATAACAGCCGAAAGGCGATGGCAATATACTATGTGCAGTGGCAGGGACCTGTCGGTGATCACGCAGAATTCTACCATGTGTGACCCCCTTGCAGTTGGGTAGAAGTGGTTTGCAAAATTACTTTTTTTTTTGTTTCTCTAATACGAACAGGCTGGTTTCGAACATCCAGTAGGTTTTATCTCAAGTTTGACAAAATCGTCATAACAGGGGGGATGGTGGGGGATTCCTTGAGGAAGAAAATGAGGCTATTCTCATCTACCGCATGGCCTCCAAATTACAATCAATACAACTCTTAGAACTCTGTTCACCCCGAGATGTATTAGTCGTGTTTGTAGTCCAGTATGATAGCTTTGTAAGTACTACTCTCGTATCTCAAAGTGCTATCAAATGCTGCTTGACGCAAATAGAAAATAGAACAGGTGCTCAGGTCAGATGGCGCCATCATACAGTAGGTGGCGACCAGGGTCCCCAGTACAGTATGTATCTACGGAACTGTACAACGTACAACTCTGCACCAATCATTTCGAGACCAGACCTGCAGGATAAAAAGGCTAGGACGAACTGCACAAAGTACCGATGAATCTGAATACTGCCACAAAGCCATACCTATCTTATAACCCAGCGCACATCACCACATGAATCATCGCACATCATCAGGGCGTCCCCTTACTATACAGAAGATCAAGGTCCCACAAAAGATAAGTAGCTTTTTCGATCTCACAAGACTCCCCGGTTACGGCGAGGCGTTCGATCACGCCTCCACGAATCACAGGCCACGATGTGCCCATGCCGCGTAGATCATTCAGGTGTATGGCCCACCACCTAAAAAAGAAAGCAATCATTCCGACTCCATACATCGCATGTGCCCTCTTGTCCATGCGAAAAATGGCAATCAGCAGTTGAGCCGGCGAATAGAAGTGAAAATTTGGTGGTGGGTGGACACCGGAAGATGGCCGCCCGCAAAAGGGGCATCCGTCAGCCCAAGGGGTATATAACGTATTGCCCATATTCCTTGAAATCCCCCCAGATTTGACGTTCAAGCATAAAATCCTGTCACGCGACCGGCTGTGCTTTCTCGAGGTCATGTATAAGGTGTTATTGGCGACTTTGGCCTTAAGTGGTCTTTCTATTGCACGCCCGGACGTGTTTTTAATCCGACATGGCGAAAAACCCAAGGAGGGCAACGGGCTTGACGAAGATGGGCTGGATCGAGCACAGTGCATTCGACATGTCTTTGGCGAGCATTCAGACTATAATATCGGGCTAATTCTGGCTCAGAAGCCTAAGAAGAGTGAGTTGCCTCGAAAAAGTTTGCAGCTTATCCAAGTCAAATGTCATCACGGCACTACAGACTTTAATCTCGAATTTAATACTAACCAAATCTGGTTTCAACAGACGGAAAAAGACGTCGACCCTACGAAACCGTTAAACCACTTGCCAAAGACCTGGGAATGAAGGTTGACTTATCGTGCAATCGTGATGATTCAAATTGTGTCAAGAAGGCCATTGCAAATTATGACGGAAAAGGAAATATTTTAATATGCTGGGAACATCATCGAATGACAGACCTTGTGGAAGCGCTTGGGTATGAGGATGCACCACAATACCCAGAAGATCGGTAAGTGCTCCACCACGAAGTGTGTGAGAGATGGACTGTCCCTGACTAGAAAATGAACAGGTTCGACCTAATATGGAGTGACCCATTTCCCTACACGAGAATCACGAATATAAAAAGTGAGAAATGTGTTGGTCTGGATTGGATGCCGGAGGACTTATAATATGGATGAATGAATGCATTACGAAGAGCTTAGAGTTCAGTGGGTATCTTCAACGACCTATATCTATCATTACCGGTGTTACCCCTGCATTACTCTGTATTTAGCGAGGCATTTACCATGGGTTTCTATACATTACATTATATATATTGCGGGTGCAGCCGCGGACTACGAATTTCCCTGGAATAGCCGGGAACTGCCGGGCCAGAGGAAACCGCGAAATATATTCAAGTCGCGATGAACGTTACCCAATTGGTTTATGAAGATCATTTATTGAACAATATTACACAATAAAAGATAAGAAATCAATCTTTTGAGCCAAATATTGCTCGTCATCTTCAAGTATCATCAAATCATACTAGAGTCGCTATTTACACAAACATTTCAATTCCCCGTATTCAAGCCTTGTTGGGATTCCTAAAGTGGCGCTTCAATGGTGTCCAACTGTGATCATTGTACTCCTCCTGAACCTTCTGGCAGGTCTTCAGACCCCACTCAGAGACACCAACCATCAAAGCACTATATCCCATATTAGTACAATTCAATTGATGTGACCAGGATTCAAAAACATACCTCTCAAACATAAATGCCATGCTACCATCACCAACCTTCATCGGCTTAAGCTCCGCATTACTAGCACCCTCAAATGCACTCGCGTCTGGACCATGCGCACTCATGACATTGTGCAAGCTAGCTCCAGCAGGCTGGAACCCGCCTCCCGTCTTTGCATCGTAGTTACCAGCAATCAAGCCCATGAACTCCGACATGGTGTTACGGTGATACCATGGTGGACGGAAAGTATTTTCTTGAACCAACCAGCGAGGCGGGAAGATGACGAAGTCTGCAATGGCTGTGCCAACATGGTCGGAGGGACCAGTGAGGACAGTGAAGATCGAGGGGTCAGGATGATCAAACGAGATCGAGCCAATGGTGTTGAATCGGCCTAGATCGTACTTGTAGGGGTAGTAATTTCCGTGCCAGGCGACGATATCAAAAGGTGTGTGGTCCTGGCGAGCGGAGTACAGCGAGTTGGCGAATTTGCTGTAGAGCTTATATTCGGTTGGTTCTTCCTCGTCATCAAATGCTGCAACAGGGGCTTGGAAGTCGCGTGCATTGGCAAGACAGTTGGAGCCGATGGGACCCAGTTCGGGGAGCTGGTAGTGACCTTGGTATAGCTCACAGATGTAGCCACGGACAGGGCCATCGGGGAGAGTGACACGGTATCTATGGGAATATTAGACAAGGTCGAGCCTGTGGGTTGAAATGGCTCTTACCGGATACCGCGAGGAATCACACAGATCTCATTCGGGCGCAGGATTATGCGGCCCAACTCTGTCTGAATGTCCAATACTCCGTGTTGCGGCACGATGAGGAAATCTCCATCGGCTGAGTAGAAGGCCTCTTTGCCCATGTCCTTGCCTGCGGCGTAGAGTAAGATACCCAATCCTTGCTTCAAGGTCGGGTCACCGGCTCCAGCGACCAAGTGCAGGCCATGGACCCAGTCGACCTTCTCGTCCAAGTCGAAGGGGTTCCATCGAAGCTGGTTAGGGATATGGTGTAGTTTATGGGTCTCGGTAGTCATGCGGGTGTGGTATGAATCATGCTCTTCGGCGACAAAATTCTCGTGTGCTGCCGCGGGGATAATGCGGTAGACCCAGGTCTGCTTGTTTTCATGGCGGGGTGCGGTGAAGGCAGTTCCCGACAATTTCTCGGCATATAGACCATATGGAGCTTTCTGGGGAGAGTTGTGACCGATCGGCAAAGCTCCCTCAATGGCTTCAGACCTTAGGATGATATTAATACCTGCGTATTTAAATCTGTAATTAAAGACTCACTCGTGGTGGGAGTCGAAGCCAGTCTGGTAAGCGTATGGATCAGGGTGTGAGAAGTTGGTGACGGGCATGATGGCGGTGAGGTCGAAAGATTTGAATGACAAGAGACCGACAAGACGAGCCTTTGTATTGTCTCGACCGAGGGTAATTCAAGCACCGTCTGATTGCAGAGAGAAAACAACTCCGCGATTATCCTTGCGTCATTCGCATTTACTTCCGCGCTTGGATGCGGGGACGGAGCAATTCCGCTCATGCCGGAACCACGACCGAGGGGCAAGCTGCGCGAAAACAGTTAAGTTGGACAATTCGCAGACTAGAACTTTGTTTTGCATCTTTCTCTTATTTCACAATTCATCATGGCTTCCTGGCTTTCAATCCCCAAGAACTCGCCGTTCTCTTTGGCAAACATCCCGTTCGGCATCATCTCCGCCTCCTCATCTAAAGTACCCGCCATCGCGATCGGTGACTATGCTTTGGATCTAAACGCATTTGCTTCTTCCGGAGGCTTCTCTCAATTGCCTTCCATCCAGCAACATCTGAGTGTATTCAACCAATCCACCCTCAACGCCTTCGCCGAACTGGGTCGTCCTGTGCACCGTCAGGTCCGCGAGTACTTGCAGAATGTTTTCCGCGCCGATACCCAGTATCCCCAGGTCCTTAAGGATAACGCTGCTCTGCAGAAGTCCGCTCTCATTCCCCGCTCAGAAGTGACCAACCACGTCCCCATGCAAATTGGCGACTACACCGATTTCTACGCTGGATTGAACCACGCCTACAACATTGGAGTCCTCTTCCGCGGAAAGGATAACGCTTTGCAGCCCAACTATAAGCACCTGCCTGTCGCTTACCACGGACGTGCCTCGTCTGTCGTCCCCTCCGGTACCCCTCTGCACCGCCCGAGCGGTCAGATCCTCGCTAACCCAACCGCCGACCCTAAGATCCCCACCTTCTCTCCCTGCAAGAAGTTGGATATCGAGCTAGAGTTGGCTGCTTTTATCAGCAAGCCCAATGAGCTGGGTAAGCCTGTCTCCATCGACGAGGCTGAGGACCACATCTTCGGTCTTGTTCTGATGAATGACTGGTCTGCTCGTGATATCCAAGCCTGGGAGTACGTTCCCCTGGGACCTTTCAATGCTAAGAACTTCGGTACTACCATTACTCCCTGGGTCGTCCTAATTGATGCTCTCGAGCCATTCCGCGCCCAAGGTATTGAGCCTGGAAACCGCGATGGTCTCCTCCCTTACCTCCGTGAGAAGCGTGCCGAGACTGCCTACGAGATCCCGCTTGAGGTCGAGGTCACAAACAAGGGTGGCCAGCCCACTATCATCTCCAACAGCAACGCTCGCAACCTTCTCTACTCATTTCCACAAATGGTTGCTCACCACACTATCACTGGTTGCAACTTGAGATCGGGAGACTTGTTGGGCTCTGGTACTATTTCCGGTACTGAGCCTAAGACCCAGGGCAGTTTCTTGGAGCAGACCAATGGCAAGACTGCAATCAAGCTTGCTGATGGCTCTGAGCGTATGTTCCTTGAGGACGGAGACACTGTTGTTCTTCGGGGTCTTGCCGGTACGGAGGGCAGCTATGTTGGCTTTGGCGACTGCACAGGCACTATTCTGCCCCCGGTCTCGTTCTAAAGCAATATGAAACAAAAATAAAAGAATAGGATCTGGAATGATGACTATGTTTATAACGAAATTGCTATTACAGTGCAAATCGAAGCTTCAGATAGATCACAATGACATGCATGATCTGAATATGACTCGAGTGCCCTCAAGTGCCTCCTTCGAAAGTAACCAACGTAACAGTACCGGGTAAATCAAACTACATAAAAACCTCTAACTACTCCTTCGCCCTCAAGTCCTCGGGAGTATCGGGCTGATTCTGCCAGTGCCCTTTAATAACAGCATCCACCCCCTCTAGATTCCTAATAATCCCGCACGTAATAGGAAAAGCCCCCAGATCAACCCCGACTCTCTCCGCACCCCATGCAGCAGGGATCAAACAAATATCCGCAATACTAATCTCATCCCCAACACTGAATTTCCCCGCAGATCTAGCCACGGTAGCCTCATACGCACTTAGCCCCTCCTCAATCAAATCCTTCGACCAAGAAGCCCTGTCCGCACCCAGCGGCGCAACTCTTTTCAAGATCTTGAGATTCGTCACGGGCTGCACATCACAGGCGATAATAGAAGCCAGCGTACGTGCCTGAGCACGAGACTCCGTATCGGTTGGTAGGAGGGCAAGTCCTGAAAAGGCTTCGTCCAGGTATTCCAGTGCTGCTAGGGATTGCGTGATTGTCACTGGTGCTTTGCCTTCTTGTTCGATTATGAGGGCTGGAACGAGGCCTGATGGGTTGATATCTTTGTGGGCTGGTGAGGATTGTTCGCCTTTTAGGAGGTTGACGAATATGGGCGTGTATGGGATCTCTTTCAGGTTGAGGGCTATGCGGAGTCGCGCTGAGCATGAGGAGCGGAAGTATGTGTAGAGCGTTACTGGCATTTTGATGGTTCTTGATTTTGATTCTTGAATTTGGTTTTTGATGCTGGGGATCGGTGCTTTGTACGAAACTAGGCTACGAGTTGGTTATTAAGATAGACTTTACAAACTATTTAGGCCGGTAATACTATACGAGCTGTGCTTGCTCGGTTTTCTGATGCCGAGTCGTGAGACCTATATACTGCGGAATCAGTCCCGTTATGCCAGTTCCCGTGGCTTTCCGCATCTAAGTGGGGCTTTTACCCCACACTCAACGCCAATCATGATCAGCTCACATTGGATCTAATACGCCCCGCTCGAAGCCAGCGGAGGAAATTGCCGTTGTGGAGGTCACAGTGCCGCTTGTTCCTAGATCAGATTGTGTTACTAAACAGCGACGGGAAGATACGCTGGCTATTAATGCGGACTAAGTGTGTACTATTATAATAGTCCATTGGTGTTTAAAACAATAAATGAATTCGCGTTATCTTACTACTAAATGCTTCTAGTAAACAAGGCATAAACGTTAAAACCGGGGAGAGCAATCGTAAATAAAGAACCTGGGCGTGCACGTGGGATAATGACCAGGGAAAAAATGAAAGAAATACCAACGCCGTACATTGTACTTGGGTACAAAGAATCATCAAGTCATCTTCAACCCATGAGGTGGAAGCAATCATCGACCATGTTCCAGACTTGGCACAATGACAGGCCCATACTTGACAACATTTGCATATGCCCCTTCGCCTTGCACCATGAAGTCTGCCGCCAAGCTAAGCTTGGGTCTGGACCCCGGTGGCGTGTTTGCGCCATAAGGAGTAGCAGCAACAACTTCGGGGTCGTAAGCGACGATAGCAACGTAATTTCTTCGGCCCATGAGCTTGCGATTTTCACGGGCTTGTCCATTGATATCCGTCTGGAAGATCTCCATCATGTCCTCCTTGGTATCTGTTGGTGAAGATGAGGACTTGTGACCGTTCGCGGGAACGTACAATGGCTTGTTGCTACTATGGAGCATCTTGACGACGTAGGATGGGGGTGGGGTGTTGACAGATGGAGAGGAAATGAGCTGGTACATGGTCTTGTGGTCGGAAGGATTGCTTGGATCGTGGACAAGACCGGCACCGCAGACATTAACGGCACCAGAGAGGAAAGTCATACGAAGGGATTTCTGATGGGCAATGCCCTGCAAAGTACGGATAAGATAGGTGCGTTCGAGGTCCTGGAGAAAAAAAATGTTAGGAAGCGATCGGCTTTCATTCATGAGCTGATACGTACCTTGGATTCGTGGGTCCATTGGTCACGCAACTCGTCCATAAGATCAAACTCGCCGAATGGACTCAGGATACCGCCCATCAGACCAGACTTGCCCACGGCACGCTTAACAGAGTCGAAGCCGGAACCAACGAACTCTTTGGCCCCTACTACGCCGGCCACTGAGCTAGTGACCTTGCCCAGCAGATTATATGTGCCGGTGACGGCCCGTTTTCCAGTAGCAACGGTCTGGGCAATATGTTCCGCAGTCTCCAGCCGTGGGTAGATCAGGGGCACAGAGATCATCCAAAGACAGTGCTGTACACTGGGCGGCAGCATGACAATCTTCGGGAAAAGACCTTGATATGTAGGGCCAGCCATGACCTGATGAGGGTTGCGCTCCGAGCGACAATCAGGTCCAACAACTACGACACCAGGACCCAGATACTTGACAAAGTGCCAGCCAGTGCCAGTGATCGTGAAGAGATCCATATCATTGTTCACGTTGCGGAGAATGTCCAAAGTGGTATGGTGCTGGAAAAGAAGGTACATCTCAATACCGATACGGCCAATGTTCTTGAACATGTTTGAGAACTGCATGTGTTCAGGATAGGAGCCGAAGCCGTCAAAACTGTACAAGGTGTGAGCGACAGCAAAAGAAGATACAGCCAAAGAAAATAGAAACGAGGACAATACTCACATATCATGATCGTCAATCTGGCAGACGTAGGGGATTTGAGCAAATGATTCCCGTAGGTACGGTTGGTCAAAATGGCTGGTATAGTAGTGGAAGTATCCATGGGAGACATCCTGTTGATTCGCGGCAGTCCATGGAGCATTCTTTCTGGCTTCCTTTCCGCTAATGCCCAGCCATTGTTTAAGGCATGGGATTTCCTTCCACATGCGATCCGCATAGATCTGTCCTCCCAAACATAACTGCGCGTGAAAACCGCCAATCTCATTGTGCTTCTGCATAATGTCCTTCCACATAACACCCACACCACCGAGACGAGCTCTGTCGTTGGCGTTGACATTAATCGAAAAGTCATTGCCAGATGTTGCAATAAAGCGCCAGTTGGTCTCATGTCGGCCTGCGACAAGGAACTCATAGCGGGTGCAGCCCAGGTGTGAAGTGATTGCATAAGTCCATTTTGCGGGTCCCATCTCCTCCATTTGAATGTCAATCTCATACTTGTAGAATGTCCAGCGTTGGTGGACCGCAATATTGACCGCTTTCAGCTGTCGTGGGTTAGGAGATAGATCAACACTCTGGTGAAGGTGAATCGTGGGAGGCTGCGCGGCATCAGCCACTAGAAGGATAGAGCCGAGCCAGGTCCCACGCTCAATATCCATATTTGTGTATCGTAGATAGGGGCCAAAATAGACACCATTTGTAGGAGCAGTCTTGTACATATCCATGCCGCTGCTGGGTGGAGGTCCAGAGAAGCCCACCATAGGAGATTGGAGACTCTCGAACCCCGGTGTTAAAGGCACACCAGGAGAAGCCATGGGTTTTCCAAATGCTGATAGCCCCGGTGATGCCATTGGATGACTACTATACACACTCCCAATGGGAGACATGGGAGCTTCGTTGAGATTCAATGGCGTTGGACCTTTCGGGAACTCCCACTGAGTGGACTGTGTTGCCAGGTGAATATAATAGTACTGTCCAGAATTTGGATCCATATGCGCAATCCAACCTTCAGGGAGAGGCGGAGGAGATGCCGGCGGAAGTCCAGAAGATGGCCCAGGTGATGTCACCTGTACTACTTGAGGGGCCTGCTGGAAAGTAGGCTTTCCATTGGCAATGGGGTCCTGCGGTGACTGTCCCACTGGAGTCTGCTGGCGAGGGTCGTTGGCAAAGGCGGGATGATCCTGCGATGAGACTGTAGGAGCTGGAGATGCGGCTGCTGCCATGGCAGGGTGATTTTGACTCATATTTGCTGGATGCCCTGCCATAGCAGAGCCGGCAGCTGCTCCGGCAGCCGCTCCGATGGCAGCTCCAGCGGCGATACTGCTCCGCTTTTCCGGTGGGTAATTGTTTGTAGGTGCAGAGACGCTTGAGTAAGCAGGTGGGGGAGAAGAGCTCAAGCGCATTCGATCGAGATCTTGTTCTAAGGCATTGGCTGGAACCCGAGACTGTGGTGACTGCTGCTCTTGCGATTGCTGCTGGAACTGGGGCTGCTGGGGCTGGGGAGAAGTCCGCACCGGCTGGGGTTGCGGCGGTGGGCTGCTCTGCTGTGACGGATGGATTGGGCTGTGCTCATCACCACTTACAACATCTGCGCCTTGGTACACCGTAGGTGGTCCATGTGGCTGGGAGCCCGGCTGTTCAGTGGGCGTCCATGGTCTTTGTGTCGCAGGCTGCTGTGGTTGAGTAGGCTGTTGTCCAGCATACTGTGCCGCACGTCTTTGCGCTGCAACACTTTGTGACTGCAGACCAGCAAGTGTTCCAGTGCCAGCAATTCCAGAAGCAGCATAGCGAGCTTCGATATCCGAAGTAGGATGCTGGCCTGGACCCACTATAGGCGTCTCTGGTGGTGGCGGGGATCCACGCTCAGCACGGGTGGTGGAAGTCGACGCAGTCGAATTGATCCGATTAATTCCACCGGATTGTGGAGGGTTAAGCGTAGAAGCAGGTCGGGCAGAGGAAGGTCTCGAGTTGGCCCGCTGGGGAGGTGGAAAGTATTGCTGGCGATAATCATATTGAGGCATCTCCGGCGCCACATTCATCGGAACGGGAGCAGCCGCTGGAGGACGAGGGTATTGTCTGGCTGCCAACGCTTCCCGATCTGGCGCATCAGGGCCTGGGGATTCGGGTAACGGCTTCGGTGCAGCCCCTCGTCGCTCGGCCAGCGTCGCAATTCGTGGCTCACGACCATCGCGCGGGCGCAAAGCCAAGGGGTAATCGGCGGGGCTCACTGAGCCTGAGCCCGAGCCTACGGGCGGGGATCCATATCTAGTTGGGTCGGCGGTACGCCCATCATTGGAAGACGAGCTGCGCATTTGGGGACGAGGTCTGTCATCGGGGTACGGCAATGGAGCGTTGGGTGGAGTGCTGGCCGGTGCTGGGGAGGCCGAGTCTCTCTTATTGATTCTTAAAGGCTCGACCCTGGGCGACTCGTCGGGCCTGTTCGAGGAGTTGTTAAGGAACAACTCCTCGTCCGGATGAATGCCACGACTGTCGCCGGGGTTCATTCTGCAGGATGAGACGATCTGGGGCCAAAGTGGAAGTTGCAGGATGCACGAAGCCACCCGGGAATTTATTTTAAATGCCTTGTCACAGAGCTAAGCGCCCTGGTGGTTTCGCTGTGATTGTCCTCAGCACCAACGAAGCGGGGCATCGTGACCGTCGTGTCTGATTCGCTGTTTCAGGGGAACTCCATCGTAGATAGATTGGTGATTGGTGGCGGGGTAGCACATCCTGGGCGCTTGGAGAGCTGAAGGCAACTTCATTACGGCCCAATCCTATTCCAAGGTTTCGAATATTTCGATCATATGAGGAGTTTGATTCTCAATCTAAACACAAGACTATCTCAATTGAACATGAGAAAGAGAAGTTCTCGAGGTCTGGATCAAGGGAATGAAGTTCAGAAGTAAACAAGGGAACCCTGGAACGATAGGGTTCCGCTCCGATAACAATGTCCATGGACCCTTGAGTGCTCTTGTATCTGCACCTCTTGGATTTCCTTCACATAATTCCCGAGCTAGTGAGACTTAAATAGAAGAAAAACGTAAGCCACATCGCCAATGGGTATTCTCAACTACTACCTCCGGTCGGTAGCTTTGGGGTCCTTGCTCTTTCTTCGATTATATATAGTTGGGCTGTGCCCTTTATTTCCAGTCGAGTCTCCTAAAAGCACCATATGAATACACGCCTGCGCATTTACCATTATTACCCTCGCATATAGGTATATTTGAGATGTTCCGTGAGTAGTATACCAAGTACCTGGATATATGACTGAATTTGAATATCAGGAAAGTTGACTACCTTAACGGACGTGCAAATGAGAGGCAATTGTAGCTCGCATGTCAATTACGTAATCACCGGGATGATCGATTCAAATGTTTAACCACTTGCATCAGTAAGTTCGCACTTCATCACATCATGGCTTCTGTTCGATTCCAGGGATTGCGCTCCGTCATTCGGGGTCAATGTAGCCCTCTGCGGTTTCAGCAGCGTCGCTGGGCTCAAGTCCACGATGTTCGCTACCTCGCTTCGCACCACGATCCCAATCACATCTTGGATAGGTATCGCTCCAAGCTAGACCAAAAGGCCAAACAGTGAGTTCCGATTGACAATATGGCTGGAAAACTCCATTAATGAACTCTTTGTCTCCATATAGAGAAGGACATGACTCCATCGAGTCCCTGAAGGAGGCCTACAACGAGAAGATTCAGGATTTGCGCGTGAAAGCATCCACCGTGACCACCCCAGAGCCGGAGACGCCCGCTTCCAACGCCGCAGAACCCACAGCCGCCAAAGCCCCTATTTCTCATGCTGCGCGTGAGGTGTCCGGTAAGGCGAGCCCAATCAAGCCGCTCAGCTCATACCTGGATGTCGAGAAGATCCGCGAGCTCCCTCCTAAGGAAGTTGAGGCCCTTTGGCGCCTTCGCTTCGCCAGCAGCCCCACCTCCATCTGCGCCGCCATTCCCCTCGAAATCTACCAGCGTATCATGAGCGCAGCGCGCCAGAACCCACAATTCGTCCTCCCTCTCCCCCGCCCGTCAGCCGAGGGAGAGCAAGAAACCCAGGCCGACATTCACTTCCTGCAGTGGGCATTCCATCCGCCTGCAGGTGAACCCGCTGCGCCCTCCGGTGAGACTGCTAATACCCATGTTTCCACTGTGATCTTCACCCACCTTGGTGCCTTCAAGATGCACGGTGCGTTTGCTCAGCCGCATACCACTATCACACACTACTTGGATTTGGCGGATGATAAGGGCCTTGTCCTGATGCACGGCCAGGTCGTGCCTGAACGTGGTGTTTCCACTATGGAGGCTACTTGGCTTGCTAGCTGTGTGCAGCGCTTCTATGATTTCGAGGGCCAGGCGAGTGGCCGGAAGAGTGAGCTTGTTCGCATGTTCACCCAGGGAGATACCGAGAACTTTAAGGTTGAGGAGTTGATGGCCGAGGCCGAGAGGATCCAGTAGATTTCTTGTACCATTTGAGGTGCCCTGTACTATATGTCAACTTTACATAGATATAATGCCCAATGCCAAGAGGTCTTGTCGGAATTTGTATACTCTCTATTCTTCATGTGTAGCTCTTTTTTGATTTTTGAGGGGCCTGGTGTTTTGAAATATAGTGATTATTGATAATGCATTGAAGTTTGATAGACTAAGGATATTGCAATTTATACAAGGACCAGCTGAAACAAAGGCACTCTATTGTAACTCTCGCATGCTGCCCAAAGTCACTGACTCAAAGCTTCGACTTCTTACCTGTGACATTGGCGACCTCCTCACCAGACAAAAGGAAGTCGGGGTACTGGAGGTTACCTTGAGAGGTAGTGCCACCAGAAACACGCCAGTTTGCACCATCCACTATCTCACGTCAGTTTTCAATCTTGTTGGAGTCATATGATATTGGTAACATACCGACTAGTGTCTGACCGCTGACATAGTTTCCAGCGTCAGAGAAGAGATAGACGGTTGCGTCCGCGATGTCCCGCACATGGCCGACGCGACCCAGAGGCTGACTCTTTATGTATGCTGCTTTGGCATCCGATGGAAGTAGACGCTCCAAGCCCTATTAGAATCGTCAGATAAAATATTCTCAATGGGTACGGTGTAGACGTAGTCAACTGACATCTGTCGACTCAATGGGGCCGGGGGCAATAATGTTAGATGTCATGCCGCGAGGGCCATACTCGATAGCAACAGAATTTGATAGAGAGTCAATGCCCGCCTTGGCGACAGACACATGAGCCTGGAAGGGCATGCCACGGTAGTGGAGGGTAGCGCTGACGAAGATGATTCTTCCACCGGTACCAAGTGGGCATGGGTTAACTATTGATGAAAGTTAGATATGACCATCCAATATTTCTCATGCTTGACTTACGTTCAGAGTCGACCCTGTGCTTCTTACCCGACTCGATGAGATAAGGTAAAGTAGCCTTGAGCGTATTATAAGAGCCCAAGACATCAATATCCATAACGGATTTGAAAGCATTGACCGAAAGTTGCTCAATAGAGGCCAAAAAGTTACCTGCAGCACCGGCACTTTTCAGATATTTAGCAGACGAGTCCTGAAGGCATCGAAGCATGGGGGATCTTACATGACAAAGTCAATACTACCGAGCTCCTTTACGCAGCGAGACGCAGCATCTTTCAAGCTGTCGAACTTGCGAACATCTACTGCGCCGATACCAATTACTTTGGCACCGGGGCGGAGAGTCGCCATCTCCTTAGCGGCGCGCTCGGTTTTCTCGACATTGCGACCGATGATGCACGCATTAGCACCTAGGTGTACAAGTGCCCGCACCTGAGCGCTACAAATGGTGCCCGCGCCACCGGTACAGAAGACCACTTTGTTTGCTGTGTTCCAAGGTTGTAGGTTAGTCAAGCGGGTCCTGGGGTTCCGGTCAAACTTGAGAAATAGGAGATGGATTTACCAAAGATGCCATCCTTCCAGATGTCACTCATGTAATCGGTCTTCTGGAGCGGCATTGTGAAATATTCAAATTTGGTTGAGAATGATGATGATAGCAGGGAAGACTGATATATAAGGGAGTGTGTAACACCGTCGCCTTTTCCCCACAAGCCGCGGTTCGGCCTCGGCCCATTCGGGGATTGACACCGCGCATAGTTATGCTAAGGACATAATCCACGGGCATGATTTTCAGCACTAAATATGTTTAAATGCGGGGAATTTTTATGTTGACTACCTCTTTAGAAGTATGTGAAGCTTCCAAACGAATTCCTGGTCAGGTGAATTATTGTTTGCATAGCATTCTAATGTGCTGTCCACTGTTGTACTGCGTGGTAGGGTACCTGATGACGCAGGGATCGAACCTGTTGATTTTTCACTCAGCGTCCTCAAAGATAAGAAAAGAAACTGTTGTGATGGCTAGGAAATACTCCTCGACATCATTCATTATATCATTATCTCTAATATAATTAAAATGTAGAGAAGACAAATACACGATGAAGAACTAGCGGGCGCTGATTGGCTCCAGCCCGGGTCTGGCGTCACTTCCGCCCAATTCGCTTTTCCTTCTCGACTATAGGATCGCGTATCATCACCCAAACCACCTTTACCCACCCATTTAGTTGGATAAACTGTGCAATCTGCCTAAATAGCGCCATGGCCTGCCCTATAACTGTCACCAAATTTGTTGGGACCGTGTCTCTCGGTCTGCTGACGGTAAGCTCATCCTTTGTTTCGCGCGCAACGGTCTCGGTCTCGGTCGCAGTTTAACTAACCAACTCCATCAGGGCATGTCTTACTCCAATGCCTCAATCACCATCCCAGCTCTTAAGCTCCTCCCCTCCTCCACCGCTGCCTCTCGCTGCCTCAATGAAGTGAAGCGCCTAAGCCGCAAGCATGCGCTGCGCCTGTCCAGCTTGACCAATACATGCATTCTCTTCGCCTACTCTATCTCTCCACCCCGCCGCCAACACCCATACCTCATCTGGATGTGCGTGGTCTCGACGGTCAGCTCGTATGGTCTTGATTTGTTCTTCAACCGACACATGGGGCTCAAGAATTGGACCCTTGCCACCATCCAAGACACTACCGGTCTGAGCCTTGGGCTCACGCCCGTTTCCAAGGAAGATGACTTAGTGATGGTTGACGCCGAGGAAGACGTCAATGGCGAGAGCGTGCAGCGTGAAATGGACCGGGAGCGCCGGTTGCAACGTGTGCGGACCTGGCTGGCTGGACTTGCGCTGTCAATGGGCATTGTTGGTCTGTGGGGAGATAAGAAGTGATGGAAGTGACTATTTATGGAATCCCCGGCCGTGAATACCTAGGTTGATATATGGCCTACGTTTTCATAACTGGGTTGATTATTCTACTTGTTAATTTTGGCGCTATGGCGAAACACTGGATGATGACCGCACTACTTTCTCTCGGGGCCTTTTACTCACATGGGCCATCGTCAGATTTGGCACATGGTCGACTGCTGAATTGCGCTATCTAAACTAACTATGTTGATCTAATGCCTGTTGATTTACTATGGTTTGCTTGTACATTGAAATGAATCCAACGTAGATATGTTTCAAAAGTCCTGCTGCCCTACCTTGAAAGACCAGTGTTAGTACTTTATTTACTGTAATCCTAGGACTACGTAATCTCATGAGTTACACATCAGCATCCGCCTATCCGAGTGCTGATCTAAGAGAGTCGGAAATTGTCGCTTCTGAGTGGATGACACACCGCCACATGATGTGGAAAGGTGGTGGTGGGGGTGGGGGTGGATCACCTCCCCGAACTATAGCAACGCTTTACGGGGTAAGACTATAAGAAGGTCTCTGGAACCACCGAGACTGTACAAGCACCATCATTCAGTCTGCCAGTATCTTGATCATGCACGCTCATCTGCTGCTGGTTCTTCCGTTTCTCTACCTCGGGCTTCAAGTCCTTCTCAAGCTCAGCAGAGCTATCTTCTCCCCGTTAAAGGGTATCCCCGGCCCATTCTGGACTCGTTTCACCTCTCTATGGTATTTCGACCGATGTCGGAAAGGACGATTTGAACGCGACAACATCGAACTCCATCAAAAGTATGGCCCGATCGTCCGTATCTCCCCAGATCATTATAGCATCAGCGATATATCCGACATCAAGATAGTCTATGGACCTGGCTCCAAGTTTCCTAAGTCTGCGTGGTATGACGGATGGAGACATCCTCAGCAGTGGACTATATTCTCGGATCGCGATATTAAGAGACATTGTTTGTTGAGGCATTTCACTTGTGATACGTCCAAGGCAACCAGCTAATGAGGGCATAGCTGAAAACCGCAAGAGATTCACCGGATTGTATTCTATGAGCTCAGTAGTCAATTACGAGCCCTTTGTGGACCGATGCATCGATATATTTTCCCAACGATTCAACGAATTTGCGGATCGTAATCAGGTCTTCGATCTCGGGCACTGGTTCCAGTGCTATGCGTTCGACGTGATTGGGGACATCAGTTTCGGTCAGAGATTTGGTAAGTCTTTTTGACCCAAGTTTGCCCCATATGATATGTCATATTGAGTCTTCCAGGATTCTTGGACCACGGCAATGATATCGACGGCGCCATCGAGGCAGTACACCAGATGTTGGTCTACAGTACCCTAGTCGGCATCTACCCCGAATGGCATCAACGTCTCTTTGAGACTCTGAGCAAATTCAAAAGCTCTGGAGCGGCTGGCAGAGCCTATATAGCCAAGTTTGTTCGAGAGAAAATTAGCCTCTTGGAGCAAGAGCGCAACAACGTGGATAAACCGACAACAGAAACCCCTAAGACTCAAGACTTTTTGACTAAGATGATGAAGGCTCGCGACGAAAATCCAGAGAAGGTAACAGACTACCATCTATTTATCATGGGCCAGTCAAATGTAGCGGCTGGATCCGATACCACAGCTGTCAGTCTGTCCGGTATAATGTGGTATCTCCTGAACAGCCCAGAGGCACTGCGCAAACTACGTGACGAGATTCATGAGTTCACCCAGCAGGGCCGCTGTAGTGTCAACATAACCTTCAATGAAACACAGGAGATGCCCTACCTCCAGGCAGTCATGAAGGAAGCTCTCCGTTTGCATCCAGCTACCGGCCTACCCATGTGGCGAGTAGTCCCTGTCGGAGGGGCACTGCTGAGAGGTCAATTTTTCCCCGAGGGAACGGTAGTTGGAGTAAATTCCTGGGTTGCGCATTACGATGAGCAAGTGTTCCCTGACCCAATGGTTTTTCGACCTGAACGGTGGCTGGAGTCAGAGACTGAACCGGAGAAGCTGAAGGAGATGAACCAGATGTATATGCCGGTAAGTTTGAACAGTCCTGGAGGCTACTCTTTCCAGTTTGATGTCTCTACTGGTGGCATATTGACTAAAAACGACCAACAGTTTGGTTTGGGCTCGAGAACGTGTCTTGGAAAGCATATCTCTATTCTAGAGATGTCTAAGTTGATTCCCCGTATAGTGCGCGACTTTGATTTGACGCCGTTGCGAGCAACCATGGCTACTTCGAACTTTTGGTTTGTGAAGCCGACAGACTTTGAAGTGCGCGTGTCTCGGCGAGTTTAGAAATCTGTCGCCTGAAGAAATGAAAATGAAGTGTTATATTGCCATCCCTTGCATCAGATCTAGATCTTAAAATATACCTGTATACCCGAGGTCATGGGGACACTTTTCTCATTCCGCTGTGGAGGATGCAACTTTGAGCCTGCATATTGGATAGATCAACTCAAACATATCATATCTAACCTAGACCATCTGCAGTTCGAAATAAATCAGAAATTGATAGGCCTGATAGCTACGAAGTAGATGGTAGAAGTCAAGGTTGTCTTTGTCCGATCGACGGGAGGCCCGTGCAAAGAGTGCAAACCCGCGACCGTGCGCCCGTCACACTCCAAACGCGCCCCATCCATCATTATCTTGTACCCCATGTAACTTGGTCTATGGCAAATCGGACATGTTCGTTGATCTCCTGCATCAATGAGTCCTGGTGCGAGATCCTGGACCAATCAAATCCTCATACTCTGAAGAGAGCCTCACCTCCATCCTTCGCTCTCTTTCTTCGATCCTGAAATCATCCCCCTCCCAGGCCATCTCCCCGGAAATCCTCGGGTGGCATCTTTGAGCTTCTTCAAATTTTGCTGAAACCGCCTTTGTTACGACTTACGATCTTTCCTCGGGTTCTTTGTGCTAGTTCCTCCGCAGTCCGATCGGCCGATTCTCCCCCGGGAACCTGACGACTGGACACGAAGATCATCTGAAACCCTCCCCAACCACACACACCGGACCACGCCGCGACCCAACCTTAGCTCGACCTGCACTGCGATCGCTTTTTTTCCTTTGCCCATACCATGCTCTAGCGGCGCACCGGAAACAACGTCACTCCTGACCTTTTTACGCCCGTGCTCGCCCCTCCCCACTCAGCTGGCGGCGTGTCCTGCGCGCCCTTTCCTTGGATCCGCATCCATAGCGCCCCGCACATCGATGAGACCTGCTCGTCAAAATCACCTCTACATATATAATCGGACCCATTGATCAACCGCTGGGTTATCGTCTTTTCGATTTGCGCTCGCGCCCTCGGATCTAAGCTCCGCACGCTGGTAACGGCGTATCGACACGACTACAGAATACAGCTGCACTTCACGACTGCTAACGATAAGCTTCGTGAAGATTGATGGTGACCTACGCTGAGTTTTCGCGATCCTCAAAATCCCAGCTGGCTGTGACTTGATCGCACCCCCGCGGAGGGATACGACCAGGCCCCAGATCAGCAATGCCCGTCCGCGAGCATGACCAAGCTGATCGTCAGGGCTCTGAGAGCTCTGGGAATACCAGCTGGATATCACAAGAAACAGTACGGGATAGCGAAGGCCCACCCAGGAATCCGACAAAGTCATCACCCACTGGTGGTGATGCCGAGCCGTTCCCCGGCACCCTGATGGCAAGGTAAGCATCGAAACCTCCGATGATGAGCTTCGTGACTCGTTTTGGAGCTGCGGAGTTTTTGCAACCATGATCTGGCCTATGTACTGATAATAGATAGATCCGGATCGTCACAAGCTCCGAGAATCGACTGGGGGTCTTCACATTGGTCATGGAGCTCACCGGATATTTCGCCTACCGAAGAACGTAAAGGATCTGGCTTCAGCAAGGATCGAAAAGCGCTTGCGGTTCTTGGGGCTGGTGATGATTTCACACGACCCTTCAATTCCAGCCCACACCCCCCACCTACCAACCCCGCTCGCTCTAGTCGAGATGGACTTGATCCGATTGCACCGTGGGCAACGACAGCCGGCTCAGACGCTGCTGGGACTTTTTTCAATGATTATTCTGAGCATGAGGCATCTCCAGCGTCTGCAACGTTTCGCCCGACAACAGGACGGACATTCGCTAGTGAACCAGCTGAGATGGATTACAACCGGGACCATAGGAGACCATCCACTGCGAGCATGACAAGCAGCCAAGGATCTAAATCAAGTATTAGCCATAAATGGAGGAAAAAATCCAAAGTAGCCACCGATGACTACACGGCCTCCGACGAGCCAGATGATGGCCAACAAAATCCCCCAAGCAGACGAGGAGGACCTATCGACCAATTAAAGGCCCGTGAACGAGCAAATTCCGACGGATCAGACCCATCACAGCGACCTTCGCGACCCCGAGCTGAAACACCCTTACCGTCAAGTGATATCACTCCCTGGGTATATCAGAACATAAAGGATGTCTCCCATTATGGGGAGGCCCCTGTGCGCCAAGTACCTATCGGACCTGACGGCCAAAGACTTGAATCTCGTGCTGGAACCAACTCTGGAACTCGTGATTCTAGTCGACGCGGGGTCAACGGACACAGACATTCTCGGAGTAAGGAAGAGCGACCTACGCTTGCAGGTGACCTGGCTGGTTACCATCGCCCCTCTGGAGGGCGCGATGACCTTTTCCTGGGGCTCAAGCCCTCCAATGATAGCTACCTCACCTCGTCCACTGCTATGAGTTCAGTCACCAATCTTGGTGGCCGGTCTGCAAGTCCAACTCCAAGTGTGCAGAGCGCTATCTACCGCGATGGCGGCCAAAATTCCCCAGGCGGTCCACCAACCAAACGTGGCATCTTTGACAGAGTGGCAAGACATCTTAAGCCAGGATCCCACAAACCCCATGATAAGACCAAGCGCGATCAGTCCCCAAACCGCCTCAGACAGCCAAGTCTTGAAGGGACATCTACCCCTCGTCATATGGACCCAGCGGAGCAAGAACGAAAGAAGGAATCTGGCAAGGGGCTTGGGATTGGTGCGCGAAAGTTTCCTCGGCGCGGCTTCACTCATTTGGGAGAACTCCCTAAAGATGGTCCGTCTCAAAAAGACGACAGTCATGTCTTCAAGCTCAATACTGATCTCACGGATCTCAATGGTATTGTTCGCACCGACCAAGGACTCGTCAATCGTGGCCTGGACGGCACAACCACGCCGCGCGAAGAGCTCAACCTTCCTGACATGCTGCAGCAAGAGCAGATGGTTGACGATAGCTGGCACGCGCCCGACAGTTGGCAGGTCAAAAAGCAGCAGAATGACATGGAATTGGAAGCACAGGATACCGCACCGAAACCCACTACAGGCCTTCGTGACCGTGACGGACCCGCTTATTTCATTCGGGTCTTCCGCATAGATCATACATTTGCCACGCTTTCCGCCGGTCTGAATTCGACAGTCGCTGAAATTCTCTATATGCTTGGACGAAAGTCGTTCTTGTCTGATCATCTGAACAATTACGAGATCGTACTACGGACGAATGATCTGTCCCGACAACTTGACCACAAGGAACGCCCGATTCTTATGCAGAAGCAGCTCCTAGAAAAAGTTGGATACACAGAGAAGGACCGCATAGAGGACATCGGTCGCGAGGACCACAGTTATCTCTGTCGTTTCATCTTCTTGCCTACAAAATTGAGCGGATATACCAGCCTGGAAGCCGATCCTGGCTTCAGCAAGATGCAGAAATTCAGCCATGTGGATCTTCAAGGTCGAAGCCTCGTTACCATCCCCATCACCCTCTACAAGAAATCTTCGGAAATCATCTCTCTAAATTTGTCTCGGAATCTATCGCTAGATGTTCCAAAGGACTTCATTCAAAGCTGCATCAATTTGCGAGAGATCAAATTTATTGGAAACGAGGCCACATACCTGCCGACCAGTTTTAGTTTAGCGAGTCGGTTGACTTATCTTGATGTGTCCAATAACAACTTGGACCAGTTGGAACATGCACGTCTTGACCGACTCACCGGTCTTGTGAGCATCAAATTGGCCAACAATCAGTTGACGAAATTGCCCAGCTATTTTGCCAAGTTCCAGTCTCTTCGAAGCTTGACCATGTCCTCAAATAGCTTCAAGGTCTTCCCGGATTGTCTCTGTGAGCTGAAAAGTTTGGTTGACCTGGACATCAGCTTTAACGGGATTGAAGAGCTACCGAATATTGGTCGGCTGACCACGCTGGAGCGACTTTGGATGACGAATAACAACATGAGTGGGCCCCTTGACCAGTCCTTCCAAAAGCTTGTGAACCTGAAGGAGATCGATGGGCGCTTCAATGCAGTCTCAAATATCGATAGTATTTCCCGGCTTCCACGGCTGGAGCAGGTCTTCTTTGGCCATAACTTGGTATCCAAGTTCAAGGGAGCGTTCCCGAGACTGCGCAGCTTGCACTTGGATCACTGTCCCTTGACTCAGTTCGACATTGACGCACCCATGCCAACCCTATCTTCACTCAACCTTGCATCCGCCAAACTCTCTCAGCTTCGCGACGGGATGTATGAAAACATGCCTAATGTTTCCAAATTAATTTTGGACAAGAACCATCTTTCATCAGTCTCGGTACAGATTGGCAAGTTACGTCGCCTTGAACATTTCAGCATCATCAAAAACCCGCTCTCATCTTTACCTCCCACTATTGGATGCCTGACCGAACTTCGGGATCTCAATGCCAGAGAGTGTAATTTGAAGGCCCTACCCGAGGAGATCTGGCATTGCTCCAAGCTGGAAACACTGAATGTGTCAACCAATATCTTGGCAACGTTCCCAAAGCATGGTGCACCGGTTCCATTAATGCCTGGCGAACCAGCACCAACTCCTGTATCAACCCCTGGAGTGATGGGCAATCCTAGCTATGAAGAATTGGGACCACTCAATGAAGTGGATACTCGCCGGGAAAGTGAAAGTTCTGGTGGGCCTCCTACTTCAGGAACATCACCAAGCGGCTCCTATCGAAATCCGTCAATCGTTCCATCCGTTGGTCAGTCTAGAAAAGTTTCGGCAGCATCTCGATCCGCCAATACAGAAGGGAGTTTGAACTCTAGAAAGGACTCATACTTCTCCCAACAAGGGACAGTGATCACGTTTGCAGGTTCTCTTCGAAACCTATACTTGGCTGATAATCGCCTGGAAGATGATGTGTTCCGTGAACTAATTCGGCTTCCTGAGTTGCGAATCGTTAACCTCTCCTACAACGAACTGACCGAGGTGCCCCCGGGGGTCCTTAGACGATGGCCATTGATATCAGAGCTCTACTTGTCCGGTAATGAGTTGACTTCCCTTCCATCTGATGATCTGGAAGAAATCAACCAACTCAAGGTTCTCCATATAAATGCGAACCGCTTCCAGGTTCTGCCAGCAGAGCTGTGCAAAGTCAGCAAGCTGTCAATTCTCGATGTCGGGAGCAACGGTCTGAAGTACAACGTCTCCAACTGGCCTTACGATTGGAATTGGAACTGGAATCGCGGCCTGAAGTACCTGAACTTCTCAGGTAACAAGCGACTTGAGATAAAACCAAATATTTCATCATTGGGCCCACCTTCGGGCAATGGCGCAGATCTCACTGATTTCACATCCTTAACTCACCTGCGAGTATTGGGGTTAATGGATGTGACTCTTACCATCCCCACCATTCCAGAGGAAACGGAGGACCGCCGTGTGAGAACATCTGCCTCACTGGCTGGCTCTTTGGCCTATGGAATGGCGGATACGCTGGGCCGGACTGAGCATTTGTCCATCATCGACATGATCGTCCCACGTTTGAAACCAGATAATGTTGAGACATTGGTTGGCATGTTCGATGGCCAAATCAACTCGAGCGGTGGTTCTCGAGTCGCAAAATATCTACATGAACACTTCACGCCTACCTTCTCCCAGGAGCTAAAAAAGCTTCACCGGGATCAGGGCGAAAGCCCTATTGATGCGTTAAGACGGGCTTTCCTAGCCCTGAACAAGAACATGGCAGGGTCTGCCTACAGATCGATTGACGATCGCGAGCTTCGGCAATACCATCGCGGATCTAATGCATCCAAACAACTCAATCAGGATGACATTCAGTCTGGTGGAGTTGCCACCGTGTTGTACTTGAACAACATGGACCTGTATGCTGCAAATGTCGGTGATGCGCAGGCAGTTCTTGTCAGATCTGATGGTTCGCTCCGCTATCTAACCAAGGTTCACGATCCCGCCGAACCGACTGAACGAGCCCGCATTCGTGCCGCAGGGGGCTTTGTGGCCCGCAACGGCAAGCTTAACGATACCCTCACTGTATCTCGATGCTTTGGTCATTTCCCGATGATGCCAGCCGTCATTGCCGCTCCGTCCACAATGCACACCACCTTGACAGAACAAGACGAAATGATCATTATAGCTTCAAAAGAGCTTTGGGACCATGTGACACCCGAACTTGTCGTCGACATTACTCGAGGGGCGTACCCAGACCTTATGTTTGCGGCTCAAAAACTTCGAGATTTGGCGATCTCATTTGGTGCTACCAACAAGCTAATGGTGATGATTCTTGGCGTGAGTGAGCTGCAGAAAAAGCAAAAGAAGTGGCCACGGCCTAGCGTTTCCTTGGGTCCTTCTGCCTTCCCAGAAGATCAGCTCATTTCTACATCCAAGCTCCGCAAGAAGCCTCGTGATATTCCCAGTGATTCTCGCCTTGCGCGATTCGATTATGTCGATGCTCCCATTGGTGAGCTGGCTATCATTTTCACTGATATCAAGAAATCAACCGGCCTCTGGGAATCATGTCCGGATGCTATGCGCTCAGCTATTCAAATCCATAATGATATCCTCCGACGGCAACTCGGTATCATCGGTGGCTATGAAGTCAAGACAGAAGGTGATGCTTTCATGGTGGCCTTTGCAACAACCACTGCTGCTATGCTGTGGTGCTTCAACTGTCAGAATCAGCTTCTTGAAGCCGAATGGCCTACCGAGATTCTTGAGCAGCCACAATGTCAAGTCGTTATGGACATGGACAACAACATTATCTTCCGTGGTCTGTCTGTTCGCATGGGAGGACATTGGGGCGAGCCAGTCTGTGAAAAGGATCCCGTGACAAATCGCATGGATTATTTTGGCCCCATGGTGAATCGAGCGTCTCGAGTCTCTGCCGTTGCTGACGGTGGTCAGACGTTTGTCTCGTCCGACTTCATGAGCGATATCCAGCGCAATTTAGAGGTCTTCGCGGATGCCGAACGTTCTGCGTCGACTAGTTCTACCGACAGCCAGTCACGAGTTGACAGTCTAGGTCACAATATTCGTCGCGAGCTACAGCAACTCAATAGCCAGGGATTCGTGATCAAAGACCAGGGCGAGAGGAAGTTAAAGGGTCTAGAGAATCCAGAACCGCTCTACCTTGTCTACCCACATTCGCTCGCCGGTCGCTTGGCCGTTCTGGAGGAAGCCAACGATGCCGGTGGCCCGGCTCAGGTCACGCCTAACTCGGAACTGCAGCTCAAGACTGATTTGATCTGGCGTCTTTGGGAAGTCACCCTTCGACTGGAACGGATTTGTGGTGCTTTGGAGAATCCAGCCGATCCACAACTCAGAGAGCCTAATGTTGCTCTGTTCAACATGGTCAAGAACCACGGTGGCGAACTGAACGATTCCACGGTGATCAGTCTGGTTGACCAACAGGTCACTAGAATTGAGGTAAGTTTTAGTTTCTTCCCCCCAACTCTCTTCACATTGTACTTACAAAGTTCTAGGCAACTATCAATACTCTTTCTGTGCGAAACTTGATGCGTCCTTTCAAACCAGGTGATCGTCTCGAAGATCACGCTGTTCCCATCGGCGAAGTGATGCAACAATTGCAAACCCAAATGGCCGAATACCGCGCCCTCAAAGAGCAGATGGCCACCGGGAGTGCAGGCATTCCCGTCGGGTCACCTCCATTTGGTGGTACTCCTGTCATGCATGCCGCTGATAGTGGCAACACATCCTCCTCATCCTCCTTTCTCCATCTCGCGGGGGCAGCCGACACTCCTCGCTCCCTCGATATTCAACGCAACGCTCATTGATCCCTGATTGATGCCTTTGCTTCTCGCTATTATAAATTCCCCTTCTTAATCCCCTGGCTCACTGGGTCATTCAATTTTGGGTTGGTTTTGGATTATTCGCGTCATGTTTAATGGACGGCGTTTTCTGGCTGAGAGTCTTTTAGTTCTCTCTACGAAGCATTAGGGCATGGGAATATGGAGGTTATCTTCGTTTCGAGGTTTTTACCTTTTGTTCTCGTTTGCTTTATGTAATTCTTATTCAAATTTCTGGGGGTGTGTTTCGCGAGACCTGTGAATAAATATTCTACACATATATGTCGAATTTCTGCAAGTTTAACACCCTTAAGTCGATTGCGAATGCACCCATGTAATTATCCTGCGACAAAATTGAGTAATTAAGTGATGGGCAGCTGTACGCATGATTATTGGGTATTCTAAGCTATCTTGGACAGCACCTGGAATTACCCTGCTCGAAGATACTAAGCCCTAACAAACACAAAACTAACACACTTACGTGAGACATATGACTGAGCCTCTGTAGATATGTCAGCGCTTCATCCTCTCAATCTCTTCTTTTCCTTGACAATTCTCACAGCACGAGATTGTTCTGTCTGTCTTGTTCTTCTTTTCCTTCTTGTCTCGTCTGGCCAGGGTGAGCGCTGAAAATATTGGAGCAAGAAGTGTTATTCCTCTATCTTGAGATGCTTCATCTGCCATTTGAGGAGGGTTTTCGAATGGCCTAAGGTGCTGGGATGAGTCGGACCTAGTATTCGTTGCGATTTGGCCATGCACATTTGTAGCAAATCAATAGCTTCAGCACTTCGGCCTGTGGATTCCCAAACGAAGGCAATTTCGGCCATGCTCATGAGCGTGTCAGGGTGATCCGCGCTGAGCTTCAACTTGCGAGCTTCTAAGACTTGTATCTGGAGCTGCTCGGCCTCGCCCCATCGACCCTGCTTCCTATATGTGGTCGCAAGGTCAGCTATACTCGACAGCGTTTTCGGATGGTCCGCGCCGAGCTTTGTCTTGCGAGCCTCCATGACCTGTATCTGGAGCTGCTCGGCCTCGCCCCATCGACCCTGGCTCCAATATGTGGTCGCAAGGTTAGCTATACTCGACAGCGTTTTCGGATGGTCCGCGCCAAGTTTCGTCTGTCGAGTCTCTAAGACCTGCAAGTCGAGCTGCTCAGCCTCGCCCCATCGACCCTGGTCCCAATATGTCGTAGAAAGGTTGGCCATGCTCATGAGCGTGTCAGGGTGATCCGCGCCGAGCTTCAACTTGCGAGCTTCTACGACCTGTATCTGGAGCTGCTCGGCCTCGCCCCATCGACCCTGGCTCCCATATGTGGTCGCAAGGCTAGCTATACTCGACAGCGTTGTCAAATTATCCGTGCCGAGCTTTGACTTGTGAGCCTCTAAGACATGTATCTGGAGCTGCTCGGCCTCGCCCCATCGACCCTGGTCCCAATATATCGTAGAAAGGTTGGCCATGCTCATGAGCGTGTCAGGGTGATCCGCGCCGAGCTTTGTCTTGCGACCCTCTAGGACCTGCATGTCAAGCTGCTGGGCATCGTCCCACCGACCCTGCTTCCTATATGTGGACGCAAGGTCTGCTATACTCGACAGCGTTTGCGGATGGTCCGCGCCGAGCTTTGTCTTGCGAGCCTCCATGACCTGTATATGAAGCTGCTCGGCCTCTTCCAATAGGCCTTCTTGTCGGTATATGTCTGCTAAAATCGTAGTGCTGGTAAGTGTATCTTCATCCTCAGCACCCCGGGCCTTTTGTCTATAAGCCCTTGATTTATATGCCATTTCCCTTGATTCTGCAATATAACCACTGTCTAGCGCGTACCACGCACCTCTATAAAGCAGACTAGTCCATTTCTGTATAGAATCTTCGGACCTTGGGCGTTGTGACTCCGCTGACTTAATGTGTGGAAAGAGCGATCGACATTTTTCCCAATTCTCGTATGCGCCAGTCGGAAACTCTGAGTATAAATGATTTATAAATTGCTCTTTCCATTGCTCGAGCTGGCCATGGACTTTTAGCCATGTACGGACTGTGACCTGTACCAGTCGATGCATTGTGAAAAAGGTGTTATCCTCTCCGACCGTGATTAATGCATAGTAGCTTAGTGTGGTAATATCATCATTGAAATGATTATCTGCCTCGGATTCGGATGAGGTATCTTCATCCTCACTAGATTCTTCTGCGTGCCTCTTTAGGTGCGATATCTCACGATTTCCCTGGCTTGCTTGAAGTCGCAGAAGACTCTCCTGTATTCCTTGTCGATCATAAAAGCTCATCAGAGAGAGGAGGTCCGCTGCAGACGGTTGTATTTGTTTAATATAGTCAAAGGAGATTTGCCATGTGACTAGGATGGAGTTTTTGGCTTCCCAATCTCGGTGAAGAAGACTAGCCTCATAATCAAGGAGTCGTGCTGCTTTTTGATCACTTTTCTGTACCTTCTCGAGATATTTCGAAACTGAGCAGCGGGGCATATGGTGTGTGATATATGCAGCGGCCTGTACTATCGCCAGCGGCATGTAGTCAAGGGCCTTGACTAGCTGTATCATATCTTTTTGCTCTGCGAAAGTGCTTAGCTTCCTCTGTAACAGGTTCAGCGCTTCGGCCTCATTCATCGGCTGTACTTCGATGATATCACTGTGACGAGCGATATTCAATGCTACTCCTTTATTGCGACTTGTCACAATGATGGACCCATTTGAGCTTTGAAAAAGGTATCTCAGTGGTGGTTGCGTGGAGTCATTGCTCTGCATAGTCAAGGGTTTACGAAGGAGCTCATCATCATCAACATTATCGAGGACCAGAACCCATTGGCCGACTATCTCGTCTTGTAACCAGGCGCCAACGACTTGGAAAATATTGGTATTGTGATCATGAGGAATCTTAGCTCGATCCGCAAGCTCTCGGAGACTTTTCTCGCAGCGAGCCACATTACTCGCATGGACCCATAGAATCCATGTATCGGGTGATTGTCGTTGAAGCTGGTGACAGTATTCGACCGCAAGCTGCGTTTTCCTATGTTATGATTAGCGGTGAATGAGCCGCCTTGAGGACGAGTTATTCTGACCCCACGCCGCCGAGTCCAACAAGAGCTATCCTAGATCCTGGAATCAAAGCCTTCTTCTGAATTTGTTCCAGGAGCGCATCACGACTGACGAAATCTGGATCGTGCGGGAGTGGCACGGTCGATATGGGCTTAGCGCGGGACTCCCCTCGTTCTGGAGAAGAGATTATTCGTCAACACCAGAGATACCACCTTGTTAGGAGGTAGGAAACTTACCCGCTGGAAGAATAATCTGCCCGTGGTTGACTCCCAGTTGGAACCCTGAACTCGTGCCACCAAAGGATATGGATGTCATTTCCAGCCTGGCATGTACCCGGTGTTTTGAAGTCTGACCAGAAAGGTGCGGGGTCCCTCACAATGATGGCCTGTCAGTTTTATCATCAGGTGACCTGGCGCTAAATTTTGAATGATACTTTGCAGTAATATACAGAGGAATGGAATTTGCAATTGTGAAGTTTCTCTGTGTAAAATGTGGAAGCCCGTATTGAATATAGTTGTACAGTAGCGTGGAAGGATCAGATGGTTGTGGAATAAAGATTGATTTAAGGTATCTATCGAGTATAGGCTTGACCAATCTTCCACCATTAATCACATCTTGCCAGACATCTTGCCAGATCACTCGAGTCTAGTCAACTTAGTTCTGGCTCCGCCGACTACGTCCGCGAATCTGAGACTTCCCAGAGGCGGAAGAGATAGGCTTTGCCGAGCCGCCGCCAGGCAAGCTAACAGTCTTCCCCTTTAACCAAGCGTTCACAGTAGCATTATAGTACAGAGTGTGTCCCTGACTATGAATGTTCTTCAAGCTCGTCAGAGAGTCAGTGAAATTCTGAACAACAGTATTGGCAGTCATAGTCCAGTTACTTGTAGCATCAAGGCTAACACCAAAGGAAACGTCTCCATATCCAGAGTAAGCGGTGCCAGTCCAGGAGCTATACTTAGCCAAAGACCAATCGATAGAGCTTCCATTATACGCAACAAGATCACCAGTCATATCAGACTCGGTAACAGATACAGTCACCCCAGCAGGGGACAGAGCATTGTTATCGGCGTATCCTGCATAGTAATCGAAGTCTTGGGTGATCTGCGAGTAGTTCGCAACAACGAGAATGCCAGACTTAGTAACAAGTTGCGAGTTGGTCAAGTAAGCGTCAGCAATGATATTTCCGAACCATAGTCCCGGCATCTCAGAACCAAGTGTGGTGAACTTGGTATTAGTCAAGTTCAACACTGCTCCACTCTGGAGGGTGGAGCTACTGAACATAGCAACACCACCCAGCAGACCGGCGGTACAATCACAGTCAATCAGATCAGCAGTCTGCACACCATCAGAGAAAACGACAGGTCCGTTTTCTGAAAGACTGACCACATTCTTGGCATGGATCTCGCCGAGTGCGTAGAAGGTGGCGGAGCCGATACCGGCCGCGTGTGCTACGCTGTCGTACACGTAGATATACCCGCCTGGCGAATCACCCGAGAAACTGGAGGAGCGCTTGCCCCCAGAGTAGACTTCAATGTTGCGGCCGATGATGGTTCCGTTGCCTGAGGCGTACAGCCCGTGGCTGACTGGGCCGGAGGAGTAAAGCCAGGCATTGTTGACGTGCACAACGGTGTCGGTTCCGTATGAGTAGACCTGAGCTGCACCATTGTGAACAGTCACGTTGATCTTGTCGAAAACGGCGGTGGAAGCGTTGGCCTTGGGTAAGGGGAGATTATTAGCTACATGTTGATGTAGAACAGATGACAGAATAACTCACCACATTGATTGCAGCATTGAAGCCCCAGAAACTCGCATCATTCAGATTAGTCGAATATCCACTCTTTTCGAAGTTCATGTATGTGCCGGTGAAGCTGGCATCATTTGCAACGACGAGAACACTCGTATCATTGGCGGTAGCAGACCAAGTAACATGGTTTGCGCTTGAAGTCTTCCCATTGACCTTATGAGTTGCCAAAACTTGATATGTGCGTCAGCCTGCGATCCAATTGCCACTTCACCAAAAGCATTGAACGTTGTACATACTGTCAGACGGCTGCGAGCTAACCATTGCAATATCATAGTCAGGCACGATAGCATTATCCGCCGCCCACGATGCAGGATTGATCACATCAGAAGGATCCTCAATTGTAATCGATGCCAGCGCAAGCGCAGGGAAAAGCAAGAGAGAGCGGGCCGCCATTGTGTCAGAGCCGCAAATGAAAATTTAGAGGATGTTCTGCTTGTCTAGTTGATAGAAACATGATTCGCATTCCAATCCTTGAGTATAAATACTTTACGCAATATGTGGACGCGCAGAAAGTCAACTGTGAAGATTCCCCGCAAACTGATCGATTGACTGGGCTGAAGCTCGGGATGGTGGAGAAGAACTATTGATGACAGGGGAAAATCCGGGGAGATTGAGCTCGACGCGGGGAAGTGATTGGCATTCAGGAGAAAAAGCTTCCGTGGGCCACTCCAGCTTCAGACTGAGACCCCCACATCCCGACTATATATGGTGAGAAGCCCGCGCAATACTATTCGAGGCTTTAGAGACTAGCACGTTTCTGTCAAGATGTGTACGCAAGCTTTAATCTTAGTTATGCGCTCCATATTATTCTACATGGGCCATATCCCGAAAGGAGGGGAAAGAAGGCTGGCCTGTTTGAGGGGAGGTCTCGAGTGCTCGCAACTTGAAGTTCTGCATATTTCCACCTTTCCACCATGTGTAAATTGGCACAAGAGAGATCAGCCTGGATTTTGGGTGCTTGTGAAAATTGCTAAACAAGTTTGGAATCCTGGAATGGACTTTGACTTCAGCAATGAGGAGTAGTGTAGCTAGAAGAAGTGCAACATTCAAATGACGAAACCTGAAAACCTTTCAGCAATAGGTATATTAATACGCCAGAATTTGCAACCACGATACGACACAAGTGAACATCAAGATTCCCCAGGTGACATCCGGGCATTTCAAATAAATGCCAATCTTTGTCGACTCGCTGTCAGTGAAGGCGACTTTGTCAACCCCATCCTTTCTGGGCATTCAGAGTCATTGCAGCGCATATTGATTGCGAATTTCCTGGGTCTTCGCCGGACCTCGTACAACATGTAAACTGGACCAGCTCACCAACTCCTCAGTGTCACGGAGAAACCGGAATGCATATGATGTGCGATACATATCATTGATGCATAGATGGTCCCCTCTTGCTTGAAGAACATAAGTCTGGTCATCCCGAGTATTAAGTGGGAGAGCAGGAACCGGAGGGAAATGTTCCTCGCCGCCTTCTAAAGAAATTCTTCCATCGTCGGTGAAATCGAAGTTATGGAAAAGATAATCGGCCTCATCGGGACCGGAGCCGACTTTCACGAACCAAACGCTGAGCTGTGACGTCGCGTCGCTCAGTCGCCAAATATACTTTTTCGACCAGGTGGCATTTGCCATGCCAGCCAGTGCAGGGGGGAGTGCGGAGGCGGGGAACTGGCCACTTTCGGTGTAGAGCCAATCCTGATCCGCGGTGGGAAGCTGGGCAAAGGTCGCTGTCCCGCTAAGTTGGCCATTGATTTCGTTCACATTTGTACTGCGCAGTGAGCGAGTGAGTGACCATCGCGAGCTGCCTAGCGATTTGAGGATGGATTTGAGAGCAGTATGCGAGGGGGCCATGGCGTTGGTCATGATGCGCGGGGAAGGAGGAAAAGTGGCAGAATCGCAAACGCGGATCTCTTCGTGCGGTTCTCCACTATGGCCAATTGTCACCTTGAGGGCAAGCAAAGTATCTGCAGATCTACATGCCTGCGAAATACAAAACCTCTACTGTGGCAATAACTTGCTATCATGTTCGTATCGATCATGGGTCTTCCTCACAATGGATGTACACTTGATTAAAGGTGGCTAATTGTTTATCTCTGGCTACTCACGAGCCCCGCCGCGCCGGTGTCGCCGTTATCGCGACAACACAAGTATAGACATTCGACAATGCTATATGCTCCTGATAGCAGCAAAGACAGGGTTGCTTACTTGCAGAGCACAAACAAGAACGCACTGAAGTGTAATGGCTATCTAGGTGACTCCAATATGCAGACTATGCCTGGTATGCCGTATACATAAAGCATCCGGATGTATAATCCCGGATCAAATACTCCGCACCGATTGCAGTGCTGACGTGCATGTGATAGGATCTGAACCACTATAGATTAGGCCATGGCCAATGCTCTCAAATCACTGGATATCATCTTTCCAATCTGAGCTCGTGGTGCGAAGTGTTGTAATCTTGTGAAACCGCCAACTCATCACTATGGGAAGTAGATACCTAACTGGGGACTGCTCCTGAGAATCTTCGAAACATCGAACCTTGAACTAGACTAGCCTTAATTCTGAGGAGAAACAGCCCTCTTTGATGGCTCAGCGACCCGAACTAGTAGATACGGGCCTTATTTGAAGGCAAAAGCAAGGCGGATAATATGTGTAAATCACAAATCTGCCGGAAAGGCGGCACCGGTAATAAGGTCATCTTGATTAGAAAGACTCTGCACAGATTGGGAAATCTTTAAATGGTTGCCTTTATTGATATCCCCCCAGATGACCTAGAAACGGAGGAGAGGGATCTAAGAAAGCGGGGATCTGGTCCGCATGGTGGTCTGCATGTGCATAGCAAGGCAACCAGATACTTCCCAAAAGAGGGGTGTTGGCCTGTAAATTGAGGCTCTGCTTGGGCATAAGTCCGGAATCTTTCCATGTTGTCGCGCGTTTGTATGAGCTGATTGGCTCAAGCTCTTCATCGGCTACTAGCGACCATCATGCCCAACATCTTGCATTCGCCATCCTCCACATCAAACGGCTCCCTTTGAATGGCGCTCTGGTTAACACGAGTCAGGAAAATGGAACTCTTTGGTCGAGATGTGACTATGATGATGGTTATAAAGTGTCACCATCCGGACCCTCGGTATCAAAGTTCCATAGGATGTTCCAGCGAATCTATCAACCTTGGAATTGTTTAAATATTCCATTATATCCCCATATCTGAGAGTCTATATTGACTGTTGAATTTCACCATGGAGCCGAAGAAGACACCAAAGAAGAGTGCCCCCAAAGAGGCCTCGAGCCCTCAAGGCACAGGCGCCGCCGCCACTGCGAGCTCCAGCCAGACCTCTCCCACAAGGTACATTATACTGCTCTGTGCTACAAGCCTCGGCAAATGCAAATGCAAATGCAAATGCAAATGCAAATGCAAAAAAAAAAAAACTGATGCAAATCTCCCCACTTTAGTCAGTCTCAATCCATGCAGCGTCACGACTTGCAGGGTATTGGAAGCTGGGCTGGGGTGAGTACAAGGGATCCGTTTTGACCAAGATACTTTACACTGACTCTTACATACAGGATAAACCAGGGAGCAAATCTCGATAGAGTACTTCCAGTTACAAGAGGAACGGACAAGGGGCAAGGGGGGCCCTGAACCGACAGCATTCAGGAAATGGTGAGTGACCCCGACGCGCAAGGACGAACCAGTGATTGACCCAACTACGAGCCAAGCACGTCCGCGAATACCCGAGATTGACCTTTACTCTGGAGTAAATGGAATACACTTGCTTGGCAATGACGAGTAGATTGCCGCCCAAACGGAGAGCGCACCGACAGTGCGATGGGATATGATCTTTGATCGTCAGAGGGTAACCAGGATTGGAAGGAGTCTTTTTATCTAGTCATATTGGCTGCATGAGGACCTATCAGAGGTTGAAACATGATCTGAACTCACAATCGGACAGCACAAGTCCGAGATGATCGTATGCAGATTGCAGATGCACCTCCACCCGTGTTTCCCCTCTTTTTCGCATTTTATCCTGCTTCATCATCATTGATACGATTTTATCATCATTTCCCTTCTTTTGTTCTTGGCGCTCCATTATGATTTCCGGTTCTTTGAAATTATTTGCTTCTTGCGGTTGATCCGCACCATTCAACACACTGAGCGACGGTGTGCTGTTTAACCAGGTTCAATAAACCGCCACGCAATGCATGTGTAGTATCGTTCAGTTACACATACTTCGCATCCATGCCCAAATAGAGGCGCGTACATGAAGCTGAGCCTCGGAAGCAGTCCTTTTGATCCGACTTTGCCGGGGTATGTAGCTGCTTTTCGACCCGAAACCCCCGGTTTGCACTTCGAGACTAAGGCTTGGGGTAGGGCTGATGGTGGATCCCTTATGTCACATAGGCCATGTCGGGAAAATACTTTACCAGTTTTATTTTGCCGCAGCCCTGGTGTGTGACTGATTCAATTCAGTATATGCATGGCAATCTAGCGATCTAAGTAGTCCGCGTTCCGGTTGTCGACCACCGAGACGGATAAGAACGTCAAAAGTGGCGCATCACGAGTTAAAATTACTCTTCAAGATATCTATACTCGCACTTACTACTTGTTTCTGCGAAAATGGTTCTTGATGCAATCTGGCAAGTCTGCTGGAGGGTTTGACTTCGGAATTGATTGCTGCTCGCCTACCGGGGATCTACGGCACCCACCATGAAACGCACGTCAGGTTACATCGTCAGACAAATGTAAGTAAAGCTGTTGATGAGCAACATGCCGTGCATTTCTATAACTAGGATTCGAGGTGTGGCGCGAGATGTGGCGATTCATTCGAACAAAAACGATATTGATGATACGGAGCTAATTGGGAATAGAGCTCCAATAACCACCAGGCTTTTTGCATCGGGGTATGCTCATTGCTAAGTGGGGCTTGTCCATGTGGGTGTGGATACTATGGCCATTGAATTTGGATCGAATCCTTGAGTCGCTTTTTCGTCAAAGAGAAAATATCAAAGACCCAAGATCCAAGAGCATAGATCTAACTTACGGTGATGATAACCGTGGTTGAAGGAAAAGAGCGGGGTATCATGAAATCTTATCGCGGGATCATTACCTCATCCGTCGCGGTAATTGCAAAGCCCGCGCTAAGATGAGCACAGCTTAGCTCTGTCAAGAAACTCGTGATTGATTCACTCCTTCTGTTTCGTCTTCAATATTTCTCTTCACATACTGAGTTCCTTGTCAGCAATAATTCCGACATGGCCGATTCCGCCGCGTCCCCCTCCATTGAGGTGCAAAACCTCTCCTATAAGTTCCAAGACGGCTCGGACGGGCTGGAAAACGTCATACTAAGCCTTCCACCAGGTAGCCGGACGCTCCTTATTGGCGGTACGTTCTTCCGACTACTAAGTGTCCTTCGCATGAGGACGGTTCAGCAGCTAATACTTGCGCACAGCAAACGGAGCGGGAAAGACCACACTGCTTCGTCTGGTGTCGGGCAAACGCTTGGCACCTACCAACACCATCACGGTGGGCGGCAAGGATCCCTTCAAAGACGGCCTTGAAGGAGTTACTTACCTCGGTGTGGAATGGGTGCTCAACGCTATTGTTCGCACCGACATCGATGTCCCCACACTGCTCGCCTCGGTGGGCGGAAATGCCTACCCGGAGCGACGTGACGAGCTTGTTGATATACTCGACATTGATCTACGCTGGCGCATGCACGCCGTGTCAGATGGTGAACGCCGTCGTGTTCAGCTAGCCATGGGCCTGTTGCGCCCTTGGAAGGTTCTCCTTTTGGATGAAATCACCGTGGACCTCGATCTGCTTTCCCGAAGCAACTTCCTCGCTTTCCTGAAGCGGGAGACTGAGACACGACCTTGCACTATTGTCTATGCTACCCATATTCTCGACAACCTGGCACAGTGGCCCAGCCACTTGGTGCACATGCATTTGGGTAAAGTCAAGGCCTTCGGAACTGTGGAAACGTTCCACGATCAAGTTCCAGAGTGGACATCTGAGAACAGTCGTCTCGGAGAATTGGTTCTCAAATGGCTCAAGGAGGATCTTGCCGTTAGAGGACCTCGTAATGGCGTGGCGACCCAGGCCAAAACTTACGATGCCGGCGGCATCGGGGGTTACGGCTACGAGAAGCACGACTAAAAATACTGATTCCAGGCTTCGCAACTTATCATTTGCATGCTAAGAACTGCATCTTTTCTACTACTTCGTCTAACTTGGGAATGGTCTTAACACTTTGCCGTTCAACATTGAATTCAACCAAAAGGCATGGGCAGGGGTTTTGCGGGCATCTGGGTGGATCGATTCAACATTTGGGAGTTTTATATGCGACCATGGTTCATGATATAGAGAGCTCGCAAGAGGTGATTACAAAGAATAAACGAGATTTTGTACTTTGAACGCCAGTGTAAATGAAAGGTTATTTTGTCCTTTATCGCTATTTTTGTCGTTTCCAAAACGGGTTGAAATTGAAGTTCTGCCTGAGGCCCTAATTTTGCATCATTTGTTGACGCGTGACGCGCCGTCGCCTTTGACCTTTCGTCTGCAGTGTCGATGTGTTGCCAATAATATTCCGCTTTTTGGAAATCAAAGAGAGTCCAGTGCCTCCAAAAAGGGTCACAGAACCCGATTGGCCTAGCTGGCCCCGATAGTACGAAAAAGTACAATAATCTCTCTCTGGACGCGCCCCGGCTTACAACAAACCTCCACGGCAATGCGCTCTTCTGACGAATCAGACTACTTTGACGATGATGACTTTGTTGTGCCTGATGATGACGCTCTATCCGGATCCCGTCCAGCCAAACGCCATCGTGTACGACCTCCGACGCGCCATGAAGACCGGGATGGTGCCTCGTCGACAGACGGGTTCTCCGATATTGATGAAGAGACATTCAACGATAGCGGATTAGCGGAAAACCACGACAGAGCAGACGCACGTTCTAAGAACCGGAGTTTTATACCGAAGCGCAGCAACATTCAAGAAAACATATTTGTGACCCAGTTAACGCAACCTCACTCGAGCCCTGACCGAATACGTGGACCGAGGTGGAAAAAGCCGGACCCTCCATGTCGCCCTGATATCATACCAACACCGCAGGCTAGTGAGAGGGATCGAGACTCTGACGACTTCTCCGATGACGATTATGATGGTCTAAAGGCTGCGTTGGCTGCTTCACTGAATACATTTGAGGTGGAGAAAGCTGCACGAGGTACATTAAGCACAGATTCTGTGAACAAGGCCGTTCCTGCAAGACCCCAACCTTCTGTTAGCATTAATAAAGCTCCACCACAAGATGTATCGTTCGAGCTCGATGATATCCCTGACGACGCATTCGACTCCTCACCCTGCCTATCACCAGTAGCACGCCCTGCTCAAACAACAACATCATTCTCCTCCAACGCCTCCCGAAATCCTTCATTCTTCCGACAAACCACCCTGTACGGTATGATTCAATCAAATCCAGAAATTTTACAGCAACATCAAGATCCCGGCCCGCCAGATAAAGTCGAATTTCCGACCCACCATAAATTAAACCACGATGCGCTCAATACGTGGTGGTATCCGACGAATTTGGGTACCACTCGAGACTATCAATTTAATATCACTCAAAAGGGCCTCTTCCATAATCTACTCGTCGCGTTGCCCACTGGTCTAGGAAAAACGTTCATCGCCGCGACAGTCATGCTGAATTGGTTCCGCTGGACGAAAGATGCTCAGATTATCTTTGTAGCCCCGACCAAACCATTGGTGTCACAGCAAGTTTCGGCATGTTTAGACATTGCCGGCATCCCGCGCTCTCAAACAACAATGCTTACTGGAGGTGCAGCACCGGGCATTCGCGCCCAGGAATGGCAGTCAAAACGCGTATTCTTCATGACCCCTCAGACATTGATCAATGATTTGAAAACTGGAATTGCAGACCCCAAGCGAATTGTGCTTGTGGTTGTAGACGAAGCCCATCGTGCAACTGGAGGCTATGCCTATGTGGAAGTCGTAAAATTCATGCGGCGTTTCAGCAACAGTTTCCGTGTTCTCGCCCTGACAGCCACCCCCGGGTCGACAGTCGAAGCAGTGCAGGGCGTCATCGACGGCTTGGAGATATCACGGGTAGAAATTCGTACTGAGAATTCTCTTGACATTCGGGACTACGTGCATGCTCGCAATATTGAGATTGAGACCTTTGAATATTCGGAAGAGATTCAATTATGTCTGGACCTTATCTCCGAGGCTCTGCAGCCCCAGATGGATCAGCTTCGAACACTGAATGCTTACTGGGGCAAAGACCCTCTAATGCTTACTGCTTTCGGATTGACTAAAGCCAGGCAACAATGGATGGCCTCCGACGCCGGCCGAAATGCTAGCTTTGGGCTTAAGGGCATGGTTAATGCCATTTTCACTGTCCTCGCTAGCTTGGCTCACGCCATTGACTTGCTGAAATATCATGGGATCGTCCCCTTTTATCGCCATTTGTTACATTTTAAGTCGAATACCGATGGCCAGAAAGGTGGCAAGTACCAAAAGCAAATCGTGCAGAACGAAAGCTTCAAGAAACTTGTCGCATATGTTGACCCCTGGTCCAAAAACCCCGAATTCATCGGCCATCCCAAATTGGAATATCTGAAATCCGTGATCTTAAATCACTTCATGGATGCAGGAGAAGGACAAGAAAATTCCGACAGCAGCACGCCGGGGACGCGTGTGATGATATTTGTGCATTTCCGCGACAGTGCTGAGGAGGTCTCGCGTGTATTGAAACGATATGAACCTATGATTCGACCACATATTTTCGTTGGTCAATCCAGTGCCAAAGGCTCGGAAGGAATGAGCCAAAAAACCCAGCTTGACATCATTAAGAAATTCAAAGCGGGAACATACAATACCATTGTTGCAACCTCTATTGGTGAAGAAGGTCTGGATATTGGCGAGGTGGATCGTATCGTTTGTTATGACTCTTCTGCATCACCAATCCGAATGCTGCAACGCATGGGTCGAACTGGACGCAAACGAGCCGGAAACATCACACTGCTTCTCATGAAGGGCAAGGAGCAAGATTCCTACGTCAAGGCCAAAGACAACTACGAAAAAATGCAGGAAATGATCGCCAGCGGTACTCGGTTCACCTTTCATGACGATCTGTCTGCTCGAATCCTCCCTGCTGGTATTCGACCGGTGCCCGACAAGCGAATCATCGACATCCCTCAGGAGAATTCGCAACAGGAGTTACCCGAACCAAAGCGCAAGGGACGCGCTCCCAAGCGGCCACCGAAGAAGTTCCACATGCCCGACGACGTCGAGACTGGCTTCACTCGTGCCTCGACCTTAGGTGACGATGGCGCAAAGAAAGCGAACAGTGTACAGAAAGCGAAATCGTCCAAAACACCCAAGAAAAGAAAGTCGGACACGCCCAAGAAGCGTGCTCGGACGCCTGAACCTGTGCTATCAGAAAGACCGACAAGAGCAGAACTGGATGAGGAATTCCCGTATGCAATGCGCGACTATGAACGAGCTATGGAGGTCCTCGGCGATGAGACAAACCCTCGTACTGGCTTCTGGCCCCGTCCCGAGGAGTCAGTGAGGAGATCAACCAGACCTACGAAGATGATTCCTCACAGCTCTTTGAGCCGCCGCATTAGCAATGTCATACGAAACATGGATCAGGTCAGTCCCAGAAGGGACTGAAGCATACTGGATGATGAGATGAAGCGTTGGTTTAATATGCCGGGCATCGGTGGTCTTCTGGCCCTCACCTCGTTCATAAAGAAGTGTATTTCGGAGTTGACTTTAATATACCCACCATTGAATCAGGATGCAGATTGGAACATTGCCACCCTGAATACCGTTCAATCTCTATGGTCCAACTTCTCCCCGATTCCATTGAACCTTGGAACCTTGGAAGTAGACATTTTAATATAAATCCGCACTCCCGAATCAAAATATATAAAACAAATAACCCATAATATATCGCATCCATGGATGACATTCGTACCCATACTAAGCGGAGATTGGACTTGAAGGTGCACTTACGGTTAGACGGATGGGCCAGTTCAAATCGAAAACTAGACCATTGATGGGTAGTAAGGCCGTAACCAATAATCCAATAATTCCAGCGTTGAAGGGCTTGGATACCATTGTGCTTGTAGAGTAGGTAGATAATTTTCATAATCACGATACACCGCTTACTTCAATATAGTCGTCCAAATTTCCTTAGCGCCCCCGACCGTTGAGGTTTGAGTGAACTATTTCCCTCGACAACTTTCCTTAGCACGGCAATAGTGATCTCAGGTATATCTGTCATAACTACCATGCTTTCATCATGGGCGAGGAAGCTTTGGGCGTCCCTTGAAAGCACCTTGATTATGGCTTCTTGAAGCTGGGTCTCATGAGGGGGAATAGTCTTCCAAATTTCTTGCACGACCAATGGAGACTCCTTTGCCCATTTGTCAACCCAACTTATAATGCGAGACCTCGCAAGAGCCTTGAGAGGCGGCATGTCGAATTTATCGGCCGCGATAAAAACTGCGAAGTTGTTCCACATGACTGCATGAGGTTCCATGTTATTACCTGAGGGGCACTTCTGATCCTGAATTTGCGAGCCATCCGTGTCCTCATAGTCTTGACGGTAAAGGAAGGAAACTACTCGTTGAATAGTTGCTAGATCATCATCCGGTAGATCAATATGTGAGTGGATAGCTTCCTTTTCAAGATATTAGCCACATGCACCAACCACAGCGGAAAACGTTCGCTTTACTTTGAATCCTCCTTTGACTGCAGCCTCAAAGAATGATGATTGGGGACACACTATCGCACGGTGTACCTGGAATTTCTGCCCTCCGCATGCTATCGTGAGGTCTGAATATCTACCTGAATCCAGAAGGCTTTGCAAGATAGGTTGAAGATCCGGAAACCCCATTGTTGATATAATTGTTGGGTAGTGAGTCTGGTTAAATAATGACATATGGTTTCATTCATGCCTACCTATACAAAACAACGAAGTACTGATAAATATGACGTCAACGATTTATCAATGCACATGAGTGCTAAGCATGTAAACGATAGGGGATTTTATGGAGGCCTATATTTCACCCGATGTTTTTAAACAACAGAAAAAATATGTGATGTATTTTAAAAACACATAATTAGGCTCATACAATCCTGTGGCTCGTGGTTGAAGGAGCTTCTCTATGGGACTAGTGGAGAAGGTGACTTCGGGCGCCACTGCACAGTTGAAGGATATTTATAATAAATATGGATACGCACAGCTGATAGCAACCTAGTTTAGATTGAAATCATTACAGTATGCGAGCACGCCGTCGTAAGCTTGATTGTATAATTGCATTAAGGATGTAAGTCAGATTGCCGGACATCTCGGTCGCCATAAATTTATATCGACGTCGTCACTGCATACCGCTCCATATAATGTGATGCCCGAAGCTAAATTCGTTCTGAGATATATATAGCAGAAAAACCAACAAAGACCGGATAGCTTGGAAGCATACTAGTCCAGAGCGTCTTAGTACAACCTAAGAAGAGTGACGCATGTCTGGTACCACCCGAGGTGTCTGGGGTAGTTACGTTACTCCCGAGGTCAAATTTAATCCATCAAAATCAGCGCAAAATGTGGTTCTTTGTCTAAAAGCCTCGTGTATACTAGTTGGTGTCCAGGAAAGATAGTTTCCCTTTCAGCTGTTCATGACGTAAGCTGAGCGTTGCGATACGTGGCATAAGGCGATCTAGCTAGTGCTAGCGAATAATGAAAGGTGAGCATTGCGAAAGGACTCGAAGTAGGCGGTCTTATGCGATTCATTCATATCCATGGTCAAACGCACCAGGGTTTCAAAGTGACTTTCAATTTCTTACCAATGGAATCCACTCGGCCGAAGCCTAGACCGTTGGTTTAATCGATGAGTGCGCGTACTTGTGCCGAAAGAGGGATGGATTGATCGAGGAGCGTCCATTTCACACTAGTGCTTACGAGCAGGGGGCCATAACTTTGTATTACCCAGTCAGAATGCCTTTATTATTTTGTTTCCCCGAGCCTTAGCACGGGGAGGTCAGCAACTTGATCTCGTGACCAAAGTATAAAGATGATGTGTCGCCGATGTTCGTATTCCCAACATTCGGCATATTGTGTCAATCTTTCCCGCCACACAAACGCTTCTCAGTTTCAATAATTCCGTTTGAGATTGCCTCATAAACTATATTAATTGCCAAGGTTTTTGCATAGTCTAAATCAAGTATGGCAGATGAGGAACCACTTCAGCCGATGCTTCCGCCGCCTGGGCACCCTACAGCAGCAGCGGCCAAAAGTAAAGCAATGACCACCTTATTTAACGTGAGGATCTCCTAAAAAGCTCTTCTGTGGATATTAGCTGATATGAAGTTAGATAATGAGAGACCAGCTCTCCATCTCTTCATGGCTATTGCTTGGTGCGGTTGCCCAAGGCCTAGCCGTGCTGGCTCTCCCTGCTTTCTATGCAATTCTACCAGCTATGGTCATTCTGTCGTACCGAGTCACCGATACCTTCCTCATGACAATGGGTCTGAAAAGGAACCGCTTCATGGATAATGTCATCATGGGGAAATTCACTGGGCAAATCCCCAATTCGGAAGGAGTGTATTCCAGCAAACCAGCCGACGAGAACGTGGTTTCTTTCCAACTCATCACAAGGTCAAATCAGTAAGTATGAGGGCCTACTTCATAAAGGGCGATTCTAACATATTCACAAAGCCCTCTGGGAATTCTCGCTCCTGGAGCTCGCGAGATCGCCACACTGGCACAGAATATGTATGCCCAGCTAGCGAAGGAAAGAGAGACATATGGATGTCAGATAAATCCTGTGCACTGAATGCGTTTCGAAAAGCTGATTTCAAAGTAGTCCTCGGTTCAAAAACCATGATGGGAGCAGATGAGCGCTCTGCCGGAAACCATATCATTACCATGATGTATTTCCGCAACCTGGAAGGCGTCCACCGATTTGCACACGGACCGATCCATACCGATACGTGGAACTGGTGGAATTCCAAGGGCAAGAAGTATGGATACCTCACTATCGCGCATGAGCTCTATTCTTCGCCGAAGAATCAATGGGAGAATATTTACATCAATGGAGAACTGAGCGGTCTTCGTGAGTTATTATTCGTATGGGTATGCATGGACATGCACTAATTGGACACCTTTATAGCGGGGACCAAGGTCAAGGTTAAGAAGTTTGACCAGGATGGTAAGGAGGATGGGTGGGACTACATGAACGCAGCTATCGATGCACGGAAGGGAAATTTAGCGAGGCAACTTGGAAGAGTGAACCAGAGTTATGAAAAGAATGAGACAGGTGTTGACTATAATTATTAAGGGACTAATGTTTATAATTTGATGTTTTTTTGACGGAGGTACTTTATGTATTCGAAGTGGGAGTGGGAAAGATGAAGAGAAAGACATGTATTCAAAGGAGAGCACAATGAACCATTTAAATTGATGCTGGGGGTCAAACGAAGATAAGTTACTGTACTAGCAAACTGATTGAAACGGAACCAAAGTAAAAATTGGGAAAGAGTACCCAGCGATAAGAGAGGCCTCACGCCCTCGAACGAAAGACAGGAAAAAGCAAATGACAAGCACGAATAATATATCACAGTAACCATAGCAAATGTCTACAATAACCTCATTATCAAAGTGCATCTGGGTCGCGCCTAGCGCAAGAGCATTGCACAATAAAACAGACCGGTTGAGTAACCCGAAAGGCCCCGGAAAGAAGTATCCAGCAAGCCACGTCTCATTCACATTCATCATTCCCCACATGGGTCATTTGGTCGCCCGATATGTGAGCATTGTTGAGGCAGCAGTTACTGGAAAGGAACCTCGAACGCATAGATAGTGGAAGTTATCCCGCGTTAGTCCGTCAATATCCTGAACAAGTCCGCACCGTAGGACCTATTCTCATGCAGGCCGCTTCTGGATCTCGAAAACATGAGAGTTAGCTAGGATCGTCATCGTGGTGACTGAGGTGTTTGCGGTAACGCGAATCTGTACGGCCAATCCTCAATTTGTTCAAAACGTGCTCCAACGATGAGCGACGGGTTGGCCTGGTCTTTATACCTTGTAAGGCATCGGACTGAATAGACCATATGATATTTACCAAACTGTCAGACTTCAAGGCTTTTGCCATGATGACTCAAGGCTACAAATTTTCTCACAAAGAGGGAACTGAGTATGAATAGATAGAAGGTTTGGAGGTTTATCTTGATTTCGAAACAAAGAAACTCAAGTAACGAAAAAAATGTCTCGGTCAAAGTGTGACTGACGGATGACAAATCAAACCTTGGTGTGTGAGCGAACTCAAAGGAGCAGTAGAAGCAAAAAGTATGTATGTGATATTGCGAAGGCCGGCAAAAAAAGACGAGGATCTGCGACAGGTGAAGCAGTAATACAGGGAAACAATCACCTCGATTCCTGCGTTGACAAGAATAGCTTAATGCTTCTAGGTTTCATGGCAAAGAAAGACTAATTATAGCCTAGTGTTAGTTTGATTACTATTCTCGAAATAGGTGAAACTTGTCAAATAAGAAGACCATCTATTGAACGCGTGAGCGCAGGCAAAGACGTCATTTCTTGCCTCTTGACCCGAAGCAAAAAAGATAAAAACAAAAAGAAAAGAATGAGCTGATCTATCAACAATCTCGCATGTCAAATATCAGCCACCATTGAGAATACCTCAAGCAACCTCCTCGATGTCAAAACGCATATCAAGATCGAAGCGCATATGAATATAGTTTTTCCCTTTAGATGAGTAAGTAACAATCCGAGAAATCCGACGAGTGCCTCGTGGAAACGCCCCAAGAACCAAGTATGCAACGACCTTACCTATACGAGTACCGAGCAAACCATCATACTCCGGGGATCCATGCTCCCAAGTCTGAGGTACAGAGGTCTGACCAGGAAAGTCGTCATAAAACCTCTCGTCGTAAATATGCTCGTGAAAGAAGCCGACAGTGTCTCTGTTAATGATATCACTGACGAAAATGGAGCGTAGATCATCGAGTATAAAGTCCCTTTCGTATAAGGCCTGGGTAATACAAGAAGCATGTGGCACATCGTCCATCATCTCACGGGTGATGTTTGCACCTGGCCGAGACCGCATCATAACGTCGATAATAATAACACCTGATCCTGTGCATCCCGACCAGGCTAGCAAAGGGGTGTCCAGCTCGAAGTTCTCATACTCTCGAACAGAAGTGATTACCTCTTTCTGCTCAAGTTCCTTGATTTCCGTCAACACGTGTGCCTCGAAATCAAGCTCGGGGTCGACCGGCCGGGTTGAGAATCCCATGCCTTCGTATCTATCAACGATCTGGGAATAAGTCAGTGTGGATCGTTGGATGAAGCATTCGGGCTCACTTGGGTCATCAATCCATCGTCGGCGCTGGGCTCCCTCCTCTTCAATAGCGCCATAAAGAGGAGGCCGAGTAGGCACTGTTCTAGTAGGGTTTCCAGCCATTGATGCGTTTTCAAGTGAATTGTCAAGAGTAGAAGTAGTTGATGTAGATATGTTAAGTAGCTGTTTTTCAAAGTTGAATGCTAGAGGTCTTGACTTTTCTTGGTGAGGAGGAAAAAGAAGAAGAAGAAGAGTGATGATAGTGATTGTTTAAGTGATTGATATTGTCTGTTGATAAGCCACTTGAGAGAGAGTTGGTTCTGTCTCTTATATATTTTGGACTCGAATTCATTGTGGCATGTTTACTTTTACGACAGAATACTATATTTGTTTGGTGATCAAAGCCTTGATCACAATAGACAATGTCTTGACAGGAATAGTCCTCAGAGTCAATGACTTTGTCTCACAATGGAGTCAAGACCTTTGTCCTGTTACCTACACCCTTTATGGCGAAGACTAAGCTACTCATGGAACTGATATCTACGCTGCAGGCAAACAGATTGTCTAAGGCAAAAACAATGCCTTTGATAGACAAGTAAAGGAACCGAATGATAGTTCTCAACATAGACTGACAATGCAATTTGTTATTACTGATATCGTAGAATTTGATTAATGTCTTGGCAAAGACTTTAAACTCTAGTTCGTTGCTGCTGGCGCGTTGCTGACAAAAACGACCATATCTGTACTATATTATTAGATTCCACTAGCCTTATTGGCTTGTTTAAAGTGAGTTAAACGTACGCAGCGGTGGCGGCAAAGATGAGGAAGTAATAGCTCAGGGTTTGTTGAGTTGTTGAGGGGGGGGGGCAGATCTTTCTGAGTTTGGAAGCTGGGTGAATTCAAGTTCCTAATTCTCAAGTGTTGTAGAGGCGTCCGGGGGAGCGTGCCTAGTGCTAGATTGGATTCTTTGACTCCAAACATAACTCAGCCCGTGTCAGGCTAGGTCGCATGAAATCGCGATGTTATCAATCTAATAGCTTTGAGATACACAATTTCAGATTGCATAGAAGCAGCTATACATTTTCACATGAAAATAATCGTTCTATACAGAAGCGCCTCAAACCACGAACTAACAAATCCACTCATAACAGGAAGCTCGGCGTTCTAACCCATTGGCTTTCTCTCAAACAGCTTCAAAATATACTCATTCTCACAGGCAGCAGCAACATCCAAACTTGTCCTTTGCATCCCATCCTCAGCCATAGGATCCATTCCTAGCTTCATCAAATATTGGAATCGCTTGATGAGATCCACGGGAGGGTGTTTGCCCCTTCTTCCAATACCGCGGCTTGCAAGCAAATGAAGCAATGATGACCCATGTTTGTCGCATAGGAAAATATCAGCACCATTTTCTAAGAACTGCTTCAATATTGGATCGTCGAGCTGCTCTGCTTCCGCATTTGGTACAGGCGAGAGGTTGGCTTTTTTAGAACGATAGCGTATATAGCTATTGAATTCAAGGTATTTGAAGAGAGGTGTTTCTCCACAATTGTTTCGGGCATTTATATCGATGCCATAGTCCACCAGTCGTTGCATTAATGATGTGTCCCAATGACTTGAGCGGGCTATATGGTGGAGGCCCGTATCTCCGTTGGAGTCAGGCTTTAGGGGATCGGCTCCGTAGTCCAGTAAAATCGTAGCATACGTGTGAGAATCAGCGCGCATTGCGTGATGTAGGGCCGTTTCACCGGCCAGGTCGACTTGATGGACGAGGCTGGGGTTATTGCTGAGAATACTCGTGAAAATTTCGGAAAATGCAACATCCAAATTACAACGTAGTCCGGATCGCTCACGTCCTACTATGTGGTGCAGGATTGTCTTCCCATCGTCGTCTTGTGCCATGACATCGGCCCCGAGGTCAATGAGCTTTTGAAAGACAAATCTTGCTCCTATGTCTTCGTCATTGGGTTTCCTTCTCATCGGGTTATCCGGCCTGTCAATATTTTCAGATGCAGCTAAGAGCAGAGTGCTTCCATTTCCATCACGGCGTTCAAGGTCTAGGGATTGTATCTGGAGGAATGGCTCCACAATGTGACCACCCCTTACAACTTCATGGATCACAGTGGAACCTTGTTTCGGCAAGCTCTTCGTATTTCTCTTTGCCAATGGAGAATGGGGACGAAATCTGCTACCACGTGATGTTGACAGTTTGCTAATCCAAGAACAAGTAGCGAATGGGTCTGCTCCACGTCGAAGAAGACTTTCGACCATATATTGTTTTATTTCAAGACTTGCAGCTTCGTGATCGTGAAAATCAAATATAGACGCATATAGCAACAGGGGTACTCTAGCATCAGCCATTGCGGGGTCATCCAATCTCAGCTTCATGCGGCCAACATGCCTCAGGTTGGCGTAGTCACAGCGAGAAAGTAGGATCTCCAGAATTTCGATGTGGCTAGCTTCTAACGCAGTGATTATGGCGGCTGTATCTACTTCAGCGCCATGCGTGACAAGAAGCTTGACCAAGTCGATGTCCATTTTGGCCTTTGACAGGCAGGTGACACCATCACCCTGAACCGCATTGACATTCGCGCCAGCTTCAATGAGGATCCTGACTGCCTCTTTGGCAAATGGTTTCTTGGACTCAAGTGCAATGTGAAGAGGCGTCCTCCTGTGATCGTCCAGGGCCTCGAGATTTGCACCTTTCGTAATCAGAAATGGCAAAGCTTTGTCCACTTGCCACCAAAAGTGCCCACAAGCCAGATAATGAAGGGCACCAGTTCTCCTTGACTCTGTGTAAATGCCCAACGTGTATTTGACGCTTCTAGCATTGAGACTCACGCCAAAATCCTCAACAATCAGCTTCAGGACGCGCATGTTAGGAAGTCGGCGAGTGCAGGCGGATATTATCAAAGGTGAAAAGGACCTAGTGATACGCCCTTCCTTTTCTGCATCTTGCCTTCTGTAACGGCCTGTGTCATCCAATTTTCTCGCGATTTCTGGGGTACAAACTCGAGCGAGAATGTCACTAAAGCCCCCATTTGCAAGAGTATTCAAAGCCGTATCGCCACATTTCTGGTGAAGAGATAGATACCTTTTACTCGCAGCAACCTCTTCAAATAGGTCGTAATATCTGGATGCCAATGCAGTCTTCAGAGTCTCTGCCAAAGCCGAGGATACCTGGGCTTCCGGTTGTCCTTGCCCTTCTTTATGCTTGACTTCCTCTCTCAAAGCCTCCTTGGCTACATCATATTTATCATGGACCATGAGGATTTTTAATTGAAGATCAGGATGATCGGTAACTTTCTTTGTTTCGGGGAAGCACCCAAGCCTGGACTCTAGGCAAGACACAGTATAGCCATGTCCACCCTCCACTGCTTTGAGCCAGACAGCTTTCAAAGCGTGAGAAGCACTATCAAGGATAGCACCATACTCGATCAGTAGGTCCATTATATCACCCACTCGCGTAGTATGGTGCTCTGTGATAACCAAACTGGGGCCACTATGAGCTGAGTGTTTTCGGGATGGGGCTTTGACTTCAGGTGGGTCATTGAATGGACGAGATCTATCCATCACCGTGAGACCAGCAGCATTCAGTCCTGTCATTGAAGGGTGATGTTCCCATAACGTGGCTTCTTCTTCAAACTCCGCCGACGACGCAAAGGGGGGCATCCCGTTCTTGTCAAGAGCATTGGGATCTGCTCCAGCTTCAAGCAATGACTTGACAGATTCCAGCTGACCGGAACGGCATGCATAATGGAGCGCTGTTTTTTGGTCCGTGTCAGTTTGATTGACAAACTGGATGCGCGCCATGTTCTCGAGCTTGAAGATTTGAGAGAGTACCATGCCCACGATGCCAGACTGACGGGAGCGCGCAGCAAGATGGAGAACTGTCATCTTTTCGTGGGTGGATGCCAATAGATCAGCTCCAGCATTGAGGAGCATATGAACAAGACTTTCTGAGATGGTCGCAGCAAGATGTATTGGCTGAATCCCCTGGATGTCACTCGGACTCGGACTAAAGCAGAGCTTGAGAACATAAGAAATGGCTTGTTTTCTCGGGCCATCGCGCGAATCGTCATCGTTGAAAGAGCACAAAACGTGTAATATTGTTCTGCCTTGGTCATTGGCCTGGTTTAAATCCATGCCCATACTGATCAGGGATCTCAGGAATTCCAGTTTCTCTTTGATGCCTTTGTCAAAAGCAGCTTGATGCAGAGGCGTGTTCCCTTCGTAGTCCGCCATCAGAGGGTCTAAGCCAACTTTTTTGAGAAGATCTAGGTGTCTAATATTGTCAGAGCTTTGAAGCCGCCTGGTCCCACTTTTCTGATCAATGCTGCGATGCCACAAGGTTCGACCCTGATTGTCACGGCAATCAATCCGGGCACCTAAGTTGATAAGTATGCTGACAAGGTCTAAAGCATATCTTCCATGTGATTTTGATCCGAATTGAGCAAACAAAACCGACTCGCCCTTGTTGTTTCGAGACTCAAGGTCCGCACCAGCGTGCATAAGTTTCTCAACAGTAGAAATTTTTGCACCAGCATGGATTTCGTGCAGCGGCGTATTGCCTCGTTTGTTCCTGGCTTTTGGATCAGCGCCCGCGGACAATAAAGCGCCGAGTACATCATTGTTAATTTGGCTGTGAAGAAGCAAATGCAGAGCACTATTTCCATCAAGGTCCTTGGCATTGACATCTGGCTTGTACGCCAGAAACTGGAGAGCCTCGTCGCAGCCGAAATGCGCAATATGGCAAAGCAGTGGCGTCTTGCCATCTGTGCTTCGATATTTATTGATGTCAACTTTACCACTCGCTAGAAGCAGGTCCAAAGTCTCTCGATTCGCTATTCCCTTTTTGTGAATCGGTGTTTCACCAGCATTGTTTTCGGCAGTGGGGTCTGCACCTGCTTCTAACAGGGGTTTGATGAGGCTGATATTGAATTCACAGGCAAGGTGTAAAGCCGTTGATCCTTCTGGAGTTGTTAGGTGCAGATTCGCACCTGCGTTCAGTAACAATGTTGCGAATTGGGGCGAAGCTTTGTTGGGTCTGATGGGAGATTCTATCAGAATATGTAGAGGTGTGAGTCTCCTACTACGGTCCATGCTCGGGGGGAGTGTGGTTGCTGAGGCCATCATCCCTAGCCCCCGCGGCACAAACTCGCTTCCGGAATTATGGCCGAAGATATTTGGATCTGCGCCGGCGTCTACCAAGACTTGGATGGTTTTGAGGTCCATGGACCTGCATGCCTTGAACAGTGCGGTGCTCTCTCGCAATATCGCATTGACGTCGACATCAGGTTGCTGGAGAAGTAGATTCACGACGTCTCCCTGCCCTTTTTCCGCTGCCCAATGAAGAGCTCGGTGAAGGTGCTCGCGATTCTGAAGAAACGGCAGGAACTCGGCAACAGCCTCAATATGACCGCCACGGCAAGCATACATCAATGCCGTGTGGCCTTTCCAGTAATTAGATCTGCTCACCCTACTCGTGTCTTTGGCGGTCAAAGGATCGACCCCAGCATTGAGTAGGACCTTGACTAGATCAGCATGATTGTACTCACCAGCTCGATGTAGGGGCTTTAAGCCTTCGTAGATCTCAATATTTGGGTTGACCCCATGATCAATGAGAACCTGAACCACATCTGCATGTCCATGAAATGCAGCCAGTTCCATACAATCACTTGCAAGATCCTTGTTCGAAACCAGAATGTTACCGGTCTCGAGGATATAATTTGCATACTGGGCCAGCCCAGTCTTAGCGGCGATGTGGAGTGGTGAGATGTTTTCGATGCGTATACCGGGCCACGCGAGATGAAGCCAAAGTTTACATCTCCTTGAATCAGAAAACAAGTTATCAATAACAGGGTTAAAGGAAGAAATATCTGAGCCTGCTTCTGCTGCTCGAAGTATATGTGTGTACCAGTTCTTTGAAGCGTATTCCAAGAATGGATATTGTAATCGCACTTCACTTTTCTTTGCCTTTTCTTCCTTCCAGGAAGTATGAGCCATGTGTTTCCTTTCCCATAGGATTTCAAGACACCCCGATTGGAGATAGTCCAAACAGGCTACCGCAAGGCGGTGATTGGTCGGGCCAAGTTGAAGGACAGGGTACTCAGAATCATTCGAAAACTTCGAGCGGGTGAACCCCTTTAGAAACTCGGTGAATGAGTGATGAATGACTGACACGGTCTCATCAGGAAGAATCTCAACTAGTGGGTCGCAAGCGGCCCTTACCAATTCCTTGGTTTCTTTCAGGTTGCGTGGCTGATCTGGGGTGCGTATAGTGGTCATCATTTCTGCAATATCAAGGAGACGCAGTGGCCGTGTCGCATGAGTCACAAACTGCAGGGTAAGCAGCTGAATCTCGGCTGGAATATCTGAACGCTTTGCATTCTCGCGTAATAGATCATTATATGTGGTGTTAAGGTCCATCGGTAAGGTCTTGAGCACCTCATGCGTATCAGCGCCAGGTTCTAAGAAGGCGTCCATTGCTAGTTTTGCAAACAGAAATAAACCATTGGCCCGACCGGGAACCGCTTCTTCTATCATACTCCAATATTCGTCAGAGATAGACGAGTTTCGAAGTTTGTACTGGACGTAGGAGGCAATGTCGAGGTCCACTAGTCGCTCTTCTAAGCGAACCTGCGGAATTGAGAACCCTCGTAGTGAGGCCTCCAAGGAAGGTATTGGCCGTGAAGTCATCAACACCTTCAAATTCGATGGACGCCACTGGCCTAGCTCTACCAGAGCGTGTAGGAACTTCTCGTTCCCTCGGTCCATCTCATCTAAGGCATCGATGATGCAGTAGGCCCTAGGGATAGACCCCAGCGCCAGCCTAAGGTCTTTCCAAAGATCACTTAGAGAGAGGCTCTCAAGAGACTTCCTTGCATCGAGGTATTTCTCGAGTTTGGCCTGTAGTAAAGGACTATAGTGCAACACTTGGCATATCCAGTCTCGCAAAGCAGCGATTGGCTTATGGTTTGCATCGATGATTTGTCGAAAGAAGAAATAAATGACCGGCACATCCTCTTTGCATAGCTGATCAATGATTGAAGCAGCCATAACGGACTTGCCGGAACCTGGAATGCCTTTGATCCATAATAATCCGTTGTCACAAGCTGTTGAGTGCCACTGCTGATAGACTTTTGTTGACTTGAGCCAAGTACCGGTTCCCGCGAGATATGAGGCACGATGTCTGCAAAATTCACTTCGTTCGAAGTTGTATGGAGTGGGCTGTAACCACTTTTCAATATCACACAACTTGTTGGCTGGCAGTGGGAGTATGTTGTCTGGGTTATAGTCGCGGATGTCTTCGGGTCCAATGACTACCGTCTCACTTTCATCAGAGTTGGATTGTCTCATGGTCGACGTCTCCAGGAGACTTGCTTTCCGCGGGTCTCCGAACTGGTGGGTAGTCTGGTGGTTTTTTTTCCCCCAAACGGTTTCTGTCCTGGGCAGCTCACTGTCCTAAATCATTTGTGGGAAATTCGCAAGGAAAGCAAACATGACTCAAAGCCATGCGCTAAGATCTTAGCGCATCAATAGCGTGTCATTTGAGCCGCATATCCGACAAGTCCCCTTTCATCCGTTGGTGGGACCAACTCGAGCCTGACAGGGTAACTGGAGCGGAGCCGCAGTGGGGAAGCGCTAACTTCGTACATAACCTTGGAATAATTTAGCCAAAAAAAAAGAGAAGTGTATCGGGACAGTTTCGATTGCGAATCAACTTGAATCCCCAGCAAACATAGCTTGATTGTCAATTGTGCCATATGTATCGTGGCCTTCTATATAGTGTCACGTTCATTTTTGAACACCTGTATCATCAATCATAAAATCGTGGTCAGCACTTATGTACATTCAAGGCTAGTCAAAGTCCACCGGAGGTAGTCCTCTAACTTCCAAAGCGGTGTTTACACAGATATGTAATATCTCGATGGCTTCCATCCAAGTGACCAAGCCCTGCTCAGACCTCGGAGTTTGGTTATCCATTGGCCCGCGTCCAACATTATCCTCGCCAACGAGCCACATTAGCCAACGCACTACAGCAACAGCCTTTTCGATATCTTTCTCGTCGACAATTACACGACCCAAGTAGTCGCACAAGACCTTCACGTCCTCACTATAGGGACCATGGCTTGCAAAAGCAGAGTGCCATTCGCCGACAGCTCCGCGGAGGTCAGGCAACTGTGACAAACGTTGTGATGTGAAAACAGGCCGCTCTGGTAGAGGAGGCAATGGCAATCGCTTGTCCTCCGGTGCGGGTATGGAAGTAGACGTCTCCGGTTCGGTATCTGGACCTGAATCGACAGGGGCAGGTTCTGGGAGGGGTTGTTGAACCAAAGAGGAGCGCCGTTGCTCATTCAGGATCTCTTGCCTAATATCCTCAGGTAGTGCAGCTAGAAAATCTGCCGATATCCCATGGTGCTCTTCGACGGCGGGAGAAGGTTGGCGAGGGTCTGGCTCGACAAGAGAAACGGCCGTTGTTGGTCTTGAGACAAAGTTTGTCAATCTTTGGGATCTGTTGTCGATCTTTGAGAATTTTGAAGGACGGCCACGTCCTCTCTTTGACGGTATGAATGGTCTCTTCGTCCCAATGGAGCCAGAAGATGATGGACGGGAAACATTCTCCAAGGGGGGAGGAGATGGTGCTACGTCCACTGTAGGTGGAACCTGTATTGAAGGCAACTGGTTATAATAACCTAGGACCTCATCACGCAAGTCGTCTGGTAGAGCTGCCAACGTATCAGGATCGAGCTGAGATTGAGGAGGTAGCGCTGGCGCTGGAATAGGGGGCTTTGGAGCTGGTGTAGGAGACACGGGATTTACAAGAGGAGATTTGCTCTGTGCCACGAGTCTCAATCTGATATCGCTAGGAAGTTCAGACAGGACGGCGGGGTCAACCTGAGTAGGCATGATGAACTGAGATCCTGGAACGTCTGGAGTGGTGTGGACGGCGCGACTTGGGGTTTGAAATTCTATACTGGGTGCCTTGTTCTTCGACGGACTCGTCGATTCGGCACCAGTGACAGTCTTCTTACGCGATGGAGATTTCGCAAAGCTGAGCTGTCGTTGACTGCTATCGACATTCGCCGACGACCCAGCTTTGAGGGGCTCAAGCTTGGTCATCTGGACACCAAGCCCTCGCAAATCACCTGGGGAAAAATTGAAACTCCTCAACATTGAGATGGCCTCTTTGGCCACGATGTCAGTGGCATTGGTGGCGACGCCCAAAACGACGCTTTTGTTGAAAACATCACATTTCCCATGCCCGAGATGCTTCACTGGTTCCAGTGGTGCATCCATTGACCGTCGCATAACCTTGAGGGTGAGCTGCTTACCCTTGACTAGATTTTCCACTAGACGACGGTTGAGCTCGCCACAGAGGGATTTCACAAAGTCTTCTGCTTGGTCTTGACTGGTGAATCGAATGCCCCAATTGACTTCTGCGGAAACCGATTTCCTGATAACCTCGTTTCCGACTTCCGTTTTGTCGATCCCTCGAGCATATTCCCACATCCGAATTCCAGTCTTGGGTCCTAGGCCAGAGACCAGTCTTTCACGAGTGAGATTCCTGAGATCCTTGACTAACGTCGCTCCAAGGTCTTCTAATTTAGCACTCAAGCTGTGTCCAACACCCGGAAGATCTCGAACTGTCAGTTCCCCTATGAAATCCAATACAGCTTCGGGCTTCAGTTGAAATTGCCCCGCGGGTTTTGCCTTTCGCAGAGCAACTTTAGCCTGGAGAATATTACCACCAATGCCCACGGACACGGCACATCCAGTCTTCTCCTTAACTGAGTCACGCAGCTCTTGAGCAATTTCACCTGCTTTGTACTGTTCTCGATCAACGGACCCCTCCGAAACACCTCTCCCGTCTGAGCCCCCTGCCTCTAGACACAGCTGAGTAACGTCGATGAGAGCTTCATCAATGCTCACACTCTGGACAACGCCATTAATTGCAAGCACCGAGTTATAGAACTTCCGACTAGCCTCTTCGTAGGCAGGAAAATCATACGGTAAAACTTGAAGCTGCGGGCACACCTCCAGGGCACCTTTCATCCACATGCCATTTTTAACACCCTGCCCACGAGCAACATAGTTGCAGCTCGCGATTTCAGATCCGGAGCCGGAACCATGCGCAATAGCAACAGGCTTATTGCGGAGTTCCGGGTGTTTGAGAAGGGCCACAGCAGCGAAAAATGAATCAAAGTCGACATGGAGAATATACCTTCTTGCCCCAGGGACAGGCTTCTTTTTGGGAGCCTGGGACTGAAGCTTCTCTTTTGCTGCCGCTTGTAGCTGCGCCTTCAATTCTGCTTTCCAGGTTGACAGATGGTGAAGCCGAGACTCTCGATAGAATTGTTGCAAGAACTCCGGGTTCACAACACTTGACTTTGCCATTCGGGGATCGGAGAGAAGCTGTGCATTGTATTCTTCGGATGTCATTTGCGCGTTCGGTCGGACGGGTGGATTTTGAGGGGGGGCATCTGTTCACTGTTCCAGTGCGACTCGGGTGCGTGTTCATCATTATTGGCGGGTATGAAAATAGCTTTCGGCGTATCTGGAGTGGTAGGTGGTATCTCGTCTGACGGGTCATCGGGGATAGCTTGGAATTCCCCATCGGCCGAGGTGAAGCTGGGAAATTCACCGTAATCCGATTGCGAGGATGGGGTGACCGGATCCATTATGGTTTGAGCTTGCATTAATGACACATTTGGTGGGTATGGAGAATTCGATCTCCTATCAAATGGGTTCATATCGTCCTCCCTTGAGTTGCTTCTGGAGACTGCCGCGTCGTCGGACAGCAGCAAACACGCGCAACGGCCATGGCCCGGGGTAAAGATCCAAAGGTAACCGCCAGCTGCTTTCGAGGTCAAAGTAATCTTAGGATGTCAAAAAGCAGCTCAGTGGGCGTCTAGATCTTTGGCCGACAGCTGTTAGCGGGGAAAGTGGGCTGAGTAGTGATAAGGCCAGACGGCCGTAGATGCGGAGGTGCGGAATGTTACCGAATCGCGCTAATTCGTCAACTGGTCAAAGGCGGTGAAATTATCCAAGTATGCAACTGAATCGGCCACTGTTTGTCGAGATGAGTACTAATATCTACATTGACTCTACTGATTGATCAAAGGTTGACTTCTCAATTTTCTATTTAATGAATAATGGCAATTTATAATATTCAATCTTCATGGATATTCTCATAACAACCGTCTAAGGTATCGAAAGGGTCAAAAAAAAAAAAAAACACAGGAAAGAAAAGAACATCCAGCAAATCCAGTGCTGTTAGTTTATGCTGAAACTGTAGTTGGAATACCGTTACCATTGACTTTCTCCAAATGTTCGACTGCCGACGCCTTACTCGTTCCGTTTGTTGCCGCTTCCGTGGGATAGAAATCCACCTTGCCTCCTTCCTGGATCACTCCTGCCCGATCCAGGTAAAGACGAGCTCGAATGTAGGGGTCCGTCTTCCAGTGGTTGACCCGCAACCGCTCTGCCAGGAAGGTTCTTTGGCTGGCTGCGGTCTGGACCTTGGTCTTATCCTTGGCCTTGGCCGCTTCGTTCCATTCCGCAGTGGCAGTGAGGAACTCCTCGCCGATTTGCTGGCGTTCCCGTAGAAGGGCATCACGGGTGGTGGTGTCTTCCATTCGGGCGTTCTCGCCCTCCTTGGGCTCGATGTATTTGTACTCCCAATTCTCATCACCACCGACGCCCTTGGGCAGCTTGCTGCGGTCGATAAATTTGGTCAGGTCGGCGGCGGAGCTGGTGAACTGCACCTTGGCGGCAATATCAGGGTCCATCCAGCCTCGAATGAGCTTCCAGATACCTGTCACAAAGATGTTAGCTGACTGACTCATTCGAGACAATAAAGCGCAACGTACCAGAGAAAATCCAGGGGGCATTGTGAATAAGCATAATTCCTAGTGACTCCGGGTAGTTGGCCTCAAAACACTTCAAAATAAACTTCACTGGCGGGTATTCCATGTTGGAAAGACCGAAGCCTGTCATATCAAACAGAACACACTGTGATGCAAATTAGTAAGTGTCCAATGGTTCCCCGGTAGTATATCACCTACAGCATTTTCAACCCCACCATGCATGGTAAGTCGGACAGACTCAATGACATGGACAATATACCGCTCCAAGGTCTCTTCACTCTGAGCACCAGGCTTGTGCAAGCGAACTTGGATGACGACAATTGGGCGGCCCAACTTGTCAGTGCCATGCACATAACTCTTGCCCATGCGCATTTGATCAAGAAGATCCTTTCCTTCTTTCTTCTGACCGGCCTCAGAGCCCTTCTCCTGTTTCAACGCATAGAGCTCACCCTTTGCCATTACATCATCGTCCACGTGCATCTCCTTGACTCGCCAGACAATGGCCTCCATCATCATCGCGAATGCCTTGCAGACGTCCCACTTACGCGCACGAAGGAATCGCAGCATCAAGGCATCCGGGTGATCGTGCTTCAGAAGTTCTAGGACACCCTTCCGCAGCTCGGCGGGGCTGATCTCCGACAAGGACTTCTGGACCATCTTGGTCTCATTGGGTCCAATGCCGAATTCCTTGAGATAGGCCATGAACTTCTGCTGGTAGGGCCTTGTGAGGGTGGGGGCGGTCTTGTCGGAGGCGGTGCTTTGCGCGGTTGGGGTGCGGCTCAGCAGTGACATTCGTCGCGGAGGTGCGGATGGCGTGGGACTTGCTGGATGTTCCTCAACACATCCATTGGCGTCCTCGTCAGAGGGCAGCTCGGCCGCTTTCAGCAGAATGGCCCATATCTTCTGGAGCTTGACCTCCTGGTCTTCATTGATGTTCCCCAGGAAGCCAGGGCGAGGTCCTTCCGTGGCCATTATTCGTGTAGGTTGTGTGCGTGTGCACGGTGTGTTAGGAGGTCAATTGGATTCTGGTGATCAGGTGAGAATGAGATTTGGCGAATGGAGCATTCTCATGGGGTCGTCCTGGATAATATATACACAATTGCCACCCCTCTAATGGACCCCAATCCACATGAAACCCCTCCTTATTTTAGCGTCAGCCTCGGCCCTAAAATGACAGACAAAAAATGGTTGAGGTCCATGCGACACTCAAGTTTCGCCGTGGACGATCATATCCCGATCGCAGGCAAGGATCAGCTAGGCCCGCCCACTGGTTCCCCGGATTTCCCAGTCAAGTCGGTGGGATGGAACCTCGGCCATTTCGGGTGTAGGAGGATCCACTGGCACCAAAAAGGAAAAAAAGGAAGGAAATACATGTGGTGTGGGTGGCCACAATTTTGAGAGTGGTTCTTGAGGTCCTCAGAATCCACAATCACGACGCCACTTGAACTGCTCATAAGACTCCGCGTTGACCGCCCCATCCAGTAGAAACCCTCCGGTGCCATGACCCCTGGTTCTCACTATCGCATTAGCTCTCACATACTTCGCTTGTCATGTCTTGACGTTAAACTCGGTTCACCATCATTTTACTGTATTTGCAGATCAGAGACCAATAGTATGCAAAGCCGGGCCCCACCACATCCCCCTCGTTCCTGATGCAAAGAACCGGAGAGATATATCTCGTTTCGGTTAGTGCCAATGAATGCGGATCGTCGAAAGAAGAGTCGTCTTCCCCACACCCCAACTTCACAATGGTGGGCTGTGTCATTGCATCATAAATTACCCCGCGGTACCCCAAGCCAACCATCTAGACCTTCAATCAGCACTCGACGATACGCTGTAGAGCCGAAGATAACCATTTCCAGTGAAAATGCCGAGTTCATTCCAGTTTCATGTGTTATCATGCAAAGCGATCACATCACCTCAAGCATGAAAGTGGGGACACTATCAAATCTAAGGGAGACTAAATCTTCGGTCTATTGTTTACCCAAGTTCGATATCAAGGGACATGCAGAAAGTACCCACTTACTACTGGTAATTGAGCACTTGGTGTCCCTGGCGTTCCTCATTGCTTATCTCTGGGCTAGTCTTGAATTTCCTTTGCTACAAACTTTGACACTGGAAAAACGCTCACCTAATATCAATTTAGTAAATATAAATGGATTGTGAGAGGCTCACAGGGAAATAGAATACTCGCAAGATATCACGCACCTACTAGTACTGGCTCAACTTAATCTAAACATAGTTCACTAGGAAAAAAGACCTCGGGTCAATGCGTTAATGGGATCTCGTGGGGGGGAACCAATCAATGCTAACCCTTAACATCTTATCACTTCATAATCTCAGCCTTAGAGGGTCGACACACTCTCCTTAACCTCAGGCCACTGATAACAGTCACATTTCTTTGCACCTCAAGAAACTCCATCTCCACATGTTCTCGACTTAGATGGAGAATGTTCTCTATTCTGACATTTTCCGTTGCGGTTGACAACTTAATTCACTTCTGTATTATTGAGTGGCTTTGTCATGCTTAACGGATACCGCTGTACTATCCTTGTCTCGCTCCCAATTCAGAACCAGTCGGCTGACTAGATAGCTAAGCATGTCCAAAGTCTTCCACGCGTGCCATAGAAAATAATCAGTACCCTCGAGATTGAGAATCAACTCATTAAATTCCTCGATGATGAGTTCGCACTGACGGAAATTAACATCTGCAAACATTTCGATATGTAATCCCTTTGACATTTGCATGCTGGATTAGTCTCCTCATCAAAAGCTTGGCATCATAGAATATGTACTGTTGAGCTGCTTGAGCCTTTTCTCGCTTGCCGAGCACTTGAGGACCCTTGAGAATTTTACTGTAAAATAGCAGGCTGTCCGCCAATTCTTTTCGAGTCGCTTGAAAGGACTTTCTTTCGAGCTCTGATCCAGGCCGCATCATTATGAGGTATTTCGGAAGTATGACTTATTAGGAAGGTCAGAAGGCGAGGTATTGGCGATGAGTTGATAGAGACCAGGCTGAATCTTATGACCGAGAGAGAGTAATGAACCAGAGATGTACCTTGCAGTGTATGTGTAGGGAGGATCGATTATATTGATGGTCCCGAGTCAACGCAAGGATCCAAACCATTCTTTTATAGTACCAGAGCAGTCGATATCCATAACACTTGGTCTATCTGTAGAAGGAAAGAATCGAACACTGCTGTCATTCCGTTTACTTCTACAGCTCTCAAAAATTGGATGTACTGGATCAATCAATATTGACAAGTAAAAGAGAAGGCATGTTTCACATGGTTCATCATCCATCCCCCTTTGATAGTGAATATATCGCATCTACAGAGAAACGATATGACACCTCGGTCTGTTTCGGAAGACAAAGAAAAGAACCAAAAAGAAAGAAAATCTTGCAGAACAAAGAGAGTAGATGATATGATTTACGGTGGTAGCTCTACACTCCAACACCAACAATTCATATGTTCGCTCTGACGAACCTAGAACTGACACCTAGCCGATATCTCCATCGGAGCAAGGTCTTGGACAGCAAACTCGATGACAAAGGCCAGATCCGAGTAGTTTGAATAGCCGATCTTTGTATTAATAATGTTATCGACTCATCAATTGGTGCTAAAGGGGATCCGTTGTCTCTACGTTTTGTTATGGCTTGTTTTATCACAATGATGGGTTCCACTATGGTTTAATCCATATTAGTAGCCACTTGGTGAAGACGTACTCATGTATGGGAAAATAATAAAGTAGCACTATGCGCCCCTAACTCTAGTATCTAGTTTGCACGTTCTATAAAAGTAGCTACCACCAGTCTATAATGAGATGTCGGAAATGGTTTGCTGATGTTCAGGTTTGCTCGGAAATTTACAGAGTCTCTCCCAGACCGAACATTCTGATCGAGTTATTCCAGGCACTAATAGATAATGTTAGTAGGTAATTCAGATCAAAGCACTTGAGACAGACTTACGCTTCACAAACTTCCTCAACGGAAATGCCTTTGACCTCAGCAATAACGTGAGCGACACGAGCAATGGCAACAGGCTCGTTTCGGCCCTTAACCATCAAGCCCTTCTGCCATTTCTCCTTCTTGACAGCCTTTGGTAATTCCGGAGCGCCAGTCAAAAATTTAGCCGAGGCATGTGAAGGGCGGATTTCACACTGAAGGGATTGTTAGTCAATACGGACGAACAAACAGAGACCAAACTTACCCAAGGACCATCCGTCTCAATCTGGAGTCGTTCTAGTGGAACAGCCTTCACAACCTCCAGGTTCTCCTCAGTCTTCATACTACACCCATTAATCCCAATATCAAGACCCAAAGCAACCAGTCTCTGCATCTCCTCCATCGTTCCCGTAAAACTGTGCACAAGACCGCCTTTTGGCAAATGAGGAAGTTTCTCGCCAATCAACCTCTCGAAGTCCTCACTCGCAGCACGAGAATGGAGGAAGAGAGGCATGCCAATGTCGATCGCAAGGTCTAGTTGAGCCTCGAAGTATTTCAATTGGGGCTCCTTTGCACTGTGGAATAGTCTGTCGTAGTCAAGACCGATTTCACCAAATGCAACGGCGAAACCAGATTCCTTGGACTCGATTGCTAGCTTTCGGAGCTCTTCGAGCATCTTTGCGGGTCCTTCGGGGTGCTCGTCGAACATCTTGGCTTGACAAGGGTGCACACCGACTGTAGCGTAGCAAAATCCGGCTGCAAGGCGGATTATTAGCTCTGTGAATTGAGGGGTACATAGAGAAAGCAGTCTTACGGTAGTTACGGGCGATTTTCACAGCCTCTTCGGACTCAACGAGGTCTGAACCTGTGACCATGAACTTTTCACAGCCCACGTCCCGAGCACGTTGGATCACATCGTCCAAATCACATTCATGAGCTTGCTTTCCGTGATAAGTGCCACTGAACATAGGATCACTCAAGTTGATGCCGATCTGGAGAAAGGAGGTTAGCTTTCAAGGCTGCGGGTCTCCGTAGAAAGCAGGGAAACTCATACATCGACATAACGAGGAGGTTTAGTTCCGTCTGCCATGGTTTTTGATGTGCGACTGCTTGCGGAAGCAGAGAATTTTGAGCGAGAGTAACTTATACAGTTGCCAAGAAAAGGTTGGTTCCCTTGAAAAGATCCTGTAAAATTTGTTAGTGATAAATGAATAGAGGGTCTAGTCCAAAGTGGGGCCGTGAGGGGGAACACGGATGACTCGATTCAAGGTTCTGTTTTGGAACTTACTTAGCCTATTATGGAACTGAGACTGAGTCAGAGCAGGGCTTAAGGATACAATGCTTCTGCTTGCTGTTCCTGTCCCAATTGAGGCGCTGATATGGCGAAAGGCGTTTAGTGGAGTGCTTTCAAGGGGCCTGATATGCATTTAATGGTGATCCGTCTTATTTCCTTTAGTTTCAGCCAGTCAACGCGCTCCTGTGGTGAAAACGAGCTTTCGCTGAGAATATTGACACGGTTTGTGTTGGCTCATGAAACCACCAGCCACATATATGGCTGAGCTCGTGGCTACTGTGGCGGTGCATGATAATATAAGCAGGTGGGTCTTGCTTTATATGCACACGGAGAGAAGTCCGCGCGAGAGTCGGTAACTCACCGCGATCTCCTAAGGGTCCAGGACCATCCTAATAGCTAGTCAAAGAATCAGAAAATTGGAAACTGTCTATTATCAAACCTCATAAAGGCCATATCTAGAGCTTGAAACCAAAAGTCACGACACATCTTCATTATCTTACTTTGAGGGCATTGAGTGCTCAGTGTTTTTATTGCCAAACTAAAATCGTAAATCTTAAACGGCTCACTCGCCTTGGACTTTCCATAAACAGCAGTGTTGCAAGTCCGGGGTAAGTCCGGGCATGTTACCGGGGTGGAGAGTACTCGCTCACTGGCCCGGGGTATGACCGTGATAAGCGCGCTCCTCCGCCTTCTTGTCTGTCCTTGCTGAGTATTAAACCTTCTCTGGCTGGCCAGCTTCTTCCTCCACTTGTTCATTTTGGATAGTCTTGTGCAAAATTAACTCGGTCGCTGGTTTGGAATATCACACCCTTCGGCTTCTCACAATAATGGCGGACCAGAAATTAGTATCCGTCAAGGAGGTCTCGGGGCATCAATCACCCGAGGACTGCTGGATTGTGGTTGACAATCAAGTCTGGGATGTGACAGATTTCCTTGATGAGCATCCTGGAGGCTCTAACAGTATGTGATCCGACACTTATTGTCAATACATTGACTAATGAATTCCCCAGTTATCCTGAAGTATGCGGGCCGTGATGCTACGAAGGCCTATACGCAAGTACATTCGCCGAGTGTCTTGAGAACAGGCCTCGAACCAGACAAGCTGAAAGGCGCCCTTGATGAGTCCACAATTGACGAAGACTGGATTAAACCACCACCAGGCGAAAGTGCCAAGTTACTTCTGGACAATGAAAAGCCTCCATTGGAAACCCTGATTAACTCCCACGATTTCGAGGTCGTCGCCTCCAAAACTGCAAACAAAAAGACGTGGGCTTTTTACTCCAGTGCATCTACGGATTTAATCACGCGAGACGCGAATAAGTCGTGCTTTGATCGCATATGGTTTCGGCCTCGAGTACTCCGTAACGTGCGGTCAGTGGATACTAGAGCAAAGATTCTAGGGAGCGACTACAAACTTCCGCTCTTTGTTAGTCCAGCAGCAATGGCCAAGCTCATTCATCCAGAGGGAGAATGTGCGATTGCCCGGGCGTGCGAGAAGAAGGGTATCATTCAAGGCGTGAGTAGATTGTCTCTCAAATATTGCCTTTACCTTGCTAACAATCTAGTTAGATTTCCAATAACTCTTCGTTTACTATGAATGAGTTGCGAAGCACTGCCCCAGACGCCAGTTTCATTTTCCAGCTATATGTCAATCGGGATCGAGAAAAGTCCGCCGAGCTTCTCCGACAATGTTCTGCCAATCCCAATATCAAGGCAATCTTCGTGACTGTCGACGCTGCATGGCCTGGTAAGCGCGAAGCGGATGAACGAGTCAAAGCTGATGAAGGCATTTCTGTCCCAATGTCACCATCTAAAGCGCAGAATGACAAGAAAGGCGGTGGTCTGGGTCGTGTGATGGCTGGGTACATTGACCCTGGTCTCACATGGGAGGATCTGAAATGGGTCCGACAGCACACCCATAAACCAGTTTGTCTCAAAGGAGTGATGTCCGCTGATGACGCTCTTATGGCTATGAAGGCTGGCTTGGATGGAATTCTTCTCAGCAACCACGGCGGTCGTAATCTCGATACTAGTCCACCTTCTATCATTACTCTATTGGAGATGCAGAAGAGATGTCCCGAGGTCTTTGATGCTATGGAAGTGTATGTCGACAGCGGTATCCGTCGAGGAACAGACATTTTGAAAGCTATATGCTTGGGTGCAACTGCGGTGGGCATGGGTCGGAGTATGCTCTTTGCAATGAACTATGGACAAGAAGGTGTTGAGCATCTCATCGATAGTAAGTTACAATTTTCGCGCATCCAGTCCCCTCATTGGAGCTAACCGGAATTTAGTTATGCAAGATGAACTAGAGACTGCCATGCGCAACATTGGCATCACTTCATTGAATCAGGCATCCCCTGACTACGTTCACACAGGAGATGTTGATCACTTGGTCCCAGCTTCTCGTTCACATCCATATGCTCGAGCCATAGCTAAAGGTCGGAAGCGAAGCTCGAAGCTTTAATAGTGAAACCTTCGGTAAATTTCATAGAGCTACTGTATATATGTTGTGGTCAATCCCATTTCCAAGAGCTGACCATCATGTCTGTTGCTTGTGAATGGAATCTCTTCGATTATACCATATAAATTTAGAGATGGTTCAGGTCATCTGCACCGCCAAATTATCAAGTGTCTGTACATCATAACCTTAGAAGACCTCATTACTGCCTCCTGTCTCGACCCCATTCAAGCTCTCCCGCCCGCTCTCGTTTGCGCTCCCGTTCTCGGTCCCGCTGTAGGCCTCTCTTGCGACCACTGCCACTACCGGTAGCTAGATCCTTCTCCTTCTCACGAGGATCGATCACCATGAGCGAGTCCACGTCAGCTTGGTGGTCTTTCTTCCAGTTCAAATCTTTGCCCAGGGTATCCTTTCCAAAGCGGAGCTGGTGGTACATCCATCCCTCCTCTTCTTCCGCATTATCTGCTGTGGCAGCCTCCGGATCATCCCAGGATTTACACGACTGACAATTGACGATGAAGTGCAGGTCGCAGAGTTGCTCCTCTTCATCCTCATCCTGATCTTGCATCTTTGTGTCTTTTGTTTGTGAATCCTTATTTGATGTTTGGGCTGAAGCCGATGTGTCTGCACCTTCGAGCTTAGCTTTGAAAGCATTGAACATTTTGAGTGCTTCATTTTCTGCTGAGCTTCTAGAGCCTGCATTGGATGCAGCACCATTGGTAGAGCCTGGCGGGGGGCGTCTCCGTCCTCGAATCGCTGTTTCGGGGATCATTGCTTCAAGAGCTGATTTCTTGTGGCCCTTGTCGGCAGGTCCAGTGTCAATATTGCGGCGCATGGATGCCTTGAGGGATTCAATTTCGGCATTCGTCCGTGAGAGTTTGGATTCCTTTACAGGTGTAGGTGATCGTTCGGGTGATTCAGGGTCTTGTATGGGGAGTTGGGCCTGCGGCTCCGGTGTCTTCGGGCGTTGTTTGCGTTCTGCTGATGGCGATCGTTTCGGGGATGGAGAGCGTACTCGCTTTCGTGGCTGCTTAGACTCTGTATTTGGCTTTGGGGCAGACTGTGCATCGTTACTCGCGCCAGGCGCATCGGCGACTAGTTTTGTGTTGAACTTCGGCTTTGCTGGTCGCATAGGAATCTCCTCCTCGCCTTCGTCCCCTCCAAAGCTGAGCAAGACTTTTCCAGCCTTGGGATTTTTCTTCTTCTTCTTGGCTGCTGGCTTATCACCCGTCGATGTCGAAATGGTCTTCCGATCCTTCAACTTGCCTTCCATCGGTCCCAATTCTCCCACCTCGCAGGATGTCACTTTCACTGGGTATACAGGCTTTTCAGTGCCTTCGACACGCTCTGCTTCGGCGATCTTCAACACATTGAAAATACTGTCTCCCTCCAATCGCCCAAACATGGTACATTGCCCATTCAGCTCCCGCTCAGTGTTGTCAAGCGTGATGAAGAACTGACTACCGTAAGTCCCATCCTCGCTCTTAGCCATGCCAACCAATCCACGCCGGTTAAAGCGCAGGCGGCTGTGCAGCTCATCTCGGAGAACCACTCGCTCGTTCGGATCGCGTGCTTCGGGATCGTATTCGAACTCCGGATATTCGTAAATTGAAGTACCACCCGACCCTGTGCCTGTCGGGTCACCACCTTGGACAAGGAAGCCTGGAGAGACACGGTGGAAAATAGTCCCAGTATAGTAGTTATCCTTGCAGTGCTGGAGGAAGTTCTTGCAGGTGAGAGGGACCTGGTTTGCGAAAAGAGCGATGTGAATTGGGCCAACGGTAGTATTCAGTGTGGCCGATGCGGTCGGAGTGGGCTCGGTGGCATACTGAGTCGACATGTTGTCGGGAGAATGCGCGACCGAAAAAACGGCCCGGCAGAGGAGGAGGGGTGAGTTGATGGGAGATCGAAGCTCGTCGTCCAGTCCGTAAGGGCGCGCCGTGAAAAGTGGACGAACGTCATGCAACACGTGACAGCTCTTCTATACATAAACCCAAAACCCCCGAATCAATCGATCATTAGTTTCAACAAATTTCAGAGACATATAGAACTTAAATCATTTGACCCCTTTTTTGTCTAATTTCGGTTGGTCTGAACAAAGAATGTTTTTCCAATGGTTTCTTGGGACATATCGGTCCAAAAGTATCGCATTTCGCTGTAGCATGCGTTTCATAATAGCTTTGATGCATACATTTGCGATGGAGAGTTATTATAATAGCAGTCCATCATAAAGATCGCCTCCCGAAAATTGTCATATAGGTATGATATTCCAGGGCTTCGAATGGTTGAACAATATCAGCTACCTACTTTGAAAAGTCCCAGCAAAATCAATGTAGCAATACATATATTTCCATCCATCTTTAATCACTCTCGTCGTCCGAATATATTTGTCCACCCGAACGCCACTGTCCGAATCTATCACCCTCGCTTCCGGAATGGTCAAAATCGAATTCTTCATCATCTGATGCTGCGCGGGTCCGATATTTTCTATAGATGGCAGTAGGATCATCTTCCTCGTCAGATGAAGATAGCTCTTCTTCCGGGTACTCATTCGCAGGATTGTTTTCAGCTGTTCGATGGCAATATCAGTAATGTGATTTGAACTCATACAAAAGGGCAAAGACCTACCATTGGAGTCGGCATCCTCACTATCCCATTCTTCCTCGTCATCTTCAATGAAGTTCCCCCAGTACTGCTCATCTTCCTCGGTGATTACGATAATACCAACACCCGAGTTTGCTGCCTTGAGCTGCTGCTCGGACTCTAGTTCAGCTAGTGGGTTCGCGAGCCTGTCGCTTTCCTCTAGTGGACGTCGAATGTAGACATCATAAACGTAGTCATCGTCATCGTCGCCAACGGTTGGCACCGCGTCAGTTTTCGTCTCATCAATAGCCGGAGAAGACTGAGATGGCACAGCCCTAGGTTGCTTAGGAGGCCGCGGCTGGTATTTCAATGGCTGCGGTGGTTTGAACGGTACCCGCGGCTGAGGCGATGGCGGGGCAAAATTATCATTGAAGTTCCGAGGTTCCACATCCATATCTCGCTCGATGTCCAGTGCAACCTGCTCGAATTCTTTGGCTAGGCGCTCTGATTCTTCATCCCAAGTGCTCTGCTTCGCCCGTGCAGATTTCTCCAGTGTTTCCGAGAGATGATCTTTCGCAGCAGAAATGGCAGCCTGCCGCTCCTCTCGCCATTTCTTTTCGGCTTGGTTCACGACAGGCCGCTTTCTGGGTTTCACTGGTGGTGCGACTTCCTCTTCAGGGGTCTTGATCTTAATACCTTCTTGGCTTTCAGATGCTTGATGCACCAGATCTGCGATCACAGAGGCTTGGCGTGAATGCGGCTTGCGCTGAAGCTGCTCCACTAGAACTGCTATGCCGGGCGAAGGGCCATCCGCTCGGCGCTTCTGAATGCCAGCGCGTGAGCTCGGACGGGAACCTGGAGTCGAGGCGCTGGGTCTGGAGATTTGAAAGCGGCGCACGGATTGCGCAGGGCGCGGAGAGGGTGGCACAGAAACGGAGATGGGCTCTTGTCCAATTCGTCCCCTTTCAGAGGCGAGCACACTGCCTAGTGGTGATAGAGAAACAGATTGCGGGGTAGGAGGACCCTGGATAGCGCGTTTGCGCTTTTCTTCGGCTTCTTTCCGAGCTGCAGCAGCACGCTGGGCTTCACGGATCTCTGCACCTGGCGATGTAGCACGCACAGTGGGAATTCCATTTGAAGAACTGTTTCGTGCAGTCGCAGTGCGATGAGGAGGAATCTGAAGACTGCTCACTGACCGGGGACTACGTAGCAATCTCTGTGCAGCTGGGTGAGGGGGTGTCGAGGCGCCAGATTCAACAGGGCTCCCGCTGCTGTTTAGCGTGACCCGATGAAAGACATAGTCAGTAAAGCGGCGCTTTCCGGGGTGCAAGTCGGATTTAATGTCTATCTGATGTTAGTGGGGGTTGTTGTTATGGGAACCTAAATTTTGATATAGCGGGGAAAGTCATGTAAAAAAGGGTATGTAGATGGATGAAACTCGGAAGCAAGTTGCAACCCGAGAAATGACGGCAATGAAAGACTAAATGAATATGAATGCGCAATTGCAAGGCACATTCAGCATTGGTGTTGCTCTTGAACGTAAAATGTGGGGTAGAAAAGGCACAAAAAAAATAAAGGGAAGGGGGCAGAATCCTACATAGTGTTTCCACAGGTTCTTCTTCGCGTCGCCGCTTGATGTTGATCTGTTCTGGAGGAAGCGACATTTTCAAATATTGAAGAAAGGTGAAGATAGCTCGAGCCGGAAAGTTTCCAGGTTGGAGCGAAAGCGAGTGAGACCAGATCTGGATAAGCGTGCGACACGTGACCTAGGAGCTATAAAGCTTGGGACGCAATACGAAAGCTACCTTCTTATGAGAAGTACAGAGCTTGCAAGTATAAATTCAATGTATTTTAGAGTTGATTGAACTGCGAAGACTCATTCAATCATCAAAAAGGTTCTTCCGGAAGAACGCTACAATCCTACGAGCAGCTTCTTTCCCGACCAGCGGATCCAGTTGCTCCTCATCCATATTAGCTATCTCACTTATATTGTCCGTCTCTAAAATAAGACGATCAAGTGCTTGTGGTGTCACACCAGGTACAGCCCGTAGCATATCTTGTGGAAGAAGATTGAAGCTACGATGCTCAATCCCAGCCGCAGCCATGACACCGCCAGACTCAGCTCCAGAGATGTCTATGTCCAGGCCAATCTGAACAGCCCGAACCGGATCAGGCTCGGCGCTATTCTTTTTGAGCTCTGCAAAGATCTCGGCGGTCTGGTAGGGCGACGATGACCAAATAATTTTGAGGCGTGGGAATGCAAGCGTGAGAAGAACGAGTAAGTGCTGAGCACTTTTGGCGTTTGATGAGTTTATCATGGAACTCGAACTAGAGGTGGTGGCAGCCCCGGTAGTAGAGAATCCCGACTCAGTCCTGATGTTGCCAGTAGTGAATGCGTCAAAGGTAAAGGCCTTGTCTTGGTCGAACTCAATTAGCAGGAGCGGGGTTTTGTAGTGTTGAAGCATGGTTTCCGCTTGGTTGTACAGGCGACCGTTCTTTAGAGATTGTAAAAGATCTTGAACGGACTTTCGCTCAACGCAGATATCGGGAGTGAGGATATAATCGCCCACTGTGAGTTGAACGGGGACCACGATCATGTTGTTTCCATGTAAAAGAGACGGGAGCGCGCTTCGGAACTCCCGCACGTCGACTACCACCAGTGGTGGAGCTGCCGTTGCTGCAAGTCGTCCGCCTCCAGCAATACGAGTATTGACTGTGCGGAGAAACTGCTCTTGCGGATTTTCGGCACTTTTGTCATGAGTTAAAGTAACAGCCATATTCTAGAAAAAGATATTAGAACCCATTCCACTATAGTAAAGACTCCGTGACTTACTCCTTTCTCCCTGATCAACTTGGTGAATGAGTCTTTCTCCCGACGCACGGCACTCAGGTAACGCTGCTCTTCAACTGATCCACCATAGTACATGAAATATACCTTCACGTTTCGTCCAGCATGAGAGCTACGATAGACCTCAACTCTGCGAATGAATGCTGAGTCCGGCTCGTACATAATTATGTAACGCGGCCGAACTTCTTCTAGAATGTGCTCGTCCATATCACCATCATATGAATGGACCATGACGAGGTCGTTCATATCATAAAGCTCATAATAGTCTTCCATGTCCTCAAATTCATCGACATCGATTTCAATCTTTTGCGTTTCCTCGACTTCGGTGGGCTGTATCTCATTGAGAAGATTGATCACTTCAACAGGCTGCTCAACTTGAGTTTGAACACTGCTGTTTGGCACACGCGCAGCTGCAGAGTTGACTGCTCCTCCACCTCGCACTCGCCGGCGCTTGTTTGGCGGGGGTCTTCCTTGTTGCTGTCGTTGACCTGACGCTGCTCCTGTTGGAGTTCCGGGCTGACTCCCTTCCTGAGATAGATTTTTATTGACATTAGACAATGCTCTTTTCCAATTAAGGTAGCTTCGTAATCGGCGTCTCATGATAACATCTGCCGAAGAGCCTTCCTCGCTTATCTCGTCTCCGTCTCCATCTCCGTCTCCATGCTGGGGCTTTGTTACAGTCCCGATTTTGGTGCTCATGGTGCCGATGTACTCACGGAGCTGATAACATGTTTTGACTTCACTGCACATGATTAGTATGGTGCTATTTGATTCATCCACATTCGTCGGGTGCAGATAAGCATCATGTTCAATCTCCTGCAGAACCTCTGCAAGTACATCCCATTTTGGAAGAGGTTCAAGGACAGGTTGCAAGGCAGCTGAGAATGCGGCCGAAGACGATGCATCGAACTTCCCTTCATATGCTCTTGACTTGGCTGTCTGAAACAGAACATGCGCAGCATCAAGGAAAAGCCATGGCGAGTGATTGTGAGGATTGGATCCTGGAGGCGGCGCGCTACCAATTACAATCGTATCCAAGAATTTCACAAAAGACACCGAATCGTATGTAAGCAGAGCGCTGTGATTATCAGAATGAGTTAATAGAAAAACGATAATGTAAAGGAGACGTACTGGAGGATAGATTGAAGATCTGTCAGGTCGCTGACAATTTGCTTGGTCCGCTTGGACACCCTATGCCAGATGTGTTGCAGCTGCCGTCTAATCGTGGCTGCAAAGTTTTTGTGTAGAGCGCTGTCCAAGGTCCACTCTTCCATGTCCAGACCGGTGTTAGCCTTGCGAAGCTCCGCGACACTGAGGTCGACACATTCAAGCACTGCGTTCTGAATTTCTCGCATTTTAGAGCTCATCGGGACCTCCAACTCAATCACTTCGGCCTTGCGGTCTCCTTCCAGTGCCTCGGACACGGCGACATGGAATCTGGGCCACAAAGATGCCTTTCGAAGAAAGAGATTGCGCAGCATATTAGCCAGTGGTGCAAAGCCTGTGGTGAATGGTTCAGGAGACTCCGAGAAGGCTTTCAAAAAGCCGCGCTTATTCATTTGTCTGTAGATGCGCACGATGAATGCCTCCAAAGACGTCGCAACCACCTTATCGGCATGCAGGATAATCATGCCAGTTACCTTCTCAGCATCAAGCAACTTGGACAACAGATCGACAACCAATATCCTGGATGTCACACTCAGAATACCACCCTGGGCGTAAATTCGCTCTCTAATGGGAATTGCAATTAGCATAATGACAATCGACCCGAGAGATCATCAATACCCACCGCATAGATACACTTGCTTTATCGGTATTAATCACTTTCAGTCCTCTAGCCAGTGGAGACTTGCTGCGATCATTATGCTCTGACAACGCTGTTCATGGACTGTGTAAGTGACCACACTGCGTAAGCCCAGGGTAGATATCGTACCCTCTCCGATCCACTCATTCTCTCGGTCATCCGCACCGACCACCAACACCATGTTATTTCCGGCCGCATCGTGAAAGTGAAGGAAATTTGTGATTAGGTGTAAGAGCCCAAGGCCGCGAGCAAGCACGACCAGCTCATCCTCGGCGCGTAGTTCGGTGAAGATGTCCTGCTGGTATTGCTGGTTGGGAGTGCGTTAGCGATGTCAGTAGAGGTTTAAGTAGGATCGGTGGTTTACCAGAGGCAGTGACAGCTTCACCGGCGCATTGGTTCGTTCTGGAGGCATGAGGAGCCCGTCTTGACGCGTTAGTAGAGCACAAGATCCCGCGGATGAGTCGTCGCGCGGTCACGTGATACATTATGATGCATTGATGGGGCAAGTGTTGAAGCTAGCAGGACCGATACTATAGCTGCATTCCTATGTCATCAAGAGCTAAATTTTAGTAACATACAGATAACGTAGCGGATATGTGCATGTGGCCATCATGATATAAGTGGCGAGTCTAAACTATTTCGTATATTCAACTATTGTACAATGTTTAAATAACCACTAAACGAGTTCAATCTAGGAACTCCATCACCAGCTTTGGGATTTGAGTTACGCCCTCTCCTCGAATAGCACTGACAGGAACAGCTCGCAATTTTTGTTTCCAGCCGTCAGAGTGTCCAGATGGGTGCTCAACCGTACCCTTCTCCACCGCAGTCAAATACTCTTGGAGCGCTCGGTACTGTGGTTGTGTGTGCTCGAGATCAGCCTTAGTCGCCACGACAAACCAAGCCTTGGTGTGGAGGGGGGGCATGGGAAGATGAGGGAGACCTCGAGCTGGTCTGTGATAAGTCTCCTGAGGCGAGTCGTCTTCAAACTCTGGATAAGCAGCAGAAGATGTATCCCAGTCAATCACGCCCTGCGGTTCATCGGGAACGGACTCAGGCTCAGAGTCACGAATTCGTTCATACTCGCCGAGTTCATGCCATAGCTTCTGCAGCTCTTGTACGGGGTCACCGTTACTCAGATCCAACACAAAGGCCAGGATGCCCGCCCGATCGATGTGTCGAAGGAATCCGAGACCAAGACCCCGGTCGAGGTGTGCACCTTCAACCAGACCCGGAATATCTGCAATCGTAAAATGAGTACGGTGTTTCTTTCCCCGGGTCTCAACCAGTGGTCTGCCTCGATGGTCGTCAACGATAACAGTGCCGATGTGTGGGTTCAAGGTAGTAAACTCCCAGTTTCCAATCCGAGTGCGACTGTTCGTCAATGATCGCAGAAGAGTGCTTTTTCCAGCATTTGGTTTGCCGACCAGGCCAACATCTGCGAGCAACTTGAGTTCAAAGTCAAGCTCTAGCCTCGTTCCACCTTCGCCCCGGGATGCAAACTTCGGCCGTCCTCTAACACGACCAACAAAATGAGGGTTTCCCAGCCCACCGGCACCACCGGCTGCCAGCAACATAGGCTTGTCCATTGGCGCCGAAAGATCAAGGAAGATCGGGGCCTGCGGTTCCATTGCAGCAATGCCCTGTCGCCGCGGTTTTAATCGAGGGAAGTCTACCGTCAAGAAGTCGGCTGGGTTTGCGCCAGGATAAAGCACCCAGCGATCAAAGCGAATTGGAGTGATTTCATCATCTTCCTCCTCCTCCATCTCCTCAAGCTCCTCCCCTTCTTCCAATTCCTCTATCAGCTTTGCGCGCTGCTCGAGACGCTTCTCAAGACGCTGTGCACGGCGTTCTTGCTGCTCGGTCTGCTGATCCTCATAAATTTTTCGCCTCGTGGCCATCTCTTCTGCGACAGGATCATGACGATCGATCTCACGAACCACTGTCCCAACTGGTACCTGGATCAAGACATCGTCGCCACGTTTCCCACCTTTACTCTTGCCTTGTCCATTTTTTCCCTCGGCTAGCTCGGATGACGCCCCTTCGGGCGAGTTTGTGTAGACTGGTCAACCCCTCCACAGCTTGGATATAAATTCCTCCTCCACTGCCCCCGTCGCCTCCATTCGGAGGACCCTCTTCAATGTATTTTTCTCGTAGGAATGCAACACACCCGTGGCCGCCAGCACCGGCATGCATTGTGACAGAACATTTGTCCTGGAAGATAAAGCGGGAATAGTCCTCTGGCGATGGATCTAAATGCGACAAATCTTGTGTTTCATCTTCAGATGGAGTCTCGGCGAATCGGGGGGTGTGGTTCTCCGTGGTATAAAGCCTCCGGTGAGGAATGATTGCTCGAAGCGTTCGAGGGAGGAGGATTTGGGAGTAGATAAGTCTTCCAGCTAGAAGCGGCTGCTTCGAAAGGAGTAGGCAGGCACGTTGGTGCGGCATCATGTTGTGGCTGTATTAAGTCCAATGCCTGATTCAGGAAATGCAAGGCGTGCGCGACCAAATCAAATATTCAGCATTATTTAAGGACTGCAACCGATATATCTGGATTTCAATTCACGATTGAAGAGCAATGAAAGTTTGATGAAAATGATGCAACACAAGCTTCCAGAACCAAAAACCCAAGCTCTATCGATAAGCGTCACGTGGCGATAAACAAAATGCAAATCGATAGCCCAACTTTTCTCTACCTGCACACATACCTGGCTCTCATTTTGAATAAAACACTAATGTGTGGAATCTGTTGCCTAATTAATTGCTAACTAACAGCTTGTTTTGATGTCGATGTCTCTGAAGTACTCCCACCTATACTGACTACTACCTGAACGGCTTGGTCCCATGTTAGTTAACCCAAAATAATATATATCGGAACATCCCGCTCTGTATTTATCCGGTGCTTATTACATCTAGACCCATATGTTCAAAAATGCTTCTCATCCCAGTCATTCGAATCTCAATTGAAGAACCTTGGAATATAAAATGAACCCAATAGTAAATATCGGAAACCTCGGCTAATTACAAACGGAAGTCGCCGTTTCTCCGTGCGATAAGATAGACTCCAACTGCTCCAATGTTGGAGCAGCGGGGTATTGCGCCGGCCCCTCCCCTTTCCCCGATTAAGCAGGTGGCCAGAGACTCGTATTTCATGCAACCATAGCGCGGAGCTTGTACAACATAGTATAAAGGAAGCTCCTCCACCCATCAGTGACACACCTTACAAGACCTCCGATTTACTGTCTCCAATCTCAAAACCATCATGCCGCTCAACTCGAAGGCTGTTTATGCAAAGGAGAAGGCGGACTATGTCCCATTTGCTAGTCGACGAAGTACCGTGCACAGTAAACATGGCATTGTATCCTGCACGCAGCCGTTGGCAGCTGCAGCGGGGCATCGCATTCTGAGTCAAGGTGGAAACGCAGCAGTATGTTCTTGAGATTCGTCCCCATAATTCAAGATTGGAGACTAACTCGTCATTCGGACCAGGATGCTGCTGTTGCTGTTGGTGGGTTCAGCCTTGAGCAATTTTTAGGAGACCATATGCTAATCGTATGAACGGTACAGCTGCCGCAATCAATATGTCGGAGCCTGGCTCGACTGGTATTGGCGGCGATATGTTCTGTCTCTTTTATAAGGCTGAAATCAAGAAGGTCCATGCTCTGAACGGATCGGGTCGATACCCTGGCAAGGCTACATTGGAAAAGGTGCGCAAGGACTTGAACGTGGCCCCTGATGCACCGGGTAGCATTCCCTTCCTGAATGCTCTTGCAGCGACAGTTCCTGGTGCTGCGGCGGGTTGGGTGGATACAATTGAAAAGTTTGGAAGTGGAAAGTTGTCTTTGGAACAGATCCTGCAACCTGCTATTGAGATGGGTGAAGATGGATTTGTGGTTTCGGAGCTTTCGTCACATGGTGTCAGTGGTTCATTCCTTCTGTTACTATTGTTACCTGTAAGCTAACATACGTCTAGTGGCAAGAAGCTGAGAAGGATATCCGTGCAGCATCACCCAACTTCCGTGAAATGCTGAAGAAAGATCCAGCTGCTAAGGATGGAGTGCGTGCTCCTCTGCCTGGCGAGATTATGAAGAATCCCACATTGGCGAAAACCTTCCGTACCCTGGCAACTGAGGGCAAGAAAGGGTTCTACCATGGTAGAATCGCAGAGGAAATTGTGAAGGTGGCTCGGAGCCTGGGAAGTTATTTGGATCTTGAAGATCTAGCACAACATGCTGCGCAGGGTACCCAGGAAGTGGATGCCATCTCACTCAAGTTCACTGGCCAGGATATTGCATCCAAGCAGTCTCCAGGGACAGATGGTACTAACCAGGGTGTTGAGGTGTGGGAACACCCACCTAATGGCCAGGGTATCGTTGCGCTAATGGCTCTCGGTATCATGGAAGAGCTAGAGCGGGCTGGCAAGATCCCGAAGTTCAGCCAGGACCAACATAATTCCGCAGAATATCTCCATGCTCTGATTGAGAGTTTGAGAATTGCCTTTGCAGACGCGGGATGGTGGGTGACAGACCCTGATGTTGAGCGAGTACCATCGCAGGGCCTTCTCGCTCGCGATTACCTAGCTGAACGGGCGAAGCTCTTCTCACCAGACGGTGTTGCTGAGCTCTTGGACCACGGCAGCCCAGCACACAATCATTGTGACACGGTATACTTCGCTGTGACGGATCGCGAAGGCAACGGCATCTCGTTTATCAATAGTAATTATGCTGGATTCGGCACATCTATCATTCCCGCTGGCTGTGGCTTCACACTGCAAAATCGTGGCGCCAATTTCTCCTTGCAGGCTGGACACCCGAATGTTCTGGCCCCGAACAAGCGGCCCTACCATACTATTATTCCCGCCTTGATCACCAATGTGGAGGACGGATCACTGCACTCTGTGTATGGTGTGATGGGTGGCTTCATGCAGCCACAAGGCCATGTGCAAGTTCTACTTAACATGCTTGCATTCGGGTATCACCCTCAAGCGGCTCTTGATTCCCCGCGTATTTGCATCAAGGCGCCGACATCCGAAGATCGTGACCGTACGGTGTGTGTTGAGGAGGGTATCAGTGAGGAGGCCATTGAGGGTCTGCGCCATCTGGGTCACAAGATTGAGGTGCTCAAGGGTTGGGAACGGTCGATGTTTGGTCGTGGGCAGATCATTCGTCTACACTATGATGATGATCAAATGGTTTATAGTGCAGGCAGTGACCCACGTGGCGATGGAATGGCCTTTCCGCTACTCTGATGTGCTGAGAACTACTATCTTGCCTGGCCTATCCACTGCAGATATGCCAGGTCTCGAAGTTTACTAATAGATGCAAGATACGACTAGATAAGCAAGTTTCCCAAATCACTTTTATGTCCTGGGGTTCTTATTGACGCCCAGATAGATATCATATGTCCAATAGCATGGTAATTTTGAGCCACGTCGAGTGAAATTGCCGGTAGATCTACTAAAATGTAGAAAGTAACATCCAAAGGAATCCGGAGTTATCGGGTTGACATTCAACCAGACTTGCTCGCGGTCCAAGACGAAGACAATTTTTGACATATGTAACCAAAATAAAATCCAAAACGCCCCCACAAGTGCCGAGATCGAGAACGCTTCAACAGGGATATTGACACGTGACTGACTGAGAAACTGACGCCAATTCAGAGACAGGAAAAATGATGATGATAGGTGCAAGTAGTGATCAACTCTTTAAAATATTTTCATCGCAATGAGAGAACGCAATCAGTTCAATTCGTTGTCCTGCATGCGCAGGATGAAGTTGACCACGACAGCGGCCAAGAGAGCGATAGCCAAAATGGTGGGACCAAAGCGGTCATCGAAACCGCTTTGTCCACGGCGACGGATACTTTGAGCGCGCCAGTGAAATGTGACGACTGCATAAATCATGGCGGCCATTGCAATGATAGTGAAGAGGGCTGCGGAGATGCGGCCGATGCGATCACCGAAGTTCAGCAAACCGACGGCCAGACCGCCCAGAATAACGGTGAAGTTCAGCCATGAGAGGAATGTGCGCTCGTTGGCGAAGAAAACCTTGGGCTCAACACGAGTAGGGAGGGCGATCCGCTTGCCTGGATACTGTTAGTTGGCTATGTTGCATTTGCGAGGTTTGCAGAGAGCTGGCGAATTGACACCTCAGGGATGCCAACGGAGCTTGGAGCTTGATATTTCCAAGCGAGCCAATTCACCTGTCGGCATCCCAAGGGAAAAGCTGCAGCGGAAAGAAGTAGTGTTACTCACCCGGGGCGGTTTGGAGAAGAGGTTGGCTAGACATGACTCGAAGAATGCAGTGGCGAGATTGTGAGGTCGTACAGGGCGGAAAGGGTGGAATTCCAGCAGCAGCAAGCTGAATGAGATTCGTTTACTTCTCTGAAGCTTGAAGAGAGAATGTGTGTTTAGAAGAAATTCGACGAGAGAAGAATGAAGGGAGAATCAGAGCTGTTAAAAGACGAGTAGCAGTGAACCAATCCCCGCTGCATGACGAGAGAAGTCGCGACCGACAGAGCCCGCCTTACCGGTTTGGGCCTAGTGGCAGTGTAGCTCCGCCGCTGCGTCTGCACGTGCGTCCAGTGCTGATATCGCTTGGCTCGTCAAATCCCAGTCATCTTTAGCACGAAAAAATCATTTGGTGTGAAACCAGTGCCTTTCCTACGATCGATACTAAATATCCATGGATCTATCCATCTAAACCCTGGAACTTCAGAAGAAAAAATCATCTTCCCCTATCCAGGAACACCAATACCCTCCAGAATTCCCAATTGTTCTATCACGATTGATCTTATCGGTTGAACATCCACCGAGAAACGGCAATCGCCCACGTATTACCGTATACCGTATTGGGGACACAATGGGCCATGGGACCTAGAACCCACCTGTGTACGGAGGTATCCGCTACCCATTTAGACTCAAACAGAATTCATCCAATAGCATACAACCCGGCTAAATTGCGGGCTCTTACGAGTCACCGAATTATGCAGTGCGCCCTGCAGCAGAATTTTCCGGCACTTAGCGGCGTGGCGATCATCCGATCGCTTCTCGAATTCTATACAATGCATTTCCCCCTTCAGTTTGTTTGGAAGACAACCTGAGAATAGAAGCACCGCTGATCCCAGCATTGGAGATAAAACCCTTACGGTTGGGAACCCACGGCGGGATCTGGGTCCTCTGTCAACCACCCCGCTCGGGTTGTCGCGCCTGGTTGACCCGCCATATCTCGCGGAAATTGTCGGCCCCGTGTTTTCGGAGTGGGCATCTTTTCCGGGATTGGTTAAACATAGGCGAGTCCCGTCTTGCATGACTCGGCATCGTCGTCAAATTAATCGAGGAGTTCGGAACGACGGAACATGCAGTCCAGCAGCTTTAAAATTTGCCCTATCATTTTGGGCAACTGAGCACGTGCGCTTTATATAGCTTCGATTTTTTTTTTTCTTCGATGGGTCTAGTGCATTGGAGCTGCAGATGCGAGGCGTTGACCAGTCCATAATAGGCAGGAGTGTGCGTCTATGTTCATGGGCTCTGCCGGATGGGGTTGTCCATCTTAGCCACCTGAACATCCCTTACCGCTCAATAGGGCCTTTTTAACATCTAGATGCTCTCCCTCTGTTTATACTGGTGGCAAGGCTGTCCTCGAGCCGAGACATCACTAAGATTAATAGTCCACCCCCACGTAGCCTACCCTTCAAAGTTCTCTCTTCATTCCGTTCGCTTATCCGCGGCCCCCACGGTCTCCGTGAAGAAATTCAACCGACCATGAATCTCAAGATTTTGAGGCCAGAGTAGGTGCTTCGAGTGACGGAAGCACATAATTCAGTTCTGAGATCTCATGGCAGGTCACACATATAATTCCTTAGCACGTCCCTGTTTCCCAAGGGAGATCTCTGGAGTTAAGGCTTCGCCTTCCCGACCCGGACGTTAATGGCAACAACAACAAGCAAGTCACCCACTTTGCAGAGTGAGAATAGCTGGAACAATTCTAGGGTGGGAATGACTAGGACGACAATCAGGTAAAATTCCAACAAGCTAAAAGCGGAAAAAGAGAACTTCAAGAACCCTGAGTTGCTTAGCATCTGAAATACGAACGACAACCATGGAACCTTGAACGGAACCACCGCCAAAGGCGCTGCCAGGGACACGTGCGGAGTCCATCAAGTTTGAACCTCTTAAGACAGAGGATCTCAATTTCGCCTTTCCAATTGAGTTTCCTACAAAATTTCCGACCGTAATTCCTGGGGACCTTGGGGGAATTTTGTCGCCGAGAACAGGTCGCCGAGAACAGGAAGCTTAATTACCCTGAAAATTGCCTTCAACAAACGCTTAACTAGTGGGTCTTATGTCACAAACCTTAAAGTATATAAAGTGTTTACTCTAGAAGCAATAGTCCAGTACAGACTGCTGATGCAGAGGCACCCGGCGTCAACTTTGATGCTTGTCAAAAGGAGGATGCCCGAACAAGAAGCGTATTTGGCAAATATAGGCGTCTCATTTCACCAGCCCATGACCAGGAATCCTGTCCATGTGAATTACCATATACAGTAGACAGACATTGACGGAACTTGCACTTAGACGACTCCAAACGCTTATCGAACTGATCCATAAATTAGGCGTGAACATTGTGGCCTCAGATACGTTGATTTTGTCGAGTGAAATCTGCTATGCTTATTCCTCAATGGGTAAACAGTGCGAGTATCCAATCAGAGCTCGTTGGCCATAAATCAGACCAATGACTGCACTCAATATCAGGTGAATATGGTGGGACCTGAAAAAAAGCAAAACTTCATCAAGAACCTCTGTCTGACCGCGATCCTGAGAACATGAGGAACAATAGGCCATGAAAGTAATATCTAGGCGCATGGCCCCCATTCAGCCCCCGCTAGTAGACTCTCACAATCAACAATCAGCAATCACCATGGGCGTTACCATCAACCCTAGAGACTCCATGAAGTCAACTTGGCGCCAAGAAAAAAGCCAGTGGTCCTTCCCACACAAGTTGCTCGAACGAGTCAACCTCTACCATGTGGACCTTGACCGGGAGGTTCCTGTCCATGCGAAGACGGATAAGCTGCCATACCTACCAGATTGGCAGATGCACCGCTGGATCCTATACTACGCTTGCCTCCCCCTTATCGTCCACCAGCTGTTTGTATCCCTCACAGGATGCCAATTCTACCCAGTCGTCGCTTTCGTCTACTACTATCAAGCAGCACGCCTCTTCACATGGAGTGAAGTGCGCTCCCTCCGCGAACTCGGTCATAAACATGGATTCTTGGATGGAGATAAACATGAACGGGATGGAGTCCCCGACGCAGGAGTAGGGAAAGCACTTCTATCAGTCGTTCTCGCGGGGCTTTTACGGCCGTTGTTCTCCGTCTACCTGACCTATAACAAGACCCAAGCTCCCATATCTCTGAACTGGACATGGGTACTTATCGAGGTCAGCCTTTATAGTGTCGTTGTGGACTTCTGGTTCTACTGGTACCACCGACTGATGCATGACGTGGACGATCTTTGGAAGTACCACCGTACACACCACCTTTCCAAGCACCCTAATCCGTTACTTACAATCTACGCGGACTCAGTACAAGAGTTTTTTGATATCGTCGGTATTCCGGTAATGGCCTTTTATACGATGAAATTCATGGGGTTGCCAATGGGATTTTACGAGTGGCATATCTCTCAACTCTATGTCTTATTTGCAGAGATTGCCGGACACAGCGGTCTTCGTCTACATGCATGTGCACCGAACCCTATGTCTTGGTTGATGAGAATATTTGAAATGGAATTGGTTATTGAGGACCATGACCTTCATCACCGCAAGGGGTGGAGGAAGAGTCATAACTACGGCAAGCAGACTCGTGTTTGGGACCGAATTTTTGGAACCTGTGGAGATCGGATAGAGAGTGTGGATTCCAATGTTGACTATGAGAATCGAGCGGTCATGCCTATCTTTTAGCGGGTATGATTGTCTTGGGGTGTTATTGTTTTTCGGCTTCCGGGTAATTATGAAGATACACTGAACATGAAAAGCAGATGGCATAGAAGATTCACGATTCATAATACCTTGACATTTTTTCGACTCGCTCAAAGTTCCATACATATGCCCGAATTGCTAATTCACAAAAGTTGCCCATCAATTCCAGGTTATTCTTGAATGTTTAGACGAAGTGTCTAGAAGGTAAAAAGAAGCATCTCTTCACGCCACTAATCTAGGTTCTTAGATGTGTCTCAGCGTCTACTGTAGGTTCAAAAGTGGATACATTATTTGCGGACACAAACCAATAGTCTGGCTTCAAACTCACACGAACCGTTCGGTGGGGTCGAATGACCCAATTTCGCGTGTTCGTGGAGATCTGTTGTCGGTGGGGCAAAACATCATGAACACAAGTTCAGTATCAACACCTATCGATATCTCATGCATTTCGCGGCGAATTTGCGTGTAACTCCTAATATGACGGACAGGAATGCGATTATCCGGTAGTCTTTCTCCACTGTTTTGATCATCTCTCTCCTTGCGGGGGTTCTCTCGAACCGGTGCTATGACCTTCACCGTGCCGATCCATCGGCACACGATCCACTGAAAGGCAATATGACGGATTGGATTGGACCTCCTACAGATGCCGATCAAGAAGAAATAAACAATGTTTGCGCCAAGACAACACCTTCTACGTCATGGTTGTCCCTTTTTCAGCTAGACAGCTGATCGGTTCTCTACTTAACCCGCCCATTCCTGCTAGATCTACCCCAGGACCTTGAGCTCCTTTTCAATGCTCACTTGTTCCATTTTCAAGCATTAATGGCTACTGTAACAACAACCATAGCCCCTAATGGGGCAGCAAAGGCCGAGACAGTGAGGGAAGTCCCTGCTGGAACAGACGCCGCGGCTAATGCAGAGCTTGCGAAAGCATGGAAGGAGATGGAAAATCGGGTTCAAGAGCTTGCGAAGATGTCTCATGGCAAGGATTACGATCCTAATCTACAACCTAGCGATGTAATGGCAAATTTGGACGCCATCCAGAATCCTAGGAAGAAATCATATATCTCGCCAGGTGTCAAAGAAGCCTTCAACAATACCCTCACTGCTGTCTCCAAGGTTGGCGGTATGATCGCAGATGCTGCGTCCCAGGTAGGATTCCATCAGTACCAATATATGATGAGTATGCTAATCCATAAAAGGTCTTTGCCCCAGCCGGACAATGCTACAATGCTCTGAACTTCGTTATCAGCGCCTGGCAAGGCTATCAAGAAGTCTTCGGTGAACTTAGCTCACTATTCGGAAGATGCGGCGAGTTCCTGGATCGACTGCATCATTATGTCGCTGGGAAGATGAACGCGACATTGACCGAAGTCGCCTGCCAAGTGCTACAGCTTTTTGTTAGTGTCTGCGACCACGCAATGAAGATTCGGCATTCCGGTCGTTTCAAGTTCAAAACTTTTATGAAGATTGCGTTCTTCTCTCAAGATGACTTTAAAGGCTTGATCGGTGAAATGGACAGTCTCACAGATAAAGAACAATTGCTTGTGTTGGCCCAGACATACGAGAAGGCATCAAAGGCTGCCGAGTATTCGAAAAACACAATGGGCCTTTTGTCCGAGGATCGAATGGAAAGGTCAGAGCAGAAGAAGGCTCTGAATGATAGAAGTCAGATCTTGAAGACCTTGAATTTTGATAACACGCCAGACACATGGGATAGCAATGCACAAGCACCCATCGCAACCTGGGGAACGACGTACCAGAATATTCGCCAGAACAATGTGGAAGGAACGGGTCAATGGCTCCTCTCCGACAAATCTTTCCAAACTTGGATGAGCCCAATGACTGATACTCCCGTTCTTGCACTTGTCGGTCCTGAAGCCGCGGGAAAAAGTTATCTGGCTTCAACTGTCATCAACCATCTACGTACGCAGGTCACCGCACAAGTGGAAACCTCTAGACGTCTTGTGGGATTCTACTTCCTTGATGAAAGGAAGGCCAATGCGGGAATTGCTGTTCTTGGAAAGTCGATCATTTGGCAGTTCGCTGACGGCGACGCGTCGTATATGCAGTCGGCTGCTGGTACATGTCGGAAGGCTGGTACCATTGATCCTACTAGGTTGATGCCCCGATTGCTTCTTGAGAACCACGATGAGCTGGAAAATGTTGATGTGACCTTCTTTATTGTCATCAACAAGCTCGGTGACAAAAAGGGACATATTCACCCGGCTGTAGTTAAGTTCCTCCAACAGGCTACTCGTTGTAAGCGGCGCGCAGTTCGTGTGTTGTTCACCACCACACAGGACACTATCGACCGACTTGAGCGAGACCAATTTACATGCCCTGTTATTCAAATTCAAAAACGGAACGCAGATGATGCCATGAAATATATCGACGCTCGAATGGACAGGATTGATTCGCTATCTGACACAAGGCAAGATGGTATCGCAGAACTCCGATGCGATATTCAAGACAGGCTCTACAAAGCAACCAAGGGAAATTATTACATGATGGATAAGACTTTAACCAAAATTAGCTCCTTGGACTACGACAAAGACATCTACAATGCCCTTGATGGCGCAGGCAGAAGTCTCGAGGATCACATTGTTGATGATGTACGCAGGCTCAATGAGACCCTCTCAGCCAAAGAGATTGAAGAAATGAACAAAATTATCCTTTGGGTTAGCTTTGCACAGGAGCGAGTGACAGCTGATATAATGTCAGCAGTGCTGCGCTTTAAAAACGACGCAGTGTCCCTTACTCCTCTAGGCGAACGACTCAAGAAGAAGTTCCTCCTATTTGAGATTGATAACGATGGCTATGTCGCATTCCGATCAGAGAAGATTCTGGACGCCATTCCAGAGCGAGCCGCAGCAGCCAAAGAGCGCCAAAGGAAAAACCCAGCCGTTAACGAAGGCGAGGTTGAGATTCTTCGGCACTTCCTAAAATCCGTCTGCCCCCCGGGACTAGCGGAGAAACTCGAAATGGAGCAGCATTTCAGGGAAAAATTGAGCGCTCGGCAGCAACAAATCTATCGCGAGGACGAGAACCATGCTCACTTTCAGCTTGCCAAGGTTTGCCTTCATGCTCTGGCTAACAAGGCAGGCGAGAAACTGAGGCCGCTGCGCGGGTATGCCTCTCGTCAGCTTGTTTACCATATTTCCCAAGTGGACTTGGCAGAGATTGATCCTGAGCTAAAGGGTCAAATTGGACCTGACTTGGTCAATCTCTTCCGTGATCGAGACTCAATTGATAATCTTCTCTGGGCCACCAAGACTGTCCCAACCTTCCCATCCTGGCTCCTTGAAAAGAGCCAGATGGCTAAGATTTGCGATTGGCTGAGCAGAGAAAGAATCGTCGCCAATGTCAACGAAGAAGGGAAGAAGTGGCTTGCCAATTTGTTTGGGACTACGGAAAGTCACCGATTTAACACGATTATTTTGCCTTGTGCCCGTCGGATGGCAGAGTTGTGTCTCAAAGAGGAGTCACCTGCCCAGGTTGCGACGATGGCATTCTATTGCCTAGATGATTACTTTGTGAAGGTAAGTTTACCTCTCTCACCCTCTGGATCGCTTATACTAATGCTAGTTTACTCAGACGGGGGCGTTAAGCGAAGCTGATTTCAAGCATCGTGCATCCACACCCCGCCTTTCCGAAGTCGAGGGCCTGATAAGATCGGAGACCCTCGTCTCGAACCCGGACGCACTATGGGAAACCCAAATGGGTTATGTCTATGACGGCTTCTCCCAATTTTCAAAGGCTGAAGAAAGATGCCGCAATGCGCTGAAGGACGCTCCCAAAGGTGACAAAGCGCCCTGGCGACCCTTGCTACTTCTGGCCAAGGTTGTCCAGTCACACACAGAATCGATTGAGATTTTAAAGCAGCTTATGGAACGCTATGAGAATGACTCTGCCTGGATGGCCGCAAATGAGAAATCATATGCCGAAATGGCCTTTATTCTTGGAAATCGGTATTGGAGCACAGATAGGTCAGAAAAATCCGGCAAGAGATATTCTCAGTGTCTTCAGCACGACCCTACCAACACCAACTTCTTTAAGGCGATTCTTGCACGATACCATGACACGGAAAGATGGGAGGGTATTATTGGTTTCTTTGAACAGATGCACTCCCAGTCTCAACTTGCCCCAATGGCGCTTAGCCTGGCTGACGAGGAGAGACTCCATGTGATCGTTCTGCTTGTCGCAATCAACACAAAGAAGTACTACATCTTTGATCATATTTACCCCAAGGCAATTGCCATGGCTACGAAGAACAGAGATCACAATGCTGCATTCTATCTTCGTGAGTCCTACGCAGGTGCCCTCGCTGTACTTCCCGAGCTCCCACTGGAGAAGGTTACAGAATTGCTGGAAATAGCTGCAATGGAGGACATTCCAAATACGACCTTGAACCCCACAGTGGCCTTCTTCCTCATCGGATACAGATTAGGACGGATCTATCTCGACAAAGCGATTGAGGCCAAGAACGCCGGAAGAGCCGAGAAGGCAATCGAAACCCTGGGGATGATGCAAAAGGTCGTGCCCGAACAGGTCAATGAGGATCAAATGCGTCTTCCTCTCCGTCTGTTTGGCGCCAGGTACTTCAAGCAGCAAGACGATCTACCCACTGCCTACAAATTAGCACACAACACTCTGCAAATGGCCATTGAGCTGCTGTCTGATGAAGATGACAGCAATGACACCCTAGCCTACACCAAGATCTTGCATGCTGCTATTCCATTCGGTGACAAGAAGAATGCTCTCGCAGCTCTTTGGATGTTGAAGATTGGTGAAGGGGACCAATTCTCCTTCCGTTGTAGCTGCAAGTGCGGAGCTGCATGGATTTCGCCGGGTAATATGTGGTGGTGTATGGACTGTATCAACATGGTCTTGACTCCCGACTGCTACAAGAAGGTCAAAAGTGGTGAGTTCTTCAACAATATTTGCCACAAGAACCACAGTCATTTCTTCCTGCCTGATTTGGAGGAGTCGAGATTGAAGGACTTGCCTAAGGACCATGTGCCATGGGGAGATGAAGATATCCTGCTTGAGGATTGGAAGAAGGATATTATCAAGACGTATAATTTGGGTCAAAAGACTAGGTGATTCAAGCCAGCTCGTCTGATCTGGAGTCTGCATTGTACATAATGGCTTTGGAATATGAGAATTTATGTTAGTTTTTATTGAGATATTTGCTTACGTGCATAGAACTACAATACATTTAAGAATAGACTGCGTTTCCAGCGCAAATCGTGGAGTCGGTGAATCTCGGGCGTCCAATATAAGATGTGGCAGCAATTATAGCCTCGGAATTGGAGGAGTGTGGTGGCCCCTCCAGCCCCTTCAACATCCCCACACTCGCTCCGCAATCGCATCTTCCCGGATAAATTGTATCGCGCCAGGGATGAACCACACCCGTGGCCTCTGATCTTTACGGCTTTCGGTCTATCTCATTTCCAGTCACAAAAAATTCCTCACTCCATTCTTTGATCACAAACAATTGAAATACGCTCTTGTCACTGTATATAGGCCCACTGCCAATCGCCCACTTAAGTCCCGCCCCACGCGATGCCGCTCCCCTCGCTCCCTCTTTTCTTGGCAGCGCAACAGCATGCGCAGAATGATGCCGGCAAAGTCGCTGTGATTGATGCCACCAAAAAAGAGTCATTTACTTTCACACAACTTCTCGAGGATGCGGCGGCACTTCGCAAACAGATCCTAGAGTTGCTGGGGCTGACGGCCACGGGTGACTTGGAGGAACGGCGCATTGCATTCCTTGTACCGAATGGCTACGACTATGTTGTTACTCAATGGGCCACCTGGGCTGCGGGTGGAGTTGCTGTCCCTCTCTGTAAGTTACTGCGCGTTCCGCGCGCGATTGTTCAATTGCTAACAACTGCCAGGCACAAGCCACCCCGCCAAGGAGCTCCTATATACCATCGGCGACTCGGACCCTTCGTTGATCCTCATCCACCCTGCCTTCGAGAGATTGGCTCCAGCGTTACGTGAGGGATGCACCACGGATATCCCATTCCTTGGCCTTGATCCTTTCAGCCGCAATGACTCGCCCTCCTTGCCCACATTCGTTCCCGCATTCCCGCTTAATCGCCGCGCCCTTATGATCTATACCTCTGGAACAACAGGCAACCCCAAGGGAGGCGTGAGCACACACGAGATCATTGAGTTCCAAGCGAGCTGTCTCGTTAAGGCATGGAAGTATAGCCCATCCGATCACCTTATCCACGTGCTCCCGCTCCACCACATCCACGGCATTATCAATGGCTTGACGGCCTGTCTTCTGAGCGGCACCACTGTGGAAATGCATCCCAAGTTCGATCCGAAAGTTATCTGGGAGCGCTGGCAGGATCGTGGCTCATCGACTATGTTCATGGCTGTACCGACCATCTACTCTCGTCTGAATGATTACTTCGATGCGAACATCCGTGGAACAGACCGTGAAGAAGCGGCACGGGAGGGAGCAAAGGCTCTGCGTCTCGTTGTTAGCGGGTCGGCTGCCCTGCCCACTCCCGTCAAGACTAAATTTGCCGAAATCACCGGCCAGATACTGCTCGAGCGATTTGGTATGACTGAAATCGGTATGGCGATTAGCTGTGGATTGGAATTAGATAGGCGAGTTGATGGAAGTGTGGGGTGGCCGCTCCCCGGAGTTCAAGTCCGTTTGACTGAGAAAGAGACCGGACGCGTCATCGAAGAGATCGACCAAGATGGTATGATCGAGATTAAGGGCGGCAATGTCTTCCGTGAGTATTGGCGGAAGCCAGAGGCAACGGCTTCTGAGTTCACGGCCGATGGGTGGTTTAAGACCGGTGATGTGGCTAAGCGGGATTCTACTGGGGCATACTTCATTCAAGGTCGTGCATCTGTTGACCTGATCAAGTCTGGTGGATACAAGATCTCTGCGTTGGAAGTGGAGCGGAAGATGCTTGCGCTAGAGTCGATTCAAGAAGTGGCTGTTGTTGGACTCAAGAATGAGGAATGGGGTCAGCAGGTGGCTGCCGTTGTCAAATTTCGTGAAGGGGTAGGTTTTGACATCTTCCAAAAATTGTCTGTATTGGATATCGCTAATGTGATCTAGGCTACACCATTGGAGCTCCCAGAACTGCGCGCTATTCTGAAGACCGAGATGGCGCCTTACAAGGTGCCCACAGTCTTAAAGGTTGTTGATGGGATTGAGCGCAATGCCATGGGCAAGGTCAACAAGAAGACCCTCATTCAGAAATATTGGCCTGATAAGGCTTGAGAGGCAACTCATGAGTGAAATAAGTGTGCTTAGCGTATATACATAGAAGAATTAGATCTAGGGATACATATATTGACTGGAAGATCTCTACAGCTTTTTGTACGTGACGTCATGCTATCACCTACTACTGTAGTTAGTTAGATTGACATGTCACGTGTGGCTTACATAATTGCCAGCTTTCCGTTGAGTTTTCTTCCCGTGGAAGCGCACAGCTGTTTTTCCTTTCTTCAACATATTCACGGTCTCCATCATACCCTTGCGGACGGAACACCCATTTCATTCGCAAATTTTAGCATGAGACCCAGAGCAATTGAGGCTCGTTCTAATCCTGGCCCCTGCCGTGGATCGGTTTACCGTTCCCCCCGAGGAGTTCAGGTTCGCTTTTGAGCACACAACTCTGGTTTCAAAACTTGACTTGTTTGTCAAATTTTGAACTCCAACCTCCTCAATGAGGCTTCTGTATTCGTGGTACTTTATGGAAATTGATGTCGGGTTCATCGTAACCCCGGAGCGAACTGCACCAAGGCCATCACTGGCGCTCTCGAAGGCCTAGCCATGTCTCTGCAGAATATCATGTTGTTCTGCGCAGATACGTGGCTGCTTGCTTTGGAGAGTGATCGCATACCTCCCATCAACAATACTAACAAACAGGACGCGGACCGTATCGAATCCCAGATCGTCCCACACTCCCATTTCCCCCCTTCGGCACTTTCGAAGTCTCGTTCGTCTATTGCCCAATGATATTCGAGGTCAAATTTGTGCCAATAGTAAGCTCCTCCAGTTCGACAAAGATCTTTCTGGAGCTCCTTCGTGTTACGTCCGCTCCCTCTATGGGGCTGGATGTGTCTAAAGTAGGAGATACATACCTGTCAATATAGTCTCATATAGTGAAGCAATCCAGCTCAATGAACATCATCAAAGTTGAATTTACATTTGCAAATAGATTTTAAAAGTAGCAGGCCTCGCACACTTATGTCTGAAACAACCACCGAGGATCCTTGTCACCCAAGAACTCACCCTCTCCATCCCCAATATCCTCGCCAAACGGCTTCAACCCCTTAGCATCCATCTCCCGAACCTTTCCAGCATTCTCCCGCCGCAGCACCAACCACAAAATGCCAACAACAAAGATGTTAGCAACCAAATATCCTAGTGCAAAGCCATGTCCAAGGAAATATCGCGGACTGTCTTCAGTGCGGTACAACTGCGTCCCAATCACGGCACCGATATTCCCAACACTGATCTGTAGCGCATTGGCAATACACCGCTTCGTCTGCCCAGAAACATTGTTCGCAGGCCAAGACAGCACGATAGCGACCGATGGATAAATACCCGCAGCAGCAAAGATCGTACCCACATAGGACACGCCGGCTCTGTGGTCGGTTAGCAGCAGAATATAGCCGATGCAGGCGAGGGCCGATGTGCCCATGATAAAGGGCGCACGGACGCGAAGCTTCTCCGACGCGACGGCGACACTTAGCGTCATCACGAAGGCTACGGCATAGGGAGGGACGGAGAGGAGTTGTGCTTCAGCCGCTGAGTATCCAAGTTCCTTGATAATAGTGGGCTGGAATCCCGTGTCAGTGTCGGCAATCAATATATAATAGAGCATAGTGCACTCACCAGAAAAAGGGACAATGTGTATAATGGCAGCGACATGGTATGGAAGCCTAGACAGTATAGCCAGACCTTTGGATCCTTGAACGCATCCAGTACTGCAGACCAGGTGAAGCTCTCATCCCGCGTGGCATCATTATCATTCTTCAAACGGAATTGAATGAATTCTCGCTCCTCGGGTGATAAGAATTCCGCCGTCGATGGGTAGTTGTATACCCAGAAGTAAGCGATAACAGAAGCGATCACGGTGACCAGTCCTTCCTGGGAGTCGAGATCGTGTTAGTCCAAGAGACCGTATAGACGTGCAGTATGAACCCATTTACCAAAATAAATATCCATCGCCATCCACTATAACCCCCAACGCCATCCATGTGCGAGATTCCCTAGTCATAGCATTAGCGCCGCCTCTACCAGGATTGTACTTCGATCATACCCAAGCAAGGACACCACCAAAAGCACCTGCAAGACTCGCAGCGCTAAAAAACAGACTAACTCGATAATGCTGCTCATTTCGCTTATACCACATCGAGATATAGTAGACCACACCGGGAAACAGGCCACTTTCTGCGACACCTAGGAAGAATCGTGAGGCGAGGTACCCGGAGTAATTCTGGACCACGCCCAGTAAAGTTGCGACCACTCCCCATATCAGAGTTAGGGTTGGAAGCCAGGTTCTTGGTGTTGCCTTTTTAAGGATGATGTTGCATGGGATCTCAAATAGGACGTAGCCGACGAAGTATAAGGTAAGACCGGTGAGGTATTGGTCTCCAGCTGCGTAGACATTGATCGCGTTAAATTCAAGTTTCTCGGATTGCCAGTTGTTGAGACATACTCATTTTAATATCGGTAGTCATTCCTTCAAGTTTCGCATTTCCAACTACAAGACATAGTCAGCCTCTGTATGCAGCTTGGACGATGTTGGGTTTCAAACCATTGCTTCGATCTAGAAATGATAGCAAGTATAGTAGTGTCAAAGGTGGTAGCAGCCGATAATCTAACTTGCGAAGTAAAGACTTTTCGTTGATGCTGACAGCCTCCGCAACACTACTGGATGACGGCGAAGTAGTAACATGCTTCGCTTCAGGACTGGTAGCCGCGTCGACTTCCTTTTTTTCACTGATAGAAGCCATGAGGATAATCAGACCCAAAAATAGTAGGCAATTAGCACGAATGTAGAGAATGAGATTCTTTCATTGCTAATAAATTGCCCTCAAAATATCCCAGAGCACATCATCAACGGTGCGCTTCACGCGATGGGCAACACGAAAGGACTGTTCCAGGTGTTGCATCATATCAACTCCCGGCCGAGAAACTCAGTTTGAAAATAGCCAATGAGAGTCAGCTGAAAGGCTTTTGTGGCTCGCGATGATACAGAGCCAACGAGTGAAAACGAAGCGCGGCGATGAGCAATATTAGGGTTGTGATGACGAGCTCGGGTGGGGACCAGAGTTTGCGTCAGGGACCACAACTGCCATGTGGGGAAGGGATGTAATAGCCTTCTCGTTGGATAAACCCTGAAGATTTGTTCTTTATTTCCAAGTTGTTTATTATTTGCACTAATGGCTGTGCAAGATTAATTATCAGCCTTTGGAGAGAAACAGTGGAATGCTAAGGTGGTCTTGCAAACAATGTCAAATTTGGATCAAGTAATGCTATTGACAATCGGTTGACCAGATTTTCAAAGAAATCACAAGTCTTGAGAATCAGAGGCATGAGTATCGATTGAGCCACCTACACTATGGCCTTTTCCTGACCCGGTTTTGATTTCTGGAACATGAACGTCCAGTACATGATGCCATAAGGGTACAGCCGCCAGAGGTAGCTTACAATCACATGTGTCCCATCCACAAATTAGACTACTGACAATATGTTCCTTCATGATATGTGAGCGAAGAGAATTTCGGTCAGATAATATCTTCTGACAGTTGGCCCATCTGCATTGAAATGCGTGGCGAGATTCCACAACTGGTTTTTTTGTTTTTCGTGTCTTTTCGACAATTGCTGGATGGTGCAGGCTTCGTCTCAGAGACGTGGGATCTGGCGAGATCTTAGATGAAGAGACTGGCTTTGAGGGTTTGCAAGCTGGTCGGCCACTGGATGGTTTCGTGACCCGGTTTGTATGGGTTGGTGTCCGTGGCACTGGTGTTTGATCAGGCGCAAATTTGTGATTTGGCGAAGTGGAAATGACCAGTTGTGGCTCAGGGGTGTGAGAAAAGTAGGGGGAGCGTCGAGGTGGCGAGCTTATATTCAGGGTGTTTAGAACGGTCCGGCCACTTGGTGGCTTGGTGACTCGATTGGGGTGGCTTGATGTGCGCGTCACTGGCTGCTGAGCCGGACACGGGGTGGATGGGGAAGAAGACCCAGGGCTTGTAGATCGAATTGACTCGGTCTCAGAAGAATGAAGCGGTCTCGAGCTGGAGCGTCCTTCCATTGAAGTCTCCGAGCCATGAGGGCAAGCGTTGGTAGTCATATTCGAAATTGAGGGGTTGGGCATGATGGGCTCGGGGTCAATAATATCCCAGCGAAAGGTTTCCAGGTCCGAAGAGAAGTTCACTGCTGGAAAGTTCTTCTGCAGGACGACTAGGTGCTGATTCAATCCCCTTTCAGTTGGATGCTGGTTTGCTGCAATCAAAACGTCGCGAGCAATCGTTGTGGCGTCATACGACTCTTTGATAGCCGCATCGTCGGTGTTCAGAGGGCGAACAAGTTCATCCTTAAGCGTGAGGTAAGAACGAGAGGAAGTTGTCAATGCATAAACAGAAAGATCCAATCTTGAACTCTTTTTCCTTTGACTTGACTCCTCCGGGGCAGCTTGAGAAGGAGAACGATTGGGGATGCGAACGAGGGTTGTATCGGGAGTTTCCAGGCTCGGTAGGTCGGGTTCTGGATGCTTCCGCAGGGGGAAGATAGACGTGATTCTATCATGCCCTGCGAATGGCAATGAAGGTAGCGGGAGACGTCGGTAAGGGCTGGGGTGATCGGTCATAAGCCCCGCGCTTGGAAGTTTGACGTGGGCGTTTGGAACAGAGGGGCTGCCATAGAGCAAGAGCGGTTGCGGTGAACGAAGTACCCGTCTTGAAGCCATGATTGGGCCTCAGATTGGGTATGCTCCCAATCCAATTCTTGAAGATCAGACTGGCTAGGTGTGAGTTGGAATTAAAATTCAAGATCGAAGGTTGGAAGAATGTGGATTATGTCGTGGTGTGTCATAGACGAAGGTAAGAACCAGTGAATGATGTGGTTCGAAGTTCCATATTAAAAGTTGTGGAGAGGGTCAACAACCTTACAAAGTTGGGTGAGAACTTAGAGTAGACTATCAGGATTCTTCATATTCACTTCCTCAGATCGTAAGCCCCTCCAAATTTGGCGCATTCGTTACTGATCCTGGGATAGGGAATGCATTTCATAGGGCAGATCCACTAAAGCAAACTCAGACAATGTTCTTCTGTTTGCTGATACTTCCTTTTTGTATTATGCGTATATTTATGAGTCTTCCATTAAGCAATTTGGCTATATATGATTGGATGGTGTGATGTGCATACACGTTGGCTAAGAGCATATGCAACTGCCCGAGACCTGTGCATACCCGCAAGGTCTTAACAGCCGTTGTTCTTCGAAATTCTGTATCTGCCCACAAACAGACTGGCTGTATTTTATAAAGGCTTCTAAATCGGCTAGTGCCACACGCTCTGGCTTTCTTACTAATATCCTGAAGGGACCACTAAATGTGCAATTCCAACCCCACCCACCTTGACAAGTGATTTTGTAGACTAAAGGCCAGCCGAGTGAGAACCGGCAACCAGATATAACTATATTCCAGACCGCCAGGGATGGTCCGGCGAAAGAGCGGAGCGGGATGTACAGTGTATGGCGACGCGCAAGTGGCTGCAAGAGCCGAAGCACCTTGAGACTTTACTTCGCACAAGCCTAGCAATGATCCGTGAATAGAAGAAGGAAAGAAAGATGTGAAAACTGGAGTGCACGTGGCGGGGTACGGCAGATGCGTACGGATTGTTGGTTCGTCGGAATTTAGTTCCAAGGCCTCCCCTGTAGACGCCATTGACATACGCCACTTCTTGGAAACTTGATTTACGGAGAGTTGAAAGATGAAGTCATTTGTCAGATCGGACCGCTGCAAGGTAAGTGCTTCTGACCCCAAGTCGTTAATCAAATGCAAAAGTGTATCAATTCTTTTAAGCGGGAGACCATTGAATGGATATTTAAAAGCACAGCAGACCAAAACCACACCATGTGAACTACATGGTTTCTTCGAATCTCAATTTCCCTTGCTGTTAGTTAGCTTGCAATCCAAGTAACGAATGCAATCTTTTTGCTGTCTATTGTCTGTCAGCACGACTTTCATGGCGACTTCCATGGCGACTTTCACTGCGAGTATCATCATTACTACCCGACAAATATCGTTCCACAGGGTCCGGATCGCCAGAGCCACATTGAGAAATTCTGCGCCCAGCCTTCTTCCTATCCGAAGCCAAAGTCTGTGCGAAAGGACATTTCTCACGAATAGTTGGTCCATACCAGTAAAACACGTATATGGGAATAGTGAATATAATGGCCAGGCATCCGAGAAGGGTAGAAGGCCATTCAAGCTTATGGGTGGTACCCATGTTAGAATACACTAGTCGTGTTAGATCAATTCCGGGGGTACAAAGGCCATTGATGGTAGTGCTCACTTGGTGAAGAGTAAATGGCAGCTACTCCAGCGAGGAAATCGCGAGCGAATCCATTGCCTCCAGTTGCCGATGCGGCGTATGGGCCATATGAAGCAATCATGTAATCGACTGTAGCCATATAAATTGAGAACTGGCATCAATGTCAGATTAGAGCGCATTGTGTTGGATATCTGGTACTTACATTGGCTATGGCAATGAGACATGAGAAAATCATGGGTGCAATCCAATGGACATGCGGTGGACCCAGACTAGTCCATGCAAATCCGAAGAGTCCAATTGTCAAAAGAGGTGCGACTTTTGCTGTCAGTGGAACTGCTTGAGGTGTAAAATCCATCATTAAGAAAACGAACCCCATAATAACCAGTAAAGACGAGCCTCTGGTTGTAGACCATCGGGGTCTTTTCTGCGGACATTGTTGTGATGGAAGATCCATGGCAAGAAGGAAAAATACGCGATGAAGTAACCGATGAGAATCCTATATTCCATTTGTTAGCGCAGCAGAATCTCTGCGTCGTCCACCTAGCTCACTCACGGGATGAATGCCAAGCCAGTGTCAATGGTACTGAAATTCCATTGCTTGTATACCGGGGTGTAAGATTGCAAGAAGATGAAGATCAAGGCGTCACTGAAACCGCTGAAAAGCGCCAGACACAAGACAATCGGCTCACGAACAAACATGATGAAAGGACGGGCCCAGATCATGAGAATATATCGTAAGGTCAAACGACTCTTCTTCAGCTCGTCACCGCTGTAAACCATCTGGCCTTGCGCCCGTCTCTTCCTCGCCTCCCTCGTGATGAGAATGCTGCATCGTGTTTCGGGGACAAACATATGCATGATCTGCACAAATCCTCCCAGAATCAGCTGCAGCCAGAAGTTCCAATGCCAATCGAGGTATGTGGCGACAAAACCACCCACAATGGGCGCGAGGACAGAGCCTGTCACCGAGGATAACACAACATATGCGACGGCCCATTGCTGCTCCTCTGCTTCCCACATATCGGCCACCATACCCAGTGTCACTGAGCCACCTGCAGAGGAAACACCACCAAGCAGACGACAAACAACAATTGTTCCAAAGTTGGGCGCTAGTGCACAAGGTATCTGCCAAATATTGACCAGAAATAGACTCAGTTGCATGATAGGCCATCGGCCAAATTCCTCACTGAATGGGGCCCAGAACTCGCATCCGAAGGCATAGGCGATGAGGAAGTCCATCTGTCCAACACGAGCAGCTTGCTCCGATATCTTGAAGTGCTTGGAGTAGAGCTTGATGCTGCTGGCGTAGAAACTGGCATTCCAGTTCATGGATAATTGCACAGCAAAAACAACAGAGATAATACTCCATTTCTTGTACCATGGATATGAATATCCCAGTTTGTCGTAGCACTGCCACTCCTTCAGCTCCTCATCTTTCTCCGTATGGCCATCTGTATATCCGTCGGTTCCAGTCACTCCTCCCTCGTAGTGGCTCCGTTGGGGCGTTCCACCTGGGGAGCGGACCCGTCTGTCTTGCTGCTCCTGTTTTTCCGGATCCCCATCTGTGACTGTGGATGATGATGCGTTCGACATTCCTAAGGTACGCTAGAACGAGCGAAAGTTATTGCGTGGCATGCGAAGATATGACTCGTTGGCGGAGGTGTCATTCTCCCCAGAAGGTAGTCCGTACATAGTCCACAAGAGAAGGTAATCAACGCTTCTAAGTACCCTGGCCATGAATACTTCCATGTTTGAGATGTGGTAGTATGTTGGCTTTCCAGTGTGACCGTAGGAGTATGGGGAAACTTCCGATTGGCTCAAATGTGATATACCAGTGGCTCGAATAAGCTTTACCAGATTGTTTCGCGTGTGGAGCAAACATCCGGGGACAATGACCCGATACATCGTCACGGATCTACCCTCCGCAACTGGGGATTGATGCTTTACAGGACGCAACTGTGCCCCGGAGGTTTGCGGAAGTTCAACGAGTGTAATCCCACTCACCGGATCTGAGATCCCGACCTAGACTGTTCTGGAGGCGTCCCATGCACTTTTCCCCAGAAAAGCTAGTACCCCCGGGTTTCGGTATTTGGGAACCTATGGTAAACCGAGGGCTGATACCTATTGTCTACCCTGTGACTAATGAATAGTGTAGCATCGAAAAACCAACTCGAAGAGCCTAGACCTACCAAAAAGAATTAGAGGAACGTCGGATTTATGAGAGCATGGGCAGCCCGTAAAAAACAACGCCATGGGATTAAGGATTATTTGACTTCTCTACCAGCTAAAGGAGATAGCTTTAATCTCTGAGTTGAGATCAACTCGGCCATGATGTGGGAATATCTCTCAATACTACGGAGCTGTATGGGCTTTACCATAGCCACGATCATTGTCCGACTGGATCGGGATAAGTATTGACCCATGCCCCCTCTCAGACATTATGGGCGGGTGACATGAGATAGAGTTCGATAAGGTTATATGTAGAAGAATGAGGGGAAATTGTGATCCAACGCAGTCAAAACAAGGAAGAGTTTTCATCTGTGCTGAAGCCTAAGTAACTATGGAATGACTAGTCTCTATATGCTCACAGTAAATAAAACGCCTCAAATACCGGACCGACCGCCGTCGGATTCCAGTAAATGAGGATCCCATGTATTTTGAACTCCGCGTCTCTTTGTCTGATATATCCTTGTAGTCGCGGGCTCCTAGGTTCCAACAAACTTCGCCCTGTTTTCGTCGCAGACTACCCCGAGTTTTGGGGTTCCTAACATTCCTTGCCGAGCATGGCTCCCATTGTAATCTCCCAATTCAGCGTCACCGATGGCAAAGCCCTAGCCGCCAGCTGCATCCACCGCTTTCTGGGCCCATCCGAACTGGGTTCTGGCCTGGCGCCATTGGACCCTCGAGTACCATGTTTCACAAATAGCCTTGCACTTCCCGCGCAACCTGCTGCCCAAACGGGAGACCTGACGACATCAAAAAGCAGTGGATGCAGAGACGAATCGCATACTTGGCTACGCAAGATGGTGTATCCCATCGTCTTATGAGCTCTCCCCAGATGGCACGCCGATTACGCCATCCGCGCGTCTATATACGTGTACACCTTCCCAGGTTCCCCGGGTGTCAGCCACAATTTAATATTCCAGCGGTGAAGCCAATGGCATCATCTAGCAGTATGATTGATCAATCAAATAAAACAAACCAAACAGATTCAAGCTAAAACCGAAACGGCGTGGATCCGGCGGGTTGTCGATCTCTCCGGGGAAGTAAGTTCATTGGGGTCTGCAGCCGACAGCCGACGGCGTAACCCGGTGGGGAGATCACGCCATGCGCCCAATCTTAAAGCTATCGCCAGAGCTTGTTTCGGAGCCGGTTAGGAGCCGGGTCGAATTGAGATTTAATTTAAATATGTAATCCTAAGTTTAATTATTAAGGAAGGGGTCATTTGGAAGATCTTCCGGCGCTTGATCAAGCTTCCCCACATTCTACTTCCAGCGGCCTGGGCATAGATCTGAAGAGATTAGTGTGTGGGGTAAATCTTTAAATTCTAGAAATTAACGTCGCTTGATAAATTTCCTATTTGAATTTTGATCATTAATGATGTCGAGAGAAGTGTTGAAGAGACTTGAGATGGTCCTGAGAGACAACGGGATGAGCTAGAGGAAGGACCCGCTTAAGATATTGGTCTTACCGCTGCTGCCGTCCATACTAGACAAAAGGAATAGATCCATCACTGTCGACACCACTCTCCGTGATCAAGACGATCAATGCATCGTGAGATGAAGATGAGAAGAGTAAGCTACGACTCCTCAGCGCTCCTGTCATGAGAAATTCAAAGACTAGACGCACATTGAACATGCCAGTGTTGATTGAAGCGTTCTATTATGCCTATATCTGCTTGGATAACAAAAATGTAGTCTCACTGTACCCGTAGGCACCTGATTCTTACAGTAAGTTCTTGAAAAGGTGTTTGGCCGAGAAATCAGGTAGGTGGAATTTTATGTGAATAACCTAGCAATCATTGCGCTAAGCTTAGCACATGTAGTCAGCAACCTTGCAAACCTTGGAAGTCACACCTATAATATTTAATGTCTCAGGAAGTCTTTGTCCACGAGTTGTCTGTGTAGAATGTGACATATATATGGAATTCATTGCAGGCTAATACCAAACAGGTAGGTCGCGATTATGTAATCTTTATACAACCTATAATCAATGCGCCATCAATGCCAATAACTCCACCCAGGATATCTCAAACCGCTGTCAATCGTAAATCGGAACAATAAGGAGGGCTATTATATATATATGGGGCTCAAGCAGACTCGGTCCACTCAGTCCAGGCCAATTGGTCAGAATGGGCAAGGCATTTGATCATATCGGGAGGTGCCGTTTGCCACTGAACAATTTCAAATTCATGCAGTTTTTGACTGAGGGTGTTGACATGATCGCCAACATAGCCTCGAATTTGTTTCGTCTTAGTCGCTTCTTTGTCAGAATAAGCCACATTCACCGATGGCACGGCTAAGATCTTGCCAAGACCTTGGCTGTACAGATCCTTGGCCAATAGCATAGGTTCACCCATGTCGCAGTCCGCGTCTGTTTGCTCTGCAGCCCGAAATCGAATAGTGTCTTCCGCAAGTGCCACGGCGTTCAATATTACCATACCGCCCCAACATGAGTACACTTGCAAAGGCAGGAAACTGTTGTATCGTGGCTTATTTTGTCGGTCATCGAAGAACATATCGTCACTTCCGCTCAACGAGCCACCGGGTAGGATCTCGAAAAAGGTGTTCCCAGCTAGCGACCGTGATTCCCAAACATCACGGAAGACGGTCCCGTTGAAAACCCAATCAAAAGCACATGTCATCTGAGCCCCCTGATTGACATGTTGGAATACAAGTTCCAGTATATCCTCGGGACACATCGCGATATCGTCTAGGAAAACAACCACCGCCTTTGGTGAGTACTTGCCTGCTAGTGCATGCAAAGGTTCCACCTCTTCAGCTTTCAGCGGCTGCAGCGCCTTGTTGCGGAGATTTGCAAGGGGTTCCTGGCTCGTATCATCCCCATCCAGTATTTTATGGCCACTAGTCGCGAGGAAGTACCTTACACCCATTTTATCCAGGAACGGTTTCAAAGCGTTGAGAACCTCCCACGTGCCATCCTCAGATCCACCATCAACAATCGAAATCGCGCAGTGTTTGGCACCTAAATATTTCACGGTCTCGACAACACTGCTCATCAATCGCGGAAGAGCATCGAGAGCCTCGTACGGGTTTAGGGCAAAAAAGTACCGCACTTGGCTGTTATCCTCCGTATCCCGCAAGTTCTGATATCTATCCGCAATACCGGCAGGGCAAGAAACGCGCTGATATGGCCACTCATCTCGGAAGTTCAATATTGAATGAACGTGTCGATCGAGTCGTTCGTGTGATATGCGATTAGTCGATGTAGCTTGACTTGAGTCTGTCGGTTTCTGGTGTTTCGACCATTGGGGCCATGTGCTTTTATTATTCCACTCGGGACTGAATTCTTGTAAACTCCCGCTCGATCCCGTGGGGGCTGCGGTGAATGTTGAGGCAGATTCGTTCGAAATATTCTCTGACGCATCCTGTACCGGGTCCGAAATCTCGGTATCGAGTATTAAAGGTCCATGCGACGGGTCGGCGATTTGTTCATACTGCGGGATCACTGGCAGCTTGCCATTGAAGACGGAGATGCCAAGGTCATCGTTCCAGCGAGTATAATATGCAACTAGCCTGGTTCCCAGGAATACTAAGCCCAGTACTATCGCGACCCCGCCCAGCAGGGCCTGGTACAGCCTGTGCCTGATGACGATCATCGCACCTCGACGATCAAAGCAAGTGGTGGGGAGAAACAGCTTTTCTTTGTTCCATTCCAGTTTAGTCAAGGTCCAACATTGAGTTAGGCGAGAGTGAAATGGGAGTGAGACAGAAGAGAAATTCGAACACGCGCAAAGGTGACATTCAAATGCATCTCAGAATTTTGATTAGGATGACACGCCGAGATTGCCGCATTAAGCATACGCAAGCAGGATCGTCGATGATCCGAATTCGGTCGCATTCCCACTCCATGGCCGAAAACGGCAACTGACCGCGTGGCCGGCAATCAAAACAACACAAGGTGATGGGAAAGTCAGAAAGGAATATTCAACTCACTCAAGATAACGCCAAACTGTGCAGATATGAAGCTCAAGAACCGCGTTTCAGATTTTTCTATGGGAACCACATTGGGGTAAATTGGGCAGCGATCGCTCGATATTGGAAGATCGGCGGCTATTTAAGCTAAGACAAACTCATGTCTGGAGGAACCAAAAACCAAAGAGAGGGAAAAGTGAGAATGGCGCGAGATTGCAATCTTAAGAGTTCATCGAACAATCAGCGCTAGATCAATTATCCGGGGACACTATTGGACACTAAAACGCTTCATTCAATTGAAAGAGCGCATTTCCTTGATTAAGATCCTGGTTATCTTTCAATCAGCGCACGGACGACAATGGGAAAGTGGGAATTAAATCCGAGTTCCGGATGACTAAGAGGCACTGTGGCTGAAGTACAAGTGGGGGCTCAAAACGCATAAACATGGCTCCACTTCTCCATTGTATCAGCCGATGGCCGACTGGCGATTGATAGCTGCCGAGCACGAAATGCGGCACTGTCATGGCGCAGTGCATCATGTAATGCAGCAGGGATCAGCTGCCCCCGATTATAAGAATCTCGTGCAGCTACCCCTCCTTACTTTTTATTTTCAATAAGCCCGGAGTCTATTGTTTCTCGGCCTCCAGTCAACTTCTACTTCAATTGACATCTACATCAATTTACAATGACGACGAAACGCCCCAATTTTATGGTGATTGTCGCCGATGACCTGGGTTTCTCCGACGTGGGCTGCTTTGGTGGCGAGATTCGTACCCCTCACATTGACAAAATCGCAGAGGAGGGGTTGCGATTTACTGATTTCCATGCGGCGGCAGCATGCTCGTGAGTCTATGAAACCGATCATCACCAAATTTCTACTAATAAAGTCTCCTGAAAATAGTCCCACTCGCGCCATGATCATGACTGGCACCGATCACCACATCGCAGGCCTGGGTAACTTGATCGAATGGACCAACATTTCCGGACAGAATGGCCCCAAGGGATCTGCGATGAGTACGGCCCCGCAGCGTGGTATGCCAGGATATGAGGGGTACCTGAATGAACGCGTGGTCGCGCTTCCCGAGGTGCTGCGGGATGCGGGGTACCACACCATGTTATCTGGCAAGTGGCATCTGGGCCTGACACCCGAACGTTCTCCTCACAAGCGTGGTTTTGTTCGCTCATTCGCCCACCTTCCTGCCTGCTCCAACCACTATGCCTTCGAGCCCCAATTGCGCGATAATGACGATATTCCCACTTTCATCGAGGCCAGTTACATTGCATTGCACAGTGAGGATGGAGAGTATGTGCGCCAGCTTCCCGAGGGCTGGTACTCGTCAGACGGCTATGGAGACAAGATGATTGACTTTCTGCGCGAATGGAAAGAATCCGGTGGCAGTGCTGGACCGGATGGAAATGGAGATCGCCCCTTCTTTGGTTACCTGCCTTTCACAGCGCCCCATTGGCCACTTCAGGCACCGCGTGAGTACATCGACCACTACCGCGGAGTCTACGATGAGGGTCCCGATGCTCTGCGTCAAAAGCGCTTGCAGCGCCTGAAGGAGCTGGGTATGATTCGCGACGATGTAGAGGCGCACCCTGTCGTTGCCGACGAGATCAAAGACTGGGATGAATACACCGACGAAGAGAAGAAAAAATCCTGCGTATCAATGGAAGTCTTCGCTGGAATGGTGGAGTGTATCGATGCCAACGTGGGCAAGGTGGTTGAGTACCTGCGCTCAATTGATGAGCTAGACAATACATTCGTTTGCTTTATGTCCGACAATGGTGCGGAGGGCGCCGCCTACGAGGCCTACCCCATGGTGCAAAACGGCGTCATGCCCCACCTACAAAAGTATTACGACAACAGCCTTGAGAACCTGGGTGCTGGAAACTCGTTCATCTGGTACGGTCCGCGCTGGGCGCAGGCCTCCACAGCTCCCTCGCGTCTCTACAAGGCCTATACAACTGAGGGTGGAGTACGAGTCCCCTTCACTTGCCGCTTCCCCAAGAACATCAACCTCAACCCCGGCGATTCAACCGCCGCTAAGGGCGGTATCACCGATCAATTTTCCACAGTCATGGACCTGGCACCCTCAATCCTGGATATGGCCGGCGTCAAGCACCCTGCACCAACATACCAAGGGCGCGAAGTTGTCTCCATGCGTGGTCGTAGCTGGCATCCCTGGGCTACCGGCCAGGAAGAGCGCATCCACCCGAAAGATTTTATCCAAGGCTGGGAAACCTGTGGTCGAGCTGCACTCCGCTGTGCGGACTGGAAGATTGTCTTCATCCCCAAGCCCAAGGGACCCGAGAAATGGCAGCTGTACAACCTCGTTGAGGACCCTGGTGAGATCCATGATCTTGCGGACCAGGAGCCGGAGAAGATGAAGACTCTTCTTAAGCTTTGGGATCAGTATGTTCTTGAGACGGGTGTTATTCCTCTTTGCCCTGATCTAGGTGCCTTCTTGGAGGCAACTGAGGCTCAGATGCCGGAGAATGCGTGGATGGAGTTTGATTACTGGAAGACTGGTGCGAGAGATGAACCTGAGAAGTTTACTCGGGAACCTCCTCGCTTTCAGCGGAGTGTTCAGCAGTGGTAGAGGCCATGTACCCAGGTGGTAAATGTTAAATAAAATAAGTCATTTCAATGTTGTTATTATGTATCAATGAAAATAGAGTTAAAACATTCGTTCGATGACCTACAATAATTTCCAAGCAACATTCATAGTGAGCATGTTCATGGCAAACTCCTACCTGGGTGGGCTTTTGAGCTTTGTCATTCCTTGAGCAGCCCGGTTCCCGAGGTCCTAGGTTTATCATAGGTAGCTGAGTTTCCCAAAACTCCAACAGCCACACTAGCAATTGATGATGGGCTACGAACATCTTAATTGACTTCCAGATACAGATACTCAGATAGGTAGGTCTCTGAGCACCTCAGATGCACAAAGCCAGATCAATGGATCAAATCTATATCTTAGTATACAAGCTCAATATAGTACAATATAAGTCCCCATGAAGTTCTTAAACACCCCTCTTGATCGCCCAGAAATAATTTCCCCAATCCTCAGATCCAGGAACAATCTTCCACCCCAAGCCAGGCACATAAATAGTACCCACACACTTCCACTTCGATCCTTCCAATGCAGCAGCACCCGCACGAGTCACAGCCGTATCCGCAGCACGAATTAACGCCTCCTGCGACCAAGCATGTAACTCAGACGGATTCACGAACTTATTCCATTCATGCGTACCACGGGGCACAACACCAATCGGCCACGGCGCCTCAGCAATAACCTGATTCAAGATGAAAGAAGGAAGTGTCCGCGCAATAGTCGAACCCACCAACCAACCACCCGGCTTAACCGCACGCAGACAATTAGCCAAGAATGCTTCGGGGGTCGTAGTCTTGAAATCGATATGCTCGATAACCTCAAATAGGGAAACGACATCAAACTGCGGGTGTGTAACTGAAGATTCGGACGGGGATTCAACTTCCGACGCAAGGACATCTTCCAGGGTTGTATTCAGATAACGGAACTTCCCGCTGCGTAGATGTGAGTCGACAGTCGGATCCATCCGGGCATGGTTCTTCGCGATCGTGATCAGGGCCGTTGTGGGATCAATGGCTGTCATCGATGCGGCGCGGGTGGGTGTTGGTGCATCTGCGGCTGGGTCGAGGGGGATAGTACGCGCCAGTGACTCGGCGAAAATACCACCACCGCAACCAATGTCAAGGTAATGCAGGTTTGCGGGTTTGCTGCCGGGGGAAAGGGCATCTGCTGGTGGGGGTCCTTCGGCGAGACATTGTGCGATGAATTCGTGGCGGAGAGGGTTCATCAGGTGTAGGACTCGGGAGTGGCCCATTGGGTCCCACCATTCGCTGGCGAGTTTGGAGAAATGGGAGACTTCATCGGCGGAGACTGAGGATGTGGAGTGGTTGCGGGTGAGTTGTGACTTCTGTTGCACGGTAGATCGAGAGGTGATCTGGAGTCGGCATATTGGCCTTGAAGCTGTGGGTGCGCGCAATGCACGGAAAGGTAGAGAGCGGGGGCGAATTGATGCCATGTTGAAGAGGGGGAATTGGGCTTTGCGATATGGTAGGGCGGCGCAAGCTTCAGCAAGGCCTGCTTTGCTGAGCTTTGGAAGGGTTCTGTGATTTAGTGGTCTAGTGAGTAGTTAGAATATATATCCAATGTATTTCATCGTGAAGAGTCGCAGAGAGCAGGGAAGCACACACCAAAATCGATGCATTATCCGGGGCTCCGGATCGTACGTGGGGAGCAAGAAAGTTGAAGCTATCCCCGATCGCAGAATCTCGGGAACAAACAGAACAAATGTGCCAAGACACCTAGAGCTTTCAGATCACGTAGCTTTCAGGGCCAGTCAAGTTTCCAAGGTTCTAATGCGTTATATCCAGAATTTGCCAAAATTAGCATTGAACGGCCAGCAGGTTGGACTTGACTGATTTCTTGCAGCATTTGATCCTTTCCTATGGAATGTGCATTCTTACATATTGGACATATGGAATTAATGAATCCAGCCCCCTGATCCAACTGTTTGATATTGTATTTGCCCTTCCAGCAGTTTTTATACAACCATCTTAGTCACGCCAATTGCTTCATGTCAGGAACAGACTGAAACATCGACAGCAAATGATAAGTCAGCAAGTTAACATGTGACAAGGGAATTGTTGGGAAACAGGACTTTCACATGTGAAAGTGGTTTAAGTGGGGAATTGATTGGATCCACGCAGTACTCTTTGACCTTCACCAAGGACACGAGATATCTTTCCTGTTTTACTCAAATCTCGCTATGACCGTTTCAAGTTTATTTTCCTGGTTGTGCCCAGTTAGATCTTGTATAGCAAACTTTGATCCCTGTCGAATCGCGGGGCGCCATCGCTCCGGATGGGAGTGACCCGGGGAACCCATTGGCCCTGATAACAGGTCGAACTCTATGGATTTCCAAAGATCCAACCCACTAGACAGCATCCAGTTAGCGGCGAGGCTTGGGACCCATGCCAGCATCATGTCTTTCCATCTCAACAGAAATAGTGGAATGGGATTAATTAGAATGGGTCCAGCTTCCAGAGCTATAAGTTGGAGCTACCAAGCTCTTTCCTGGCCAAGCTCTATTTGCTCCTGCAACTTGAGACCAACACACCTTCAGGTCCCTCGATGACCATACTTTGAATCGTTTAAATCGATAAGCGAACTTGACGCCAAATTTCCATTCCATGAGAAGCTGTTCCGGTTTTCTCCTTGCCCCTCGTTACCCCCGCAGTCCCACCTGAAAGAAACAACAAAATGTCGTTCATCGATACAACAAAAGATCTCCCCGCCCTCTTTAAGAAACAAGTGGAGGCGACTCCGAATGGCGTGGCGCTGGAAGATGGGACCACCACATACACATATGCCGAGCTAGATCAAGAAGTCGATGCGCTGGCCACTCGACTGCGACTGTATGGCGTCAGCCGTGATTCGTTGGTTGGAGTGTTGCTTCCTCGCAGCGCACACTACGTAATTGCCTGTCTGGCTGCGCTTCGTGCGGGTGGTGCATTTCTGGTTTTGGAGCTCGCGTACCCCGCGGGGCTCTTAGCCGACGTTATCGAAGATGCCCGCCCCGCCGTGGTCATTACCCACCAAGTGGAGGCCCCCAGAGTGAAAGCACAATGCCCGGTGATCGCATTGGACGAGCCCACAACCGAAGTGAACGGAAATACGAAAGAAGCCGCATCACTACCAGCGGATGATGATTTAGACCGTCTGGCATTTGTTTCGTACTCTTCCGGCACCACAGGCAAGCCCAAGGGAATTGCCAACCCCCACAGAGCACCCGTGCTCTCATATAACCTGAGATTTGGAATCCAGGATCTGCAACCGGGCGACCGAGTAGCATGCAATGTGTTTTTCATTTGGGAGATGCTTCGCCCACTGTTGCGTGGTGCGACTGTTGTGACCGTTCCCGACGATGTTAGCTATGATCCCGCAGCCTTGGTGGATCTCCTTGCCTCTAAGCGCATCACCGAAACGCTCATGACCCCGACATTGCTAGCTACTGTGCTTTCTCGCTATTCTGCCGGTCGCATTGCGACCCGTTTACCGGAGCTTCGAACACTATGGCTAAACGGCGAGGTGGTGACTATGGATCTGGCCCGTCGGACGATCAACTCTTTGCCCGACACGCGATTACTGAACTGCTATAGTGCATGTGAGACACATGAAATTGCGTGTGGAGATATTCGGGACATGATTGATGACTCCATCTACTGCCCCGTTGGTCCTCCCCTTGACCCCGAGCATATGTATATCTTGAACGAGAATGGTGAACGGGTAGAGGCTGGCGCGTCCGGAGAGTTGTTTATCGGTGGAGATCTTCTTGCCCGAGAATATTTGAATCTCCCAGAGACAACGGCCAAGGCTTTCACTCCGGATAAGTTTGATGCCACTCCTGGTGCTCGGATGTACCGTACTGGTGATTTGGCTCGACAGCTGCCTTCGGGACTTCTGGAGATCACTGGGCGAGTGGGCGCGATGATCAAACTTCGCGGTTACTCTGTTGTCCCTGCGAAGGTGGAGAGTGACATTTGCAAGTATCTGGCTGTGAGTCATTGTGCCGTCGTTGCGCATGGAGATGGTCTGGAGCGACAGCTGGTCGCATACGTTGTGGAAGATACCGAGGCAGGAGATCGTCCGACGGTTGACGTGAACGAGGCTGGACATAGCCCGGGTGCGCGCCGTGTGCTGGAGGAGCACCTTGCTCACTATATGATTCCCGCTCAGTGGGTGGTCTTGAAAGAGCTTCCCACTAGTGATGTCTCTGGTAAGGTCGATCTTAAAAGCCTTCCCCCACCACGCAGTGCCAGCCCCGTTAGCAGCGAGCAGTCGGTGGACAAGGATCCCATTGGCATCGACGACATTGCTGCTATCTGGGCCAATGTTCTCAAGACTTCGAAGAGTCTTCTGAAGCCCGAAGATAACTTCTTTGACCTGGGAGGCCACTCATTGTCTCTCGCGGACTTAGCATCCAGAGTGTCAAGACAGTTTGGCTTCCGTGTGCCTATCCCACGTCTGGCAGAGAATGTGTCACTATCTGGTCATCTTGATACAGTGCGCGCCATTCGTGACGGACACACTGCAGCCGTCCAAGCGGATCTTCCAGCTGTTCTACTAGCCGACTCCACTTTGGACGACGATATCAAACCTCTTCCCAACACAACCATGACTTCCATTGCTTCTGCGGAGACTGTACTCTTGACCGGTGTGACTGGATTCTTGGGTGCCTTCCTGCTGAATGATCTTCTTGAGAACACTTCGGCGCAGATTATTTGTCTGGTTCGATTTAGTGATCCAGAAGACGATGACCAAGCCGGCGGTGTTGCTCGTATCCGTCGCAATCTTTTGGATCTGGGACTGTGGCGTGATACAATCATGGAGCGTGTGGAGGTTCTCCCCGGAAACCTTTCCAGAGCTCGTTTCGGGTTGTCGCCTGAGACCTTTGACGACCTTGCATCTCGAGTCCAGGTCATTGTTCACGCTGCTGCTACCGTCAACCTAGTCTACCCGTACGCTGCACTCCGCAACGCCAACGTTGGTGGAACTAGAGAGATTCTCCGTCTGGCCTCTAAGGGTGGCGCCACAGTTCAGTATGTCTCGACCAACGGTGTTCTGCCCCCCTCTCCTACTGGTGGCCGCGGCTGGACCGAGGATACTATGCTGGATATTGCGGATGTGCCCACGAAGCTGCTGGACGGCTACGGCCAGACCAAGTGGGTTGCTGAGCAACTCGCTCTTAAGGCTAGTCAACGCGGATTGCCAGTCAAAATCCACCGCTGCGGTACCATCAGTGGACACAGTCTGACTGGTTCAGCAAACGCGTGGGATCTGCTCACTGCTTTGATAGTAGAGTCCATCCGTCTTGGATACGCACCAGACGTTGACGGCTGGCGTGCAGAGATGACTCCTGTGGACTTTGTCAGTCAGTCGATCATACACCTTGCCACAAAGACTGAGAAAATCGAGAACCAGCCCGAGCAAACGATCTACCACTTGGGTGATCCCGATCCTATCAACACTCGCATTGTCTTTGAGAATCTGGCGGAGCTTGGCTACCCCACTCAACTACTCTCCTGGGATGAATGGGTAGCTCTCTGGACGGAGAAGCGGGGCTCGACTAAGGGTGGAGACGGTGCATTTACCGTCGACATTCTTCGCAGCGGTATGCCTACCGTGGAATTCCTTCGTGGAATCGTGGTCTTGGATAATGCCCTGACTCGGCCTTTCCGCAAGGCGGTCGAAAGACCCAAGGTTGATCCCCTCCTGCTCGAGACATATGCCCGCCACTGGTTTGCTCGTGGCTGGCTCCCTAAGCCCCCATCTCGTCGTGACGCTCTTGGCCGCTCCCTTGCCACCCGGCCAGCTTCCCGCGGCCCTCTCAGTGGACAAGTCGCGGTTGTCACAGGTGCTTCATCAGGCATTGGCGCTGCAGTGGCAGCCGCACTCGCCAAACAAGGATGCGCTGTTGCACTCGGCGCCCGGAGATTAGATGCTCTGGAGTCTGTTAAACGCAACGTTGAATCCTTCGGCGTCAAATGCATTGTCCGTTCAACTGACGTGACCAACAAGACTGAAACAGAGGCCCTCTTCCAAGCCGCCCGAGACGAGTTGGGCGAAGTCGACATCCTCGTCGCCTGCGCCGGTGTCATGTACTTCACCATGATGGCAAACACTCAAACAGACGAATGGGAACGCACCGTGGACGTCAACTGCAAGGGCCTATTGAATTCACTCTCATCCTCGGTCCCCAGCATGCTTTCCCGTGGCAAGGGTCACATTGTGGCTATATCCTCCGATGCAGGTCGCAAGGTCTTCCCTGGCCTGGGCGTCTACTCTGCTAGCAAGTTCTTTGTTGAGGCTACTCTCCAAGCTTTGCGTCTTGAGACAGCTGGGGCTGGGTTGCGGGTTACAGCTATTCAGCCTGGTAACACATCGACTCCATTGCTGGGCATGTCAACTGATGCGGAGGCCGTCAAGAAGTACGGTGAGCCATCTGGTGCGAAGATCTTGGATCCTTCTGATGTGGCCAATTCCATTGTGCATGCTCTTACTCAGCCGGAGCATGTCTCTGTGAATGAGATTTTGGTGGAGCCTCGGGATGAGCCTATCTAAGTGCTATTCTTCATTTATGTTTTATTTATGATCATGCTTTACTTGCAAATATAGACTTTAGTATATAGAATGAGAATCGGATGGTGAAGATTCTCCGATTCATAGTGTCCTAGGGACTAGGCAGCTACCTTTTACTTTTCAAATATTGGTTTACTCTTCTGGTTGTTCCCAAGGGTATACTAATTTTCATCGAAACTTCGGGAACCACCAAGGTGGTCGTTATGTAAAAGAAAGTCTATATTCACAGTGGTCTCCACATAAGCCTCGAATCACCAAATCTCAGGCCTGTATATACAAAACAAAAACAAGGAATCTATATAAGCTGCATGGTATCATAAGTCAGACATTCAACGCAGAAAAGACATGCAAATGCAACCATCTCATGAACACGGAGAACCATTAGCAAACTCAAAACTCAAGTCCGCCCTGCTGACCTAGACCTACTATTCCATGTCCATGATCCAGTTGCTCACCTTCCCCCAGAATCTCATCAACCCCCCGATCCATAGATGCCAGCAGATTCCACCCTGGCTCATCAGCCCATGATCTTGGACCAGCCTCACCAAGCGTAGGCAAAAAATTCCCCATATTGATTGAGCCGTCGAGCCCAATGACATTCTTACAACGTTCCAATAACGGCGCAAATAGGTATGACGGGGATCCACGGATCTGGGAGAGAGTATGTAGGATTCCCCATAGGAGTTCACGGGGATCAACGGCTGACTCGGATAGTCTGTGGACGGCTTTTGAGCCGAGAGAGCGAGTGACATCTGTTACACAGACGCCCATGTCAAATAGTTTTTGTTCCTGGAATTTGTTAGTCGATGATACCAGTGGGAGTGGAACATCCACCTACCATTCCAATTCCATGGGCATCCACCGCACCCTGTGATGCAGTTCCTATCACGCTCATCACGGCTTTACCAACTAACACCGGTAGATGGAATGGTAAGACCGATTCATCTTTTGATCCTGGTTGTGTCGCATGGCTCATAGATAGTTTCCACATCATAGCTTGAAGCCATTGTTGCGTGATGAGGATATCAACCTGTTGGATTTCGAGGACACCGTCCAGTGTTATCGGCTTACATAGACTGGATTGAATGACTGATGTCGGCGCCTGCTCGACAAGTCCATCGCCGCCTCCAGCAGAAACCCAATCATATAGATTTGCGGTGAGTTTCTCGAAAATGTTGATGAGATTAATGAAGCCATATGCTAAGATCGGGTCTTCTGAGCAGAGAACTTGTGGTTTGTGGATTGAGCTGCGGAGCATGACTGGTTTGGATTGTTGGAGGGCGTATCCCCTGTCGATGAATTAGCAAACCAAACACAAGGTCGTTATCAATAGGAATGGTGGTTACCTTTCTGTGATAAAGAGAAGCCAAAATACCCTCCTCCTCTCCTCAGCTTCTTCAACCTGGAAATCCGCATAGCTAGATTCCCGATGTAAACCCAACGTAAAAGCCATCGAAGTAGCCTGACAAAGATAGAACCACGCGTGAGTCTGCTTATCCAAATTGCCATAAGAAGCAAACAAGAAGAAACTCGTAAGAAGATTCTCAATACTGATGTCCTCCACAATATCGCATTCCCTTCGTGCCCGCACAGCCTCTTCTAACAATTTCTCTCCAGAAACGAGTACATCACCCTCACCTAATGTCTGCATCCTCGCCGGATCTTGGACGGGATTCGCACCATCAAGCTTAAGCTGGATATGCGTTGCCGCGCACAGCGCAGCTAGAAATGCATACCTCTGCGGTAATAACCGCTCAGGCTGGTGACTATCGCGACGAAGCTGATCACCCCGCACGACAGGCATGATGGGGAACAGGTATTTCAGATATACATTCACATGCGCGAGCAGTATCTGCGGCGACAAGCGCGCTATCTGGGGCGGAATCATGGGTCCATATGCAGATGAGTCAACGGTATTGATATCCGTTGAATCGGGCGAAGAGCCCAGCTCCGGCGGCGGGAGTTGTGAGAACGAGTCGGAGAGATCATATGTATACGGTGCATCATTTACGCCGAATGCGGGCGAAGTAGGTGAGCTTATTCTAAAGCTTGATTGATCGAATGGTTCAGCGTAGATTTGGTCTGGGGTTGAGGTTTCGCCTCGTGCGGGGATCGGATGGATCGGCGCGAGGGGGTAGAGGGTTCGGAATTTGGGGCCTTTGCGACGGAGGACGTCGCTGTATGAGCATGATAGTAGTAGACGTTGGCATTTATCACAGGGTAGTTCGCGGGAGCATTTTATTTTGCGCCGGCGACAGTTATCACAGGCTTGTTTGGTTGAGGGGGCTTTGGATGGGCCCACGAAGTCCATGTTTCGCTATGCAAGCTATGCACTGATATACTGGTAGTAGTTCCAAGGTTAGGGTGACACACGGGTCATAGTGGGTTTGAGAGACAGTCCAGTGAAATAGTCCGTGAGCATCTGGGGTATTGTGACTTTAATAATCCAAGTTAATTAACGTCAACATCTGGGGAAGCGTGGGGCGCAACAACATTTCAACCCCGCAAAGGCCCATGCACGCCTAGTATACTTTGGTTATATGGTGTGATGAGGTTATCTCAGGATCCGCTTCTTGCCCGATGTTGTCACCGAAACCCTCAATACCGTAGCCTTGAAGTATGCGTCCAGACTAGGATTGGTTCAATGATCAACACAAGGAGATTGTTAAGTTTACGCTAAAAACCCACATCCAAGTCCACAATACGCTTCAATCCCCCAATCCAACCACAACAGCCCTCCAAACTCTAGAAGCAAATGGAAACTTCGACTAGAACCTTGGAAGCCTCCCAGTTCGGGAGATTCTGATCCCATTCATGCAGGGGCGTCCTCTAAGCGAAGTCCATCACCGCCAAGCAAAGCCGACGTAAGCCATGACCTCGTTCTAGAAGGTTTGTTTAATGCTTCCCTCAGCAATGACCCTTTTCCCCCTCAGATGAAATGAAATGACGGGGGAAGACCAATGCGCGATTTTCTGGCTTACCCTGCTAGCGCGGCCCGCTAAACCACGCCTAGCCCGTCTCCGCATATCTGCAAGGGAAAGAAACGGGGTCCCCAGGTTGAATAGCATAGCCGATCCAATCAGGGTCTGCAAGCCACTCGTCTGGCGTGGTTGTGGTTGGAAGATGCCGAAATTGTGGGCGGAGTTTGCTCGGGAAGCCGAAATACCGTGCGCTCATAGGCGCTGCCCTCTTCCCACTTTTTCTCCCCATTCATGAGCTAGTCATGGCCTCGCCAATATTTGTAACCTGGTGGGACTGTCGGATACTACCGCCTGGCTCTGGGGCCTCTGGAGGGGCAACAGTACTCCCCGAGATTCTGGCGATTTTGTTGGTTTCGCCGAGTATCCGGGGTCTGGATTCCGGATATCTCCACTCAAATGGGGCCATCACTACTCCACCGTAGCTAGGAATACCGAAGCTTGATAATCATTGCGCAAATGTTGGGTCATCGGCAAATTTTATACTGGGAAATGGCGGTGATCGAAACCTCGGCAATGAGGTTACAGTGTAGTCCTAGCCACTAAACGTCTAAGGGACTAACCCAGTCTGGTTATAGAGCAAATTTACGGTAAATGCAGTACCATTCATGTTTTTGGCCTTATTCTTGATTGGTTTACTGCATGAGAATGGCATGCAGTACTCGGTCCGGTATGTAACATTACCTGAAACGAGCCTTTATCCCAAACTCCACTTCATGACCAAGGATTGTATATTTACTTTCAACAGCCTTGGATATAGGCGCCCATAGTATGCATGCCCCCCAAACTTTCTAATCCGTTCAAGCCTTGCTTACTGGTGTTCGATTTTGTTAATGAGGGTGCCCACATGTGGCAGTAACTCAACAGCAAACTCATCGCCGGCTTTAATGAACTCCTTCGGGGTCTTAGCTGCACCCACCCCGGGCGGGGTACCTGTCAGAATGATAGTTCCAGCGGGCAAGGTAGTACCCTGTGATAAAAAGCTAATCAACTTTGGCACTGAGAAAATTAGATCAGTAAGAGGGCAGTCCTGCATAACACGGCCACTCTTGAGACCGCGAATCTTGAACTTGCTAGCATCTGGCATCAAGGCAGCAGACACGAGCACGGGGCCTTAAGTTCTAAGTCAGCTGTGATCACGAAGCTACCTGTAAGAAAAGTAATCATACCAATCGGGCATGCGCCATCAAAGCCTTTCGAGAAGGTCCACTGGCTCTGATTCATCTGTGATGTCCGGCTCGACACGTCATTCGCGGCGGTGTATCCGAGGACATAGCTCAGGGCCTCAGACTCGGGCACATCCTTGGCGTCACGACCGAGGACGATGACCATCTCCGACTCATAGTCGCCGGTATTATCTTTCTGGGTGATCTTGGGGAGGACGGTAGGTGCGGGCCAGGGATCGGCGAGCGAGGTGGAAGGCTTCATGAAGAGGACAGGCACATCCGGGAGGGGGAGGGACATCTCCTTTGCGTGCGAGACATACTATGGAAAGCATCGAGTCAGCATATAACTATAAAGGTATATATAGAGGTACTAGGTATCACTCACGTTCAGGCCAATGCAGCGAATCGTTCCGACCTCAGTCTGTGCGAGAGGAGAGAGAATCCGCGAGATTGATTCTGTCGACCCGGTAATTGATCCCGGGTTCAACATAGATGAGCCCGAGAATGGGCGCACCGGGACATCTTTGCCCTGGTACACGGCTAAACCGACATCTAGGTGCGGATCGACCGGCTCGCCGATGAGAACCTTGGCGGGATTGGATTTAGGAACGAAGCGCACCAGGCCTGGAAATGGTCAATTGAAGCTGTAATTGCAGAGCTGGACTTATCTTACGCGAAAATGTAGACGCGATCTTGGACATGATTGATGAAGAGGAGCTCCAGAGCAGTCGCGAGTTTCTTATCGGAGTATTTCTACCCCGGCACTCCCACAATGTGGGGAATGGTGACGCAGGAGCTCCCACAGTGTGGGAGAGCTGTATGAAATTAGATGCAGTAGCTTCGATGGATCCGAAACTTCCTCGCAATTTGTCCCGAATATATCGCTATCATTTCTACACTTAAGGGGCCTCTTGACTCTTGTCACTTTTCACACAGCGCTAGAGCGCGTCAAGCGGCGTATTAGTCGTGTGGCCGAGCTATTGAGCGACCGGTATACTATCGTCCACATCGACAATTGCAATGAGTCTAACGCACTGAGTTGGATTCTTTACGAATTTAGCCGTATATGGGTATCGACGAGGTCGAGGCTTAGGTCAAAAAGCATAAATCGGACGTCCTGACGAATTTCATGATTGCGAACTTTTCGTGCGAGAAGAAGGTTGGCTAACCCAAATGCCGATACAGTTGAGTGGATCGATGCGGTCCGATGAAAAGGCCCAGCAAATCCATGCGATCGCCAGGTCAATCAATCCGAGCAATACGCTCCACGCCGTACCTACTGGCTTGCAGGTAGAGCGTGCTCCCGATGATGCAATTGTCGAATATCTCTGCAAAAAGTGCCACCACTGCTGGACACTTAGATGCGCTGTAGAATTAGATTAGTTTCGTTATCAAAAGCCCCGTAGAATGCATGATGATCGGGTATAGGCAAGTTATTTTAAAGATGTAAGACATGCGATAATTTGCCGCATAGATTCGATGACCGATTCCGCGGGCTCGGCGTCACCGCGGATGACGCATCGCCGAATTCCATTAACTCCGTTACCTTTCACTCTCCGACACCTTAAAGGACATCCTTCCCTTTCATTATTACTCCCACATTCCATCGCCTTCAAATTTCACAATGCGCTAGGAGCGCAGTCCTGTTCTCCCACCATGGCGCACGCGACGCTCCTCCGGTCTCTACGACCGACCCCCTCCCTCCGTCCTCTCCTCCGGCGACATGCCCACAATGGTGGATATCAACCGTTTGTACCACCATCACCAAGCTCACTAGGCGCACCTCAAGCAGCAAAGACCTACACCCGTACCAGGAAATGGCTACGGCGATTATTCTACACCTCCGTCACAGTGGGCGTGATCTACGGCATCGATAACCAATTCTACGCCGCCTCATTAACGCGAACCGCACGAACATTCTCCCTCGGCCTCCTGGTCGCACTAGACTACAAGATTAATTTCACTCCACATCCCCCCCTTCGCAACTTCTATTGCAGCGGTGCATGCTCGCAATGCGGAGCGCTTATCAGATCTCCTACGTCATAATGGGGGACTCTACTTGAAGATGGGTCAGGCTATCGCTATGCAGTCTGCAATCTTGCCTGCAGAGTTCCAGGCGATGTTCTCGCGGATGTTCGATGATGCGCCGCAGAACGACTGGAAGGATGTTGAGAAGGTTATTCGGGAGGATTTTGGTGCTTCACCGGAAGAGGTCTTCGGGGTTTCGTTTTCTGGGGAGCCTGGCAAGGGCCTTATGGAGCGGAAGGCTCGCGCGAGTGCTAGTGTTGCTCAGGTGCATTGGGCTCGTTTGCCGGATGGAAGAGAGGTAGCGATTAAGATTCAAAAACGCGAGATTGCTCAGCAGCTGGTTTGGGATTTGTGGGCTTTCAAGTGAGTGTTCTGCTTTATGGCTGAAACCGGGGTTGAATACTGATACCATTGCAGGGTCGTGACATACATATACAGCAAAATGTTCGATATCCCCTTCTACAGCTTGGTCCCATATATCAGTGAGCGGTTGTCGCTTGAGACTGATTTTGAGAATGAAGCCACCAATTCTGAGACCATGGCTCGGCTAGTCGCTGGTGAGCCTAGACTGCGTGACCGGGTTTACATCCCAAAGGTATACCGCGAGCTTAGCTCGAGACGTGTTATGACTGCGGAGTGGGTTGAGGGCGTGCGACTTTGGGATAAGGATGCGATCACACGTTCCTGGCGCGGCGGTTGGAGACAGGGCAGTCCAGGATGTCACGGAACTTCCCTGGACCAACCGAAAACCGTTCCTAAGCCTCAAGATCCTCGAAATGAAAAGCTCAAGCCTGAACGCAACTACTGGAAAGGACAGAATAATCGCGGTGGTCTAGGCCTGTCTTTGAAGGACGTCATGACAACCATGGTCGATTTGTTCTCCGCCCAGATGTTCCTCTGGGGGTGGGTGCATTGCGACCCGCACCCAGGCAATATCTTCATTCGTCGCAAGCCATCCGGAAAGCCTGAGCTGGTCCTCATTGACCACGGCCTTTACATCCACATGGACCCGGACTTCAGGCACCAGTACGCTCGCTTCTGGAAGGCTCTCTTAACCTTTGACAACAAGACACTGGCCGAGGTCGCCGAGGGATGGGGCATTAAAAACTCAGATATATTTGCCTCTGCAACACTGATGCGTCCCTACAGCGGAGGTGACCTGTCAACACAGCGCGGTATCCAGGGCCTCAGCAAATCCGAGGTCCAGGAACGCCATTATGAAATGCAGCAAGCAGCTCGCAAGGCGATCCGCGAGATTCTCGGCGATGAGCAAAAATGGCCACAGGAACTCATCTTCATCGGACGAAACCTGCGGATCGTCCAGGGAAACAACCAATACCTGGGCTCGCCAGTGAACAGACTCAAAATCACTGCGACATGGGCGTCACGCGCGCTCGTAGAATCACCCGATCTTCCGCTGTTAGAGAAGATCCGCAACCTTGGTCAACATTTTGTTTTCCAATTTGTACTTTTTACTAGCGATGTGTTCTTCTATTTCACCAAGGTCCGTCAGTTCCTTCATCTGGGTGGCGGTATGGAAGATGATATCGAGGCCCAGATGCAGGGTATGGCTAAGGAAATGGGTGTAGAGCTGAACCATAGCGTGTTCGAGGGATAGAGTCTAGAAGACGAGATGACTTAATATACCTCTCTACTCATACCATCTGATTCAAGACCTTCGAGTTACTTGCTCAACTCTTCAACTCCCATTAGTGTTCCCCATTGCTTATGTCCACATCACGCTGAAAAGCTGGTTCGAAGGGATAACTCTCGCTGCAAATATCAACCCCATGCTAAGCGTGACTACTGCAGTAAACGCAGCAAGAAGACCCAGCCGCGCCACAGTCTCAACTCCCGATCTCTCGAACTTAGTCGATCTTCGCTGTCCCAACCGGGTAGTCCGAGCCAGAGTCGGGACATACTTAAATTCGAAACGGGACTCGCGACCAAGACCAATCTTCTCATCCAGAAGTACTTTGTAGAAGTGTTTGCGACGCATCTAAATCATATGTCAGCACATTAAGCTTCCAAGAATAATCGAACAGCCGATAGATCAACATACCGAGATCATATATCGATCTATAAAATGTATCCGTGGAATAATGAACGAAGTACCAGAAACCCAGAAACAATAACCCCAAATAAGCACACGATAATATAGACTCGACCTTGGAATCTCCAACTCATCCGAAAGTCTCTCCCCATTCAAAAGCCGGCTCAAGGCCTCCATAAACTCCTTAGAAGCGTACGCCGGAGCCGTATTCTCTAGACCAAGAATGATATTCTTCGCAAGAACCCTCCCAACATCCGTGGGATCGATCTCCGAAATCAACAACGACTCCATAGTTGCCTTCGCCGTCTGTGTATCTTCAAATAGGTCTGTCGGTGTACCCATATACCACGCCACGAGTCTCCAAAGCGCAATGTAATCCTCGATTTCCTGCTGACTGAGGAAGATACCTTGGCGTGGCAATCCGAGCCAGACGACTGAGCTGCAGAATGTATTGATTGTTCCTATGCAGTCCAGGTCGTTTACAGGCGTTCCGTATTTCTGGACGTCATAGTAATCTGGTTTTTGGTTTGTCAAGCTTAGGATTCGGAGGCGGACTGTTGAGTGGAGGAGTCGGACTCGGATAGTGGATATCTGCCCTTCGCCGCCTGGCTTCATTCCTTCCGCTGAGCTGTTTACCTGTAGTACATGTTGGAGTGTTTCGAGGAGTCGGCGGCGGACTACCTTGGCGTTGAAACCGCCTGTCCGGGAGAGGGTTTCCACGACGCGAATTGCGCCCCTGGGATGGTTAGTTGGGATCAGCTTCGTGTCAGGGAAAGCTCACATTCCGCCCAGTAGGCTTTCGAAGCTGAGCTATTCGATGAGAGTTAGTTGAAGTCATAAAGTGCCCTCGGATAGTTACTCACCACGTTCAAGATCGGAAGCCCATAGCGAAAGAACACATCTTGTCCTCGTTGAATCTGCTTCCAATCTACCCATTCAGGAACTGTATTGACCTGTGTCCACAGTTCCTGGAGCTTCGGGTCCTCATCTGCATGGTTCTTCAGCAGAGTATATAGATCCTTGTGGAAGGGCTTATCGGAGTCCCCGTCCGTAGGGATCTTATTCAGCCGTTCCACACACTCATCGGCCAGTGTATCACAGGTGTAAGCCATAGGCCGAAGTTCCTCTTCAGAGCGATGAAGACTGGACCAGTGGAAGGAGTAGTCCCAGTAGTGGCATTCGGTGTGGTTGCCATGCCGAGAAGGTTTCAAAGCCATGCTTGCAATCTGCTCAGAAAGACTGGAATAAATCAACTGGAAACAATAGAAATGCTCTCTTTCCCTCTATTCCGTGCTGGGGATCTCATAATGATGGTTTATATGAGGTTTCGCTCTTTCCCTGTATCAGATCTGGGTGGTGCAAGCCGTACCGTGGTCCGTGGTCCGGGGAGAGGGGTTGGAGCTTTCGCATGTGAACCAGGTTTCTGGGGGATCGTCATCCTTGACACCAATCAGACATATTAAATTGTACGTTATTGGCTCAAGTGTAAATAGTATTTGTTTTTTTTTTTGTGTCTAACCGTGCGTGACTAGAGAATTTTCACATGCAGCTGGCCCCACGGGACAATGCTGCATATGTGGGCCTTTGGATACATGGCGAATGGACAATATGAGCAGAGCCAGCAAATAAGATCCGATCACTAGAAAGACAAGTCAAAGTGACTTTTTTATTCTTCATCCTGAGCGTCCACGTCCTCGAGTGTCTCACCCTCAGTCTCCTTGGTCAAGTCTTCAAGGCGCACCTTGATACGGTTCCAGCGCTTATGGGCGGCGTTGGTGGTAATGCCGAGCTTCTCAGCGATGACCTTCCACTCCGGCTAGTGAGATGGCATCAGCATAGTCAAAAATATGAAAACTTGAAGATTTACCTTGAATTGACCCTGAGTGGTGATCATCTGGTAAAGGAACACGAGGTCCTTGTCGACGTCTTTGGGACGACCGGGAGTCGCCTTCTTAGCGGGGCTTGCCTTGATGACGGGCATCTCGACTATTGTTATTTTTGTTAGACCAGTAAGGTAGGGGTGGATGACGGGGAAGTGATTACATACAAGATATGCTGGTAGTTGACTGTTGTCTGTTGAGAAAAGAGCAGACGCGATTGCAAAGTTTGCGGTGGAATGAGAGTTACAGAGGTTGTGGAAATCTTGCTTGTAGACTGACATTAAATCCTCATGTATTTTTCATCTATCCTTTCAAATTTATCTCGCAAATGCTATAGCTAGGACGCGGGAGAGGTAGCGCGAGTCTTCCGTTTCTTGGTCGCACCCCTACCCGTTTTACTCGATATACTCTTTCCTGCAGATGTGGATGTAGATGCAGAAGTGGGGTCAGCCCCATTCTCCACTGGCTCACTAGGTGAACCTTGGGATATCTGAGCTTGCCGTTGAAGGCGGCCGAAAGCTTTTTCCATGCGACTGGCCCCGCCACTACGGACCCGAGGCGCAAATGCTCCGGCACCCTGAGCGCCTTGCATGAACTGTGTGATGTTCGACTGGGTACCTTCTTCCTCTCTGCGATTCATATCTCGGATCACAGGCACCAGTACCTCGTCCGTGCGCTCCGGACTCCAACCGATCGTCGACATGAGAAATCCTCTCAGGCCATTCAAATCTGGCACACCCCACTGGAACTGCGAGGGATCAGAATCAACCTCTGGTTCGAGATAGGCAGCCTCTACCCGCTCATCAGGGAAAGAAGGGGGCAAAAAGATCTTCGACGCCTTCTTGCGAAATTTCTTTCGGAAGGTGAGATGCTTGTCATCTGGGTCGTTGATGCCCATCTGAAGTTGTGTCCACCAGTCACGAAACTCTTCCAGGCTGGAGAATTCGGTTATTAGTTCGAGCGCCGTCACGGGTCCAATACCAGGAATGCCCTCGGTATAATCACTCCCCAGTAGGTGGGCGAAGCTAATAAGCTTTTTGCGGTGAAGGGAGTATTCTTTTTCAAAGTCGGAGGTCAAGTAGCATTCAACATATTTGCTTTGGTTGAACATATTCTTGTATACCCGAGTCCCACCGAAAAGAAACGTATCGCTGTCGTCCGTAACGATACCATCCACAAGACCCAACGAGACTAGTTCGGCGCATTGCGCTTCGGCCTCCATGGGTGCTGTGATATAAGGCAGTCCAAAGAGTTTGAGCAACTGCTGGCACTCGTTGATCATAATTTGAGTCACTTCGTCTGCGTCACGTCGGTCTTTCTGTTGCTGGTTCCGTAGTTGCTTGAGCTCTTGCTCGTAGTCAAATGCGGTTTGAATAGGCGCGGCCGAGTTCAAATTTTGAGCAAACCGGGCATGCTCTTCAGATTCCTCAGCAAGCTGCTGCATAAGCTCTTCATCCTCCGGGTCACTGTACTCGCCATAATCATCCAAAACTGGCCCAGGATAAGTAGGCTCTTCCAGTGGCTCAGCGCGCTGGTTAGTAGAAGCAGGTTTGGAGACCACAGTGATTTCGGGGCCTTGTGGGGGTTCATGTAAGACGTCTTCAAACTCTGGCTCGGGGGAATCCTCGATTTGTGCGGCTTCTGAGCGTTGCTCTTTGTCATCGAGTATTTCGCCGCGTGGTGGCAAAGCTCCGTCTTGAACCTCAATATCGAGAGGCCCCGGTGTCGGAGAAGCTATGTCTTCGAATTCAACTTCGACGGATGGCTTGGTGGGGGATTCTTCTCTGGTGCTGGTTTCCTTCTTTCCGTCAAAGGGTGGCTCTCCATTCAAATTCACATCGACAGCCTCTGGTATCAAAACATCGGTGGTTTCAGGGGTAGCCTTCTTTTGCATAGTTGAGCCCGTGTTGGATTCAGCTTGTTCATCTCCATCCAGTTCAACTACTTCTTTGGTGTCGGGCATCTCATCGACATCGATGACCTCCGTTGGGCGACGGTTAGATAGAAATAGATGATCAGGCTCTAACGACTCCTTCCGATCGTTGGAATTATCAGCCGTTGGGTCTACAATGAATTCTTCATTTATTTTCGCGCCTGTGAACCATGGTGGCAAAGGTTCTGCCTTTTGCTTCTGGGATGACTCCTTTAGGAATCCACCGGCGTCCTCATCAATGTGGGTGGGTTGATCATCTTTGGGCACCTTGGTCAGTTTGATGGACTCGAAGGGGAGAGGCCCATCGAATGGATTTGGTGGCCGATGTTTGGTCGTAGAGACTTTTGTCTGAGCCACTGCAGTTGCAAAATCCATCCCATCATCATCGCTTTCACTAAGCATTGGATCCAAGGCTTCAGGGTGCGGCACCGTGTCCATCGGTCGATTGATTGGAATATCATGCATTTCATCATCATGTTCTTCATTGGGCTGTAAAGACAGGGATATGGCTTTCTGGAGCTCATCGTCTTCATCATTATCAAAATAGCTTTCAAGATCTCGATTATGATCATTCTGAAGGAGAGGCCCCTCGCTTGGTACGAAAAGCGAGTCATCTTCAGCCTCTTGTCTTCGAGATTCTCGTAGGACTCTGCTCGTGTCAGAATCCTTTTGCGATCGTTGTAGCGACGAATCGAAGACACCCTCTTGGAGAAAGGGTAACTTAGGCAGGCGGTTGAGACCCTCGATCGGTACGTCCTCGAACTCTTCATCCGATTCATCAGACCCAGACATCACATCTGGCAAGCCGATTTGATCAACATCAATCGGTTTGTCCTCTTGTCCCTCGTCCTTATTCCCCACCACACCCAGAACCCAGCCTCCCTCATGCTGGCTATCCTTTACGAGGACATATTCCCTGCCACGTTCGCCCGCGATACGCTGTCCAGATTTGTAATATGCTTCCTCCCCGTTCATGCCATTGATATTCATAAGTCGTTGCGTTAGGTCATTGCGTTCTGTCACTCGCTCGATTTGAAACCGAGAAAAATCCATGCGATTTGGGAACATGACATCCAGTTGTTCCTTGGAATAACCCATCCTGAGTCTGCTCCGGAGTCGAGCTGCATTTAAGATATTGTATCGATCTGTAGCAGGAAGACTTAGGAAGAAAGGGCTATCGAAGTCTATTTTGGAAAAGTCATAGAGATTGATATCTTGCCCTTGGTGAAAATGTCTCGCATATTCCTCCAGCTCTTCCTGTGACATGATTCGGGGATCATTAGGTGCGCCCATCTCCTCCAGCGAGGTATCTAGGTTCGGTAGGTGATAGGCGTCCTTCTTCTTGAATTTCCGATTCTGCTGCCTTTCCTTGTCGGTCAAAAGGAGCTCCTCTGCATACACGGGAGCACCAATGTCTTCTTCCTCGTCTCCGCGGACACGCTTTTTGCTTTGTCGCCGTGTCTCCGCTTCCTCTTCAGCGATCCTTTGCATTTGAACAGCGAGTAGCTTCCCAGCCGTCCGAGATGCATCCTCCCTCCGTCCTTCGCGCCTTCTTTTCCGCTTGTTGATCGTCTCCCGCTTGAGAATTGGAGCTCCACCATCGAATACAAAGACGGGCCGAATGCCGACATACAGAAGCTTGCATATCCGGCGAAAGAACCCGACGATGTGTGAATTTCTCAGTGCATTTCCCTCCTTGTCACGTACTGCTTTCAGGAACTGGTAGATCCAAATCGACGCGTCGACAGCCAACCGTTTCTTATTGAGGGTTTCGAGTTTGATAGGTCGAGCGCAAGGCTGCACCACCGTCCAAAGGCCAGTGACACCCATGCTTGTGAATTTCAATCTTCACACAATATGCGTGAATGAGGTGAGCTAATCCTCGTGGGCGGGCTGGTGTGTAGCTCATGAAGTTGGAGAAGATGATGACATCGGTCGCAGATGAACGGATCCACCTTACCATGCACGCGGAGTGGCGCGCGGTCACGTGGCCTCCTCATTTGGCAAGATTGGATGCAGAAAGGAGAAAAGCGACGGGGACTGTATAAACTTCCAGGACCAGCTAGGTATCCTTAGGCTCGAGTACCCATAGATAGGTTGAATATGACTTTTAGAAGGACAGGTCAATGCAGTACGAATATCGTGCGTCAAATCAATCTTTACTTGATGAATATTTATGCTTCGTCTAGATATTGTTGTGAGGGTCGAACACAAGATAAGTGATTGGAAGATCATTCACGTCATAGTCCAGTGATAAGTTTACAATCTGGAGCCTCACGTCCTTAATGTTACTGAGCATAATCGAAGGCCATTCCACGGCACTTCAACCAAAGAGACCGCACAATCTCTAGCGAAGGCGATTTCGCCCCTCTAGCAACAACTAGAGATTCCAAGAACCGAGACTTGTCCTGCGCTGAGAGGACTGTTGTTTGTTGCCCATTTGCATCGGTGACCTGTGCATCCAGGGCGCTGAGAGCAGTGGTAAGGCTTGGCCTTGCGAGTGCCATTTTCTTGAAAACGGTTCGCCGAAGCACATCGTTCAGGAAAGTCAAGTCAGACCGTGCACAGCGACCTGCAATTTGCCTCACCAATGTTTCACATAAAGATGGGATGAAACGCTCGAGAACTTGATCAAGAGCCACGGTCTCTTCAGAAGATCCACCGCGCAGGTCCATCATGGCTATCCAGAAGGCTGTTCCAGAACGAAGGACGAGAGGTTCTGGCCGGGTTAAGGCGTGGAGACTAAAGTTGAGTAAAAGGGCAAAGGTTGGCGTGCCTTGTGATACGGGACCAACGGCGGAAGGGAGTGGCTCAGTGAGGGAGAACAGAATAGCGTAGTATTTGGGCAAAAGGCGTGCAAGGAAATCAATGCCGGCATTGGCAGTTTCAGGATCATAAATGTCGGGGTTGTCAAGCATCGAAGCGAATAATTGTGCCACGTGGATAATCAGTTCCACGGCCTGGTCTCGAATTTGCATGGCATGAGAGCCATGAGACGCTAGGAACGAAGATGCCGTGGCCATGATGACATCTGTGCCCGAGATCCCCAGTGGGAAGCTTTTGATGAAGTCGACTGTCAATGACGGAGGAAAAACGAATAGACCGGATGACTCAGTATAGCCAGCTTTGAGAATATCGCAAGCTGAGTCGATGATACCGCTGTCAACAGGGAAATCCACGATAAGGAGTCGCATCGCCTCCATGATGAGCTGTTGCGACGGGGCTCCAGGGCCCACATTCCAGAATGATGGTGGATATGGATTTTGCTCTTCTGCAGCATCGACGTTGATTACGTCTTCTCCCTCAGACCTCAGACCCCTACCCAGACTGGCAATGCAACTTAAGACAAGATGGCCGTGGACCCGAGCGATATCGTATGCAGAGCCAGCTGCTTCTTCACGGGCTTTATTGGCCTCTTGGACGAAAAATCCCAGAATCCTCTCTAGGGTTTGGACTTTTTGTTGGTCTGAGTCCAACTTCTGTATGATTGTTGCAATTCCCTCGAGAACTCGGGGCATAGTAGATACGGTTGCCGTCGGTTTGGTTCGGAATTGATCTAATCGATCAAGGAAGGTAGGGAGTTCTGTAGTCAGCATTCGAGAGCATGACTTTGAAAGTGTCAAAATAGACCGCGAAGCCGGCTGGGCACAAGACTCAAAATTCAGGGATTCAAATAGGATATTCAGAACACTGGGCAAGAGGAAGCTGTGGCGTTCAAAGTATGACTCGTATTTACCGAACGAGTCAACAAGTGTTTGGCGTGCCTTGAGCGGAATTCCGGTCTCTCCACCAAGGCACAGTTGTGCAAAGGCATTACTTCCAAAAATGGAGTCCAAGCACTGATCTGCATGGCCATTTTCATCGACCGCCTCGGATAGCTGAGCAAGGCAGAACATAGCGGCTTCGAAGCCTCGCCAATCAAGCTTTTCAAGATGAGTGGTAGCACTTTCTTGGAAAACGCTGACAAGTTCCACGCCCAGAATCGGATATGCCGACAGGAGATAGTCACAGGCTTCATGGCGGAACGCATTAAACTCGCTCCGTTCATCATCACCCCAGTCAGCCAGATCACTGGGACTTGGATACAGCAGTTTATTGAACATGCCTAGAACGACTTGGGCCATTTGTGCCTTAACTATTTGGTATCTTGAATCGGTAGATTCTAGCTTGTCTGGGAGGCATTCGGCAATCTCGCCCCAGTACTCCAAGGCCCGGGTTGTGGCTGATTCATCAATGGCGGCGTAGCCTGGTGTTTTGAAGATATTGTGCAAGATGGCAAGTATTTGAGTGTTCTGGGGCTTCATTGGGTCACTGAAGAGATCAAAGTTCACGTGGGAGACATATGCCACAAGAAGATCAACAAACGTCATGCTGTCGGTATCCTCGTTCTCGTCAGCGATTGCGATCAAGTGTTTTGTGACAATCGAGTCGGAAAGAATCTGCGACATGGTGAAGATAGAGTGACTATCAAAGGCCCAGGAGCGGGTCTCAAGGGCTGAAGTTAGCACAGTTGCTGCGCTTTCGTTGAATGTTGGCAACCTGAGTGCCTCTATTATATCCTGGCCACATGAAACTGCAAGAGTTTGGGTTTGCTTGTCCCCGGAATGGCGATGGTTACCATAGACACTGAGCCAGGTCTTAAATTGGAAATCAGAATTAGCCACCTCCTCACGATCAATTCATGTTCAAGAATATCCTCACCTTCCATGAGCCCATAGCTTCATTACCTAAAGTGGATTCCATAGATTCGCTGCCAGCTTCAGATGCATGGTATGCGATCTGCCGTATGATGTATTGGACGAGCAAGAAAGCATCGCCAATATTTTCCACTACTCGCTCAATGACTGAGCCAACCAAATCCTGAGGTTCAGCCTCTAGACGCAAAGCTTCCTCAGCCAATGCGACCGAAAAGAAAACCAGTGCTATAGCTTTCTGGGTATTCAGAACAGGTAAGACTCCATTCACGAAGTCTACTGTCTGCGAATCTGACTCGGCGACGTATCCACCATGCGCAAGACTTGCGGCTAGTTGCCAGATGGCTCTTTTCCAGGAGCTTGCAGAATTCCGGAAGACTGCAACAAGACTCGAAGCAAGTTTCCTGACTACCATAGCTTGTTCACCTTCATTCACAATTGTGATGAAGTGATTGACAAGACGTTCCAGAATTTGCCAGGTCATTGGCTCTCCAATTTCACCACTATATTTACAGTTAGAAATAACAAAAACAAACTTGTAACAAAAGGCTTGGTTGAAGCTCGAGTGCATTTGAAATGTTATCTGAAAAACTTACCCAGAAACATTGATCTTCACCGTAAAGGTAAGAGCTCCCATGAAACGATGATGGGTGGAATTCTCGTGTAATAGAGAGTCTGCAATTTCCCATGCATGCTCGCCTTTCTGTAATTGTTGTAACCGGGTTTGAATTTCATTGATTCTGGTTGGGTTGCGCTGGTTTGCGGGATCATAAAGTTGTGTTACTAACTGAATCTAGTGAGCGAACGCAGCCAAATCAATATACCGATGGTACCATTTACCGCATGAGCTTCCATTATGGCCTCTGTGGGACCAGGGCCCATGTTTGAGGAACGCGTCGCCATTGCTGAGGTAGAAGAGAAAGAAAGTGGGATGAGAGAGTATACAATGCGTATCAGCACGTGGTGATAAACGGGCTTAGTCACATGATCAAACCCCGCCATAGCCAATCATCTATCAGTGACCAGGGAACTGAGGATGCACCATCATATCCGCTACTCTCTACCAGCCAATAGCAATCTGCACCTAGCCAGCGTAAGAAGTGAGATACTTTCAACTCAACAATATAAAGCCTCTCGCACTCTCGACTCCAGGTTAAAGAGCTGTCTCTTGCTATATCCCGTGGGCGCTCACGCCTAGAAAACAAAACAGTTACAGTAGCCCAATGCAATAATATGAATTCACGGGTTAAATACGTTTGAAAGTTGTTACTGTCGGATAATCTAAATTGAGGTTTTAAGCCATCTGTGATACGTAGTATGTAGAAAAAGATAAGGCGGGGGAGAATGCAAAGTCTGAAATAAGTTGTTTGAAAGTACTCTCTGGTACTCTATGATGGCTATCTTGCCACAAAACGTCCCCTACATACAATTGACCGACACACAGCTCCCCACCCGCATCATCCCCCTTGATCCACCCCATCGATCAATGAGTTTTCTTTCCCTCAGGGACCGAGTCGTGCTTGACATTGTCTTGACTAGATACATTGAGCTTATCAATGTGGTCAAGTGGCAGACGCAGGAAGTCATGTTTATTCTTCCAAGTTACTTGACTCTCAGCGAAACCTTCGCTCTCAGCCGGGGATGGTGGTGGATCAGTAATCTTGGTGACAAGGTATGCTGTAGATGCCTCAGCAACGCCGTACATTACCACACCAATGAAGGGAGTCTTCAGAACAACGGTGAAGGCAAACGAAAAGCCGAATAAAACGCCCTCACGGTCGCGGAACCAGCGGCTTTTCTGTTCCGGAGTGAACTTGATACGGCGGAAGTACGGTTCAAGCTGGAAGTCTTTGTTAGTCGGTTCTCACCAGAAAAATAATCACTAGTACTCACTAGTTCGCGCATCAGACTTCTTGATGCAAAGTAGGTGTGGAGAAACTGAATGATGTATGTCTTGGGGAGAACCAGTCCAGCACCAAAGATAACAACGGCTGGCGCAGTGCCGACATGCGATTTGAAGGTATAGAAACTGGCTGCCGGCATAACGAAGCGACCAACAATAGGGACCATGGACAGGAAATACACAGCTAATCCCAGCCCAATTTTCTTGCCATAGCGATTGGCAAAGATCATGAACACCTCCATTTTGGGGCGTGATTGACGAGGGCCTCCTTTTGCAGGAAACATTTCAAGGTTGGGGTAGTACATGTCACGCAAAGTGTTGGGATCCTCAGACTTGTGTTTCTGAGCGTATGTGGCGTCCACCCAGTGGATGGATTGCATGAATCTTCACCAGTGTCAGTAATGGTATGGCGAATATGGATCCTATAATCTTACATTTCATCAAGAGTCGGCGTAAGATGGCCCATTAAGGTCATCAGAAGGAACGGCACTTGGAGAACAGATTTGGATAAGAACTCCAGGCCCTTGAGAAGATCGTCGTCCCATGTTGCGCTTTCCAGGTCGATGATCCAGGAGGCAATGTAGAGAATAAACTTCAGGCTGATTATCTAGAATTTTATATTAGAATTCCATATCCAGATGCTACTGGTAAGACAGCTTCAAAAAGCGGACATACCGGAATTTGGATAATTAGTTGGATGACAATCCCAACGGCAACTGCTATAGCTGCTTGACGGAAGTGCTCATGCTTGAACAGATCTGGATTCTTTAGAGCGCGGACAGCTGCAATTGATAATAGTCAGCTTTCAAGAAACATAGGGGCTTGGTCTAATTCGCAATCTCCAACTAGCTGCCCTGGTGGGCCCTTAGAATAGGCAACACACACTTGGACTACTCAAGGGCCCACGAGCTATCCATTCGACGCCCCACAAACTTTACGTGTGCCGAGAGTTCCGAATTAAAAGGATTTTCATGTCTGCAGGCCTTGATCTGCACAAAAGGAGTATGGGAGACAGACTTCCTACCACGGTGAGCTGGAAGCCACGAATGACGGCATTGGGCTCGAAGTTCGACATGATCGAGCCCGATTAAATTCTCACACCAGCAGCGAGGTGTTCTAGGTTATTTTGATGTCTCAAATTCTCAAGTGCAATCAAGGAGGTTAGAAAGAACAAATTGCCAGGCATCCACCGTTTATAAAGATGGAGCTGCGTCATGTCACATGTGGCTTGTGGCCTGAGGCAATAATATCAGCCTCCCCACGCAAAAAGGCACGCGCTCATTGCGCCGATAACGACCCTTCAACCACCAATGTGTTCACCTTACGGTGGTATCGCTTTGTCCACTTATGACAATGCCCGAGCCTCAAAGTGAGCCCTTGGGTCAGATACATTCCGTCCGACGCTCCGTTACTTTCCCCACGAAGTTAATCCCGCAGTCGACACGCGGTTCCGGGGCGCCAAATCCAAATGTCGCGGAGAACGTCATCTTCTATCATCCCTCCGCGAAGATAGTTCATTTTGCTCCCAGGGCACTGGCCCCGATCCCGTCCAGCTCCGCACCCACCGATTTTGATTATCCCGTCGATACCATCGAAACACTCCCCTGGCGCTCTGCGACGGAGCGAACCGTCGCAACTGCGCCGTTGAGACTTGAGAAAGTCCATGGGCTGACCGTGTTCCTGAAATGTGGAAATGTCGTCCATGCGATTCTAAAGAATTCACAGTGCTGGTGTGTAGATGGAGTCTCGAAATTCGTCTTGCGCATTCGCCCTCTCACATATTATCGCATCGAAATACCCCACGAAACCCAGGAGGAGAAAGGGCTGGTAGATGATTTGAAGATCGCATTGCCAACAGTACTCCGCTATGAAGTCACGCCATGTCCTTTCAAACGAGAATTCACTGTTGAGCTACCGGAGGAGGCTACCGCGCCTCGGCGCAAGAAAGCCTGGCGCCCTAAGGGACGGAAAGAGGGCGTGGCGGTATCATCCGGGAGCGACAAAGGCTCTCCCGGTGAAGTCAAACCAGAATGGCTTGATTCTATCAGTACTGGAGATGACACTGACGGAGCTGCAACCGATGATAGCGCAGTAACACCAGAGGGGTCTGACAGAACAACTTTGACCGTTTTGCAAGCGCGTGACACATCGCCTTCTCTCAGCATATCTGATCTTACGGCACAACCGAGGCTTATGCGACGATCAGTTACCGAAACGCCACAGACATTCAGTAGTATCCGAGCGAAGTTTGATGTTCCTTCAGTTCCAGAAGAACAGCGCAATATTGAGCCTGCGGCTGAATCTGAGTCTACGGTTGAATCTACGGCTGTGCCCAAATCTGTGCTGGTTGATGAATCCAAGCCTGTTGCTGAATCCGACCATGTCTCTCAATCCGAGCCTGGGAGTGTGGATGTGCCTGAAACTGCGCCTCCGCTCACTCAATCTATTCTCGCGCAACCTCAGTTTACTGCACACCCTGAGGTTTTACAAGTGCAGTCCGACCCCACAGTCTCCATTCAAGTAAATGATGGGCCTGCTGAGGTGATGTTTAACCCAGACGAGCCTGTTGACGACGAGAAAGATGAGGTCGAAAGTTCGCTGGCTTGCGCGGACTATGACTGCACCAAGGCTGAACGTCATCTTGAAAGCGAAGCAGTGGTGCCTACTGAGCCAAGTATTGAGGATATTGACACCAGGTCACATGAAACTCAGCTTGAAGTAACTACGGATGTCCCAATCGACCAGCATGAAGCGGGTCTTGTCAAACAATTTTCTGAAGCCGATGCTTTGGAATCCAAAGCTACTGAGGAGAGATCCCCAGATCTTAGCCAAGAACATGCCCCTTTCGAGTCTGATTCGAAGAGTGAGGATGAGCTTACTGGCCCTATTCAGACTGAAGCTGGACCTACTGAGTCCCATGTTTTTGAGAGAGAAGTGACTCAACTCGGCCAAGGCCAGGCTCAAACAGAGCCCCAATTCTCTAAGGATGAGCCAGTGGAGGAAATTTTTGCTGCTGAATCTGGAATTCATCCCCACCATTCGTTCTCGTCCACACCGGAATCTTTTCATTCAGCGGAACCTCACTCGCCATCCGACTCAATTTCCACCCATGCCACTTCCTTGGGTTCTCCTAGCAGGGTACAGAAATATAAGATCGCTCATGACCAAGATTCATCACCAGTATATCCGCCCACATACTCAATGCCATCTGATATGATCAACGGCGCAGTCTCTAATGCCGGCACATTCTCGAAAGACAAGCCTTCCAATATTGACAGATATCAAATGGCACGAGAGGATCCAATTCGGCCTTCATTGAGTATTCCGTCGACCTCGAAGCAAACCACAACACGATCCACGTCTCCCTCGGATCTCACTCATATGAGTGCCGAGTTCCGTCGCCGAGCACAGGCGACCAGACAACGTGACGTCTCCCCGATGCCGGCCCCTTCTACTATATATCGGCCGAGCCCTGGAGAAGAAGCTGCCTCACTGATCTCCAAAGCTTTGACTCTTGTGCTGGTGCCACCCATTTCCCTTTTCATCGTTTTGCTCCATATCGCCGCCCGCATTGTCATCAATCCATCTGTCAATTCTACCAAAGCCATCTCTCAGTCCGGATCACAATCATCTTCCAAGACCAAGGTGCCCGAAGATGACTTCAGTTTTCCTCTGGAGCGTGAACCATCTTCCGAAACATTGTCTGAATACGAAGACGCTCAAATGACGAGGAAACTCGATCCATGGGACCTTGACTAGGTGGTACTGGTTCTGTGCCCATTTTCTGTTTTAATACTCCCTCCTCCTTCTTCATCTTCTTCTTCTTTCTTCTTCTATGTGACTGTTGCACCTTTATTTGATTTAATACTTCCCTTTTCTTTCATCTGACATGACGACGTCATTTTGTTTATGATTATTGGACATCGGCCTGTACGATTCACGGGTTGGACTTGGGGCAATACGCCTATGACACTTTGTACTCTAGCGCTGCATACTTAATATGAGACCTTGGGTCAGACTCTGATCTTTGGTGATCAAGTTATTGATACCTTTTTGTATACATATAGTTCTGGCTGATATCTCCCGGACACAGCCAATTCATGTTGTAATCGTATGGCCTTCTAGCTGGGCACAAGGCACTCCACCCCTGAAGCGATCCAGGAGGCTACAGCACGTAATAATGTAGGTACCGAGAAAAAGCCATTGCTATTTGATGGAGGGATACATACATGAACCCATGGCACAAAAAAAGAACAAAATCAATGTATAGAGGTATCCCAAAAACGCCACAAGTGCCAACTTCACCTCGCCGCTCTCCCCATGCTTACAGACAAGAAATGCCTAACGGCGGCTCAAACAGAGAGAAACCGATATGTTCTTCTTTCTTTCCAAGTGAGACCATATTCGAGTAGAAAATAGATCTAGTTTGAGTGAATCTTCTTAATGCGCATACCACCCTCGTAGAGGCCACGGTCCAAAGCCGCAGCGACAGTCAGGGTACCACCGATGATAGCGCAAACGCCAGTCAAGAAGCCAGTGAAAGTCTTGGGGCGGGTCTCCCGGTTGATGACCTTCATGGGAGAGATATCGTAGTTGAAGAAGACACCGGGGATACCACCCGCAGCATGCATACGCTCCTCGTGTCCATCAGCAGCATCATTTCCACCCTTGAGGGAGCGCTTGTGCGAAGTGACAGAGTACTCGTGGGCTTCAATGCTGCCGGCAGCTCCATAAGCAAGGCCGTGGCTGCCGAGAGGCGCCTTGTCGTAGGCACTGTGGATGGCAGATGAGAATGTCGGATCCCAGCCCAAGGGCAGGTAGGATGTCGAAACGATCTTCAGGAAATACATGAAATTGAAGTCTGGTACGTCCGTAGTCTGGGAGGTTCCATCAAGCGGGTTGACATTGTGATCATCAGTCCATTTCCAACGTTCAGCAAGCTCCATTGGGAGCTGAGGACCAAATCGAAGCTCGTGGATCTCGTGCGCCATTGTGTGCACGTTCTCAACGCCTGATTGACTGTCCAGGTAATAGTTCTCCAAATCGTGGGCGTGCATGTTCATGTTCGTGAAGCTGCGACCGGGCGCAATGTGGAAGTTTCCGACCACCTTATTGACTCGGAGGACACCTTCAATGCGACATCCCTCGCGGCGCTGGGCCTGCAGTTTCTCACCATATCCTTCCCGGGTGCACTGCTCCACGTTCTCTCCGATACCGAAGGCCCATGACTTTAGCGCATATGCCTCACGGACTTCGTCGCAAGTGTTACAGCAGCCTTCCTTAACCGCATTGGCGGGCGCAGTTGCTCCATAGCACTCACCGCAGTAGTTGGGGTCCAAGTGTGTGGCAGCATCAGCCGGGGAGTGTCTATTTGTCGCGTCAGTTGGTGCTTTGGCAAAATCGAGCAGTGCTCCAAGGAGTGGCACTTACAGGTCTAATGACTGGACATCGATAACTTTGCCTCCCTCTGCAGCAGCGGACAGGCGAACCTTGTTCACACCGTGCGCAACGCCCACTTGCTGCTCACCAGACACATCCATGACATCCAATGTCAAGAGCTGGCATGGCAGCCGGGGAAAGGTCATGTTCAAGTGGATCTCCATCCTCTCGCCTATATGCATAAGTGTCCAATGTCAGCCACCCCTCCATAAGATCCAATGGCGTGTATGCAGGTATGTCTCATACCTCTCGACTTGTCCACGATAAGCTCCGGGTGGACCACCACTCGGCGGTAGTCAGCCCATTCTCCCCAGACTAACCACAAAACCACTAGCAATGAGGCAATTGTGATAATACCGCCGGAGTTTGTGCGAATGCGCGCATCTTCAACGGTCTTGGCGAAGGCATCTAGCCTTGTGAATCGCGACTTTGCGGGCATCTCGCCAGACAATTGACGACAAGGAACGGGTCGCCAGGCCTTTAAAGATAGTTGAGATTGACACGTAACCTAGAGGTCAAAGAAAATTACAGGTTAGCAAAGTGGACTAAGAACGCGCAAGCTAATTGAGTAGCTTGAGTATGGAGGATTGCGCCGAGGGTTATAGTAGAACAATGGATGGGGAGCCATGGTCGGGTCGTACCTGGACCAGATGAGGTTATTAAAATGCCCTTGGTGCCTGAGGGAATCCCGGCAAGCCAGTCATGAAGCAGAGCTGTTGCAAGCTGGTCGGTTTGATCTTGAATGTATTGGAATTACTCCATTCTGAAAGGACAGAACACAACCCCTGATTGGTGGGGAATGCTGACTCAGTGTGGATATCACATGACTGAGCTTTGTATCATTGTGAATCGCGTGACCATCGTCTATCGAGTCATTGGAAATCTTATAGTCAAATTATTAATATTCAGATTCATCTTGAAGTTTATCAACAGTCCTCAAGCTTCATAGTTGGATTGATCGCGGCGTGATGTATGTTTTATAATAGTTTATGCGGGCTGTGTCGGCTCCGTGACCCCCACTTACTACGGCATTAATCGTTGCCCTCACTGCCTCGAAATGCCCCAAGCCACTCTTGGCTAAAGTACTAATCCTATATTTTGGACCCTCCATAATCAAGCCCACTTGGAACTGAAAGTAAGCCTCGAAAGCAGGCAGTGCAGGCCCTGCCTTTCGCTGCAACTAGGTGTTTCCCTCAGAACTATATAAATCCGCATGGTCCTATGGTGCCACATATGCCATGTATCATCTTTTGCGCGCATCCGCTTCCAATATTAGCTGAGCGATATCTCTAACCTGAACATGGCGACAATAGAAAATGTCAACTCTCCAACAAACAGTCAAGGGCTAGTTGAGCCACAATCTAAGACAGCGGACTATATTCAAGAGTTTATCTTCACGCGCACAGGACCTCTGCGCATCAACATGAAGATATGTCCAAAGAGCGACCAAAACCATCCTCTCTATTATGCGAACATCACGGGCTCTTTCGGCGATGACACCGACCTTGCATTGCATGCTGGTTCTGATAGAGACCAACCTCACGTGGGAACCTGCCATTTCAACAAATTTCATGCACCGCAAATTGAAGTGCACCGTCAGGGTGGACCGAAATCGAAGATGATCATGATCAAGGGACAGGGTTATCACTGGTCCATGCCTTGGGTACATTATTCAACTGAGCAAGGTCATACAGAGATTGAGCGCCACTTTTATTGGAGGGCACAAGAAAAACACACACCGGCATCGCCAGGCTCAGGCAAATTATGTTTGGAGCTGTGTAGTACAGACTATGATGACATTTATGCTACTTATTCTGGTGCTGCACCTGGTACTCGGAAAGGAGGCATCTTATATTTGAAGAAGAATTTGGGAGAAGAATGGAAGACGATGGTGATTTTGACACTATCCACCCTGGTTGAGAAAGCCAGGCAGACAAGGGCTCGAGATGGAGGCTTTACTACGGGCATGTTGGCTTACTGACCTCATTTGATTCACAAGTCTCAACATCGAATCTAATTTGTGCGTTGAAGCATCCATAGCTGATATGTATACCTTAGCTTCAGAGCTACTTGGGCAATGGGGTGGATGAAAACTCTCCCGCAGTAATGACGTGGGACGGGAAATATATATTAATCAATATCGCGAATTGCTCTCGGATCACCCAAGGAGAGGTATTACAGAGATAGCAAGATAGCATTCTTCCGGGAAATTACAGCCGTTCTATGCTATCGAAGGGTGATACTACATTCCACACCTTCGACGGGCACATGTTCAGTTGAAACACGCGGAATCCTGGATCCCGATCTCCCCACAGGATCGGTGTTCAGTCGTGGATTTGCAAGAGAGGGGAAGTACCTGGATATGTAGGGAAATTCTTGATCTCTCATGCACCTTCATTCAGGCTGGGATGCATCTGGGCAGGTATACATATGCATGATGTAGTGATAATGGGGATTTTGAGGGGTAGGAAGTGTGTAGCAGATACATTAAATTTGGTAGGACCCACACGGAAACAGAGGTAGTTGGTACCACAACAAACTTCCGCCCTTGAAGTGCGGAGTCATGTAAACAGTAAACAAATGCCCCAGACAACCAACAAATATCGGATTTCTCACCCAGATCTTTCCAACATACTTCCTGCTTCCTGCTACTGACTGCGCTTATCTTCTATCCAGCATTTCATCTTATTTTTTTCAGGTCCTTCCGACGAGGCGTCTTAGCGCAAGTGAAATCTTTCCTCAAGGGCACCGCCCTAGAGCAGGGATGATGAACGACGTGCCCAGCGTGATGGTGAGCTCCCTTACACATTTCTAGTCCTTGATCCAGGGAAATTGCGGTCGCATTAAAGAAACAAATAGTTCTGACATTTCCGCGACCAGATCCAGCGACCCGATAGACTAGACGACATGGACATCGACTCCACTCCCGCCCAGCAACGCTCCTCGCGGAAGCACCTACGCTGCAGTGACGACGACGATGATCTAGCATGGAGCTCTGATACTTCGGGCCAATTTGACGATGCTGAGGAACCCGGTCTGGAAGACTGCAAATCCCCATCAGCGAAGTCCGCAAAGCGTCGCCGGTCCAATGACTGGCCGTTGCCGGACGAAGCAGCGGACTACGGAAGCAATGGCAGTCGAAGCTCGCGCAATGGGAATACATCTTTGGGACCGAACTACAAAGCCTCACCTCGCGCGTCGCCCAGGGGGTCGGCTGTATCTCTGCGCAACAGACATAAAGCGTCTACCAATAGCCCTCGGCATCACCTTACCCGGCGGTCTCGTTTCGTTGAGGCGAATATGAGCGATAGCGTTAGCGAGAAGCCACCCAGTATTTATTTGCGCGAGAGCAAAGGGCCTGGTTCGCAAAACCGTACATCTGGGATTTTCCGATTCGGCAAAGCAATTGCATCTGCTTTCAATCCATTCGGCGGTTGGAGCAAGGCCTCGCCTGAGCACGCAAACAAGTCCCCCCAGAAAGATGCCCTCACCCAAGCCGAGGAAGCATATGCGAATCTCAAGCGCGCCGGCTACAAGGGCACGAACAAAGGATCTTATATGCAAAGCCAAAATGTCAACGCCTCCAACGCCGACCAAACCTGGCAAGCAATTCAAGACAAAATGGGCTATGGAAGTCCCAAACAAAATGCAGCCTCCCAATTCGCGCCATTGTCGCCGATTCGCTCACCCTTACGATCCCCGTCAAAGTCTTCCAAGCGCTCGTCCTTTCAAGATCTTCGCATTCCATTCATGAAAAACCACGAACAACCACCCGCGACAACTGCATGTCTAGATCATCCGTCCGAAGACTCCGAAAACCAGGGAGTTCGGAGGCAAAAGTCTCGCAAGGAGCTCTCACGCGAGTCAAAGCTTCTCAAGAAAGTGAGCAACCTTGAGGATAAGCTGGAGCGCGCGCGACGAGAACTTCGTCATCTGAGTGGTAATGAGGAGCGACTGCCGTCTCCGACTCTAGATTATCGACCCATGAGCGTCGAAATGGATGCAGGGAGCTACCCGCGAAAATTCGTCCCAGGCGCACTTCCAAGCGTACCATCTGAACGATTGCTAGATCAGCAGACCGTTTCTCAATCTCCCGAACTTCAGGCCTTTGTTTCTGAGGAGGGAAGAAGTGCTTCACCGGAGTCTCAGCCAACGGCTAAGTCTCCAAGACGGCGACCATCTTCAATGGGTAAGGAAAGCTCTTCCCGCAAAAGGAAGTCAACAGTTCCTGAACCAATCGCTAGTCGGAAACCTCTTCAACCCAATCCGGCGGACCACATTGACGACGAACGCCCCTCCGAATACGACTATTTAATCGACGCCGGTCTGCTTAGCCCACCCCGCTCAAAGTTGCAGAAATTCGAAGCCGGCGACAGCCCGGGGTCCGTGGACCGCACACGACATGTGGATCACGGAGCATCCGCGGCCCAAGGCGCGGATTCAATGCATAGAAGGTCCTCATATGTCAAGTCCCGATCCTCTCCTAGCGCCAATCGCTCACCAATGACAAAGAACATAAGATCACCGCCTCGCCTCCGCATGCAACGCAACCGATCGGAACTGCGCTCCTCTGTTTCTACAACCTATACTACTCCCACCTTAAAATCCGACCCTATCGCCTATGACTTTTCTTCTCCTCCACCACCATCTAATGAAGCCCATCAAGCCTTTTATCTTCAGTCCCATCGCCAAATCGACCCAGACCAGGCTCGCTCTTCACCCACCAAAGCACGACCTAGCCCAAGACGGCGACATAGTTACGACGTGGACATCCCTCCTGTGCCTCCTCTACCTAAAGAGCTCCGCATGAACGCCATCAAAGTGACCGAATCGCCCACCAAACCACATAAGTCTGTAAGAGACTCTGCTCCGCCAGTCCTGTCTCAACAGATACTGCCGGGTCTAAAGGACCAGGCCTCGAAGGAAGAACGATTCCTTTGGCCAAAGGATATATTTTAGATTATGTGTGACATTGAGCAAGAGCTCGGCTATTCTTGACCAGGAGCCACTCGCGTTTGCTCTGAATGATTTTACTCGCCACTAGCAGGTGATGTGATGAGGTTATGACTTTCTGATACCCGGGGTTTAGGCTGTTGAATCCCTGTCTTGTTCTATGATTATGGTTATCCTTCTTGTGCTTCCTCAATGCATTTAAGCGATATGATTCAAGACAGCATTTAAGTCTCTGTAGTATGATATTGAATACCTACATGATGTGATAGCGCAAGTGAGAGTCTAATCTCGATGAAGCTCCGCATCCTTGGGAAGTAGCAGCCAGCTCACACCCGCAGCACCAAGCAAGCCAACCAATATCGGTTGAAGCACTTTGACACCGACTTGACCAGCGATAATGCCCGTAATAGCTGGGAAGATAGATCCACCGATCTGTCCCAGCACAAAGACAAACGCGATTGCCGATGACACGATTTCCGGGGCGAATATTTTCGATCCAACAGATATGCCCTGCGTACGGTTATTCATGTTAGAGGTCCCTATGTATCGAAGCAACGTAGAACTTACCGTAGCAAAGAATGGACCCGAGAAGAAACCCAACAAGCTGACAGCTACAGCTTCAGTAATGATATTCGGGACCCTGGTGGTTTGTTAGTGTCCGATAGACGCAATTTAAGGCGAGGCATGCTTACAGCCAGAATACCAGCTGGAGTCCAACACACAGCACCGCGTATATGAAGATCATGCGTCGTTCTCCAAAGCGATGCGTTGGCTCTGCAAGGATCAGTCGGCCAAGGAATCCGCCTCCGTAGTAACCGGCAGGCACATATCCCATGTCTTTGACGTCTCCATTACGGACTTTGACAAGGTATTCGACCATCCATCCTGTTAATGTGAGCCTTCTTCCTGAAGAAAAAAATGGTTGGAAGCTTAAAATGAGTACTTACCACCAGCGGTAATCGCCGCGCCAAGGAAGAAAAAGAAGAACAAACTCAGCAACCAGACACCCGGTGTGCTTAAGGTAGCTTTGATCTCCTTTAGAGCAGTCTTCCCTGTAGATCCCACTTCGGAGTTCTCCTCCCGACGCTTCTTCCCAACAGCCATCCGATCATGGAACGAAAGCGCAACAAAGGCAAGATTGATAACACCCAAGCCCAAAGGAAAAATATAAAAAAGATTCCACTGCGAATCAGCATTAGCCGATGCAACAGCCGTAGCCACGAACGGTCCAGCCAGACATCCGGCCATATACATCGCATGGATGAATCCGAGCCAACGGTGTGCACCTCGCTGGGATGAGACGAAAGTATTAGCATGCGTGTCATTGAACGCCTGCCCGAGACTCGCCAACAGGAAAGTGACCGCATAGAGCGGAAATGGGGGCATCCAGGTGCGGAGCACATGGGCTAGAATTTGGAGCAAGGCTCCTATTGTCAACATTGCGCCTAGATCCAAGTGTTGAACTATAAAGCTATTTGAAATGGCTGCGAAAAGCCAGCCGAAGAATGTGACGCCGTATCTGTATAACTGTCAGTTGAGGTTCATGTGGTGATGACGTCGTGATACTTTTACTTACAGTACTGCGACCATGTTTGTTCCAATATCATAGGAACGGATAATGTAGGGAATTAGGGAGCCGAGACTTCCGTCATTGACACCTGCAACGAAGAAGGACACTCCAGCGCTAAAGATCTTTGGGTACAGCCATTTTGTTTGTGGTCGATTTGGTTCAGAGTCTTGTAGGATATCTGGTTCCGGCTCGCGGGTTTGAGTATTTGAACCACGAGTCTGGAGAAGAATTGTCTCTGTCTGAGTTTGGGTACTCATTGTGAGTCGTAACAATTAATAGTGACGCAGTGTGAGACTGGTGGTCCTCGAGATATATATGCCCTATGAAAAGGGAAACGGCAGATCGGGCCGTTTTCGCGCCAGTGACTAACTAGATTGGGAAGGTTAAACGTGGGGAACGTGGGCGGGGTAAACTTTCCAATCGACGGTGGGGCTAACCTACAGACTGTAGACACCCAGACACAATGACTGGTCCGCATGATCCACTATTGCTAAGGAGAGTCTTTGAAGGGCTGGCGGCTTGCGATGAGTTTTGATTCGATCATGCATATACACACTCTACCTATATTCATAGATACCCAACCCTAGAACGTGGCCTGTTGCGAAAGCTAAACCTTAACTTTTGCCGGCGCATGACGACCACTAGGTAATGCCAACTTAAGCGACTTTTGAAATAGTAGATGGATTGCTAGTTCAACGGATATAAAGAGGCCCAAGAAGGATGTCGTGAAAAGAGATTAAACAAGATAAATGGTTAAACGCTTAAGGTGAGGAAGGAAATGTAAATTAACCACGAGCCCATTTGAAATTGTCTCGGTATGACGAGTAAGGATATTCTAACAATCACTGCCAGAGTGAGTCCTGGGTGATGGAGAAATCCATCGTGCGCATCGTTTGAGAAGTAGCCTTTCCATCATTGGATTAAACATCGTTATGCAGATGTGTCTGAGACTCTGATCCAGCGTCTTGCAGGGCAATACTGTCCTCCTGAATCTTAGACCATTTGGAATCAGTAGACACCCAAGGCTTGGAGATCGAGGGGTTAGAAATCAGACGCGACCCGTATCGGGGACCGGAGCCCGAGTTCTTATTTGAAGCCTCATTGGACCTACTGCCGAAACCGAGAGAGGTTTTCACCTTGGATGGAAGGCCGGATTCCATGATGAGTTTGGAGAGGCAGGGTACGCTGAAGATGAAGAATCCACAGGCCATTTCGGCGCAGGCCCAGAACAGAAGTGGGCCGATGAGGTACATGCTGTCAGAATCTTGAGAGAAAGTGACAGTATGGGCTAGTCGGAAGCATGCTGCCACGGAGGCGCTGTGCCAATATTAGTTTATAATGAAAGTCAATGCATGGAAAGAGAACTAACAGAATACCCGCGCTGAAGATTATGGAGACACCGATCTTTTTTTGCCAGTTCATGTGTAAGCCCCAAATAATTCGCTGAGGCAGCAGGAGCATTGCAATGTCAGAGACGACCTGGACGCTTGCCGACGTGAGCATGACATCAGGCAGTGAGTAGCATTTGCTCGGAAGGTAGAATTTCCAGATAGCCTCGTGTGGGCGGCACTGCATATTGAGAAGGATAATGCAAAGGAGCCCCCAGACACACTGAAGAAATATGACGACCATACAACCGGCCCAGAACAGATTTTTTGATCTTTCGATGGGAACGAATATTCTACACCAGTCCATCAGGATGGCTGTTTTGATCAATGGCAGAGTGGCTGAATAACAGCAACCGTAGATGAGGATCAGCTGGAACGTGGTTAGCCACTGGATAATTCTGGTGTGACCGAACCCGAGCAACCAGGTGGAACTCACGTAAAGGGGTCGTATCAGATCTTCGTTATGAAGATTCCAAGTGTGCACGTAGTAGCCAGGGGTATAGATCAAAGCGTAGCCTGCATAGGCCGTGCCCCAGTAGGCGCCCTGAAGAGTGTCAGGAGTCGTCCATATTTCGCAAAAAGGGAACAGAAAGGATAAGACGACATACATATGCAAGAATAACCAAGACTAGAAAGAACTGGAGTTAGTTGTATGTTCAACAGGACGAAAACGAAGTGGGATGGATGTCAACTTACATTCTTCAACACGAAGCTTCTTTTCCAGCCACAGACGCACAAATAAGCGAAGAAAGAGACATATCGTCGCCACGACCATGCACAATGTTGTCACAAACCAGGCCAATCCATTTTTATTGGGAGGGTTGTCGAAGTTCGGCGTGACTCCCTCCGGCGCTGCAAGAGCTGGCGCAGCCAGCAGCTCAGCCAGGACTTCCGGCGACATTTTGATAGCCAAAGCCCGAAGGGGGCCAAAGGGCTGGAAATCAGCACGTTATAAAACGAAACCCGTGGCACGAGCGATGAAGAGCTGTCAACTCATGTGTACGGTGAAAAAAGGAAGATATCATATTTTGACAGCTCAGAAAGCCCCTGACGAGGATCGAAGTACTTCATGGCCATGCGCTCCTGATACCCAAGGGAATGGGTGGTGGGCTTGGCCTAACCCTTTCTGCAGAGCACCGGTATCCTTTTTGAGATTTTTTAAATGCGAACATTGGGGTGGGGTGTCGCAGATCCCTTTGCTAACTTCGGAGTATCTACGACGATTTTATGGCTGCTCCATGGGCTGAGACTACGTACGTCTCGCGAGGGTAAAATCAAAAATTCTAAATGCGAACATTGGGGATGGAGAAACCTCGGAGTATGCGTTACTTTCATTTAAGTTCATTAGAGGCTATGGATGAAACAGAGGCCAATAGGAGCCAGTCAAGGCCCGCCGTACCCGCTGATCTTTGACAAAAGTCCCGTTGAAGGATTCGAAGACGGGAGCCGTTGTCGCACTAGACCGGACGGGTATTGATAACTTCGTAACGCTTCCGCAAGACGTGCTAGTCTATATGTGGCCGTAGTTGATGTACGACGACCAATTTGATCTAAGGGGGAAAATGCGAACGGGCTCATGGTTCCTTTCTTTCCAAATCTCTCTCCACTAGATCTGCCACCCTTAAACGTAGCGAACCATGGCTATTAGTAAGTTAATCAGCAGGTTTCAAGGAGAGTATGAAGCACGGTGGAGACTGACACAAAGTACCAGATGGCAACGCGCACTCGCAAGAGTACCCCCCGCGAGCGGACTTGCGGAGGATGATGGACGAATGCCCGCTCCCCGCACTGGTCCCGGGGTTGGTCGACTCGGAGTCGTTGGCTGGCAATGCGGCGACTGAGCAGGCGAATATTGTATTGAGCCGCTTCAATGCTGCGTTGGCTAATAATGATGCCGCGTCTCTCGAGGCCTGCTTCTATGCTGATCAGGCATTTTGGAAAGACCAACTCGCACTGACGTACCATTTGCGCACTTTCAAGACCCCAGGCGTAATTGCAGCGAGTCTTCTAGAGACGGAGAAGCTGAGAAATATTTCGAAGGGAATTGCTGTTGATGGCGCAGCTGTGTTTCTCCCAGCTACCCCGGTCCTTGTAAGTGAATGTCGCATGGACACGCAATAGAACACAGACTTACAATGTATATCGCATAGCAATTTATTGACTGCCCGATCGTGTTTCGAACTGAATCTCCTGGCGCCACTTGCCGAGGCAAGATCCTCTTCTTGCCTGTTAAGACCGAGCATCAGGGCACAGAGACAATTGAGTGGAAGATCTGGATCCTCAGCACTAGACTGGGAAACCTGGATATACAGGCTGAAGATGAAAGCTTGCTTCACGCTGCTGCAAGACGATTCGATGATCCTGATTTCGAGACCGATGTCTTCATCATCGGAGGCGGTAACGCGTAAATCGCACACCCACACTGCCCAAGAAACGGCTTGCTAACATGCTGGAATGTGTAGTGCCGCTGCCCTGTCAGCTCGGCTGAAGGCCCTCGGTGTTGACAGTGTTATGGCCGAGCGGAATCCGAAGGCCGGCGACAACTGGGCGCTTCGGTACGACTGTATGCGATTCCATCTCCCGACATCCTTCTGTGATCTGCCATTCATGTGTAAGTTATTGCAACCCATCTATCTAGTGATAATATGTATTGACTCATTGACTCCTATTCAACCAGGTTACGACAAGGAATTGCAAACACCTCACCTTCTTTCCCGAACTGACCTTGCGTCACAGGTTGTGCGATACGTGGAGACCTTCAACCTCAACATTATCAACTCGGTGAAGATTCAGTCAACGCACTATGACCCGTCCACGCAAAGGTGGCGGATCAAATTCCAAGTGCCCGGTGGTCAACGTACTGCAGTCTCCAAGCATCTTGTCTTGGCAACTGGTATTGGGTCGCAGAAGCCCAACATGCCACAGGTTGCGGACAGGAATCTATACCAGGGGATCAGTGTCCACTCGGCACAATATCAGAATGCAAAGCAACTGGTGGAGAAGGGTGCTAAGGTAGGCAAGCACCCTATGAAATTGGAGATGTCTGGAATGCTTACCACGACTTAGTCTGTCCTCGTGATTGGATCCGCCAACACAGCCTTCGACGTGCTTGAGGACTGCCACGCTGCGGGTCTTCAACCCACAATGAATGTCCGCTCTCCCACATACATTGTCCCTGTCGACTATATCTGCGACAAGATGAGTCTTGGAGCATACAACTTTGGAGTCGAGGCAGCCGACAATCTTTTCTTGACATTACCGGCAAGTGTAGATGGCCAGCTCGCTCGCGGGCTGTTCGCGATGTTCGCATCCAAGGAGCCGAAGCGGTACGAGGCTTTGGAGGCAGCTGGATTCCCTGTTTTTGACAGCAGTCATCCCACCTCGGCCTTGATGCATAATTTGCTCGAGAAGGCTGGTGGTCACTACGTCGATGTGGGTGGTACCAAGCTACTTGCGGAAAGAAAAGCTGGTATTAAGGCGGGAGTCGAGCCTGTCGCATATACTGCAACAGGTCTTATTTTCTCGGACGGGAGCACTGTCGACGCAGATGCTATCGTGTGGTGCACTGGATTCTCTGATGGTAACCTCCGTGGCACCGCAGAGGAGATCCTCGGTGGTAGCCAATCCGAGGTCAGTGAAATTGCACATGGAAGCAAGCACCTACTCGGTCCCCACGAACTCGCCAAGCGTGTCGACGCGACTTGGGGAATTGACGATGAAGGTGAAATTCGCGGTATGTGGAAGCGTCACTTGCGCCTTGATAGCTTTTGGGTGATGGGTGGCTATACTCAACAACACCGATGGCACTCGCGCACCCTCGCGCTTCAGATTAAGGCTGCACTGGCGGGAATTTTGCCTCCAGCATATCGTGATACTCCGTTGCCGCGAACCAAGTAAATTGAGATTATGCTAGTCAGTGTTTCCTGATTTTCCATATACTTCCTTAATCAGTTTTAGACTTAGAGTACTCGTTCGTGTTGTTGTAATTGTTGTAGTAATTTCCGTCCTAGAGAGCGGGGTTTCACCCTGCTCTCGGAACCTCTCAAGGGGCATAGGGACGTTCAAAGCTGGGTGTTTCATATATATGATCGTAAGACATCTGGGCACGCATCTCTCTCGATGCATTTTATCAGTCCGTTAAAATATCTTATCGAGAAATAGCGGGTTGCCAATTCCATCAATTGAAGGTCAATAACCCCAGCAAGTTTGATATTGAAATGACTGAATAGAGCATCCGAATCTTTTCAGACATCGAAAAAAGACCTTAGGGACATGAGGTGACTCCAATATACCCAGTAGAGTCTGGCCTTTGTCAGAAGCCGTTTGTAAGAAGGCCTTCTCCTGGAGACTGTATGTCGACCATATACGTTTCTTCAAGTGGAAGGACGTAAATCTGCAAGATAAACCGATCAGCCCGCTTGTGCCGATGTCTTGTATCTATCTCCCTTTAAAGTAGATTTCATAACTATAATAGGAAGTTACTCAACCTTGTCATACGAGGTCGCTTCAGCTCCAGGAGGGACACTTTCTTGGCGTTCATTTGCCGTTAATGAGATAGCTTATGCTGAGCTTCTTGAGCATATCACTATTACCAGACAAGTTCGAGCGAGCATGAGGATTATGAAGTGCTTTGTTCATCTACTTTCAGTTTCTACCAATATGCCATTCTCTCCCTCGCTCAGTCTATTCTAGATGATCAACTAGGGAGACTGTGCAGATTCCCCAATATTTTCATTGCCGTAGCCGGTTGCCCCATAATCCTGGACTTGACCAGGGCTAGGCAATTGTGTGAAAAATACAGACATTTGTATTTATTAGCGAGATTTGTCCTTTCAAAGCTGCTTGAAGCGCGTGAAGAGCCAGTATTCGAGACAATAACGCGGTGGGATTTTTGGTAATTGAACACTTCAAGCTTATTCTTCCATTTGCATGAGTCTCTCTTTTCAATTTTCACTCATAGCACCCTCTCAGCAGATCGTGATGATCTAGATTTGCCCTCCTTCTTCCACGGAAGTCCGCTTTATGTTCACTTTTTTTTTTTTTTTTTTTTTTTGAATCAAGTAGCTTTCGCTAAAGGACGTCAAAAGCAACCTTCATAGATACTATAGATGATATTATCCTCCGTCCCTGGTATATATGAAGCTGTCAGCCATCTAAATGGGTCTCTTGTTTGCCTTCTCTTTCAAGGCAGGTGGCCTACTTGGAGGTAAGGAACTTCCGCGGGGTGATCGCTCTGTGGCGAGAGGGTAAGCAGCCCGCTACTAAATCATTTTAATGGCAGCTATGCCATAGAAAAGCAGTGCTTCGTTACAAAAGTCAATCTTACATCGTCGTGAAGCTCTTCCTCCCATAAGCACCAAAATATGTTGGCCCTTTTGGTCTTCTCAGATGGCTTTTTTTCTCCTATAGTCAGATGGTTGATCAAAAGTTACCCCAATTCGGATATTAATAATGCGCCTGCCTCTCGGATTAAACGGCGCGCTCTCCCCAGCAGGGACGGACCCTACTCCAACACCTTTGCATCACTCCAATTCTTTGTCATTTGCTTCTGTCTTTTCTGGGGGCTTGTCGACGGCGCCATAACACGACCGCTACCCCAAACTTATATTAGTAATACATGCTGGAATAGGCGACGTCTTCTTCCTCACACCCGCGTTACAAATGCGCATGCTCTCCGAGCCAGTTGGAAGATCTGCGGCGACAGTGGCAGACGCTGGTGACCCAAATTACCAAGCTTTTTACCTCCAAATCCTTAAATCCTCGCAACAGCCTTGCCCCGAAGTCGCGAGAAATGTCAGCAATCGACCCCAACTGATGCCCAGGTGTAGCGGCGAAGCGTAATACTATACCTCTCAAATATATGAATATAAATTGCATGCAATATTGATTCCAACAACGATCTCAATCACCGTTTCAGAATACTTGTGACCAGATTGTTACCCCTTGCAAAAATTGCCTTCGTCGTGTGTCCTTCACCAACAACTATGTCGAAATTGTTCACGCCCCTCCAGATCGCCGACATCACGCTGGCGCACCGTGTGGTCATGGCCCCTATGACACGTTTCCGCACCGACGATTATCATGTTCAATCTTCAATGGCCGTTCAGTATTACGAGCAACGGGCCGCTGTACCTGGTACTCTCCTTATCTCGGAGGCTACCCTAATCTCGCCCGACCATAGCGGGTTCCCACACGCGCCTGGGCTGTGGGATGAGGCGCAAATTGAAGGATGGAAGCAGGTGGTCGACGCTGTACACGCGCGTGGGTCGTATATCTTTGCCCAGCTGATTGCACCTGGCCGTGCAGCGGACGAAGCCTCGCTGCTCGAAGAGGCCGGGCACGGTGTTTTGTCATCAAGCGCGGTTCCACTGGCGGATGCCACATCCGTCCCTGTAGCTATGTCCAAAAGTCAGATTGAGTTGGCTATAGGGGACTTCGCTAAGGCAGCGCGAAACGCTATACAGGCGGGCTTCGACGGCGTGGAACTCCACGGCGCAAATGGCTATCTCCTGGATCAATTCCTACAAGACACATGTAACCGTCGGTCAGATGCGTGGGGCGGAAGTGTGGAGAATCGTGCTCGTTTTGCCATTCAAGTCGCGACCGCGGTCGCTAATACTATCGGCGCTAACAAGGTCGGGTACCGCATAAGCCCATGGAGTACCTTCCAGGGTATGCGAATGGCCAATCCAATTCCACAGTTCGTATACCTGCTTGAGCAGCTCCGGGCTTTGAAGATTGGGTATCTGCACATTGTCGAGTCGCGCGTCAACAACAACGTTGATATTGAGAAGACAGAGGGTATCGAGTTTGCCCTAGACGTTTGGGGTCGAACGTCCCCAGTTCTTGTGGCTGGTGGGTTTTCCCCCGGGTCGGCGAGGAAGGCAGTGGACCTAGAGTACTTGAATCATGATGTTGCTATTGTGTTCGGACGGCATTTTTTGGCGAACCCGGATCTTCCATTTCGGATCCAGCACGGGATTAAGCTGAATGAGTACGACCGACCCACCTTCTACACTCCCAAATTGAGCACGGGGTACGCAGACTATCCATTCAGCCCTGATTTCCTTTCTAAGGGTGGGGCCAATATTAAGGATAGGTGATGCCTTGCGGTATGCACCCGATCAGCCTGCTTGAGCCGATATCTTGTATTTATCTCCTCTTAAAGTAGATTTCAAAACTATAATAGGAAGTTACTCAACCTTGTCATACTATGTCGCTTCAGCTCCAGGAGGGACACAGAAGGTGTTCTCCATCAAGTCCCAAATAAGCTTCTGGCAATGAGTAGTAGTTTTGGAGAGGGAAGGGGAAGGACTCCGCTTTCTAAAATGTCCTTCTATACCTAGTGGTAATACTACGGCGATAATGATATTCCTTCATTTTTGACTTTCTCTATCAAAGCCGATTTGGAGACTGATCACAACGCGATCTTCGAACTTTCAGTTGATCGACTCAACCAACTTTTCAACTTGTGTGAGATAGTAGATTTCTCACCATCCACTCTATTCTTCACAATCCAGGCTCCATCTCGTCATCCATCCAATACACTCTAACAGAAATGCCCTCGTTGCCTTCGATTTTCTATGTTCGGGGCTGGCTCGATCCCAGGAGCATCAAACACTGCCACCATTAGGCAAATATTCTCACGTCCCCTACCGAAGGCCTCGACTGTATCGATACGCTGTGCTACGCGATGGGGAGACATCAACCATAGACTCGAGTAAAACTCTGGCAAAGAAGTTAGTTCCCCACACAATCTATATCACGCTAGTGTTCCTGGGAACGCTTCCTCCGGTCGATCCACTACGAGACAGAACCGAGTTTCAATTGGTCACAGCAAAGGGTCGAGAAGCTGCGCTGATAACATATGTGGTCTTATTACCATGCTGCAATTGTTATTCAGCCGAGAACTTTGCCGATCTTCCTACATTCTGCTTTATAGTGCGACGGGCCCGAGGAGACAATGACGCCTGGAATATAAAAAGCCCAAGGTTTACTTTTATACGGTGTTTTTCCTACACTTTGGTAACACCAATCCCATTATCTCCCACTTCAACTCTCCTCTATGTAAAGATCCTTGCATTCACCATGGTAACGCTGCATCATCAAGAATTCTGCCAACCAATAACGAATCTCCCGCAAAGGTGCTCTTCAGTAAATTTGGAAACTCAGACAATCGTTGAAACAGACTAACTTAACACCTCTAGAGAAAGTCGCGAAGCAAACGGCTACAGCCTGGAGAACAATGTGCCAGAAGAAGAGGACAGAGTAATGAACTTCGGTAAGTTACAATCTCAATGATTTGCTTCGTGGCTTTTGCATTGAAACGATATTTTTCAGCATCAGAAACTGGCCGGCTCTCTCGGCCTGTTTCGCCTGACGCCAATCCCAATGATGCACCAGCTGCTGTTCATTACCCCAATTACCCCAATTACCCCAAGGAGGTTGCGCATTATCCTTCCTCCCGATACGGCTTCTGTGACTGGCCTAGATGGACCTGGAACACCAAAATTACTCGGCCAAAACCATCCTACTACTTTATCTAATTTTGAAACTTTCTTAGGATGGGAAACGGAAGTGACACGGGAGACTAATGGGGAACGTGAAACGTATGAGGAGTGGGAAACCGACTGAAGATAATGTGGTCAAATAGGCGCATATGGATGCGTGGATCATACGCTTAAGAATGTACGTTATTTTCTGCCTCATGTGTACTTCCCAGAGCAATGTCTTATCCACATATTGACTTTTTGCGCACTTTCCGACTTCGCGACTTCAATTCGATCTTTTGAAGTCCATTTCTCTAGCTCGGCGAAATTTGACCCTCTTTGGACTCTGGCCATAGCTAGGTTATTCCTAAGTTACCCTTCAAAACTGTGCGGAAATAGAAAACTATACGTTTGGTTCGTGATGTGGTTCCCCTGGACACAGGCTCATGATATTGATATTGACTAGCAACATACCTTCTGGTGTGACAAGAGAACAACTAGAAGAGATGTTTTCTTATCGAGATTTAGTCCGTCTACATTTGTTTTCCTTGCCTTACTTTATTATATGAGATCTGACTCGTGATAGAACCTTATAATGGATAAAGCAGATGAACGCCACAAGGGTCATGCCTTTGTCACGATTCATCGGCAGAAGAGGCAAGCGAAGCTAGATAGATTGAATCATTTTGAGTAATTAGTTTGACCGCATTTAGATACTGGGTTGCAGTACATATATTACCTTATCTGACAGCTAGTAGGTTATGTGGTCGTAAATTGATTGTGAAAATAGTCGAGGATCCTACACACGAGGGAAGAAATTAGGGGTCGGTGGAGGGTGTCAGATAAATATACATATTTTATAATCAAAGACATATTTGGAATTATAGAAGTCAATCCCTTCTGCATTTCCTGTCAACGTTATTGTTCACGCGCGACTCGATCACGTGGAGGTATCCAAGCTTCAAGTCTCAGAGTCTCTCAATGAGGTATGAGAATTGAGGAATGGGATGAGCCATTCGCATTTCCTGAAATGTACTCCAAGGACTGATTCGGTAGCCGACTTTGTGGGCACCGACCGCATCGGCGACCGTAGTGGTGACCTGAACTGTAAATCGAGCTCGAATTAAAATGCAGTCATCTTTTCATATGGCAACTTTTGAGAGTAGACATGAAATGGGAATATAAACTACCTGAATTCCGCAGATGTACAATTTTACTGGATAAGTATCAGTCAAGTAGGAGGCAGCTGCGAAGCAAGTCAATTCAGTTCAATTTGGATATTTTAATTTTAAAAAGCAATCTAACACCTGACACTCAAGTCATTTCTTCCCAATTCCTTTTCATTTGTCCATGATTACCTGCTTGCAACATCACTAATCTCTTTTTTCAATCAGCAAGGCCCACTGTATTCCCTTAAAGCAATGACATCCAAGTTCCGATGCTCTGCACATCAACAGCCTCGCTTTGCATCTCCGCCAATTCATTCTGGACCCAAGTATCAGCCTTCTCATAGACAAGTCCCCAAAGTTCGTCAGAATTCTGATGATCCCGCTTCAGCAATCCCATGATCATCAGAGTAGCAACGACATTCTCCTCTCTCCCCGTCAGGACATCACGTTTGCCGGAACTCCTGAGTATAGCATTAACTTTGTTGCGCGTTTCATTCATGTCAGTGGTAATGACATCGAAAAGCTGCTGATCCCAGACCCAGCTTCCTTCAAAGCCCTGCAATTCAATCAAGGAGTGCACCTTTGATTTTGGGGTCTTAACTGCAGATTGCATGGAATATTCAGACATGTTCCGAAGACTTGGTGCTGGAGGCGCGGGAGTTGACTGGGCTGATCCGAAAAGTCCACCCGAAGAAAGACCAGCGCTTGCTGTCGTCTGTCCCAACATGGCCCTGTTTGATGCTGCCATTTGCATTTGTGCATGCTGCGTGCTTTGCATGTTTTGTTGCCTTGATGCTGGGGGTGGTGGAACACGTCGCGCTGATGCTGGGGGTGGTGAAACGCGTTGCCTTGATGCTGGGGGTGGTGGAACGCGTCGCGCTGATGCTGGGGGTGGTGAAACGCGTTGCCCTGATCCTGGGAGTGGTGGAACGCGTCGCGCTGATGCTGGGGGCGGTGGAACGTGTTGCCCTGATCTAAAGGGCTGGGCTGATCCGAAAAGTCCACCTGAAGACGGAGCAGTGCTCGCTGCAGCTTGGTCAAATATGACCCGCGCTGGTACTGGATATTGTGCACAGGGAGGTGGTGGAACGGATTGGGTATTTCCAAAAAGCCCCTCGGAAGTAAGACGTACACTCCTTTTGCCGACTACACGCGATGGTGGCGCTGGTGGAACGTATTTGGCAGATCCAAACAGTCCACCTGACCGAATGCTAGCGCTTTCTGATGACGCGAATCCTGCACTAGCTGCAGGTATTGTCCGAGCACGCATCACCATGTGAGCAGTGACAGGTAAGTCATTGTTTCTAGTAGCAACAGACACTCGTACCCTCTCAGCCTTATATACCTTTGGCTCCCTTGTTACAGGCGTTTCGGTCAGATCAGGGTCGTTTTCCAAAGCAACGAAAGAACAGTATTTGCCTGTGATCTGGTACTTGATGCCGAGATTCTGACATTCGCGAGCGACGATCTGTTCCTGGGTCTGGAAGTGAAGCTGCTTGAACGGGTTGCCACTAGCATCTTTGACTTTTTCCAGCCAGCCGTGTCGCTCTTCTAGTTCAACGACGGCTTTGCGAGATGCAAGCTGATGAATGGTCTCTCCTTTTCCGATATCAGTTATAGGGATCCGCAAACACAGGGGACCCTGTTTTGATGTGGCTGTAAATGTAAGAGAATGCGGAATCCTGTCAGATTCAGGGTCAAGGAGGAGATATGCAGTTGTCCTGATGAATGGGTAAAGGGGAGGAATCTTGTGTGGGGCTTGGATGGTCTTGGGTGAGGAAAACACGGGGAGAGTATTCACAGAAGCTCCTTCAAGGACCGAGGATGACTCTAGCTCCTTGAAATCATCGCTGAAGAGGGAAATGGGGGGAGCAGCTGGCTGTTCGACCGCGCCGTTGGAATCTACCTCAGTTTTAGTCGAGGAAAGGCTGGCAGGGTTGACTATCTCAAAATCTTGATCCACCGTATTATCGTAGTCAACCTCCAGCTTGTAGTCATAGATATGGGGAGTGAGAGCTCCCTTAAGCATCCGGATGACACTTTTGTCTAGCTCTTCGTTCTGGAGTACCGACTGAGAAAATCCCTGGCCAGCTCGTGCCACTCCTTCAATCAAGGCGTGGGATACTGCATGACCGATACCCAGAGTAAAGAAGCGAGCAGTATGCTTATTGGCGGTTTCTCGAACGATTTCGAAAAGTGATTGTTGGTCCATTATTTCACCATCGGTAAGTAATAGAACTTCCAAGTCCTTCTCCGCAAGGCGATTTTTCACGGTAGCCTCCACGGCCGGCTGCATATTAGTACCTCTCATATCAGCGCCAATGCTATTCACCAAGTTGAGGGCCTCCTGGAGGCTTGACTTGTCATATGCTTTGCTGCTTGGCCATAGGAATGAATACTCCGATCCAAAAGAGCAAATATTAAAGCACACTCCAAGTGGCAAAGACTTCAGGAAAACCCGAAGAGCATCTTTCAGGGTGCTGATATTTCCACGCATGCTGCCACTTCGATCAATCACGAACACGATCTCCGGCTTATTGGGCGGTAAACTGAACTTGGGTACCAGTGTAGCCATCAAAGCGCGCTGGCCTGGAATAGTCGGGTGAGACTCAAGAAGTGCGCGAGGATTATCAAGTCCATCAGCTTTGGCAACTAGAACAAAGTCGCGTTCTAGTAGTGCTTGGCTGTCCTTTCCTAGACGCAGAGTAGCAGAGGCCTGAGACGGCTCAAAACCGCTGGCTTCTGACGCGGTGGAGGAGACTCTACCAAGAGAGACTTTCGGGGAGTGGCTTGGGGACTGGATTTCTCGGATGACAGAGGATTTTTCCAGCAGAATGTCAGCGGTGATAGAAATCCCTTCCAACTGAATTGGAAAACCAGGGGTTTGCTCGGGGGGTGGCATGGTGAACAGGTTTTGATAGCGAGGGGCAATGGAGTTAGGCAATGTGTAGCGGACTCCATCGAGTTGTGCATCTTGCTTGAGTTCACCAATAAAAGTGATTTCCACGATCACTTTCTCGTTGGCTGGAACATTTCCCAGGCGAATGGTGAAAACATCGCTTTCGGTGGGAGATTGATCCATGATGGCGGCTGACTCATTCCTATCCACAGCATCTTGGTAGTCGATGTTAGCCTGTTCCTTGGATTTCACTTTGCTATGTAGAAGGCGGGTGCCGACGTGACACTGGAAGCCGACAACACTGACGCCATCGTAGAGGGGGAACCTGTAGGAAGCCTCTTCTAGGATACAGTTGGAAGGGTTGACAAAGGTCTGGGTCAATGTGGTACGAGCTGCGGTAGAGAAAATGGTTGCATGGGCTTTGAGAGAGACTTGGGGCAGATATTGGAAGATATTTCCAACGTAAACACAACAGCCACAGTTGACTTGTGCCATGATGGGTGAGAGTCGATATTTTTTGAAACTTAATTTTTTTGATCTCATTTAAGTATTCTGATACTTTGTTTGAAGGAGAGAAGTTGATAGATATTGATCAGGATGGAAAGAAAAAGAGCAAGACAGAGGGGAGGCGAGATAGATATAGAATTTCGAAGGGTGAATCAGGCATCCATACACCAGTCGACTCGGAGTTTCCCCGCAAAGCGGTGCTCCGCCCGTTGCCTAGAGCCGCATGACTCGTATTTGTCATAAACTAAATTATGATTCGATGAGAAGATAAAAATTGCATCTCTTTGCTACTTCCATGGCTCAAGCTTGATTCATAAGACAAATGTGTTTCAGTGCACCGGGCATACAGTAGATCCTTACCCTTTTAGTGCCAGGCCACCAGCTCCGGCTCCCAATCCTCCGGCGGCTCTTTGGTCGTTTAATTTACGGCCTTGGAGTATAACTCTCAATTGATGTGTATTACTTCGGACCTAGCTGGGCATAATTATGCCGCAACATAATTCAGAACCTAAGGTTTCTACTACTGTCATACGTTCCAAGGTTCAGGATACCTAGCAGAGAGCCCAAAATGCAGGTACCTCTAGCTATATTTATATACATCCATATTCTACAAACACCTCAACAAATCCTCCTCCTGAACTTGATATACCTCATCAATCTTCTCTCCAGTTCCCTCCCCACAAGCAAAATCCTGATTAACCCGCTCAACAAACCTTTCCACAAACTCACTAGCAGCCTCATCAACAGTTACTCCATTAATCCCAACCCCCTCCAAACTAGTCACCTCTTTCCCTTCCAACCCACATGCAACAATCTGCTTGAAGAACCACATTGGCTCCTGAGTAACATTCAACCCAACCCCAAAGCTACTAATATTGCGTCGCAGATGCACACCCACAGCCGTAATCTTTTTCGGCGCCGCCCCGGCAGACGAAGCAGGATCTTGAACCCAAACACCTGGATCCTCAGTCGTGAAACCGTTGACACCGTATCGCTTTAGCACATCGATGACGCTGTTCTCGAGAACGCGAATATGGCACCGCGGTGTTAAGCCCAAACGGCGGAGGTCGAGGATCGTATATGCGACCATTTGGCCTGGGCCGTGATATGTTGTTTGGCCGCCGCGGAGGGTGGGGTGATACTCTGCTTTTGGGGCATTGGTGCCGGAGGGAGTGAGGATTGCGCGGATTGGCTCCAGGGGTGGTGGGAGGGAGAGGTGGTTTGTTGGTGAGTTGGGGCAGGTGTTTGAGGGTGGGAGGTCGCGACGACCGGTTGTGTAGACCGGGTTTGGAGTGAAGGTGATGATTGTTGGGTCGGGGGGTGGAAGGTGTGCATGCCCCGGGAGATTGGTCTTGAGATCTGTTTGCGACGATAGGGAGCCCGGGGAGGTGAGCTTTTTTGTGTGTGAGGAAGCGGCTTGTAAGTGCTTGCTGGAGACTGGACACTCGCGCGAAAGGCGTGGTGTGTGGGAGGTGGAGGTGAGCGAGTCTCATTATGGCGACTTTGATCGTGGGATTATTCAAGGCAGTAGGTATTATTCTCCGTAATCATTGCAGTTGGACAATTCGGTTTCCCTCGGAGTTGGAAAGTTAGGAATTTGAGTTGCGGAGAAGCTGGGAGCTCTCCGATAAGATAAGTCATGAGCTCCGTAGACTATGACGATCATGGTCGCTCTGCTACAGTTTTTACTCTTTGATTGCATGTTTTGGCATTTCAATGCTCATTTCATTCTACTTCGTATCCAAATGTTAATTGGCACATCGGCATCAGATAACAATAAAACAACATCGCGGACACTTGGCTTTTCTGGCTATCCTGCCAGCGTAAACTCAAATTCAGCCATGGAAAGACTTGCTTTGCAAGGCGATCGATATGTTCATATCAGATCCTTTTGCAGTGAAAAAGAGCCTGTTGGGGTGACCAGCTATGAGGAGATACCATTGACTAGTCCCTCCTGTTCACCCGCGGGGGGAAGCAAGATCCAGTCCCGCACACCACCCTTCCAATCCGCAATGCGACCCTCGCGCACCTGCACCGTAACTACCCGTACATCACTATCAATCGACATACTGGCGCGGCGCGCAGCCGGGTCCGTTCGCTGCTGCTGACCAAAGAGAGACATCTCCTCCTCTTCGAAGGTGTTGTTCTCCAGATGGCGCTCCTTGCACCAAGACTCCTCCTCCGAGCCAGGTTCCAGGAAACGTGCTTCTCCAGTGATAGTAGTGGAGATACTAGAGAGAGCACTGGTGTTCAGGTTGAGAAGCAGGCTGGCCAGTGATGAGCGGGTAGCGGCGGGTGGGGGAGATCCGTCGCGCCCACCCGGGGCGCGAGTTGGTGGGCGGTGGGAGACCCAGTCATGAACGAGGAGCGATAGGCGAGGGTTGGAGAGGAGGTGGTTGGTCTTTCGGGAGGCGGGGTTGGTGGTCATAATGATGGTAGGGTAGGGGTCGAACGGGGTGGAGGGGAGGTAGGTGTAGGACATGAGAGAGATATGGGGAGTGAGTTTATCATCACATGTTGCCAGATGGAGCTAATTGATGGTCATGGTCAGTATTTTGGAAGTGTGATTGGGGCAGATGCGCTGGGGTTCGGTGATTGCATACGAAGCGGGAGTTCTTCAGGCAGGCGACGACCTCCGAGGGCAAGCAAGTTGCCTCATGAGGGTGGGTGGTGGTGGCAGATGCCTCGTAGGAAAGAGGGGGATTGATAGAGTCAGCCATGGTGACTGGATTGCAAGCTTGTTTAGAGCTTGGGCGGAGGAGTTCGGGATGGAGGATCGATCTGTCGAGGGCGGTGTCAAGGTGGGCTGAAGGTGGGCTGATATCAACGTCATCCAATTGGACATTCTATGTACACGGCGGATAAGGTTGAATCTACATTAATGTGGAAACTTATGGAAATTCTACGGAGAGGCTCATATTATGATGATCAAAACACTGAAATTATTTTGAAGTAGGCTATCTTTACATTAACGGTTTCGGATGAGCTTTCTCGGCTGATAAGCCAAAAAGCTGATTCTTTCAATCAAATATAAACACCGACTCCATGACATAATTCACAATAAATAAAATGCAATAAGATCAGAAAACAATTCGTCAAACTCGTGAGTCATCGTATATGTGTATATCCAGATTTTCATCGGCCAGCGCATAAAAAACCAGTTTACTCATCGTAGAGATCCATGTCGCCACTGCCATCCTCCATCTCCGCGAGAGCGTCGTCAGAGTCAACCATTTCTTCGTCGTCGTCAAGGTCGCTTTCGCCAATCTCATGATTCGGTAAGACGTCGATACGTCCATCAATCATGACCACGCGAGCAATTTCGCCATCTTGAATGCTGCCACGCAGGATGAGAACAGCAAGGCGGTTGAGAACCTCCTTTTCGATGATGCGACCGAGGGGACGAGCACCATAGGCTGGAGAGTATCCAGATGCACCAAGGTAGTCCTTGACTTCCTCGGTACATTGGATGAGGACGTTGCGACCATTGTGCTCCAATCGCTTCTGAACCTCAGCAAGTCGTAGATCCACAATCTTGCGAATCTCCTTCCTGGTGAGGCGATTAAAGATAACAGTACTGGAGATACGGTTAAGGAACTCGGGGAGGAAGTAGTCGCGGAGAGCACCCATAACCAGTTCGCGAGTTTGGGGATCAATGCGGCCGTCTTTGGTTGTGGGCCGGGACAGGTACCCAGCACCCAGGTTGGAGGTCATGACAACAATGCAGTTCTTAGCATCAACAATGCGGCCTTGTCCATCGGTGATACGGCCGTCGTCCATCAGCTGCAGAAGAACAGTGAGGACTTCCTTGGCAGCTTTCTCGACTTCGTCAAACAAGAGGATGGAGAAGGGGCGACGGCGCAAGCTTTCGGTCAACTGACCACCGGCGTCGTGACCGACATAGCCAGGAGGTGCACCAATCATTCGGCTCAGCGAGTGGCGTTCCTGGTATTCAGACATATCGAAGCGAATCATAGACTTGGGGTCGTCGAAGAGGAACTCCGCGAGGGCCTTGGTAAGGAGGGTCTTACCGGTACCGGAAGGACCACAGAACAAGAAGCTGGGAGGCGAGTTCGGGTTGCTAAGACCAGACCGCTGAAGTCTGATTGCATTTGAGACAGACACAACAGCCTCCTTTTGACCAATGACAAGTTTGCCCAGGTACTTCTCCATGTTGAGCAACTTGTCCTTCTCGGTAGTCTTGAGTCGGGTGACGGGAATGCCGGTCCATCGAGCAACAATCTCGTTGATTTGATCGGGACCGACGGCGTCGGCGAGCAGGGCTTCGCCAGCGTCACCATGGGCAGCTCGGCGCTCGGCATCGGCCCGGGCACGGTCAGCCTCAAGACGCTCAATAAGAGTCTTAGTTTCGGGGATGGCATAGTATTCGAGATCGGCCGCGGTGACGGTGTCGCCTGAGCGCTCTGCTTCGTCACGCTTAACTTTGAGGGAGTCAAGCTTGATCTTGGCATCTTGAACTTCCTTGCTGCGTTGCTTTTCGCTCTCGTATTTCTGGCGCATGGGGCGAAGTTCTTCGGAGACATTGGCAGCTTCCTGCTTGGCAGCTTCCAAACGGGCTTTTGATGCTTCGTCTTGTTCGCGTTCCAGAGCGTGAATTTCAATCTGAAGCTGTCGTAGCTTGCGCTCGAGGGTATCCAAAGCTTCAGGCTCAGACTCTCGAGTCACACGAACTGCGGCGGCGGCTTCATCGATAAGGTCGACAGCAGAATCGGGAAGACGACGGGCTGTCAGGTAGCGGGAAGCGAGAGTAGCCGCAGTGACAATAGCACCATCAAGGATGTTGACACCGTGGTGGACTTCGTACTTCTCCTTCAGACCACGAAGGATAGAAATAGTTTCCGGGACTGAAGGTTCCTTGACCAGGACTTGCTGGAATCGTCGCTCGAAGGCTTGATCCTTCTCGATGTACTTGCGATACTCACTCAAGGTCGTAGCACCGATGCAGTGCAATTGACCACGAGCCAGCATTGGCTTGAGAAGGTTTGCAGCATCCATGCCACCTTCGCCACTAGATCCAGCGCCCATAAGCAAGTGGATCTCATCAACGAAGAGGACAATTGTGTCCTTAGAATCTTCAATTTCTTTGAGAACACCCTTCATGCGCTCCTCGAACTCGCCACGGTATTTGCTGCCGGCTACTAGAGAGCCGACATCAAGGGAGAGGAGCTTACATTGGGCGAGATTGGCAGGGATATCCGCATTGACAATGCGGCGGGCCAGTCCCTCAACGATAGTTGTCTTACCCACACCAGGCTCACCAATGAGGACAGGATTGTTCTTGGTACGCCGACTCAGAATGCGAATAACACGTCGGATTTCCTCCTCGCGACCAATGACAGGGTCAATTTTACCCTCACGAGCTAAAGAAGTCATATCGATGGTGAACTTCTTCAGATTCTCGCTCTCACTTTCCGAGTCTGCGGTCTTGGAGTCCACGCGCCGTGTACCACGAATCTGCTGGACGGCGGTGTCGATTAATTTAACATTGGGGATGTTGGCGTCGGCCAGGGCGCGCTGAACCTGGGAGTCCTGAGCGGTAGCCTGAATTAAGTGGTCGATCGCCACGAAGCTGTCCTTTTGGGTCTTGGACAAGTCGGTGGCTGACCGGATCACCTTGGCGAGTGCGGGAGAGACGCTGACGGACTCTGGAGGAGGGTCTTGGCTTGGTAACCGAACCAGCAGCTTCATTAATGAACGATCTAGCAGCTGGGGGTCACCATGAGCTTTTTCCACCACTTGGCGGAAGAGTGGCGCGGTCGCGGCATCGTGTGAGGAGTGCCCGGCGGGCTGTTGATTGTCGGCATCGTCTTGGGAGGGATTTAGCAGTGCAACTGCCAGGTGGATAGGGAGAATTTGGGAGTGGGCGTATTGTTCGGCCAGAGCGCTAGAGTCTAGCAAGGCCTTGTTGGCCCGGTCTGTAAATTGGGCGCCGTTCATTTTGAACGGATATGTCGTGGTAAGATCAGTCGAGATGAAAGATTTATGGGAAGGTAAATGAGTAGGTGAAAGAGTTAACAAGATCGATTCAGAGTGAAAGACTGTAAGTTATAATGGTCTGATGTGGCGGACGTCGATGATGTAGTTAATATACTCGTCGGCCCAGTACCCCGCCGATGCCTCATGACGCCACGACAACCGTCTACAGCGTTCCAGAAAGTACGGGAAGCACGTGAGAACCTTCCAGATATGAGCTGTATGATTGGCCCATTCTCTCGATAGTGGGGCCCACTGCTTCCCGTCAGGGTAGCTTGTTTACTTTGCATTGCACTTCTATAGATCTGATATACTTTATGATATGGAGTTTCTTACTATTCAACGAGAAAGTATCGGAAATCTATTAATCACGACAAGTCGACTATCTCAAGTATACCACAGAACAAAACCCATACCCAATACCGTTTCTGAAAAGCGAAATTTGATTATTCTGCAATGTTCTAGTCTCTTCTCGATTCTACCACTCACCTGAAGCTATATCGCCCAGTGAACATGTCGCTCCGGTCGACCATCTGAGCGATGAGGCTCATCATTCCCGGTATTTGGATCATGCTGGTCCAAGGGGACGGCGTCCTGTCGGCAAAGCGGGCAAGTGGTACTCCGAGTAAGCCACTGTGTAATACAAAGGTAATGGAACAGATGACCACAAGGCAGTGTAGTGACCCTTCCTCCGAGCTCTGGAGGGTTTAGGCAAATAGCACACTCTACTCCAGAATCAATCATTCGTTGGTCAGCGTCTGTCGCGGGTAAGGTGGGGAGGGGATTGGGCGTCACCGGCCCCTCTGGCTGTTCTTCGCTTAGAAAATCCAGTTCATCGCTAGACAAACCTATTCCAGGCAACTCATAATCTATTATTGATGCGATAATAATGAGCGTTTGGTAATACGCTCTAATTGCCCATTCATCCCCACTGTTGACCAGCTCCTGGACCTCTCTGTTGGAAAGACCTCCAAGCGAGGGCATATGGTCAAAAGGTTCAAGTATGTCGACTTCAATGTCTGTGAGATCACTCCCGTCATCCGAGATCAACTCCGGTGGCTCTTCTCGACCGTCCTGGGACATTGTATTAAATGATGACTTACCTTGGACTAATGGACTTTGACTCGATGGTTAACAATTGGCGAATTGGCGAAAATTTGTATGGGAAATATTTGCGTACAGTGCAGTAATTTCAGTGTCGTTGCGATAAGTATTTGAACTGAATGTAAATGGTGACTCGAGACCAATGCAGGAAAAATCGTGGTTTTATATTCATCATGATCATGCACTTGTCTAGCATTGTCTTCATTGATTCTTTGTGCCGCTTCAAAACAAAGGAAGAATCCCAATGTTGGCATATATATAGCTCTCATTATATGCATTGTTTCAGAGTGCGATTCAATGAGAAATAAAGAGCTGAATGAGTAAAATGGGCATTTTCTGTGACTGAACAATGGCGTCGAGGAAATGGGACCATCAACCAGTCTGAGACCGGACTACAATGGACGAGTATTGGATATTTTGAACAAAGTCCTTTGTGATAATGTCTTGGCTAGGACTTCCATCCAAGAATAACAAATGATCCCGGCAATGAAGCGGAAGTAGAGTCAGACCACGCATGAAAGTATTGGTTTTCGATATTACGTTGCGAAATGACTAAACTAATCGCAAAGGAGACTCATGGGCGTTGAATGCCGGAAATATGATATGCCTGCATTGGACTTGGCACATACTATGACTGTCCCTGTACATCAATCCGTTAAATGTGGGTCGATCGGCCAGGTTCCACGCTATGAGATCACCAATCCTAATCGCACGTCGAGATAGTATAGTCCCTCTGTACCTTGGTTAGCTCAAAAATGGATAATATTTTATTTTATTCGAACTCCAAACAATGCTCATCATACTTTTCTGGTCGGGTAGAATGGATCTAGAGCTGACCTGTTGGTCTAGCCGTGCGCCAAGTCGCGTTGGATGAGAGTCATGACATCATTGGCTCCGCATCCACCCGCTCCAGCTATTCCCGGTTGATTGCCCGACGACTTGCCCAGTGTTGTTGACCGGTGTAGCCAAATTCGGTGCAAGACCAAGAACAAGGATATCGAACCCGGCTTGCCGGGGGGATCGAGTGGTCCCCATTGTGGCAATATCCAGCTATCATGCATGCCCACCAAAATCCGAAGACTCCATTATGAGGTCATGGCACGGTTTAGAATCAGAAGGAGGGGTGTGCACAGAGCTTAATCAAGGCAGCCTCTCATGATTTAGTTGACCTCATCTTCCGGTCTTAGTCTATAATTACCCCTCTCCCCTCGTACTTTCTTCCATCTTACATCTTTACAATTCTCCTCTAATCAACAACCTACACTCAACCCTCCACCCAATCTCAAACATACACATCCACCATGCCTATCTCCGTTCCCAAAGCCGACCACCTCAAGGACCTTTTCAGCCTTAAGGGCAAGGTTGTTGTCGTCACCGGTGCCTCGGGCCCCCGTGGCATGGGCATTGAGGCCGCCCGCGGTTGCGCCGAGATGGGCGCTGACCTCGCCATTACCTACGCCTCTCGCCCCGAGGGCGGCGAGAAGAACGCCAAGGAGCTCGCTGAGACCTACGGTGTCAAGGTGAAGGCCTACAAGTGCGATGTCGGCAACTGGGAGAGCGTGCAAGAGCTCGTCAACAACACAATTAAGGACTTCGGCAAGATCGATGCCTTCATTGCCAACGCTGGCCGCACCGCCAACAGCGGTATCCTCGATGGCTCCGTCTCCGACTGGTCTGAAGTCATCCAAACCGACTTGACTGGTACTTTCCACTGCGCCAAGGCCGTCGGCGCTCACTTCAAGGAGCGTGGCACTGGCAGCTTCGTCATCACCTCCTCCATGTCCGGCCACATCGCCAACTTCCCCCAGGAACAGACTTCATACAACGTTGCCAAGGCCGGCTGCATCCACATGGCCCGTTCTTTGGCCAACGAGTGGCGCGACTTTGCTCGTGTTAACAGCATTTCTCCCGGATACATCGACACTGGCTTGTCGGACTTTGTGGAGAAGGACGTTCAGGACCTTTGGAACTCTATGATCCCTATGGGTCGCAACGGTCAAGCTAAGGAGCTGAAGGGTGCTTATGTCTACCTGGTCAGCGATGCTAGCTCTTACATGACCGGTACCGATCTCCTCATCGATGGCGGTTACTGCGTGCGGTAAACGCAACATGTACATTAACGACTTTGATTTCTCGGCTGGTACCACATCTTTGACGATAATGTAGCTTCGGATTAATGAATGAAGAAAAGCATCTACTTTGCTAAGTCTGTTTCTTGCCACGTAATAAATCAATGCCTTCCTATCACGTACTTGCCAAGATATTTGAAGTGGATTAGGGGATTAGACTTTATGGTCGGTGGCCCGGGCATGGTATCCACTAGAAAGTTCTACGGCCAGATTGAAGTAGCCCACATTTAGTTTCCATCGTCGAATACCTTTCACTTTACAACGTATCTGTCAGTCATTAAGTTTTCTTTGGATCAGTCCCAGGTGATATACAGCATTTTGGTCCTCAATGTAATACATCTTCATTTTGCTGGCTAAGGTATTGGCTGGGTTACAAAGGAAATGAAAAAATGTCGCAAATATCCTATAGTCATTGGCAGTAGTGAATGATCAAAGCGCACAAAGGCAAATCAGCCAAAAGAATTAAACGTCACCATTTAATAGGTAATGCCAGTGCAGCATGGTAGTAGGTTTGGTCTGATACTTGCCACATATAATAAGGCGTCTGTCTGCATTTTGAAAGTATCAGTAGAAACTCACTAGGCGCCAAGTTACGATCTAGCAACATGCAAAACAAACGATTTACCGTACGATTCAGCCTAGGAGCCCCGACGGTCAACTTCATGGAAGCATACCCACGGTCAGTCAATGAGCTGAGCCGCACAGAAGTTAAGTTGCTGACAGAGATTTTGCATGTATACAACACCACAAGTTTTCAAGTCCAACAAGTTCAAAGGCTTATCAAAACTCTTCCAAAAAGACTTCTCCGTCCGCGAGTATCCTTTTCAGGTCTGAACATAAAGTCTTCGGGACTATGTGAGCTCCACCGACCCATGAATGCCGACGTGCTCCGGGACATCTTAAGTCTCGTCCAACGGGAGGTAACACAATGTTTCCATCCATTCGACAGACACCCTCAGCTTGTCAGACCCACCGAAACGTACATTCTCAGCAAGTTGCGCGCGTTGAAGGGTATGTGGACCAAACCTGTACTAGGCAGCCCAGTAGCGCCGGGTGCCTGGCCGTACGAGATCAATGGCTGTGCAGCATGCATACTCGCTCGCATTGTAGTGAAAAAGGAAGTTGTCCTTCTTCTCCGAGTAGCACTGCAAAGCCGGACTCGTACAGGCAGAACTCATCGACCGCGCAGACTTATGATTTTCGTGGATGAGTGTATGAATCGTTTCAGTCATGAAGATGCCGAGGAGATATTCTCGATTTCTAGCAATTTGGCATATCGCATGAAAGATGCCCGAAAGGCTTGTAGCAAGGCACGTGCCAAGCAGGCGAACCGAAGGGGGTTTCGATCGGAAGGTTGTGAGCGGGAAGATATGCCGGCAATGTTGGGAGCAATTGAGGGCCAGGACGATGACCATGATGGAGACAGAGTTGCGATTTCTGAACAGATTGGACTGCCACCACAGAAAGCAACACACCTCTCCACCAATACCGATATGAAATGGGCTGTGCCATCAGTACCTCGGAGTTCAGTGTCAACATGCCCCATTTATGCTGTTCAGCATCAAGATATGAAACAATTGGATTACACAGTTGAAGAGGCTGATGAGGAGTCTGGGAGTTCAGAAGATGAGTGTGATTCTTTATTCGACCATGAGCTTGTTGATGGATGTCATTCGGTGCAGAAAACGGAGAAACAAAAATAAAAAACGGTTGTCTCACCAAGTAGCCCAATTCCTTGTAACAGGACGGTGTATTCTGGCGACGCCATCCCAGGGTGAAAGTGCCTCTGCAGAATTGCTTCCCTCAAGTATCACTTTCATTGCTTAGCGACAAACAGCGTCGCGGATTACTCGCGCGAGTGAAGTGTCGACCCCAGGATTCGTACCAGGCACCAGTACCTGCTGGTCAGGTGACCGAAGCAAGGTTGCGGACTTGGCGGTGAGCCTTCCACTAGGTTATCCATGACAGATTACCAGTATGAGACCAAACATTGACCTATAGACCAGAGTTCTTCATCCATATTTGTCCCAATAGATAATCTTTCCCGAGTGCGCATACTTAGACTCTATCATCTCATATGATCGTGGAGATACTTTAGTATATACGATATCGCCTTGGAAGAGGAAAGAAAATAATGCTTAAATGTTCGTTTCGAGGTACAGTGATATTCGAAATCAGTTTTTTCGCTTTTCTCTCTTCTCTTTTCCCCAGAGAAGCCGTTCTGAAGTAAAGACGGTGTCGGGTGAGGGTAAGACTCGAATAATATGAACCCAACGTGGACAGTCAAATATCGAACGCGCCGGCGTTCTTTGCGATTTTCTTTTTGCTCTCCTTTCGGTCGCACGGGCTTCCGTCCACGCCCGCTCTATGACTTTATGACAGAAATGGAAATGGCAATCGAGCCATGCCGGAGGCCTTCGTATTTATTGGCATGGTCACGTCCAGTTCTGAACAGACTGGCTTGGGTCTCTCAACTACACAGAATCAACGCATCCTAGACATTAGTACCTGGAGCACCTTGTAATCGGAGATATCACGAATGATATGCTCTATTATGTGCTCGTGAGATAGACGTCCGTTCTCCAACCTTGGAAAGAACCTCCTCCATCTCTCACAAAAGTAAGAAAAACGTAATCAACCAGAATAATGGGCTCCAGCTAAATAAAATTTCCAAGTTGACAATCACTCCACAGCCGCATGAGAGTGTATGAAGGCCAACACCGCCTGCACAAAGCCGTCTGGGTTCTCTTCTGCAATATAATGACCGGAGTCTTTGACCTCTGCAATCTGAATATCTCCAGCATAAACTTCTTCGACCATTTCTCTGGCCTCGTGAGCATGCCGGCTCTGTGAGCCACTAAGGATGAGCACAGGTCGGGTACACTTTCCTTTGAGGCGCAAGCTTTCCAGATTTTCTCGAGCATCTTCTTCAAATGCCCGATAAATTTCAAAGGAACATCGTAGTGCTCCCGGCTGCGAGTATTGTAGAGTGTAGAAGTCCAAGTCAAAAGGAGATATCGCTTGAGCGTTGAAGCTCTGTTTAGAAAAGAAATGGTTCAGGTATATCTTCTCCCTTCCAGTCACCAGGGAAAGCGCCAAATCATCAGGCACACTGTGGAATACAAAGTGAAATTGTTCAGGCATGCTTTTGTTCTTGTCGTAGATAGAAGTGCCAGGAAGCGGGCATTCACCCCAAATGACACTCGCCACATGGTTGGGATACAGCGTGGCATATGCATGGGCAATCATGCCCCCAATGTCATGCCCGACCACGTGAATTGCCTGCGTAATACCGAGATGATCATGGATCAGAGAGAAAAGATCGCGCGCCATTGTCTGTTTCCTAAAATCTTGGGCGGGATGTGATGATTGACCAGCCCCGCGATAGTCGGGCACTATAATTCGAAAACCCTCCTCGGCGAGAGGTTTTATCACATGCCGGAATTGATACGAAGTTTGTGGAAACCCGTGGATCAATAAAATATTCCCTTTTGGATCACTGGTTGTTGGCGGTGCGCACTCGATGTAGCTGATGCGGACCGACTGGTTGTTGTCGCTGGGATTCTTGATCCAGGCATTTCGCTTACTCCATTGGTTGGGAAACGAATCAGCTAAACTCTCAAGGCTCATGATTCCGGCTATGATTTGCTGATTGAAGATGGATGTTGAGAATGTAATATCTGTGAGATGAATGCGCCGACTTCACTAGTTGAACCCGCATGCAAGTTGATTTGTCATCAGGCAGCTTATGACCCTTAGACCCTGAGTGACTCGAGGTGAGGTGATCGGAGCACCAAATATAGTCCGAAGGCAAAATCCGACCTAGCTGATCTAGACTCTAGGAGCATCATTGAACAAGCTGATATAAAAGATAGACATTCAATGGAAGGAATCTTGTGTATGGTTTTGATACTTGGCATAAAAGCCTGCATCTGTCCACACAAAAAAGTCCAAGGTTTATCTAAAGGGGCCCTGGTTATTCATAAGTTAATATTAAAGTAGGCGGGCGGGTTCCTGTGGGCAAGAAAGAGAGAGAGATTTCAAAGATTACTGTATATTGGAAATGCACGGCACTCGCTAAATAGACAAAGAAAAAGGAAAGAAACCCTCCAATAATGTCGCGTCGTACCTTTCCAGGTCTTAATTTTAATTCAGGTTTCCATGAAGCTTCTGTCCAGTCTCAAATTTAGATCAAATTTCCACGAAGCTCTTGTTCCCGCTCAATCGCCTCAAACAGCGATTTGAAGTTTCCTGCTCCAAAGCCGGAGAAGTTGTGCCGTTGAATAATCTCCATGAACACAGTAGGACGATCCATCAAATGCTATCATTCGACATTAGCATGTAAGCTACCACATAAAACGAACGAAAAGACAAACATACCTTGGTGAAAAGCTGCAGCAAGTACCCACCCTCGTCAAAGTCGATCAAAATATCCAAGCTGCGAATTGTCTCAAAGTCTTCATGCAGCACAAGCCCGGACTTCTTCAAGCGGGCCCTCATGTCGGTATAATAGGTCTCGGGAACCTTGATGAACTCCACTCCACGGGCCTTCAGGTTGGTGATGTCGCGGATGATGTCGTCGGTCAACAGCGCGATGTGCTGCACACCAGCGCCGTTGTAGAAATCAACATACTCCTCGATCTGAGATTGCTTCTTGCCCTTGGCTGGCTCGTTGATGGGCATCTTGACCAATTCGTTGGGTGATGACATGACGATACTCTTCAAGGCAGAGAACTCACTGTGAAGATTAGTATCTTATCTTGACAGGAGCAGTTTGCCTCGACTTACGTGCAGATTTGGCTGTCGTCCACGGACCAGAAACGATGGAATCCAAGGGCCTTTTCGTAGCTAATAAACCGTTAGTATTGAGTTCCCTCTATTTGTTTTGTTCGCTATTGAGGGAAGACTGCAAAGAAACTTACTATTCGCAAATCTTATCCATCTCATCCCAATCCTGGTTTCCAACACAGTGGTCGATCCGTTGAAGTCCCACGCCAGGCAGGAATTTTGTGATAGGGTCCTCGGTGCCAGATTCCAAACGGTAGCCAGGTAAGAAAGCACCCCGGTATGCCTTGCGCTCGATCAAAGTGTGTGTAGTCTGACCGTATGTCTGAATTGTCCCAACCTTGACTTGGCCGCCCTCATCCTTGAGAACAGAGGGAGCGGAGACCGACTTGGCACCATTCTTGACAGCAGCAAAGTAGACAGCATCAACATCATCTACTTCAAATGCAACATCCTTTACTGCATCGCCGTGCTGCTCGAGATGGTGGTGAATCTCACGAAGCTGGTCTTGTTCTTCGGTAGTGAAGCGGTCGATCTGGTCCAAAGAGCGGAGAGGCGAGGTGAGAATGAAAGTGATATCTCCGTTGCGAATAACATGAGAACAGGTAGCTCGGCTTCCAGTTTCGAGACCACGGTAGGCAATACGCTTGAATCCCATGCGAGTGATGTAGTAGCTTGCGGCTTGCTTGGCGTTTCCGACATACCAGTGGACGTGGTCGTAACCTCGATAGCTGGTGATAGAGGATGACTCGTTCACCGTGGAAGGAGGTGGAGTTGTGGAAATAGCTGAAGGGGCCATTTTGGTGTTTTTTCCTTTTGGGTCAGAATACTCGGTTGTCTTCGTTCTTAAGTTCTTAAATGATACTTCGTGAAGTTATAAGATAAGAAGAGATGGAAGTGTCAGATGTGAAGTGAGATGATATGGAAAAGACGCCACAAGTTCTACTTTATAAGAACCAGCCAAACGACTTCTATTAACCGTACCGGGGCTTCTGCGGATATCTCATTGCATTCATCGTCATTGGTGCTATCATTGTAAGCCAAAGACCCGTGCCCCAGCTCGGCTGGGACCGCATGCTGGTTTTCCCTGGAATAGCCGGTAACAGCCGGGCCGGATAGCTTGCGGATATTGACTGCCCTCATTTCATGCGTTACTTCTACTTATTTTTTAAAAAGCTTTTCTTTATCATTCTACTTTTTATCATATTCAAAAAAATTTTAAATTTAATCTTTCATATCCTTAAGACTCATTCACTTCACCTGGTGGATGTTGTACTCTTGATATTTTTTTCTCAACCCAAAAACACCATTACCAGAAGCGACAGATACTATCATGACATCAGTCGCAACTCCTCGTCCATCGTTAACATCTAACGATGCGGCTGTTCTCCAAGCTCTGTTCGATGCCGAATCCTCACCCTCATCCGGAGTCACAGTCGATTCATCACTCCCGCCATGGCCAGCAACCGTGAACCTCTCACCAGAAGATCTTCTTTTGGTGAAGAATCGCGAAATCGAAATCATTCGCGAGCTACAGCCAAGCATGAACCCAACCTCTGAGAACGTTAGTTCAGCGGTAAATAAACTCGATGATCTTCTTGCTCAATACCCGACCTACCCACCCGCATATACCAACCGCGCCCAGGCCTTGCGCATGCTAGTCGATCTTCAGCACAACAGTACAGATACTGAGAATGGCTCAGATGACGCCCTGTTCACACCTCGGGCTGCAGAAGTGTCTTCTCGAATCTTAGCGGACTTGGGTCAAGCAATCACTCTCGCCACCCCTGCTTCACCCGCCGACCCGATATCATCAGGGCAGGCGCGGCTACTGGCCGATGCGCATACACACAGAGGATATTTGTTATTGAAAGCTGCGCGAGCGAAGAAGACTCAGGCCCTGCAAGAAGAAGCCGTGGGTCCGGATCGCTTGCGAGGACTTGAGGCTGATCAACTCGAGGAGATGGCGAGTCGAGATTTCTTTTTGGGTGGCAGATATGGCAATAAGGTAGCACAGCAACTAGCCGTGCAAACAAATCCTTATGCGAAGATGTGTGGCGCGATCGTTAAAGAAGCGATGAGAAAGGAATTCGAGGAATTCGAGGGGCAAACACAACCCTCGACATAGGTCAACTGCTCTGGTGCCTCATGAACATTCTTGGCGTTTGGAATTTTGCATATAGCGATAGTCAATTAAGCATATTCTCTTTCATAATATCCACTTGGTCAGTCCTCTTCATGCTTATACATGGCATCATGGATATGCTTACGTGATGCTAGCATCCGATCAAGCTTATCGTGATCCGAAACCCAGCTCTGCGGGCACTTTCTATTCTTCCGTAGAGTGAGTGAACCAGTGCAAACTTGTGTTTCTATACGTCTAGCTCAAATACAAGCTACCTACAGCTTACCTGAAGCCGACAGCTGTCGCATGACAGTGTTGCGAATTTACCAGGGAATGCTGAGATTGACCCGACAGTCATGGATTTGAAAATGCATGTGGAAATGTTCGCGGTGGACTTATGCAAAATGTCGAATGAAGTGGCTCATCATTTAGAGCCTCAATTCCGAAGGTACTGTACGCGGTCTCAATCATTTGTAGGAACACCTGGCGGTGTTTCATGATTTGTACGGCTCGATAAGATCGGATGCGGCACCGGCTATCGGCCCGACGCATCCCCCACATCAAGAAGTGAGGTAACGGACCTTGAATCGCATATGAGCATCCCCATTCCATAAACTATTTCTTCTACTTCCCCTTCAATTATCAACCAGTGGAATCATCAAATCAGCTTCCCAAAAAAAACTCAACCGCCCGCACACCATGTCATACGAAATCCAATACGACACTTCCCTGGCCCCGCCCCGCGCGGCCGCCATCGTCAGCTTCATGCAGGACTTCTACCGCACCAGCGACACCGAGTCAATGCATGAGAAATATGTTGAGAACTTCACTGGCGACGCAACTTTGATCATGGGTCCCAAAGAGGCCAAGGGCACTGATGGTATGTATCCGACCGAGCATCCATGATATCCGCTGCCCGTTCCATACTCACCTCGGAACTTCCAGCAATTCGTACTATTCGCCACGGTCTGTGGACTCATGTTGCTTCACGGAAACACACTCCCACTCGCATTTTCTTCGGTGGAGAAAATGAGATCATGCTCTATGGTGGAGTGAACTATCGTCTCAAGGCTGACCCGGAGAATGACGTTTATGTTCCCTGGGCTGGACGGGTGGTTTTTGCGCCACAACAAGAGGGTGAGGGTATTAAGATGCACTTTTATCAGGTTTACTTGGTATGTATCTCCCGAATAAGTTGAACAGAGCTTTACTGACTTTTATAGGACCCGTCCGCACAAGGCGGCAAGAAATAAGCGGTGGATATGTATTTAGGGAATTTTCAAGTGATGAAACTCAACACTGAGTAGGAGATACGGATGAACTTGAATTTCAGTGCAAACTTCCACTTCAAAGATTTGATTGATAACTTGAGCTACTAAAGTTTGCAAAGCTTCAAATTACAATGCACTAGCCTGGAGCCACCACTTCTTCTTGCAAAAGAGCTAAAGGAACTGTTATTTTGGTCATTTTTGTATCGGTGGACAGGGAACACACGCCAAGGAAGCAAGGTATAGTGCACTACATTGCCGGAGTTAGATAGTCACTCATGAGAGTAATTGTGGATAGATATACTCACGCAAACTTTAGGTCCTGTGGGATTCAGAAAGCTTGGACAGGCGAAGGCATTCGGACAACAGCCAATGTGTGGCCCTGAAGAAATGCATGTATTATTTGCCGCACACTAGAGAATTGTCAATAGAAGACATGCGCAACTACCTTCTTGATACTTACACATGTGCTTGTAACGCTACAAAATGTCTGGTTTGTGGGACAGACTCCACATGTGCCGTTGATACAGCTCTGGGTGGCTGTGCACTGAATTTTGAAATTCGTATCAATATACAGCCTTAAATAACCAATGCAATAAATTTGAAGCATGAAATACCTTGTTCCCACAACTTCCACAGTTGTTTATATCCGAAGCGGTATTTGTGCATGACCTGGCGCAGCAGTTAGGTGTTGTTCCTGAGCACTGAAATTAGTTAGCAAAGCCAAATGAAAATATTCACTGACGGCACTCACAGTACTAGCACATGTTCCACAGTTCGTTGAGCTGGTATTCAAGTTGACGCATGTTCCAGAGCAACAATTCGGGTCTGTTCCAGGGCACTAGGGTTCAAATAAGTTCAATATTCTAAGCCGGTCGGTAGTATAGAGTAACCAATCTTACTATCGTTCCACAGGCTCCGCAATTTCCAGGATCAGTTATAGTACTGATACAGTTCCCGCTGCAGCAAGTGGGAGAGGTTACCGAGCACTACAAGGCAGGATTAGTGAGTTATTAGCTGCCCAGATGATAGGAGATAACCAAATTCAGCTCCTAAAGAGAGTGGTACCGTGTTGTTGCAAGCTCCACATGTCAGAGGGCTGCTGCTTAAATTCCTACATGTCCCGAAGCAACAGCTAGGTGTTGCTGCTGGACACTGTTTTTCGCATCAGATCAGCATTTGACATTTCACAAGTGGGTTGGGGTAAGGGAAGGAAATATTCACTGTAATGCTACATGCCCCGCAGTTTTTGGGATCGGTTAGTATGTTGGAACATTCGCCAGCACAACATAAAGGAGCTGTCAACGGGCACTTGGGGTAGTATTAAACACACATATTAGCAGAGATTCAGCTATTCTACAGGGAGTGAATTCCAACTACCTACTGTTGTGTTGCAAGCGCCGCAAGTAAGAGGGTTAGTATTCAAATTCGTACAAACACCAGAACAACAGTTTGGGGCTATTGCTGCGGGGCACTTAAGAGATGGGGATCTCAGTTCCTTTGTTGACCTTGAATCAGACATATGACAAACATACTGTGAGGCCACAAATTGCACAATTGTTGGGGTCCGTGTTTGTATTCGTGCAAGATCCTGAGCAGCAGTTCGGCGTTGATGAGAGGCACTAATGTATGGCATTAGCGGGTTTCCCTTCCATCATCTTAACCAAGATTGAGAGAACCCACACTTATCCCGCAAGCTCCGCAGTTAGAGGAAGATGTGTTGACATTTGTGCATGCGCCGAGACAACAAGCCGGCGAAGCGGTCGTACACTACCGTGATAAATTAGGCTACTCTAGTCTTTTATATAACGAGAACTCACGGTGATATTGCAGTTTCCACAATGTGATGGGCTACTGCTCAAATCAGAGCAAGCACCTGAGCAGCACGCGGGAGATACCCCCGTACAAGGTGCTGCGGTACAAGAGCCACATCTATTCACGTTATTACTCAGATTGGTACAAGTACCACCGCAACAAGCTGGTTGAGCGACAGAGCACTATCAAGACAAATCAGACTTTGCAGATGTATGATCGAGTAGACTTAGAATACTCACCGTATTAGCGCAAGAACCGCAATTTGCACTACTTCCACTCAAGTCGACACAGGTTCCGGAGCAGCATCCTGGTAGTGTACCACTACAGGGAGTGGCTGTACAAGAGCCACAGTGATTCAAGTCAGAGTTGGTATTGGTGCATGACCCTGAGCAACAGCTGGGAGCTGAAGAGTTGCACTACATCGAAGTCAGTGTATTTGCAGCCCTATCGAAGGACAGTGAAAAGGGAAACCTACAGCTATATTGCATGCTCCACAGTTTAAAGTGTTACTTGACAAATCACTGCAGGATCCAGTGCAGCAGGCTGGTTGTACACCTGTACAGGCGTTGCTACAATTTCCACAATTCTGGACGCTGGTGTTGATATTTGTGCAATTTCCGGAGCAACAGGTAGACTGGGCTAAATTACACTGTAGATTCTTATTGTTGGTTTCTCACTTCAGGCCATTCAAATCTTGGGGAAGCTCACTGTGTTATTGCAAGTTCCGCAATTCGCGGAATCGAGGCCTAGGTCGCGACATCTTCCGGCGCAGCAGCCTGGAACGGTCCCAACGCACTAGTACCAAGTACATATTAGCACCCACTCATCCCGCGCTTGCCTGAAGCAATATGAATCAAGAGGTATGAGCCTTACCGGAGGGGCCTCGCAAGATGCGCAATGGGCGGGGTCGTTGAATAGATTCGCACATTCTCCGCCACAGCAATAAACATATTGGCCGTTGCACTGTTTGTGGAGGCTGATTAGGCATTTGAATCTTAACTTGAAATTTCTGGTCAAGGATTCTCTCACAGCATTATTGCATGACCCGCAATTAGATCTGTTGCTGTCAAGATCAACGCAATTTCCTGAGCAGCAGCTTGGCTCTTTTGCCGGACATAGACGAGCCGTGCAGGATATTGAACATGATCCACAATGAGTCAGGTTACTGCTTAAGTCCACACAATCATTGGTGCAGCATGCTGGCGTTGTCCCTGTAGTACACTATCAAAGTGCTTGCGCTCAGTGAATGTGTCAAGCCAAAGATTACATACAATATTGAAACTCTTACAGGTGCAATGCATGCTTGTAGATCGGGTAAGAGTGGCGATTCAGAGAACAAACCGGCGCATGCAGATTGAGGACCAGCCTGGGAGTCAGTCAAACGTCAGTACTTATCAATTTCGTGGCTTCTTTTACCCAGAGCTTCATCGAATCCACAACAGACTGTTTCACCTACATTATCCCAAGAAGAACCCACGGACTGACATTCGTCTCGAATTTTTAGAAAGGGCGGTTCAGGATCCACGGGGCTTGCGATGATTTTTGCATCATGGAAGATGAAGAAGACAGCTGCCCGTTGATTAGAAAGGCATGTTCAAAGTCGGGGCAGATGAGGTTTGGGCCAGCAATTCGGTGTAAAAGAACGATGTCATCTCACCGCATATCAATATTAACGGTGTCAATGCTTTTGCCTTCTCAATTATCGCCATGGCGAGTCAAACTGGGGGGATGTTGATAGCCCTCTCTGTGTCGTTGGTTGAGATATCAGGGGTGGGGAACATAATCCCAAGAACGCAGACCTTGACTAAGATCACGTTGTGACGGACTACTATCGTCAGATATTGATAGCAAAAGCCATTGCCGTATCACAGCTTCAGGGGACAATGTAACGGTGGGTTGAACCACATCGGTGGTCTAGTCCTCCATGTTACATCCCTCTGGACGTGCTACCAACAACTTTAACTATTTACACGAGTGGTATCAACACTTTGTCTTTGAAATCTGAACATGTATAATATAGTGCTAAGCTACGAACACTTGGATTCGCACTGAACTTGGTCTTTATTTGGTGGCATTGTGAGACTATTCTGCGGCTAATATCGTCACGGGTGTCCTTGTACTTAATATACAAGTCTCGTCCGCCACCGTGACAGACACATCCATCTTGAGCCAGTTTATAATTCGAAGATTGTATACATCAAAACTGGGGGTGATTGGCTGCACTTTCTCAAGTCGTCTTCCCGCAATACTCAACCCGTCTGTATGGAGAACCATCTGAAGGACACTCCCAATATCGACCGTTCCCTCCCCCATGGCAATCTCCCAGGGGAAATCATCCATTCTGCGGACAGCATCCTTTAAGTGCAAGTCCTGAATGCTGGAGTGTCCTCCGACAGACTTAGCAGGGATTGAACGAGCCGAGTTAGAAGGTTGATTATAGCCTGCTTCCAGGGAGGCTCCGTGGTACTTGACAAAGGTACAGGTTTCGATAGAAAGTGACATTGAGGTGATCCAAGCTGTTCTGTGAACATTCTTAATCTCCTTGCTCGTCTCAGTCCCTTGGACTATTATGAGGTTGAGGGGTAGAAACGCGGGGTTGTCGAGCTGAATCGTACTCGGAGTGTAAATTTCCATTTGGAAGAAAAGCTCGGGTACTTTGGACGAACCGAAGCGCTGCTGTGCCCTTTGCTTCATAGATAAGTTCGAATGACCAACATCCGGCAATAGACGATGGCTCCTGACTTTCCGCTGGAATGTTTGTTGTGTGATCCCGAATTCATCAAATTCCTGCAAAGGTTGATGTCTTAGGGTGATCGGATAAATAGCAGTGTGTTTTCTTTCGATATCGCGACCAGAATCACCTTTCTGCAAGTATCGCAATTCGGCCTCGAGAAAGTAATCGATCCACGCAGTCGACGTGGCCAGGCCACTCCGACTAATTGTGTTGATCGTTCCTGGTAGGTAATCATACGAGACATCATATTTTCCAAATATCCTTCTTGGCGGATCAGGAGTAATTTCTGTTGTAAAAGACCAAGAAACGGGGTTTTCACCCTCTGAAATCTGTAGAGGACCTTGAAAGATGGGATAATGCTTTGCAAGTAGGATCTGCTCCGAGGCGACGGACTGAGTGCCCGCACCGGCAGGATCGGTGGGCAATGAACCGCTAGTGCCCGCACCGGATTTGCTAGTCTGTATACGACCTCTCAAAAATACTTTCAGGTCCGCATTCGCAGTGTCAATGGGAGAGCGGCGAACCACGTCGCCGATGACCGTGTCACCCGGGGCAAATGTCCAGCCCTCGGGCGCAGCCAAATCGATCCGGAGGGCATCATTGCCTACTTTGACAAGTGGCATTCTCCTGAAAGATGGTTTTGCAGTGATAGACCCCGATTAGTTGCTTGAGAAGACGCTAAAAATAAGTCGTGTACCAGATCATTTACAGGGGAAGTGGGGTAATGTTTCCGCCCCTCGCCGCGACTGATAGGTAGACCAGATTAACTTCGTTCATTTTGGTTTCCCATCGACGGCAAGAGAACGGCATTGAGCCTCAAGATTGCGTTTCGCCACTCTTTGGCATAAAAAAAGAGTCATTGGGTTCGGTTTGCATGTTCCTAGCCCGGTAATCCTACCGCAAAATGAAGAGTTCTATGAATTCAGGACTAGCAAATGGGGTCTATAGATGAAATATGATACAACTCTTGGAAGAATGCTTAGAATGTCCATGCATCATCCATGTATGAGCTCCCAAGGCTCTAGGCAGAGCATTCTAAAGCTTGCTTCGATACATCTGATGTGTACCAGACGTATCCTCAGACAATGCCGTAGCCCATCCACCAAACGCCCCAAATCAACGGTCCCATCGATCCAAGAACCGCTGGACCAAACGACATCTCAAGTATACACCAGATCCATACCGTCCCGTATGCAGGTGCCGTCTTCATCATAGCGTAGTTGGGGTTATCATTTGTGATAGTAATCAGGTGCATACCCAGCATCACGGCAACAGGTAGGAAGACAAGCGTTCGGAGACTCGGGGGTAATAATAAGCGTCGTAGGAATGACAAAGTGAATTTGTCTCGTGTGAGTGGGAAGATGAAAACTGGCTGCGGATTCAAGAAGCTCCATCGTGGAAGCCGGAGGGAGACCATGTGGCCGTGGATGAAGTGAACGAGGAATGTGAGGAGTGGGAAGGTCATTGTGACTGCGTCCTTAACTAGACGCGGTACGTCCGTCGATTCGGCGTACATGTACGCAGCCAGGTAGGCGAGAGTGAGGTGGAGGGTTGTGAGGGGGATAGAGAGCAAAATGGTATCGAGGAAGGGTGGGAGGGGCTGGTCGGTGTCTTCTTCTTCATCATTGGTGACTTTGGGTTTGGCATCTCCAATGGAGGGTTTCTTTCGCCCTCCGATGTCCTTTGCGATCTCGCTGTTGATATCGCCGTCGGTCTCCACGAGAGCTCCAGACGCGTCCACGGTCACGAAGCGTGTCCCCGTGGACTGGGTGGACTGCTTTGTTTTCTTTGTTGATGCTGGCAAGGCTTTTGAGCCTGCTAGCTGGCCACGGAGCTCATTCTGACGTTCTTCAATGATATCATAGAGTGTTCTGTGCTCTTTGGGGCTCGTGGACGGATCGTCGCGTGAGGGGAGGGAGAGGGCAATGTCGGACGCGGTGGAGGCAGACTCGGAAGCCGCAGCACGGCGCTGCTTTCGATTTCGTGGAGTACTCATGGGTCGGGGATAGGAATTCGAGATCAAAGTTGCAAGAGTCAAGAATTTGTGATTTGAACAAGAGGAAAATTGTGTGGAGCAAGGGACTCGGCGATAAACCCGGGGTTAAACTGAGGAGCTCTCTTTGTGTGTACCCCCGAGCCTGTAGATCGATCAAGGATGTAAATGTTCAGTGAATTCGTCCGCTGAAGATATGCATCCCTTTCGAAATCCCAAGTGGCGAATCAATTACCCAGATGTCCCAAGTTGAGGTCAATTTGTGTAAGATCGAAGTGCATATGTGTCAAGTGAGACATTTCATTGGTGCCTGTCTAATCAGGCATCACAAAATTGGAAGCTTGACATGCACCTTGAAACGTTAGGCCGTGGGTCTATCTTAAACTGTACACCCGTTTAAGCATTCAAAATACTTCCGCAAATAATGTTCCAAGTTTAAGTGTTTATATGTTCATGATGTTCATCTTAAAACATTCGAAATTCACCTAATGAATGAATATGTATAGGTAAGTAGGCTTAGATATATATGTACACGAAACATGCCTTGAGCCAAAGAACAAATACCTCATAATCACCAGCTTCTTTAATGATCAGGTAAAGATAAGATACAAACTTGGAATTGGAGGGCAAGAATGCAATTCAGCCAACCTAGAACCCCTCAGTGCCTGCTCCAACTCTAATTCTACCCACCGCCTATTGATCTCACCGGTGAGAGGGATTTTGGTTGCCATTGGGCATTAAGGAGTGGGCACCTAATAGCTGACAAGCCGTGAGATGTGTCAGAAAATTGTAATTGCGAGGAAAGTGGGGGAAGTCAGATTTCCGTCATTCCGTCTTATGGCAGAAATATTCGGAGTCGTTGTGTCACCAAAGTCAATATAAAACCCATGTACCCCGCGGGTCCCGCTGATCCCCCATATCCCCACTCACCATGTTTCCCCCACCACCCGCAGCTCTCGATTGGAAGGACATTGGCTTCAAAGTCCGCGACGGTAGGCTCCATTAAGTCCAATTGCAAACCATTGTCTAATCGACTACAGTTCACGGCCATGTTGAATGCCACTTTTCTAAGTCTGGCGGAGGCAAGTGGTCTGCCCCACAATTCGTCGCTTCGCCTTTCCTGTCCATTCACGGTATGGCGCCCGGCCTGAACTACGGACAGCAAGTCTATGAAGGACTCAAAGCATTCCGCCATGCTGGAGATAACAAGATCACCATCTTCCGACCGGAGCGCAATGCAAAGCGAATGCAGCATTCTGCAGAGGTGGTCTCCATCCCGCCTGTCCCCGAGGAGCTGTTTATCGAGGCCGTCCATCTAGCCGTGGCGGTCAATGCCGAGTTTGTTCCGCCTCATGAATCCGGCGCTGCGATGTACATCCGACCTTTACTGTTTGGGTCTTCTGCGCAGCTGGGCCTGAGCCCACCCGATGGGTATACGTTTGCTGTGTTTGTCATGCCCACCGGCGTCTACCATGGAGCCAGTGCAGTCGATGCCCTGATCCTCGAGGACTTTGACCGATCTGCTCCTCATGGAACAGGATCGGCGAAGGTCGGGGGTAACTATGCCCCTGTACTACGTCACAGTGATCGCGCGCGCAATGAAGGTTTTGGTATTACGCTGCACCTTGATAGCGCGACACGAAGTGAGATCGACGAATTCTCGACATCAGCCTTTATTGGAGTTAAGGGCAGTGGTTCGGATGTTACGATTGTGCACCCCGATAGTCCTAATGCTATCGACTCAGTCACCGCCGCATCTGTGGGCGAGATTGCCCGGAAGTTGGGCTTTCGTGTGGAGAAGCGCCGTGTTAGCTACGATGAACTGGCTGGTTTTGACGAAGTGGTTGCGGCGGGTACAGCGGCCGCTCTGGTGCCGGTGCGGAGTATCACTATGCGGTCGAAGGGAAACAAGTTTGAATATCGTTCCGGAAACAATAATGAGGGCGGTGAGGTCTGTGTAAAACTTCTGCAGAATCTACGCGGTATTCAGTCGGGACAGAAAGAAGATACATTTGGGTGGAACTTTGAAGTGCAAGCTCCTCCCAAGGGATGGATGGAGGATGGCAGCACCGAAAAAACGGAGTTCAGCGGAGCGAATGTGCCTTGATGATATCAATGAAAAAAGTCCCTTGATTCCATGCCAGATGACTAGAAATGTTGTTTAGTGGAAGGCCAGGGAGTCCATACTTCAGTTCCTCCCTTCCGGAAAGGGATAGACGTGACAGCATCGGAATGCGATGTTGCAGTGTATTCGTTTGCGGCCGACGAGCCACTTTTGACACGTTTGCCTGTTATCTCTCAATATTAATTGGCTTGAGTTGTTCGAATCGGTTCTTTTCCCAGGTCTATTTCTTATCGATCAAATGTCGCGGCCTGGGAGCTCCCCTGCCCGCATTCCTCGCCGATCCCCACTGTAGAGCAGAACCATGGATGCCACGATACAATGACAGCTCTAGGGTCACACCTCAATGGATCCCAGTCTGATTGCAGGCGCGATGAACAGACCCATTGTGATAGTAGTTCCCCATGCGGTTCAATCGTGGTACCTGTTTGTCCACTCCTGGGTCAGGGCGGGACGGTGACTCGAGGGATACACGCCTTGTTACCATGCCAGCACCCCCATTGTTTTTGGAATGTGATTTGTGATCCACAAGACCCCTCTTGTTGGCCAGACGTGGATGTTACGTATGGGTTTCTGTCTCCACGAGATTTCTCTTCCTTTTCTATTCTTTGTTTGAGAGGCTGTCTGCAGGCGTAATACCTGTGCAATTGAAGGTCAACCAAAATTTCATTCAATATTCATACTATTGGAAACAAGTGAAAATCCAGAAGGCTTTGTTGCACCAACTGCAAGCTCATCATCATATTATAATATATAACGGCCCCGATGCGCATGTTCGGCGCTTCTCAGCCCTCATGGGCGAGGGTATTAACAGTCGCTCTTGCGGGAGCATCAACGGCTCAAGCCGTTACATTAGACGTTGAAGATGGCGGTATGTGCATGTGCATTGGAAAACGAAAGGTCATCCCACGATTCATTGACTTACTCCATCGCAGATTCCATCAAAATAGCCGCGAGGCAAGTAGCCACGAACATGATGTCCTACTATACCGGAAATAGGCCGGGCGACAATCCGGGCAATCTACCAGATCCATATTACTGGTGGGAAGCTGGTGCAATGTTTAATGCATTGATCGACTATTGGTATTATACAGGCGACGATAAATGGAACGACATCACCACGCAGGGTCTACTATGGCAGGCAGGAGACACTGGTGCCTTCATGCCAAACAACCAAAGTAAAACAGAAGGAAATGACGACCAAGCTTTCTGGGGATTTGCAGCTATGTCTGCTGCGGAGCGGAACTTCCCCAACCCTCCCTCTGACAAAATGGGCTGGCTCGCCATGGCCCAGGCAACATTCAACACACAAGCGCCTCGCTGGGATAATTCTTCATGTGGAGGAGGACTGCGGTGGCAGATCTTCACATGGAATAACGGTTATAGCTACAAGAACACCATTTCCACTGGCGGATTCTTCAACTTGGCAGCCCGTCTTGCAAAGTATACCGGAAATTCGACATACCAAGAGTGGGCGGAGAGGGCTTGGGACTGGACTGAGGATGTCGGATTCATGACACCCGACTACCATTTCTGGGATGGCGCAAGTGATTTGACCAACTGCACCAATATCAACCAAATTGAGTGGACCTACAACAACGGTGTTTTCCTCCTCGGTGCAGCGAACATGTGGAACATAGTAAGTATACAGCTCACCTTTAACTTCAATTATTCTGACTAACGGCTGTTGGCTGCAGACTTCCGATCCTAAATGGAAAGACCGAGTCGAGAGAATCCTCGAGTCATCTGAGGTTTTCTTTTCAGACAACCCAAAAAATGTCATGTTTGAACGAGCCTGTGAGACAGTCAACACATGCATGGTTGATCAACGATCCTTCAAAGGCTATCTCGCCCGCTGGATGGCAGCCACCACGCAGATGGCGCCATTCACATACGACCTGATCATGCCCAAGCTCAAAGCGTCCGCATCAGCAGCTGCACAAGCCTGCGATGGTGGACCGGAAGGCACTACTTGTGGCCTTAAGTGGACAGAGAAGAAATGGGACACCACCACGGACTTCGGCCAGCAAATGGCGGCTCTCGAGGTAATTCAGGCGAACCTCATCACGAAAGTGGCTGCACCAGTCACTAGCGATAATGGCGGTACCAGTAAGGGAGATCCTAGTGCCGGTGGAAAGCCCCCAGCGCCCACGCCTGATGCGCTGTCGTACCCTATCACAACTGGTGATCGGGCTGGGGCCGGTATCTTGACTGCCTTGATGATGATCACTCTGGGAGGATCAGCGGGGTGGCTAGTTTGGGATTAATTGCTATTTTCTTCTTTCAATGGCCCGTCTCTTCACTCTAGGGTTCTTCGTTTTCATCTTTGTTTTTCTTTTTACTGCAGAGGTCCAACGTCGGCGTGGCGCAATTTCTTGCACAGCGCTCGAGCCCTGTACATAGTTGTCGCATTCAATTGTACTCAGTTTGGTAACAATGGATATTGATTGATTTTGCTCGAATTAAATATGGGATAAGAACAGCGCGTTGGCACCAACCACGCGCTATAGACATCCACCAATCCCGGACTTTCTCGGAAATTATGCTGCTCGCATGAAATTTCCGCAAATTGAAACCTTCCCAGGTGGAAATGCGCAGCCGAGATAAGATCAATGACGAGAAGCGGGGGAAATTACATGGTATTTTGGCAGAGTACTTCTGCCTTAAATCTAGCCAATGCCGAGGCACACAGTCAACAATACATCGCAGGAAAATACAACAGACATTTGTTTGGGTAGCCCTGTAGGAGGCGCAACTGTGATTCGACATCTGCCCGCAGTTCCTGATATCCGCACCGCTATGTCGGGTCTCGTCTGACCCGAACAAATTTGGATAGTTGGCCGATATCCGTGCCTGAGAGGCCCGGGATTTGCACCAAGGCCCCCTTCCCCTCACGAAAAGGGGTTGGGTAGCTGAGTCGCTCACTCGGCAGGGAGACGTCACGGTAGAGGTATAGCGGGGAACCAACACCGTCCCTGGGACCTGATTGCACGCATTAGCGACACGGGAAGGAACAATGCAAAGGTTTAGGGCGAATTCTGGGACCTATTGCGTGGCAGTGTGCATCGTTTAATACTTTTCAGTAAGCGGGGGTGATGTCACAATCAGTTAGTATTTTTGGCCCCCAGGGCTGTGAATTGATCGGCTTCGGAGCTATACCCAGATGAGACATAATCAGCGTTCTGGGAGGGCCAGAACCATCGAAGCTTTGGATCGCAGCTTTTGCTAGAAGGGGTAAGTGGCACTGCCACGTGCGATCGTATAACTTTTTGAAATAATCTCGATAAAGAGTTCGTACTTCAATGTCTATCTCAAAGGTCTTGAAAAGGTCCTTGGGGATGTTGCCTTGAAGGCTTGGTGGGCCTAGCCGAACCAAGCTAGAGCCCGCAAAGGACCCATGGATTGGAGTTCGGAGCTATCTATGGACTTTTACACCAACACGCTCCGGAGCTGCAGGGTCTTTCTATAATTATCGGGGAGCTTAAAGGGATCGATACTAGCAGGATTCATGCTCTACTATCGCGCTATCACGAACATAGATGCGAACGTTGGTAGGAACCGTGGAGAACAATGCTTCTTAGTAATTGATGCGGAGTTTTGGAAGTCCGATCGACTCCATAGATCCGGCGCAACCAATTTCGAAACAAATCATTGGAGGTTATCAACAAGCTTGACATGAAACAGTCAAGGATGAAACACATCTTTTGCGAAGTACGAGATACCTATGGGATAAGAGGCCTTGCCACCGAGGAATTCCTTGCCCCAAAGTACAGGATGCATAAGGTTGCAGCATATATCCACCCCGCACACCAAGACATTAATGTAAGAGGTGTACCGTGCTTGGCATGGACATCCTGCCCCATTGCCACCTCGAGACCATTGCCCCTTGGTTTTGAACCTTGGCTAGGATGATGACTGCATTTCTCGGGCGCTGATAGGTGTTTCAATCTCTTACTTTTTTGCAGAAGATTCATCAAAGTGATAGTAATCATTATGCTCCCAAGCTGATGATAGTTTTCTTGTCCTGACCAGTAGTATACTGGAAAAAATCAATATGATTTCAGGTCGTGTTGGCCGGTCGGAAATATACGCAGGACTGCGCCGCAAGTTGCCGTCCCTATCTATACATAGCTACTTAGCGCCCGGTAGTCTAATCTATGGATAGCATTTGGGGTTCCCCAATAATTCTGATGGTCCAATGTAAGTCCGCCAAGGCAGACTAGCTACATGAACAATTACACCTGGTAGCAGTGAGATCCTGTTGTTCTCGATGGGGGTTACTGTATAGGTATAGTTGCCTTTTTAGGCAAGGATGCCTGTCTAGGTCAAGTGTTGAGATGAAACTGTCTGTGCTCGGGGGCATTTATCTATGAGGCGGACTTCTGAAACCCGTAGTGGAGTAACGGTTCCCCCGAGGGATTTGTAGGGATCGAGCACGCTGTCACAGATCGTAGATCTGGTAAATCTTGAACACATGGAAGGTTCGTGTAAATTTGTCTCTCTCGAGTAAGGACCGTGTCATGGTGCCACTCCAACGGTAAGTAACTAGGACTAAGTATAATTAAGTCCACAATGGAAGTTCCACTTACCGGCACGGCTGGCACAGCATTCCCCGCAGTTGAGTGGTGGATTCGCAAAATTATGTGGAGTCCATGTTTACGAAGTATGTAACTCGGTACTAGTGGCGAATTAATACGTACAGATTGGGGGCCGTGTCCCTGGAGGGGCCAGGTCCAGTCAAACATTATACTATCCAGGATGTTTCACACTTACTCCGTCTGCTAATTCTGAACCCGATCGTAGATCACGATACTCAACTAGGAAAGATCTCAAGTAGGAAAGCTGTCAAATCTCCCCGGTCCACAAACCACATGGTGCACATGGCCATGGATTTGTGGCGCAAGAGCTGGTGGATTTTTAATTTATTGGTATCTTGAATCTTACATGTTTCCTCATGCGTGTTAAATGAGTGGAATGCAACCCTGGTTAGGATATCGACGCGCCGATCGAGTAAAGTGTAGATGAAGCTGACTGATGCAGAATCTCTTGAATTTGTCCCAAGCAATGAGATTATGTGATTATGTACGTTATAGGAAGTTTATATTGATCAAGCGTATGAGTACTTGAAATAGATTAATTTGAACAGATACATGCAAGGAAGGGGATTACTCGAAAGGGCAGATTCCGGCCCCCAATACGAACTGTATTGCCTGGCGTATTGCGGTACTCCTTTAGTGACACACAGAAGTGGGCCCATTGAACACCTGAAGAGCCCAGCAGCTTATTCCAATGATATCAGCGCTGTCTGCGCGAGTGCAGGTACTGCATGACTAGCCCCCAACCTAACAGTTCCCCCCCCTAAGACAAAAAACGCTTGCTCCCGGGGCTACTTTCAACCATCCTCCACCTTCTCTTCGTTAACACCTAACAACAAGCCACTGTTTCTTCCATCAACAACCGAGTTCTTTGTTTGAGTAAGCCACCCTCGACAACAAAGACAAACCATTGCAACTACGAATCCACACCACGGGATTATCGGGTTCCCGATCGCCGGTAGGTGATTACTCCACTATCCGACTCGAAAGAGAGACACACCCGCACAGACAGAGAGAGAGCGCGGACTTGACAAATCGGTTGGAGACATGACGGGCTGATAATCAATTACAGAAGTAGTCCTACGAACGATGCTCCAGGGTTAGGAGATTCATCCACCCTTGGAGCGATATCTAGAGGCGGAACCCAACCTCAAAGATGGTATCGCCGGTCACGTTTCCGTATACTCGACCAAGCGAGAATTCCATCACAAAGGACAAGGCGCTGAAGCCCCTTCGCCCGCCGCCACTGAATCTCAAAACTGAAAAGAAATATCAGTTGCCAAGGATCAAAGCCGTCCGCGGTAGCGTATCCGGGGTTGACGAGGGGACAGAAGTACCGTTAATGATCGAGCTGGCGGCTCATAGGCCAACCGCACCTAACGCTTTGGGAGGCAAGTCTTACGAGTGGATCAACATGGATGTATCTAAGAGCCGACCGTGGGAGGGCGACGGGGAACGTCCAGTATCCCCTCCTCGATCTCTCCGCACTATTATTGACCTGGACTCACCACTGGCTTCTGACGACGAATCCGACATTTCTCCCATCTCCGACGAGCGACCAGCAGATCACTCGAGTAAGGTATTGGCTCGGTTCTTCCCTGAACTCCAGAGCAATTTCGCTGTGATGGCCCCTGAAGGTCTAGATACGACTTCAAAGCCGACTTCAAAGCCGAAGACCGGTCGCTCACGAGTTGAAAATGAGATTCAGGCGCGGGTGAAGAGCCTTTATCACAACTCGGGTGATAACCTTGGTCAAGTTTTGGGTTCTAACACCCCGTCCGATGAGAACTATTTAAATAGACCCGAATCGTCAGACTATAGCCGACAGACTTCGATGGCGAGCTTCGGAGATGGGGCATTTCAACGGAAAAACAAGTATCGAATGACCACAGACTCCTCAAGTTACTCTCCCGTTCAGGCGGGGGTTTTCGATGAGACGCCACGAACGTCCAAAAGAATGAGCAGCGCCAGGCCAGCACCGACCCGATTAAACACGATAAGCTCCAAGAGTTCCAGTTCGAATCTACGGGATATGAGGAACAAGCCACTCCCCCTTGCACCTCTCATTGAGCCAATTTCTACCGACTCGCATCATGATCATCAACAACCGTCCGCCCCCCACCATCATTCTTCATCACAGTGCACAGACTGCACGCCCCAGCACCACAATGTTCCCCACTCAGCGTACGCAAGTCGCAATCGTCAACCCCACCGATGCCAAACATGCGGACATCGCGACAATCGTCATCGTCGAGGTAGCCTCAACTCGCCAGAGTACCGCCAAAATCCACGAAATCACCAACGCCATGTGTCAACCTGGCAGCAAGCTGCAGACGAGATGGAAATTGAGTTAAGTTTGGATGGTATGAAGAGGCGGTTGGTGTTGGAAGGCCCACTCCAAATCAGTCGCAATAATGGCGAGTTGGTAGCGGCGCGGCCCGCACCCCTGCCTCCATCCCTGAAACCTTACTCCGAATCGACGAAGAAGGCGACTCGAACTGGTAGCGTCAATTCACGACGGGATGTTTCCGGGTCGAGTAAAAAGGGCCACAAATATAGTCGATCAAAGGACTCTACCGACTCCAACAAAGCCAAAACTTCCAAGCCTAAGGATGAGTCGAAGAGTCGCTGGGGCGGAAATTCCAGATCCAATGAGGGCACAAAGGGAGATCTTCTCAAATTAAAAAAGTCTTTCTCAATCTCCAGGGCAACGTTCACACGGAAGCAGAATCCGACACGGTCGGACCAGCACCGGCTGAGCACGTTGAGCTCACGGTCGGAGACTTCAGTGGACCCACAGGCCGATCATGCCAGCCCGACTGACAAAACACGCTTGTCTCTTCACCTTTCGCAATCAGATCCTAACCTTGAAAAGGTCCTGGATGAGAACGACCCGTTATGTCATAACCGGGACGATCTCCTCCTTCAATTACCACGCCTACAAACAGACAATTTCGGCTTCAAGACCTTGCTCGACCAGTTTGCTCCTGATACGCAGACTGCCTTGGACAACCCCGCAAACTCCAAATCTTCCTCCCTACAGACTGACAGCCTGGGCTTCACAAGCGTATACGAACAACTTGTTCCTGCACAGCGGTCACTTGTGACCAATCAAGTGCAGTCCCCTTGGCTCGACGATACCAGAGATGCCAAGGAAGTCATCCCATCATTTACCATTCGTCGACCGCTTGTTGTAAGAGATGAAAAGATGGTTGTAACAACCAATAGGATGCGCCAGTCTGCTTTCATTTCCACTGCCAAAGCAAGCAGTGTGTATTTCCCGCCCGAGGAGGTTTATGAACTTGCCGCGGGGCCAACATCCCCAGAATCCATGATGCCGAAAAGATCTGCTACCGCTGCTCAGTTCCAGGTGACCTTTCCCTTGACTGAGGTCGTGGACTCGATTGTTGAGATGATTATGGAGCGAATCACATCCCTTGATGACCTTTTTAATTTTGTCCTGGTAAACAAGCGCTTCTATCGCGTGTTCAAGAATCGTGAGCTGCCGATCATTAAAAGTGCGCTATATCAAATGTCACGACCTGCATGGGAGCTGCGTGAAATGAGCCCTCCATGGACCACTGAATGGCAACACGTCTTGGACCCGGATTCCCAGGTACCTGAATACACGCCGTCTCTGTACCTGGATCGTTATGCTCAAGATATCTATACCTTGGCTCAACTCAAGTCCATGATTCTCATGCGGTGCGCCCCGTTCATGCGCCGCGATACTGTGCGTGGCTTGGCTGGATTAGACGAACAGCGCGCCGAGGAGGTTGATAATGCATTTTGGCGGATCTGGACATTTTGTCGCATCTTTGGTAGCGGCAAAGGTCGCGAAAACGACCTTGAAGGTCAGGTAGATTGGCTAAGAGGAGGAGTAAAGGCCCGGAAAGCCCAGGGCTCATCATCTTCTATGACCGAGCCTTTTGGTATCAACAACGTTTTGTTCGAACCACCTGAGGGATTCGCTCACGGCAACTACAGCGGCCTCACACCAACGGAGCTGTATGATATGACTGAGATCTGGACTTGCCTTGGAGTTTTGGTCCAGCCCCTTCATGCAAAGTGCATTGAGGCCCGCAATGTCGGTATTTTCAGAGGCATCGATGTACCCGAGGATGACCCGGTCCGTGAGGAGACCGTTCTTGGTAAGTGACATGCCAACCACATGCACAGAAGCAACATGCTAATATTGGAGTTTAGAGGAATGGACATCCTATGTTCTCACCCTTGGTTTGTCCGCAGTTCTGATGGTCAGCTCACTCAACCCCTCGGAAACTACGGCTATCACCTTTGAACGGGCGAATGCGGTCGGCCTGACCAAGTGGGAAATGACAGAAGGTCAGAACACCCGATCTTCGTTCATGAAGGAAGCCGTATCACGCGTTTACGACGACCGAGAACGATATTCTTTCAGTCTGCCTTCTGGCTCAGCCGATAGTCCATGCGAACTGCCCTCGAACGAGGTGACAACCCGCGAAGAAGATAGCGAGCGTCGGCAGGTGTTTTCCCAAGAAATTCGAGTTCAGCGTCGCGAAGGAAGGAACCAGTCCCACGGGGGTGACTCTTTCGCAAGGGAGCGACCCATGTCTACATACAGCACCATTCTGCACAGCCTCGGAGGTAGCATCGGAAGAATTGTCAACGGAGCGCCCTCTGTACCACCAGTACCTCCCCTTATGTTCGATCGGTCATCCACCTCGACCGGAAGCCGAAGCCCTCCTCCCCCCGGAACACCAAACTATGCTCCAGGAACTCCCCAGCATGCACCGGGCACTCCCACCCACACCCCGAACTACATGCTTGGTACCCCAGGCCAGATACCCACATCAGAACCTAAGACACCTCTCCTCCGCAGTCCCCCACTCTCGGGCTCTTTCATGCCAGCCCCTCTCCAACTCCAACCCCAAGTCCAAGACCCTGTCGACCGAGCCATCTCTCGCATGGTGAATGAACTTGGTTTCTTCGAAGACGATGTTAAGTGGGCACTGAAAATCACCGACACCGGTGAAGGAATTAACGTCCAGGCTGCTGAGCAGCTTCTACAACAACAAAAGAAGAAGTCCGATCGTATTCCGTTCGTGACTCGTGGGCGGAATAATAACGGGAAGAATCCATTGCTCATGTCGGTCATGAAGCAGCAGGGTACTCAGGAATCGGGTTGGCGATGGGCCTAAATCAGTGCAAATTGTGCCATCACCCTTGTACACTCTCATTTTCCAAGGAATTATTATGTGTTTTTAGTCCTGCGATTAGCGATGTGCGGATGATTTAATTTCTTTTGTTGAGCCCCTTTTCCAGAATATACAGATTTTCTGAATACAATGACCGTCTAACATTACTACTCTCTCTATACTCTGTTAGCTATTGTAATATATGGGATAAAAGTCTTGACAACAGATTCAGGATCCAATTTTGTTCACAATCGACCAGATTACTACGGTAGATGCCCAGGTGGGGGCCACCAGCTCGCATGGTGAGAAGGCCAGCAAAAGTCTAATTAACATAAAAAAAAGGCACGTGTTGGAAAGCCACGCGTATGGACGGGAAGGATCAGTAAAGCAATGTCTTAAGTCGCGTAGAAAAAAAAAAGTAAAGAAAGAAAATCAAAAACAAAGAAACGTAGAGTATGCACGCTCGGGCGGACCTCAACGCCCAGCTACTTCCAGTCATCAGAACCCAGCCAATACTATCCTCAGGGTCAGAGGTCGTGTGATAAACACCCCTGCGACGACTAGGCGGTTAGGGAGACTTGCTTACTTCTCTTCCAAAAAAAATCTCTTCCAAAAAAAAAACGGAAAAAGAAAGGAACGGGACCAGAAAATCCAGGGTTTTAGGGGACTTTGACCCATTTTTCGTGGGTATTCGGCTTTAATTTCTAGCCTCTAGATAGAACCTAGTCTGCTTTAGTACTAGCTTTTATATTTGTGAGATATGTCTCATGTTGGGGTCGAAAAGTGGTGGCTACGTTTGCAATCTGGGAATCCAGTTGTGTATGTGGCTTTTTGACCACCTCGTTATGAAGCCCGGCCTATGTATTAGGGAGATGAAGGACTTTCATTGGGAGTTCAACAATTCTACCATCAACATCGGGCGTTCAACGTGCTGTAACACCTGGCTAGACCGAAAAGCAAAGCTAGTAGAAAGCGAAGGAATGAAAACCCTGACACGAGATGCGAGATTGGATACACTAGATATTCACTGTACGGTCGATTTGGAAAATAAATTCGCTGGACGGAAAACTTATATCTCAGCCCCTATCCCTCACCGCCTTCCCCAGGTTTAATCTCGCGGAAAGAACCGGTGGCTTAGGGGGTGAGAAGGTAGTATTAGGAAGCGCACGGACCTCTGGATGCCGGACAACAATCACACCCTCATTTAATTTGAGTCCAATAGTCCAATAATAGAAGACCCTGGGAGCCTCCTTCTAGCACCTTTTGCAGACTTCGGTCTTAGCACCCGAATTTGGACGACTGATTGCTCTTTGACTGTTCCCTCTTTCGACTGCAAAGGTGTTCAACAGGAACTTCCACCAGGGTTGCAAACATCTAATTTGTCAACTTTAGACAGTATTCTGTACAGCCTTATAACGACGGCGATGAAAGTTTACAGCCAGCTCATTAGCGTCCAAAAAGTATTTCTCGCTAGGAAGACTAAGGCGCCCTAATAAAGCACTAAGAAAGTGGGCTCCCGGCAAGACCGGCACCCTGCCAGCATACATCTCGTTCTATAGGACCACACCCAATGCAGGGGCCATTAGTGCTTGCCAAATTCAGGGATTCTTCTGAACAGGGCTAGCAGGGTCCGAGCAGCCCCATACATGCTTAAGCGAGGCTAAGCAAACCTTTAGCGTTGTGATAATGGCTTGAAAATGAGGAGCCGCCCTGTTTCTCGCAACTTTTTTCTGTTCCCTTCTCCTACCTGACAATTGTCAAACTGTGTCATACTATATCGCAATAGTAACTCGATTCATTGGATTTATCCTATTAAATACCAAGGAAACAACATATCAAAATGCGCACCAGTTCGCTTCTCGCGGTTACACTGGCTGCTTTAGCCGCTGGCGAGAGCACCACCACCGTCGGCTATTTCGGGTACAACGCAGGACTCGGTAATGACATCGGTCCCTTCGCCTTCTCTAGCACTGGAGCCAGTGTTGCTGGCATCAATGCGGTCGCTACCACCTACGAAATTAAGTGTTTGAGCGATGCACCGACATCCGAGTGCCAGATCCAATCGAAGCATCCCTGGACCCTCATTCAGGGTCCTTCGACCTACAACTTTGCGGCTTCTTTCACTTATACAAGAGACGAGATAACCGCGACATATATCGAGACAGCTGATTGCTCTTTCACTAGCTACTCTGAATCGGCCTCTTGCTCATGGAGTTACTCGGCCACTGGCTCTTCATCTGGTGGCAATCTTGCCTCTTCTACTTCTTCTTCCACCTCGAACATCCCGACTGCCTCGGTCACTTACTGGGAACTGGATGTCACTGGCGGTGTTGCCTCTTACACTGCTCCTCAGGCAACCAAGACCCCTGATGCTGCTGCTGCTCTCGCGAAGCCTTTGATCACCGCTGCACCAATGTTCGCTGTGGCTGCCGCTGCCGCTGCCATGTTCTAATGGAAGAATTAAGTTCTTTTCATTTACCACCCGGCTAGCTACGAGATGGATTGTTTCCGCGCTTTTCGTATGTGGAATATCATGTCATGTGATTAGGGTTTGAAAGAGCCCCTCTATGTCTTAGACATAGAAGGCGATAGCGGCCGGCACTGTACGATTGAGAATTTTTAAGTTTCGAGCGAATATAGTTTTCAAAGATCTCTGTCTTTAATACTTGGCATCACTACTCAAATTTTCTTTAACTTTTGCCTTTGATCTAGATCTAGCCTTTGGACTTATCCTTCATAATAACCTTGGAAGCTTCTCATGCTGCGCAGTACCTTAAAACCTCCGCAGTCTCCTCAGTATGCCCCCCCGCAGGGCCGTCCCACATCTCAGCAATAGGCTTGGTCAACTGGTCTGCCCTTCGCCTTTGCTTATATCGCTTTCAATGGTTAGAATTGTATGTACTGCAGTTTCTAGCTTAGAAATCAGCCAACACAAGGTATTTTCAGGATCCAAAAGACCAGAAAATTATGTACTTCAGACTTGGACTCTTTCCTCTAAAATTATCGATAGTAGGCATTAACCTGGGAAATACCTGGAAATTCAATTAACGTAAAGGAGGACATAATCTCAGTGTATCATTGTAAACATGCAAATTCCGAACAAGCACGACAAATTAAAAAATATCTACGCGGGCGTCGCTTTTCCCTTATCTTTCTCGGTCTTCTCCATCTCCATGAGATATCGCAATCGAGCAACGGCCTGCTCCAACTCTTCCGGAGTAGGCATGTTGACAATCATGAGATAAAGAACATCCTCCCGGAAAAGCTTATACTTGTTCCCCTGTTCTTTCTTCTTTCTGGCAATCTTCTCTTTGAAGGTTTCACTTGGAGGTAGACCCTGCAGAGCCCGCTTTCGGTCATTCCGTTCCTTGATGGCAGAGCCTGCTCGATCGAGCATACTAGGCTTTTTCTTACGCACGATCTTGCCGCCAGTCAGGGTGGAGAGGAGAGATCCATTGTTCGCTGGGTGATTCGGATCATTGTAACGTGAAGTGAAGGGCTTTCGGTTTTCCTCGGTAACAGCAAGAGCAGAGCCCTTGTGATCAGCTTCCTGTTTCCTGTTAGTGGTTGTTCTTGCAATTCGCCCAGGGAAGTAAGAGATACTCACGAATTCGATCTGCCTTCTTCTGTCGATGTAATCATGGGCCCATGTTCGTGAATTCATCCACGATGACTTGGCCTCCTTGCCCTCCTGTTCGCGGAGTGCAGCTCGGTCGATGCGAGGATAGATTAGTGGAGCACATTCAGGAAGCTGCATCTGACCATGAGTTTGGCCACTTTCCAGTCTGAATCCCTTCATGCGGGACTTCCATGCATTCATCTCAGGGTGCTCCTCGGTGTTGGTAAACTTTGCGATAGTTTCGGCGGCATCAAATCCGTTTGTAGCCGGTGCCGGACCCGCCTCGGGGTCGCCCTCCTGTCTCACACCGGATCCGCTGATGTTGACCTGCTCCATGGTGAACATATCAGCGAGCGGGTCTGAAGCTGCGCCGTTCTTTTTCTTCTTTTGCTTGGGAGGCTTCTCGTGGAATTTCATGATCATGGCGTATTGGCCGCGAGGCATGAAGACCTCTTGGTTGACCTTGTCAAGGTAGCTGGTGGTGCGCTTGCGGATTTGGAATTGCATGGCCGTCTCTGCAATGATTTGGACGGCCAGTGCAGTCAGAGAGACTGACAGCAAGGGAGACCAGCCAGTGATATCGGCGGTGACAACGAGGACCTGCAGCCACATTGATGCCTGTGATAAAAGTCAATATAACCACATAATCGGACAGGTAGTGACATAATGTGGCATAACGAACCTGACTCGCTTTATGGAAGTCGCTGATGAACTTCAAGAACACATCTTGGCCAATGCCACAGTCTTGCAACACAGGTGCATAAGCGCGTACGAATCCACGCCTCTTTGCGCCGGGTCTGCGCTGGGGAATAATCACTGGGAATGGAAGCTTTGTCTTCGGTCCAGGTGGGCCTGCCATGGCCACGAGCTCACGAATCATTCGGTCTCTCTTCTTCTCCTTGGTTTCCGCAGAGTCATCCTGATGGATTGCATCTGGGTCATCCTCAGTGTTCCTTCTAGGGAGCTCACCAGGCACACCATCTAGCTCATCATATGCTGGCAATGCCTCGGATACCTCATCAAGCTCCCATGCCTCCTCGTCTCCATTATATTCGCGTTGGCTCTCTTCATAGTGGACAATCTCGTCATACTCATCCCCAGAGTCCTCGCCAGCCTCATAAGAATGGCTTCTGCTTTTCTCGTCGGGGTAAGTGGCGTCACTCGACCGTCCTGCGCCAGGCGAGTAGGCCGGGAGATCTTCGTCAAGGCTCAAGTTTCTCAGTTGCTCGTGGCCGTCTGCTTCACTTGGAGGGAAGGTAGGAGGGGTATCGGAAGGGAGACTACGAGGGGTCTCATAAGCAGAGGTAGTTGTAGAGGTAGGTACAGAAGCAGAGGGCGAAGCAGAACTAGAGCCTTGCTCTGAAACGGAGTCTTTGCCACGGTGCCGGGCGGCATGAATGGCTTCAGAGGTGAAGCCGATGCCCGAACCGATAAGTCTTGCGAGTCCTTTACCCATAGTGGGGGCCGTAAGTGTTACTTAGAAAAAGATCCTTGCGAAACAGCAGACTTTTCCTATGGGGGTGTTTTACATTCTTTATATAGGGCTGGGAGGGGGGGCTGTATTGCTGTATTGCATGGGTCTATTTTCATCCAGAACCCCCCTCATCACACATCACCCCTCCGACCCACTGGCTTAGCCAGATCAGGACACCAGGATGCTAATCTGCGCACCAAGATGGGGGACTGCATCTCTCGCTGAAACGAGACAAGCCTTTTGCAAGGATTAAGCGCTACGCCCCACCTTTTCCTTGTCCCTGACGCTGCAGTGGGGCCTTCTGATTGGATCGCAACAGTATCAGAATCCGCCCCCAATCTCAACTCCGTCTTGCTTCGTCACCTTCGGATGATAGGTCAAGAGATCACACTACGGTCTTTCATTATCCACTTGGAACTGCGCATTTGCGGCCCCCAACGCCTTTATCCCTCATATTACGCCTTGTCCCACCAGCCCGCGATCGCCTCACGCCGATCACTTTATCTCCGCCCCGAGATATGTAAGTCACATGACCATAAGAATGCATAAGCGGCATTAGTGCCCCGCCGTAATTTATTCAGCATCGCGATCTTGCGTATTCAATGCCGATCGCCATTGTCAACAATACCCAACTCCACTGCTAGTTGAGACCCAACTACAGATCTCAAGTTGATAGTGTGTCCAACATCCTCCACTTTTCAAAATGGCTACCCAACCACCCCAACAAGACACCTTGAACCAACGAAGAGCCGACTTCGAAAAATTCAAAAACTACACAGCCTACACTTTCCTCATCGCCTCACCAGTCCTAATCGCTCTTCCGCCCCGCAAGCTAGACCACCTGACCGTCCTACTAATCGGTGCATTCGGCTTCTCTGCGAACCACGTGGTCCGCGAACAAACCGGACGCAGTATCGTCGAGCGCATCGAGTCTCGTATTGCTCGCCCGCGCATTCTCAGCGACTTGCCTTCCGAACGTGCGCAGGAGGTCCAGATGCGGTTGCGCGCGGCGCGGGAAGCGCAATTGCGCGAGGGCGGTATGCCAGCTGATGAGTTGGAGAAGTGGAAGGCGTTGCAGAGCCAGCAAGATCAGGGTATTGCGGAGCGGGTTTGGCTCGGTGGAGAGAAGGAGGGATGGATGGAGCGCAGATTGCAGAAGGAGCAGGAAGCTCTTGAAGAGGGCAAGGGATATGGAGATTTGATTTCAGAGTATGTTTGGGATGTGTGGAGTTGGGGGAAGAACAAGGAGGAAGAGGATGATGATTAAGGGATTACTATCCGGTCACATTCTACTTGCCGTTGGTTATCCAGCTTGGTCCTGGCTAGGTTGTTCACCATTTGCGCCTGGCGCCTGTCACTATATCTTTGCGCTTGTCTTGTACCAATACTTTTGTCGAATCAGCATCGGGATCGGGCGTTTGGTCTTCTACTGCTGCATCTTAATTCTCACGCCATCTTTCCCCACTCTGGATGACCAGCTATGTCTATATTGAGTTCACAGTCTACAATCTATGGGGCCCAAGCCCGAAAGGGAATTTTTTGAGAAAATTTCATTTCCGAAACTCTCCCATACATGGAGCACGCAATGCAGACAACAGACAATTGTACAGGGTATAGTGAAAATAACAAGTTGGGAAAGTCGACACAAAAAGTCAACCAGAAGCACCGTTGTGGCCATGACTCCACGCAGGCAAATCTGATCGGCCTCGATTGCGACGATGTACATACACATCTTGCAACGTTTTTGAAAGTTCCTCAATGCAACAAAAGAAATGTCAACAATCACCCAGTGATGATAGGTCGTCGGTGTCCACGAGGTCAAGCAGAAAAGCTGTTGTGGCCATGACTCCACGCGAGCAAGTCTGTATACCATGATTGTGACTTGACAATTTGAACAAAATATACAATATAACAAACACATGCATATGAAGAAGTCTCAAAAAATGCATAAATTGAAACATGTCTCCAGCCCATATGCCACTGCCATGCTCATTCCGTTGGTGTTTTATTTGTTCGACATCCTCCATTCGGGCCGTTCACTTGATAGTGCCACGGGGGCCAGGGGAAACTCCGTGGGCTTGGATTATGTGCACGCGCGGTAAAAACCCTGGCCAGGATGCGATATTTCAACACAAATCCACACAAGTACCCACGCAAAAAATATGAGGATCCACGCTGCACCGAACAAGTTGATAGAAGTTGCAGAATTTGGTTGATTTTGAAGTGATCGGGGCAGCGTGGACCTCCAACGAATCCAATTCAAAGTAACCACCGAATGCACACACTTTCAAACACAAGAAGACGAAGCCACGCTGCGCCGATCAAGTCGATAGAGAATGCAGATTTTGTTTTCATGACAGTGATCGGGCAGCGTGACCTCAACATAATATAATTTACCGCAGTATCTTTGATAGAATCCGTACGGCGGCTGAAACTTAAACGAGTCCTCTCAAGAACATGAACCCCGGGCCGTCGACATCCGGCGCATCGGCGGCGTCCGGCACATTGGTAGGATTCAGGTTCTACGTCCCCCGGATGTCGAAGACATGTCCATAGTGGAATAATGGTTCGTGAAGAACCAAGGCCATTCTGGGCTCTGAATGATGTCGTTGAGACAACCTGAAAGACGGATTGCCAGACTAGTGTCTGGAATTTGGAGCTGGCACAAATCTGTTGCCTCGGCTCTCACACCAGTGAATGTATGAAGTCAACTGCGGAGATTAGCATACAGAAGATCAATGCAGAAGGGGGTTTGCTACTTACTTGACCATGCATCGACTCTAGCAAATGAGTCTCAGCTTGTAGAGTTTGACTGGTATGAGAGCAAGACTGAACATAGTTGTTGACGTAGCCGATTGACTGAGCTGCCTGTCCGATTTTGTTAGTTCTCTGTATTAGAGTTTGGATCTTTGGGGAGACACACTCTTGCAGGGCTTGAGCAACATCTTGAATCTTCTGTGCGAGAGCATTAGCTTCCCAGACTCGATCTTTGAACTCTTGATTGATTCCGCACCAATGAATCACACTGACAGCCTATAAAACTATTAGCATATCGAGTTCTGAATTGAGTGAGGGGATAAAACTCACATAACGATGCATGCGTGCCAGGATTTGAAGTTCAGACTCAATATTGGCTGACAGGGTGTCCATGCGTGGTAGATACTGGAACATGGAACTGTTCCCGTATCCGATATTTTGCATCCTCAAGGCAAGAATGTTAGTTTCAGACCTAAGATTTCTCAAGCACGGGTTCACCCAGTTTCTCATGTCTTCTAGTCTTTGGTAAATCCTGACAAGCAGCCAACGTGCTTTCTTGGCTTCACTGAGGAATGAGGGCCAACTTACAGATGTTTCACCCAGTTGAAAAACATCGACCATTTTTATGTCACCGTCTGCGTCCTAGTTTAACATGTCAGCTCATCTGACACACATTTTGGAAGATTCAATTCTTACATAGATGCCATTTGGTCGTCTTTGACCGTTCTGATTGTTCTCATTCGAGTTTCCACCATAGACTTGTTGACCAGCAGGATGAATCCTGCGGTCAAACTTGGGATGCCGATTCCCCCCAGCAGTTTCGGACTTGGCTTGCCCTCTATCTTGCTGATTCCAGGGGTGCCCACGGCGTCTGTCAGGCTGACCTGTGCCCTGGTACCTGGCACCATCGTAGTTCTGTGGCCTTTGGTACTGGCCACGGTTCCAGTAATGGTACTGGTTGCCAGGATGACGAGGCTGTTGAGAAGTTAGATCCAAGGTGCTGTCATTGTCAGTCACGTCAAGATCACTTACGTCGCTACCAGAGAAGCCTTTATCCTCATGGACCAATGGTCGCCGCTCATTGGTAAACGCTAGGTCGTCATTGCTCCAGTTGTGCCAGTCCCTGCCCTGGCGGTTCTTGTAGTGTTGGTTGTAGCGAGTCCGTGGATTTTCATTGTTCGTCGATCTTGGGCCATTGGCCATTTGAATGTCAAGATCTCTGCCGCCGCGACCATGCCCGTTTCTGGGTCCGTGGTGACGGTTGCGTCCGTTGTAAGACATCTTAAATTGATTGGGAGACATCTTCGCTTGCTGGCGGACGCAATTTGGGTTCCAAGACGTCCCTCCCTGGGAATGGCAAACAAGGGGAGCTCTTTCGTTGCCTCGCAAGTGCTGAATTTCGACTTCAGGGGCTCTCAAATGTTTTTCTATTTTTGAATCCCAATCAAGAAACAATTTTTTAACGATTTAAAACTTTTTGGCTTTTTGAACGATTGAACACGCAAAATGGGTTTCTCAAGAATTGACTTGACCCCCTACAAGTTCAATCACTTCGAGGCAACTTGGAGCCCAGGCCCGCTTGAATGGATGAACCTCAAGGGAGTACCGATTCGAGGGTGGATATTATTTTGTTATGGCTGAACTGTGGATGGACGACCACGACCGAAGCTCAGGGCAGGGTGGAGTGGAATGACTTTGACCAATGAGGGTTTGACTTGGAGTGCACGAGACCAATGAATGGTCGTTTGACTGTGATGCACGTGGAAAGGTTTTGTAACTTGATCTCTCGAGGAGAGATGAATCAAGGAAGAAGAAAAAAGATGGGAGAAGAGGGGGGAAGATAGTATATATACTAGTATCTCCGACACTGGATTGGGAAGTTGATCCTTGGAACGAGGTTCTCGAGCCTTAATCAAGCCCCGATCAAGGCCGATCGCGAGATGGGCTACCTCGAGTTGTCTAGATAGAGTTCCGACAGTCCAGAAGAGGTTCCGACAGCCTAGAAGGAGACCTACTAAGCTAGAAGGAGAAATGGGGGATGTGACTCGATGTCAACTTATGTGAGTCAGTTCGGTGCCCAGATGGAATAGACTGTTTCTGTACTAGATGTATTCAGGGAAGATATCGGGAGTCTTTATGGCATTTATCACAGAAACATGGTTTTCATTGGTTGCTTTGTCCGTTGTGCCCTAAGTAGGATTGTGTTTTGAGATGACACACTTGGACAAAGCAGGCTATTTGAATCATGCGGTGAGGCTATACTTGGATTAAAACAAAGGATGCAAAGACTATTACAATTAGCATTGTCTTGGTGTATCTATGAATCTTATAACAGGAAAAGCTATTGTTGAGATCTATATGTTTTGGTCTGTACATGTGCTTGACCAAAGGTTAGGGCTCGATGCAAGGGCAGTCCAACTAGCGACGAGATATACCATCACAGAAAGGAGGCAACTTTGGAAAATTGACAGATTCCGTGGTTTGCATGCTAGAATTTGAAATCAGCCCTCTACGTAGGCGTTATATCAAATTGAAGTGGGGTTCCGAGGAGTTGCATTCCACGGTTCCCAACGTGCACGGGCAAAACCGGACTTAACGCCGTACTGCAGTGTTCCTTGGATTTTTATAACGCTTTAATTATAGTTTTAATTATAGATCTCATGGAACTTTTTAACGGATGATGCCACATGTCGTACAGTACCTACAATACCTACTTGAGTACCTCGGGTACTCCGACACCCTTGTGTTCTCATATCTTTGTACTTGGATTCCCACGTTGACTCTGTAATTCGATATTTTATCTGATGTAAACGGTTACGTAGAGAGGGGAATGAATTTTCACCTTTAGAATTGACTTTTTTCTTGGGCTTCCCTGCTTCCGCGATAAGCCAAATAAGCAGTCGAGATCCCAATGGACTTGGTGCTCCCGCCAATCACCGCTCGTGCTTAACACGAACGGGAGGACTCCACTGGTGCCGTCATTGTCCCTTAGCTAGTGACAGCTCCAGGCCTAGATATGCTGCGGAGTAAAACCTGCTGCCCCTCCTCCCTGATTCTTCCTTCCTTTTTCTTTTCACCTTTCCATCCCCCAGATTTTTGTTTCCATTTCTCCAGGTCCTTCTATTCTTTATATAGCTTGGACTCGGTTTCCATTGTTATTCTTGAAGCCGATCTCTCCGGAATCCCGGGTCCACCATGGTGCTGATCGACAAGCAAGAGTACCTCTCCGAGGAGGAGAAGCGTCTGAAGGAGGACCGCGAACGCACTCGCTATTGGAAGCGATGGGGCCCTTATGTGGCAGAGCGACAATGGGCGACTGGTAAGTCCGATCGAGGAAGGTGGGATGTGGGCCGGCAGCTAATGATCTCATCGTTCCTGCGATGTAGTACGTGAGGATTATTCGTAAGTCAAGCCCCACTACAAATTCATCTACAGAAAAACGAATCTAACTTTGCACAGTGATGATGGTGATGCTTGGAGTTGTAAGTCAACATTCTGGAATGTCACAAAACTGCAACTAACCGTCCAGACTTTTCCCATGACCATGCCCGGTCGCGTACCTTCCGCTGGGGTGAAGATGGAATTGCTGGTGTTTCTGATACTCATGGAATTGAAAATATTGCATTTTCCTTCTGGAACGAGAAAGAGTAAGTCGGTCGGAAAACCCCCCAAGGGAAATACTGACAAGTACCATAGTGAATTCCTCAAGGAGCGTCTGTTCGGTCTGTCCAATCCACAAGGTAACCACGGCGAGAGTGTAAAGGAAGCGCATTTCCATGTGGATAATACTCCAACGGTAGGAGCATCTCGAGCCCACCAAAGATGACTACTCTAACATGTTCTATTAGCATTCGTACATGAAGTTTCTCTACAAATACCCCCAGAACAAGTTCCCTTACGAGCAGCTCGTAGAGGAGAATGCGAAGCGATCGCGCTTAGAGCCAGAATACCAGATTCTTGACACCGATGCGTTCAAGGACAACCGGTACTGGGACATTTTCATTGAAACTGCCAAGGAAGGGGATGATGCGGACGAGCTGCTCTTCCGGGTCATTGCGTACAACCGTGGCCCGGACCCCGCTCCCTTGCACATTGTTCCTCAGGTATGGTTCCGAAACACCTGGTCTTGGGGATATGAAAAGCAGGGTGAGAAACCAGTTATCAAGGAAGAAGGCCCACGAGTTGCCAAATCCAGCCACCACAAGCTGGGTGAGCGCTACGCGTGCTTCGCGCCTTCCCCTCCGGTGGGCTCTGGGGACGAGGACATCCAGCCGGAATTGCTCTTCACGGAGAACGAAACCAACAATGAGAAGCTGTGGGGCACCAAGAATGACCAACCCTACGTGAAAGATGCTTTCCATCGCTACATCGTCGACGACGAGAAAGATGCTGTCAACCCAGCCAAGGAGGGAACGAAGCTCGCAGCCTGGTATGCTTTTGACGATGGCGACGAGGTTCCCCCGGGAGAATGTGCGGTGGTTCGATTCCGTTTCTCTCTGAAGAAGAATGACTTCGTGGATGAGGAAGAGCTCGATGATGTGATTGAGGCGCGTCGCGCTGAGGCTGATGACTTCTATCACCACATCAGCCCCCTTCCTATGAGCGACGATCTCAGGAACATTCAGCGACAGGCTTTCTCGGGAATGATGTGGTGTAAGCAGTACTACAACTTCATCTATGATCAATGGAGTACTGGTGATCCAGCTGAAATCCCGCCGCCGCCGGGCCGAAAGGGCATTCGAAATGAACAATGGCGCCATCTGCACATCGACGACATTTTATCGATGCCAGACTCGTGGGAGTATCCATTCTTTGCTGCATGGGATACCGCATTCCACTGTATTCCTCTTGCGATGATGGACCCCGATTTTGCCAAGAAGCAACTCGATCTTATGACTCGTGAATGGTACATGCATCCTAATGGTCAGCTTCCTGCCTACGAGTGGAACTTTGGTGATGTCAACCCGCCAGTGCACGCATGGGCTGTTTTCCGCACCTTCAAGATTGAGCGAAAGATGTATGGACGACAGGATTTGGATTTCCTTGAGCGTGTTTTCCAGAAGTTGCTTCTGAACTTCACCTGGTGGGTCAATCGCAAGGATTTCGACGGCAAGAACGTTTTCGAGGGCGGTTTCTTGGGTCTGGACAACATTGGCCTGTTCAACCGCTCTGAGCCGCTGCCGACCGGTGGTGTTCTTGAGCAGGCTGATAGTACAGGCTGGATGGCTTTCTATTGCCTGTGCATGCTCAACATTGCCCTGGAGCTGGCCAAGCACCGTAGGATCTACGAAGACAGTGAGTCCTCCCATCCTAATCTACACAGGTCACATCTTTTAACATATTTCAGTTGCATCCAAGTTCTTCGAACACTTCATCCTCATCAGTGATGCGATGACATTCCGCAACGGCGAGGACAACATCCAGTCTCTGTGGAACGAGGAAGATAGGTCAGTCTTGAATACATGTCAGTCATCTAATGAGTATATTAGCTAATTTGACGCAGCTTCTACTATGACGCCATCTCTTACGGAGGCCCATGGACACAGCAGTTGCCCATCCGATCCCTGGTGGGATTGATCCCGCTGTATGGCGTGCTCACCCTCGAGCCGGAGCTGATCAACAAGTTCCCGTCATTCAAGCGACGACTTGAATGGTTTGTCGAGAACAAGGCCGATGTCGCAGAGCGCAACATTGCTAGTATCAAGAGACGCGGCAAGGACGACCGACTGCTCCTGGCTCTCGTGAGCAAAGACCGCCTAGAGAAGATTCTCAAGCGCATGCTCGATGAGACCGAGTTCTTGGCTAAGCACGGCATTCGATCCATGTCCAAATACCACGAGGACAACCCCTACTCGATGGACGTCAACGGGGAGACCTTCAAGGTGGGATACGTTCCTGGCGATTCGGACAGCGCTGTGTTTGGTGGCAACAGCAACTGGCGTGGGCCGATCTGGCTGTGCGTCAACTTCCTCTTGGTCGAGTCACTCCTTCGCTTCTACATGTTCTATGGCGATTCCTTCAAGGTAGAGTGTCCGACTGGCTCCGGCGAGTACATGCATCTGGGCCATGTAGCCGAGGAGCTCCAGCACCGCATGCAGCATCTCTTTGCTCGGAACGACGAGGGTCGCCGTGCCTGCAACGGCTCAAATGATCTTCTCGATTTCGATGAGCACTGGAAGGACTACATGTGGTTCAATGAGTTCTTCGACGGTGACAGCGGTCGCGGTCTCGGTACCTCCCACCAGTGTGGCTGGACTGGATTGATCGCAAAGATCATTCACGACACAGGGTAAGTTAAAGGACTCATCAAACTCGTTCGAAACTCAAGACTAACTCTTTCTAGTATCAACTGTCGTCTCCCTCAGACCCCACGTGGCCCCTTCGCTGCTGCCTCCCATTACTTCGACGATATTTTCTCGCGATCCACACGGGGTCGTGGAATCGGCTCCAGAAGACCATCCGTCCGCCGCTCTTCTACAAACCGGTCCATCGGAAACCGCAGTGACTTCAACTCGACTGTCGCAGGTGATGCCACCCCGGTATCAACTTATTTGGATGATGAGGAAGTGATGAGCCCCGTCAGCAGACGCGGAAGCACTCCTGCCCTCTCTACCAATGGAGATGGTGAGCGTGAGGAGCACATCAACAACTACGTGGAGAGCCAGCTGCAACGTGTGCGCAGCTCTGCCTCGATTGCCACCTACGAGGATGAGCTTGAGACGCAGGCTGAGAAGGAGAATGGATCTGGCCACTGATTTGGCCTTGCATTTGGCGATTAGATCATGGATATTTTTCTTATGTTTTGTTACGTTTAACGGCCTACATTTAATAGATGTCATTTAGGATGTCAGAATTAACTTTTTTGAATCTGCCATATATATGCTTTAGTCGAAATATAGGTATAGGCTCGGTTCATTGCTTGAATCGTAAATTTTGCCCTCGGATTACGTGGTATTGACATTGAGATAGGAGACGGTCAAGAGTGTATGAGAGACCCATGTAATTGAAGCCAGTCTCTGAACGTACTGGAGCGACTCAGTGTCTAAAATACATTGAAAGTGAAAAGATACAAAGTGACAAAACCCTTGTCATTCGCCGAGCCATGCATAAGAAATTCAGCCCCGCAGCAAGTTTTGTTGCACAATGATTAGTTGTGTTGTATGTGAAAGCAGAGACCAATCCGATGGATTTTGTTTTTGATAGAATTCAAGAATAAGAGGGAGTGTAGGGACTTGGACTGGCTCGTACGGCGTTGGTAACGTGACTTGATCATGATGTAGGAAGGAAAGCATCTGCGGTGAGAGCGCCCTGGGCCTGAATCGAATGATGTTAGTATAATTTCTATAATATGATCAAGTAGAATTCGTGTGGCCTGCTTACCTTCAATTGCTCAAAGTTGTTCCATGCGGCCTCAAGATTCCATCCGTTGCTGGAGAGTGCCATCTCAGAATACTGGATGGTCATACCAGATTTCGCGCTGATTTGCGAGATCAACTGTTCCTGCTGAACTTGGGTATCGGTCTTGCCTGGGCCAGGCAACCCGTATCCCTCTGGGAAGCCGGGTCGGGGGGCACCGGGCACGACTGGGATAGCGGCAGGGGCGATAGGAGGGACCACAGCAGCTGGAGGAGCGATGGCCTGGGGAATGGGCTGAGGGATAGCCTGAGGGATAGCTTGGTTCTCGGGACTCCAGGCTTCATGTCCACCGTAGGCGCGAAGGGCGAGGATGTCGTTGATAACTCGGATACCACCGGGACCGTTGCCAGGGCCGATGATGAAGCTTCGATCAAAGCTGCGTGTCTCCATTTTTCCTCCAAGGCTCTCCTCGAATTTGCCGTGGACCATAACCAAGAGACCACCGACACCAGTCGCGCTCTGGCCAGTCTGATCGGGAAGTCCAGGAACGGGATGACATTCAACGAGGCACTCCTCAGGGTGAAGAGCCATATCGCTGTGTCGTGTTGGCGGCAGAGTACTCCACAGCTCCCCAATCTTCGCCTTGCCAGTGTAGGTGCGTGCCATTCGTGCGGGGAGGTGGCTGATCTTCAGGAGGTTTCGACTTTTCTTGATGTAAGGGTCCCAGCTGGCAGTATCGGCCTGGGCGGCTTTGGGCGCAGTAGTGTTGATGTTCATAGAGAAACTTGAAGTATCATCGTAATAGCTGTTGAGAAGTTCGGTTCGGTTGCCATCATAGCCAGCGAAGAACGTGCGAATGAAGTTTTCTGCGATCTGGGAATCATCTTGGAAGTGGGGTGGCTGAACAGGAATAGGCGTCTTCTTCTGGGCCGCCACCTCTTCTGGCGTGCGAACCTGGACGTTGTTCAGGGTTTGCAGCTTAGGATACCACTTCATCATGGTGTTCTTGAAGCTTTCGTCGGTACTGAAAGGGTTTCCAGTCAAGTCCAGGAATTCGAGGTCGCGAAATTTCCAGCGCCAGCCGATCATCGAGTGGGCATCCTTGAAGTTGTTGTTTGAGAGATCGAGGTTTTTGAGGCCAGGGATGGTCACGGCGAGGGTGGTCACGACGTTGATGTTAGCAAGTTGGTTGTCTGCTAAGCTCACGCTTTCCACAGCCTCGCGCCTCTGCTTTGCGTCGGGGAATCCCATATTCCAGACCTTCATAAGAGCCGGGAAAAATTTAGACTCTGTTGATGTTTTATTGAACATGCCCATTGCATTGAGATCTGTGTCGGTGCCCAGCTTGGAAAGATCCAGAAGTTTGGTCTCAGGGAAGTATCGTCTGGCGAGGATCGCAGTCATCTTGGATTTGACGTCCACTGTCTCCGGGGAGAGACCATTAGCAGCGCTTATCTCGCGATCAAGCGCCTCGGTCGAGGAAGGATCGTATGGTTCCACGGTAATATTAACTCCAGCGAAGACATTGCCATTGATTTTGGACATTGGTTCTGCCAAGTCCGGTCTCACAGAAACAATAAGTGCGTCTCCTTCAACCCGCGACTAGTCGAATGTTAGCCAGGCGCAAAGAACCTTGAGAATAACAAAGCCATCTAAGCCAAGAAACGTAAAGAACCCCGGGAGGTAGCGACCGTCGTCTTTCCAGGAAAGTCATATTCGACCAAAGAGCCAACGTCGGACCGGGTGCATGTCGAGGTTTATATATATGGTGGCCGCGATTCGAATATTATGACATACCTTGGTGATTTTTGCGCGGGATCCTGATTTGAGCGTGTTCAGTCGTCGTTCGAGGTATGAAATGAGACTTTCGACACCGTGATCGCGCCTGGTTGAAGCCTTGCTGTTCTTCCAGCCACGGACGCTGTACAGTTCAAGTCTGTCTGCATTGGTGTTCTTGCCTGATCGGATGCTGAACGAGTCCTGGGAGTTGGAGATGGCCTTCTGAATCGCATCAATATTCCTGTCGCGACCCTGTGTCCGGCTAGATGGTGCAGATCGGCCTGTGGAGTTCCGCCCGGTGTTGCCCCGGCCTCTCTTCCCTCCTCCACGCGCGGCGCTTGTATCCATGTCCATGTCCCCATCTCGGTCGGTGCGCGTTGGGCCCCGCTTTCGGATGCCACCGCGGTCGGCGCCACCAGGACGACGGGACTTCATGGTTTTCATCTTGTCGAGGGAAGGGGTTGCAGTGGTAGGTGAGTTTGTCGCAAAATATGGGAGAATTTGGGGAGAAATGATCGGCCTAAAGGCCTGTTGATTGATTGCGCGCGGCGCGCCTTGAGCAAGTAGGAAGGTTCGGTCGCATACAACGGATTGAATGTCGGTGGTGCTTTCGAGGACGCAGATTGGGAGAGATGGAAAGCAGGATGAGCACAGGAGAATATTGCAGGAAAGAAATAGAGGAAATTTTAGGCAGCGAACCCGCCCCGGTTGTTACAGAGTGAATTCCTATCGAACAAAAAAAAGTGACGTGCAGGTCACATGAGGCGGTGAATGACATCCCTCAGGGTCATGTGCTTCCCAGCAGACCAATCAGAATTCTCCGTCTCTACAGCACTAGTCCTCTTTGGCTTCACTTTGTTCTTCCCAACCTTGTTCTATGACTGGTATTCACTACAATAGATGAGTCAGAGCAGTGAATCATTCCCGGAAGAGCCTCTCTTACCATTCGGATCTAAGCCACTACGCAATTCTAAACGCATAACATCCTAATTCCCCGGATGTCAGCAAGAACGTTCGAATATATATTTTCCGCAGAAGCTTTCTAATTAGCATACGTAGTAAATTGTAAGTATCCCTACAGAGTACATCCATACTTACAAACAAAGGTTGAACCTTGGACAAATTTTGACTACAAAACAAGATCTTACTATGCTCGAAGACGCTCACCCTCTGTTTCATCCTCTTTCAGACCCAAGTTTTGTAAACACGGCGCATGGAACAAGTGCCCATGCCATGCTCCTAGAGCTGTCCGGGACGCCACCAGCGCCCACAACAAAAGGACGGCGGCGCTGAGAATCTGGAGAGAACCATGTTAGTAATGTGATGAAGTCAAGTAAGCTTCGTACATACTGTTCCAAAAACCTTGAAAAACATGAGGTCCAGCTCTTTCCCCAGCTCCATTGTGTTGGCCGCATAGACACCTAGCGGGAATGTAAAGCCCCACCATCCCATGTTGAAAGGGAAAGGGGAGCTGTATAGAACAGTCGCAAGAGCAAAGACAAGCCAGATTAAACCAAAGCTCCACATAAGGAGAGATATAAAGACACCAAGGACATGAGCCATGGAGCCGGCGATGGGATCGAGAACGTTTGAGTCTTGGAGAAGTTCACGAGCTACTTTCCCGATGTAGATGATACTGCAAATAATAAGCCTGTGTTTCTCTGCGGAAAAGAGCAACGACTGCGGGTATCTTACCCAAATCCACCAAAGCCTAATGGTCCCAGGGGCAGGAAGCAGCTCACGACAGCCTCACGTGGAGGCAGTTTATGCACCGCTAGTCGTTGGTAGTAAATGACCAGCACTGCCAATGCTAAAGGTGTACCCATACCCCATAGAATAAAGGAGACTAGAAGGGTTCCCAATGCATGGACCCTGTTAGGTAGAATACTAGCGACTTCCGCACCTACACCGGCCGCGACAATTGTCGCAGCTATGGGTAGCAATTGTAGCGCCGTGATCCGGTCCAAAGAGGTGATATATCTTTGCGATATCCTAGGAAAGAAAAATTAGTTGTGTCACATAGTGAGAGCTCTAGATATATACTCACAATATGAACGATAGCGAAAGTGTTACCGAAGCTGCAGCGACGACATCTACTATCCACAACGCCCATGCAAAGGACGAGGCCCATTCTCCCCACCGGGGAACACAGACGAGAACCCACATCTCGATTAGAGTAGCAAAGCCCATGGGTATGGTTGCTAAGAAGAGTGAGTTTGTTGGATCTTGAACCATCACTCGCCAGATCTCAGGATACACGGTGTATCGCACGAGAGAGGTAGTGAAGGCCAAGGCGAATATGATGACATTTAACACAAAGAATACAATGGAAATGTAGTATAGAACTGGCGATGAGAAGGGAATGGAGTTAAACAGAACAGAGACAATTCCAGTGCCCATTGTGACTGCAAACCACCTATAACCATCGTTAGTGGACACTCGCCCGAGAGATCATGGTATGTATGATTCATGGATGCACGTACGATGGGCTGAAATTGCGGACCACTCGTCGCCAACCGACATTGTATTTAGCTGGACCCTTAGGGGCAGCAGCCTTGTCAGATTTCGCCATGTGCAATTTAGAGAAGTTTAGAGCAGTTGATGGGGAAGTTGAGCTTGCCAATTCCCGAGGCTCGCTGAGATAACGGGCCCGCGGACAACCCAGTGGATCCCGCGGGAGCCAAGACCGAATCTACGACACGCGATCCCCAATTCAACTTTGACTTGAATTTGGGGCAAAAACCCACAGTGTATAATCTGACATACAATCCCAGGATCTACAACAATTCAAATAAACCATAACGCCAATGATTGCCACTTTCCGGCTCATGCAACTCGTTCACCATGCGCCGACAATGCCGGCAATCGGAATGTCGATGCCGCTTGTATATGAGCTAGCATCGCTGAGGAGGTATACGTAGGCACCACCCAGCTCACGCGGGTCAGCCAGACGAGGCATACCGCCGTAGTACTGCATCTTCAAGTCCCAATCCGGCGCAGTCTCAACGTAGTATGTCATTGCGGTACGAACGAAACCGGGGGAGATGCTGTTGACGCGGATGCCGTGCTTGCTCCACTCCATGGCGAGGGTGTGGCACATGTTGCGAACTAAAAGAGAAAGTCGGTTAGAGTGGTTTGAAAATGGGGTTTGGCTTTATAAACTTACCAGCAGCTTTTGTTGCTCCGTATGGCGCAGAAGGAGCGGCCTTTAAGTGTAACATGTTAGAATCAATTCGTCATTAATCGTCACGGTGTAAACTCACTCGGTTGGGACGGTAAGAGGTCATGCTGGAAGTCATTACAATTGAGCCCTTGATCCCGAGCTCGATGAACTTGCGAGCAGCAATCTGAGCACAGAAGTAGGCGCCATAAACCTAGAATTAGTTAGCACAAGCTATCCGAGTCTATGTCTTGAGACACTTACATTAAGGTTAAACAACTTCTCCAGCTCGGAGCGATCGAATTTAAGAGCAGGCTGGTGCTTGGTCATACCCGCATTGGCTACAAGACCATCGATACGACCAGTCTCTTCAACAACCTGGTTGATCGCCTTCTCCACGCTCTCTTCAGAGGTGACATCTGTCTGGATAAACTTGAAGTTGGGGTAGCGCTTCTGCAGAGCTGCAAAATCCTCGCCAGGCTCCATTAGATCAAGAGAGTATACCATCTTCGCCGAATTGGCGAGGCACACCTCTGCAATACCCAGACCAATACCGCGGTTGGCACCAGTGATGGCAACAACCTTCTGACCCAGGGTAATTTGCCAGTTGAAGTCGTTTTCTGGCATAGTGCTGAGGTAGGGAGTAGGAGTCTCGGCCTTGACGGCATCGGACGTAGAGTTCTCGGTAGCTACGGGAGGCATGATGGCGTTGTGTGGAATAGGAGATGGTCAAATGAAAATCGGTAAGTAATGCCGGAGGAGAAGATGCAATGCGAAGATTTTTCGACCGATATATGTGGCATGACCCAGCTTTAATAGAAAGTCTTGGAGTATGATCAGCTCCCCGCATGCCAAATAAAAAACCCCTCCACCCCTCCATCTACAGACAGGCTGATGTTTACCCCGGGCTCGGAAGTATGCTTCGCATCGAGGCTCGGGTCGAGGCGCTGGTGGTTTAGGCTTGCCGAACTGATCTGACGTCATTTTACTGGTTTTACGCGAGACCTAAGAATGCCAACTGCATGATAGGTCTCAGTGAATGTCAAAAACGCTCCTCACTTTAATTGTCAGTGGGCTCGTCTGGTTCATTGATCATGTGTGTGTCTGTTCGTACTCGTTTCGGAGACATCCCGCACCGACAAAGGTCGAAACGGGGTACGTGCACTTGTAGAAAACTGTGTAGGCACAGCATGTACCATGGTGCATTACAGAATTTGGAGCCCTTGCGAAGAAGGAGCTCTCGTATTGGCTGACACGAGTCCCACGCGGGTGCCTCGAGACGAGACGAGCGGCTCGCCAATAACGATAGAGTTTGTGGGGGCGCCGCATGGCTTCGTGAATTGCGGAGGTGGATCCTATCAAGCCCAGTCTATTACCGGATCAGGGATGTCGTATGGGATGATGGATGGCCAAGTAGATTGCCGTCATCGTTAACAGCGAAATACGGCAGAACGATCGTCAGCCGTCGACGTACAAGGAGACATAAATATCCTGTTCGAGAAATTCGACATGCTTGCTCCCATGCAGGATAGGCGTCTTCGTTAATTACTGTTCTAATCTGCTCCATTCAATATGGAATCGTTTGACTTTGAAGATACATCTGGAAAGGAGATCTCTGCTGATGAGATTGAACATGCAGTAGGGGATGAGACATGGTCACCTGAGGAGGAGAAGGCACTGATCAGAAAGATTGATCTGATGCTGCTACCGGTGATATGGGTTATGTACCTGTTGTCCTACATGGACCGTACAAAGTGAGTCGGACAGCCATGTTATTTTAGAAGTGTCTGCTCACAATGCCTCTCTTAGCATTGCCAATGCAAAGGTATCCGGAATGGATGAGGATCTGAACTTGAACTCGAACCAATACTCAGTTGCTCTGGTGGTCTACTTTGTAGGATACGTGGTATTTGAAGTGCCTAGCAAGTGAGTCACCTGGCTCCCCTAAACTGCCTCCAGCAGTCCACTAATCACAGAATTTCCGATAGCCTTGTTTTGGCCCGCACCCGGCCTTCGATTTTTCTCCCTACAATCATGATTGTCTGGGGCATCCTCACCTGTCTCATGTCCGTCATCAAAAGCTACACACACCTTATAGTCCTTCGGATCCTCGTTGGAAGTGCTGAGGCCGGATTTGCACCTGGTGTTCTCCTAGTTCTATCATCGTGGTACAAGCGCACTGAGCAGTCCAAGCGCTTCGGTGTGTACATCTCGGCTGCCGTCCTGTCGGGTGCGTTTGGTAGCCTCATTGCTGCAGGCATTATGGATGGGCTAGAGGGCGCCCATGGTCTTCGTGGCTGGCGGTGGTTGTTTATTGTTGAGGGCGCTGCTACCATTGGATGTGCTTTGATTGCCCTGTTCATTCTTCCAGACTTCCCTGCTACCTCGAGAGGTCTATCTGAGCGTGAAAGGCATGTGGCTGTGGCTCGGTTGGCGACCGAAAATGTGACCGCAGTGACCGAAGATACTGCCCTGTTGAGCAATTGGGGTGCTGTCAAGGTTGCTGTGAGAGATTGGCGGACTTGGGTCTTTGTTGTTGGATACATGGTAGGTTTCTCTGGTGTCTGCTCCCTATCTCTTTGTTTGCTCATATAAACTAATATTTCTACTTCACTAGGTTATCGTCGGATCCAGCACCCTAACCTACTTCTACCCAACCCTCGTCAAGGGTCTCTTCGGGGATGCTTCTACTTATAAGATTAATCTTCTCACCGTCCCAATATATGGCGCAGCTTTTGTTGCCACTGGCATCACATCATATTTCAGCGACAAATTGCCAGACTGGCGAGGGCTGATCATCGCCTGCTGGTTGACTTTTTCTCTCGCATGCTCGATCATTGTGTGTGCAGTCTACAACTACACAGCCAGATACGTTCTACTGGTCTTGATGGCATGTGGTCTCTGGGCTACCAATGGAGGTACACTGGCATATGCATCATCAGCGTTTGCTGGCATGCACCCGCAAGCTCGAGGTGTCAGCTTGGCCTTGGTGAATGCGATGGGAAACCTGGCGCAGATTTATGGATCGTATCTGTTCCCGGACTCTGATAGCCCCAAGTACATTATGGGCTTCTCAGTAATTTCTGCAATGCTTGCGCTGGGAGTGGTTGTGTTCGGTGCCCTGCATATCTGGTTCCGCCGTCGCTCAAAATCACCCATTGACTAATGGTTTTGGAATGTCTATGAGTCTGATTTTCGTTTAGTTACAGTGTACATTGAATTTATTCCACGGCCAGTGAATATACTTGAGTGGTGGGTTGTAAAATCCTGAAGCACAGATAATCGTTACGCTACAGTTAGTTGCCCTTAAGTTTCGTCGCTTTGATCACAGCTTCCATATTCCGCGGCAACTTTGAGAGATATGGCGCTACATTCGCATGTTACTTCGCCTCTTAAGGCAGATACGAGACATGAAATCAAGGCGGTTGACTTCTTCTGTTTCTCAGTCGATCACCTGATAGCGGAGTAGATTAGGGACTGAGACATCCAGGCGTGGATTTGAGCTTTCTCAAAACTCTTGCGCAACAGCCATTGCAACTATCATTTTCCTCGGCGAATAAGACTCTGGGTTCCAGGCCAGAGTGATGAACGGCAATATCGGGAATGACATGATTGGCCAGACAAAAATAGGTATCTCAGATACAGGGGTACTAAATAGTCAACGGCTTTATTACAATCCGAAACACTAAACCAAGCATGCCTTCGTCCGTTGCGTACGACCAATTCTCTTGATTGCAAAAAGAGGAAAGGAGCACTTAGTGAGATACGTCCTGAAACTTGGAAATCATAGAAGCGGAACACAATATAGGATCTACACGATCCCTCGACGTTATTTTCAATTACTTTCAAGACACTTCAACGTGGTATCTACAAAATCAAATTACCTAGACTCCGCACGAAGGATACCTATCTGTAAATCTAGCCTAGATCCAGTAGCAGCAGCGCAACACGGGTATGTCTACTGAATAGAGTATCGTAATGGGAATGAGTATAGTGGAGCTTCTAGGCTAAGCTTTATGCTTAGGATCCGGTGGATGCGTCTCTATAGCAGAAGAACCTTTAGTGGCTTGAGGTCCCTAGTCTTTTAGGAAGAGTTTTAGATGGAATACAAGCAATGCGATAGCCCAAGGATTTAATTAAGCTAAGTGGCTCGTTATATAAACAGATGCTCTTCTCTTCTAACAAAGAGCGCACTCTAGCAGGAGAACGAAGGGCCGGAAGGACTGTTGATTTGAGCTTGACATACATCGAGGTTCATTCAATACTATAGAATAAGAATTCAGAGCAGCCAGCTATAGGTGTGTCACACACCTCTTATCTTTAGCACATTAAAAAGCCCTACAAGAATTGCTTTTAAGAAGAGAAACCGCATTGCTCTTGAAAGATTCTATGGTAAGGAGAATTGAAAATCTGTCTTCTAAGTCTCGAGGGGCATATTAAGGTAGTCTTTTCGGTTGCCTGGTCGCTAGATGGAAGCCGACTTGCATCAGCGTCTCTTAATGGCATAGCCCGCGTGTGGGATCTAGCCACCGGCCAGAGCGCGTTTACCTTTAAGCAATTGACGTCGAGAGAGAATCTAGAATAAGGACCCAAGTTGTATCCCGAAATCATGCCTATTGCTTACATCATTCCCAAATTCTTCTCCACATCACTCGTGATGAGCGCCCAATAGACCTGTGTCTGCCAACCTGAACAACGTGAATCGCTGCCTTGGGCAACTTCGTCGATCCAAATATTTACTTCTAAGCCATCCGCGCAGAGGCGCTGAGAAATCTCCTTGAAACCTCTTTGACGGCAACGGAAGAGCCCACATTCTTACGGAGTATGATGCCGGCAATAGCGACTCCGGCTGAGGATGCTCTCGTGAAGCCAGGAAGTAAGAGCGAACCCGAGGCCTTAGAACCTAAACGACTGTTTGGCGCCCCGTCGCAGATGGAACACAGTCCCTCTTTAGATGCACCACAAAGTTGGGTTTGAGATTTTGGTCGGAGTTTCAATGTGACAAATATTCAGTGACAGAATGCACGGAATACCGATTGGCATCATCGTCATTGGGAAAATAGACCTGGTCATTTTTTGGTTGGTATCTTTGTTCGGCGTAGGAACTAGTGGTATACTCTATTCCAAATCGTATAGGCGTATATCGTTTTATTAGATGTTGAATAGACTCATAAACATTTCGGGTCCGCCGCTCGGGGTCCGGTAGCGGAAGCCACATGTTGGAACCGCGGCTGTTCGGCAAACAGACTTACGGCCGTATAATTAGTTAACATCTTGTAACCTTGGTGAATATTGCTACTTCCTACGCCAAATTGGACATATCGACCTAACTTGACGGGCTATCTTCTTTGACAACATCTCAAACAATTATGTACAAACATACATATCGGGAGCTGATTAGCAAGCTCCAAGTCTCTCAGGAAGATGTCGACTTCTTCGCCAAGATGCCTTTTGTCCGCCCTTACTTGAATATATCCAGTTCCTACCAGCCGGTACCTTTCGTCACAAGGTATGACAAAGGAGACTCATCCGACAAATTTTTCAATAAAGCGATTCACTCGAACGACACTATTCCACGAGTCTTAGCTTTCATGCGAACAGGATATGCCCTAAAAAGCCCACCAACTGATAACGAGGGCTCTGACCAATCACAAAGTCCGGAGGAACCCCATTTTGTTACCTTTTGCCAACTTGAATCGGGGTTGAGTGGCTACATCAACACTCTCCACGGAGGAGTTCTGGCAGCCTTGTTCGACGAGACACTGGGTCTTTGCGCCGAGACCTACCGCGTTTTCGTCTCAGAAGAACAGGAGAGTTTACTTACGGCTAGACTCGAGGTGTCCTACCATGCACCCGTGCCTATTCCCGGTGTATTTGTCATCAAAACATGGGTGAAGAAGAAGGAAGATAGGAAATGGTTCCTCGAGGCACAGCTTCTCGATCAAGAAGATTCCCTGAAAGCGACCGCAAAATCTCTCTACATCCGGCTACGATCTCCGTTATAGAAATGGCCATCCAATGGCTCTTCCAATAATTAAACTTGATCAGTCATCTTTCCTTCTCCTTCTCAGTTGTAGGATGCAGGATCATAGAAATAGTCACCCGGCTGGGACTTTGCTCCATAAACACTGGGGATTGTGATCAGCCCTTGAGTAAGATGGTGTTGATTAAATCACCCGAAAAGACAAAGCCCGTTGGACTTCCATTGTCGCGAAGGGCAGCCTTATTTAAGTCATGAAATTCACTCAAATCCATCTATCACGGGACACTAAAAGCCTCGTGGCTAGATAGAAGCCACCAGAAAGAACCAGAGAAATCCTCGTAAACAACTGCATTGGGACATAACCAGTTCCACCCTCGTCACTGAGAAGCTGTCCAGCAATCGGACCAGTACCTAAAACTGCAAACGATACAATCGTGATACCGATCCCTTTTGGACTATGTTGTTTTCCAAACCAAAATATTTGAGTCGAAGAGAGGGATCATGTCACTTACCGTTCCAAGACCCAATCACCTCTGGTGCCGGTGCCAGAAGAGATAAACATGGTGAAAATATGGCTTGAAGAGCTCCGGACAAAATGCCGTATACTACAGCCCACGCAATGGTGCCTGCAACTTGATGTGCCCCAATCCACGCGAAGCCTACCATCCCGCATGCAAAAGTGGTCAATGTGAGAGAATTATAGAAGCCCCACCCGGAGTCGGCAATCATTCCCAATGCATAACATCCCAAAAACGCACCGCCGTTCAAGATCGCTGCAGTATAAAAAGCGAGGCTCTCAGAGGCGCCGTATTGCATTGCATAGGAAGTGATATAAAACTGTGATTTAAAGTAAGCTCGTTAGTCAGGCCAAGGACACTTCATGTATACATGCCACTTACCCACGGGATATAACTCCCCAGATTCATGATCATCATCCCGATGATGAACATGATAGTCCTTTTATCGGTAAAATACTTTCTCACGGGCAGCGCGTCGAATTTCGAGGTTCGTGGAAACCGCGGCCGAACTAATAGGGTCGGCGGCAATCATCAAACCCAGCTGCATGAAACCAATGATGCGCAGCGTCCAGCCCAATGACATTCCATCATGGGTGAGGAGCGCATCTGTCATTACAGGCCAGATGATTCCTGATTCCGAGAGATGAAGATTAGCCATGGAGACAGAAGTACAGCAATTGTGCAAAATGGCCAGATACATACCTCCCACGTTTTGACCCGACATGACAGCACCAACAACAAAACCGCGTCTTTTCAGAAACCATCGGGACTGAATTGCCAGCGCTGGTGTGAATATCAAGCCCATTCCTAATACCTCGCAAAATCCCTGGGATAACAGGAACTGATAGTACTTCGTCGAAATAGAAGCCATCATGGTGCCAAGAACCAAAAAGAAAGTTCCCACCCCAAGGGGCACGCTTGGTTCATACCTGTCAGACAACCTGCCGGCGTAGATTCCAAAGGCAAAGCAGCCCCAGAGCTGCACACTGCCAATCCAGGCAATATCGGAAGGGTTTGTTGAGGACAGCGTCGATGTAACGTAGTAGCTCTGGAATATAGAGCCACCGCTCATGAAACCGATGCTGGGAATGAATGCCAAAAACCCACCAAGAGCGGTGCGCCAAGCGTTGATACCACCATCTGGAAAATATACTTCATCTTGGATGGCAAGATCTGAACAGCTTCCGTTCGTCTCATTGTCGTTACGGGCCAACTTTAGATCTTGACTATTTGCAAGAGACTGGTCGACCTGCTCACTCTTGTAGGCGGCCATTACTTTGGTTGATTTCAGAAAAAACTGCAATAGCAAAGGATTGGGTTATACCTAACCATAATCTTTGGACTCTAACTATGGTTTAAATGTTGAAGTCAATGAGGGGCATATATTGACCAACACATTACGAGACTTGCGTCGCTCAGAAGTCAATATACAGCCAATAAATCCAAATACTTGTTGAGATAGGACTCGGACCTACGAGATAGCCATATGACGGCGAATAAGAAATGATAAGAAATGAAAAGCCTCGTGTGTTGAATATCGATGGGATCATTCACCCCGCAATTGGCGATAGTATACTTCTTTAACTTGACTTCCGCGGGTCACAGGGTTGCTTTATCATGTCCTTGTGATGACTGGACATTAAAGCCGCGGTTCCTCGGAGCCGCGGGTCCGACGATTGGACTTTCTGCATCGCGCCGGCCGGTTAAATCTACCCGCTCCATTGAGTTCTAGGCCAAACCGAGCTGTTCTGCCGAGGAGTACCTTCGCATGATAACGTGGTATTTAATTGGAATTAGCAAGTTCTCTCTAAAAGTTGGTTATTGAGCTGCGAGGCTGATCGTAAACTCCAACAAGCTCAGAATACTAGCTAGATTCTAAGGTACTGATAATGTGAGGGGCTATATTGGCATATGGTTTATTATTGGATCAGTCTCAATCCATCGAGGACATCACTTTTACGCCGATCTTTTTGCAGATTCTGAAAGCACGAAGTCAGATAACTGCCGTAAAGACCTATCAGAAAGCACATGGAGCTACCTGCTGATGATCTTGCAATACTCAAAAGAAAAGCTTATGTGAAATGCTGATATGATGAGAACGATGAACCGTCTATCTATAGATGTTACCGTAATTTTGCCTTGATAGGTCCGTGACGAGGCCTATCTCAACCACTCCATGCCTTTCTTGATATCGCCCCATCGCGCGATTGCTAGATCCCTCCAATAGTACGAACGCGGCTGCCACGGAGCCGTAGATGCAGTCTTAGGAAACACATCTCCCCCTTTCTTCACATAGGTTGCAGATAATGCCAAAAATGGACGTTCTTCTAAGTGCTTCCTCTCTTCCGCGGTCATTCGCGGCACAATTACCGATAAGCCATGTTTCCTCATCCGGTTCAGCAAACGACACGCTAAATTTGCCGTTGAGTCTGTGCCCAGTGTCCAGCTTGCGTTGGTGTATCCGATTGACAGCACTAAGTTAGGCAGACCTTCCACCATGGCAGTCCGCCAAGTAAAGTTGTCCGATAATCTATACGGCTCGCCGTCGACAGTAATGGCGATACCGCCTGCCAAGCGTAGCTTGAGCCCAGTCGCTGTCACGATGATGTCGGGATGGAGCTCTTTTCCAGAGGCGAGGGTTATGCTAGACGCAGTAATCGTTTCAATTATACCGGTATGAATGCTTGCTTTTCCGCTCCGAATTGCGGCGTAAAAATCGCCGTTAGGACAAAGACACAAGCGCTGATCCCACGGATTATAAGAAGGCACAAAGTCTGGCTCTAGGCTCATGCCTGGGGGCAAAAGTTTGGCTGTTCCACTGAGGAAGAAAGACTTGGCTAAACGAGGGAAATGATGGCACATCGACACCATGAATAATGAGAAAAGGATCCATTTAAGACGTATGATTCGATGTGCCATAAAACTAGGCAGTATCTTCAAAACAATGGCTTCAAAAACTCCTAGGGTGGGAAGGGACGCGATGTAAGTTGGTGAGCGCTGGAGCATGGTTACGTGCGCAGCACTTGTGGCGAGGGAGGGAAGTAGTGTGATAGCGGTAGCACCAGATCCGATAACAACAACCCGTTTATCGGCGTAGTCGAGATCATCAGGCCAAAACTGGGGGTGAACGACCTTGCCTTGGAAATTGTGTATCCCAGGAATGTCCGCGGGTAGAGGTTCCTCGTAGTCATAGTAGCCTGTGCCAAGGAAGATGAAACGAGACCTCAAAGACATCTTTTCCGTGTCATTGACGGTAATTTCACAATCCCACATATTAGGCGAGGATGACCAATTCAACTTGTTCACCTTGTGGCGAAAGCGTATCTTCTTATCGATGCCCTCTTGGGCGGCCGAGTCTTCAAGGTACTGGCGAATGATAGAGCCATGAACAATGGAATTCTTCCCTGTCCAAGGGCGCCACGCAAAACTGAACGTATAGAGGTCTGAGTCTGATCTAAAACCTGTGTTTTATAAAGTCAGGAAAAACGTTCAAATGTGATGTGTATGAGGATGGCAGGGCTCACCCGGATACTGAAATAAGCTCCAAGTCCCTCCAATTTCGTGTCGGCCATCGAGGATACAGTAACTGAGCTCTGGGTTTCGCTCTTGCATACGGTATGCGAAATTAATGCCAGATATGCCTGCACCAATAATGATGACATCGAAATCTGGCATTTTCTTGTGCGCAGCCATCGTGACGTAGCTGACTTGGGCGTTTTCGTGTGGACGTTTTGTTATGTAGCTTGCGATCTTAGGTTTCTATGTTCATAGAAGTCAATGCAAGATTAACAAGTCCCTCCGTAATTTATGAGATTTATATTGATACCTCCCACTGCCAACGGCAATTTTGACTGGTGAATGCTCGGATCCGCGGAGCCGCGAAACAGCCGACAAGGTTCAGTCAGAAGCGGAATTACCCCAAGCATATCACCAAAAGACCTCTGGTCCAAATTGGAAACAAGCAGCAGTAAATTTGGGTTTATGTCCAAGTAGACTGATATACCCCTCCGTACGTGGTTTGGTCCTGGCCATGAGATTACTTTTGCCCGCAGCCCATGTGTTGATCTTGGCCTATTTGAACGCCCCAAGCCAAAAACCCTAGCACTCTTCTAATTAAATCTGGCTGAAAGGGATACAAAATACGCAGCGAAAGTGAAGGCGCACATCATTTGAATGTCTTCGCAGGATTGAAATACATTACATGTTCTGCTATTCAGAATGGACCTAGGCCTGACAAATCCTTTCTTGAGCAAAGATAGACTTCCATTTCAATTGAACTTCAATGACCGTATTTTGAAATTAAATCCAACAATCTCAGTAAAACATGAATTGAGTACGAAGTCACGCATTCCTGGCTCCTAGAGCTGCGTGGTTGGTTTACAATGTTCGTGCAAGTCTTATATCCTGGAGAAAAGCGATGCAAGGCCCGCCTCCGCGCCCATGGTTTCCTTTCCTGCCAGCCGCTTCTTTGGTGGTCAAATAGACGTCTGGTAGCCACTGTGGCTTTGGATCTCCCAAGGCCATACGAGAAATAGCCTAGACAGATAATCAAGCCTGGCACATGCCATATCCATTGAAGTCGGCTGCGACCCATTGACCGCCCTCAACGTTCCTTTCACTCACGGAGGCTGGCAATTTTCTCATAATCGGGAGTTGATCAGCGGTCATACTAAGAATTTCACACCAGATCTGCTGAATCGCAGTAGCGGAAGATAAGGTGTCATTTGTTATGGGTTAGTCCGGCTCTCGTTGGTATCATGGGAAGCAGGGTGGTAAGGTTCCCCACGGAGTCCGCACTGACGACTAGGTTGTCAGAGGACAAAGAGGCGTCCAGCCTGTGAGTATCTCCTACAAAGAAAAGATCACCGGTCCCGGCATTTGCTGCATTCAGTCAAACAATGCGGAGTTCTGAAGATGCTGATATCCAGCAACGTATCAATGCTATACGGTCAGAACTTTCGACTACTGAGGTTCATTGGGTGGTAACTCACCTTATGGTGAATAATCTCCCAAATCCGCTACCTGGTTATCCGCAGCAACAGGATAATGATAGCGCAGGTTGAGGCAACTAGAATCGTTTTGTGGGTAATCTTGAACAGCCTCGCATAGGTACCATCATCATCGTGATACCGAGAATCCGAAAGATTTGAGTGTGGATTTGTTTGCTCTCTATTTAATACATTGAATTTTCAATTCGAGAATCATGGAACCTGAATATAACACATCAAGATACTGAATTTAGCATCTTCCCACTTTGAGCTAATTTCTCGCTATAACAACTACCAAAATAGTAGCCCTGGAAAGAAGGATAGAAGAGCAAGAACGTAGCGCATACTGACAAAGCCATGACTTTACGGTGATTTACAGTGAATGATTGCAGGTACGTACACAATGCAAAGTCTGCAGAGCTATGTCATAATATGGACAAATTGTGCCTGGTGGGGCTTTGGGAGATAAGGAAAGAGAGTGAGAGGTGAAGCTGATTTTGAACACTACGAGCAAGCCTTTTCCCCTATACAAATAGACCCAAAGGTTCTCATATTCATCCTCTCTGCTATAATTTGACAATGAAAATGTCCTGCCGCGTTCAATAGTGGCATTTAGAGAAGCGAATTCTTAGCATGTTGTCGAAATGCGAGACCACCCCGCAAACCCGTCAACCACAGTTTCGTGGATTGCTTGAACTCAATTTGAACCGCAATTGCCCTTGCCACAGAAATTCGTCCAAAGGATCAGTGGCATGTTTAATCCGGGACCCGCGGATTCCGGGAGCCGTAATCGGAGCCCCACATTTTCTATATCATGGGCCAGGTAGGCGTCCACTTAGCGAGCACGTCCTTCATGGCCTTCGCGTGAAGGCGAAACGCGTCCTTTTCTTTTTCCAGTTCAGTGACCACATTACGGCTGGAAACCCATTTCATCGCCTTTTGTATACCAGCAAACTCGGATACTGCTTTATATGGACCTCGGCAGTATGGCGTTTGCCAACTTAAATGGCTATCCCAATGGTTCTGACGTGGCTGGTGATGAGAATCATGACTATAACGATGTTCTGGGCGCTTTTTCACGTCAGGATCACTTTTCATATTCTTACCCTTTTGGCCGCATTGGATATTCCGGGACATTTGCGCTGCCCTCTGCTTCCGACGGAGGTCTGTTCTTGACCTACTCGGGCCCCATGGCTGATGAAGCAGAGCCAGTGCAATTGAATGATGAGGTCTTCAATCCATCAGATCCCTTACGTCTTTCACAGGGGGCTGATATGCCCAAGTCCCCTGACACCCAAACCGACCAAAAGGCCAAGGAAAGGTCCTGTCCAGCCACACAGAACCCAACACCTGCGAGCACTCGGAGACAACACAGACCTCGAAGACAGAATTGCTCGTGCGATCCATGCCGTTCAGCGAAAAGGGCCTGCGATTTGCCTCCCAATGTCACCCTCTCAAACAACATTCCTTTATCACCTTGTTCCATGTGCGAATTACGGGGCACTGTTTGCACAGTTGCATGGCGGGCGAGCAAGAAGTCTTCCTTTAAAACCAAGAAGTCTACGTCTTCTGCTAAGAGTCATTTTAACGACCATGACACTGATGTTATCAACGACGATGGTTTCTCGCCTACCACTGCAACAAGTCTGTCAAGCCATGACTGTACTCTAGTTCACCGTACGATGGCTTCCCAGATATGCTCTCAGAAGTTAGGGGTATATTTTGACATTTTTGATATTCCATTGTCGAGAATTCTTTCAGAGAAATGCGTGCCTCCTTGTTACTCTCTGGGCATCGCTGCCTTAACACCACTGAGACACAATACACAACTAGCCGCACGATTCAACCAAACTGAATTGGGCATCATGGATTCTTGGGAAATGGGAACATTTTCAAGGCAGCCAACTTCTGCTACGTCACGTCTATTTCTTACAGCTAGCATTCTTGATTTGCTGTTTCAGCGTCCAGATTCTCGTTCTGGATATGGGCGATTATCGCGCGATGTTGCCTTGACTGAAACGCACAAGTGGGTTGCCATTGCGGCCGGGTCACAATTTAATATCAACGACAATGGCTCCGAGAACGAAGAAAAAATTGTCCAGCAAGCAAGAGATATGGCATATGCTACATGGTCCAAGGCGAAACAAATGGTGTTCGAGAACATTGCAGCAAGCAAATCCTTCCGTCTAGGATTGTCGCTTCTCCTCTTTGGAACAATATTGCCACCTACTGGGATGGATCGGAGCCGTGATTTCAAAGAGGACGCTGCTTATACATTGCAAGAAGGCATTCGTCGACTAAATATACTATGCGCCGAGGCTCGGACTTGTCTTCAAGGTAGTGATACCCGCTCTAGTATTATTACGCCCTTGATGGGCCTGCATCCGCCCGTGAAAGAGCAGTGTCTATTTCAAAGCCTGTCCCTAGAAGCTCTTGATAACGTTTTAGAGCTGATCAGAGCTTTTGAATGGCTTGTTGAGATGTCACGAGGCGTAGCAATCGCCCTTGTCCCATTTCCAAGTTTTCTCATTGCACCGCATTTTGATAACTCCAGTGCCGGGAATGCTCATTTGGAAGAGGGAATAGCTCAGGATTTGAACGTCAAAAGCGTGGATAATGTACAGAATCCGAGACCAGTAGATGGTGCCATTATTGCGCGGATCGAGGGAGTGGCCGAGCCAGTGACAGTGCTTTGGACTCAAGGCTCCGCGGAGCAACTTATACAGAGTGCTTTGCTCGAATCAGCGTCTTTCGTGGTCTTAATGTGGAAATCACTTGCTCGCTTGACTATAGAGACTCAAAACGTGGACACCGGTCAAGTCAACTATACAGAGATTCACCAGCATTTTAAAAGGATGATATTGCTCGTTGATCTATGGAGAACGACCTTTGGCAAGATTGACTATGACTCGGCTATGAGACTGCAGCTATCCAAACCCGATATAAGGCGTTGTGTGATTTTCTGCGCTACTGATGGCGACCTAGCTGTCCTTCTCTTTTATGAGCTTTCTTTTCATCTCCAGAGTCATCTTGCGAACCAGCCACTATCGTCAGGAAATTGCCTCCGCGAAAAACTAGAGCTAACCAAAAACTACCGGGATAGCCAGCGAATCACAAGCGCTATGCAAATCTCCTATCTCGCTTCAACGAACCATGGAGTCTCAAGCCCTGGCTTCCAAGGAAAACATGGACTTAAGGCAAACATCGAAGACATTCGGGCGCACCCTGTAAGTGCAACTAGCTTTTGAATCGGCTTTTATTCACACTGAGAACTACAGCATCCTACTATGGTGGTGCGGGCATACCAACTAGCCGCTAAGGGATTGGCACAAGAGATTCAGAGCTCCGTTTCGGCGGTAGATATAGAACGGATTTCAGACCTGTCTGCCGCTCTCCAAAGTTGTCTGCGGGAGCTGCAGGGATTGCAAAGTGCAATCGTTATGTATCCAACCACAGGAGGGGGTGATGAGAGTTTAGAATCCTATTGAACTCAGCGGATCGCTAATTTTATATGTCAGGGCAGGCGTAATGATAGTAATAGGATAGAAAACAACGACAGCTATTGAGCACCCAACGTCCACCGAAATTGAATTCATCTTATGTTAGAGATTTTCTATGCCAGATAGCTATCGAATTAAAGGTCAATAGGAAAGGGTTTTAAGGAAGGTTCAAAAAGAGATATGCTGCATAATTCTCTTGTGGAATGTTGCCGCGGAAGTAAAGAAACCTTTACACACCTTTAACAAAACGCCAATGAGCAATCACAAAACGTACCGTGTCTGCTGGGACTAATGTTTATAACGACTGTTTTTCATTCTCTCATTTTGCCAATAAGATTTATACATGAGCTTTATCGAAGGACTCGGGAGTGAATTTAAAATATAATCCTATTCATGTATCCATGTGGAAAGCGCTTAGATGCTCTCAATAATCTCATCCTTAGGGACTCCAACGCGCTTCAAGGCACTGTAGAATACCTCAGGCTTAGCCCAGTCCTCCGGGCAGAAAACGCCACTACGCTTGTGGCCGTCCTCTAGTGCCATCAACATGAAGGCAGCAGTTGAGGTGCCAGTGATCGTACCCATACTTTGACACAAGTAGGAGTCTTTGCCGTTTTTTGGATTGCGCTTCGTGATCACCGTCGGAACACCACCGCGCATACCAATGGCCCTCACAAGTGTGTTGCCTCTGTTCTCGACTTTCGTTCCAGTTGCTACGTTCGTGATGTAAGTCACAACCTCAGTAACGGTGCATTCTCCATTCCAAATTTGCTCAATCATTCCCCACAGAGCATATCGTAGAGGGCCGACAACGTGGCTGATTAAGCAGTAAAGCTCCTTGAGGGTGATATCGCCTCCGCGGAGCTGTTCTTTCAGAGCCCCAAAGGCTTCACCCAAAGTACCCAATCCGCCTTTCAGCGGTGGATTGGTTGCCATATTATAAAGAAACTCGACGGCTTCGTCCATTGACAATGCTTTTGCGCGAACAGCAGAGCCAAGTCCTCGAGCGATACCATTGACTGGCTTGGGATCTAACGAGCCGAAGCACTGAATGCGAGTGGCATTCGGGAAAGCGCGCGGGAGTGTCACTGGCTCTGGGTGAGCAGTTTCATGCAAAAGTCTCTCTCCATCATCGGTATACATTGGTGCGTAAGTGGTTCCGACCCAAGACTCCTTCACCGTCGGCTTTGAATCCACCCACGTCAAGCATGGGCCAGCAGCAATATGCATCAAATGATAAAGCACGGCTTTTCCGACACTAGTCTCATCACCGACAAGCCAGCAAATATCAATGCTATCCACCGAGTCGAGTTCACTGGCGGCGTCGATGGCCATGACGTTGCTCAGACCGGGCGAGTCACCGCAGCCGATATAGACAGGCACACCCGCTTTTCTGGCTTCTTCAGTGAGAGCAAGAGCTGCTTGAGTGCTTTCAACATCGTCATCAAAATCAAGGTACGGGACTTGGGCCTTAATGCATGCCTTGACGACGGGATGAGAGGTTTTGGAATACGGTCCTGCGCCCAGCACAACCAGTCTAGCACCGCTGATTAGATTGGCAAGGGCAGCGTCATCAAATAGATTGAGCTTCTGAGTCTTTGCCTGACCAGGAGGAAGCTTGGCGGCAAGGGATTCGATGACGGCGGTGTTGAGATCGGCAAGAATAAGCTGGGCGTTGCTGGCTTTGGCAAACCGTTCGACAGCGATTCGACACATCTCACCCGCAGCACCGATGAAGACGACGGGTTTGGAATCAGTGGAGTTGACCATATTGGCAAATTGTTTGAAGAGGAGTATTGTGTCCTTGAGGATGTTATGAAAACTCCACCACTAGGGGTCTCGCTCGTTAATTTATAGTGTAGTGTGACCTCAAAAGACCGTGAGGAAATCTCTCTGCCGGAGACGCATCAACCCATCAAACGTCATTCACATGAGTAGAATGTATGGCTCAATATTAGCTGTTATCCGAGATCTCTGATGGCGGCTCCGGGTTGCGTTCCGTATGTGAATCTTACCTTATCCCCCAGGCTCAGCGCCCGCGGTCCCGCGGAACCGTTGCAACGAGACCGTATTTCGCCCACATTAGAATACAATAGGGTAATGATTGGATTATACAAGATTTTCGCTTCTTGTTGCTGGCTAGCTTTTTGTTTTTGAAGATGATGGAATATTCCCGCGCAATATTGTGTGCCACATGCTTTTTGTTCACTATCTCGATATGTCCATTTTCCCCAGGTGCAGTTGTCTCGAAAAAACATGGATCCTCGGAACATAGAATATTAGATGCGACATAATTGCTTCAAGTTCAAATGGTAAATGAGAAGCGGCCAATATCGAGCATCGTTGCTCATATCCACAGCATGCCAAGATTAGGCGAAATGCACAATTCACTACCCTACTTCTTCATGAGTACATGATTAGAGTACTTTTAAGCCCTTGTAGCTCCTACAGGTGCCTAATAAACTTAATCGATAGCCCTGATATGCGTTTTCGCATCAGCGAGGTTAATACTGTCCTGAATTTCTTCTGTAAGCTCTTTGGCGGCTAGCTTGTATGCTTGTATCACCATTGTAGGGCGCTACAAGTTATATTTAGTTTATGAAAAGCACAACTTGGATAGCGGACCTGAATATAAAACACAAGATGAGCCATAGAGCCTTATTCCTGTAGCAACTTGATTTGATAGGCCTTTGCCTCAACCCGCGTAATAATGGTATCGTCTACTTATTTCCGTTTCCTCTTATTCTCGGCCGGCTTAATCACGTTCCTTTAAGCTATCGTCTCTACCAGACTAGTACCGCTGACTTTAAAATTATTGATAGACGGTGTAAAAGTAGCCTTTAGCGTGGGAAAAGGGCGATCGGTACTGATGGTGATATCTTAAAGAGCCATCCAAAAGCTATAGGACATTTTACGGCTTTCGCTGGATAAGCTTTGCAACAAGTATAGCTAATCTTTAGGGCGGACAAAAGTCGATTTCAGATGTGCTGGACAGTTAACTAGTCGCCGAGTTACGGAGAACATGCGGAAATCCTACCCTGCCATGGCGTCAAGTATAAACTAGCTGAGCCTGAAGTAACTAGACTGCGGGGTTGAGTTCCACGTACGGATCCGCGGGTCCGCGTCCGCGGTTCCCGAGTCAACCAGAATTCGCTGTAAACTGAAGAATTCGGGGCATTTTGAGTTTAAATGAGTTCAGGCATTTCTAAACATCGGAAATGTTGTCAGACTTTTCTCGTGGTGGTTTCTTGAGTAATTGTGGGGGTACGGTGGGGGGATCGGGACACGGGTGGATCCACCGTCCGACATTATCTCTTGTTCGGTACACAACCACAAATGTTTTATAGTTTTTTATCGCGCGTAATATCAATGATTACCGTCCTCGCAACGTTCAGAATCACTCATCATTTGTAATAGTAATTAGTTATACGTTAAATTCCATGGCGGCAGAGTCTGTCGACTGCAAGGTCAGATTTCCGGAGAAGGGATGATGAAATAATAACATCTAGATATAGATCCTACTTCATTCACTGAATCAGATGTCGACTTCGAAGAAGACAAATAAAATACAACATTGTGAGGGTAGCTAGCTACTAAAAGCTGTTCTTGGCCAACCTGAAAGAGACATTACTAGCTGCCTGTGCGCCGCTTGACATAGCACCCTCAATAGAGCCCGGTTCACTGTCAGAAATATCACCTCCTGCGAACTGAATATTGCCATGTGGCTTTCTGAGATCCACTGCTCCAGTCGTGAAAAATCCAGGTCGATTCATCATCCAGCCTCCTTTGGCAAATTCATCGGTCGCCCAACTATGGTATGCAATATCGACCACCTCAATTCCAGGGATAAACATTCGGAGTACATCTTGCACTCCCTGCGAATCTTTGGCACGAATTTCAGCATCATCGCAGCACATGCAAAAAATGAGGGTATCTCCATTGACGTATCTCTCTGTTCTCAAAGCATTGAGCGGAGATTTGCCGGCCGGTGCAGTGATAGAAAAGGGCTCAATCTCACCCCGGATCCGGATCCATATCTTTCCAGCCATGGTTGGATTCTTCTTTGCGATCATCGATCGTGCCACGGGGGGTAGACTTGGTGAAATGTGCACGTCACCAATGGTGTTCAGAGGGAGCGCAACGATTGTCGAACGAGCACGGATCGTTTGGCCATCTCGAGTGCTAATCGTAACTTGGGAGCCTTCATCGATGATGGAGGTTACTGGAGTCGAAAGGCATATCTTGGCGGTTGTCTCAGACAGAATAGAGTCGATAAGACCCTTGGTGCCGCCTTGAATGCTCCAGCTACCAGCTGTCTCGAAAAAGGCTCCAAAATTACCAAAATACGTGGCCGCAGATTGGAGCAGCTGGGCAATGCCATGATCTTTGTAGGAATGTACCACGCCAGACAATGCCCCTTCCAACACAGCACGCTCATATGAAGATAGATTCAACGAATTGATGCGGTCCTCAATTGTCTCCTTTTCAATATCAGCGTTGTTGATTGCAGTGTGGTCAAAAGGCATCGGGAATCGAGCCCGGCTGTCTGCAAACATTCTTTCTAAGAGCGGAGACACAATGCCAGAGAAGTCTTCGGCGCTGCCAGAGTGCACGACTCCATCGGCAAGCCAGTAATGCCGGCACACCTCTATCGGAGGGTTCACGAGAATTCCATGGCGCCGGAGCTCATTCCAAATGTGGGGTTGCGTCCAGTGTACAAAGGCCCCTCCCAACTCGAGGACGTCGCCACAAGCGCTATCCATATACGTTCGTCCTCCCACTCTATCACGGGCCTCTAACAAGACCACCTTGTGGCCTTTCGCGCTGAGGTCGCGCGCGGCAATGATCCCGGCCATACCGGCCCCAATGACTGCCACATCTAATAGTTCGTCCATTCTGATAGTATGGAGTGGTGTTGTCGGTATAAACGGGAATTGTGATGGAAGATTTGGTGCAAAGTTTCCAACTCAAGGCAAAGAAAAAGTCTCTTTTTCTGGGGATGAAATGAACGAGAATATAAGCTACATAAATACTAGTTTCGGGAGATACATCACGAGGTGTCTGGGGAGACAACCACCCAATAATTCTCTTCGGATCACTCGTAGATGGACCGATTTGGAGTTTCTGTAGATATTGTGAAAGTGGAGCCCTGTTGCGCGGAACGCCAAGCACTGGGAACCGCGGCCTCCGCGGGTCCGAGAATTGCGCCCTGATACTTGATCCAGAAAACGGCGTAAGCCAATGGTAATTGTCACACGTCTCGACATCTATAGTAGCACCAGATTACGTCATTGTCTAGCTTCGCTCCCAGGAGCACGAGTAGGCAGCAGTGCGGTTACTGTCGGAGTATGTGAAAGAACGGAAAGTTGGATGAGATCGAATGGGCCAGTCGGCCTGAGCATTGGGATCAGCGATCAAGCTGTTCAGGGCGGCAATTTTACCGCCACCATTATTACATTAGAAAATTTATCAATAAGACTTCATTTCTCATAAATCTCATTATTGTACTGTAGATATAAACACAATCAGACCCTGCCAAGTCCGAGAAAGACACCATCAGAGGTTGGTTGCAGGACAAATTCAACTAGATTTGGTGATCTTTGGACTACCTCAAGACTCAAGAAGGCCAGTCCCTTTGCATTTAAGAAACCAAAATTCGGAAGAAGGTCGTTAAGTGCCTTTATATCAGTGCTATCCAGTCCTTGATGAGAAAAGGCCATTGAGAGACACAGGAATTTGCGGAAAAGTCAATGCGATTTCAACTTGATGAATATAAGGTATAGTCTCGCCGTTTCCGCGCTGTACGGAGTTATGGAAACTGGGACGATCGCACAAAATTTGTCAACCACCCTGGCGAGATGTTACATCAGTTCGAAGTTTGCATAAATAGAAGATGTTTCCCGCATTTGTTCTCACGTCTCAAGAGTAAGTCAATATCCCTGGACATACGTCACATCTAATGAAACACTCAGACTGCTTCATAAAACTTGATAACGGAATGTTCCAACATCGATGCACTTGATTCCCTCAGTTATGGTGCCATCCTAGTTTGCCAACCAACACTTAGGTTACATCGGCGATGTGATACTACGTACTAAAGGTCACGGCAAAGCCAATGAGAAGATATGATCTTGCAAGGGGTTTCTATGCCTTTTTTTGATATCATTTTGGCTTTTCAATTCCCGGGTGGCAGAATGGTTGGAATGTTGACATCCAGCCAAAACATCCCTGGACCGCCATAGGATACCGTCAACAGCCATTACCCCTCCTAGCTTAGTACAAGTCTAGTTATCATGGGAAAGACCAAATTAGCGTCAGGTAACGCCATTACACAAGATGGCTTGTTGTCTGGAAGGCCATCGCGAAATTACAGAGAAGACAAAGATGCGCAGAAAGTAGCAAGGAGGGTACTGACATATCAGATTTATGAACCAGCCCTCATTCCACATGATTGCAGGAGTCCCCATCTCTTCAGTGATATGAGATTCAAGATTTATCAGTGTTATGAATTACAATTGCGAGACGAAGAATTTTCTCATATGTATAAGTTCTTCTTCGTCTCCTCGAACGCAAGGAACTGAGCAGGCCTCCGACCTACTACTCTTCCTACCGAGATGGCCCTTTTCTCTTCCAAGTCCACCTGCTCAGTGATCATCGCCATATCTATTATATCTTTGGCCTCCATTTGCGTCTACCGCATCCAGAAGACGGCAACTGGGAACATAGTCCAATTGGCAACAAATATCCAATCTCGCCATCCTGTAAGTTTGCAGGCGAAAGTTAACATAGAGGTATTAATGATAAAATAGAGACTTATACCCAGCCTTGAAGACTACCAGGATGACATCTTCCACCTACAGGGCGTGGAAAACCCCAGCAAGTTGGCAACTCCTGCTTCTACCCCCACACCTTTCACTCAGACCATAACTGAGCAGAACAACATCAAAGCAACATGGTCCCCAGTGATTGGTGTAGCCGAGCTTACAAAAACCTCGTCTGCAATACATACCACCAAACCCCGTCATAAAGAATCTGAGATGCTTGCATCCACTCAGGTCAGATCTGGGTGGGTTACAAGGAAAAAGCTCCAAGCCTCCGACTTGCCTTTGATTCCCGGTAATATTCCCAATGGATTTGACCATCCATTCCACAACATGATCGATAGCTTTGACGAAAAGGGACTCAATGATGAAGCCGAGTAATTTAAAAGTTCCGGAGAGAGGTGCCAATTCTAATGAAATGAGTGCTGTGCATGGAAGTTTGGAAGAGAATTACTCATAGTATATCATTAAATTAACTGTCCCCGAATGGATTGTACAGTTCCTATATTATATTGACCATTACCCGTGTATTCAAACAGGGAATGCTTTCTTTGTAGAGACTTTCCAAGGTTGTGCATACTAGGGTATTATCACCCAGTCATTCCTTTGCGTACTATAGACTACTTGCCAACAAATAGTGTCGTGGCATGGCATATATTCATTCTTTCAGAAAGCCATAAGGGCCAGCCTTTGATATCCGAGCAGAGATCACAACAAGCTCACTAACTAGAGTCGCTGAAGGTAACAGAGTAGATACCGAACCCTTCTGAAGAAGCAGATGTGGAAGATGTTGTGAAGGAATCATTCTGAACGTCAATGTAGGTAGATCCTTCGTACTGCAAAATATAGCCAGCCCCACCACCGAGGAATGAGATAGCTATCTCGCTAGCTTTAGACTTGGAAGAAACCAAAGTGCCATCAGCACCTAGGTAAGTTCCATCGTAAGCGCTTTCAAGATAGTATATCTGGCTTTCTTCATCTGAAGAATAGTGGAGGATCCAGCGTTGGTAAATGGAGCTATGATCAGTGGTGGTGGCTGTCAGGCTGACGACTGAAGAGACGCCCAGATTGGCCAAAGCATATCCGCCTTTCTCAAAGGTGAGATAGCGACCCTCAGTCAAGTATCCGACGACTTCTTTGTATCCGTCCTCGAAGTAAAGAGATGAAGTTTCGGTCTGCTCACCATAGGGAACAGTTGGCCGAAGAACCGCGTATGTTGACTCACAGGTCCCGGTAGAGATATACGTCCCATCGGAGTCCTGGGCAGGAGCATCAATATCAGGGATGTCGGGTATAGTATAGTTAGGCTAAATCAGGTGTCAATGATGGTTTCATGAAAAAAGTACCGCCAAAATCCAAGATGCCTTACGTTTGAGAAATCAAAAGCGTTGAGAAGATTGGACATATGCTCGCGACGCCACGGCTCCATGTACTCTGTTGTGACGTTGTTGTAGCCTTTAGCGGTTAGCCACTCTTCCAAGAAGAGAATCTGGGAATTGTGGTCTGCTCGCTCTGTAAAGACGCGACCACCACGAGTCCATGGGGAAACAATGTAGAATGGGACGCGGAAGCCTGATGAAGATCAGCAGTGCGTTCATAATAACATAATAATGAACTGTGACAGAGCAGTATGACGATGAAATCACGCACCTGGCCCGGTGTAAGTATAGCCAAATTTGCCGTAAGGGTCCTCGATCCATTCACCAGCAGTCCCATTCTCAGAATGGAATGGAACGACGTGATCACCAAAGCCGCCAGTTTCTGAGGGAAAAGGTTAGATCATATTTTGAAGGGTTTTCGTGGATTCCTCAACATACCGTCGTAGCTAATCATCAAAGCAGTAGTGTTGTAAGCGGCACCGTTGACAACGGCATCGACAACCTGCTTTTGAAGCCACCCACCAGCACTAGGCAAATTAGGAGGATGTTCAGAGAGCTCTGTTGGCCCAACAATGAAAGAGACCATGGGGAGAGTCCCGTTTGCGGCGGCATCGTAGAAGGCGTCTAGGCCTTTATAACTTAGGCCACGTTCAGCTAGCTCAGAAGCTGAAGAGGCTTCCTGGAAATTCTTGAACCACGCGAGAGGGTTATCATCAAAGTTGTCAGTGTCCTGGTAGACCTGCCATGTAACGCCAGCGTTTTGGTAATACTCGTAGATAGTCGTCCAAGTGAGCGGGTAACAGCTCATCTCAGACGTCTCACAGCCTAGACGCGTTGTGTTAGCTACTTGTATTGCTAACAGGTCAATCTCCTGTGGCTAGTTTGGCTCCTTACCATCAATCTCATAATTGTCAATATAAGGCTTGCTTTCGCTGACGCCAATGGTTCCGCTGACTAGCGCAACACGGTTAGGGTTGGTAGAGGCAATCACCGATTCCTAAGGAAATGGTCAGTCTATCTTCGGGCAGTAAGGCTTGAGATCCGCACTTGGTACATATCCCCAACAGTCCAACCTTCAGCAATGGCAAAGTGCACCGGGATATCGCTTCGCTGCAAGTGTCCCCAGCTCCAAGGAGTATTTTCGGTGGCCCAGGCATCGTTCAACCCCCCATTAAGAGCATAGTGGTTACTCGTGTAACTATTGCTTCCAGCGGTAATGCATTGAACAGCTTCTGGCCAAGTACCACCCTCGTATCCAAGGTAGAAGGGCAATAGCCAATCAGTTGCATTAGACAGCTCAGAGTTTACCACCCTTAGAGGTCAGTCAGAACTTTGATTTTTATTTCGCTTTGAATGCGGATCGTACTGGTAGAAAGTGGACTTGTTGGTCGCGGTATTCACTTGGACATTGGGATCCGCAAATCCGCGCGTTCCTGCCATGGTGCCAAAATACTATGGTTTTGATCACACGTTAACTTTATAATGGACTGACAAATTCTCGTCTCGGTGAACTTACATTGTTCCATGATCGGTTCTCTTGCATGAAGATAACCACATGTTCAATTGTAGATAAAGTGTCAGCAAAGGCAAATCTGACCCTCACGAAGAGGATCAGCATGATGATATGAGCGACCGACATGATTGTGTGTCGGATTCGATCTAGTGAGTCAAATTCTCTGATCTTCTTGGGAGTTGGGAAAGTAGAAACTTCCAGGCATACTCATATATATCTAAGGGATTCCAAACAGATCCACCTTGTTTGATTCCTGTTTTCTACTTTCTGTGTCTCGGATTTATAGCCAAAATAATGTGAGAGGTGTAACCTCAAGTTGTTTTCCTATTCTGTTTACAACGCTAATCTGCAGTTGGCAAGTTTACCCTGTGTAGATAAAATACTGAACGTGTCTAGATTTGAAGGTCATATTGGTGAAAGTTTGGGCTTTTGCCCCACACACGCGGGCGGATTCTATAAGCTGATAGGAGTGTCATATTTTACGGTAATTTGAAAGGGTTATGTATTGTTACATACATAGTAAGTGCCGGCGATCACGAGCAACTGTTACGGACATAGTGGATCGTGGTGGGATCGCACCATTTGAAGGTGCGCTATGGAGAGGGAAGTCGACCTAGCTACTGGAGGAGACAGTCATGATATGGTGAGATGTTTAGAACATAGCCCGAGCACACTCTTGAATTAAAAGCGGCAATATTTTGCTTATCTAGAGAACATATTCACAGGGAAAGGAATTTGATCGAGCGTACCAAGTTCCGGTCCTTCACTAGCAAATCAAGTGACGCTGTTGATCTCTGACAGAGATAACATCGATGTGGGGCATGTTACACTTAGCTTAGTTTGGGCGGCTAGAAGTTAGCACCCTTAAATAATTTCGGAAAACTACGTCGGTAACAAGAAAATGACTAAAGACCGTTAGGCTATGATCTTCGTCAGCGAAAATGTTCGAAATTGAAGCGAGCTCCGGGAATTCTCTTTGAAAAGTTATGACTATGGAGATGGGAAGCAGGCCGCCGAAGAGGCGTCTCAGATCGATGTCTTCCGGTGGACTTTATTTGCTACTTTTGTCTTCACTGCTGGTCTTCGTTTATTTGAATGTCTACAGTAACATGCCAATAATCGTTGTGCCCAAGCAACAAAAGGTCCTCTCCGAGCAAATATATCAGAATAAGCTAGGGACAGTAGCGGATACATTCCGTCCCCGCCTTGAGCTTCATGCGGAAAACCACATTTTCCGGGAGCCTCTCGTTCATCACTACACTTGGCATGTGACAAAGGCATATCGACGCCCAGATGGTGTGAAGAAAGAGGTATACCTGATTAATGGTTAGAAAACCTACACTATGCTATAGTTTGATAGCTAATCTCTCTCAAGGCTTACTACCTGGCCCTACAATTGAGGCCAGAGCAGGAGATACTCTGGTAATCACTGTGGAGAATCATTTGAAAGATGAAGTCTTGTCAATCCACTGGCATGGTATTCACATAAGAAGTATGTCATCTTATGCCAATTCTTGATCTTTATTCACACTATGTTTAGACTCCATGGACGGTGTCCCCGGGGTGACCCAGTGTCCCATCGAACCGGAAGCCAGTTTCACATACAACTTCACTATCCCTAATGATCAGAATGGCACATTTTGGTATCATGCTCATACAGACCTTCAGAGAGCAGATGGGCTATATGGAGGGCTCATTGTTCATGCTCCCTATCAGACGTTAGAAGACCAAAAGCTTTCAAATGGTGAAAACGCCACAGACAATGACCGTTTCGACTACGAGAAGGAACTCCTGCTCCTCATTGGTGACTGGTATCATCAACCTGCGCAAGAAGCCAAGTCGCACTACATGAGCGCTGCTTCATTTGGAAGCGAGGTGTGTAAGGGAACAGCAAGCGGACTTCTAGTTTTCGATTGCTAAAGAACCTTCTAGCCTGTGCCAGATTCCCTTCTGATCAACGGTATTGGGCAATTTGATTGTGATATGGCTGTGCCAGCTCGTCCGTTAGACTGTATTCAACAACATGCAAACACGTCCTTTTTAAACATAGATAGGCGCTTCTCCTATCGCATTCGCGTTGTCAACACAGGGTACGAGGACAAATGATGATGATGATATAAATCGCTAATGGCCTATAGCTCTCTCGCTGGATTCACACTGCAGTTCTCGCAGGAAACTCTGGAAGTAATCCATCTTGACAGCAGTGAAGTTAGGCGGGAAAAGACGAAGAATATCCAATCCGCTGGAATTCTATATCCTGGCCAACGAGTAGACTTTGTTCTACGTTCAGACCGACGGGTGGCTCAGGATAGCCCCTCTTGTATGACCGTTATTTTGGATAAATCGTGCGTATAATTGCAGTGTGGCAAAAAACTTTTCCTAATATGATGAAATATAGAGGTTTTCGGCGCCCTAATTTTGCATTAACCGCGATTCAATCGTTTGGAATCAATCAGAACTGTTGTTCCACCAACCTGTCCATTAGGAATGATGAGATAACGCATTTGCAGCATGTTGATCTCGAAAACATTTCCTCGTCGCCATCCGTCTTGTCTGCGCTTCCCACAAAGTCTCAGCAAACTCATGTTGTTTATACCAAGATCCAAATGCTAGCTATTAACGCCAACATGCCATGGGGTTATTTCAACCATTCATCCTGGCGACCTCAGAAAGAACCACCATACCCTCTGATCAGTCTGCCTCGCAACCAATGGGACGAGAATCAATTTTCCTTTTCAACATATACTGACCCTGTCTGGGTTGACTTAATTGTTAACAATTTAGATGATAGTAGTCATCCATTCCATCTTGTGAGTCAGGACATACCCCGCGAACCATAATAAGACCCTGGCGCCCAAGAGAAATTTGAAATGCAAAAGCTGATCAACCAAAAAAAACCAGCATGGTCACCACTTTTTCGTCCTCCATGTCTACAAAGCTCTTCTTGGCTGGGGCTCATACAACCCATTCAAAGACGCTGTGCCCCCCGGTATTTCTGTACCTCCCATGGTCACACATGACAGTGAAAATTCGAACCCCGATCTTCAGGATGTTGGATTTTATGATTTGGATCACGCGATTCTCCGAGATACTGTCCAAATACCAAGTCGTGGGTATGCAGTACTGCGCTTCCGCGCGGATAATCCTGGGGTTTGGCTTTTCCACTGCCACATAAGTTGGCATTTATCAGGTGGAATGGCCATGATTGCAGATATAATGGGCGATGTGGCGGGAGAAGAGCCTCACGATCATTTTGGATCCAATGAATCTTGTCAATATAGCATGTGAAGGATTGTCTTTTGGGCATGGGATCTAAGTACCTGTGTTAACTCTCGGTGTTGGAATTTGGCTTTGCTGGAAGGCGGATATATATGTCTAAAGTATGTTATGTAATAGCCTAGACATCATGGTATCACATATGCAAGGATTCCCATCAGCTAACCCATCCATTATACGCAGTCCTACAAGTAGTATGTCAGTTATAACGGGCTTCCCTCTTAACGTGGCCAATGCCGCCGTCCACGGGTGTAGTATATCCCCAATAGTGCTGCCCAGGTGTGCAAAGCTTCCTCTCCGCTAAGACCTACAATTGTCGCAGCACCGTTTAAATAAAAAAGCCGCAATGACCCGTGGACATCGAAGACCGACTGTGGCTACTGGTGTACTATCTTGAAAAAAGATATATGTGAGGACGTGATGACCATATTCGGTATTGCTTCTCAGGACTTCTACTTTCTTGACACTTAGCTGGGTGGTAATTGCTCTGATCTATGAGAATGGACTAGCTATGTGAGCGGTCTCCTGGGATAAAACTGCCCATGTGTGTCTCCAAGTATACCATACCCGTCCGTGACCAATTGTCATATGATCTGATCACTAGTAGTGGTGTGCTGACCAAAACGCGCGCACACTGCTTCTTGGTCAGCCACACCGTACTTAAACTTTCCAGATAAGAACCACCATAATACCACATATAATACCTTAATATGGTATCTGATCTGAGACTGGGACGATTGAACAGGGTTTGCCAACCACTATGGCGGGATGTCCTATCAGTTCAAGATTTGGACAGATCGAGATTCCTTCCTCCATTTGTTCACATGTCTCAGAATAATGCTAATTTCCCTGGAGACACTTCACATCTAATGAAACACTTAAGGGTTTCATATAACTTTGTAATGGGATGTTCCAACATCCATGGAACTCATCTCATTAGATCATTGCCTGAGTCTTTCCCATATTCAAACTCGAGTTCCTTTCTCAGGGATAACAAAGGCCAACTAACTCTGCACTGACAAGCGTCGAGAAGCTCAAGGAGGGCCAGGCGTTCATGTGGAGTGTAAACACACATTCCAGCTGGAATAAATTAGAAACCGCTACCTGTCAGCGTCGATTTGGAAAAGCACTTACCTCCAAAAAGAGTATGCAAAGAAACGATGTTTGCTGCATGATCCTGGGCATCCACTGATCTCGCGATTCCGCATATGGTGTTGACAGACATCGTTAAAAGCTTTTGTGCCGCCCTAAAATCGTCGAGCCCTCCCGAAGATGGCCTGTGAAGGACTACCAGAATTCGGGCAAGACTGTGAATTTGCAACGCTCCTGCATAAGGCGCCGGGTGAACCCAGATTGGAGGGAATGTTTCGGTGGTGGAGATGACGGGGAGTGGACTGTATTCGGGGGGCAGATGATCATGCCATTCCTGCAGCATGTAAAGCAGCTCACTCCCGCGTTCCAAGCGGCGCTCCAAGTCTGAAGCCCTTTCCTCTTCTTTTGAAGCATAGTTGACGCATTGTCCGAGCAGATAGTATGCTCGGCATGCAAGTTCAGAGGCAGTGAGTACTGACACTGGCTTCTTGGGGCTCCAGAAGCTGAAAATCCGACGTCGCTCGCGCATGGCAACCCAGACATCCTGTCGAAGCCAAGCCCACCAGACGGCTGATCGGAGCCCTCCTGATTCACCGTCATTATCTTGGAACCGCTGGATCCAGAACACACCTTTCAAGTGTCTTTCCCAGTCCTGATTTGATCCATCGATCATTTCGTAGGTACTGATAAGCAGAGCGGTGGCGATCAATTCATGACTGCGAGCGTAAGAAGAGATTTGCATGGCTTTGTTCAAGTAATGAAGGGATTCGTAGTAATACTGGACAGCGAGGTTGCGGTCGATGGTTTTCTCCTCCACAAAGGCACGACCTAAACCTTCCGACTGAAATTCCTGCAGTGAGCGGTTGCGTGCAGACAGGGCCAACAAGGCTCTCATCAGTCCAGCATTTCGGAGAGCTAGATGCGGGACTGTAGAAGCAAAATGACTCTCCGGATCAAAAAAGTCCAACCATTTGCTTGCAACACGTACAAAATGTTGGAATAAATAATGTTCCAGGGGTGACAATTCGATCAAACCCCCTGGACTCCACGGTTTTGGCGCACTAGAGATTGCCGGTTCTACCTCCGGTGGTTGCGAAGCTAGTCGTCGTGCGATTTCCGGATCCTGTGGAAATGCCGCCGCGTTGAAGCTTTGGCTCTCTCGAAGCGTTCGAGGCTGCAAATTGGAGCTATTTTGAGGATCCTCTCCAGTATCAACATGTGTTTGGGATCTGTGCCGAGCGAATTGCTCAGGTGGAGACAATAAAAACCTGTCGTCCGCATTTGCAGCGTCCGTAGCTAAGAGTTCAAACCAACTCAGGGGCGCAGCTCGTGATGAATAAGAGCTTTCTGTTCCCGGTGATGGAACATAGTTATATGGCGACCTTGCTGTTGAGACAATGGCACTTGCCGACCCAGGATTTTCAGACGCGATCGTGCTGGTAGCGGCCCGTGATCCCAGTAGTGGGCTCTCTTGCTGTATGGGCTGTTCCTTATCACACGCATCGACCAAAATTTGAAGAGGCCGATGGACGGAACTTCGGCCATTCATTTGCTCTAAGCCTGCCGCTTCAACCGGAGCTTGCAGCACTGGTGCCTCTGCTGTTGTAGCACGACTGTAAGGTGATTCCCGAGGTGCATACACACAGGGGCGCTGGCCTTTGGCACAGGGGCCGCATTGTGGTTGTACCTGATAGAGCGATTAATTCGTTTCTCGGCATCTTCGATAGCCCGTGGGAGCGAATGACACATACTTCGTCGCATTTGACATGTCGCCTCTTGCAGATCAGACTACATAATTACGCGTTAAATGACATGAAAACAGCCACAAATCTGGGGAAGAAACTGACCAACCAGTGGTCGCACGGAGCCCGCGGCCCCGGGATTTGCGCTTTTGCCGAATGGCGCCCTGCGGCTTCGCCATAGCGCAGAGATTGAGCGCATATGTGAAAAATGATCGCGACGAGGTCAGTGGGGGAAAACCGCACTGTGGGGAAAGCTGAAACCTTGATCGGTGAGTGGAAAGTGGAGTTCGCGGCAGGCTTCGGAAATCGCGACGAGAAGACCCTGACAAACCATGGAAATTGGCCTTTTGAGGTTTGTGGTACATAATTGGGCAGAAAGAGAGTCAATGAGACCAAGACAAGGTATTTAATGGATGATCGTAGCACGTTCATACAAAATGATTCTCTTCACTATCGTCGTGCTATATTACGGCACATGGCATCTCCTCTGCCAAGGACAACCTTGGAACCTCGCTATAGTAAGTAGCAATGACCACAGCGTGGATGGCAGTCCATTGTCTCTTGTGGAGTGCTCAACAGCAATTACACCACAATAAACTCTATAAAGGTTCCCCATTAGACTTTGAGAATGCGAGATAATCCACATGGTCGGAGCCTCGAGACGAGGCGCCGAGAAAGAGCCCACGAATAGAAGTAGCCGCGGATCTATCTTCCCATAAAGAAGATCTAGCAAGATAGATGAATCCACTATGTTCTCCACGATCTAATTTAATCTCCGCACGTGGCGTATGGCCAATTCCGGGGTATTCGATTGTCCCAATAACATGATGCAATGATATTATTAGACATAATACTATATATTTTATACAACTCTATCAATGTGCCGAACTATATAAAGCCAGAGAAAAAAAGCCTGCAATCTCAACCAACTTACCATGTCACACATATTTGGAAACCAGCCGTTTCCAACAAATCAAAGAGAAGAGGAACAAAAGTGCATTCCAAAAACCTCCTGCTTACCCTGAACGAGAGTCTCTCACTTACTACCCAACCTCGTCCCGTGAAGTTCCTCTCCCTTCCCCCCTTCCCTGATGATGATTATTCACGATTTCACATTCAAAATGCTGCCTTGGCTCCACGAACTTCATACCCCGTCCTGCCAGAATCCATACAACTATGTTTAAATGTTGATTATGACCGTGGAATCGGGAACTGACAAAATCGTTACATTAAACTAGATACCAACAAGCTCCATTCATGATACGTTCTGCACATCAAGTCGTAGAAACACCAAAAGCCCCATTCAAAATTATACCAAGATCGTAACTATACTTTACATTCCTGGTGGGTCACAATCCTCCATTCGCCATCGGAAGCCTGAGACCACGTAGTATGCGATGTCGCCCGGTACTTCCTGCCCTCCCTCTCCGCATGGACTTTGCATGTCACTGTTGCTGCCATCAAATCAATGATGAAGATTCGAACTTCATCCATTCGATAAGTGTCGAACCGGTGGAACGGAGCCCTCAACGCCTTTCTGAATTTGTCATGGTCTTCTAGGGTGAGGACCTCTTTTTTCGGGAACATAAAGTTGGCTTCTGGGTTGCTTAATTTGATTAACTCGGAGGCTGGATCGGCACATGTGAGGGCTGTCCAGAGCGCAAGTTCTTTATCGGAGACTTCCTCTCGGATCCGGTCGTAGATGTCAGGCATGATGGGTGGTGGAGGTGGAGATGTAGACCTAAGTTGAGTCAAGAGATGGTTGATTAGACGTGTCACGGACCAGCAAAATTTTTGGAAGACATACCAGATTAGATGGCGAGTGATATCCAGAGGCAACCTTGAAAGACGCAGGTTGAGGGTTCTGGAGGCTCTGATAGTTTTAATCAGTTGAACGCTTGGTGAGCCAGTTAGATTAAATGACGTCAGTGGGATGACATGACGGGCTTTAATTTATTTCTGGCGATCAGCCACTTATTCGGTCATACAGGCACGCTGTGGTCCTGTCAAGGTGTCTTTGCCCCACGATAACGGCCAGATCGTGTCACGGTGGCTTGTGCCCGCGCGTCATTCTGTTCATGCGTCATCGGCCTGGTGATGCTTCAACGTTGGCTGTACCTGCTGACCAACAAACAAAGCATTTTTTGCTTGATGGTACATAGATAATACCACGGATAAAATGAACTGAATTTTCGAGGAATAAATCAGTACACTTGGTGCCTCATTCTCCCAAGGTGGGCTGCCCATGTGCGTAGGAGGACTATGGGGAATCCTAAGGTTCCAAGTTTTCATAGAAGCGAGCAGTTATAAACCGTGGAACCTGTCAAGATAGCCGACCACACGTGCAGTCAAAAATATTGGCATGTTGGAACGTTCAGTTTAACTCTAGATATAAGAATACTAGTCCTTAAACAATCCATAGTGCCTGTCCCTGAGCTGATGGGGTAGATCTGGTGGGAAACTGATTGTGTATAGTGGGGCCCACCAACTCAACGTGGGAGGCCGATTCCTGTTGAATCCCCACTTCCTCATATCTATAGTTAGATGAATTATACAGTCGACACACTGGAGTATTAAAAATATCAGCTAAGATCTTGTTCACCGGGCTGCAGGAGTTTCACGCACGTTTTCTGCCCGAAGACCCTGGCGTAAACCTTGGCGGGCGGCAGTTGTGTGTAGGGATCACGCAATACCTTCCCTCACAAAAAAAAAAGGCCCATAGAAAAGAGGACACCTCCAACAAATGAGCCAAAGCAGAAAATAATCAGTGGTTAATGGTCATTCCATTAAGCCCAAAAGACCTATACAAAGCACATTGTAGTTGTCTATGTATAACATAGGCAAGGGAAGAAGCTGATTTCCGATCGCCAGAAACAGATTGACCGTGATTGGTATTGCAAACCTTGAATGATACAATATTCTGGAGGCTCCCTTCGCTTTTGTTCTTATTACTCACATGCACATGCCAAAATCTAGCCGAAATTGCCCCGAGTGGTTCCCAAAGCGATTGGATCGCAACTCACGGGCTATTTGATACTCCAACCAAATTGACTCACCTAATTACAAGGCTAGAGGCGAAACCCCAGATTTGCTCGGTAGTCATTATCTCGAGAATCCGCATCACGCGGCTATTTATTCTGGACTTCCCTTCAACCGATCCTGCACGGGCCGTCGTCTCCTAATATGATGCCGATCATTGGCCGGTGAAGGCCCCTGTGGATCTCCCGCTCCTAATCAATGACGCAAATGGAGAGCTCAACGAATTCGGATTGCCCACAGTTAAACTCGCAAAAATATTCCTGAATCTACACTGTTCCTGGATACCGGAAAATAAGCATAGGCCAACCTCGGCTACCTACGGGCCGATATCGTAGGAATTGAGTTCGAGGTTGAAGATCGAGGTGAAAGAAAGGAATTTGTCTCCGAGGGAAACGAGAACCCGTATTTTAGTGCTTGCTTGTTGGGGCCAACGAGGCTGGACTCAACCCTTTCCCTATTTCGCCCGTCCTGTAATTAGTATTTCCGGTATGATGCCATCTGGTGTTCTGCAAAGACTTAAGGTTGCCCATGGGATCCAATGACATTGATTAATCCGCGGTCCTACCTTCCCCACATGATTATCGTAACCGTCGAGCCGGTGAATCTTCCCCTCCTTCGACTCATCAACTCCGTATAACAGACTCCGTTCCCTTTTCTCTTTCCTCAATTTGATTCTCCCACACAAAACCCAACATGTCTCTCCCCATCCCGCGGGGCTTGCCCCGGACCGTTCTGCGGTCCTACGGCACCGTCCAAGGTCCTCCCAGTGCTACCTCGCTTGCCAGCCGCATCCCCAATGTCCTGATCGAGGCAACTGCTGCGACAGCCCCTCGCACCAACTGGACTCGCGAGGAAGTCAGCGCAGTCTATAACACCCCCTTGAACCAACTCACATATGCCTCGGTAAGTGCAGACTTGGTCGCCGACCATGCATTGGTGCTTTAATTGGCGCCCCGGATATCAAATGCCGTAGCCTCGGATAAGCCTCAAGCATCCGAATCAATACTGATAGCGTACAGCAAGCACTGCACCGCAAATTCCATGATCCATCGGCCATCCAGATGTGCACATTGATGAACATCAAGACCGGTGGATGTAGCGAGGACTGTTCATACTGCGCCCAGTCTTCAAAACACAACACTGGCCTGAAGGCTACCAAGATGAGCCCTGTGGACGAAGTCCTCGAGAAGGCACGCATGGCCAAGGCCAATGGCAGCACCCGATTCTGCATGGGCGCCGCTTGGCGTGACATGCGCGGCCGGAAAACCAGCCTCAAGAACGTCAAGCAGATGGTCTCGGGTATCCGTGACATGAACATGGAGGTCTGCGTCACACTGGGCATGATTGACCAGAACCAGGCCAAGGAGCTGAAAGAGGCCGGTCTGACCGCATACAACCACAACCTCGACACCTCGCGCGAGTTCTATCCCACGATTATCACGACCCGCTCGTACGATGAGCGTCTGCGCACTCTGGACCACGTTCGTGACGCCGGTATCAATGTTTGCTCTGGTGGTATTCTCGGTCTGGGTGAAACAGACGCCGACCGTGTAGGCCTTTTGCACACCGTTTCCAGCTTGCCTTCTCACCCCGAGTCCTTCCCTGTCAATGCTCTCGTTCCGATCCCTGGAACACCGCTCGGTGACCGGAAGATGATTCCGTTTGATCGTTTGCTCCGGACTATCGCTACCGCTCGTCTTGTCATGCCCGCCACTATCGTTCGTCTTGCTGCCGGTCGCATTGCGCTGTCGGAGGAGCAGCAGATTGCTTGCTTCCAGGCTGGTGCCAATGCCATCTTCACTGGTGAGAAGATGTTGACTACCGATTGCAGTGGATGGGACGAGGACCGTGCGATGTTTGACCGCTGGGGCTACTACCCCATGAAGAGCTTTGAAAAGCCGGAGGTACCGGGTGCCGATAAGACCACTGTGACCCCACCCCCCACTGAGTCCGAGAAGGCTGCGCCGGTCGCAGCTAGCGCTTAGATTGATCAAAGGGGTTTGGTTTTGCTCATGTTTACAATCATATGGTCATCTTGATGATGCCGTCTCTCAAAAGAGAGTCTCAATATACGGAATAGGATAACTTGGTCGATTACTATTCACATATTCCAATGCCTCCTTTTCCAATATGAAATGTTCTATTCTACAGTAGACCGCGTAATTTGTACAAATAAAAAATAAACAGAAGCCGAACCTTAGCCCCGGGATCAAACCCGGTCTATTCTAGCTCAAATTTCAAGATCAGGGGTATCGATGTATCAACGAATCAGGGGAATTCCAACAGGAGTCGACTGCCTGTAATGGACATACTCAGCACCGAAGAATTGAATCAAGAATGTCTCCTCACCTATTAAACCAAACAGTCAGTGAATGTCCACAGCAAAGAAAAACAAAGAAAAGCTGGAACAAAGGGGACCACTCACGCTTAATTCTCGTCGAAAAGAATTTCCACAGCACCAACGAGTACGCAACAAAGCACACCACATTTCCTAGCACTAACTGAGTCCCCAGACCCCACCAAAAGAACCCAAAGTAACTTGGATGCCGCAAAAACCGATATAGCCCATGCGTAACAAGCATATGGCCCGACCTATGCTCCGACTGCACCTGGTGATTGAAATTACTAGCCGCTTGCGCCATAGCAAAAGACCGAATAACCTGACCAACCCCCGTAAGCAGCAACCCAACAACGAGAAGTAGCTGGATAGAAGTTCCGAACACAGGTTCAGTCACAGAAAGCCATTTCCCCAGCGTAAATTGTCCAGGCCAGAACACGTGCGACACGATACATTCCACGATGGCAGATCCGTGTGCCACATTATAGGCCCACCCATTGCTGGATAACAGGAAAGCTTCCACGTCCGCAGCGCGCGTGTTGTATGTAGCCGTGATGTAGAACTCGAGGAAATGGAATGCGCTGAGCGAGGCGATGAAGAACGGGACGCGCCAGAGGGGCGTTGGGAAGACAGTGATTAGGAGGAGGGTGGTCGTGCTTGTAATGCCGAGGGATGTACCGATAAGAAAAGCGCGCAGGGAGATTCCCGATAGCGATTTCGTGCCCTTTGGATAATTTGAAATGTGGGTGTCTTGGTCTGCGGAGCTGTCCTCCGAGTCTTCGGAGGCGGTGCTATCGCGTCGGCCTGGCATGAGGGAGGATGGGTGCCATTCTTGGGAAGGATGTGGGTGTGTGATGCGCTCCATTGGCCAGGAAATGTTGGGGTCGCCTTGGGAAGGCTCTGAGCCTGATGTTATGGAGTCGATGATCGAGGCCATTGCGTGGGGTCAGGGATAGCTGGGTCGCGGCACGTGGACGTGTATCATAGGAGATTGACGGGTGTCTGTGGTCGGCCCCGGGGGCAGATGGCTTTGAGGGCCTTTTATAGCTGGACTCGGGCGAAGTTCATTATGAACAGGGTAGTGGTGGAGAACAATCGGAATTTGGAGAGATTGTTGTTCTTTTTCTTTGGAAGGTCCCCACATGGCGCGGCCTTAGCGTTGTCTAGATCGCCAGGGACTAGGTTTAGGGGAAGGTATGCGTTCTTAATCAGTACATACGACTGTGATAATCTATTGTTTAACGAAGACACTGGTATTCTGTGTATCTAATCGTAACCATGAGTGCGTCAACAATTAATCGTCGTGGCTTTAAACGACGCGGATCTCCTGATTGAACTTCAGAGGGCTGATTCTTTCCAAGATTGTGAAACCTGACCGAGTAAGTTATATGTCGTGTGAAGAATAGACGCTCTTCATAGAGCTATTTCCCGCTACTGTGAAGCAAGAAAGTTGTAGTCTTCAACGTAAAGGTATGTTCATTCTCTTTCCCGAAGGCCAGACCCGCTGTCCTATGCTCTATATTTTCCAAGGCTGGGTGGGGTATATACTTTTATGTCATGAATATGGGCTTAAGCGCTCGGTGGATCAAGCTGTACCACTAACAGCCTGCTGAGGCTTTGTGCGGCCTAACCCCTCTTTGGCGTAGAAGTCCATAGGATACACTCCCTTGTTTTCAGTATCCCAGTTTTCACGCACACCAAGAGCAATAAGTGCCTCATAAGGTGTAAGCAGAGGACGGGAAAATGCATAGCCCCAATCGATACTGAGTCGAGGACAGGCAATTTGCACCCAACATTCGACATCCGACATGGAGGCCAGTTTACCTGGGAAAATCTCACTCAATAGCAAGTTCACAACAGGAATACCACGGTCGGCCAAATGGCGCTCAATCATGGCCATGGTGTTAGGGTTTCCTTGACGGCCCAGGGAGCCTAGAATGATGCCCCATTTCTTAGCGGATTTTGCGGTAGCAATAGCATCACGCCTGATTGTGTGCATCTCGTCGTGATCATAACTCTCTCGTGTCAGAGTGCGCGAATAGGGATCGTATCTGTATGCGGGGATGGTGGGATTATGAATCATCGCGGATTCGAGATGGAAACGGCCATCTCCAAGGTAGAGAATGACATCAATTTCGGTTTCAGAGAGTGTTGGAGATGTGCAGCCAAGAATCTCGCCTTTAGAAAGAGGCATGATTTGCGGGACAACAACACGGAAACCTGCACGCTCAAGTACAGGCTTGAGGCCATGGAGGGTAGCGTTGAATTGGATGGTACCAACCGTTGCGATGGTTTGGCCGGGCTTGAAATTGCGTTCCAAGGTGGCAATCAGGTGAGTGGTATCGATACTGATGTCGACGAAGATGTATAATGTCTTGATTTTAGTCACATCCACTGGAATCAAGCAACTGTGCGCATAGTGAACGAGCAAGTCGCAGCCCAGGGCGCGGGCAGTATAATCGTCAATGCAGCAAGCGCCATAGGTCACGTCACCCATAATCAATGTCTCGATACCGGGGCAAAACTGTTGGAGAATATCGGAAATTGTTGTAGCAAAGATCAACAGCCCCTCGGGGAACTGTAGAGCCACACGCTTGGCCTCGGATGTGCGAACACGGTGAATGGTCTTAGGGATCTCGAAGGAGTAGTTCTTGGGAAGCAATTCGATAGCGGCTTGAATATCGGGGTCATTCAGGATTTCTGGCGGAACCTGATTGAGGGTTCTTGGGGTTCGGCGGGGTGCAGCTGGCACAGAAGGAATCGAGTTAGCGCTGCCATTGCACCATGTGAGAGGGGTTGTTTTTGGATACCTTTTTGAACAGCTGTGGACTCGACATCTCCAGTATTTGGACTGGCTTGAGCCTGAGCTTCAGCAGTACGTCTACCGACGAACCGCTTCTTGGGCTGACGAAGTGTGCTGTCCATTTTTTAGGTGTTTTCAAGTGATGGAGGGGTGACCGTGGATTGATAAGACGACTTTTCCCCCGCGATAATCTTTTTTTCTGCAAAGGCGGTGTGGGAGGTGGGACGATCACAGACACAAATACACGCTAGGCCCGGAAAGGCCAAGTGCTCTCCGCATCTCATGAGCTCCCCCTCTCAGTACTCTCGTCCTTCTATGCGTCTCCCATGTCCCCCTGTCTGACTCAAGACTGTTCTGATATTCAAACAAAGCTGCTATAATCTCCTTATTGAGCTCTTCACTATGCTCACTCGGCCTCGATTGCGCTTCTTCACGGCTCTTCGATCGCCCATATCTACACGGCGGCTTGCGACCGAGTCGCGGTTAGCCTCGGACCATGTTCGCATTGTTGAGGTCGGTCCTCGAGATGGATTGCAGAATGAAAAGCAGTCCATTTCAATGGAGACTAAACTAGACATGATTCAACGACTAGCCAAGACCGGCGTTACCACCATAGAGGCAGGGTCTTTTGTCCCGGCAAAATGGGTGCCACAGGTGCGAAGTTCAGTGCATTCGGGCTTCAGAAACCCACTAACATGGCTTACTCAACTTTGATAGATGGCTAGCACTTCAGAGATCTGCCAACAACTTCTAGTGTCGCCACCTTCAGCTCAACATACGATTGCCTACAACTACCTTGTGCCGAACATCAAGGGACTCGAGAGCCTAGTGAAAATCATGGATGAGACGGGTGTTCCGGCGGACGCGACCGGTGTCGACTCGAAGGCTGCGACCACAACGGAGATATCCCTATTCGCGGCAGCCACCGAAGCATTTTCAAAAGCCAACACAAACTGTACCATTGCCGAATCCCTGGAGCGGATCAAGCCCATTGTCACATTGGCGAAGACCAGGAATATTCGAGTCCGTGGATATGTCTCTGTGGCACTGGGATGCCCTTATGAAGGCCCCGAAGTAAACCCGTCAACAGTGGCGGATATAACTGCGAGTCTTCTGGAAATGGGCGCCGACGAGGTTTCAGTGGCTGACACCACAGGCATGGGCACAGCACCACGGACAATGGAGCTTCTACAAGCATTGAAGGCAGCCGGCATTGCCAATACAGACCTAGCACTACACTTCCATGATACTTACGGCCAGGCTCTAGTGAACACGCTTGTGGGGCTGGAACATGGTATTCGGATCTTTGACAGCAGCGTTGGCGGCTTAGGTGGCTGCCCATATTCTAAAGGTGCGACTGGGAATGTTTCGACAGAGGATCTCATCCATACAATTCATAGCCTCGGTATGCACACTGGCGTCAACCTGGAAGAAATGTCGCGCATTGGGTCATGGATTAGTGGGGAACTTGGGAGGGCGAATGACAGCCGAGCAGGCAAAGCGACACTCGGTAGACTATCGGAGTAATCATGTGTTTTCTTTTTGGTTTCCGATATCTTTAACTCGGCTTTTCTGTTACATTCGGCACGAGGCCCACCTTGACAGCTGTCGGGATATTGCACGTTGAAGTTTCATTGTTCAACTATTCGCGTGGTTCGACTGGAGAGATCCTTTCATTTCCCGAAAAGCAGATTATATGTCCATAACTTGATCAGATGATATTTAGCAATCGCATTTTAGTGCTTCGCCTACAGCTCTCAATCTTAGAAGGTTTCTATATATTCCGACTCGTCCGCTTTCTCACTGCCATTTAACTATGCCCAGTGATCGATATTTGCGGTCAGTGATCAGTACAGTACAAAGAATATCAAGACACCCGACACAAAGGCATTTCAAGGTTTGAAGTGGTACATTTATCACTTTATTTAGTCGTCGCAATGCTTCATATTGCCACCGCACTGTCCTATTATTGGTGTCTTTCGAGGACATAATGCATCAATGAGTATGAACCAAACAATTGAAAATGACAAAGACCTTGACAAAGGAGAAAAACAATCTAATCCAGCTGACAACATGTCTTGATGTCTCATTCGAACGATATATAATGGTGCCATGGACTCGACCATTGCACAACTCACCACTTCTGGAATCATTCTTATCCAGACAGCACCACCTGGGCATCAAACCTCGACCCCAATTCCCTCGAGTTCTCCCTCAAATTTACTGCCAGATGGCTCCTTCAGCTGCAACATTTTACATTCCACTACCTGAGCACATTTCGCATTTTCCTGGAGATCTTAGTGTCCTACCTCTTGAACTGCTTTGGTTGGTCTTTGATAAAATTCTCAAGGACAGCCCTCGTCTAACCCACGGTGCTCTTTGCTCTATTCGAAAATTAGCGCACACGAACAAGCAAGCAGCAGCGCATATCGATTCATATCAACACAATGGCAATCATATTGACAGTGCTGTTCGCGACGTTCGTTGGTGGACCTACAGTACTGCAGAGGGTACAATGAATGAAAACAACACACCCGTTTATCCAATCACCAGTAACGAGTCTGATGTTATCACAGGAACGATCCGAGACGATTGTCCAGACTGCTTCATGTGGCTGCGTACGGTTATTCCAGACCTGGACGGCACTGGAGTGAATGAGTATGGCTGGAGCTTTCTTGCCATTGCAGGGCATCATGCCTCCTTCAGGATGCTCAAGTACTTCTTCACTGTGAGCCCGTACCACGACCCTTGCATTCCACTGATTTCTCGGGCAGCCAATGTTGCGCGCCCGACTATGACCACCATGCGGATGATTACCGACCAGCACAATGCGGAGTTCCTTAGAGCTCTTTTTGACTTTCTGGGACATCGAATTCGTGAGTTGAACCCAAATACTGGCAAGCTAACCCGCGAGGAGACACTTTGTCTTTGCGCATTTGTTACTCCCGCTTTCGCTGAACAGATAGAGAAGATCGGTGTGACACTATACGAGACGCGAGATGTTCTACCGTTTAACCGCAATGCATACCATGCAGCTGTTCTTAACAGCACCGAGTTTCTAGATTACTTGCATGCAAAATCGTCGCTCCCTATTAACGCGCCTGATGGTGGAGGTGAGACCCCCCTTCTCTGTGCAATTCGTGCTAACCGACTAGACTCTGTTCTATGGCTCAATGAGCATGGTGCTAAACAAGACTGCAAAGGCTGGTCCAGACTGACAGCAGCTCATATTGCCGTCAGGTTGACCTCCGAGGAAAGCGAGAAGATGCTGGAGGCTGTTATTCCTGCTCCTACATCTGATTCTGAGGCAATCGACCCCAGCGCTTGTGGCACTATGCTCAGAGCTCTAGTGGAAGGTCTGAGAGAAACCATTCAAGACGAGGGGGCCCATATAAATACTAACGGACAGGAATGCGTTGCATTCAAGCAGATGCATGAAGAGCGAGCTATCAGGAAGTGTAAATTGATCTTGGATGCGGCTTCAACTGCCCATGATCTTTCGTCCCGCTTCGCAAATATGGAGGTGAGTTTCAGAAACTTTCATCGCTCCGGTCTTCAACAATTTAACCAGGCGAGAGAAATGGCCGTGAGCCTTGAATTTGGAAGACTGGCGGAGGTTATTCGAAGCACTTCTGGTACCCAGTCGAGCCCGACTTTTGTCCCCTAGTCTTGGTAGACCTTGATACTCGTTATTCATATTTCTTATTTCATAGCTTCGTTAATAGATTGATGATTAATAACATGAATCAAATTTGTCATCAGATACTCGACCAGGAGAGAGATAGAAGGAGATACTCGGCAGGTATAACGGTTCACGGCCATATAATCCACCCGTCAAGATACAGAAAGCCCTCAAATGTGTTGATAAAGGCTGATTTTTACAATAGGACATCTCATATTACAAGTCAAACAATCCGCTCACTGTATCGATTCGTGAATGCCGGGCGTTGGAAGTTTCCGGATGTATAGAACACCTGCAACATTCACATTTCCATAATAAGTGAAAGTCGGGCGCCCGAAAGCCTCTGCTTCCATGGTCGCTCATCAAGCTTCTCATTCACCATGGGCTTGGTCTTTCGCTGATGCCTCAATTAGATATGCTTCAAAAAAAAAAAAAAAAAATACATCCAAGCGTCTGATTTCGAAAATATGTTTCTTCTATTTCATGTCTTCGTTCCCTAAATTGAACAAGTTATTATTACCCGCTGTGGGGCATCACAAAACACAAAAAATCAATCATTGCTTACTCCAAGGTGTGATGAAACCGCAAGGACTAGATTAGACCAGTGATACAAAGTCTTAAAATGTGGTCTTATTGTTTCCTTACGCTTTGTATTTTGCATCTATTTTAGTACGTAATGGCTTTATTAGGCCTTGAGAGGAACAATGAAGTACACAAAGGTGCTATAAAGTTTCGAAAGAAGCAAGGGTCCAACTTCGGCTAGGAAGCGTTGTCGTCCAAGACAAGAAAACCTTTGTACTTAGACAAAGGGCAAGGCCGAGGAACAATAGTACATATCTCCAGAGAATAGGGTTGTCGAGATTATAAAATATCCTATTTCCTAGCTCGAACAAGAGCATTAAATCAACAATATCATAATTTTGTGTCTATCCCAAAGTCGATTTACATCGCCTTTCCGGTTCGCATGATTATTAAAATTCTAGGTATGTTCATCAAACCCTTTGTGTCTGAAGTCGTGATCTCAAACGAGGTAAATGAGTTTCCCGAAGCACGAAGAACTCTTTCTAATCTTCTCTTGAAATGGAGCAAGAATCTCAGAGATTTAGAGGATCAGTGTATTATTGGTGTTGCTAATATGGCTGACATCTTGGGGGATCTTGCTACAAAGTTTGATATTATCAAAATGATAGCTTATGAAGGTGGTGCGTCTCCAGGTCGTTGCTATGGCTTGAAGTGCGACATTATTCGAAGTACGCTTCATGATGTGCGAAATCGACTTAAGCAAGACCCAGCAAGCAGATATCAAGTGGCAGAAATTTTGGATATGCTGAGCAAGCATGTCGGGAGACTGTCATTGAATGCGTATGATACTCAAGATCTCTTTGCGATCAGAATGGATACAATGGTCGATCTTATGGAGAAGAGATTCAACGAGAATTGGCCGGAAGAGAATTCCGAAGCCGAGCGCAGGCATCTCGAGCTGTATGCCATCTGGGGCCGCCTTTGTGTGGCTATGCCCTCTTGTGGTTGTCTACAATGCGGCAAGAGGCGGTTACATAATGCTGGCAGGTAAGTGGTCATTTTGTTGGCGAGTAATTTCCAAGCTTTCTTTCTTGCTAACTGTAGTCTGAATAAAGCAAACCAGGACCGTAAATTATGTTGGATCACTGATTGGAATTCCATAATATAGGTTCTAGCTTCGTCTCACTTGAAAACCTATATTTGCACAGTAGACTTAATACGTTGTCAAGCACTTTAGCGCGCAGGAGGCCTCATCGTAGTAATTCGAGGCCTTGCATATTTTGAGAGTCCAAATTTCAATTTATTTCTCAAATTGAGCGAGATCAGCCACCAAAGAATTTCCAATCAGCATGACTCTCTTCAAGTGGGTCTCTCGTATAGCCGAGGACCGGCTTCTTTGTCCGAGCGCCAACCAGTTGCAAGGCTCGTTACGTATAATTAAATTCCCAATTGACCTCATATTATTAGAATTCACGGCAGTCCTTCAACCCTGTATAAAACAAGCATAGATAGTCCACTAGGCTTGGCTGTAGATCCAGAGAGGTAATCATATGTTAAATCGCTGCCCGCAACCGACCATACCGGCTGGGTCCACTGGGTCAGTTGTGGGGGAAATAAAATTCCCCGCGTTTTGCAAACAGGCACAGAAAGTGGGATTCTGGGCACCAATTGTAATTGCTAAACAGTTGCGTGTTCATTGGGAATAAAATAAAACTATTAGCAATAACTCAACATGGCGTCCGGGGTTGCATAATCCCAGGGTTGCAGGGGTGGAATCCCCCGGAATTACCAGGGTCCCACCAGATCGTTTTGAGTGTGGCATTGATGTTGATCAACGGCGGACGCCGATGCCCGCACAAAATCACCAGCTTCGGTTACGTATGACTCCGGTATAGGATCCGTGAGCCTAGGTTAACCTGTTAATGGATCCGAATTTTGCATATAGGGGCCCGCTTGCCACTTTGTGCTAGTTCTTTTCTTTGGCATACAGATATTCATCATCCTTTAAATCATGGGGCTCAAACCGTATATGGGCCTAAGGGGCAATGCCCTCCTCCGGGCGGCTGTTATGCTGGTTGTTTGCCCGACTTTCACCTGTTATGGATACAATATGAGTGTTGCAGGTGGATTATTGACTCTCGAGACTTTTAATGCCCAATTCCCACGAATGGATACATTGCATGGTGATGCTGCGACTAAACACGAAAATTCTACTATTCAAGGTTAGTGCGGCTGAAATATGGTTATTTTGGCTCCGGAGTCCGGGTTAACACGTGGGCGTCATGGCAGGCACGGTTATCGCACTTTATACCGCAGGAGGTATCTTTGGTGCTCTGTCCTGCATCTACCTCGGCGATCTCCTTGGCCGACGAAAGGTCATTTTCATCACCAATTTCATTGCTATAATCGGCGCCATCCTCATGGCTTCATCGTTCCAATTTGCTCAGTTTATTGTGGCGCGATTGATTCTTGGCCTGGGAATTGGTGGTTATCTTGCGACTGTCCCTGTTTGGCAGTCTGAGATTTCTCCTTCACATAAGCGAGGTTCCAATGTTGTCACCGATGGCATATTTGTTGGAATCGGTGTTACAAGTGCGTTGTGGATCGACCTCGGCTTCTACTTCATTAAAGGCAGCTCGGTGTCCTGGAGATTCCCGCTCGCCTTCCAAGTTATTCTGTGTCTTATTGCCATGACCTTTATAATGTTTCTTCCTGAGTCGCCTCGTTGGCTCATTAAAGAGGGTCGCATTGAAGAAGCCCGGGAGGTCCTCGAAGCTCTTTTAGATGTTGATGCTGATTCTGAGGTAATCAGAAATACGATCTACGACATTGAAACATCTCTAGCCAAAGCCGGGGCATCATCTTGGCGTGATATGTTCACTATGGGCGAGCAGCGACTTTTCCATCGCGCATATCTAGCTGCAACAGGCCAGATGTTTCAGCAAATGTGTGGAGTGAACTTGATCACCTACTACGCAACCACAATCTTCCAGCAGTACCTTGGCATGGACGCTGTGCGTTCTCGAATCCTCGCTGCCGCCATGGGTCTGACACAACCGCTAGGTGGATTCCTCGCCTTCTATACAATTGACCGTCTAGGCCGCCGTCCTTTGATGCTCTGGTCTGCGGGCGCTATGTCAATATGCATGGCGATTTTAGCCGGCACAACTGGGCAGGAGGGAAATACTGGCGCTCTCGTTGTAGCAGTGGTGTTCCTTTATGCCTTCCAGTTTATTTTCACTGTCGGCTACTCCGGCCTGACATTCCTGTATGCTGCAGAGATGGCACCACTACAAGTCCGCGCCGCAGTCAACGCTGTTTCAACTGCCACTGTGTGGGCCTTCAACTTCCTATTGGCCGAGATCACACCTGTTGGGTTTGACACGATCTCCAACCGATACTACATTATTTTCGCCGTTACAAACGCGGCAATCGTGCCCTGTGTATATTTCTTCTTCCCCGAAACCAAAGGACGCACCCTGGAGGAAATCGACGAAATCTTCGCACAGTCGAAGTCTATCTTCGACCCTCCTCGTGTCGCACGTCGTATGCTCCAGCTCCAGGTTGGCCAGGAGCAGTCTGACAATGGTGATAATAACACTTCCAGCGACGAAGCTGTGAAGATGAAGGTATAGGTCTTTGTGATCTATCCGAGACTAGGAATGGCCTGTGGCCTCCTTAAGTGACTCTACGTATATAAACTAAGGGGCTAGCTCCCCTCGTTCCGAATTATATGACCTCTTACAAATAACAATATACGATGAATGGGCCTCGACCCAGAAGAACCTCCAAATCGATTTTTTCCCAAGCTTCTTTAGTGCCTAGATAGCTTGCTCTCGATGTGCATTTTGTAAGCGGGGCATAATAATTATAGATTTCTACCCCAAATTCCCCCTTAGGGACCACGGGACCAATCCATAGTGGCACTCGGGTACAAAGTGGATACCGTCCCAGGGGAATACTACCTGTTCCTATTTAACGCGTCGCGACTTATATTGTTGTTGACCTATATTTGAACTTTCAACGTCTACCCGAGAACTTAGTTCGAAGCCCCGATACTTTTACTTGCGCGGGTGTTGCATCGGCGACAGATCTAGTCACCGAGCGCCGAGACTCCCCGCATTCCTTCCGTTTCTCCAACTTTGAAGCTCCAAATTGCCGATCCGCTCGTCTCCATCACCAATGAAAAGCTCCATTTCATCCTTTATCTCGGCAGCCATTATCTACAATGGATAAGAAGGCCAGAGCGGAATGGCGGAACTGTTTTTGACGGGCGATAAAAGAGCAGCGTGTCCTGGACAGTGCGCATACCTGCAGAACCAATAATCTAAAAAAGTAGTGTCGTCCTCGTCAGCAATAACCTCTTCTCTTACCCTATTTGTTAGGGTTTTGAACTCCAGTTGCCCATCCGCTCGTCTCCGATTGCACACCTTTCCGAGAGCAATTCGTCGAAATGGAAACATCTCGTCGCCCCTATCTGAAGGATCTCGCCCACCGCGGCGTCATCCAGGGTGCCACGATCTCACCCACTGGAGAGAATTCAGATTTCTGCCACTACTTTGGCGGCGTTCGATACGCTCTCCCTCCCCTCCAGCGATGGCGACGAGCTCGCCGATTGCCGTCGACCTTCACCTACGGCACTCAGCAATCGCCCGGTCAGTGCGACAGCGGAGCGGGGTTATGTCCGCAACCCGGCTTCCTGCAGCTCTCACCTGAGAACCCGGACGCCTGGACGGAGGACTGCTTCCAGTGTAATGTTTGGGTTCCAACAGGCGAGGCCCCCAAAGGTGGATGGCCTGTGTTTGTTTTCATTCGTACGTATACACTCAGCCAGTCACCTTGGCATCTGAGAAATAGATACTGATCTGCAGGCGTTAGATGGCGGTTGGCTCCAATTCGGCTCTCCAAATGGCTTTAATGCAGGAGCCTTGCTAGGCGAAGCGGATTTCAATGCTGTGGTTGTCATGCCTGCATATCGCGTGAATCTCTTTGGCTTCCTTTACTCGACTGAGTTGGCAGAGGATGCCGCGTCTGTCGGCGAAACAGTGGGTAATCATGGATTTTGGGACCAGAGACTGGCGTTGGAGTGGACCAAGGATAATATTCATTTATTTGGTGGAAATTCCGACAATATCACGATCTCCGGTTACTCTGCGGGTATGATCGAGCTTCTGTGACTTTGTCTCAGACCTGAGCTGACTTCAAATTTGAATAGGTGCCAATTCTGTCTTTCACCAGCTAGCATACGACCTCCGCCAACCCGATTCGCATGCCATTGTCCGCCAGGCATGCATGTTCTCCAACTCGCCCGCCGTGCAGCCCAAAAGTCCAGCCGAGACACAGATACAATTCAATCAACTCCTCACTGCACTTGGAATTTCCCTGACTCTTCCCGGAAACGAAAAGCTGGCCCGACTCCGATCGCTACCAGCTAAAGTTCTGCTCGAAGCAGGGAAGACAATTGATGTGCATCAATTCAGACCTACAACTGACGCTGGCTTCGTTCTTCCAACACTGTTCGAGTCTCTCGACAATGGCGAATTCGCGCGCAGAATGCTCGCTCGGAACGTCCGACTAATGATAGGCGAGTGCCGCGACGAAAGATATCTATACGCTGTTTGGTTCCCACCCAAAGCCAACACATTATCTGCAGTCCGGACGCGTCTGATTGCCGATTATCCCGAGAGGATTGTCGATGCTGCTCTCCCACTGCATTTTCCTAATGGCCAACTACCATCCGATTGCAAGGACTGGGTCTCTGACGCCTGGGGCAAGATTTATGCCGATATGCAGGTCCACCACATGCAACGTGGCTTCATCCATGCGCTCACTTCTAATACTGGGGGTGTGGATGCGTCGAGCTTACTATATAGATATCGCATCGAGTACCGTGCCAAGTGTATGGATAAGGCGATGCCGATCGAGTGGGGTGTGACACACTCTTCTGATTACCCATTATGGTTCTGGGGTAACGGAGATGTTCTTACCTCGACTGAGAGGAAGAACACATATGAAGCATTGGTTGGTCCCTTGAGCCGTTTCGTGCAGGGCCAGACTGCGGCTGGTCAAGATAGGTTTGGCTGGGGAACTAGCGGGCAAGAGAGCGTGCGAACGTTCAAGCCAGACGGTACGGTGAAAATTGAAGGTGATGCAATGTGGAAGGAGGGAGTTCATGTGTGGAAGAAGCTTAGACAAGCCGATCTGTCTAAGCCAAAGCTGTAAATGCAAACTATTTGCTTAAATGGAAACAGAACTAAGTCCTCGGGTTGAAGTATCCACGTGAAACCCCGAGGACCACAGGTGTATAGTACATGTGCATAATATAGCATGACCAATGCAATTGCAGTCAACAAAACAATCTCTCGAGGCGTCCAGTACCCAGGTGCGCTATACTTCCAAACGCATAGCTGATATCAGGCTGGGTCCTAAGCTGATCACAGCTTCCACTCATGAACATTTGTCAACCCAGCTGTGCCTGACTTGTCGTCTTCATCCAAATATCCACAAACGCGACCCTGTGGGTCCCATTTGCGCCGAATGGCCATCAATCGCTTAGCATTATCATCAGCCCAGAACTTCGTCCTACGAACCTGGAAGTCCGAATCGCCCAGGTACGCTCCGACGGACTGTCGCTCAACCTTCTTCATCACATCCTTCACCCACGCTTGGCACCGCGCATCATCGGATTCCTCCTCCCATACTGTATACAGCGCAAAGTAATGATCGGAGTGCATGCTGAGGGCCATATCTGGCAGCTTGCGGCGGCTACATGGGTTCATCGCATACCACAATGAGAATGCCTTTCGATGGGGCAGGGTAGTGAAAGCTTCCTCCAGAACCGCAGGGACATCGGCGTCATTGTTGATAAACGCGTTTTCAGCACAGTAGCGATGCTTTTCAGGATTGGCGCCTTCCTGATTATCGTATTGCTGTTCAAGACTATCTTCCCTGCAGAACCACTCATTGATGGCCCCGTCAGGACGAGTTTCTTGTGCTGGACGGAGAGCTTTCTCTGCCTCTTCGGGATCATCTTTCATCACGACGAACAAAACGAAAAAACACATTTCGTCGGAGCCTTCGGGGTAGTGCGAGATTGCGGCAATTTCAGTATCGTTATCGAAGGTTTCGGTGATTGATAGGAGCCAGTCAAAGGCCTTTCGGTACAGACTGATGGGGTACACATAGCCAGAAGATCGGAATCCTCTCTTCGGGTATGGATTCAAGCTGAGATGGAATCTGGTTACAACACCAGGGAAGCCTTAACATGAGAATTAGTATGTATTTTTTGATGAATAGATACATTGGACATACCAGGCCCAGCTCCCCGAGCTGCCCAGTACAGATCCTGATTCTGAGTCGAATTGCAATGAATCAACTCGCCCTCAGCAGTGACTACATCCAACCCCAGGACCCTCTCACATGCCCATCCCCAATTCTGTTGATTTCACTGTCAGCCATGGATTTAATTCTGTTCAATATCTCCCAAACCTACTCGGCAATTCCAGCCCATACCACCTTGCAGCAAGAACCCACCCAGCCCCACATCTGGGCAATGACCACCAGGAAACATCAACCCATGGTCCTTGATCAGAGCGGAATTGAGCTCACGACCAGTCATACTTGGTGTGGCTATTGCCACTCTATTCTCCGGATCAACCTCGACCTGTTTGTAGTTCCCCAGGTCAATCAAGATAGAATTGTCACGGACACTCCACGCGGCCCACGAATGCCCACCCGATCGAACCGCCACGCGGCACTTCATCTCCACGGCCATCTTGACTGCTTTGACAATGTCCTCTTCGCTGGCGGCCTTCACGACGGCTAGGGGAAATCGCGAGGGACGGCGGTGATTGAACACGCGACCAACACGCGCTTCCTCGTAGGCATCCTTTGCGGCGGAGTCTCTCCAAATTATGTCCATACTGATTAGGGTATGCAGCGAATGATTTGTTGGGGGATTGTAAGATTCGAAGTGTGAATTAGAATTCGGGGGATTAGAGGTGAGGGGCTGGGTATTTGTATCACTCCAACCCCCATCATCAGGCCGGGTTCAAGGGCCGAAGATTCAGTCGGACGTAAAACCTACCGACTATTCGGGTGAGGCGTGGTAAAGATCGTGGATGTGGACCTTGAATTCCCCGTGGGGTCGTGGGGTCGTGGTGCGTAAGTGTGGTCCACATCCCGATGTGGGGTTTGTTGCTTGCAGAAAGATAACAAGTCGACTAGAAAGTCGATGTCCAGCTTCTCTGATTTCCAAACTTGGCCATCTTTTTCGGGCTTTTTGACCAACACACTGTTTAACTATCACGTTTGCCCCGTGTAACCCATACGTATACATGTCACACGTTCCAGGTGAATGATGTGGATGTAACTTAGTGAAGCTTCTATAATTAAGGTCCACCACTTAGGCTATACTCACGGGACAGAGCCTTGGCAAAAGACAGAGTCAAATTTCAATAAACCATTTGAAGACCAGCAGTGTCAGATAGAGCAACACCCAGTCAAGCTGTTTGTCCCGTGAGATATCTTTGTCGTCTTCCAGGTGTCCATGCCATTTGTACCGTGATTCTAATGGGGTATTTCAAGCTCATAGGAAGTCCGAGCTTCTTGAAATTGTTACCCGGGGCTCACGCTTGAAACGAGTGCGAGGCCATTCTAGAACGGCGCATACATCGTATCACCAGCCGAGTTCTCCGCCATGCATGTAATTGGAGTGTATTCTCATATCCAAGGCTTTTTTTCACATGAATGACTTGGTCGATGGTGTAACCCTTCAAGTGACAGGCTCTGGGGCCGGCTCCTCTGGTTATCCGTGTAGTTTGATATGGGTTCAATGATGAACCAGCCGGCGCTTATGATTTTTCGCCTTAACGTACCAAGGTGGAAAGTGGACTTTTGGTCCATGGAGATCCGCCAATGATTTGATCTCTTGCAAACCAGATGGACGAACCTTGGAAGTACGGGTATCGAAGGAACACTGCTTCTTTCGTTGCTTTTCCATCTATTTCCTTATCCTTCTCGATTTCCATCGTCTCTCCCTCCTCAAGAAGGTTTCGTAGGAATCTCGAACGCACGGAATCTTGATGTTTTCAATGTGAATTACTAAATGAATCACAAATGGTCGAAGACGCCAAATGCAGCGAGGCTACAATCCAAATGCTCGCAGGATTTGCGTCTCCCTCCAATCACCAGACATTACCGAGCTATATAGTGAGTACATTTCCTTGAAGCGGCCGTCGAGTAGAAGCAACAAGGGGTCTAGGAAGAAAGTAGCTTTGTCATTGAACATTGATTTTTCTAATCCGTGAGAATTAAAACTCTACAATAACGTCGGACGACCAGATATGTCTTCAGAACCAGTTTCAATATCCTCCCTTTTGACCAGTAGCTCCACCACTGCTTGGTGTCTACCGTCAGATGCCCATTTTAAAGGCGTGCGACCAGTCAGATCTTTGGAATTAGCTTCAACATCCTTCCTTTGCAACAGCAGCTCCACCACTGCTTGATGTCCTCCCGCAGCTGCCCATGATAGAGGCGTGCGACCATATTCGTCTTTGCCATCAGTTTCAACATCTTTCCTTTGCACCAACAGCTCCACCACTGATCGATGTCCACCCGCAGCTGCCCATGATAAAGGCGTGCGACCAGCTTTGTCTTTGGAATTAGCTTCAATATCCTCCATTTTCACCAATCGCTCCACCACTGCTTGACGTCCCCCCGCAGCTGCCCATGATAAAGGAGTACGACCAGTTTTGTCTTTGGAATTGGTTCCAACATCCTTCCTTTGCATCAGCAGCTCCACCGCTGCTTGATGCCCACCCGCAGCTGCCCATGATAGAGGCGTGCGACCATATTGGTCTTTCGAATCAGCTTGAACATCCTCCCTCTGGACCAGCAGCTCCACTACTGCTTGGTGTCCTCCCGTAGCCGCCCATGATAAAGGGGTGCAACCATATCTGTCTGTGGAATCAGCATCAACATCCCCCCTTTGAATAAGCAGCTCTACCACGGCTAGCTTGCCACAGCTAGCTGCTACTGACAGTGGCGTATCGCAAAGTGGATTGAATGCATACTTCTCAACATCGTCACGTTGAACTAGCAGCTCCACCACTGCCAAATGCCCGTTTTTTGCAGCCCACCACAACGGCGTACGATGGCTATCATCAGTTGAATCTGCGTCAACATCGTCTCGCTGCACCAGAATTTTTACCACTGCAAGATGCCCATTCTCAGCCGCAAATGACAACGGTGTACGACCACCGTCTTCGGGTAGCCATCTTCCCCTAGCATCTTGGTCATAATTAGCCGCGTCAGCATCAATATTGTCTTGTTGTAGCAACAACTCCACCACTGACACATGTCCGTATTCTGCAGCAAATGATAGCGGGGTTCGATCGTAGGAATCCTTCGAATTAGGATTAACATTGTTTTGCCGTAGAAGCAAATCCACAACGGAGAAGTGTCCGTGTTCCGCAGCGAACGAGAGGGGCGTTCGAGATCGATAATTCTCCAAGTCAGGCTCAATGCCATCTCTGTCGAGCAGCATTCTCACGATCGGATCATGTCCCATTTTAGCAGCCCAATGAAGAGGAGTCGATTTATCGCGATCAAGTTCATTGATACTCATACTAGTGCGGGCAAGGAACCTCGTTCTTGATGTTTGTCCGAACGTCGCAGCCTGATGCAGCGGTGTAACTTCATCATGTTTGACGGCGGTAATCAAACTTTTGGCGAGAAGAATTTTCAACAGAATCTCATCTCCATCCCTCGCAATAAGATGCAGTAGTGTTTCGCCATTCTCGCCTTTAACGGCAAGGTGATGGTGAGTGAGAAATTGGCCAAGGCCTTTTGCAGCTTGCAAAAGATTCATCAAGTCATCGAGCTGTAGAAAACCAGCGATGATTAAAATCAACTCAATGGGCATAGAAGCCGCATCTTTTAGTACTACTCGCATATTCAATCAAAGCATCTATGCTCAGATATCCCGGTCCAAAGGGAGGCGCAGAATAAAGGATCCGGCCCAATCTCCACGTGATCATATCTCAAAGGAATTAATCGGTTTCTGCGAGGAATGACCACACTTGTATAACTATGACTCATTCGTATTTACCAGTGCATGCAGTCCTCTTGAGAAGGGAATGACTCAAGTTAGATTTACGTTTCTCGAGCTAAGTAAGATTTGGGGGGGTAAACACCGACTCCTTGTATGACTCCACGCCTTTTTATTTAGTCTCCTTGCATGAAAGTTTCTTTTCAGATTCGAGATCATGAGTGACTACATTGGAGGCAGGCAGGACGTTACTGGGGAGCGGCTAAAGTTAGACTTGTGGTATTCGACTAGGATTTGGGAGTCAAAGTCCAAGAGTGTGGAGGTAAACTGATCAACCCGCGCTATTTATCTGCGCACCACGCGATTGTGCGCACATCTTTGAACCATTTACATATGGCCATTATTCCAGCTGCTTTAATTTCCTTTGTGATATAGGATCTCCAAAGGCGTGTCTGAGGCTCGAAAAGGAAGCCTCCCTAGAATGACACACACCCTCTGAAGCCGAGCATAGACAGCCCCGATTACAACAGTTTGAAACAAGCAACAAGCAGAATCCTGCCCTTGTGGTGATACGCTCCCTAAATAGAAGTCCGGAAAACATTGATTCCATCAGGCAGAGAAAAAAGGAAAGGTGTGGGGAGATACAACGCTGATGCTTTCGAGCGAGTCGACCGTCAAGGGTACCGTGAATGGGGGTATTGGATCAACATATTGGTGATTCATAACCCAGACCTTTTCATCCCAGGGGTTGGGCTCTGATTCGCGATGTTTGTTGGTCATCCTGCGCATGCGCATGCGCGATAGACTGAAGTGACATTATTTTCGTCATCAGAAATACTTCACTAGAATGATTGCGGTGCTTGAAGAAGCCGATCCGCGAGGAAGCAATTTATTAAGTCATCTTCGTTTGTAGCAAAGTTTTGCATGAAAATATGCCAGTCCATACTTAGGGTCGATGTCGTTCACGGTGCAGAGGTGTAAGATGAGAGTTCAGTGGCGTCCCGGACATTCTCCGAGGATTTGAGCCGAATCTTGTCAACGTGCAGCTCAGGCAAGCAACATAACAACCAAGGAGACCCATAGGTATAATCGGGCTTTCGGCAGGCATGCAGGGCGACCGGCGCCTTCATAAGATCCCGGTCGCGACAGGGCTGGGGCTATCCCGGATAAAAAGTCCCTAGGGGAACCCTGTGAATCGAATCGGACACGCCTTCTCGTCCGGATTTGAACTTGGCGAGGGACGGGATGTCTAAAGGGCAATGAACCGGGATTCCTAGAGCTCTTGCGGTGAACGGGCCGGGCAACCGTTGCATCTGCCAGAGCCAATCTGACGCGCGATCGCTCAGTGGAGCCTCCCACCATCTGGGCGCGGGATGTGCTCCGGATCGCGGAGATAGTTCCTGTCACGATAAGGAAGGTCTGGACTGAGTGTTTCGCTTTTGTCCACCATGATTCAGATACAGTATGGACACATCCATAAATAAAGCAATGCCTCGCAAAGGCGACGGTGGATTGGAGTGTCAATTTCAGATTTCGGAGAGAAAACCGACCAACATGGGATCCATTGTGCAATCCACTCTACCGTCCGATTTCATTTGGGGTTTTGCGACGGCTGCTTATCAAATTGAGGGAGGGTTCAATGAAGATGGTCGTGGACCTTCAATTTGGGATAAGTTCTGCAAGATCCCTGGCAAGATCGCTGGTGGCGGATCGGGCGATGTGGCGTGCGACTCTTACCATCGGACCCACGAGGATATTGCCTTATTGAAGACATGCGGTGCTCAGGCATATAGATTCTCGATTTCATGGTTTGTTGAAGAAAGACAATTATCGGATGGTTTTCTGACTGTCAAAGGTCTCGGATTATCCCACTCGGTGGCCGCAACGATCCCATCAACAAAAAAGGTTTGCAGTTTTATCAGAAATTCGTCGACGACTTGCTTGATGCAGGAATTACGCCAATGGTCACACTCTTTCATTGGGACGTGCCCGAGGAATTAGACAGACGCTATGGTGGACTTTTAAACAAGGAAGAATTTGTCGCCGACTTTTCGCACTACGCCAGAGTTCTTTTCGAGGCGTTTGGCTCCAAGGTCAAGCATTGGATCACATTCAACGAACCATGGTGTAGCAGTGTTCTCGGATATAATACCGGGGCTTTTGCACCAGGTCGTACGAGTGATCGCACCATAAGTGATGTTGGCGACGGATCAACAGAGCCATGGATCGTGGGCCACACTATTCTGATTGCACACGGAGCAGCAGTTAAGATTTACCGTGACGAGTTCAAAACACAAGATGGCGGTGAAATTGGCATCACCTTGAACGGTATGTGACTTGCTTGCTACAAGGGTTTTCCTAGCTGATTATGGTCAAAATTCAAAGGTGACTGGGCAGATCCATGGGATCCTGAAAACCCAGCCGACGTCGAAGCGTGTGATCGCAAGATCGAATTTGCCATCTCCTGGTTTGCCGATCCCATTTACCATGGAAAGTACCCAGATAGCATGATCAAACAGCTGGGCAATCGGTTGCCGAGCTGGACTCCAGAAGAGATTGCGCTCGTTCATGGAAGTAATGACTTCTACGGAATGAACCACTATTGCGCAAACTACATCCGCGCCAAAACAGGAGAGCCCGAGCTTGATGATCATGCGGGAAATCTGGAACTTCTCCTCGAAGACAAGTATGGCCACAGTGTCGGGCCAATCACACAGTCCCCTTGGCTCAGGCCGTGCGCAATAGGTTTCCGAAAGCTGCTTAAGTGGCTTAGCGAGCGCTATGGGTATCCCAAGATCTATGTGACAGAAAACGGAACTAGTGTGCTAGGCGAGAATGACATGCCTCTTGAGCAGCTCCTGGATGATGAGTTCCGTGTTCAATATTTCCGAGATTACATTGGCGCTATGGCTGATGCTTACACCCTTGATGGGGTTAATGTCCGTGCTTATATGGCCTGGAGCCTGATGGAGTATGTCTTCCCCGCTTTCACTTTTGCGAACAATATTAACCCTGGGATTTCTAGCAACTTTGAATGGGCAGAAGGTTACGAAACTCGTTTTGGTGTGACATACGTCGATTATGAGAACGACCAGAAACGTATTCCGAAGAAGAGCGCAATGAGTATCAGGGATATTTTTGAAACTCATATTGAAAAGGTGTAACTCAGAACTGGCAGGGATATTTTATAGGCGACCAGTTAAATCTCAATTTTCTTCTTTCATGCATCTTTCGTCTTTCCTTCTCACTTTCTCTTCAACACAAACGTGTCGATAACGGAAACGAGAATTTAGATATCTAATTTGGTATTATCTGAGGGGTTCTTTGTACAAGCTATTCTGTTCATATCTTATTCAATTTCTCGAATAGGGACTATGGTTGGCTTCTGTACGACTAGCCATATATCCAATCGTATTTGTCCACCTCTGTAGCACCATCTCCGAACCTGCAGTTACACTATCCTGAATATGGAACTTTCAAAGGATGGCCCTTTCTTCCGACTTGAGTGTCCTATACGAAGGATCTGCTTCACAGCTTGAATAGGTTATAATGAGGCTCTTCAAAGGATTTCGCCGAGTCGTTGACAAAATACTCAATACCAGATCAAGTGCCTCGCATCTATTTTCACTTGTAACATATGAAGGGACACACAGTGAGATCCAACAAGGAAGATACATCTTCCCCGCCGAAAACGAACAGCATGAAGCCACCTTCCTGGGTTTCCCATCTCGCTCCTCCCTTCCCCCTGACAAATACGACGCAGTTTGCATCGAGCTAGCAGAGCTCGCTACTGCCATCGCAGAATTCGAGCCAGTCCGCATCTACGTGCGCCCGGCTGACAAGACGCTCTTGGAGTCCCTGCTTCAAAACACTGGCAAGGATCTCTCATGCGTGACTGTCATCCCTTGCCCAATCAACCATTCTTGGGTCCGCGACACGGGACCAGTCTACGTCCGTGACGCGACGGGCAAGTTCTCCGATCGACGTTTCGCAATAAACTTTCGTTTCAACGAGTGGGGCGGCAAGAAGCCTGACGGGGATGGTCTATGCTGGGGTCAGCGATGGCCGCCGTTGGATGATAAGGCTCTTCAAGAAAACACGGACTTTGCACGTTGGGTCATTGATCATGACTGTGAGCCTGGTCCTGTGACTCGGATTGATTCTCCGCTTCGTGCCGAAGGAGGTGCGTTCGTGACGGATGGGGAAGGGACATTGTTGATCACGGAGAGCAGTATTATCTGTGACATGCGCAATCCTGGAATGTCCAAAGCAAGGATTGAGGGTGAGCTGAAACGATTACTGGGAATTCAAAAAGTCATCTGGTTCCCCGGTCGACGTAACGTCAATATCACGGATGTGCATATAGCTACCAAGGCGCGCTTTGTTCGACCTGGTGTCATCGTCTATTCTAAACCTCATCATATGGCCGTCGATGTATGGAAAGAGATCTCCGCAGAAATCTGGGAGATTTTAGGTCGTGAACGAGATTCGAATGGTCGAACTCTGCAGATCCATACTATCGAAGAGCCGGATCCTCGGGGCTTGACGAGTAGTGTCGATGATGAACTCTCAGCTAGCTATGTGAATTTCTACTTTGTCAATGGGGGACTGATCATTCCTAAGTTTGGGGATGAAGAGAGAGACCAGAAAGCTCTTGAGCTCCTGTCATCCTTGGTGCCAGATCGAGTCGTTCGGCAGGTATATACTAACGCTATTTCTTTGACTGGAGGTGTGCTGCATCGAGTGACCCAACAAGTGCCATTTATGAAGCGATAAAAATGTTTTTATTCCGTTCTAGAATAGTTGGGTAAATATATATCGATAAATTTGCAGTAATACTCTTGCCTGTATCAATCGTGAAATAATATGCGAGAATAGGCAGTCCACAATGTACTGCAAGGTAGCTCGGGATGTACATACCCGTTGGCAGCAGACCTGGAAGGTTTGTAAAGCTAGGCAATATAATGTGCAAGCAAATCACGGAATATTCTAAGCCCTCTGACAAGTTACTCGTATACGATTAGTAATTATTAACGTGGGTATGCGGGCCGAGCAACCGATGTGAAGCAAGTACTGCTGGCCTTGTTGCCTTCCGGCTAAACTTCGGGTGAGGGGCCAACTCCGTGGCGCTTTGAGCAGGTGAGCTCGAGCTCCACTTGCATTTCCCCTCGCCTGGGCTCTGTTGGGGAGTTTGCGATCTCCTTCCTTCCAAAATGCGATCATAAAAGCCCGTCATAATCCCCGCTTTTTTTAAGCAACAGTGATAATCGATTTCTCACGCTTGACTATATCATACGCGGGTGCAAGTCGCAGCTCAGGCATACTACCAGAACCACTAAAGAACCCGGGAACTTAATTATATACTTTCTACTTAACGCCAAGGAGCCTCAATATCATGGCTCCCATCGACGTGGAGAAGGCTATCGAGGAGCTCACACTGGGTGAGAAGGTAGCCCTCACAGCTGGTAAGCTCGACTTCCACTATGTTAATAGCACAATCTCAACCTCCCATTTCTGCTCCCGATACCCCCCGCCATTCGACAAAATGCTTATCACACAGCACAGGACGCGACTTCTGGCATACAGTACCCATCCCGCGCCTGAATATTCCCGCGCTGCGCATGTCAGATGGCCCGAATGGTGTCCGAGGTACCCGGTTCTTCAACGGCATCCCCGCCGCCTGTTTCCCATGTGCCACCGCCCTCGGCGCAACCTGGGACGCCGAGCTGCTGTCAGAGATCGGTACACTAATGGGCGATGAAGCGATTGCCAAGGGTGTACATATCGTTCTGGGTCCCACAATCAACATTCAGCGATCGCCGCTCGGTGGTCGCGGATTTGAGTCTTTCTCCGAAGACGGTGTCCTCTCCGGTACTCTTGCGGGGTATCTCTGCAAGAGTATGCAGGATAAGGGTGTCGCAGCGACCCTGAAGCACTTTGTTTGTAATGACCAGGAACACGAGCGAATGGCTGTGAACAGCATCATCACACAACGAGCCCTGCGCGAGATTTACCTGCTTCCTTTCCAGCTGGCTATGCGGATCTGCCGGTCTGCGTGTATTATGACTGCTTACAATAAGGTCAACGGTACACATGTTAGCGAAAACGAATTTCTGATTACTGATGTTCTGCGGAAAGAGTGGGGATGGGACGGTTTGGTTATGAGTGACTGGTAAGTTGATATTCAAACAATAAGACTGGCATCGTCTGACATTGATCTTCGCAGGTTCGGTACTTATAGTACCTCTGACGCGATTAATGCCGGTCTCGATATTGAGATGCCGGGGAAGACCCGCTGGCGTGGAGAGGCTCTTGCACACGCTGTTTCCTCCAACAAGGTAGCCCAATTCAAACTTGATGAGCGTGTGCGCAACGTCTTGAATCTGGTAAACTGGGTAGAGCCCTTGGGTATCCCAGAAGGGGCAGAAGAGATCGCATTGAACCGACCCGAAGATCAAGCATTGATGCGTCGTGCGGCAGCGGAGTCTGTAGTCCTATTAAAGAATGAGGGTGCCCCCTTGCCATTGAAGAAGGATGGGTCGCTACTTGTTATTGGCCCTAACGCCAAGCAAGCTGCCTACTGTGGTGGCGGCTCGGCTTCCCTGGCGCCTTACTATACTGTGACTCCCTTTGATGGCGTCTCAGCGAAGAGCAATGGCGATGTGAAATTCTCTCAGGGTGTCTACTCCCACAAGGAACTGCCCCTCCTCGGTCCCCTCATGAAGACTGAAGATGGCAAGACTGGTTTCACTTTCAAGGTTTACAACGAGCACCCAAGTTCTGGTACAGAGCGCACGGTGGTGGATGAGCTACAGCTCATTTATTCGCTTGGGTTCTTGATGGACTATGTGAACCCCAAGATCAAATCCTTGACTTACTATGTCGATATGGAAGGATATTTCACACCTGAGGAGAGCGGACTATATGAATTCGGTGTAACAGTCGTCGGTACTGGCCGCCTGCTTATCGATGGTGAGATTGTGGTGGACAACACCAAGAACCAGAAGCAGGGTTCTGCCTTCTTTGGTACAGCCACTATCGAGGAGCGCGGTGAAAAGGAGCTCAAGGCCGGTCAGACTTACAAAGTCGTATTCGAGTTTGGTACTGCACCCACTTCCGATCTTGACACCCGTGGAATCGTGGCATTTGGTGCTGGCGGCTTCCGTTTCGGTGCTAGCCGTCGCGTTAGCCAGGAAGATCTGATCTCCGCTGCTGTTGAGCAAGCAAAGACAGCCGAGCAGGTTGTTATCTTTGCAGGTCTCACAAGTGAGTGGGAAACTGAGGGCTATGACCGTGACCACATGGATCTGCCCCCGGGCAGTGACGAGCTAATCACTCGCGTGTTGGCTGCTAACCCGAATGCCATTGTGGTGATCCAATCCGGCACACCCGTGACCATGCCATGGGTAAATGACGCCCGCGCCGTGGTGCAAGCCTGGTTCGGCGGTAATGAGTGTGGCAATGGGATTGCAGATGTGCTCTATGGCGACGTGAACCCCTCCGCAAAGTTGCCTATCACATTCCCACGTCGCCTGCAAGACAATCCCTCATATGTGAACTTTCGCTCTGAGCGCGGTCGTGTCCTTTACGGTGAAGACATCTACGTAGGCTACCGCTATTTCGAGAAGAGCGATCTAGCCCCCGCATTCCCCTTCGGCCACGGTCTATCTTACACAACTTTCACCCGATCGGATCTGAGCATCCAGACCGTTCCCGAGGAGGCCAAGTACTCCGAGTCCGGAGAACCCATCACTGCTGCTGTCACGGTTACCAATACTGGCTCTATTGCTGGTGCTGAAGTTGTCCAGCTGTGGGTGGTCCCTCCGAAGACAGATGTCAACCGCCCTGTTCGTGAGCTCAAGGCTTTCCAGAAGGTCTTCCTCGAGCCCGGCGAATCCAAGACCTTGCAGCTCACTGTTGAGAAGAAGCTTGCGACAAGCTGGTGGGATGAGCAGCGCGAGCAATGGATTTCCGAGAAGGGTGAATACGAGGTCTTGATCACTGGTACTGGTGACGAGGACCTCCGGGGTACATTTGAGGTTGGCAAGACCAGATTCTGGCTGGGCCTGTAAATGCTACGACTGGCGATGATGCTATCGATGATGTGCGATGACTTTTTTCGGGGATAGTGGTATAGAATAAGATACAATTATGACACTATGAGACTTTTTATAACACCAAATTTCATTTATGCTACCAGGAAATATTTTACCAAATCCCGAGTTTGAATACATAATCCAGATCTCTGTTTTTGATTACGTATGTATGTAATGATACAGCACCGTACCCGCGCCCTTGGCGGCAGGGTGATCCACAACGGGTAGTCTCGGTGAAGAAAATAGATGGCAAATTGCCTATTGGATGCGTAAGAGGGGCAATGGAGGGGCAAGGGCACGCTCCACGAAAACGGTGGACCTTGGTTTGTTCTGTTGCCTATAAATGTGGATATCCCTGGTAAGTCTTTCCCCAGAGCGTTCGGCGATCGGTCGGAAGAGAGAACCTATCATATTGTTGCAACTTGCTCCTCCATACATACTAGTGGCTACTTCATGACATTCCTTGGGGTTAATGGAAGGCAAGAAACTGTCATCTGGGTCATATGATCCAGATCTTGGATTGATCTTGGGTTGATCTCGTATACAACTCGATCTAGCCCGATACTCAGCTAAGGTTTGCATGTCCATCTAGATCTACCAATTGGCTTCAAATCTTTCATAATCTCTAGAAATTTATTTATCATGCAATAAATCGGCTCGTGGCTCATGTACAACGAATTTTGTAGGCCCAATTAAGACCAAAAGACAAGGGAAAAATGCAGAAATAATCTACCATCCGCGACCAGCCAGCTTGTCCGCCTCGGGCATCTTCTGCACATTAATACCAACCATGGCCTCGCCGAGACCCTCGCTAACCTGAGCAAGAACCTTGGCATCCTTGAAGTGGGTAACGGCCTGCACGATGGCCTTGGCGCGCTTAGCCGCATCGCCGGACTTGAAGATACCAGAGCCAACAAAGACACCATCACAGCCAAGCTGCATCATCAGCGCAGCATCGGCGGGAGTGGCAACACCGCCAGCGGCGAAGTTAACAACGGGCAGACGGCCCTTCTCAGCGGCTTCACGGACAAGCTCGTAGGGGGCCTCGATCTCACGAGCGAAAGCGCGGAGCTCGGGCTCGAAGTCGGGGCTGGACTGCATGATACCACGGGCCTTGGCAATCTGGGCATTGACAGTGCGCATGTGCTTAACAGCCTCAACAACATCACCGGTACCGGCCTCACCCTTGGTGCGGATCATAGCAGCACCCTCGGAGATACGGCGCAGGGCCTCACCGAGGTTACGGCAGCCGCAGACGAAGGGGACCTTGAATGTGGACTTGGTGACGTGGTAGACATCGTCGGCGGGGGTAAGGACCTCGGATTCATCAATGTAGTCAACGCCAATAGCCTCGAGGATCTGTTAAACGAAGTAAGTTAGCTTTTGCGATACTTCAATTGTATTTGGTTTTACCCCGCGACGGAAGCGTCGATCCGCCACTTTTTGCTAGCGCAGGGTCGCAATGCGATCGATTGAATGATTGTCTTCACGTACCTGGCACTCGACAAAGTGACCAATGCGAGCCTTGGCCATAACAGGAATGGTAACGGCCTCCATAATTTCCTTAATCATGCCAGGGTCGGACATGCGGGCAACGCCACCCTCAACGCGGATATCGGCGGGGACACGCTCCAGCGCCATAACGGCTGCGGCGCCGGCCTCTTCGGCAATGCGGGCCTGGGGAAGGAAGAAGATGTTAGCTATAATCCCCGGAAAATGGATTCACAAAATGAATTGGATGTTCCATATGGCTTACCTGCTCAGCATTGACGACATCCATGATCACGCCACCCTTCAACATCTGCGCCAGACCAGCCTTGACAGTGAAGTCATTGCTGGAAGTACCGTTCTGTGCCATTGTGGAATGTGGGGGGTTTTAAAGGGAAGGGGTGAAAGAAGGATAAAGATGTAGAGGAGAGATGGAAAGGATCGAAGGATAGAAGGAAAGCTTGAGTTTAAATTAAAAAGTCAGGCAAGAGCATGTGAGTCAAAAGCGAGTTACTTTCCCAGGGTTTCGCCTCAGGCCAATCAGGCGGGGGCTGCCCCTCGAACCGTTTATTGAGTGTAACTCCCATACTTGGAGTCAGAGCTCTGCGAGATCGGGGCCACCAAGGTTTAAAGTTACCCGAGGATACCGGCTTTTGCTTGGGAAACATATCGTGACGGTATTTGTACCGTTTTTGGTAATACAACCCTCCAGATAATCTGCTCATTCAAACTCGTTGCCCATTGTATTTGTTACTGATCAAGTTGCATTACTAATACCTTGGAGAATTTTGCAACAGCCTGGATTCATGTTTGCAATCCTTTCATAAACCTTGAAACTCGCGCAAGGGGTCCTGCGGAATTTGCCGAGCGGTCATTGCCTCAAAAGGCTGCTTGGTTTAAGGCACCTGGACACCTGGTATCCAAAGGTCTAATTCCAAAGGGTTGATTTGACGTCCATAGATAGGGAGAAATGGTTTTTACCGGTCAAAATTTGAGTGGTTTGTTTCAAGGTTTTAGGACGGAATGATTGAGCAGCGTTTATATATATGTGGGCCGAATATTGGTGAACTCGGCCCGGATCATCACTTTACCAACGTTAAGTTTCGGGCACTTGACACTTTTACTCGCCGATGTCCACTTCCGAGGTCTGTCATAACATTTGAAAGTGGACTCCGAGGCCCAAGCCCTTGGCTTCTTCCAAATGTGACACTCCACCTGGGCACGAGTATCTCTGGTTTGGTATCCACTCAGGCTAAAAGGTAGGCTCGGTAATAAAATACTGCTCCGCGCAAGGATGGGGCCAGTGTCCGGGAGGTTGAGAAGTGAACCACGGCAAATGATTTACGCCAGTCAATGGGGTCTACCTATCTTTTTATACTTAAATACAGACAAATTCATGAGTGACAAAGCCAATTGCCTTAATTACACATTGACGTGCCTGGAATGACATCATCGTACTAATTCTCAGTCTAAGCATTGGGAGCAGGTGGCCAAGACACGCTATTTAGTCCGGTCTTAATGCTTCTAGATTGAGATTGACATAAAAAAGAGATCACTCGGTCGAACTTACTGGACTTGGGCAACCGAGATTAGTGTCGGGAACCTCGGCCCAAGCAACGTTTGGGATAAGTCCATAGCTAAATCCGACTCATTATGAGGGGTAGAAAGCGGTGAAATGTCGATTGTCAGGTGACAGGAAGGCCACAGATATAAGACGTCTAAGAGTGCGTGCGACGTTGTCCGTTGATTTCAAGCGATAATCTGATCGTTCATTGTCAAAAATGGCTTCTCTTTCCCCCGACTCATGTTGCTACAAGGGTGTTAAGCATGAAGGTGTTGCCAAGGGCAAACTGACCCAAATTGCTGGCATTGAAGCATACACCGTCTATCCCGAGAGTCAATCTACAGAGAAGGCAATCTTAATGTGCGTATTCGGTTACGTAGTGTGCTCAGCACAGACTGACTGTATTCTAGTTTGACCGATATCCTTGGACATCAATTTATCAACATTCAGCTCATCGCTGACCAATTTGCGGCAAATGGCTACTGTGAGTGTTCCAACGCCATGGAGGTTCACAAACCACTGATTATAATAGTTGTCGTGATCCCTGACCTGTTTGAAGGTGACCCGGTGCCGTTGAACAAGCCGGGCGAGTTCGATATGGAGAAATGGCGTGCTGGGGAATATAACCCCAAGGGCACTGCACACTCGCCGCCTAATGTTGATCCGATTGTTGATAGTTGCTTGACAGAAATGCGGGATACGTTGGGCTGCAAGGTAGGACGAAACTCCCCCCAGGTCGAAGTTCTGGTTACCAACATATACAGACCATCGGCGCCGTTGGATATTGCTTCGGAGCGAAATATGTAGTGCGCTTCCTCAAGCCAAGTACAAAGGTGGACGTCGGATTCATGGCGCACCCAACGGGTGTTACCGAGGAGGAGCTAGGCGCGATAAAAGGTCCTCTAGCAATTGCTGCTGCTGAGACTGATGCGAGGTTTCCACCCGAGAAGCGCCATAAGAGCGAATTGATTCTACAACAGACTGGATTGCCTTACCAGGTCAATTTGTATAGCGGTGTGAACCATGGGTACGTTTGTGGAGAATCTGACAATTATTCGAGATGGCTGACCCTCGTCATGATTTAGATTTGCGGTGCGCGGCGACCTGAACAACCGTGTCGTGAAGTATGCCAAGGAGACGGCGTTTTTGCAAGCTGTTCAGTGGTTTAACGAACACTTGTAAATAATTCTACTCTACTAACATTGAGTGGTCCTACCAGGGATCGAATGTGGGATCTTGAGAAACCTATGTCCTCATTCGAAGTCAGAAAATCCTCATTTGTATACAAAGTCACATACATAACAAGATCCCCAGATTGCAAACTTAGCCATGACCTTTTCAGTCCTGAAATAAAGCAAGTATCACCGTATAAAAAGTCAAACCCATCAAATAGATCATCGCCTATCTCTAGATTGGATATCAAAGTGAAATATCCTCAGGAAGTGGGTCCAAATCCCTAAAAACCCTCAATTTGTTAGCTCGGTTCCTTTATAGTTTTATTTTTTAGAGGAAAGTAAGCAACCCCCCACAGATGGCCTAGTGGTAATGAGTGTCAAATCAGGTGATTCTGACGCGATTCATAACCCTAACCGCCCGGCGGACCAACATGGTTGGTAGTGAGTGACGAAGGATTCCCTGGCTCATACGTTGCTCACATGAGTGGTCTAGGTGAAGTTGGAGGTCACCTGGCTCATGTGCCCAACGCGGGTATTTGCTTTTTGCTTCGTTGATACTTCTAATACTATTCAGACTCTACTTTGCTGGTCTTCCAACACCCCTTTTGGACACTCGCCACTGACTCACGGTTTGTAATAATCACTGCCGTTGTTAGAATACGACATATTTCGACAATTGAAAAATAAGAGTTCGTCCCTGATCCATTAATCCATTCAAAACATCTACTCAAATCGAGCGAAAGTATCACCTCTTCCCCTTAATCAATCTAGGGAGCAGCACCTGCCCATCCGTAGCCTTTCGTAAGTACATTCCCAGCAACGCACTCATCCCTGCCTTCTCAGCAAGATCAACCCATTCCGCAACAGATACTACTTCAAATTTTTCACCCGTTCCAGCCTCCATGACCTCTTGAACTTCCTCCTGCCCCAACTCAAGCTCTCCAGATTCGTAACGGAATCGCACATCCTCACATCCTGCAGACAGACCAGACTCATGTACCGCGTCCACAATCTGTTCCGCTACCGAATCCACAGAAATCAAATCAAAGCCCCCGGGCCACGACTTCGTGTCCGGAATACTCTTCGTCTCTTGACAATATCGCATTATGTTGCTCATCAAATCGAGCTGCGGCGCATCCGCCCCCGAAACGCTTGATGGACGGTGAATCCAGACTGGGAGGCCAAATTGCCTGCTAACCCGCTCCAGGTATACCTCACATACCCACTTGGCTGCCATATAGCCATCGTCTGGAATTGCGGAAGGACTGTAACAAGCGAGAGATGATTCCCCGAAGCTGGGTAGGCATGCAAGTCTCGTAACAGTTGCAGAAGATATGAAATGGAAGGGGATGCGACGTGGAAGAGCAAGCTTGGCAAGCTCTTTCGTAGACGCCACATTGGTCAACTTGAGCGATTGGTAGGTCTTCATGAAAGAGACATCAGCCCCGTTGTGAACAATGACATCGGCGCAACTGAAGATTGAGACCGCATCAGAATCTGCCAGTCCCAATCTTGGCGCCCCAAGGTCTCCACCATATGTACGGACTTTCGGATGCGAGAAAATGTCGGGTAGGCCAGCGGACAGGCTTCGGACAGCAAGGCAGTGTACCGCTTGAACGTTTTCATCATCCAGCAAATTACGCAAAATCTCCTTCCCAATGAATCCAGTTGCTCCCGTGAGAACCACAACACTGGACTTGGAGGGCGAATTCTGATCAGAAAGCTTGGGATAAGTATCCTGAGAAGATGCAAGCAGTTCATCGATCTCCTTTTCCCAATCGACGGATGCTCCAATATTGACAGTCGATTGTTTTCCAATCAGAGAGGCCATGTCGTGCAGGGTACTTGCTTCAAATAGCTGATGTAATGATACCGTTACATCGAGCCTCTCTTTTATCAAAGACTGCAAGGTAACGAGGGATAGAGAGCTTCCACCACAATGGAAGTATTCTGATTGCGATTGAATTGAGTGATGTGAAACAACATCCCGAGGAATTGTTTCTTGCCAAAGCTGACGGAGAGAAGCTTCCAAAGGTAACAGATCCTCTCTCTTGGCTTCCTGGCGCGGATTTTGTGGAATGACCAGGCTCTTGATGGCTGACCGGTCCGCTTTGCCGGAGATGTTCTGAGGCAGTGCGTCGATTGGAATTATCGCTGCCGGAAGCATGTATTGTGGAAGCGCGAGATCTTGAGCAAGATGCTCCAAAAATTCTGTTTGCATTTCGATTGTCTCGAAGTCAACTACAACGACAAAGGCAACCACGAAATTTCGACTGGGTTCCTCAGTGGACGAACGAGGGGAGACTACCACTTGCAGAACTCTGCCCTTGGCATCCCTCAAAATCGCAGCCTCAATTTCCTCGACGTTGATGCGAATTCCATTCAACTTGATTTGATTGTCACCGCTGATACGACCCATGAGAACAAGACCGCCATCCTCTGTCAGTTGTGCCCGGTCGCCGGTACGATGAATGTTGGTCCACCCCTGGCCCTGGAAAAAGGAACTTGCGTGGCGGTCTGTCGTAAATCGTTCTCTGTTCTTGTCGGCATCGAGATAGCCCATGGCGACACCTGCCCCTCCAATCACTAGCTCACCTGGCATGCCAATGGGGACTGGATTGAGCTTTTCGTCAACAATATATACTGAGTTGTTGGGTAAGGTGTACAGAGCGAGAGATCTGTCTTCTGCTGCAATATCAATATCCATGTAGGGAATTTCTGCTGAACTGCACGCCATTGTTGCCTCGGCCGGGCCATAAGCATTGATGAGTGTCAATTCAAGTTTCGCAAGACATTGGAACTCGTGCATCAATGCTTTGGAAACACTTTCACCTCCAGAGACTGCAAGGCTCCATTGTGTTTCTTTTAACTGCAAGCCCCCATGGCGAATCCAAGAGAAGTACTCTGTAGGGGTTGCAACTGTGGTGGTCACATTTTCAGATTGAATGAGACTTGCAAGCGCCGCCGGACTGAGGCGATGTTGGGCGTCAGCAATAATCAAAGTTCCTGCATTGCTGAGGGAGAGTAAGATTTGACAAATGGACATATCCCAGGCGTAGGAAGACTGGTGCAGGACCACCTCCTTTCCTTCCCGAATACCCCAAGCCTGGCTGAAAGCTTGAATTTGATTTGAAAATGCGGAGTGGTTGATCATGATGCCTTTTGGTACGCCAGTTGAGCCGCTCGTATACATAACAACGGCTAGTTGTGTGGCTTTCGCGAGATTTGGTGCTGGGGTACCCGGATGTTCGCGAAGGCAAGACACGTCAAGCGGCTTTACTGAGGTATGCAGTTGACCAAAATCCTGCCCAGTAGATGCATCAATGAGAATCACACGAGGCGCAGTCTCGGAGATGATGGTAGATAATCGATCGGTTCCAGACTTTCTGTCCAGAGGCACGTAGGTTCCACCGACTTGCCAAATTGCCATCATTGAGCAAATCCAATTTACACCCGGGGATTGAAACACCCCGACAGTATCCCCGGGATGTATTCCTTTTTGGAGCAATTCAATTGCGATGCTGGAGACTCGACTTGAAAAGCGCGAGTATGTGAGCTCAGCCCCCCCTGGTTCTCTAAGAGCGACATGGTTAGGGTAGGATGCTGAAACCTCGCTGATACGGTGAACCAAGGTCTCGCTCCACGGGTTCTCCATTTCAAGTCCTAACGATGGTAAATAATCCACAAGAGAGAAAATAGAAGGACTGGATTGAGTTTATGGACTTACCTCTTCCCACAGCTAAACCCTCGTCGACGTCATCTGTTGAGAATAATGGTGGCCAAAAGACCCTCGTGGCAGGGTTTTGAATGAATGCTCGTAGGAGACTGTAATAACTGCGAAGAAGTATTTCCGCATGTTGCAGCTCATACAGATCCTTCTGGGCCAACAAGTAAATCGATGTTTCTCCACCGCCGATATCTACAACATCAAGATGAAGATCATAGGAGATCCCGCCAGTCGTCAATAAAGATCCGCTGGCAATACACCCACAGAACGTGCGAGATTCCGCAATCCCGGGACGGTAGTTGAATGACACCTGGAACAGCGGACTGTGTGTTGTAGATCTAGGCACACTCACATCAGAGAGGATGACACTCAATGGAACATGAGCATGTGAAAATGCCTGTTGAGAGATGGATTTCGTGTCTTTCAACGCCTCTCCAAACGACTGGGAAGGCTTGCGATGGAATCTGATTGGAACAAGGTTGAGGAACAATCCGATGCTTTGCATGACATCTGGGTCTGTGCGATTACCGTCTCCGAGGCCGATGCATATATCTTCCACATCGAAGAGGCGTAAAAGAAGAGTTTGCCAAATCGCGAGATGGAGATGATACGGGGTCGCTTTAAACATTGCTGCACACTTTCTGATTTCATCTGAAAGACCCTTTCCAAGACGCATGTGGGCATTGTGGGTACCAATGCCTGAAACGTTTGGCCTAGCTGGCAGACGAGAGAATGGAAGTAGAGGCGCGACCGGGGGAATATCGGTGAATTCCTCTCTCCAGTACTCGAGGCTCTTTTCCCAGGCACCAGTTTCATGGTCATTTAGCTGTCTCAAAGTAAAATCCGGGTATTGAAGCATGTCGTACGAAAGAGACTGTCCTTTGTATGCTTTCTCGAGGTCCGACCAAAATATCTCGAAACTGATGCCGTCCATGTTGATGTGATGAAAGCCACATATCAGCCAGTGCTTATCGCCTCGCAAGGAAAGTAGCTGTATGCGAAGTGTTTCTCCATCTTCAATTTTGAAGACATACGATCCCATCCGGCCTTTGAAAGCCTCAACCTCTTTCTCGTGGCTAATCTGGAAGCGTTCTAGTCGCAATGAAGACTTTGTCCAAACGCCCTGCATTCCTTGCTTGTCCTGGTCGAGGAAAAAAAATGTCCTTAGAGCTTCATGATGCTGTCCAACCTTTTCAACTGCTCGGGCCAAGTCATCAATTCGCAAGTGTCCAGTTACTTCAAATACTGGGGTGACATTAAATGCGGTCTGATCCTCCACGAATGATTTCAGAAAGTAGAATCGTGACTGCCCGTGCGACATTGGAAGAGTTCGCTGAATTTGGCGCTTTTGGTCGAAACCTTCATCTGTGAAGCTTTCAACAGAGCTTGCAGATGATGATGTCTCATCACCCTGTTCCGAAGTTGAATCACCGGCCCGGGCAGATGTTGCCGAACTTGCACTTCCAACATCATTTGATGGAGCATACTCCAAGTGCAACACCTTTGCCTCATCACTATACTCCGAAATCGGGATATTCTGCGCAGACTCGGGCTCTGGAGGGCTTATCTGGGTTGAGCGAGGAAGCATGGCTACAGGAGCGTTGGAGACGGCTTCCTCGTCGTTATTCACATTAGGAATCAGGGTATCAGGGAGAAGACAGGCCGCTGACTCGAGGAGATCTCGCACCGACGCCGCATTGAAAATCTTCAGAACTGGCATATCGATAGAAACCTCCTTAATGAACCAAGACCGAAGATCTACAGCAACAAGTGAATCCACTCCGAGTTCATCTGGACTCAAGTCGAGAATTTCCTTATCCGGATCTGTTTGGAGGGCAGATCGTAGTTTGATCGTGAAGGCATCTTGGAATTTACGTTAGGCTCGAGCTATTCGAGGTTCTTGGGAAGGGTCATCATACCTTGAAGAATCTCCAAAACCTCCGCATGGGAGGTGGCATCCAGGAGTTGAAGTCTGGCAAGAACTCCTGATTTGTTTTTCTTGTTTGTCACAGCAAACGGGTTGGACTTGACTACCAAATGCTGGAAAACGGGATTAGCAATCCAATTTTTGGACTCATCCTCGTCAATCCTCAAAGAACTGCACAACTCTGAATCCCCCGTTCTTTCAATACAGGACAGAACTCCTTCGGCAAAGACCTCCCGGAAGTCCTGCTCTGACATCCAGGTGTGACCGACTCGGTAAAGATATGATTGTTGGTCCATGCTCAACTCTCGTGTCACATAACCATTGCCGACGATTGCTCCGATGTTGATGGCATATCCAGCTAGTCCTCGATTCCGGCGTTGAGCGGCCAAGCTAGCCATGAACATGTTTGCAGCATTATAGGCGACTTGCCCAGGATTGCCGGTGATCGCAGCCATAGACGAGAAGAAGATCATGAAATCCAAAGTGTCCTCCGGAAAGAGCTCGTCCAGCAAAATACTACCTTGAATCTTAGGCCGCAGAACCTTCTCTAGCCCAGGTAAATCTAGGTCTAGAAACATTGTGTCTTGAAGAACCATAGCTCCCTGTGCAACGCCACCGATTCGTGGCATTGTGTTGGCGATCTCATTATAGGTACTCGCCACGGACTCACGATTTGTAACATCACTACCGTTGTTAGAAAACGACATATGCCGACGCATGACAAATGATATGGCTTACTTGGCAAAAACCCGGACTGTGCATCCACTCTCAGCCATTTGCATTATCCAAGCTGCATCCACCTTTGGATTACGACTAGACAAGGCAATATATCTGGCACCTTGCCTAGCCATCCAGTGACATAGAGAAAGACCAAGACCTCCCGCAAGCCCAACGAGCCAATATGTTTTGCTTTGGTCGAATCTTACTATAGAGGTTGCGGGAAAGACCTGTAAAGGCAGGTTCTCATTCTCCCAGGTGAGAAGGGCTTGTTTATCTGTGCTTGGCTGGCTGTTGATGAGACTTGTCAGTGTGAAGCTTGGAAGCCTGTTCACGTTGACTGGGCTCTGTTCCATCTGAACCTTGAACCACAAATTTTGTAGCTGTGAACCGACCCCATCTGCGCCGGTAGAACTAGTTGAGTAGTGGGAATACTGCATTGTCAAGGTACGCTCGGTTTCCAGTCGGCATTCATCTGGCAAGCCGTCCCGAAGGCGGGATAGCACGTTCTGGTCACCTGCGAAATTGAACAATTTGACAACATTCGGGGGTATATTTGCCATCATATCACGTCTAGCAGAGTGTCTGTGAATAAAAATCCACGGCTGCGAGCAAGACCTGTTCTCTGTGGTGAAAAGGGCCATACGAATCCCTCTCCGCGTTGCATGTTGTGTAAGCACTGCCGCAAGTGCAAAATCGGGCTCAAGGACAGCAATGGTACTTCCAGGGATGACATCTTTCAAGAGCGCCTGAGCAATGAAGTGCGAGTAAAGACAGACCATCGACTGGAGAGGCTCGCCTTTTGAGCTCCCGCATTGAACCCGCCAAGATGTCGGTATGTGTATGCATGAGCCAAGAGATTCTGAAAATGCGACAACGTCGGCACCCGTTTCGCACTCCTTTCCAGTCACCAAAAATAGATGATCCGTTTCATTTATCATGATAGGGCGTAGTAGAGAGTTAGTGACCTGGATTTGCACGCTACTGTGTGAGAATGCGGAGCATGAATATTTTCCTTTCAAGACTCGATAGTAACCGTCGAATTTGTCAACCACAACCACAGAGGTCTCTCGCGGCACACTGTTCACGATCAGCCGTCTGGAAGAGTTGTATCGCTCATTCCTCTCGGTGTGCAGTTTCAATCGAGGAATGAAGAACTTCCCATTGCGCAAGGTGATTTGAGGTTCCCTGTACCACAGAATCTCTTGGAGTTGCCCTTTTCCCTCCAAGGTGTCCGTAGCATCGAGCTGGAGGAGCTTTCTTGCTATGAGATCCGACCTTGCGTCTTGGAGAGAATGAAGGTTCATGAACTGCATTCTTAGATGGGGCATTTCCACCTGGAGTGTTCGTTGAACACCAACAATCATGTTGGCAGATGGATTATCACCTTGTGCACCATACCCGACCCATAAAATGTTTTTGCTTTTCTCGAACAACGCCTTGAAGGCTTTCAGTGTTTGGCGTGACATCGACATAAGCGCGGGCTCATCTAACTCGGACAAACAGAGCACGGAGCCCATAACTCGAAGATCTGTCAGAGAAAGATCCGCCAGTGAAGGGTAAAGCATGATTTTTCCGTAGTGATTGCTAATTGCCTCCCTCACATTCAAAACCAGTGAGGTCGTGAAAGAGCTTTGCCCGCCAATGATCGTCAATGATTCAATTCCCAACGTCTCATTAGTCGGCGCTAAGGGGTCGCGTAAAAGTCTCACTCGTTGATCGACAGCCTGGGTCAACATTACAGAAAATGGCACAGGTGACCCCTGTTGGCAGCTTATGGAGACATCACTGCCAGAAAATCCCACTTTCTCCATGCATTGAATCCATTTCTCCGTGGAGACACACGGCGACAAGGTACGTCCGTCGGAATGCCCCATCCACCATGCTGGAAGCCCACCGAAGATGAGACCAAATCGCATCACATTTGGATTCGTCAACTCCAAGAGCAACAAGTAGCCGCCCGGTTTGATAAGGCGGCGAACATTGGATAGTGTCGCTTCAATGCTACTTGTCGCATAGAGTGCAAGCGAGGCTATCACCAGATCAAATGATTCCTGGCCATATCCTTGTTCTGCGATGTCTTTTTCGATATCCAGAACCTTGAATGTCATCTTGGCGTGGTGTTTTTGGAACTTGTCTTGCGCCTCATCGAACTGACTATCCAATATGTCCGTGTAAGTGTAGGAAGCAAACCCTTGGTTTAATCCATGCAAAATCCATTCAGTGTGCTCGCCAGCGCCGGCACCTTGATTTATAAATGAGCAGTGGTTCATATGATATGACCTTGTCTTGAACTTACCGATTTCCAGGACATTTAAATGTGGATAGCGATTACTGATTTGACCGCAGATATTGGAAACCTGCTTCAGGTACAACTGGATGCCAGATGCCTCGGAGTAAAATTGGCTTAGCATGTTGTCCTGCATGAGAACTTCAAGCAAGTTGACTTGTCCACGGACAATCAATGGTAATGCCTCTCCAACCCGTCTCATGATTTCCATATCAATGCTCTCCGGGTATCTAGATATGTCAGTCTCCTACAGCAAGAATTGCGGAGGGGATGGAGTAGTGTTACCTGGAAAGCACCCGCGAAATATCCGTCGCAGTGTCATCACTGAATCTCGATGGGACCCAGGGATGCTCATTTGATTTCACGATTGAGGCACAGTGACTGGAGTATGAGAGCAAATGGGCGTGGTGCGCTGCCAGCACTGGAATCTCGGTTTCACCTACTGATAATTGGAGATTTTTCAAATAGAAGTGCGCAACACGCTCCATTGCCAAAATGTCAGCCTGGTCGTGGAGATCCACCTCGACATCAACTTCAGCCCCTGTCGGCTCTTCGGGGGCCCATTGGATCTCGGTGAACATTGGTACATCAGTAGTGACTGTCAAGGGGGTGAGAGGAGTTGTGTGAAGCCCTTCAAGTTGCACAACTGTACATTGGCCATCAGATGAGTATAAGTCCACATCTCCAGAGAGCTCGGAGAACCTAGCACTCGCGACCGAGGAGTAAAATGGAAGCTCTGAGCCGGGACCTCCCAATTCCAAGGCGAGAGTTGGGTTGATCCGAATACTGTCAATCTTGGTTGGGAGATATAGCGTGCGTAAGCGGCCATCGCCAGGAAAGGAGTACGCTAGCATAATTGCCTGGATCGCACCATCCAGCGATCCGGGATGAATCAGCAGAGGTCTCTCCGTGCTGTCTTCTATTGGAACAGCGATAGCCCCAATAGCGTGATCCATTTTCCTTTTCAGATTCGAAAGTGCGTGGAATGGACCCGTGTAACCAAATCCAAGGTCGGACACAAAGTTGTAGAATCGATCAGTCTCAACTTCCAAGAATGAACCTTGGTGTCCACTACCCAGTGGTAGTTCGCGATGACTAGGCTTACCGAGACTAACCTTGATGTTTGCGGAAGCATGCAGTGACATGAATGCCGAGCCTTTGTTTGCATCGGAATAGCAGTTAAAGGCTCCTGTCACGGAACCCTCCTGCTCATCAGAGATCTTCAAAGCATAGACGATCTCCACCCCAACATTCTCTTCCAGAACAAGGGCTTGACCAATGATAAAATCTTGCAACTCAATCAACTTGATCGATGAAATTTCGTATCGTTCAATCAGAAGCTCGACAGCTGCGGATATATAACCTGCTGCTGGAAATACGATCTGTCCTTGCACTTGGTGGTGGGTAAGCCACGGAATTTCTCGAGTATTGAGGTAGTTTCGCCAGCGAATCTCTTTCTGTGTACCGTCTGGGCATTTCACTCCGAGCAGGGAATGGAACTTCTCGCTACCATCTCGAAATGCTGTCGAGATGCGAGATTCGTGCCAATAGATTCTATCATGATCCCACGAATATGTTGGTAGCCCCTTCACAAGTCGCCTCGGCCCATTCGGAAGGACATTGTTGTCGAATTTCGCAAAGTCAACTGCATTCTCGCCAAGGGATATCCATATTGCTCCAAGCGCTGACGCGAATGCTTCTCTGCTATCTTTTCCCCGGTTGCATGTTCCAGTATAAGGAACCTCGTTTCCAGAAACCTCCTGGATTGTTGCCAAGGCAGGGCCTTTGAGTGCTGGGTGAGGGCCAACTTCGAGCGCCATGTCGAAAGGTCCAAGTGCAGCTGTCGCATAGCTCACGGCCTGTGAGAAAAGAACGGGATTGACCATATTATTGCTCCAGTATGTGTCCACCAGGCTATCGTTGACAGTTTCAATGTTCTTACCATAGACGCTAGAGATCCAAGTTGTAGCAATGTCCGAGCGATTTTGGATTCGGATTCTGCAGTTTTGAAGGGCTTCAATATAAGGAGCAGCGCACGGTAGCATGTGGTGAGAATGGTATGCTTTATCAACTTTGAGCAACCGTGCAAACTTCTTTTCGTCGTCGAACACCTCCTTTGCCTCCTCAATGGCATCCAAATCGCCAGAAAGAGTGACACTGGCAGAGGAGTTGCTTGCAGCAATACAGATTCGACCCTCGAGAGTCGGCATATCGCAAAGTTCCCGGGCATCTTCGATGGACGTTCCTGCCGCCATCATCGCTCCCTTGACCCCATTGATGTCTGCTGAATACTGTAAAGCCCACCCACGATAGTACGCAATTTTAATTGCATCCTCTGCAGTCAAATATCCGGCCGCATAAGCAGCCGAGATTTCTCCCGATGAATGACCAACAACAGCAGTAAATACAATGCCCGCCGCACGGAGCAGATCGACCAACATGATCTGAATTGCTGTGCAAAGGGATTGCGAGAACAAAGCCTCACGAATGCGGGATGACGCGGCATCTTTCAAGATTTCGTCTTTTAGCAACCAAGACGGCCGATGATCTCGTGGAAGATTCTGGAGAGCGAAATCAAGGCTGGCAATACATTCGGCGCCCAGCGTTGATCCGAGCAACTCTGCTCCCATTCGAGCCCATTGGGCACCCTGACCAGTGAATATGCCGAGCAGCTTGGGTTGTTTGATGCTTTGTGTTTTGGAAGCCGGTGCAAATTCAATGGGTGATTGTGCAGCCCTATCCAATTTGGTGATGAGATCGGTTGCATTGGACGCTGAGATCGTCACTCGCACGGGTAGTGTAGACCTACGACAGTTGAGAGTCCATGACAAATCACGCAAATTCACATGAGCTTGACCCTTCAGGTAATCAGAGTATCGAACCAGCGTTGCAGAAAGTGAGTTTTCCGACGAAGCGGAGAAGTTGAACGGTGTTAATGGAGGAGAAGTGGAATGTGTTCTCGTACTGCCTTTTGTATTTTCAAACGATTCCAAAATTGCGTGAGCGTTTGCCCCACCAAACCCAAAGCTGTTCACACTGGCACGACGAACTGCATTATCTGGGAGTTTGGGCCAGTCCTGGGCCTTCTTTATGATTTGAAGATCATTGCAAAAAGGTTCCACCGCGGGGTTCAACTCGTTCAGAAGAAGGTTGGGAGGAACGACACCATGCTGCAGCGCCAATGAAGCTTTGAGCACTGCTGCCAGGCCTGCCGTCCCTTCCGTGTGCCCAATGACAGTTTTGATCGATCCCACGAAAAGTGGTGGCTCTTCTTCGGACTTTCGGAAGTAATCTGCCTGGGGACCAAAAAAAGCTGTGCTAATGGCCTCCGCCTCTACTGGATCTCCTGCAGGGGTACCTTGAGGAACGCGTTAGTCTTGAAATTTCCGTTCGAAGACACAAGTGATTAAGCATACCTGTTCCATGAGCCTCGAAATATTGAGGCCGGTCAATAAATCTGGTTATGTCCAGTCCCGCTCTGGAATAGGTAGATCTGATCAAGTCTGCCTGGGCATGCGGGTTGGGCATCGTGATTCCTTTCGTTCGTCCATCTTGGTTTGTTCCAGTCTCACGGATAACACACTCAATATGGTCACCGTCGGCAAGTGCGGTGCTGAGTGGTTTGAGGACGACAACCGCAATACCATCACCTCGAGCATATCCGTCCGCATCCTTGTCCCACATGCGTGATCGTCCTGTGGGAGAGAGCATTTTCAATTTACTCTCAGCGACATACTGTTCAGGGCCCAGAAGAAGATTCGTTCCAGCTGCCACCGCTATCCTTGTCTCACCGGCACGCAAACTTTGCACTGCCTGGTGCATCGCAACCAGACTCGAAGAGCAAGCGGTGTCGATGGTCATGGATGGACCATGCCAGTTGAAGAAATAGGAGATACGGTTGGAGAGAATGCTTCTTGCCGTTCCAGACGCGAAATATGCAGGAATGTTCTGGATGTCTCTACCCAGGAGATCTGCATAGTCATTCGTCATCAATCCCACATACACACCAGTATCGGAACCTTGCAATTTCTCCATGGGCAGTCCGGCTGATTCAAGACTCTCGTATACTGTCTCTAACAGAAGACGTTGCTGAGGATCAATCGCGTTGGCTTCCACGGGCTTGGTCCCAAAGAACTGGGCATCGAACAGCCGGTGATCATCAGATAGGACGTATGAGTGGCGGACATTGCTTGTCCCATGATGAGAGCTATCTGGATGATAGAAGGCATCGGGATTAAATCGACTTCTTGGTATTTCAGTCAAGACGTCTCGGGGCTCTTTGAGTAATTCCCAAAGCTTCGATGGGGAAGTAGCATCACCGGGGAATCGACAAGCACTTCCCACAATCGCAATGGGCTCCCCTCCCATTTGAGCGTTCTTTGACATCTTAATATTTGAGTTTCGCGTTGTCTTCGCAGATCAAGTTCGCCAGTATGTATTCCTTTCTCCTTCAGTGGTCGAGATGGGGAGGCGACAAGAGCAGGTAAAGTATCACTCTCGCGTGGTCTTCATCTTGGCCCAACCTGCGAGGGGCAACGCATATCAGTTTTCGAGGCTTTTAGTGGTGATCAGAACCCGGTTTGCATTCGGATTATAAGCTTAGTAGTAGTAATCTATTCATTTCAGCCTAATCCGAACCGACATAGCGCTTGCAATTTTCATACATGCCCAGGTGTGGCATCAAACCAAACGAATGAGGTTTCAATAGTGCCATACAAAAGCGGATTCGTTGTCCGATCTAGACCGAACCTGCGTCTACAGGATCCTTCGCGCTTGCATTATGCATCAAGCCGCCCTGGCAGGTCGTGTGCAACGCTCTTGGAACACAGGTTTCAATAGTGGTTAATTTTGATCAAGACGAAAACCGAGACCGACTCCGACTCCGAGTGCGTGGCCCTTGTCGTGGGTGTGGTGACCAGGATATCAGGTTAATCCACGATGTGATGAAATGATCGTTTCTTTCTCTAACAATTTTACCTTTCCCCCTTCCAAGGTTAGACCACGATATATATATGTGAACGTTGAAAGCTCAATAAAACCCTGGAAGCTTCGTCGGTCATCAATTCACCAGCTCTGGGCTGGTCCAATGGCCTAGTGGCTGCCATATTCTGTCAAGCGACGCAACAAGCGATGAAGCTCTGAATGGAATAAGGGCGATGGCGTAAGCACACATGGCCGTCAATTTTGGAACGAACGCCATGCGTGAATCAGCTCCATTTGGAACGAACTGCAAACACTCTGTGACTTCACTACCACAAAGCATTCCGGAAGGATGGAAGCAATTTGTGTAACACTGAGGATAAGTCAGCCTTCCCAGGCAGCTTTGACTAGGAGCGCGTAACGAAGTAATACAACATCATTACCTGCCACAGCTTATCGTGCACGGCTAATTGTGATGCGAATACGTCGTGTCACATCTAAAGTTGGCGCTTCTATGTAACCTCTTTTAACCTCATGGCTAAGTAGGGTGTTGTTTCGGGGTGCATGGGTGGGAATTCCAAATTGAAATGGCCACAAGCGATAGTCAAATTGTCAAGTCTCCTGACCAGATATGTGTGCAGGAAAAGAGATAAGTGACCCTGAAATTGAAAGTATTGAGATCCAAGATTTACTTTGGACTGGTTGGTTTAGGAGTTTTGCTTAGGCATACATACCCAAGGCGCACCCCTTAAGGAGTTCTTCTGGAAGCACGTGACCTCCACGCGCATGGGATGCGAAGCAAACCTCGTGTATGTCATCATCCACTCTTAAGTACATAGTCCAGATCTCGTCATGTTTCGATTTACTCCTTCAGCGCATCGTGTCCCCAATTCTTGAGAGATCTATAACTTTTGCTTTCGGGGTTGCGTTTCGCGCTCTCCTCCTGGGCTAAGTGGCGTTTGCAGTAGGATACCACACGGCGCATGTGGTCGATCTCTTCATCTGAGTAACCGGATGGATCCTCGTCGGGGTTGTGCTCAAGAATTTCCACAATCTTCCGACCACTGTTCTACTAGTCAATTTTGACACGCTAGTGCCCAGTAGCACAAAAGTCAAATTTACCTTTCATGGCCAATAGTCTCTCCTGAATCGTTATTCCATCCCGATGAAACTGACTGTTCCTCTTTGAGCCAATCACGCAGTTCGTTTGGACTCATGTTGACGAGATCATTGAACTCCCTGTCAAATGAGCTCTTGTTAGTTTCGATTTCGAGGGTGACGAGGCCGAAATATTAGTGAAAAGGAGCTAGTCCTACCTGATAACAGTGTCTCTATCCTTCACCATGGTGACTCCTATTTTTTAAAAGCAGATATCTTTATTGGTAAATGGTCTGGACGTTAATGGCTGGGTAAAAGATGATTGCTGGGTGAAAGACAAGTGCAGACCTTCTTGTAGTCATGAAACCTGTGGCAACGCTGGGTGGTTTGACGTCATGACGTTGGCATTTCGCTTTCCCCAACTTTGCAGTCACCGCATAATGGCCAACCAAGTGCTTGGCACAAGAAGCTTGATTAAGTGAACCACATAGACACGAACCGTGACCTCTGTCCTGCAACTGCGGAGATGAATTGTGGCGCGTCTTTGCCAAGGCTGCCAAGGCTGATAAAGAATGCCAATTTTACTGGTCGCCTTGGCCAATATCCCCCAAATATCCCCCGCATTGCAGCGCCTCCCACAAACATGAGCTTACTCCTCATCTTTTCCCAGTCTTTTGGAGCTATGCGGGCATAAATACCACTAGTTACATCCCCCGCTTATTATTCTCCAATTAATTGATGTGGCTTGCGGCCCAAGTTCACAATAGGACTCCCAATAGGCTAAAAAGGGACGAATTGCATCTACTTAGTGCATAGGTAGTAAATCTATACAAGGGGTATTTTTCCACCAACACGCCGGACGCCTTAATCTTACTCATATGTGCGGGGTTCGGCAGTTTTCTCATTGTTTCTGATTTCCTGCAGTTGAGAGAATTGCAATTCATCATCCTATCTATCATGATGTCGTTCGACGCGCTCTCGCCCCGTGAGGCCATCGAGTCCGTGGTAAGGTCTGGAGTACATAAAGGTAACATGCGTTTAGACAAAGTATTTTTAAGCTCTGTCTCCGCTGGTTGCTTGCTTTCCTTTGCCTGCGGCACTTCTTTAAGCACAAATGCCTCCCCGTGGTACGCGGATAATGCCCCTGGGTTGATTCGAACGATCAGTGCCTTGGTATTTCCTTACGGATTGTGCATGATCATCCTGACTGGTGCTGATCTCTGCACTGGGTCATTCATGGTAAATGATATTTATCTACACCCTGTTTCGGTTAGAATGCTAACCTTTAACCAGTACACGACCGTTGCGGCCTTGCAACGAAAGCTACCCTGGTGGAGAATGTTGATCCACTGGGTGGTCACCTTTCTTGGAAACTTGGCTGGGTCTTTGTTCATGGTAGCCATCCTCTTTGGCTGTAAGTGAAACCTCCAAAATCGCGATTCAGCAATTTGGACCCCACCTAATCTCCGATCACTAGATGGTGGCGTCTTTGACGCCGATCCATTCAAATCGACTGTCATTGAATATGCGACAAAAAAGCAGGTTACTCCTGACTTTCACATGATATTCTTGCGTGGTATCGGGTGTAACTGGCTAGTTTGTTTGGCATGCTTTTTGGGCCTGCAGGGACATGACCTTGCATCTAAGATAATGGGCATCTGGTGGCCTATTTTTGCTTTCGTGTCTCTTGGGTTTGACCATGTTGTCGCTAACATGACATTTATTCCCCTTGGTATTTGGTTGGACACACCGGAAGTAACTGTTGGCTTGTATATTTGGAAGGGCATCATTCCCGCGCTGATTGGAAACATTCTCGGTGGCGGTCTGTTTTGTGGTAGGTGAACCATGTGTCTCGCCTCAATTCAACCTTCACTAACAACGTGGATAGGAACGTACTATTGGTACATGTATCTTCTGGATCTGAATGCAGTCTCGATTCCTGGTCTGAAAAAGGGTCGAGATCAGGCACAGGTTAGTACTCCGGAGGCTTTCTCCAAAGAAAGAGATATTGAGGCAACTGCTGGAACCTCAAGCTCAACATGAGTCAGAGCCACAGCATAACCCTATTCAACATCACTCATCGGTGGATCCGGAGAGGAGAAGGGTCTTGATTTTGCAACGTTTTATGAATAGTTAATTTTTTGTATCCCTCTGGGGTTAAGTCTTCAAATTGCGTTGATTGTTCAAGTTACCATAGGGCAGAGCTTACCGTTTTCACCTTTTTGCGTCAATCGCTACTGAGAAATGCCGTAACCGAGATCAAGAAATGAAATTTTTGCTGCAAACTTTACGGGTACGAGATCATACGCATACATCTCACGCCTTCCGTTTCTCAAGGTTTCCTACAATGAGACCCATAGGACCTTTCTCATTCGAAATTGATGCATTCTCTCCATCTATGCTTCAATGCCTGGTACTGAGTAATGATCTAACGCGCTGAATGGAGGACTGGGTAATTTCCTCATTAATCATAGCCGAAAATTAGCAAAATGAAGATCTCGATTCAACGTTTCTGTCAAGATCGTGGACTACTGCCAGGTAGTAATACATGACCCCCTGGACAGTGGCAGAGCTCTTACTGCAAAAACTAGTTATCAAAGAGCTGTGGACAAGTGACAAACAGGATTAAGGGTCCTCTTTTCGGGACAAATTGTCGGACACTGGTGGGTCAAAGGATTCAATATGCCTGGAGGGAGGCCAGAAGACGGCGCGCAAAAGCCTTCTAGGCTAGATAGTCCGGATCGCTTATCTAAAATTGAATATGAAACGCATATACTAATCTAAACCATTCAAGCACTGTTGAGTGGTCCACAGAAACAAGACTACCATTTTTAGCTTCTTGAATATCTTCACGATAAACCCATACCCCAAACACAACGAAGGTCTTCACCTTCTCCCTAGCTCCTGTTTTTGCAGCTTCAATTAAAGCTGCTGCAACACCAAATGCTGAAGCAGGTTTGGGTGTGCTCGAGAAGCGTTGTTGGGAATGTGTGTTGGCCTTAATCTTCCGGTGTCTATCTCAAGTTAAGAAGAACGAAGTGCTAACTCTCACATTTTTAGCGACAACGACCTATACTGAAGATTTGACTCGCTGAATTAAGTTGTTAGACCCTAACCTTGCATACCACTATAAGCTATGTTCGATATCTACGGTACGTTTAGACTGCTCGTCTATACATTCGGTCCATATTCTAGCCGAAGGGCAAGAAAGGGCCACGCCCAGGTGGGCAATTCAGGTGTTCGATCTTACATTTAGATATGCTGCATCCACTAGAAACTTGAACCACCGTTGAACGTATGATCCGAGCATTTGAAACATCGTAGATATGAAAAGATAAGGACTGACCTCGATAGAGCTCCATGTAATCAACCGACCAATCACAACGATAGAAGGGACTTCGTGGCCTTAGGCGTGCATAATGACTAATCTCTCTGCGATCGAGACAAGGAACGTCATTGGAACTTGGGAACCATTGGACGAGATAAGATGCACCCTCTTGCCTAAGTACGACGTCATCTCCCGTTCCGGCCCTGTTAACCATGTCCACAATGGATGGCGCACCTTTGGTGGGAAATTCCACGAGAGTGGCCCCTCGCCCCGCCAACCCCGCCGAGTCAGTCACCGAGTGACGAGAGAGATCCTTCAACTTTGTAAGACTTACTCTTTCAAATCACACACATCAGCCATGGCCACCACCCAGCCCAACCTCCTTAGCTTTCCCAACACAAATACCCTGGCGGAGCAATTGCGCCCGTACGTTCTCGCCAGCCAGAATGCCGCTCTAAGCCGCCACGATAGCTTCCGCATCGCTGTCTCTGGAGGCTCTCTGCCCACCGTGCTCGCCCGTGCCCTGCTTACCCCCAGCAATGGCACCCCCGAAGATACCCCCCAGTTCTCCAAGTGGCACATCTTTTTCGCCGATGAGCGTGCTGTACCCCTCGACCACGATGACAGCAACTACCGCCTCCTGCAGGAGGAGCTTCTGAGCAAGATCCCCGCGGAGCTCGGAGCTCCGACCGTGTACCCCATCGATGCCGAAGCTGTTAAGAAAGATGATACCCAGGAACTGGCCGATCTGTACCAAGAAGACTTGATGCGGGTATTTGCTGCCAAGAACAGTGTCAAACTGCCTATCTTCGACCTGATTCTTCTGGGTTGCGGCCCCGACGGCCACACCTGCAGTCTGTTCCCTGGTCATGACCTCCTGCGCGAGAAGGATGCCTGGGTCGCAGCTGAGAACAACTCGCCCAAGCCTCCTCCCAAGCGCATTACCCTTACTCTTCCCGTTGTCACCTCTGCTGTTCAAATCGCATTCGTCGCTACTGGAGCCGGTAAGAAGGATATTATGAAGGCTATCTTCGATAGCGAAGAGGGTCGCAGTCTCCCATCAGCCCTGGTTAACCAAGGCGGTGGTGATAAGGTGAGCTGGTTTACCGATCACGCTGCCATTGACGGGGTTGCTTTCCCTCGTCGCGGCAGCCTGTGAGGGGAGATGCTAGCATCGAACCATTTTGTCATACAAAATAAATTAGAAAAGCCGGGCATTGGGGCTTGATAGCACACTTTGCCTATACATGGCTATTTGGAGTCGGATATTCGATGTTGAGATTGTGTGCTTCGGCGTCAGTTTGTGGTTTTCGAGCCTGATATGCAGCTCGAGATATCACTCGTGCAACATTTCCTGCTATCTGCGTATTCAATTATATTCCAAACGGACGAATACTTATCAGAGACCTTTACGATAACCAATCAAGTTTCCTTGCGTCAATTGCTTCTTTACTGTCTTCTCATTGCCAAGTAGCCTTAGACACAATAGAATCTTACCTATAACAGTTCCCCATTGAATGGTATATCTTACGTCAAGGGTTTCAACATATTCAAGTTCTCAACTGAGGGTTTCTTATATCAATTTTGCTGTGGAAACGGAAATACAGGAAGCCAAGGCTCCGCTTGCGTAGCAGAATATCCCCCAGCCCATGGCATCAGACCAGCTCCCTCAATGCCGGAGCCAACAGCAGTATCTGCCGGTTGCCATGTCCACCCCAGATCCGACATGAAAAGTGTCTGGAGCTCCTCAAGGCTTGCTTGGCCGAACTCGACATCATTTGAGGCACCCGGTGGTTGGCTTTCAGTGGGGTTTCGGGTAGTTGAGTGATCGAGATCAGGATTAGATTCAGGAATCGCGCTGTTTGGCGCAGATGAAGTGCTTGCCTTTTCTGGGGCATGTCGTTCCGGAATTGACTTGCGCGCCATGCGGAAAATAGACAAAGGATTGAGGACATAGTCTGGGGCGCTTTGAACCGGAGTCCCAGGAAGACTTTCACTGTAGGCAACGTTAGTATTTCATGAACTTAGTAAACTCCGATAGGCTATATCTACCTTGGATCTTCGTCGACTGTTTGATATGGGTCATCAGGAATGCTGTTATGGGCGACTACCTCGGAGCCGATGCCGGAGCGGTCGAACATAGTCTCTGCTGCGGAACACTGTGGGTGAAAGATTAGTTACTGATAAAGATAAATCCATCCAGCAGAGGCTGACAACTCACTAGTGAGTTTGCGATGGCATTCAGAGACCCCATCAGTTTCAAAGCGTCAATGTTACTCTTCAAAAGTTGTAAAGTTTCCGCCGTGATCATCTTTGTTTCCTCGGCGCGAGGATCAAGTATTTGTGTCAGATGGTATACCATGATCCGGCAGCTATCATATGTAATTGTTGGGAGCCATGAATCTGCCAACGATCTTGTCCCATGTTGAGCTGTCTGCCCGATAATAGTTGCCAACGCCCTCGCGGCATCAAACAAGACTTCCTGTAAATGCCCTAGGAAGGCATGCTGCTCTGGAGGGAAGTCGAAGGCGGCACGAAGTTTGTAAAGCGCCGGTGCCCCTAATCGGTACAAATCGCATATTGTTTGATAATGCGCGCAATGTAATACGCAAAGAGCGCCAAGCTGAGACGAGTCTTTTCTGATATAGATCGCATTCGGCGTGAATTGCAAACTTGCCGGCAAGGACTCATACCAAGTGCGACAATCACGGTCCAGAATTGCAAATTCAGAGTCTGCTGCCCAGGGAACCATCGCTTCATCGAGATGCTTGATGTACCTGAGATCAATGTGAGTGATCTGCAACTACACAGCGATCCTATACCCAGCATTCAGGCCAAAACTCACCTCAGAACTCTTTTGCGAATTGAGATATGGCGGATAAAATACGCCATCATTCCCATATTCGGCATAAGTGCATCGCTGTCGAGCTCACCAGGTATGAACTTCAGCCAATTACCAGGCTCCAATGTTTCTGTGAGACAGGGGATTTGCTGAATGAAATTTCTTTCGTTGCAAGGTAACTGGATCTTCATATCCTTCTCATCGACCAGTGTGAGTTGGTCCACCCCGCTACCAACAAGGGCATCCATAATATAACAGCTCCACATTAACCTTCGTCGCGATTCTCTGGCGGTGACAGAGGGTCCTACTTCGATATTCTGGCAAAGAACATCGGTATTATACTCCAAGTTTATCTGGAGTGCCTGAGTCATTCGGGTTATAAGTCCACTAAGCATGAAGGCATTTGCAAAGTTCCCCATGCGGACGGCATGATCATGAAGTAAGACCGACGCCTATGGTTGTTCGAATGTTAGAGCTTTCTTTTTAAAATTAAAAACCATCATAGTACAAGTTACCATTAACTTCTCAACAGTGACTGTATCAAGCGCCTCAAGAATTAGCCTCTGGGCGATCTTAGCCCATTCGGCTCCAGCCATAAGGACGTGTTTGGTGGGAAGAGGAGATATTGTTTCACTGTAAGATAGTGCATGTAATCTGCATTCAGTTAGTTGGTTTTGATCCTCGAACAAATTTAGCAAGGTCTGGCTTACTGGCCGCCCAGTGCACAAATTATGTGCAGAAGTGCATGACTCTGATATTTATTTGGGCCATCTTTGTCAAGCCTTTGGAGGAATGAGGGTCTGTGAATAAAGGCGAAGCACCGTAAAGGGTGGATGTTGTTGAAGAACTCTTCGACCAAAAGCCCAATCTTGCCTCTGTCGGGCAAATGCGATGCAGTCAGCCTGATGGCAACACATTAGTGAATAAGATACGAACAATTGACTTTTGGGTTTAACAGTACCATTTTAGAGGGAGAGCGGCAGTCTCGATGGTCTCTTTCGAGACAGATTGCTCAAACGATAGACTTCGAGAATGTGGGGAAATCTGGTCTAGCCGCATAGTCTCATGCTCTAGCTGACTGCTCGGGGACCGATCAGGAATGAGGGAAGGAGTTGAGAGAGGTTTCTTGCTGTCTGTTGAGATATCCTCGACGCGCTGGATCCATCCTGGCTGCGAGGACTCCGAATAGACACAGTTGTGACCTTTCTCTTCACACCTTCGGCACGTCGGTCGCTCCCCCGAGCATTTAGTCTTGCTTGCACGGCAGGTCGTGCACGACCTATAAGTTCTCTTTCGTTTCGAACTCTCTGCTCTGTGGTTTGCAATCTCATGCGCCTGTGAATCCGGAGAAGCTCCATAGCCCGAGCAAACCAGCCGCAGGCGTGCACAATTTCCACATTCACCTGGTCTTTCATCACATTTGACCTGTTTTCAACAAAAAGCGAAAAGGTTAGACAATCCTAGGACCATTTGATCAACAGAAATAATCTCACTTTACGTGCACGACAGGTACGACAGCCTATCAATGTTAATATAAATTGAGCTCCACTGTTTGTATAGTCTCCATACTCACCAAATCGTGAGCGTGAAGGCCTTGGGGCGTTTTTGGATCTCATGCCTGTCAGCGATATTGTATTCGCTTTGCGAGTTTTCCGAAACAATCAGTATGTTGACAGGGAGGCATTGCGCTGGATAAGTGTCGGGCCATCGGTAATTAACGGCCCATCGGCTGACGTAGACTTGTGGTGGTGAAATCCATGTATTAAATGACGAGATGGAAAAGCGGAGAATGCGGGGCTGCAGGCGTTTTGACCTCACGATCTACACAAATCAAACCCGTCCCATTCGTGAACAACATGATTATTTAGCCTCTAGGTGTCATTCAATCTAATCTTATCCTCTATCATAACTCTATACTGAATAGCTGGCTAGACAATAAAAAATATGTACCATGATCCTGGAAATTGATCGACGGGGGCTCGGTATATATATTGCTCGCCCCTTTCGACCAAATAGCTACCAACGAAGAATCTAGTCACCAGGTTCCAAAGGTTAACGCGCGACAATTCCGTAGCATGATATAATAATTTGTCATTATTTCTCCGTTTCATCAGTCCATTGGGTCATGGCCATCACTGGCTTCTGCAATCCTGCAAGTGCAGCTTCATATTCAACACCGATTCTATCTATCCACGGAAAATTTGCAACCAGGCCAAGTTTCAATTTAGCGCTGTGGCACACGAAATATTTCGCACTCCCGTCCGGCTCGCATTGACAGTTGATCAAGTAAACGGATGGAAGTTGGGCACTTCGAAACAAAATGCTTAAGAACCCAAAAAGTTCTCTTTCACTTTTATCTCATTTCCCAAGTCATTCAACCTTTAGGCAATACCTTTCGTGTTCTGGATCTTGTCGTCAACAATGGAGGACGCCTTCAAGATCCCGGACTCTCAAACGGTCATACTTCAGCATGAAGCTGGGATCCTGGAAATCACTCCTGGCATGCCAATTCCGGAGATAAGTCCCCATCATATGCTTGTATCCACCAAGGCAGTCGCTTTGAATCCCTGTGATTTTAAAATGCCTCTCAGATTCCCCACACCGGGACTGTGGGATGGTTGTGACTTTGCGGGCATCGTTGTGGCACTGGGAAGCCAAGTCGCTGCTGATGGTCAATTTCGTCTAGGAGACCGTGTTTTTGGAGCGGTCCAAGGCTCAAAACAATCCGACCCTCAATCTGGGGCATACTGTGAATACATTCGCGCAGAACCAGATTTCACGTTCCATATGCCCAAAGGAATGTCTTTTACCACTGCCACCGCCCTCTCAGGAACAGGAATAGCGACCCTCGGGGTTGCGCTATTTTGGTCACTGCAGCTTCCAGGCAAGCTGGATGACCCAGCCAGCAAGGCTGAGGATGTCCTCATATATGGTGGAAGCAGTACCATTGGCTTGATCGCGATTCAAATGGTGAAACTGTAAGTCATCTATGTCTGTTTCTAGAATTACCTTCTTGAACTAACGTGTTGCAGCTGTGGCCACCGAGTCATCACTACGTGCTCTCCTCATAATTTCGACCTGGTCAAAAACTACGGAGCGGATTCTGTGTTTGATTATAACTCTCCCACTTGCGCGAAAGACATCCGAGCTGCGACCAAGAATACACTTCGATATGTGCTTGACCCATTCTCGGAAGCGAAAACGTTGCGCTTATGCCACGAAGCGATGGGTCGGACCGGCGGTCGGTACTGCGCCCTAGAGCAATACCAAGAGAGTCTCTGTACGCGGAGAACCATAAAGCATGAGCTAGTGATGGGAGGGGCTATATCCGGGAACGGTGTTGAACTTCCAGAGCCTTATGGTATCCCTCCTCGTCCAGAAATAGGAGAATGGGCTCGCCCCTGGTATCAGTGCGTCCAGGAAACCATCACGGGAGGCAAGCTCAGCCCTGTCCCTTTGGAAATCATTCCGGGGCGGTTTGATGGCATACTTAACGGGTTGGAAATTCTTAAGAAGGGTAAGGTATCTGGAAAGAAGCTTGTTGTTTCCATATAATGTGTAGCGCTGGGTAGCTAGTTGATTCCTAGATCAATGAATGAATGACACAGTTTTGGTCGGGTTTCAAAAATAGTTTAACATCGCTTCCGACTGCAAACATTTGTTTTTCTTAAGGTTAACGTCCACCCCAGTCAACTTGTCCAGGACTTTGTGAGTCGTTTTGGGAGAGCATTATTTGTTCAAAAAAAAGGGAGTATGAGTTGAAGCGGGAACAAATTATAGATATTATTAGGAGTTGAATTAAAGGGGCTACTGTAGCCTGTTGTGCCGAGATCGCCGACATACACTCCCCCCCACCGCTGTGTCCAAATCTGGTGATTCTCGAATCCATTGCATTCAAACACGACCGCAACAAGAGGAATGAGGTAGCTGCGATTTTTGATTTAGGCATGGTAATCATAGACCATTCTAGCAGTAACCGGCTTGTCCTTCTGGGAATTCTTCGAAGTAAGAGCGTTGCGAGTGAGGTATCGTTTGCCATTAATCATCTCGAAGCCCCAAAGCACATGCGCAGTCCAATCCATCTTAGTATTGTAGGCAGCCTCATCAATAACTATACTTGAGGAACATCCTTCTTCAAATCCCTGACGAAGCACATCGTCCTTGATATCCGCGGTGTTCATGTATCGCAACTGCATGTTGATATCGCCAAAGATGGGAAGTGACATATCTTGCCCAATTCCGTTCAGAGGGCAGGATGTTTCGCTATTGAACCCACCAGGGTGTACAACCTGCTTCACATACATGGTCGTGACCGAGCCCATGTCAGATGAGGAGTCGGTGCTGCTGGCATCCGACAGTGAAACCGACTGGGTGATATGCAAAGTGAGGCTGGCAAAACGCAGGACCTTCCGGGTAATCCACGGCACACCTTGCTATTTTCGTTCAGTCATCTACGAGTTGGATCTTTTGGGGGAATTCACATACCAAAGCAAATACTCCATCGGGATCATCAGAGAGCTTCCTGTTCTGGGGAAATAGTTAATAGAGTATCTAAGTCCTAGCAAGTAAAGGAGGCGCACCAAGCTCCATGTTCCATCCAAGTTGGTGATATCTTTCGAGATCGGAGCAGCCATAATTTCTCATAAAACTGGTTTGATTGCGACTCGGTGGGTTCCAGTTATTCTTGAGAGGGAAGTCCGGTTCAAATATGAGTATTCAAACTTCCAGTATGCGCAGCACATGTAAGACTTAATCTCGGATTCGGGATCGGGATCGGAATTCACGAGGCTGAAGCTGAATGTTTAATTAATCAGTACGTAGGACTCGGCGGCTTATTGATTCGATTTTAGTTGTGATGCCAATTTGCGAGGGCCACTTCTGTATATGTTAGCATGGATTTCCTGCCGGATAAGGTCTGAACCTGGAAGGCAACCACTAAAGGAGTAGGGGTCAAAGCTCGGAATGAACAGATTCATCTTTTGAGATACGTAAGTCTCTAGTCCTGGAGGCCACTGAAGCACAAGTCTCTTTCGTTATCTAGCCAAGATTTGCCTTATATTTCTATTTTCTTCCATAAATCCAACTTCCAAGATTGGACATCCGTGGATCTGAGCTTTAGCTGTAAATCCAGCCAAAAAGCACACCAAGTGATCAGTAAGCTATATAGCTTGTTAATCTCCACCTTTAATTAGATTCTCTTGTGTTCGGCGCCTATGTTGGACGGATGTCAAACGGCAAAACACTTGTCATCCCACAACCACAGCCCATATGAAGACAGCCCGTAAAATAAGGTATCACACCTAGACTGGATCGCTCACAAGTTTTCGCAAGCAGCTCATTGTCTCCTTCAATGGAATCCCACACTCAATTTGTTCCTGGGTAATGATGTGGTCTCGTACGGACGTCAAGGGGCCACTGGCTAAAACAGACGCAACGGGACCCATACCTCCATCCGTCTCGCTACAAGACATCCCTAAGGCCCGTTCGATTTTGCCCAACATATTAGTGCTTGAGTCAATCAACGCCTGGATTTGAACTGTTAAGTTTCCCTCCAAATGAAATTGGCCGTGCTGAGAGCTTGGCAGCAGTAGGAATGCAGCGGCATCGGCAGGTGGAACAAGAAGAAACAGTTGATAAAGTTGGTTGAAGATAGCACGATAGACCCGAATAAGATGGCAATATGCCGTGAGCATACCCATTGAAGTAGACACATCACATGCTGGCGACAATGAATCTCTCGTTTGATCTGACAATGCTGGATTGCTTGTGTGATGGTCCGAACCATGAGACGATGCAGTAGATTCAATGATCTGCTCCACACCTTGTGAGAGAGGTTTCAGATATTCGAACATGTTCGTTTCTTCGTTTGGAAATTCAATACTGGGTATAAGGTGTAAGGGGTCTTCCGATGCACCAACCCCGGATTGAAGTATCTCTAAGAATTTTGTAGAGTGGTTGAGCATGCGAAAAATGGGGATCTCCAGTTTCCCCCTGAGGAGCTGTCATCATCTCCAAGCAAGGTCGAAGGTTGCAAGATATCAGAGCCAGTCTCCAAAAGCTCTAGATCATCAAGCATCTCTAAGTTGAGCTTAAATAGCCTTTTCCGCACATCGTAGTTGTTCGTGGGACTCCAATCAGCCGTGCTATTTCCTCGTTGTTTCTCGTTCTCAGTTACCGATATGACTGCATCCCAGGAAGCATCCCAATGATTTTCGACTAGAGATGGTGGGCTTGTGTTTAAGGGTATTGGTGGCTGTGAGGGTAGTGAGGATGTAGGACCTGTGTGCGATTTATCTTGGAGATTGAAAGAGAGATCCATCACGAGTGCATGCGAGGCCGGAGGTTGGTGATCCAGGCGATAGTCAGGCTCGAATAGCAAACTGTCAAATGTGGGCTGCTAGAGCTGAATTAGCGATTTATCACCATCAGAGAAAAGATGACGGCAGCTGCTCACCATAGGATAAATGCCAGTAGCCCATGATAGCTGCTGCTCATTCCAGTGATCGAATGGCAATGATGCCTCAGGATAGGTGGAGGCCTGAAACCCCATATCTCCTGAGAAAGGGGGTTGATTCTCAATATTCCAAGGTGAGAAGTCCTCTGGATATTGCCAGCTGTTGTATCTTTGGTCGGGTTTATGGAAGCTTCCAGATGATACGGCCTTCTTCACTTTCGAATTGAATGACTTATGCAAAATAGGTACAGAATGTCGCTCGGAGCTCATGAATCTGGTGTCAGAATCCCCGGGGTAGGAGCAGTGGCCGTTCCTTGACGACAAATAATTTGAAGAAGGATGGTTGATACTTGTCGTACACACGACCTGAGCTTTGAGACATCTTTCGCATGATCTGCCATTCAGATGATCACGTTCACAGCGTAATTTGAATCCGCGACATCGATCACAGGCGGATCTTCGAGATTGTCGATAATTAAGAGCCGGATGCATCTTGATCAAAAGTAAGCGTGAGTCAATGCGTGTTGGGGAATAGTAGTATGGGGATAGTACTGCAAAGGCTTCAGGTATATGTAGGTAACTAGATGTGGCGGAATATGTACCTTCATGACAAGTCATACAAAGTACCAATTTCCGCCATATACTTCATATATGGCCAATTCGAATATGATCTACTTGTAGATTAGACTAAGAGACAGGCCTAGCAGATTTGTAGCCGTGTTTGAAATATAGGGCCACGGCACTGGGTCTCTGAACATGTGTCAACTGTGGGGCAATAACAAATTCTCCGCTTGCTTAAGAACGCGCCTCGTTAAACTTTACATTGAATGAGTGTATTATTCCTTGAAAGAGCACAATTTAGGCAGCGTCCACTTGAGAGCCAGAATAAGCTAGGCAACACGTCAAATATGGATACGCGACACGTATTTTTAATCTATCAGCGTCTGCAAATATAGATCCGTAACCAATCCGTCCCAAAGTATAGGTGGCAATTGTCCGCAAGAACCTATGCTTCAAAACATTGCCCAAAAAGTCGCATGTAATAAGCTCTGGGGTTTAATACACAAGGATAAGGGACTTGCTCAATTCGATAGGAAGCAAAAGCAAAGCCAGTGTTATGGAGAAGACCAATTTAGACCTGTATGACAGGTTCATGTTATCAGGGATACCATGTGAGCTCCTGTATGACAAAAGAGCTTTATTGGCACATTATCGAGAGCCCAAGTGTTTGGTTTGGGAATAGCCGCTGAAGTCGTACATATATCCCAGGCAGACGGAAAATTGAAATCAGAACCAGCCAGGGATACTACTGGAAAGTCTGTTTTGGATTGGCGGTCTTGCTTGAGAGCCCTCTAATATACCCCTACACCGTCGGTTTTGTTCCGAACCAACTGCAACGCTTGAGTCGCACGGCGCCTGTAGCTTTAGTCCGGACGGCAAAATGGATCCATTGAGGACGAAAATAGATCGAGATTCAATACCTCGCCGCACGAGTAAAGCCATGTTTTATCGAATTTATGAGTCCCTGCCGGTGTCAAATCGCCTGCGCGTGTGGAACAGAATATAAGACCCACCACCCTGCCTCTCGTGAAACGGCTGTTGCATCAACTATGCTGTGACACTCATTGATTGGGCCATTTATAACTTTGTACTGTCTATCTGCGTGTGACACGAGTTAGCCATGGCACAAACGTGGGCCTGTAAAATGGTCAGTTTCGTAAAAAAGTTGTCTTTGTACTTCCAACGGTACAAACTCGTTGGAGATGCCGAGACTGGCGTCTTTACATTATCGTTCCTGACTGGATGCTGTATGACAACCTTTTGCCAATGTAGACTTGACAAATTTTGAAAAGACGTCGCATATCGAAGGCTGAAACATATCCAGAACCATTTGTTATTGAATAAGCCCCTTTTGAGTTCACCCAGCAGACGCGAGTTCATGATCAACCCTCTGCTGCAGGAAGGCGAAATGGGGCAAACCTCCTCCAACGTTGATTACGTGCAGTAAAAAGCAAATTATAACGCGATCATATCATAGGCCCAATTATTTACCTATAGCCGTGATACGTAGGGGCTGTGTGCAATCTTTAGTAACAAGTCTTGACACAACTTTCTTGACCTGGAGGGTAGCCGATGATAGAGAAGGGCTTGCGCTAGAATGGATGCTTTCCAGCTGTCATGGCTTAGATTACAGCCAATTTATTAGAACTGAAGTTATATTCCAAATGTTGTGCATAATGACCTGTCCCTGCCCAGGTATGGCCCAAACTATAATCGATCAGGGGTCGGGCCTTTTGGGCACGAGTTCATTTCTAGACTATTGTATTGAATGACTCCACAGGAGGCATAGATTAGCGAAAAGACTTTTCTGAAGTATTCGAGCTATACTTATTACGAACTTGTTCATCCAATTACCATGCACTCGCAGATGCTTCAAGCTGAGGGGGTGTAAGTAAGCCGAGGTCCGCTCAGGTAGAATAGAGGGAAATCGACACTACAGTACTTAGACCTAATTGTTCAGCTAGATATCATGACTGTCATTGTTGTAACTTAAGGATAGAAAAAACCCACCTTGTGGACAACAGTATGAACTTCGATTTACCAGAGGAATTGAAATCCCATCTTCAATCTATAGAATCTTCCATCAATTACACAATCCTTCCCCTCCAGCACTCCGAAGATAACAACCGTCTCTTCGATCACAGACGAGAGCATCACCAAACAGATTGGGACAATGATGGCAATGCGCGTCCGGAGTGGGAAGCGCTCCTAGGCCAGGCTCGCAAATTGAGCGACGAGGCGGGCCTATATCGCTTCGCACTCCCCAAACAATATGGGGGCGAGGAGCACCCCCATATGAACGCTTGGATATCAGCAATTATTCACAACTTAGCCTTGCATCTGACTTATGGAGGCGGACTTGGATTGGCAAACGATTTGCAAAATGAGCATAGCATCGTGGGAAACTTCCCTGATATTTTTATGATCCACCATTTTGGCAGCGAAGAGCAGCGCCGCACGTTGATTCCTGTTCGCCTCCATGGCGAGTTTCGGACAACTTTCGGTCTCACAGAGCCAGACCACGGGAGTGATGCTACTTTTATGTCTACTATAGCTCATCGCGATCGTGGTGGCTTCGAGATTACTGGGATGAAAAAGTAGCAACGGGTGCGCACCATTGTACCCATATCATCATCTTCGCACGCACGTCTGGATCGTCTGGATCGTCTGGATCGACTGGATCTGCCAAGGGCATTACTGCGTTCCTGGTCCCACAGGATACATCTGGTGTCCATATCCTAAGTCATGAATGGACTATGAATATGTCGACGAATCATGCAACGGTTGAGCTGGATCATGTATGGTTACCAGAAACTACCATATTGTGATTCGTGGACAATGGTTTGGCCATCGCTCAGACGTTCTTATATGAGAATCGTGTTCGACAAGCCGCTAGTGCCTGTGGTGCTGCGAGGTTTTGTCTTGGAAAAAGCATCATACGTGCTCACGAACGCAAAATATGGGGATAGGGGAAAATGCTGGCAGATAATCAAGCAATCCAATTCCGGTTGTGGAGCTTATGGATCAGGTGGAAATGCTGCGATTGTTCATACTCAAGACTAGTTGGGAAATGGATTGTATTGTTACTGCAAGCCGGGTATCAGGCAGCAAACTGCCACCATGGGTCGAGATCGAGCACAAGCTGAGTGACTAGGTGTCGATGTGCAACTTATGGGGGAACCGATTATGTTGTCAGGCTGCTGACAGAGCGATTCCGGTCAGTACTGGATACATTCGCGCAGTTCACAGGGAAAAGCTAAGTCAATAGATTCACGATTGGGATGGGTACTCGCGTCATTACCCCTTTGAGCAAATATATCGACATTTTCGACAGTACCGGATCACCGAGGGCGCAGAAGAGATCCAGATGCGTAAAATTGCTGCATATATCTTCGGATTTGTGGGACCAAAGAAAAACCAGCTTGACAACGAGAACAAGTTGAAGGCTAATACATGCTGCTCTAGGCCACCGAATTTAGCTCAAAATGATATCACAGCATATTCGAAACAAGAAGACTTTTATTTGCATGGTATCTCTGGTAAACAAATCGCTGAAAATGACCGTCTATGGTCGATATAAGACAGCAAGGAATATCTGAAGTAGAAGAACATACTAAAAAAAAACACTGTAACTAGATCGAATGTTATAGGATGGGTGGAGCGACTAATGAGTCTGGGATGCCCTCGAAAACCCAATTGAGAGAATCAAAAACTTCAGAGAACCCAGCTTCGTTGAAAAATGCCCCGCTTTCATCGAATTGAGCTGGTAACATTAATGATGGGTCCTCGAGAGATATATCCTGTTGCCGGGTCTGAAGCCCAGGCGCCATGGTGATATCCATATTTGCTGCTGCTGCCGCTGCTGTAAAAAAAAAAAAAAAAAAAAATGTCAACATGGATTGTCCAAACACCGAAGCCTGAATCGGCGACTAACCTTGCATTTCTTCCATGCTCTTCACTGGCCGAAACCGTTGTCGCCAGCGCCATACAGTATCGTATACATGGCTCATGCTCATTCGACAGCGAACCTTTAGTTGAAGGCCGTCTTCACCAGCTGGCTCTGGCCCCGTCGCATTCCACATTTGAGCAAGAATATCGGCGAGGCGAATGGGTCGATCGTGGTCCATGACGCTGATTCGGCGGATGGCTGAGATAGCGCCATTGAATAACAACTTGCCATGGTTGAAGTCAATGTGCCGGTTGAAGCTGCTTTTCAACAGCTTCATCAAGGCAAAGGCAGCGGAAACAATCATTTGAAGGATATAATTTGTTGAATGACCAATGGGTTCGCTCGGGTCCGTTTCAAGGTCGAAAACACGCCCCAAGAACGAAGTTGTTGCGATGAATAGCTTGGCGAGATTGTCGCTCTGTGCGCTGGAGCCCAGGAAAACAAAATAACGGAAGTGCAGCTCGGCGGCACGTAGGTGAATCATGTTGATCGCTTTTGAAATCGTTAGCCGGGGCATGATATACATTCGAGTCACCGAAGCATACCAGAAATATCCTGTCCAAACTCAACTTCCATGTCTCTCAGTTCGCTCTCAAGTATTTGGACGACTACAAGCTTCTCCCTACTGGTAAATTCACCAGGGTCGGGCTTACTACTGTACAGAGATTTGGTCACACGATCACAGAACTTTTCAATGCGCAGTCGAATGGCAAGTTCAGGGGGCAGATGATAATCAGCGTCCTTCAAGGAGCCAGGCTCAAGAGCCCAGTCGTACATTGTGCTAGGAGGTTGACCGTACCCAGTTGCAACGCTTTCATATAATTAGCCAAAGAAATTCTGTTTGTGCTGATTTGGCGGAGTACATACTTCTGAGCGACCATGTTGCAAATGATCCACGTATGTAAGCGATCCTTGAGTGCTTCACCTTGAGCAGCCATCTGGAATGTGGTAAACTCTTCCGCCTGAACTGGGCGGTGCAAGCCCAGCTGCATGGCAATCTGCATCATCAGACCACTTAGCATGAATGTAGCGTCGGTTCGCTGACTTGTTGTGGGGAGAGGCCATGTGCATAAAAGACATAGTGCTTTCACTACTCGATAATCCTGAGGGACATTGGTGATGGTTGACCATAATAGACGGCTGAATGGTCCTGACAATGCACTCAACAGACCTGGATCAGATGGCGATCGTCGACTAGCCACACAGACAATAGTCCATGCTAGCAAAGGACAACGACCAAGATAGACTTCAGGCGGCTTTGGCAAATTAAGAAGCGGAAGAAATGGTTGATAATATTTGAAGTATCTTGGCAGAAAAGTTAGCTTGATATCACAGCACATCCATAGGATACATACTGTTCAAACAGTCGCGCAACGCGAGCTCTTGACAGGGTAACATCTTCGAGTCTCCATGGTGTGTTTTCGTCCTGTGAAAGGATGGAGCCAGATCTCTGCATCGTGAGAGGCGTTGACATCGAAGGGTGAGTCTCTATTGGAACGGATACCGGGCGTGACCGATCCATAGCAGAAGATTCGCGTCGGCGGAAACCTTCTTCTGAAGCTTGTGACATCTCATCGCCCGTATGGTGTTCACCAGCCTGCTCATGTTCAGTATTAGGTTTAAGCTGGCGACGAAGATCTGCGATTTCCTTCTCCATTTCCGCATTGCGTCTAGGTATTGTTCAGTAAAATTCCTAGTTGAGGAGGTCAGACGACAACTTACCTTCGCTTGGAGATGCGTTTAAAGGATTGTTCAACTTTGCAATCAATCCCGAGCCTGCGGCAGCGTGAGCATGCCGCAGCAGGAGTTTGCACGATGTCACATCGTAGCTGTTTATGGTCGCAACGGCGTCAGTATGATACCAGCGCGGTGTCTTGTACAGGAAACGATGTGGGCACGTCTTTTTAGGCGAGTGGAACGGGGGGTCCGGAGAATGGACATGTGGCTCACCTTCTGTTGTTTACACTCATTACAGGCCTTTCGGCTTCCACCTCGGCGCTTGCCCGTGACAGGCGGGGTCTTCTCCATCTCGCCTGATTCCGGGCTTCTCTGCATGAAATTAACGGCCGGGGTCGGGCGGGGAAGACTGGGGGACCGAAAGTCGCCTTGGGGAATCAAAGGTAGCCCATTCGGGGCCAGCAAATTCCGATAGTCTAAGTCCATTAGGATCGGCCTTCGTTCGCCCGATATAAAACCCCATCGAACGTGAGCTGTTTGCTCGTGATGTCTATCTGCCGGAAATCGGAGAAATCAACGCAGGTGAGGAGACTTTGAAAGGGGGCAACACCCAAGGATTCGTCGTGGTGGGGCCGCTTTCTGGTTGATGATTGATGGAATCAACGGAGCGGCAGTCGGCAGTTAATGCTGAGTCATCACGGAGCGTGAGATGTAGCCCAAGATCTCAGGCAGAAAGGCAACAGGGCAACAAGGCAGAAAGGTCAGTTTTCCCAAAGCTACATTATCGATGTGCTCCTACAAAGTAACATGTCTGATCTTCCTTTGAACATGCAGGTATTTCCAATATCCTGTTTGCATGTACTGCACATATGCTGCAAAAACAGATCGCTTTACATGGCTTTCCCACTCCTCATGTCCCAGCTTTCAAGTTCATACGCATGATGTGCCAAGTGTACAGCGTACTGGTTTTTGCTTTATAGTGAGGCTATTATTACTCGCTATGGATCAAACATCCCTGATCGCCTTGCTGTAGCCAATGATCGGACAAAGGGCGGCCATGCTGGCATGATCGAGTGGATCGAGTGGATCAATCCTGAAAAATGAGGGGAAATCAAGGGATCCGCACATATGATACGCCCTGAGACTGTTGCGACCGGAATACAGGATTTGGCCCGCACCTGGGATCTTTTTTGTCTTTCCTCTCTTGTGAGAGAACGGACCGTTCTTCCCGGCAATTTTCTTCACACAATCGAAAATGGCTCGAGTGTTGGCGTTGCTTGCGCTCGCCCTTGGCGCAGGCGCTTATCAGCAACCGTTGTCATTCGACGAGGCCGAACAGCTCAGTAAGCTTCGCAGTGCGATCAAGAATGTCGTCGTGCTTGTACAAGAAAACCTCTCGTTTGACCACTTTGCTGGTGGTCTTACATACAATAGCAGCATCGATGGCTTAGTGAACCGAAAATACTGCAACCCAGCAAACGTATCTATACCCGACACCTCCCGCCAAGTTTGCGCAGCCAACACCGCACAGAATATCGCTGCAGATGATCCCAATCACAGCGTTTCCGGCATCAACATGCAACTTTTTGGATCATATCACCCTCCCGCGCTCGCTGAATCTTCCATGAATGGTTTTATCACCGAGCAACGAGTTTCCTACCGACTGGAACGCTTGGAGAAACAGCTGGAATTGGACAGACCCGGGAGACCTGCAAAAATACAACATGATGAAACACGAGGAATGTCACCAGAAATGATCGATATACTCGAGCGTGAACGTGCAGCTGAAGTCATCGATTATTTCACACCTGAGCATATCCCTGTTTTCAATGCGATCGCAGAAAATTATGTTCTCTTTGACCGGTGGTTCGCTGCCGTACCCGGGCCTACCAACCCCAACAGAGCATATCTCACATCGGGTACCTCTTTCGGGCATGGGAGAAACGATGAAGCATTCCTTCGATCAGAAATGCCACAACGATCAATTTTTCAACAACTATCGGAGAAGGGAATGAGCTGGACCAACTACGAGGAATCAACAAGGTCCAGTCCTGCATTTTTGCCCGATGCAATGTTTTACGAATGGACCGCAAAATCCATCACAAGCAAGACAAGCGTCAAACCTATTGAACAATTTTATCAAGATGCCGCCAACGGTGAATTGCCGCAGTTCACCTGGATCAACCCCGAGTGCTGTCATTACACTTCAATGCACCCGCCTTCCCCCATCAATATGGGTGAGAACTACATCAAGAGCATATATGAAGCACTAAGGAATTCACCTCAGTGGAACGAGACACTGTTCATTTTGACGTGGGACGAACATGGTGGATTTGCGGATCATGTGTCCCCTCCGATGCAAGTGCCCGCCGGTGACAGCCTGACATACACCGAAAAAGCTGCTGACGGCGGCGACTACACATTTCACTTCGATCGTCTGGGTGTCCGTGTTCCTACAGTTCTCATATCTCCTTGGGTTGGAAAGGGTCTCATTCAAAACAAGCCGGATGGAGATAGTGACTTTACCCACACTTCCATTCTGAAAACCCTTTCTGAGCTTTGGGACTTGGACATCCTCACACCTCGGGTAGAATGGTCGCCTTCCTTCAAGCATTTGATTACAAGTGAATACCGGGATGATACACCGGAGTGGCTTCCCGAGGCAGCAGACTTTTAAAGACATGGTCATACTGGCGTCAAAGTATCATTATGCAAAATATTTATATATTAACTTCTATCAAAATAGGGGGTATTCAATATGGTATCTCAAAATCAAACAGTAAGGAGAACAAAGACCCGGTGTCCAGGATTAAACTTTTGGTGATTCGATAGTCAATTTGACTTGAGCGTGCAAGTCTCACTTGCGGCCGAAGCCAAAGAATCTCGATGCGCGGCTTTTTGCTGGCTTCGACTGCTGTGTGATAGCTGAGTTGCGCGTGTTCACGCGATCAATATCGAAGGGATTCGCTTCATATGTCTCGACACGCTCCAGCGACGAACGAGAGGACATCGACTCATTGTCCACTGACATCCTCGCTGGCTCTACAGCCTGTTTCTCTTCCAAGCTTGCATCCGCGATGACTTCGGTCTCCTTCGTCTCGCTCGTTTCGTGAGCCTTCCGGTTCAATGCACGCATGAAGTCATCTGCCTCAGCAGCGTACTTGCACTTGCGCCGGATGGCAGGTCCATAGCGGTAGAAAATGAATGGGAATGGGACACAGGCTAGTGAAAGGAAGGCGGGCACGCACGATGCCCAGTGGATTCCCAGATTATTGTACATGTATGTCGTGAAGAGAGGGAATCCGGCACCGAAGCATGATCGGATGATCGAATTGGCGGCAAGAACAGATGCGGCGTAGATCGTGTACGCATCGATGAGATAGTTCATGACTCCCAAGAAAACGAATACCATGCCGAAGCCGAAGGGCGCCGTGGCGATCACACAGACAATCCAGGGGATAGACGGGTAGTTTGTCCATGCAAACCAAAACAGGCCGATGGGAATAGCTATACCGCCGAGCATGGTTGGCGGTAGACGTGCCTCAGGGGGGCGAATCCGTTGTGTTTTTTGTGAATGCGGACGTAGCGTTTGTTGTCGTACATGTTCAGACCAACGGCAATCATCATTCCGATCATCACAGAGAGGAAGGGCAAGCTGCCAACTCCCTCACTCCACCCTCTGATCTCCTGGAAGACAATTGGGAAGGCATCGAAGAGCATATAGAGTGTGCCGTACACGATCGCCATGTAAAGAGAGAGCAAAAACACAATTGGCTCGGCGAATAGGAGAATCCATGGTCGTTTAAGAGCAGTGCCAAATGCATCCCGGGCAGAAACCTTCCCGCGATCAATATCCATTCTGCTGCGATAGACTTTTCCAGTCAATTTAGATAAGCTCTCCGCTCTCTTACGGAGCAAAACGGGGGCGTAAGTCTCTGGAACGATTAGACTTCCCAACATCCAAATCAGACCTGTGAAGACAGCCAAGAATCCCTGCACCCATCGCCAACCGGCATTTTCGCTCAAGAAACCTCCAATAACAGGTCCGAGGGTAGGTCCAAGGAATGGTGCTCCAGCAAAGAGACTCGTGGCCAATCCACGCTTCTCGGCAGGAAAGATATCAGCAATAACACCACCCGCGTTGGTGAAAGGAGATGAACCAAAGGAACCAGCAAAGAAACGGAGAATAATGAGAGAATATGCATTCTGAGCGCCTGCTGCGCCAGCGCAAAATGCAGAGAGTGCGAAGAAGGTGATCAGAAAGACGATCTGACGTCCAACAAGCTCACTCATGGGTGCCCAGAGCAGGGGGCCGACAGCAAATCCCAAGACGAACAAGCTCACTCCCAGAGTTGCGACTTCTTCGCCAACAAGCAAATCTGTAAGCACTTCATTAATTCCACCAGCATATGCCGAGGACGATAGTGAGACTGCGAGTGTAGCAAATGCCACCAAGATTGTATAAGTCCATTTTAGGCCGGAGGAAAATTCCATAGGATTGCGAGGATCATTGGGAATCCACTCGACAACATAGGGCGACTCTTCGGTCCCTGCGCCAGCGTAAGGATAGTCGATTACTTCGGGTGTGCAAACACCCTGGTCGGTCAAGATGCGCCAATAGGGGATGTGTTGTGGTCTTGGCGCTTCGGGAGAGCCTTTCTCCGCTGAAGACATGTTGCAAGGCGATCGATTGTTGAACTGGTGCAGCACTTACCAGAGTGCCGTCTGGTGGGGAGGTTCGTTCTTTTTAAATCAGTTTGCATGATCGAACAATCAGGCGCAAATCAGCCCATTGCCTGACCAATATTTTACAAATTTCACATACTGTATCAGCTGAACTGCATGGGTAAACAAATACACATCTTCATTTGCTAAATCAGGATATCGCGCCCCACTAGGTGGGGTGGGTATGCCGTATTTCCGAACCCATGATAACAATCGGTTGTAGTATCGGCAAGCCGATCGATCGGATCTCTGCGCAGGATGACTGCCGTGTGCCTCGGCGTTGGCAGACGTGTATGGTACAGATGTGTGACGGACCCACCTCGGGTTGATCTCTGGCCAGGTGCCGATGTACTCTATATTTTAAAAGATACCGACAGCCCTGGAAACTAAGTTGCAAATTCAAAATGGTTACGCGTACCCTCGATACTTGGCTGATGAGAATTCGCCCAAGCCTAACAGTGCTCTACCCATGTGGTCATATATTTAACGCCTGTCATTTTTAGCACGTGTTGCTGCCGTTATCTCAATGTCAACAAACCTGGGTATCTACAATTGTTTCATAAATGGGACTACAGATGATTTTTCAATAATGCCTGCCCAGCTATCTAGGCCTAATTAAGATATGTCACCAGACGTTCTGCGAATGGAAACATAATCAAAGTTCAAATATCATGACAACGGAATATATTACGTGGTGACAACACAGTGTAGATTCTACGCTAGCTAGGTCGGACGAATAAGTCGTGCTTGGCAAAACAGGAACGTGAAAAAGGGGGGAAGTGCAAAGGGGCCGATTTCCTGAGTGCGGTTGAAATCAAAAATATCCAGAGATGCTTGTCAAGATGAGCCGTCGCCCTATTCCACTCAATACTGCAACAAACTCGTTTGTCGGAATCGACGGAAGCCTGAACCCTTTGAAGCGCGTCTAAAAGGATGGTGGTAGGATGTTTCCAATTCTCCCCTATGATGACTTTTATATGGATCTCGATGGAATTTTCAATTGAGGAAAAGGGGAACATTGAAAATGGCTGATATTGGAACTAGTGGAATGAGTCTGCCCTGAAGTACAATAGTCATGTATGTATCCACAACCTCCGAACTCGGGTCAGACTTAACCTTGGAAGGGATAGTCCTCATGGTGGGCCTGCTCTAGCATGCTGGGAATAAAAGGTGTCAGAGCATGATTCCAAGGAATGATTGAAAACGCAAAGGGCCAATTTCTTCCCAATGCTCTGGATTCCAAGGTTTACCACTTTTCGCACAATTATGACAGTTGCTTGCTACTTGCTATAGAAGCAAAAAGCCGGCGATAGATACCGCCATAAAAAAACATAAATGACTCGATGGTTTCAACTGAGTAATCTGTGAAGCCATTCAAAATATATACAAGTCAATTGATATGAGCTTTGATGGTTACAATTTATCGGCAAGTCGTGCTACCGGACTTTTAAAACCCTTGGAACGTATCTATGGTAGGATCTTGTTATCGTAGCTCGAGTATTTTGATGGTTCTAAAGGCTTGTGTTCTAATCATATTTCCCAAAGTGGGTGGTGGCACTTATTTGCCACCTTCAAGGGCATTAAATATCTGCGTTGGTGATAAGGCAAATTTCGAAAGATCCATGGGCGGTTATATGTGTGACAGCGTGGCTAATTGTATTGGCGCGTAAGATGCTTGTTGCAGCCTAAAAAGGCTATCTTTGTTTAAGCGCGTTAGCATATCTTAACCGTGGTGGGGTGGAATACACATGGAAGCTCCACTAAGTTCTAAGTCAGCCTTAGTGTCAAAATGAAAAGTAAAATCTAACTTTTTCTCGCGATGACACGTCCTCGGAGGCAACGTTCCGAGCTCACGTGACTCGACATGAGCTTGTTCTCACCCTCATTGTCTTGATTATTAGACTTCAAACTCTTGTGATTTCCAGAGTTAAAAGTTCAATTCCATTTCCAACCTTAATTCAAGAGCTCTGGCAAGTAGTATTTCAGGATCCTCGACGTGGATCGTGTTGTCTTGCCTTTCCGGTCCAGTTTACCTAATAAAATTCGTCTCCGCGTGTTGAATATGTGGGTCGCCTGGCAGTTGACCCACTCTATTCAGGCGAAAGCGGAAATTCTCCATATGCTGTACGGGAAAAAAAAAATTTCGCGAGCTTCCTTCCGTGATATATTCTGATCGCTTTTGGACATCAATTCCAGCTCCTTTTGGCTTGCCTGACCACATATACCCAGGTCGCTGTGGTCCAAGATGCCTCCTAGGAATGTCACCTCAGTGGCGCCAGCCAGAAACTCGTCGACTTCTTACGTCTCTGGCATTGATTTCGGCACGGAGCAAAAGGTGTCTCAGGACATTAAGGTAGCCGATGCCGAGCAAAATGATGGCGAGGCATCGGAGCCAGGGCAGCTGAAGCGCCGCCTTAAGAGCCGACACTTGCAAATGATCGCTATTGGTATGTCTTTCTACTATTGACTCCGTCAAGTTTCCCGCGACTAACAATGATATATAGGTGGAACTATCGGAACTGGTACGCACTGTTTGAGCATATCCAATCGACAATGGTTTACTAAGTCTATTAGGTCTCTTCATCTCAAGTGGTACTGCCCTCGCGGAGTCCGGTCCCGCCGGTGCGCTGATCGCATATATCTTCATTGGTACCGTCGTCTTCTCTGTTATGGTCTCCCTCGGTGAGGTCGCGACTTTCATTCCCATCACCGGTGCCTTCACGTCCTACGCCGCACGATTGATCGACCCCAGTCTCGGTTTCTCCATGGGTTGGATCTATTGGTTCAACTGGGCCTCCACCTTCGCAGTCGAACTTACAGCCACCGGAACGATTATACAATATTGGCGAGATGATCTGAACATTGCGATCTTCATCGGAGTCTTCTGGGTCTTGATCACGGCTTTGAACTTCATGCCAGTCGGATTCTATGGCGAAATCGAGTTTTGGTTCTCTACGATCAAGGTTGTGACGGTCATCGGCTTCATGATCTTTGCGATTTGCGTTGATTGTGGTGTCGGCAAACAAGGCTACCTCGGCTTCCACTACTGGAAAGAACCCGGTGCTTTTGCGACTCACCTTGTTGAGAACCCACCATCGGTGGGTAAGTTCGTCGGTTTCTGGGCTGTGCTTATTCAGGCTGGTTTCTCGTATCAGGGAACTGAACTGGTCGGTATCGCCGCTGGAGAAACTGAGAACCCCCAGAAGACAGTGCCCTCGGCCATTCGCAAGACCTTCGTCCGCATTGGTCTTTTCTTCGTCTTGACCATCTTCTTTATTGGTTTGGTTGTGCCCTACACCAATGACCGGCTCACAACAGGCACAAGCAACGGCTCTTCCTCGCCCATGGTTATCGCAGCTGATCTTGCTGGTATTGCCGTGCTGCCAAGTCTGATCAATGCCGTTCTGTTGACTGTGGTTTTGTCGGCTGCCAACTCCAACGTGTACAGCGGTAGCCGTGTGTTAACCGGTTTGGCTCTTGAGGGCTTTGCGCCCAGATTCTTTGCGCGCGTCACTAAGAAGGGTGTCCCCTACTACAGTGTGGCATTCACTGCTGCGTTTGGTCTCCTTGCCTTCATGAATGTATCCAACAATGCAGGAACCGTTTTCAACTGGCTAGTCAACCTCTCCAGTGTTGCTGGGTTCATCACTTGGTCCTGTATCAACGCATGCCACATTGCCTTCATGCGTGCGCTTAAGGCCCGGGGAATTTCCCGTGACGATCTTCCTTACAAGGCTATCGGCCAGCCGTGGTTGGCTTGGTATGGTCTTTTCTTCAATATCTTGATTGCCATCACCCAGGGATTCACCTCATTCATCCCCACCTTCGATGTTCAGGACTTTTTTATCGCCTATATCTGTGTGATTATCTTTGTGTTGCTTTGGGTTGGACATAAATTGTGGACACGCTCACACTTCATCTCCCCTGCCGAGGCCGATCTTGATACTGGCCGAGTCGAGTTCCAGAAGGAGACAGAGATACCTCAGCCATGGTACTGGCGTGTGTGGGGTTGGGTCACCAAGTAAATAAAATAGTGGAGCGGTTTCATGTTGTGAGCATGCATTGTTATTATGTAACGCGGTCATTGATTTTATAGATTTGAAATGCATAATGTATTTACCATCAGTATTAACATGATACCTTATTCCTGGTCCCAGTCGTAAGCCCATCCTTTTGTTTGGAATTCAACGGCTTATACCCAGTTGAATTGCCGTGCTGCGATCGAGACGCCGCCTATCAGCGCTGTGGCTCCTGTACAAACAACAAGTGTGCCATACCCACTCCCATACACACCATATGCAGAACCTTGCCAGTTATCTGCCTTGAGCAACGCTTCACTAAGCGGACCACTAACCAGATTACCGATTCCTCTTCCCAACTCCATGAATGGATATATGACGCTCACGTCGGCTGCCGGATTGGCCCGCCCAATTTCCTCTGCCACTCCAGCCCATGTCGCTGTATATCCGCCCGCTAGGAGCCCATATGCAACACAGAACACGTAAAGAACCGGGATGTTGATAGCAAATCCCCAAAGAAAAAACACCGCTAAAACCGTGCCAACGGTTGATATAAGGATACAGGTGGTGCAATGGTAGCGATCAGAGAGGAAACCCATAAACACGGAACTGAAGACCCAGGACAGATTGATCAGTGTGACAGTGAGGGAAGAAACAATCTCGCTTGCGCCTATGCTGCGGGCATATGTGGGAAGATATATGGTTGGCAGGAAGAAACCCAGTGCTTCGACGGTATTTCCAAGCTGGTATATGTTGTACACTCTGCTGTATAAAAATCTCAAGTTCAGTCTATCATAGCTGGGAGCCATGGGAGGTGACAGTCGAGGCTTGTGCCAATAAAGAAATGGTACAGCGAGAATAAATAATGTCACTGCAGAAACTCGTAGTGTTGTTTTAACTCCATATTCACCGAGAAGCCATTGTATAAGAGGAGGAAATATGACTCCAGAGACCCCTGATCCAGCCTGTGTATAAAATTAGCGACAATCTAAATAGATGAAGAGCAGCAAATTCCATTCTGGATTTTATTTCCATACCAAAGAAATCCCGAAGGCCAACCCTTTCCGTTTCACAAACCACTCTGACATGTACAAGATGGATGGTGTGTATGAAAAGCATGCACCGATTCCATAAGCAACCCCTTGAGCCAATATGAGTTGTGTGGTGTTAGAAGCGAAGGAGCTCAGTGCCAGGGAACCACAGACAATGAGAATGCCCATTGTTGAAACCCAACGGGCAAGCCGAGGAATCATAATCATCATCATAATCGTGAAGGGGGCAAGTAAATATGCAATTCCCTATCTCAATGTTAATTGAGTCACAAAACGCTTCGAAATGGAGAGGGAATTACCATAGCACATGTTCCAATAACTGCTATATTTTTAGATCCTTTGAATGGCTCGTGAACGCTATAATAGTCCTGAAAAACACCAAACGAAAAGGCATATCCTGGATTGAAGTTTTATTAAATTCGTTCCACTCATTGCTCGGCTCTTATTCATGTCTGAATAACTTACCCCATACCAATGCTTCCAGCATGGTAGCGGCCAAAAGAAAAAGCCATGCATGAACACCTCCGTCGACCTGAGGCAGATATTCTTCATTAAGACCACCTTTGACCCCGGATTTCTTGCATAGAGTACCAGGTGGATGTGCCTTGTAGCTGTCATTAGGCTTCCTGGTCGGATCGCCGTCTGAAATACCTGAACATAATGAAGACTCATTATCCTCGGAATGTGATAAAGACATGCTGGATTGGTGCAAGTTACGTGTTTTGGTGAGTCCAGCGGTTCTCTATATAGAAACTTACGACACAAGGGAGAATTAAATGGGCTTAAATCGGCTTAGTCAATGACGAGTCTGCCCAAGGCGTGTTCTTCCACTAGGGCTTTACAGAACCTGGGGAACATGCTTGGGGGTTGCCGCTTGGATATTATGGTGCCCTGGTGGAACCACATATTTTGCATTCTATCTCTGTAGCGCTGCATACTTGGTTTCACAATATTCCACAAAACTCTCCAATTGGCTCTTTCAGGACTGCATATATTGTAGTCCACATCAGCTCACTTGATACTCTGGCTTTTTTTTTTCGCGGGCTCTTACACTAGTCAAAGACACCGCGTTCACTTCGAGAGACAGGGGAAAGCGACATTTGAGCTTCTCCTTTCAAATGAAAGCAGCCCACAAGAGCTTTGTCCTATTTTGTAATCTTATTACCTGTTACAGGGACAAATCAAGGTTTCAGGAACCAAGGAGTGGGCGCTGGGCGCATGCCTAGGAACCAATTGAAGGCAATGGAATGTTGATCAATGCCAAACAAAACACCATCTATGGATCAATCCCACCATTAACTTCCTCAAACTCTCAAGATACAGTAGACAGCTAGATAAGACCCAAGGGGTACTTTTAGCCATTGACTCTTTTATCTGGTTTCTTTCGGGAGACTAACTAAAGATAATGCCTTTGCTCGGGGTGAGGACGCCTTCATGCTATCTACATATCGTCTTCGAATGTGATAAAGTCGGCAGTTTATGTTCATTAAATGTCAAAAGCGTCAATTACTCTGGAATTCCTATACGCGACCAATATTGGTGAGTAACAGTCCATATAAGTGCGCGAAGCATAATCCATTCTTCCTAACTCCATCTAATACAGAAAACAATCTAAGAACACGCTCATTCTAACACTGACCTCCAGGGTCTCACACTCATGAAATCAATAACCTCAATCCAAATCATTCCACCTTGGCTTATCGAGAAAAAAAACAAAGTTGTCGAGAAAGGAAATTTCATAAAAAAAAAAAAAGGAAATATGCCAAGACGGAAAATAAAAACCCGCTGTCAAACGTAGTGTGGCCGTGTCATGGTCATCAAACATAGGCACGAACGGGTCCCATCTCAAATTCTTCAACGCTTCTCATGGCCTCCTCTTTCTGGACTGCCTGATCCTTCTGCATCTTCTTCAGAATTTTCTGTTGTTTCTTCTCCGCACGACTGATTTTTTTGAACCTTGAACCCTCTCCTTGGAGTAAACGGCCGGGGTGAAGGAGGTTAACAGCCAAAAGGGCCAGCAGCATTGGTGAGGCATCGAAGACATACTCATATACCTCGTGAAGCAGAATAGGATTTGTGGATGAATAGCCCTGAGAGTATTGAACCAGACGGAAGATAATACGAATCTTTTGAGTTGTTAGCTCCATTGTAAATCCATATTAATATGCTGATAACTCACCGTAATCATTGTCAGTGCAAAGTAGATGGCATAAAAAAGCCATCGCCACGGGAATGGCCCGTTGGTCATCTTCTCTGAGCGGTACCCCATGCGCTCCATTGCGACCATGGTTAGGTGAAGTTGAATGGTCAACACGGTAAAACCAATGATGAATAGTTCCTGAAGTCCAATACCGCCCATGTAAATGTGGATTCCCAGCAATACCACATCCTTTTTAGCGTTCTTGCCAGTGGTGAAAGCTGCGCCAACCATCTGAACGAAGAAAGCGAAGATATCAAGACAGACAAAGATCACTCCGAATTTGCGTGCAGAGATGCCACGGAGCTTCTGGTCGGGGATGTAAAAGTTGATCATGCGACCAAGGGTCATGTAAAGGAAAGCGTTAATCCCTGTTCACATTAGCGATCAATCATTCGCAAATTCTGTCTAGAGATTTACTCACAAATTGGGGCTAGTAGGAAGAACATTGTGTACAAAGTGTTGATGAGGTTAGAAGATTGATTATGAGTTTGAATCGAGCGGAAGGCGAATGCAGTAAGCTCCCACAGACCACCTAAGATGATCACCACAGCATATTTCTATCCAAAAGTCAGATGCATTCAAATTTGACGTTTGAGATATCTCTTACTCTCTTATGAATGATAGCTTGGGCCATATGGACCGAAGTGCTTAATCCAAAAAGGACGCAAAAAAGAAGGGCAGCAGCCAAAGACGGAACATAGTAAAGAATCACATCGCATGCATCAGGGGGCAAATATCCATTCTTTCCGGCCTTCATGTTGATACATGTTGACGTGGATGTGGCTGAGGCCGTGGTGGTGGATGCCGTAAGGCTAGTCGTCGAAGTGGCCATAACTGTGAAGCGTTGAATTTTAGATTGTTGATGATGTTACGTGAATGGCATATCAGCTACTAGGTATATATACTGTCAATATCTGGGGTTTTCTGGGGGTTTCCTTCTCTAGTTAGCTCTATCATCTTACCTACCCACAAAGGTAGGTAGTAGGTGCGAAGGGTAGAAGGGACTCGCCCCAGGTTAGACTATTTCGGGACCGTCAGATCTAAAACGACGTGACCAATAATATCACAAGCCTATCGAGGGTTTCTATAAGTGGCGTGGCACCAGGCTTACTTCGGTATAAAGGCCGTTCCGGAGTTACAATGATTGGTCCCCTCGTTTATAGATCTTATATTGATCGTCTTGTGGAAACACAATGCGTTCTGTGATGTGATTCGTCATCATGTGCCAAGAGTTTGATTTTGCGTACATTTAGTTTCGTTTTACTATTTTACTGAATCGTTTGCTTCCAAATAGATATCAGTTAAACTAGGTGTTTCGGAATTACTATTCGCCCCCAGGGCCCGCCCAAACCCAATCCATATCAAATAAGAAACAGTGAAAGTTGCGTGCATTCTGGAATTGGGGTCCAATAAATTCAGACCCCATATCTCGAAGCCACTGCACTTTACCTATTAAAGCTTGGTGCAGTTGGCAAAGTCTTAGCGTTTCCTTTTCGAGCATAGCTGTCTCCATCGATCGACTTCCTTTCCGGCTTGCCATCCGCCCCGGGGGCAGGTTAAAAGGTGAGAACATCAGGGATTTTGATCCTTGAAGATCCCAACCCAATTTCAAAAACATAATTCCTCCTACCTGGTGTTCCTTGGTGTGGCTATTTTAATCCACAGGCTTGGATTATTCGAATATTCCTTGATTGATACGGAATGTGTGTAGCTCTTTGCAGGCACGAACATCTTCTATTCACACTGATTATACTCAAAAATGGAACGGTATTGCCTTGGCTGCTGAAAACCCCCATTATCTTGTGCTGGGGAAATTGTCATTGATGTGGGCAAGTTGCTCATACAAGGCTGCTGCCTGGATGATCAAAGGTGCACTAATCCATGTCAAGAACTTCACGATCAAGTGGGTTATCGCCAATCATATTAGGGTTAATAAGTTATGGGGACATGAATATATGGTAATGCAAGAATGTATGTATTTGAAGACAGTGTGGTACATTCATGCCAAAGAAGACAAATTCAAGAAGTCTCGACGAATACACCACTCTTCAACTATCCCAGCGTACACGTGCGGCTCATATACCCCGATAAGCTCTTTCATTCGGCCTCCACCCAACCGGTATTGGTTCAGGCCCAGGTCTCGCATGAGCCTGTCATTGTACTGTTACCGTGGTTTATTAGTCTCGTACCAGAAGGAAACGAAGAAATGGCTTACATCGATGGCATCAACCTCCAACCCACTTCCAGTTAGTGATCCAAGGACACAGTTTTCAGAAATTTCTTGGTTCATGATCTCTTTAGGTAAACTTGGCAGGTAAAGCGATTCAGACGGGCAGGATGCATTGCAAGTGAAAGACTTGTCAAATCCTCCAGTTAGAAATGCGGCAGCCCACAGTGCCTGCACCTCAGCGATGACGGCAATCGTGGAACCGGTAACAACTCCGAGTGTTGCAAAAGAACGATCTCCCTTGGCAACTAACTCTGGAGCAACCATGCGACGAAACAGGCGATACGGAATAGATTTATTTGCCCCGCTCCAAAATGTATCGGATTCCTCCAGCAGGACGCATCCACTAGCGAGCAGCCTTTGCTTTATCACTGGCTCGAGCGCTGAGTCAAGGGCTTTCCAGTGTTGACACTGTTCTTCTGTTGTTGAATCATGAGGAACCTCAGTCACACTCTGGAAATGGTCGCTCTCATCTACATAACCTTCCTGGGGCCTGGAATCAACGATCCCGGACAAACCAAGAGTGAGCCGAAGGCTTGGTGGTGTGGTTTTGATTGGGACTATTGGCTTATACCCAGTGGCATATAGAACAAGATCAACGTCATCAATGTTTTCCCCATTCGTCATTGAGACTGTAATACCCTGTTGTGCCGATCCATGACTGTCGGAAGATGGTTCTGAGATTGACTGAATAGTCGACCGGTAAACCTTCACATTCGGTGACCTGATTGTGTCCCACAGGTCACGTTGGTTGGCAATACCAACACTAGCACCACAAGAGATAATACTATAAAATGTAAATAATCGGAAATCACAAATTCGAAGCATCGCTTACCTTTTGTTTGGTCGAAGGAGCTGCATTTTTGAGTCTGCATCATATCGTGCGAACTCCTCCATGCTCCGATCTATTGACTTCCACAGCCAACGCACCAACCATCTCCCAAAGGGATTCCCATGGAAAAGACGAGCTAACCATGAGCCGTCACCATTGATGCTCCATTTCTGTATGGAGAGGCGCTTGGGTGCCTCGTAAGAGCATGGGCTCAAATAGTGAATGAACCTCGTACTTACTGCCTTGTCACTGGCAACAACATCCCCATTTGGAAGTGAAGATGTTGGCGGAACCATCCAGGCCGGACCCGGGCTACTCTCTCGAATAATCCAATGCACCTCCATGTGATCTTCTGGTGTAGTTTCCAAATGCAATGAAGGATCTTTCCTATGGAGTGTGGCAAAGAAATGAACTAGGTCAAAAGAGGACTTTGCTCCCCCGTAGACAATGACAGACTGTACCTTAGAAGCAGCAGATTTCCACGGCTGTGTACTTTTCACAGCTTCGACGGCCCCAGGGATAGGGTGATATCCCAGGTTCGTGCGAGACCAGCCCCCGATCTCCTTGGCGTGCATGACATGCGTGGAATCCTTCCTGGGGCTCTGAAATCCATCCATTTCTGGTAAGTTCGGGACTGAAGTTAGACCGGTTGCCAGAATTAATTTGTCGCATATTATTTTGATGGTTTTGTCATGACCATTCTGGTTCTGGTCCGCAATAGCAACATTGAGGTTCCATTGCTTGGTTCCCAGGCGACTGATGTCATTGACCTGATACCAGTTAGCTTAGGGTATATCAACATGATTTAGTGAAACCGACCTTCGATTTTAACTTGATGTGTTTTTGGAGACCCCATTTCGCGACCCATGCATGTAGATAACGATTAATCTTCCACCCAGGTATAAACTGCGAGTCCCCTTCGCGTTGCTCACTGGGGACAGTATCGGCGAGTGACAAATCGCTGAACTCATACAAACCGTACGAGTTTTGGCTAAGCAAGTTTGGATAGAGACGTTCCTCTGCCCAGGTACCTCCAATATCTGAGCTCGCGTCGAGCACGAGCAAGTGACACCCTTCCGCATGCTTCACTTCATGACCCTCGTGCGCAAAGCACGATGGAATGGTCTCCAGCTCAGCAGTGGAGTCAGTTTTCCCTTCACCAGAATAAACACCCTTGACTTGTAAGTATGTCTTCGCAGCAACAAGGCCGTAAAGACCTAGGAAGATTAGTCCTGGGACTCTTGTTTTGATGGGGGCCACGAACCTGCTCCCACAATTACCACTCGCTCCATGTATCACTGTCGGGGAAGAATGATGTAAACAAAGTATTCGAAACCTTGAAAGGGGAAGCCCGAAATCCTCTGGCAGATGCTTTGACTGACAGATGCTTTCGCGAGGGAAATCTCCAAAGGTTCAAAATGATTCGATTCCCGTGAAAACAATGAATGGTCTTGATATTGTTCAGGTGGGGCCGCAACAACAATCAAAATCAAACTATCAACGGATCTAACCTCTGGGGAAGGCGGATTCATACATTTGGCTTTCGGAAGGAACGATCAATTTGTCTTAGGAGGTCGCGATGCAGTTGACTGTAAACGCGCTTTTTTCGAATTCCAAGCCCTCTTTTGTTTTATTCCTTGGTTCTTCTCCTCGTTCTGTTGTACGAAAAAAGAGGGCCATACAAGGGAAGAATTACCTGTTTGCCAATGACTTAAGATTCGAGTCTGGTCTTTGAGAAGAAGATTGTTTGGTTGGTATAGTCCATACCTATCTTGGAAAAATATGTATGTATACTAATTTCAGCGAACTCGGGGATCGTTATCAGTCCCCCTATGGGTTGAATATATATCTTGAAGTTTGACCTGGAGCTTTGAATACCACCTCAGCGAACCTTACCAAAAGTATCGTTGTACTTGTGGACAGGAATTGAATGTTGCCTTTAATTAGCTACTACAGCAGCCCTATGAGGCCTACAATTGTCGAGTACTGCAACCTTGGAAGGCCAGGTCAATCAGATCAACCTTGGAACTTGGAGCTGATCCGATGAGCGCTTAGACTTACCGGATCGAGCGTGCTTCCAGCAATCAACTTGAACAACACCACTTCTATACTCATATGTAATATTGAAAATAGTGCCATCATAACAGGCTGGTATCAAATTGTAGAGATAACACATGAGCATTCATTATAAATTCTATCTATTTTCAAAGATGGCAGGCCATCGTCGTCGAAGGAAGTTGGTGATTTCGGTATGGATGCAGCACTAGAAGGGACGCTTCGCATGGCAGTAAATGGATTCAACAGGCACCGGATCGGAGTGCGAGTGGTCACCAGGAGGGAGCAATGCGTTTCGGCCTGTGCAGGCTGGGCCACTGTGAAGATTGAGTCAACATGTGTCCGTGAATGGGCGTGGGCATGGACAACTTACGTGAAAACGCGGCAATACTTCTTGATGGAGACAGTAAGAACCTCTCTGTGATGGAATTAGAACATGAACATCGGTTTCGGTAAGCACAACTTACTCTTGCTCGACTTCGTGGCAATCCTCCAATGGCACGTCGATGCCCTTGCTACTGTCCATGGTTTCAATGCCAACCTATGAGCTATGTTAGCACTCCGAAAGATGCATTTCAGCCATATGATGGGTACAAACCATTGTGCGTGTTGTATCCTTGGTCGCAGAGACCGATAGGAGCATGAAGCTCAGCAGAGCCAGTTGCTTAAGTCCGTACATTTTGGAAGCGTCGGCTCGAATGTCAACAGAGCTTGGATTGCTTGAGAATACGTAGAGGAGATGCAGACATCCGTGGCAGAAATTCCATTTTAAAAATATCTCCCTTGCTTTCAGCAAAGAACAGGGGGAGATTCCTTCATAGGTTCGAGGGATCGGAATGTATGACGAACTTTGACCCTTGAAATACCCTTGGCTTGTTTACTGGTGCTTGGGATGCCGATCACCGGCCTTCCCCACAGTTTCTCACTTCCTCCCCTTCAACAACCATGCACCCTCATTCCAAACGACGCCGCCTCGCCAATGACATTCAATTTCCAACTGCGCTACATGAAGGTCCTTCCAGCCTGTCGTCTCCACAATATGCACATACCATGAACACCGACTGGTCATCCAAACCGCAACAGGGCCATGCTCCTGCATATACACCCTCCGATTCCACTGACGGCCATACTTTCGCCTCCCCACTTGGCAACACCAGTTGGGGCCATGACGGATTTTCACACGATCCGGGGTTCCTTGCCTCGCAGGAAGAACTGCGATGTATGCTTTTCACGATCGCCCAGTCCGCCGCACCAACGCGGGCACCGAGTCCGGATGAACACGAGCAGGACACCGAGGAGCCACAGGGCGGGGATCTGCATATGCGACCGGTGGTTTCGAATGCCCGTCGAGTCCAGTACTTGAAAAACTATGTGGGACAGGTTGCGCCATGGGTCAGTGTACTCTGCGGGCTGTGATCTGGATGCGACCGTGAGAGAGATGGCTGATGGATTTACAATGCAGCTCGACATGTTCGACTCACAGTGCACATTTCGCGTGCAGATTCCGGCCCTCGCTCGCACATTTCCCGCACTTCTAAATGCCATTCTCGCCATATCCGCTCGGCAAATGGAAAGGAAGGAAGGGACCCGGGACTCATTCGATAGCCTCGAGCTGTACCAGGAGGCTATTCGTCTACTCAGTCCGCTACTGGAATCGCGGGATCCCCAGGTCGTAGCAGCATGTGTGTTGCTGTGCTGTCTTGAGATGATGTCTGCTCGCGCGCAGGATTGGCGCAAACATTTGGAAGGCTGCACCGCACTGTTCGAGGCCTTTGAAATACACGGCTTCAGCAGTGGAATATTGCAGGCGGTATTCTGGTGCTATGTTCGAATGGGTGAGCAATATAATCAGTGGTTTGGTTGGGACTTTATCTAACAAGTATAGATTTATGTGGTGCCCTGATCTCTGATGGTACGGAAAGTACGCTCCTCCGCCCCAGCAAGTGGCTTGCGCCAGATTGCTATGAGGAAGATGCTGTCCGTTTATTCCAAGCTGCTCGATCCCCGGATATGCACGCCAACTATGCCGTCTACCTTTGTGCGAAAACTTGCGAGCTAGTCTCTGACCGGACCCAATTTGTGGAATTGGGTGTTCAGAATGATTGTAGTGGTGATACTTTTCATCGCCGCTGGCTTAGCATTTGGGAAGACCTGCAGCAATGGATTGAGAATCGACCTCCAGAGCTGCTACCGGTGCACACCATCCCCACCAAGCCGTTTCCTCATATCCTTTTTCTGCACTGGGCAGCCATTTCCTCCAACCAGCTTTACCATACTGCATGCATTCTTCTCTTGAACACAATGGTCAAGAGCATCAAGCTGCGACCAGCGCCAGCTGTCTCTGCGCTATGGCATGCCCGTCGTATCTGCGGGATATCCCTCGCAAACCCTCACCAAGGATGTTTGAACAACGCCATTCAGCCGCTATGGATTGCTGGTCGTCTGTTCAGTCATGTCTCAGAGCATACGATAATAATTGATATCATCCGTAGGATAGAGGCAGAGACGGGCTGGGGTGCCTGTTGGCGCATTCGCGACCTCGAGCTAGCTTGGGGATACCAAATTCCCCGTCGACGTCGGACATCCACCCGAAACGACGGATGAAGGTCTGGATCAGTGGCTTCCTGGACCTTTTTATGGCTCAAGAAACCCCCAGCTCTCCTCTAGATCATGTAACAAGTCTCCGACATCCCATCCAGTGATCTCCCGAATGCTAGACAATCCACGAATGATCTCTTGCTGCTGGGTCTCGTGTGTCATGCGCCGAGCTGCTGTCAGGAACGATGCCAGCAGACATGGATCCCAGCATTCACGCCTCTCGTTGTGCAAAGCAATACTGCATATCCTCTGGGCATGCCACAATGGAGACATTGTCGCGGAACGGAAGTCTGTAATACGCGCTGTGCGCGGCCGGCTATGTAACAATAGCAGCATGGCAGTATGGTAAAGCTGATTGCTAAATAATCCTGCCCCATTAGCAAAAAGGACCACAGGGAAACCTTTTACCGAGTCGATTTCTTTATCCATCTCAAGTTCGAGCATGGGCTGGAATCCTTGCGGTCGTCCATGGTACCAATTGTCAAGCTCTTCCGCCAGTTGCATCCACGTCTGAAGTGGCAGGTTTTGCGGTGATGGGTCTTCGTTATGCATAAATTCTACCGCCCGTGCACAGAGCCACAGAGGATGGTTCGCGTAGCAGAAGGTAAAGGCAATCGGATCTACTCTGGAATCTGCGCCTTCGAAGTGTGGAGATGAAGGAGCAAGGGGAATTTGAAGATTGGTGTCGGTGGCTAAAGCCGCTCCAAGATCTGCAACCGGTGAGTTGTCAGTGCTATCCTCCTTTGTAAAAGGTAATGAGATGTTGCACGTACCGAATCTCACGAACAGCCAGTAGATTGCAGAGTTGAAGTCTCTGCCAGCAGTAAGTGGACTGAGGGCTTCGAGGAGCTCTCTATCAACGCCCCTTTGCAAGGACCAAGCGCTAGGGGTGTCCAGGATGAAATTTTTTGTCGCATCCAGTGCGCGCAAGAATGCGATGCTAGTGATGTTCATCTCTGGATCTGGGGCTTGTGGGTTCCTGTCGATCATGTTCGTTGACTGTTGTATATTCAACGATGCCCCAGAGATTGATAAAACTGAGTCCCACACCTGGGGTGAGACCATTGCTAGTTGTAAACCTTGGATGCCGAATGACTGTCCAAGGTCACATATATCTAACTAATAATAATAAGCCTCTGGATTGCTTTTCTGTCTGATCAGAACTTACCCATGGTGCCACATCATATCTGTAATGACGAAGTAGTCCTAGTGTTTCCGTTGGAGATATATTTGGTCCTGAGTGTTGAACATGAGCCATTGTACCCGGAGAGGACACTGTACCAATATCGGGCAGCTTTGAAGGAGTGGTCGCGTAGTTCAGCTGAGATTCTCTCGCAACTGTTGACATTGTAAAGTCCGAGAGACTCATAATGGGCTCCATGATATCAGTCCTACTCGATCCTAATGCCAGCAATCCAGCCACTGCAGATTCATCTTTATCACTAAGCACCCCGTTCGTGGATTGCGAAGGTCCTTTAAACGGCCATGCTGACAGCTCGGCGTCAGGAGCAGTCTGTGCCTCTGGAGATGGACTCGAATTCGCAGGTTCGAGAAAGACTTGGTCCGATTCACTGCCTACCGGCAATGATACCTCCTCGGTAATATTAGGCTCATCGCCTCCCTTCTCGGGTTCCTCATGAACGAACTAACGCTGGGTCAGCGGTGTCCTTCTACGTTCGTATCCCCGACCTACCCGAATGGCCTCATATCGAGTAGATGGAGTCTCCACTTCCGATGACTGAACAGTTTGCGCGTTCTTTGTCAGAAATGTCAATTGAGGTCCATATTGGCATTGGAAGTTTCGATCAATGCAATTCCGACACCGGGGTTTACCCTCGTCGCCTGTGTCCTGCATGAGTATGCATATACCTCTTATCTGAATTGAAATATATTGTTTCACCACTTACATTTCCTTCGACGAACGCGACAGCGCGTACATCCTGTTCGGCACCGGGTCAGCCGCCGGGCGCTCTGTTTGTTTTCCGACATGACAGTGATGATGCCCAGGTGGAAAGTGCATGCGCTCAAACGAAAGAGGAAGGCCTAAGCACCGTCACGTGGAGTATCCCGAGGTTTGAATCTGGACAGGGCATAATGAGAATACTTCATATGTCAATTTATTTGAATTTTGTCATATATCACCGCCCGGATGGTCTAGTGGTATGATTCGCGCTTCGGGAAAGTCCCAGATTATGGAATAGTCTATTGTGCGAGGTCCCGGGTTCAAATCCCGGTTCGGGCCCATCTATCAAATGATTTCTTTTTTGTTTTTATTGTTGTTCTTCTAACTTTTGAACTCATTCCAAAAGGTTAACAAACGAATAAACTCGAATTTGACATTTTAACATTGCCTACTTACTCATACGTATGACCAACCCTTTGCAAGTTTGCCCCCAATCTTAGAATCTGGCTCACGCCCCTCGTTGCACCGAAGCAAAATACCCTGTATGGCCTCTTGTGCTTTGCCAATGATGTCCATCTCTTTTTCTCTTCCTCCATTCGCCATTTTCCCGTCTTCAACCAGAATTGCACCGTTGACTACGGTCATATCGACATCGCGACCGGTACAGCCATGGACAACACTTGTAACAACGCTAACCGCGTGATTTTGGAACTCGCCAGTCCAAGGTGCAGCTCCAACACCTCCCCGGCCATATGGGTCGAGCACCACAAAATCTGCCTTTTTGTGTTCTTCAAGGCTACCGATCTCCGCATCCAGTCCTAGAGCTTTGGCTCCGTTGATTGTCGCCATCTCAAGTGCAGTCTCCGCGGGAATCAAACCTGCGTCATGATTTACTCCTTTGTGGAGTATGCCAGCCAAGTGCATCTCCTGGAACATGTCATAATGATTCGAACAGGGAGCTCCGTCTGTTCCCAAAGAAACGTTGACAGGGGGATCATGTGCTAGCATGGCTGGAACTGGCGCTACCCCGGAGGCTAGCTTCAGATTCGATGTCGGGTTATGAGCCACAGAAGTCCCCGTGCTGGCGAGTAATGGAATGTCAATTTCCTCGTCAAGGTTCACCATATGTGCGAGCACAAGATTATGCGTCCCTTTCTCTTTAGAGTCTTCTTTGTGCGCGGCACAGAGCTTTGCATCCTGGATAAACTCCATAGCGCTGCAATTATAAGAATTGTGATAGATGTCGCGGTCCCTTGGAGCTTCAGCACAATGCATAGTTGCCGATATACCGTATACAGCACAGGTTTCTCCTAGTTCAAGATACTGAGAAATCGGTGCTCCACGAGGGGTACCTGCTGCGGCCCAGACATGAGTCCTGCCATCGTGACTACCGTGGTATGTCTGATGCGCTTTGACAAGCTCAGGGATTGACATGGCAAGCAGGTCACGGTCTCTTGGATCCGAAATCGATAATTGGCGATTGGTTTCCGTGAACTTCACTAATTTGCCCTGTGGGAAAATTTAGCAATAAATAATTGACAAACAGGCACAGATACCCTCTAACATACTAGGCAGCCCCGAATCCCCATTTCTCCCATGGTGTTGCAAATTTGATCAAACCCAGCGCGATACGTCAACATCGGATCAAGGAAGCAGGTCGTTCCTGTCTTTAACATTTCCATTATAGTCAGGCTTGCAGCATTCACGCCATCCTCGCCCTCAAAAACAGCCTCCAATGGCCATATCGCATCGCACAGCCAGTTATGCAGCGGCAAATCTTCCGCCAAGCCCCGAAGGAGGGACTGAACCAGGTGAGCATGTGTGTTGATGAGCCCAGGAATGATTATTTTGCCTCGACAGTCAATCTCACGCGCTCCGTTGGGAAGTTCATCAGGATATGGGCATTTCCCAATTGCTGTAATTCGGTCGCGATCAACTCGAATATAACCGTTGCATATTATCTGGCGCTTTTGATTGACGGTAATTATAGTGGCGCCATAGAATAATTTGCAGTTCGCTGCAGAGACAACTTCGGTGAAAGCCATCATGAATTTGATTATTTGAAAAGGAGCTCGAAAAAGAACTGGCAAGTATGCGCAACGCTCCATTTTTGTTTCGTCCCACTTGAAATCCGGGGATTCGGGGACCCCAGAACCTCGGCCGACGCTAAGCAATCGTGCCCTTATCAACAACAGTGCACCGATAGGGGTAGTGTACGAGATACAACCCGCGACTTGAGATATGATACATTTTCAACAAATGGGACTATCGCTGATTATCTTCGTTGGTTCAAAGCAAGATGATATATATGTGCGAGTGTCAGGGTCCGTCTTTTAGATGGTTTACCTATGTGGCTACGCTCCACGTAATTGAACCCATCCAGGACAATGATCATGGATACCAGCCGGAGATCACCGGAGAAAGAAGACACGAATACACCAGTGGCAAGGTCTTTTGAAGGCGACAGACGGTCACACATCATTGAAATTACGCCGGTCGCCGAAACCCGATGGCAATATCTTCGCCGATACTTTACCACATGGGAGGGTTGGGTTGGCAACTATGTACCTGCACCTTAGTCCGCATCACTATTTGATTCAAGCTCATTAACTCCAATCTCCAAAGGACTATCTCTATCTTATTACCCCGAATATTTGGCCCTTGAACAAGCGGTACAAGGATTATGAAGCACCATTCTACGGGTTGAACGATGAAGTGCCGATCATCCTCACGATCATTCTGGGCCTACAACATGCTTTGACAATGATCGGATCCATTGTGTCGCCCCCTCTCGCCATTGCCAGTGGTGCCTTTTATCTCAATTCAGAGCAAAGCCAGTACCTCGTCTCAGCAGCCTTCATAACAACCGGCATTGCGACCGCTCTACAAGTCACCCGAGTCCATTTGGCCAAAACCCCCTTTTACATTGGAACCGGCTTGCTATCCGTGGTTGGTCCTACGTTTGATATTCTTGCAATTGCTTTTAGCTATGCGGACATGCGCTATGCGAATGGTACATGTCCAACATCATCAGATGGATCATACCTGCCATGCCCAGATGCCTGGGGTGCGATGCTGGGAACTATGCTATGCACCGTATGGATTCAGATCCTGCTATCATTTGTCCCCCCGAAAACCCTGAATCGTATCTTTCCGAAGATTGTCACTGGAACACTCCTGTTGCTAGTGGGAGTATACTTGATCTCGAGTGGCATGGAAAACTGGGGCGGAAGCTCGAATTGTGATGGTGGAACAGGTTATTACAGTCTTTGTCCTGATACTGGCGCTCCGAAATCCCTACCATGGTAAGAATTCCTCAATCTTCACAACTGACAAAAATGTTAATCCTATGATAGGGGAGACCCGAAGCTCATTGGGCTTGGCTTCAGTGTTTTCGTCACCATCATCGTCGTGGAGCTTTTTGGATCACCTCTAATGCGCTCTGCATCTGTCGTTTTTGGTCTCGCGATGGGATGCGCAATCTCCGGTGCCACAGGATACTGGTCCCGTGACAATATCGATGCGGCACCAGTGGCAACCTTTCTCTGGGTCCATACCTTCAAGCTATCAGTAGATGGCGCACTAGTTCTCCCTCTCCTGATCATGTTCATCTGCGAGGCTGTGAGCTGTATGCCAGATATTCTCGCTACTGCTGAAATTTCCGGTGTCGACATCGATGGGATTGAATTTAATAGCAGAATTCAAGGTGGAATCCTGTGTGATGGAATTGGCAGCTTGGTCAGTGCCTTGGGTACTGGGCTGCCAATGGTCAGCCAGGCAGGAAACAATGGTGTCATCTCTCTTACTGGATGTGCAGTATGTTTTCAAGTCATCCTTCGTATCATACTTTGCTAATGTTCCTTTTACACAGAGCCGCAGAGCAGGTTGGTGCGCTTCCGCTTTTCTAATTCTTATGGGTATATTTGGCAAGTTCGGTGCAGTCTTCGGCTCCATGCCTCCATCGGTGCTAGGTGGCATGCAAGTGTTCCTCTACAGTACTATTACCGTCGCTGGTATCAGAGTACTCAGCTTGGTGCCATTTACCAGGCGCAATCGTTTCATTCTCACGGCTGCATTAGGAATTGGCTTCATGGATATTGTTTCCCCGAGTTGGTTTGACAAGGTTCTGGATTATAGTGGACCAAATGTCAATTTGGAAGGATTTGAGGAAGGCATTAGCCTTATCGTGGAGACGCCATTCATTATTGCCGCTGTTGTTGGCGTGTTTCTGAACTTGATCTTGCCATATGATGTCAAACAGACTGATGGGCTTCGACAATCAGCACTTCCGTCTTAGTAATTGGTTACACAGTTTAATAGAATATTCGTCAAGCTCTTTTGAATTGTTGCTGTACACATCCTCGTCTGTAAAGAATACCATGATATTTAATTCTCCACATTTGAGAAGATCTATTGATCTTTGTTTAGGCGTGGATGATCTTGAGGCAGAATGGCCTCCGTACGATATGTTGATTACACCAAAAGAGTGATCCTGGGATATAAAGTGTGATCTTGAGCGAAATATGCCCAAAAGCGGACAGTGATCTTGTTATCATTCTACGCATGATTGGTTGCTTTACGCGAGAGAAGTGATCTTGAGACACCTTCACCATCCCCAGAAGGTATAAATACTCCCTCCTTCACTGCTTTCCTCCTTCTTCTTTCCTCCCTTCTTCATCACTCAACTTCCAACTTTGGACTTTCATCTTCCATCTTCCATGCATGCTTCATGCTTCCATCATGTCTTCATTTATTCACGTCTTCGACATGCATCCACTATGCATCCATCATTCCAATCAATTATGAAATTAGCCATATCGATCGATATCCATATTCCTCCTTGACACTGCTGTCATCACATTGATCACACTGAGTCAACTCTCACTCCCAACTTTCCTTAGCGATTTCCAAAGTATATTCACAATTGTGATTCCCTGTGTCTCCTCGCTGACTTTTGAGAATTTGCAAGACCTCTCAGATGACCCCCCAAGCAATTTGCTTCCACGCCGATCGAGCCTGCTGAACAGCCACTCCTCCTCCCTGAAGCTTCTTCTACATCTCAGCACACAATCCTCGAACTCGTCACATGGCTTCTCTCTTCTTCTCCCCGGCGGTCCACTGGCCTCTCCTCTCTGAACAGGCGCCAGTCAGCTACAATACACAGCCCACACATCACCAAGCCGAGTGTCAGGGAAGATTCAGTTAGGAAATTCGTATTCAGCTCGTCACAACAAACTTCAATCTCATTGTGGTGTGGAGGCACAAGCCACAGGTTTACAACATCAGGCATGCGGCGAAGAAGCACCGGCCAAGCATCATCTTGTTCAAGCCCTCTCTGAACAGGTGCCACGCATCTTCCCATTTATGTGTCAGGACAAATTCAGATTGGGCTCTGGCCAGGATAACCACGTCGCATTTCATGGAATCAGAAAACAACACCATCAAATCGAAAAAATACCATACAACAAGACACGGATTGAACTAGTCAAGAAGAAAAACAAATTCGATGCCGAATCAGAAACACAAAAAAAAAAAACCACGCGCACACACACATACACATACACATCTTCAAACACACCCACAACAAGAACATGAGCCAACAATTGACGTTCAAGGGAAAGGGCTGACTTGGTGGAATACAAAAAAAGAGAATTGTTGATATTGTCCGTTATGTTTATATTTCTTACTCATGTTGGGGACTTGAATTTGGAAAATGAAACTCAAGGATTGTTATTTGATACACTAAAGTTATCATTCTATGCAGTGGTCGTCAACATTACTCTGTCAGGACAATCAAACTACATGTACCACTTCCAATCTTCTCAAGTTTTTGTAATACTCTGCACAGTAGGTTAACACGGACCGTGATACGGACCGGGCGAAACTTGTAGAACGGGCCGCCAATGGCATGCTCCACTCTTCACGACCATGTGGGGACGGGATGCAATACGGACCGTAGGGGGATACCTTTGTCATCAATTGAAGATTGTTGGAGTTACTGAAAGGTATAAGAATCTGAGCGCCCCAGGCATTGTTGATACAGTTCATATTTCATTAAGAACACTATTTTCCCCATGGACAAGTCAGCACGCATTGTAATCGTCGGAGCCGGTGCTTTTGGTCTTGGCACCGCTCTCCGACTCAAGGAGGAAGGCTATACTTCGGTCACTGTGCTCGATCGCTCAATGCCCCCAGTTCCAGATGGTTCAAGCAACGATATTTCACGCATTATTCGCTTCGACTATGGTGATGCCGTATACGCCAGAATCGCGAAGGAAGCCTTTGACCTCTGGAAAACTCCAGAGTTCTCAGATGCATTCAACCAGACACCGTGTCTCTGGGTGTGTCAAGATGGTACTCCCGAACAACCAGTTCAACCACGGGCCCAGGAGTACAGCGCAAAGACAAAACGTGTTTTGACCGAAATGGGCCAGCCATGGCATGCTGTCAAGAGCGTGGAGGAGGCCAAAGTACTGTGGCCTAAATTCACTGGGAAGCTAGCAACTCCTGGCTTTGATGGATTCTACAACACATCTGCTGGCTGGGCTGATGCTGGAAAAGCTATCGGTCGCCTTGCATCTCGATGTGTTGCCGCTGGTGTATCATTTATCACTGGCCCGAGTGGTCAGGTCGAAGAATTCGAAAAGAACCACGATGGCACCATCAAGGCCGTCCGCACTGCCAACGGCAACAGAGTCGAAGGTGACCAGTTTATTGTGGCCACTGGTGCTTGGACTTCTAGTTTGGTTCCTGCCTGGAATTCAATGCTTGCAGCCGGACAAGTTGTCGGATACCTCAAGCTCACACCCGAGGAAGTTGCTGAGTTGAAGGATATCCCAATTTACTTCAACTTCTCTACTGGATTCTTCTGTTTTCCTCCCCATGACGGGACTGGCTATTTAAAGGTTGCAATTCACGGCTTTGGCTACACCCAGCGGTCGGCAAAGGCTGGTGTGTCTGCGCCCGGTGCATCTGCAGTTGCCTCGCGGGCCAACTTCGTTCCTGAGGATGGAATGAAGAGACTTCTGGCTGGTATGAAAGACATATTCCCTAATCTCGTCTCGAGGGGCTTTGAGCGTGTTGGTATTTGCTGGTACAACGATACCCCCACTGGCGATTTTATCTTCGACTTCCATCCCGAGCACAAGAACCTCTTCATCGCAACTGGTGGCAGTGGACAGTAAGTTGGCCCAGTCACTCAATTTCGCAGCAGTCATTAACATTCGTCTTATTTTAGTGCGTTCAAGTTTCTCCCAGTAATTGGAAAATACATTGTTGGAAGCTTTCAACAGAATCTTTCTCAAGACTTGCTCAAGAAGTGGAAGTTTCCAACCCAGTTCAAGGACGCATTTCTGGACGATGCTTTTGCGGGAGATGGAAGTCGTGGTGGACCAGAGAGAAGAGAGTTGACAAATAACGAACGAAGCACTTTCGATGTTGCGCTCCGTGCTTCTGCGCGTCAGAGCAAGATTTAATGAATTTCTATTTATCAGATACATACACTACGACTCTGGAGACCAATGACTGAGAAATAAGAATGAATTTTGGTACCACATTTCAGCGTCCACTAGGGTTCGAGAACCAGAATACCATTTTCTCTTAGGCCAGCCAACAAATGATGCCATGGATGGCTCAGCTGCACGAGAAATGTTGATTTCAAATTTTGTCCTTATTCCACTCCGACTACGTCTTGTGAGCACGAAATTAAAACTTTGTGACATCAGTTTAGTATTGATCGATCCATGCATTTTGCTAAATTTCTGTGTAATGATTTGAGACCCAGATGCCGAAAGAGCTGCAGCTAAGGTGAGATGAAAACTAACGATAGTACCACATGACAGGTCTTGAACTTACCTAGTTGCACGGAAGAAGGGGTGAGAAGCAGATGCGGGGTGCACCCATCCAGTCGATAATTGAATATAGATAGATAATTCTTAGGAAGACTGAGATGCCTTGAAGGACAAACAAGCATATACTCGTTGATATAGATACAATCTTCGGTATTGATCTGCCACTACTTCCCTGATAACGATATTGTAGCCAATAAAGTCAGGCGTTGTCTCTGCGTGTGCGCTCAAAGGATTCGGGCGGGTCCAGTGGAAGGTCATGCCTGATCGGGCCTCCCCCCCCCAAAGCTCCTTCCCCATCGGCGATCACTCTCCGCTTCCGCCGGCGCCCGGTGCGGTGGACCGCAAACCCCTGCAAGATGTGATACGTGTTCATCCCGTGAGCACCTGCCAGCCACTGGAATTGTAATAATTCTTTATTTTGGAGGGATGAAGTATGCGAGTGGCGAGCTGCAGTGTCATAGTGAGTAGACAATGACAGAGATAGCCAGATCAATACAGAAGCTTGATATTCGCTGATAAGCAGTGTATATTGGTCCCCAACGATTGGGTGGTCTCAATCTGAAGTTGGGTTGGTAATCAATTGATCCATGTGCGATTGAACCTTATGGTGTTCGTTAGATTACACGCGATCACCTAAATTAAAGCCTTTCGCCACTTAGTTGCTCTAGCTCTGAGTTCTAAATACGATCAAGAAGTATCAAGGGCTCATGTGATCGGGAAATAGTGCGTCGTGCGGGGTGTCATGTGTTGCGCCACAGAAGTCTCCGGCTTTCATTTCTGAGACAATCGGCTAAAACCTTGGGACAGAATCAATACGCCCGTATTTCACGTACTATTTGGAGAGCAACTATCACTTCGTGGTTTATTATGATGAATTAGCCAGATCTTGTGATGTCCCAATGTCCTTTAGAGACCAATTATCCTTCATCGACCAAAATAGAAAGATAGCTATCGCTTTGTTACTCTGCAATTTACGAACATGCCAGTCATCTCTTTTACGGTCTTAAGTTCGAATGATCCATGAATTGTTTTGGTACCAAAGTGGTTTCGGAATTGACAATTTAACTATATTATCTGTCTAATTTTAGTAAAAGATACTTCCCGGCTTCAGGAGGGGCTGACCCTGGGGTCTACATACCTGGGGCCGCTTATAAGTTCCGCAAGTGCGAGGCTCTTTCCCAACCCCTGCCAAGAGACACTGATCCATACTAACGATTGTGAGTAAGCCTTGCCGTTCCTCAAACTTATATCTGATGAGATAGAGAATCCAGTTGGTAGAAACTATACGCTGTCTATGCTTTAAAGTGCCTGTGGACTAGATGCAGTACTAAGTATCAGAAAATATGAAACCTTAAGTACTCTAATCGTGGGGCAAGATAAGCATGTGCACGCGCTACTTGTTGTTGTATTTATATACAGACATCTCCGCCTTCTAGATTGTATTCATGAAGCTCATAAAGATACCGCTATGTTCAATTTAAACCTAGGTATGAAAAACCGTGGGTATGTTCGCAGTGGAGTGTTAGAGTAGTGAGCAACGTTGTGAGTGAGGAACTTCTTTCATATTCTTAAGCTTCAAGTGTATGAATAGAAGTCTCAATGGCTGGGGTTTGCGAACATTTTTGCCAAAATCAGTATAAATTAGCATCCTGGAATGTTGTTTCATGTCGCAGCAGGACAAATTTCCTTGTCCTTATCAAAGAAGACACGGTATACGGACCGGGAACATGAGTGGCGTCTTGCAGAGTTCGGGCTGAAAGACCGCTCGCCGTGTTATCTTTTTTCGTGACATCCAAGCCCCACGAAATTGATTCGGTGGTGTATGTCATTGACATCCGGAGCCAGATACAGGAGCCGATCACAGGACCGGGACCGGCTTCTAGCCGTGGGCCCAACAACACCAATCAGAAATGCCAAGCCCGTGCTAAGTATATATGATGCCCCTTCTCATCACCAAACCAGAGACCATAATTCAAGGTCAAGAATTTCCAAACAAACTCTATACGATATGACATCAATGCTAAAGAGCTATCTGGGGTACAGTGACCCCACGGGGGACAAGGTTCCCAAGGAGACTTCACTGGCAAGGGCTCTTCCGGCCAACTGGTACACCTCTCAGGAGATGTACGAGCTTGAACGCCGAGCAATTTTCTCAAGGAAGTGGCTCTTGACCACACACAACTCGCGCCTTGCAAAGACTGGCGACTATTTAAAGTACGACAACGCGGGATTCCCATTTATCATTGTTCGCGATCGCGAAGGCAATATCAATGCTTTCCACAATGTCTGTCGTCATCGCGCATTTCCTGTTGTCGCGGATGATGCAGATAGTGGAACTGCACGAATCTTTGCCTGCAAATACCACGGCTGGTCTTATGGTTTGAACGGAAAACTTGCCAAGGCACCGGGCTATCAAGAGCTAGATGGATTTGACAAATCAAAGAATGGCCTGTTTACTATCCATGTCCATGTTGATGGCAACGGATTTATTTGGGTCAATCTGGACAGTGCTGAGAAACCCGAGATTTCTTGGGAGGACGACTTTAAGGGTATTGACTTGCAGTCGCGATTCCAGGACTTTGATTTCAGTGAATACCAATTCGACCACACGTGGGAGATGAATGGCGACTACAACTGGAAGATTCTTGCCGACAACTATAACGAGTGTTACCACTGCCAGACTGCTCACCCTGATGTTCCATCGGTGGCCACCCTTGAAGCCTACGATGTGGATACGAAGAATGCTAGTATTATTCACCACCCCGGCGCTACGGAGGAGCAGATCGCCAAGGGCATGAACATTTGCAGCACCTACTACTTCCCCAATGCCTCGATGACCGTCTCGTGAGTTTCGCCCCGGTATTGCCATTGATTTCACAGGCATGTCTTTGCTAACGACCAGAAAAGTCCCCACTTCTTCTTTATGCAGCGCTTTGTTCCTACGTCACCAATCAGCTGTGTCATGCGCTATGAGGTCTACCGCCACAAGGGCTCGAGTGACGAGGACTTCGAGCATGTCAACAAGATGTTCAAGCGGATCATGGCTGAAGACAAAGAACTCTGCACCAAATCCCAGGAGAACTTAAATAACGGAGTCTTTGTCAATGGTGAACTCCACCCGAAGCTAGAGAAGGGACCGCTTTACTTCCAGGGCATGGTGCGAGACCTTGTTACCGAGTTTCACAAACGTGAAGAGGGGACGGGACAGCAGATTTGGCCATCTCGCCAGGCCCTTCCTGCTGCTGCTACCACAAGCCAGGAAGATATGGACTTCTGCACCAATCTGACCACCCAAAAACAGGGGGCGGATTGCTCTACACAGGCTACTGGGTGCTGTGGGGGAGGATGTCAAACAGCTGGTAACCAGACACTTGCTTACTGATTTATTTTTGCTCGGTCGCATTTTGGCGTGATTTTAATGTTAGCGTTCATTGGCTTCTACCCGCTAGAAGTTCACGAATAATGTGCCATGTTTTTATTTAGCTTATCAACGACTTATACTTCTTATTTTTGAGTCAAGCATTTAAGGCCAATTATGACTGAATCGATATCTAAGGTTTACTTGAATATGTCACTTTCTTGTGGTAAAGATCTGCTATCAAGAGTGTAATCATGCATCTGCGGGGTCCTTATCTTAACAACGTCACTAAAACTTCAATCAACCTTCTTAATTAGGAACACGCGTCAGATAGCGTTACGGAGATAAAGATCCTAATTTGGCTGGCAACTATGGATACCTTATTCACATATGCGGGGGAAGCCTATTGGTACGAATCGGTCTCTTAACATTGATCTGCGACCGGGATTCTGTATCGTGGTGTTTTCGAGTTAGTTGCGGGATAGATTTGCCCCTTTGAGTGGGTTAAGTTACATTGCAATCCCAAATCCTGTACACAGACCGTTTCCAATCTAAGCACTTGGCTCTGCGGGGACAGCAAGTAAAAACCTAAACTAGCCCCAAATAGGCCGACGGCGCGATCTAGAATACAAGTTCGTTTTCCGGAAGACTTTCCAGCGCTATCGCGCCCTTCTTTCCCCGCACCGATCGTCATAACTCCCTCCTACTTCCTCTGACGTTGTTTCTTTTTTTTTTTTTTGTTGTTTGCACCGACTATTTGTTGTTGCAAAATTTAGCCAATACAATACTCTCAATATAACAACCTTTACACAGACTTATCTTTGATTTCATCAGGTCATATAATGCCACGGGACGGCAATCGTGGTAGATTGCGGTCTCATGAAGCTTGTCTCAATTGCAGGTAAGTCGCGTCAAGAATACTGTTTGTATTTCTCTTGATTGTAGCTGATTGACGTCTAGGAGGAAGAAGACAAGGTGTCCGGCCGAAAAACCATCTTGCTCAAGCTGCGTTCGCCTTAATCAGCCATGTCTCTACACCACCACCTCCAAAGGCTCGCGCGGCGGTCCATCCGTATGATCTTATTCCCACGCCTCTCTGTATTCCACAAACTGACAGCTTCCAAGGCCGACCGGCTGGCATATCTTGAAGAGAAGGTCAATCTTATTCTGAGTGGCAAAGGGTAAGAGGAAGACCTCACTATTATATGTCATCGGATACTAACATCGCGAAGATCTAGTCCTCCCGATCAGAGTAAAGTCAAGCCGCAGGACAATCAGGAAACAACCTACTCGATCCCCTCAGGTCCATCATCGAACGAGTTCAGTGGCAACATAAATGAGCCATTCCTCGGGCTTGGCTTTGAAGACACGAAAGGCCATACCCCCTCTCGAGTTTCCCGGGCAATCGAACTCTATTTTCAATACTGCCATCGACAGCCGATATGGTGCTTTGAACGGGAAGAAGTGAAGGATCCAAGCTACCTCTCTGAGGAGCTCGTTTGCAGCATTATAACATTGACCTCGCGTTTCTCTCAAGATCGTGACGAGGTACAGCAATATGGAGATACTGCACGGACGCTGGTCATGCTTCGTATCGCGAATGGAACCATCGAGCTTGAAACGATTGAAAGCTTGTGTCTTCTTTCCTACTCTTCTTTTCTAGGTACGGTTTATGTTTGAAGAGAAACGCAATGGAGGCTGACAGTTTGTAGATGGGAACGGACCACTTGGACGATTTCATCTGGGTCTCGCTCTCCAGCTTTGCCGCTCTGCAATGCTGGACTTGAACTCTACGTACGGAATTGAATGTCCATCCGCCGAGCGCAAGAAAAGACTATTCTGGAGCCTCCAGTCTCTCGAACAGACTTACGGCCAAATGGGTGGCTTGTTGAGTGTTCAAGCTGAGGTTCTACGTTCATTTTATCTTTCCACGGGCAGCGACCAGGTTCTCGAGAAAGTAGCTCACCACCCCCCGCCACTACCTAATGATACGATGGGTTGCACAAGTCCATCTGACATTGGGATTTGGAATTTAGCCCTACATTTTGGATGGGTATGGAATCGCGTCAGAAGCTATGTTTTTGACTGTGCACAAAGCAAATTGACGGAACCCTGGCGACATGACTCCATGTACGCGATGGTCATCTCCGATCTCACTGAGCTCGAGAACAAATTGTCACTTTGTCATAGATATGATTCGGTCAAATTCTACGAGCGTCGACCAGATGAACTACGGGTAAACCGAGATTATTGGGCCTCCTGGCTCAAGTTGCAGTTTACCTATCATACTATTTTGACAGTGTTAAACCACCCTTTTCTTTATATTGTGGCCTCTCAATACAACCATAAGCTGACAATTCCAAACACATTTTGGCGACGATCCTCAGAGGTTGTTATGCTTCATGCCACCTGGATCGTCCGCATGATTGACATGGTCACTGACAAGAAGATGCGATTGATTGATCCATTCTTCGGGCATGCCGCTGCGATAGCTGCCACCGTGCACCTTTATTTCTGCTGTGCTGCCGATCCAAGATTGAAGTACAAATCAAAAACAGACTTTTCAAAATGCAGGAGATTCTTGAAAAGCTTTGTTTCATTTTCCCCTGCCTGTCAAAACCTGGTATGCATATCTCGTCCTGATCAGAAGTCTTCCAACTAACCTTGTAAATCAAGGACCGAACATTAGATAAAATGACACGCATTGCCTCTGGTTCTGAGAAAGTCGACTTTGATTGGGAGCCCTCGAAGATTCATCTCAGCATCCCCCTCATGTGGGACGTCCTACAAATTAAATGTTTACCAACATTTGACGAGACACCGACAGCCGGACTGCTCCATCCTTCTTTGATGCCTATCGTTCCTGAAGAAGACAAGGAAAATCCGTCTTCTACCCTTGAAGTCATAGTCGCCATGTCTCCCGATATCACAGTTAATACCACCGATGGCGGCTCGGCCGCTCACATACCACCTAAGATGCCCCGCATCGCTACATCGGCGCCAACATCCCCCACTGCTCCACTTGCCGACAAGCTCGTGGCTCCTGCTGATAGTCTCATGGCTAATACCCCTTGGCTATGGGCCGACCCCTCACAATTTGTTGACATGGAGACTCTCGGTTATCCAGAGTCCGAATCAACGCTGGGTAATATTGACGGCTTTTCCACCTGGTGGGATTTTGGAAACTTATAACGAGTATCATATTCATTTTATCTCTATTCCTACTTGACGAGAGTTTCAGGTTCACAAAATACCACTCCCAAGGGTGATTACAGCTTCGCAATGAAGCAACAATCCCTGATTAGTGCCCGGATGACCCCAACGCGAACAGCCCAAAAGAAGAAAGGAAGCGCCTCCCCATCATGCCGCAGCGACCGCCTTCAACTTCTCCTGCAACGCAGCAAAATTCCTCTTCATCGCACTGTCGGTAAACTGAGCCCCGGTCACCATTGGATACTTCTTCAGAGGCCCTTGGATCAACGCATCCTTGCAGGGCTGGTTGAAGTATGCAATGCTATACCTATCCCCAAAATAATCTCCCGACTCACACGGCGCCTTGACCCGGTGGAAGGTGGATTTGAACCGATCATCCGACCAAGACATGAGTAAGTCCCCAATATTGCACACGATCTCCCCCGTCTTCGCCTCCACCTTGGTCCACTCGTCCCCAATTCCGAACTCCGTGACCGACTCGCGCCCCGGACATATCTCCAGCCCACTCTGCCCCTCTTTCTGAAAGAGTAAAGTCAGAAAGTCCCAATCGGCATGTGCCCCAGCGCGATGATACACTTTGCCGTCCGCTTCCTCCGGCAGTGCAAAGTAATGAAGTAGGCGCATGGTGGTTTGAGAGTCTGGTCGTGCCACATCGTGGCATTTGATGAAAAATTCTTCAGGGAAACCCAGACCTCGAGCGAAACATCGCATTAGTTTTTCTGAGATCCCCTGCACCCGGTGCATGAACTCCAGGGCAGTAGTTTGGAACCCTGCGAGATGCTCGTCTGCAACCCATAACCCCTTCATATTATCTCCATATTGCAACTGATAGGACTCCTTGCTGTCGGGCTTTCCGGTAGATGGTCGAATTTGTGAGTTCTTTTCCCACCCCACGTTGTTGGTATTCCAGGGTACTGTCTTCTTTGTCTCGTCCGGGAGCTCAAAGAAGCTCTTAGATGTCGTGAAGATGGATTCGATGTCCTCTTTGGAAAGACCGTGGTCGATCAGTGTGAAAAACCCAACATTTTCCGCAGCGCTGATTAATTCCGTGGTGATCTCATTGATGCGATTATCGAAATCATTGAGGGAGATTTGAGGAATCGGACGGTCGACATATCTAGTTTGAGCCATATTGAGATTATTGACGTGACACAGGTACTGGAGAGTTTTTTGATGCACTTGAAAGGTTAGGAATCCTGGTCACATATAAATAGAAGGATAGAATACATAGAGCTGGTCGCCTTATTTAATCATGGTCTCTTTGACCTATCAGTCACCTCGGCCGATGCGGTCGGCCGAGCATCCCAGGATGCGCGGGTGTCATACTCAATACGAAGATTGATTCCAACGTTGGAATTACTAGCACGAGCCTTGACAGCCGAGTCCGATGATGATAGCATTCTTCACCCCAGCTTTCTTCACATTCTAGTCAATCTGACCTTGTGAGGTGTGCCAATTGGACTTTACCGTCTTCGTACCCCGAGTCTAAACCCCAGATAAGAAGACCCGCTGCTGCGTAATACCGAGGATCAATTGGCTCTTGGCCCCCATCTATCATAGATAAGCCAACGCCCACTTGTACATCTACTTCTACAAACATGATCTCCGGCATCCACCGAAAGCGTTTGGCATGTGTGGAATGCACACGACGCAAAGTGAAGTGCGACAAGATTCTTCCATGTCGCAACTGCACCAAGAAGGGAACAGCATGTACTCGGCCGCGCGAACGGAGTTCTCCGAGCCACGCTACTCAATCCGAGCGCCCTATCCTGACCCGGCCGACGACCGATTCTGAAGCAGATGTTTCAGTGATCATCGAAAGGCTTCAGTCCAGAGTCAAAGAACTAGAGGCCGCGCTGAATGAGTCCAATGAGGCCTCTCCACGACCCCGGGTTGTTAGACCCGATCCTTCGGTCAACAGTAGTTCATTTTCGCCTGCGGAGTCTGCGCAATCTCCCTTTTCTGTTCGCAATTCGAATCATGTTTATGTGGAGAATACACCCAGGGAGGTAGAAGATGCTGCGACAATACTTGAGTTCCTTGCATGGGGGCGTCGGAAGGACCCTACGTATCAAGATGAGATTGCAAGACAAAACAATATCGACCATTCGCCTGGCGATGTGCCCGTGGAAGATGTATTAGAAGATGCCGGTATGTCAGGGCTATCAGCAGCAGCACTCTGTCAGGCCTTACTTCCAAATAAAAAGAAGGTTTACGATCTCGTTCGGTATCACTGCGACTGCCTTCTTTGGTATCACGCATCGTTCCATGCGAAGACCTTCCTAGCAGAGCTAGACCTATTTTACGAGAAAGACGAAGGCCAGGTCAAAGGGGGTGGACTTCGTCTACAGTGGATAGCACTCCTTTTCGCTATTCTCACAGGGTCAATGGCCTGTGCGCCCAGACCGATTTCTCAGTCATGGGGCTTTCGCGACCGAGAGAAAGACACTTTATCGAAACGCTGGCTGAAAGCTACAATAGCGTGTCTACACGAAGCAGACTATATGGCCTGCCATTCCATATACTCTGTCGAGGCAATTGCGACACTCACCATGTCTGCCCATATGCTAGGTCACTCGAATGGGTTCTCAGTGCTATTAGCCTCGGCGGTTCGAATCGCACAGGGGCTTGGTTTACATCAGCTTGATGAATCGAGTGATGCCTCACCATCTGGCCTTATGGATCGGGAGATCGGCCGACGGGTCTGGTGTCAGCTCTGCATCCAAGACTGGTTTTCAATCCCATTTACCGAAAGCTACTTAATTCATAAGCTGGGATTCAGCACAACAAGGCCTCAAAATTGCGATGACGATATGAACCTTTTGTCAAATGATCATCCATCCGTGATAAGCTTCTCACGTCTCAAATATGACATTGCGGCCTTGATGCCAGGCCTACAAGATGATCTAGTTTGCTGTAATACTCTTTATACGCGGTATGAGGAGGTATTAAAATATGATCGTCGTCTGCGCACGTTAGCAACCCAGCATCTTCCTCGCTATCTGCAGAATGTTCCAATTGATCCTGACTGGCCATGCTATGTTCCCTGGGCACGGAAAGGCCTAGCTATTAGCTCCGCGCATAAGGTCATCATGATTCACAGGAAATTCTTGAGTTTGAGCTTTTCCAATCCCATGTTCGAATTCACGCGAAAGACTTGCGTGGCTGCGTCAAGGACTATAATTAAAGAGCAGAAAGAAGCGACTCGGGGCGATGGACCTGTGTTGTGGATACACCAGGCATTCAGTGTTACGGCAAGTGTAAGTGATTAGTTCAACATATAAGCCCACTTCCGTCTTACTGACCTTCTGCAGATCATTCTATGTTTGGATATGTTTCATCAATCGGTAGCAGATCGTCAATCATCTGAACACCGACAGCTAATCGAAGACGGTATTGAAATCCTATCGCATTGCGAATCAGATATGATTGCCCAGCGTGGTGTATCACTATTGAGGTCGATGCTCGAGGCTGAACAGCTACGCAACCGCGGGAGATATCTTGTCCCTGAATTGCGAGAGCCTTCAATTCTGTCAGCGTCTCCGTCGCAAGAAAACGGGCTTGATATTGCAGACATTATCCGGGCCTTCTACCAACATGATCGCGCAAGTTTACCAGGCCGACCGAAGTCAATTCTGCAAATCCCATCTACCGCGAGGGCAGCTAACCATAGACATTGGTCTGAGATCACGAGTGTTGAGCCAAGTGTGCTATCTGGAATTGATATGATGGCGCCGCTTGGAGTTGATTACGCTGAAGGATTGGAGGACATTCTGAATTTGGCAACGAATTATCTTAATTGAAAACCGCATTTATTGAATAATGTCGGAAATGTCCGGGGAATATTGTGCTATGTACTGCCAGGTGGGCCTGCGGCCACATATATCCAAAGGTACTAATTAAATGCTGTGTATGAAGTTTAAAAAAGACGGGCCAGCCGGTATCACAAATAGTGCTCCTTTGGAGTGAAAAGGAAATAGGGAATAGGGTGAAAGGGGATAAAGCAAAAGAATGGTTGAAGCGCATCGCAAAAGGCCAGCCGTCCATGCCTATTAATCGGTCTTGCGCACTTGTGTGACAGGCGCTTCGTATATGCGAGAGCCGTGGACGAAGTATTGCACAATGGCAAAGATGATGACAACGCCGAACACTAGGATCGACCAGTTCATATCAACAGGGGTCGGGTTGTTGGCAGTGGGGAAGAAGGTGAAAATGATCGAAAAGCAAAGCCAAGCAACTGCAAACACATTGATGGGCATTCCAAACCGACCGAGTGAGAAACGAGAAGGTGGAATGCCGCCTGGAAGGCGCCGAGCTCGAATGAAGGCCAAGATGGAAAGAATGTAGGTGGTGAACAGTGCGGCGATCATCACTGATGCAACGGCGTTAAAGGCGGCGGTGGATCCGATGTTGATCAAGCTGAGCAAGACCGTAATGATGGTGGAAACCAACACGGACGTGACAGGAACCTGGGTTCGGCTGTTGACGTGCGACAGGGACTTGGAGAATGGCAGCGCATTGTCGCGGGCAAAGGCGAAGGTCTGTCGAGAGGCTGTGGCGAGAATACTGATGGCGCTGCAAACTTCCATCACAAGGATGATGGCCGCCACGCCATTGGTAGCTGCCACAGATCCAGTGGCGTGCTGAACGGCGGGGATGAACGAGAAGCCGCTCGCTGGAGAAAGAACGTCGGCAATGGGTCCCATGGTGTATAGGAGAGTCACCAAAATAATAAATCCCAGACCACCATTGACCAAGGCAGTGGAGACCATACACCAAGGAATGACAAAGGAGGCATTTTGAACTTCCTCGGCCATGTGAGTCGCAGCGTCGGGTCCGGTCCACGAGAAGATCGGGGTCAACTGGCCCACCAGACAGGCCAGGCCCATACTGGACCATCCACCCGAGTTTGAGAATTCTTTCCAGACAACCTCGTTGGGGGCCTTGCCCGATGACATTCCCCACATTGTTGCCAAAACTGCGACAAATCCACCCAGGTGAAGGAACAAGATGACACCTTCGAGAGAGGGCAGGAACTTCGCACCATAGGTGTTGATGAGCGTTCCAACTGCCGCAATGGCGATCGTCAGAAGAGTCCCGTGCCAGCGGTGGAAGTCGTATACGTAGCCGGTGTCGCCGGAGTAGTTGAAGACAAGCAGTCCCTGGATCAGAGTACCACACAAGAAGCAGATACTAGCAAAAGCAGCTTGCCAGCCCAGCACTGACAACCATCCAGTGAGGTAGCTCAAGAACCGTTGCGCTCTTGGAGGGCCAAATTCGCTGACCCAGTGGTATTGACCAGCAGATGTCGGTGACCTGGAGAATAGTCAGTATCTATTGTAAATGGGACCCGACTCATCAATAGGATGACATACACAGAAGAAATCTCTGCCATCGAAATGACCGCGGCAAAGAATCCAACAAAGGAGCCAATGTAGACATAAATCATGCCGGCGCGACCGCCGTCAGTCAGGCCATAGGTAGCGGTCCTACAGGCAGTCAGCATACACCCGATGCGATCCGAAGCATCGCGATCCTACTCACAGCAAGATTGACTCCCAAGTAGCCATCAACGTCGTCGTGAACCCCAGGATCGAGTAAAATCGGAAATTTCTCTATAGCGGACTAGTCAGTCCACGCGCTCCACGCGCCTCCCCACACTACAGTTCCAACGCACCTTTAATTGCTGGACCTTGCCGAGGCGCTGCATATCCCAGTCATCCTGATCCGTAGACTCAAGAGCAGCCTCATGGGCTCTAACCTCCTTATCGCGCGACATATTTGGGTGAGAAGCTGAGAAGCAAAAACGCAGAGTCAAAACTTCACAAAAAAAAATGGAGATCAGAAGAGAACAGGGGGTCTCGAAGAAACTGGGCGATAGCCAATCAGCAGTGAGAAAATAGTGGGCGGCGTCTCTCCCGGTGGAGTTTAAAACGATTGATCAGCATATCATTTTTGCCTAGTTGATCGCTAGTGCGCTATGACGCATTGGTCAAATTCCCATTATTGGTCCCTTCTCCATGTCGTTTCATTGAGCGGGTTTTTAACTGGAGTCTTTCCCCTCTGGCATGCGCATCCTCGTGGAGCATTCATGCATGAAATGCTTTGGCCAGGACCATTGCGTGGTGCTGGAATGGGCACACCTTCCGTCTGTCCCGGTCTAGGGGGTAACAACGGCTCTGGGCGTGTGCCGTGTCTGTGCTGTGGCGGGCTTGGCCAAGTCTCGGCCAACTAAACTCGAAGCTCGATAGACCATTGTATGGCCTTTGATCCACCAAGAACAACCATGGGATTTCGGGTGGCGCCGCCGAGCCAACTCACGGAACGAACGCAGGCTGATCACCACTCTTTGTAATCTCAGAGATACACATCAGTAGGAAATCACATGTGCATTTTTGAAAATGCATAAAAAAGAAAAGCGCGATCTGTTGGTATACAACATGCGCCATGCGCGCAACGTGGTCCGTCAAAGTTCTGACCTGAGACGCGGACAAGCCCAAAAATGGGTTGAGACAACTCCACTTCGGGGCGGGCTTCTGGGTCAATTCTAATAGTTCGTCCAATGTTTCTTGATTATTAACTGGAAATTAATGCATCTTCCTTTCAATCTGATTACATTATATGAAAGCCTCGCATTTATTGTAGTTGATCATAAGCGACCGCATGGAATAGCAATTTACAGTCGGTCCGCAAATTCGGATTCAATAATATGTTCATCAGGTTGTTCAACCCCCTCCACCGAAATACTGGCATCCAGGGAAAGCCTGAGCACCATGGCACATAAGTCAGAATGTCTGCACACCTGCGGGAAATACAATCAGGTATCCACTAAAGGACCATCATTAAGCTTGATTGGGTGTGCAGGTAGCTCCACAACATGTGTACGGGCTGAGGATCACAGAAATGCCGGTCGTGGTCGGACCAATCGACATCCATGGATACAGCATGAATAATTTTAGTGCTAAGATTCAATCATCCTTGAAAGTGTCTGTATAAAATGATCTCTTCGCAGGCGATTCTCACACTAATTTCATCCATCTCTTGACATCTGGAAGCTCCATAAAGCCTTTCACAGTTTCATTTCGACCTTTCGACCTTAAGAGATTCTTGTTGTTCAAGTACAAGAATACCAAGCTCGATTGTTCATTACAGAATCAAAATGACTAATTGCATTTACGCTCCCAATCACCATATCGCCGAACTTTGTGTTCAGACCCCATGATGTGGCTTTTTTGTATAGCTAGCGTGAGGCTGAGCAAAGCTTGTGGCGGCGGCCCTTAGCCTCATCCAAAGCGGTGCAAATTGGAAACGGCCTTCACCCTTCATAATTGGCTTGATAAAAGCCATGTTAGACGCAAGAAGCGAAATCAGCTTCCAACGTTTTCATCAGCAAAACTCCGAGGAAATAGAATAAAAATGCCACCGCGCTGTCCTACTGGGAGTTCAGCCTTTACATTCGACCTCGCCGCACCAGCGGGATGGGCCTATGCACCAGGCGACACCATCATCGGCAGCTTGGTGCGAATGCTACCAATCGTGACCCCCAATGCCTCCATAAGTCTATCCTTTGCTGGCCGCATGAAGGTTAAGATAACCATGCTACGGGAACAGAATAGTGAATCGTTTAATCTTGACACCTGGCAGCTCGTGGACGTCTACGAGACTGTCATCTTCAAAGGACCCTTGCATCTTGCCGAAGGGCGTAATGAGTCACTGAGCTGGCCATTTTCTGTCCATATTCCATATGAGCCTACGGAATTCTGCAGACAAAACCATAGCCAGAAGTGCAGCTTCATCCCACTCAACACAGACCACCCTGCTCACCACATTCTGCCGGGGTCCTTCTACTCCGAAAGTTCGCAATGGAGTAACACTAGCTCATACGAGTGCGTGGAATACTATCTAAAGGCTCGAATGGAATACCACTCTGGAGGATATGACAAATTGTATGAAGCTGTCTGTCCGATCACTCTCCGGCACCCAGTCGCAAAGACTACTGGTATACCAAAAATGCTCAAGCAACCAAGGCTCGTCTGCACCCACCGACTGCTTTCAGGAATGGAAGCTGCAGATCTGTCATTCAAGCAGCATGCGCAAAAGTTCTTTTACTCGTCAAAGGTGCCCACTTTCTACTTCGATCTCCTTTTCACCGTTCCGACGTCCATTCAACTGGATGACCCAACCCCAATGCCTCTGCAATTAGAAATTATGCCCGATCTTGAGAAAACAAGCGACAGCATCAAAGACGTCGGGCAAACTATCCGCATTTTGGATATTGAAGCAATCATGCACGTCAAGACCCATTCTCTGGCAGCCGGGAACTTTACGAACTCGGTACATGATAATCAATATCACGCGAAGCTCGGGTTGGGCCTGCAGCGCATCTTCACAACTCTCGAAGAGCCGCTGGTCATTACCACCGGGAAAGGAAACGCACCGTTAAACATTGGCAATATTTTCGGGCTGACTTTGCATGAACTTGGTATCAAAGCTGGAAATCGAATGTTGCTTTTGGAAAGCTGTACAGGAACCCGCATTGGGCCATCTTTCACAACATATAACATCCAGCGCACTCACTCACTGGAGTGGAAGCTTTCTTTGGAGATTGCGGGAGAAAAGCAAAAGTTCAAATTCTGGCAATCTGTTGAGATTATTGCTCCGGCATAATAGAGGCAATTTGGTCTTGCTTCTCTCTTTCCTTCTTGCTTGGTTCTTCCATGTTAGCAATATACCCAGATCAAGAGAAGCTCGTGGCCAGCAAGTGCTACAATGAACTCAATGCATTCTGAAAATAGAACAATGGATTTGATAATAAGGGGTAAATAAGGGTTATGTGCACGGACTTTCTACCAGATCAACGGCACACTCTAAGACAGATTGCCTTGTTATTGAACAGTCAATTAGCTAGCTTGATGGGATTGATGCCTGAGATATCAGGATTCAGCGCGACAGATCTCTACGGACCATAATTTCCATAAACCTCCCACCAGCTCCACAACCTGGCAAGATGGACAAAAATAAACAAATGTGGAACAAAGAAGAGACATATATTTGATTGGCGAATCAGCAGCATCCAGTGCAAAGGTTGACCCCGCTTCAAGAAAATCTAGAAACATAGCGGTCTCCGCTATATGATACGCACACACGAATACGTATGTCAGGGACTATGTGCCGAGACAGAAGAGTGGCTGAGCGATGTGGCGCTAGACCATTTTACCGAATAAGGTAAGTTGATTCGTGACCCTGCGGGGCCATCATCTCGGTAGGATAGACTAAGACAACAATCAATTCACCGTTATGTCCTCCGTTGGGAGTCCACTTTTACCCTGCGGAATCAGTAGACGGATTGGAGCGCTATAGCCGAGTTCAACAGAGACGAGGTCCATTGGGGCTTATCCCAATCTGGCTCCCCCGCCCGAAATGCTGGTCTAAAGATCCAATCTGACTGGTCTAAATCTATGGCGTATCAGTACGCCAGAGTGGCATAAGGGGTCATTAGAAAGCAGATTTCATAAATTATGAACTACGTTTTAGTCGCTCCGCTCGTACTCCGTACCGCCCTCCGCTTTGGGGTTCAAGACGGAATTCGGGGTGGGGACAATAGTCTCCCCTATTCCCACATTAAACCTTGGAAATTGTACGGATTTTCCAGCACTAATGGCTGCAGCCTGCTCTCTCATTTATTTGGACATTCATGACTTTCTTTTTCTTCTTCTTTTGGCATTAACGACTCGAACCCACGGATATCTATGACAGCCAGGCGTTGCCAAGTCCCAACGTGATTGGCCATAGATTGCCAAATCTAATCCACATCTGAGACTTCGAAGCGCCACATCTGCCGGTTGCAACGGAGGACGCGTGGGCGATGGCGCTACGGTCCCTGGGGTCGTGACGGGACTCTCTGCGAAATGAGACCCACAGCCCCCTTTGACTGGTCAACTTGATTACTGGTTCAGTCGAGGACATCCACAGATAACCAAATAAACCCGTCCGGGTAAAGAGTAGCTGGTCCAAGTACGCAATCCCGCCAAACAAACTCCACTCCAACCTTGGCAGGTGGAAAACCTTCTATGGAACGCCGAATCAGGGTGCGCACCGAAAGATGTGCGCCACGTTTTGGGCTAGAGAATCTCTGCTTGCGGGGAGGCCCAGCAAGGGAGAGAGGGTTTGTCCCGGATAGTCGGCGAGGCAAGGTTATGGAAGGGGTGGCGTCGCGAATATATCTGCTGTAGTGGTCCCATTTAGTGTTCTCTCCGCTCCTTTTGACACTTTTCGGTATTCCACTCCCCCCTCTGAAAGTCGTCGTTGAGGACCTGCAATGATCCAATGCTCATGCGGGCTTCCTCCGCCATCATGCGCTTGAGCTCTTGGCTTGGCCGCAGCGATCGACCTCACAAATTCGGATCTCGTCGCTCATTTACAGCGGTTCTGCTGGCCCTCGGAGGTTTTATTTTATTCTACCTTTTTGTCTTGCCACAGATTCTTAGGTTCAGATTCCGATTTGGCTTGAGCAGGTATGATTTGGGATTTTATGGATTTGGTCCTTCACGAACATACCACTCTTTCGACGAGGAGTCCCCGATTGTTGAGATTTCTCCCGCCGGCGCAAAATGCGACCAACGATATACCTTCCTCGCCCCACGAGGTGATTCCGTCAAACACCCTGGGCCAATGATCCTCGACGCTCAGGGCGAGCTTGTCTACAAAAAATACAATTGGGGGACTACTCAGGATTTCAAAGTCCAACACTACAAGGGCGAAGATTACGTCACATACTGGCAGGGAGATGAAGAAGACGGGCATGGTCGCGGATCGTGGTATATGGTATGGAATTGGAAGACGTTTCCTGAATGTTTTATTGGCTGCAGGGGCTAATCTTTGGACTTGGCACCATAGCTGGACTCGACCTATACCCCTAAATACATTATATCCCCTGTTGGCATTCTTCAGGGCGATCTACATGATATCCAATTTACAGTCAACGACACCGCGATCCTCACCATTTACGAACCCATCCCTGCCGATTTGACATCCGTCGGAGGCCCCGAACTCGGATGGCTTTACGAAGGTGTCGTGCAAGAAGTTGACATCGCGACTGGCGAACTACTCTTCGAATGGCGATCGTCGCAAACCTACCCCCGGAAACCAGTTACGAACCGTTGGGCGACAGGGGTCACGAACGTACCCTCGGATATGATTATTTCCACATGAACAGCGTGGACAAGAACGACGAGGGCCACTACCTTGTGTCTGCGCGACACACACACACGGTCACCTGCATCGATTCGAGCGGCCAGGTACTCTGGACCCTGGGCGGAAAATACAACGAATTCGACGACGATGGTGTCGCAACCAGCTTCAAGTGGCAGCACGACGCCCGCTGGCGCGGACCTAACCGGATAACGCTGTTAAATAACGCGGCTAACGACAACGAAGACCTGTCCGCGGTTAGCCAAGGTCTCCTGCTCGAGTTGGATATCCCTGCGCGCGAAGCCAAGGTCGTGACAAAATACGACCACCCACAGCACATGATGGCCGTTACACAGGGTAACGTTCAGGTACTCGATACCGGGAATGTGTTGATTGGATGGGGCCACAGTGCCGCGTTTACCGAATTCTCGGCCGATGGTGAAGTGGTCTGTAACACGCACTTTGGCGCCTCGGCCTACTTCACGTTTGGCCGGACAATGTCATACCGAGTCTTCAAGGACAATTGGGTCGGCATGCCAGACACTCTCCCCGATGCCGCGATGGTAGGGGACAGCGTGTTTGTCAGTTGGAACGGAGCGACTGAAGTCGCTTCATGGGCTCTCGAAGCCTGGGATGGGGACAACCTCACAAACATGACATTTTCCGTTGTTGACGAGGTTCCACGTTCTGGATTTGAGACAGAGGTTCCATTCACGCCTGCCGTTACCTCCTACTTCCGTGTTGCCGCTGTTAATGCAAAGGGTGAGGTTATCGGCAGGACGGAGGTTGCTTCGCGAGGCTCAACGCCCCAGGCAAGCTTCTCATCCGATCATCCGTGGGGCGTTACGATCATTATGGTCTTTTCTTTGGGTTGTCTTTTGTGTGGATTATACTGCGCTGTGTTCCGTCGTTTACGGCGCCGTAGAGCGGCTACGGGCGGACTATACCAGCTGGTTACGCCCAAAGATGATGAGGAGAGTAATGAGAATGGCCATCTCCCGATCTAAGTCTAAGTGGGCGCCGGCGTCCTTGATACCCCTTGGTTTCTCATATAGAATTGCATATTTGTCCATATTTACATCTGTACAAACAATATCATGATTATTTTTTCAAACCTGGCTTCATTTATATCATATTAATCCATCCATCTCCGTCTATTGGGTATTAAGTACTGTACAATATATGAACGCTCTAAAAGATTCTCTTGATGCTGGGCTTCATCCACATTGGCGCCTCGCATGTATTGCTTTCGCGCCATCTCTGGATCCCAGAGTTATCCCACCCAGCCGTAAGTTCATTGGGCGGGACCTTCTTTCCGGCCCCAAGACGTATTGAGCGAACAAACACGCATTGCCCGGATGAATTCCAGGTAAATGAGAGACACGAATCGCTCTCCTCGCATGCTTGCCTACACGCGCTCAGTGAGCCATGCGCTGCAGACTCCGGGGGCTCAACATGCCCACCAAAGTCACCGTTGTCCCAATCGACTTTGTCCGGCAATGTTCCCAGTTGAAGATAGTCGGTTAGGTCGGAATAAAGTATAGGGTACTATGTAAAAGATCAGCATTCGTAATTTTGATGTCATAAACAACGGGCAGCCATACTGTTTTATCCCGCTTGCTCTCCCACTTAGCCAATCCTGTCATATCCGGTAACAAGGACTTGTGCAAGCTGATAACGGGCTGACACCAGTGCTTGGCATCGAAAGGAATCCCATGTAAAGAGTGCGCATTGAACATGGGCCACAGTCCGGATATATTGATTCCTTTTTGATAGAGTGCAAATCCAAGTACTGAGTCTCCACAGCAGTCGCGATCCACCACTTCCATATATCGTTCGCTGACAGAAGGCTCGAGATATTCTCCGTAATCTCCAGTTTGACGCTCTGTTAGTTTCTCGACAGCCGCCCGAGAAAGAACGAATCCAGAGCCGCCATATGCAAACCAGACTCTCTGTTCGTTTTCCAGCCAAAAGCCAGGCGAAGGCGAACCGAAGTACAAGGGTACAGTCGGATCGTACTGATCCAGTAATCTGAACAGATTATCCCAGAAGAGATACGTATCTGTCTCGATGAAGACAAACCATTCAGCTGTGGGATTCGCTTCCTTTGCACGCTCGATCATAGGCAAGAATTTGTAACGATCTAGTCGCCATCCATCCTGCCCATCAATATTCTTGTCACCGTTTTGTAAAGCTTCATACTTTTTGAAGTCGGTGAGGTTCAATTTATCGGCAAGGGGTACCAAATCGGCGAGAACATCGTGCACGCGATGTCCATGGAGCTCGGTCGCACGGTCCGAGACGACAAGGAGGTTGGAGATGCAGTGCGTCACTGAGTCCATAGAGGCATCGATGCGTTCTGCGCTTTCCGTCGCGCCGGTTTTTAGCACCACCTGGACGCGCTCAAGAATGTTCGAAGGGAAGTCGGCGCAGATATCGTCCGCTGTGAACGGACCCTTGGATTTATACTTTTGAAAATGGGTGATCGTCTGCCAATTCCAAAAGTCCGGTTCTGGTTCTTTCTTTTCCGCGGGCAATGAGGGTAAATCATGATCGAGACTTTTTTTCCAGCCATATGATGCGAAAAGAAGGATTGTGGCTAGTGCTAGAAACACGGCTAACAGCTTAAATTTGGTCGCGCTGAATAGTCGCGTAAGAGGCTTCGTGGTTTGGAATGTAGGCGTAGACATCATTAATTATCGGCGGGCGTCGGGCCCAGATTAGTATGAGGTGTGATGCCAAGAGAGCTAATTCATGGGAATCAAAGAGAGGGCAGTCAGAAGAAAACTTCTCTAAGATGATCGGCGCGAATTGCAAAAATGTGCCAGGTCAGAGCAGTAGAGGATCCAGGGTCCATAGAATAGCGGACCCGTTCACGGAAATGCTCTCCACCATAGAGATCAGCTTGATGGATTCAAGGGAAGTGTAACAGGAAGAGTATTGAAGTTTTGAAGCAAAGAAAGTCTTTTGATAATACTGGAAGCTTCCGGTTAAGAATCCTCTGATAATTTCCCAAGCCAAGCTACCATAAACTGGATTCCAACTCATGACGAGGGCTATTGACCTTATCGAGCAACATAATTGGTTCACAGTAAAGAAAGACTGGGTCGCAAGCAAGAGCGGCCCACTTTAAGTGCAAGAATCTTGGAATTATACTAGATATGTGCCGATCCAGTGCCTGGGCCAATTGCCTACCGCTTGAGAAGTTTGGTAACCTGTTGCCTGCATCTCCATAGGATTGCAACAGGTGCTTTAGCGCTTCTATATTTCCTTCAGGGACAATCATGGGAATTCGAGTTTCGGTGCGAGTTTCGGTGTTATTCTTCCGGCACTAAATGAACCCCTTGGACGCCGAATAAGTTGTTGAGGTCAAGATTGCTACAGTAGTATCGGAAGCAGCTTAGATGCATTCTGCAGCAACATAGCATACCTTGGCGGTCAACCCCCACGGTATATAGTAACTCCAGCCTAGGCTTACCGGTGTGATTGTTGATGCAGTCTTCTAGGTAGACATTCTTGGCGCATGGTGCTTTTGTGATTCCCTTCACCCTTTTATCTTTCGCTCGAACGGAACTGTTATCGTGTGCAACATGTAGGCTTATCCCTCCGGTGAGTCCGGCTCGGGGCGATCGCCTCGACACTTCTTGGCACATTAGATTGTGGCCGTTTCACGTTCACTTGCGTTGCACGAGTCCAGGAACGAGGGGAAAATGTGGGAAGCTAGGAGGTGGTTATCTATATAAAGACCGATGTCTCTCCCGGGGTTTGCGAGACACATCAAGTCAGGAACGACGGAGATCTAAGTTTTAATAAAAGAGGAAGGGATTAAAAAACTGACAAAACTCCGCACTGTTCAGCCCTATGGATAAGTGGAGAAGAGTTTTCTAGCCAATGTCGTGATCGAGCGGGAAATTCGTCTAGTTCGCCGCGGCAACTCAAATTTGCATTTTACCGCGACTTCTCCCTACTTTTCTGTTCTTTTCTGTTCCTCTCTCTTCTTCTACTGTCGTCTTAACCTCTCCGGTAATCTCCACAACAATATTTCGCCTCGCGCACCCACACGGACAGATATGGAGAAACAAACCGAGGCGCCGACACCGGACCTGGAGGCTAGCCCCTCTCCAGAGATGCGCAAAACGTCAACAATCACACGGCGATGGAAGCAAGAGTTGAACCCCAGCCATGCTGACCTCGTTTGTTTGCTCCTCTGTTTCTTGACTGGCTTGTGCGACAGTAGCGCGTACAATGCGTGGTCCTGCTTCCTGGGCATGCAGACGGGTATGATTCATCGAGTACACGACCCTCAGGAACACATACTGACTTTAAATCTTACGAACAGGTAACACCATTTTCCTTGGCCTCGGCGCATCCAACCAGCCAACCAGCAAGCCATGGGGTTGGCTCAAGTCCCTTGTCTCAATCACCGCCTTCTTCACCGGCGCAATGATCTTCTCCATCTCCATGCGCACGGTCGGCTCCCTCCGCCGCGGCACCCTTTTCGTGTCCTTCCTCGTACAAACTGCCCTGATCATCATTGCCGTCGCTCTCATCCAAGCTGATCTCATCCCACACTCCTCGAACGATTCAACCCTGGATGGTGGACCCCTGTTCCTGGAGCTCATCCCCATTGGACTGCTGGCTTTCCAGTCCGCTGGCGGTATGACTTGCAGTCGCGCGTTGGGATACAATGAGATCCCGACAGTGGTCCTTACTAGTGTCTACTTCGATATCGCGTCTGACGTGAAGATTCTCCAGAAGCCGACCGAGAATGTCAAGCGCAATCGCCGTATCGGGGGTGTGGTGTTCTTGCTTATTGGTGCCATCATTGGTGGCTGGTTGAGTCGCAGCAGCGGTGGTATGGAGTCTGCGCTGTGGATGGCGGCAGGATTGAAGCTTGTTGCAGCCTTCGGTTGGTTGTTCTGGAAGGCTAAATAAACCACTAATATTGTCCCTCTTATGTTCTCATGTTGCGCCTCTTTTCAACAAGCGGGAAAGTCCTTCGGGCAACGATTGAATCGCTAATTATCGCATATACATTATAGAAGAGCGTCTTGTTAGACTTGCAGAGATACACCTTGCTTATTATATCAAGAATTATATTGAATTCCATTCCGAAACCCGCTGGCAAGCTCACACGAATATCAGAGAACGCTCAAACTAACCCACTCATAGCAGTCATCATTCTTGGAGGGTTTCCCTGTCCCTTCTGTATCATAACCATCTCTCGAGCTCCTCCGGAGCGTCTCTTTCCTCGAGTTCAATGATGTCCTTGCGTATCTCATCTAGTTTGCTCATAGCCCGCAGCGTCAGATAATGCTCCGCACCCAGCTTGCTCATCGAGATCTCTATGATGCTTTGCTGCACGAACTGAGCGTCATGCAGCCTCTCCTGCTTAAGACAAAGGAAAACAAGATTGTCCATACTAGCCAAAATGGTCGGATGATCTTCCCCGAGCAGCTTTCTCTGAACCTCAAGCACATGTAGCTGTAGCGCCTCAGCCGCCTCCCATTTGTTCGAGCGCAAGTGCATATCTATCAGATCATTCATACTATCCACCGTATTAACATGCTCGGGACCAAACACCGCCCTGGAAATATCTACGACCCGGATCTGTAGTGCCTCCGCCTCCCGAGCTCGAGCGCGCCCGAACGCCAGAAAGACCTTTACAAGACTCTTCATCCGCTCGAGGGTCGTCGGATTTCCCTCACCAAGGATGTTGATACTTCCATTGATTGCTTCGCGGAGCGCAATCTCTGCCGCAATCCACTTTTCCTGCATTGCGAGTGCCGTGGCAAGATTGCTGAGGCATTCAAGTGTATCTGGGTTTTGGGATCCCAGAACTCTTTTTGAGCTTGCTGAAAGCTCGGTGTAGCCTGCTTCAGCATCTTCATATCGACCTTGTTTCATATAAAGCATGAGCAATTTTGCTTGTCGGCGTAGCGTGTCGGGGTGCTCATGTCCAAGTATACCTCTGCTTTCGGCTAGGATTTCTGTGCTGAGGGCTTCTGCGCTTTGCCAGTGACCGGATGAGTAGTATATTTGACTCATAAAGTCTTTGGTTGCGAGAATTGACGGGTCGTTTGCGCTTACTTGCCTATTTTGTTCTTCCAATGCCAATTGCATCATCTCTTGTGCAACTGGGATATCACCTTGTCGGAAGGCAAATGACGCAGCGTTGTGAATGAGTGTTATCCATTCCGTAAATGACTCGTTCGGCCATCCCTTGGGATGGTCTGTTATTGTTGTCTGGACGTGGGGAAAAAGTAGTTGACATGTCTCCCAGGTTTCTGTGGTAGGAGTTGGGAATTCCTTGCTGATTCTAGTAAGGAAAGTTTGCTGCCATTGATCGAACTCTCCGTGAGCTTTGAGCCATTTTTTGGTGGACCATTGGACAAGGTTGTGCATTTTAAAGGTCCTTCCCGTGGTATCAGGGGCGATTAAACAGAAATCCTTCAATACCTCGACATCATCCTCAAATCCATCCACAATGGTAAAGGATGAAGCATCTGAAGTGTCCTCAGTATCATCTCTATCAAACTCTTCATTCTCGGGTTGATTTCGCAAGATGTATTCGGGAATGCCTTGTTCGTCAAAGAAGCTTGCCAGAAACAGAAGAGCTGCCGCAGATGGTCTGATTTCGAGAATGTACTCGATTGCCAATTGACAAGGTATGACTAGGCACTCTCTCATGTTCACATGATGTTGATCAGCATCGGTAAGACTAAGTGCACTGAACTCGCTGTTGCACAAATCATCGACATATCGCCCCACGGAATAAGTAGCCCCTCGGTAGTTGATATAAGCTGCTGCGATGACAATTCCCAATTGCAGAAACATAAGTTCTTCAAGAGCCATGCCGACTGTCTCGGTGTTTGTTGCCCGATGCTTTAGCTTTGTCTCCAGCAAGGTCTCAGCATAGATCGACCTCATTGGATGGATCAGGACTAGATCCCCACGTCTATCAAATTGTTCCACGATTTCGAAGCTCCGGGTCGTCAAAATAATAGCTCCATTTGGGCAACGACGAAGAAGGTCAAAAAGGGAACCAGGTCCCCTAAGCCCTACTTCGTGAAAAAAATCGGCATTGTCGACGTGATCCAAAACAAGCATCCATCTTCCTGGTTGCTCATTCTGTAACCAATCACACAGAATTCCGAACTTGTTCGCATCAGGATTCTTATAGCCAGGAGCCTTGACACGTTTAGCAAGGTCCGCGCAACTTTGCTGGAAGCGAGCTGGAGTACGTGAGTTGATCCACAGGACCCATGTATCGGGTGACTTCTCTCGTACTCGGTATGAGTACTCGATAGCTAGATGGGACTTGCTTCTCAGTATTAGCGGTTTAGTGATACCCTCGGTAGTTCTTGACGAACCCTGTCCCACCTGCGCCAACAAATATCACTGGACGCTCTGTTTGGGAAGAGCATCTGAAGTGAACTTGACCGACGAGGCCTCCAATATCAACGAAATCCGGATCGCGCGGGAATGGCACGGTGGATAAAGGCAATGGCGTCGACTCAATATCTAAAGAAGACATTTCGAAGACTTGCGTTCCGATCTATTTGAGGTGGATATGGACGCAGTGTAATCGGAGATGTTCTCTGGAGCGCAGAGCTCTGATAAGGCCACAAAACAGACCGGTACTTTTGTAAGGTATACGGCAGTGGGGTAGATCTGATTTCAGAATTCTAGGCGGGCAAAGCGTCAATAAGTACTCGAGCCCAGTCAGCCTCAGCCTCATCATGTGACTGTAAGGTATATAATGCCCCGCATCTCTGCATGGATGCCCGGTTTGAGAGTGCTTATTTGTGGTGGACTGATGTCCGTCGCGTGATCTTGCGTTATTTGCGGGTTTGAAGCACATATTCAAGTGGAAAATACGTGGATATGGCATTATAAATTATCTATTGTACGAATTCAACACCGCGAGTCGGACTCCTAGTACCTGGGTGTATACTCGATGATATCTGCTCTGTAGTTTCGGATAGTGCATCTTACCTAACACCGTCAATGTGCTATTCAACTAACCCTGCGTTATGTTCAAACACAGCCTCCTTGGACTACTTAACCATAGGCCTGGGAGATGGGGATCGATAACTTCCTCGGTCATCAAAGTTCTTGAAAGCTTCTTTGCGGGGGTTGAAGTCCAATTCTGATACGTCACAATCGTTCGCAAGGTCTCGAAGATTCTCTACCGAGCCAAAACTGAAGTTTCCACTAGAGTTTGGACTGAATAATGGAGGTCGAGGAGGAACAGGAGGAGATCTCGAGGGCATCGGAGGGGAATAGCCTTCGAAGCTAGCTCTGCCCTGAAGAAGAGAACAGCAAAGTCAGCACAGGAATTTGTTTCGAATTTCTCAGAATGATCTTACCGGCAACTCATGGGGGCTATCCGATCGGACGGGCTCTTTGGGCGTATGCTTGGATGTAGTCTTGTCGGTAGAGTTGGGCGTGAAAGACTTCTCTATTTGTCTTTCCATGGATCGTTTCTCTTGGAAGATGGATACATCAGACCGTGAAATATTATCTTTCATTGTCTGAAATGAATATCGCCAGCCCATTCCGAGACCCTTCAGTTTCTCGCCCTCTGACTCGATACGAGACCCGTCTTGTTTATGGTCTTCTTTCCGGAACACATTCGACCATCTGTGTCCTTTTCTGTGCACGGATGGATCGGGAGACAAGACAGCCTCATCTGTGTCTTTCGATTCGGATGATTCGCTGATAGATAATTTTGAGCTGTGTCGCTCTGGTCTTGTAAAAGCCTTACTACTGAGATCGCTGAATCTTCCACCCAGCTGTGTGAGGTTGCTGGATTTCCGATTATTCTCCGAGGCAGCAATGCTTGCCACATCACTTGGTGTCAAATCTTCGTGGTCGTGAAGATTTGTTACGTTGTTGAAAAATGGCTTGATCATATTGCTCAGATCCTGAAGAGCTGCAGCGCTCGTCTGAACGCGTAGATGTAGTCGATCGCATTCTAATTTTGAATCCTTTGTGGAGACCGACTTTTGTAGGTTCTTAACATGCACGCCGAGTGTACCAAGCGCCCTCCTAAGGTCTCCTTGGCTAGCTGCAAGGGCTTCCCAACGATCTCTCATGATTTGAGCATCGATCGACTGTCGCTGGCTATCAGTAACTGCTTCTTGTGACAGTTGCACCAAAAGCTCTACTCCTGTTTTGACTCCACGAAGCGCACGGCTCGTGGTCATCAATTTTACTTTCTGCTCGGCAAGTCGAGCTGAAATATTTGTGGCCTGGCTGACTTCATAGACCAGATACTCCACAAATTGTTGAAGGTTATTTATATCAATTGAGATATTCATTCGCCAGACTTCTTCAGGAGCGATCGTTTGTAGAAGCTGCTTGGCATATATTGAAGCAGATGCAGCAGCATATCCTTTCCAACCCTCTCTATTGTGCGAGTCGGCGTAGTCGCAAATTCCTCGAATATGCAGACAGGGAAACTTATTTGTCGCACTAGCCGGCTCTTTCTTTGAGCATAGGACGCCAAGCTTCTTCCCAACATTATCTCTGACACTAGCATGACTCGTAGTTTTGTCTGTTGAACCAATTTTTCCAGAATGTACTTTGATGCGATCATAGTCAGGGCGTTTTGGTCGAGGTATGAGTTTCGTTTCATCGGGCGAAGAGAGACATTCACAGGAAGAGTCGTGTTCGTAATCAGCCTTCCAAAGACGATCGATGGAGTTTTGCGGTTTTTGATAGTCGTCTTTAATTTTCTGGGTTTTGGTAAATGTCTTCTCCAGCAAATTGTATAGGTCTAAGCCTTCATCTAGCTGAACTGCAAGACCTTGTGTGCCTGTGAAAAGAGCCCGGCCCGCTGGCTCGACATGGCTGGAATGCTCAAATTCATCGGTCGCGGCCCCCACGTAGCGAATGATTTCAGTGCCAATCACGATATCACCCAATCGTATGTCATTGGCGAGGGTCGGTATACCTCCTGCGATTCCCACTACAAGCAAAAGCCGGATCATGGGAAAACTGCTTCTCATATCATCGGCTGCATCGGATGCAGAATTGATGCCATACTGCGCATTCTCGAGACATGTGATCAAGACATAATGGCTTCCGACGCGGCCGTAGGTGTAGGTGTTGCGATCGCTCCTGGGAAGGACGAAGTTTGTGGTCTCGAATTCTTCGTCTAAAACTTGTCGGGCTGCCGTATACTCTTTTCTGATCGCAGTGACCCAGCCGACGGTAAAGTCACCATGCGACGGAATCATATTGGTCAATTTCTTGGCCAGGGGGATTAAGCGGGAAGCACTCTGGGAGAGGGACTGGCTCTTGGGAATAATTTTCAGGGTTGAGCCAGGTGCAGCTTTCCCACGCAGCTAACGCCATCTCGCTTTTGACGCGCTAGGATCTCTGTGGAGGGAACCACGCTCAGCCGCATATACCAACCAGAAGAGGACTGGACCGTGACCAAGGTGCAGGAAGTTGAGAACCAGCCCGTTTCCTGAACCTCTCTGATTTGTTGCCTTTGTTTGACACGTCATGGGTTGAACAGGGGTAAAATGACTCGGGGGGGGGCTAACAGGGATTCTACTATCAAAAGTGGTTTAGCGGTGCAGCAGAAATCATGCGGGTTTGGGGCCAATTCAAGCCCCTCGGCGCCTAGAGCATTCGATTCCGAGGATCGACGCTCATATCTCATATCATATGCATTCAAGAAGCCGTGCGAGAGAAGAAGTTGTATTGACCAAAATTGTTTGATCTCTGGTGGTCGTCTATGGTCGGGTCGAGGCAGCCAAATGGCCCCCAACTCTCAGCCACAAGATTCAAATCTCTAACGTGACAGGTTACTGAAACAGTATTCAGTTTGTCTATTGGGGGCCAATAGGTAGCTACGATTTACTATAGATACTGAGGTCTGCTATTGAGAAACAGTATGTATACCTGTGCGCACCTAATCAATATATTTTTTGGTACGACAAGCCAATAACAGCTTCAGCAAGGAGACCCACCACTTAGTAGTCCAAATATAAGTCTGTATTAAAGCGCGACCTCGTATATTCCAACTACTGTTCGAACTTTGTTCTTATCTTTCCATTAATCTGAGCTTAGCACCTGGCAATACACATTGCTAGATACCTCGGGGGCATTCGAATTAGGTTCGGATTGATGGCTGGATCATTCGAGATTTCCTGACCTACCTACTTCCCATCTTATGCCGACTGACCACTTGGCATCTAAAGCTTAGATATATCTCAGCGAATTGCCTCACCGAAAGCTCTTTTATCTAATGAGGCTCCCTCATCTTCCTCCCGTTAATACTGCTTCGCTGCTCGGGTACCGGATAAGCCACGACAGATTCGTGCGGAATATCAGTCATGTGCGGCATCACCAATTGAAGGTGATCAATGAATATAATACCAGAAGTTCGAGAATATGTGTTCCAGAAATTAACCGGTTCGGCGGTTTGAGTGGATCTCAGATCAATCAGATCGCCGCTGTCTCTCCCTTTCGGAACCTTCGGAACCTTCGGGATCTGCTCACTAGGTGATTCATGGGCCATCCATTTCCGTGGGACCTGCGACATCAATTTTTGGAAATTGTAACTATACACTGACACTCTTTCTATACCTCGGCCCTCCAGAGAAATATAGGGGCAAATTATATAACAGTACCCTTCACTTGCTTCTTGTCGACATTAAAGTTCTTCCACAGAAGAATAGCTGGAATACCCAAAACCAGGATGCAGGTGGACGCAATGCAGTTCATTCGCTGCGAGTAGCCCCAAGCATAGGCAGCGGCTTCGCGAACCGGAGATCCAACTGGGTACTTCAATTGAGTAACAAAGCTACCCTCGAAGATCGCTTCAGCATTAGCTTGTTGGTCCGCAGGTAGATGACTGCGGAGGGCCCCAAGGTAGGTGTTGTTGTAAATAGCGGCACAAACTGCATACCCGATCGAGCTTCCCACATTATTGAACAAACTGATTAGGGATAGTGCTAGCGGAATGCCTTCACGGTCACCTCCCGCCATGGCGGCCATGTCGTTTCCAATGACCAAAGTACCACCAGCAAAGGCAATGAAAATTTGGCTCATGATGATATATCCGATGCTCTGATCAGCACCACGGAAGTAAATCATGAGACCTGACCCAAGCATCATAAGCGGCAAGCCGAAGCATAAACATGCCCACTTGAAATGCTTGGTTTTATAGATGTACAGTCCCATCACCACGGACCAGAAGCAGGAGCCGACATTGTAGGTCTGCATCAGGTAACCAGCCTTCGTGTAGCCGAGGTCATAGACAACGAGCAGGAATGCTTGGAAATATGTGTCCCATAGGTCGAAGTTGAAGAATAAGACAAGGCTGAGCAGACAAGCACCAGCGATAGAGCGATTTTTGAAGATCTCCCACCGAATGAAGTGCTTCCGAGCAAAGTATTTTTCCCAGATACCGAAGGCCGGAAAGAGGCAGAATCCAATAACAAGCATGGCGATAAACTTGGCGCTGGAATATTCGGCAAGGCCATATGATGTCAAGCTGAATGGCAGCAAAAAGAGAATGAACGCAGCCATGATGATGCAAGCACCAATTACTGAACGCAATTGTATTGTTAGCCAGATCAAAAGGGAAAAAAACATAGTCAAAGGGATGAACATACCATCGAACTCGTGGATATAGTGAATGATAGATTGCAAAATGGTCCGGCCACTTGGTTCCCTCTTAAACAACCCCAATTTTTGGGCTTTCTTCTCGTAGATCTTAAAGACAATGCACAGAGGGATAAAGACGAAAGGTTGCACGATGGCAAAGACGCCAAATCCCCAGCGCCACCCCGATGTCTTAATAAAAGAAGTCACCGCCAATGGCGCAGTAAAAGCGGTGCAGATGAATGGAGTTGTGGAGAAAGCAAAGGCCCAGGCTCGGTTACGCAACCCAGTGGTATCCGCAATGAAAATTTCCAGAATAAGATAGATGAAGTAGTAGCCAACCCAATACAATGTGTATCCGGCAGCGAACGAGCTGGGCCCATTGCATGCAGCCAAAATGATCATACCAACGAGATAGATCACTACCGAGACAAAGAGACCCTCGGCACGGCCCCACAAATTCAGGGTCTTTCCTAGCGGTAGTTTTAACACGCCTCCCACAATGGCCGAGGTGATATAGGCTGTAGTGACCTGTGGGGCGGCATTAAAAGAGCCTAAGACATATTGCGACAAATTTGTCAACATGGTCTGGTGGAAAGCCAACATGAAATAGCAGACCCAAATCCTAATCAGATTGGTCGCAGATTAGCGCTAATCCGTTGCGGGGAAGACCCCTTTTTTCTCTTTAAACCACAACTCACCACCCATATATGCCGAACACAACCTTCTTCGTATAGACTAATGCAGCAGCCTCGGCTTTCTGAAGACCAATATCGGCATTCGGATTGATCTGGTCGGGGTGTGCCTGGACCTCCTTTTCATCGTGCCATTCTAAAGATTCTTCACCCGGGAGATCCGTAATGTCGTTTGCAGGCGGCTCTTGTTTGATAGTCTCATCTTCATAATCTGGTGGGAGAAACGGCTTCGAAGTCCGACCATTTTCATCTCGGCCCCGGATAGTGTCGACGACACCCATATTGTCGGTGACAACTTGAAAATTTCCGGTGAACGGTGTCCCGATTATCTATAGGTGAGATAGAACACCAGGACGGGTAAAGCGAAAGATTGAACAAGAAAATGCAAGGAGGGGACGATCAGCCTTTTTCTATGCATATGATTTGGAAAAGGGTCCAAAATGGAGACGTCCCGAATTCGCGCTTAACTCGGTTTCTGGAACGGTCTCCACATCTTTCTTTTTCATTCGTCTTCTGCGACGTACGGAGTCTTGTCGGAGTGTGGCGGGATCAGATAATTAAAACAGGGTTTCTTGAGTTGCTTTTGGCCCATAATTGACTTCCAATCACCGGCGACTCCGAACTTTCAAGGTGGCATATGGTCTGCCGATCTCGGGTTATAGGATCACGGGAATAATAGCATGCGATCCCTTCCTTTTATGGAAATGACTTGGTGGAGAAATTTTGGTTAACAATCGATTGCCGTAGCTTTCTCTCATTGTCTCTACTCCGTACTCTTGACCTTTTTACAGTACAATTAAGTGGATCAATGCCGCAATTGATCTTCTCGTTTCTTTTGAACGCGTTGGCCCCCATACAGAATCCCTCTATAAGGCCATTTAATCCCCAATTACCTACCTAAACAGGTATCAGATGGATCATCAATGAGGTATTTTTACGTGATTGGGTTGGAAGCAAGACAAACTTTATGGGGGCCGAGTACACTACCCTACCGCCACGGTCCGACCGGTCCCTGCAACCGGAAGGATTTCCATGGTCGACCAAGGTCAATCCATTAAGACTTATTTTCATCCAAGGTTCCGAGCCTTTTGCTCATCGATTATCTGATCGGTCTTATCTGATATCAGCATGGCGGCAGATCTACAATCTAGTGGAAATGGGCTCGGCTAACTGAGCCTATAGTACTAGAGCTTGATTGACATCATGATGACCGAGCTGATAAATTGTACATCTGACCCACAGTTCTGTCTATATATACACCTACTATCCACGGATTTAATACTTACCATGTTTTCTATAGGTACTTTGTATAGAGTCCTCTGCTTGGTGTTAAGTGAGTGAAAATCCTATCTGGTCATGGATTTTAAAAGGACTGAATGTCGCAATGGGCGATTCCAATAACGCTGATGCAACAGATTGATCCTTTCCACCTGAAGATCAACCTCCATATGTGTTGAACTGATCGGCGAGGAGGGATTCCCGAAATTAGGAGTGTGGTGCTAATAATGGCTGGAGTGAAAACATTTCTTAGCAGAGCAGTGTCAATGACTCGGCTTACCAAATGTGTATGTTGATATGATATACATTTCCTTACATCTGAATCTTATGATTTCCTTTGCATAAACTTCCTAGCTATTTAACTTTAGACTAGGCATGATAGCTCAGCTGAACATGTAACCGTAAGGGACTGTGGACTCTTGATTTTACATCTTGGTAGCTACGCATATTGAATAGCTTCCAAATTTGGTTCATGAAAACGACAATAATGATCACGGCAAGTATACTTTGGATGGCCCCCGCCCCCCAGCGCTTCAGTCTTCCCCGTTGAGCTCTTGTACAATGGCCCTAGCCCTTTGTAGAATGTCCTCGGTCCCCTGGAAGCGACAGTTCAGGGCCTCGGCTACTGCAGGCGCTTTTTCCGCTTCTGAAAGACGACCTTCAACCGCAATTACCGCATTCAAGTCTCTCACCATACACTCTACTTCCTCGGTGACTTTCATCTGTAGGTCATCGAAGCACTCATCAATTGCTTGTTTATACTCTCTTCTAGCTATGCTAGAGAGATTTGCAAAAAGCATCGAATGTGTTAGGTGATTCTCCATGATCTTCTTCCGGCGTCTGTCACTTCCCGTGCCTACAAAATGATTAATAATTGGAGTACAAATGTCAAGGTTCTGACAAACCTCCTTCTTGGTTGATTCTGGCATATGCAGGCTGCATCAGGCCTGAAATATACGAGCTGGCATGACCGAAAGCCATGTCTCGTTTTGTGTTCCTTGAAATCTAGTAAGAATAGTGCTTGCGATTATCCATGAGCGAGGACTCATACTCTGAAATTTGTTTGATCTTCTGCATGGAATTCCAGAAATGATCTTCGACACATTGCTTCCTGACATCCATGCTTCGTTGCAGATTCTCGAGCGCGCGCGGTGCAAGATGAATATGCGCTATTTGAAACTGTTAAGTGATGCGTTTTATCACCCAAAACAAGGATGACTTACCATCGATTTCTCTGCAACATTGGTCAAAAACAGCGCCAGTGACTCTCTCCAAGATTTCCTCCTGCAGATGTAGCCAATTCTGTATATTGTCCCAATTAGAGATGAGCTGATCCTGCGCTGGTCGGAGTAAATCATCATTCCAACAACGACCTTCAGGTACAGCATCGGTCCTATGTTCTCCAAAATGCCGACAAAACGCGGTATACGTCGCATGGGACCACTAGTAATATAATTAGGGCCGGAGCTTTTGGTCAGAAATTCTTATGAAGAAACCTACTCCTGCCCATTCCCGGCTGATCTGAATACTTCCGGCCGTCCAGGGAGTCAAAGATTGCCCTTAGACTTCTATTAGAGGTCGAACAGAATTCACATGGTGAATAGACTCACGAATTATGCCGGTAATGCATTCGTTATGAAGACCAACCAAGCCCCGGCGCAAGACATGAGCCAGTCCCTGATTAGAAATGAGTCCCTATGAAAAATCAGAAAATTTCAGATCTTGTCATAGGCTAATCGAGGCCTAGTATACCACTCTGGGCTAGAAATACCCTATGGAAAATATCCTGCGCATTTTCCAGAGCCTGCCGCAGGAGAGCGGCATTTGCACCTGTGACAGAGTCCGTGCCAGACAAAGCCCACTGACGCAAAGATAAAAGCAGAGCTGGCACTTGATGATTCAAAAATTCTGATGTTGCGCGCATCAGTGCGGCAGATGGTACTAATTGGCAGTAGCGGCGCAGCTCCCGAATTCCCGCAAGATCAACGTATGCTTCTTCCTCACTGTGTCTGCTAAAGCGGTACTGGGAGTAGAGTGTGTTGCTAACACAAAAGACCTTGACATCTGGGTGTCTTGCAAGGAGACCTTCTGTTACCTGGAGGTTTCGATGAGTGGTGAGAAGCTTCCGCATACTAAACAATGATTTAGCAGGCCGACATCAACCCGAGTATCGTGCAAAATTGACTCACTCGAAATTCATTTTCGTTTCCCTTTCACTACTGCATATTCAGCCCACAGGACTATTGCACATTGGGATAAGCAACCTACCGTAGCTCAAATAGCTTGACCGCCAACTCTGCTTGCCTTGCATTAGATGTTCGTCTGGCTCTGGACTCAGTTGATTGAATCTTCTGCCGGACAGCCTGGAGATTTTTATGCAATTCCTTGACTCGACGAGAATGGGCGTTATCTCCGCGAGAAGATTCTTCAGGAGAATTGTCCTTGAGAGACGAGTCAGTGAGCAAATTCCTATCTGAAGGGCGGCTGCCGATACCTCCGACTTTGTGCAAATAATTCGTCGCGGCTGACCATCTTTGCATCTTCGCAAAATGTCTTGGATCGACGGGTTTGTGCAGGCACGGCCGATATCGACCACAACGAAAACTTCATCGCAGCTATGAGAAAGATACCGCTCGGTCGCTCGAACTCTGGCAAAATTCAGATCACTGAAGCCTAGTATAGGTTAGCCCAGATCCTGACTGTGACAAGAGGACCGATGGATTGCTTGGTGCGTACCAGGTAGATCGGCCAATACTAAGCCGGTTCGTAAAATGGGTGATCTGAGATATACTCTGCAAAGACATCAGAAATGATACTGCTTCCGAGGAAAGCTCACAAACCTGATCAACTTTATGAATGGCCAAAGCGCCGGTCTACCTTCAGGAGAATTACTACCAGTCAGCATATCAAGGGTATCTCTGCACTCCTCGATATCACCAGCAATGACAGAGTATTCAGTTGCATCAAGCCCACCAGGTCGGTGTGCTAAGCCAGCAGAGGCCCATCGCTCTAACTGTGCAAGAAGACTTGAGTGAGCGCCTTCGTAGTCTTCGGAAAGGTGCTCCATCGTTAAACCGGGTTGATCACTGAACAAAGACCGGAAGGTTTCCCAGGCTTTCTCAGCTTGAGCTTTACACTTAATCTGATCCTCGTGCGTGTTCAACTCCAAGCAGAATCGAGTGACGTGGAACTGACGGAAAGTTGTAAGCAGCTCTCCTAAAAGGTCTTTCATTTCTTCTGAAGACATGAAGTCAGCTTCAATGGTGAAAGGTCCGGTGTGGTTGTCATCAACATGTCGAAACTCAGTCACGACGCAGGTGCAAGCCGAGCCTTCGCTGCTCTGTAAATTTATATCAACAAAGCTGCGTGATGTACCTAAGAGATGAATTGGAAAGATGAGACATACCGAGCGTGACAGGCTCTGCTGATCAAGCAATGAATTAATCAAAGAGCTTTTTCCTAGCCAAACATCAATATACAAGTCAACAGAATGAGCGATTAGAAAGCTATACCAACGCCAGAGTCACCAATAAAGCCCACGGTTCGAGTCACTGGATACTCAAACATGCTCATTTTCTTAGTCTTTTCAAACAGGGCATGGAGAGCAGAAGAATGATCTTGGTTCAACTCAGAGAGTCCCATCATTTCGGCCAGAGAAGCCAATTCGCTTTTAACTTCTTTCAGACTATCCTGTAGCCGATGATTATAAATTGGGGCAGCAGGAAGGGGCTCTTCGCGGATATCAACTGTCTGAGCTTCGGTTCTTTCATCATCATCGCTACCTTCATCGCTATCTGAGATTTCTTCGTCTCCTGTGGCATCATTCCCGGAAATAGGATTTTCCTCTCCAGCACTCGAGGCAGGAAAAGCTCCAGGAACATTTTCATAGGCTCGCGTAGAGCTGGAAAATACTGAACGAGTCCTTTGGGAAGCTTGCCTACCATGTGATGTAGGTAGAACCCCGGGTCTTGGACTTGGAGAGGCATTATGCTGATGTCCATAAGTCGAGGGCGAGCTACCCGGGCTTAGCCATCCACTTGTTGGTCTAGATCTAGGGGTGTGCATTGTGTCTGAGGAATCGTTCAGACTCAAACTCTGAAATAAAGGGATCGAAGTCGGGGTTTGCGGGGTCCAAACTGAATTTCCTTCGCTACTGCTGTCTCGAGATGACGACGAAGGGGTGAGCTCCACTGCGGATCGTGCGCTCATCGAGAAGGTGAATTCAGAAGTTGGCACAGCCATCCTAATGTGTCTGCTTTCTGACAGGTATAGCTAAGGTTGATCCTGACCGTCGATGAGAAGAAAACGCCTGGTCACAAGGGGGTTAGACAATTTGTTATGAACGAAGGACCCCACATTCTGAAGCAGGCTTTTTTGCTGCTAGTCGCGCCTGCCGGCTCTAAGGCTGTACATTAGCGCCGTGCTTCACCCACCATCATGCGCACACCATGAGTGTTGAGTGTGGATGAATCACAATGCCATACTTTTTTCCTCTCTATGAGTACTCCGTAAAACAGCTTGCTCTCACTCGGACACCTTAGTGTGTTAGTCCAGCATATTCTGCACTACAATTATCTTCGTAAGCCATTGAAATCTGTTGAGAATATCACTGTTCAGGGAGTCATTTTGGCCCCCACAAGTTAGCGGGTCCAGCTGCATTCCAACCCCTGCCAACGCGAAACGATGCGTGCGCAATCTCGGAGGAATTAGTGTGATCTATTGGTCTGAAATGGTCCATCTGTTTATCATAAAAAACTCTTGCTTCTAAAACAGCGACAATGTCGGAGGAACTCGGTACTTTACTCCGTGCGGCCATCGTTCCTGGCGAGTTGGGCGACTGAGGACTAGAAAACTGAAGTGTGCCCGTCGATGCCACATTTTTCAAACCCCGAAGCAGAGACGACCGTGTAGGGCGTCTAATGATCGGAAGTTCTTTTCGCTTCTGTCAGTTTTAGGGTTAGTATCTCGCACACCTAATAAAATGGCGCTTAATGACTGGAACACGGCAACGTGAAGACTAACGAGGATGGTAGATATTGCCCAGTGTTTAAAATTATATCACAGTGCTAATCCTCAGTGACAGGTCGGGCGATGATTGTAAGTAAACCGGAAAGAACAACTCGAATTCGCCCAGAGCAAGATATATCCATTAGTGGTTATAGGCCACGTGACATGAGCAGAGGATCATCTTCAGGTACGATTAGGTCACTTTCTCAAAATGTTTCATACTATGTAATCATGATTATATTTAGCAATATAGCCAAGGGACTTACTGATGTGTCGAGTCTTCTTGCCATGGGAAAGGTATGAAATCAAACTGAAATACTTGTAATTGAGGCTCTGGCAAAATATGCACAAGAGATCGATGTTGCGCTTTCTTTATTGATAAATATAAGCTGTGGCCGCCGGTCGTCCTCTTGTAAATACGCGTAGTCTTCTTTCAATTCGACATGTTCTATGCAGAATCTCTCATGGGTGCGGAACAGATATCCCGAAGTAGGTCAACAGCTCTTGGAAATAGTTTCTGTTTTACAAAGTATTGGGAAAATGGCCGAATCAGTTGACTAGCTTATCATATAATGAGGCTGTGCGACCTCTCATCAGCCACCGTACAGATCAGTTTGTATAAGCCACATCATTTTGAGATTTCGTACTCAAAATTACTAGTTGTAGTGTGTTTTAGCTGGCTTGAAGCCGCTAGCCCAAATCCAGACTAGTATACCGTTATCAGTCGAATTTCCCATCAATTATCCTCTGTTTCCTCTCATACATGAAAATTTCTCCATTCCAACTGCTATTGGCTGCGCCGGGTGAACACTTGTACTATCATCTTGTGATGGCCTTCGGTGATGCCGGTAAGACCCAGGGCTAGTGTTCTCTTTTTGTTTTATTTTCGTCTTTGTTTATTTTTATATTTTTCTTTTTGAACAATGAGTATGTGTACTCTAAATAGCCTGCCTAAATCCAATGTACAGCCTTCAAAGTTGCTTCCTCTATCAATACTACCTGCTTGATACACTTGAAATTCTGTACCGTATATATTTTCAATCAATATGATGCAGACCAGATTTAAAAGTCTCGATCTCGACCACGAATTTACTTGAAGAAAATCAGCATCTGAGAAGAGGGACCCACGTCAGAATTTCGTAGTGTGCAATCAATCATCAGGGTGTAAGATGGAGGTGTTCACGACTGAGCGGTGGGAACATACGGGGGTGCGGGGTTAAAGCGACTTGGGATTTTTTAGACGACCCGGAGGAACCGAGACGTGGCTAGCGTGGGTTTGTTGGCGAGAAGGGTCTCTTCTCTTCCTCAGTGGCCAGATTAAAGGCACAGCCAGCATGCCTAGCGGCTTCAGCTCAGCCTTCGCCAAAACACCTGAGACCTCAACAGTTCATCATGAAGTTTGACGAGACGGCAGCAATGCAGAGTTCCGTTTCGAGTCATTAAGTTTTTTGACACAACAAAGTTATCTCGCTACTGACCGCGTATCTTGATGTGGATTCTCAGCCGTTCAATTTTAGTCTTAGGAGACTAGTGGTTACTAGTAAGGCATCGTTTCAGCCAGCCTCTCGGCGAACCATTGAACTAGGCTAAAAGGGGGCGGAAAAGAACGCCAAACCTCACCACTTTAGAAACATGGCTTTCTTTGCCAGCAGTTTGCCGGCCATATCCGAAGCTCCACAAACACATACTGCAAACAAAGTATGTAGATCTGTGCAATCTTGATTCCGTAGATATGACTTACGCTTCACTTTTCGCGAAAGGTGCATCCCACTACAAAGCTCATCGCCCAATATTCATTGAATCAGTCTTTCTATTTGTTTATTTATGAAATTGATTATGGAATATATAATTCTCTAATAAAAAATATCTATATATTAGCTCCTTAAAATAAGGATGGCATCTCAAGGAGCAACTTTCCACTCCCGTAATCTATATTTTCACCGGTATAAAAAAACACAGATTCCATTCCAGGAATGGCCAAGTACGACTGGGCTGTTTCTATATATTCTACTTATTTCTTTTTCTCTGCCTGTTCTTTCCTTCACACCTCTTCTGGCATTGTGATCGAATTATCAGCACAACGGACAGTCGGACTTTTTCTGACCTCTTGTACCTTACAAGCACAGACGCATTGTGATTGTCCTTCTGGACAAATACCAACATGGCAGAACTGCAGGCATTGCCTTCCTACATGCCACTAGAAGCCCCAGTCCCTCCAGTGCCTTCAACTGAAATTTTGACTGATCTTCAGTGGGAGACCCTTCTGGCTTTGGCTGATACTGTCATACCATCTGTCCGTGTTGGTGCAGACGCCTCGCCTAACCAGAAAAACGTCACAGATGGGCAGTTTGAATCTGCAGTGTCGAAACTAGCGGCAAATATCCGGGTACCTAACGCTACAGATGTGGCCAGGTTCTACTTGCAAGAGAATGCCTCGTCTCTCCGAGGATTCAGAGATGGTCTTCAGTGCCTTTTTGCAAATGACGTTCATGAAGAGGGCCGGAAAGGGCTCTGCATGATATTGGATGTTCTTAAGTAGGTACTGCTTTCCCCCGAAGGAGAATCTTGAATGCTAATGATCCTCTAGTACCCGTGCGGGTGCTCTTCTCCTGACTGGTTCGATGATTCCAGTTCAGAACCAACCACTGAAAGTCCGCGAGCAAATTTTTACAGCGTGGGGATCATCTCGATTGCCCCCAATTCGTCTCATTCACAGGTCTTTGTTGGCCATGTTTAAAAAGACATGGATGGTTTCCAGCCCTACATTGCCGATCGCTGTGGGAATCCCTCGAGTTCCCATGCATGGGAAGCCCGCCGATGGCTTTGAGTACGAGTTTCTGCAGTTTTCTCCAAGCAATGACCCGGAGATCATTGAAACAGATGTGGTTATCATCGGCAGTGGCTGTGGTGGTGCTGTCACAGCTAAGAATCTTGCTGAAGCCGGTCACCGCGTTTTGGTCGTCGAAAAGTCATACCACTACCCATCAAAATACTTTCCCATGGAAACCAGTAAAGGCCTTGTGAATTTGTATGAGGGGGCGGGCTCAGCTCTCACTGATGATGCGTCGGTTGCACTCTTTGCTGGCTCAACTTGGGGCGGTGGCGGCACGATCAACTGGGCGTGTTCGTTGCAAACTCAAGCCTTTGTACGCAAGGAATGGGCTGATTCGGGCTTGCCCTTCTTCACCTCGGCCGAGTTCCAGAACTCTCTGGACCGCGTCTGTGACCGAATGGGTGTTGACTCGAAGCACATTAAGCACAATCGGCAAAATCAGGTCATCCTAGAGGGTGCTCGAAAGCTCGGGTATGCTACCGAGATCGTTCCGCAGAATACTGGTGATGAAGAACACTACTGTGGGTATTGTACAATGGGATGCGCCGCGGCGGGAAAGAAGGGGCCCACCGAAACCTGGCTGGCGGATGCGGCTAAGGCTGGTGCAATCTTCATGGAAGGTTTCAAGGCGGACAAGATCACCTTTACTGAAAAAGGTGGAATACTCAATAAAGAAAAGATTGTCACTGGTGTGGAAGGGACCTGGACTCCGAGGGACTCTTATCTCGTTCCGGAGCAGGGTAATGCTACGAAACGGAAGATTGTGATCAAGGCGAAGAAAGTGATTGTGTCATGTGGCACTCTCAATAGCCCTCTTTTGCTTCTTCGCAGTGGCTTGACAAATTGGAATATCGGTCGAAACCTTCATCTGCACCCAGGTAGGTATTTCCACCGACTTTTTGGATGAAATCTGCTAATCTCTTACATAGTGCTTTTTGGAGCTGCCATCTTTGATGAAGAGATTCGACCCTGGGAGGGCTCTGCACTGACCACCTTGGTCAAGGAATTCGAAAACCTCGATGGCCATGGTCACGGTGCCAAGGTCGAAGCAACCGTCACCCTACCGCCAATGTATCTACCAACTTTCCCCTGGCGTGATGGACTCGATTATAAAATGTTTTGTGCCAATCTTAGCCACATGACAAGCTTCATCTCCATCACCCGGGATCGAGATTCTGGACGAGTCTACCCAGACCCGGTTGATGGAAGGATTCGTGTACAGTACACGCCTTCGGCATTTGATCGACAGAGTGGCCTGGAAGCATTGATCGCCAGTGCGAAAATTGCATACGTCTCTGGTGCAAAGGAATACCACACTTCTTATGCAGATATGCCACCATTCTATCGATCCGAAGAGGCTTCAGGGCCCGACGGAATAGATGAGGGTATAAACAATGTGGAATTCCAGAAATGGATAGGTCAACTCCGTCAGAAGTCGCCGCTAAATGTGGAGAAAGCTTTCTTTTCCAGTGCGCACCAGATGGGTACATGCCGAATGGCTAACACTGCAGCCAAGGGTGTTGTGGACCCTGAATGCCAGGTTTGGGGCACGAAGGGGCTTTATGTGATCGATGCGTCGATTTTCCCCAGTGCTAGCGGCGTGAACCCAATGGTCACTAACATGGCTATTGCTGACTGGGCCAGTAAAAATCTGTCGAAGGACATGCAGAAAGAAGAGACGACTGATAACCCGTCAGCGCGGCTGTAAGGGGGTTACTTGGAGTATGTAAGGGAATGGCTACCATCTGCGAACTTCAGCAGATTATTTTGTTATCACATCTATAAGCCGGATTGATATCCCTGAATCATTCTACCTTTTTTCACCGATACAGTATTCCCATGCTGTGCTGAATTATGCATGAATTATAACATAGCATAATGGAATGTAGCGCGTTAAACGGGGGTTCGATTTGTGACCAAGGGGAAGGTTGCAATCCCACAAGTAAAAGACTGAAAAGGGTTGCCCCAATAGATGTTGCGTTGTGTGTCTCTGTTGCGCATATGCTGGCTTTTCGTAGTCACAATAGCAACCTTGGAATGTCTCTTATGTATATATATTTGAAGAGATAAGGGGCGGAATGACGCCTGGAGTTGACATTGAAATACAATGAGTGTGTCATGCATTGTCATAATTCTTAAACTTCTCTAAATCATTTATGTTTGGTCTATAACAATTTGCCATCGTCGCAGAACTCAATCCTTGGCCAGGGTGTTGTCTTAGCTAACTTTTCAGCAGTCGGTCATACTCATCTCAGGTACTTCGATTGAAGCTTCATGAACGCATGCTCAAAACTTCCATTGCTCACACCAATGCCTCATCAACTGGGGCGAAACAGCCTCCATCTGCCGCATCGTCGAGCTGTACTCCTCTGTTCGGGTCGTCGCAAACGAGTACGCCGATCCGGTGCCTGCAGCGGCCGCCCGGAACGTGTCCAGCAGCTTCACCGCAGGATTCTGCTCCACATCCCCAGCATGCACCTGGCTCTTCTCCAGAGCATCCACCCACTCCTTCAGTGGGACAATGCGCTGAATCCGCTCGCCGTAGAACCCGCGCAAAGTGGGCAACAGATTTGGCCAGTCGGTGACGTTTTTGTTCAACGCATGGAAGTACCCATTGAGCTCCTCAACAGACATGCGGGCGGTCACTCCAGATACCTCCAGCACCACATTAGCAACATCCTCCACGGGCACCCAGCCCAGGTGGCCCATCACGCCCAGGGATTCAGGTAGGAGCCCGAGGTAGACGGAGCTGCGAACCAAGCTGGGTACCCACTCCTGTGGATTCCATTGGCCTTGCGCACCACGTGGGCCACCGACCTGTCCCACACGGATAATGGTGCGCGACACGCCAGATGAAGCAGCAGCAGCGTCAAGGATCATGCTACTGGCGAGCTTGGACTGACCGTATCCTGTTCCAGCAAGAGACCAGTCTTCAAGTGCCGATTCCGGCACGACTCCGTTCGGCGTGGGCCAGTGGTCCACCGTGCCTACGCTGGAGATGAAGGTAATTGGCACATTCTTATGGGCGCGCACAACAAATTCGACTAGGTGGCGCACTCCGCGGAGGTGGGGCTCGAAGGATGCGATTGAAAGATTGAAGTTGACAGGCCAAGCGTTGTGAATCACGCGGTCTGCCTCCCGTGCAAGTCGGTCGTAGATATCAGCCGTCAGCCCGAGTGTCGGCTCGGCTAGGTCAACTTGCAGAAACTCGGCTCGCGTGAAATCCGTCGATAGGCCCCGGGATATGCTCGCCTCTGTCTGGCGGGCCTGGCCATCGGCAGCACGATTGAGGCAGAAGACGTGGCGCACATGAGGATTCGCGAGGGCTATGTCTAGTAGATAGGAGCCTATTGTGCCGGTGGTACCAGTGATGATAAGGACTTGACCTTCGTCAGCGGGGCCGGGCTTGTTAGGAATGGGGCTCGGGAGGTTTTGGGTGTATTTGTCCACAAGGGCGCGGCAGGCTGCAGTCTCATCAGTCACGGCTGCGGCAGAGGAGGACGACACAAGGGTGTAAGCGAACTCCGCCAGCTTTGCGATTGTGGGGTAGGTGTAAATGGTACGCGGCTCAAGGGCAGCTTCGCTGAACTGCACACCAGCTGCCGCTAGACTGATGCGAAGAATCCGCGCCAGCTGAATCACTTGGAGCGAATCGACACCCGCAGCAAACATATCATCATCCATGCCCAGCGTAGGCAACTGGAGCACGCTCTGTATCGCGGCGCACAGCCCACTGACAAAAGCCGGTTGGGATGAGAGATCAAGGTCGACTGTGGGGGCAGACACGTCACGGCTAACATCGAAGATCTTTTCAATATCGCTTTCGTAGACCTTGACCGTCATGGCACGTTGGATGGTACCCTTGCCTGCACGGGGGAAGGGACGCTCTGGGTCCGATAAGAAGACATATTCGCGGGATATCCGGCCATGAGCCACCGTATCAATATTTACTTTCTCAATGATGGGCCAGATGTCATCAATGAACCGCTGCTTATCTTGCTCAGTCTCGGGATGCTGGACCGGCTCGATGATCAAGGCAGCATGGAATTGCTTGGTGCCAACGACCTGCGCGCCGAGGACGCCCGGGTGACCCATGACGGCGCCTTCAATAGTCGTCGGGTTGAGCTTTTCTCCAGTTGAGAAGACAATGATATCATCGGCCCGGCCCACGTAGGTCCAGTGGTTAGCCAGAGTTGGGTGCGGCCGGTATAGGTCCTTTGTGCTGAATTCGTCTAACTCAGGGAAGACATAGAAGCAGGCCTGCAGCCCGGGGTGATTTTTATCCCGACGGACAATGACTTGCTCGTAAGTACCATCGCCGAAAGGTCGCCAATCAATACCTATCATCTCTGTCGGGACGATAAACCACGCCCAAAGGGAGGGATCGGGCTGTGAGTAGTAGGTCATATAGATGTATCTGTTTGTTGTCAGCCAGCATGTTCCGGCGCGAAAGTTATCTTGACACCGCTTACTCAGTTGAACCTATGGCATTGACCAAGTGAACTCCCTCACTGAGTAAGTGATTGGCCGGGACCGGAGCTACATTACCTGCAGCGAAAAGCAACATTCGTTAGCGCAGTTCATCACAACACCCGTGCATCACTAACCTCCGGCAAATCCTGCAACGTTGAGCTTCTTCAGCTCATCTATGGCGACCTGCGAGCGCGACATCTGCTCCAGGGTAGCTGGGGGCATGAGCGTCCACCCTGGATTTGAGTTCTGCAACCACTCGGTCACATTGTCGGCGGTGATCGGCATCGACGGATCGCGGAACGCAATCGGTGCATTATAGTAGAAGCCACACAAGGTTGAGGTCATGATGCCTGCAGTGTGGAATAGAGGGAAGATGAGGAGATAACGGCTATTCTCAAAGCTTGTCCACGTCGGTAGCCATGGCAAATTGCCTTCATACGGTGGGACTGCCCGGTGCAGGTCGTTTAAGGCAAGCTTGCCCTGCGTAATGACTACCGGCTTGGGAAGGCCGGTGCTGCCGCTGGTGTGCAACACCACATAGGGGTCCCATTCGGCCTCAGTGAAAGTCTTAAGATATGGGATTGGCACGACATCTTCGGCAACCCACTCATCCCATGGTGCGATGGCCACACTCTCCATGCCTGGTCGCCCGTCTACCCAGGGCTTAACCAAGGAGGCGTATTGAGAATCATGGTAGAGAAGGTTACAATCGGTCTTATCGAATAGGTTTAGCTGGGCCTGGACCGAGTTACGCGGCGAGATGAACAAAGCCTGGTAGCCGGCTTTAACTGCGCCGACCACAAAGATTGTGTACCGCGGATCCTCTAGACCGATGTATGCGACAGTGGGAAACGTTCCGGGTGGTGGCTTGCCGCCTTTCTTAATGAGCATGTGGGCTACATAGTTGACGGCATTAGCGACCTGAGCCCAGGTTATGATCTTCCAACCATCGCCGGGACGGCCGTTCGTCCGTGGGATTGAGAAACATTCGGCATCGGGAGTTGCGCTGGCCGTCGCGTCAATAACATGTGGTATAAGACGCTTCCCGCACTCTCCTCCGTGAAGAGGTGTGACCGCTGGATCCACAATCGTTCCGAAAACGTTCACGCTCATTCTGTATATGTCCTCACAGTGTTTCGTGTTCGAGGTGAACCGAAATAGATAAAGGTGGACTTCGAGAGGCTATTAAATCCATGACAGTGGATATCCACCGTTGGCACCTGTTCAGCTGTCAAACATTTCAGCTCCGCCAAGTCAATAGCGTTGTCCAGTCAAGGTTAGCACGGATCCACTGCTCTATGTGGTTTTCGAAAAGTGGCATGGATTACCGAGCATTGGGTAGAAATACTCCGTACAGTTTGTTAACTTCAGAATTACTAGCGTCAGTTCGTTTTAACTACTAGTTCGCCGCTATTCCTATTCCATATTAGCGTATCACTGTATGTGGATACTCTTGCTAAATATTACTCTCTTTCTGACATACACCAGTCTGACTCTCAGTTCGTGGCTTACAGTGTGGCGTGTACTTTTCCTTCCATTGGTTTTCCCGTTCATATTTTTCCTGGGCCCTTTCAGCTGAAAAATCCACCCCGGGAATTCTGCAGGGTATGTATTATTTGTAATTGTTTACCAACTTTGGCAAAAAAAGAAAAATTGTTGAGGTGATGCCTTTAGCTTCTGAAGATAATAGGCAGAATTCGCATTTTTCTTGGTGCTTATGTTTACAAATTATTTCGCTGTGACGGGGTATCCCGATAGGCCGGGGGCAAGATACCCTTCAGCACCGCCTTTATCAGTAATTCTTATTGAGCTGCTAGCTGAGCCAGCTCTTGCAGCAGCTTCCGGTCTAGGCTCTGATCACACACTATGATTTAGGTACAGTATTGTACAGAGATTCTTGGATGCTGTAAATGCCACCCATATACAAAGACCACTGCTTTGCCCGGACAATATGGTCACTTGACAAATACGGGTAGCTCAGACCGTAAATTTGAGTTGGACTATAAAATACGTCTCTATAATGGTGAGGACTGAGCAAAATTGTTTGAGGAAATCCGAATCAGCTTACTTAAATGCACCTATAGACTCAGCACGTATATCATCCCGCGTATAAGAAGGCAGAATACAGGATCTCTCTTGGCTTTACTTCTCTCCGGGGACTTGATCCCAAACAAGATGGCTTACATGTCATTGACCTCTTGTTTACTTTGGGAAACTGAGGAGTGTGGGGAAAACGTCACAGTCGAGGTTCCTCTGAACCTTGAAAGTATTCAACTCCGAATACCCTTGGCAGGATTATCTTTAGCGTGACATGAATTTGGCTGCGGTAAGTCGAATAATATGCATATCGTCGTCATTGCTTGTCAGAAACAACGGGTAGCGCACGTGTAGCCTACCTGGGTGTGTACTCTATGATATTATTCTGAAATGCAGACAATGCATCTTCCCTAATACCCTTATTATACTCTTAGACCACATATACATTGTGTTCAAATGATAATTCCTCATAGATAGATTCTGATTCCCAGACTATAGATTAACTTCGGAAACTTCGATGAATCGCGGAAATTCGGAAACCTCCGAGTATCAGCACGATTTGAATGTTGTTACCAATTTAGCTATTTCTAGATACATACTCCTGAAAAAATCATTCCACCAAGACTGAGTCATCTGTGACTCAAGAATCCTTGTCCAAATCATATCTAGACGACCCTTATATGACGCCAGTATTGACACCCCTGCTTATACCGCCTGGCTTTCCTACATTTTGATTGGTCTGTGGTTGAATCGCCGGCAGAATCGCGTGGTTCTGCCGCTTTTGACCGTACGCCTCCACCTTCTGACTCAAATTTACATTCGGATCAAATATTAATCCGTCGGTCCCACTTGAGAAAACCATCCCACCATCCCACCAGCTTTCCCTCTCCCTGCCCTCACAAGTTTCATACTCCGTCGCAATGGAATTGACAGCGAAAGAACGATTCGACCTCATCCGCGAAAACCTCGCGGAGGTTTTGAACCCCGAGATCATTGAGGGTATCCTCGCAGAGGGCCGCAACCCGCGTATCTACTGGGGTGAGTCAGTGTAGATATATAGGCATTTATACCCTGACTAACCTTTGTTTGACATTAGGAACGGCCACTACCGGAAGACCACACGTCGGATACTTCCTCGCTGCTTTGAAGATTGCCCAATTGCTCCGCGCCCAATGCGACGTCGTCGTCCTGCTCGCTGATATCCATGGCTTCCTTGATAACCTGAAGGCGCCGCTTGAGCTTGTCGAGAACCGTGCCCAGTACTACCAGAAGATTATCACGGCAATCCTCCAATCTGTCGGCGTCCCCACTGAAAAGCTGGAGTTCGTTCTTGGCAGCTCCTACCAAAAGAGCCCCGAATACGTTATGGACGTGTACCGCCTGTCCAGCTTGATTTCCGAGTCCGATGCTAAGAAGGCTGGCGCGGAGGTCGTCAAGCAAACCGACAATGCTCCTCTGAGTGGCCTTCTGTACCCGGTGCTTCAGGTCCTCGACGAAGAGCATCTGAAGGTTGATTGCCAGTTCGGAGGTATGGACCAGAGGAAACTCTTTGTCGCTGCTACAGAATGGCTACCTAAGCTCGGTTACCGGAAGGTATGTCTCCTACGTACTTCAAGAGGCCCATATCTAACAGATTAATCTAGCGCGCGCATCTTATTAACCCTATGATCAGCGGATTGAAGGGTGCTAAGATGAGTTCTAGCATTGAAGGTAAGTCTTGTTCTATGATATTTGCTAAAATTTTGCTATAAGTACTAATATCCAACAGATAGCAAAATTGATCTTCTAGACTCTGCTGATAGCATCTCGAAGAAGATCCGCAAAGCGGAAGCAGCCCCTCGGGTCGCTGAAGACAACGGAGTTATTGCACTTGTCGAATCCGTTCTCCTACCCGCCGCTAAACTGAAGGGCAAGGAGGAGTTCATCGTCGAGCGAAGAGAACAGGAGCCATTAATCTACACTGATATCAAGCAACTTAAAGAGGACTATGTGAATGATATCGTATGTTCCTTATCTCCATATCATCATATGTCGTGATAACTAACCCCTCTATAGTTAACACCACAGCTTCTTAAGCCTGCTGTGGCAGCCGGTCTTGTCAGCCTTATGGCACCCATACAGGCGGCCTACGAAGCCTCCCCAGAATGGCAGGAGATTACCTTGAGAGCCTACCCGCCCCCAGTTGTGCAAAAGAAAGTAAAGAAGGTCAAGGACAAGGGCAGTCGCTTCCCAGGTGCCCCAACCCAAGACCAGCCTAAGGCTTCTGAAGAGTAGTCGTTCGAATAGGCTGTACCTATTACTTATCAAAGCAAATACAATTCATCCACAATATGAGCGAATTGACATATTCCAATGGCTTTATGGTGTTTCCTGTCTATCAAGAAATAAACCCAAGCGTAATTATTTGCTGGTTCGGGACGCAATACATGCAAAGCAAAGTGGAGGATGCGCACAAACCCCTCGAGTGGAACAATCCATTTAGTTCCGGGTAAATATGCCGCAGAGTCGAGCAGGCGCGAGCCTCGGCGGACCCTCGGCGCCAAGGGTGGCCAAGGACCTCCAACTTTCGGGGCCACCACTCCCCCCGAGAAGGATTCAACCAGCATGTGCGGTGCCACCCAAGCCAAGCCACACTGTGCTGATTAGTCCTCGCTGAACCTTCCATTTTCATCAATCTCATTTGACTTATAGGGTCCAAGTCTCATCGCTTCCACTGAAAGCAACCTCTTGGCTTGGATGCTCATGATGATCGGCATGACATCTTGCTACGAGGCTATGTTCCTGGTGATGCAACATTGATCTACCTCAATTTCCGTCTTTGATATTCCACCCTCGACAGGCAAGGCCTAACAGGCATCTAGCACATCAAACTACTTCCTGTGTAATTTCACGCAACTCCCGTATACAAAAGTCACAAAACAATCAATTCCTTTAGCTTGAGAGCAAGCCTTCTTCCCATTTAATGGCGCTACGATCCCGCCACGGCGCCATGCAATTTTTCCCGAGCCCACGTCTTGGCTGGATGGCCAAGACACGCTGCTATATTGGCGGTTGCTATTTGATCCAATCAGCCTGTCGCCTTTGAGGCACAGTAGCAGCCCATGACGCAAGCTAAGATATTGCACCCCTTAGACGCGGTTTGTATGCAGGTGTTAATACGTTTCTGAACCCAAGGTCAACTTTTCATAGTGCAATGTCCTAATGAGCCCCATTCTCAAACCAAACCCCCACATGTGTCTGGGGTCTTGTGGACATAAATACGGGGTATTCCGTGGCGGTTTGAGTATTTGATTTTTTTTTTCTTTGTCCATCTTGCTCCAAATATATGCTATATGAAGCCGTTCTTTGGCGCGCAGGGTTATCACATCATTTTAACACAAGATCTGGATGAAATTGGACCAAATATTGGCCTGACATGTCTTCCCCTAAGTTCGCCGGCTTGTCTGGTAAATGGCTCATGAGAGCCGTGACTACTTGTGCCACAATGGGTTTTCTGTTGTTTGGCTATGACCGTATGTTTACCAAATTCAATTCGCCCCGAAGAGTACTCACATGATCTATTGTATACAGAGGGTGTCATGAGTAGTATCATCGATGCCGACCCCTTCAATGATATTTTTACCGCCACCAAGGACAATTCAACCATGCAGGGTGTGGTTACTGCCATCTACGAGCTAGGTACATTTCAAAGTCACAAAATCTAGCAATATAACTAAATGTCTTGCAGGATGCCTGGGAGGTGCAGTTTTTAGCTTGGTTTTTGGCGACTGGCTTGGACGGCGCAAATCAATCATGCTCGGCGCAACCATTATGGTGATTGGCGTAATCATTCAGGTCACTGCGGTTAAAGGCCATGTCCCCTTGGCCCAATTCTGTGTGGGCAGAGTTGTGACAGGTGTTGGGAATGGAATGAATACTTCGACTATTCCGACCTATCAAGCCGAGTGCTCGAGATCCTCCAACCGTGGTCTTCTGATCTGTATCGAAGGAAGTACAGTCGCTATCGGTACACTTATATCTTATTGGATTGACTTTGGGGCTTCCTACGGTTCTCCAGATCTTACTTGGCGTTTTCCAATCGCTTTCCAGATTGTTTTCGGTCTGCTTATTATCGTCGGAATGTTCTTTCTTCCGGAATCACCCCGTTGGCTCTTTATTCAGGAAAGATATGAGGAGGGCGAGACTATTATCGCCGCCCTTGCTGCTCAAGAGATATCCCACCCTGATGTCCAGCTTCAAAAGACTATCATCTTGGATTCAATCAGAGCGTATGTTCTACCTTACACTTGCCCCAGAATCAGTTTTTCCCAAAATTTCGCTTCATTGAATCCATGATACTAATTTATATAGTTCGGGTCAAGCAGCAAAGTCCACGCCCATGTCTGCCGTCTTTACGGGCGGAAAAACGCAACATTTCCGACGTATGCTTCTCGGGTCTTCTTCTCAATTTTTCCAACAAATTGGTGGATGCAATGCTGTCATCTACTACCTTCCAGTCCTTTTCAAGAAATCTCTCAACCAAACGGATTTCATGTCAATGATTCTAGGTGGCGTTAACATGATCGTTTACTCGATCTTCGCCTGTATGTCTTGGTTCTTGATTGAAAGGGTCGGCCGGCGTAAGCTGTTCCTCAGCGGCACTGTTGGACAGTGCCTGTCAATGGTCTTGACATTCGCCTGCTTGATCCCCGGTACACCCGGACCAGCAAAGGGCGCAGCTCTCGGTCTTTTCATCTACATCGCCTCCTTTGGGGCAACCTGGCTGCCTCTTCCCTGGCTTTATCCCGCAGAGATCTCGCCAATTAAGACCCGTGCGAAAGCAAATGCCCTATCAACTTGCACCAACTGGACCTTCAATTTTCTTATTGTGATGGTCACACCAATTATGGTACGAAATATTGGCTGGGGTACGTACTTGTTTTTCGCGTGCGTAAACGCTTGCTTCTTCCCCGTCATCTACTTTTTCTATCCTGAGACTGCCGGCCGATCGCTGGAAGAGATCGATGTGATCTTTGCGAAGGGATATTCAGAGAATATCAGCTATGTACGTGCTGCAAAGGAACTGCCATTTCTCACCAATGAGGATATTGAGCGGGCTGCTATGCAATACGGATTCGTTCCTGCGGACGCTGGTGTGACGCCAACGGCTTCTTCTAGCAATGAAGATGTGGAAAAGAGTTGATAAGTCGAGTGGCATGTTGCGAGAGTGTGTTAGGTAAGGGCATCTGTTCATATTTCTATAGTCAGGCTATTAAATTTGTTCTCCAAGGGTTTGAAGTCATCCAAGGCTACGTGACATAACGTTATGGCTAGATATTGAGACGTGTCAATAGGGTTCTTCCTCTTTTCTGAACAACACCGTCGGCTCCTAGATAGAACAATCATCAATCTTAGACATACACGATAATTGAATTGTTTTGAATGGATTTAGTGCCGTCTCTGGTTCGAGTGGCAATTTGAAGGTTGTCCGGTCCAAGACTCTAAGATCATCCTATTTTAGTTCGAGCTACACTCGGGCTGAGAAGATCACCTGAGCAATGCCATAAATAGATCGTATTTCAGCCAGCCACATTATGCAAGCAGTAAGCAGTACGTAAATAACTAATTTACTGCCACGCAGATGCGTATGAAGTAAAAATGGCTCACGGAAAAAAAAAAAGCAAAAAGAAATGACCAGACTGGGGCTCGATCCCAGGACCTTATCGGTGTTAACGATACGTGATAACCAACTACACCATCCGGCCAATTGATATTGGGGATTGCATAATCTTTTACAAGTACGAAAAACAAAGCAGTGAGAATTTGCTAGCAAAAACAAAAACCCGCTAAACCTCTTTGCGTAATTCACAAGGGTACCAACGATACCGAATAACCAACTACACTAATTAATATATGGTGCTTCAGGTATGCTCTGCAGAACAAAGATACCGCGGCCGCTGAGCCTCAATTTTGTGTGTCATCGGCCTCCTGAGGCTGCTCACATCCAAGGAAATATAAGAGAGTGCGTCCTATCTCGGATATATATTGATCGTTTCACAATCAGGTGATTACGTATACATATATGTGCTAACTAATGTCTGTTTAAGGGTATTTGGCAGTAGATAGACTCCCGACTAGATACTTGATGTAGGTAATAGCATCCGTGGACCTTCCAAGTAACCGCTGTAAAATGAGATGGGCACAGCCCTGGATCCACAAATATATATGTCCACGGGTATTCATGCACATTAGGTACGGAAAACCAATCTTTCGCACGTAGACTCCATTTGTCGCCTATGAAGCGATCTGTTCACGTAGACCCCGGAAATGTGTAGCGTTCTTCATAGGTAGGGTTGGCATTGTGAGACGGCATGCCCAGGTGAGCGATAGATTGATACCCCGGAAATACCCCTTCTTGGAGACACCCTGGGCAAAACCATAAGACCTAGTCCAACTTTGGAAGAAGTTGAAATTCCGGATAGCGCGATTCGGGGTTCTCGGTTGTTGCTGTTAATCACGCCGGAAGTTTTCCTTGTTTCCTTGACAAAATTGATCTTGGAAAGTCAATGGCCTGATTGCCAACATGCAGCCATATATTTCGCTAAGAATATTTCAAAAGAGATAGGAGATTATGCACTCAGTTCGAACAATGGATGACAAACAAGGATAGACAGATCAACTTTTAGCGCCCATCGTTCATGTCTCAATTATGGTCAAAGAACTTCCAACTTTGGGATCCCCAATTGGAAATGCCTGAAAGGGTGAATCTCGAGATTCCGAAATCTCCAACCAGATTGATACCGAAGAAAAATACAGTTCAAGTTCTAATAATATACACGGATCAAAAGGTGCAAATGAGCAGTACTCAGAAGCTAGCCATCTCAATCCAACTAGCCACAAATGCTAACCGGCGACCCTTGTCAGCTGCCATTCGACGGGCAAACTCGTCAAAATTGAGTCTCCCGCCGTTTCCACCGCGTTCCTTGGCTTCGCGCTCAACCTGATTCAGGTAAGCCCAACGGGCAAGTGTTCGCGAAGAAGGTCGGCGAGGGGTGCTAGTAATTCGGGGTGGGGTGGGTGATCTTTTTGGAGGGGGCAGAGGTTGCATGGGAGAAGGAGGGAGAGGGAGCTTGGGAGCTGTTTCTTCAGCTTCCGGAGAGGACAAATGGGGTGATGATGGGGCAGGCAGAGAGGTGGTGCCGTTGGGCTCAAGGCGGAGTTGTTCTGGGAGATCAGAGTTTGAGGTGTGAGAGGATGTTTCGGTGCCTAGCCCATCGGTGATGACTTGTGGCTCATCGCGGAAGGAGAGACGAGGCCGTAGTGTCTCCGCTTCTGGACGGAACTGTGGGAAGGTTGGATCGTAGTCAAGGTTTTCATCGATAATCGACCCTGATTCCTCATCGGAAGATCCACTGTAAGAGGCAGCATCGGAAATCTGGAGCTGGCCATCCGGATGGGAGGAGCTGGTGACTGAAGCAGTGTCGGAGTCATCATCGTAAGACAGATCATGACCGTGTTCATATTCACTTTCCGGGTCGGCAAGGTGTGTAGGTTCAATATCATCATCCGACGCCACAGCGCCAGTAGACGTGGGTGCGAATACTGGTGCTATAGTGGGGCTTTGCACGACGTAGCCGGCGCGTTGCAATAGTTCATCGAGAGATCTTTCATTCGTAATATCCTGAAGATCCTTCTCATCTATTGCCTGTTCAGGTTCCTTTAGAGGTGCTGGAGGCGGGGGAGACATTCGCACGAGCTCGATCTCATGGGCCCATTTCTTGCGATCCGCACGTGTTCGATAAACCTCCATGAGCAGATCTTCTTTTTGTTTGAATAGGAGATCAAGGAGCTCATTGAAGCCCTGCTGCGTGACTTGATACAAAATCTCCTTACCGGCATCTCTTTCAACCTCTGGAATCTCGAAGCCACCCCATCGCTCACCAACAGGAATACTCCGAGAGGATGTTGACGGGTTGGATCGAACCTCATAGTCATCAGCAATATCATCCTGGAAGCGAACTTTGGAAGAAGAACGTGAGCGAGGTGATGGTGGGTGTGAGTCGATTGGCGATTCATCTCTCGAGTCGTCGTCGCTCAAATCGTCGAAAGTCGGGTCTCGTTGATAGCCTTCGGGGATGGTGGCGCCGTCTTCCTCGTCGGTATAGAAAGCGCGACGTCGCCAGCGTTCGTCAATACCATTTCGGCGGGTTTCGTCAATTCTTCTTTGATCTTCTTCACGCATTCTGTTGTATACTGCTGTCACGATACGGGCCCTATCGATCGGATCGATGATTTCTTGAAGGGGTACATACGTTCCGAGGGCCTCAATAATATCCTCCTCACGAATATGCTCCGGTGGTGGCCAACCGCCACTGGCAACCGATGACCCTGATTCATCTGAGTCACTACCATCTTCATCTTCATCGTTGTCCCCACCACCCATTTGAGCGTGCTCCACGACGGACCGACGATGGATCGACACAGTACCTGGAAGCTGCAGAGTAGATGGAAAGATTGGTCTCGTTCGACCAAATTGTTCTCGAGCAGCAGCGTCTCCTATCACCGAATGCCGATCCCCAGTGTCATGACCGTCTTGTCGTAAGATTCCACCATTATCGAATATTTCCATGTCACCCTCGGTATTAACACGCTTTCCTTCACCAGTTCGAGAAATCTCACCAGAAGGAATATTACCAGGAAACGCTGAGCTAATGGGCTGGCTACCAAGAACAACGTCGCGAGCTCCACCTTCAAGGAAATCATCTTCCATGCCGGCGACCATATCGCGAGTAAGTTCTCGACTAAGTGTATAGTACGCTCGGAACACTCGAAGAAAATCCTTTCGCTCGACATAGCCATCACCGTCAATATCATACCCACGGAAAACACGTCGCAACCGCTCATCGTTGCTCTTATTGTTGAGACTAGCCAAACCCTTTAGGAATTCTTCAAATCCAATGAGGTTGTCGCCGTTGGTGTCATAGAATGCAAACATGCGATCATAAATAAGACTCGGTGGAGGTGGTCGAATAGATGTGTTGGGCACAAAGCACCGATCAAAAGTCTTTCGATCAATGGCCATATACAGCTTGTTAGGATCATCTGCCCATTCATAATTTGCGAGACAGCGGAATTGGTCCCATAGCGCATCAAGCTCAGTATTTTCAAAGTTGGTCTCTCGGACTAAGCGTTTCGCAAGCGGTCGCGGAAGACTCCGTGGGAGCATTGCAGGTTTTCCAGGATACCAAACAGGCTGCGATTGACGCGGATTACCCAAGAACGGAGCTGGGATTCGAACCTTGTAGAACAGATGCGTTTTGATGTGCACTTGCATTGCCTCACATGTCTCACACAGATCGTAATCAATGCAGTTGGCACACCGATAGCGGATGCCCTGAATAGGCATGGCTCCGCAGCTATTGCAAGTGACACCACGATGAATGTACCCATCTCTGCGCGCCTGGTCTTCAGCAATGTGGTAAAGCAAATTAAGCAGGTTTTGGCCTTCCCGAGTAGGCGATCCATCGTTGTTCCCGTCGCGCCAAGAGAAAACACTCTGGTCGTCTACGCCTGCCTCTCCACCATCAGGGTTTGGAGGAGCCACATCGGGGAAAGTCGACGTCGAAAGGGTGACACGTTCGCCATTTTGTCTTCGCCGACGTAACTCGTCACCGTAATTGTTATCAGCGTTAAACCGGATGAGCGCCCGCTCGATTCCCGCACTGGAGATTCCCCGTCGCTGGAGCTGCTCGGTCAGGTATGTCCGCTCGGCTGTTTCTTCAGGAAGAGTATGTGAGGCAGGAAAGTCAAGCGCAAGGAAGGATTCCAGAAAAGTGTCCTCCATCATCTCGCGCATACGCTCCGCATGAGCTGGCGGGACGCCGACTTCCTCCATAAGCTGGTCACGGGTCGCCAGCAATGATGGGAGCAGGCCACTTTCCACTCGTCGTCCATCTTCTGTCTCGATCCGAAATGTCCCGTAAACTCCATTTTGACGCTCCAGTTGCTCCAGGTGGGTGATTGCTCGATAAGAGGGGGTTTCTGTGATCGCTAGCTCCTCGGTTTCGGTTCGTCTTGTGCGGCGCACGGCGCCTCGGCGGCGGAGGGGGGTTTGTGAGGTACTTGACGAGACTACATTGTTGTGAATGTAGAGAAGGGCGTAGGCTGCTGCAACACCGGTGAAGAGGTATAAGAAGGGTCGATACCGTGTCAGTGACACTGGCCCGGAGCGCGACTCGGACATGGCGGAGCTTGAGCAGGTGAAAGCTGCAGGGAGGGTGTCACGGGGGAAGGACAATCATCATTTGATGCCGATTGGGATTTATTCTGAAGAATTCTGGAAGACCCAATGCCTCACACCCTTAGCATCGAGGTCGAGGTCGAGGTGTCATGAAATTCGAACTTGGTGGAAGATGAAACGTCACGGGGGCGGAGCCCCAGAAATTAGGTGTCACATCAGTTGACTAAATAATTATGCACTTACCAAACAAACCTCAGTGACTGTTACAGTGGCTGTTACAGTGGCTGTTACGAGTGGGATTACCTTCTCCATAGAAGAATGCCACTTTTTTCTTGTTTGTAAATCAAATGTTTGAGATATCTCTGGTGCATATAGCTGAAATCAATAATAAACAATTTCCACGGTTAACTAACCCTGGTGTCGGAGAGGCAACAATTTTAGATACGAGTCTAATGCAAAAGTTCAATCACTCAACTATGCAGCGCTAGAAACAAAGGTAAACATAGAGTATGGGCAATAATAGCTCAGACAAAATGACTTGGTTCACCGTTTGAGTTTGGCCTCACGCATAAAGCAGGCGCTGAAAAGGGCGAAGAAAACCACCACGACCAGAAAGCCAAAACCCTTGTTAGTCGCCCAGGCGTAGCAGTTGCGGACAATCTTGGCAACCTCCGGATCCAATTTTTTGATATAATTGAGACTCTCTCGAACATGATTGACGATTTCATCAATATTTTTGCTGTCATGTAGATCGGAATGAAGTCGCTCTCGCAGAAGCTGTTGCACCAGACTTGACGACAGTGAAATCCCAATTACGGAACCCAAAGATCGGAAGAGGTATGAGCATGCGGTGACCACTGCCTGGTCCTCCATTGTTGAGTTCGATACTGTCAAATGGTCAGTGGCGGGAGACTTTGCATGACATAGATAAAACTCACTTAAGCCGATCAAAGTCGATGTGACACCGATTCCATTACCAAATGCCGACATGACCATCCCTAGGATCATGCCGATAGTGCTTGTCATGGCGCCACCTGAAGTAAGGTAGATCAAGAAGCAGCCTAAGGTCAAAGATGAGTATGCTGCAAGCGTGAGCCAGTAATATTTCCCAGTCCACTTCATGATGAGACCGGCGAGAATTGATCCGGTCGCACCAGATAGAATGCTGGGCAATAAGCGCAATCCAGCAATTGAGGCTGATACGCCGTCAACGGCTTGGAAATAGAGTGGTATATAGAAAAGGGCGGCGAACCAGCCCCCAAAGCTGAAAAAGTTGCAGCAATATAATGAGAAAAAGGTGCGGTTGAAGATGATGCGACCCGGCGCAAAAGGTTCAGCTGCGACGTATAGTTCCACAATGACAAAGAGAACGAAGAAGAACGCGGACAGGCTCAGTGAAATGATGGTCAGCGGCATTGTCCATGAAACGTTGCTGCCTCGATCCAGACCAACCAGGAGACCTAGAACAGCACCGACGAGGACAACCGCGCCAAGGAAGTCAACGCGCTTTAGCTTCGCCTTCCAGTGTGTGTTTTCGCGGGCTGGGAGCTTGAGCATGAAAGATACAGCAATGATAGCCAGTATGCAAATGGGAAATTGCAAGAGGAAAGCCCTGTTCTATATGATTAGACAATCGAAATTGATCTTAGAAAATAAATGGACAAACATACCAACGCCAGCCGATGTAATCAACTAGGATCCCGCCCAGAGGCGCGCCCGCGCTCGATCCAGTGGCATAGACGAGATTGATAATACCTTGCCAAAGACCTCGATCGCGGAGGGGAATAATATCACTCATTAAGATACTGACAACAGTGGTCATACCCCCACCTCCAATGCCTTGGAACACCTAAATTTCACGTTAGTCATATACTTCAAGGGGCTTGCACTTGAAATTGACATACGCGTGCCGCAATCAATTCATTGATATTACGTGCAAGTCCACAGCCTAGATTACCAATTCCAAAGACGGCATATCCAAAAAGCAGACAGGCCTTCCGGCCAAAGATATCGCTTAATTTTCCGTATAACGGTTGAAACGAGGTTAAGGTCAGGAAGTATGAAGTGGCAATCCAGCTGGTTAGATTCAAAGCTTTCAAATCGCTACCAATCTGTCCATAACTGGCCATAATGATGGTCTGATCCGCAGCTGACATGAAGATCTACATGTTCATTAGCCGAGGCCTGCGTAAGCTGGTGCGGAGAGTAAAGACAAGGATCAAGATGGTCTTACACCTAATGAAATGGCCGGAATAATCCATTTGAGTTGCGCTTGCGCATCGGGAAATGGCTCCTTAGCCTGATCTTCGTCATCATCCCTTGGTTCTGCCCACTCTTCCCGGGGGATGTCTATTGCTCCGGTAGTGACAGTACCGTTGCCGGGCACCAGCAACGGAGAGGTCTCGGAGGGGATCCGCTCAGGCGACATGGTGACAAAACTATGTTTCCACAAGTCAATGCCACAGACACCTCAGTTCTATAAGCGAACTGTGTCTCTTTTGAGTCACAAGCTCAAGTGAGTCAAGAGGAAGAAGAAGCAGTTTATTCATAAGCCCTCAAACACTCACGTGGTGATAAGCGGCCTTCCCCCGCTCGGAAAAACGCGAATAACAGTTGATTGAGGCAGTTAGCGAATGCGATTCGTCGCATTTCCCCCCGCTTGCGTGCTTAGACCCCGTCGGCAAATTTGGGCCGTGATAAGGGACTGATAAAAGACCATTAGCTCGCATATTTGATAGTCCACCCAGTGCGATAGCCGACTTCCAAAATTTTGTTTTCCCTACCATTTGTTGAATTAGTAAAGCGAGACAACAGTAGGGTCGGCATCTTTTTCTAGCATATGATACTCTTACGGACTACTGCATCGACAACGGAGCATTTGCACATTTCGTAGCCAGGGACTGTAGAAGTAGACCCCCACCTATGACAATAGATGAACGATGTGCCAGAAGACAAATATTTGGTCTAGAATTAACTAACATACAAGTGATAATGCAATTTTCGGTTTGATTGTCTCGAAAATCATTAACTTCCTGATAGCTACAATTCAAGTAAGCATGGGCAGACTCAGTGAATATCACACGTTAGTGACCTTCACACTAGGTCCAGAAACCCTGCAACCAGGCCTTGGAGTAGTCCTGTGTGAGTGATGAAATAGTAGGCATCTAGGTATGTGATTGATAACATCACCATGAAATAAAATCTCTACGTGGTACTAAGTTAGTGAAGCATTTAATTAACGTTTTGTGGCGTTCAGTTATCAAGCTCTGTGTCCAGTAGGCCAGTTGATGCCAGGGGTCATTAGAATTACGATAATTTCTCTGGCAAAAGGAGATACATAGGTGCCTGGGTCTGCGAAGAATATTTGGAGATTGAAAAGTGTTATTTCTAGACGGTATACTCATCAGCCAATTTACCTGTGCCGTCAAGCTTTTGGTGAAGGGTTCTGGTAGATACTCTTAAGAGAGGTTCGATTGAGACAGTCTTAAATTATCTCACAAGATGCGTAGTGATATTTTATGTCCAGAATCTGCCTATTTGTCTAGGTACGAACTCCAATGTTGTGTATAGGTGCCGAGGGAGCAGTCCGTCTTGTTCGCCTCTCACTTGAATAGTTCGTTTCTCATCCATCCGCTCTCTTCTCTTCCCACATACGCGTTTTCTCTCTTCCTCTCAGTTTCAGTCGATCCCTATTCACCAAGAAGTGTGTTGACAGCCAAAAATATGTCTATCCTCATCGAAGAACCGTCAGACGAAGAGTACAAGATAGTCAAAGATTTCTTGCAACCGAAATCAACGATCTTTGCCAAGCTTCTGAAGGTTCAAGACGAAGTAAGACGCGCAGGCTCAGTCACCTCTGTGGCATTAGTATGCTAATCAAATCATGTCGCGATTTTTTAGGTATGGAAGTCTCCCAAAGCTGATGAATACTTTAAAAACCAAAAGGCGCGTGCTGTTCAAATCGTGTCCGAAGAACAAAGGGCAAACTTTTTCAACATGATGACGAAAATCGGTGACTACTTCCAAGATCAAGAAAAGTTGATCCCTCCTCCATCGAAGAGAATGAACTTTGACGTTCTTGACCTGTGTATGGCTCCTGGAGGGTTCTCCGCAACTGCCTTGAAATACAACCGTTTCGCACAAGTCTGCGCCATCAGTCTACCCACGGACGAAGGTGGACTTGAAATATATCTCCCAAACTGGCAGGAAAACAAACGACTCAAAGTCAAGCTGTTGAATCTCACTATGCTCTCTGCAGAGCTCGGGTTCCCGACCTTGGCCTCGCAGGATCAACCCTCGGCATCCAAGTTTTCAAACCACATACCGTATGCAGGACGGCAATTCGACTTGATATTCTGCGACGGGCATGTTCTTCCAACAATTGAGCCAGAAGAGAACTCAGCATCGGAAATTCGTCGGCTTGCAGATGCACAAATTATTATGGCATTGCAACGAATCAAGTCTGCTGGGACCATTGTGGTGCTTTTGCATCAGGTCTACAGCCCGCGAGTTTTGCGGCTTCTGAAAGCATTTGACAATATCTCTCAGATTAGTCTTTTCAAACCCCCCTTTTGTCACGCAAAAAGGACTTCGTTTTATCTCGTGGCGAAAAATGTGGATCCTCTACATGAAGTCGCGGGTCGCTTGGTTCGGGATATGAGAGATTCATGGAGGGTACGTACAGCCAATGCTTTTGGATTAGAAATTCCCGGAGACCCAAGGGAAATAGGTGGCAACGGGGAGAACATGGAAAATATCTTGCAGTCATTTGGGGGGAAACTGATTACTCTTGCCGAGCCTGTATGGAAGATTCAGACAGAGGCTATGGAAAAGGCATTTTTAGGAGGAAGAAATTGAGGCCGAGGATACAAGTGGACAGCTTAGGGAGGATAGAAGTGATGTATCCTTAGTTGAAACAGGGTTATGAATTTGAATTGACTGATGTATTACACTTGTCACTATAAAGGACCACATGTACTTCGAAAAGGGACTAGTCCTATATAGGACTAGCGGACACCTGAATTAAGAGCCTCAGGCATGAAGACGGTTAATATCGTCTGACTAATCCCCCGGTCGATCAATTTGGAAAGATCGCTGAATCAGGCAAGGGCCGATACCGCACCACGTGATTGGGGTTTGTTCCGGGGTTCTCCAGCATTCAGGAACCTTACTCTGCTCTGAAAGATTTCAAATCCAACTGTATCATGGCTGCTGTCACCCCCAAGCAGAAGGTGGTTGTGGTGGGCGCGGGACCGGTTGGGTCCCTAGCGGCGCTCTACGCGGCTTCCCGCGGCGACGAAGTGGAGGTATATGAATTGCGCGGAGGTATGTGACAAATTTCAGTCATTTGAGTCATTTCCTATTGCGACAAGAGAGGAGCACAAGAAAATACAAGCCAAGATGAGCTACCAAGAACGATTCTCATTGGTTTGTTGTGCGGGCTACATCTTGCCGAGGGCAATAAATTTTATTTATTGCCATTCGAACCGCAAGGTTCCCATTGCGACATCAATCCATTGATTGGCCTTGAAACCAGAAGCCAAACATGAATGGATTCTGCGTCCCCAATGCACCCCTGTGCCTCTTTTCATCCTTGTCGCGAAAATTTCCGAAGAAAAGTCAATAATTTGTTCCCATTTGTTCCGTTTCCGTAGATCTCCGTGACCCGACTACTGTGCCGTTGAACTTCACCAAGTCGATCAATTTGGCTCTTTCAGAGCGCGGAATCAACTCTATCCAAGAAGCGCACCGGAGTGGACTCGTCGAGAATGTCCTTCGCAATACAATCCCGATGTATGGGCGGATGATTCACGGCCGAGACAACGGCGCGCTTTGGGAAGCGGCTCAAGCCTATGACGTTCATGGCCGGGTATGCACATCCATGCACAACCCTATGTTCTGCAGCCCCCACGTACACAAAGTTCGGCTAAATAGCTAATCATGTGTGCATAGGCGATCAACGCCGTTGATCGTGGCGCATTAAACAATGCCCTCCTCGACGAGCTAGAGCGGGCACCGAATGTCAAGCTCTTTTTCAATCACAAACTAACAGGTGCCGACTTCTGCACTAATAAGGCCTGGTTTGAGCGTCGCATCCCAGGCGAGACACCCCAAGCCGATGATCTGGGCATCGCAGGCCGAGTCCCCGAGATCGAAGTCTCCTTCGACTGCCTTATCGGCGCAGACGGCGCTCACTCCGCCAGTCGCTTCCACATGATGAAGTTTGCGCGCGTCGATTACCAACAAGAATACATTGACACTCTCTGGTGCGAGTTCCGCATCCCACCCACTAAAGACGGCGAATTCGCCATCTCCCCGAACCACCTACACATCTGGCCAGGTCGCGAATTCATGTTTATCGCCATTCCCTCTGCGGACAAATCCTTCACATGTACCCTCTTCGCGCCATCCGCACACTACGCCGCCCTTCAAAATTCCCCACAGGCTCTCCAGGCTTCGTTCGATGAGCATTTCCCCGGCGTTTGCCCCGAGTTGATCGACCCACAAGCCCTAGTGGAGCAATTCGCTATCAACCCGCACTTACCCCTCATCAGCATTAAATGTAAACCGCACCACTACAGCTCTAGCGTTGCGATCATCGGTGATGCCGCACACGCTGTACTTCCATTCTACGGCCAAGGTCTGAACGCTGGCCTAGAAGATGTGCGTGTCCTGTTCGAGCAGTTAGACAAGCATGGCGTCTACGATTCGGATACAAGCGTGTACACTCGTAGCGTGCGCCGACAAGCTGCTTTCCAAGCGTATACGAACCAGCGATGCGATGATACACACGCTATCAACGACCTCTCGAAGCAGAATTACCTTGAGATGCGCTGGGGCGTCAAGTCGCCGCTGTATAAGCTGCGGAAAACCATCGAGGAGACAATTGACCAGCGCTTGCCCTTCCTTGGGTGGAAGACGCAATACGCTCGTGTCAGCTTTAGTAACCAGCGCTACTCGGAGGTTGTGGCTGCTGTGCAGAGACAGAGTGAGCTGCTGGGCTTGGGTCTCAGCTCAGCTTTGGTTGTCAGTGTAGGCGCCTTGGCTCTGCTGCTGTGGAGGTACCCAAGAGAAGCTTCGCCCGTAGGAATTGTGCGGTGCGGCTTGAGACAGCTGGCGAGATTTTGGAGAGGGGTTGTGCATAGGTGAGAGTTTTGCATCATACGAAAATAACTGGCATTGTCGAGACTTCAGAGATTGAAAGTGGACTTTGTACTTTATCATGATAGACTTATTCGGGCACATGTTCGTGCTAAAATTGACCTGCTGTAAGCCGTCTCCGAACGTCACTACCTCCGTATAATATTATCTTCGACTTTGGAGATCTAATGAAGCCCAAAGGTTACGAAAACCATCAGGAGGAAAGAGAAAGAAGATACCATAGATGAATTTTCAACGCCGCGAGGCTGGTATAAAGATGCCCAACTAAACCAGAAAGAAAAAATAGCCTAATCCCAATACTTAATGAGGCCGTCCAGACCACCAGTAACCACCTTACTGGTTTCTTGCGGGTGCCAGTCCAAGCAGGTAATAGCACCACCCTCCTTCCCTCCAGCCAGAATCTTATGATACATCTTCCCAGTCTTCCAGTCCCAGAAACAAACATAGCCACCGCTATCACCGGAAGCAAGGAATTGACCATCAGGGGAAATTTTGATATCAATTCCATATCCGGCGTTATTATGACCACGGAAACTCTTCTTGCGGTTCTGGCGGAACTTGTCGGTTGCCCCGTAGACGACAATCTGATTATCGCCTGATTGGAAAGCGACGTATTTGCCATTGGGATGCGGCGTAGCGCGAGTAAGAGCAAACATGTAGGGCTCTGCGATGAACTTGATGGGCACGGGAATACCGTATTCCCACGCACGAAGCGACTTGTCGTCCGAGGTGGAGATGAAGCGACGGTTATCGTCGACGAAAGTGATGGTGTTGACAGCAGCCAAATGGTGATCATATTCTTGAACCAACTCGCCAGAACGGGTATCGAATTGCACAATCTTCTTGTCGGACATACCAGCCAGGAACTCGTGCGAGTGTTCAGGGTTCGGGTTGAAGCGTACAACGTGCGGCGTTTTGCCTGTCGAGAACCGGCCCAGACACTTACCGTACTCCGTATCCCACAGCTTGATCTGTCGGTCGTAAGAGCCGGTAAGGAAGGTCTTACCCGTAGGGTGGAAGTCTGTGTCTGAGATAGCCTTCGAGTGGCCTGAGAAAGTACGCAAGAGCTCGCGGGAGTGGTATGCATCCCAGATCTTGGCCTTGCCATCCGCGGCGGAAGAAAGGAGCAGATGTCCTGAGCCAGGGAAGAAGCGAAGCGAGGTGATGGCTTTGGTGTGCGACTTCCAGGTGTGGACAAGCTTCTTCGGCAGGTAGTTCTTGACACTGCCGGGCTCTTTGCGCAGATCGATATCCAAGTCCTGGGGAACATGCATATACGTACGGCCCTGGTAATCGGCCTCCTCTGAGCCGTGGAACTCGGTTGTCTCCTCCTTGGAATAATCGCCCGCATAGTCGGTAGCTTCTTTGCTCATAGCCGGCATGAGTGCCGTCGGGGCGGAAGCCTCATCGCCTTCTTCCACGTACTCCTCATCACTTGCCAGCTCGCGCTCCTCACCCGACCCGACCTCGATTTCCTCGTATTGTTGTTCATTTTGATATTTCGCCCACGGTCCTAGGTACGCGCCTTCGCCTTCGACAATACTCGAGTCGCCCTTCCGTTGTCGCTTTGCGCGCCACGCAGCAGATGCATCCTTGCTAACTTTCATCTGAACGACGTCTTTGCCACCGTATTGCGCGACATTGTCCATGTTTCCCACGAACTGATCTGGGCGAGTCGGGTTGCGGGTATATCCCAAGCTCTGGAACGTGCGATGTTGCGCAGCAAAGGTGGACTCGCTGATCGCAGCCTCCTCGGCAAAACCGGTTGGCACATTTTTGCGCTTAATACCATTTCCTGCGCCGACAGGTTTGAATGGGTTTACGGGTCCTTGCGAAGGTCGTGTCAGGTCATCGTAGGTGGCGTTGTAGGTGAGGGCTTGGGAGGTGGTATTGGCGAGAGTCATCTGCATGTGTGCCTGATCCTGTGGGGTTGTTAGCATTATCTGTGCACCGAAAGAAAGGGAACTGAAGAATTCCGAATAGACATGAGGGACGAGGGTAGGGGACCAAACCTCTGTATTGACTTCCGGTGCAGCAACGACCTTGGTTGCGGTCGTCACCGAGGGTTTGGGCACACTAGTATCATCATCGCTGGAGTAATACCCAGCACCTAGTAAGCCTGACATTGTGAATATGTCTGAGCGAAGTTTGAGGAAATCAACCTCGATCAACGACAAGATGAAAGTTTAGGGTAGTGGTTTGGCGGTGGAAATTTACGGTTGTCGGCAGAACCCCCGAGTGAAGACCGCAGCGGTTTATGACCTCAATCAGATTCATGTCTTAACCACGACATATAGTGGCATTCCCGTAGATTACGAATTTGCAGGTGATTACTGTAAGTATGAGTTATCTTAATTCTAAGCCGACAAGACAATAAAAATATATGGACCAAACTGGGTATCGTACGCTTTCATTGCCAAACCGCTTGGGAGGTATATACAACTCACAGGCTGAAAGACATGATAAGATAACACAGAAGGACAACGAATCATGAAAATGAAGTACAAAATGAACAAGTATTGAGCAAAACGCTGAAGGGAGTACATAAGCCTCTTCCTAACGCCTGCTCAAGCAACCAACACTCACACCACCGGTAACTCTCTATCGTCGTCGCACCGGAGGTCCTGCCCTCTATCTCAAGAACGGAAGCACAATCTCTCTCATATACGGCATTAGTCCATCCCTACTAGATAGCCAGGGTAACAAATGGAATCGTCAAATCGTAGCTGCCCAGATAACCAGGTCGCATCGTATCTTGCAAGACTGTCGAGTTTAGACGCGGGCATCGATTGGGAATGCTGATGCAGATATGTGGGAGAATACAATGCCGGCGAATAATGTCTTGAGCTAGTGAGAACGACCATGGCGCATAGCATTATCAATCTTATCGCGAGTTCAGTGTCCCTCATCGCGGATCAGAGCAACAATCATGCTGTAAAGGTAGAAGAAGAACATCAAGAGGCTGAAGCCAAGCTTGATGAACGATTCCTATAATACGGGCGGGTTAGTTGCTATTTGATACTCAACATAATGGCACGGGAGCTCAGGACTAACCTTCTTGTGCACATTCAGCTTGCGGAAGATCTCAGTCGCATCCAGGAGGTGCTGGTTGTCGTAGATCCTATAAGAAACCCTGGTTAGATCTTCTGCTACACGTATTGGGGAGAGAGCCCAGAGAGCGGCGGCAAAACGTACTTCTTGGCGTTGAAGGCCAGGAGAGGCAAGTTCAAGACAATAGCGAGCCAGTAGCCATTAATGACAAAGAGGAATGTCAGGAAAGCGTGAACGGCAGCCTCGGGGATAATGTAGGCGTTAAGGCGGTTGCAAAGGTCGATCGGGTTGATGTAGTCACTGCGGGAAAAGGGGAGGCGAGAATTAGTCAAGCCCAGCAAAAATCTAACAGGCCTGTCGAATACTCGAGCAGTTGTATAGGGAGGGACTCACCACTCCAGATCACTGTACATGATCGTGAAGAAAACCTGGAGGAACAGGTTGACGGCATTGATCAACACCGCCAACAGGTAGAGCCACGCTTCACCAGACATTGTGGGCAAAAGGTCGAGGAAGAGGAAGAGGAATTGGAAGTAATGACCAGGGAAAGTCTTTTAGAGAAGGTCAGCACCGATGCAGCAGACGAGGTGTTGGATGCGAATGTTGGGGAGCTGCTCATTCGGAGCGGAGTGCAGAGCCGGAATTGGAGATGAATTTTGTGGGGTTTGAGGGCGACGGAAAGCAGAGAAATCAAGCAGAGATATTCGGAGGGGGATGCGCACTCACAAATCAGTACCTGCGTGATACTTAAGCTCTCGGGTGGAGACGCAGACGAGAGTGCAGGGAAGTGAGGAGGTGGATCGGGACCGTGATTATTGCAAAGTATTGGGTTCGTTGGATTAGCGAAATCGAGCCAACCTGAACGGGCGGCGGTGGACAGCAACTGGCGCGGGCATTAGCGTCATTGGGTAAAGTGGAGGGGCTGGGGCACGTACTACACAACGGGAAGTGAACCCCGAGCTTCTGAAGCTTCAGCTGATGAAAATTTTGGTAAATAGATGGACCGTAATTTTCTTGAAATTCCTGGAGGTGGAAGAGAAGGGGAGATAAGAAGCTCGATGAGCCGCGAAAGATGACGTCGCACACGTGTTCTCGGATGCAACATGTAGGCTTGCTTTTTACATGTGGAATGTAGCTAGTGGGAAATGTTTAAATTTGTTTGATAGGGCAATATCAATCATTATGTGACAACCAGAATGTATATATGGGCCCAGGGCTTGGCTTATATACATGAATCGACTCGCGTTCTTGGAAAGTGGGAGCGGCCTCGATACTTGAGATACTCATACAACCATGGCCAGCTAGATTCGCCCGATGCTCTAAGCAACAATTCCCTGGAAGACAAAAGCATAACGCCCGAAAGCAGTAAATCATAGAGTAGGAGAAGCCGAGAGTAAGAAACATAACGTTGGGATCAAGGCAGTCCATGCCTAACGTTTCTCGACAAGCAGGAAATGCATCGCTGCGTATGCAATTATGATAAAAGCACCTGAAATGACGGCCAGTCCAATAACATCATGCCAATAGGCAAGTGTATTGAAGCCAAATGCGCTCAGGATGGAGGCACCGGGCACTTCGATGTCCAAGCCGTACTTGTGATCGATCAGGGTAAGGAAGGTGACCTCATTCACAATAAGGGCCTCAAAGCCATAGTGGAATATTGAGAGCTATGGTACAGTCAGTAATCTGCAGGTGGGGGATTGGGGCATATAGGTCAACTTACGCTTTGCAACCACAGAGCGGACGAGGGAATAGCGTCATGGTTCAACAAGAGACCGGCGAACAGCAAGCTGAAGAGCATTACCAGGCTACCAATCAAGTTGGCAACGCCACCATCACGGAACACAATGCCGATAAACAGGCAGATATTAGCAGCTGCAAGGTTGAACAGAACCAACACCAGCATAAACCTGAAGAATTCAGGCCATGCGGGGATCAGCCCGGTCATGGGGTAGACAATGATGCCCATGATAATAGGCGGGAGGAGCCGCAGAGGCACAATGTCGAAAACGACCTTGGACGCGAAGTAAGTGACCGGATGGTAGTAGCCATTTGCTCGTTCCCGAACAAACAATAGCCGTTCAGTGGAGAACACAGTGAGACTTGTCAAAGTGCTGAATCCAAACAATGCAAGAATGAAAAAGAAGAGACCAAGACGGTTCTGGAAACCCTTAATATCGTCGGTCAAACCGTAGAAGAGGAACCCAGAAAGCACAGCCAAAAGGATGGAGATTGCATAGTGGGTCAGCATCAGCATCGGGTTACGATAAAGATTGCGCCACGTGCGCTGTGACAAAATTAGGAACTGTCGCGCCAAACCGATGCGAGCAATCTTGGGCGGTACAGAGCCCTCCAAGTGAGAATTCGGCGATCCATTGGCAGCCTCAGCATTTTGAACTGCTGTCACAATCTCATCGTGGACCGAGTGGAAGACGTCAGAGTCTGCGTAGCTGGCAACAAGGATATCAAGGTCACTCTGACCAGGGGCTGGGGGTGGTAGCTGATCCGGATCATCGAGGATCTGTGGGGGAACGTTGCCTGGCTGGCGAGAAAGACGCAGCCATTGTTGCGTATTTTCAGCCACATCGAGTGTGGCATCTTCTTCGTCGGTCTTGGGTGTAGCCGGAGGCTCTGGGTCCTTGTGATCCTTGCGTCGTGAGTAGAGCTGACGATCTTGCTGTTGCTTCAGGGAAATCCGACGGTTGTGTTTGGGTCGTCGACCTGCTTCGGTGGTGCTGCTAGAATTCTCTTCGATACTAACGTTGGATACGCTAGCGACGGACTTGATGGCTCTCAAACTACTCGAGGCAGTCTTGGGCGGCCGTCCGTCCACCGAACCGACTTCATCCGTGTACGAGCGTGAAGAACCGGCATGCATAGTCAAGTCGACGAGATAGTCCGCAATGTTGAAACCTGGCGGGCAAGTGTACCCAATCTGATCGAAATACTGCTGGCATGTCGAGAATGGGCCGGAGTAGACGGTTCGGCCACTTGCAAGCAAGATTAGCCGATCGAACAGTGCGACAATGTTTGAGCGTGGCTGATGAATGGTGAAAATGACCGTTCGATTGTATGTCTTGGCCAAAGTGACCAAGCACTCAACCACGTTAAAGGCGTTATAAGCATCCTGGAAGATTTGTCAGCTATGAGATATTTGTCGCAAAGTGTGGTTACCATACCAATCCACTAGTGGGCTCATCTAAAAACAAAATGCTTGGGCTGGTGACAAGTTCACAAGCAATACCGACTCGGCGTTTCTCGCCACCAGAGATGCCGCGACCACTACCTTCTTCCGATCCAATCAACTGGTCCTTGATATGGTAGATTCCCAGCTGTTTCTCGACTTCCAAGACTCTCTGCTCCTTCGCCGCCCGACTCATATCCCGGGGCAGCCTCAACAGCGCACTGGTCTGGATAGTCTCATGAACGGTCAGAGTTGGCAGCATAGTGTCCTCCTGGTCGACAAATCCAATCATACTCTTGTAATCATTGTTACTAATCTTCTCTCCGTTAACGAAGAAGTTACCCTGTACTGCACCACGCTTGTTCTTGCGAGCCAGAATATCAAGGAAAGTTGTCTTTCCAGCACCAGAGGCGCCCATGATTGCGGTAATCTGTCCCGGAGTCGATGCACCTTGAATACCAGAGAGAATCTCCCTACCATTCAGGTGATATGACACATTGTCCCAGTAAAGAGATGCAGGGCGGTGTTCGGCAAGTAACCTCGCAGTATCATCATCAGAGTCGTCCGACAGGGACAGACGCATATAGCCACGGTTTGCGGCCCGGCGAGACAAATACCATACAACCAGGATAATAGCGACCACGAAAAGTGCGCAGCCAGCAATTACACTGGCAATGAGGGGGGTATTGATCTTCTTAATAGGACGCTGATAGCCTGGAAGATCAGTTTTGTACAGACACTCCCCAGCGTCGCAGGACAAGGAAATACTCGGGTCGCCGAAGACTGCACTGATGAGGCCGTTCATCTCTGGCTCGGAGAAGACACTCCTGCTTCCTTTTTCGTCGGCAATAGTCTGGAAAGTGGCCGGACCTTTGATAACCTGGTCGAGGAAGGCACCGAGGTCGATAGATCCGTCCTGCCCACAGAGGAACCGGCCAGGGACACACTTGCACTGGACGTTCTCACATCTATAGCTGGTGGTATTGGTCTCGAATCCAGTCTCCAAGCCCCATTCACAAGTATCTAGACCGCAGTAGAAAGACTCCTTTTGGTCCACCCAGAATTGGAAATTGCAGGTCTGGTCCTCAGCTTTGCACGAGAAGGTCACTTGCGGCTTCTGTTTACCCAGTTGGTCGAGGATTTTTCGATTGGTGACATCACACATCTGGAAATTCTGCTTGACAGTAGCACCTGACTTATAGCACACACCATCTTGACCTTCGGGCATCATCGCATCACAAGCGCTATCCTTTTGACAGACGTTGCAGTTGACACCGCCCCAACCATCTTTGCAGTCACAGGTCGCGCCAGTTCGAGGCGGGCGATTCTCACCATCGGCAAGCGAGCCACAAGTGGGCACAGAGCAATCATCTCCTCCGAATCCAGCGGGACAGGAGCATTTGCCGTTGTACTTGTTGCAGGGGGCGGAATGGGTGCAGTTGTAAGAGTCTAATTGGCAGTTGAAACAGGGAGGACAATCGGCAGGTCGGTCATCGAAAAGGGAGACGGATCGATAGAACAGATTTGCGTCGGAGAATTCTTCCCATGCTGCTGTAGGGATCGCTTGGGAGGCCAGCGCAATCCCCAGGAGGAATGCCGACGCTGACCGCATATTGAGCAGGAAATGGGTTGAGTACCCCGTTCTGAAGAGCTGTAGTACCGGCGATCAAAGTAGGAATGCGAGGATCGCCGGGAAGGATTGATGGCGAACCGATATGTTGAGCATGGGGTGGTTGGGGGAAGATGGGCCAAGTGCGGAGTGGAGTTGTAAGATGACGATGACGCGGGCGGAGAAGCTGGTGCCTCGTTTGCCAGGGACCAGCCCGTGCAATGAAAGCCGCACTTTGATTGGGGGGTGGGTTTGGGCCCTTTTTCTGCAGGTACCTGATCGACATGTAGTATGTACACTTTCAATATGTTCTTTTTATTGCATCGTAATAGTTCATGCCCTGGATACCATGCATCTCTTCGGCTTTTACTTGACCCGGTAGATCCATGTGGAGACTCCACATGGACATCGTGCCCGAGGATAAGATGTCCTCACTACGATAAAGATCAAATTTCTTCTCCCACAAAATGAGAAAAGCTAAATAATAAGGTTTGTCACATCAACGGCCCTCGGTAGTGAGGGGTTCAAACCTGCATGACCACAGCCTGCCATCAAGTCATTAAGCGAGGTTGGTAATTACTAAGATGTAAGGGGCCCCTGGTAAACAATGACGAGTGGTGTGACATTCTGCCTTGAGATGAGGTCGTAAAGGTCATGTAATAGGGCCATGAAATCCATGTCCCAAACACAATACCGTACCCTAGTAGTACCCTTCGACAGGCATCATTGACATACAAATATCATCAACATGGGCATCTACAATAGGACACCACGCAATGTTGAACACCACACGGCACATCAGGTAGAGTACAGTACTTGGAGATCAAGTACATGGTCAGGCTCCTGCTGATTCCCACTTCTTTGAATGTGAAGGTGATTGAGGAGTGATACTGAATCGGCGCCTTTATACCTAGGATTGACGTATTTAGAATGTAAGTCTATATTCGGGCTCGAATGGCGCGTTACCTTGTATGTGGACTAAAATTACGACATCGGGGTTTACAATCATAGATGCCCTCATAGAACCTTCAGAGGTGTTCGACACAGCAAGCCACTTCTCAAGTTATGGGTCGCACCTTGCCAACCGAAGAGGAAGTTTTTGTCGTACTCGTGCCTTGCTGAGCTTCTAAACGAAGTGGGTATTCTTGTCCGAATTGATAGTCTAAGCTTTAAAATTTCTTTCAATCCTACTTCAACCAAGTTTTTGGAATCCATACTCATTTTCTCACGCTCGACTTAGTAGATCGGATCCGGAATTCCGTTTATGTTTCTTCGGCTTGCCACTGGAAGGAACCCGAACTTGAACTATATCGGGTGTAAATGACTATTAGGCAACCATGAGAACCCAAAAAAAAGAGTTTCCTAATTACTCTGAGACATATCATTCCACATGCCGTGAGTTATATTGTATAGCTCTCTGATTGCTTTGATTTCGCAGGTGCGGACTTTTTTGGGGGGGGGGGGGGTGTTTACGAGAGAAGAGTGTCAGAAAATAAACGCGAATTTAGGCAGTGTAGGTCTTGTGTAAAAGAGGTTGGTTATGACCCTGAGATTCGGAGACTCGTGTGCTCCCTACAAATATTTGCGTTTGTGCATTGAGAATACGTGAACTAGCGACGCTCTAGGCTTGTACACGTGCATTGTGGATTTATGCATACTTGAATGGGGGCTTCATCGCTGAATCAGGATAGAATGAATTGGTTTCTACTGATCTTATCTGGTTTTATACGCATTAATTACGTATAAGTTGCCCTTGGATTACTACCCACCTATTTCTTTCCAGGGCTCGATTCACGCATTTCCCGCGGGATAATTGGATCTGACCCGCCTTCCATCACTATTACTACCCAGAGCGGCTTTTGATTAGTGAGACTTTAAACTTCTGTCTCATCATGGTACACTGAATAAAACGACTTGAGTGGGTTGAAGTTCCGTTGAAGCTGCTGCCTTGAGCGCAGAATTTCCTTCGCGCCATGAACGCCTTGTCGTAATCGTTTACCCTGTGAATTTGGGGAAATGGTATACGACGGAGACTTACCATTAGTCTATATCCCAGCCGGGCCCACAACGAAACGTCTTATCGTCTGGCCTTGACCGAAGTAAAATTTAAAAATAAACGTCAATCGTACTCGTATTGCCGCACATCCACTATTGTGGGGCCACAATACTAGTAGTAGACGGAACACCCCCGGCAGTTTTCCGCTTAGACTGGTTTGATCTGCTAGATATTTCATTGATACAATGATCCAAATGGCAATATGTAAGGTGTAAATCTTATCCAAGACTCAGCATCAGAGACAGAGTCATAAAAAGTCTACAGCTGCACCGCATTTCTGAACATTTCTTAATCTCACGTTCTGGGTTGATTTTTCGACATCCATATGTGGATAGCTTTGGATGAACTGGGTGGCTTGGAGAGGGTCTAATGTGCTAACTAAACAATCCACCTTCTCTTACAATATCCGGCTGCCTTATACATATCCTCCGGCATGAATCCACATTAAAGGGGTCTGTTGCTATTCAACATGGAACTAGCGATATCAAAGGGATCAAAAACTAGTATTTATACCCCTTCAGGGCCTTGCGAATACTGCCGCTTGGTTTCTTCCATTTTCCAGCACTTTATTATTGGAATTAATCGCCAAGATGGTCACCTCGATTGACGTATCATCCACCAATCGAATTTCTGCCTTTGTGGCTTCTTGTCGTCACCTATCAAGCTATAATATCCTCTCAGCATTCATTCCACTGTTATATCTACTTTGCGCGGGGTCTTTGTTCTTTGATGTTGTCCATCATGTGCTCCACCGTTGCAAAAAGTCATCCCATCCTCTTTTACAGCATCTGGCACGAGTTCACCGTTACCACCACCTTTACTTCACACGCCATATGCAGTTCGACAAGAAATACCTTCGGCAGAACCAGTTCCAAGCATTACCTCTTGAGCTAGCACTTCAGATTATTGGAACCATACTGGGCTATATGTTTTCCGCCTTGGTGACACCTAGTGCTTTGATATGGATCAAACCAACTCATCTTTGGTATATCATTGGCATTCAAGTAACGAGGACCGCTTATGTTATTATCACGAGCGGCCGTGACTCAAACCATCTCGTCTACCAAATTGCGCCGAAGGACCCCAACTGGATATTTGTTGGTCCAGAGTTTCATTCACTCCATCATGTCTACCCTGATCGCTACATCGGCTCGTTTATCAAGGTTCTCGACTGGATTTGCGGTACTGCCTACTCGTTCAGAGGCAAACGCTTTGTGATCACTGGAGCAAAGGGGGGGTTTGGTCACGCAATTGCTGCAGAACTCGAGCGTGAAGGGGTAAACAGCATTCACATGTTGGATTCTGTTACTGATTGGGAACATGACAATTTTGAGAATGCAGTCCCACTGCTTTCTAATTCCGACATTCTGATCCTAGCTCACAGCTTGGAAGACCAGGATGAAGTTGAATTGAATTGCAAGTCAGCCATTCGACTTGTCAAATTATTCAAGAAGCACAAAATCACCAACCACCCCGGTCCAACACTTCCAGAAGTATGGTACGTTGACAATGAGAAAGGGGTCCATTTGTCTTGGGGAGGGAGACAAATTCCGCATTTCTCTCAGTCACAACGAGAATTCCTACCACATGCTCGTTCTTTCTATGCTGACCCCGACATACTTTACCGCCATATCGTCCCATCGTCATTTTGCTCGATTGTGAAGCCTGGTGTTCAATCCAGGGCAGTCCAGGACGCTACTTGTGCAATGTGGTGGATCCGGAGGGGTGCCAGATATGTGTCAGGGCCATGTATAGGAGCTGCAGGCTTGAACTACTTCAGATTCATATTTTCCAGACCTTATGCACAAAATGATGAAGAGGTTCACAGATGAAAGATATATGTATATGCCATCGTCTGGGTAGACAATGCTTCATATGCCTCCCGAGGTCAATTTCAAAGAACAGCTAGCTTCCTAAGTCCTTCCAAAGCCTCCATCTAGATTAGCTCATTTATCATTGGAAAGGATTTACGTTACGGGCCTTGGAGATAATCGCCTACTTCCACACTGTATGCTTGGAGGCCACGTGATACAGCCATTGCGGGTACTCCACGTGATGCGGGGATCGGGCCCAAGCCCGAGAGGAGAAGAAATTCACATATTCTTTTCAATTCTCTGCAATTCGATTCATATCCAAAAGGCTTGCAGGGGAGAGTAGCCTACAGAAAACATCATAATCTCAGGCATATTCGTGTGGTATCCGTGCCATAGATCGACATTATGGTAAAGATTGAGGAGTTCGCGGTTGAGCAGGTACACTCCCCGCATTCCAGTATGACTCGGCTTTCTTTTTTCGTTTGTGAAAACTTCGATAGGCAAGAACTAATTCTCAAAATATATTAGTGGATGGACAAATACGAAACCACGGCCAAATACAACACGGCTGAGACCTGCTGCGCATCCATCTCGATCGACGATCTCCGTGAGCTTTCCGAGGACAAGGACACCAATCCGTTGACACAGCTACAATCCACCAAACTTACTTATGGTGCGATAAGAGGCTCCGAGAAGCTGCGACAGACTCTGGCCAACTTGTACTCTGCGAAGACACCCACTCCATTACCGAAAGATAATGTTTTGATCACGGCTGGTGCTATTCAGGCCAATTTTCTAGCTCTGTATACCCTGGTCGGACCAGGAGATCATGTTATCTGCCACTACCCAACCTATCAACAGCTTTACTCGGTTCCCGCATCTCTGGGGGCCGAGGTGAGCCTCTGGAAATCGAAGGAAGCCGATGGGTGGAAGCTCGATATTGAAGAGTTGAAGGGACTCATCCGTCCCAATACCAAATTGATTATTATCAAGTATGCTGTGAAATATATGGGGGCTCTGCATTTTGTGCTTGACTAACTATTTTTCTTAGTAACCCCCAGAATCCCACGGGAGCAATTGTCCCGCGCGACCATCTCGAGGATATTATTGATATTGCTCGCGAGTCTTCTATTACCATTCTGGCCGATGAGGTGTACCGACCCATTTTCCACAACATTAGTCCCGCGGACCCTCAGTTCCCTCCATCGATTCTCTCTCTTGGATACGAGAATACCATTGCCACAGGTTCCACTTCGAAGGCATATAGTTTAGCTGGACTGCGCGTGGGATGGATTGCATCGCGAAACCGATCCATCATTGAAGCTTGCGCTAACTCTCGGGACTATACTACGATCTCCGTTGGCCAGATCGACGATGCCGTGGCTAGCTTCGCTCTGGCGCCGGAATGCATCCATAATCTTCTCCAGCGGAATATTGACCTTGGTCGCACAAATCTCGAGATCCTGGAGAAGTTCATCGAAGATCACCGGTGGGCCTGCTCTTGGGTAAAGCCCCGTGCTGGTACGACTGCCTTTGTTCGGTTTAGCAAGATGGGCAAACCGATAGATGATGTGGCTTTCTGTGAGAAGCTACAGGAGGAGAAGGGAGTGATGTTTGTACCAGGTAGCCGGTGCTTTGGAGGAGGGGAGGACTTCCAGGGCTACGTAAGAGTTGGATATGCCTGCGAGACCGATGTGCTAGAGAAGGGTCTTGATGCGCTGCGAGAGTTCATGGATGAAGGCTACGAAGATGTGCCTGCGTTGAAGAAGAAGAAAGCGCCACAATAATAATGTTTCTTGTGATATACACATTGCACAGACAATAGAAACCTTCCCAACGGCCACGACCACAGGCGATCAGTCCTATCAGTAGTTCAATGTGCCTCGATCGGTTAATCTGGACCACTACGAATGTTTACTTGGTTTCTGTGCAGAGAACATTATGGCAAAATTAATCAAGGAAGGGAACATGATCGCATGTTTTGAAGATAATTTAGGCTCTCATTTCAGCCGAGCCATGTGAAGGTGGTGGGTGCAAAGTGACTTCTCAGTTTTGCTCCAAGCAAAACACAGATAAAGTGTCAACTCACCCTTGGGATTGATGTGTTTTATTTCCATCAAGATATCCCTTTTCATGCGAGGGATAATCCATACCCGATTTTATCTCCACAGCGTGTTCACCACAAATCCCACTTGTAGTACGATCAATGTGGAGCTCGGAATAGAATGACGCGGTGTAGCCCACACCTTCATGCCGGTCCAGCCGGATCGGCGCGAAGATACCGAGGCATCTTGGCAATCTCACCTCAACTTGCGCTCCCCTTGGTTGTTTCATCACCACCCCACCTCAGTCGTATGAACGAAATACTACTCTCAAGCCCACCGACGCTTTACTCACACGCCACTTTTGAATCCTTTTGCCGGCTCCATAGGGGCACGACAGTGTCGCGTCAACCTTATCTGTCGTTCCGGCCTGACAGAGAGCTTCAGTCTTCAACCTTCACACTGTAGCTGAAATCCGGTCATTTCACCCAAGATGCCGCTGCCTTTTTTGTCTGGTAGGTACAAATTGCGCACGACTTTAAAAAAAGGATATCTGCTGATCATTAGGCTCAACTTACAGATGTGCCTTTGAGCATAGCTCTTCCGGCCGCCGCAACAGCTTTAGCCTACTTGAACGCGAAACACTCACTATTCTATGATATTGATCTTCTCAGGTCGATGTTCAAAATGCTGAGGAAGAGGGTCACAGCGGAGAAAAGCGACCGCCTGAACCTCTTTTACGTCCTCGAGAACCACGCCCTCTCCCCCGACACAGCTGATAATGATTGCATCGTCTATAACGGCCGAACATGGAGCTTCCGTGAAACCTATAATATGGCCTTGCGCTTCGCCAATTGGTTCAAGAGCGTCCACAATGTGAGTCGCAAGGAGATTGTTGCCATAGACTGCATGAACTCGTCCACATTCCTGTTCATGCTTCTTGGGCTGTGGAGCATTGGAGCGGTCCCTGCCCTCATCAACTATAACCTGGCTGGCAAGCCTCTCACCCATTCCCTCAAGGTGTCGACTGCCAAGCTTGTTATTGTGGACGAGGAAGTTCGTAATAACTTCACAACGGAGCTGATGGAGACATTGGCTTCCCCAAATTTCCGTGATGGGAAGGGCCCGACCGAGGTGGTGTTTCTGACTCCCGATGTGGAGGCCCAGGTCTCGGAGATGGAGCCCATGCGGGAGGAAGATGAGGCACGCGCTGGTCTGCTCCCGCGTGACATGGCCATGTTGATATACACCAGTGGTACCACTGGCCTTCCCAAACCCGCAATCGTCAGCTTGCAGAAAGGCTGGTCCAGCACTTGCTTTGTAGGGAATTGGATGAAGATGACCCCTGCAGATCGCTTCTTCACGGTAAGCACCGCCAGATATGAGGAAATGGAAGCCCACCGCTAACTTTCAAAAGTGCATGCCTCTGTACCATGCTTCGGCAGCTCTGCTCGGATTCGTCACTACCCTGCAGGCTGGCGCTACACTGATTATCGGGCGCAAATTCTCTGCAAGAAATTTCATGAATGAGGCCCGTGAAAACAACGCGACAATCATTCAATATGTCGGTGAGACTCTTCGATACATCCTGGGCGTGCCACCCAAGATCGATTCGGTCACAGGGGAGGATCTAGACAAGAAGCATAACATTCGCATTGCGTTTGGCAACGGCCTCCGTCCCGATATCTGGAATCGATTTAAGGAGCGTTTCAATGTCCCAACCGTTGCCGAGTTTTACGCTGCTACTGAGGGCACAGCTGGGGCATGGAATTTCTCTTCCAATGACTTCTCAGCAGGCGCTATTGGCCGGAATGGAGCCATTGGAGACTTTGTCTTTGGTCGGAACACTGCAATCGTCGACGTGGACTGGGAGAGCCAAGAACCGTGGCGTGATCCGAAGACTGGCCTCTGCAAGAAGGTCCCTCGAGGCGATCCTGGCGAGCTTCTTTTCCGAATCGACCCCACAGACCCTAGTGCAGCTTTCCAGGGATACTTTGGTAATTCCAAGGCTACCGAGAGCAAGATTGTGCGCGATGTCTTGACCAAGGGCGATGCCTTTTTCCGCTCAGGCGACGTTATTCGATGGGACAAGGATGGCCGCTGGTACTTTTCTGATCGACTGGGCGATACGTTCCGGTGGAAGAGTGAGAACGTCTCAACCAACGAGGTTTCCGAAGTTCTCGGCTCTCACCCGGAGGTGCACGAAGCCAACGTCTATGGAGTTGCGCTGCCGAATCACGAGGGTCGTGCTGGATGTGCGGCTCTGGTCTTGAACCAGCAGCTGGCTAGCGGTAATGCTTCCGGCCCAGCGCTGAAGCCTTCGCGCGCCACGCTTGAGAGCATCGCTGTGCAAACCCTGAGCAACTTGCCACGCTATGCAGCTCCGCTCTTCCTGCGGTTCATGCCCGAGATGCAGTCAACTGGAAACAACAAGCAGCAGAAGCATATCCTCCGTACTGAGGGTGTGGATCCAGCCCAGGTCTCCAAAAACGACCACCTGTACTGGCTTCAGAGTAACTCTTATGTTCCATTTGAACAGAAAGATTGGGATCGGTTGAATGGTGGCCAGGTCCGTCTGTGAGCATGTTATTGATGAAGATCTGCTTGTGTCCAGCGTGCTTTTTCCTTGTTGATCCTTATCGGCAGTCTCGTTCTTATTAATTTCGCTTATGTATTTAGATACCCTCCCCACAGTCCTTAATGACATGACAATAGTATTGCATCATTTCTGATTAGCCCAGGCGAATTTGCTGCGCGGTTAATATTTTAATCTCTGATGCTGATGCGGATATGGGGCTATAATAGTATGACTTTGTTGGCGCTTTATTCTAATCGGCATGACAAAATGCCATTCCCATTACGGGAGCTATTTACGAGTCACCCCACTCTCTCGTAACAAGAACTGCAAATATGCCGCAGATTAGAAAAGGGAGGGATCGAACAGAGGCAGAAACTTGCCATGTAGACTAGTGTAATTAACTCAAATTTGGGATCCGCCAAGAAAAGATAAGTCCAAAGGGTCAAAGAAAAAGGTGGGTCACCGTTTGAATTACGGATAGTAATCAAACCACAAACCACGAGCAGGGATCGAACAGAGTCAAGGATGTAGAATGAGGTGGCGCTTAAGAAAGAGGAAAACGGGGGCAGTGAAAACAGAGAATCTTAATGTTGAGCGAAATTCCGTCAGACTTTTTGTTACTCGCTGCAGGACGTAGGTACTGAAGGGACGTGAGCCCCTGGTTCTCCACAGTCCACAACTTTCATTATTGGATCCCATGACGTCTGAACGAAGAGCGGATCCCAAAGTTCCAGGGCGAACCCAGAACCCAGACTCCAGAACCTCAGGACAAACTCAGAGAAAGTGTGTATGTGTAGATGTCATCATTCGGAAACAAACACCTCCAGTCTTCGTGACCACACAGACAATCCCTCATTCATGTAACTCCCCCATGCTGCCATCACCTCATAACTCGGCAAACGAGAAACTGAAGTTGGGAATCTGCTCATAAAATCAGGTAACCGTTAGAATTCAAGAGCAGGAAAGTGCGGAGTCCGGAGGGTGCGCGAGGAGAGAAGGAGAGAAGGAAAAGAAGAGAAGGAGAATACTCTTTTATGAAAGAAAACAAAGCACGAGCCATTCACTTCCTTTGAAAGAACGCCCCATTGCAAACCGGCAAGTTCCATAAGTTTGCTTTTAGTGTGACTGTTTGTCAGTTCGGGATGCAGCCCATGGTTGGATTTAAGCTTCGCCAAGGCCCGCAAGTCAATACGTGAATCCGGGCATCAGCCCTGGAGATCACCATAAATGATTGCCTAGTATGCATCATAGTTGGGACCCCAGATTTACATGGTCTGAGCTTCAGTTCAGGCCAAGTGGAACCTGCAGTCGAAATGACGAAGTGCGGAATTCTATAAACTGCGTTCCGCTAATCCTTCCCAGCTTCCCCCGCAGATCTGCAGATCGACTATATTTGCTTTGTTTCTATCCCTTTCCGCCTTGCTTCCTCCATCCTCCATCTACTAACACACCTGCACAATTTGACTGGACCCTATGAGGTCCTTGGTTTCGTCATGAGTGGCGGGGAAACGAAGCTAGAGGCTACACAACAGAACGATATCTCTTCTGGCCCGGAGGAAGACCAAAAAGATTCTCCTCTGGTGCGTCTTTCGCCGATAGTAGATGCATGAGTACTAACGGTCTTATCTCTAGCAATGGTCTTGGCTTCGCAAACACGTTATATTGATTCAATGCAGCTTCTTCGCTGTCTGTCCCGGTTTCACAAGCTCTATCCTAATCCCAGGGATCAATGACGTCGCACAAGAATTGGGGATCACCTCCCAAACAGCAACATACCTTGTGGCAGTCCATGTCCTCTTTCTTGGACTGGCACCATTCTTCTGGATTGTCTGCATGAATGCCTATGGGCGCAGACCAACTTTAATTACGAGCATGTTCTTATCTTGTTTCGCTGCTCTTGGTGGAGGTTTCGCGAAGACGTATGGCGGCCTCATGACAGCACGTGTGTTTCAGTCATTCGGTATCTCAGCGGGCTTTGTCCTACCTGGTGTCATCGTGGTGGATCTTTTCAGTGCAGAGCAGCGAGGGCAGAAGAATGGAATCTGGGCACAAATGGTCTCGATCGGGGCACCGCTCGGTGGAGTGATTGGCGGACCCGTCGTTCGGTATGCTGGGTGGCAGTGGGTGATGTGGCTGACTGCAATCATGAATGCTGTTCAGGCAATATGTTTCATCCTAACATGTCCTGAAACGTCATACAGCCACCGGAAAAATGGACGTGCTCGGTTTCAACTACAATATGCCTTGGAGCCATTTTTGATTCTCCAAGCGCCACATATTGTTCTGGTTGCATTTGCATATGGTGTGACATTCGCCATTGTCTCTGTGGGGCTCGCTACTATTGTGCCCATTGCCCTCGAAAAGGAATATGGATTCGGTGCGGTCGCCCAAGGGCTGTTCTTCTTTGGGCCTTTGATTGGTGCTGTGATTGGTGAGCAGCTGGCAGGTCCGGGGAGCGATTGGATTATGAAGAGGGAGCGACGGCGTGCTGCTGTCACCACCAGCAACAAGCCAGAATCTCTCGAGCACCGTCTCATAGTTGGTCTTCCTGGGGCTGTGATGGCAGTTGCTGGCATCTTGATTTTCGGCTTGTCACTGCAAAACCATACCCATTGGATCGGGCCATGCATTGGGTTCGGAGTCGCAAACTTTGGTTTGCAACTGGTCACAACCCCACTGAAGACTTATTGTGTTGACTGTCTGTCTTCTCATTCGGGTTCTGTGCTTCAACTCATCAATGCTATTCGCCAGATTATTTCCTTCACGGTACCGTTCTGGAGTCCCGAGCTAACAGATCGCCTTGGGTATGGACTAGGGTATGGAATTGAAGCAATAATCATGGCTACCATCTTCACAGGTTGTATTCTGGTTTTGGTTTGTGGTGCATCTTGGAGAAAGTCCTTGCCAGTCAAAGGGCTCATGAAAGGCCCCTAGCTCTATGTAATTTAAGCCTTACATACAGAATAATTGAAATCGATGAGCAAACAGTATTCCAATTGCAGAAAGTCATGTATCCAGGTGGTCATACCAGAATTCGAAGAACGTGTCAATTAACCAATCGACAAGTCGGTTAAAATAGGTTCAGGGCCCCACGGCCCCGCAGATTAATTACCCGCACCTAAAACTGGGGTTCCCGGCTGAACTCCGATGCATCGGACGAGAGCGCACCGATGATGATGGTGCGGAGTCTTGTTGCCCGACTTCAGGTGGGTCGGTACTCAGCTATTAAACAGCAACTAGCACTTTCTGAAAACGACTTACAGAAGTACATAACTTCGCACAAACCGCAGACATGTCTATGAACTTTGATGATTGTGGTGTCAACCGCGAGGGATTTCCCCGCCCGTTCCCCAACACCCCTTCTAATGTCCTTGAGCAACTTCGTATGGATGGAAAGGTGGTTGTTGTCACTGGTGCAGCAGATGGGATTGGATATGCCGTAGCGGAGGCCATTGCTGAGGCTGGCGGTCATGTCGCATTCTGGTATAACTCGTGAGTGATGGGCGTGCGGACATGATTGGATTATGCGAACTAATCATTGGTAGAAATGATGTTGCAATTGAAAAAGCGAAGGACTTGGGGGCTTCGCATAATGTGAAAACAGCTGCTTACAAAGTTGATGGTTAGTCATTAGAGTCCACGCACTAAAGAAATAGACGCTTATTGTGAATATAGTCTCTGTCTCCACCGAAGTCCAAGAAACCATTGCCAAGGTAGTGCAAGACTTTGGCAAAATGGATGTTTTTGTTGCCAATGCAGGTTTGTTGCAGGAACATCTCCATCCGAATGCCTACTCACTGACGCTGCATAGGCATGGCTATCTCAAAGCCCATCCTGGAGCAGACCCTCGAGGAATATCGCAAACAAATGTCTGTTAATGGTAAGAACACCCTTAGCCATTATTCTGAATCAATTACTAATCTACCCCCTAGTCGATGGTATTGTGTATTGCGCAAAGTATGCCGGTGAAGTATTTCAGAAGCAAGGCTTCGGCAATCTGATCATCACATCAAGCATGAGTGGACACATTGTCAACGTGCCCACCGACCAGCCTGTTTACAATGCCACCAAGGCATATGTCACTCACTTCGGCAAATCACTTGCCCGTGAGTGGCGCGAGTTTGCTCGAGTGAACATTGTTTCGCCGGGCTTCTTCGACACTAAGATGGGTGCTAGTGGATTTGCTATCAATGAGGCATATCGAATGTCAGCCTTGGGGCGACAGGGTCACACTAAAGAAATCAAGGGTTTGTACCTATATCTTGCTAGTGATGCCTCCACCTATATGACAGGCAGTGATGTGCTTATCGATGGAGGTTACGTTTTGCCTTAATATAGGGAAATACCTACAAATCCAATTTGAAACCCCCATAGACAAATTATTGATTTCAATATTCACCATTTCACAAGGAAATTTGAATGAGTAGCTTCTTTACATGTGTCAATCAGGTGGAAGTACCCAACTACTATGGTTCAAAGGTCCTCTGTGGCAGTGAATGTCACATACTATATAGCCCACTCCAGGTACTGGCTTATAAGTTTACTGTATAGCATTTCAAGATGAATGCTGGGAATACAGCGGAATCTACGGTGGTAGTGCGGATACTGGCCTCTTGTATATTGATGATGATGATTCGGAGAATGAGCTTTGGCTGAAACTTTCACGTCCTCCAAACCGTATGATGTCCTTCGAAATGAAAGACTCAGAGGACTAAAGCTACTTACATTGGATGACTTAATTTTACCCAAACCTTGGTCTATTTTAAGCCAAACTTTTTTTTGTGAGCACTTGAAAAGAAACAGAATACGGGCCTAACTTTGGGTCCTGGGTCCGGGTTGGGTTTTCGAGACCTTCGGCCTAAGTTAGGCTTTGTGGAGGTCTAGTCCATAAACGAGGCAGGCTAGTCAGCTGTATATTTGTGGCCAGGAGTTGTAAAAAGAAAGAGGTGTTTTACTGACAAAGCTAGTCCGCCGACTTGCTTAAGTACACCCTTGGTCCACGCTTTGTTCAAGTTATGCCTGACAAGCCTCAAGGGAATAGCCTGCATACAACACAGATACAATCGAGAACTAATCTATAGGTTCCAACTATAGTCCAACCATGCCTTGTACCTCAGACATGCTCGATCTGCGAAATGCCAATATCGAGGTCCTTGACATCGGAGTCTTCGGGGCCATCGGGTGTAATACCAACTCGTCGTCTGATATTTGCCATTCTTATCATATCAACTTCTCCTTGGTTTCCCCCGAAGAGCTTATCCATCTCCTCGATACCAACGCCCCGTGTCTCCGGGACGAAGAAATATACCCAGCCAATGAGGAAGAGACAAAATGCTACATTTGCAAGTAAGTTTTTCATCCATTGAAAATGCGCAATACAAAGGAGGTAAGCCCCACCAAGAAAGAAATAGAAAGTGCCATACTTGATGGCTGCAAGCATCCTTGGATAGATCAATGCTACAATGAACTAAGTATTCTTTAGTATTGTAATCATGAATTTCGTATACAATACTCACATTGCTCAGCCAATTAGTGCCGATTGCCAGTCCCACGGCCTGTGATCGAACACCCGGAGGAAAGATCTCAGATGGAATAATCCAATTGACACAACCGATACTGAAGGCAAAATTTGCAATGTAGGCCCACACGAATGCAGCACATGCCCATCCAGCAGCCGGATGACTCTCCCAAGACCCGTTGTATACCGCATATATTGTTGCAACGAGAATTTGAGAGATGGACATTCCGATACCACCGACGATCAACACTTTCTTGCGACCCCATTGGTCCATGAACAAGATGGCAGGGATTGTAAAGACAAAATCGATTATTCCTACCACACCAGTTGCAAGGAGGTCAACTGACTCACCGGTCATGCCGATATTCTTGAAGATTGTGGGTGCGTAGTAGATAATAGCATTGATACCGGTAAATTGTTGGATGAATTGCATCAAGCATGCGATAAGCAAACGGCGATTGAGATGTCGGACCGTTATGAGAGATTTGTATCTCTCTATCGTTACCTGGAGGGGCGTTGTCGCATGGGGATAGAGGACTGAGGCTGTCTCGCGATCGAATTGCACTGCTGCTTTGATTTCGAGGAGCTCAAGTCTGATGCAGGGGTCTGTATCCGGGACACGACGAATGCGAAGCAATGTTGCCTCTGCCTCCTCTTCGCGATCTGCGTACAGGCTGGTTAACAACGATTGTAATAATCGCTGTGTGAATGAGACACCTGGATAGGGAAACTCACCTTTCAAAAGCAGCCACCGGGGGCTATATGGCAAGAAGAGTGTACCCACCGAAAGGACCAAAGAAGGAATACACTGCAAGGCAAGGGGGAGCCTCCAAGCAATTGGAGACTGATTGTCCCCCGTTCCTCCAATGTGTTGTGTTCCGTAGTCAATCCAGAAAGCAATCATGATACCAAAAGTAATACTGAGTTGTTGCAACGAGACCAAGCTACCTCGAACGTTCGTCGGTGCCAGCTCGCTGATATACAGTGGGATCACCATGGACAGCCCACCAATGGCCAGACCAGCGATAAAACGACCGACAAAAATCATGGCGATGTTTTTGGCGGCAGCTTGGATGATCGAACCGACAAGGAATATACCATTGGCGAGAAGAATGGACCATCGTCGTGAGAGACGGTCGGCAATGGGACCATTTGCCAGTGCACCAACCATAGCTCCAAGGGTAAGGACAGCTACCATCCATCCTTGTAGTGTTGAATTTGAGGCGAGAAGGGGAAATTGTTTACCCTGAAGATGGAAGGTTAGGTGGGTTGCACTGATGAAATGCGGAATTTCAGTCACTTACAAAATTGTTCATCACTAGAACACCACTAATCACCCCCTGGTCGTAACTGAAAGGCTGTTTAGTAGGATTCTGTACACCTAGCTGTTGATTGCTCTTACCCAAACAGCATCCCACCAATGCTAGCAAAGACCGCCATAAACAAGATGTAGGGCTGACGCAAGAGTCCCCGAATGCCTTGAGTATTATGACTTTAGAACGAACTCCCATCCAGTGAAAAGTTCATGATAATACTTACCAGTCTCGCCATGAGGGATGGTCGTTGCCCCCGCAGCTTCTGATGTTGTAGCAGACACCATTCTTGTAGTAGCTCTCTCACGAGTAGGTCTAACAGTACCATAAAACAAATGAAGTTATTGATGAATTCAATCCTAAAGTATTGGCGGAAATGTGAAAGGACTATCAAGATTACCATATGGGGCTCGTCGGGTGCTTCCCCGACATCAAAATCCGGGGAAGGTTATTATAGCGCATACGTCAAACAAAGAAGGCGCGTCGGAGCAGAATCTGCCGACAATCGACCATGACCATCTCTGCCTTTTTACAGCTAGTCATAGCTAGACATAGGAATATATTTACGTTTCATACTTACGGAACAACAAAAAAGTATGGAGATTTCTCGAGCGGCCGGTTTTATTCAGCAACTAGAGTCTCACCATATCAGAAAGCCCATGAGAGCCAGTGTTTTACACTGCATGTTGCACTAGATGACTCAAAGATACATCCGCCGTTGTAATTTTCCAGATACCATCTCTCAGGTACTGAGTAGGGATCGTCGGGCTACAGTGAACCGACGAAAGTGGAGTATCCAAGTATCCGGGGTCGGGATGACGCCGATGTATGTAGCATGATTCAAGAAGCAGCCAGTCACCCAGCGTGACCAGGAAAACAGTACTCCGGTGAAGATACAATACAACACAGGCAGAGTAAAGCTAGAGCTGTTTTGTTCCCTCAAGCATTTAGTTGAACCGGCTTTACCTTCCTGGCTGGCTTCTCTGGACGCAGTCGACTTTTCAGTTCTCCGCAGCTCTCCCCAACTTTTCCCCGCACTTCCAGTTTCCTATCTCACAACTACCTCCTTCCGCACAACATCATGGCATCTTCAAACGAGATCACCGAGCGGGAGGCTCTCACCTCCCGTATTGTCCCCTCGATGGTATTCAGCGACGGCAGTCCCTTATCGATGACAGCTGCCCCTAAGGTCCAAATAGAGAGTGATCCTTCAGTCGGGGCACAAAAGCGCTTTTCTGTCCGAGGCAACGCAGTTGTTACCGGAGGTGCTGGTACCCTAGGACTTCGGTCCTGTGATGCCCTCCTCGAACATGGCCTGGAAGGCCTCATGATATTCGATATCAACCCGGCCAACTCGCAGAAAGAAATCGCCCAAATGCAGTCAAAATTTCCAAATGCTAAGATCGGCACTCAGAAGGTCGATGTCACCGATGAAGAAGCCGTTCGCATTGCGATGGAGGAGACCGCCAAGCAGCTCGGATCTATCGATACACTGGTCTCATTCGTTGGCGTGGTAGGATGTGTTGACAGTCTTGAAATGCCTATCGCGCAGTGGCGAAGAATTCTTGACATCAACACCACGGGCTCATTCATTTGTGCTCAGGCGGCAGCTCGGCACATGGTAAAGCAAGGAACGGGTGGCTCGATTACATTCGTGGCATCGATTTCCGCGCATCGAGTCAACTATCCCCAGCCTCAGGTTGCATACAACGTTAGCAAGTCGGCACTTCTGATGCTCAAAAGCTGTCTGGCTGCTGAATGGGCTAGGTATGGTATCCGTACCAATACTGTTAGCCCGGGGTATATGGACACAATCTTAAATGAAGGCGATGGCATTGCTGAGCACCGGCGGATTTGGGCTGAGCGAAACCCCAGTGGTAGAATGGGAAGTCCGTCAGAGTTGACAGGAACGATTGTTCTACTTGCCAGCAGTGCTGGCACATATATAAACGGTTCCGATATTGTTGTTGATGGGGGCGCCACTGTACTTTAAACAATAGCTAGATATATATCATTTGGAACTTAGAATACTGAAATCTTAATTTAACGACTGCGAGTACCCCCGGTATTCGAATGACAACATTTCCCTTCACAACGATAGAAAGTCTGACTCCCCTAGATGTGTGGCTCCTTGAGACTGACGCTTTGAACAGCCCTGGAGTGCTTGCCTTTGCTACTTCTTTACTTCCTCATGAATAATAAACAATTTTTTTTTTGTTATCAACGTGATCTATATGCTTCGGGTACTTCCCGTCGGTCGACTGCGCTCCGACACTCCCACTTTCACCTCCATGACGTGCGGAGAGGCAGTCTACTATCCATGCACGAAGACTGCAATTCATGTTATCTTTCAATATGCCAAAGGATCCGAGGAAACCATTGAATCAATCGGCACTACGAGCATGCATCAATTGTCAGAGGAGGAAAACTCGGTGTTTCCGACCAGGGAGTGAAACCGGACCGTGTTCCTACTGCACCAGAAAGGGAAAAACATGCAGCTTCGAGAGTCCTCCGGATCGAACTCCATTGACTAGGAAAAACCTAGACTTGGCTGAACGTCGGTGTACTCAGCTCCGATCGCTCTTGCACTCGCTAAACCCAGACCTTGACGTCAAATCTGCTTTGGAACAGCTAGGCTCCGAACAAGACGTTGCAGACTCGCCTACTTTGGACGGAAGTATAGAGCTCGCTTCTAGTAACTACGAATGGCATGAAGGGTCATTGTCACCGGATGGAGCGTCGCCAGACGGAGATAAAGCCATCACTACTGATGGGATGGCTACCCTCTCAACAAATGATTCGGGCTACTTGGGTATGTGGGCACAGACTCGCGGAACATGACAATCTTTATTCTGACTAACCTCTTTATTCAGGAAGTAGTTCCGGCTCACGACTTTTGGAAGAAATAGATCCCACAATTATAAACAGGACAAGGCAAAGAGGGCGACGCAAATCTCATAGAACACTTTACCGACCGGGAATTCCACCACCTGAGTCTTCAAATTTGGTTAATAGCCATGCTACTAACCATCTTATTGATGCTTATTTTCAACTTTACAACAGCTACTTCCCCGTTCTGCATGAGAAAACATTCCGCGATAGGGTCACGGCAAGCCAACAACAAACCCCGCCAAGCTCACCCTGGCGGGTCACGTACTACATGGCCCTTGCCATTGGTCATTGGGCATTGAGCAATGAATCGGAACACGTGCAATCAAAGTTCTATACGGCGGCACGATCCAGCCTCTCGTTACAGATGCTTGAATCTGGAACAGTGGAGACGGTGCAAGCATTCTTGCTCATGGGAAATTATCTCCAGAAAAGGGATCGAACAAACACCGGCTACAACTTCATTGGTCTTGCGTATAGGATGGCGATTGGGCTGGGTTTGCACCGGGAGCCTACTGGAGTAGAGGATACCATTGGGCATGAGAGGCGGCGGCAACTCTTCTGGACTATATACTGCTTTGAGAGTGGATTCAATATCACGACCGGTCGCCCACCTACGATTGTGGATGGCTTCATTGATATTCGACTTCCACGTAACGTTGATGACAAGGTATTTAGAGTGATCCTTCTGGTCGAATTGACATCATTCGATACTGACATTGATTGGAAAGGCCATCTCATTAACATCACAGGTCCCGTCGGAGGTTGACTATCCAACAACATACTCTGCAATCATCGCCCAGGCCCAGCTAGCCAAGCTTGCTGATTCCACTTATCATGAGTACCTTCTGGCCAAGACTGCTGGGTCTCGAATTGAGTACAGACTGGCTGAGTCGATGGAGCGCGATCTTTTCCGCTGGTACAAGAGCTTGCCAAGCTATTTCACTTCAATGGACGTTCCCTCTTGGTTTCGCGGGCCACGGGCTGTTATCTTGTGGAAGGAACAAAATTTACGAATCCTACTCTGGCGTGGTAGTCAAAGACACCACAGCTTCCTCCCAACGAAGGTTAATGCTGACGTGAGGTGCTTAAACGTCGCCATGGATAGCATCCACAACATTGCTACCTTCTGCACGATTCATGAAAGCAATTTGCATCAAAGTCTAGCATGGTACGCCACGTACTTTTTGCTGCAGGCCACATTAGTCCTTACGGCTGGTCTTCTTGACAAAAACTCTCAAATCCAGCCAGAGTCATCGGAGCTGCACCACTCAGTCTTTCAATCACGAAATTGTCTTCGAATGCTAGCTATTAAGAATAAGTCCGCAGCTCGTTACATGGAAATGCTCGATCGTATTTGCAGTCAAATCCAGTCTCCAGTACCGGATTTGGAGATGAATCAATATTCATACGACCTTTCGAACGGGGCAGGCTTTGATGCCTCACGGATTGATGTGCCCAATCATACGCAAAGCTTTGCTGAACTGCCGAGTGAAAATGATTTCATGATCCCTGGGGAAAATCAATTCGCTTTCAACGATGATACCACGGACCCAAATCTGCGCATGCTTATTAACCAAGTTTCTCAGGATTTCACGGGGAGCATGCCCCTTGATCTGCTTTTTAATGATTGGATGAACTACTCCGCTTAAAATAGCGAGAACATTCTATGTCATATAAATACGACAGTGAGCTGGGTGTTTGACGTCCCGCATTCTTAGTTCTTTATATTCAAAGAGATTCAACGGAGATAGAAGGCGGAGTCCGAGGATTGCGGGTTCATTCCTCCATTTTGCCTACCCCTCCAACGCCGGACCACAAAGTGGACACTGAATACCTTGCATATCGGCATTAGGCCCGATTGTCTACGATATCTGCCTGCTTCTCCGCATAATACTATTAGGCCCGTACATTGCCCATGTCCGAGCCTGCCAATAACCCGGACCCGCTCACTGCGGAGACCGAGGTACCTAAGAAGCGAACGCGGGTCCAGCTTTCATGCACAGCATGCCGAATCCGAAAGTATTATCTCCAGGTGCACGGTAATAGGACATACACATACTAATCAGATCGCAGGTTGAAATGCTGCCGCACTTACCCATGCACTAACTGTATGAAGCGTGGCGAAGCGGCATTATGTACTTATGTCGGTCGCGGGCCTCGAGCAAAGGCACAGCACGAGCGTTCCAGTCCAACACTTGTGCAGGACCGACTGCAGCATTTAGAAAATCTTGTCATGTCGCTGGCCCAAAAGCAGAAGCCAGGCGATCAGATTACTGATTTCAATACTGGACTAACGCAAGATAGCCCGGGCTACGATACGCCACCTTCAGCCAATGACCGTGACACCAAGTCGTCACCTCGCGACACAGGAACTTTGGTTGTTAGTGACGAGGGAACCAGTTATATTGATAGTGCAAATTGGCGTGCTATTCTAGAGGAGGTTTGTATCGCGACCGTGCTTAGATGATGGGGAGAGGGCTGACTTGGCTGTCCAGATCAATGGAGTGAAAGAATACTTGGACGAACAAGAGGACAATTCTGACAATGATGCGACGGAAGAAGACCCATATAGTGATTCTTCACCAGTTCTTCTGCTTGGCATGGCAAGAAAAGTCACCAAGCAAGAAATTCTAGCCGACATTCCGGCGCGATCGGTTGCCGATCGATTAATCGCTCGCTTCCTGAAAACATATGAACCATCAATAGGTATGTCAAAAGGCTTGTAGGTGGACGAATGTATTCTGATATGGGTACGTAAATCAGTTGTCATTCATGTCCCAACATTCCGCAAGGAATATGAGCAATTTTGGAACAATCCCCTGGGCATGTCATATACTTGGATTGCATTGTTATATGCGATAATGGCCTTGTCTATCTCTCTACTTAATCGCAGTGAAGAGCCATTTCCAATCAGCCAAGTGGACCCGATGAGCATGTGGGATGTTTTCCGAAGAAAGGCTTCACAATGTCTTGTCGAGTCGAACTACTTAGTTCCTGGCAAATACAAGCCCGAGGCAGTCTTCCTCTATTCACTTTCTGAATTTCTTCGCACTCAGGATACTCAGATTGGGATGTCATATCTCCTTGGAATTACCATTCGGCTTGCGCTGCACATGGGCTACCACCGCGACCCGAGTCACTACCCCAGCTTATCCGCATTCGAGGGGGAGATGCGCCGGCGTTTGTGGGCAATGATATGTCAGCTCGACACTCTTGTTTCCTTTCAAAACGGCCTCCCGCGAGTCGTACAGCATTACTATTGTGATTCTGAGATCCCTTCCAATCTACTGGACACTGACTTTGACGAAAATTGCGTTCATTTACCGCCTGGTCGACCAGATGAAGAGAGAACGGCCTGCTCATACACACGAGCTAAATCACGTCTCATGGCAGCATTTGGACATATTTGCGACTCGGCCTACGCCCGGGAACCAGTGTCATATGATGAAATCATGGCGATGAATCGTCGTCTCGATATAGCACACGATCAACTACCTTCATTCTTCCGTGCACGGCCTATGTCTCAGTCCATGGGCGATCAAACAGATCTCATTCTGTGGCGATATAACCTGAATTTGATCTATCAAAAATCTCGCATCGTCTTGCACCGTCGGTACATCAAAGAAACACATGGTAAATACGCCAACTCGCGAAGAATCTGTATCGATGCTGCCAGTGCGTCGCTGCGACATCATGCTGATATCTGGAGCGAGTCATTGCCGGGTGGCCAGTTATATTCTGAGCGATTCCTACTCAACTCCCTCCAAAACACCGATTTTATGCTCTCCGCTATGGTTCTTTGTCTAGTGTTATCGCATGCCAACGACAGTGGAGACCCTGCCCGAATGCAGACACGGGAGCACAAGGATCTCTTGTTACTATTGGAGAATACACACAATATTTTCAAGCAGACTCCACGGCGGTCTACGGATACCCAGCGGGCCTTTGTCGCATTGAGCATTATGCTTAGCCGAGTCCAAGGCCGCAGCGTCGAAAGTCTCACATCGAATGTCGAGGAGGATATGAATGCAATGAATAGTATGAACGCCCATATTCTGGTATCTGTTGTATTACTGATTCGTCAACTAGATCAAAATATTTTTCAACCAGTACCCGCAATCGATCAACAGCAGTACCCAATGGTTTCTCCAGGGGATATGCAGGCCGATATGTATACGAACATCTCCGAGACTCCGTCATATTCTTCTCTGGGGGTGATTGATGATATGCTTAGCACGCCTGCTCAATTAGACTGGGTATGTTACGTCTTTGTTGTAGGGCATTGATAGGAAAAGCTAATGTTCTCCTTTTAGCGTCTGTATGACGGCCGAATGTATGGGTTTGACACGGCGAACCAGGACAGCCTGTGGTCTGCGGCGCCTTGTATTGATTCCAACGGCGTGGAGTTTGCCTTGCCTCCTAACATTGATAGGAATCTTTAGGTAGTCCTGAAGTGTTGCTGTTGCATGCGTCTCTCCGCAGCAACCTGCAGGTGGGCAGAAGATCGACGACTGCTGTAATATATATATACCAGGCAGCATAATAAGACCATAAGATTACAAGGTGTAATCTGATAAGTACGCTATATTACACGTCGAGCCAGTCCTATAGTCTCTCATAAATGCAGCATTTTGGTTGCCCAGCCATGACAATAATCTTATCTCTTAAAAGGTTAACCAGAACCTGATATAAAGTGCTCGGCCTCGGCCGCAGATCCCGATCCGCGGAACGGGAACTTTTCTCAGTTCGTACCAACCTTGGAAGCTTCAACTCGAGCGATACGCCGCGGAAACCCCACGCCTCTCACAACAAACCACCCTCTCTACCTGTCATGCAACACACCCGGGCTCTGCGATTTCAAAATCGCACAATCACCACCCTAGCCCGGCCTCAATGCGCCTCGCTGCGACCAACGCTTCCAATCAACACAACCATAAGGGAACACTCACTCTCCTCACGCCAATCAACACCGCCATGCACATACAAACTCCAAAAACGATGCTTCAACCTCTCATCTCTCTCCTCGTTCCTCCCAACCGGGAACAATAACGGCGACAACTCGCCGAAGCGCGTCCTAAAGGCCTCCCGCACACTTCCCTACTCACCCGCCCTCCTCTTCAAAGTGATCTCCTCCGTCGAAGAATACTCCGAGTTCCTGCCATTCCTCAACGCATCTACTGTTACAGCGCGCGATTCGCAAACGGGGTACCCGACGCAAGCGTTCTTGACCATTGGGTACGGCCCGCTTAGCGAGACGTTTACTTCGCTCGTGGACTGCGATCCCGCGAAGGGTATTGTGGAGGCCCGGAGTGGCGCGAAGTTTGGGAAGCCCGAAGGCAGCGCTGGAAGCAGCAGCTCATCTGGACTTAGCAGTTTCTTCCCTGGAGCGAGTGAGGGGATCTTCGAGTATCTCTCTACGCGGTGGGAGTTGACGCCGATTGATGTGAAAGGTGGATCACCGCAGACTAAGGTCGAATTGCAGGTGGAATTTGAGTTCCGGAATCAGTTGCATGCTACTGTAATGGGCGCGGTGGAGGGTCAAATGGCCGGTGTCATGATTGAGGCGTTTGAGAAGCGAATGAAGGAGAAGCATGCCGAAGGCCAATAACCATAGAGGCCTCAATAGATCGGCGCTTTGTATATTAGTTGTGTTTTTAGTCAGGTGTACCAGATCCATGGATGTATAGAGTGTATACAGCCTTGGGCGTATAGAAAGATATAGAAAGATAAGGCCCATGAGTGCCAAATTTAATTTCTATGGAGATCCGCTGTACAATTTCAAGACAGGATTTTAGAAATGAAAAGAAAAAATAGAACATGTTAGTATATAATACAGATTATCCAAACACCAAAGGGATTTTATCCGCTCAAGACATGCTCAGACTCCGAGCCTGGGCCATCGAGGGATTCGATCGCATAGAGCTGATAGCGTTGTAGTTGTCGAACACAACGTCCCAGTTAATACGATCCCACCAGCGCTCCAGGTACTCGGCCTTGCCGGCAATACCATAATCCATCATCCAGGTGTGCTCCCAAGTGTTCACGCACAGAATGGGCTGCACATCAATAGCACCGGGGGCTAAGCTCTTCTGGTTCTGGGCATGGGCGCCCATAGAACCGGCGAACTGATTGCCCAGTTGGGTTTCGGGGGTATGGGTGGCCATGTCGACGGGTTGGCGCCGGGAGTGGGCGGCCGGGTAGGGAGAGCCGGCGTTGTAGGTGCAGAAGATCTGCATCATACCCTCACGCTCGAGGTTCTTGGCGAGCCAAACGAAGCCGGGACCGAACATGGAGTTGGCGGTGGCCAGGAAGTCGAGCTTGAGGGACTCGACGGAGGAGCAGGTGTCGATGATGTCCCGGGCGAACTTCTCGGGGATCTCGGTGCTTTGGGGGGACTGCATGGTGTTAGATTTCAAGATAGCCCGAATTTGCGGGTAGTATTACTGACCAGGCAGTTGAAGAAGAAGTGGTTGTTGTGAGCCATGGAGGCGTAGTTGAAGACCGAGGCCATCTCCGCGCGCTTGGAGTACTTGACCAGCAACTCTCCAGGCTTAGCATCCGCGTCAACGGTGTCTGTTCACGGAATAAATCCAATCAGTACTCGGTCACTCATTTGTCCATTGAAAGAACCGTCAGGCCATTCAATTGTCCGCAGGGTGAGCTGGACTGACCTTGTGTCAACAGGTTGAGTTTGTCCACGAGGAGGTTCTGGTATTGGGTCCAGGCGAAGTCAAAACCCTCCGGCGACATGAATTCTGGGATACCATTCTCCTTGTAGTACTTTTCGTTCTGCAATTGGGGGATGCGATGGAGAGCACGGGTCTGGAAGCGTGGGAGGGCGGAGGAGATAGGTGTCTGGAGAGCAACGCGATCAGTTTCTGTCTACGCGACGGGAAGCGGCCAAGGATGTGAACTAGCCGATCTTACCTGGGCGGAAGCCGCGCGCAGAGCGGGCCGGGCAAATCGGCTAAACATGATGTGAGATAGGAGAGTGGACGTGATCTATTGAGCTTTCCCAAATCTCGAAGAATTTCCCTCCCGACGCACTTCCCCATCAGGACTAGCGTGGCTTATATCATCTCCCCACTATCAACCAATCAGCGGTCGTCCAACTACATCTGTTTCTACCGGTGTTTCTCTAAGCGCCCACGATCATCTCTGATCCAGCCATGGTGGGCCATCGTGCATTCTTCAGGAGAATAATCTAGCTTAGCGCCTGTACTACTTATGATATTTGGGATCATGTAGTCGAACATGAAACTCGAGAGCCTTAGCTTGGGCTCCCGGCGCGTGCCCAGAATAGATTATATGGAAACTGGGAAATGAATGGGCACTGACGATGCCTCTTCTTTGTACGAAGTCGCCTGATTTATTTCCTATCTTCTATTCTCTTTCAGTTCCAGCCTATCGTTGATCTCTTTGTCCGTTCCTCTGTCCCTACCAACATCATCTAATATTCTTCTTCGTGATCTATTGCTTCTTGGCCTGCATTCGAACCAGATATCGGATCAGCACCATTCTTTCTATTTACTGTTTATTTTTTTATTAAAAGCCGGGTCAGACGAACTCTTCAGTCTGGGGAAGATCGATACTTCCAGTCCACGCTCGCAACGCCAACATGGCTAGACCATTTGCTAACACGATGGCCAAAGGGTCATTTCTTCTCTTTCTCTTGACCATCATGACTTCCGTGAGACCAACACATGCGTTTAAGGAATTTGAGATTCTTCCTAGAAGTGATTCATGCCCCAGTTCATACGACACATGCGGAGGAAACGTGCCCTCGGACTTCTGTTGTCCGTCATCCTCAACCTGTCTCGTTCTTGACAACGACACTACAGTCCTCTGCTGCCCATCCGGAAGCAGCTGTGACTACATATCACCAATAACCTGCGATATTCAAGAGCAAAATGCCACTTCTTACCCCAAAGCCTCAGTCAAGACGACACTACTCGATGAGAGTCTCCCAACATGTGGCAAGAAATGCTGCCCATTTGGATACACCTGTGAAAATGACAGCCTCTGCCACATGACAAACTCAACAACCACAAGTACGACTACAACATCAAGTACTGCAACTTCAACAACTTCAACCTCAACAGCCTCATCAACCACCGACCTCTCAGCCTATGGCGCAACCTTCACGCCAGTATCCACATCCGTCTCCGCATCCTCTCTAAACGCAGACTCGACCTCTTCTGCCAACTCAACAGTCACCAGCTGTCCATCCTTCCCAAGCAAAGCAGTACTAGCAGGCTTCTTCCCAGGAGCCCTCTTCGGCGCCATCGCTGCCCTCTTAATCTCCACCTGCGTCCGCCACCGTGCCGAAAAGAAACACCTAGCAGAAATAAATCAAGACTCCAAATCCACTGGACACAATTGGTCCAGCCGATCCTCCTCAGGCGCCGTCCTCGGAATCTCAAGCCCCATAGCCTCAGAAGATGCATCCTACCGCACAGACTTCCTCCTCCGGAACCCGAGCGACAAGCGTTCTTCGATGAGTTCCCGGTCCATGCGTTCAATGATGAACCGTTCTGGCTCTCGGGTGCGCAGTCTATTCTCGACTGGTGTACCCGGACAAGATAAGGATGTGCCTCCGCTCCCTACCGCATCAGAGCTCCCTGTGCAACCCGATCCTGTGACGCCGCCTAGACAGCGCGAGCCTAGTACCGAGAGTATCAAGGTGTATTCGCCGCCTGCGGTGTTCATGCAGTCGAGGCGGTTTCTAGGGCCGGAGCCGTATCCGAGCCGTATTGCGAGGCCGTCGACTACGTTTACGGATTTGGTGCAGGCTGTTGGTTTTAATGAACCGAAGGGAAATCAGTCTTTCAAGGTGCATGAAGTGAGGAGGATTACTTGATAAAAATTTCTGTGGAAGTTGTAATTGAATACTTGCGTTTCAAGTTGGGTTTCCGCTGGCATTTGGTTGGTGTACAACACTTGCGATCGTTCTAGATGATTTTCTTTGTTTATATACCTGTTCGACAAGCTTAATTAGCAAGACTTTGATTCGTCAGTTTTAATGATGTCCATTGGGTGTAAATATGAACAGCCAGGGTAGCCATGGCGAGAGTTGTACGCTGAACGCAATCATTGATGAAACAAAATGAATTTAAATGATGTATGCATATAGTTTCTAGGATACAAGAGAAATAGAATGATTTAATTTGCCGCAGCCTTTCTGGCTTTCCATCCCGCGATGATTCGCTTCAGCTCCTTCAATAATCCAACGACCAAAGGCACACCAATGGGACCCAAGAGAGGCAAGTATACTGCAATCTTGTGCTCATCTGGGAAATAGACCTGACCAACCATACTCTTCTCAAAAAAGCTACGCTCTGCTTCGGTCTCAGCTACTCGTGCGCTAGCAAGAGCGGCAGCAAAACGGCCGTCCCGAAGGTAAGAGCAAGTAGCAGAGAGATGGGACAGGGTAGTGGAGACCGAGGAAGCGACAGTAGCCGGAATAGGGATGGAGGGAAGAGACTCCGTGAGACGAGCTAGAGATCCCATGGTAGATGAAGCGGAGAGAAGGAGAGTAGCTGCTCGGACACGAATGAGGGTTTGAAGACGGAGTGGTAGAGATGAAGGGGTAGTTGGAGTGCCCAAGAGAGTCAGGAGTTGGTGAGAGAAAGTCATGAACGCAGGCCGCAAAGAATCCTGCGTTAGGTGTGTTGGGTTTGACAGGCCGCTTGAGTCTGCGGAGAGTGTTGGGTTGAGAAGGAATACACCACCCCACTGCGGCACGATCCAGCTCGAAGCACGGTTCTCCTTCACGATAAGTGGGGATTGAGACGGGGCTGGAACATAAAGAATGAAGTTGAGGGTGGGACCGCTGCCAATGCTGGGGTTGAGAGGCCACTCAGCAGCATTGATAAATGCGCTCAAATCCTCTTTCTTCAGTGTCCAAGCTGACTCAGTCTCATCATAGACCGGTGGAGGTGCCATCGGTGAAAATGTTGCATAGAGCTGGACCTGTGTATCAATCGTAAAGTTGCTGATGGGAGCAAATGCATGTAGAAGAGGGGAAAGGTACTCCTTGACAGCAGCCTCAATATCCCAAGAAGATGGCACGGAGCCAGGAGTGAACAGCGAGAATGACAAGTGGTATGTGTCGGCGTATTTCATGGATCGACGGAGTCGCCGGCTGATGCTCTCCGAATCAAAACCAGCTGTCCCACCCGAGAGGATGTGGGCAATAGTGGCCTTCTCCTCGCTATACAGTCCTTGTAACTCCTGCGCAATGAACGCTGACAGAGGCGGGTTGGAGGACGAGGGAAGGGGGACCTGGTTTGGTGGGTAGAATACATCCAGCTGTGTTGTGTCTGCATGGAGTTCTGACCGAGGGGCGGCCAAATCATCTTGGGGGAGCACGCGAACGGTCAAGGCAATATCCGCACTTTCTCCGACTTGATCAAAGCCTCCAATACGCTCTTCGCCGTTGGAAGGGATTGCGCTGGTGTCGTTTGCCAATTTGAGCCGCAAATGGTGAGCGGCGAATTCATTGAGATCGTCAAGGGTATGCTGCGTGGTGCGCAAGAGGTGCTGGGACTCGGAAATCTGCATTGCAGGTGCTGCAACATGAATATCCAAAGGAAAGACAGGGCGACATGTCTAGACACGCGATTGTTAGCCATCTCATTGTTTATTGCGGCCACCTTGGTGAGCTGGTGTACCTTGCCATCATCCCAATCTACCATCTCCTGGATTGGCAGGTGTGCCCGGTAGATAGACGTTGTCTTCCACCATATTGGAAATCCGAGAAAGATAATAACAGCCCAAAATGCAGCAATTACTCGGAATCGCGTCTGAGTGGCCTCGGGGGTCTCGGGGGTGGAACGCGCTGGGCGCTGGATTGAGGGTTCGAAGCGGCCGAAGCCTTCGGAGACTCGCTGTCTCCATTTTTGGCGGTCATGTTAGGGACATGCTTTGTGCCGTGGACCAACACAACACTCAAGCAGTACAGAGTGGACGAGTGTTGTTGTCGGGGAAAGGTAAACCTTGAAAGGCGGAGAAGGGACCAGGTGGCGCCGGTTTACCCATTGTACGGAGTACTACATGTTTACAGCTACTCCTAGAAGCACCAGAAATAATTAAAACATTTCCTTATATATAGAATTTGTGCCCTTGTGTGATAAAGATACCGCTTATTCTAATGAAAATATAAGCAAACATTTCCCTAGGATCTATTTGCCTTCAACGCCCGCGAATGATACTTGCATGAGAATCATGTATGAGCCTCAATTGGGATTATTATCGATGCATTCAGACTAGACAGTATTCTACGTAAATCATACAGGGTATCATAACCAATAACGCCGTTCTAATGTAGCGGTCAGGCCTTCCAGCCATGGACCTTGCAGTACCCACCTCCTTAGTATTCCTTCTCGAAGATTTTCTGGATAGGTTTCGCAGCCTGCATTGCAGATGTCAGTAATGAAGAAAGGAAGCGAGACATAGATAATTGCAGACACATACATCAACGAATTTCTCGAGGTCCTGGTCGAGGTTGGCCAGATCATCCTTGCGCTTCTTGTTCTCCGCGATCAAGGCCTGCTTGTGCTTCAGCAGCTCCTGGCGAGCCTGCTCAAGTTTCTCTCGCTCCGCATGCTCATGGTTGATACGCGCAATCATTAATTCATGTTCATCAGTCTCGCGGTGTTCGGGAAAGAGCTCGAGGAATTCCTCGACAGGTATTAATGGCAGTGAAAGGTACTTGTGGCTGTCGCGCGAACATGGGAATTAGCAAGGTTTCACAGGGGTAAGAGGTATCATGTAAGGCGCCGAGTGCACTTACTCGTAGGATTCACAAGCTGAAATCTCGCCACTCAGATGTTTCTGTTCGTAATACAGGTTCTGCAGCTGAAGATGCAGTCGGTCGATCTCCTGGCGTGCCTCGGCGGTGGATTGTTTGGTGTCGCGCACACGGAAAAGCGCATCACGGTTCTGGCCGCGCAGCTGAGCGAGGAGGGCAAAGAGGAGCTTCTGCTGCTTCGAGGCAGCCAGCGATAATTCATGGACCGAGGTTCCGGCGGGGATGGTGTCTGGATTCAGTAGGGCTAGGAGTTGCTGGCATTGGGCGAGAGTCTCGGCGCTGGTGCTGAGCACGGGCAGCAATGACTGGTCTGTGATGATCTCGCTGATAGCCATAATTTTTTAATTCGTCTGGGGATCAAGTGGCGATAAACCAGGGAAATCTATTCAATGAAGAGAGTTTTGGGGACCGATCGAACTAACAAAGTGGAGAAAGAGGAAGAAGTGGGAACGAATGGATCAATCAAATGACGGCACCGCTCAACCCATGTGAACGCTGGGCCGAGTGTGGTTGGGGAAGACTTTAACCCGAACTTTTGGTCATTCTTCTCTTTCCGTTCTCACCCCACCTTGCAGATATGTTGTGTACATAGGGGACTCGCCGTTTTCTCTCCTTAAACTTCTTCACGGTCTCAACGAGTCACCTCTTGCTTATACCTGAGCCCCTCAGCTTCCCGGATCACTCCGGCCACCCCCGTAACCTGAACACAATCCCGCAGCCCTGGAGGTTCTCGGATTGACGCCACACGAACACTTCCCTGGCTCGCCATAGCGATGGCCTGCACAACATCCTCCATGACGGTGGAAACATATCCGGATGAGTTAGAGGCGGAGAAAGCCGTCTCGTCCTCTGTTGCAACCCCAACCGAGGGAACTGGCCTGCTGCGAGACCGACACCGAAGACACTCTTATCATGCCCCACGAAAACTCTCATGTGACTATCAAGATGCAGATACGGTTTTCATCAGGGTGAGAATTGCCCTGGTGCTTTGGAGAAAGTCAGTTGTTCTAACTTCCATATAGGTCGAACTCTTCCTTGCTGAACTTGAACGCCGCATGCATTGGATTGAACAATACCGAAAGTCCCACATGGATCAGGTTGACGCCAGCCTCAAACGTGGATATGCTACTTTGGAAGCCGTGCGTGACCAATGCTCTATCGCATCTGGTGAGTTGATGGGCAGCGGCAAGAAGCGGGCTAAGATCTTGGTGGAGACATTGGAGGACGGATACCATGAGGCACTGGCGACCAAGGAGACACTGGAGCAGAAAGCACAGGCGGGCGTCCGGTTAATGGAGTCATTTTTGTCAGAGCTCGAGTCGCGGGCGCACGCAGTCCGTGATCGAGGAATCTACGGCACCCTCGATGACGGCTGGAAGGCCGTGGATTCCGGCCTGGTTCACGCCCTTGAGGTGGTTGACGAAGGAATGGAACGTGCTCGTCGCGCCCGGGACTTGCTTCGGGAGAACATCGAATCTGCCCTTAGCCTGGCAGAGCAAAAACGCTTGATCACGTATGCGGATTTGCCGCAACCTTGGAGAGTCAACCCGCATATCCTGAATGGATACCGTTTCACGGCATCTAAGGTTGAGTGTGTGTCCTCAGTCTTCTCTTTCTCGAACGAGTGTTTCAACATCTGGTCTCATGTCATTGGTCTTGTCATCGTCCTCTCGATCGCCTTCTACTTCTACCCGCTTCACACCAATTTCCATCTCAGCAGCAAAGCCGATGTATTCATTGCTGCGGCTTTCTTTGCTGCTGCATGCAAGTGTCTGGTCTGCAGCACCATATGGCACACAATGAACAGCATCGCCTCGCAAACCTTGATGGAGCGCTTTGCCTGCGTGGACTACACGGGCATCTCCATGCTGGTAGCCGCTTCGATCGTGACTACTGAATACACTGCTTTCTATTGTGAGCCAGTCTCGCGATGGACCTACATTCTTCTTACTTTCTCCCTGGGCATTGGTGGTGTCATTCTCCCTTGGCACCCGACCTTCAACCGCCATGATATGGCTTGGGCCCGTGTGGCCTTTTTCGTTACACTTGCTCTGACTGGGTTCGCCCCCCTGGCCCAACTATCTTACACTCGTGGCTTTGAGTGGTGTCTCTACTTCTATGCCCCAGTCGTGAAGAGCATTCTGGTGTATTTCGTCGGCGCCTGTGTCTATGCCTCCAAGATCCCCGAGCGCTGGAAGCCTGGTCTGTTCGATTATGTTGGCGGCAGCCACAACATTTGGCATTTGGCTGTGTTAGGAGGCATTCTATTCCACTACCATGCCATGCAAGACCTGTTCGCAAACGCCTTCCAGCGTGCGCAGGGAGAATGTCCTAATCTGACAACCTGAGCGAGTTTTTTTTTTTCATATCGGGTTGACACCCATTTGCATTTCCCTTTCGCTTTTCCATCTCCATGGAAATCATGACACATCCGCCACACGTGGATGTACGAATGGATCATTTTCAACGTTGCTTCTTAGATCTGGATGTTTTCGACGGTCTATACGAGGTCCTGTCGACATCTTATAGACATTATTACATGAGCCTTGGCCAGTTGGTCCAAGGTGCATTGGGGGAGTTGATTGCAAACCCTGTTCATTATTTTCTATCTCTCGAAAGTCGAACATGCTTCGAGGGATTTGCTTCCGCTGGGCCGAGCTGTTTGGCTCCGATCATCCCCAAGTGGAAATCTGCATATTTATTTGAGTTCTTGTACCTACTTTGCGTCATCAGCTTACCTTTCGGTTTATTTTGACTTGTGATAATTTCTACTTTGCTAGACAGAACATAGCGTTTCAATTTAGAAAGATGTGTTTTGATTCGATGCTTCACATAACACACCATTCTTGTTGATTGTATACGTATCTCAGGAAAATGCAAGTCTACCAAAGCGAATTCTATATGCAAATATTTTATCATCAAACTCGTAAATCCATGACTCGTATGCTTCCGATGACCACACTTATTGGGTATTTGTGGATAGTAGAAATCCCTCATCCAAAAGTCAAAGCGTCGAGTGGCCTGTTGGTCTTACGGGGCAAGACACCAATGCCCAACATATATGCAAATGGCTGTGAAAGATACAGCCGGCACTGCCGTTGAGCCATCGGCTTCGTTGTTGGCAAGACTGTCCCATCCCCTGCCAGGGGTGTTCAAAATGGTGCTATGGATTGTGACACCCAAATCACTCGGCATTCTCAGCACTAGCAACATCGCCGCCACGCTTGCGGAAATGACCCTGCATCCAGCAGCGGTACATCTTAAGCTTGGTGGAGCGGTTCACAATGAGACGTCGATCGGCTCCCAGATGCTTGACCTCGAATGAGGTATTGCCCTCCGCAAGCTGAGACTCGGAAAAAGGGTTCTCCAAATCGACCTGTAGACCCTTCTCCGGTGTCCACCGACCCCACATCTGGACCAACTCATCATGGTCGAAGAAGTAAACGCGGGTACCGTCACCGCGAACATAAAAGTTCTCCTGCATATAGCGGCCCTTCTTAAAGCGCACCTGCGCCAGATCTCCACGTCCATAATCACGGAACAGGACCTGACCGCCGGGCTTCAAGAGACGGTAGATATTGCGTAGGGCAAGATCCCACTGGTTAGGGTTCAGCGCGGAGAAGATAAAGATCAGAATGATGACATCGACAGAGCCCTCAGTCAGACCAGGCGGCAAAGAGTCTCCATTCTCGTCGGGCACAGCAGCAGCGTCCCAGACATCGGCGACCATATACTTCGGATTATACTGGTCACTCTCCCGCATGACCTGCACAGCATACTTCGAGAAATCACAGGCATGCACCTTCAATTGCTCGTTCTCATTGTTCCGAATCAGGGGGAACGCAGTGTTGCCCGCTCCAGCGCCAACCTCCAGCACGACCTGGGGGCCGGCATCCTTCTTCGTCACCTCGGCCAGCACCGGGAACTCCTGCTGCAGCCACTTGCGATCCTTGAAAAAGTTGTCGGTGTTGTTCTTGTAGAACAAATTCCACCACTTGGCGGGGTCATTGTTGAAACGATTCTGGTCGAAGTCGGAGACGGGCGCAGCGCGCTGCTTCTCATATTGAACTTCGGCGAAAGCTTTGAATTCGTCGTCAGGCTCAACGTGGTCCCAGGCATTGAACTCGAAAACGTTATCACCCTCTTCTAGGTATCGGGAGCCGAATTGGAACGGATCGGCGCGCTTCTGGTTGTTGGAGGGGTCGTGAGAGCGGGAGGGGGGGGATTGTTGGTGGTTGGACATTCTCAATGAACTTGTGGATATCTTTCTCCGACGACATTTTGATTTGGCGCGGTGTATTAGCGAGTGTATGAAAGGAGAGGAAGAAAAATCGGTTAGAGTGGGCTTCGAGTGGCGCGGGGAAGTCCAAAAGAAACGAAAATCTACAAAAAAATTAGAATTGATCGGCGGGTACCTGATTATGTCATCTCTTATCGGCGCTTATCGTTGCCCGAAGTTATTGATAAGGATTTGCAGACCCAGATTTAGGATTATTGACCATAGTAGAAGGTGGGCATAGTCTAGTTAACATATAGTGGAATAACCTCGACGGTCGGGGGAGAGTAGAAGTAGCTTCTTAAGTGAAAGGGTAAGTGGGAATAGCATTATGGCTAAAATTGGAAGGGAAGTAAACATGCGGGGGCAGTGTGAATAGCATCATGCATCATGGTAGGATCACCTCACCAAAACGTTAACAAAGCGCACTTAAGAGGGAACATTAAGGATAAGAGACTAATCCCTGAGCCATCGCGGCCTAGTGGCATGAGTACCGCATGAAGCCTTCAGTTTGATTTGGTCCCCAACGAAGGTGCGTGGGCCACCTCTGATGAGAGTGTGCCGGTTCGATCTGTAGCGTGTCCATTCCAAACTACATCGTTCAATTGAAGGGGGGCATGGAATAGGATTCCGTTAAGCGGCGACGGAGAACAAACAGGGGGTATGTCAAGTCAATATATAGAAATTGGGCCTGGAGCTTGAACCAGCTTCAGATGAGACCATACTTTTTTGTGTTCTTCTATTCTTTTTTTCAATAAAAATACTATTTACACCCTCATCTACCAATTCCATTAAGTAGGTTTCTTCTTTTAGTCTTATTGATGTGGAACTTGAAGCTATTCATATTAGTGGATATTCCATACACTTAAGTATCACTGACCAGAGATGTCAACACTATTTATTGATGAATGAATATTTGACTCCCCTAAGCTAACTCTGTCTGTTTAAGTTATAGCTTCTAGTCAACAAGTAAGTTATATGAGGCAGTATCACGATTGAGTTAGGACTATTGTTTGTTCTATACCTATATCCGGTTAGTCCCGAGTGAATGACTCTTAGCTGCCTTAAGGCACAACTGCTGACATCGTCTACCAATCAGCGTGGCCGGGAATTTGGATGCCTGCAGCAGCCTCATCCTCTTGCTTTGTCGGTCCCTTTTCTTTCTTCTCTACGTGTCGTGACTGAATCGATTTATCTGGGACATTTTACTGTTGATTTCGCTCCTTTTCAGGAGTTTGGTCAACCGGAGTGTGGGATACTCGAATTTGCTAGCCATATCTTGCTGGTCCATTGAGGCTCAAGTGTCCCGATTCTTACTGCGCTCATCCAAAGCGACATACCATATGCTCTTCAGTCTTCGTTCTTTCATATGCTACAGACTCTGAAGCCCTTCTTATTCCTGCCTTTTCCTTAAATTGCTTCTCTTATACACTCAAAGCAACAGAAATATCCTTCTCATCCCCGCCATGTCGTTCCTCTCCGGCCTTTGCGGCTGCATCTCTCGCGACCATGCTTCCCCGCACTCATCATCTCAACCTGAGATGCAAAGCACCAGACAACACCAGAGAAATACCAACAACGGTGTTCAAACTGGTCGCTTCACCCTCTCCGGCGAGGGCGTGTTCATCCGCGCTGAAGGTGCCAGCGAGCAGGATTGGCACGGACCCCCGCCGGCTGACTCCGACGGAGGCTATGCCAGCGTGGTCCCTCTTCCACAGTACACGCCACGACCGATGAGCATTCAAGAGAAGACTCTCGAAGGGAACATGCGTGATCCTCCGATCTCCTCGGACTCCAATCCATATCCCGCAGACGAGAAGAACCGCAACCTCTACGATGAGGATGTGAGCTCTGATGGCGCTTCTACTTTCTCTTATCCCAGTAGCTATGGTAATACATCGACTGCGACCAGGGAGACTCCGCCGCCGCCTTACTCACCTCGTCACTCAGCTATGCTATCGCGGTCCAGATCTTTCTCTATCTCATCGGCTATGGCCGTGACCATCAATCCTCCGCCTATGGCAAGGGTGCATGGTGGCCATGGCGGCCGAACGACTGCACCTTCTTCTGAAGCGGACGATGTTTCTATCCGTCGTCATCGGAGGGTCTCGTGGGAGAGCCGATAACGAAGACAACGAGTATATCAACACATCTACACATCAGCGCAGCATGCTGCGTATTCTTTTGGTTTTCTGGCATAGTTGTCACCACGAGATTTGAGCCGCATATGATACTTGAGCTGGACTCATGTGTCATTGCACTCACGTGCCTGGCTATCTTTGCTAAGATATGCTATGCTGGCTCATTTCGTCGTTAAATATTGACAGCTCACTGCATACGACGCGACGATTGACATTTGCTTTTTTGATGAACGGGAATATGGGATATATACTTAATTATGATGATAGATATGGCGGCATTGGAATCTTTTGTCAATATTGTGGATGTTTCTGGGTACATACTACTTACCACCCACTACCTAATAAAACAATGCCACTTTAAACAAATTGAATACCTTCAACGGATCATCAACCGAATTCCCTAAATCACTAATACATGGACCATATCTAGCTTGAAAGTAGGTGTGCCGTATAGAACAAGGTTCAAAGACCCTACAATGCCGCCTACTTTCCGCCTTTAAACATCCTGAAAGGAAATCAGTGTTACCATTTCCACCCAGAGATTCTATCTCGAACCCTTCTTCGAAATCCACCATACCTATTTTCAGCAGCTTTTAGGATATCCATCGTGCAAACAAGGCAAACAAAATCCCCCTTGGCTTGATGTTGACTAACCGCCAGTATGATCCCCTCTCTTAGCGCCGTGGTCACCTGGTAACGATGATGATAACATGGGGTTCCCCCTCCTCGACCTGAGAGTCATACATCAACGCTTCACATGGTGCAAGACATACTTTTATCGATCATGGCATCAGTATCATTCGGTGGCGACAACCGTGGGCTTCAGATTGGAAGTAACCACGGCTCGATAGAATTCCATACCTCTAGTAAAGCACAAAAACCCAAGGACTTTATCATCTACGAACTAATTGCTTCTCCCAAACTAGAGCGCCCGGAGACCCCACCCAGCCCTTTGTCAACCATTCCATTCCCGCGTGATCCAGATTTCGTCCGTCGCGACACACTGATTGATCAGATTCATTACAAACGCTTGGTCCCTGGGTCGAGAACAGCGCTGATCGGCCTCGGCGGTGTCGGGTGAGTATAGAGCGACCCATATACGACCGGTTGCTTACAACTAGAAGGAAATCGCAATTGGCTATTGAATACTCTTATAGGATCCGATGCGAATCGCCAGCAACATGGGTTTTTTGGGTCCATGCGAGTAACGAAGCCCGCTTCGAGCAAAGTTTTCGAGACATCGCAGACCAGCTCAAGGTCCTAGGTCATATGGATCCTAAAGTGAACATATTCAGATTGGTCGAAAGCTGGCTGAGGGATGAGAGAAAAGGGAAGTGGATCTGTATCCTAGATAATGCTGACGACCATGAATACCTCTGTTCACATCCGGCAACCGGCAATGAATTTCCAGGAAAACCACTCTTGGAATATATCCCCAGAAGTCGTAATGGATCTCTTATCATTACAAGCCGCAGTAGAGAGACTGCGCTCAGAATGGTCGTATATAACAATGTGATTGAAATCACACCGATGGAGCAATCTGAGGCGCTAGAGCTTCTCCAAAAAAAGCTTGCACAAGTAGAGGAAGGCCAAGACTATCGAGAACTAGTCGAAGCGCTCGAGTTCATGCCGCTTGCGATTGTCCAAGTAGCTAGCTATATCAGAAATCGAGCCCCTCGCTGCTTGGTAAGCCAATACCTCAGAAACTTCCAAGTAAGTGACTGTGAAGCGATTAAGCTTCTAAAGAGGGAGACAAGTTGCTTAGACCGGGATTGGGAAGCGAAAAACTCAATCCTAGTGGCTTGGCAAATATCATTTGATTGTATCCAGCACTAAAGGGCATCTGCGGCGGATCTACTCTCCCTTATGAGCTTTTTTGATCGGCAAGGGATACCAGAGGACCTCATTCGATCCTACCTAAATACTAGTCAGACGTCTACTTTAGAGCCCCGTGCCGACTTTCCTAACGAGGAAACATCATCTGAACCTGATATAGACTCTGATTTTGAAGAAGATATCATGACAATGAGAAACTATTCATTCATAGCCACCAGTGAATGTGGTACTTCCTTCTCAATGCATCGACTGGTGCAACTGACTACACGTGCATGGCTAAAGTCTCATAACACATTGAATCGGTGGCAGGAAGAATATATCAGTGTTATGTACCGCGAGTTCCCTACTGGCCAGTATGAGAATTGGGGGAAATGTCGGGCGCTATTTCCCCATGTCCATTCGGCAATGTCTCAACAGCCTAAACCAAAAGAGTCAGTACTACAATGGGCTATATTACTTTACAAAGGTGCATGGTTTGCATCGGGAATTAGTAATATCGAAGATGCGAAAGACATGGCATCTCAATCGAAAATGTAGAGACTCAAATTTCTGGGTAGCGACCATAAAGACACGCTCGCATGTACGGCGATGTTAGTAATAGTACATTCACTTGAGGGCCAATGGGAGAAGGTAGCTCAATTGCAGTTAGAGCTCATGCAGATTCATTTAACGAAGCACGGCGAATATCATGTCACTACGCTGGTTAGCATGACCGCCTTAGCATCGACTTATCGGCAACAGGGCCGATGGCAGGAAGCGGAGCGGCTTGAGGTTCACGTCCTGGAGAGCTATAAGCACAAGCTCGGGGTTAATCATACTTCTACGCTAAAGAGCATGGCTAACCTAGTATCAACTTATAAGGAGCAGGGTCGATGGGGAGAAGCAGAGCAGCTTTTTGATCATGTGATAAAGAACAAAACAAAGCTTGGAGGAGACCATCCCGACATGCTACCGATCATGGCCAATTTGGCATCTACATATTCAAGCCAGGGTCGATGGGATAAGGCCGAGGAGCTTCTTTTGCAGGTTATAGAGCTCTTTAAGACAAAATTAGGCCGAGAGCATCCTAACACGCTGAAGAGCATGGGAAATCTAGCGTCGACGTACATGAACCTGGGCCGAAATTTGCAAGCCGAGGAAATTTCTGTGCAGATTGTCAGCATTATTAAAAGAAAGCTTGGCGAAGATCATCCTTACACTATCACAAGCATGAACAACCTCGCGGCGATGTATGCACACTAGGGCCGATGGGAAGACGCTGAGAAGATTCATATATAAAACATAGACCATCGGAAAAGGTATATTGGCGATGACCACCCCGACACTCTTGGTAGCATGAACAACCTCGCGTCGATATATATGCGGCAGCACCGATGGGAGAAGGCCGAAACTCTCTACATGCAAGTGGTAGGAGCTCGCAAGAAGAATCTTGGCGAACACCATCCCGACACACTAGCAAGTTTGGCAAATTTAGCATCGACGTATAGGAACCGCGGCCAATTTAAGGAGGCGGAAAAACTCAACATTGGAGTCATGGAGTCTCGTAAGACGGTTCTTGGCAGTCATCACCCAGACACGCTAGTGAGCATGAGCAATTTGGCATCAACATACTATGGCTAAGGCCGGTGGGAAGCGGCCGAGATGCTCTTTGTGCAGGTGATGGAGATTCGCAAGGGGAAGCTCGGCGAGGCACATCCTGACACGCTAAAGAGTGTCCATAATGTGGCATCAACATACTGTAGCCAAGGTCGATGGGAAGAGGCCGAGAGGCTCTTTGCTCAGGCGATAGAGACTCGCAAGACGAAGCTCGGCGAGGATCATCCTGATACGCTGCTGAGCATAACCAATCTAGCGTCAATGTTCCGGATCCATGACCGATGGGAGGAGGCGGAGAAGCTCGATCTTCAAGTGATGGAGACATGCAAAATAAAGTTCGGAGTGGACCATCCCGAAACTCATATGAGCATGGCCAAGGTTGCTTTCACCTGGAAATACTTAGGTCGCAATGCTGAAGCTATCCACTTACTAAGAATTTGTGTTGACCAACGGCACCGGTCACTTGGCTCAGATCATCCTCAGACTCGATCAATTTCTGAAACGTTGCTGGAATGGGAAAAGGAAAGCTGAAGATTCATACCATACAATTCACCTTTATCTCAATAAGACCTATTCGGAGATGATTCATGATTTTAGTTCCTAGGATGTCTTTGCCCTAGTAAATTCTTTTTTTCTTCTCGCAATATTGTCGATTTCCACTATCCAGTGAGCGGTGTTACCAAAAACACGGATAGTGATGATTAGAGGGATTCGAAGGACAGGAAGCCTTCCCAGGAGTGTGATTAGGGGCTTGTATAAGTGGTAAATTTATATTCGCGTAATTTGATATACATACCAATATCATGTGATAGTGTGTCTCAATATAATACATTCATTTGAAAAGTTGAAGCTGGATAATACAATCTTGGTCCTTAATAGGGCTCAAGAGAGAATCTACGTGAGCAAGTGGTGAGGCTGACATCGATCCGCCCTGTGTCCGCAGTTCCGTACAGGAGACTTACTTCATGGTCTCAAAACAAGTGGACCCTCATTCTTTTATGATCTCAAGCAGAACGCAGCACACTCAGACTGCGCTTCTCTTTATATGATATTCTTCAGTCTAAAGCCTTCTTTTGTCTCTCGGACGAAGAACTTGAGGGTGTCGAACATTCGGACAGGGAGCACAGTGTCGTATGTTTATGTGACTGAATGGTCGGTCCTGCTAGATTCAACCGATTGATTTCTTGACCTAAATCTAATTCAAGGGCCGACGATGCTAAGATGCACGCTTCATGCAACACTGCCCTAGGGCTCACAGAGTTTCGCTTATTGGAAGTGTGATTTCACTCATCCCTTGATTCGAAGGACGAACATCTTAGCACCCACACATGCCTATCTACAGTACTCCAAAGCCTTGGAATTACCTCAATACGAAAAACTACAGGCGAATCACGCTTAGCTTACGGTTCACAAATATTCGACTATCATCTACCACAACTGAGTCTCCCAAAATGCCCGAAATACCTTTTTCCGCCATCAGGGTCGGTGACTTCATCCTTCTTGGAGGTCGGGCCTGCCAGGTTATCCGAATCGATGACTCTTCTGACCAGCCAAAATACATCGGCGTGGACATTTTCACTAATCAGCTGCGCGAAGAAACCGCCTCCGGATCGATCATGATGGGCCCAGATTTCAAGTACTATCGCCCTTTAGACATGTCGGATGGCTTTATAACGGGTATGGACGAAATGGGCACTGTGAAGCAAGAAATACTCGTTCTAGACGTGTCGAATTTGTGGAGTCGACTTGTACAGGCTTTCGAGTCTCGTCGTGGCCCTGTTTGGGCTTGGGTTCTTACTGATAAAAATAAGGACCTTGTTGTGAATTTTGATACCCAGCTTAGACTTAAAAGATGAATCAATTTCATATCAAGTCATATACTCTACCTAGTAGATATCTACTGTCTATTTCACCGGGCCAGAAGCCGGGAGCTGCGCTGTTGGAAAAGATAGCCAAGCGCGTTCAGCTCTGTATAAACAGAACTCTGATTGGAAGGTCGACACTTCAAAAATGCAACTGCATGAATGTTGAGAAGCACTTAGTCATCTATCTATAGTGGGTTACTTGGCGCACGCTTGTGGATGTCTCATCCAGCTACTGGCGTATCCTTTACTGTCCATAGAACGCCTCCATCAGACGATGATCTCGGAAACATTCTTGTCCGTGATCACTGCCAGATGGGGTAACTGAAAACGAACGACTATTTTGGTCTTAGATCTATTTATAAAATCCATAGCAGTCATATATGAGTAACAAATTGTTGGAAAAGGCAATCGGTGTCACTTGGTTCACCATATCTTACTCCATGAGATCATTGATTCCTTTTTTGGGCATCAGTCAAGTCATTCATGTCCGTGCCTCGATGGGATTCTTGTTCCGGGAATCAGCGATCTTCTGAGAAAATGCTGTCCTTGCTTTCGGGTAGCAAGGTTTGGATTAGAACCCATTTCTAGTGTTTCAAGGCTTAGCCGTAACGATGCACTCTACTCCACTGTACGATCGACCATAGATCAAGATTTGCGTCGTCACACAGGTCGAATTATCAAGTTTTGCCACATCGGCATCCAAGTTAGTTCATGCAGAGTTGATGGGAGGTGGGGAAGGTAATCTTCCTTTAACTGCTTCCCTTACTGATCCCCACTCGACCCGAGATTTCCGATGCAATCTCCGCTGAAAGCCCCGATCTTCAAGTTTTGCTCGTCGATCCCTGCATCAGCGAATGGTATTTGGAATTCGTAATGCGGAAAAAAGGCCCTTTTCACTGTGTCTCCACCCAGCGATACCGAGCGGGTATCGGATAGATGCATCACATTCATGGCTGCAAGGACTCTGCCGTAACCTTGTTTCAAATGACTTGAGGTGGAGCTGATCGTTCTAGAACACCAGCATCGTATCCTATACGACGAAACTTCTGAAACTATAAGCAGGTTTGCAGACAGCTGAAGTTCGATGCGGTGTGGCGCTGGGTGGAGTACGTGTACATATTTGGTATACTGCAGTTCAACCATAATATCACATATTCTTTACCCTTGAGTGATGTGGATCCAGTCTCAGATCGGAAAATGGGAACCGAGAACGATCAATATTGTTTTCTTATGGGTCAAAGGAGAAGAGAGAGACGAGAGGGCTTATATGCCCGAATGCTGTGCTTGGCCTAGATAGGAAACCGCTTTTCAACCTGATCGGGTGATTTCAAACGATGCTCATCTATTGTTTGTGACTTGGACAAGCCGCTCCCAGGTCAGCGAGGTAAGAATGCCACACAAATCTCGTGATATCAGGCGGGCTGTGACAACTGGCTTTACAGCTCTCGCAGGATTATTGCACCGTGGAGTAGAGATCTGGTGAAGTATACAAGATTCTATTCAATCAAAGATGGCTCATGGTTGAAGGACTAGATTTTGGAAGGGCAGATCATATTATAGATCATAGAAAGTTAAGAGACAGGATTGCAAAATCCTTCGAAAAGAAACCCATGCTTGATGCACATAACTCATGATTCATACGCTCGGAAACTCCTTGTCTAAGACATTCAAATGTAATCAGATATTTAACCGATCTGAGCATTAGAGAAATCCATCTCTGCGGGAAGTGTTAGTCCGCAAGTCCCACACTAATCATAAGATACTGGAAATCAATATAACTTACCAGGATGATCAGCCTTGAACTTCTCTAAAAGCTCTTTCTTCTTCTGCTCATCACTGGTCAAGCCGCCCGCCTCCTTCTGGCGCTGGTCGTACATCATCTTCTCCACCATGGCGCGGGTCTCACCATCGAGGTCACTCAGACTCGAGTTCTCAGGTGTGATTTTGGTGACATCGATCTTAGGTGCGCTCTTGACGACATGCGGCCACCACTCCACCTTGTTTACTTTGTCGAGGTGGAGGATGACTTCCTTGCCAGGAGGATTGGAGGTTGTTTCGAGGGTCCAGGATGATTCGTCGACGAGAATGGGGTGGGGGAAATCACCCTACGTGAACCAAAAAAAATGTATGCGTTAGCCGATAATTCATTGTCCTGGAAATGACAAAGGCGATAGCGGGGGCGGGGTAACTATAGACGCACCTCGATAATAGGCTCTTTGCCTTTGATCGCAACGCTGATCTTTGACTTGGTCAGAGTAACCACCATATCCCGGCCCTTGATGTTGGAAGGGATTGGCGCAGACACCTCAAGATCGCGGATGGTCTGGGTCCATTTGTAAGGGAGCTGGGCCTGCTCAGCGGCCTCGCGAGCCTGGCGCTCCTTCTCCTGGAGGTCGCGTTCAGCCAATTCGGCAGGGGAAAAATTCTGGTCAGGATCGGCAGAGGACATGGTGAAAAATGCTTGGTGGCGGGGCAGGAGGTGAGGTTCGATGCGAAGCTTGGATTAATTACAGGTGGGGGTGATGCCGAAGGGCCGCAGTTTAACCCTAAATTGTGATTGGCTCCCACGTATTTTTATGGATCCCAACTTTATACCAAGCTATCGATCTATCTTCAAAGAAATCGACACCTGTCATAAAGATTCTAGACCGGATACATTCTTTCACTGTGGAACCAAATTCCAGCCTCTTTCCTATTTGGACGCATCCCGAGCGTCGGTCAACACTATACATAGCCGCGCTATACGCGTCCCGTATTCCCCGCCTCCTTGCATGAAAAACGACGTAGCCGTCCAAGACAGGAGACTAGTTTTGACAGATCCCAGAATGGACGGCAACTCGGCAGGCCCTAACGTCCCTGCCACAGGAGGCAAAAGGGGGAAAATTCACCCGACTTGACTGATCGGCAAACGGTACGGAATGCTGTCAAAAAGAAATGGTCTGCAGGGGGAGCCGATCGGCATTGAATACGACACGAACTGTTCCGAGGGAATTTCGATCTTTTTCCTTTTTCCACATGTTCCTTTGCCGCCAAATGCCGAAAGGATTCTGCTGACGGCGTACATGTGGAATACACTAGCCGGTCGCCTGATTTCACCTGGGTGCAGGCCAACTTTTACACCGCTTGTAGCAATGGCATTGTTGGCGATGGCGTAGCTGAAAGATGCACATATTTATGGCCCGAAGGTTCGTTCAGCGAATGGGGATGCAAGTAAACGGCGATCACTGTACTGCAGGTGCTATCTACAACAGTCAATGTATGCATGCTACGTTGACCGAGTCCGTTATTGACTGCAGTAGATGGCGCGGGCATGTATTTGGAACAAGGCAAGTGGCGGATTCGAAAAAGAAAACAGAGACTGTCAAGATCCTCAGTGCTGCACGTGTGTGAATGTTCTGAATCACGTACATTGGTGTGTAGTAGATCCACGATTCAAATTCTGGCTATGTGTAACGATCAACCAGGGATGTCTCCTTGGAAATGCAAGCCGCGCCTCAAGACTCCTTCTTTATAGAAGATCTTCATTCAACCTGGATAATCAAATCAAAGGTAAAAAAAAGAAAAGAAAAAAAAAACATCGACCAAGCATGACGATGCGCAAATGCCAGTCCATATCCTCGACCCGATTCCCCTCTAATTCACATCACAACTCCATAAAACGAATGTGGCCCTGGAATCTGGGAGTTCCCCATACTTCACTCGCCTGAATATGCAACGCAAGCATGAAAAAATGATATAGACAAGAAAAGAAAAGAATGTATCCATCCTAGAACCCCCGCTGAACTCCATTCATATTGCATCGCGACCGTCATAGAGCGTTATAGTTGGAAATCATCGGCCCGAGGACTGGGCTTGCTGGTCTGCCCTTCGCTGTTCTTCCTCTATAGTCAAATGTCAGGTTATTTTCCTCACTCCCTGCATATGACTTATCATATGTCATAAGTGGGCTTGGAGTTCGCGATCATGGTCATACCTCTAATTTGTTGGATTTTCAAGTTGGTATCTTCCATGAGCTGAGCCCAGTGTGCTTGGTATGACTCGATACTCTGGAGAGGCTTGCCGTCCTTGCCGACGGGTTGTGACTTGACACCTTGGGATTTGATTTGATCCATTGTATAATATGTGGTATAGAAACACAGCGAGGTTATTATGTGCGAAAGAATATTCACAAGAAGAGATGAGCAATAAGTGTTCAAGTATCTGGTTCGAGGCTGTGTTGGAAAATCGAAAAAAATGTCAAGAGATCCCCAGGCCCCTTTATATACACTTCGGGAATCCAGAGACTGAAAATCCAAAATTCCAAAATTCCGAAATCCCTAAATTAAAATGATCGAAACTGGAAAGAGTTGCTGGTTCAAAAAATTTAAAATAATAAAATAATAAAATGATCGCGAATGTTTGCTCCGGGGCAGAAACCGGTCACGAGAGTCACAGCCGCAGAATGTCTCCATTTCTTTTTTTTAATTCTTTTTCTTTCCTGGTTCCACTATTTTTCACAGCCGCTTACATTACATGATTACGCCATTCAAGTCAGGCTGAATTGGCTAGTCCTTCCTAGGAAGGGGGAAAGGTAGGTATTGTTGGAACCAGCTTCACCGACTCTCCTCGCGCCCCTGGATTCGTCCACGGTAGAACGGTCCGCATAACCTCAAGGAGAACCCGGGTTGATCCCGGTAGATACAGGTTATTGGGCGTACATCCGAACAGTGATTGGTCATTTCAGAAAAAATATAGTCTGAGATAATGTAGACTTAAGAAAGCCAGGGGGAGCTGTCCAGTGAGCTTGAAGGTCAAAGCTGAGATCTCATTTCCGCATAATCCATAACAAAAGCAGGATATAATCGTTACTAGCGGATAATATAGCAATACCGACATGGATTAGAAAAAAGCAAAAGACAGGAATCATAAAAAAAAAACATCAGTGGCGCCTTAGATGTTGTGTTCCCCACTCCTTCCTTTCCCCCCCTCCATAACACCTCTGGGACCTATAGGAGGGAGGTTGATGTCAGAGCGCAGGCTAGTGGCTGTGAGTGCTGTGACAATGGAAAGCTAAGATCCCTAGTCAACCGTACTGCGGGTTTCTACCAATCTAAAGTAACCCGCTAAGCCCACCGAATCTCAAGGGCACCTATAGGAGACCTTCCTGAGAACCGCACCAACCCCCCGTACCAATCGGGGGCTTTGTCACCGCATCCGCGCCAGCCGATCTGATATCTGGAGACTAAAGGGAAGGGGGGAGAAAATTAGTTCAGCTCCGTGTGGGTAAGGTGGATAGCTCGGGTTCCAAGGAGGGTATACGGTCTTCCCGGGTGGATACTGTAAGGCGACAAAATAAAAAAAAACAAAAGAAAAAGGGGGGCCAAATACAATAAAACGCATGATAGATGCAGGCGTAAGCGTAGTTGTACCCGGGGAAGCGGATTGGGTTGGCCCCTAGAGATCGGCGCTCGGTCCGCTCGATCGTTCTCAGATACAATCAAGAGTGGTTATGTAAGTCGCTTAAGAACAACCGGAGCGCGTCTATTGGTTATATCAGTTTATTCACCGCCGATAAGACAGTTCCGTTGCAAGGCCGGTTGCATGCCTGGTTTTTATGGTATTTTATGAAATGGAGGGGTTCTGACTCAACCCCCACGTGGTTGCACGCATGGTCACCGTTGCCGTCCTTGACCGCATCATCTACCCAAGTACATTCAAACACGTACTCTGACCTCTTGATGTCCGAGTGTAAGGGAGTCATTGGGTGAAGTCTGTACCTTGTTGGCACTCACCTCCATAGGACACGGACCCGTCTATCACCGACCCAGGGTATATCCGACTATCAGATGACCATTTTGATGCCATTTGTACGTGCCTCATGCTTGTATACCATACATCATGCTTTGAAAGCCGATCTTTACCTGCCTAGAGGGACCTTGACAGCACCACGTACCGCTTCACTCCGGTTATCGCCAGTTCGCTATGCAGGGTGGCTGCGTGACACTCGCGTCGGACCTTCAGCACGACTCGCTATGATGTCTGTCCGCTGTCATAGGCGAAGCAAATAAAGTTTCCGAAACAGTTTTATTCTTCACTATCGTGGGATGCTTGCTTTCCGGGGGCGTTGTCAGCACTGACCGGTCAAGATCAACATTTCGTTGTTTTCTACATACTAGCAGATACTCCATCCCACGTCGACCACGTAGGCCCTTGGTGATACGCAGGCCATTAACTGAGAAAAGCGAAAAAAAAAAAAAAAAATGAGCATCTGTACACTCAAAATCTAGTATAGAAGCCAAGAAAAGTGCGTAGTCGTTAGTACACACTATTATACATTAATATATCATCTATCACCCGCTCTCCACCCCACAGACGGAAGCCAAAAACAAGCCCCATAGAAGGACTACGGAATCTAAGGCTTGCGGGCCCAACCGCCCGGCACTACAGGCGGTCAACACCCAAACAAGTTAAGGGGCTGTGTCGGGCGCCACTCTAGGGCTACTCTACATCGGGAAGGTCTTCTCATTCGAGCGGATGGGGCGGGTGTTTTTGCAACAAAGATACCGTGCGGGATGGTACTTTTGTCACCTATGACAACACTTCCTGAAAACATCAAGGCTTATTCAAGGTAAACCACATTGCCTGAATAACCCGAAAAGCCTGCGAGGAGACAAAAGGACGAAAAATAGGTGGAAGGCAGCCACGAATGCTAGGTCAGACGCGGTAAGAAACATAAAACTGATATCAGGAGCATGTCAAAGGAGCCCAAATCCTGTATACTGTAGACCTATACGGGATGAGAGACCTCCAGCCTCAGGAAAAAATAGATTAAGTGTATACTCCTCCTACAATCCGCCATGCAACGTCAACCAGATCGGAGAAAACAATCGGCGATTCACGATCTCCATCACAAGACTCATCGCCCGGCGTATTCCCTTACGGATATTCCGAGTCGAAACCGGTATCCTGATTCCTGAAGCAAGACCGATGGTGCCCGATCACAGCCTGCTGCGTCATTTGAGTGACAAATCCAAGATCGAGTGACAAAAGTACTGATCGCCCGGCTTCAAACTTCCTCCTGTGCAGGCAGAAGTACAGCCGTCCTAGGCACTCCCGGGGCCCCGTGGCACAATTCTCGATTTGGATTAGTGGGTAGCTACAGTCTCTAACCGTTGCAGCTCGGCCATACGCCGAGATTGAACCGGGGCTACCACGCGGAAACGGGTAGGTCATTTTATTTAGTGGTGCATGAGGTTGATATCTTCCAATCATATAGCCGTTGGTGGCGGGTCTGATCACCTCACCGCTGCAGGGAAAGTCAAAATCAGACATATGATTTATATTATAGCGTGAAGTATTAATCCATATCCAGTGGACTCTTGAAGACTTAATTTTGGGTGCCTATCAGCTTGCGAGGGAATAATGCTATTTCTCAAGGGACTAGTATTGGTCGTTCTCCGCTGATAGATAAGGACGATACTAATAGATGGCTCAGTGAAATGCCTTGCTCCTAGTGATAAATGATGATGATGTCTGGTCAATATACGCCATGCCCTACCCACTCTAGATCACGCACTCTGTCGGGATTAACCAGCCCAGACAGGATAAGCGACATGAAGATCGAAGCGAAGACGGAAGGAGAGAAAAAAAAAGAAAAGATACATCGGAAAAGTAGCTCGGTGCCTGCGTCCATTGGCCAGCCACGTCGTCAGACCGATTTGTGTCCCTGCAAACTGCAAACTCGTAGACCAAAGAGTAGAGAGCGCTCAGGGCGTCCATCTGCAACTCCGGTCCGATTCAAAAGGAGGGGTTCGAACAAAGAGGAAGGATATTAGGGCGGGAAACAAAAAGAATCCGGAAATGCGCCCCGCCATGTTGCAACGCCTGGTTGATCCACCGTGGGATGCATTAGCTTGGCCCGGCATGCATGGATCGCTTTGCGTAACGTGTTCCACAATGTGAAGATAGAGTAAAATATAAGGATAAAAAAAAATGAAGATCAGGAGTGACTCCCCGCTGGCGCCGTGATATATGGTAGTTCGCTAAAGTAACCGAGATCGAGGCAGATGTAAAAAGAATAATATGGCGCCCAGCGGATGAAATCAAAGTGAGACCTGGTCCTGGTAGAGGGGATTGAGACACGACGTCTTATTCGAACTCGTAAAGTGGCGTGATATAATTGGTCCCGGCAACGAATAGGGAGGATCCCACTTCGACGTCCGAGTCCGCAGGCGGTTCTAGAGAACCGCTAGGCAAGATATTATCGGACTCGTGATTTTCGATGGGTGTGACAGGAATCCCATCATCCGGACCATGCTCGATACAGTCGAAGAACTGACCGGCATACTCGGCCACTTCATTGGCCACTTTGAGTTCCAAAATGCCCTCTAGCACCTGCATGTCCCTTTTCCACTTGCGCTCTCTGCGGGCTTTCTCCTCCTCTCGACGGCGGCAAGCGCCATCACGAGCACGGACTTTCATGCAGTTTGGGCACAGATAGTTCTCTTCGCAGTAGGTGCACTTGCAGGGAGGGTTGGCTGTTACGCAGTCTTGGCAGACATACACTGCACAGGCCTTGCATTCTCGGAGTGAGCTTGAGCACCGCTGTCGCTGATCCCCATGGGAACGGTACTGCGGGCAGAAGAAGGACTGACAGCCTTGCCACCGCGAGGCCTCAAATGCGGACTCAAAATACGAAGATGAGGGGGAGGATGACCCGGAATGGTTTGACGGTGGTGCGGAGAACGAGCGAGTAGGATTTCGAGGAAAAAGAGACGGATCGCCGATGGGCGGGTCGGATAGATTGTCATCTATGATCATGTCACCCTGTTGGTCCTCGATGAAACTACTGTTGGTGGAGTCGATCAGGCGCTGAGTGCGAAAGGGAAGGTCAAATCCCGAAACTTGATTGAATGACGCATCAGGGGATGGAGGGCTGACCGCCGATCGGTTTTGGATGGTCATTTTCTCAAATGCGAGGTCTCGGTAGCCACAGATACGCAGACGGAGACCACGGAGGTCATGCTCGATACAAAGTGGCTTGGAGCAGCTTTTGCAATGCACCTTCCACTGTGGCGAGTCGTAGCAATCCTGGCACAAGTTCCGGGGACATGGTGAGACTTGCCGATTAGGTGGCCCTAGCAACCACTTCATCATGGCGAGGTGCCCAGTCTCAAGAGAATAATCCGGTTTGCTAGGATCACCGTAAGCGTACTTTGGGAATGTCTTGCTCCACTCGCTAACGGTGTACTCGAGGTCCTCCCAACCTCGGTTACGAGGCAAAGGAACAGCGCGCACTTGGTCCACGTCCCGACTGGGAGTGCCAATGCTGATGCCCCCACCTCCAGAAAAGATAGGTTCCGTGCAGCACCAGTGAAACTTTAGAGCAGGATGTGATGCCGGTGCTCCTCCATGGAAGGGAGTGTTTTCAAGAGGATTTGCGATGGGGTCCTGCATCGAGCTAGGTGAAAGTGTAGCCCCAGGGGCCCACCAGAAGGAGTTGGGAGTTTGCAGGTCGCGTTCATGATGATGCGCGGCAGATGCGCCGGAGTTTGTACGGTGAAGGTAGGGCCGCTCGTAAGCGCAACTGGCACACAGGGTTCTGCGGCACCCCACGCAGTGCATCAGAATACTGCATTGCTCACATCTCTCTGAGATATCCTCCAGGCAGCCATCGCATTTTACATTGTGCACGAATTGAGTATGGCTTCGACGAAGATGTGCAGGAGTCATCTTACCCTCGCCCAAGTCAGGCCCTTCGCCTGTGCCAATCGCCTCTCCGTTGCATCCCGTATCGCAATTCTCCCAGAGCTTCCCATCATCTACATGCGGGCGATGTATAGATGAATCAACTGGCCCGATCCAGTTCTTGCATCTCCAAAGTCGATCAAATACCACCCAGACTTCAGGGGAACCTTGCGGAACTCGCATGGAGACATATCCGCGCCTGCGAAAACACCTGCCAGCAGGCGTTGTACACCACGCGGTATCCGTCCAAATCCCCAGTTTGTGGCAAAGGTTGACAAGTTCATGAGTAGGCTCTGAGTCGGAATCCTTGCGCAACAGCGACGCAGTGAGATAAGGCCGGCGACGATGATGGCGGCATCGATATGCGTAAAGACTCTTGAGCGCTAACCGTTTCGTCGCCGGGGAGCTGCCGACATTCCGTTCCATGTCCACGTCATATTGCAGTCCGAACATCGTCAGATAAGGGATGATGTGATACTTGAGAGAGACATTCTTGCAGCCGCGAACAGAAAGATGCTCTAAGTGTTCTCTGCGCGCATGCAACACCGTCGAAATCAAAATCTGACCTGAGACGGCCGTGTTATCCAGCTCCAAGCTCCGCAGGCACCCGCTGAATGGGATTACCACATGCATTAACAGCTGGTCCAGGGCGTATGGGCGGGATTGACGTTGCGTTTCGAAATCCGACATGCCCGGAATGACAATCCGGCTGGCCGGCAAACTGCCGGATGGGTAGAGTAGACGAAATGAGAGAGACCTCCATGCGATCGGATATGAGCGAAGGAATGTGCGAAGGTAGTGTGAGGTGTGGTAGAGCTTGATAATGGTGTCGGTCGGAATTTGGAGTAATAGGGATTCTATAATGGGAGCATTGGTGGTGATCACGCGCTCAAAGAGAGAAAGAGGACGTTCCACCGGGAGGACTGAGTTCTGAAGGGCCGTTTCTACCAGCTGTTGTGGCTCTTGCTGGGGATCGATGGCCCGCTGCTCTGCCATGATGTCGTGGCGGTCCATGGTGTGGGCCGCGGATATGCTAAAATCTGGGGTTCTCGGTCTTCAGGTCGAAAGGTCCAGGAACGCGAGATCGCGAGTCGGTAGAGCAAAGGCGCAGCACATCATAGGATGCAATGAATGGATTCAAAAGAAGAGAAAAATCACATCTCAAGATAAGCCACCATGCAAGGCCATCAGACGTGAAGTATAATCGATAAGGGTGTGAGATCGCAAGGGCGGAGTTGGAGAATCCGAAGGGGGAGCGAGGGGGAGAGAGAGGGGAAGCAGGATAAATGAGGAGTCGAAGAGTGAGAAAGAAGGTCCACTACTCTCAGACCGAGACAACCTGACAGCTAAAATCTGGGAAAAAAAGATGATACAACGAAAGCAAAGGTTCAAAATGCAGATCAAAGAAAAAGAAGATCAAACTTTCCACTTTCTTACGGATGCGCCCGTAGCCGTCATGTGATGCTAACACTATGACTGTCTAAGGGTATATTGCTTCACGCTGTATACATGAGAAGCCCCTGTGAAGATATATCATACCTCACTAGTGAAATAGTGTACTGTGTATGTACTCGGTGTTCAAAGATTGACAAAAAACCGGCTAATGTCTCTCGCCTGATTCGCCAACCGTATACCCCCTGGCAATACCCTTGCGCCCTTCCTTGACCAGCGTACTATCTGATTCCTCGTCATCGTATCGAATGTCAAAGTCACTGCCCAACCCCTTCCAGGTTCGCTGCGACCGTAAAAATTCAGCCCCTGGTGATACGGCACCGCCGATCATCGCAAGATCGCCCTTAGCCCGCCGGGCCAGCGCCCTAGCAGCGGAAGGCCCAGACGACCCATCGATCGCGGCGGAAGCGCGGGGTGCGGGATCCCGCATCGGTCGCGAATGAGAAACGTAGCGCCCAGTACGCAGATCGAACTCGGGCGGTGCAGACTCGGGTTCCGACATGTCATCTTCCTCGTCTACGGTTGCACCGTTTGATGTCTGGTCTGTTTCGTCCGACTCCCCATTCGGCTTGTCGAGGATGGCTTGGAAGTTGCTTTGCCAGGATCCCGTCCACACCCGCTCGTCGTCACTCTTCAGCGCCAGCTCCAATTCAAACGGTGTGATGACTGGCGTGAAGAAATCCTTGCTGTCGACCAATGAACTCTCCCAGCAGCCGATCACCACCCAGCCACCAATCTCACTGAAATTGGCGATTTTGGCGGCGTTAAGTTTGCCTACGACAAACATGTAGCTCTTCTTGCCAGCGGCGGCAATCTTTTCTTTCACATGATCCACAATGCCCATATAATTCTTTACACTGAGGGTGTTGATCAGAATACCCCAAATCGGGACTGTTGTGAGGCGGGTAATCAGGGCATATCGCCGTCCCAGTAATGCCGCAGTAGATGCTGGCAAAGGCTTAACACTGTTGTTGCCTGGGTTATTGGTGGGGTAAATATGAATAGCAGCCACACGAGAAGCAAGGGTCAATAGAAGAGCAGTTGGTGGGTCGGAGATGTGGAACAACTGCCATTCGGACAGGGTATCGGGTGCCTCCCTGACAGACACAGGCACAGAGCGGTTGGGAATGGCTGATGAAGGCTCATGGATCACCTCTGTAGCAAACAAATTGCTATATCCGTCATCGACAAGGCGCTTAAACACGTCCTGGATATGACCGGAGTAAGTGACATCGGCTGCAATGATGACTTTAGTGGTCGGATCCGTATAAGTCGTCTTGAAAGCCTCCACGACAGGGTCTATCGACAGTGGCTTGTTTGTAAAGACATATATCACCGGCAGCCTCGCAGTTGGGGACAGGCAAGACCTCCCGTAGTGCACCGCGACATCGGCATCCACATGCTCCGCCGCCACTTCATCCACGCAGCATGTACCGTAAGAGGTGTCAGCCAAAATGTATAACCGCGGCGACCAAGTCTCCTGCTCATCCACAGACAGCTGAGACACACCCTCTGTTATATTTCCTTCCGTGTCGGTTTGACCATTTGCCTGTCCCGCACTTGTCCCATTCGCACTGGCAACCTCCTCTGAATGAAGACCGCGGCTGAGGAGCTGAAACACCCGCGGAGCATCAGGGAGCATATCATCGGGGAATTGTAGAGCGATGCGCTTGTATCGGGCTTGGCGGATTTCCTTCAAGGTGCGCTCGATGTCGTATGTGATCGATAGTTCGGCATCGGACAGTCGCTGAGAGGCATGGGTTGGGGCGACAGGCTCGGTCAATTCAAACAAGCGGTCGTCCGGAGTGGACAGCACCGGAGCTGCCTCCATCTGAGTACCCATTATAATTCAATAAGTTGGTGTTGGCGTTGGAGGGGTAAAGACGGGAAAAGCCAAAATTTTGTAGAAAAAAATACGATCCCCCACTTCCCCCGCCGCCGATAACCATAATTATGGATCAGCCCATTGGTAGATACTCAACATACCACTTCTTCAAGGAAGATTACGCTACATAGCATTTGAGAGGTTTAAGGAAGCAAGAGTCATGTTTCAATGTATTCAGAATCATAAAAATGCATTTATCTGATCTACAGGTTGGCATTTGCCGGCTCACCCACCCAGACCCTGCGAATCAACTCACGAATCGGTTCCCGCTCAATCGCCCGTGGGTTCCAGTAAGGGTTAGAAACAGCAATATCAGCCGCCTTGTCAATATCCTCCTCCTTCATGCCGAAGTCCTTTAGGCCACGCTTGACCTTCAGCTTGGTCAGCAAGACATTCAGACCATGGATAGCGTCACCATTGCTGTCTGGTAGGGCATCCGCGAGCTTCTTCATGGCCTCGGGGATGTTGGGCGCATTGTAAGAGATGGCGTGAGGCAGGACAGCGGTATGGGTCTCTGCATGAGGGAGGTTGAAGCTACCACCGAGAGTGTGGCACAGCTTGTGATGAATGGACATGCCCACACTACCGAGGCAGGTACCACAGAGCCAGGCACCGTATAGAGCTTTAGAACGGGCAGATTGAGAAGAGGGGTTCTCGACAATCTCGGGAAGGGCGGATGCAAGGGCCCGGGTGCCTTCAATAGCCATCATGGTGATGATCGGGTTGGTGTTGCGGGCGTAGAGCGCTTCGACTGCATTTCCAAATGGATAGAGTTAGAATCTTCAAGGCTTCGAGCAGTTGCAAAATGATGTTCAGAACTACTTACCAGCGTGAGCAATTGCATTGACTCCACTGGTGGCACTCATAGCCGCTGGCAGGGTCATAGTCAAGTCTACATCGTAGATGACGGTACCAGGCAAGATCTTGGGATCGGAACGCGTCTGCTTCAACCCATTGGCCGTCTCGCCTAAGATAGGAGTCATCTCACTACCGGCATAGGTTGTCGGAATGCAGATATGAGGCAACCCAGTGCGAATACTAATCGCTTTCCCCAGACCAATGGTACTTCCACCACCAATAGAAATCACCGAATCAGCACCCTGCGCCTTCGCATACTCGAGAGCCTTGTCGGTAATATGTGTGGGAGTGTGCATAGTAGCCTCGCTGAAGATACCAGCCACTTGACCCTGGAGCACATCCTTGACGTTCTCGGCCTGGCCAATTTGCTGGGGTGTCGACAGTACCAATGGAGAATTCACCTGCAACCGTGCGATCTCCTCGGGGAGTTTCTGCAGTGTACCGCTGCCGAACACGACGCGGCCGGGGTTGGGGTTGTACTCGAAGGAATCCATTTTTATTGTATATAGCCAACGCCAGTTATGGGCGAGCCAATGCAGTCTTATAATCGACTATCCACCCCACACCCCACCGTGCTCCGACGAACGTCATGCGCTACCGTGGGGCCGTGGGGTCTGCCATCGGCAGTTAGTACTGAGCTTGGTTCCGAGGTCGGGTCGATTGAAGCCTATAGACTAGATTTAAATCTCATTTAAAAGCGTAATCTGGTAATTCACAGACTGAGTATCATATCCCGGGCAGTTTTTCCTGAAAGAACGGTCTACTGGCCTGACAAAGTCTGATCTCAAAAGAAGCGCGGAAATCCCCCCGACATTAGTTCAGCATGAATAAGCATTCATTCCTCGGATATAGCTTACTTTACCCAAACTTCTTAAAGCCGCGGATATAACCTTGGAACTTCAACTTGCTACAGTGGAATGGAACTCAAGATAGTCTAGATTATACATTGTTGGCCTTTGGATTGTATTCTGCAGATGGGTATCAGATAATGCAGTATTAGTCCATATCGGCAAAGGCCATGACATGTGCACCGCTTTCCTTGCGATTGGCCTTCTTCTGCTTCTTACGCTCTCGTGCACTGGGCTTCTTCTTCTGTTCCCGATCGCTATCATCGGAATCATCACTATCGTCACTGTCATCAAGCATATGCTTTCCACCATCCATATCATCTCCGGCACCGTCGGTTGCGACAGCTTCATGCCAAACCTTGACAATCTGCCCTCCACCGGAGACCATGCGTCCCTCGACATCCCATCCTAGTCCCACAACACCCTCAGTCTCATCATGCTGGACCTCTGATACAACCTTGTTCGAACCGATGCGCACAAGCTTTACCAAGCCATTGGCCAGACCAGCGGCCACGAGCTTGCCATAACCCAAGTCGCCGGGAGCCACAGCCAGTGTATCAATCGACTCGCCACCATCATTGCTTCGCTCAACATAGATGCGCTCATCCTGATCATCCCATACGCCCTTCTCCCATAGAGTAATGATGCCGTTTGAACCACCGACAAGCACCTTCTCTCCACGACTGGTTCCGCTGCTGGGCAATCCACCCATGTATGCGGAGCTAATCAATTCCTCCTCTTGGTCTTCACTGCGCACAAGCACGCCTCTCCGTAGATCCGTCACTGCCAAAGTAGTTCCACCAGTTGTAACCCATTGCTTGCTGAATCCGGAAGTACTGGTGTCGGAGGCAGGCAGAGGGGTCAGGGAAGAAACGTAATCGTCGTGCGGGTGATGCGACTGCTCTGGTCGAGCAGAGACCTTGGAGTAGGGTATGCGCAGATCGTAAAGGTGGAGGGCGCTGGAGTCTGTCGCAAGCAGAAGAGTCTGGGGAGAGAGCGCATGAATGATAGTGGGAGAGTCGACGGAGCTATTAATGCCAAGGCCGTACATTAGCTTCATTCAATCTTGTGAATGTCAAATATCTGTCGCTTTTGCGCGGATAGTTACCCTTTCTTTTCTAGTGGAATGACGATCTTGTTTTCCACCTGTCCCGTCTCAGACTTTGCGGCCTTGACGAGCCCATCGGTACCAGCCGAGTACAGCATCTCTCCATCAGTGCTAAATCCCAAGGACCGACAGCTACCCTTGTGCCGTCTTGTCCGCCACATGGTGTCGATATGACCCTTGCCAGTGCGACTGGAGGAGTTGGATGCCTCATCATCTTCGCTGCTGGCATCTTCAGAGGGCAATCGGAAGGTCTGGACATGGCCCGAGGCTAGACCCACGGACACTACAGGTTGTCCGGGGTGGATGGCCTGAGTGAAAAGGTCCGAGGAGAGCGGAAGGGTGCAAACCGTGTCGAACATGGTTGTGCGAAAAATGTGACCGGTCGGAAAGTGACTGAATCACTGAGAAGGGCCAATGCCTTGTATTTTGGGTGTTAATAGATTGTGAATTGAGTTTTTAAAGTTAGTGAAGCTTGAAGCTTCCGTTTTTTCTTTTTAGCGGGCCGAGGATCTTCCGTGGTCTATTGGTTCAATGACATCAACGGAATAGAACTGTTATTCTGTCTCTGATGTTTTGCAATATTTTGATCAAATGCGATACATAAAAATTCAAGTCAAAAATAATATCAGACTCGATCTCGAAAGAATTGAAGTTCAAAAAGCAAACAAAAGCAAGTTCCATCCAACATGTCCCCAATCTCTTCTCCACTTTGTCCCGCCGTCAATCCCGCAGAACCTCATACTGGCCAAATTCTCAAATTTATGAGGAATATGTCGATCCGATAGGACCAAACTTGATGCCTGAGAAGACCACATTGGCTGAAGCAGACGCAGACTCGATGTCACTCGGCGCGCCAGACGAAGTAGAGCAAGTACCACGCGCAACACCAGGGTCCGAGGCGGTCGCGTTGGTCGGGTAATCGCTATCCAGCCAGAGCATATCGGAATAGTGGTCATCCCATAAACTCAAAACAAGCACCATGCCCTGCTCCAATCCCTTGCTCATGCCAGACATACCGCCATGCTGGGAAAAGATATCCTCATCCCCGAATGCGGTCTTCTGTGCTGTGCAGAAGTCCGACGTGATCGAGTTTCCGGAGACCCCGCTAACATCAGATGCCGAGTTGGCAATCACCACACCGTCCTGGACGTAAATACGCTTGATCTCGCTGAGTGTTCCGGTGTCGGTACCATCATCGGTGATGAATTGCGTGACGACCGTCATCTTCGAGTTGGTATCGACGATCTTGTCCGGTCCAAAGAAGCTGGCGTTGCCCATGCGGTAGGGGTTGAAGTCACATCCGTCTGGATCGCAGGTTCCACCGTAGCGGCTGCTTGAGTACGTGCCACCGCAGTCATCTTCCTCGCACATAGTCTGGCTAGCAGTGTCGCAAGGGTGAGGGGTCAGAGCAGTGGAGATGCTGTTCGCTTCCCAGATGTCCATCTCTGCACAGCAAGAGCCGTGGTTGCCAATTCCAGAGTTGGAATCACTGGTTGAAGGGACCCAGCCATCGACGTTGCCCTGCATCAGTCAGCTTATGAATCTATTACTTTGTTTTCGTAGCTGGACTCACTTGACCATTGATGAACTTCAGGTCCCGGGGGCACTGAGAATCACAGTATCCAGTACCGTACTTGGCACCAGCAGTGTTGTTCGTGTACTGGGACATGCCTCCATCCGAGTCCATGGAAACGAAGTATAGGGCACCGTTAAGTCCACATGGGAGATTGGAAACATCCACATCGAAGGTGAACTCGTTGTTCAGAAGTTTGAAGGTCTGGTAGGTGCTGTCATCCTCCATCAAGAACAGTCGCGAGCCGACGTTGGAGCCAGTGACGAATCCCAGAGTCAGTGCATCTGCATCGGTTGTCACACCGTATGTAGATTCATAGTCCGCGCCATCTAGGGCGCAGTTCGTGGCACAGGTAGTGTCATCGGGGCAAAGGGTGGCATCCCACTATTTTCGATTGAATTGTCAGTGGTTATTACATTTCCTTATTTGTCCGAGGAAAATATACCGTATTGCCAGTATAGCAATTCGTGGAATCATCGGTCGAATGCACCCAACGCCAGTTGGCGTCGATAACAACTGAGCCAGACTGCTCAGTGCAACTGCCGCTAGAAGTGCACTCCTCCCAGGTAAGGGATGGATGGGTTTCGGTAGTCAATGTGCCAGCCTGCTGGGCACGAGCAGCTACCATCAAGGCAGAGAAAAGGAGGGCCCGTTGAGCCATCTTGGATGACTGAAAGGAATGAATGTTATGGTCAATGGATTTCCTGGCCTGCAGTTGAAGAACAAATACTTGGGATGCGAAGATGATACTCCTTTATATACCATTTTTCAGCAGATCTGCATCTGCCAATCCTAGCCATTTCAGACCCAGCCAAGTTCTTCTGACACATTGACTTTGACATAACGGAGCACCAGACCGTCGCCGAATTGGTATGGACGAAGGCAAGAAAGACCCTTCATCAAATGAACGGGGGTTTCCAGATCGGGCGACTTCCGTGTCGTGTATAGATTTGGATGTGGACCCTGCTCCATGATCAGGATGGGAAGGATCATCATTAGGCTCAATAGATGTCTCGCCAGGGTCTCAAGCGGAAACAGGGCGGCTAGTGCCTCCTTTTCCACTACAACGCACATCCACAGGGTGGAATGTTTTCGGACCTAGCTGTATCGATCGCCCGCCTATGCTCAAAACGTAATTGGTGCCCTCAGCAAGATTACGACTAGGTCTCGCTCTACATTCAAGAACGTAACGCATAATTCTGATTGTTCCACTCGGTTGGGTTCTGTATAGTGCCAAGTGTCATGAGACGCTTGCGGGGTGGCTGAAGCCCCCAAAGTGCCACTAGATTTCCTAACTGCCGGAAGGTACACATCGAGCCACAGACGTAGGGGTACAATGCCATTCTAGATTCTGGAATATTCAGAGACTCGAAGAGTGGTTCTGCATGACCGTTTAGGTATAGGGCGTTTCAGATGGACCAGACCCCTCCCGGGTAAGATTGACTGGGCACACGGAAAAAATAATACATACTGTCCTTCAATGAGAGGACGGATACCAAGCAACTTGAAACGCTATGAATCTTTCAACACGAAACAAAAAATTTCTCACGTGTAGAAGCCCCTTATAGATACACGACACTACTCAGCAACCAATTTTGACCGATTGACACAACAAGGATATCTACAACGGTAGGTGCGAAGCCCCGACAAGATTCTATATACTGCTAAGATCAATTCATATTCATTAAAGATGATAACTAATAGAAATCTTCTGGATCAAATATATGCCTGTCTATCCTCCAGCTCATGCTTTTGCCCAGGAGAACGAACACATTGCCTAATGCGTCACGGCGGTCCTATTGCATTAGTTGAAAAAGCATGAAGTAGCGATCTTGTCAGTTCAGCTCTAGCGTTTGGAAGCAGGGTCTTCATTCAAGATTAGAGAAAGTCCGTTGCTGATCTTTACCTCGAAGAGCAGGAAATGCGGCCGAAATTGGATTATGGGTTCCTGGGCGCTGGCTTTTTAGGCTGAAATCCAGGACCTGGGAATTTGACACGGGGACGTTGACCGTACCCGGGGTATGATCAACTAGAGCTTCTAGAAGCTTTCAATCGTTCTGTACTTTGATACACTTGATTTTAATCAAAAAAGAAAGTAGAATGTTTGTTATGTTTGGATCTGATGACGTCTTATCTGATCCTTATCGGCCACATGGGCCTCGGCCCCATCGGACTCGGCTTTCTCTTTCATTATTCACCTCCTTAGCAGCGTCGCATTACAAAATCACGGTATATCCGTCCATTTCTCACCCCATAGTACACCAGTAAGCCCGTTCATCGGCTGTTCCCGAGGGGGTATCCGCTAGCAACCATGGCCCTGTATCACCAAACCGTGGATTTCCTTTCCGACTCCTGGGCCAACCAGCGAACACAACTCCCCTTGCTAGCAGTGACTGGCGCTTCATTCACATTAGGTCTGCTACTTCGGTCCCTTTTGAGCCGCGAAGAACACCGTGGCGGTGTCCTTCCTTCCCCGCGCGCGACTCTCCTGGGGAGTCTCTCGGATGAGGAGAACCGCAAACTGCCTCTCCCTAACGATAACCTTCCCGGTGGGCGCGATGTTGCCAGTCCATACGGCTCGCTCCGGGTATACGAATGGGGTCGTGAGGATGGTCCGAAGGTCTTGATGGTTCATGGTATCACCACCCCCTCTATCGCGCTGGGCGGGGTGGCCCATGCGCTGGCGGACCGGGGCTGCCGTGTGATGCTTTTCGATCTGTATGTCTCTTCGCAACCACTCAGTCCTTCCCTCTCGCTTGGTCCTGCATATGATACTTACGTTGAATGTCCAGTTTCGGCCGAGGATACTCTGATTCGCCGGCGGATCTGCCTCAGGATAATCGCCTTTTCACTACACAAATCATGCTTGCTTTGACATCATCGCCGATCTCATGGACCGGTGCAGAGTCCGGAAAGTTCTGCCTCGTCGGGTACTCCCTAGGTGGAGGAATTTCTGCCGCCTTTGCCTCATATTTCCCACATCTCTTGTCATCTTTGGTGCTTCTAGCTCCTGCTGGCATGATGCATGACTCCCATGTTAGCTCACAGGCCCAGCTTTTGTACTCCGGAGGCATCATTCCAGAGAACATACTTGAATATTTTGTCAAGAAGCGTCTGCGAGCGGGGCCGTTAGTTTCCAAGCCTAAGGATGGAAAGCTCGATGTGTCAGATGCACTGAACCAGGAGGCCCCCAGTGAAAATGCGGCGGAAGCTCAGGTGCTGTCGCGGGAATATCCCCATCTTAACGTCCCGGCTTCCATTGTGTGGCAGGTCGATCATCACCATGGCTTTGTTCATGCTTTCATGTCCACCATGCGTCATGGCCCGATCTTCCGCAAGCATCAATGGAATAACTGGGCACGCCTTGGAGAGTACTTGAGCGCGCAAAATAGTGGTTCGTCAAAGAATCGAGGACCTAAGGGTCTACCGAGCGATAAGGTCCATATCTTGTGTGGCAACACTGATGCCGTCATCGTTAAGGACGAGCTTGTCACAGATGCCACAGCTGCCCTTGGTGGAAATGCGGTTTTCAAGTTCTACGAGGCAGGACATGAATTCCCCAGCACCAGATACGATGAGGTGGCGTCATACATCCTAAAGGTGCTTTAATATGACTAGCTGGCCTGGTTGTTTCTTGGAGGATTCAGACATTTAATTTTCTATCGCGTTGGATAGACTAAAGAGTACATACATAGACAAAGGAGCCATTTATAAACACAGGATATCAAGCATGCTCCCTCTTCTTTCTCTTTCCTTCCCTCTTTCCCTTTCTCTCTTCCTTCACTACTTCCGGCTCTTCATGATCTCATCCAGAGCATTGACTTGATTTGCTAGCCCAGCGAGATGAGTGGATCGCTCTGCTGCAGCTGCACCAGCGTAGTATGGGCCTTCCGAAGCTGAAGCCCGAGCAAATCGGTCAACACTGCTGTGGTTTGCGCGTGGAACCTGACTGATATTGCTCTGCGAAAGTGCACTAGTGGTGGTGGTAGTGGTGCCATTCTGAGCGCTAGGTTCCCATACATGTTAGTTATCATGATCGCACTCGAGCTGGTAAGAGGAGTACTTACGCGGAGGAAGAATCTGGGCGGGACATGACTGCAGATTTTGTTGTTTGTTGAAGAATTCGGAGATTGACTAGTTCAAAGACTCGATTGTGATAAGATCGAAAGGATATGGAGTTCTGATATGGATACTCTGAAATCTCGTTGGTAGTGATGATGGTTGAAATCCTGTTGGATGATGATAGCATTATGAGAGCAGGGCGTCTCTCCTTTTATACAAAAGACAAGGCCTACCATGAGGCTATGCTCGAGCCCCAGGCATGCCTTCACACACGCGAGCTCCCCAGGAGCTCGCATCGTGGTATCCACATGGACCCGAGAAAAAAAATTAAAAAAAGAAAGAAAAAGCCAAAAAGAAAAGAAATTAAGCTAAGCAAAGAAAGGAATGATGAATGGATCATCATCTCGCATCGAAAGTCCACGACAGGATCCACAGGCCATGACCCCTGTGACACCATTCCGCCGTCAGAGTCGAGACGCCCGGGGTTGTCCGCATGAACTACTTCTCGTATGCCCCAAATTCCAGTTCAGCGGACGCTAACCCAAAGTAAAAATAGCGTGGGAAGTGCATACCCGCCAATTCGTTCGAAACAGGCGACGAGGCGAATACGATTGGACCGAGCTCTGCATAAAAATGGGGCTACAAGGCAGGTACAGGTGCCGGATGCAGTAGTGGGAGCGGTCCCTTTCAAGGGCACACATTATTCAAAACAGTCGGCACATGGCCAACCACATGTTTCAGCGCGGGATTAAGCTAAATGGGGTATATGGCCCGTAGAATGAGGGAAGGGATAAGAGTATTTTCCCGCGGGTTGACGCAGGTTCAACGGGGATCATCAGTGAGAGATCTAACAAGGGTCCCCAAGGGCAAGGGCAACGTCATCTGGAAGAGCCTAGATGCTCGGTACAGGGTTGGCGGTAAATGCGCGCGTTTCAAAATGATTCTCGCGTGGGAATTACACCCTTAGAAAGTCTCTTTTTTTTTACTTTTGCATTTTTATATTTTTATATTTCTGTTTTCAAAAGTTGAAACATGTCGTGGGACCAACGTGGTCGATCACATGGAGTTCATGCATTGGGCCAGGGAATTTACAAAATGATTATTCTTTAAACATTGGTCAATTTTAAAAACAGCTTGGGATTGGATACATTCTCCCGACCACGCGCAGAGTTATGCTCGTTCATTTCCCTTTCTCGCGATAGCGCCGGGTGATCCCTTGCGAGAATACGTATTATACGTGGAACAACAGTCGTTGCGGAGATAGCAAGGCCGTAAGTCCATACCAGCCACGTATTCTGTGTACTAAGAACCTTACGAATCATTTAACTCATTCTACACAGCCTTAATACCAGCCGCTGGAATGCGAAGACGCCGGATCAGGGATAGTGAGGATCTTCGAACACGCGAACCCTCTGTTTCAAGACGAATCAAGGGTTCTATCTCCGAGAAAAGGGGTAACACGTGGATTTACGTTGATGCAATTTGCACATTTGTGTATGACGAGTCCAAAAGTCGATATGGGAGTTCCTGAATATAGAAAGTATCAGCAAAGATGGGTATGATGACCAGCCACTAAGTGGCTTTCGGCTGAACTCCTTCCTTGGTACGTGCTTGTCTTCTTTAGGTAGATCATGGCCCAGCACCGGGGCATCGGGCACTGCGTTTACGAGACTGAGCGAGGACGAAGTGGGGATAGCCGAGTGGCTGAGCATCATTGCCGGGTTTCATAGGTTTATCTCCCGAGATGAGCAAGCAAAAGAGCATGATTGGAGACCGATGAGGGGGAAGAAAGAAAAGCAAATACTGCCCCCAAACTCGTTTAGGCTAGCGGGTCGCTCCCAATGAAATTGCAAGTTCACTGCCGAAGTATGCAGTTCAATGACCACATAAACGTTCGGATGATGCCCAGTGCGGGATAAGAAAGCCACAAAAGCCATATGGAGCCCGGTGTTTCAGATAATTAAGTTGCTTCTCCCACGCGTTCTAAGGGGAAAGCATTCCATAGCGAGCAATGTTTGACGACGTTGCGGGTCTATGCAAGGCACATCTGGTCCAAGCTCCGGCAACCTTATCTCCTCATAGGGTCAGCTACTAATTGCGCCCAGCGTCGATCTCTTGACTCAAATTTACCGTTCGTATGTTGTGGCCCCTAAGCACTGTAAGATGATCAAGACGATCCAGTCGATCATCAGAGGGGAACCGGTGATCGCTCAAGCTGACGTTGGATGCTTGGCAGATACCAGCTGGGTGATTTGTACCACATTGACCCAAATTGCCGGGTGCCGCCACAGTGCGCCCGATGGTAGCCCTAAGGGCTGCGCTGTTTTCAATCGTGAAAAAGCAAAGAGAGAAAGAACAATGGCGAGGATCAAGTGGCCCCCCCTTTTTTTTTTTTTTTTTTTTTTTTTTTGTAAAGATGGAATTCTCATTTGCTCAATTTCCTACCTATCACAAGCAAGCAAAAACCAAAAATTGAATCCTAGCAAGGGATAGGTGGGCAATAATAGTTCGCAGGGCGTCGATCAATGAAGCAGTGATCGCCCAATCGGCCCATCCCTTACAGGAAACTTTGCTTGGCTCAACGCTTTCTCAGTCTGAAACAAACTCTTGATCTGCCAATTTGCAATCGGTATAGATTCCGAAGAGCCGCTGGACCTTGTTGCCCTCGCAACGACTTCATCCTGTAAATCTACAGCTCCAAGGCCAGATCATCACCGGAGATAGTATATACTCCGAGCTCCGTTGAGTATACGACTAGGGATAACTTATCCCCGATGCTTCACTTCTAAAAAAGGACATGTTTAGCGAACCCTTGCAAAAACCTGGAATGGTAGTGCCCTCCAGCGGCCCTTTACGAATCAGACAGCAAGGCGTGGGGATGGCAAAAAAGAAAGAAAAAGGAAAGAAGAAAAATAACAAGCCGTGGATCCTAATATCATTGGAGATCGGGCAGGCCGATCTGCCTCACTCACCATGGGACTTAAATCCAGAAACCAATCTGCGACACGAGTCAAGGGATCACACAAAGTGGGACTAACCCAAAATCCACAAGTCAAGTCGCTAAACTCGTGTTGACGGTATGCTTGCTTTTTGCTAACACAATTTATTTTTACCCGCGCGTGGACATAATCAGGCCCACAGGCAGCAATACTAGCCTAAATCGGGAACGTCTGCTTTTACTTCAATTTTAGTCTGAGGCTTGATAGGCTGGAACTTCAGCTCGTATTGGGCAGAGATTGACATGCTAAGTGAAATTAAACATACTTGGGTCCTCAACGCTTCTGAACTCTTGCCTTTTGGGGTCGGAATTGAGGGTCTTCTACTTAGACAGACAAGGCAACCTGATAGACCCTGTCTCAAATGAATAGAGTGTGGAGATTTCAATTTCTTCTTATCTTTTTCGAGCTAGGATGATTTTATTCGAGACTCAAATGAGAATTTTACCAGGTCTGGAAGATAAATTGAGAAGCTGAGATTGGGTCACAGGATCGTCTCCGCGGACCAACGTCATTGCCAGTTAACCCCCTGGCTTGAGATTAGCAATCAGGTATATTCTAATCAAGATGATGATAGGAGAGCTCTGAGGGCTTTCATCTCCCAGCACGCCTCCTCTGTTTTGGCATTTAAATTTAGTAACTCAAAACCCCAAACATACGGGTAGCAATTCTATGGTGATACTAATATCCCGAGGGGTGGTATTTGTGATGAAATTTTCTTAGAGGTAGAAACAACTTTTAAAATTGGTAGCAATCTATTATAATTCTACGAAGCAATAACACTACTCTAATATTTTCAAGCTAATATTCTATGCGTATTACTACCTCGATGATCCCAGATAGGCACCGTCAGTACGTACGATCGATCAAATGTCGATCAAATCTTCGTATGAGATGATCCTACTGTAGGGGAGTTAAACAAGGGCCAGATCATGTGGCAATAGTGTTGCGCACAGTTGGAAGAGGGGACGGGCGAAGAAGTAGAGCATTATCAATTTGATAGGCGAGAGTTTGTGATATATATATGCACCAGCTCAGTTTTATCTTTTTGTAACCCACCTGTTGAACCAGTTCTATTTATAGTTTTAATCTACCTGAACTAGGTTCTTGCATCATGAAAGACACACTTTTACGATGAATAGCGGTAGCTAGGCTTGTATATTTATATTGGTAATCTATGAATTCATAAATTCGAAGATGACTCTCAAACTGTAGTCCATGGATGAAGTGCAATAACTTTTGCCAACCTGAAAAGTAAATTTTTGACATGTGCCCAGGTGTCAAGTCTTCCCTCATTGGCTATGAGCTGTCGCATGGATTCCCTTTGTTTGCTCCTGATTCATCCATAGTATACGCAGTGCGCCTGCCACGATCAAAGTCTCGCCATTTCCAACACAGGCCTTGCTACCGTTTGATGTGGGATTCGATACCAACTGAGAATACTTTGATGTATCGTACCCTTTAGTCGTCAGCACATCTTTCCCAACAGAAATATAATATTATGAGGAGTGTCACTTTGATCTTGACTAGTCACCCCTAGAAGCAGCTGATTTCTCGCAAATCTTGCCATGCGGTACCGAGTAGTTCCAATCCAATGTGAAAACGAGATAATTTCACTTGATGACAGAGGATCAGTCGACCAAGGTCCTCTTTTATCGGGCTGGAAGTAAATGAACCTGAAAAAGCTATCGCATGGAGCATGGAGTCGCTCACTCCTCGGTCGTTCAGGCATGGACTTCACCAAACTCATGTAGCTTCGCCTCTGGCTTCATGAGAATACAGACGCTGCTGTTCGATGTACACAGAATGGCCTCTCAATAATTTAAACCGAGCAGTAGGGTAATTTAGGAGTTGTCCAGATTATTCATGCGATAGTCTGCTGATATCCAGCTGCCGATGACATTAGAGGCGGCCATTGTATTTTTCGGTCGGATCAAGTGGAACAAGTTGATACTTGAATGATATATCAGTCTTTGTAATCATATTATATATTCCACAATTATTGGGACTTGCAGCTATACCTGGGTTCTTGTTAGCTTACCAGTATCCCCTATCTTTACAATAACACAGGATTCGTCAATGAGCAGCCCTGGAGTGGAGATCTTTACCTAACAAGGACATTTCCAATTCCCCTGAAAAGTTGGCGAATCTTTCATCTTAGTGAGTGTCATCTGCTCGTTATCTCCGTAGTATGTTAATTACAGGATGCCTAAGGATTTTGGAATCATTCAGACGTCCAAACCCGCCGACACGATTTACATGTTTTGAAAGCCAGACACTATCCCTAACCTAGTGCATAATTTGACTACAATTACAAACAAGCCGTAGAAGCATTACAAGTGCGGACATCGAATTCTTAAAAGCTACGATTATATAAAACAAATATAGTTCCAAATGATTCTTTACGGTCGAGAACGTCGAGAACGCCATTGACGTCACGGCATCCCGAGTGATCGGCATGCAACCAAAACCCGGATTAGACAAGGACGGCTTTTTGTGTTCTCTTCAACCCGGAGAACCCCAGATTCAAGCTTGCAGTAAACAAACTCGAACCATCTGTGGGGGCAACTAAGCGAAGCCCAATTTTTAGATGCACGTCGCCCATTGTATATGCTACCATAGTCATGGGAGTGCAGTATGCTTATCATAAATCCGTTGCCACATTTCTCCGCGCCCTTGTTCGACCCAGACTTCATATTCACCCCAAACCAGATGACACAGTATTCGTCCCATCTCGTGACGAAGGCCGAACCATCAAAACCAACGTCTACGGGACAGCTGACGACAAACCAACTCCCGTTCTCATCAACTTCTGCGGCAGCGGCTTTGTTCTTCGCACTTTCGGCAACGATGACGAGTTTTGCCGGTACGTCGCAGACAAGACCGACTACACTGTAATCGATGTTCAGTACCGACTTGCGCCCGAGAATATATTTCCAGCCGCCTTCAACGATGCCGAGGACATTGTGAAATGGGTACAATCGCAACCCGATCGCTTTGATGTTTCCTGCATCTCACTTTCAGGATTCAGCGCTGGAGCCAACATTGCGCTCGCGGTGGCATCATCATCGAAGCTTTTCGGGGGCGAGGAACAGCAGAGCATATTCAACACCGTTGTGTCTATCTATGGACCAACCGACATGGCTCTACCGACTCCGGAAAAGCCGATGGCGGATCCCTCCAACTGGATCATGAGGACAATCTTTCCAAAGTTCTCCCACACTTGTCATAAACTACTAAACCCAGGCAGCGTTGATCCATACGATCCCCGTATCTCCCCTGGGTTTGCCGATCCGCACAATTTCCCGAACAATGTATTGTTTATCACGGCGTCACAGTGTGCATTTGCTGTGGAGGCGGAGAGATTGTCAGAGCAAATCAGTGGCATAGATGGAAAGGTCTCATTGAGTCGTCGAATGGACGGATGCGCCCATGGTTGGGATAAGGAGGCTATTCGTGGCTCATCTCAGTGCAAAGCAAAGGATGAGGCATATGCATTGGCAGTGGCGACCTTGCAGAAAGGCCAAACAGCGGCCGCAAAAGCCAGGGAAGCGGTGGCTTGATTTGATACCCATAGACTTTTATTGTATTACATTTGAAAATAGCCTAATTTATGACTTGTGTAGTATTTAGCTGCAATGTCGGTTGCCATATCTGTCAGGCAGCGATGCTCCCGTTCCAATGTTTGATCTTTGCTTTGCCTCGACGTAAACTCTTCCCTGTTGCAACTCCGTGTCTCGTGGTATTTCATCTACCATCACTTGTCAAAGGTGCCGTAAATATCCTTCGTACTTAAGCCATGAATGATCAGAGGGTTGCGTCAACTGCTTTTTATCTCAAGCACGTGCACTTGCTTTGCTCCATGGTCATCCTAAATTCATCTAGGCTGATGCTATCGACGTTTAGTGATGATTTATTCAAAGACGCGGACGGCTGTGTCTCAGAAGCAATACCAGCTGAATGCTTATTACACGAACAGTACATGAATGTTGGTGAAATATCGCCCCACCATCAATTGCTTAGGTGTGAGACGTGGAGCAAAGCGGAGCCAAAATGGGGCAAGCCGCTGTGTGCAGGATTGGTTCCCTGGTTCATGGACCTAGTGAGTTCAACTTGATACATTTATGTTGCTGATTTTCTAAGCTTCCTTAGACGCGTTTTCAATCAAGTTAAAGCAAGAAAGCAAAAACAGTAACGATAAATAGTAGACACGAAGTCAGATGATTTCCGCATGACCGCGCTAACAGCGCGTTATCGGAATACGAGAGGGAGGCAAACATTCCGTTTCACCTCTCCACAGCGACTGAGACTGACTCAGTCATGGCATCCACCATGTATTCGGAATTATGCGAAGAGATATACAAACGAATCACAGCCAAGCTACAGGGATCCCCCGAGGACGGGCGCCGCTTCGCCGCGACAGGAACAACCAAGAAAGTGCTGAACGATGGCCTTCTCCGACGCTTTTTCACCAGTCTTGAACTTCATGACGGAGTCTCGAGGGCTACTACTTCTAACACGGATCATTTAATACGGAGGGTTGCTGAAAGAGACCTGTATAACTTTTTGGCAACTCTGATCTACATTACTTGCAGCATCCATGCCGCGCGAACCTTTGTGACTGAGCTTGTCGCTCACGATGTCTGGCATGCCGAAATTTACAAGCTGCCCGTGAAGCGCAATGTCTTGGCTGATCTGTTCCGGGATGAAGTTACACCAGACAAATTTCTTGAGCATCAAGCATGTTTCTGTCCTGTGGTGATTAAAAGGGGGGAAGAAATTCCCATTGAGAATCCGGACAGACAGCGTCTTCCTTATCTTGGGGAGACCTTTCTCAATGAAGGCTCATTTGGTGCAGTGTATAAGGTAAAAATTGCCAAAGGACACTTTTACGATCCTGCCATGAAGTCTGCCAACGGTGAACCAATAGAAATTGCGCGCAAGGACTACATTCGATCTTCACGAGAGAATAGGAACGAAATGCTCATTATGAAGCAAATTTTATCTGCGGAGTGGTCCTGCAAAAATATCGTGGAAAGCTACGGCAGTCTTGCAGTGGGCCTAAAGACATACAGTCTGTTCATGCCGCTTGCCATGTGTGACCTGTGGGCATACATGATGCAATACACACCTCAGAAGCCCGAGAAAGCCGCAATTATTAAAGCCGCTCAGGGCCTTGCCAATGGGTTGAAATTTCTTCATACCGGGATCACGATGGGCGATGGCGAAAGGCTGGTTTGTTATCATATGGATCTCAAGCCCAAGAACATTCTGGTATTTCCGGAAGAGCTAGATGGAAACATCCATTATGTTTGGAAGATCAGTGACTTTGGCATGTCTCGTGTGAAGAGTGTGAGAACAGAGAGGTCTGGATTGCGTAGCGAGGGAGAGAATAACTTCAACGGTCCCTTTGTTCGACGCGAACAGCCAGAAGACGGGTCTGGAACAATGAATCGTCGAGAACAATCAACTTACCTTGCACCCGAGTCCATCTCTGCGAACCGAAATATGAAGACCAGCAGTGATGTATGGTCTCTCGGTTGTGTCATTAGCGTCCTGTTCGCATATTTGGAAGGTGGCGCCGCTGGAGTGACCAGCTATTCTGACAAGAGAGTAGCCCATTCAAAATCAGAGAGCTATGATCGTTTCTTTGTTCGGGACGGAGGATTCAAGCCCTTTCAAGTCAATCCGGAGGTCAGAAAGTGCCATGACTATCTGATTGTGAGAGCAAGGCAACGAAACGCCAACGAAGGAGCAGCCGTGCGACTTATGTTAGAGTTCCTCGAGAATGAGGTCTTCAAAGATCAATCAAAACGATGCAACGTGTCTGCCGTGGAAGTTATGATCCAAGCAACAAGACAGATATATGAGAACCTGGAGCAACCACCAATAGAAACCCAATATATGCCTAGGAAGTCCAGTTGGGTTAGGAAAATGCGCAATCAACTTTCGAGTGCTGGTGGAGAAACAAGCCATGGTGTGGATTTCAGACTTGAGAGGATTTTTCTGGACGATAATGAGCCTTTCAAAGGATGTGGAATCTCGCCGGATGGATATATTGTTGCCTTTTGGACTGATTTCAAAATATCGATATACACGTCCAACTCATTGCCTATAGCAGGGGCGAATGAACCAATCCCGGTGGTGAAGCCAGCAGGAGAGTATACAATATCAGATTGTATCTGGAAATCCGTAAGCGTGACGGATAAGTACCTGGTAGCATCCACATCGGGGGGAAATTTCGAGGTGAGTGACTCTTCAAAAATCACCGGATTGCCGTCATGATTTCTCATCCTGAATCTAGTGCTACGTTTTTGATTTCCAAGAAGGACACTCGCCGGGTGAGAGCCTTCAATACCCGCGTCATACCTCCCTGCAATCGCTTCCGGAAATCAAAAGGCTAGCTCTCTCACCCGACAGCCAGACAATCGTATTTATTCTGCGTGATCCAAATGACGAGAACAAACCCGGGACCCTGTACCGTGCTCCAGTCGGGTCAGTGGAGCACTGCCAGCGCCAATTTGAATTGGATTGGCCTGCATCGGACGCTATTCAGTTGTTCTTTTCAACAACCGAGGACATATGGATCATCTTTCGTCCACATCTTACATCTCGTGACTGGGAGCACAAGATCCCAATCTTTCACGTCTGCCTTAAATCAAAACAGATAGATCCTCTCACAATTGAATTGCAAGTGAGTGCTTGCCATGAGCGGCTGTTGGATCGTTTTTACCGACCTGTACTGACTAAGAATAAAGGGATTCGACATCACCAGTACTGTGGGCATATTCACGACCTTGGCCCCCTTTAACGAGGTTCCCGATGCTTGCGCGGTTGTCACCCGCGAAGAAATGCTTCACATCAGGAGCCTTGACCCAGAGAGCAGGATTCAGCCAGCCGCGGCAGATATCCACACATATCGAGTATTGAAATTGATGATGGGCTGGGATGATAAGCGACTGTTCGCTGTTGGCAAACGGACCGCTAATCATAAGATGCTCTTGTTAGAAATGACAATGCCAGGACCGACTAAAACAACTTTGATCAAAGAGCTTGCTGAGCTCCCAGGCCTCTCAAATGATGATGAATTTGCCGTGAAGCTGTCTTTCTTGAGAGAAGAGAAGTTTATTCTTCTCGCTGCCCTTACGAATGACAATCGACGTGCAATATACAGGTTCCGGATTATTTGAATTCAATACCATGCACCTTGGAATGAAACAGGAAATCTAAGTCTAGGGAAGAATCTATGGAAAGTGTCGTCAGTCATATGTCTTTTGTAAAGTCCACGCGCTTTTCCCTTCCCTTCAACAACACAGTCAGCCTTTTCGGATTATCATTGGACGAGTCACATTCAACCCTATATTTTGTTTCGCTTGGTGAGTTGCACATCAGGACTTGGCCATTCTATCTATCAATTATCAAGCGTGAAAATCCTGCAGCTCCGTGTCAAATGTGCTTGTCCCTGTAAGCCGTCGCAACATAGCCTGAAAATTCCTTTGTGGAGCCGCCTGTCCTCTTTCTGTAAGTCTGGGTAGTGCAATGCTGTGTCGGTGTCCCAGCAAGTAGTAGATGAGATATGTGAGAGCAGTCAGCCCGGCCGAGGCAGCGAAAAATATCCATATCATAGATGTCCCAACAATGGTTGAGTTGTCTTGGTCCATCGCGAAAAAGTTCATGCCAAACATGGTCTACCACGATATGTTAATATGACGAAGCCCCTTTTGAAAAGTAGAAGAAAGGTTCAATGACTACTTACTGCAATAAATGATGGCGGAAGATACAACAAAGATAGTCTGGTAATGAAGACTGCCGATTTGTTTAACTGAAAGATCTGCTCATTTTGTTCGCTCGTGACAACTTGGTCGCGAAGCAAAAGTGTATCTGCCAAAAGTCGAGCGACCGATTGAACTCGTTGTTGTAGATGCATGGAGGTCCGAGAGTAGGTAATACATTGTCGACGTTGGTTCTTCAGATTTTGTAGCCCGGACCGTGTGCTTGGTGTATAATTCATTGAGCTGATGAGTGTAGAGAGCTCATCGAGAACATCCATAGCGCCCGCCAATATAGTTGGCATTTGAAGAAAATGACCTTCTAGTTTGCTCAATACGTTGAGATTATTGTATTTCAAGCTCAGGGGCTCGTCAATGAATGCCGCGTGTGCCGCACTGGCTAGAGGCAGGAACTGACGTTCAAGTTCCAAAATGCGTTCTCTCCATGCCGGCAGATATGTTGAGAACAAGACCGAGTGCAGCCAGAAAGGATCGGTCATTACCTCCGCGCCAGCATTTCGTAACAGCTCCTCTACTTTCAGGAGTGCCTTTGACCGGGGAGTTGGATTGATTAATATGAACGTGCTTTGCGATGTAGCGGAATCATATCTATGGTACAGGCCGGTTTGGCGGATCGTCCACTCTTTAACTTTTGCCTTGTACTCGGGGTATCTTATTGTGTAAGATATCTCTACTTCTCTGTTAGTAAAGATTTCATGCTGTAAGTCATGTGGAAATGATATGCTTTACCTGTGCAAAAGCCAGTGCGAGACTCGGCGTATGGTACACAGAAAACCTGCTCCAAGTCTAGACTGTATTGATTGCGATCGAAGAAAGATAATGGGAGCTGCCAAAACGCCGAATTGATATTGTACTGATTTACAATTTCATCAAGCATTGGCTTTGTTATCTGCAGTGGTTGCCAGGAGTTTGCCTGACAAATTGATCTGATTTAAATTAGCCATGGAGGATGCCAAGCTTTGAAAGACTAACATCAGGCGACATGAGTATGTGTGAGTTTCAGTGTTTTGAAAATATGCGGATAAATCTTCCAGCGTGAAAAACTCATGTTTCTGACACGAGGTCGTGGCTGGATCCTCGGCATCTGAGCCAAGATCAAACACCTGGACCGGTTTGGTTACTTGATCAAGACAGCAGTTTGCTATAGAGGTCATGGTTTGTGAAAATAGACTTTTAATGAGAAGATAAAGCAAAGAGCCCAAGATTAATAGATATATTTGCAGGTGAAAAATCTCTGTCTCATTGTCTCGACGTAAGGCGTTTCTGTGCGCCATCAGGGGGTTCAGTTCCTGCGCCTCATGCCACTGCGCCTTGGCCCCCACGTGCCGGTATCACATTGTCACTCACTCCTCATCACTCTCGGTCACCACTCGGGCCGGTCTAGAAGGCTGTCAGCGCGCTAACTTGTATCCAGTGAAAGTGTCTTACAGAAGCTCGATCTGGGTTACAAGTGTCAGTCAAAGTCTATGCAATCTGGGTGTGGATCATCGCGTACAGCCTCAACACGCCTCGGCGCAATGAAGGAATATTCGTCATTCTGCATCTGCTCAAAGTTAGCCTGACAGAACAGGGGCGAGCGGGTCTATGGATACAAACCCTAATTTTAAAATCCTTCACAGCAGGGAACAGCTCGCGTAGCCTTGCTTCCAGTCTTTCTTTTCTGAGGTAGTGGGTGGTAGTGTTCTGTCGAGTCTGCTCTTGCGCAGCTGCCGGCATACTGATCGGAAGAAATGGTATAACGCGGGGCCGAGCAGAGATCATGGACCTCCCACGAACTCATAAACCAAACTCTGCGGCTGAAAGTACAGAGAGCATGCCCAATTGGGCCACGTCACGTACATACCCCGGCCAAGGAGAGGGGAAGGCCCCGTGTTTATCTGTGGCGCAGTCTTATCTTTCAACAAATACGAGATTATCTCCGCACTACTTTCGGAGTGGAAACACCCTTCCACCTATAGGTGCGCATCGCCAGAAAAAGAAATTATGCCTCAAAGTTGCCCGTGTATCACCCGGGTGCACACCCTGATTGGTGGGTGAAAGGCATTGCAGATAAATCTGGGGGCCATTCCCTGTCCTTCTGGAATAAATCCAAGATCAGAAATAATGCGGCTCATGCTGGCAGAATGACTGGTTTAGCACATTCCATTGCCAACGAAGCAAGGGAACACAGAGCGATCGGTCAATGTCACTCAAATGTCACTGCCACTTGAGCTACCCAACTGGCAATCGGAAAGCGTGGCAGTGCCTCCACCAATCTCTTCGCTCCATCCCATGATCGGTGAACAGCCGGTAGATCAGAGAGAACAGAATCCTGATCTAATGAGTCCAGAGTCTCGACAACGAGACGTTTCCAATGCTCGAAGCGCTTCAACCCAAGAGACCCTCACAAACTCGGTGGATGAGTGCGAGTATAAACGACGAACCGAGCAAATAATAACTGTCGGTCCTCGAGAAGACAGAAAGGTCAACAGAAGGCTTAAAGGCATACATCTATTCATGATCACGATCAATGCGACGCTTGGAATTGGTCTCTATTGGCGAGGTGGTCAGATTCTCGAGCTTGGAGGTCCTTTGGCGGTTGTTTTGTCATACTTTCTGGTAGGGTGCTTGGTATGGGCTGTCATGCAAGGCATTACTGAAATGCTGTGCATTTGGCCAATCCCGGGTGCGCTCTCGGTGTATGTCAGCAAGTTTGTTGACGAGGAGTTGGGTATCGCTGTCGGTATTGCATACTGGTAAGAAAATCACAGAGTTTACCAAGAGCGGTTTATGAGCGAAGCTGTTTTTCAAGATCAGAGCTACGCTAACCAAGACAACAGGTTTACGTACTCAATGTCCTTCTCCACAATCCTTGCAACGTTAGCAGCTGAATGTGACTACTGGCTTGCTTTCAGGAGTCGTGAAGTGCATGCAGGCGTTATTTTCTTGGCCGTCCCAGTCACATTGGTTGCTGTCAATATGCTCAGGATCGAGGTGCGTTCAATCACTACAACATCGCTGACCAGAGCACATCTAACACCGTATCTAGTCATACGGTCTTTTAGAGGTCATAACAGGATCTATAAAAATTACATTCCTGTTTGTTATCTTCGTTTTCTTGATCATAATCAATAGGAAAGGTGAAAAGATCCCACTTTGAATTGCTGTCATTTGGTGGTTTGTTTGGTTTCTCGAAATTGTGCTAAGTTCTACCAACAGAATCAGACAACGGTGCTCCACTTGGTGTTGAATGTAGGTACATTACGCTCCCATGATACTTTCCTGGCTCTAATAGGCACCTAAATCTATAGATTGGTCCTCGCCTACCAGGTATGACGGCTCGGCTGCCAAAAATTGGCCCATTGCGCTATTGTAGGTCCGCGGCAGTTATTGCCATGATTTCAGCTTACTCAAGAATTTATAGTATGTGCATATCAACAGCAGTCTTCTCATTCGTTGGGGTCGAAGTCGTTGCCGCCTCTGCCTTGGAAGCGAAATGGCCTCAGCACAATCCCGACGCAGAACATCCATCAGGCAGGCGCTCAAGACCCGACAGCCCCCTCGTTGGAAGTGGTGTCAAATTCTCCGCCATATATATATCCGTCCTTGCAACAGTGGCTTACACTCTGAGCGGATTCCTCGTGAGTATCGATATAAAATCCAATGACTGCAAGTTGCCTCGGGTGACCTGGGATACAAAGAACACGGATTGTAAAGATCATAGGAGTCATTCGGCTTTTGTGATGATCGCCTTGGGCTCTAAGATCCCGCATTTAGATACCGTATTCAATCTCTTCCTTGTTTTCACCTGTCTGTCGTGCGCCGGTACGAATCTCTACATCTCTTCGCGTGCTTTGTTCGGTCTCACCAGCCAACTCAAAGGAGGCAAGGGCCAGAAATGGCATCTACGTCTTTTGGCAAAGCTTGGTAAGACAGACCACCGAAAGGTTCCCCGGCGAGCCATTATATTTTCTGCGGTGGCGTTTTGTTGGATCCCATTCTTACGGCTTGTTCGGGGCTCTGAAAAAGCTCAGGTCTCTATTTCAATGGTAGGGCTTGTGGGTCCATTTTAATAATCCTGCTCAGTTGAAAGCTAATACTCGTATCTAGTTCATTGAAGTTTTAAGTGAGATGGCATCTGTTGGTGTTCTGATTGTTTGGGCCTGTGTCTCGCTTGCGTTTATTCGTTACCATGGCTGGTCAGTACGAACAAGGTCCCGATACATAATAACAATTAACCATTATCAGTACCCAAACAATCATAAGAAACCCGGAGTATCTTGACCAGGAGGACGTTACCCAGGTCGAGCGTCATAGTCGCAACTACCCATATCGCAGCCACGGCCAGCCTCTATTGGCTTGGATAGCTTTCGGGGGCTGCTGTACCGTCCTACTTGTTATGAACATGTCGCCAATGTGGAGTAGCTTTTACCTGCTTCCTTTCCTATCGTCCTATTTGACAGTAAGACAAATATTCCTGCTGCTGCATGTTCAAGAAGACTAACGAACATAATTCATTAGATCATTGTCTTTGGTGGAATGTGGGTATTGCTGAAGGTGCTCCGAGGAGCAAAGTGGTCTCTCGTTGACTTGTCACGTCCCCAGCGAGTCGCTGATATATTGCGGAGCCTGCATGAAATGCGCCAAGCCACAATGACAGATAAAACACCTTCACATTGAGGGGAAGCAGATGCCTATGCCTAAAGTAACATGTATCTACAGTACTGCAAGAACAATCTATACTACTAATAAACCAAAAATGAGTGGGATAAAGTTTAAGTTTTACTGGCACAGCCAGCTTCACCATCACCCAAAATACCAAAATTATAATGTTACTGTTATTCCACACATAGTCATGCGGACTTCTTAGTACCAAAAATAGTATAAAGATCGCGCAATGGGGTAACATCGCGTCATATTTTGTGGCTGCACGTAAGGCTATGGCTTCCTCCAAAGCCTAGTAAAGATTCTGTGTCAGCGCATACAAAGTTTATTGGCGATCGCCATGATTGAGCAGCTCTGTCGGGCATATTAATTGGCAGTAAGCGACGTCACTTTTGTTTCAGTCATCATCTCAAATTCTTTCAAATCTTTCTTTTTCGCATCTTAGAACACAGCTTCCATTCTTAGACAGTATAATATCCAACAGCACGTATTTATGGGCTGTGGTAACTAAGGGGACACTGTAGACAGTACTTCCTTTGTGATATAGTCTTAAAAATCAACTGAACATGATAATTTCCGGATGTGCCGCGGGTTTACCTGTGGTGGCTATGTTGACCAGTACAAATAAAAGGCAAAATTAGCCAAAACTGGACCCTGGATTTATTTTAAGCGCAGCTCCATTAACTTTTTTAGGCTCAGGGTCTCGGCCCGAGAAAGCACAGCGAAGTTTCTATTTGGTGATACGTCGGCTGTTGCTTGGGTTACACTTTCTGGCGCTTGGCAAGGCTCCAATGGGAGATTATTCTGGGTCTATACCTAAACTAGACTAAACGGCAAGCACTATGACTGTTTGTGATCTAGCGGTTCTATTACGCCATGGCTCTGTGATAAGCGCTAAATCGCCTCGGGGCAAACAATGGCATCAATTAGGCTGCCAATTTTATCACTTCGCAAGGCTGCTCAATTGGTAAGCTGATGCTAAGCCCCTATTTGTAACGGAAACTAAACTCGAACCAGTTACTAGCCATGGAAACCCCTGTCGCTCAGGTTATATGAAGTGGGGGTCAGAATTAAGTCATTCCGGTTTTTAAAAGCTGGGGTCCCTGATTGTTGAACTAGTTCCAAGGTTCTTTCCTTTTCGAATCTTCCTCAGTCACCATGCGACCACCAACACCCATCAATTCAATGGTTCGCGCTTGGTTACTGTGTGTCGCCTTGTTATCCACGTCCGTCTTGACGCTTTCTCGGCCTGATTTGAAACCCAGTCCCGCGATCGCGGCCGATCGCAATGATATCACCACTTTGCGATCGCGGGCCGAGAATCCTTTCCTACTCCGAATTATGCCATTAGGCGCATCCATAACCAATGGTTATCGATCAACCGGGCACAATGGCTATCGGAATTATATAAGACAACAGCTTCGCTATAAGGGCTGGAATGTCGAGATGGTCGGGAGTTTAAGAAATGGCACGATGATTGATAATGTGAGTTGATCACCAACTTCCGAAAAGCTTGGAATGAAATCTCACTGACATTTCCCACTGCAGTTCAATGAGGGTCATTTCGGCTTTAGAGTTGATCAGCTATCAAAGGAAGCTGTAAAAACTACCCCTCAACAACCTAATGTGATCCTGATTAAGTGACCTTGACCCTTCTCGATCAACTGAAATTCGGAAACTAACGTATCAACAGTGCTGGCACCGACGATGCCTTACAAAATTACAAGGTTGGCACCACGGGAGTCCGAATGAATTCTCTTCTAGACTTGCTCTTTGAAAAAGTTCCCGATACGACCATCATTCTCTCAACACTATTGCCAAACAAAGATAAGCCAGAGTTGGTCGGATGGATCAGTGATCAGTATCGTGCACTTGCTGCCAAGCGTCGCAAGAGCGGCGACCGAGTCGTCCTGGCTGATATGAGCTCTTTCATTCCCCTTGATGAATTGGCAGACGCAACCCACCCGACAGACGCTGGGTATAAGAGAATGGCGTCGGTTTGGTGGGCCGCAATCGAGGACGCTTTCCAAGAAGATATGATTCAACATTACAACTACACCATCACAGCTAAGCTGGAAAAGGCATTGGACAACAGCACCAGCAATCCTAATCTGCCCTCCTACACGGCTCCTGCTCAGCCTACGAATACAAATAATGCGCTTTCTCGTTCTCCCCAGGCAGTATTGCCTACAGTTATTGTTCAGCTGCTTGGTGGTAAGTTCCCTATCCCTCTTTTTCAACCGCAACAATACCTGACAGAGATAGTGCTGGCTTTCCTATGAGACGCATTTGCCCTATATCGACCTTCAGACATTTTCACGCGCGATGCATATTATTTAAGCAATACCCCGTACATTATTGTTTTGTTATTTTTTTCACGATCTCAATTTCCCCCAGGATCCTGGCCACGGAACTTATTGATAAATTCCTAAAAGCCGTGATTCATTTCTTCCAGGACAGCACGGCCTATTCATATTAGGCAGGCTCGATGCAGCCGATGATAAATCTCCATCCGCCTTTTTGTCGCATTCTAAACCTTCCATTCTATCGATTCTTGATTTTTCTCTTCTCTCTCCTGTTTCCAAGCCATCTTCTCTTGGGTCCATAAAACCCCGACTAAAGGGACAAAACAGAGAATCAAAATGCGCAGATTGATCATCACGTATCAATTCGTGACAAAAATGAAAATGAAAGCTCAAGTAAATATGTAGTACTCCATAGCAAAGTGGGACGAGAATACCAATCGCATACATAGTTTATCTTTCCACATCAACGTATGAGCAATTGCATAACGAGGACATGTATTCCATGCACGTAGCATGTAGGTGAGGCTCTGATAGGTCGATCATTTCAATTGGTGTCCGAACTGCATGCATGTTACACCAAGCCCCTCCATCCAATACCTCAGGAACCACAACCCCTGTTCAATATCTACCCCTGAAACCAATCCTTGAGGCTCAGGTTCCCATGTCTTCAGTTTTGACCCAATACATTATCCACGCTTTCCCCAAAATACCAACCAATGCTACCATCACCACGTCAACGAAAGCCATTATCGCCTCATATAACACCCATAACGAGCCAACTACAATCCCTACAGCTGAAAAGTACACCCACTCAACACCTACTGTCTTACAACGACGTCCCAGAATGGTACTCAGACAATCCATACATCCTCACAGGCTACCGCCCCATTTCAAATTCCACTCAAAATTGTCTATCCAGTCTCTTCTACCTGCATAATGAGTCAATCAACATTTACTCCCATCTGATCCCTGCGATAGGATTCCTCCTCGCTGAGTGGACACTCTACCAATACGTTCAAACATGGTACCCCCACACCCCAGTCCGGGACAAGATAATCTTCGCGTTCTTCTTGCTGACAGCGACGATCTGCCTGGGGATGTCGGCGGCTTTTCATACATTCATGAACCATTCGGAAGGTATCTGTAATCTCTGGTTGCAACTCGATTTTATCGGGATCGTTATTCTGACTCTGGGTGATTTTGTTTCCGGTATTAATATGGTCTTTTATTGTGAAGATGATTTGAAAATCATATATTGGGGGATGGTATGTGCAGGCTGTCTACCTTGCTAACACTAAGGCAGAGATGTTGGATGCTAACCAATTTTCTTCAGATCGGAACACTCAGTTTGATATCACTCATCATACTTGTGAATCCAAAATTCCAAGGTCTCCGCTGGCGCACTTTTCGCGTTGGAACTTTCATGGCAATGGGTCTTAGTGGTATCGCACCTCTTATCCATGGAATTGCCCGTTTCGGCTTCATGCAGATGATGAAGCAGTCCGGGGCGCCATTCTATATTGCTGAGGGACTGCTTCTTGGACTTGGAGCTGCTGTTTACACTGTCAGTTCTCACGTGGAATGCGACATTGGGGAGAACTTGCTAACTTATCAATAATTACAGACCCGAGTACCAGAATCTCTGGGTCCTGGGAAATTTGATATTCTCGGATCCTCTCATCAGATCTTTCATGTCTTAGTGGTGCTTGCGACAACCTTACAGCTTGTCGGGATTCTATCTGCATTAGATTACAATTACCATCATCGGGTCTGTGGTTTTTCATAACCTTTTACTGGAGTATTGATAAAAATCGAGGACGAAATGAGTGAAAGATTCGCAATGTATGCATGCATTCATGAAGCGTGACACCGTGTCAGCTCAGTCATAATCAAAATATCGCATCTATGTGCAGCTCTAATGTATCTATACAAGAGTTTATAAAAATAAAAACAAAAACAAAAATCTATCCAAGTTCTCAGACCCGCTCGGGGCTCGAGGACTCATCTTGGTTCTCATGGTGAACAGCTTGATCCTTAATTTCGAAGCGGAACTCCTCCTCCTCCGCGCGGAGGATCTCCTTGAGCTGCTCATTGGCCCGCCAGACAGGCTTGCACTTGAACAGGCGGTCGACCTTCTCCAGAGGAATACCGGAGGTCTCGGGGATAAGGAAGAAGGCGAAGAAGAACGCGAGGAAGGAGAGCGAGGCGAAGAACATGTACACTCCGTATCCCATGGTGGCGAACATCTGCTCGGTGAAGCGAGACACAAGGAAGTTGAAGAGCCAGTTGCTTGCGGTGGTGCAGGCCTGAGCGAGGGAACGGAAGTTAGGGTCAAAGAACTCGGAGTTGATGACCCAGGGAGTACCGTTCCAGGTGGGGGTGTAGACAGCGGTCCAGAGGTAGAAGAAGAAGATGGCGGCAATACCACTTCCGTTCAGGGAAGTGATGTCGTGCTTTGTGGGCTCAACAATGTACACATAGGCACCGATGACCCACATGCAGATAGAACCTGTGACGGCACCGACGAGCAAAAGCTTGCGGCGACCAAATTGGTCGACCAGGAACAGCAGCCAAATGACAGTCATAACAGCCTTGACGACACCGAAGATACCAGTCATAATGTCGACAGTGTTGGTTTGGACACCCAGAGACTATCGGGAGCAGTTAGTAAAATGTCAAAGCGGCAGGCCTCCTGGGGGTTACTTTTAGAAACATACCTTGAAGATGGTGGGGGAGTAGTAGTTGATGGCGTTGATACCAGAACCGTTCTGCCAGAAGAAGAGCATGCATCCCAAGAACAGACGGTAGCAGAGGAGAGGCCGGGAGCGAAGAGCCTGGAAGGGCTGCCAGAAGCCCATACCAACGGTGGCCCGCTGTTCCTCGATAGCAGAATCAATAGCAGCAACTTCCTCGGTGATGTACATGTCACTGGGAGTCAATTGACGGATCCAGCAAAGGTTGTCCATAGCCTTCGCACGCTTGTCGTGCAGGAACAGCCATCGAGGGGATTCCCGCATCCAGAGAGAGCCGAGCAGCAGCATACCGGAGGGAATCAGCTGGATAGCGAAGGGAATCATCCACTGCTTGTGGTTATCAGGGATATGTTGCTCAACACCATACTAAACAACCAGGTATTAGCGACGTAGTCCTAGAAAGGGAAGATTTTCTTCCGACCCATCAAGGGGGAATTCCGGGACCATGACTCACGTTAATCCAGAAGCCCAGCATACCACCAATCTGCCAGCCCAGCTCATAGAGACCGACAAGACGACCACGAATGGCAGGGGGAGCCAGCTCAGCAAGGTAGATAGGAACAATGTTAGAGGCGACACCGGTTCCCAGACCGGACAAGACACGACCAGCGTACATCATACCCAAACCAGTGGAGCCAGTGGAACCAGTCTGCAGAGCAGCTCCGAGGATGAAGATGGCAGAAGAGATAGTCAAACACCACTTGCGGCCAATCCAGTGGCTCAGGGCGTATGTGGCAAGGGCACCGAAGAAGGCACCGGCGATGAAGAGGGAGACGATATTTTCACTGATCAAGTCCTGTCCTGCAGAGCTCAATTTATCTGTGCCGAACTCTTCCTGGAAGGATGTGAGATCAATGGTAGTACCAATGAAGGCACTAGTATAACCGATCATATTGGAACCGCATGATGCGATGGCGGCGAGGAGGTAGACACGCCAGTTGTAGACGGATGGCGGCGTCGGCCGATCCTCGACGAGATGGAGGATACCACCCATGGCTGTTGTGTGTTGAACAGCTTAATGGAAAATTTTCGGAGGGTTGGGAAGGCGAAAAAATTTTCGACTATGGGATGGATGAAGGAAGAGAAAAGATGGGACGGGAGGCAGGCTAAGTATTGTCTGTTCCCCAGTGGGTTGTGGGTACACGAAGGTGTGTGGAAATCCTTTCGCTGACCATCCCCACAACCTGCGTCGCGTAGAACCCCATCCTCTGGGGCAGTATGGGGTTCCAAAGTGAGGCTACGCAACCTAGGAGGCGTGCTAAAATTCCCACGGGGTGGGCACTGACCCGGGGTAGCGTTTTCCCCCGGTTGAAACGTTCAGCCGGGGCCAACGAATCGTTGATAGTATATATCTAACCGCGGAATCCATCTTCCATGGTCGTGATGACCTCAAAAGGTTATTTCGCCTTCTGTGGTCATTGCCAGGCACCAATTACTTCTACATTTTTTTCTTTATTGGGTATGTTGTGATGCTTCATGTCGAATTGGCAGTCAAATTTGTTTAGCCAAGGGGACTTAAGAAATTTCCCCCCATCTTGAGTTTACCCGTTGTCAACAGAGGGGCGTTGGGGATCGCTGAGGGGACTCCCACCGGTGAACGTTCTGGTTCGCCACATGCTGCGTAATAATGCATGGAGAGGGTCGGGCATATCTTTTGTCCCCGGATCAGACGGGTCAGAAATTGTGGAGAGCCAGGAACGCTGTGGGAGTAAAGGGGGGTCAGGGGATTAAATGAATCAAAGGGAACAGTAAAGTCCCGCTTGATAAACCAAGACCCCGGGCTATCAGTTTTGGGGACATGGGTTGGAATGGGGTGCATGAAAATTCGTCACTGGCGTACCTTGGCTCCGCGGGGAGAACCCTTAACCACGGCATCGCAACGGATTCTCGCCGAAGATTTCATGCGGAAGAATGGATAAAACCACGCTAAACTTTATGCGGAGGGTCACTGTTCAGTCACGTGATGAAAGTTCCACTTTCTTCTCTTTACATGTATCTCATTGGCTCGACGATCGTGGAGAAGTCTTCTCCATGCCAAAGTCACTTTCTCCAGCATGAATCATTGCTCTCCAGGATGAACGTGTAGCTGACATAAAGCCGATCTCGGGTAGATTTCAGGTCTGGGGACTTCTTTAACTTTCTTTGACCTTATCGTCATAGGCCGTTGAATACTGGAAGCGCCACCTGGGCAAAAACCTTATCTCCAACTCGGTGAGAACGGGAGAATATAGAGCCAGGGAATAAAGTATTCCAGCTAAGTGGAATGTAAGCCACATTATTTTTTTTGTTCTCCCACCGGGCCGAGTGTAAAAAATTGGCATTAGTCTTGTAGAACCGTACCGAGCAGCATTGGAAAGCACCAAGTGGATCCTAGTGTGCCGGGCCCCGTCTCGTGGCATCACCGGTGAGGACACTTGGCTAGGTTGAATCGAGGTCAGATGAAAAGCAGAATTTTCTGTTGGCCAGATCCTGTACCATGTTCTCATTCACAGACTCTAGTTGGCACCGGTGAAGCTTGCTCGAAGCGGCCCGATAAGTAAGCTTACTTCCAGCACTTTGATTCCAAAGATGTTACTCTTATCGGCCCGGAAATGCCGAAGTACCCGTAGCACCATATATAAGACGGCTTCCAAGCATTCGAATGTCACATAAAGCAGCGTGAAAAGACTGGTAATTTAGAAATTATCATGTGCATATTATCATATTTACATTTGTAACTGAAGTGAATTCTTTGAAGATACATATACACACAATCTACCATGACCCACGGTTCGAGTGACAGCACTGATATGATTAGAGATCTGTACCTGAAGCGCCCTATCAATCAATCCATGGGTGATATGCCGACGGTGGTCCAGACTTTCAAGCGAAGTACTTAATCATCGGCGCACGGTATTCTGTATTGTTTTGTACTCACATTGGACCGAATAACAGAAAGGAATGTTGGAAACATATCCGAGGTCATGTTCTTGAAATAAGTATCTCGCAAGGTCGGTATATATATTTGTGATCCGGGATCTGCCTAATCTGGCAACAAAAACCCCGAGGTGTAGCCCTCAAGCCCCTCGAATATGATTTTAGTCCCGCAATAGATGAATGTAATAAAAATTTAGGACAGAAACCTTTTCTAGGGTTTAATAAAAGGCTTATCTGCAGCACTACTGTTGGAATAGCATGGTGGGAAAGTCGTTTGCCATAGACAACATTTGGACTACTCCTCGGGGCCAACCCTTTCCATCCAAATATTAGGCTTGGGGCCTACGTTGATTGTCGCTGTCAGTCAAAAGATGGCCAGCGATTATCTGAGGATTAGCATTTATTGCGTTGCATCTACTTGCTGCAGTTGTACTGTAGTCGACTATGATATGGGCCTTCGAGTTGACCTGTCTCTATAGGGGTCGTGCTAGAAAGACGATGGCACTTTTACATCTACTCCCACGCCGAAGGTGGCAATGTCGGAATTATCAATATCTAAAGAGCATCCAGGTAGATGTGAAGTGGCTTCCTCTCAGGGGGAGCCCAGACAAGGAACCCTTCTGTCTAGTGAAAGAACTCGCTGAGGTGCCAGGCCAGATATGGCAATCGAGCATCTTCCATGTGAATCGTACACTCCAGTAGCAGGGACTGACTGCGCCATTGACAAGATGCCGACCAACAGTAAAGCAACTATCTGACCCAGCAGATAACACAGGCATCAAGACTGAAATGTCTAGAGCAGCCATCCAGCACAGATAGTGGAAAGCCATTTGACAATTGTCTGCGACCGGGGCCCAAATGTCTCCTTTGTATATCCGGCAGTGTATTCGGTTGATGGGCAAGTTCCACCACAAGGATGCGGACATAACATCATCACTCGAGACAGGGTATATATTCTGGTCAACAAGACCGGATGTTCTATACCTCGCCTTAGAAGACAATTATGAGTAAACCAAGTGTCCATAGCATTCAAGAACAACAAAGTGATCACTATGCTATTCCCATGTCGAAATACCTTCTCTGACTTCACAGATAAAAGTTCCCATGGCGAGCCTCGGAGTTTCATCAAGTGCATCGTGGACGACGAGAGGAGGGACGCGATCGGGAACCTGCTGCTGAACATCGAGACGGTCGCAAACATTACGGGGTTAGTGGAGTTGCTAACAGATAAGGCTGCGAATCCGATCAAGAAGAGGACACTGTTCCTGTATATATGTGGGACTGTAGAAGGATAGACATTGTGGTTAGGAAGTTGTATGATGCAGATGGTGCTGAGCCAGGGGATCTCATGTTATCCCCGCAGTCACGTGTAGCCGACCGTGCCAACCACACGATTCGCTCCAAGCAACGTCAACATTCATTGATACGAGCCAGATCATTGTTTAATTGACCGTAGGAGCCTTATGGAACAAAATATCTCCAGATCATGATTTATTCACTAGTGGGACAGACAGAGTTTAGAAGCCTTGTCATTTGATGAGATGCGCCTTGCGCCTTTGGATCACTAGATCACATCGACTGGAAGACTGATAAGTGGTTCGTGAGCTGCCCAATATGTGAAGGTCATTAGCTGATATCCAGCTAGCTCATATACGTAAACATACAAGCTTGTCTGTCTGCCCAGCCCTTCATGGAGACCCAGGCCTCTCCCGTGGCTATTCAGCGGAGCATCTGGGATGGGCGCATACCATTAGAGATCGTTCTTGCGCCTTCCGAAAGCCGAACGTTTGATAACACTGACCCATACCTTGTATGTGTCGTTGGAATATCCTGGATCGATTCTTCAGTCGTATTGACGTAACTCTCTAGGTCTCCTGTCATCGTGTCTCATATCTTCCCTCGCTGCTCCCAAGGCTTCGAGCATTCTTCTCAACCTCTCTGATCGAGCCCAATTCCCAACACCATGAAGGCTGGTTTACCTTTGAGGGTGTGCCTCTGAAATGGCATTATCCCATCGGGCTATTGTTTGATCTCTATGCCGGCGCAGAGCCCGCCACCAGGAGTAACACTCCAAACCCCGACGCGCAAGAGGATGAGTCGCCGCTCCCATGGCGCCTGACCGTCCATTTCAGTGACTGGCCCGTTGAAGACCTTGTGCGGCTCGATCCAGATGGTATGGTGATGAATGACGCGTTCATAAACAGCGTGAAAGAAGCGGACTTCCTGCGCAACGGTACCGCAAAAGGCATTATGAGCCTTTCCAAGGAGGACTCTTCCGGCCTATGGAAGGCCGTTGAGAATGGTAATATTTCTACACCGAGATCAAAGTGCCCCACTGACTTCGCTACTCTTGAACAGTGGACCTTCCATCCTTCCAGCGAATTTCAAACACCCTTCTCCCTCCGTTATCACAGCCGTTTCGCAACGTACCTGTCCGCATCTTCCTTCCGCTTCCACCAGATGAGGACTCCCCGTCATTGAAGGTGGTACAAACGCCGATTCCTCCGTCTATACCGACATCAAGTATCCAGGCCAGTCAATCTATCAGTGCGCGGTCTAGCCCGAGTACGCAGCCTCAGACGGTCGGAAGTGTCTTACACATGTTGCTTCCAAATCTGTTTCCAAGCCGGCGTACCCCAGTCCTCGCGAAGCCCGTATTACATGGTGCGGTGCTTCCTATGTCTGCGCCTATTGAAGAAGTAGTGAGGTGCTCTGCATATGGAGATGGCTGGGTCTATGTTGTTGTGCGAATGATGGGATAACTTTGCAAGAAGAATCGCCGATTGTATACCCACTACGAAGGCCACAAGGCTCTATTAGATCCCGGAAACAAATTGAACTCCAATTTCCTCCCCTCTCTTCCTTACTGTTGAAAGGCACAATTCATTTGTCCGCTCTAATTATAATCCAATTTTCATTTGTGCTAAACCCAACAAATGCAATAATTCAAAGATTAACCGCTAAATAAGCTGGCTGCCTCGAAGCCTGTAATGCTATCCTATCAAAGGGGTATCAGGGTGTTGTCAACCAGCGACGATGCTTCTGGGATCAACTGACGAACAAAAGAAATAGTGTATCATGGGTGCGCCATAAAATGGTCAGAAAGTAAACGCGAACATAGAGTAGCGAGAAAAGCCAGATTAAGCCAAAACAGATTCACAACATAACAAAAGTCGACTGGTACGAGTACATGAGATTAAAAGAAAGTGAATGATGCCAGAACAAACCTAAATCATGTTTCCGTTAACAAGGACCTCCTCGCCTCTCTCCTTACCCTTCTTCAGTGCCCTCGCGAGCATAAGCTCGCGCATCCAGTCAATACGCTCTTCGCGCGTCTTGACAGCGAAGCGATGGGTCTTGATTCCATCTTTATTACCGAAGAGAGCCTTTTTCTCGTTCTCCCTAGTAGCAGGAATAAGCGAGAAAGCAAAGGCGGAGTCGTCCTTGCTCGATTCACTTCCCCTGCGAAGGATGGTCTTCTTAAAACCAGCCGAGAGCTTGGAGCCAGTCGCCAGCGACTGGCATGCAACGGCGTAGTCATCGACATTGATGTTTTCCAGCGCACGGGAGATGCGATGAGCCTCAGACTCATCCTTGTGCATAGCCAGATTAGTACCACGCAGCGTGAAGTGTGCCTCCTGCCATTCGTGGTGAAGCAGGCGGGTTTTGTTGCGCTTCTTCATGTAGCCGGCGTGGGTAACATCCGGGTCCGAGGCGAGCTCTGACAAAGACGCACTGTGGCCGTGCTGTTGCAAACGAGGGCTGCGGATCAGATCGGCAGGAACTTCGATCGGGGGAAGAGGCTTGTCTTCGTCCACTCGGCGAAGATTTGATCCGGCACGAGGACGCGCCGATGCGCTGCGAGCGATGGGATCGCGGTATGACGGAAACAGAGTCCCGTTGGGGAATACGTTGGGACGGTACCGCATGTCAGGGGGCACCGACTGTGAGGCATCTCGAGCGATCGGACCAGTGGGAATAGCGGTTATGGGAACATCCATCTCCGAAAATGGAGTACCCTGACGGTAGACATCCACTTCATTTGCCTGGGTAAACGGGCCGTATCTTTGAATTGCCGTGGGCGACCCATATGGTTCAAGATTCGGACTCATAGAGCGTGGGTTGGTCGTCACGGCGGTTGTCATCTCCTCCGTATTGGGGCTTGTCGGGATGTGTAGCTTGGGCAGACTGCGCAGATTGGCTGCCATATTGTTTGGCTGCGCCTCAGGTGGTGAGTAACTACCAAAGTTGCCTGCGGGAGGCAGATTAGTCGTATCCAGGCCAGGCAGCATATGCTTAGATTCATCGACGTTTTGATAGCTAAGGAAATTCCGGACAGCCTCTCGCGGGTCCAATTTTTGAACTTCGCTGAGCGCAGCTTCCGAAAGCCTAGGTCCTCTCCCCGGCCCAAACACACCAGATGAGGCGGCCACAGATGGCTGAGCATCGGATGTCGGTCGCAACATGTTCATTGCTGTTTGTGGATTTCCAGGACTGCCGGTGATCATGGCACCATCACTGACAAACGCATCAGGGAATTCAGCTTTGAGCTTCTCAATCTTTCTCTGGCGGCGCCTGAATTTTGAGCAATTTTCGCCCTTAGAGCAACTGTGTGGCTTGGGAAGAAGTTGCTCAATTCCGACGATAGACACAGATTCGGCTGGAGTGACTTGGTTGCCAATTTGTCCGTAGATGCCTCTATAGAGAACATCACCGGTAGGAGATACGGTCATGGCATACGAGCGCCGCTCGGGAGATGAGCGTCCATGAGACGAATCGTCATGAGAGTCGTCATGATGTTGATCGTCATGTTGGTCATGACGTTGAGCATGATATTGGTCATGGTATTGGTCATGAGACAACGTATTCTGAGAATCTGACGTTTGAGAAATCGAAGCCCCTGACAGCGGGGGATCAGGGTGGAGAGGTCCACCCTTGTGCATGGTGTCCTTCAAGTGGTTGATCGAAGCCATGACTTGGTGACGAATGCCAAAAGAGGTGATGCTCAATTCCTTCAGGTCGTCAATTTGCAAGCTAAGAAGAACACCGCCAGTGATATCATTCAAAATGAACTTCTCAATTACAGCGTCGTTGTATCCAGCAATATAAAGCCAGTGTGCAACCTGGCTGGGCTTCCAGGTGCGAATTTCCTCTTCATCCACCTGGGATACATCGGGGTGCACTGTTGTGAAGGCTTTGGGGGTCTTCGGGGAAAATGGGAAGCGGTTTGGTGTATTGGGTGAGAAAGGAAATCGATTAGGTGTATCAATAGAGCGAGAAAACTCGGTCTGCAATGGAGACCGCTCAAAATAGAGATCAATCTCCGCCGTTGATGGTTCGTAGATCGAAGAACCTCGAGAATCCCGGAACAGGTGCGGACCATTAGGTCCTCGGACCAGCGACGACTTGTCCAGAAGGATGCTGACCGTATTCTTGTCGATTTCATCGGGTGTTTGGAGGTCAGGTGAGGATAGAGTGGTATTACTGTCATAAGCAAGCTAGAAGGCTTGAGTGTTAGAGGTATCGCCACACGCTGTGACTCTGCTGAAGGTATGCTTACCGATTGCATGCTCTGTCGCAGAAACTCTTCATCCGAGTCACTGTCTTCGATGTCGGTGTCATCAAAATTCGTACCCGTCCCTGAAACCCGACGGTGTACAAATGTCTTCGTGGGGTAAAATCGCTCATGATTGTCCATGTTTAGCGACGCAGGCACAGCCTTTCGTCGAAAGCGAAGAGAATCCTGGGGAGTAATGTAAGTACTCTATTATGCCTAGGTAGGGTTAGACCATGAAAACTAACCATAGTGTCCGTTGCCCCACCGGCGGTTCTTGAGACCTTTGAAAGGAAACAGCCTGCACTTGAGGCTATAGTAAACAAAATGAATGATATATTGGTTTTCTGGTCAACAGTAAACCCACTACATGGAATGAATGCAGAAATGAAAGATCCGGATCTACCAGAACGGGGTACCTAGATCACGGGAGAGGTGAAAGGTGAGATAGCCAAGGAGTTCATGAACCACAAAGGGGGATTTGAGGTATATGTACGGTGTCCCCACCAGGAAATTGGGGGGAAAATCCATGAAACATGATGCGTTGAGAGGGCGGCAACCGAAAATAGGACACGCCCAACCTGACCGATTTGACGGGATAAAATGTCCGTGTCATGCATGGCAATGAAACCAACGCGGTAGCGACCGAAAAAAAGAGGCAGGCAAAAAAAAACGAGGCGAATGGTTGGAAGCACTGAGAATAGCTGTGATGTGATGACAAGTGACCAGCCTGCAGTAGTTTAGGTGTTGAGCCAGCTGGGCTGCATCCCAGCCACCCAATAAGGGCGAGTGTGCAGTAAGGACGGGAGGAGATAGAAGTCGATTCTGGACGTTGACAGGTCCAGTGGAACACGGCTAGTCTGGACCCGAGCAACTGTCGAAGTTTGTCAAGTGCGAGCGGGGGATGTGACTGGCCTGCAGTTAGCGCCCACATTTGCAGCGTTGATCGGGTAGACCCACATCTTGAAGGAGTGTGATGGACCATACTTCTACCGTTAATTAGCGCTATTTCAATCCCGTGCCCGGCCAACCAAACACAACGTGTCTTGGATATTTAGTTACCGATCAATGCCTGTTTTCTCGAGTCATGTCCCTCGTTTTAATGCCCACGTTTAGGGGGGTTGGAAGTGGCTTTTGCGATCAGGATTCCACCACGAACTTTTAAGATCCTGCCGATTTCCCTGCCTCCAATAATCTTCTTCTCGCACGTAAAATGTTCTACCAACTCGGATGCTTGCTTCAAGGCGGCGGCCTTAGCGTAGCGTCGTCGAATCCTTCCCGACGTTAATGTATGGTATGTGATGGGAAGGCATTGTACATATTCACAGCGCACGGCTTTACTTCGGCTGGCCTCCAACACCTGGCTGCCCGGGAAACATTGCCTAGCCTTTTGAGAATCGATGTGTCAAGAAAGAAGAAGGATTCCGCGGTCCCCAATAGGAGCTACCTGGATAGCAAATTTCCACTCCGGTGTAACATGGGAATTCGGCTTGCATTTTCATCCAGCCATCCGCATCCTTGCCCAGGCAGATTCTCACCGCTGATTCTACACCGCGAAACCTGAAAGTGGGTCGATAGTTGAGATCACAGAGTAGGAAGTTCATGACGGCGATAAGAAATAGAACAATCTTCTAATCAAGACCCAAGAGCCTTGAATTATGTAGCTTCTCGACAAGGTCTTGTGTGGCCCAGTCGTTTATCGCCATAGCTTTTATCCGCGCCGTAAGCTATTTCTTGGAATCAAAATCTATGAAATTTAATTGGACCAGACCATCCGGGATGGATAGCGCGTGTATGATCTGTGAGCCTAGTCCCAATCAGAAGAGCAACCATCTCAGACGGCAGCAACCGGGTCATAAATCCAATACAATATTCAAATGCTCTGTATGACTCGGCTGCCTTCCTATCTGAAGTAATCTCTAGCATGTTGGCATTTTATATCTCATATGCCTAACATTATTGCTTAACTCTCCTTAAAGACTGCGCATAATTCAAGGCGGGCGATATGATGGCAGCCTACAGCTGTGTAACTCATCGTGCTCTCAGTGCTACAAACTTGTATATGGGTATATCGGCACAGGGTTGGGTTTGCTTTTTTGACTGACGCCGACCCTGGTATAAATTTCCGTGCCTGGCGTTGGGCAACTTGGATTATGCACCCTTCATGGCCTTGCATATATGCGTTGTTGGATTTTATACTGGGTCTGATTACCCGAGAGGATGAGGCCTAGACAGGGGCGCACCTTGCCTTGCCAATGCCACGAAGCAATTTTGCAACATAAATTGTATCGCAAACTTTTGCCCCCAAAGTCATTTCAATTGATAGGCGCGAAGTGACTGGCCATGGGGTTTCTGGAATGTCTGGGAGATGGATGAGAAAGGAACTTCTCAAATGCTTTGACTTTCATCTTCATTGACCAATTTATTAAACTTGCCACCAGTGAAAAGACCAACTAGGTGGCTGGTACACGTAATCTGTCAACGCCCACTGCAGGACGATATTAGAAGGCTTGCTGTACTATTTACGCTTGGAGGTAGTGGAATACGCATATTGCAACCGTGCTTCCACTCAGTATGGCATGTTCAGATTTATGACATTAAATGCAAGCCCGTATTCTATAGCATCACCTCCCCGAACGTGACTCATCGATTGTGCATATTTCGGCACCTAGGGGTCGGGGAAATCAAGGAAGCGACAGAACCGTCGGTCAATCAGTCAATGCCAAGGGTTTATCTCCACCACCAGAATCACATGAGTTGAAAATCAAATGTCCAGCAAATTATAGTTAATCCAGGCTATTTTCGGAGTGAAAGGTAAGTTCCGAATTTATTAATAGTAATTAATGTTGATGAATTCTTTCTCGACCTTCTGATACCCAATGAAGTTCTTAGGTGAGATCACCAACAAGAGAAGTTATTAGCCAAGATTAGCTATAATTATAAAACCATTGGGCGGTTAAGTGTTGCTAATTAAGGGGGTATCTGCAAGCGAAAAGTTGGGGAACACGCTAAGGCGATCTTATCACATCACATCCCCGCCGTGCACGGAGCATCCGAGTGGGCCTGCAGGTCCTCTTCACCGCACCATTCACGGCCCCCAAACCTTGCCAAAGTCATTGACAATTTCAAAATTCTGACCTTTGCAACCAATCATTACGCCAGGAGCTAAAGCTTGGCTTGCCCCACCGAATTCAGTCACACCAACGTGCATGATGCTTCGGCCAGTCACAGCTTGAAGATGATCCTCCCCACCGTTCTGGAGTGATTGACATAGAAGCGAAAAACGAATCGACGTTGCATGGAGACCTAGCAGTCCGAGGGTCTATCCAGCCATCCTATTTGCGGTATTTTTCTGAATTTAGCAACTTAAGGTAGTTTGGGCTGAACACGTCCATGTTAGGTTCAGTGCTCATCACACCCCCGCAAGCTGCAGCATTTTCGAAAAGAATCTTGAAAATTGGCCATTGTTGGCGCTATGATATGTGACATCAGAGTTGTGTTGGATTCGAAAGCTCTATCTGCAGCGGTACTATATTGAACCAACAGCCAAACCCTCTGAGCGCCGTTGGTTAAGGATCCGTGAGCGAGATGTCAAGAGCTCAAAGGCTGGGAGGGGAAGTGAACGAACACCAAAGTAAGTGAGAACCAATCAAAACTTTGGTAACATGGGTCATATGCACGAACCCCTGTCAACAAGCACAAAATCCAGTCCTGAACGGGTTATCTCCATCCAGTCCCTCGAGGTGCTAGAAATCGACGTGCATGGCGCCAATACCGCCATGCTACTCCATAGCACTAAAAAAAGATAGCTAATTATCCCAAAATTAGTTTCCAACATCCATCTTGAGGGATTAACCAGCCTTCTTTGAAATATGATTCGTCCTTGGGTAGTGTTGGCTTTCCAGCCCAGGAAGAATCCGTGGTGATCCCAACCCCACTAACACTAGGAATAATCCCGATCCTGCAGCAGGTCCACTAGTGTGGATTGGAAAGTGGGTTCGAAAATAGAAACAGTTGTGCGGCCGAAGAGCTATCGTGAGTTTAAAGCTTCTGTTATCCCGCGACAATCTGGATTTTTCATCCTCATCCAGTTGCACGGTCAACCATCTATTTTCTTTCTTTCTATATCCTTTAGAAGGTCAAGCCTGCTGGTTCAGACTTGCCATAATTTCATTCCATCCTCGCCTTTTGATCATTACTCAGTACTCGCGATCGTGTGGTATCCTTCTAATCAAAATGTCGACAACTCAGACTGCGCGTGCTAGCAGAAACAGCTCTAGCTCTTCATCCACCCAGCACGTTGCGCCGACTCCTTCTTCCTCTTCAGCCTCAGAAAGGCCAAATGCTAAGTCTCACAAGCGTTCGCGATCAGGTATGCAGTTTTTCAACTTTCTTTTATACTTCCCCTCCCGCTCTTGCGATTCAAATGTCCGTAAATTCCTAACTTTATGGAAGGCTGCTTCACATGCCGCTTGCGCCGCAAGAAGTGCGATGAAGCTCACCCCGCCTGTGGTGCCTGCATCAATCTGAGTGTGAAGTGCGAATATAAACGTCCAGTATGGTGGGGAAGCGCAGAGCAAAGGAGACTTCAAAAGGAGCGCATCAAGAACAAGATCAAGACAACAAAAACCATTGAGCGAAGTGGAAACCGTGCTGGTGAGTTTCAATAATCCTCGAACCGGCTGTAGTATAGAACTAATCAGTGATCTGAAAAAGACCAACTTCGGAACCGTCACCACTCTCTAACCTCACCGACATCCGGTTCGCCTGATTATGACTTCAACCGCTTTGCTGAACACCATGACATTTTCTCTTCGCACGTTCCGACCCCGGGACTGGGTACCAATCCTTATGTACCATATGCGCCTGGCTATGAGATTGATGTCAAGACCGAACGTCAAACATTTATCAACGATGTTCCTATGCGCCATGATTCCTCCACTTCGACCTTCAGTGCCTATATTCCTCCTCAACTTACAGCTCCTATGCCTACTTTTGGTGGCGATGAATGGATTGGGGGGCTCGGGGATGATTTCGTACCAGAACCCGACTTCAGCGGATTCGACCCTGCCATGACTCAATCTACTTTTGATCAGTCTTCTATGTGGAATATACCCGTCAGCGATCATGATAAGCCGCTTCTGGATCACTTCATTCATAATGTGCTGCGTCAGATCTTTCCCGTCTTAGAGGCTCACCAGCGTGGCTACCTCCGCGCCCAGGCCATTCTTCGGGCCCTGGAAACTAACAAGACCTACCTCCACTGCTGCTTGAGTATTGCAGCCATTCACCTCAAGACTACTGAGGGCTTGATCGGTGATACAATTGACACTGACATCATGCGCCACCGTTATGAAGCTATCTCACACCTGTGCAAGGCACTGGGGGAGGACACCAACCACCAGGAAATCCTTGATGCGACTCTTGCAATGATTTTTTTCCACTGCTCTGTCGGTCCCGCAGATGATTATCTCCCTGATATTCCTTGGTTCGATCACTTCCAAGCTGCTACAAACCTCGTGAACAGACTGGAGCTTCCTTCCAAGCCACTGGAGTCTGTGAATGGGTTCATGGTTCCTTCCTACAGCTTGGCCTTGACATCATGGATCGATATTCTGGGATCAACAATGACCGGAAAGACCCCTCAGTTCGCCCATGCCTACCGAGCAAAGCACCTGAGCGGAACATCGTCGGGTCTTAAGGAGCTGATGGGATGTGATGACAGAATCATGTATCTCATTTCCGAGATTGCCTGTCTGGATTCTCTAAAACGCGAGGGCAAAGTCGACGACTTGACGGTCTGCTCTCATGTCCAGGCAATGGCAAAACAACTCGAACACACCGAGCCCGCTGATCCAACCTTGGAAAACCCGTTCTCCGCTGCGACTGGTGCTATCTTACCTGAAGCCTTGACAAAAACCATATCCCACATTTTCCGCGTTGCAGCCCGGATTTACCTTTGCAGCATCGTTCCCGGATTTGACCGTAATCAACCCACGAACGAGAACCTGATTTCTTCAGTCACCCATGCTCTCCAGTTCATCCCTGCGGGACCCCACGGTTTCGACCGCTCCCTTGTCTGGCCACTTCTGATGACTGGTGTGTACGCAACACCAGGAAGCCAATTCCGAGCTGTGCTCGAAGATCGTGCTGTAGCTCTGGGAGATCACGCCGATCTTGGAAGCTTCGGTCGCATGTATCGTCTTCTCCATGAAATGTGGCGTCTGAGCGATGATCCTGCCAACATGATGGGCATTTATAACGAGGATTTCAACTCTTCACTCACTAGTCCAATCTCCAGGCTGGACCGGTCCGGCTCCAACTCCCCAACAGGTGCGGGCGCCATTCTTGGCGGGAGGGAGATCAAACGGCAGCAAGTTCACTGGAGAGACATCATGGTGCGAAACAACTGGCACTATTTGCTCATCTAGATTTGTTCCCCCTTTCCCTTTCCATTCTGCATTTGCATTTGCATTTTCCTTTTTACTTTTTTGCTTTATTATTGTCTTCATCTGGCCGCATAGCTGCCTTTATATTACCTCGATGGTAAATGATACCCATTTCGCGACTAGCTATCGTTGCATCAATCAAGCTCCGGCGCATCCATGCCTCTTATTTTTGGCTTCTTTTCTTTTTTGCTACCATTTTTCAACTGCGGGGCGGCTGGTTTATGGTTGGCTTTTCCTCTGAGAGGATGTTTTAAATGATGCCCGTGGCGTCAAGGGACTCTGGAGCTTCCCTACAGGGCACTGGTTGGCCTCTGAGTACATAATTCTATTCTATACTACTTCGGAATAAATACCCTGGATTTGGATCAACAAAAACATTCATTGTAATGTAGTTTGGATCTGTACACATATTATCTCAGGATCTTTGAGGCACCTTCACCCCTAGTCATTATGGGAGATGTCAGTACTGACGGCTCAACATTCAGCTATCTCATACTAATATAAATTGCACATGACATTATTGTTCAACTTACATGCTTACCCTTTAATTCCAATTGTTCCATGCAGAAAAGAAAACATAAGAGTTCTAAATTGAGCATACACACCATCTCGACTTCTAGAGATGAGATAGCAATAGGTAGAATTCCTTCGTATTAGAATATATCTACTAGTGTGTGTCGTCCTCCGATTAGAATTGGACTACATGGATACTGATTTGCTGCGGATTAATGGTTGTCTCATTCTGAGAAGTGATTCAGACAAATTCAAAACAACAAACAGAGCTTCTTGGCGACAAGCAGAAGCGCTGATTGCCCCAAGAAGGACTTGAATTCTTTAATTTGCAAACTGAAAAGCTGGACCCGAGCATATGAGACTTCCTGGTCTAAAGATGGAATATCCGGGAAGGGATCAAACTAGCGGTGCGAAAGTTCGACACCACTGGGCGAGAAGATGTCCTCAGATAGTGATTCATGTGAACGAACAGGTTTCAGCACTTGGAAACCTCCGTATGATGTTTTAGCTAGGGAAGGAGCATATAATCTGAGCATATCTATTAGCTCTGACTGGTGGCTAGGGTGTTTTGATTTTGCCAAGGACAATAGATTCTTCAGGGGATCGGCTCTTGCAGTTACACGTTATCAGTAGAAACGGCGTCCCTGTATCAGATCTCGCATCTGCATGAAATATTCCGTCTATTAATATAGCTGGTCCCTGAAGGAAAGTGGAGGCGCGAAAACAGCTCAGGGTTCACGGTGTTCAGCTGGGTGATTGGACAGAAGTCACAAAGCATGGAGATCGGAGGGCGCTACCAGCTTGATTGTCCCGGCTTAAAACACAATAGAATAGAGTTGTCAATATGCTTCAGTCTAGTGAGAGCAATGCCAAGAGCTGCCAGCGATGTTTCAAGATCTGGTGCCCCTGGAGCGAGGCGCCCTCGGGGTGGAAGACTGGGCGCGCGTCAGTGTCCTGACGAACCAGGAGATTAAGTGAAAAGGTTGCCCATGGTGACGACTGTTTTCTGGCGGCTCCTGGGATAGTGCAGAGGGGGCTTTGCTTCAGATGGCGCGCGACAATAACATGTTCATGGTAGCGCTTTAGACCGCCACCGGCGTGTGGCGGATTTAGATGATCATAGCACTGGAAATGAAGAGCACCAAACTATAAAGATGAGGTCTGTCGTCGCTTTGCTAATTGAATGTCACACATCCTTCTCTTCTCGTCTTCAAGCTTTCGCATTAATTCACTCTTTGAGTCGCTTATTGGCCCTGGTCGGTCAAGTCTCTTTTTCTTTCCGGATTTGTTGAACGCTTCAATCAAGCCATTTAATTGCCAACACCGATCTCTTGGTCTGTGTTGAGAAAAAGGGCCATTTGGATCATCTTGGAAACCTTTCGATCTAATTTCGACATTCTTTGAAGCCACTCCCAGTTAGTAAGTGGCCCCGATCCCACCGCCACGCTCTTGCCGCCGTGTTGTTTCTCGAAGGATTTCGGGCTGTACGGGGCCCCCTTACCCGGGTACAGTCTGGTCAGTCTTGGCTCGAAATTTCGTAACTAACACGAAACATTACACTAGCTCGGTACCTATACGGTTTTGAACTGTATCACTCAAGGTTTCCATACATGGCCTGGCCTGCCTTGCGCATATAGATAAACACTCCATCTCCGCGTCCATCTTTCTTTTTGTTGCTGGTCAGCAAAAGAACTTGTCCAACCCAACTGTCCTTCTTGATCTTTCACGATCTTTATTTCTCTCTCCACCTCTTTTCTTTTGACCCTGCTATCCGACTTTTGGGTCACGGGCCTCGACTTCTCCTCTTTTTCACTATACTTAATTTCCACGCGGACATTGTCGTCATCGTGTTTTCTGATCACCACCCACTTCGGCCCCCGTCGACCTTGATCAAACAAACACTATTCACCCCTTTTAAAAACGAATATTCTATCTTCTTTGCAAAAATGCCGAACGTCAAACCAATCCTACCACCTCTCAAAACACCTAAAAGTGCCACATTCCCGTCGGAGCTCCACGATGACTCCCCCTCAACCAGCATCTTCGACTCTATCAAACAGGAAGGCTCTACCACTCCACCTACACCAAATTCCTCTATTCCACTCCCCAAGGCATACACAGAGTTCTTGGAGGCTATGACACCTGTCTTTAGTCCTGCCAGCGCCGGGCCCAACTTTCAAAAGTTCTCCTTTGAGAAAACCGCGGCTTCGCCAACTTCACAACCCGCTAGCGCCCTCAGTGGTTCATTTACATTCAGTCCCATAACCCGCTCGCCAACTATCTCACTTCCACCTCCTACACCAGGCTCGGCAGTGTACTCGAAGAAAGGCTTCCCTGTTCCCCGCCGACTACGTATCCCCCACCCCCAGTCATTGAAGTACTCTCCTACTACGGACTCGCCAAGAAGTGCGACAAGTCTCCGATCGCCTTTCTCAAATTCTGATTGGAAACTCCGCTATTATGAGCCCCCGCGCAGCTCCGGTCCCACCAGTGGAAAACCGGTCAGTGTGAAGCAAATTGTTACCCGAACAGTGACCTATAAGCGTACTCAACTGGATGCCCCTCCTAAGGGCAAGCGCCGCAAGTGCCGCGAAGCGAAGGAGTGCAAGGACATGAAAGACATCAAGGAACTCAAGGATGTAAAACTTTCTAAGGAGACCAAGGCAAAGAAAGCCAAAGAAGTCTGATTACATTCTTCTATTACGCGTGACGATACCTGGTTTTTTCGCATCTGGCTAGTTGGGGGCTTTTAGCGAGGGCATTGGTGTCTAGGTGTTAAGGGGGGGGCGTTATCATTCAAATCATACAGCGCAACTGTTTTGATCTTTACAGGCGAACTTCCTTGGTTCTTTGTCATGGCGCCAGTTTGGGGGTTGTTTTATTGCAGTAATTTACAGCATCCGCTTCCAGGGTTAATTGCCCATGGTGGCCCGGAATGCAATATTATTCGCTTCCAAGATTTGGCGTTTGTTGGACAGCTCTACATAATGCACTCCTTAGGGCCGAAATGTCTGTTCACCGACTATTCCAATCCTTGGTCAACGGTAGAGAACTTTATCCAGTCTGTCCAGGGCTTCTATAGGGCTCTGGTAAGCCCTCTTTGCATTAGGTTCACGAAAAGTGCCTTGCGCTCGGAATCCAGCCTCAAAGACAATGGAAGAGATGTACATGCCTGTAATGAGGCTGCCTTGCCAGCGCATCCACTGACGAGGCTCTTGCGCTTCGGAGCTTCGTGCATATTATCCGTGCCACCATCGAATCGGAAGTATTAGGCTTTGCCAGGATGCAGAACGCCGGTACATAACCAACACTCGTTCACGAAGGGGATAGGACAGATAGCATCGGGGATGAGCCTCCGCTTGGGCCACGCGACTACATGGATCAGATCCTGGTAGTAAACAATAATCGTAGCCCCCAAGGCCTAGGCCTAAACGAGACAAAAACCAACACTTCTTTGGCTCCGTGAAAGGGCGACTTCTGTTGGGGCTATCCATACCCTCGGGTTTCATGCGAGTATGGCTTTTGGTCCGCGATTTCCCACGTGTCGAAAAGAGGCTCTTCATGTAGCCTACGATAAACTCATGGGGCTCTTACCGGGGCAAGGGACTGGGTATTGCATTCCCGAACTACGCATCATCAACTATTTCTCATAATACCCTTCTCGCTCTAAATGAAATTCTTGAATGAGCAAGTAGCAAGCAAGCTACTCGTGACTTAACGTATCTATTCCAAAGTTCCTTCAATTCAATCTAAATGATGGGTCATAACGGTAGATCCTTCGCCCCGATTCCAAAAACGCCTCCGTAGAATCCTGTGGATGGCGGACAACTCAGGATCCAGCGTCAAGACCATATATGTGCTCTTACTGGTGGGCAAAGTTTTTCAACCAATTCTCTGCTAGGTGCCCAACATCCTGCCACCGAGATACTAATCGCAGCCGTATGGAGGCATACATTCGGTATGTACCAGGTTTCCGGTATGGCGCAAGCGAGCCGACAACATATATTGGAATATTAGAATACGTGTAATTGATTATCTTGGTTACACATACTTCATTGAAACGCTGACACACTAAATCACGCATCATGCCTTCATGGCTCGGGACCATTGCGATTTTCCAGGAGGACAGGCCCAGGCGTAAGTTACACAGAGCATTACATACAGTATTACATACGTAGATTGCGTAATATAACGCTATGTGTTTTCGCACGTACCCTTGACCCATAACTAGTCTTTAGCTCGATTTATTTCGAATACAAAATTTAAGCCTCTCTACGCACTTGCTGTATCACACCCCTTTTCCCACGCGTTATGCAGGTGAACAAAAATTGTCCCTACATTTGTTCTGGTCAAGCCAACCATCACGTCGAGAAGATAGACAGTTCCCACCCCCCGGTAACAATATGCACCAAAGAGCCCCGTTTGTGCATGGGTGGGGAAGTGACGGTGGAAATACAGCCCGTCATTGGACAATACTATGCACACCCTGTTTCAAGTTATCGCTGAAGAAACTCGACCGGGGACACCGACCCCCTATTCTCCATCATTGAATTTCAAGATGTCCCGAGCGCCTGGAACGCATCGGAGTGTTTCATATTAGAGATAATGCTTATTAGTCTATTAGTTGGGGGGCAGTGAAGCCACTTTGTTTGTAGATCATGGTTGCAGAGACCACGATTCAGGAGACAGTTCATTTGTATTGATCCCCACGGATCAAAATTACACCCGTAGATGGTGCCACTCGTTGTCCTTTGGCAAACAACATATTGAACACAATAATCAGAGTAAATTTTGAGAATAAAGTTTTGGTTTCCTTTGAGGCCACAATATTCCAAGTTCTTCTGATCGAGTGCGTTGTTTATATTGGCCCTTCAGCCTGGTTACCATCACAAGGGATCCAGACAAAAATAACATACCGCCCACATTGTTAATAGCTGGCCAATGATAAGGCTAGATAATTAGGCTCCGATGGTATGCCCATGCAATTAAGCGCCGGCGCTATTCCGCTTTTGGACAGTGGAACAATGGGAGACCGGGGATTAACCTCGAGCCCCACTAGCACTTTCGAAGTGGGGTTATAGAAGGATGCGTTATTGGACGGCTGCAACAACTATCCTCATGTACCTGTGCTTGCGAAGGTGACGTGTGCTGTCGGGATTAATTCTAGCGCCTACTATTCCTTTCTGTTCACCCACCTGGCTGGATTGAGATCATTTTAGTAACCAGAATCTCGACTATGATTGGGTCGCACCCGGTCATTCCTTTCACTTTACGCGCCGAAGTGATCACTTTGGTGGACTGACCATCCCAATGCGGTTGGGATCGACGTACACCTTTGAACTGCCTCTGTGGCAAATCAAGAGCGAGAAAGGGCCAATAATGTGATGAGCGATTACGAAATCGGATTACATAGACATTGCTTATTTATCGCGACGCAATCATCCCAAAATATATGGGGCTTACGTTGCATAACACAAAGACGCTGCTGATGAAGATGATGTAAACTTTTAATTATGTTTTCAGGGAAGGTTCCGTCCATTCGTCCCCGTCGACCAACCAGAGGGAGCAAGGGAAAGAGGGGTTTGCAATCATGCAGGCGCCTAAATGCAATGTGATATCTTTTGTATACCTATTTTTGGCCCAGCCATGATCTAATAATGGAAACCCCTCTTTCTTGGCACTATTTTAGTTCCTGCATCTTAAGCTTGACTAAAGTCTCTTAGTGTGAAGTTATTTTTGGAAAGCAACGTCACTTTGATATAGAACATCAATAACATATGAGTTACTACATCTACCAAATATAATGGACATCGATAATGAGAAAGCCATTCCATATTAATCTCAGAAAGAAGCAAATGCTGCATTCCCTGCTATATCGCAACTATCAAGATAAAATATGCGTCGTTCTTGTCTACTGGACTAGCCACCTATCTCAATCCAAATACAAAGATGATAATGCTCACAAAGCAAAAGCTGAAGCTAAAAGTTCATCGGCCACAGACCCGGCCAATCTCAAGCCTGAGTGGCTCGCCTTGCATAACCCCCAGGTCCACTCGCATACTCTTGGGGTCCACGTTCCACAAACCTGAAGGTATTATGCCGCTTAGAAGGCTCATTGATTCGGCAAACCCCCACTGATTTACATCTGCTGATCATCCAATACCTTAGACACCACCAAGAATAGCATTCTTTGACGCCTTTGTTCTATTTCTTGACTCAGATCGCCAATCCCGATGCATCTACTCTTCCGTGCAGATAGATTTCAAGCTATCTACCTCGGACGACCACCCACACTAAGCAAGAGCTTTGATCAGCAAGGTTGCGTCGACTTCTCTTCAGCGGGCTACTATCCCACTTGAACTAACGCTGTCAAGGGAGCTATCCAACCCTTGTGCCAATCATGGCTTGTAATTCAATCTTACAATCCCAATGCCGTTGTATATCACACTCTACAGGTTAAATATAGAACAGATATTCTCGTCACTGGAGCTTTCCCTGCATAGCTCCCCGCCTTTGGCCCTTTGCCCCTGCGTCGGCCTCCTCCACTTTGTCATTTCACGACGCTCATTGATTCAATCGGTTTCTAGGGCTGCCGCCGGCGTCATTTTTAATCCCCCATCTCGGCCCCTTGTCAGCTGCACCTGCTTGCGATTGACTTTCGTCTTGCAAAGGGTATGATACAGTATCATACATGACCTTGTTTTCATACGTCGGTGCTTCGGGATACAGGTACTGTATATTCAGACTGCTTTATGAGTATGAATACTTCCAGCTTGACGATCAATAAGCGCCTGAAGAAAGACTGTATCTCTTGCCAATTTTTCGTTCCTTCATTTGGATGCTAAAAATATCCTGGTGATCAATCTTTCTATCTTTAGGGACGGCCACAAGCTTGATCCTCTCAAACAAAGAATTCGAATTGGAAAACGCTTTGTTGCAAAACACAAACTGAGGCCGTGATTATTCCAAAGTTGCTATCCATAAATGGCTACTTATCTGACATGATGAAAGGTACCGGCTTGAAATTCTTGTGGCTGGTGAGCCTCAGAGCTGGCCCTATCAAAAAGGGTGAAATGTACGGGCAGTCCCTTCTTCATTATCATCCTTCAGCTAATATTTGAATGTTCTAGCTCTTGCAACCCCGAAGAGCTCTGTTCCAGGTTGAGGTACCGTCGCTTCCTGCTAGAAAGGGCAATGACTACATTCTCTAGGATTGTGGATTCAATTGCCCCCAGGGCGATTTAGTTCGCATTAATTCTGGACCAAGAATGGCGATGTGAAGGAACAAAAAGGATGAAACCGTAGTTGGAGGCCATTGAACCTGTAGAGCACACGAGGTTCATCTTTGGATCTTGAACAATGTTGTAAGATGAAAGGTCGGAAGATGACTCCGTAAAAAGACCGCGCATGGAGTGTAGTTGACGTGCTGCATAAAAGCGGCATGCCAAGAAGCGACTATTCTATAATTAGACACCAATCGAAGACCCCTCCCAATATTGCATCTCGCGAAAAAAAGGATGAAACTCCTTGATCAAACACGGCAAAGCCTTTGACCCTCTTTTCCCGTGATCGGCGACTCCATCAATACCCCCCGCAGTAACTGTCCCGCTGCACCTACCGCGTGCATCCCTCACCCTCTGCCCAGCGTCTACGTTCCCTCACTCTCTTCGCGCCTCCCGAGTTCCCGCTCAAGCACCGCCCCGGTTTCCCAGTCCGGATCTCAGCCCGAATTCTGAGTGCTTGAAAGTCTCCGATCCTCTTATAAGCATAGTCATGGCTCAGTCACCGCCCACTTTCACCCCAGATAGCGAATTCGCTGACCTGGAGACGCCCCGCGGCCCTAAGGGTGGAAGTCTCTCCATAACCGCCCTGGCTCGGTTTGAGTTCGAGGCTGGCAAGGGCAATGAAGGTACCAAAATTTTGATGGTTGAGTGGGAGGATGATGACCTCACCAGATCCTCTGCTGAGGGATCATGGCATGTTTCCTGGGCGGGGAAGACTACTGTCCTCCCTGCGGATGATCGCCCGACTGATAGTACTCGGCGCTTTTACTTCTTGCTTGGGCCGGGTATCACTATCCCACCGGTCATCACACTATCTTATGAGCCTCCAAAAGATACTGTTGCCTCGACGCCGTCGTCAAAAGCCCGCGAAGCTCTACAATTGAACCCTCTACCTGCCATCTTCCCTCCCGAGTTGGGTGCTACGGGTCGTGCTGCTGGCAAGAAGGGCGTGCTGCACACAATTTGGGGAAAGAAGCGATTGCGCGTTCTCGATGACGAGATCAGTCGCGAGGCCAAGAACAACGCCGAGGGGATTGCCCTACACATGGCTGTGCAAGAGAAGGAATGGATCGAAGACAACTTTGGGATTGGCTCACGTGCCGTCGACGGAATTGCTAGCGGCCATGACTCTTCGAACTCTTCTTCCGTATACCCTGCAACCCCAGTATCTCCCGTGAGTGGAAGGAAACTGAGTGAGAAACTCAAGGGCTTAAAGCTGCAGACTAGCGAGAAGGATCTCTCGACAAACAGTAGTAAGTCCCTGGCTTTATACTAGTCATCATGCCCGTGCGCAAACTGATAATCTATACCAGGCCCAGACCCTGGACACCTTTTGTCACCTCAGTCTCCCGATGTCGCCGTGTCCTCTTTCAGTTCATTCAGAAATGTCCCCAGCAGGCCGTTGCACTCGATGCCAACACCGGATACCAATTCCACGCCGACTCCCAACATCCAGATCAATCCAGCGGGGGCGGACTCGCTCAGAGCAGTTGCCCAATTTCCCCCGGAGTTCCTCCAAGAAGCCCAACAAAATATTGAGCCCAACGGCTTTGCTTCTTTGAGCTCCATGAACTCCATGAATTCCATGCCCCCCCCTTGTCCGTACTTCAAGTACAGAGTCAGAGGACCTCTTCGCCAAGGCATTGAGCCCTCGCTCGCCGGACCTTCCCCGAAGCCCGTTTTCGTTCGCTTGATTTACTTCATGGTTTGGTTGATAGGCATCGTCTATCGTACATTCCCCAATTCCCATTTCCATTTTTCACGATTTCAATTTGCCTTATGATTCCCCTTCCGCGATGTGACGACATACTCCATCACTCTACATACGCTACATCTACTTTCGTTTAAGCCTCGACTTATGCATACATTCGCATCTCATGTTATGTACTTTCACCCATTTCATATCATACTCGGACAGAAATGCTTCTATAGTGAGCCACATGGAACTCCGTGTACATAGACGAAACCGGACCGCACAAAATGTGGATTGCTGTATTTAGTTATTCGATCCTACTCTGCATTTGTTTCCGCGTGGTCTGTTTTGTCATATCTTCTCATTTCATTTTTCTCACAAGGTCAATTGAGATAGATATCATAAAAAGCCACTTCACGTCAAACGTGAATCACATAACCGTTGCTCTATGCGAGACCTCGCTTCGCTGTAAGCCATACAATACACTATTCAGGCAGGACTAGCCAGCACCACCACCATCGCCATTGACCGTTGTCGTCGGCATATCCAGATACACTCATCCTAGCGCAAACCAAAAAAAAATATATATTTCCAGCGAATGCGAATGCCAAAAGCAAACCAAGACAATTCATAGAAAAAAAAAACGGAAGGAAAAAAGGTGATCCGACAATTAGAAGTCTAGTTTCCCTTATTCTTCTTCTTCCCAGACTTTGTCTCAACCGCAGACGAAACGGCCTCCTCTTCCTCACCCTCGCTATCAGTCTTCTTGCCCTTACCAACCGACTCATACTCCTGCTGATCCTTGAGCTCGGCATACCACTGTCCAGCCTGAAGCACAAGGATACCAACCAGCACAAGAGCCAGGATAGTATTGCTAGCACTCAGCACCTTAAGCGAGTCCTCACGACCGAGAATCTGATCTTGCTCTTCGACGGAGGTAGCGAGCGCGTCACCGTATTTTCCGGCAGATGCGAGACGCAGACCCTTAACGATGTTGGCAATGTAGACTGTCACGCCGCACATGTAGAGAACGAGGGAGGCGCCGTCGAAGAGCATGTTTGATTCGGAGGGCTTGTAGAGCTTGGAGATCAAGCCGGCCAGACCGAGGAAGATGACAATGTGGAGAATGCGGGGGATGAGAGGAGGGCTGGCGTGGAGGAATTGGAGGTGCGCTTCGAGGTAATCATAGTGGGAGGCCGGGGTAGGTGTTGTGGACCACAGAATTGGGTAGTCGTAAGGGAAGAGGGAGAAGATGATTCCGAGGAAGAAGCATGTCGCTATTACGAAGGGTTAGTTGTCAATGTTGCGTTCAGTGTAGTTTTCTTTTCAGCGCGGTTGAGGTGGGATTGAGCTCCAGGACGGGGTAATCCTGTGGGATTGGAGGTTGGTATCGAGTAACTCGGGCGGAACTCACGGCAGACAATCAGGAAGGTCGCGAACGACCCGCTTGTGAGGGGCATGGTGAAGATGATCTTGGATGAAGATCGTGGAGAGGCTGAGAGGAGAAACAGGGGGAAAATGAGGTTGATGGGTAAGCGGAGTTGCCAAGGGAAAATCGCCCGAGATACGGATAACGCTAATCATTATCAACGAATTGGCTCCGATAGGCGTAGATTAAGGATTTCTACAATGAATAATAATGTGGACAAACTGATTGCTCCGTATAACAGATTCATAGTTATGGTACAGGGCCAGGTTGTAACGCCAATCAGGTCACCAGCGCCGGGTGTTCATAAATAAAATGCGAATAGTGGTATCTTCCAGAAAATCTCCTAGCCCCCAAAATGCAAAATGTACATGTTGAAAATGTGTGTGGGTATCAATATAATAAACCCAATAATAATAGTGTTCTTTACCGCTGGTATCGAGGTAATGACTCGTCCGCATGCGCCGTACCACCCACGAGTTGATCGTCTTCATCGAAGACCGGGGCACTGGGGCCCTCTCCGTTGCTCTCCTCAGGAGGTGGTGCACTGGGAGCACTGACCTGCTGCATCAATCTCTGGCGCTCGAGCTCTTGCTTATCATCACTTGGGGCAGAAGGTTCACTGGGCTCAGGGACACTGCCATTGACAACTACGGTCTGCAGTGATGCTGCAGACGGGACATGCGACATTGCATCTGTACCCGAGGACACATGCTGATAGTCCTGCAGATGATGATCCTCTGGTAAGACTGGTGCGGTCGGCACCGCCATTTCAGCTGACGGCCCTGCTTCATCTTCATCGGGCGGTTGGCTGGGTAAGAGTGCTTCCTCGTGGCGCCGGACTCGAGTCTTTTCATCGACAGGTTCTTCAACTTCAGGGTGTGCTGTCATGGGACCAGGGGGTGGAAATTGTTGCGAGTAATCCTCAGGATACTCTGCCCAAGCTTCATCAAGATACATGTGGTCATCGTCTCCGTACTCCCCTGGGGGCGCCTCAGACCAATCCTCTGCATCGCCATTATTAACAGGGTCGGAGGGTAGAGGAGGAACTTGAGACGTAGTTGATTCGGCAGCAACAGACGACGTGCGTTCAATGGTAGCTTGACCACGATTGGAGTCCTTAGTTCCAACGACAACTTCAAAGGCCACGGAAATGACGCCTTTCTCTCGACGCACTCGATCCGTATCGAGGATGTTGCCCGCCCAGTTGGCAGTGATGGCATTGCCTTTGGCATCGGCCGGATTCAAAATCTGCCCACTTGGGGAGAACGTGCTGCCGCCCGAGACCATGTTGAAGCGTGGAATGAAGCGATCGGGTGAAGTGATTTTGCCACGCAAATCGACCACAATCTCCACGTAATATCGAAAGTTGATCATGGCACCGGGCACACGGGTGATGGTGGGAAATGCGTCTTCGGGAACGCGAATCGAAGTTTTGACGACAGCAGTCAAATTAGTGGGATCGACGATCAATGGCGCAAACGATTGCGATAGATCCTTTCGGAAGGTGCTGCTGTTACGGGTAGTCCCAAGGGTCAATCCGCCGAGTCCAGTGCGAGAGCGTGGATAGCAGTCTTCATAAACTGGTTTCTTCCCATTCGCGTTGCTTCCGATGGGAATGGACGGATGGAGATCAATGCGGCCCTGCCGATATAGAGTAATAATGATGCCATGCGCGCTGCGCACTTGTTTGCAATGGTTTATGGTGACTTTGATGGGTAATGTATCCCCCGGTAGCACGCCTGCGCGCAGCACTTCCGCCTTAGCGGTGATGGTCTTATCTGAAACGGAGGGGGTCACACTGCGACCTTCGCTATTTCGTCCCCCACCTGTACTTGTGGATGAGCTTGGGTCGCTGGCGATCTGAAAGCTTTGGCTGCTATTGCTAGGTCGACTGGAGGAGCTGACATTGCTCGGAGAGGGACTCAGTGGTGGTCGATGGTCCACGGAGCCAGCTGCGCCGCTGACCGGGGTATCTATGGAGGAGGTATCGGGAGCTGCTGTGGTATCGGAGGCGGGAGATTTGGATTTTGCCTTGGATCTTGATCGCTTGGAAACGGGTTCGAGGGTAACGACACGGGCTTTGGGGGCGGGAAATGGGGCAATATCGATGTTTTCAAGTAGATTCACTCGTCTTCGGCAGGTAAGAGTAGGGTTCATGGTGGTCGGTCGAGTAAGGGTGGATGTGAGTGCATAAGCGACGGTGCCTCGTTCGAACTAGACAATAATTAGCATGACGCGATTTCACGCGACTCTGGGAACCAAAACTACCCACATTAATGCTGCTGGGCAAAGCGTAAGGGGGAAGGGTCATCTCGAAACGGAATTTATATATGCCCTCTTTTAGGCGACCTTCACCGCAGAGTACCACTTCATCTTCAAACAGGGTCGCCAATCCATTGCCCATGTATTCTGCGCCCCGTCGGCCACGCCCGGGACCGATGAAGCCGATATCTGGATTGGACTCCCCCGCAGGCACCGCGTTCTTGAAGACCTTGACATATCCATGGAGACAGATCACAATATGTGTAATGCGCACTGGCCGCAGCACGGTCACAATGACGGTGCCTTTGATGGTATCCCCTGGAAAGTATGAGCGCCACGGGTCATCGGGGTCGATATAAAAGTCGGTTATGCTTCGATTGCGTGACCCAAGGGTAGATCGGAACTTGGAAAGAAAGTAGTTGGTTTTCCGGCTGACCGGCGGGGTGGAGGTCGTGGGAGGAGGGTTGGAGGACATGACACACAGCCGCTACTTCCTGCATCCATACAAGACGGCGGCACTGATGAAGCAAGGAGGAGAGGATAACCTCAAAGGCGAGTCACGGGAGACCAAAGAACGATAGAAGCGAAGCCCCTGGCCTGCTAGTTTGGTGGGGCTGGACTGGGGTCGGACGGGGGGAGTGACTCGAGTAGGCAGACGAGCCTACGGTAGGCGAGATCGATTCAGCGACACGTCCAGCGGCAAATAATGCAGCGGGAACCTGTAGGCACAGTCCGATTCCAAACGCCACGGTATGTATCCGGGTGTCCACACGCGAAATAGAATCCCGGGTTCAAAAGAACGGAATGGGTCGTTATGCTCGAGGACCTCCGAACCACATTGTTTCCGGTCTCACCAAAGCGCACGGATGAATCGCGAGACTTCCTCCGAGAACTCGACGGGTTTTCGATTGATGAACTTCCGAGTCGCGAAGATGAATGCCGACTAAAGTGATTGGTAATATCGAGGAGATCGTGTGGAGGTTAGAAGGGGCCGAGACGTGAGGCTCGCTCTCGAGAGGGGGCCAGACTGATGTTCGGGAAAAGAGGCGCGACGGACGGAATGTGGGACCTGGTGTGGCGCACGATTTCAGGATTAAAGAGGTATATATATATCAATCTGAAGAGGAAAAGGGAGGGGAAAGAGAAGGTTTGAGGAGAGAAGAGAGATTTGGTTACGATAAGCGGAGAAGGACGAGACCCAGCGATTCTTAAATTGGAAAGTCAAGCTTCTCGGAACAGGCACTAGTCAACTACAGTCATAGGGGGGGGTTTTTTTGGTATGGATCACTTTGTAATGATTACTCCAGGATTATGATCGGTATGAAATTCTTAGAACCACATAGGCCCATTCCTACGCGGGGATGTGAAAAGGGCCGGTTCCAACCTGCAACATTGGTGAAAAGCTTAAGTCGGGATCTGCTAAGGAGACGATGGTTGCTTAGGCTAAGCTTTTTCATTTTGACTTGGTTTAATCTTTCAGGTTCGACCCTTCACGTAGGATATGCGTTGTAATCATAATCATAATCATCATCATAAACATGTCTATTCCAGCTCACGCAGGCCTCCGTCCACGTACTCGTCTCCATAACATTCGTGCAGAACCGCCGCGACCAGTTGCGGGTCCCCGCCGGCCAATTCACGCAGATACTGCTCCAGAATACACAGATTGTCCGTCCACTGCAACGCTTGCTGCCTGAACCCCGCTAACTCCCCCTGTAGCATCAAAACCCCTTTCTTACACACTGGGTCGCCCAACCCCGTCTCTGCCACCCGAAGCCGATGGACTTCTGCTGCAAGCTCGGCTTTCGTGACCAGTAAATTCTGGCGCATGTCGATCCCGACCTCATGCTCCTCGTCAGATTCGTCTCGTCGGGCAGTTTCAGCAGCCAGCGCCGCTTCCCACTCGCTACAGGATTTCTTCGCTTTCTCCACCTCCGTATACACCCGGGCCAACTGCCGCTCCCGCTCGACCTTTTCGTCACTTCCGAAGCTCCAGTACCAGTTCCCGCTGCCGATCTTGTCTACCCGAATTTGGTTTTCGTCAATTAGTGCCTGGATGTATTCTTTCACTTGGATGCTGTTGATAGATGCCACGGCAGGTAAACTCTTTTCGAGTTCCTTGAGTGTGTAACAGGTTCCCGTGGTCTGCAGGTGAGTCACAATCAATGCCAGTTTGTCGGCTTTTGAGAGCTTGGGTGGCTGGTTCTCCCCCTCAATAGTTAGAAAAAGGAAATAAGAAAGAGCGGGTGACGCGTCAAATCTCCCTTTTGTTTTCTTCATTGCGTTCATCTCACACCGGGCAGTTTGTCAATCGAAATCAAGCAAAGGGCCACGTACCATGATGTCGTCGGATGGGGCACGACGACCCACTGAGGCGTTGCCGTTTGAGGTTCTACCTTTCCTGGCTCGGTAGGAAGAAGCTTGGAGATAAGCTTTCCCGCTTTAGGATAGACTTGGGATGGTTAAGCATTCATGAGTGGAGGAGTGGAGGAAAGCCAAGTTTTCAAGTGGCTGATTTTTCAGATTTCAAAAAATCTGCTGAACTCTTCACCTGTGAATAAAAATCTTCAGTCTTTCTTTTAGCATGGGGATAAAATTTTGATGGACTACTTACTAGTACGTCTACCAGTCATTTTCATTCAGATAAACCTTAGATCTCTATACTCCATATTGTTCAAGTTCATTAATTTAAATGTTGGCGAGGGTTTCCGCTAAGTTCGTCCCGTCATTAAAATCGATCGGTTCGTGGGCAACTGGAGATCACCTCCGTTCCCACTGGCTTCAGGTCGTCTCGCAGGGAATTCTTGGCCGTGTGATTGACTTCAGCACGTAACAATAATGATACACCCCAATGCGGTCATGCGAGTCCAGTGAGAACACGCTTGAACTGGGCATTGACAGCCAAGTCATCATGGTTTGTTTCAACCAGATGCAGGTGAGCCTGACGTTTTGATACATCTTGGTCTCGGGTGTTCGCCTCATCACTGGTTTGGTCCATACAGTCCACATCAGGGTGTTGACCGAGTATGATGCAATCCTCTGACACCTTAGGTCGTTCAGGCCCCATGGAAACCAGCATCGCATCCGGGAGCATAATTGTATGATAGTGAAAATTGATATCCGCCCTCCAATCAGGCAGGCCCCTTTCTCTTCTGCTTTTTCTGCGGGGAGGCACTCCTTTGTATCTCCTCTCGAATAGCTTCATGCTCCGTCTGGGGTGATATGTGGGCCTCGCCACTCCCCACTGCGCCTCGCATATCCTGGTTTGGGCTAGAAGCGTCTTCAATGGTCTTTGCCCTCCGTCTCTTTTTTGGAATATGGGGGTCATTGCCATCGCCTGGGCCCTGAATTTCGCTATTCCACATTGCCTCCGTCAGAGCCATATCTCCAGTTTCCCCAAGTTGTTCCTTGGCCAGCTCCTCCATCAGAATGCCAACCGCAAGAAGGGCAGACTCGTCCATGCTGTAGAAATTGTGTTTTCCGTTGTCGCGAAGCTTATTTGCATAGAAATCGGAGGAATAGGCGTGGATTGCCGTCAAAATTTCGCTGCTCGGGAGAGGGCGATCAGCAGGAAGATTTTCATGCGCAAAATAACCAGATTCATCCTCTACAATCTGTTCCAATTTTTTCGGCTTATGTCGATATAGGACCTCTTCGGGGCGAAGATCGCGACCACCTGAAGCCTGTGTATCGCCGTACCGCGTCGGCCTCGGTGCCACGAATCCTTTATTGTTGACGCGCCCTAAGTTGTCAGATGATATTTCTATATGTCCAATCTTGTCTGAAGAACATACCGGCAACAGAATCATAGAGGCTGGCAATGTGCCTGAAGGATTTGGAGTTTCTGTTGTCAGAGGTTGACAGGTCAAACCTCACCCGAGATCCAGACCTTTCTCGGTTTTCATCTTGGGGGATCGCATGGTCATCTGCAACATGATCCTCGGCACCAGGTTCTAAAGACATGTTCCTGTAGTCGCCGGGGCATCGCAATTGCGCCAAAGATAACGGTAAGAAAGGAAAGGCCAAAAATAATGCGCCGGCACAACGTTAGTCCGATGAGGTCACATTTGCTTATCGTCATCTCCGCAGTTCCTTCTACTGTAGTCGCTATTTGTAACAATCCTCGATGTATGAATGAATTCCTTTCTTCTCAACAGAGCCCTCGGCTCTGTCAGCTCAAATACCTTTCATGTTGCTCAGACCACCCGGTTAGTACACAACCTCGAGCCCGCGCCTGGGATTCGGTTTTCCAGCCTCAGAGCCCGGCGAAGGAACGAGTCTCGAGGCGATACCACACCTTCAGACGAGGAACATGAACCCAAGGAAGATGAAATTGCCCACAATTCGGGCGTGAATTGCCTGGCAATTGATAAATTTGAAGGTCGATAGTAAGACAGTTCTCTCCAATTTATCGAATTGTCTAGTTTAACCACTGGATAGTATGTTATCCGGAGGTGCAGATCCAACCATTCACCTTTGGGACCTCGAGAGTAGAGGATCAGAACTCAACCACGTCCATCGATCTCGCGCTTTAGTTAGCAAGTCCTCCCACCCAGATGCGCACACCCATGCCATCACTTCTCTGTCCATCTACCCCTTCGATCCCGAGCCATCAACCATCTTCTCTACTGCCTACGATGGCACATTGAAGCTTTCAGCGCTGCAGTCACCAGCCATAACCCCCGTCCATACATTTAAATTGGAATGCACACCGTACGCGCACTCGTTTTCTTCCCAGCCCGGATCCACACTGCTGGTTGCAGTTGCGACGTCCGATCAAGCCGTTCGCCTGGTTGACTTGCGGTCTGGCCTTGCAGCCCATGGTCTACCAGGGCATAATGCCGCAGTGCTTTCGGTAGACTGGGCTCCACATCGACCCCATCTTCTGGCCTCGGGCTCCGTGGATAACCGGGTAATCATCTTCGACGTGCGCCGTGGCGGCCATAACTCTGCCATTGCGACTTTGGACATGGATGACCCGGTAGGATTGGCAGCTCCAGGCTCAGTCCCTGCAACATCCTTCGAGCCGCGGCCAGCATTCTCTCGGCATGCTCGTGCTCACAACGGCGCTGTCACTGGTGTACGATGGACATCCAATGGCACCCATCTGGTCACCACTGGCCAAGATTCCCGTATCAGAGTATGGGATGCAGCAAGTGGTGCGAATACCTTGGTTCATTTTGGGCCTCGCGTTCGCAACTCCACCTCTTCATATCTGGCCGAGCGGGCTCCATTGGTGTTACCCAAGGGAATAATGGCTCCAGGACATGAGACCCTTCTATGGCCCAATTTCCATGAGCAGGATGACCGTGGAGAGATCTTCATGTTTGAGCTCCGCGATGGGACATTTATCAAGCGACTTCGGGTTCCTGGTATCGCGACTGGTTCTCAGGCTCGTGGCCGATCTAATGCATTAAGTGCGGCACGGATTAACGATCTAGCCTGGCGCGGGAATGGTGGGTCAGGCGAGGGACTAGAATTGTTCTCTGCTCATGGCGACGGAACTATCCGTACTTGGGTATCTCGAGAGCCTGATGGCGAACCTACCGAGGAGGAGGAAGCAGCACTTGCTGACCGTAAGAGGAAACGCGATGTACTAGATGAAATCTACCAGGGGTTCCCTGAACCAGAAGCATCTAGAGTCCATATCTAGCAGCCTATGTGGTCATATCATATGTGAATAGAATCATAATTTATTTATTCATAAGTCGTTAATCATAAGCCGTAGAGCCACTAGGGCTAAGCTGACAACTCCGAATCCTCCCATATAATACAGTATCAATACATCGACTCCGAACGGTCGGAGCACCTTTCATCTGCCCCTAGTAGGAAGCCTCAATGCCAAAGAACTATATTAACTGGTCAGCTAATCGATTTTTTGAAGAGCAAAGTCAATGATTCCATACCTGATGAATGCCAATCTTCCGATCCTCCTCCATCTCATATTCCCCATCAAAGTCTTGATTCTGAGGCTCCCTCTCATTCGAGCGATCTGAGATGTTCATCCCCATATATTTTGACTCAATCTCGGCAGGCAGTGTATTACCAGTTCCAGTCATCACTTCGCCCGTCTGTCCACGGTCGCAGGTGGAACGCGGTATGTCGATCGCATTGTCTGCTGCCTTGGCTGTAATCGGCCTTCCAGGAGCTTGGAAGCTGAAATAGGAAGATTTGCCACGTTGGTCCAGGCGTGGGATTGAAGGAATGATATTTTGTTTGCTTGCATCGTTGGGGATCGAGGTGCCCGTGGGTGCCATTTCGGTCAAAGAGCCTCCAGCATGGGCGTTTTGTTGTTGATGAACCATTGTGTTATGTCTATAGGCTCTGTTCTGTGTATGTGTAGTTGATTGATAAAGGTGGGGTGGATTGACTAAGAGATTAATCGTTCATAAAGATGCAAAAGTCCAGACTAAGTCCGAAGGGGATGTTTATATGATTTCGAAGATCATAGTTCCTGCATCTAGACGATCTGACATCACGGCTAACTTACCCGAGTTAGTGTCATGAAGCAATGATGATATCATCAGTGAACTTTGGCTTGTCCGAAACCAAAAAATCGGTAGAACTCGGTAACTGAGCCGCCTGTTAAGGGGCGCTTAGAGTTCGTGCTTAAGACGATACGAGGGACAGGGCACATTGGCAAGAATACTTGATTGGCGGAATGTTGAAAACCAGGGTATTGATCAAGTTCAGAGTCGACGTGGGAAACCGGATGTGGGAGCGAGTTCCGCTATTGGTTGATAAATGCGGGGAAAAGCAACTATTCAGGCAGGTAAGGGCTAGGATTCGTGGTTCGCCACGGGCTGTGAACGGAGCTTTGCCACGAGACTCTTATCAAAGAGGGAATTTAGATGTTGGGCTCGGCATAGTTGCTACGTGGAGAAGGTTTTGGTGGCTTTATTTAGATAAAAAGTCAAAACTCATATTTCAGGCGTGTTACCTCATTAGGTTCGAAAACATTCGGCATTAAGTGAAAAGATGAATTGAAGTAGAGGCACACGTTTATCAAAAAGAGAGGACATGAAAGAAAATAGTAAGACAAAGTGTTAAACGATTGACATGGTTGATCGTGCCATCCTCTTACAGGACGAAGGCAAGGACACCGGCAACAGCGGCGGCGGCGGAGATAATACCACCAGAGACACGGCTGGCGGCACCAGTGAACATGACGCCCTTGGAAGGAGAAGCGTGGGCAGAGCTGGAGGGGAAATGGCTCTGCTCAGGGGAAACGCCAGTGGGCATGTTCGGGCCGTTGCTAGAGGCAGGGGTAACCATAGGCATCATGGATGCGCTAGACGAGGGGGTGGCCATGGGAACATAGACGGGAATCTGAGAGTACTTGGCGGCAGGCGCACTCATGGAGCTCTTGGCGGCATAAGGGTAGCTCGCAGGGGCGCTCGCAGGGGAGCTCGCGTAAGGAACGTTGGAAGAAGACCGAGCAGGAGCGGAGAATGACAAGACCTTAGGGCTAGAGCCAGACTCCATGGGCACAGCGTGCATGGGAATAGCGCTAGTCTGCACAACCTGGGAGACGGCAGGAACCTGCTGGTAGACGGTCTCGGTAGCCTGGACCTGCTTGTACTGGGTCTCAGTCACAGTGCGGACAACCTCGTGGACTTGAGCCGAGCACTCGGAAGCATGCTCTTCCTCGGCACGGGGAGGAGCAGGCTCGGAAGGAGCTGGGATCTCATGGTGCTCGGGGGCCTCAGGGGTCGCGTGGCTCTCGGAGGGAGTACCGGCGGCGTGCTGCTGATCAGTGTAGGACATCCAGGGCATCTGGGGAACCTCGGGGGCAGGAGCAGCGGGGGCAGGAGCAGCGGGGGCAGGAGGAGCAGGGGCAGGAGGAGCAGGGGCAGGAGGAGCAGGGGCTTGGTGGACCTCGTGCACTGGAGCTGGTGCTGGTGCTGGTGCCGGCATTGGGTGGAAATCCCAAGATGATGGGTGGACAGTGGTGGTGTCAAGCTTGATGGCGTGGTTATCATCATGGTGCTCATTCACATTGGTGTCAACACCGACGTGGGTGGGAGAGCTGAAGTCGATGCCATCGTCTTCACCGGAAGGACCACCCATTGCAGTTCCGCCAGAAACGATGGGAGAGGAGAAGTCATCATCGTCGTCGTCGTCACCACCCTCACGGTCAGCAGAGTCGGGCGAGTAGGCACGACGGAAAGGACGACCACCGTGGAAGGGAGGGAAGTGCGGTGCAGGGTACACATTCTTGTTCTTGAGATCGATCGAGTGATCGTCCTGGTAGTGCTCGTTCACAGTAGTGTCGGTCTCCACAGTGATGGGCATGTTGAAGCTCTGGCCACCATCGTTTCCAGAAGGACCACCCATGGCAGTGCCGCCGCTGTGAGGGTACAGGGAACGCTTGGGGAAACCAAACGGAGGGTGCGAGGGGGGAGAGAAAACATCCTTGTGCTTGATGCTGATAGAGTGGTCGTCCTCGTAATCCTCGTTGACATTGGTCTTGATGTCAGCGGTTTGGGACATATCCCAATCGATACCCTTGTCCTCACCGGAAGGGCCACCCATGGCAGTGCCTCCAGAAATGATGGGGTAGCCCTCTCCCTCGGACTCGTGACCGTGGGATTCACCACCACCAGGGCCTCCCATGGCAGTGCCACCGGGAATGAAGCGCTTAGCAAAGGACTCAGGTGAAATCTTGAAATTCTTGGTTGATTCACCGCTGGCCATGCGGAAGGAGCCGTGACCACCAGCGGCCTGGGGAGGAGGGTGGAATGCAGGTGCCTCAATGACGGGGTGGATATCCTTGTTCTTGACGTGGACCGAGTGGTCATCCTTGCTGTACTCGTTCACATCTGTGTGGAAGATGCCAGTAATGGGCATGTTGAAGCTCTGGCCTTCATCATTGCCAGAGGGACCACCCTCGGCAGTACCGCCGGAAGGCCAGGAGCGCTTGGGGAAAGGACCAGCTCCAGGGCCATCAGCATGGCCGAATGGGCCAGCACCGGGACCAAGAGCGGGACCTGGACCGTGACCAGGAGGGGGGAGATGTTCTTGTCCTTGATCTTGATCGAGTGGTTGTCCTTGTAGTGCTCGTTCACGTTTGTGTGAGCGTGGACATCAGCACTATACGGGCTAGTGAAAGTCCCATCCTCGTCATTTCCAGACGGTCCGCCCATAGCGGTGCCACCAACATGGGCTGGGTGAAATCCAGCAGCCCGTCGCTGGTGAAAGCTGTTCTGGCTCATGTCCATTCCATTCTATTCCTCGCATTAGTATGGACATGTAGTAATGGATAATCTTCACTCACTGTGCCTTGCTCCATGGCCTGGACCTGGACAGCGGCCACCAACAGGGCCAAGGGTATACCACCAACGAATCCCTTCATATTGACGGTGTATAAGAAGTGATATTAACTGAGAAGAAAAAAGGTATATCGTGGGACTTAGAAATAGTCCAAAAAGAGCGACAGTGATCAATTGATACGGAGTAGCTTAAAGAATGGCACGATCAGTCGACTACTTTCCGTAGTATCTAACGAGAAAGAATTCCTCGACGGCTGCGGCGCTGATTATGGCTTTAGTACTTCCATAGCATTCATGATCACCAGGCATCGGCTGCATGGCTGGAATGTGTATTATTGGCCAGTAACTGAGCCTGAACTGTTAGTCCAGGGGACCAAACCCCACGAGAATGTTGGTGAGAATGGAAAATAAACATTGTGTCGGCCTCTAATAGTAAACACATGCTGAATAGGTAGAGAGGTTGGGTACGTTGTGCTGCGACATTCCCCGGCATTTGGAGAGGGATGGATTACTAGGGGCTCGGTCGGTATTCTCGAGGGAGAATCCGAGCCAACCAGCTTCTCCTGTGCAGCTTGCATTGTTACGATCGCCCTAGTTCCCGGGTCTCCACTATTCAACAGGCCATGCCTTCGTGTTTACTAACGCATGTGCAGGGCCTAAGATGAAAGGGGTTGGTGGAACTATGGGAGTCCCAGACCTGGCCCCTCATTCGACGCGGCCAGTCTGCCGCGCATCATCATGTTCTGGTGCAAGAGCAGCACAGAATTCCGAATGATGTCAAGCAAGCCTTGGTTTAAGGTTGTTTAGGTTACTGCAGTGCAAACATGTAAACAAATGCAACGAAGCGACGACCAGTGAAGGAGTCTTCCAGCACCCAGGCATTTAATATACTAAGCATGGACGGAGCTTTTTGTTTACATGAATACTAGCACAGGCTGTAGTATTTCTACGACCCTTGATGTCCACTAAGAAAGTGAATAAAAAGGGGAATGTATCCCGTCTTCGACATTCCCCTCCCATCGCCCTCACTAAAGAGGACCCAACGGGAGGCGAACTTCCTATCGAGGATTATTACTCTACAGAGCCGATCAGTCCCCGGAAGGACCGAAGGCAACAATCGCCGTGGGAAATGTCACAATGACAGGACGATGGTCGTGGCAGGCTCTGATGCTTTTTTGATGAAGAAGAAAAAGACCAGAGGATGAGAATTTTTCTCGCGTTTTTGTAGTTGCTCCTGGTCACGTGGTCGGGCCGTCGTTTCTTCCGACGGTGGGCCAAATGTGGATCCCTTCACTTTTCAACGAAGAATAGAGATGCGTTTCGAAGAGTTTCTACTCGCCTGAATGAAATTAATTCGTCATGTGGTGATCTCAACCACAGTATTCCGTAAATGTACAATGTCAGAGACAAGCAATGTTGCCCTCTCTTCCCGAAAACTCCGAGTCCACAACCTGGAAAGCAACGCAATCACCACTGCCATACCAAGAACCCAGTCCATGCGCCCAAAGGCTCCATGTCTCCAAGTACAAAGGAAAAACCATTGACCATGATTCTTCAGATCAATCAACAGGTACAAGGGAGTGGCTGACCCAAAGGTCCATAGTCTAACGTGATAGGAATCTGTAATAGATCATCAGCATGACACTCTTTCCGCCGCACGATCGGAGTGCACTCACCAAATCATCCTCCAAGTGATGTCTGTTCATCACTGGATTTCCAAACAGCACCACCAACTGCATAAGTAATACCCAAAGCTATGGCGATCATTGTCCCAACTGTGACGACAGCGATGATGGCCTTGAATATCATGCGCTGTCGAATGCTCAGAGAGTGTAGGCATGACCGAGGCTTGACATTGCCTTCCCACAGCTTTGACCGTCGAGGACTGTCATTGCGAAAGGTGTACGGCCCTGCGTTCTCGAGATCTCGCAGTCCGCTGCGGTTGCGGTTGGCGTTTTTCGTCTCAAAGGTGAGCTGCTCGTAGGAAATCGTCGGCGTGCCATGCGAGTAAAACGGTGAGTATGGCTTGGCGCCGATCGACGGGTCATAGTCCTGAGAGCGGGTATGCTCAATCTCAATTCTGGGGGTCGACTGCACTGATACAGGAGGGGATTGTATCTTCGGTGTGGATGTGATTTTCTCGTCGTTGCTCTTGATGGACGCGGCGACCTGGGCCCCAATCACCCCAAGGCCATGAAGACTCATCGCGTCGCGTGATGTGTAGTTGGTGGATGGTTCGTCCAGATCGGAAGATCTGTGAAAGATACTTCCTGGACGTCCTCCGGCGAGACGGATGCCTGGGGAGATCGAAGCTTCACTTTGTTGTGACAGATGAGTTGGGACTGGTGCTTAATGAATGACTTGGGTTGGGGATGGCATCTGTTGGGAGCCCCCCATACATAAACAATGTAGTGACAACCTGGAATGCGCTCACAAGCGGACTGATCGTTTCAATGACGAAAACGGACAGGTCATAATACTAATAGCTTAAAATTGGCAGGGGTTTTGGAAAGAGCTTTCACTTGCGACTACCTTATCCTTTTACTTCATACTTTTCCTCACCTGATCCATAGTAACCATGATGTCCATCCAATGCATCATAAATTTTTCCCACTACAACCTCATTGTGGCAATCCCCTACCATCCTTCCATGTTTTGTAGCTTTGTTTTCATCCCTAGATACAGATTTTCCCGCCACTCTGAGAGAACATTCCATACTCCTGGATCAGTAGGGATCAACTATCTTGACAGGGACAGGGTCTCTCATTGGCTGACTCGCATCGGAATGCCATCTCATTTGTCAATCTCGATGTTTCCTCCTTTTCCAGATCATTAGCTGCATTCGGCCACCTGTGGGCAGTGCGGGGGTTACCGTTGAGACCTAAAGCCCACGGCTCCATTTATTTCTTTGGTCTGCATGGCAGGAGCGTCGTCTGCTGTTGTGACAGATCTTTAATCCATGGATTCCAAATCTCCACAAAGTCTTCATGTTTGCTCGCCCTTGCCACGCCGTACATCCCAAGGTTCAGAATTCCCTCTCTCCCGGCACCCAGTCTAATGTCCCGTTTTCGCTTCTTTCATTAGCTGATTGCAGTCAACCAGCAAAATATTGTGGCTGTGTCATGTGTTGTGGTCGTAAAAGACAACATGTGATCGGCACTGCACCATCTTGGACCTGCTTTCGTTCGTTCACCCGTTCATTCAGTAAGCGTAACACAATAGAGATTTTTATTCAGGAATAACCAATAAAATGAATTAAACTTATCAGCCTCTCTAAATTCCCGTTATCTTGATCCTTAATTTTTCGCAATTTATGCAACTTTCTCAAATACATTCTGCCTGCATATATATATATGTACATATCTAGCCGCTAGTAGAAAGCCACCAGATAACACGTCACGTTTTGAATTGAACATTTATTTGGCCATTATCTAATAAGAATTGCTTAAAAAGAGAGTTTTGCCTGCATCTACTATGTGGCAAGCTAAGCATTCTTGCCCAAGTTGTTTTGGTTACTCAAACGAAAATTAAGCTGGACGTTCCAAGGTTGTCATGCATGCCCATTACATGTGGGCCGATATATATATATGCAGCACATATGACAGCTCTATTTTTCAAGAAGACCAAGACATTCATTTTGTTTGTTCCAAGGTTCCAAATAGATAATCATTTACCTAGGTAATATACACCATCTTGTTTATGCAAGCGAGGTAGTTACTCCATAATTTTTTCCTGCTTCACTATCCAACGCTCATATTGGTCCACTTGCCCAGGTGGGTGATCCCAGATATCCAAGTCCCACAACTCTCGAACTGTAACTATTGAGTGATGCCTAGGTGGTAAGCATTTCGAGTAAAAGGCCCTTTCTCGAAAGTGTGTCAATGTATTACGTATTTGTCAAGAGGTTTGTCGCCATTGAAGTGGCATAAATGACCTCGGCCTATGTGCATACGATATCCTAGGAATGGTAAGTCCAGAATTTTGATAAACACCCACAAGACTTCTGCCACACCTGATCGGATGTCGGCAATAAACTTTGAAAGGAATCCAATTCCCTTGGTAGTTATTACTTTGTAACTTCGGCGCTAAGGAGTACGTTGTATTTCATAAATCACCTGAGCATCAAAGCAATGCATTCTTCAAACATTGTTCTAAATTTTCGTAGTTCGGAAGTTGGCCTCAAAGTTGTAACGTAGTATCATATAATGTTATTTAATTATGAAGGTTCCAATGTTCAAGCGAACCGTGCCATGAGCAAATCAACAGACTGTAATGGTCAGTATTCCTGTCATTCAAGAATTCAAAGGTCATGGGATGACTTACTTCCAATAACACCATTCACGGGAATATCAATTGACGTCGTATACGAAGCAGCATCGCTCAACAAGTAGACATAAGCACCGCCAAGCTCCTGCACCTCAGCAAGCCTCGGGAATCCACCATAATACTTGAGCTGTTGCTCCCAATCAGGCTGTTGTGGAACCCAGTATGTCATAGCAGTGTTTACCAGACCAGGAGAGACACTGTTTACACGAATGCCGTGCTGAGCCCACTCCATAGCAAGGGTGTGCGTCATATTGCGGATACCGGCCTTCGACGCGCCGTAGGGGGTGGACGGGACGCGCTGCCGAGAGTCAGTTCAAATGTGAAACATGTCAATAATTTTGACGTACCTTGTTGGGGCGGTAGGAGGCCATGGAGGCAGTAAACACGATCGCCCCCTTGATGCCAAGCTTGATGAATGCTCGGGCGGCACATCTGGCTGTGTAGAATGCTCCAAATAGCTGATCCATTCCTGTGAGTTAGCCAGGACCAACACCCAAGAGGGGTAAAAGAAAAACACAAGCAAAGGTGACTCACGTTCACGGAGAATAATGATTCAATTTCCTCGGTCGTAAAATCCAGTGCTGACTTGTGATTTGTCCGTCCTGCATTCACGACCATTCCATGCAGTGCTCCAGCTTCCTCGACAATCTTATCCACTGCTGTTGAGATGCTGGCCTCTTTGGTGACGTCGGCTTGGAGGGCGAATAGTTGGCCTGGGAAGCGTTTGGAGAGCGCTGCAAATTCGTCGCCCGGTTCGCCGATGTCGATCGAGTAGATTCGGGCGGCTCCGTTCACGAGACAGCTCTCCGCGACACCGAGGCCAATTCCACGGTTTGCGCCGGTGACTAGGAATAGAAATCAGAGTTCATTCCACGACGATAACAAGTCGTACAAGTCGTGGTAACTCACTGGCGATAACCTTGGATTCGAGTGCGATCTTGGTCTGTGGCTCTGAAGGAGCTGACTGCGCTGGGATAGAAGAAGACATGATGTGAAATGTTGATTTTGACTCAGGTAATTCAAAAGAACCTTTTCATCCTGGCAGTATACATAATTGGCACTCTGCGACTTTATAACCCCAGATTTGGAGCTCACGACTGAGCTGGGCTCATTGAGAAAGACGCGGGGTCACATTTGGTCCTCGCCTCGAGTCCAAATTATTGTACAATATACATCATATCAAGTTAAGATCGGTGGTTCACTGGTGGGCTGGGCGCTGATTGGAGCCCGTTGAAAGTGGGGAGCATCGCGGGCCTCGAGTCGAGCACACCTGCCCCGCACGGAGATACACCGACGCAATGACAGCATTGGATGAGCAGTGATACCGTTGCGGGGAAATAGAAAATCGCCTCACAAGTAAAACGTATGAAGAATCGATGCAGTCATACATGATTTTCATGAGGAACTTTATGAACTTCTTTCCGAGACTGATCCGTGGTATACATATATATACTGTACAATATCGTCATGTCACTCGTCTGATCATATCATTCAATCCATGTCAACATCACAATCATCGTCATTATCGTAATCGCCCCAGAACTCCTTCAAGTCTTCAACTCGCCATGTCGTTGCCCATCCGGTCTCGCGCTCGATCCTAATCAACGTCTCCACGATCGCTGCATGCTCAGAGTAGTGTGACATTACCTTCCCGGCTATCCAGAGAGGTTGGAGGGCATTCGTCCAACAGCCACTGTCGCGAGTTAGCATACGAATTTTGCCAGTCTGTATTACGATCACATAAGAGGTTTGCTTACTGGTGCGCGTTGGAAGCAGAGATAGCACATATTTGTCGCGCGTGCCATAGGACCGATTTCTTTATACCAGTCAGCAGGGAATGGGAGATTATGTATGGGGGATACATACCGGCTTCTTGGAAAGTGTCAAAGTTTTGGGCTTTCGTTGAAGCAGCAGTAGAGCACAGACGTGATATAGTTGATTGCCAGAGACTGACTGATGTTAGTAAGGAGTAGACATATGCAGAGTTGGCAGGGTTGATACGCACTAGCATCTCCATTACCATATAGGACTGTTGGAAATGGCCTGTTTCCCCTCGTGTGGCCAGGTGTAGCGGCAGCAACTGTAAAGACTGGTTTCATTTGGTTGGGTCGGTTGTCATGCCACAGCTCTGCATGGTTGAATACCTCTTGCCAACGGTGTACATAAGAACTTCCTTCTTCATCTGTGACCGACTGACAGGAGGTGCAGGGGTGTGGGGTCTTTGACCCACTGCCAAAAAGGACTCCAATTGTCTCCGCACAGAGATAAACGGTGTAGTTGGCGTACGTATCGAAATTGTTTTTCGCTGAAGACAGAAAGAGTAGAGATGCTTCAACACAACTCATATCACGAGGCCTCCAGTTATGGATTGGGATGATTGTCTCTTCCTCCGAGATGAGACCGCCACAGAGATCTAGAAACAAATTAGTGGCAATTGAGTGTTACTGTAGTAGAGGACATACCCATCCGTGCAAAGCACCAGAACAATGCTTGCTCTTCTTTTCCAGAGAAACCATTGATGCCAGCCGCCTGAATGAGATACGCACAGCCATCCAGATGGCGGCGCCATTCTTTTGGGTTGCCTAGAGCTGATCAATATTATCATATCGAGATCATTCAGGCAACTACTTACAGCTCAACATCTCCAAGACGCACAGAATGACACAAGAGGCAATTACTGGGGTTGTTTTGCTTTCCAACTCCGGCAATAGTAGGTGTATAGCCTCCTGATAAAGCGACAAGCTCTCCGACTGGGACTTTTTATTCTGTAACCTCTCGAGTTGTCGCGCGGATAACGCAAGCATAGAGTAGCGGAGATGAGGTGCGGTCTTGGCCATCTGAGGGAAAGTGGAAGCGAAGTGGTGATTATTATCGAACATATCGAGCTTTAACAATTAGCGAAGGCCTGACAGTATTTTCTCCATGCTGAGTACTTACCCATGAGCAAATCTCGTTCAGATAGTTCTGCCACAGCAAATGTTCCCGTTCAGGGGAGAGGTCAATGAATCTGCCTGGTCTTGAACGCCGAGGCTCTCTTCCAGACCTGCTGAAGGAATCTGAGTCACTGAATGGTGTCGGTGTATGAATGTGAGAGATGGACCCTCGAGGACTACACAAACTTGTTACGTCGGGTCTTGCAGTCCACAGTTGACGATTTCGCAGGGTAGTATGAAGGGCCTCATATGTGGAGCCAGGAAGAAACACATCGTTAGTAAAGTCTGCTGGATCAGAGAATATACTATGATTGAACTGCGGTGAATGGGACTCGTATGAGCCCGGCACAGATGGTCGGAATTGAGAGTTATGTGTAAGGTTTCGGAGCGCAGTGAGGTCGTCTATCATAAACTCCGGGCTGGAGTTCAGATAGGCACTGGAGGAAGCGTCATCATGAAGAGAAGGCGGCTCAAAGTCACAGTGAAGATTGTTCAAATATTTGCCCTGGCTGGTCTCTTCAAGTGGACCAGTCTGACCAACATTTTCCTGGCTATCACCATTGCGGACACCTTCGTGGCTGGAGTCTTGTGGTATTTGTGAGTGGCCCGATAATGGCGGCGACAACCCCAGCACTTGATCAGGGTTGGTACCTGGAGTGTGAGTCGCATCCGCAGCCACATAGTCTTGGGTATCTTCAGCGGCGACGTCGGATGCAGACGCAGTGCTGTTGTTCTTTGTGGATGGCGGAGACAGGCCACGCCCGTCTGACTGATCGAGGTTTATACTCAGATCCAGGACCGTCCCAGCCTCATATTGTCGTTTCACAATCCGCGAGCGGGGCAAATTCGACATATTGTTCAGAATCTTGAATTTGTTTTGACGTTTAATATTGCTGACAGCCCCTCCTTGACTCATAGAGGGGTGATCCGATTCCAACACCTTAATATTGGCATCGCGGAATGAACCGAGCACGCGCCACTGACAATCCTCGCCGCGACGCTTACAGCCCGTACATGTCGGCTTGGCTTCATCACACTTTCGCCGTCTGCGGCTGCAGTTGAGACACCCTGTTCGTGTGCGCCTCTTGCGTTCTGCCAAATTTGGATGGGCCATATCTGAGGTAAAACTCGAGTTACCCTTGTCCGCATCGTTATCCAACAAAGGGCTACTAGGGATCAATTTGGCCATATCTGGGGGAATTCACCACCCTGGGAAGCTTTTCCGGGGTGTTGATGGTTGTAGAATGACGGATGATGGGTGCTAATAACATTACTCGAATGGGAACGTTTAAGCGCCCCGTCGGGCCGTTCGTACGGGGAAAGTCATGCCATTGGTCAATACCCCGAGTCGAGCCGATTTTGTGGAGACTGTACTTCGCGGGGGTCTCCCGAGACGTGGGGACACGGCAGAATGGTCGGATTCCTTGCCGAATCATGGCTTGAAGGACTTGGCAAAGATAAAATTACGTACTTCCGTGGCTCTCGCAGCTAGTCCGGGCCCCAAAGACGTGGTCAGGCCCATGTCCCATGAGTAGGGTGGGCAGATAGGTACCGACTGACGTAGGTGGTTGATATAGAAACATGGAAAAGTAGAAAATTAGAGTCAATAATAATTACAAATTACTCAACATGTTGCGCTTCTTCAACCGCAGCCTCCGTCTCCTTGCCGTAGGCGATGCGAGCATCTACATCGCCAGCCATACCCATAGATGGGTTCCAGTAAAGCTTGACCTTTTCGCCGGTGAAGAGCTTGTCGATCTGTTCCAGGGTGAGATTGCGCGTCTCCGGGTAGAAGAAGTAGATAAGAGGGAGGAAGCAGAAGTTAAAGACTTAAAAGAATATTAGCCAGAGCGTCTATTGGATGCGGGAGAATGGCTGCGTACCGGCAAAGTAGATGTAAGTCCGATATCCAATGTTTGCGATACTGACGGGAGTAATCTCAACGACCAGGAATGTACAGATCCCTGCGGATTTTCGTATTAGCAAGTGGATAAAGCAGGGGCCGAGAATGGCTTACAATTAGTTGCGGTCGCAAGAGCTGCCGATTGGGTTCGGATAGCAAGGGGTGAATATTCGGCGGGCACTGTAGTACGTTTGATTAGCATCCGTCCTGCAGTATGAAAAGTTTTCGACCTGCGGCACATACAGAGCCATGGAATAGCTAGAAGTCCAACAGCGAAGAAGAAGTTGAACATGAATAGCATCACTGTTGCAACAAGACCTGCTGCATGGCCACCGTCCCAGACAGTGCCTGCTAAGATAGCCATACAACAACCCTGTCCAACCACCGCGAACATCATCAGTTTTCGCCGACCAAGCCTACAATTCATTAGTAAGATTCAAGAGTCAATAAGAATAAGCGCTTCATACCGATCAATAACCCAAATAGGGACCAATGAGGAGATAAAGTAGGCAACGCCGTTGAACCCTGACAGTAGCAAGGCCGTATTATGGGACATTCCCACAGAGTTTTCGAAAATTTCGGTTGCATACTAATCCTGGTTAGTTATGAATTTTGCTCATCGGTATAATTGACTCACGTAAGTAATCAAGTTAATTCCCGAAATTTGTTGCATCATCTGTCCGCCCATGCCCAACAGGGTCCGATGCAAGAATTTCTGGTCGCCGTTCTTGAAGATGAGCTTGAATGAGCCTTCAGCCGAAGCCTCCGTCTCTTCTCTAATTGCTTGCGAGATTTCTCTGACGTCGATGCCGACAACGGCGTCATTTTCATCGATTTCCTTGGCGTTATCCTGGAGTCTCCAGATGATATGGCGGGCTTTATCTTCGTCACCGTGCTTGAGGAGCTGTAACATTGTTAGAGACGATTGATAAGAATCATTGTTGGTGTTGGTATTACCCAGCGAGGAGATTCAGGGAGAAACATAACCCCAAAAAAGGTCAGAATAGCAAAGAGAATCTGCAGGGCAATTGGGAAGCGGAATTGGACTTCGCTCTCAACAAAACTGAAGCCATAGTCTGGTTTGTGGTCAGATTAGATTCAAAACAGTATTATAACTTCCAGCAACACTCACCAACCCAGTAGGACATCATGACACCGAAAATGTTAATTGCCAGTTCGATAGCCAGCTGAAGTGCTTGTCAGTGATGCGCTCTTCGCAGTGGGTTTCAGGGCAACATACTCCTTTACCACGACTTGCAGCCTTGCTCAATTCCGAATGCCAGACAGCTAGAATCAGGTCAGCAATGATTCATGGTGATTAGTAAATGAGCTCTTACGGATAGTACTCGTGTTGAGACCATTGCCAACTCCCGCAATAATTCGCCCAACAATCAGTTGAGCGATTCCATATGCACTGCACTGAATAGCAGCACCAATACTCAGAATAACGCATCCAGCCAAGATACACTTGCGTCGACCAAGTTTTTCACCCAAAATTAAGGAGATGATTGCTCCCACGAAGCAGCCCTGTCTATATTAGTTTCATCTGACAGAATTTCAATTCCCAACGTACAATCTCGTAGATAGCAACACTATTACAAGACAAATAGGTCAGTATAGGTAAGCCCCTGTATAGATTGAAGTACGTACACTGTTCCTTGTAAAGATGAGCTTCCATGACCCGTGGACGTGGTGTCGATCTCGGGAAATCTTGCGGTAAATGCATCACCAGTCAAGAGACCGGACATAACACCCTGATCATAACCGAATCTGTAAAGTGATGATAAGTCAAACGCCTTTGTATCCCCGCTTTGTTTATACTCACAGCAGAAAGCCGCTACCAGCAGTAGCCGTAATGGCCCAATGCAGTGCCCGCCCTGTGAGGAATGACATGGCTAGGTCAGAGAGGTATATACCTCTAAATAAGTATCACTAGGAGCGACCAGGCCAAATGGTCTTAGGCAAAACACGTAGAATAGAAATGACGTTTATCCGAACATGCTATCTGACAGTAGGGCTTCCAGCTCTTTATAAACTGTTGGAACTAAGCGGGCTAACCTCCGCAAGTCGGTGGCGCCACAAGCCATGTCGTAACTATGGACCCGGGGAATCTTAAATGTCCCCGGAATGACGCCGGGTTGGAAAAGCGGGTAAAGTCCCCAACGCGGGGATGAATGGGGAACCCCCAGGGAAAGATCCCGCATCGGGTGAGACCTCATGCATCTGACGTGCAGAGAGCTACCCTAGTCGCGATTTGGAAATCAACCTTGTAAACATATGAGGCATACTCCATGTAACCATCCCATGCCCGTATCTATTTAACCTCTGATAAATTCTTGCATGTTCGTGAAGTAGAAGATAGACAAGGCACGCGTTCCTGGGCCGAAGAGAGAAGTGGGTCGTGCCGAGTCCAAACCATCGGCATCGGCTAAACAAATAAAAGCCTCAATCGCGCTACGGCTTGGCGCTTTGGGAAGTTTCCCGATTTGTGAATGTTAAGCGCCTACTTACCATGTTTTGCTGAAAAACAATTTCCAGATCCCCACACCATGGGGAGTTCCGACTTTATTCCCCATACTCGACTCCAACCCCCGCGGTTTCGATTGATCACTTACCATGAAGGGTAATACTTTGCACTCCAAAGTCGCGCATGACTACTACTCACGCGCAAATCAACCAGACCAGTGCCAGCACACATCGCATGATTTGTTGAGCTCAGGATAAGAGACTTGAAAATATGGAGACTTGGACGAAATCATCTGTTCTTCAAGCGTTCCACTGTGGTCCCCTGCGTTCAGTTCCCTAGTTGGGTTCTATCTAACGGCTCCTCTCTTGAGTTGCCACTTCATCGGATGAAATCCAAATTGCCTATATGAGGCGCGAATCCTCGCCAATTTTCGCGAAGTTTTAGGATAGAGCAAATTGAAACAATCTCCCTTCGTTTCCCTCCGTTACTTACACAATATTTCAACATGGCTCCCTCTATCTCCCTCGACCACACCTTACCCGCGGTTGTCCCTGAGTCCAACGAGACCCCAGCTGCTTTCGCCCCTACCAATGACCTCTTCTCCCTCGCGGGCCGCACAGTTGCCATCACCGGCGGTGGCCGTGGTCTAGGAATGACATTGACCACCGCTGTACTCGAAGCTGGTGGCGATGTCGCCTGTATGGATCTCCTGCCTGAGCCGAGTACAGAAGAGTGGGTTGCCGTTCAAAAGCTTGCGAAGTCGAAGGGCCTGCAAGCCACTTACAACAAATGCGACGTCACCGATGAGGAAGCTACCGAGACATTGCTAGAAAAGATCGCAGCTGATGGAAAGGCCCGCAACATGCCCTTGCGTGGTCTTATCACCTGCGCTGGAATTCAGCAGATGGTACCCGCTCTTGATTACCCCGTTGACGGGTACCGCAAAATGCTCGATGTCAAGTGAGTTCTATGGACAGATTTATAAGGAATTGCTCTGACATCTGGTTCTTCAGTGTGCTCGGAACGTTTATTCCTGCCAAGCACTTCTCACGCATCTTGGTTAAGGAGAAAGCTCCTGGAAGTATTGTGATGATTGCGTCGATGTCGGGCCAGATTGCCAACCGGGTATGTTGAGCCAAACCCATGCCCTGATAATCCCATATCCTAACGTTCCCTCAGGGTTTAACCTGCACTGCCTACAACTCGTCGAAGGCGGCCGTCCACCAAATGTGCCGATCTGTCGCCCAAGAATGGGGCCAGCACAACATTCGTGTTAACACACTTTCTGCTGGGGTAAGAGTTTCATGAGATCCATTTTGGGGAGCCGCCGCTGATATTTGGAACAGTACATTCGCACTGCTATGACAGACGCGTTACTCAAGGAGAAGCCCGAGGTAGAAGAGACATGGATGCGTGGCGCTCTTCTCGGTCGCCTAGGCGCTCCTGAGGACTTCAAGGGTCCTACAATCTACATGCTCACTGATGCTAGTGCCTGGATGACTGGTGCCGATCTACGTGTTGACGGTGGACACTGTGCCTCGGCTTAAAGTTTTTGCGCTTATGTGATGATGAAATAGACGTGACATGCTTTTCAGCGTTATAGAACAGATTGGTTAGGGTGGCACACAGGAGCCATAGCTAGTTGCCAAATAGATTTACAATAGAGACCAACATATTAATGTGGTTCACAGTGCCCATGTGGCTAGGTCTTAGCAGGACATTAATAATCCGAACTTGGTCATGCATATTCTGGGTATTCATCTTGATGCTCCTGAGTTCTGTGGCTTCGTTGACTTTGAGTGAGCTGACTTGGAAGATTGAATCTCCAACCTTGACCGTGGCCATGGTTCGAATTAAGACAAATAAAAAGGATTTATATATGTACACAGGTGACTTCGACAGCTTATTGATCATTGTGGAAGATCAGTCATCCGAGGATAATTCAAGGAGATGCCAAGCATCTCATCCACACTGTTTGTCTGTGCTCCTGTCAATAAAAGTCTTACTCAATTAAGGAAGAGGCACTTACCAGATCCAATAGCTCAGGTGCGACATGAGATGACGGGACTGGGGAATTCAAATAATTCGGTTGAAGCTGGGGGAAGTTGTTTGCATGGTCCAAGAACATTGCGCCCCCAAGCTCAGGCCAGATATTTAGATTTGCGCCAGCAAAAGGATCTATGAAACATTTTAGTCAGCTACCGACAATTTTATATGATTTTCAGTGCAGGATAGCTCAAAGCGATGCTCAAGATCAGACATACCATTTGGGGACCCGGCGACAGGTTCAACATTGAAAAAATCGGCGGAATTGGGCACAGCGCCTGGCGAGGGAGAGTCTTGTTGGTTTTGAAGCTTTTGGAAGACCAAGTCGATTGCTTGAATTGTGCTGGTAGACTTGGGGTAGGAGTCACCCGCTTCAGACCAGATGCTATATGACGTCCGAAGTGCCTGAACGATTGCAGCTCTGACGAGTTCCGTCAGTGGTCTTGACTTTGGGTTGTTCGTTGGAGTATTTGAAAGATCATAATTCAGTTCAAGGCAGAGGAGGGTCGTCCCTAATAAAATCACTCCTCTCATAATTGGTGACCTAACCTTCCATCTTTCACGAAACAGGCGACCCCCAGGTTGTGTTTCTTCATTCATCAAGCGTTGGTACTCAAGGATTTTCAGAGCGGCTCCAATGCAGGTGCTGCGAGAGTAGGAATATCTTTCATCGGTCCTCGAAGATGCAAGGTACCGATAGTGCAGAACGCATCTCGCCTTCGCAAACAGACATATCAACTGGATACGATGGAGAATGGTCTCTGATGTGTCCATGAGGGATTGGCTCAAAGGCCGCTCCAGTAGAAATTCTGGATTGTCCAAGTATGTATCAAGCAGGAGTTGGTCCAAGCGCATGACTTCTGCATAGCTTGGCCTCCGAATCGAAGTTGAAAAATCGGTGATAATGCCCATGATTAGAGTCACTTTGTTCTTGGCGACGAGCCACTGACAGGGCGTCGAGTACGAGTTAGGGCGTGGTGGTGGTAGCTCTTTCGTGTCCTCGTCAAAGTCACTATCCAAAAGATTCCGCGGGGGTGCTGTATCTGACTGGAACTCTCTCAATAGGCGGGGCAGCCCAACGGACAATGAAAGCATCACATCAAGGTTGGTGATCATCGCCCAGGCTCTTCGTCTCATTTCACCCTGAAAAGGAGTAATGTGAGGGAAATGAGATGCATCGCGGTGGTAACCCATACGCTGGGCCATACGTGCAAGAATACCCAGAATGATTACGCTGTTAACCTCACCATTTCCCATTCGGTTGAACTGGGTACTCAGAGTAAAGCATATAGTCTCAATCGTATTTGGGGGACAATTTTGGTATCCACCAAGCACCAGGCATTGGTTTACCTTCTTGTCAAACTGTGCGATCAACTCGTTCCTGTTCTTCAAAGACTCACCCTCGCTTTGGAACATCAAAGCAAGAGACATAACACCATATAACTTTCCAATCCACATTATATGTGTTGAAGTATGATCCGCCCAAAACCGGTCATACTGTTTCTAAAGGTCAGCCTTGTTCCAATGGCTTGAAAAGAACGAACATGTCATGTCTTACCTCTCTCAAAAATGAGGGGCCATGAAGCACTAGCTTGCTAAGTTAGACCTATATTTATGAATATTTGAAGTGGTTTCCTCACATGGCAGAGATGTGTAATTAAAGTAATCAGCGACAAGTCTGTCGCAGGTTTCTCGCGAGGGTAGCTGTTCCAAGACTTCTGTATGGGTGGTGGGCTCACAGTTGGGGAACAGCATATCCGAGGAGTTATGTATAAAAAATGGTTGACTCGAATTAGCTGCTACCTCATGCTGTACCGAGTCCTTGAGCTCCGTGATCTGTTATTCGAATTAGACTAGACTCGGGTCACTAGGTCCTCTTCGACTCACCCCATCGAGAATTGCGGTCCAGTGTGTCTCTTGGACATATGTTGTCTTGCTATCTTGTAATGAGATATGACCAAATGAGTCGGATGGATCACTTGCGGCCTCTGCTTCGGCTTGTGATGTCGCCTTGGCTTCGTTCCCATTGGGTGGGTCCTGACGTTGAATCCGAATGGAAGTCTTCGTCTTTTGGTTGCCGGCATCATCCACAATAGCCGTGATCAACTTTTCCAGCTGTCCAATGCGCTCTGGCAAGGTTGATTTTGCTGATGGTTGCTGCTCTTTGGTGATCCGTCCCGTCTCGCCTGCGCTAGGAGGATATGTGCAAGACAAGGAGAGACCTCGTTGGCTACAGGCTCCACAAGGGTGGGCTCTATCACATCGCAGTCTATCAAATCATTAGCTCGTTCAATCCATATCAGAAAATTAGCATTTTTGGATCGGCGCTTCATACTTCCTCCTTCTGCACATATTGCATGATAATTGAGGCTTATCCCGTCGCCGACTCGGGGGCGGCAGTTTTCGCCTCGGCTCCGTCATCACGCCGATCTCGCAAGCAGAATATTACTATATTGTATACCAGGCTGTTGCTCCCGGCTTATTCCAAACAATGCTGCCAGGAATCAGGTACCTAGTGGGTGAGGTGCAGCGCACTAGGATTTGAGAACGAGGTGGGGGACCGTCCGACCGTCCGACCGTCCGTTCCTCCGCTCCGAGAATTTCCCACGAACACGAACACGATCTATCATATATGATCTATCACATTTCATACCGATTCTATACATTTATTAGGCGCATTCTCATATGGTGTCAGAATATGAAATCATCATTCAGCAATTTCAAGACAAATGGTCACTCTAAAGTCGTTTCGCAAGGCAGTATGTCTAGGCGGCTCAACATGAGAAAAAGTTATTCGAATATTAAATCTATCATATTTCCGACATCAATTTGATTACTTCACCAATGTGCCCGCAGGAACAAAAGGTTAACCCTGGTCAGAAAAGTGAGTGCTGGCATCTACCATCTACCCTCGAGCCCAGAAGAACTCCCGAATCTGGCGACTTGCTGGACCTCAAAAGCAAACTCGATGATCGCTAGCATCGAGTGTTGTATCCCCCATTACGCGTCACTATTCCAAAATCAACGACTTCGATGATCCCGGCGCAGACATTTGTCTTGGTATGGAGTGATAACCACCATCCAGCGCGGTTCAACCCCCTGATTTCTCGACAACAAGCGTGTCATGTCCGTTTCAGGACGAGATTCGGCTACAAATGATCGTCCTCCACTACCTGTGTGGGTATGTCAGTTGCCTTGTCTGATTCCTCTATCCGCCAACAAGGTGGACGAAAGAATGTCGCTTCATGCATTCGCCGCTGGCATCGCGCCACCGCTATTTGTTCATGATCTGTTTTGGCGCGAAGATACCAGGATTACTGGCGAAGGTTCACAGGCGGTATACGTGGTCATGCAGCCAATTGCGGCTGGAAGCGGCACGGCATGTGAGGCGCTCAGAACTTTTATCATGTCAGCTCAGCTCCTCATCAGCTCCTCAATGACATTTCACAAAGTTGACCGATAGCCATCTGTTATCTGTTCGGGCCTATACTGTTTGTCAAATATATCACCTCCGCCTGACGTGATGTTGTAGCCAATGCACACGGCAACTCGGACAAAGCGCCAGAGCTAACGATGGTGAGACGGACATGAGACTGATGTGGAAAGTCAAGTGTGGCTGCTGAGGCGATCGACAGACGGACAGATTATCATGAGTATCGACTGGCATGTTGAGATCTTTTTACAGAACAGTGTCGTGCCTGAGACATTTGGCTATGACTCTTGTGAGATGCATCTTCCAAATTTCTGTCGTCAATTTGGTGCTGACAACGACCTGACCTTGCCCTTGTGGTTCCAACTGCCAGGGGTGTTATCGGCCAGATTGAATAATCCCCGTTAAAGTGACGTATGAAGCGTGAGACACGCCACACTGACTATTGCAAAAAGGAAAAGGGAAGGGGTCTTCCAGGAAGCGAAAGATCGACACGAGGTATAATTGAACTGCAAAATATGACCCACATAACTGGGGGCTACGGCGATGTAACATTCAAATATTGACTAGTTCAGATAAACGGTTGCCTGGCTAGATAATTATAACGGCCTCAAAATTGAAAACGCACAATTTGATCACCGCCCTTGCCCTTATTTTTCGCTGCGATCGTCATAGTTTCCATGGTAAGTCTTTGATCGTCAGTTTATCGAAACAGGATAATAGCGTCATAATATACGGATATTCGCCTGCACAGCATTCCACTTCAAGGACTTGGAGACGTGGGGATCGTCGAGTGGGTTCAGCTAAGAAGGCCAGTGAATCTAGACGATCAAATCTCGCAGCCCTACCCGAAGGCCACACGCTAAGCTCTGCCAAGGGTTTTACTGTGGCACCACATGACGTGTCTCAGAACCACTTAGGCTGGCGGATCCGGAAACTTCGGCAAGAAAAGTGAAGGGCTGCTGCCTAGGCTTGTTTGTGTGCTGTTGTTTGGCCCAGGCAGACAGGAAAAAAATCCTGATTTAGAACAACCAATCGCTATCGACTTCCGTGATGTTTTCCGGTGGAGCTACGTAATGAAGGCTGAGCTCGGGAAAACAAGCCACAGTCGAAGGTCATTTCCTCCAGAACGTATGAAGTACAGAGTATGCAGACGTGAATGGCTGGGGAACCAACCAGATAGGAACATGGCTTATCATCAAACCTTCACAGAGAGCTGTTTATTGGAAATCCAATGATATCATTTGCAGCCACACGTGGAGTGACATCAGGTGACCGCCCCCACGGCTCAGGGCTTGGGCACGGACCAGTAAACAAGATTCCCCTTAAAAAGGGGTTTCTCCATTTTATCTTGGCCTCTTGGCCTGCCAAGATCATTCCTCAATTCATAGTTCCAACACAACCTCCCAACTTATTTTACCAACATGTTCGACGCTATCAAGACCTGGTTCTCTGGCCGTGAGGCCACCGAGGAGAACAAGTGGGATGCTACCAATGTGCAAATGCAGCAGCCCAACAGCCCTGCCGGCATGAACGAGACTGTCACCCAGCAGCCTGTAGGTCTTTCCCATCATTCTACGGAATTGGAAAATATTTGAAAAACTCAGTATACTAATATTAATAACGCAGACGCCCGAGTCCATGGACGTGCACATCCGTGGTGGTGGTGAGGGTGAGGATGTCTGCTGCGGAGTGTGAGTATCACCGATGAAGAGTGTCGCATTGAATTGCTTACTGACAATGGTTCCCTTTTAGCTGCGCCGGTCTCTGCTGCTTCGAGTGCTGCGAGTGCTGCTGCTAAATGCCCTATACCCATAGCCATAATGGATAAACGATTTTTTTGATTCCGCCGGGCGGTTTCCAATTCATGTACATCGCTTATGCGACAAATGATGCAAATTTGACTATCACATATTTACCATACTCTTCCGCTAAACAAATGAAACCCATATTGTTCTACGAGCTTCCACAATATTAGAACTCTAGGTTAGTACTGGCACTTTGCTCATCCAGGTACCATATGACGAAGTCAGAGGTTGCGGGGAAATAGATTAAGGTTGAGCACCTGGACTCACTCATATCAAACTGGAGTACTTGTTCCAATGTACGCCACATACTACCAGCCACATATTATCTAGCCGCGGTCTAGATGTTAATATGGAGAGATTGTGGAGACAGTGACGATAATCTGGACCTGGGCGGGATCAGGGGGTGGTTTTGACCTCCTCAGAGCAGATTGTGCGTCTCAAACATTGGGTTTTACAACGACCAACTTTTAACATTTCACTTCTTCCGTATCTGTTCCGATGATTTCTTTCGAAGCAGCATTGCATTGGCTAAAAAACTTGCTCGTCAAAATCAGTTTCACCCTTTCAGTCAAAATGTAGTCGTCTGCTTCTACACTTCGAGGACGACTTCGCCAAAATTTAGAATGATAGACATGTTGAATAGCCCAATAATCCCAGGAACTGTGGTCCCAAGACTCAGACCGAAGATCAAGCAGCCCGTCTAGTTTCAGAATCACTCAGCTTAATTGTAATTAGGTCCTGGGCATTGACTGGAATCGGCACATGCAATTCTAAAAATTGGATCAGTTATCTAGTAGATGAATCATCGAGAAGGGTGAAAGCTTACCAAGAGACGTACCCCGGCCGCTTTGGAGGGTATGGATTGAGGATACGTTCTGTCCCCCGACTCGGTGGAGGAACACCTCATAGTCGTCAGATTCATTCCATGGGAGGTTCTCAATTATGAGATGGTACTGTTTTGTCCGATTGTCGCGAACCTTTGCTTGGGGGAACGTATTGCAAACTTCCACTTTGTTAATAGCTGGCAGAGTCAGGGGACATGCAATGGACTTCATACCTGCCACAATGAACCTCGTATTGTTAGACTTCAGACAAGCTTGTTCTCCATTGAATACTACCAAGCTGTTGTTAGTAAGTTATATAGTTCCAAAGTGATCGGTTTTTCGATGTCGACGTACGGCCATTTTCCTGGAGGATTGGATACGCTGATGTTGAAGCGTTTAGAAAAGGAAGCTGCAGTCGATTAATTCGATAATCATTTCTGAGAGGCTGAGACATCACATACCATCGCATTTGTGATCTCAGAAACCATATCATAGTCCGGCTGGTAATTATTCAGCAGGACTTGGACGACGTCGGGGGTGGTAGAGCGACCTGCAAGCACTGCAAACCCATCGTTTGAAGATCCCTCGACTTGGACGCGCTCTGGGGTCGCACTAATTAGCTGCGCTTGTAGGCTCCACGCTGCAGCTTGGTTGAGAGCGATAGCAGATCCATTTGCGGACTTTTTGAACCAGGGTGCAAATGATGCGTTTCCGGCGCCTGACCCTCCCCACCCAAACCCTGGCCATGTAAAGGCCTGGTCAATAGGCGAGTCTTGGCTATACATTGCCTATAGCGCTTGTCAGTAAAGAGAGATGTAGCATGTCGGCGGTGGATCTACCGTTCCTATCGTATAACTAGCTACGAACGCTGGGTCATTGTAAGCTTCAAGTGCTTGTTTTGATCTGCCAAATTTGCCAAATTTGTTAGTATCAGGCTGTAGATTTCTGGCATGTTGTATCATACGTTGGCTTTATTCCCGGTGGGTTAAGCTCATATTCAGTCATCCATATCGGTAGGTCGGAAAATCCGGCTGGTTTAAGAACATGCTCTCGGAAGTTATCGGTGACTCTGCGGACGTCGTATGCTGTTGATGCGTTAGTCATGCACTTTGCTATGTTTTCTGGCTACGCACGATCAAACGAAAACTGAGAGTTGGTAAAATGGAAAGTGGCTGCTTTGAGGGGCACATTTTGTTCTTTGCAGTCCTTGTAGAAGCGCGAGACGAAGGGATCGTAAAGCTGAGGTGAACTATGTCAGGTTTGTCCATATAAGTGAGATCATGGCTTACAGAATAGTTTTTATAGCTTGTCCCTGTATTTGTGTTAAAAGTCAGGATCTAGGGCAGCCAGGGCAGATTATGAGGGCTATTGGTCCGTACAAATTCGGTTTCCTCCCCAGGCTCCGCTAGGGGCTGTCAGCGCAGTATTCGTATGTTCCCGTAAAGATCACTCACACTCCAGCTTTATCGCTATTCAAAGGTCAATACAACGCTGAAGAGGATAGTATCCTTACTTTATAACACTTACCTGGCCTTTGCAACACCGTGCGCGAAAGCCGCAAAAAGCGGGAATAGCGAATCGTAATCGCTTTGCACGTCTAGGGTGTTTTGCTGTGAGGTATCAGAAGATGTATCGTGTATGGATCCCGAAGCAGCATACAAGGTCGGCTTCGGCGTCAAAGTCAAAAAGCTCGAGGGCATCGTAGAAGCCTGAGCCATGGGCGCCGTTCCTAGTCACGCCACAGCATCAGCATCATGCAATCAAACTTGCTTTGAATCCGATAAACCATTGCTCACATATATCGGTCTGTGATCATGAACCCAATTTTACCTGCCGTTTCGGGCGACGACTCTAGGATGTCTCCCTGTTGTAATTGTCAATCTGGAATACCGGCGCGATCGATGGAATTGAAGACTGACTGCGTACTGAATTGTGGCCTGTAAAATGTCAGCGTTGGGACCAAAACTATAGGTAAGTGACTTCTCACCTTTGCCCCATGCGAGGTAACGAAATGGATCCAGCTGTCTGCCTAATGACGAACGTTAAATTATCCGGCCGGTGCGTCTTGTTGTCGCCTTCACGGTGACCCTTACCTCGGTCCAGTTGTAGTTCGCATTGTTCAACGGATCTGCTGCTTCTCCCGTGGCCTCAAATCCAAGGAAGACCTCGGGCCATGTATCTGATTGTACGAGTAGTGTGAGCTAGCATATTGATAGACGGTGATAGAAATGCCTTACAGATGAGCACATGCTTGATCCCATAATCCGACCAGACATTCGCGATGATGGGGTCCCTGTTATGAATATCATCATTGCCGAGTGATGCTCCTGCCATCGTCATTGGTCAAAGGTTGCCTTGTGGTTCAACTGGAAAGGCGTACCGGTATCAGCACTATTAGTCCCTATTGCAGTTTGATTAGCCATCACCACAGTTGGCTCTTCGATGGTAAGGAACATACCTTGGAGGTTTTTCAACCTTCCAATTGTATCTGACACATCGACGGAGATGACACGGTCAGTATCAGAAGCTTGGAGACCAAGCACCAGATTTCTGGCATGCTGTAAACCAAGAAGTGCCTGGAAAGCGCAGATGCGTCGCATGATTCTGACCATTTTCCTTGTATGAAGGCTTGTTGATTGCTCAATCCTGTCGACTTACTTTCCGAGGGGCGGTATGCGAGCTAAAGGCCTATTAATACTTCAGTTCTATGGCCCTAATTCCTCGCCCGGTGTCTTGTCATGGGCGACTCTTGTAATCGGGATATCCGGACGATTATTGCACTAATCAAATCGGATGCGGGGTACTGGGGAAAGGCTCTCCACATTTTCTGACGAGCAAAGGCGGGCTGGAGAACGATTGTCTGTGGAAACAAGGTTCTGAGAGCATATTAACATGAGTTTCGGGCTCCGCCAAAGTAGTTAGAAGGCTCGGCAAATCCGACTCCAACATTCTGTAGCTGTAATCCCAAACTTGATTGGTCCCTTTGCCCCGCGTTTGGTCTCGGAGACTTGCCCGGTGCGTTGTTGCCATCGATATTTCAGCACGCCGTCGGTAGACGCGGGGCAATCATCACTGTTCTCCATTGGTCTTGCGTCTTTGCTTTCCTACGCAGAATCTTCACTCACGGTCTACTTAAGACCGCATACAGCACTCAGTGGAAATCCTCCCAACCAGACAGGGAAGGTCGCCCTGTGCCGGGACGGCGATGGAAGAGGGTAGCTTCCAGAATGCATCCGGCTGGCCAATCTCGAGTGCCAATTAAACATGCTCAAACCAGCATCTATTAGCACAGACGCTCCATCGGACATGGCAGCGCTGCGTTCCCTGGCCCCCGCAATGCAGGACACGTTATGGAGCAGCGGCGTCCTAGGCATGGTCTCGCAAATTACTAGGAGCTGCTAGCTAAGAACACAATATGATATTAACTAGGTGGTTACTACAATAGGGAATTGTTGCATTGGGGTAGCCACGGCGATGTGTTGATCTCAAAGAACATCGTCTTCCTGCGATGAAATGGACTGCCCGCGTGATTGGTCGATTTGCGCGAGAGGTGTGCTCTTGGGACATCCTCACCTCCCCCGAGCCTATAAATACCCTCTATCTTCAGCTCTTTCTTCTCTTTCCTTCATTCGCCCTCCACCTTCATTCTCGTCTTTATAAATCCATTGATCCATCATGAACTTTTTTCTCCTTGACATACCGATCACACACCCGCATCTCAATATGCTGTTCTATCCGTCATTCATTATATGACCTTTCTTTGATGAAAACAACAACAAGACAGATATGTTTGTTTATTTTATCATGTTGCTTTTTCCATCCACGATGAACATTTCACTCCTCCTTCCGTGGTGACTTCCTTCATGAATGCAACTACATCATCGCCATTGATCACCTTTGATATGTTGTCGCTTTCTTCCTTGATCACTTGATCCATCGATGCAACAACATTCTTGTTTCCCTTCAATATGTCATTTCATTCATCCATCAGCACATGTTGACTCATCTATCTTTGATGACTTCATGGGTTCATGTATGATCTCAAATATTCTTCTTCCCCTTTGATCCTTGTAGATTTGCTGACAATATCCTACACTTTTTAGGTCATCAATGCTTTTCAAACCCTCAATCCATCCCTTCCAGCAAAAAGCAACAAGTGGTGTGGAGGCACAAGCCACTGGTCAAACGACATGCATGCGGTGAAGAAGCACCGGCCTCAACCCTGTTTTTTCGTTATTCTGTTGTGGGGTGGAGACACAAGCCACAGGTTCACAGACAGATATGATGTGAAGAAGCGCCTGTCAAACCAAACCAAACAAAAGCATGAGTCCGTGGCTGGTGCTGAATGGAAGATTGAATTGTGGGTACTGTGGACAATGAAATGAAACGAAATACAAGGGAAGACCACTTGTTCATGTTGCGTCAGATGTTGGTATTGATATGTTGGTTTCGCTATGATCATTATGAATTGTCTAGCGGCACCGCCAATGGATGCTTGATGCACTCTAATTCCTCCCTCCATGTCATAAAATTTATCTTATGAAGTGAGAAATAATGAGGACTTGTAATGGATTTACATATCGGATGCGGTCAGCTGATCCAGTCTGAGAGCTGGAGCTTGTGAGCTTTTGAGCTTTCAGCGTCCCTCTCTTGTCATTTTTCCTGAACAGTACCAATATCATTGGGTCTTCGTTTTTTGCTGTTTCAAGTTCATATTTTCATATCTCCGCGGCGTATAAAAACTCAAGGAATCTCTTCAGATCATTCGATCATTATTAGCCTTATGACTTGGTCCTCAAATTTGTGACCAAGTGATCCAGAAACAAGCAGGCCTTGTTGTCGGCGCTTTAGCCCGCGACCTGACACTTCATATTGCATATAATCATCGAGGTACCGGAGGATGGCCTTGCCGTAAGTGTATATACCTTTGCATTAGCAATTATGCTTCCTAGTCTTGAAATTTATGTGTATGAACCCCCATGAATCCCTGCTCTGATTTTTGATAGTGAGCACATATTCAAATTTCCTTGAACTCACTGTTGAATTGGAGTTTGGATCGCATGGAAGCTGTGATCCGCGACTTTTGGCCGGTTAGATACAGAAACTTTTTTAACAGCATACAGCAAAGCACTGCAGGCTGCCAGCCTACCAGAGGCTCGCTTATACTCTTATCTAAACCTCCGGATACTCGTATCAATTAATAGAATGACAGGAATTTTAGCGAGGAACTTCCAAAGACGTGGTCAATCCTTGATTGCTCCGCAGGTACAGTCTGTTCTATCTTACATAATATAAAACATTTCCAGAGCCGCTTTACTCTAGTAGCATATAGCACTGATGACTAAAATACTGTTGGCAAGATGGCCGAGTTGGTCTAAGGCGTCAGGTTAAGGTCCACCTTGACATCATTTCCTGATCTACGTTTGTAGGCGTGGGTTCAAATCCCACTCTTGTCATTTCTTTTTTTTCCCTCCCGGAACCTCCTCTTCAAGCTCGAATTGCTAAGCTAGATATGCTACTGGGTGATAACGCCCACTTGTATATACCAGCGCACTCGAATAGGTCACCAAAAAGAGCGTTTTTTGAACCAGGTCATGAATTTGGATAGTCAAGAAATCTCTAATTTCTTTTCAAGACTGGCAAATCCAACTGCTGAGGTGTGCTTGATTTTAGTCTGCATAGCTCACGTATGTATGTCCCTTAACTTGTTGCTGTTCGGGCCTGCATTGGTGTTTTTATTCTACACAATGGTGTGTAATGAAGTTACGTAGAGGATAACTGGTAGTTTACATAACTCCCTAGCATTTATCGTGACGAATGACTCGGTTATACATGAACCATTGTTTCTGGTCCTCAGTATACACTTGGACACCATCCGAAGTACTTCTTCACTGATCCGGGATTGTTTCACCCGAGGTGTTCGCTGCCTACCGTCATCTTCTGGCAAAGTTCCCCGTTACGCGAATGACAATCCTGAAGCATCAGCTGAAGCATCAAAAAACTTCTTAATCGTCTCTTGAGCCTGCCTGGAGAAGAGCCTTGCACATCTAGAGTTGCGCCTTGTCCTAAGCAAGCTTGTATTTCTCTTTGATTGGATAGCCGAGAGGCTGTGCAGGAGCTCGGTGTCCGCAAAGAAGTGGATTGGGCTCGAGATACTAAAACACAGTTTCTGTGGGTCAAGCCAAGGTTGTGGGTCAGATATACACCGACAGTACAGCGCATTGAGAGACGAAAAGAAAATGACAAGGACCTGGTCAGGTACGAATTCTTGGTTTGTGGTTGAAATGACCAATCCCAATTAACGATCAACTGGAGATGTTCTTCGATGCTATCTGATTATTGCTAGTAAAATAACTTTTTGGCTATTATTGTCAGCTTTACTGTGTTAAGAGAGATTACTTTATTTGGCATTCGATAGAGCTGTTATTTAAAGACGCCGTAAAATAAGGGCCTTCTATTCATCTCTATAGGGCCTCCAAGAAGCTGTCTTCAGCTGTTATTTTGCATGAGTCCCTGTGCTTATTTCACGATGCCTTCCCTTTTCTTGGCGACGAGAAGAGCGATCAGGGAACACTATCGTCCCTCGGGATTAGTCTTGAAACGTATCTACGTCAGATATCCTAGATGCACTTCGCGCTGATAACCTTTTGTCGGGCTGAACCGCTTGACTGGAATGCTGAGGTCATGCGCGAGCACTGAATATCTCCTTGCGTAACTTTGCGTAAGGCGAGGGTTAAGGCACTCACCGTCTTCAGTCACGCGGCTGGTTTTGATTGATGAGGCTACAAGCTAATAGGTCTGAGCGTAAGCCGGGATCTGCCGGTCTTCTGTGGCGTTTTATTGTCCTGGGACTAGGGGTCTAAATATGCTCATCTTGCAACTGAAACTGGATTAAGCTATGCGCTATGCTGATTAAAACCAAAATTTGGTGATCAGGCTCCATCATTAGGGCCATGAACAGGCATTTCAAGTTGTTATCAAACACAATCTTCAATGCATGGACGATAACATCGATATGAGGACCCGCCTGCTCCGCCCAAGCAGCCAATACGCATCGCTGTCCGCGACAACCTGCCGAATCGCGCGTAGCTGCCCCACATCGCCAAACCACCACTCGATGCAACCAGTCCCCGCAGTTCCCACGAGAAGGGGCTCTCAGCAACTTTCGGTATCTCGGAAGCAGGCACTGGAAACTGCAATATCCCTGTCATTGCATATCTATTAACTCAGTTCGGTGTCTCCTGCAGCTTATTCAAATTAGGACTGGACCACGTTAATGATGTACGAGTCTGAGTTGTGTGACAATGGTGCCTAGCCGGATGGAGCTGCCCAATCAGGCTAGTGAAGCGCCAGTTGCGCGCTCCAGATAAGGAGGTCTGATAGACCGGTGGAGTGTACTAATGGACAGAGCTATATGAATCTCCTCTTTCTCCTCCTTTCAAGCTGACTTTCAGAAACGACTTCACTCTTCAATTTACAAACCAAATCTTTTTACTCTCACGCCCTTGGCAAGACATATAGACCTTCAGTTTATCTCCCTTCCTCTTATTTTCCACATCATTTGGTGATTACACCTCTTCAACTCTCCTTAGATGGCGGTTTTCTCATTCTACCCACTCCTACTCCATTCACACGTTTATACCATATCGCTGTCCCAGCCCACTCGCAGATCCAGTAGACCCAGTACGAGGAAATCTAAACCCATACTGTGAGCTAGTCGACATCTGATTTGCGAGACCGTAGTGGCAAGGCAAAGACCATGTCAATCGAGATCGTCCCGCTGGCTGAGGCCGATATTGCGGGTGTTGTAGACTGCGTGCAGAGCACCTTCGCAGATGATCCTTATTTCCGATGGGCATTCGATGCAGCCAAGGTACGAGCTACCAAAATCTTTCCCAAAGCGACAGCGATAGCGATAAGCTCAAGAGCCATAGTCCAATCGATGGTTCAAGCTTCCGAGAAATTCAGTAACCAACGCGTTCAATAGTTCAAAGCTGAGCGAAATGCAGCCTCGCTCGCAGCACACCTACAATTCAGCCTCAACTGCGGCTATCCGGTTTTCGTCGCGAAAGTGGGTCGTGCAGCAAGCGACCTCGAGACCGACCACGAAATCAGACTAGCTCCAGGCACCGTTGTTGGCTTTAGCTGGTGGACGCCCCCAGAAGTACCCGCCCTTTCCCAGCCGTGGTCCATCTGGGCACAGGAATGGCTGCTTTCCTTCCGACAGCTCATGTTCAACATTCGTTTCGCCGGCCGTGGCGGCTTGCATGTTCGCCGATATTGGCTGTGGAAGAAGATGCAGAAGAACGCGCTGAACGATCTCTGGACTGACCCCCGGGGTTATTATTACTGCAGTCTGTTGGGTGTCAGCTCGCAGGTTCGCGGAATGGGGGTTGGTAAGCGACTTATGGAGGTAATTCTGCAAAAGGCAGATGAGGAAGGCATCTCCTGCTACCTCGAAAGCTCAAAGGGCTACCCCAACATTGCCATCTATGAGAAGATGGGGTTTGAGCTCAACCAAGAGATCACATGCGATGACGGCGGCAATATTTGCAAGGTACGTTTATCTTGGAATCCGAGCTTTTTTGGCGACTAACTAGAGCTGCTTCAGCTTTATGGCATGACACGCAAGCCCAAGATCAAGGCTTAATGATACGACTTACGAATTAACGTGAATGCTTATTCAATGCAAGCGTAAGGAGGATGGGAAATTGACCACATAGCAAGGGAATTGCGAGATCCGTATGAACTAACTTCAAATTTGCTTAATCGTTCTTTGCTTGTTCGTTTTTCGCTTGAACTTTTCTGATTATCTACCACCAAATTGAAATCTTATCATTTTTTATGACGTTTACGAATTGAAACGGGCATGGTTCTACGTGTCAAAGTATACAGTATATCTCAGTCGAATTATTGATGCAACTCCTATTGGCTTGGCTAGCGTAGTACTTGCTTTCCCAGTAACATTGTCTATACCAAGGAAGAATTATACAAACCACTGACATGAGCTCACTATTTTGGTAATTCACATGGGTAGCCAAGATTATCAATCTAGATCTCTGCATGGCAACCCCGGCGCTTAACACCAACTCATCAGATGTCTACTGAACCAACCAGTTTGAACACTAATGTAGGTGATAGGGATTTTTACCATTTCTGCAAGTACAAGCACATTTGCACATCTTCTTGATATGTTCCCAAATCCCACACAGCCAGAGAGTCTTCCCATGTTCGTGGACCACCCTGTCGGCGCCAAATGCCACCACCTCTCTGGGTACAAATCAGACTCAATACCTGATCCAGCCAGGAATCACCGTCACGCTGTTTATTTCAGGCGCTTCGTCCTGCAATGAAGTATTCCGCCCCCAAAATTCCCCGCTCTGCCATGGTTTATCCACGGCCATGGTTTCTTCGTGGAAGGCATGGTTTTCTCAGCAGCTGTTACAGCATAAATAAGACTTCATTTCCCCTTCATGGGTGTAAATACAGAGCCCCAGCTTCTTCTTTACTTCCATCTTCTTCTGCTCTCTCCTTTTCATCTATCTTCTTCGCAATACCTTCTTTGGTCCAACAAACACCGAGTTACACCGACATCTACAGATCCATACTTCCCACAGTATGGCATCGACTCATCAACGTCCTGGCTGTACCCTGACACCAATTGCATTCATTGAAAGCAATATATCCCAGAATTCTACGCCAGCACGCCTTTCGCCATCACACCTTGCATCAACTCGTTCCATCCACAACAACAGTCTGCTCTATAAACGGCTCAGAAGACCATACCCCTCCAAACTCTCACAATTGTGATTGTGACAAATCTACGACACAAATGTAAGTGAATGGTATTGCTCCAGCTACTTCATAGCATCAACAATATGAAACAGTAAGACGACATCTGCCCTACCAACATCTGAAGGCTCGTCGTTTGCCTCTCCCCATACCAACGACAAAGCCAATATGGGAGCAGATGTAAAAGCCTGCGATCTACCAGGCTATTCATATTCCGTCCTCACACCAGATACCTCAATTCCAATAGAAAGCAACAAATTTTTGACGAACAATCGCCACGATGAATAACACACCTTACTTCTTGGCGATGAATTTAACGGTGCGTGGTCCAATCATTCGTCACCACCCAGAAGCTGATGATCCCCCTCTGCCATCCGTCCTATGTACGCCATTTTCTCGACAAACCCGACGTGCGACGTTAAAGCTCAAGAGACAACGTCTGCAGTTCGTGCCCTGAGTTCAACCCCAGTATCAAGTATCACCGCTAATATTTTATTCCACAGGCTCCTCGATGCCGATTTTCCCGGGTTGTACCTGCGGTTGGAAATTCAGACTCCTCTATTTTAATTGCCGGCGGTGGATCACGATAGGTAAAATTATTTGCCGTGCATATCGCACCTCGTTATACAGGGCTGACTTGGGATATCAAATTTAGTGCATGCGAACCAGCCACGGCGATCATGTCTTGCTCGGATGCGGGCGGACTTTATGGTCATGAGGTGTGATGGAGTCTTCAGGCGTCGGTGCTCATTTTCACGGGCCAATGACCATTTTCTCTTCTTTTCTTTGTGTTTCCATTCCAAGTGATTGGCCTTTTCCCTTTGTCTCAGTGGCTCTTTTCCTATTGGCTGTACTCGTTCTATCTCGTATGTTTTAATTTCCTTTGCTTTCTTTCCCTTCCTTGTTTTTTTGTATGCATCTCATGTTTTCTTTGTGGAATCTGCCTGTCATGTGTCGGTGCTGTCCAAAGGTTGGATCTCCTCCAACTTCGAGTCATAAATGGTACATTTGTGTCTACACCAATAGGATGCATCCATGACTCGGACCCCAGCCATGGATAATCATCACGAGAGTACGTCTCCGCGCCGTTGAAACATTGGAAGCCCCACTACAGGCAGCCATTGTGAACCGATCAATTCTGAACACAACCAATTAGAAGCAGGGACGGTGACAAGCTTTGACTAGCGACCGGAAAACAATGGATCCGATTCTGATTTTCTGCGTCAGCGCTGCTATTTCTGGACCCGAAAATTTGAATTTTTCATGTCTCGCTTTAATCTCAATTTGAATTGGTCCTGAAATATCTCTTTCAGTATGTAGATTCGTGTCGATTGTTAAATTGATTTGTACCAGCCAACTCATCCGTTCAAGTTTGCTGCAGATTGGCGGATCAGCAGAACACGCGAGACAGTGATGGTCGAATCAAAGCGATTGTTCCTCTCGGTCCGCAGTGCCCGAAATGGGGTAGAGAGGGGATCAGCCAATCGCATCAGCCGGTCGATCCGTAAACTGTAGAGAATACACCGATCAGATTGCGAATATGAGCAATCGCCCCGGGACTCGCGTCAGCCTTTTATGTCGCATATCCCTGCTCACTTTTGGTTTTCTTCCTTCCACACTCGTCTTTCCATCTCCCACCGTGTACAGCGACCGAGTTCCCTCTACTACCTCCGATCGGAAACGAACTCCCCACTATGCACTGACCAACTCCCGCCCGATCAACTACTATACACCACATCACCAGTCCTAGCCTAAATCAGAATCCAATCTCATCTTCCAACCCCTCAAAAAACAACCGTATCTCGCTCATATTCTCTTCTCCCAAAACCCCACCATGGGTCTTACTAAAGCCGCCATCATCGTTATCGTCCTGGCCGGCTGTTTAGCCATAACTGCCATGGGCGCTGCTCTCTTCCGCCGCCACAACCCGCTTGAGGAAACTGCACGAGCCCACGAGGCATCTCACGAACAAAACACATACATGCGCCAAGTACGCATGGTGAATTATGGACATCTGAAGCGGGAATCGCTGGGGCACGCGAAAGACCTGGAGTCGCGATGTAGGTTACATGATCGAGTCGTCTGATTCATGCCGCTAACCGATACAGATACCCCGGAGGAAGCATCGGGTTATTACCAGCCATACGCGAACGAGTCACGGAGCCCGTCCACGAACGTTGCATAAGAAGAAAATAACAACTAAAAAAACGAACCACGATCATGATGATACTTATGGGAGATTGGGCTGGTCAACCTATACCCAGGCGTTGGAAAGGGAATCTATGGTTTGGCAGGGTCCAAATCTGCGATCGCGGTTTCCCGAGAGTGAGGGTCTAAATCATGGCAGCATGGTTTCCACTCTGACCTACGCGGACTAAAATTCGATCGGTGCTTTTTGCTTTTTCGTCTTCAAGCGTTTTTATTGACTTGCATATTCTTTGTTCATCGCAGATTATGTACCATGGAAGTCCCACGGGCTTATGGGTACATCTCTTACTCTGTGTTAGTTCAACGTCATTAACGATTTATGTTGGTATCTTTAGCACAGACAATTATGAACTACACTTTTCATCTCCTATGACGAGCGTTATCACTGGTCAGCTTCCAAGGTTGCTTTAGGATTTCTATCGAACTATCATCACGCGACAGTACGCTGTATACTTCGGTTCCTAGGTTCAGTTGGATGGTTCCAAATTTCGGCGCGGCCTAAATGACGTCAAAAGAATGAACAACTTGATCAAATAAACTCGATAGCCAGAAACACAAGGTGAGACCTACATTCTCCACTGACTGTTTGCAGATCATCAAATTGTGGAAATGTCAGGACAGGTCGATCCACTGCAGCCCCCGAGAAAACCTCTGTCCCTGGCCTTATGGAACTTCACTTCACAATGGTTCCTGATACCGCAAGGCACAGGAATCATCAGCGTCATTCTCGCTAGGCTAGACTACCAATTTAACGGTCTTCAGATACTGGCCAAGATTGTGTGGATATATACTATCGTCCTCTTCGGCTTGTGTCTGGCATCATATCTCCTTCGCGCATTGAGCTATCCAAAGCATGTCCGCCATGAACTGCGCACCAACCTCGTCGAGACGTCCTGTCTTTCGTGTATTCCCATCGTCTATACCTCCATCCTTCAGTTGGCCGTGATCCAGTACGGTGACCGCGCCGGTCTAGCCATCTATATCCTCTGGTGGACCGACACCGCGCTGTCGACTGTCGCGGCTATCGGAATCACATATGTCCAATTCAAGATCCAAGCGCCAGGTGTCCAGCGTCTCCCTCCAGCTGTGCTCCTACCTTTCATTGCTATCAATACCTCTGCCGCCAGTGGGGGACTGATTTGCCTTCAAAGTCACGTCAGTCCACGCCTCCAGATTCCCGCCATCATCGTCGGATACCTCGAACTCGGCGCCGGACTCTCGCTCGCCGGAGCATTTACCGTCCTAGTCATGTTCCAGCACTTCAATCAGGTTCACTCACCAGCAGAAAAAGTCTTTCAAGACATGATCATCTGTGGGCCATTCGGACAAGGCTCATTTGCTCTCCAGATACTGGGCGAGGCTGTACAGGAAAGCTTTGGGGCGTACCACCGTGGTGTGTTCTTGACCGCAAAAGCAGCTGATATTATCGGGCTGACAAGCCAATTCATGGGGCTTTTAACTTGGGGCTATGGCGTATTCTGGTGGTGCTTCGCCATTCTTAGCATTGGCCATACTATCGGTGCCCAGCCGCGTGGGGGGCGGAAACCCCCGTTCACTTTGGCGGCGTGGTCGATCATATTTCCCTGGGTGCGTTGATCAAATATCTTCCTCTGGCCCTAGTTCTATCTATATCCTATTTATAGAGCCGTGATACTAACTTGACGCAGGGCGTGTTCACAAATTCGGCCGTTGAACTTGGGAAAATCATGGACTCCCCCGCTTTTGCTGCTGTTTCCACCGGTCTTCTGCTTATTGTGCTTGTGATGTGGATTGTCAACCAGCTCTTGACTATTCGGGGGATTACCGCCGGTCGCATTTTTGGTCTCGAGCATGGGTGGAGGGGAAAGGGTCCTGACGCGTTAAGGGGGGCCAAAGCTGCCTGAAAATTAAGTTGCGGGCCTTAATCGCCGAGACCACACAAGGCTCCCATTTCTACGGAGTCCTGTTTTGAATCTCGACTTGCAGCAGCCTGGGTCGGAACCTTCATTTCAGCTGCCCCGATGCTGAGGTTAATCCGTTTGGGGTTGTATCGTGCGACGACTTTTGATTGACCCACGGTCTCAGCCAAGCACAGCTCCACATCCTCTAAAGGGTGAAGTTAAAGGCGAATACGGCTGAGACGTGTTCCAAGACGCTAGCTTGTTTGGAGAAAAAAAATAAAGAAAAGACCGAGGCTTTAAGCAGGACTCATGCAACGGAAGCGGGATTGGCAGGGCTGAGGCATTTTGCGTTCGGCCCCGAAATCTCACGGATGGATGAATGACGCCAGAGATTCGGGATCGCACAGTTTGCTCAATGCGGTCGTATCTGGCCGCCTAATTTGCACGAGCAATCCAATCGCGGGTCCGACGTCTATGCAAACTTCTGTGGGAATCTTTCTTATTTGCTGGCGATGCTTCTTGAGGAAATCTTAGCGTAATCGGTCGGACACGGAACTCGCAACTGGCCGAATGCCCCCACATGCTCTTGGTTCGTGCGCAGGGCAAGGACATACGAGTACGGGGGCGAGGCCATAGTGGGAACCAACATTTATTTATTTAGGGGAATATGTCTTCGTGTCGGTGAAGAAAAATTCTCTTCTTCCTCTGCGCATGATATCTCAACTTATCTGGTATTTCGCTACAGGACAGATTAGATGAACTATGATCTTCAACATGCAGGAACCTATTATGAGCTCGAGCTCCGTAGTCTATGACAGCGACACGGCTAGCGAAGAACGGTATGATCTTGCCCCGCTATATAAATTATTCAAGATCCATCCTCTAACTTCAATGCAGACCTTCATCGCAACCCGCAAGAACCAAGATACATGCCAATTTCAAAGTGGCCCGCCCGCCCCCAAAATCATCACTCCGTCTCGCCCCAAAGTTGCTCCTGCAAATCCAACAAGTCGCTGTCAATCATCGCCCAGTTCCAGTCTTGGAAATATGGCAACCACCTTTCCGCAAATCAAAGCTCACGCGGGACTTTCCCCAACGGCCTAAATTAAGATCTGGCGATATCTATGCGACCAGCAATGAACCTTATACCATGCATGCCAGTTCAATCCGGGCAGACTCGACAAACTCCTCTGAGATAGAGGAAGATTGCTGTACTCCGCACAGAGACATCATTGCGGCCTTGTGTCAATCATCGAACGGTGAGACGCCGGCATCGTCTATTTACTTTCGCAACGCGCGGTCCAGCTGGCAGGGCAGTGTGGGTGTTGCAGGCCCAGAGAAGACGCCGTGTTACCGATTTACGATCAAGAATGATGAAAATAAGGATTCTGTAGATCCCGGAAGGATGATTTTGCAGTGGGAAAAGCGGAGTTCAACAGGCAAAGATAACGGACCTGGTTCGGACTACTTTGTCTTGTTCTTGATTGATCGGACGGCAAGGAGAAAAAGTCGCCTTGCTACCATGACAATGGGCGGGTTGGAGATTCTTGTGCGGAAGAGCTCTGTCATGGAGCACCTGCAAATTTGCATGGATTTAACGGATCCTCTACCGACTACCAACGGTGCTAGTGCCCATGAGGCATTGGGAGCATGGGTATATACGCAGCTCCTCACATTGGGCGTGTGGGTTGCTCAACAAGAAAGATGGCATGAACTCGCTTCATGAGGCAGACACAGTTGATATAACACGACCATAACGATACCAAATAGAATTTGATTAGCGACTGTCTTCATAACTTAATACGTAGCAATACCCTCTTCCAGAGCTTTAATCTGCAGCGCCAGAAGACGCGAGTAATATCTGCACAGTGACAAGTTTCCACCCATAAACCAGAATCCAGGGTGGCCGCTGCGTTGCCAGATGGTCCGGAACTCACCCTCCGCGTTCAGCCCCCACACATCGCCAACGCGGTCCGCGACCTCATCACCAAAGATGATGCGTGCCTGCGTTCTCATGTTCTGGTATCCGGTCGCAAAGACGATCTCATCGGCTTCCAGCTCCGATCCATCCGCGAATCGGATTCCATTTGCCAGAATCTCACTAATCTCCTGTCCCTGCTTGACCTTCACCTTCCCATCGACAATCAACTGACTCCCTCCGACATCAATATAATAACCACCTCCACGCTGGAAGTACTTCAACAAAAGCCCCGCCTCCATGGGACCACGATCAACCTGGAATCCCGCCTTGGCCAACCCTTCAAGTGTCTTTGCATCGTTCTGATTCACGGCTTTCGTGACCTTCGTCTGCTGCAACTTGAACATCTCGAGCGGCAGACTCATCAAGTAAGTATCGGCATCCTCAGTAGGCGGAGCCGCTTCATCATAAAGGCCCTTGAGGGCTATCTCGGTGATAGAATTCGACGAGACCACACACGTCGAACTCCGCTGCACCATGGTAACATGGTATCCCTTCTCGTAGTAGTCTTGAGCAATATCATGACCAGAATTACAAGATCCAACAACAATAGCCTTCTTGCCTTTTTGTCCCTCCCTCGCACCAGGAAACTCGGAACTGTGGCAGATCTGATCACCCTGGAAATTCTCCATACCCTTGAAGGTGGGTAGGTTCTTTTTTCCGGAGTGTCCAGTGGCCTGAATTACATGGCGTGGGTGGAAAGTGCGTGTCTCAGTCGAGCCATCTGCTTTCGTGCGCTGTAGAACAACAGTCCATTGCTTCGCTTTCTCATCCCAGGATGAAGACTTCAGCTCGGTGCGAACCCATACATTGAGTTCGAGTAATTTGACGTAGGATTCGAAGAACTCGGCTAGCTTATCCTTGGGCGTGAAGATGGGCCAGTTGGGTGGAAAGGGGAGGTATGGCATGTGATCGTACCACACTGGGTCGTGTAGGACTAGTTGGTGGTAGCGGCGACGCCAGCTATCTCCGATTCGGTCTTCTTGGTCAATGATCAGGGTGTCAACATTTAGCATCTTCAGACGTGCAGCTGCAGTTAGACCTCCTTGGCCGGCACCTATAATCAATGATCTGTTAGCGTAAATGTCCCTTAATTTCTAAGAATAATTAGTCCGGCTATATACATACCCACGATGAGGACGGCAGGATCTTTGCCTTCATAATTCTCATCCGCAGTGCGTCGGTCCTGCCAGTTCGTTCGACCCTGGTGTGCTCCATGCTGCACACCAACAGGTCTGCGGCCATTGACCAATTCCTCATGGCTGGTCATCTCGTGAAGGGTTGTAAAGACGGTGAATATCTTCCATTCCTCCCCCACTTGGGCAAGCCGTACAAGGCCCCTGCCATTCCCAAACGCAGTGGTGACCTTAATAAAGAACTCGATTCCGTTGACCTCACCAAGGGCATCAATGGGACCATTATGCGGTGCCCTAAATGGCGAGGAGTGATCAAGCTCAAGCTTGGCCTCCGAGGGACTCTCAACAACAAACTTCGAGAGAGCTTGGGCTCCCTTAAGAGTCCGGAATTCCCACGAGAGACAGAGATGATCACGCCAGTAACTGTTATCAATAAATAACGACGCAAGGGCCGCAGCATCCTTCTTCGCAATGCTGCTGTTGACCTTCTCGATCAGGCTGCTAGCGATGTTCTCCGGTTTTTCGGGCGCGGTTGTACTTGTCTTGGGCAGAACACCGATCGGGATATCGCAAGAGCCTGGTACAACTCTATAGCGTGAGGGGAGGCCAGGCTGCGCCGCCACATCGATGACCGCCATTTTTGGATAGTATGAGGAGTATAAAGTGGTCAGAGCAAAGGGGTTGAGAAGAAAATGTGAGTCAGTTGGAATCAGAATGCCGAAATCTAGCGCCCGTATTTATGCGTGATTGTGTGAAGAACCCCGCACGCGTGGACGGTTGAGTGTGACCCGTATCGGAGCCTGCCTTCCCAGTGTTTTAAGCTTCCGAAGTTAATGGCACGGTTCATACAAGGGACAGGATTTGAGACTATCCATGAGGCTCTGTAATCTATATGGCTTTAGGCTCGATTGACTTTAGGCCGGGGAAGCCCAAGTATCCATGCCCCACAATTAATATATCCTCTTCTCAATCTTCTTCAGCCAAGCGATACCGATACTGGTACGAACTCGGCGGTAAGGGGCTCGGTTGTCAATTGGAGCAAACATACCAATCGCGGGGGAATCGGCGATCTTCCGAGATTCCTCCCGCTACCCCGTATAAAGCATCTTTGTTCTTAGCTTACTCGGGCATGTTCCCTTCCCAAATAATCAGACACCTACAGTGTTTTTTCTAGAGCGGTCATTGACAGATATTGATTTGTGCGCGAGAGGAAAATGACCAAATTCGGAAACCAGGCTCTATAAAGGACCAAAGGGCAAGTTCAAGATTATTTCGTCATCTGGAGAGGCCGGAACTAGACTTGCTATCTGTGAACGTCCAGGAGCGACTCGCGGCTCACCCAAAAGTTTGATTAGCAATCTCTATTCAGGCAGGAAGAAGTGCTAGCAACTGATCCTAAGTGCCCCCAAAGTGCTCCATTATGGAGCAGTTCGGGTGCTCTGGCACTGTGGAAGGCCCATGTGGCGCAGTTCAGGTGCAGTGGACATTGACCCAGACTGGAAGTTCACTACCACACAACATCTTAAAGATAAGGAGAATATCTCATGAGACGGAACACTTTGCTTCTCCATAGTCTGGGGCGCAACATTAAATTGATCTATCACAAACCATCACGGAACGAGAGTGGGTTTTGACTTGCAACGAAAGAGTGTTATCAAGATTCTTGATGTTTCTTGACTATTTTCTCCTAGTCCTGATTTTCTCGATTTTTATTTGAGTGTCATAGATATCACGCCAGCCATATTGGAACGGTAGACAGTGTGAACGAAAGCGGTCTCGGGAATCGGACTCGGTGTATTCCCACGAATTTGCCGGTCGCATTAAAGTATAAAATCGTCGTTCACAACTCCATGCTGTAGTGTATAGCATGTACGTCGCAGAGCAATCCATATCATACTATCTACCCGTTCTTGAAAATGGACATCTCTCAACTTCTCCAGTCTTTGAAATCGGTCACTTCATCCGGTCGGCTCGATGTAGATGAGCAACAGCGGGCACAACTGTCTCAAGCATGCGATCAGTTGAAAGGTCTCTGTGAATCTCCATTGGAGAAGACAATTAAGCTTCTTTTTGCTGTTAGCCTCTCCCCAGGCCTCGCTTGTCGGTATGGATAAAGCTGATGATTGTTTTTTTCCCCAGGGCCACCAAGCAATGGCAATTCGCTTGGGCGCTGACCTCAAGCTCTTTGATGCCATCGCCAATCGTTCATCAGAGCAGGAAGGTGGCAGGTTTACTGTGAGCCAGATAGCTAAAGATGTCAAGGCAGATCCTAAGCTTGTCGGTATGTTTCCAAGGCTCAACACCGAAACATTCACTGATTTGAACTAGGGAGAATCATGAGATTCCTAGCGTCAATGGAGATCCTGAAGCAAATATCTCCTGATACTTATTCTTCTACACCATTTGCCGTGGCCTATGTCTCGGCATCTCCACTATCAGCAGCGGTGATTCATTTGTACGTTCAGTCGGTAGCAAGAACGAAAGACATCACTAATCAGATGTAGCACTCACTTCCACACCATCATCTCTCGGCTCCCCGAATATTTCGAACAAAAAGGCTGGGATAATCCAGGTGACGTCGATGATGCCCCATTCCAGGTAGCCATAGGTGCCAAGTCTCGTTATTTCGACTATCTATCTTCCAAGCCATATTACCAAAACGCCTTCAACACGGTGATGGCATCATCATACCGTCGCGGCGAAGAAAGCTGGTTTGAATTCTTCCCTGTCGAAGAAAAGCTGCATGTTCAAGATCCCTCATCCGTTCTGCTGGTTGATGTCGGAGGCTGCCACGGAAAAGACCTGCAAATCTTCCACGAGAAGTTCCCCAGTCTACAAGGCAGACTTATCCTTCAGGACTTGCCACATGTCATCGAAACAGGAGATATACCCGCCGGTATTGAAGCGCAGGGATATAGCTTCTTCGATGAGCAACCCATAAAAAGAGCGAAAGCCTACTATCTTCGCAATGTGCTCCATGACTGGCCGGATAAGCAGGTTGTGCAGATTTTATCCAGAATCCGTGAGGCCATGAGTCCTAATTCACTTTTGTTGATTGAGGAAAAGGCTATGCCGGAGATGAACGTTCCGTTGATGGCTGCTATTGGTGATATGAGCATGATGGTGTCTTTTGCGGCGGCAGAGCGTACGAAGAATGAGTATGAGAGCTTGCTGGATGAGGCGGGTCTGGTATTATCTGGTTTTTGGAAGCCGCAAGGGGCATCTGCTATGCAGCCTGCTCTTTTTGAGGCCAGAATAAGGTAGTCGTGGACCACTTGGGCAATTCCGCTTTGGTAGTCAGCTGCGTGGATATTGTATGTACTTTTTAATAACGAATCCATAGATATGTGCAAAGAATAGTTGAACAATTTCATTCTAAGTGCATTCCATTCATTGCTGATGGTTATGAGGTCTGGTTTCAAGGCAAGCTTGACTACGCTAGTGGATGTGTATATATCTCTTGCATTCCGAAGTCTGCGTACACCTGTTTCCCCATCAACAAACTTGATGCGAAATAATGTTGTATATGTTGACCAAACGAAGATACTCAGTACAGGTACAAACCAGAAACGCTTCTGAACATGGTTTCGATGAAGCGAACATGGAAAGTTAAAGAAAATCTCCAATGCACAAATTTGTAGAATTGGAATGGGGGGTTTGCTTAGGTAGATTGTAGTCTCCATTCATGGTACACTATTTTGAACCCCATTACATGAACTAGCATCATTGGTCTAGTGGTAGAATTCGTCGTTGCCATCGACGAGGCCCGTGTTCGATTCACGGATGATGCATTTCTTTTTTGTCTTTCTGTGGATTTCACTCCCGGGACTCCCGGCAAATCTCTATTTTTATCTCCCCCCTTAATCTACCAGATGGGAAGTTACACCGAAGGAATGTTAAGCTATTGGGCACTAGCGATTCTAGGGACCTTTGTTTTTGTACCCCATAGCCGCAGTGGTCACACCGAACAAGAATTGTCCCTGAATAACCACTCTTTGGTCGTTCTAGACCGCTATTAATATGCCGGTAGCCAGGGCAAACACCCGCTAACGTTCCGCTAAAAGGCCTCGTAAGCCCGCTCGTATTGGAGCGACGCGTTCCCGGAGCCACTTATCCAGCTTTTCAGTCATCTTGGCAGGGCTGACGAAGAAAGTCTCGCCACTATAATATGCCTAGACTTCCGCCCAATCTGCATGCGGGGAGATCTCGCGTGTCTCCTTATCCGCCCCTGGGATCAATTTGCGTTCGCGTTCCAGCATTGAACCAAAAGATGCTGGTTCCCGAATTGACTTTATGAAATCAACATTCAAGTATTCGCCATGAGTCGAACCAGACGCCAATGGCTGGGCCTCTTCCTGGCAATCTTCTTCATATGCCTGCTCTACCAGCAACGTCGCTCTTTAAATGAATACCATGCCCAATCAACAACACCGATAAATGAACACATTGACACTCCGGAGGTCCTTACTCCAGATGTTCCAAGACCAGACTTCCAAAATCCCGATTTTCCCAGCGAACCGCCTGTTGATAACTCCCACGACACCATTTGGAGCCGGCTGCCTATCCGCCACCTCGTCGTACCTTCCTTACTCCCACCGACCCAATCGCGCCTCGGTATGCCCAAGATTCAAGCAAGCGATTCGAGCTTCTCCCAAATCACAACTTGGTTCCAGAAAAGCAGACAGGCGGCGGTCAAGGAAGCATTCGGGCGATGCTGGGAGTCATACAAGTGGCTTGCGTGGCAGACCGACGAGCTTGCGCCCATGAGCGGTTTGCCTAGTAATGGACTTGGTGGCTGGGGTGTGACGTTGGTAGACAACCTGGATACACTATGGATCATGGGAATGCGATCGGAGTTCGACACAGCTGTTAAGGCCGTTGTCGAGATCAATTTCGAGACCACTCAGTTGTCGGAAATCAACACGCATGAGATAAATATTCGCATTCTGGGTGGTTTACTGGGCGCGTTTGATCTAAGCAATGATCGTCGATTGCTGAACAAGGCGATCGAGGTTGGTGATATGCTTTATGCGGCGTTTGACACGCCGAACCGCATGCCGATCACCCATTGGGATCTGCACCGAGCCGCACGGCAGGAAGAACAGTTCGCCGAAGAAGTGGTCTCTGCTTCAGAACTCGGATCTTTTATTCTTGAGTTCACGAGACTGTCGCAATTGACTAGCGATCCCAAATACTTCAACGCCGCACAACTGGTCATGGAGAGACTCAGCCAATTGCAGGATTCGACCAAGCTTGCAGGAATGTGGCCGGTGGTCCTGAATGCCCGAACGGAGGTATTTGACGGAGACTTCTTCACATTGGGTGCCGAGGTCGATTCCCTGTATAAAACATTGGCCAAGGCAGATATGTTACTTGGAGGTTATTTCCCTGTGTATCGCAAGATGTACGAGAGATCGACACGAACCGTCGCTGGACACCACCTCTTCCGCCCCATGACTCATGATAACAAAGACATTCTTGTCCCGGGATCAATTCGCGTGATGATGACACAGAATGGAAAGCAACGTACACTATTGGAAAGTCAAGTTCACCACCGTGCGTGCTTCACAGGAGGCATGTTCGCATTGGGTGGCGCACTCTTCGGCATTCCGACCCACCGCAAAATCGCGAACAAGTTGGTTGATGGCTGTATCTGGGCTGCCCAGTCCATGCCTCTGGGAATCATGCCCGAGGTGTATGAGACGGTCCCATGTGCTTCTCAGACCGAATGTCCATGGAACGAGTGGCACTGGAAGCAAGAAGTCTGGAAGAGCGTGAACAACAGTCCAGAACCAGATCCCGACATGGACATCGATGCCTATATCCGTGATCATCATCTGCCTAAAGGCTTCATTGCCATCCCCGACACTCGTTACAATTTGCGACCGGAGACTATCGAGAGCATGTTCAACCTTTACCGCATTTCCGCCCGCGAGGACTTACTCGATACTGCCTGGGGTATGTTTGAATCGATTCAAAATACCACCGAAATCATCAATGGCAACGCTGCCCTCGCCGACGTTACGACTCCGACCGAAGAACCAGTTCACATTGACTCCATGGAAAGTTTCTGGATGTCACAAACGTTGAAATATTTCTATCTCATGTTCAGCGCGCCAGATGCCCTCAGTCTGGATGAATATGTCTTCAATTCTGCTGGACATCCTCTCAAGCGACCGGAGACGGAATGGATACAATAACACCCCACTCTTTATATTTTCCTTGCTCAATTGATTTTTCTTACGAGTGTAAGATGCATGTACATAGCGTTGGTGTTAGGGCCAGTATACAATATCCGGGAAATACTTGCATATGATTGATCGCTTAGATGAACATACATATCCTCCACCAGATTCGATAAATATCCATGAGTAATGTTATTCTAGATCGTTGATGTAAGAGTAGAATAGAGTTCCGTCACATCTTGATCTGCTAGCGAATCGCCGTTTTTGGATCTTATCAATTTCCCCGGCCCCTGCCGACCCGACAGATAATTCCGGGAAAACTCCCCCACCTTTTCATGTTCTTCATGGAATTGGCCATTTTGAAGAATGGAAAGTAAGGACCCAGATGCAGGAGTGCTAAGATCTCATAACCAAAGCTCATCTGAAGAGGCTGGTCCCGATGCTCCCAACATCCTTTCCGACACCGAGAACTCTGGGGAATTCGGGGAGAATGCCGAGGATAATAATGTAACCCCGAAAGCCTCATCGACGAAGTCCAATCGTTGGGATTTTATTATCAATGCTTTACTATGGGCACCACCATGGTGTCGATGGAACATGGAAAGCCCACCCAAATTTGGGATGCCATTAAATATATTGTTTGCCTTTGCTGGAACGTTCACGGTATGTTCTGGACCAAAGCCGATCCCCACATATCCACTTTGTTGGTGAGACACCACTGATATGATCTATATAGGTTGCCAATCTATACTATGCACAGCCTCTTCTGGATACGCTTGCTAGCTATTTTGATGTGTCCCATGAGCGAGCATCCCTAGTCCCCACCTGCAGTCAAGCTGGCTATGCTACAGGGTTGATTCTTCTCTGTCCCCTTGGGGACCTGGTTCGGAGAAGGCCTTTTGTCCTGCTTCTGACATTTATAACGGCGACTCTATGGATTGGCATGTGTATCACCAAATCTTTCAATGTCTTCCTTGCTATAAGTTATCTTTCTTCAGTAACCACTGTTACTCCGGTAAGTCACGGAAGCAAGGCATCTTATCTACATGGATTCTCAAATGTTAGCTTGAGTGTTTGCTTATCATGACCTACAGCAAATTATGCTTCCCCTGGTGGGAGACCTTGCCCCTCCAGCCCGACGCGCAACGGCATTGTCAATCGTCGGATCAGGACTAGTCCTAGGCCTACTATTTGCACGACTCCTCTCCGGAATTATGGCTGAATACTCTTCATGGAGGAACATATACTGGCTATCCCTTGCATTGCAATATGCAATCTTTGTCTTGCTCTGGGCATATATGCCGGATTATCCTCAAACCAACACCGACATCTCCTACCTCAAAGTCCTCACCTCAATCGTGCAACTATTCATTACAACCCCAGTCCTGGTATACGCCACGTTTATGGGATTCTTCCTCTCAGCAACATTCACCAGTTACTGGACAACACTCACCTTCCTTCTCTCCGGCGCACCATACCACTACAATACAGTGACAATCGGACTGTTCTCGTTAGCAGGTCTAACGCCAATGTTCCTGGGTCCCTTCTATTCTCGATATGTCATTGATAAATATGTTACGCACGTGTCTATTCTCATTAGCCTGACGATCTGCCTTACTGGAATCTGCATCGGTGCATATACGGGTACATTTACAGTGGCGGGCCCCATTCTACAAGCAGCGTTGCAGGACTTTGGTCTCCAAATGACGCAGATTTCAAACCGTGTTGCCATATACAGTGTTGCGCCGAAGGCGCGCAGTCGGCTTAATACTGCCTATATGATTGGAGTCTTCTGTGGTCAGCTCATGGGAACTGCGGTTGGAAATAGAGTATATGGCCAAAGCGGATGGATCATGAGCGGGACGGTTAGTGTGATTTTCGTTGTGGTATCTTTTGCCATTTGCATGTTACGGGGCCCGGCTGAGAAAGGATGGGTGGGATGGAGCGGTGGCATGCGGATACGAAAGGTCGAAACACAATGATCAGCTTTTAGAAGACCCAGACAAAATACTAGTGAAGTGGTCTATGAATTCTATACACAAGCGAAGTGGAAGCCGAGTACTAGCCACTTCGAAATTAATTAGGAGCTTTATAATTGAACACCACAAGATTAGCTGAACACCTTCACCAACCGCTTTCAAAGTAGCACAGTATTCAAGATTCAGAGAGTAATATTATTGAGTACATACTCAGGTACCTACTTATATACACTACTCTATAGGATATGCTGGAATGTTAAGGTTATTAAAAAGTGGTGCCCACTAAGCCACCTTTTCCTACCTATTCCATGCCCTAACGAAGCATTTTCTCGTATATTGACGGAATTAAGCGAGATGATGTGATTCCCATTGATGCTGAACATGATATTTCTTCCGAAATACAATTACTGCGCCATACCAGATATGAATGATGTGGTGCTCAACTAGTGAGCTCCATTAATTATATGATATTGCCTTCTATATGTCAAAACCCAGTTTTAGGCGGATCGAATGCGCTGGCATCGACAAATGAAGGAAGATCCCAAAAGTTCAAGTCCTCCAGTCCCGAGCCAGGATACTAGATAAAAATTAGTCAACTTGTCAGATGAAAGTGAGTGTAGAGACCAACCATAAAGTCAGAACCTAGACTAGAGCCAAATGTACTCTCAGGTGTCCAAATACTGGAATCACCGATGGTGGCTTGTAAGGCCTCGTCTTCGGTGACTTGAAATCCGGTAATATGTTGCTCAAGCAATGTACGACAAGTTTCCATGCTAGCCATGAATGCTTCATGAATTTGGCCCCAGTTACTGTGCTCATCAGGGGGCATGGATTGAAGTTGCGCCAGAACTCCTACCAGCAGACAGTATCGCTTCATGCTCGGGATGCCTACCTCCAGACTGGTATAAAGGTGACCCTTGATACGCTCCAGTGCTTGAATGAGCGGGATTCGAGCAGCGTTTGCGATCTGGTCAACCGCAGTCGGAGTGAAAGGGGAGAACCCTTCTGGGTGAGCGCCGAATTCTTCTTCGAGTTGTATGATTAGCTCCGATGAGATGACGATCATTACGTCTAGGGACAAGTGTGCTTTGAACAATCCCGATCCTGAGAATGCAAGTCGTTGGAAATCTTGATATGGTTGCCGATCAGTGTCTGGGATGCCTTCGGGCACCTCTCCATATGAAGCCATGACAAGAGCGGAATCGAGACTGAGTTTTCGGGCGAGATAGAAACGAGGGTCTTTTGCAGCTTGGATAGCGAATGGTCGATATAGATTTAGCAAGAAACGTCGGAGTAGGGTGTCCATCACTCGGTGGTGGAACTGGGTGGGTCGGTATTTGGATCTTCTTGTACTCGCGGTATAAGCACGAAACAGCACTGCCATTTCCTTGCAGGCCGAAGTAAGTATACTGCCTAGCTGCAGCGCAGTTTCGTAGAGTTGTTCTCGACCACACTCGTTGATGGTCCTTGCGACTTGCAAGCGGGTTGGAAAGGACCGCAAGAGCAGAATTTGCAGCGAGGAGTCTGTAAAGAAATCTTGGAGTTGGATAGGTGGTAAGACTGTAGTATCAGGATCAATATCCTCGTCATCGATATTAGCTGGCGGTCGAGTGTCATAGTCCGCTTCAGCAAGTAGCGGTGGCATTGCTGCATCAATGGCCAGTTGAACATTGAGTTCCAATATAGTCGCCCATATCCGACGTCGCATTTCACCATCAAAGATAGATATTGTCGGAAAATTGCAGGGATCGCGATGTAGTCCCTGGCTGACTGCTTGTCGTAATAAAGTTCCAGCCGACATCCAATTCCATTCCTTATCCATAGCATAAGCTTGACGGCAAATCAGAAGCAGACAGTAGACCTGCAAGCCCTCCAGGTTTCCAATCTCCTTGGAAGATGGACCAGATAACCACCACTGTGCCGCATAAACCCAGCGCTGGATCGGCATACCGAGCTCATTCAATGGTCCAGGCTTGCAATGGAAGATAGATCCGATAGCAAGTATCAACAGAAGTTTGAGCACAAACCCCCTTGAGGCTAGTTGAGGATCCTCCCAGAATCTTTCGTATTCTTGGTTAAAGGTTGGGACATGAAGGACGCGGTAAATCATTCCAAGTGTGCGTAAATAGTGCTGGACTAGCTCGTTGCATATCTCCCTTGTGGGTAGGTCACTCAATAGACCTGGTGCGGGATCTGCCAGCCGCGGTGCCTGCCGACCCTTGATACGATGTCGCAGTTTGCGAATATCTGTGAGTGATTTGCTGATTGAGTTGTGTTCCCCATTGGTAGAGCTAGCTGTGCTTCGCACTTGGCGTAGAATGCGGAACTGAAGGGGGTCAATTGAGTGACCATATAAATGGTTCAAGGAGACTTACCTGTTGAAACACAAGAGCCCAATGTGTCGTACCAAACAGCTTTATTCTTCCATTGTCATTTTTGATGCGAGGTGCCAGAGGGGAGATAAACGTTTGAGGCTGCTCCGATCCACTAGGCCTGCCAGCGACGTGATCAACCGTTCCACTTGATTGCTGGGTATCTGCATCCGCGCGACGGCCTTGGCTATCTTGGACCGCATTTTGCTCCAAATCCTGCACACGACTCTGCAGAGCTTTAATACTGCGTTCAAGCTGCGCTATTCGAGCACGGTCGGCAGAGCTCTGGCCAGTGCCGGAGGAGACATGTTGCTCATCAGAATTTGAAAGAATATCTTGTTCACTTAGTCGAGACGACTCTAGCCTAGCGTCTAATGCAGCCTTACCCTCGTCGACATATGCGCAGTCCAGCGAGGGGTGGGACTTGATGCAGGGGCCACATGGCATTTCCCGGTCGCACCGTACCTTGCGTCGACGACATTGCTCGCATGCTAGCGCAGGTCTTCGGCGTTTTCGTGGACTTGATTGGGAACTCAGATTACCACTCATGTCGACAACTAAATTGCATAATAATTTGAATTGAGATCGACGAAATTCCTCAGCCTCGTAAGTCGTTAGCGTCAATGTCGCTGAATTCCGGCAAATTCCGGCGAACTGCGGGGATTTGGTGATCGCTGATCGATCGCCTCCACGCATTCAATCCACTTTAAGATCAATAGTTGATTAATTAACTTCTTGCTCCATTATTTTTTAATTTTGATAATTTATGTTTATTTTAATGTCCGGGGTATCTATTCACTATGTTCATGTGAGCCGTATATGTCCAGTAGCCCACCCATTACCCCTTTTGCCCAAAACACCAAAAAGACCCATAGAAAATACAAAGAAATATAGTAAAGAAGGTCTATCCGCCAAAAGACATGGCGCGTTTCCTTGTGGATCTCCTCCGAAGTCCAGCCTCTCGGCTCTTACGTCCCATGCGACCCAAGGCCATCGTTTCGAGGGTGTAAGGCTTTCCGCCCCAAAGAATGTTGTTGCCCTTCTTCTGTTGGAGAGGCGGAATCCAGAAGTGTGTCACAGCAGCACCGAGGATCATACAAGCACTAAAAACAAAAAGAACAATGCCGTGGTGGCGAGTTGAGACGTCTCCGAGACCACCGCCGAAACGGTAGTAGGTTGAGAAGACTTGGACGAGGATGGAGCCCAGCTTGCCGGCGCCGGCGCTAAGTCCGTAGCATGTAGCTCTATACCGGGTAGGGAAGATCTCGGCGGGGATCATGTAAGTTGTGGCGTTGGGACCTATGTGATGTTAGTTGGATGTTGCAGGAATTGAAACGATGAACATACCGAAGTTGAAAAGGATCTGGCCGAGGATGTATAATGCAACTGAAGCCGCGGGATTGCTGATCAGACAAACGAACATGCTTCCCAATGCAATGAAAAGCGCTGAGAGACAGAGGAAAGTGTATTTTTGCAGGGCGACTCGTTCAATGCGATGGGCGAAAATAATGAGGAGGAGACCACCGACGAAACTGCCGATGTTCAGAATCACCAGAGCACGAATGGAGGTCTGGAAAAACATGTCATAGACGCTAGCTCCTGCACGAGAATCGGTCATCCAGTATGGCTCGGATGTGGTGATATGTAGCTGGCCCCAGGTCTTAGCCAAAAATTGTGGACTGGCAAGACTAATGCCATAGAAACCGAAGTCCATTAGCAGCCAAGAAATCGTAGTACCAGCCAGACTGCGCCAGTTGCCTTCTGTCCAGAAATATCGAATAATGTCAGATTTGGCAAGCCGCCAGTGGGAGTTGAGGGTTGCCGGTGGTAAGGAACTGTATTCTTCGTCTTCGTGAATGGAGTCGCTAGCCAGGGAAGACATGGGTGGGAGTTGAATCGAACTGCCCATGATAGAAGTTATGTTTCCAAAACCCTGTGCATCGAATCCAGAGCTGATGGACGGTTCCGTAAAGAGAGTTGTTGCATCAAATTCCGCGGTCACTGGGTCGTCGTCGATTTCAACCAGGTAACGAGGACTCTCCGGAATGGCGAATCGGAAGAGGATTGCAATGGCACCGGGTACGACACCAATGCCCAGAACCCAGCGCCACATGCTGTCGACGCTGCGAGTAAGATCCGCGCTGTTACTGTTTCTGCCGACTGCGATCACGATTAATGAAACCAGATTTCCTGCAATTTGGCCGAGAGGCTGCATGAAGAAGACGGTGGCCATCATGCGGGCACGGTGCTTTGTAGGAGCAAACCTGTGACCTTGTCAGTGCTCTGTACAGATTGCTATGATAGGATCGGTACGTACTCTGATGTAATGACAGCACTGAGGGGGTAATCTGCTCCAACACCAATGCCGACACAGACTCTCCACCAGATCAACCAGGTAAAGATGCTCATACTGCCATTCTTGCCTTCGGAAGACATGACCACGCCGAGTGTGGCAGTGATAAGCAGAACCAGTTCAACACCATACATCTTCTTCCGCCCATTTTTGTCTGCCAAAAATCCAAATAGCACCATGCCGAGCAAGGTTCCGGCTAATGTGGCGATGTTGATGCAAGTCAAACGAAGCGAGGAGGTGTCATCTTGCCAATAAACGTAGGAAATCATCGGAAGGGCCATATTACTGGCAAAGAGCTTTGGAAGAACTGTCAGTGGCCATTTTATTTCCAATTTCTCTTCGTTCCGACTCCTACTCACAGTGTAACCATCAAGGAAGAAGCCGAGACCGGCAACGAGAACCACAACCCATTGATAGCCTTGTCGGTCAATAGTGTCATAGATCTGTCGCATACGCACATATCGATCCTAAATTTTGGTCAAGAATGTCAGTACAACGCCTTCATTCCAACCAGCTTCAAGACCAAGCTAACCTGTTCATGATCGAAATCCCGCGCACGATCGGTCTTGTATAACCGGGCGTGAAACTTCCCCATGGTGAGCTATTTCCCCTCAGGTTCAAGTTTGTAGAAGGATTTTGCGGAAGGAAGCAGCCATGATACATATGTGCTCCCGCCTGCAGTGCGGGGCCAATCGGACCTGGAGGTAGAGCCTCGAGCGGACAGACCCCTGTTCGCTCTAGCGCAGGCTAAAAGGACGCGAAGGGATCCACTTACCGATGCAGCCAAACCCATTGATTCCTCACCCCACGTGCGGACCTCCAGACCACTGAGACGTTCTGCGGGAGCCCCACATTGCTTGGATTCCACGCTTGACTTGACCACGTTGGGGGCAACGACAATGGCGCCTTGTCTATTTAACTTTGCAAGTGGGGGAATCGGATAAAATTGCAATCAAAAGAATCAGAAGCAAAAAAGAATTAATCTAGACAAATGAAATTCTCGTATAATGGTATCACAGTATCACAGTATCACAGTATGTATCACACGGTACGCCTCACGCCATAAACCCCGCCATGCAAATTTATACAAAACGAAATTAAGTAATTATTCATCCAATCGTAAGCTCCGTTGATAGCAGCTGGCAAAACCTCTTGCAATCTAAGAACCGAATAAGCGATCGCTCGGATGTCCCGGCATGGAGCACTTACCGTCGTCGTCCAAGAAATGGATCGTTAAATTCCGCATTTGCATCAGGATGTCAAAGTTCGGGTCCAACTCTAGTACAACTGGCCGTCCGGCCTTTTTTGGTGGTTTGACATTCGCAACGCAGTTGACTAGAATTGGTTAGAGAGACAGATGGTCATAATGCAGATGCCGTACTTACGTGGAATGGACACGTATCGCTTGAACTCTTTGCGCTGGGAGTTGGCAAAAAATAGCATGACCCGTTTGCCATTGTGGCCACGGAGAATCCGGAGATTTTGACTGATGCATTCTTCGCCGCGGCCCTTGGACTTGGCCTCGGCCATGCCGCCGATGAACATCATCTTAGAGCAGAGGAGAATCTCTTGGAATTGTGCGCAATCTGTCCATTTGTCAGCTTGTTCCTGCGGGTGGCGAGTTCGTATCGGTCGCATACCTTCCCAGTTCTCAAATTTGTAGGAAAGTTGCGTCATAAAGACCACTTGTGCAGTTTGGACGGTTTGGTGCTCGAGGAATGAAATTCGGAGAGGGTATTCTGCAGAGTCTTTGGGATGCTCAAGATGCGGAACTGGTAGCTTGGTGTTGTGAACTGCCAAAGTGTTTGATTAGCCTCCGTGTGCAGTGTAGAACTTTTTCTCTGAACTTACACGCATGGACGAAGGGTGTTTGTTGACCGAGACCTCCCCCAAGCTCGAGACACCTCAGGGCCCCCGTCGAGTCTTTGCAGACATCAATGAAGGTATAGCGTAACTTAAAAAGTTGGCCATTCTTGACGAATGATCTGCAAGAAAGGTTAGTTCGCGATCAGAAAGGGTCCTTGTGGGGGAGGATCAAAGCACGAACATCGTCATATGTGGATTCAATTCTAGTCGTATCACATCTTCGTACAACTGCCATGACTGCTTTCTTGAGCCGGGGGAGGTCGCGGGGCTCTGAAAGAGAATGCTGGTGGAGGCGGACGACACGGTGGAGGTTGAGACCGTGCTTTCACGGCGCGTAGTGGTGCTTGCCCACTCCTGAAATTCTGGGGAAACTAACGGGTTCATGACCGCTGGCCTCCAGGCGCGCGGAGGTTTGGAGATTCGGACTCAAGACAATATCGCATCTGCCAACGGGGTAGATCCCATATCAGATTGACCGAGAGGAACCATGACATAGTAGGATTGACGAGGCCGAACAATGGATATATGGAAGGGCGTGATAAGCGCTGCCGGACTCACCTTGAAAGCGGGTGGATCTCGGCGGCGAACGTGCTGAAATGGCTGGCTAGGAAATCTCCCCGGGAGGATCCACTTCAACGTATGTTCTTCCCATGTGGCATTGCCTTCCGATTCAAGACACTGTCATTTCAGGGTGCCTAGACTCGGTAATGGTCATGAACTATAGCATTCTAATACGGATTACTTTTCAGGTATCTGAGCATGGTCCAACTGTCTCTGGCAATCTTCCCTTCGATCCTGGCTTTTCCGATAATCTAGAACGTCAGGTTCTTAGATTTGGGTTTACAGATCCCATGGATCTTGCTTTGACCTGAAATCCATTTGCCGGGATTCTCCCGAATCTTTCTCGAAAAGATCTGGAACAAATCATGCCGATCGACACGTGTGGTCATAGCTTTGAATGCGAAGAGGCTGACTTGTAAGGCATCCCTAAAAAGAGGGGCGATGCACTGATAATAATAAGTTTCTATCCTGCATAGAGCTCTAAAAACAGCATAGTCCTCCCTTTGTACTCCCTTGTTCTTTTTGCCCGGGCAAACCTCATGACACGGAGTGCCATGGAGTTTCTTTCTTCCATAGGGTTAATACCGAACCATGTATGACAGAAGATCGTACCGTTGCGTTACCAGCTCCCAGTTAAACTTCCACAACAACCAGCGCAGGGATAATTATCATCTCCACCATAGCAATATATCTCTCAATACACGTGCGCCGGCGTGACCCCGAAATGCTGGGATGCGTCCACCTTATCGCCAAGTTCTTCCAGCCACCGGACCGGAACAATCTTGGGCGCTCGGTAAAAGAGATCTGGATGCAGAAAGACCGAGCTTCACATTACGCCAACCACTTTAGATGCAGGGACTTAAAATCCACATACCAAAATGGGGTGGTCTGTCCGGCGCCACATGGGTCCCGGAAGGACGGGGTTGAGACGCATGAACACTACATCCACCAGGGGCACGCAGGCAGTCATACTCTTCCAACTGATCTCCTTGTATGGGTTCAAAGTGGATATTTATTGATCTGTGAGCTGCTGGTAATAACCAGTATAGCTTCCTGGGTCCACATTGTTATCGTCATCTACAAGCCTTGGCGACCGTGTCTCCCACAGTGCCGAGAATAGTTGTTTCACCGAGCTCAGAAATATGCTGCTAGCTTTGAACTTTGGTCTCTTTGTTTTGTGGTTCAATTAATGGTGACCCTCATAATGTCGGCTCGTTTGCCTCCATTGAAGCTTGCCGTGGAGGGCGCTTTAGGGTATGTTGACCCGTCGTGCCCATCACCTGAATGCCGACGGCGGAAAGTACGTCCGAGGTAGAATATCCCTGATGAGAACCGAGGCCTTCTATACCAGTTGGCAAATATACGGCTTCATAAAAACACGCATTCGAAATCAGCTTTGAATGTGAGCTGGCAATGATGTTCGACAAGGCGCAGCCAAGATAATCTTAAACACCAATCCATCCTCCCTCCCCCTTTTTTTTTGCTCAGCCACAGCCCAAGCTTACTGAGAAATGGCAGAATGATTCGAGGTCGATGCTTTGCCATTGATGTATTTGTGGCAGATGTCCTCGGTTGGAAGCGGCTTTGCATTTGTTGTTTCTCCGCTGTTTGCCCGCACCTATAGGCTATAGACCGTCGCCTAGCACTCCTGGACCGCAATACCAAAACCCAAGAGCCGACTTTCATGAATCTAAGGGCAAAGGGCTCATGATTCGCCTTTTTTCGACAAAATCCTGCGGGATACTGATTATTGCTGACGTTTGATCTTGTACGTCAAATGACACGCAAGGCGAAATCACGAAGATGGAATGACTGCGCCCGAAGTCATTCTTCAGCTCTTGGCAACCCAGAAGACATGGACTCTGCAGCATTCGTGTCATATTTTTCAAAGAGTCGCTTGAACCATTCAGGTCAAATAGGCTACAATGCATGGTTTCGGACACGGTTATGCTTCTGAAGTTCCAATAATAAGAGTCAGCGCAATATATTAGTCGATACGAGGCAGTGGATGTGGAAATAATGCTACTGCCAGAGCCTCGACGCGCAGTCATCGAAGGGGTGGCTTTGGAACACGAAGGAGAAAAAGTGACAGCCATTCAAGGCATTCTGCCTCGCATCTACTAGTCTACTACCGACAAGTAAAAGATTGATGGCTTCGGAGAGATGCTAAGATGTTGCAAACTGACTTTGTCGTCATCATGCTGTCATCACGAGAAGCTCTTAAACTTGGGGCCTAAACAACAAAGTTTCCAGTATCTTCATGAACTCACTACGCTCGATGCACTGGGTGGAGTTGCTTTAGTCGGGGACTAAAAATTGACAGCATCGAGAGATGAACGACTCTACCTGCAATATGGAGTTGCGCATTTGACATACGCTTGATGGCATAAAGTATAACACAAAGGAAAATAGGTCCCCATTGTGGTTTATTCGTACTAATTCGGACATCTTATAAGAGGAGGCTCTTCCGAGGATACTATACTATTCGTCACGGCAATGATCTACTATGTCCTCTTGATCACCCAACTTCTGATATGACTTACATCCTGAACATTGCTTTCATGTTTGCTACACAGCGCCTAACTATACAAAACGAAACCTTGAGCAATGTGTTTTAAGTTATTTTTGATTCTGTCTACACTAGGCCTTACTGCGGCCGAAAGCTCAGTCACATCTCTATTTATGTTTGGTGCTAACAAACAGTCTCTGGTCGGTTCGGTCGTCAAGACGGTTTGTAATGATCAACATTCCAACTCGATACCCTTTGGCATCATATGTGCTAATAATTCGACGAACACTAGGACTCAAAAACAACAACGTATAGCATCACTTGTCCATCCGGCTCCAACTCTTCTAATTGTGGAGTGCATCCGGGCCTCCTCTATACCGAAGGTCCAACCACAGTTGAGTGGGCATTGAAATCGCCATACATCTCGTAAGTTTGCCCGCAAATAAGAAATAATTTGAGTCTTGCTCACAATGCACGATAGTGCTGGAGATGGGCATATAACCTGCTCTACCGGTGGTAGCACATCTGCTGTCTGCACTGAAATGATTTCGACTAATGGCTTGAATTTCCTCACTGAAACAAAGACCTTGAACCAGAATCAAATTACCTTCTTGGCTGTTACTATTACCGCCGGTCCTACTGCGACATCGGCCAACACCGCCGCTACATCTACAGACACCACCGCATCGATAATTCCCAGTGGGTCTGGGACAGGGTCTGCTAGTGGGGATGTGCCTAAGATTACCGCACCTCTGCAGGTCATTATGGGTGGACTGGCCGTGGGATTAGTGGCCTTTGCCTTATAAGAGGTATACTTTACTACAACATCATTCATCGTTTGGAGATTCTTGTGTGTGTTAAAACAATTCGGAGCGAATAATATGAGTTGAAAATGCCAACAGTCTACATAAAATATCATTTCGGATTTAACGGACCTTAGATGCCGAAGCGCACATGTTAGATCCGGGACCCCTCAAGTGTCAAGTATTCAGCAAGACTTTGATAAAAATATAAATACTCATGTCAGATAGACCTACTGAGTCCATTTACTGCCGAAAATACCCAAAGACTCTTCTCAATTATGTCAAAAATGCCAATGCTCGCAGGAAAGCCTATCACCCAGAACGGCCTGGGCCTCATGCGTAAGAGTTCCTCCGGATTTGACTAAAATAAACAGTCTAAAACTCTCTTGGGCCTTACCTGGAAAGATGATGTGACTCCTGATGAAAAGGCCTTCAAGATCCTGAAAGCTGCCCTCGCCGCCGGAGTCAACGTCTGGAATGGTGCCGATTTCTGCGGCACACCTGACAACAACTCCCTCCATCTGATGAACCGCTACTTTACCGCGTACCCCGAAGATGCTGAAAAGGTCGTACTGTCAATCAAGAGTGGCATCATTGATATGCGCACTTTCACAATGGACGGTTCCCGCAGTGCGCAGCTTCGTAGACCGCGCGAACAAAATCCTCGACGGGAAGAAGAAAATCGATATATTCGGCTGTGCCCGTGTTGACAAGAGTGTGCCCATCGAAGAGACCGTCGGAGCTCTAGCCGGGTTGGTCAAGGAGGGAAAGATTGGCGGAATCTAAATGAGCGAAGTGAGCTCTGACACGATCAGGCGCGCAGCAAAGGTCACACAGATCGACATGGTCGAGGCGGAGATTAGCCTGTGGGCTACCGACGTCTTTGAGAATGATGTTTCGGAGACATGTGCCCAGCTAGGAATCATTATGATTGCCCATACTCCTCTGGGGGCTGGTATGCTCACGGGCCAGATTAAGAGCCTCGATGATATGCCTGCCAATGATTATCATCGATTTTTTCCCACGTTTTCAGCCTGAGAACTTCGGTACAAATTTGCAGCTTGTCGCGAAGGTCAGGGAGACTGCGAAGGGGAAGGGGTGCACGCCGGCTCAGCTTGCGCTTTCTTGGATTAAAGCTCAAAGTGGTCAACCTGGAATGCCAATCATTGTACCCGTGGCTGGGGCAAGATCGGAGGAGCGAGTGCGGGAGAGTGCGACAGATGTCCAATTATCAGATGCGGATATTGTGGCTATTAGATCTATCTTAGACAGATTCCCTATTGCCGGTGATAGATACCCCCCGGCTGCTGCGAAGCTGAATGAGTATTGAATATTTACGATCTCAGGAAGGGCTCATTGCATGTGATTTGGCTCTCGACCTTTCTATGGTGATAGAGGGATGATGTCTATCCTCAAACGTGTAATTAGAGCCAAGTCGCTTCAGTATGAGATATCAACGTAGCAAATTATGAAAGGGTATAAGCAGTGCAGATGCAAAAGGACTATAATACATATTTTAAAATAAAGACAGAGATTGTCTGAGATGAGAACACCAAGGAAATTCTATAGAACGATGGCAAGACCAAGTAGACCCGCAACACCAGCAAAGCCCATAGCGACGCCGGCAGTCGCAACAGGCGCACCTCCAGTCGAAGTAGCAGTTGAAGGGGAAACGGAAGCAGTAGATGTCTCGGAGGAAGAAGTAGCGCCAGAGGTTGCTGTACTGTTGGAGGAAGCCTTTTTCTGAGTAGTAGTGGCAGTAGCCGTGTTGATAGCAGAAGCAGTGGCAGGCGTAGCATCTTTAACCGTGGTCGTGTCATCAAGGGCTGCCGTGGTGGCACCAACAAAGTTCTCGGCAAAGCCGCCTTGGGCCGAAGCCCAGGCCTTCACGCTGCTGGGTAGAGAATTGTACCAGGCCGGTAGGGTGCCGGCTTCGATCTCACTGATGAGTGCAGAGCGGGAGCTCGCATCCATGATTTCCTCGTACCAAGAAGCCGGGATAGCGGTTTCTAGTACCGTGAGGATAGAATTAGGGACTGATGTGGTGGTGGCTGATGAGGCTGGCACGGGGAGGCTTTCAGCGAGAGCTTGAATCTTAGCCATATCATCATCATCGGAGGTGACGGGACTGGCCAAAGCCGGTGTGAGGAAAAGAAGGGCAACGAATGTCTTCAAATGCATTCTGACGGGTATTGTGTTGATTGCTGCAAAGGGTTCAGTTCAAAGTTAAGAGAACCGGGCTAGTTAAGATGTCAGTTATATGAAGACATAATATTCCTTCAGTAGGTCAGTAGTCGGTAAAAATGGCCGTTTTACAGTTCTTGCAGGGTCTTTCGGGGTTCTGCACTGTTTCAGGGTTCTTACATATCCATTGTAAGCAACTAGGATCGCTAGCCGCAAGCCCAGACCCGTTAAGGCCCCTTAACTACCAATCGGAGCTTGGTTACCACATTCAAGCTCGCTTACAACCATTGCCCCTGAATCCGTTTCCAATCAGAGCTGCCCTCATTTAACCCATTGAGCGCCACAATTCAGAATAAACTTATCCATATTCCGATTCAGGGAATGGGACACAAGGGACCAAAATTGGATATCATGTCGGAGAACCCCTGAGCCGGGACTCCGACATTTCTTAGTTCAGATAAGCAATTTTGAGGCTGATTTGTGCCAGGCCTCCAAAAGTCAATTCTTCAAATACAAAGTATATTCACTACGCGCAGGAACAAATGATGCAAGCCATCAACGTATAGGAATCTCGGTCGGATCACCGCTAGTATCCTCCCGGAACAGCGTGAGAAGTGCCTTTGGCGGCCAGGCTCTCGGGGTATAATCACAGTATATCTCGTACTCACCGGAAGCAAATTGGATGCCTTGCTCTGTTGAAGTATCGCCGTCGTGTCGTTGTCTATCCGGTAATACAACATAGGCCGTCGAATTAGGAGGAATGATCAGCTGCATGCGAAATTTGCCTGGGCCATCCAACTTCCAAGAACTTGTTATCAACCCATAGGGGCTATCGTATTGTGCCTCTGCAGAAGTCATACCACCCCCAGGCACAGGTCGGACAAGGAATTTCTTCCAGCCAAGTTCTGTGGGGCTAATCCCTCCAACAGATTGGTGAAGCCAGTTGATGATTGATCCCAACGCATAGTGATTGAAGCTGGTCATCGTTCCAGGGTTGATGCTGCCATCAGGAAGCATGCTGTCCCATCGCTCCCAGATAGTCGTTGCGCCCATGATGACGGGATAAAGCCATGACGGACATTCCCTCTCGACAAGCATGCGATATGCGATTTCGGGTTTGCCCGCCATGGTCAAAGCGTGGGTGACGAGTGGCGTACCGGCGAATCCTGTTGACACCCGGAATCGAGCAAATTGGACGCGTCGTGCCAGGCGTTCTCCGGCCACCTTCACTTGATCCGAGTCCTCAAAAAGCTGGAAAACAATAGCGAGCGAGAGAGCTGTCTGCGTATCACAGGCAACATAGCCAGCCGGGGTGATATATTTCTTCTGGAACAGGCCCTTCAATCTCAGGTAATCGGATTTGTAACGCTGCGTGTCCTCATCTTGTCCCAGAATAGCAGCGGCTTTGCTCATGACGTGAGTGCTATGGACAAGATAGGCATCTGCGACGAGAACCCCGTCTGTTGCGCCGTTTCCAGCGTCATCTGGTGGAGCGGAAGGGTCCAACCAGTCTCCATGCTGCCATAGCGAATCCGACCACAGACCATCCGGCCCGCGACGACATCCTTGGTCAAGCCAGGACTTCATACTATCATACTGAGCCTGAAGTATCTTGGCATCGTTCGTGTATTTATACAAGACCCAGGGCACCAAAACAGCTGCATCTCCCCATACGGCCTGTGGAGGGCGAGCCGGCTTGGTTAGACATACATCTGGCACGATCATGGGCGGAACACCGCCTCCTTTTTCCTGCTCACAGGCAAGATCCTTGAGCCAATCCCCCAAGATTCCTGCAGTGTGGTACAAATAGGATGCTGATGGACAAAAAACCTGGATATCTCCTGTCCATCCCAGTCGCTCGTCGCGCTGAGGGCAATCTGTCGGGATTGAGAAGAAATTACCTCGCATCCCCCAAAGTGCGTTTTCGTGCAGTTTGTTCACCAAGTCATTGGAGCACGTGAACCACCCAGTCCTCGGCATATCCGTATGCATGACCAAAGCAGTCAGATTCGAGCTCTGCAGAGGATTGATCTCATCTTCGGGGGTCCAGCCTTCGACCTGCACATAGCGAAATCCATGGAATGTGTAGCTGGGTGACCACTCCTCAAGCTCCTCCCCAGAACAAATGACTGTGTCGGTGCATTTGGCGTTTCGAAGAGGGCGGATGCCTAGCTCGCCATTCTCGAGGACCTCGGCATGCTGAAAAGAGACTAGGCTGCCTTCAGGTTTTTTAAGTGATCGAATACGCAGCTTGCCCACAATGTTTTGACCAAAGTCAACCAGAAGCTTTCCAGTGGGACTTCTAGATATCTCCTTGGGCTCAATCTCTTGAATTATTCGCACTGGAGGACTCTCGGGTATAACCAGTTGCTCGGTGGGGAATTCCAAGATTCGCACAGGTGTCCATACTGACTGAGAGCTGAAGGCAGTGGAGCTCCATCCAGGTTGTTCTTGCGCCATGTCGTATACTTCGCCGTCATAGATCTCACTGCTGAGAATTGGACCGACACTTGACTCCCATGTCTCATCTGATGTCACCGTGAGCCGTTCTGTGGTATCCTTGAAACTGATTTCCAATTGCGACAGCAGTGCGAGGTCCTTGCCGAACACAAAGCGGCCTTCACGCCAAAGCCGAGACGCATACCATCCCTCACCCAGTTCGACCGCGAGGACATTGTCACTCTGGAGCAATTTCGTAACGTCGAAGACTTGGAAGTTCAATCTTGAATGGTAGGTCGTCCAACCCGGGGCCATGTGATGATTACCCACTGGGACTCCATTTATGAAAGCGTTGTAGACACCATGCGAGGTGATATAGAGCCTGGCGGACGTGATTGCATCTTTTCCTTTTGGGATTTCAAACGTCTTTCGAAAGCGGGGTGGGCGAATAGGTTCATCCGATTGGATTAGTGTGGAGCTCGATATCATCTTGGCTACCCAGTCTTCTTTCGACAGCAGCGAGGTCTCCACTGTGGCCCATGGAGACCACTCTGTGGAGCTATCAACACAGACTTCATTTCTTGTCCAAGCTCTTACTCTCACGGAAGCCCTGTCCCTTGAGCGCAATGGCTCGTCTGGCCAATCGATTAAAACAGACTGGTCACTTTTGGCGGAGTAGGATTTGGTTACACCATCTCTATTGATTTCCAACTCGTATTCGGCTTGACTCCAGGCACGAATAGATCTGTCCCCGTTGCCAAATTTCCAAGAAATTCGAGGCGTTGGGTTGCCGGTTCCAAATCCATCGACGCGCTGATCGAAGGTTGGTGCATATATGAAGATTCCCTGAGTAGGCATTCTGCAACTTTATCTGACAAATTTTTGCTTTTGATATACCAAGGGCCTTAATCGGCCTTTTAAGTACTTTTTCATCGCGGGGTATCAGTCCACGAGCTTACCCTATTTTATCCGGGGATACATATCCCGTTAAGTCGTCGACCAATAGAGGCAAGATTGCCACAGCATTCAGGGACTTTTGGGAGGCCAAAGCGGTTACTCCACCACTAATCGATCGCTCACCTGGCGAGGCTGATGATATTGCAAGCCAATTTCGCTTCACCTTGGGCCATGATATTATGATTCATTCGAGGTAAGCTAGATGCCTTAGAACGGCTTCGGGGACCTCGGGACCCACGCTAGCTACTCCGCGGATCCGCGGACCACAATTGAACTATAAATGTAAGAATCATTTTCTTCCTTCACCGACTCGACAACTACCCGCACACCTCCATTTGAGGAAAAGCCCTGTCACAAAGCCACTGTTCCCTAGATACACCGTCCAAATGCCACCGAAACATGTCGCTGTCGTAACATGCAGCACCCGCACTCCCCGCCTGAACCCCACTATAACGCAATACATCTATGACGTCCTTGCCTCAGATCCAACAATTCCAACACGCAAAGCAACTTCACCGTCTAACACCGATATCTCACCTGATACCGATCCTCGACACATAACCCTGTCAATTCTCGATCTAGCCGCTCAATCCCTCCCTCTCTACGATGAGAACGTCATCCCAGCCAGCCTTCCACCCACGGACCCAACGCCACACTACTCCAAAGAACACACGCGTGCCTGGTCTAAGGTAGTCCGTCAATACGATGCATTTATCTTTGTGACACCGCAATATAACTGGAGCATCCCTGCAAGCCTGAAAAATGCTCTTGATTACCTCTTCTTCGAATGGAGGGGTAAACCGGCAGCGATTGTTTCATATGGGTCTCGAGGTGGAGGCAAAGCAGCAGAGCACTTGCGTGGGGTATTGAATGGGCTGAAGATGCGGGTTGTTGGGACTTCAGTCGGTTTACCAGTTAAATTTACAGGTTTGCCCGTTGGCAATTTGTCAGAGGTTGAGGAGAGGGTTGATATTGATGAACGGGATCTAGAGGGATGGAAGGAGGCGGGGGTGGCAGGGATGATGAAGAATTTGGGAATGGAGCTTGTTTGTGAATTGGACAAGGCATAGATATTGCCCAGGTAGATGGGTCGGAATCGTGTATTACATGTACAAATTGCTCAAAGTCTGGAATGTGTATCTTAATGAAGAATATAGATTATTTGCATTTTAAGATGAACTCGTATATGCACAGTAAGTATGTATAGGTTGAAAGCAAAAAAACTCCTTATTATGTACTTCCCCCTTCATTCCCCGGGGGAGATGATTCAATCTTGGTTAAGTATGTCCTGTCGCGAGATACCGCTGCGCTCGCACATAGCACGGAAAATACCATCCGTTTTATCGAACAGCGCAAGCGGGGTATCCATCTCGGCGATCTGACCCTGGTCCATCACACAGATGCGGTCGTAGTTGATAATGGTGCGCAAACGATGCGCAATGCACAGCAGTGTCTTGCCATGGAAACCTTGAGCCATAGTGCGCTGGATCTTCTGGTCGGTTTCAAAGTCGACGGAGGATGTCGCTTCGTCGCAGACGATGATTCTTGCGTCGCGGACCAGTGCTCGGGCGAGGGCCATAAGCTGGCGCTGACCAAGAGAGAAGTTCAAACCTTCTTCATCGACGGGGGACTCGAGAGTCAGGCGGTTGGTAGGCCGGGGCTTCGAATCGCTGGCTGTGACGGGGGTGGTGGTTCCCGTGGAGGGTTCGGGGAGGATTGTCTCCGCGTCGACGCCGTGAGTTTCCTCACCAATTAGGTAGGCCTTGCGTAGGGCAGACCAGAGTTCTAGATCGGCGTGCTCGTTGAAGGGGTCGAGGTTGGAGCGGATGGTGCCCCTGAAGAGAGCGGGGTCTTGTGGGATAATAGCAAGACGGGAACGAAGGTCATACAGACCGACTTTTGAGATGTCAACTCCATCAATCTGGATGGTACCCCCCGATAATTCGGTCAAGCGGAACAAAGCGGACATGATGCTCGATTTTCCTGCACCGGTTCGGCCGACGATACCAATGCGCTCACCTCCCTGTACGTCCATGCTGAGGCCCTTCAGAACCAGAGGCAATTCGGCTCGGTACCGCATCTTTGTGTCCTTGAACTCGATACGACCCTTCTCCGGCCAGCTGGCAGGCACCTCGCCTAGGTGTAGGGGAGCTTCTTCCTCCAACTCGGTACCGTAATAGTGAACGCGCTCGGTGGCGTTCATATCATTCTCTACCTCCGCAAGTTGGCGGACAGTGAATTGGAGCATCTGCGCGATGGAGAGAACATAGGACAAGATCAAACCGGAGATACTGGGAGAAACGTTGAATCGGGATGTGACTACCAAAACACCGATCACGAAGACCATGAGGGTAGCTACGCCGTCGAGCCGGACACTGAGCCAGCGCTGGTTCGAGAAGGTTAAGAAGTATGCACCGTTCATCACATCGATGGAGTCGCGAATGCTTCTCTGAAACTGCTTTTCGACGCCGTAGGCGCGAATACATGCCACACCGGTGATCGCTTCGCCGAACCGGGCATACACGCTCGATCGAAGGACTGCTTCGTGACGTTTCATTTCACGGGCAGAAGCGCGATAGTAGTTGGAAGCTAGGAGGAACAGGATAACCAGCGGGACAAGGGCAATGACGAACTATTTACGGTTAGTATGTAATCTTCAACTGCTTCTCGCCTGTGGTTGGTGCAACTTACATAGTAGAAGTAGACGATAATCAAAACCATGACAGAGATAATCATAGTCATCGTCAACGCATACATACGGATTGCGTCGGAAAGTTCATTGTCCATAACCTGAACATCCTTTGAGAAGCGGTTTGTGATACGTCCAAGGGGAGTAGTGTCGAAAAAGGACAATGGAGCGCGCAGGACACGGGTCATCGCACGCTGAAGCATCGTTCGGCTAGAATTTGTTCCGCAGGTAGTCATGTAGGTCGAGAAGGTAAACATGGTGAGAACACTGCAAACACCCAATGCAGCGTAAATACCAATGTATGCGCCCGTCGACAACTGAGGATATTTATCGGAAGTCCAGTACGAAAGCCACAAGCTGGTGTAGATATTGGCAACGTTCGCAAGTGCTAGGAGGAAGAGAATCGCAACGGCGTTCCAGGAGCTGCCAGATGCACGGATATAGGCCTTCCATACAGTCCAGCCCACAGATGATGTAGCCTTCTCTTCTTGTTGCATCAAGACGCCAGCGGGCTTTTGAATTTCAGCTTCCTTAGGGGCCACCTCTTGTGCTTCTTCCACTTTCTCATCGGCCTCTTCAGTCTTTTCAGATTTCTCATTCGAGTCCTCTTGTCCAGATGTCGCCATAAGACGTTGGAATAGCTCGTTGTCGCGCATGAGGTTGTCGAAAGTGTCAACTGCGTGGATCCGGCCTTCTTCCATGACCACAATGCGGTCACATCGGTTCAAAACGTGCAGCTGATGAGTAGCAAGGATTCTGCAGCGATCTTTTAGTAGCCCACAGATAGCCTTGTCCATTATGTGACGGCCGACGTGAGCATCCACAGCAGAAAGGGGGTCATCCATGAGCACAAGCTCAGCATTGAAATATATAGCCCGCGCAATGTTCAAACGCTGCTTCTGCCCTCCAGAGACCGTGATGCCACGCTCACCAATCTCGGTCGAATCACCATTGGGCAGTATCTTCAAGTCTGGAATCAATGCACAAGCATCTATCACCTCATTATACCAAGACTCGTCATAATCCTTGCCGAAAAGAATGTTGTTGCGGACGGAAGTGTTTTGAATCCAGGCGTACTGTGGGCAAAAGGCACGGGTTGTACTCATTCGCACGTGGCCCTCCGTTACACGCATGTCCCCAGCCAAGGCAGAGAGGAGAGAAGTCTTGCCACAGCCGACTGTTCCGATGACTGCCAATAGCTCATTACGACCAATCTGGAGATCCACATGCTCCAACTTGAACGGTTCCGTTGGTTGTTCTTTGTCGGTACTTTCTTTTCCCTTAGCGGCCTCAATAAGTTTGGCAGCTTTCTTGTCAACCTTGACAACCTTCTCCTCCTCGGTCGGCAGACGCTCCCAGGTGAACGAGGCATCTTCAATTTCAATAGCGTTCTCCATATCCGCGATCTGTTTGATATCCTCCTTCTGCTCTTCGGCGAGCAAGAACTCCTGGATACGATTCAAGGCAGTCACGGCATCTGTGACCTGACCGAGGACCATGGGCAGCATGTTGAGTGGCATACGCAGAGAGTTGAACAGCGCAAGTGAGGAGAAGATGTTAGCCGGGTGAAGATCATGGCTTGTCAGGGCATAGGTGATGAAGGCCAGCATGGAGGCGAAGGTGGGAATCGACATCGACACACATAGGATGCCATTGCGAACCGCCAGAAGGGTCTGAACGGACCGAATCTCGTGGGTGCGGATTTCTTTCAGACGGCCGAGAAAGCTGCTTTCCCATCCAAAGTATTTAACAAAACGCACGGCCTGAAGAATTTCCTGCGTAAGGGACACACGTTGGTCGGTGACCTTGTTGATAGCTTTTCGGCGCTTCACCAGGAATCGGATCGCAAAGGTGAGAAAAGGCATGCCGAACACCAGCAACGCATATCCCGAAAGGCAGCTGACGCCGATGTTGACTATAAGCAAGACGAGGGTGACTATGACTGAGATGGGGGCTGTCCAAATCATGTGGAACATGCCAGCGGCAAGATTGATCCGGTCGACATCAATACTCATCAGTGCAATGATGCGGCCGTTGCTCCATCCACGACCATCACCTGCAACTCCATTTGCATCCCCTGCAGCTTTGGGATCCTTTGTGGCAGGTTTCTTCTTTGGGTCCTTCTGCAGAGCTTCCTCCTTAGCAGCCTCCAGAGCCGTGACCTCTTCCTCAGTTGCCTTTCCACCGGCTTTAGCACGCGCGGACAATTTCATCGCCTTGTTGAAGACTAAAGAAATCAAGACCGCGCGCACCTGACCACCGACCATCTGGCCTCGATACAAGAATTGATTCGTACAGAGACTCTGCAAAGCCTGCATAAGGCTGATTCCGACGACAAAGCCCATTCCACGGCCAATATTTGGGGCCGGAAGACCTGACTCTTTAGCCTCCCAGGCCTCTGTGGCGAATGCAATCAAGTAGCGGGTTAGATACGGCGCAAAGACCAACAGAAGCGAACTGAAAAGCTGACAAATGCCGCCAAGTAAGAATTCGAAGCGAAATGTGTCATACAGTGCGGCAGTAAGTGGCCGCTTACTCTTCGATGCTGTACGACGTTCCAATGCTGCCTCTAGCCGACCTGATATAATGTCGACGGTGCGATCAGGGTTCACTGTCCAAACATCTTGAAGCTCAAGAGGGCGAAGATAACCAACCTGGACATTGTGTTAGCCATATAAAAATCCAACAAAGGTAAGGAAAGGAAGTCGATACTGCTGTCACAAACTTACATTCATCAAAGGTGACATCCATTGGAAATAAACGACACTAAGAAATGAAGCGCCATATTCTTTTGAGGGGGTTCGTTCCTCCGGCACAGGTGGTGGTGTCTGCCATCGCAATGGGTTAAGTCGCTTATACCATTTTCTCTTGGTTTTCGACTCTAGGCTGTCAACATCCAGACCCGGAGCCTTGGGTTCTTCGCCCGACGTTGATCTAGCGCTTGTAGCCTCGGCTGGTGGCAATTTTTCATCCACAACCAGTACCTGCGGCGTGGGATCAGGTGTAGTCATAATGGAAAGACTTCCCAGGCAACGAACCGACAGATCAGTAGGCCTGGAAAATAGAGAAGGAAGACAACAAATCGCACAGGTACAGGGATTTCAATCAAGATTGTCACGGCCTATAAAAGAAATCGAAGCCCCGGCTTTAGTGCTAGCGCCGAAATGGGTGGGGCCGATAAGCTGGATTCCCCGACGTGTCTGAAAGCGGAAGACCGAGGATATGAACAGCAAAGAGAGCAAAGGATGGAAAAATACGATCATAAAAGAACAGTCGGTGAGTGGTGAGTCACGCCCATATTTCGGTAAACTCTGAATTGGATCGGACAATAGATATGCACGAAATCCTGGATATCGAACATGGAAAGCTTCTCGGGGAATTCAAGGTCCGAGAATGACACTTTGGTGGAGTTGTGCCTTGACTCATTATTAATCCTGAATATACTCGCTAACAAATCACAATAGCCGAGCTCTCTAATAGCTATCAGGGTTTCGGAAGAGTTACATGATCTACTTGAGTGGACCGTGTGCTCCATCTGTCCCAAGCAATGGTACATACTAAGCTACGCAACACATAGCTTCTCCAGTTCATGTGGAGAATAGTCAATAAAGGCACTTATGCATAATCAAGAAAGGGAAAGAAGAGAGAAGGAAAGAAGGAAACGGCCATCGTATTCGCATTCGCTCCAAGTTATCCAAGTTATCCACTGTTTCTAGCGCATCGGGAATCGGGCGGTTTGAGATCCCGTGTTCCCGATATGTAACATAGTGAAGCGAGTCAGAATCCAACAAGCCATCGTCTAAACCCCTTTGCGTGAACTTTGCGAAGGATCGAAAAGTGGGGTTTCGTGGGGTTTTGAAATTGGCTAAGCTCTCGCCATTTTAGCCAGTCACGGCAGGTTTGCTTGCCTAAAACCCACGGGATTGGGCCCACCAAATCCGCCACGAGGCGCAACCAAGCGCAAATTGCTGTTTTTACTTTTTTCTGGCTTAGGTAACAATGTCTTGGTACTGCTTGAATTCGGAAGATTCTGATTCGCTGCCAATAGCTATCTGGGCCGTGGCCTAGATGGCAAATCAGCCTATCTTTGTAGGTCTATGTTCCATCGTTACATCGTGAGAAGGCACAAGTGCCATCCGAAAAAGAAAACTGTCTATCCGGTTTTGCGTGGCATGTCGAGCTCCAGGCCGCGACCATTGCAGTATTGGGCCTGGGCCTACATCCGCCTAATGACCCGAGTCGAGGTCTCTAGTTCTCGACGCCAATTTTAACCTTCTTCTCTGGGGGAGGGATCACGTGGTCCTCGGCAGCACCCTTCAGGTTCGGCAGCTCAATCACAGCCTGGTTGATAATCTCCAGGGCCTGCTTGATCTCCTCCTCGGTGATGACTAACGGTGGGGCAAGACGAATGATGTTCTGGTGAGTCGGCTTGGCCTAAAAGTACATGTAAGTTAGCTCTCTGTCATGAAACTTAAGAAATATCTCTGGAAACGTACCAGCAAACCCTTCTCCTTCATCAGCATGCACAGGTCCCAGGCAGAGTGACCGTTGGTCTTGGACTCGTCAATGACGATGGCATTGAGGAGACCCTTTCCACGCACAGTCTGAATAAGTGGACTCTTGAGATCCTCCAGGCCCTGACGGAAGATGTGGCCGAGCTTCTCAGCCCGCTCCACCATCTGTTCCTCACGAACAACTTCCAGAGCGCGGATGGCAACAGCACAGCCCAATGGGTTACCGCCGTAGGTTGAACCGTGGGTACCAGCCTCGATCGTGAGCATGACGTCCTTGCTGCCCAGCACGCATGACACGGGATACATGCCACCAGAGATGGCCTTACCCAAAAGGACCAGGTCGGGCTTGATTCCGCTCCACTCATGGCAAAGGAGCTTTCCGGTGCGGGCGATACCAGTCTGGATCTCGTCACAGATCAAGAGCACGTTGTGCTTATCGCAAAGCGCACGAGCTTCCTGCAGGTAGCTCTCATCTGGGACGACAATACCGGCTTCACCCTGGATGGGCTCAACCAAGAAAGCCGCCAAGTTAGGCCCAGCCTGCTCAAAGGCCTCGCGAAGTGCGGCCTTATCATTGTAGGTGATAGGCTTCTCGGTACCGGGGATGGTACATCCGATACCAGGAAGGTAAGGGCCGTAGTGTTCACGCGATTCCGGGTCGGACGACAGTGAGATGGCGGCGAACTAATGCAAGGAACAAGTCGGTCAGCCCCCAATTATGCATACGTCATGTCTCATCAGGGGAATGTGGAGGGGTAACTTACTGTCCGACCGTGGAAGTTGTTTTCAGCACTGAGAACAATTGCCTGGTTCTCTGGGATTCCCTTGATCTTGTAACCCCACTTGCGAGCGATCTTGATGCCCGTCTCCACGGCCTCGGCACCTGTGTTCATGGGCAGCACCATGTCAAAGCCAAAGTAGCTGGTGACAAATTGAGCGAAGCGGGGGAACACATCATTGTAGAAAGCGCGCGAACTCAAAGTGACTCGCGATGCCTGCTCAACAAGAGCCGCGATCAATTTGGGGTGGCAGTGGCCTTGGTTCACGGCGGAGTAGGCAGAGAGGAAGTCGAGATAGTGACGTCCTTCGGGGTCCCAGACCGAAGTACCTTGAGCACGGGCAAAGACCACGGGCAATGGGTGATAGTTGTGGGCAGCATACTCCTTCTCTGTCTGAATAGCCTCAGCAGTGGAGGCAGCATGGTAGTGGGAGAAAGACCCGTTGGACCCGTTGGTGGCCATGGTGGATTTTGCGGGGAACTAAGAGGGGAGATCTGTAGAAACGGAAGGTCGATCCACAAGAGAAGATGAGATTCAGTACAACACTGAAAGATTAAAAGAGATGAATGTAGAAAAGTAGAGAATCAGAATTGTTTTTTCAAAAGAAAAGGATGTAAGGGGACAATATGTACTTCCGACCGTGGAATTGGCAGTGGCGTACAGATCCGCCGCTATTCCCCTAAGTGCAAGTGCTTTTCCCTTAAGTGCAGGTTGTCGCGAGCTCTTTCATCCCTCCACTCCCACTGTTCCCTAAGCGCAGGATTACACGAGCGCTCGCTCATTTTTGCTTCTCGTCTCCATCATATTACCCATCACAATACTATTCTCTCCAATCAGCTCATTCTTGTTACCGGCCCGGCCATTGACTCCCCGCGGTCGCAGTTTATTCCCTGGTTTGATGTCATACTGGCCGTCGCGGCACCCACCATGATTATCTGAAGCCGCGTCACGGACCAGTAACCGCCGTGGCATTGGTAAAATCGTGGAGACCGATACCTTCCATTCGTCTCAATAATGTCTTCTGCAAACACTTCTTCCCCACGCCAAGTCGCTGGCGCCCCGACTGTCAAGATCCTCCTCTTCCTAATCGTCTTCCGCCTTGTCAATGCGCTCACGGTTCGCACATTTTTCCAGCCCGATGAATTCTTCCAGTCGTTGGAGCCAGCATGGCAGATTGCCTTTGGCGCAGGTCAAGACAATAAAGACCAGGGCGCTTGGATGACATGGGTAAGTACGCAATGATAAGTCGCGCGACACGTCTGGGGTGCTGATCGCGTTTTGAACAGGAATGGCAACACCAACTTCGATCCTCCCTCCACCCTTTCCTTTTCGCTGGAATTTACAAAGCGACAGATTCGATTGCATCCTTATTTTCCGCGCCTTCCGCGCGCGCCGAGCTTCTCATCGCTGCCCCGAAGACTATACAGGCTGTTTTGTCGGCCATTGGCGACTTTTACACCTGGAGACTTGCAAGTCGCATCTATGGCGAAGATTCTCGTGGCGCATGGGCAACTCTGATCGCTACCATCATCAACCCTTGGCAATGGTTCTGCTCAACAAGAACTCTATCTAATTGCCTTGAAACAACAATTACCATTGTCGAGTTGAATAAGTGGCCGTGGCAATGGTTAGCTGGCTCCCCCACTGGTGATAGCCGCAAAATTGCCGGGGAGAAGGCCAAGTCTCAGGATCGTCAAATGTTACTGGGTCTTCGCCAATGCTTGTCGTTGGCGGCAGTCGCCTGTATTCTCCGCCCAACTAACATTATAATTTGGATAACCTTGGCTGGACTTGCTTGGCTTCGGATCTCCTGGAATCAGCGTAAAGTTCTCGTTCGGGAGATTTTGCTTTGCGGGTCTACGATCTTGGGTATATCGGCCGTGGCAGACCGTATATTTTACGGGTTTTGGACATTTCCTCCGCTACGCTTTCTATACTTTAATATCGCACAGTCACTAGCAGTGTTCTATGGACGTAATAATTGGCATTATTATGTGACGGAGGGCTACCCACTTCTGCTCACCACACTGCTTCCCTTTGCTGTTCCGGGTCTGTACTTTGCGTTGACCGCGCGAGCTTCAGCCTCTTCACCTTCTGAAAGGGTACAGGCCGCAACCCGAGTACACTTGGCCACAGTATGTGTCTTGATGCCATGTGCGCTATCCCTCATATCGCACAAGGAAGTTCGCTTCATCTACCCTTTGCTCCCATCTCTTCATATCCTGGCCGCACCTCGTTTAGTGCAATTCTTCTGGCCAGCTCTTGCCTTCAATTCCGAGACTCCTAGAAGACTCGTGCTTCTCTTTATTCTCCTGGTAAATGGGAGTATTGCGATATATACGTCTGTATACCATGCCTCTGGGCCACTGGATGTGCTTAGTTACCTCCGTGGCCAATATGAGGCCCATTCATTACCAAATAAGAATAAAGTTGGTCTGGAAACCAATTTCACAGCCGGGTTTCTGATGCCCTGTCACAGCACCCCTTGGCGGTCTCACCTGGTCCATCCTATGCATGCATGGGCCCTCTCCTGTGAACCTCCGGTCGACCTCAATGAAGCACAAAAGGCTATCTATCGTGATGAGGCTGACCAGTTCTATGACGACCCAACCCTTTTTCTACAAGAGAAAATGGCTGGTGGGTTGCGCTACTTACCTCGCCAACCAAGTTACGTAACTGGGCTACCATCTACGAGTCCAGTTCTCCACGAGTGGCCTGATTATCTCATTTTCTTCGCCCAGCTGGAACCCACCATGCACAGCCTTGTCCGAGGCTCTTATGCCGAATGCTGGCGTACCTGGAATACAGCCTGGCACGATGACTGGCGTCGTCGCGGTGATATTGTTGTCTGGTGCCTGGACCCGGCCGAGCAAGATGCATGGCGTTCGCAAAAAGAAGCAAGTCGGGACCAAAAGCATTGGACCTCCTTTATCCCAAGTTCTCTTCCATTATCCCTTCCATCGTCCTTCCCATTATCCCTCCCATCGTTCCCAACCTATTCCTCGATTTCGTTCGCATCCATACGGGACTTTGCTGAGTCCGTTTTCTCGTCAAGCCCCTGGTCTTGGAAGAAACAATCGCGCATTGATACTTTCTTATCAAATTTTCGACAGAAGGGTCCCAGTCGGCAAGATTGGGTTCCAACTTGGCCGGAATGGCTGGGCGGCACGTACTTGCGGGACTTTGCTGGGCCCGTTTCCTCGTCAAGCCCCTGGTCTCGGGAGGAACACTCGCGCATTGATAAATTCTTATCAAACTTCAGACAGAAGAGTCCCAGTCGGCAAGCTTGGGTTCCATCTTGGCCGGAATGGCTGGGCGGCACGTACTTGCGGGACTTTGCTGGGCCTGTTTCCTCGTCAAGCCCTTGGTCTCGGGAGGAACACTCGCGCATAGATGAATTCTTATCAAGTTTCAGACAGAAGGGTCCCAGTTGGCAAGGTTGGTTTTCATCTTGGCCGGAGTGGCTGGGCGGCGCGTCTAAGAGGAAAATCGGTAAACGGGAGCGCGCGTTATGGGAGTAAGTAAGCGTCTTAACTTCAGAACCTAAGGGCTACCTCTAAGAGCATTTTGTACATATAATTAATTTATCTGCACATATAAGAGATCAATATTGGAAAATCAAATGTACCACCTTGTCTACATTTTCTCTCATATATTCCTAACAGATCCTAAAGTTCGAAAATTGAAGAATTGATCTTCAAAGCTGGCGTGTAATTGTGACTTCCAAATCACACGTGATAACACTGTACATTTACACTGAAGTGCCCAGATGTCCACTTCGTAGTAGAATGTCTTTGAGTATTTATGCAGGTGTCCAAGAAAGGAAAACTTTTGGATTTTGAAACCTTGGATGACGGCGGGGATCTCGGTACTCTCCGCAAGACGGTATGACGCACCCGCTTTGCTATATATGTTCTTCCCCACACCAGCTTTCCCCGGTTGAATATCAGTTCTCACCAAGCCGTCACTAATTGATATAACCACCAAAACTTCAGTATGAGCGTCACAACCCACCCGAGAGAGCCTCCCCCAATGGGTGAACTGGCAACCATCATCCAGAAGTCCCTTGAATCCAACTTCGCGAACGCCACAGCACGTGTTGTTGACTGCCCGGACCTACGCGAACCCCCCTTCAACCTCGCTGCAGCCGGACTCTCCGGAAATCCATGCATTGCTGATATCGGAGGACAGGCCAATCTTTTCCCGACCCCGAACCTCAATGCCAAATACTCGCTTCTTTCCCTTGCAAAGGACATGCAAATGTTACCCACCGGGGGTTCTATAATCGGCGCAGGTGCGGCTCCGTTCCACGATATCGGCCATAATGCCGAGCTTGCTCCAAATATTTCCTGGAGTTCGGAAGCGGACGTACCAGAATTCGATATCCCGTCTTCATTGAGGGTTGTCAATAGAACACGGGTTATTGATGTTAACACTGAGGGCTTATCGTCATGTCACCATGCTACCAGTACGAACTGTGCGCTTATGATGAATTTGTATGGGTCAACTGGTGATCCAGGGCAAGTGCTCAAGATCTCAGCGAGAGGACGCACGGGTGATCAGAACTTCACCAATTGTATTCGCCTTGGACTTCGTGATTTCTATGGGGATTCAAATCCGATAAGTCTCGGTGGGGTATTTCTTCTCAAGTCTGGTAAGGCCAAGTTTCATGTTATGCCCGACTTTCCAAAAGATTTACCCTTCCGAGATCGAGAGCAACTGGAGAAGGAATGGCTGACTTATCATGTATTCGATGCGCCTGTCGTGTGCTTGACCGTAATGCATAGTGCTGACCCGGAGAGTTTGGGGTTAAGGATGGAGCACACCCATTGTTTTGATGCTGAGGGTAGTCGCAAAGGTGGTCACTATCATTATGATGTGCCTGGCGAGGAGGAAGTTGAGTATGAGGCCTATTTGCATCCTGCTTCTATACTTTACAGGATTGATCGACCCTTCTGAAAGTGAGTACTAAACAAGCTTGGCACACAGAATGAAAAGCAGACCATGTGCAGTTCCATGAATAAATACCAGTATGAAGCATTAAGTGTCATACACATCTGGGGATCTTGTTACCTATATGGCAACTCATAATATAAACAACTGAGTAAGCTGCTCCTGTAAAGACATGATAATATTTGCCGGGTGGGGACTTCTTAACTAGGCTGCCGCCGCTTTTACCAGGGCGCTCCGGCTCAGGCTCACTGAGTAGACGTGAGCACGGGGGTCCGACCCAGCGATCATGCTCAGCGAATGCTCCGGATAGTTATCGGACTTAAGATCACCGCTGACGTGAGATTCAAGCTCAAGATGACCGTCCGTCTCTGAATCTTCTACAACACCGCGACAGGTTTTTGCAAAGTCGGGACCTGTTTCTTTAGTACCGTAAATCTTGCAAAATTACCGCTTATCATCATGGCTTCCGAGAGAATCCCTATCAAAGCAGTGTTCTTCGACTTTATGGGCACATGTCTCGACTGGCACACCAGCGCATGTGCATCAATGCCTCCCACAATTTCCAAAGACGACGCATCCAAGCTAGCCCTGGAATGGCGGAGACAATATTTTATCGAGAATACTGAGCGCTTTCTACAAGGCCTTGAGCCCGAAGATATTGATATCACTCTTTCCCGAGTCCTTGATCGAGTACTAGAGCAGACCCCAAAACTCAAGCCTTACATCGAGACTCATGATAAGCGACATATGATCGCGGCCTGGCATTGTCAGTCCGCCTGGCCGGAAGTCCCAGAGGCTATTAGGAGCATCCGGGAAGATCTGGATCTCGAGGTCTTTGTCCATGCAAATGGTACAACTCGTCTGCAGCTTGATCTTACCCATTCTTCTGAACTGAGCTTCAACATGCTGTTTTCGAGTCAGTTGCTAGGGGTCTACAAACCCAGCCCGGAGGCGTACAAGAAAGCGTTGCAATTTGTCAAGCTCCAGCCAGAGGAGGTCGTGTTAGTCGCAGCCCATGCATATGATCTCCGAGGAGCACAGAGCGTTGGAATTAAGACAATATATGTCCACCGGTGGACTGATGATATTGATGAGAACATGGACGAGGTGAAGGGGGAGTTTGACGTTTTCTTAGAGGATATGAAAGGGCTTCCGAGTACCATTTCGGGAATGATGTAATTAGATCATTAGGCCTTCTTGCAAGCCCCGAACACTATATATTCAATTTTTACTATGGGACACTAAGTGAGTGATAGGCGAGATGAGAGATAGATTAAATCGGAAACGCTAATGAGACCGCGGAGCCGCGAAAAGGAGACCCTTAGCGCCATCAAAATCAGGAGAGTCTAAATAAATGGTCATTGTATCCAAACTCTGGCCGGCTAAAGCTGGATGACGAGGGCCTGAAGAGTTAGAGGGTATATATGTATCACATCATGTTCATATCATCTTCATCTATCAGACAGCTGTTCATAACAGCATTCCAATCAGATAGGAACTGAGGATCTGACGATAAAAAGTCCAAAGAAGAGACAGCATTCTGGTCGGACTCAGATATGGGGTCCCCATTGCGATTGAATATGTTCTGCCGAGAGAAAATCGGTTGACCTTCCATTTGACCTGTTTCAAGCCCAACACTTTGAGCAATCCGACCTCCAACCGAGGACTGTGAGTTCCTCAGAAGTAAAGCTTGATGTCTTAACCTGGACAGACACTTCCAAATTGTGGATTGCTTATTGGCATCCGGCGCGGTGGCCGATTGATCATTGTGCCGCATGTATTGAGGAAAAGTGTCCTCAATCAGGTCCCAGACGTAATCAGCATCAGGGATATTGGATGAGGTACATAGGCAACGTAGAACGTAGGCTAGTGCGTACCACTGCGTAAATGCGGGAAACAGCCATTTGAACCTGGAAGCAAGGCTGCCTTTTGTACAAGTACGATGGCTTTCCAGCTCGTCGCATGCTATTTTGAATGATAGCTTGTGCGCGCTATCCTCGTCTCTCTGTAAGCCATCCTGCCTTTGAGTGGCCACTTCCTCCCGCAGTTGTAGTATGAAGTTCATCTTGTAGCGAGCAGTATTGCAATGCTGGAATGCAATACGGCATAGCTCAGTAGGTGTTTCAGATTGAAAACCATATTTTTCCCTCAAGGCTTGACCGCGCTCTGTGAGAAACTTTCGCTTTTCTGCAATATCAGCAAGCGTATCTGTGGAGCTGTGCCGTCGAGTCCCGATAACTGGATGCATGAGCCTGCATGCTTGTGTTTGAACGAGGAAGAATGACATCTCCGTCCAACCGTCGCTCTCGGCTGGGAGTTCGGTCATACTTGGGTAGAGTTGATCGTCATTGATGTTCAGAGGAAGTCGTAAGTGGGCATTCACTACGTCTACCACGGGTTCAAATCCATGGTCCTCCGGAGCTCGGGAGTCGAGAGAACAAAGATACCACCATAGGCGGAGACGCATTTCTGTTTCAAAAGGGCTCAGACGAAGACGGGCGCCATCGCGATGTAATCCGATGGATTGTGCTAGTCTGATTGCGAGTCCAACCAGAATCCATATGCTTCGACCAGTCTCATTCACCCGTATACAAGTCTAGAAAAGTATGTTAGAGCTTGGCTTTTACCCTGTATGATCAACTTACAATGAAAATGGCGAGAGCCTGCAATGAAGTCATCTCTGGGCTGTTCATAACATCTGTGTCGATGAGAAGCCGCTCTAGTGGGAGCCTGTAGCGCTTCAAAAGATCTTTCTTCCCTAGAGGAAGGGTGATCTCCTCGGTACCATCTTCCAGTGCAGTTATTGCAGCAAAATAGATAGCATATGTTAACGCTACCATGGATCGCCCTGCAGATTTTGGGTTCAGAATTGTTGCAATTACCGCAGATTGGGCGGTTGGTATATGCAATATTTTCAAAACAGGATCGACAGATTGGACGTATATTTGCCATAGCGGAAGTGCTAATTCTGGGCCAGGGTAGAACTCTAAGATGTCAGAAGCGGTTTCTGGAAGAGGACATTCTTGACAAGGCGTCGTATAAGCACTTGATGCTGCCTCTTTTCGCAGAGGCCCTTCTCCAAGATTAGGCGACTGCGTGGATCGAATCCGTTCTTCCTTCGTTGTCAATCAGTCTGTGCTTCGGGGGTGTCTAATTACTGTTTCAACTCACATCCTGCAGAAGATCTTTGATATTTGAATTATTGACGTATTGAATAGCTTGTCCATCATTCAACAGCAGCTCCCATGGCTCATGTGAAGATTGTGTAGATCCTGATTTCTTTTGACTCCCGTCATCCTGAGCTTCAGCTGCATTCGAGGTTCCCGAGACTTTCGCTTGAGATATGATATTTTCCAGACGCTCGAGCCTGTCAGAGATACGCTGAACAGTAGCAGTCTTCCCCTCAGATTCCCTTCTTGGGTATATGCAGGAGATACTATATCTTGAACAATTTTTGCATGGGACTCCTCGATCACATCGGACCTTACGCTGATGGCAGCCGAGGCAGGACCGCGCACCGATCTTAGAGCTTTGCGTATGTATTGCCCCACTATTGCTGTCGTTGGCTGATGACTTGTGTATCCTGTGCATGATTCAAGCGGGAATAGTTTTCGATTGCAAATATCATGCAGCCTTCAATTTCAAAGCCAGGTTCTCCTGAAAGCCGATCAGGCGCCCAACGTTGCTTCGGGATTTCGGCGCAGGAAATCCGATCACTTCGATAAGGCGCGATAAAGTCTTATCGGCTTCTTATCTCGGCCTCTCGGTATGGGTCTCCGAGCCTCATCTTTGCTATGGAATACAGAGTATACCGCAAACCTGACGTGTAAAGAGCTCTCGGTGATAGAGCTCCGAATGTTCCTGGTGAGAAATGATGGTATATAAGCACGTCATCTGCAATAGACTCTCACTAAATGCGAGAATAAAATGGACAAAACAGGCACCATGGTCAAGCCGGAACCGGCAGATGAAAGCCCAAACAACGTTGTGTCAACCTCAGAAGAGTTCCCTGAAGGTGGATATGGTTGGGTCTGTGTCGCATGTACTTCTATTATCAATGCCCACACATGGGGTATCAATGCCGTGAGTCCAGCGTTCTCTCCATTCTATTCTACGGCCATTAACAAGCCCTAGGCCTATGGAGTCTTCCTTTCCTACTACCTCTCTTCCGATGTTTTTCCCGGTACATCCTCTCTTAACTATGCATTTATCGGTGGTCTCAGTATTGGATGTGCGATGCTTATCGCGCCCCTTGGTACAATTCTAAGCCAACGTGTATCAAACCGTCTTGTCTTGAACCTGGGTGCTATTATCCAAGCCATCGCGCTGATCACAACATCATTCGTCAAGACCAATTGGCAGCTATTCCTATCCCAGGGAATTGCTTTTGGATTTGGCATGGGACTTTGCTTTGTTGCTTCTGTATCGATACCTTCTTATTGGTTCGCACAGAAACGAAGCCTCGCCAATGGCATTGCCTCTGGCGGCTCAGGGCTGGGTGGTTTAATATACTCCCTGGCCACAGAGAAGATGCTCCAAGAACTTGGCATTGCCTGGACAGCCCGGATACTGGGTATTTTGGCTTTCACGATGAATATGATATGTGGCAACCTGTTGCGTATTCCAGCACACGCACGAACAACACGGAAGGCCTCAAAGCTTGACCTATCTTCCCTTTGGTCTTTCGACTACTTCTTGCTATTGGCCTGGGCGTTTCTCAGTGCATTGGCATACGTGGCCTTGCTATTTAGTCTACCCAGCTATTCAGTTGCCATCGGGCTTACCCAACAGCAAGGCAGTCTAGCTGGTGCACTCCTCAGCTTAGGCCAGGCGATTGGTCGGCCCGGCGTTGGCCTCCTTAGCGACCGTTGGGGGAGGTTTCCTGTCACAATTGTCGCGACATTCCTAGCAGGCTTTTTGTCGCTTGTATTATGGATATTCGCTGACTCTGCGGGGTTGACATACTTTTTTGCGATCGTGGTAGGCCTATTTTCGGGAACATTTTTGGCTGCTATGTCTCCCATCACTGCTGAAGTTGTTGGAATAAATGGCCTGCCGCCTGCAGTTGGTATATTCTGCCTTGTTCTATGTCCTCCATTGACCGTGGCTGAACCTATCGCGCTCCAACTTCGGAATAGTTCCCGCGACTCGAAACCTTATATCCGAGTACAAATATTTGTGGGAGTTGTATATATCGGCACCGCAGGGTTTTTGATGGCCCTATGGTTGTTGAAGATTAGAAGGAGCCGCTCGGCACAGAATGCAGCTCGAGTGTCTTGACTTATGACGATGGGCCAGATCGGGACGCGCTGCATGTGCAGCCTGTTGATAAAGATCTTATCATTATTACATTTGTATAGAGCTGTTCAGCAATTGAATTTAGCGTAGCAGATGAATCTTTATTATTTGGTTTGCTGTGTAGTGGAGAAATAATTAAAAAATTCAAGGAATATATGTACATTCCATAGAACCAATAGTTTTAGGGTTCCAGCTTGTCTTAAGCCAATATTGACACCCGATATTAGGATTATATATCTCTCCCGAGGAATCCTGACAAGCATCATCGGAATATGTCCAGCATTGACCAGCGGAGATATAATAGGACCCGGGCACGGTAAGTTTGGACGATCCACAACTCGTATAGCCATCGTCGCCCTCTCCAGAATACCACTGGCACCACGGGTCAGGGCCACTATCATCAGTGGTCATGTCACCTCCGCTTAAGGTTAAGCATTTACTCTTTGAGTTAATGTTGAATCCTCCAACAACATAGTAGCCGGTTCCGCCTGCATCGCAACTAGACTTGTCATATATTGAAATTGACCACGTTTCTGTCGACGAGGCCGCTGAAGTCGTACTGGTTGATGTTTCTTTCTCTTTCATTGATGAAGTCGATGACTTGGCGGATGTCGTACTTGTAGACCTCGAAGAAGTGGTAGTCGATTTCGTGGAGGTTGTGCTAGTTGATGATTTGCTGGAAGATTTCTTTGTAGTCGCGGCGCTTGCGGCTTCTGCATTGCAATTGGAGATACATTTTGACGAACTACAATAGCCCGAGGTGGTTCCACATTGACCATTGATTGAGCACTGTAGAACGGTCAGTTGGTACTTTCAATTCCTTTCATGAAGATCACTTACACAATGATCCCAAGCGCAAGGTTTCAGAGAAGCGAGATTGGACTTGGACATATCAGCAGGTCGAATTGTTCCTGGTACCTGGGGGCCGCATATAGCATGCGGAAGAGCAACAGGCATGGTAGGAGACCCGGTGCTCAGACAAATAAAGGCTCCTTGATACAAATCATCACAGCCATACCAGGCATATACATCGGAGTTGTACTTTTCGATCTCGGCTACCGTGATACCAAAGGCTTTGGCAATACTGGCACAGGTTTCTCCCGCTTCAACAGTGTAGGTGTAACAAATACCATCACTATCTGCTGCTGGGATGGTACGCTTATCAAATGAGGTATACTTGGCGGCAAGAAGGCCGCCTGGAAAGTATGCGGCAGTGGCAGTCGATGCCAGTATAACAACGAAAGCCACGAAGCGATTAATTTGCGTGTACTTCATCTTGGAAGGCCCTTGGCTTGCAGTGTTCGGGAAGAGTAAAGGAGGATATATATACTATGGCTCTTGAATGGCAAAGCCTGAATGCTGCATCGGTTAACGTCATTTCGAAATCCCCAAGCACAGGGCTAAGACGCGTGACATGAAAATCTTTCGCATTTCAAGGATAAGATTACAAAGGCATTTCCAATATTAGGCCGTACAAGCTGCATTTAAGTATACAAGTAGTCGATATTCCCTGGGTAAACAAAGAAATGATTGCATATATCCCCATCTCACCCTTTGTTCCTCCGCCATGTTGTGGTACTTTGTTATACCTAAAATGGTCCTCAATAGAATCGATAAGCCCGGAAATGGGTCTCAATAGGCTTCGTTGAAGGTATCCCCGTCGAAAATTTGATATTGCCACCAGTATACAGGTGTGATTTTTGTGAATGCCATGCAGTTTCTATTGGGGTGCTAAACAGGCTTCGTCTGAGACCACGGGCTTTGTTGACACTGTGGTGCCTTGTGGCCTGAGACCTTCAGCCCCTGTACGGGGCTGACCGAGGTTGAGCAGAGTGGCTGTGCAATGTGGAGGGGTATCGACGTGATATCAGAAAACCTGGCATCCAATCATAGGGAAGCTGGCCCACCCAATCTAATGTAAACGTGTCAATCCGATCGACCTCGATGTGTAACTCATCGGGAAAATTAGCACCGCTTACCCCGCTCCACACCTAATTGACTTCCAATCGCTTCTATTGCCTGCGCCACATTTGGGATTCTAAAACAATAGTGTGTGATGGATCCAAATAAATGATGTGCTCAGCCATTGGGGGCTGGAGCTTGAGATTGTGGAATCTGAATTGACTATTAGCTCATAATTCATATTTCGTGCTGTCAATGTTTGGAGAAAGGCGGTCAATCATTTCTCAACAGGGTGAAGCTTGTTTATCTTGGCGCCTGGTGTTTACTCCGTACTCGGTAGCTCCCGGCAGCTCACATCCGTGGACTGCATGGACTGCATCATGTACGCTGCATACACACCTTAATACAATATTAGCCACACGCAGTCCAGCCACATTGTACGAAGTGATGAATTGGTCTGCGACCTAGGTCGCCATTATTGCGTGTTGGGGTAGGTACACCGCTAGACCCTTAGCTGACCAAAGTAAAATGGCCCTAATAGCTCTTCCGCCCCACCTAAGACAAAAATACCGCTTGAACTTTCCATGATTGGATGCCACCACAGCCACAGAACCCTTGCTCCTGATGTAATGACTGACGTGTATGTGAAGATGGTGGCGCGCTGAGAGAGCTTCGTAGGCCACCGATACCAGGGGGCCCTCCATCGCCGATCTAATACGTTTCGGGTGTTTACCACAGGCGCGTACAGCCATTGGGAGGTCCCATTAAATACAAGCCACAAAACCAATCATTCCTCCTGAGCATGATGATCGTGAAACGGTGAGGTGGCACTCCATAGTGGCTGGGGTGATTGGCCCGTTTGCACGCTGCTCTGTGCCCCTCCTACTTGTATTTGAACCCCCTCTTCCCCCCCTCCTGCTTTTGTTTTCTTTCTCTTCATCCTCAAACAATCCCACCTACCTTTACCTTAACTCCTCTATTCATCATTCATCATGGGTTGGTTCGACGGTTAGTATTCCAATGTTCCACAGCTTGTCTTGCATGCCAAGCTGTCACCAAGATCTTGGCTTACCTTAAAATAGACAACTCCGATCAGGCCCAGGCCCACGAGCAGTGGCAGGAGGTTCAGGGCCCCGAGCACGAGGCCAAGTTCTCTCACGAGCTGCTTGCCGGTGCTGCCAGCTTCGCCGCTGCCCGCGCTTACGAGAACCACGTTGCTGCGAACGGTACGCACCCTTCGACCCACCACGCACACAATTTGAATACCGCTGACACTTTCACTAGGCCAGCCCCCAGCCACGCCATGGCCAAGGAGCTCATGGCTGGATTCGCCGGTGCTTTCATCGACCGTGAGGTTGAGTCCAAGGGACTGGACTTCGTTGACCGCGAGAAGGCCAAGCACCACGCTCGCGAGCAGATCGAGCGCCAGGATGAGAGCCAGTTCAACTACTAGATATGGATACGTCCTATGTGATTACGAAACTTTGAGAATATCATGACAATTGATTGAAACAATCTCTAAAGCATAATTGTAGAGGCTGTGTTTCTGCTCAGTGTAGAGTTGCCTTCTAGATTATTGAACGCTCCTATCTCATAGCAATACGAGGGGCATGAGCTAATTGGCCAATTTACTTAATTCCGAGAATGACGAAAAATAAGTACATAGCCGCAGTGACCATCGCTCCCTTCCGAACTATCCCACTTGATTTTCTTGCACATATTTACTGATTGACTAAATGTTGAAATATCTTTCTTGACCTTGTCGAGAGTACCAGCCCTCAACCCCATGGTTCAACAGAGTGTCAACCAGAGAAGCTCACTTTCAATAGACAGCCATTTTGATCCAAGGCCATATTTGCTTTCGAAAACTCATTGAAGTTGATTGAGGTTCCCGATTATTCGCCCCGTATTCCAAAATTAGTCTCACAGCCCCTGCATCACGCTTCATGATGGCGTTCTACGAGGGGGCTTTCATGCCCGTTCAGTTGATTGGTTAGCCTTACCAGGATCCGGGGCCTTTGAGCATCTTGATAAGACCGGTTATGTAGATCAATATTCTTGGTTTTCTGAGTCAGAGCTAAGCTTTCCTTGGCGTTTGTGTGCGGACGTCATAGCTACCAAGTACCAAAAAACGATTATCTCGTGGATATAAGGCTGTGAAGATTATCAGGTGTATTGAAAAATAAAAGGCATTATTCAGAATTGATAGAGATAGCAAGGGTGTGATGATATTTGATACAGGGTAGATGCTGCCTTTTCGATCTTTGATCCTATCGGGTCTCAATTTCCCCACGACTTGGTCATATTGCCATACCCGGGATATCGAGAGAGTCAACTGGGTTATCAAGATTAAAGCGCTCAACCCTGTGAAGCAGTTGCACCATGGCATTGAGCCACAATTCGAGAATTGTTGGCGGTAGATTGGTCCAGATATCACCACAAGTTCCCAATAATGAATTAATGTTTGTACGCACAAACCCTTTCATGATGACGTCGTTTGAGAGTTGTACCTGTTGATAAACGCAGCAAAGGAGATAGTATGAGGGCGGGGTTGCTTGGAGCTCTTGAAGACGCTTGTAAACATGTAAAAATGTCACCATGTATTCCTTGAGGGTGGGGAAGTCGGCGCCCTTGAGGGATGCGAGTTCTGCTGTAAGCTTCAAATGCATATTGAAGAGATTGTATCGAATTTCTTTGAGTGCCACTTCCATGAATCCATCGGCGTATGTCACATTATCATTGCTTTTGTTGACTTTTTTCAAGAGACGTCGAGGCAAGCCAGCCGCCAACCAACAGCGCATGTGAGAGGACGTGACATGCCAGTGTCCCCAAGACGCGTCTGTGGTCTTGGGGTGGGGGATGGTGATGTCGATCAGCCTCTCCAGGCCGTTTTGTTGGAGTACAGCTTTCACGTCAGCGAGCCATTTATCGTGAAGTGGACCCGCCAGGACAATTGGAGTGTAAAATATTTCATATTCTATAGACTGCTTCAAATTGGTTCCCTGTGTGATCTGTTTATCTGTCGTATTGGCTTCACGATGCTCGGCTTCCGTCATTGTAGAGGAGTCGAACGCCTGTTCCAGGCGGAGCAACACAGTGCGGACAAGTGCTGCCGAGGTGTGAGCTTTTGTAATTGTAATATCAACGTGTTTCAACGTGGAGCGGCACGGTGTGAGTAAAAATCTGTTGCACAGGTGACGTTGAAGCCATGGACATTATGTAGCCCTGTATTCAGGTGAATGACTTCTCGAAACGTGAATTTCTCATGTCTGTATATAGCATACCTGCATATTGACTTTCAGGGCTCATACATTCACGGGTAGCCTTCGTAAATAGAGATTGCATATCAGAAGACCGGCAACTTCCGAAACTCTGAATTGAAACATTGGAAAATGAAAAGAGACACAGTCAGGATTTCTCTATGACATTTTGAGTACAAAATTGGGAAGCCAACAAAGAAAATCGTCAACCCATTGATAGAAGCTCAGGAACTGAAAAAGCAACGTATTATGCCTATGTAGTCTGTTGAATTCACTCAGTGAGTTCAAATGTTTAGGCAGATAGAAGTCAATTATATCACTTTGTCAATAGAGCCAGGACCGGTCGTGCTAACATGCACTTGTGTAATAAGGCCCCCAGAAGAATCTTCCCCCTTGAATCCGTCATGATCGCCATATAGATCACCCCTTTCAATGCCCTCAAGCGTGTGGTTTCTTGTCTCGGGGATCAAGAAGGTGACCAGGGTGGTAAGTAACATAACCCCGGAGAACAGGCCGAGCACGCCTGAAAGACCAATAGCATCTTCAACGGTTCCAAAAGCAAAGGATGTAAGAATTGCGCCACATTTGCCAGCAGCGGCAGAGATACCGTGAGCTGTACCCCGAACCCGGGTTGGGAATACCTCTGCGGGAATCAGGAATGTGGTTGTGTTGGGACCGGTCGTGAGGACGAATTGGGAAATAGCAAAAATCGCCATCAAACCTCCAGTGGAGGTGTGGGCGCCGGGAGAACTAACCCCAGCCCAGATAGCGTAGAGAACACACACGGTTCCGCATGTGTATAATTGCTGGCGGACGCGGCCAATGCGATCGGGGAGAAAGATACCAACGTAAAATCCCGGAAGATAGCCCTGTAGAACAATCAGTGACATGTAAATAAATATGGAGCTTAGAAGGAGAGGCGCTTACCGCAGCCTGGACAATTATGTTCCCAATGGCAGTGTTGTAAAGGGTCTGCCACGGGGTTGCTCCTTTGGCATATCCGATTCTGGTCAAGATGACACTTTGGTTGAGGTTGATTCCGTAATATGCAATATCACTTGAATATGTTAGCCAGCTTATCGAAAAATTGCTAGAGGGCAAACTCACAAGAGAAACCAGGCGGCTGCCGTTGCAAAGAGTACTTTTGCGTGCTTCCACTGACTGAAGTATTCTCGAAAATCTCTCCATTGTTGTTTGAAGCCACGCTTTTGCCCCGTATTTTCATCGCATACATCTGCTAAAATGTTAGTCTGGGCCGCGGCATCTTGTTGGGGGTTAACTGACATTGTTTGTATGGCAATGTCTCGGCGATAGTCAACCGGGCATAGAGCGTGAAAACAGCAGGAATAATGCCAATGCCCAGCAATAGTCGCCATACCCATTCGAGATGGTAAATGTTGTCGGCAACCGAATTCTCAAACGCTTTAAGCAGGACTAAGAAGACGATGCTGGCGGCCATGTTGCCAAGTCCAATATTCGAGAAGACGGCCAGTATCTGTATAGCTCGAGAGCCAAACGGTGATTTCTCTGCAGCCAGAGCAGAGGATAGCGGATAGTCTATCATTGGTCAGGATTGTAGTTTTTTTGGAAAGTTGAAAGGCTTTACTTACCAGCTCCGATTCCCACACCAGTTACAACACGAAATATCGTCACCCAGGCGGTTACTGATTGTGGAGTCATGCCCTTCCATGGCAGCAGGATCACCAGCAGAGTTCCGAAGATAGTCAACAGCAACTCTTTTCCATATATTTTGTGGCGGCCCCAAGTATCACTGAGTACACCAAAAAGAAGTTGGCCTACTACCATACCCAGACTGAGGCCTCCTTTGATGACATCGCTATCGATTGCGGAGACGCTGCCATCTGGGAAATAGAGATATCCCAGAATTGGAACCACTTTGGCTTATCAGCTGATATTCACTTGCTCACTTGCGGGAGATATCAAAAAGTCTTACCGAGCCCTATTGTTAGGTTAAGATAGCCATCTGCAAAGAATCCCACCCCGGCAGTGACCATAAACCGTAGCTTAGCGCCTAGAGAGGCCATTGTGGAATCTCTAAAAATGATAGAAATTTCAAAGAGGATAAGGAAAGAAGGCAATTGCAATTGGCGATTTCAGGGCTTCGCAGTCGAGCATCCTGGCTTCTGACAGGGCCAAGATAGTGTCGCACGGCTTTATACTTTGTAGTCTGGTACTTGTCACTTTGTGACAAGGATTTGATATCGGCGAGAAGTACCGTAGTGTCAGATGCCAATCCTGGAGGGTTGGACAGTTCAAGGTATGAAAAGATTTGATATTCAATGAGAATGAAGAGATCCACCACGAGCACCAGGCACAATGCACGGAACGGAGCCGATCTGAGAAATGAAATGCGGATCTGCCAGTCATTGGCTGCCGTAGCCCCCACGTGCTGTCGGCCACTTGCCGGGCAACTAAGCTTATAAGTCGACATCGGTGCGAAGTCCTGTGGTGATTTTCTGTCCTGTCACTTCGCTAATTAAAGCGCAGCACTAGACACGTAAAACGTCATACTCATTGCGCCTTCTCTGGTTGGTTCATTTGATGAGGTCAACCCGACAGTTGACAGCTTATCTCTTATCGCCGAGTAAACACTGGAACTTGTTCCAGTCCCGCTTTGCGGAATGGATGCATCGCTACCTTCGCCACCCGCTGTGAATGCATTGCGTGAATCATTCGGGGATCGCAAACCACCGGACATTACGCGTAAAATAACAGCATGTGTGGCATGTCGCAAACAAAAAGTGTGGAAGATTGACCCCTGTCTTGATAAATGATGCTAATGGAGGATGCATTTAGATCAAGTGTCATATGCGAGACGGCCAGGCGCCATGTTCTCGATGCAAGAAAAGAGGCCTACCATGCACCGTCAACAGGAGTTTACAGACCCTACTAGAAGAGGATGTGACGTAAGTCTTTCCGCCTCAACTGCAATTCTTGAAATAGCCGACTGAATCCTTCTAGATGGAAAGGTGCCATGGTTCGCAAGATCCGGCGACTTGAAGAAGCCATTGCACAGATTGCAGACAAAGTCGATATACCTGAATTGAAAAATCAACCTGAGGAGCAATCAGAGTCGCTAGTTCCGCCCGTGGATCTGACCAATGCAGAGTCATCGACCTTCAGTCCTGAATCGCAGCACCAGACCCAAGCTCAAGTTCAGGCTCCGAGTCAATCAAGGGATGATCGTGAACTACCTCGGACTTGGGAAGTCGTCATGGATCCTCGAGGTGGCCCGGCTTCTATCCCGGCTTCATGTCTTTCGGATAGTGCAAGGAACGCGCTACCGAACGGTTTACCTAACACGCGCCGCCCAGACTTAATATCGACTGGATTGATTACCTTACGACAGGCGCTGGCTTTGTTCGAAGAATACCACCTTCGGCTAGATCACTTTTTGTATAGGATACTGGGTGACCACATTAGCTTGGACTCGGTTAGAGTGGCTTCGCCCTTGCTAACCGCAGCAGTCTGCACAGTTGGAGCCCTTCATTCGCAGTCACTGGGCCATTTATTCGACGTTTGCTACAATGAGTTCAAGAGTCTGGTCTCAACGCAACTCTTTTCTCGAACTGCGAATGAGGATGACATCAGGGGCTTGTGTATTGGGGCATTCTGGCTACATGAACTATCCTGGGCATTGATTGGAAATGGTAAGTCACTTAAAACCCACGCACGATCAAGGCCTAACAAGAGAAGCTGTACGAGTGGCATCGGATATTCACCTCCACAGTGGAATCTATAAGGCTCTTAAGGGAGATAGAGAAGGCTACCTTCAGGTTCGGCTATACTACCTTGTCTATGTTTGCGACCATCATTTCTCGATCGCATATGGCCGACCGCCAATGTCTCACGAAGGATTCATCATCAAATCCGCGTCTCAGATGCTGCAAACGGAGCATGCAACCGAAGATGACGCTCGACTCATTAGTCAAGTCCATGAGTGGTCGGTACTAAGCCAAGTATTCGACACTTTTGGCGTGGATGTAGACACGGCAATTGCGCCCCAAACAATACCTCAGCTCCGTCGATACTCCATTGCATTGGACACGTGGCTCGCAGATTGGAACGAAAGATTTAGAGAGAACCGCAACGTGGGCAATTATCCACAAAAGGGAGTGGGCTTTCATTTCCACTTCGCCAAACTCTATCTCTGTTCTCATGCATTCCGGGGCATGCCTGCAGTCGAAAATATGACGGAATGGTTCACGCCTGAATTGGAAGAGATCGCCAATGCTGGTGTCCTTTCAGCCATGTCCATACTCCGTGTAATTGTTTCCGACGCGGAATTCCGATCCTTCATGAACGGGTTACCACTATATTTTGATACCATGCTCGCGTTTGCAATGGTTTTCTTGCTGAAAGTTGCCACGAAATATGCCACGGCCATTCGCATCGACACCGGCAAGATCTTGTCTTTGGTCGCACAGACGGTGGCTGCATTGCGAGAAATAACCCGGACCATGCACCGGCAACATTTACTCGTTGTCATTGCCGAAGGTCTTGGAAGGTTATTGTCTAGATGCCAAGTGCCCCCTCAAACATCTACACAAGCTCTTTATCACTCTTCTCCGATGATGGATCCAAATCCTCAGTTCGATATGGGTTGGATGGAGAATATGGCGAGCTTTGATTTTCAAACGCACTTTCCTGATCTAGATGAGTGGTGGTTACATTATAGTACATCAATGGGCCCTCAAGTACCACGTGGGTAATCGACAACCAGAGCCGACCCACCAACCTAATAATGAATGCTACAAATTAGCTACGTATGTATATTGATGACTACTCAAGGAGTAATCTGCCTTCATTGTTCTTTTCGAAATCAGAACTATCATATTGGGTTAAAAATAGCCGAACATACTAATTGAGCAATGCATGAAACCCAAGTAAGCTCAGGCTGGCCAATTGAGAACAAGATCAAAGATATCATAGTTCTTCCAGCTCTTCCCACTTGCCAATTCAGTGTTCACTGGCTTCGACATGAGGACTGGAATATCCTGCTCACTCAAGCCCCCATGTGATCGCAATGGGTGGTCTTTCAATTGTGAAAGATCATGATCCGCCTTCTTGCTCCCCATCACAGCATGAGACTTTGAAATCACAACAATGTCAGCCTCCCGATCAAGAGGCATCTCATATTTCTCAGCTGCATCTTCCCGGCTCAGAGCTTCTTCAATCTCGGGAAGCGATTTGCAAAACGAGAGCATTGATCCAAGCTTCGAGATATCCTTCAGATAGACACGCACGAACGACCCAAGTGCACCATGGTGCCGCACAAAGGGATCTGTGATAGGGCAAATAACCCGACTGGCATCGGGTCCGAAGTTTGCGTTTAGAGCCTCTTCGAGAAAAATCACATTTGGTTCACCTGACTCATTCGACTTTTGATTCATTCCGTGATCGCCAGTGACGCCAACGACCGGTGCCAGCTCAATCAGCTTCTGCAAACGTGCGTCAATCGCACCCATGAACTCATCCGCTTCCTTGCTTCCAGGAGCATGTTTGTGCTGGATGTAGTCCGAAAGAGTTAGATACAAAAAGTCGGACCTTTTCTCTTGCAGAAGCTTAATTCCGGCATCCAACACGAATAATGATAGCTCTCCAGAGTATTGGCTTGGAGCCGGTTGCCCGAGCCATTTCTCGACATCTTCGATTCCATTCTCCTCGAGCGTGCAGTCTGCGGCGCGCTCAGCTGAAAAGCAAATTGCACCTGTCAGGCCATGCCCGAGAATCTTGCGCAGTTTGTCCTTTGCTGTGATAGCTCCAATCCGTACACCTCGCTGGAACATCTGTTCGAGCAGAGTAGAGCCTCGGAGCAAAGAGTCATCTGTGATCATCTTTGCCTCGCCGGTCTCGCGGTCGAGGAAGAAGTTTCCTGCAATTCCATGGAATGATGGCGGTGCGCCGGTGATGATGGACACATTGTTTGGATTTGTGAATGAGGGCATACAGCTTTTGGCTGCGGCATGGAACCCATTTTCCACAATGCTTTTAAATGTAGGAAGAAGGCCTCTCTTGAATCCAGATTCCAGATACTCCGGGTCGAATCCATCGATGCAGACAACAACCGTAGGCTGTGTTGGGATGTGATATTCCCTAGAATGGAGGGTGAACTTCGATCGTGATTCTAGGGCTGATTAGCCCTTGATTCTTAAACTTTGCTTTATCACTCACCGAGTAGGCACTGGTATGCGATTTCCTCATAGGCTTCCAATGGAGACACCACACAATCCGGGTCTTTGGCCAGATCATCCCAGCGTCGGACTGCGAGTTTAGCTTGCAGCCATGGGTCTTTCTGTGCCTCGAGAACCTCCGTATCGGTGAACCCTCCACCCTAGCAGAAATCAGCTGGTGTCTAACAATAATGGAATGTGTCTTCATACCTGGAAGCGTAAGGTTCGCTTGCTAGTCTCACTCAATCCGTCATGGTAAGTCTTGTCGGTAGCAACAAGATACCGCTTGGCCATGACGTGCGCCCCGACTAACTTGCACACTCTTTCACTGAATCCAATCTGGCGCAGATAAGTCTCGCCCAGGACCTCATGGCTCATGCGGCCAACATACTGACCGTCCGGGGTGATCATCTTGTCCATTTTCTCTGCGGCGGGAATGAAACGCCCGACATCGTGTAACAATGCAGCAAGAATAACCTCCGGATCATTCTTGTATTCGATTGATTGGGTGGCGAGATAAGCACATTGAAGTGAGTGTTCTAGCTGGGTCACTCGCTCTCCAAGGTAATCGCCTTGACCTTGAGCATGGAGAAAAGCGAAGAGAGTCTTGATTGTAGCTCGGGTATGCTCTTCGACAGACTGGAGAGTATCTGGAGCTTGAGAGATTGACATCTTGATATTCATTTTGACGCCTCACAGCTATTTCGATGCAAAGTTCTCTGGTTATTCAACTTCAGTTGTGATATCTGAATGGCTAGACCATTCAAGGCCTTCTAATAACAAATGAACAGAGACCTAGGCAAGAAGTCCGCAGTCAACCAGATTTCAGGATACACGTGCAAATAGAGACAATATGATTCATCGGCCCCTCACTTTGACATGTTGGATCTGCACGAATAATATGCAGCTTATTCGTCGGTGCGAAGCCCGGTGGTCCGTGCGGTGCGGTAGGAACGCCTATGCTACTATGCACAGTGGATACGATCTGAACCAAAAAAGGCCAAAGTAATGGCTGAAAGAGCTTGCAAAACAGGGGTTTGGTTCATCTGAGCAATTTGTCATTTAGGTTCGGTAATTGGTCCACCTGGTTATTGGATTGCCGGGAATATATAAAGTCTTCCCCCAATCACCTTTACTTCTGCACCTCTCAAGCCTTGTCCAGATTCTTTGGTATTTCGACACCAACATAATAGATTCAACATGGGCCCTCTCACTGAAGAACAGGTGGCCTCTTACCACAAGAATGGTTATCTTCTCTTGCGTGTCAATGAACATCAGCTTGTCGATCCGATCGCCTTGAAGCAGTGGACCGAGGACATTAGAGCCTGGCCTCGCGTCAGAGGCAAGTGGATGCCATACGATGAGATCAACATTAAAGGCGAGCGCCAGCTCATGCGTACCGAGCGCTTCATTGACTTTCACCCACAATACAAGGAGCTCGTCTGCGGTGAGAAGCTCGGCGAGATTCTCAAGGCCGTCTCCGGCGAAGTCAGTATTTGAAAGAAGCTTCGTGCTCTGATATCTGATCGATTTCCTAACTTCATATAGGATATGCTCCTCTTCAAAGACAAGATCAACTACAAGCAGCCTTTCGGCAATGGCTTCCAAGCACATCTCGATGCACCAGCCTACGACCATATCGGGCGCATCGAGCATGTGACAGCCAATGTTGCCATTGATGCCGCCACCATTGCTAATGGGTGTTTGGAGGTGGTCCCTGGATCACACAAGATGGATGTGGAGTTTGAAAGCCATGGTCGGATCAAGCAGTCGTGGGAAGATGCCCATGAGTGGATCACCATCCCGTTGGATCCTGGTGACATGCTGGTCTTTGGGTCGCACCTTGCGCATCGCTCGGCGGAGAATAAGACAAATGAGAGTCGCTCTAGTCTTTATGCTACCTTCCATTCGAAGAGTGATGGTCTAGATTTGCGAGAGAGGTACTATAAGCATCGGATGGAGAATTTCCCTCCAGAGCATGGTGAGTTTTTTCATGAACCAGAAGCGGTAGTGAGGGTAGTTGCTGATGATATTTTAGAGCGCGTGGAAGGCAAAGATTATTCGGCTGGTTATCGCACCTATGGGTTTGCTGCACCGTTTACTCGTGCGGACCAGAATGCTGCTGCCCCCGTTGTGTCTCAGCAGTCGTAATTGGAAAAGTCAGGATAAAGGTGTTACTTGAGTGTAAATCTTAATGTTATTTCGCTAAAAAGGTGAATTTTGTTTTGCGTTCAGAGCCATGTTATTTCATAATTTCATGTGTATCAGTCTAAGCTTAAGTTGGTGTTAACTACAAGATCACGTCCGTCCTCCCAAGTTGGGCCATTTCCACAAAAGTAACACCTAAGTGGCCTTCCAGGCTCTGCTATGTCTAACAAGATATATACAGTGACATCGTAAAAAGTATGCTCCAGTGTATCCGCCAAAGAATGAAAGGTCTCCAACCCAAAGATTAGATCGTTTGCTCTTCAGGTTTCATACTCTGGTATTACAACATCTCCCACCATGACCGTCCGGTGATCTGGCGAGTCTGAAAATTTCTCGGCTTCCTCAATTGAAAGGGCGGCATACTGCCCAAAGTTCACTTTGCCATCCACTTTCCTGGTTTTGGCGAGAGTCGAGAACGGCTCGTCACGTCTCTGCCCAGTGAACTGGTCAATGCAGACCATCTGGCAGCGCTGGCATGCCTCCAAAACATCTATGCGAAGCAGATCTGATCCAATGCGCAGAGAGGACCAGTGGTCTTCAATGTATGGTTGCTCCGCATCACCCATTTGAACAAGCCGTTCGGCGACGACAATGTTCCCACGGAATACATCAGCGGAAACGGCTTTGCTAGCACCTTGCTTGCCTTGTGCCTTGATGGTCTCATTCACGCGGTTGACTGATGAACGCGAGACCACCAAAATAGGCATCTCATTAGATAAGAGAAGGGGGTTCCGTCCATTATCACGAACTGGTGGTGGGAAGTCAGGGGGGTAAGAGCCTGGCATCAAGAGCTTGCGAAACTTGTTCTTCCACGTACTGGACATGCGGATTGGTCGGGAGTACCGGTCGGCTATTTGGCTAGGGAATCGAGCCAGTGTGCATGGAACACCGAGGAAGTCGGAGAAGAATGCCGATACCACTGGTGAAGCGTACGCATGCAGAGAAACTTGGTCCCCGCATACCATGGACCGTTTCGTAGTATTTGGGCAAAGGGAAGTAGATATAAGAGTTGTATCCTCCCATCCGAGAGAGATCTCGAGACTAACGGAGTCGGTCATGACTCCACAGGTAATGCGGAGAATGCCACGATCAAGATCAATGGATGGCCTGATCAGTGCCATCCGTGGATATCGTTTTTGGTTCAGCGCTGCACCCGTTCCTTGGTGGATCAGACACCACTCTCGATCCCATGCTAGACCTTCTCTCTTCACTTCCCACCGTTTGCCCTCGGGGATCTTGAATGCGCCACAACTCTTGATCGGGAACACCGAAAGGCTTTCGATGTAAAAGTGGCGGCCAAGGGTGTTATTCTCAATGGGTGGTTCCACGGACACAACAGGGGGGGCATTCTCCACATAGAACTCCGCAATAAAATTGACCAGGGAGTCAATGTCTTTCATATTGGTCATTGCACCCAAGCTGACTCGTAAAACTCCGGTGGGCCGACCCTCCACGATATCGGTGTCATCACCGCAGCGAAAGCCTGTGGTATACAGATGACGCATTTCTGTGCCCGTCCATCCAAGCGAGGTGGCCGTACCGCCAGGATTGCAAACCGAACCAGTGCGAATTTGAATATTCTGTACAGTGGCTAATTTTTCAACCTCTGTCTTGGCAATCCACTCGCCCTGGCTGTTCTTCAAATTGAACGCCAAGATTGGGCCCTGGGTGAGGGAACAGCCAAATGTGGCCGAGCTAGGCTGATATATGTGACAAACGTGCGTTTCGTTCCAATGTGATAACACGGACAGGCGGTCGTAAAGGTGCTTGGCTAAAAATGCAGTGTGGGAGGAAACATTTGCCATCGAGCCGTATAAACGTTCATGGGTATCCATGGCAGCATCTAGAGCAATGATATTGTGGAATGGTAGGGTGCCATCCTCGAGGCGCTCGTGGATTGAAGTCTCCTTCTTGGCATGCCACTGGGGACCAGCGGCTACAACAATGTCAACGGTGCCTCCGCCGAAGTATTTCCGTCTTTCAAAAACACGGGCGGCGCTCTTCCGAACGATCAAGGCACCTAAGTCTGGAAACCCAAAAATCTTGTAGAAGCTCAACGCCGTGAAGTCCGGGGCCACAGCGCTCAGGTCCAGTGGTGATGTAGATAGCAGCGAGGCTGCGTCTAGTAATGTGAACACATTTGCCCCGTTGATGGCGGCGGCCGAACGGATTTCCTTGCACCATCTTAGAGGAAGGCGGCGGCCGTTTAGATTCGATTGCGCGGGGTAGGCAAAGAGTTGGGGTACTTTGGTCTGAGAAATGGCCAGTTCTTCCGAGATCCAGGAATCTACCTTGTCATCTCCTTGCAGGCATTCATGACCAAGATCCGCAACTTCTCGCACCCCAACCAAACTGGTGTGGGCATCAACATGGTAACCATACCAGAAACCCCGGTGGTCGGAATCTCGAATTGAGTCTGTCACAAGCTTAATCGCTGCGGTTGCATTTGCAACGAAGACCAAATCATACTCTTCTGGGTCTGCATTGAAGAAGCGGAGAACTCGGAGTCGAACATCGTCTGTCCGCTGAGTGGAGAGTTGTGAAGATTGTGACATAGAATGGGGATTGCCAAAAAGATTAGAGGTCATGTCACGCGAGAAAGCCTCGATCGTAGACTTTGCATAAATTGTTGTGCCTGCATGGTCCAAATAAGTTGTTTCTAAAAGAAAGTGGCGATTAGTATACTTTTCAAAAACTCGGCGGAAGGGGCGTACCATTTAACAATGGATATTCTTGTTCTCGGATGGTATCCACGTCCACAGAGTAGCCTTGACAATAAGCTATCTGGGGCGGGTTTGGAGTGTGGGTCTGCGCCATCTTTGCCGATGAAAGATGGAGTTTATGCCAGGCACTGGCATTTAAAAGGGATCGAACGTGCCCGCGGGGGGCACGTAGCTTAACAGCGTAAGCGGACGACTTTTTGCGACCCATCCGCATGTATGATGCAGGGACCCCACTTGGAGATCTCTGCGGACCAAACTATGTATACTTTGGCAACGAAAACCTAAGGCCCCCAGTTAGTTTGAAAGTCATGGCTATTTCGTGGATTGGAAATGATAATAAAAATATGTCACAAATAGACTGCATATTATATAACCACCAAAAGGAAATTGAGACTGTGTCGAGGGAGATACAGTAGATAAGACGGAAGCATGACTATACGGACCTTGCAATAGTATGGGACGGGGAGTTCCGATGGTGGCATTACCCGCTTGTGGATCACTTGCAACCGAACAGAACTTCTTCCATTGTGAGAACAAATACACTGGGCATCCCATTGTTCTTATAGCGTGGAGATGCACCTCAGCACTAGTGCTAGGATCGTTAATCCAATTGAACTTGATCGCTCTATCGAGACAGCGAGAAAGCCCCATCGCCACAGCAAATGTACCATAGATGAGATCATGTGATAACCGACCCTTTCGCGGGGAACCGCGCGCGATGGGATTTGACTTGACCGGGAATGTCTATGCACAGCTCAAGTACACACTCGGGCGTATCCTGTCAGGCTGAGAGGGGGCCGTGATCCACCGTGGTGGATGCCAGGTGGGTACGCTGTGCTTCTGACAGTCAGATTCAACAAGTAAACTGATAGTGCAGTTCGAGTACAGTCAATAGTCCCGAGTCCTTGAGCCAACCAGAGACCGGAATTGCTTACATGCAAAAGCAGATCACCCTACATCACAGTAGTTTGCATTCAAGTATCTTGGCTGTGACAAGATAGTCAACGTGCATATAGTTTTCATCGACCACACGAGCTGGTGGCGGAGACTGGCATCGTGGCCTATACTAAGTCGTCAGCTTACGCGCCCAGGTCAGGGTCCTTATGCAGTCAAGACTAGCCTAAAAACATAGTGCCGTGATGGGGGCCAATACAGCCGTAGCCCCATCCTGAGATCATCCACAACAATGCCATTGTTGGCCCGGAATAAAGAACCCGAATAGGAAGCGGTACCTAGTCACGAACTATTGATCGTAATGGTGGGGTATCACATACGCTAGGATACAACATAGCGCTGTTTGTACGTAGTATTTGGGGGCCGTCGGGCCGTATCTTGCAGATCCTTGAACTAATCTCTACCTGATCTATACCTAGTCTATGCCTGGCCCGACATGTTGGTAATGGAATATGCATGGTGCAAAGGTATTGCTTTTTCCCTTGGATCCTGTTAGAAGGGAAAACAGGTTTCAGTAGGTACTAAGAACCTAGATTCAGCTACTATTACCTCGGGATCAACATTATTGAGGGCTCATCCACTTTGCGGGAATGGGAAGAACGTTCTCGTTACGTTTCACTGACAAGGCCCACGACTTTCGAGATTCCAAGGTTGGTGTGCAGAGTTTGGTGTGAACTGTGATGTAAATTTTCCCAGCTGGGTTATGCACATAGAGACGAGATAGCCTTGATAGTGGCTGCTCGGTAAGTTTGAGCGCTGCGCTCACGCATAATATAGTACAAGTGTGATGAAAATAGCGCAAAATCAAAAGATATAACTCCCATCCTAAACCCCTGCAATGTTCATACAGACGCTTCTGCCGACCTGCAGAAGAACACGGCAAGTCGACATTGAAAGACTTGGGTAACAGGGTGACTCCCAATTAGACAAAAATTGAAAAAGGTGTTCAGCCCAAATGTCCCATTTACCGCTTGGGCCACTGGCGCCAGCCACGACCATGACCTCTCTGTAGAAAAGCGTTAGTTTCCATATGATAAGCACCGCCACAGGATTACTTACCTGTTTCCACAACCGAATCATCTCCGGCATCTCCACCATCGCCTTGCGACGATCCTCGAGCCTGGCCTCCATCGTGCGCTCCCACTTGTGACCCTTGACCTTCTGGCCAATACCTGTACCCTTGATACGCAGACCACGCTCAGCCAAACGCGCAGCCTTGTATTCTGTCGATTTAATACCAGGAGGGAGTAATTGCTCAACGTTGTACTTCGAAGCCATTTTCACAAGGTCGGCCTGTTGTCGGAGCCCGTATCGGGGGCCGAGCCACTTGCCAGTACGGAAGATCTTTTGTGGCAGGAAGGGGTTGCGAGCTTCGGGGTTGTTGTACAGAAGAGCCTTTGCAGGAGAGAAGGCCTCGGGGTCAGGCTTGTGAGCACCCTTGACTTCACGATCGGGGGTGTACGGCGATGGAAGGTTTTGTTCGGGAGCTTCGCCTTCCGGGGCAGTTGGACGAGGCGCAACGAGCGCGGAGTAGATCTGAGGAGGATAACGGGCAAAGAAGTTGCGGAGGCGGATTGGCAGATTGCCGACGGTACCCACGTTTACCGACATGGTGGGCAGTTGAATTGGGATGATGTTGATGTCTAAAGTAATTAAAAGTTGAGATCGCGAAATCCCGAGTGTTGCAGCCTTGGCGCCTCATCGCCTTAATGCCTGAGGCGGTAAAGCTTCCTATTTCGTCCATCATTCTGCTTTTTCATCGTTCTGGTTTCAGCCCCCTCGGTCTCCCGTTACCAACACTCTCCATTGTTATCAACTCCCGTGATCTATTCATAGTTCTGTCATATTTTTGCGCACTTTGAAATTCTTGTCTTGTGCGCATTATCTTGTGCGCGTAACTTTTCTACGCGCACCACCCTAGGCCCACCATGGCGGACTATCACTTTGGAGGTTCGGAAGAGGAGAATGCGGAGCTACGAAAGCTCGAAACAGAGTTGGTAGGCATCCCAACGCGTCTCGTGTCTTGCGCAAACCATTATATTGAAAACATGTATTAACTGACCTCGATTCTAGACCGATGATCCCGATAACTTCGAAACCTGGGAGAAACTCGTGCGCGCCGCAGAGTCTCTCGAGGGTGGCATCAACCGCAACTCTAACCCCCAAGCTATCACCACCGCCCGCCATGCCTACGATCGCTTCCTCGCCAAGTTTCCTCTCCTCTTTGGATATTGGAAGAAATATGCCGACATGGAGTTCTCTATCACGGGCACAGAAGCTGCAGAGATGGTGTGTCATATTCTCTTTCATTTCCTGTCTTCCTGTCGAGACTTGAGCCTACTTCGGATCCACCAACATCCAGTCATTCCAGTCATAGTATTTCGTCCAATGTCGCTAACTGCTCGCTAGGTCTATGAAAGAGGTATAGCCAGTATCTCCCCATCCGTCGATCTATGGACCAACTACTGCGGCTTCAAAGCCGAGACTTCACATGATGCCGACATTATTCGAGAGTAAGTACAACGAAGTTGCTTTCCTTCCCTTTCCCTGTAACCGTTATCAATGCAGCTCGCGATCGCTTGGGACTTGTTGTGGTATGAAGCATAAAAATGTGCTGGATAAGCAGTTCTACTGATGATGGGTGAGACACCGTTGCCTGACCACCCGGACTCAAGTGGTGTATACTTCTCACCCATGGCTTCATTCAGGCTGCTTTCCTTCTCTTGACCTCAAGACATGATCCTCTCTTTCCTTTGCCCGGATACCAAAACCAAAGGACAAATGTTCTCGAAGCACTTGATACCTCCCCCATTGCTCACCCATCGTTGATTTTGGATCTGTCATCACAACGGCAGAGATGACCATGATGTTTGCCACACATTTCTTCCTCTCCCCTCCCATTTCTAAACCCCCCACCCCCCCAAGTTAGAGGATCTGGCATGCTGACCTGCAAACCTAAACAGCCTTTTCGAGCGTGGCGCCAACAGTGTAGGCCTGGACTTTCTGGCACATCCCTTCTGGGATAAGTACATTGAGTTCGAGGAGCGCGTGGAAGCTCAAGACAAGATCTTTGCTATTCTTAGCCGTATTATTCACATTCCTATGCATCAGTATGCACGATACTTTGAGCGCTATCGTCAACTGGCGCAAAATCGCCCTCTGGCAGAACTTGCATCTGCTGATGTGATGTCTCAGTTCCGTACTGAGTTGGAGGCTGCTTCATCTCAGGTTCCGCCAGGAGCCAAGGCTGAGGCTGAGATTGAGCGTGATCTGCGGTTGCGCGTTGATAACTACCATCTCGAGGTCTTCTCGAAAACTCAAACAGAGACAACCAAGCGATGGACCTATGAAGCCGAGATCAAGCGGCCTTACTTCCACGTTACAGAATTGGACGAAAGCCAGTTGACCAACTGGAAAAAGTACCTCGATTTCGAGGAATCTGAAGGCTCCTACCCTCGCATTCAATTCTTGTACGAGCGCTGCCTGGTGACATGTGCTCATTACGAAGAATTTTGGCTTCGTTATGCCCGATGGATGACCGCTCAATCTGACAAGGAAGAGGAAGCCCGGATCATTTACCAGCGTGCTAGTTGTCTTTACGTCCCAATTGCGAACCCTGCTATCCGTTTGCAGTATGCCTACTTCGAGGAAATGTCGGGTCGCATTGATGTCGCCAAGGATATCCATTATGCTATCCTTTACAGTCTCCCTAGTCATGTTGAGACTATCATTTCTCTGGCCAACATGTCCCGCCGACATGGTGATCTGAATGCTGCCATTGAAGTCTACAAGACCCAGTTGGATTCTCCTGAGGTTGAGATGGCTACCAAGGCTGCTCTTGTTGCCGAATGGGCCCGCCTCTTGTGGAAGATTAAGGGCGCCCCCGATGATGCCCGCAAGGTGTTCCAAGAGAACCAGCAGTACTACCTTGACAGCCGTCCTTTCTGGACAAGTTACCTTATGTTTGAGATTGATCAGCCTACTAGCGCTACAACCGAATCGGTCCAATATGAGCGCATCAAGAAGGTCATCTCTGATGTCCGGTCTAAGAGTACATTGCTTCCGGAGGTTGTCAGGGAACTAGTCCAGATCTACATGGCGTACCTTCTGGAGCGAGGTACTCAAGACATTGCTAAAGAGTACATGACCCTGGATCGTGAGGTGCATGGCCCGCCATCAGTGGCTGCTGCCCGAACAGGTGGCACTGTTGTTGTCCCCCCTACCCCTGCTGATGGACAGCCCACTCCTGTGCCTATGTTGCCTCAGCCTACCCCTGAACAGGCGATTGCCGCACAAGAACAAGCATATGCATACTACCAGCAGACCCCCGCCAACGCTCAACCTGTTGCCTAATTCCTCTGACATGCTTTTTATGACTCGTTGCGGAGGCTTTGCTCCCCTGCTTCTCTTTTTCTATGGTTTCTCATTGATACCTAATCTACCAGGGTGGGTGACTTCCTTCTCATTTAGCATCATGTTTGTTTTTGCCGATACCCCGGCAAGCTTCTCTTTTACGGTTCCGTTCTAGGTTTCTTAGCGATTTTTGATTCGCCGAAAGGGCTTTGTGCAGGTCAGCTCTTGCTTCCAATGAATCTGTGTCCTACATCTCTGAGCGGAAATACGTAAATAGTACACTCAATTCGGCTATACCCAATCATGCCGCATTCTAGTTTCACGCACATAAATAAATTGAATAAGCTATCAGGGCAACATTACACACTCATTTGCGAGAAAACTTTGCTAGTAAGATTTATGACACAGTTGCTGAAGACTTATTGCACCTCAGGCTTGATTTGTAGAGCTGCACATCTGGTATGTCTAGTTCGCCGTATAAATTCAATATGCGCCATCTTAGGATTCAATCGGGTCTTTCATATATCATCTTGCTCTCACACCTGCGCCACGATGGACGACATCGAGATGAATGCTTCAGATGAAGCTCTTCCAGGTCCTCCAGCTCCTCCTCCAGATACCATTGAGCGCCCTCCCTCACCACCACCACCACCTCCGGAGGATTCAGGTGCTCCTCCGCCGCCGCCAGATGTTGCAGCCCCTCCACCTCCCCCGGATGACAGACCACCTGCGCCACCTATCGAAACAACCAAGAAGAAGCAAGGATGGGGATCCAAGCGGCCAGCTGCGGCTCCATTGAGTGTGGAGGATCTCATCCGCAAGAAGAAGGAAGCAGAAGCTGCAGCTGCAAAGGTATTGTATTATCTCATATCCAAGCTTTCGCGTCTTAATCCATCGGGCTTATGTCTAACACAACTCGTTCTTCGTAGCCGAAATTCTTATCCAAAGCGCAGCGCGAGAAACTGGCACTAGAAAAGCGGGCGAAGGAGGTAGAGGCCGAGCGACGGGCCAAGGCGCAAACGAATGGCGCTGATCGAACGGGTTCCTCGTCCAGGACACCATCAGTTATACCGGAAGACACGGGCAGTGATTACAGAAACGCAAACGGCAGAGTACCAACAGGACCGCGTGCAATGCATGGGAACGCTCCAGCAGGACCAGCTGCCATGCGGGGCCGCAATCATGACATGGACCCTCCTCCCCCTCCACCAAAGGGAGGAAAGAAGGCCCAGGGTGAAAAGAACATTACAAAGAAAAACGAAGCCGAGACAGAGGCAGAATTAATCAAGAAACGATACATGGGAGCAGAACAAGCCTCGAGCTTCTCGGCGCAAAAGAAACGCAAGCGCACCACAGACAAGAAGTTTAACTTCGAATGGAACGTTGAGGAGGATACCAGTAACGACTACAACCCATTATATCAACATCGACAGGAAGCGAATTTCTTCGGTCGAGGCCGCTTGGCTGGATTTGCGGATGATGTTGCAGATAGTGTGACGCGCAAATACGCTCAAGCAATCCAGAGTCGGGACCACGAAGCAGGCGAAATGCGCGCGAAGGAAATCCTGGAAATGGAGCGCCGTCGTCGTGAGGAGAGCACACGTCACCAGCTGGACAAGCACTGGAGCGAGAAGGAACTGAGCCACATGCGTGAACGTGATTGGCGTATCTTCAAGGAAGATTTCAACATCGCCACAAGGGGTGGTAGCGTGCCCAACCCGATGCGCTCATGGAAGGAGAGTCAGCTTCCTCCGCGCTTGCTGGAACTTATTGATCGTGTTGGTTACAAAGAGCCCACTGCCATCCAGCGGGCTGCGGTTCCCATCGCAATGCAATCGCGTGATCTCATCGGTGTTGCCGTGACAGGTTCCGGTAAGACTGCTGCGTTTTTACTACCTCTTCTTGTCTATATCTCGGAACTACCTCGTCTTGATGAGAATGAGTGGCGCAAGAACGATGGACCCTATGCTATTGTTCTAGCTCCTACTCGTGAATTGGCCCAGCAGATCGAGATTGAAGCCAAGAAATTCACAGGGCCTCTTGGCTTCAATGTTGTCAGTATTGTCGGTGGTCATTCGCTTGAGGAGCAAGCCTACAGTTTGCGCGACGGTGCGGAAATTATCATTGCTACTCCCGGTCGTCTGGTCGATTGCATTGAGCGACGAATGTTGGTCCTCAGTCAGTGCTGCTATGTCATTATGGATGAAGCAGATCGCATGATCGATTTAGGCTTTGAGGAGCCTGTCAACAAGATCCTTGACGCTCTGCCCGTCACCAACGAAAAACCCGACACCGAAGAAGCCGAGAATCCACAAACAATGAGCCAGCATCTTGGAGGTCGTGATAGGTACCGCCAGACTATGATGTACACCGCTACCATGCCCGCAGCCGTCGAGCGTATTGCCCGCAAATATTTGCGACGCCCCGCCATCATCACTATTGGTGGTGTTGGTGAGGCCGTCGACACAGTCGAGCAACGCGTCGAAATGGTTCCTGGCGAAGACAAGCGGAAGAAACGTCTTGGCGAGATCCTCACGTCTGGCGAATTCCGAGCTCCTATTATCGTTTTCGTCAACATCAAGCGAAACTGTGATGCCATTGCCCGAGAAATTAAGCAGATGGGCTTCTCATCAGTCACTTTGCACGGTTCTAAAACGCAGGACCAGCGTGAAGCTGCACTTGCCTCTGTCCGCAGCGGTGGCACGGAAGTATTGGTTGCCACTGATCTTGCTGGGCGTGGTATTGATGTTCCGGATGTCTCCCTGGTCGTCAACTTCAACATGGCCACATCGATCGAAAGTTACACTCACAGAATTGGTCGTACTGGTCGTGCAGGAAAGAGTGGTGTCGCCATTACTTTCCTTGGTAACGAAGATAGCGACGTTATGTATGTCTCCATTTCCTTGATTTTCGTCATTTACATTAAGTCGAAACTAACCAACATATCAGGTACGATCTCAAGCAGATGCTCATCAAGTCACCCATTTCCCGCGTTCCTGAAGAACTACGTAAGCACGAGGCTTCGCAATCCAGGCCCAATCGCGGCCCTGGAAAGAAGATCGAGGATAGTTCAGGGTTTGGTGGTAAGGGCGGCTGGGCTTAATGGTCATGCGGAGTTTCTTGTACTTTTATTGAATGGATACCACACTTATATTTCCGTTAAACTACTGGTTTCAGGATCTTTCAGTCGTACAGCCTTGCAGGATTTGATGCCTTAAAGGATCAAGCTATGTCCAGGTGCAACCAGAGCTTTGTGTGGGGGCCACGAAAGAAGTAATTTAGGCCCCTTCGCAGTTTCAGTAGAGACGCGGTTTAGGGGTCCATCACAACGTCACGGGCGAGATTTAGTATCATGATAAGTATAAAAGCCCGCAGAGTATTCTCAAAAACGATATCTATAAACAACTCGTTACAAATTATCATTCCTCCTTCTACGGCATTATCTGAACCGTTGCACCGAACCACCCTCATATCTACAACCAGCCCACCATGAAGGTCATTAGTGTTATTATCGTCACTGCTCTCGCTGCTTTACCATCTGCTGCTATGGGCACTGTGGAGGGTATGTAGACTATCTGAACCCTAGACAAGGAGAATCGTTGACAAGGCTTTCTCTTTACATAGATGGTGGGGCATGCACCACAACGTCGGAGTGCAGATACATCCTTTCAGAATGTGAAAACGGTGTCTGCACGGCAGATGAAGGCTTAGCAGAATTTGCGAAAGGGATCTCCGAAGTGGAGCTCGCCAAAATTGAACAAGAACATCCAGGATCGAAGTAGCTGCGTCGTTTGTTGTCATATGACGTCTGAATACTGGTTGCGAGGATATTTGCTGCGGGTGGCAGCTATTATACTTCAAGTAGATGGGTGAATAGCACCAAGGCTATTCCTTGAGGGCCTTTCTGAAATCGCTGCCAACTACTTTATTTTTATCGTCTCTGGCCGGAATCTACGGTACACTTTTCTGTATAGTCGAAATGTGAATGTCGCCTGCTTCTGAGTGGCTGAAAGGCCATCATCCACAGGCAAGTATTTGTTGGCTACTCAGAGTCTCTGTTTATCAATGGAAATGAAGGTAAAAAGACAAGACCACGCATAGTCCGATTAGCCTTGAGATTTGTCTCTTATTTTTGAGTAGCTCAATCTACTTAAATAACAACCAGGTAGGTACCTCGGTAGCTACCTGATTCCCCAAGCGAGATCCTGTATTCATCGCTATGTTCTATATACATCTGTCCTTAGTTGAGTATTTTCATCGTCCCCAGGTGATGTTTATCGTGATTGATACCTAGGAGTATGCACAAGACCCGGTTCTCATTAGCCTAACGGTAGTTCTTACCTCTCAAATCCTGGAATCCGGCAGCTTCAAGATCGTTCTCGATAAGCCCAGGAAGAGCAATATGATGCAATGTTACCTCCTTGTTACTTTTCTTGATCTCTTCCGCAGACGGTGGAGTCCAGGTGCCCCGCAGGATCTGATTCACGGCTTGGCTGAGGAACGATGCATTCTCAGTGTATGTGATAAAACCTGCTGCAACCGAGATATAGAAGATCCCGGGATAGTCCTGGTCGTAGAAGCGGAGGTAGAGAGGACGCTCTGCGTCTGCTGCGGCCAGAGAGTCGTATTCGCCTGCTTCGCAACCTTCTGGCAAATAAGATGAATCGGTTGACCATCCGGTTGCTGCGACAAACATCTTCGGTTTCAGGACTGTGCCGTTGCTGAGAGTTACAGTGTCGCCATCGATGAGTTTGATGCTGCAGCCGTTGTGGATCTTGAATTGTCCGTTTTTGTATGCAGGAACGAGATGTGACCGAAGAATTAAGCCGACTTTGGCGGATGCACCCTCATCTGCAGGCTGTTAATAAGAATGAATATTTATGTAGACACAAGATCGACTTACGGAATGGAGGTCGCCACTCTGGTACACCTTGGATCAGGGCCCATATGAAGTGGATGAAGTATAAAATGGAGTCTACCACGAAGATTGGCAGGACGCGGTATAAAACTCGGCACAAATGCAGGTCTGTCCATCCGAATCTCCATAGTGATGGCCACCACATGTCTGGAGCACCCCTGCAATTTATTAGCTCAAAGCAGACAAGTTTCAAGTTTTGTTAACAGCGTACCAGTGAGGAGAACGTGCAACCACGTGAACATTTGTCGCATTTTGGGTGAGACAGGCTTGCTGGATGATATCCATAGCCGAAGGACCTGCTCCCACAATCAAGACATCCGAGGTAGGGATCTCCTTGGCCTCGCGAATGTTATTGTTGTGTATGATGGGGAATGTAGCTGTTTCCTGGCCTGGGAATTTGGGCATATAAGGAAACATATTGTGTCCGCTGAGGTTTTTATGTCAGTCAAAATCCCTTCTATAGATGAAGGGAAAGAAAGTGATATATGCATACGTGCAGACAAGAACACTTCGTGTGTAAACGGTCCGAGAGACGGACTTCTCCAACCCCTCAGCCAAGGGACTCAGGTCAACTTTATGAAGCATTGGCTTGACCATCTCCACATTAGTTACATTATGCTGCCACAGCACATGTTGCTTGAGGTGAAATTCTTGAAAGTATGCTTCACAGAATTCAGCAACTTGGTCTCTCGAGGCCCGTCTCTGAGGCTCTCGCCGAGGAAACTTGACACCATGACACTCATATTCAACAACCAAGTCTTGAAGAGTTGAATATTCCGGAATATGACCAGTCCATATACCACCTGGAACTGCTTGACGCTCTACAGCGAGGACAGAAAGTGGTGGATCATCTCTTAGCAGGTTTCGGAGAGATACCATGCCTGGAAGCTGTTAGCCGCGGGAACCTCATTTTTGGGATTCTCGGTCTGAAATATTTCCTGTTTCCTTACCAGAAGGACCAGCACCAATGATGAGCGCATCGATGGGATTGTCTACCGAAGTACCAGCATCACCATCAACCACTTTATCGACAGTGGTGGGAAGTGATATTTTCATGGTGGCTGAGAACTGCGGGGTTGTAAGTAGTAACTGGCTCGCACAACTCCCATGGAAAGTTGAAAGCCAATTCCAATTTATAGCTGGAGGTATGTGCGACCGGAATTAACGATGCATATCGGATTCGCATAGATGCCAAGTGCCGGTGGTCCACTCCAGCCAACAAAAGTACGTTCAGCCCTTCCCACTTCGGTCATGTATGCGACCTTCCCTTGCAAGGATGGCGCGACGCTAACGAGCCAAGGGTCAAATCAAGGTTTGTGGAATTTATATGCGGGAACTGGACCCCGATAAGCACTAACTCCAGGGGGTCATACGCCTTTTCAGGACCCATCGTGGCTGTCCTTTGTCACTATTCACATTTACAATGAGGGAGCAAGGTGGGTTTAATTTTATGAAGCAATCGCCTTCCCTGGGTGATTATGTCGCGTTACTGACATGCTTTAGTCCCGGTCAAGGACGATGCGACCGTATTGGCGGCCCTCGGTCACAAAGAGGAGCTGAGTCGTCAATTCACGCTCTTTTCTATGGCCGCTAATGCGATCATTACTGCAAGTGCATGGGTATGGCCCCATCATTTCCCCACGATCACTTTCTTCACCTGAATCGCGGGGCTGTATATACTAATTCGCGCCAGACTGCGATCATCGGAACATTCATTACCTCGATCTATAATGGCGGTGCGGCAGGGTTGATCTACGCCTGGTATGATCTGCCAATTTCGAAGCGCGCAATACATCCTAATGGAAAACTAGGATCGTGGATAACTTCTTCTTCCTCTTCATCGCGTTGTCCATGGCTGAGTTGACCTCGGCTATGCCAACTGCTGCGGGGGTTTACCACTGGTCGGCAGCATTGGCTGGTCCAAAATACTCGCGACCGGTTGGATTTCTGACGGGGTACTTTAATATGCTTGGATGGACCCTCGGACTGGCTTCTTTATATTCGGTCGCGGGTCTCCAAGTGACGGGGTTGTATCAGCTCTACCACCCGGAGTATGTCAGTCAGCCGTGGCATGTGTTCGTGGTATTTGTCGTTCTCAACTGGTCCTTTGCGGCATTCATTCAATTTGGCAACAAGATCTTGCCATATTATACTAAATTTGGATGTATGGCCTTAACCTTTACTATCTTGCTTGAAAGAACTATGCTAACACAGACACAGTATTCGTTAATGTCGGCGCCTGGTTCACCATCATTGTATGCCTTGCAGTTCTTCCAAAATCGCATTCAACAAGTTCCTTCGTGTGGACCGATTATACAAACTCTACGGGCTGGCCAACGGGGGTGAGCTTCATTCTGGGATTGGTTGCGCCAGCTTTCTCAATCGGTACGATTGACAGCTCAACACACATGGCAGAAGAAGTACCGAATCCATCAAAAAATATTGCGAAGACGGTGATGATTCAATGGTTCGGTTCTTTCGCAATGTAAGATGCTTCTTTTTTTTTCATTGAGCTCCTACTAACACTTGATAAGGGGATTCTGTCTCTTGATCGCCCTCTTCTATGCAGCCGGCGACCTGGATACCATCATGACTGCTTCCGAAGATAATTTCCCCGTCGCAGGTATCATGCAAATCGCATTCGGTGACACAAGATCTGCTTTCGCGTGCGGTCTTGTGATCTTCATCGCTGCTATTCCTGGCTGCATCGGAGCCCAAATTGCGACCGTGCGATGCGTGTGGGCATTCGCCCGCGATGGTGCCCTGCCATTCTCTGATTTCTTCTCCAAGATTGACGAGCAGAATGTGATGCCAGCAAGAGCTAACATTTTGATCAGTAAGTCTCGATCTAGGATATTTCCACTGACATTAATGCTAATTTTTTTCCCTTTTCTAGCATTGATCAGCACTGCGCTGGGAGCTCTTTACGTTGCCTCGACAGTGGCTTTCAATGCCCTCGTTGCTTCATACGCCGTCATGTCCTCAACCTCCTATGGTATCGCTATCGCCGTCCACTTCTTTACCGGGCGCAAGAGAGCTGTACCGGGCTGGTTTTACCTTGGTGATGGAATAGTGGGCTACGCCGTGAATGCGATCGCGCTCGTCTACATCTTCGTCTCGAACGTCTTTTTCTGCTTGCCATATGACCGTCCACCAGTCACAGCAGCGACCATGAACTACACGTCGCTTGTGTCCTATGGCATGGCGATCCTGGTCATTGTTTGGTGGTTCATTGGAGGCAGCAGAATCTACAAAGGGCCGAAACTGTCCTCGGAGACATATGAAGTTTTAGAAAGGCTGGCAGACTCTGGAACAACGGTTGAGAATGTGCAAGTGCAATCAACAGGGAAGGCTGAAGCTTGATATTGATAAGAAATAATTCTATCGCATGTTCGCTCACATAGTGGATATCGAAATGTTCGTATACGTGTAAAACATTCAATGATATAATCAAAAGAGAACAATGTCTTGAGGATAATTCTCCAGGAATATATCCCATCGCTCGGTCGCACCGGACTCCCAGTATGCATGCATGGCCTGGCGAGCGGTCTCTACGTTTCCCATCCCAAAGGACTCCATTTTGGAGATCCTCTGCTCGATGATATTCCTCTGGACTGGATCGTCAGTCTCACACCCGACCGTGAAAACCGGCCACAATGTCAAGATATTTGATGATGATTCCCGGGGGATCATCTGGATGGTCTCGATAACCATATGGACCGCATAAACAGCTTTTGTGTGGTGCTTAGGTAGATCCTGTACACGACGGTACAGGTGCAGGAGAGCCGTGTAGAGAAACGCCCGGTGAATGCACTGCATTTCCACTGCGCGTTTCCTCGTCGCCGGATCAGGGTGATTCACCAAGGAAGGGTGGGCCGTCCGGTTATATAGCGAATAAATGAGGTCCTCCATATCTCGAACTTCATCCATGCTTTCTTCTCGCAATTGCGTGTCGACCTCCTCGTCTTCGGAATCGTCATCCACCGCCGTAACTCGTGTTTTTTTCTGCTGCATTCGCGCCATTCGCCCAATGCGCGAGATGATCGGGATCAAATCTAGCGAGTAGCCTGTCCACTCGTCAATGTAGACATCATCGTCATTGGATGACCAGTATTGTCCGCCGGGGTTCGAGCTCTTGCGAAGACCGGAGACACCAGCGAAAATATCTAGTAGCGCATACCACTTGATCACAAAAGTTTGCAAGGGGGTTTTGGCGTCTTCGGATGAGGATTGAAAGGCGGATAGGATTAACTTGTTCGCGCCTGATAGATGTATTCGCCATGTGCTTAGATCGCCGGAGATCACGTCTGAAGTGCATAGTGCGAGAGCCGTACTGATTGTTTCCAGTTTTCCGGCTTGCTTTGGATCTAGCATTGCCCGCCTTAAACCATTCAGTGCTGAATTGGTGAATTTGGCGATACTACTTTCCATTTGGATGGGCATGTCTTCGTGTCGTCGAGCGTAGTGGGAACAGGCACATGCGAGGAATGCGTTTAGGAGATGTGGGTTTGACATGGCTGATTGGAGCAGGTCTTCTCGTAGAGGGTTCCCGGTTAAAGAGAGAGGAAAGATCACGTCAGCTGTTGTGTTGATATAGTGGTGCAGGAAGAAGCGGCTTTCGGGTGAAGAGCTGAGCTGTGCAGGGTTGTTGGAGAGAGCATAATGAATTCGCTGCGTGAAAGGAGAGAAATCTTTGAAGTCGGAGTGTTCGTATTGATCTTTGACTGATCCATCTCGCTTTTTGAAAGGATATCGTCGAGCCATAGACTGCGATAGTGTGGTAACTTGATGTGCGTTGGTCGTTGGTATTCTTTCCGCTAATTCACTCTCCTGAGTATATATCAGATCCCCATCAGTGAAAACATCGTTTGGGATAAACTGAGAATGATTCCTGTTGGCATATTTTATTGATTGAGTGTTGCCTAGATCAAGGACACTCGTGCCCATTGGCATTTGGCCTTCCAGCATCCATTCTCCCGAACTTGCGCTTGAACTAGAGACTGTAGAGGGCCTCCGATCAGGTGGTACATCTTGCGAAAAGCCAAAGGTACTTGCGGAAGTATTCAGCGCCTCGGGTGGACTTTGAGAATCGCTTTGCGATTCACTCTGGCGACGATTCTTGAAAGGTCTCCCGCCCGTCCAAGAAAGCTTGAACTCATATCTGCATTTGTCTGGACGGTGTTTACACCGAGTACAAATGGGTTTGCCCTCGTCACACTGCAGGTTGATCAGCCATTATTCCCATTGTTATCCCCTGCACGGGGGCTTAATCCCTGTTACCTTTATTCTCCTCCTTTTGCACTCCACGCACCCCGTTCTCATTTTGGAGTGGGGGCGGATCGACCGAGTGGCCGTGTGGCCCTCGGGCAAACCCGCGGAATCCATAATGAAGATCACACAGGCATTAGTTGGTGAAATGAAAGATTGATCTGGTCAAGAGCGATCTGACTCTTCTCCACCAGCCGATTATCTAACATGCCAAATCCAGGGTAAAAATCCATGATTCCAGACGGCAACTTGCGCCCAGAAGGTCGAAGCTAACAATTGAAGTGGAAAGGATAATCGGATTGTAGACCAATCAAACAATGGGGCGGGCGGGGGAGCTGCATGATTTGATAACACGCCAAGGATAGTAATTGGTGTGGATAATTAAAGGAAATCCACTTGATGGTGATATCATGGCGTTTTCCGGGTCATTGAATGTAACCTTTCGTAAACCCAAGGTTCACTGGCATATTTTTGGGACTGTACCATTGTCTTCGAAACTGATATATCAGCTGCAGGAGTCCAATGAAACTGAGACATGGGTTACTAAGCGACTTTCTTCCACATTAGCCGGTTTCAATGAGGCTAAAAGGCAGTACTGGTGCTGCTCACGTGAGACTCATCTAGTCATCAAGCAGACTTGGTCCTCTGCTTCCCTATCTTCATCCACGTGTCACATGCCCTCACGCATGAGATGAGTCGTTGAATTCCAAGTCATTTGAGCACTTTGCAATATCTGTGGTCTCAATAGGAAAACCCCATTGAGCCAGGCGCTGTTAACTTTGAAGCCGACGTTGGCCTTGTCGAAGTTCAAGTACTGAATGAAGCTAAGGTGAGCTAGTGGGCAGAGGAAGCTTATAAGGTTGAGGGGCTTCCTCAACTCCACATAAAAAACAGATGATCTCACATTTAGCTCGATCATTAAGTGTCCATTTGATGCAGTTATGTGCAGTTGTTCACTTTAATCCATTGGCTATGATCATTTGGGATCGCACCGAAATACCCGTTCTGGCCTAGTTTCGGCGCGGCTCTGGAGAATCGCACCGAGATATACAATAAGGGAAGTTGTCGAGAGAGAGATCTGTATATAGGTAGCTATACGTACTGGATTTTCTTTGACGGGTGGAAATTTACTATTTGGTTGCCGCCGCTTTTGTGAGGGCGCTCAGACTCAGGCTCACTGAGTACTCACTGAGCGCTCAGTGATCATGACTGGCTACTATTGACACCCATATGAGACTCGTAAAATGGTGGCCTGGGTTTTTAGGCACTAGTGCACACCATCAAAAGCCCGGATCCACTCTCTTCTATCCTAACAAGAATCTTATAGCCATTAAGAGAATTAAATCATCGGAGATATATAGTAACACCGCTTTCTGAAGCCTTTGAATTGATAAGAAACGTGAGGAAAAACTCCTGGACTGTCGGATTGACAAGACCAGTAGCACTGCAATTACCTCGATCGGCGTTTCCTAAAATATAGTGTCCGGTTCTCCGCCATCATTCGATCGTAAGACCTGGTCTCCACAGCAGCATTCTTAGACCTCATTCGATCTGACTGGCTTAGAGAGCCATCGCCCATTATTGGATTCAGTTCGTTTGCTATTTACATACCCCGTCGTTCATCTAGACCCAGGGATAAGCTTGCTTTGTATTGATCTACTCATACTGAATATTTACATATGAAGCTTTGGCATCTTTGCCACCTTGTGTGTTGTTTCTCCGTACCAGTTATCCTTTCGCGTTCTGACGCGACGATTCTGTTCCCAAATTTCCTCGGCAGTATACCCGTACCAATTCTTCACCTCTCGCCACACCATCTCACCCTCTGGTAGCCCACGAAGTAGTTGAATTGCATCCTCGTTGATGGCTCGCGCTCCAGCCAAATAATGAAGTGGAGTATTCTGGTCCGAGTCTTGGAACGCTACATACGGCTTAAACCCCGAAGACAAAAGATAACGCAGTAACTCCAATTGAGCCAGGAACGCCACCTCGCATTGCGCGAGTGATGACTCTTTGGGCTTCCATCGGAGATTATGGATGGATGCATGTGCCTTGGATGCATGAGTTTGGATCATTGACGACATACAAGCGATATGAAGGAGAGTGTGACCTGCGGCCGTTGCACCAGCAGCTTCGAGGGGAACACTCTCTTCGACACGTTGTAGAGCCTGTAGGGAATGTGCTGTCGCCACATGTAATATGTGGACAAGGAGGTATGGAGTGCAGATGCTGAAATCGATACGTGGATTATCTGCTAGGACACTGTACGCCATTTCATTCCAGGGTTCACACTGAAGGAAAGTTGCCATTAAAGGGGTGATGCTGGTATGAACGTCCCCCAGCGGAAGAACATTAGGATTGAAGCCAGCTTCGAGTAGATGATTAATAATCTCTATACCCTCATTGCCGCTTGAGATGGCCTCATGAATTGGGGAGGAAAGCGCGAGAGACGAGGATGTCGGTTGTTCCGGTATATGTTCCAAAGCGGGAAAAGCTGTCCAGAACGAGCGATCCGCGTCTGTAGCGAGAAGCTGGTCCACTACTGTGACTAGTCCCGACCCAGCTGCAATAACCAGGGGATGCCCAAAATTCGGATAGTCGTCGCAAAGGCATTGCGCTGCTGTCCATCCTCTCCAGAATTCTAACAACAGTCGGCACTCCACTTCAGCCTCGGTAATATGAATTGTCTGTTGTCTCCGGATATCGATTAAACTTTGAACGCTTCTATCATCATTCCATATGTTATTGTAGAAGCTATTGAGGTCAATCTCCGGTCGGAAACGAAGAAATAACGCTTGCCAGGCCTCGAAGGATGCGGTTTGGTATCCGTCCGACTTCGCGCCTAGTTTCAGCAAAAGTTCAACGTTCTCCGCTGATTGGGCTCTGATCGCTGCTATCAGGGCACTGTAGCAGCCTTGGCTAGGTAACATCGAAGTCGTATAGTTGGGACTGTAAATGCAATGTGTTTGGTTGCAGAATACTTCTTTCATGCGGGACCAGTATGGCGAATATTCTGCATCCCATAGACTGGGTTGCGGATCATTGTTTAGACCTTCTTGTTGTTGAAGAAAGTGTTGCCATCCAGTTTCGAGGTAATTGTGTAGGTTGCCTTGCGCATTGGCCTGGAAAATCGCCGTTTGGCCTCGCCGGTTGCAGGTACATTCGACAATAGTGTTGGGGACCTCATTTGGTAATCGCGCTTGGGGAGTTCGACTGCTTTCTGCCATCTGGGCATGCACAAATGGCGTAGAAATCGAAGGTCAGCCTGGCAATTGAATGATGGGGAGTCTGGTATTATAAGGAGCCCCACCCCACCCGTAGACCAGTCAATGAAAGGCGCTAACGATCGCGGTTGTCGGGAGCTGGTGAGCTGCCATCCTACTTCACACCAATTGCAGCATCATTGTTGTGAGATTTTCGTATAACATCCCAGACCCCTGCCTTGGAGAAGCATCTATCCCATGTTATTTCTCGGACCCTTCTAAGGTAGTCGCGAACGAATATCACCTCATCCGAGAGTTGTCCCGCGCTCAAGTCACCACTGCTAAACTTGTCGGCTATTTCAAGACTTCTTCGGCTCACTGAGCCTGAGCAAGGCTTATGTATTACTCACTGATCCGATCACTGAGCCGGATGCCGTGCTCAGATCTGCTTAGTGAGTAAAAGCGGCGAGGGGGTGAGCACTAATCCGAACAAGAAAGCCAAAATCGTCAAAAGGAAATCCGGTATGTAGGACGTACATGTCTTATTTTGCATTAATTAGTATTAGTAAGGCCATCTCACATTCATTAGCTTCGTTTCTCAGATTGGTAGCACCAATTTTCCGCACTGTTGCAACGCGTCCCTCCAGCATATATCCTGACTGTCCATAATCCCCCATACTTCCTGAATAATAATCCATTGTCGTCGGAAATTTCCCAAGTTATACCTCTGGACCTTTGCCCACCACTCAGCCCATGGCTGTCGGTTCACAGCTTCGCAGGCGGCGATGAAAGCAGGCCAGGACATGGGGGCTCCATATCTCTGTTTCTGCAATTCATGCTCCTTATTTTGTTCCGCTATAGTCAGGTTTTCCCAGACAGTCAGAACCTCCAGCTGGGGATTGATAAGGTCGTGATTTTCAATGGCCCGGTAATAAAATATCAACACGGCGCTGTGGAACGCGCAGGCTTGTCGACGGATTATATCGAGCATGTTTATCGCTGCCTCGGAATTTACTAAATGGCAGTCGTCTGTTGCTAAGCTCCAGGTAAGTAGCTCCGCTCTGAGGGCATTGCGGGCATTTTGGAGTGACTTGGGTATATGTTGTCGGTCATATGTTGAGACAGCTTCGGAGATCTGGCACGTTCGATGAAGCAGATTTCCCAGAGTGGGAGTGATTCCGTAAATGTACTCAATGTGAGTATCACTGCTGCTAAATAGTGGTTTCTCGAGACACCACTTGTCTGCGACCTGGGTCACCTGGAGCTCCGGTGACGTGGTTCGGCCCAGAAGAGTCAGGAAATGACATATGTTGTTGACCTTCTGACTTGGACCTCCGAAAGCCTTGGACTCATGACACTCTCGTAGCTGTCGGCAGCCTTTCAGATGAATCGGGAAATCGGCATCCTCGCCCGTTATAGTCTAATTTGTTAGATCGTTTATCTTGGAAGATTTATCGAAGTAACTCACATCAATAGTCACCAGGGACAACATTGCTGTCAGTTGTACGGTGTATAGATGAGGATCATCGGTATCGACGAGCGCCGTCTTCAAGGCTTGCAGTGCCTTGGTTCTATGTCGAAAGCCCAGGTTATTGAATCTCTCCGATCCACCAGTGAGGTTTCGAATGTGAAATGCGGCTGACGATAATAAGCCATGAAAGATCGCGGTTGACGCCGTAGATGATGGCGCAGGGTTCTGCGCAAGCAAAAGATCGGGGCGCCCTTCAAGAGCGAACGGGACATAAGTTGTCCGCCAAGGATTCTCAGGATGAAGGACTGGTTGAAGAAGACCAGCGACATGGTCTTTATAATGATATAGGAGAAGCGAGATTTCCGAGTCCTGAAACAGGGGCAGGGAAAGCTCAGAATGAGGTGAAGATGGAGAGCAGGATACAATACATCTCGGTCTCACAATGAGTTCATCGGATTCGTCTGCAGTTTTGGCAGAGTTGCCGGTCGTGCGAGCGTTGAAGATGGAGAATGAACCCATAGAGACTGTATTGGATGGTGCATCAATACTATCAAGGGTCGACAAGATCTCGTCAACTTGCTCATCTGGCAAGTAAATCGAGCTGGTCCGATCTATGAGAATGAGCACCTGGGTACCTTGTGGGAATCATGCGAGGAACACCTACCGAGCACAAGACTTCTACGGTGAATCTTACGACAAACCTCTCGCTTTCCTGTAACCCAGTACAGATTCACATCGTAGCCAGCACATTTTAGCCCGGATCGCTCGCAGATGCCACATCCATTTTCTTGGCGTTCGTCGCATTTCGTCTTTCGAGACCTGCAGGTCCAACATCTGCACTATGTAAGCTTCCATGCCGATCATGGTGATTCCCAGAATAGCATACCCTGTATAAGTCACTGATTTCAGCTTCTTAGGTCGTGCAGGCCTAGTGGAGCGCGAGCGGGGCTTGCTAGGGCGGGGTGATCGGGAGTGCAGGTCCATCGTGGACGGACTGGATGACGAGGGGCCAGAGCAACGGAAATTGGAGGGGAAATCAATTTCATGAGCTTATCATACTCCTGTTCGTAGCTGTGAGTCGTAATCGGCTTATCATGATAACGGTCGACGCTAAGATGCGGGCAGGAACCAGCGAAATGTGATTGGTGGTATGATTGGTGAATGATAGTATCTATGAACACGAATCGTTGAGAGGAGCTATAAAGGTCGTTAAAACACCCTGTCTGGGTGACGGGGTTTTGATTTTATTACTCTATTCTTACGCAAAATGCATCTTGCCTTCCCTCCTCCCGTGAAAAGAGAGTCCGATCTCCAGAAAGGGTTCAAGCCTTTGACCAAGCCACTACCAAACGATGATCATCAAACTTCATTTGAAAAAGCCAGAAGAACCTCTGGGCCATACAAATACCTTACTTCTTTAAGCTCAATTCTTCCAAAATACAAGTTTTAAGGTAAGTGGCCTCATTTTTCAGTCAACCCACCCCTTTTTAACAGCTTTGAGTAGAATTTTGGAGTCCATGCATATCGCGCATTTCGAGGATATGGTGCATCTTTACTGTGGCGTTGGTTTGGGACGGATTTCGCATGTATAATTCAATCGCCTGGGATAAAATATCCATGATAAGAAGATGACAACGAAGCTTTTTCATATTGTTGCCTTGCTCTAATTCAGAGCCTCGTAAATCAAAGGCTAAATCTATGCTAGATAAGAAAGAGTGGAGGATAGAGCTCCGACAGGTAGAACAGACACAGCCTGTGTGCTATTGTTCAAGTCTGACTCAATAAACGTAAGACCCCGGAAAGACCGCCAGCCCCGAATTAACAAATAAATTAATTTCACAGCTTACTCTGGAGGTACTGGTTCTTGCTCAGCCAGGACTCAACATCCTCGCCGTCGCGTTGGATCCAGTTAACCTTGGCGCGAATGGCGTCAAGGCTCTGCTCAACGGCACGGTCGTATCCCTGTAGGAAGAAAAGTCAGATATGTGATAAAAAAATGTGGAAAGAGTAGGAAGGAACCAACCTTAGTATCCTTGGAATTGAAGAAGGTCTGGACATCCTTGAGCTGGGCCTCAGTAGCGAAGGCACTGGTGGACATCTGCACCACAGTACCCAGCATACCAAGGGACGGGGGAAGGCGCTGGTAGACGGTGTCCCAGTTCTTCTGGAGCCAAGTCCAGCGAGCCTCGATACCAGCCGTAGAGCCGCGAAGGCCGCCCAGGGGCATGTAAATGTCCTGGTTCTTGACCTCGTCACCCATGGCCAGGTCGAGAGTGCGCTGGATGAGAGCTGGGTCCTCGGAGGCACCGAGACAACGCAGGGCAGTGGTCTTCTCGTCAGAAGTAGGGGCAGTGCGGAAGCGGTCCAGCACAACCTCATACTCCTTAACGCCACCGTGCTTCAGAACGATGGTGAAAACGCTGCCACGAATGTTGGGGTGAATGGCGGCAATATCGCCAGCAGCAAAGCGGGCGAACATGTCCTGGGCAGCCTTGATAACAACTGGGTCATCGGCCATACCGGCGGAGCCAAACATCAGAGCCTTGAATTGCTGCAGGATGTGGTCGTCGTTCTCAGAGAACTCCCAGCCTAGCTCGTGAGCCTTGGCGGAGACAAGCGAACGCTGGAAAGCCTTGAGCGCATCCTTAGTCTTGGCATCCTCAAAGAGCCAGGCACCACGCAGGGTGGCGATACGAGAGAGCATCTCGGTCCAGACAACAAACTCGGACTCGGTATCGAGACCCTGGAGGAGCGACAGCAGACCCGAGGTCTTCTGGAAACCAGAAGAAGACAGGGCGCCAGAGTCGGCAATCATACCAGCACGGTCCTCAACAGTGAGAAGACCATCACGGGCAGCCTGTCCTAGCTTGCGCAGGCGCTCGGGGGAGTAGGAAGTGCGGTAGATGGCGGAGTGGTCGGCATTAAGCTTGTAGAAGTCCAGATCGGGGACCTTGAACTCGCCCTCGCGCTCAGTCAACATAGTAGTCTCATCAACGGAATCCTTAGTGCGCAGACCAAGCATGCAAGGGTAAAGGACCTTGTCCTCCTCGGGGCGGACGTCACCAGTGCGGAGGAAGCGGTTCTGCTTCAGGCTAATGGACGAGGTTTCCGGGTTCTCAGTCACGCTAAGGACGGGGAAACCAACGTTCTTGGTCCAAATGTCCATGACCGATTGAACAGGCTTGCCACTGGCGTTGGCCAAAGCAGCCCACAGATCACCAGTCTGGGTGTTGCCGTAGGCATGCTTGCGGATGTAGTCACGAACACCCTGCAGGAACACGTCTTCTCCCAGGTACTTGGATATCATGCGCAGCACGGACGAACCCTTGGAGTATGAGATGGCATCGAAAATCTGGTTAATCTCATCGGCACGCTTGACGGGGACCTCAATGGGATGACTGCTACGGAGCGAGTCGAGTGACAGGGCGCCCTGGAGGTTGTCGATGACATAAGTCTGCCACACCTTCCATTCGGGGTAGAACACGTTGCAAGAGTACCACGACATCCAGGTCGCGAAACCCTCGTTCAACCACAGGCCATCCCAGAAGTCCATGGTGACCAAGTTACCGAACCATTGGTGAGCCAATTCGTGCTGGACGGTTTCGGCAATACGCTCCTTTCGTGAGGCACCGGCGTTCTTCTCGTCCAAGAGCACGTCAACAATACGGTAGGTAATCAAACCCCAGTTCTCCATAGCTCCGGCGCTGAAGTCAGGCACTGCCACCATGTCCATCTTCGGCAGGGGGAAGTCATTGTCAAAGGCCTTTTCGTAGAATGCAAGCGTCTTAGCGGCGAGCTCCAGAGAGAAGCGACCGTGCTCGATATCCTGGTCGGGAGTGGCGTAGACGCGAACGGGCACTCGGAAGTTGTTGGTCTCAACGTAGTTAAGGTGACCCACGATGAAGGCAATCAGGTAGGTCGACATCTCGGGCGAGGTGTTGAACTTGACAGTCTTCTTACCACCCTCAATATCGGTCTCCGATGCCACATCCATGTTGCTCAGGCAGGTCATGCTCTTGTCCGCAATCAGGGTCACAGTGAACTTGGCCTTGAGAGCCGGCTCGTCAAAGCAGGGGAAGGCGCGGCGAGCGTCCGTCGGCTCCATCTGAGAGGTCGCAATATACTTGGTCTCGCCATTGTGCTTGTATGAGGATCGGTAGAAACCGGCCATGTTATCGTTCAGGATACCAGTGAAGGTAAGCTTCAGCTGGGCATCGGACCCCGCAGAGAGGGCGTGGCTGAACTTGATGGTTGCGGTCTGCGCATCTTTGTTCATGGAAATCTCCGGCTTGGATTCCACTACTGTGCCCTTCGATAGAACGGTTGCGCTGTGGATGTCGATCTCGTTGGAGTTGAGAGAGATGAAGTTGGTGTCCTCGGTCACCTGCAGGCTAAACATAGATTGTCAGCGTCTCAAGTTCCCTACAGCTACGCATGCTCTCCCATGGTGATGACATACTCAATAACGACGGATCCCTCGTAGGTGAACTTCTCAAAGTTGGGCTCGAGGGTCAAATCATAGTGCACCGGCTTGACGTTGGTGGGCAGGACCTCACGGCCTTGGACATTGGTCGAGCCCGAGACCTCGTCACGACGGGAGTGACACATTCTGCGGTATGAACAGTATCTTTTGGAAGTTTGAGCGAGAGGAGAGGAGCGCGGGCGAATCGGTCTTAGAGTTGTCGCAGACCGAGGGGCGGAGTGAAAGAGGGGGAGGGGGGATCTGGCGGAAAGAAGCGGTGGCTTTGCTTTTGAATGAAGCAGCGCACGCGTGGAGAAACGTCGCATTAGGCGACCACGAACCCCCTAAAAGGGTAAAAAAGCGGGTAATAAAAAGAAGGTGGCGGGGTATCAGGCCCAATAATAATACAGAATAAGAAAATTATATAGTACAATATTAATTGAACAATGAAGCATAAAGGGGAGAAATTGGTCAATTCGGAGAACAATCGTAAGAAAAGAATGGATCCGGCAGAATCCGTCCCGTCCGAGGCAGGCGGTGGCTCCCGTGGGTCACTTATAAAACTCAGTCGACTCGTCCTTCCCTTTCTCCTTCCTTAATCATACGCAAGTTTAAACCAGCGCATGCCTTGATGTACTACGGCATGTGACTGTGGAGCAGGATCTTCTTTGAAGAACTGTTCCGTCTTGCAAGACTAATATCCAGTCAGTTTGAGGGGCTCACGATCTACATGAATGGGCATCCATAGAAGCATTGGAACATCTCATTGCTAATACCTTTGAATCTTACAATACGGACTCTTGTTCTAGCTCGCGGTTAGCAATTGGATACCAGAATCACCATGACTTATCCCCAGGTGGATTCCTCCCCTTTTAGTCCCGTCGTAATGTAACGCCTGTTTCAATAGTCGTACAACCACTTCTGTCCACTTCTTTGTTGTCAGCAAATGAGGACTCCCCAATCATTACTCGACGAATTCTCATTGATGGAACCTTGGAAGTAACATAAAATCTGGCCCGCTTTCAGAAAGCTCCGTCGGAGTCCGTGATACATCATTCAGTGTTGAGGAAGTCCATGCGTATCGGTGGGACCAACCATCATCTAGTATGTACATATATTTCAGGATTCCAACAATGGATCCGTTTTAGCACCACAAGCACAGATATCTAGCCGATTAATTATGCGCTGAACCCTTGGGTACCTTTGTGAAAACACTGCGAGACCACCCATCAGAGCCCATAACTGATTCTTTGACAAGCACATATCCACCAAGCCGAGGCATCAGCACCGCCCATACTGTATAATATATGGCACCCATTGCGAATAGCCCCAGTGCTACGACGCAATGCAAGTAATAGGGCAAACTCTTGTAGACATTTTGCCCGACGTCTGGGGGAATATATGGCGTGACAACGAGGTAGATGTTCGATAGCAGGAAAAACCCGGTGACGGGGAGAGTCGCCCGAATTTTGGGGTTCCAATCGGGAAATCTGGATTTGTTTAGGTAGACGTAGATCAGACCACCGGAGACGAAAACATTGATGATTGATAGCGGATAGGAGATGAGGCTAGTCTTTAGTGAGTTACATAGTTCTCTTCGGATTTGCCGATGCAGGGCTTCTAAAGACTTACTTGAGAAGGAAGTTATAGGCATCTCCTGGGGGCGGAGCAAGCAGAATGATGGCCGAAACTATGTAATGTTCGAATAGGCCTGCAGCGGGGGAATTGAAGGGCCAGTTGCTGGCGAAAAGGCTTGAGAAGGGGAGGACACCTTCACGACCCAGTTCTTGGACAACTAGACATAGCCATTTAGCACTCTTGCCGAATGAAGAGGGAATTTGGCGTGACAATGGCAGGACATACTTCGACCCTGAGAAAATAGAACCGACAAAACATTTCCAAATGCCGACAAGGCCACGAAAACCGACATAACCTTCTCTGCTTGTTTACCAAACACATTCCCAAAGAAGGCAGCAGCAACCACAGTCCCAGACTCAAGCATCTGCTCTTTTGGTACCGCGGCAAAGTACGCAATGTTGACAAGCATGTATAGAACACCAACAGAGCCGACGGCCACGGGTGCCGCAATCTTCAATGTGCGAACAGGGTTCTTCGTCTCACTGAGGACCTACATCAAACATTAATCCTCCGCTCACAAAGCTAAGGAACTTCATCCGCTCAACTTACATAGTTGGCATTGGAATAGCCAATAAATGACCAGATAACGTTGTACAGTGCCATGACGATGCTGTACCCACTCCCTTTGGTCCCCTCGAAAGCATTGTGGAAGTTATGCGGCGTCTCAATCTTTGTATGACCTGCCAAGGCAGCCCAGCCAGTGATTGCAATGAAAACAATGATCACAAGCTTGACAATTCCTAGAAGGTTCACCAGACGAAGACCCCATTTCAGGGCAATGGCGTGAATCAAAAACGCCGTTGACAGACAGGCAAGACCAATGCCGCGTTGGTTCCATCGCCCGACTTCGACGTCTGCTGCATTCAGAATATACTGGCCAAATACCACACTGTTGCTTGCTGCCCATCCCAGCAGGAAGGCGTATGCTGCATACATTGCTGTGGCTAGGAATTTGGGTTTCTGGTAGACATATTCGAGGTAATTCTTTTCACCGCCGTTCCTTGAACGCAATTTAGTTTCTTTTTTTGCTTCGTTTGGTTTGATTCGTTTGGTTCGATTCGAGTGGGAATTGTCAGAACGACTCATCAATTACTTACTTGGGGATCGCAGTACCCCATTCGAGGTAGACTGATGTGCCTGCCATGGCGATAAAAGTGCCAATCACCCACATGAACAGTGATAGACCGACACTTCCAGAAAGCTGAAGGATGGTACCTGGCGTAGCAAAGATACCTGTGCCAATCACCCGATTAAATATTAGTAGTGTTGCACTGAACACGCCGATCTGGCGACGACTGTCCGGCGATGCTTCGAATACATTTCCTTCGTCTGTTCATTAAGATGTCAGACATCATCAGATTCGTTCCCTCAAGTATAGAGGGAGGCATACATAATCCAGAAACTCCATCCACTCGTTGTGGAATGTCACCGGTGGGCGTCGTGTAGCTCACAAGTGTCTTTTTCGAGTCAGAGGTTTCGCCGATCTGCCTGGCCGTCGACTCTGCCATGATTGTGTAGGTGTGAATGAGAGCGGTATAGATTCAAGGTAATGCTCATTCGCTGTGTTTTTATTCTCTTCCCAAAAAGCGATCGAGTTACTTATAACCCATGGAGTAAAAGCTGGGAAACTCGCCGGGGCCTTACTCAGTATAAAGAAGCCTGCGATGTTATATCTCACCGTGAAAGGGAAATTCATATGTTTCAACTTCGCTATAATCCCGTGAAATGTCGTCATAAATCTTATTGTAACGACTCAAGTGGTATTCTCGAACACGATAAATACATATCATTTGCTAGAGTTTGAATCCCTAAGTCCATTGTAAATAGAGTACTGAATGAAGACACACTCCTATTTTCTCAAGTTCCAAAGAGAGTAACTCATTGCAATGAATAGATATCGTGGCTGGAGTGGCCACACATGCAGCGCTGAATATGTTTGGAGCACCGGGCTGTGCTTGCATGGGCAGATCGTGTTCGTTAAGGAAGGGTAGTATTGCTACTCCAAATTACGCAACCGATATGGAGTGAACCGACTTGGCATCGGGATCACAACAATATCCGGAATGGCGCAATTCCATCGGGCTTCGGACCTCGGACCCCTAATTTCAAGCCGCATGGGTCTGGCATAGGAACACTCATCAACACCTGGGCAATAAAGCTCCTGCGCTCCTGCGCTCCTGACCTTTTGAGCTTCAATGTGATAGAGATATACATAATGCCGCTGGACCCTTCTATTCTATTCAAGAGCAGCTCTAATTCGCCTTTCCTCTATTGATCGTACACAAATAGCACCTTCCTCTTCGAGCAAGCTCCATTTAACTCATCCGTCTCGTTCATTTGTAGCAATGGCTCCAGAGAGCCGGGCGGCCTGGATCCTCGTCGGAAAGGCCCTGCCGTTCTTTATTGGCGACGCACTCTACATGCCTCCTGGTCCTGTCCAAGTCGAGGTCAAGGACATCAACGTGGCCATTGACTCCTTTGACTGGGTGCTGTATTTCATTGGGCCAGCGCTGCCGAAAGACGAAATTACATAATCCGCTTTCATGGAATCGGGTCTGGGCTATGCGATTGTTCTAGACTGGCGATCTAAATAAAGTTAGACCATCTCTCGGGGCAATTCAATGGGTCAGACCGAATCATTTGGATGGATCGGCAGGGTCTTAGCTCAGAGTGGATGACAGGTATCGTAGTCACAACCAAGCTTCAACTGACCTTCGGGTCTTAAGATTCAAGGAACAATAATAACATTGGACAAAAATTATTTCAAAGAGTTTTAAATTGATGCGCGCCGGTCACAGTCGTTGAGTAAATTTCCTAAATACTACCAAGAAAATGTCGTCAATTGCTGCCGAGACCTAGCCAAGCGCCAAAAAGGAAGCTATGACCCATAGAAATTGATCACGCCATTGATTCAACAAAGGTGCTCTAGATGATGCAACAAGGAGGCATTCATTGCGTTGAGTGACCTATGAAGGGGTATTTCATAATTAACTTGTAAGACTTGAGATCTACAGCTTAATTCCTTAAAACAACCAAAAGGAATCGTATATCGAAGTCACCCGCGCGACTTCGTTCAGTGGTACAGTCGTTTTCGAAATCAGTTATACCTCCACACTCTTCCTACTTGTTTCCCGGGTTGTTTCCAGGCTTACGCTAGAGAGGTAATGGTCAGGCCGCCTTCTAGGCCGCTTTCTCAGAAACATTCTATATCTTACAGTACGACTCTACTGTAGACAATGTATAGCCATAAAACCATGATACCGTAGCTATCTTCACACCATTACTTATTACCGTATCCAGATACCGCCAATATCACGGCCAGGGGTAGAGTAACCATAACGGGTATAATCTAATGCAAAATAAAGTTTGACATATATTAGTAGAGAGTGAAGAGATAAAACTGATTTCGAGCTCGTCTGTATGATAAGGAAAGTAACACTAGGCCAAGACATGTTAAGATAATAACTCTTAGATAGAAAAGATTTCTACAAATTCCCATGTCGGGATCAAGCCCCTTAGCGTTGTGAAAGGAAGCGAAGTTAAGTCTAACTAGGATCAGAATTCCCGCTTCCAGAGGCACAAAAAGTTAATGGCATTGAGAAAAGTAACATGCGGATGATCAATTTACTGTAGGAAAAAGCTTGCATCGGCATGTCGTCCACCTTTGGGAAAGTTAATTCACGCCCAAGATAGTAAAAGTGAATCAAAGCGCCTACTTTATAGGGAAGAGGATTTCTCGGAACATTTCCCGCTTAGATCATGGTGCAGTTCGAACAGGTCGTGTGGAAGTTTTCGTGTGATTGGTTTGGATCCGTTCCTCCTGTTCTTCCATGAGTGGATTGGGCGGACAGAGAGTCATCTCTACCACCCCACTCGGTCAGAGTTGACATTAAAGACATGGTGCGTGGGTTTTCAAGACCGAAATGCATGGTGAAGAGTAAAACACATTCGGCCATCATCAGCAAAGCGACTGCGTCTTGACCCGATGATTTCAAAACATGGGCAAGCTTGTTTATGCGGATCAGAGTGCGAGGGTGGCCTAGCCTGACCATCTGCCTGCCTGTGTTCATCACCTGCAAGCCTAACTGCATGCTTAGCTCGTTGGCTTCATTCCGTCGACTCTGCTTCCAGTAGATCGATACTAGGTTGGCCATGCTAGTCAAAGTGTCGAGATGCTCTGGCCCCAAGATCCGCTTGTGGGTCTCTAACACCTGCGTGCCTAGCTCTTCGGCTTCCTCCCATCGTCCTTGATCACGATAGATGGACGCAAGAATGTTAGAGCATGTCAAAGTATCGGGATGCTCTGGCCCCAAGACCCGCTTACGGGTCTCTAATACCTGCACCCCTAGCTCTTCAGCTTCCTTTAACCGTCCCTGGGAGTGGTAGGTCGATGCTAGATCAACCATGCTAAGCAGAGTGCTAGGGTGCTCTGATCCAAGGACCCTTTTATACGTCTCTGCTAATTGCACATCTAGCTCTTCAGCTTCCTTCCATCGCCCTTGGTCCCGGTATGTCGATGCTAGGTTGAGTATACTAGTCAAAGTATCGGGATGCTCTGGCCCTGAGACCCGCTTACGGATCTCTATCACCTGCATGCCTAGCTCCTCGGCTTCCTTCCATCGTCCTTGATCACGGTAAGTCGACGCAAGGTTGTTCATGCCTATCAAAGCACCAGGATGCTCTGGCCCTGAGACCCGCTCACGGATCTCTATCACCTGTATGCCTAGCTCCTCGGCTTTCTTCCATCGTCCTTGATCACGGTAGGTCAACGCAAGGTTGTTCATTCCTGTCAAAGTACCAGGATGCTCTGGCCCCAAGACCCGCTTACGGGTCTCTAATACCTGCACCCCTAGCTCTTCAGCTTCCTTTAACCGTCCCTGGGAGTGGTAGGTCGATGCTAGATTACCCATGCTAAGCAGAGTGTCAGGGTGCTCTGATCCAAGAACCCTTTTATACGTCTCTGCTAATTGCACATCTAGCTCTTCAGCTTCCTTCCATCGCCCTTGGTCCCGGTATGTCGATGCTAGGTTGAGTATACTAGTCAAAGTATCGGGATGCTCTGGCCCTGAGACCCGCTTACGGATCTCTATCACCTGCATGCCTAGCTCCTCGGCTTCCTTCCATCGTCCTTGATCACGGTAGGTCGACGCAAGGTTGTTCATGATAGTCAAAGTATGGGAATGCTCTGGCCCGAGCACCACCCTACTTATCTCGATTACTTTCGCTTCGAGGTCTTCAGCTTCCTTTAACCGGTTCTGAAAGTGGTAGTTCGATGCCAGATTGCCCATGCTAAGTATAGTGTTGAGATGCTCTGGTCCGAGCACTTGGTTGCTGATCATGAAAACCTGCATCAGCAGGTCCTCTGACCTTTTCAATTCTCCACTAAGGTAATATGCCAGTCCAAGTGTCTGCGCACTAGCAAGCGTCTTCTCATCCTCTGGGCCGAATAGCTTTTTGAATGTTTGACATGCTTTCTCTGCCATTGTCTTGCAATTAATGAAATCCCCTCGAGTCCATGCAAACGATGCCGCGTCGTGGAGTAGTAAAGCCCATTCAGTCAATGAGGCATCTGTATCTGGTTTCTGAAAGATAGCGCACTGTACGTGAGCAAATAGTGATTGGCATCTTGCCCAGTTTTCGTATTTTCCCGCCGGAAAGGTTTGGTAAAGAGTTTTGATGAAGCGCTTTTTCCACCTCTCAAGTTGTTTATTTGCCTTGAGCCACTCTTGGATGGCTAGTTGGACCAGTCGATGCATCTCAAATTCCTCTCCATCTGCGACAACGGATATCATCGAGTAATCTCTCAACATCAATATATCGTCTTCAAACATACTAACATAACTGGATTCACTTGCTCTCTCCTCCTGGTCCATCGCATCAACTTTCTCATCTAGATCCTGTGTGTACAAATTCGAAATGATGTCTTTCGTCCATTCGTCTCCCCGAAGCAGACCATCAGGAATTCCTTGTCTATCGAAGAAACTCATAAAAGATAACAGGTCTGCTGCTGACGGTCTCAATAGCCGTAAGTGTTCAAATGATAGTTGCCAGGTGATCAGGATAGATTTTTTGGCTTCCGGGTCCCTGCGGAGATACCCCCCTCATAATTAAGAAGAGTGACTTTCTGGCGATCACTCCCCCGAAATTGCTCTAAATATTGCCTGACTGACAAGCGTGGTGACCGTTGCTTGATGTAGGCTGCCGCTTGCACAATCGCAAGAGGCATAAATTCCAATGCCGTGGCTAGCTGAATGACTTCCTCCCCGACAGCTTTCGATCCAAGCTTCTTCTCGAAGAGCTTTGTTGCATGGCTTTCGTCCATCGGCTCAACTAGAATAATATCGCTATCTTCCACCATACTTAGTGCTATACGTCTACTCCGACTTGTTATGACGATTAAGCCATTCAAACTCGGATGAAAGATTTCCCAGATTGAACGTTCTGGCGTCCCACCTATATCACTGCCTAGGCCGTCACGCTCTTTGGTTGAGACTTCATGAAAGAGGTGATGATCGAGATTATCAAGGACTAGTACCCATTTTCCGTTTTTCTCATTCTGTAGCCAATTGTTTAGAAGTCTGAAGATATTCTCCTTGGGATTCTGGCGGTTGGGTATTTTAAGTCGGTCGGCAATGTCTCGACAACTCTGCTCAAAACGGGCTGGGTTACCAGCGTGAACCCAAAAAATCCATGTCTCAAGCGATCGATCTCGAATTCGATAACAGTATTCGATAGCAAGTTGTGATTTTCTTGTAGGGTATCAGTTATGAAAACATTTGCTGACCATCCTGAGCTCACCCAACGCCACCGAGACCAACAAGCGCTATCGGAGCCCCCGACACAGATGCTTTCTCATTCATTAGATCAAGCGGCGTGCCACAGTCAACAAAGTCTGGGTCGCGACGAAACGGGATAGTTGATAGAGGGGCTGGTGGAGTTTCCGATCGCTCTTGTCCAGGAGTTGGCTATCAGTCAATTTGCCTGGTAAGAGAGAGCCTCATTAAACCTACCTGGATTCATATAAATAGTTCCTTCATTGACCCCCACCTGCAGACCCAGATTTTCGTTGCCAAACGATACAGAAGTCATAGTCAACAGGTCATGCATATAATGTTTGAGTTTCAAAGTAGAGCAATAGGTCCCCACCCCGTTAGCCCCACTATCAGGTGACCGTCCGGGTACTCAAATTGGTCAGCTAGTTACTTCTATCTTCAAGGGAAAATGCAAAACTGTGGGTGGTCTCGCCCGATCTATAAAGCGATCCTAGATTGTTCCATGGAATATTACGGTACTAAGGATTATCCGTTGATGGCAATAGGATTCCTATCCTATTGTACATACAATCATTACGTTGATGGTCCTGCCGGAACTGTTAAGCGGTGAACTAAGCCAGATTAGCGTCATTCAGAATTATTTTCCGGGAATCAAGTAGTAAGCGTGTGGAGGTATAGCTGATTTCGACAATTACTGTACAATATTATGGAAAGTAAGGCACAAGAAGTGGAAATTTCAAAATTACCATGTCTCTAGGCATCATAGTTATGCAAGTAAATCCACCAATCACATTCCAATCCTGATCTCCAGGCGTGACCAAACTCCCAAACCTAGTGCATCGAGTTCAAAAAAGACAACGATGAAACAATGATACGATGGCCAATCTGTATACCGTAAGTCCAGATAAACGCCGGTAGAAGCAATCCAAAAGCAATAGAACGAATCAAAGAATAACAAAATCAAAACCTTGGAAGTGCATAAACTCCTCTTCCCCTGTGCATGGGATATATGGCTGGCGTGATAAAATTTAGACATGAATAGAGGGCATCATAGACAGTGCGGGGGTGACAGATAAATGTCACCGTCAAATAGAGGTGAATACAGACGAAAAGGACGTCTGGCCATGGTAGACTATATATAATGAACCAAGGCATAGGGAAACAAAAAAGCAGCATAGATTGCTTCTTTGTGGTGGTCGAAGGTTACAAAATCATCGAGGAGGTGTGGCCCCTGTGGCATGTGAGATGGGGACCAAATTAGAAGATGGCATCCGACCACCACCCGTCGAGGGTGTTGGCACTGATGATCGTTTAGAGAGGACAGCAAGCTTTTTGCGGAGAGACGTCAGGCGGCCACGCATGCTAGAGACCACTATTTGAGATATTAGCATTTGGACATATTCGTTGAATGACCATATATCACTCACATTTGACGACAATCTGGCGATCCTCCCCCTGCATATCGTCCGAGGAGGTCTTGTCACTTCCGTAGGAGGCTTGAATGCCCGCAACTCCTGAGGCCGACTGTGATCCGTCATCCTCAAGAACTGCCTCCAACATACGGATAGCAGTAACATAAGCAATTTCACACCCGGCAAGATCTTCACTAGTCAACTCATTGATTGCTGCGGCCCGACTCATCTCCAATGCTCGGTCATACATCAACTTCTCTGCGGTAACGCCGGGGCTGACGACAACATCGGTTGATCCGTAAGAGGCCGCAGTAGACCCCACAGAACGGTTATCTGGATGACCAGGATGATCGGGTGGCAATCGCCTCTGTGCTTCAATAAGCTTTAGGCGGACGAATTCGGCCTTCTCTAGCACTTCGTTGAAACGGCTTCGGACCCACTGGACGACGTTGTTGATGCGAGTACCAGCTAGCGCGCTGGTGCCATCGCCTCGGCTCGAATGATCTCCATAAGCATCTTCTCGGTTCTTCCTTGACCACCATGCCCCTGCAATGTCCATGGACTTTGCAAGTAATGACAGGGCTTTGACGTACAGAACCAGTGCTTCTTCGGAAAGGGTCACAATAGCGTCGACTGTCAAGCCATCGTCACCGGACTCATCAGCATCGGTAACTCCAGTCGGCCTCGAGGGATCAATGTTTGCTGAAGGTGCCAGCGGGATAAGCTGCTTGTACTTCACTTCGGCGAATCCATAGACAACATCACTGCGGGTTGCACATTCTTCAATTACTGAAACTGTCCTGTAGTCTTCATCAACAGCAGCATTGGTCTTAGTCCCTTCTCCCATAAGCATCAGGCTCGCTTGAGCAGCTGGATATGCCGGGAATGGGTTATAGGCTAGAGGTGGTGATCGCCCTCCTTTGGTGACAGCCATCGGAGGCGAAAAGCCCATACCAAAAAGACGGCCACTAGCCATGTTCAGAGCTTTGGAAATAGCCGATGTTGCCGATGTTGGGCTCTGTCCATACCGGCGCTCATATGAATGTTGGCGCTGATGCGTTGAGTCTGCTCGGGCGCGGTTAGAAACAATCTGCATAGCCTTGGAAGCGTTTCCATGCGGGGAATTTGATGATACGGTTGGCAGCCCCTGGGTAGTTGCACGCCGAGATGTAGCGCCTAACTGTCCCCGGGCAAATCCACCTTGAATGCGTGGACTGTGGGCCAGCTCATCAGCAAATGCGTTGACTTCAACGGCCCGCTTTTCCACAACAACATAGTCTCTCTCAAATGCGACTTCTTGGGCCGCTCGTTCATTTTCGGCCTGGGATCGGTCAACTTGTAGCTTGGACGGCCCAGAATACGTATTCCGGTTTCGCTGTCGGTCCATCACAGTAGCCGCAGTATTCCGGTCAATAAGCTCCTGTCGTCCGGGAGCGGTAGCATGGGTAATTGCACCTGGTCGTTGCGGTGGAGTATTACCTCGGGGATGCTCCTTAGAAATGCCCGACGCCGGCCTATCTGCACTACCCGTCCGACGCATCGGTGAAGAGGCCAATGGGGCGTCTGTTGATTTCTGACGATTGATGGAAGCTCGATGGGAAGACGGATATGTCATAGGCTCTTCTTGATCTGCAAGATATGGTGAATCTTTATCGGACTTTGAATCTGGTCGAGACTCGACCCTATATGGCCTCGGTTCATTGAGATCCTCTGTAGAGAGGCGTCGTGGCTGTGGTGCGTCGTCAGCCACCAAGCCGGGGATAATATCAGTAATAACATTATTATTAAAGAACTCGGGAAAGTTCAATCGTTCCACTGGGTTCCGCTTCAAGAGGCCCCGAATCAGCTTCTTGATATTATCCGAGGCTGGGTTTTCCTCTGGGAATCGGATTCGATCTTCTCCCTTTTCAATCCTGCGGAGTAGCTCGACATGGTTTGTTGCACGGAACGGAGGTCGTCCAACAACCATCTCATAAAGCACGGTTCCGACAGACCAAAGGTCAGCTTTGGCATCGTACTTTTCGTACCGAAGGATTTCAGGCGCCATATAAAGCGGAGACCCGCATAAAGTCTCCGCTAGCGAAGTCGCTGGTAAGGACCTCGCGAACCCAAAATCGGCAATCTTGAGCATTGGTAGAGACTCCAGGCCTGTAATCGGCTCGTAAGAGTCATCGCTACCTTTGAAAGGAACGACCTGGGCCGTGCCACTCCGGTACGAGGAAGGTGAAGGACAAAGTAGGAGGTTTTGTGGCTTGATATCGCGATGGATGAGGTTCCGATCTCGTAGGAATTGCAATGCGCTAGCAAGTTGTTTCAGGAAATGTCGAGTGACGACCTCATTCAGCGCTCCGCCTGGTGGATTCGGGTATTTGGCAATCATGTCACGAGTGTACCGATGACCAGCAAGAGTATCACGACGTTTGATGAAAAGTGACAAGTCCCCCAAAGCACAGTATTCCATAACCAGATGGATATGCGAGGTGGATTCGTGGCAGTCGATAAGTGCGACGATATGCGGGTGATGCAGGCCCTTGAGAATATCGATTTCGGAGGAAAGGTTGTCTTTCAGCTTCTTGTTCAGCTTTGACATGTTCACAGACTTAATGGCTACAAAGGTGCGTGATTTCTAGATGTGGATCAGAGGTTAGTGGCAAAGTCAAGCAGCTTCTCAAAAGATCCCCATCTATGACTCACAGTATGAACACCCTGATAGACTGTTGCAAAGCTCCCTCGACCGATCTCATCGAGTCGTGTGTATCGCCCGATAGACATTTCGGGGCGGGTGGACTCGCGAGGCTTCCGGGTGTGCTGGGAAGTCATGGCTGTGACGGAGCAGCGAAAAGGCTGCTCTGTTACCCCACAGAGAAGCTATGAAGGTGATCCGAATTCAACCGACCCCCGTCGACCACAACTACCGCAGAAGTACTGAGGACGGCTGGCACAAGTGGAGGCCCATCAGGGGAGCCAGTATGGGGAGTGTAGCTGTAGATATTCCTGAAGGATGGAAGAACGAGGATCCAGCAGGCAAATGAGTGTGGAAAGAAGCCGAAGATGGTGCTATGGGACGAGGCCGGTTCAAGCGGCTCAGTGACTGTGATGCGGACTAGGATGATAAATACCCCAGCTCCGATCTAAAGGATAAATGGTATATGCACGTTATCCAGTAAAGGTGCAAAACACCCGGGAGGCAAAAGTGGCGGGCGTATAGCAGCTTTTGGGGGTTCTGCGATAGGAAGAGTATAAGGGGGGAAAGGTGAACCAGAGTTGTGGAAAATGCAAGGTCTAATGAGAGAGAAGGATGATGTGATGATTGAGGCGGGAAAGCTGGACCCAAGGACCGTGAGGGGTGTGACCGCCAAACGGGAATCAGTGTGATAGGGCGAGGGCGGTCAGGAGGGGTGGGTCACTAGATCGGATGAGATCAAGCTGTCTCGTTATAAAGATAGAAAGAACAAGGAATCAGGAAGTAAAGATGAAATGAGAGAAATAAGAATGACAAGGAAGTTTAAGAGGGAAAAAAGGGGGAAACTAGATCATGCAGGCGCCCAGTGAGTACTAGGTACTTTGATCCCCAAAGTCATTAAATATGGGGAGTGATGTCGATTGGACGCGATTAGATAAAGCCCGAGATCGGCACGATAACGCCCCCAAAGCTTATCGCGAGGCAGAAAACCGAACTGAGTAGAGAAAGATGAAAGAAAATCGTCTAGATTGAATCCATAAGTCATTATGTAGTATACAGAAGTTACAAAGGCAGATTCCTCCGCCATTCTATACAAGGATCCACTAACTGCACGCATCAAACACCTAAGCCCCGCACCAACAGCCACAGCACTACGGGCACCACGACGTTATCATTGCAGCCAGTGAGGATCGCCTCGGTGGCGCTCGTTCCACCTGCTGCCAACCCGGCCTTGCAGACTGTCCAGAGCCAGAACCGAACAGTCGAGGTGGGTGCCTCGACCCATTCGCTGCCAGCCACTGGCCATCCTCCCACCATCAGCCAGGCACGAACAGCCAACAACCCAACACTGACCGCTACCACAAAAGCCACACTGCCTTCCAGCGACTTTCCCCCGCCCCAGAACCATTTTAATCGTCCGTAGCGACGCCCAATAAGCGATGCGGCTGCATCGCCCATGCCAACACAGATGACTCCACTGACCATGCTGGCGTCGCGCGCAGGCACGTCCCAGCCAGCCCAGGGGCCCTGATCGTTGCGAGCAAGATCGGACAATGATAACCAGAGCGGGATAGAACATCCGATTAACAAAAATATGTGCGAAATAATGACAGGTCCCTTGTGGTCGCGACCGTCTACGTATGGCGCCAAGAAGTATGTCAGTGGCCGAGAGATGGGAGGTAGCTGGGATGCCCGGAACAGATCCAGCAGCAAAAAGATCGAGAGTGCCAGTGCCAGTGCCAATGCACAGAATGTCGGATCCACAAACACCGTAGGCAGAAACATCAACACCATCATCCCATGAAATACTTTGCGTCGTGTGTCGACCTCAGCGACCGAGCTGAGCTGGAACACCACTGCCAGTCCCATCACCAGCACCACGATGCAGTACGCACTCAGTAAAAGACGAGTGTTGGCGGGCCCGAAAGTCGTTTGACGAAGATGTTCGATCCGCCCGAACCAGCAAGATGCATCTTCCAGGGTCGCATCCGGGCGCGGTGGCAGTTGGATCCAATACTCCAGATTCGTCATAAGCACCCAAAACCGAACTGAAGATAGATTGCCAAACAAGTATCCAATCGCCCATCCGAATGGATCTTGACCTTGCAAGGCCCGATTGGCCACGTATTTCCGGATCGGCCCCAAGATAATCCCCAGTGACACCACGTATATGTAGAGTGCATATAGCCACTTGCGGACTTGCGCTTGAGCTGCAGTCAGCGATAAGAATGACGCGAGCCCGGGCCCCATCAATTTCTTACGCCGGCCACCAGGCGTAGTCCGGACCCGATTTGCTTCTTGCATAACCTCGTTCGGAACAGATATAGTATGCCGGCGGCGCTGTCGCTGTCCAGCGCGGTAGTGCATTTCAAAAGCTTCCTCGGTGGTGACATTGACAATTGCTGACTTAGGTTCAGCCGAAGGGGCTTTCTCACGCACAGTTCTTGCCCTGCGTGGCATGGGCACCGCACCGGGCCCATCACTGTCCGATGTAGGCTCATCGGAGACGCCTGTTCCACTTAACTTCTGACAAAGACGGTGGTCTATCATGTTGATGAAACGCCTTGGCGATTGCGAGCTGCGCAGTGAGCGGCGAAATTTCCAGCTAGGAATCCGAGCCAGTGCAACCTCCCAACGTAAAACATCCCGGCCTAAAGCAAACATACACATCCCGCCTAGCCATAGTAAGGCTTTCAAGATCTCCGCCTGGGGCGATGTCGCAAACAAGTATAAATTCAGTAACGCAGTGGTCAACAGCTGGAGCTCGGCCGGGAGAATGCTGGTAGTCAACAGAAAGTCTAAAGTGGGTATCAACGCTTGATGCAAAGGAAAAAGAAGAATCAATGATTCCGCATCGTGGCCCCGAAGCGACAGCGGTTTGGGAATCGTAGAGTCGAGAGAAAAGTGTTCCGAAACGAGAATCGGCACCATTGTAATAAACCAGTGTGGTATACTCAAGCCATTGGACCAGTTGTATAGCGGTACAACGGGCGCGGGAAGAGACGAGAGACTGAATATGATATTTGGCATGATCAAAGCCGGGCGATGACTTGCCAGCGATATCGAAACAAAGATCGGGATAAGAATGGGGTACAGGAGCGGAGCAGGGTCGAAGCTCGAGGGTATTTGGAAGAAAGGACGTTCAGATGGTCCAGATGTCCATCTTCGACTCCTTGCAACACGGAGAATGACAGGATATGAGGCATACAGCCCGAGGAGTAGGGAACCATGGGTGATAAGCTCTGTGCCACCATCAGTATTGATTCGACCAATTCATCGCAAAGATCACCATACCTTTTCGCCATTCCCACGCAAGTGAGCGCGCTTCCCTTTGTAGTAGAACCACCACCCCAACCGACAAGAGAAGGACCGTTTCCAACAACCGGCGCAAGATCTCAACTCGCCTCTTTGACTTCAGCCGTTGAGCCTCAGCTGCCTCTCCCTCGGCCTGTTTTTCCTCGGAGCTTCTCCGCGAACCTCGGCTAGACTGCCTTGCAAATGATGGCCACGGATGTAATGTAGGCAGCCAAGCATCGGAGTCCACGAAGCCATTTCCGCCGGAGCGCAGGCCCTTACGCGGCCTGAGCGGCGGCGCAGGGAGGCCTCTTAATATCCCCGTACTCTCATCATCTGCCTCGGTGCCGCTGTCGCTGGGTGTCCGCGAGGACTTAGAATAGGGAGTCAGTGGCTGGAGGCGGTCGCCTTGTTCAGAGGGGGTGCGGGATCCGAGGTGTCGGCTATGGTGGTAGGGATGTGGAGAACGAGTGAACTGTCGCAGATCTTCGGCAATTAATTCGGAGCTTGTGGCAGGTGTGCTACTGCGTGTGAGCACTTCCTGTTCATCCTGGCCCCGCGGTGTATTCATAGCGCCATTCCTAGATCGATGGGTACGTCATCCCTGGGGAGAAGATGAACGGTGGGACGGGGTAGACGAGAAAAATTCCAACGGTAGATGGTTTGACTTCAGTCCCCTCGAAGGTATGAAAGAGGAAAGCTAGAGAAGTAAAAAGTGTAAAGAGTACGAAAAGATTCGAAGTGACAGTTGAGCACAACGTGGACGTTGTTATCTTTTACCAAACGCGGAAAGGATTCTGCCTATCACATGCTCGGGCGCACTTCGATCGTCATTGCATGCTTTGCTTCAATTCGATCAATCGGAGCAATTTATGGATTTGGACATGTAATGACTGGCATGTCGCTTCGCTTTTACCAATCAAACTAAATTATTCTTTCGCAACCGGGCAATACCTGAAAGAGTGGACGTTACATCCCGCGGTACCCAAGGGCATTAGCCACCACTTGCCCAGGATGAACCTTACGACTCTTCTATCAGCATGTCCTATGTTTCATCGATCATGCTACCTGTTACATGCCAACGAGGCTGAGAGAACTCCTCGTTGACCTCAAACAAGTGTGTTTCTTTATCGTGGGTATCCTTTTTAATACATTTTGTACATCAGAAGCTCGGCGCACGCGCACTATTAAATGCTTGCCAAGGTTCATATTGAGTTCTAGTTCGTTCATCATTCCCGTAATTTAAAATGTGTCTGCAAAGTTGCTGCAAATCAAACAGAGCCATGCTCTTTCTGTACAGCCACTGCAGCTTTCAATGGTCGCCCTTCCCGGCCCCAGATGGACCTGCAAGGGACTACCTGGCCTAGCCAGAGATCCTCAGCCACGGGATCTGTGGTGTACAGAACTGCCTGGGAGAGATCTTGGGTCTGACAGTGCATACTAATAACCGAGCGCAGTCTATCTTCAAGCGAGCCCAAGGATTCGTCGTTGGCAATCTCCTGGCAAAGATAGCTGTATCTGCCATCTATAGTCGCAGAGACTGAGTCGTGGCTGCTCTCCATTTTGGCTTGTTGACAACGGCTACCAAGGCCCTGCCATTCGATATCACTGCCACGAGGAAGTTCATCAACTTCAACGGCAAGGAATGGCGAGATAGTATATGTGTCATCGTCGAGAACAGAGAATTTGGGCAAGGTAGCGGAAGTGGTTTCAGGAACAAGCTCGCCCGCCCGACCTCCATACTTTATATCCCATGCGTCAAGTTGCGGGCCCTCATCTGAGTCTTCATCTTCCGCATCAACAGGTTGTGTATGCATTTTCTTCCAGAGATGCCATGCCACCTGGGCTTGAGTCTGAATGTGCTCTCCACCCGTCAAAAACGCAACAGCACCCAACCACCAGTCCACCTCCATTGCTTCGCCAATACGCCACAGGTGCTGGAGAGCAAGTACGGCCCGTAGACGGTAATCCTCCAGCCACGACTTTCCTTCCGTGGCTACCTCCATCGAAGCCGGTTCAAGAGGAATTTGGCCAGCAATGTAGACCACTCTGCTCTCGTCATGTAGAGGAATAGACATGGCTTGTGAATAAGGGCCGATATTGGCTGGCGCCCAGTATGACCGCGATTGAACATGCAGACCCTGACGCCGGTTGCGTGCTCCCAGGTCCACCACAAAGGAAACCATCACCTTCACATTGGATGGGAGTGAATCACCACAGGCCACGGTAGCTCGGGCAGGGGGGTTGGGCTTCTTGAATAGCGAAACGTAAACATTATTCATAAGGGCGAAGTCTGCCATTGAGCGCAGCAGCACGGTAGCAAAGATGATGTCTTCTGTCGAGCGTGTTCCCGAATCAGAAGTAAACGCCTTCATCAAAAGCTGCACTTTGTCGACAATTGCTCTCATTTGGTCACCAGCATCAGGGCCAGCTTCTGGAGCTATTAAATTGGCGATCGTCCATGTCGATGCAGATCGATAGCTATTTGGCTCGCAGATAGACCAGGCAGGTGCTGGCAACGCATTTTTGCTCGATGTCAAGTCTGTGTCCGCTGGCGCTAGCTCAATCGATGCAGCAGAGACATCTTTCAGCGCAGTAGTAAATTGCGCATCCAACAAAGCAGGCCTCCTCACATCACTGGGCTCATACTTGTTCTCCTCCTCCGCCAATTTAGGAACGCACCTCGCTCCCTTCAACTTCAAATAACCAACACCACCCTCTCCACTCCCAACATCGCGTCCCTCAACCTCAATCCTACTCTTCCAAAGGAAAGAAGGTCCGTCCAGCGCCAAAGTCTCATATTCACCCCCCTCACCCAAAACCGCTCCCTTAATATCCTCCGCCGCCGCAAACCTCCCCATCGCCCTTGTCATCCGTCTCCGCAACACACGCCCGGAATTCCCAGATCCAGAAACATTCTCCCATAGATATCCATCATCCAGACCACCCGACGCAACCTTGATCATTCTAGCATCGCACCCCACCGCTGCCATATCCTCAAGTAAGCCCGCCTCACTCACAGCTAGAGGATCAGCATCCCGCTCTACAGGTGCCGGGAGCGAGGGATACATCCACAGCCAAGCGAGTGGGACAAGACCTAGTCTGCCAGCAATATTCTCAATTCTCGTCCGCTGGTATGTAGACAGAATAGCACCAGCCGAAACAGCATTCGCTTCCGGGTGAGCCTTCATAACCCGGCGTAAGAGTGGGACAAGAGACTCGGTCTCGTCTTCAATAGTTGTATCTGAGCCGGAGCCACTTTCAGCAGCTTGATCAGCGGCATCGTGTCGGTACACTCTTGAAGTATCGACAGCCCCACCGGTGATGGCGGCACGGTAAAGTGGGATGCCCAGTGCGGATTCATATAGAGGAATCACGCTGTGACCGATTGTTTGGTACATGAAGCTGTCAATATCGGCTTCTTCGTCGTCATTTTCGGTGGATTGGGTATTTTGTCTCAACTCTGGGTGCAGGTTTGCTAATGCGACGACGTTGTGGCCGTTGCGGATGCAGTGCAGGATGGAGTAGAGGGAGTCTTTTCCGCCTGAGATTAGGGCGATGACGTTCAGGCCTTGAGATGATTGGGGTGGCATTTTGTGATTGATTTTAGGGATTGAGGAATACTTTATTTTTTCCAAGGTTCAATCCCTTTAGCTTGAGCTGTGCTGGTCAATGTGATGCATGGGGGTTTTTTTGGTTCTCCCCACCTTGTCTCTTATCGATAGTGTGATAAGCCACAATCTACGCAGACCAGTTGCCGACAAATATATGGGCGTATTTTGTCCAACTACTAAGACAAAGATATTCACATGGGCACTAGCCATAGAATGCAAAGTACTGGAATACAGTTTACATGATGCAAGTCAATATAGAGAGAATTATGCTTGTAATTTGATGTTGCTAAATCCACACCGGATGAAGATGACCTGAGACCAACACAAAAGGGCAAATGCAATACAAGAAGGGGTATGAAAATGGGGGGATGATGACAAGAAAAAAAAGGCGGCCAAATTAACTTATACACGAATGTGACCAGCACAGGAATCAAAAACAAAAGCTCGAAAAGATATTACATCGAAATAAAACAATGAACAGATGAACGAAACGGAAGCGAAGAGAAGGGGGTGTAAAAGGATGAAAAGGGGGCAAGTTTTGAAGAACCAGTCAAAGGCCCAGGGGGGATGAGAGTCTGCCAACGTTGTTTTCGTGTTGGTTCAGGTGGTGAAAGAGAGAAGGAAAACGACAAAGGAAATGACAAAGGAAATCGAACACCAGATCCTGCCACCTTTTCCGAAGGGACAGGATGCCATCTATTTTGGTTCTTTTTTCTTTCCCCTTTCATGGATTCCGAACGCCCATGAGTAGAAAGAAATTCTCCAAAAACAGCCCTCGGGCGTGTTTATCCCCGATTCCGATAAAGAGATGCAAAGAACCAAATAGGTGTCATACACCGATGACCATATTTCCGACACCAGTGTAAATGCCCGCGGACGCCAAACCCAATGAAGACACGATTGAGCTTCCTTGAAAAAACCCAGACCGAATGTATGTTATTATAAATGCAGTAGGAAGCTCCTGGTCTCATGAAAAATCATCAAAGCCCAAGATCAGAAACTTACGCCAAGTCACGCTTGCGCTTCTTGACTGATCGCCGGTCAGGGCTGGCCTCGGGACCAGATTGAGACTCATACATGACAGCGCCTAAGGCACCGGCATCGTGTTGGTCATCGTACGACATGGCCTCACTCGAGTCCAAGACGCCCATGACCATGGATCCTGCACCGTGGGTTCGGGCGTGCTGAGCCAGGTTATCACTGCGGGAGAACTTCTTGCCACACTCGTTGCACTCGAAGGGCTTATCCTGAGTGTGCAGCGAGCGGTAGTGGCGCTTGAGGTGCTCCTGGCGACGGAAGCGACGAGAGCAGAGAGTGCAGACGAAGGTCTTGGAGGGGTCCTCGGTCAGAGACTGCTTGCGACCGCGACGGTTGACCGACACAGGTGCAGGCTCCGAGTCGGTGCAACAGCTGTCGGCTCCCGGGGAGTGAGAGTGGGCCGCGGACATGTGCTCAACCTCGTCATCGATCTGGACATTCTTGCGGGCGGACTTGCGGTTGCTGCGCTTCTTGGTCTTAGGCTCTTCCTCATCGGCCTCGGACTGGGCCGACTGTGTCGACTCAGTCCAGTCGAAAGACGGAAGACCAGAAGGAAGCACGAAAGTCTCGCTGTCGTCCGAGTCCTCAATGCTGTGCTCGCTGAGGAATCCATCATCTTCGGCCAGGTACTGGTTCATCCGCTGGCGCTTGTCACCCAAGTAGACGGCATTGGCGGCCGGGTGGAACTCCACCAGGCGGTTGATCTCATCATCCGAGTCGAGGTCCGAAAAGCTGTCAAAGGTCGGCAGGGAGCTCAGAGGGTCCTCGGTCGACGAAGTGTAAGAGGGAGACGGGTTCTCGTTGACGGGGAGTGTCACAGATGCACTGCCCACGACGGCACGAGGCTCCTCCTCTTCGCAGGAGAGGGTCGGCAGGGGAGGAAGATCCTGGTGGGTGTGCACATTCACCGAAGGCTCGACTGTAAGCTGACGTGGATCACAGAAAGAGGCACCAGGGTGCTCAGCAGTCAAGGTCTGGGATTGGGAGAGAATGTCGGTGGGGACGGGAGAGGGAGAGGGGGAAAGCGAGGGGCAAGAGTGGGCGGAGAGCAGATCCGAGTGGCTTGCAGTAAGTGATGGCGGGTGGATGAACACTATTTCCAAGATTAGCATCTATCATATTTTCGATACCCCTTGCATATGACACTTAAGCCATATGCATATATGCAACTAAATTTTTGACATCTCAAGTCGGTCGATCACTTACCAGGTGTCATCGGAGGCGAATCAGTGCGTGTCCAGTCGTGATTGGCCAGAAGCTCAGTGTGCACATCGGTCTCGCACCCCTCCTTGACGCCCTCCACCTTGTCAAAGCCAAAGAAGCTCTCGTGGATCGGGGTGTGCAGAGTTCCATGGGCGGACGGGGGGCTGCTGATGGAGCTACCAGAGGAAGACAGTGGTGGCGTAGATGGGAAGCCATACATGTCGTGGCTCAAGAAGCGGGTATCCAAAGGCATCAAAGCTGGAGAGCCTTGTTGCACGATAATGGAGGGCTTCATCTGGGAAGGCTGAGGCGAGGCGATTGGAGTCATGCTCATGGTGGCCCCGCGGAAGGCATTGGTGGTGGCCATCTGGTGCATGTTCATGGCCGGAGCCTGGTAGATTGGTTGCTCCATCCCTCGGTTCGCGTACTGTGTCTGTCCATACCACGACATGTCTGAAGGCTGGCTGGTGTAGTGTCCTTGTTGCTGTGTTGAGTTATCGTAGTATGCAAACGAAGGTTGTCCATGCACCGGAGTCGGTGTCACTGTGTATGTTGAGTCCATTGTAAAAGGCTGTTCTTGCCAATTGTGGTCAGCGATAGACTCTTTCCCAATTGAATTCCCAATTCCATATAGGATAACCATACCTGTGTGTATAGGAATGCAACCAAGTTGTATTCCAAGAAAGTATTAGGTAGAGTAAGTTGTTGAGAGAGTAATTGATCGAGTGTCCTTTTCACGGTATGTAAAAAGAATGAACGGGATGAGGACACGAGAATTAGGTGTAGTAGTGTTCAAAAGAAGGACAGGATCCTGTTAGATAGGAAACCGGAGGAGACAAGGGAAGGTGTAGTCCAAATAAGTTGCTATAAACCGTCCCAAACCCAAAACAGTCGAGACAAGGACTAGTGGGAATAAGGAAAGAAATAAGAAGAAAAAAAGAAATAAAAATCCCAAATCAAAAAAATAAAATAAAGAGAGACACGATATGGACAGAAAGGAAGGGAAAAAAGGGAGAGCAGCAGCGGTGGGTTAAATGAGTGATCTGCTCTTCTACTTTTGCCGGGTACATAGAAGCAGAACTGAGTGGGGCAAGACCTTTATTTGATTTTAATTATGGGATGTTGAGGGGATTTATTTTTACGGTATTTTTTGATTTTTTGAAAATGAAAAAGGGAATTAAAATGAAAATAAAATGGTATCAGTCTGGGGCGGGATTGGCAGCGTGTAACTCTGTACCAGTGGGGCGTACTTACCCAAAGGGACGGACGCTGGCCCGCATCCTGTGGGAACCCACATCGGTCGGAGCGCCCAAAAGGATGAGTGGAGTCGGAGCACGAGTGGTGTTACGCGCTGGAATGCGGAGAGAGGCTGTGCTGATTTAAATTCACCGAATGACTAGAGGAGGGCATTATCGACTATACTGACTGGACAAAGAAGTAGATCAAAGATAACGAGCAATAAGCAATATCAGAACAAATAACCATTCTCCCTAGCCGCTCTACCCTCCTGTACCTACTGGCCCTCGCACATTATTTGCAGAGAACCATCCTGTCAGGCACACCACGGTCAAGCCAAAAATAATGGGATGGCGTGGTGTGGCCACGAGGTGCACGACGATTGGATCCAAGATGGTGACAGCGGCAATCAGTTTGCACCTCTTATCAGGCAGAGGCGGTTCCACTCATAACACCACACCAATGGTCGTGTCCCGAAGGAATTTGGGACTGCTTAGCCCCACGCGTGTCCCGTCTTCGTCATTTGGCTTCCAGGGCATGCACCGCGATCGACAATCTGAATCACCTCGGAGGCCCATTTCCCCCCGGTACTTCGACTAATGCGATCATCATGTGGAAACCTTCTTTTCGGAGCATACAGAGTACAGTGCCAAAAGGGAGGTTTATCAATGCCCAAATGGGTTCAGCCATTCTCGTCGCCTGCATGAAGATGAGGCCTCATCGCTCATCTCTTGCCGATCAAGACTATCAACGGTGGCAACCAGCGTGCGACCAAATCGTGAAACCGCCGGTATTGGCTCATTCCCAATGGCGCATCTGTTCCACCTTGGTCAGTTTCACATGGCCAGCCAAAAGTACAACGGAAGGGCTCCTCGGTGCAGTGTGATGGCCGAGAAGCGTCACTTCCAGCCCAGGAATCCATATTCCTAACGGAGTACGATTTTATCCAAAATTCTATAATATCGTCTATGGGGAGGGGTTTTCCATCCACGTATTGGAACTCAGCCGTTCTGTTCAGCTGTAAGGGTTCAACATATCCAGGATTAAATATTAAGAGGCAAAAAAAGCATCAGCATATCCAGAAATATCCACCTGTGATGTTGTCAAGTTGCGCGGCCTACTGCAGGAACAAGACTGTGGAGGCACAGCCGAGAAAGAACCACAACGAGGCTTACTGCTTTTATTGGCTGCATCATGGACATCAGCAAGGCTCGAAATGCAGTCTTTGTTCACAAATCAGCGTGGCGACCGGAGAGATAGTTCCCAATGCCCCAAGTCCACCCATTGGGTGAGAACCTCCAGGGTCCCCACGCTCATGCATTTCATGACATCGCGCCTACAGTAGTGTGTATAGACTATAGCTGGACCTGTTCCGATTCTGCGTAATACTTTGAGTTTTGCTAGAGCTTGTGATAATGATTGGCCTAGGTACTCGCCAAGTGATGTGTTCCAATTGCAGTGTGATGGCACTTGACCTTCTGATCGGTAGATCCGGGGAACGC